TTTGCTAGGAAGTACAACAAGAGCGATCAGACATCCAAGACCCGGCATCGCTAAATCGCTCGATCTTGCGGTGGCTCGCTTGAAAAGTTTAATGTCGCTCGAGTAAAGCTGGCAACCGGAAGGCCAACACGACCGGTAAGGTTTAGAGGAAGAGCGCGCTACGCTGAGGGAGTGAACACAAGCGTCCATTGCATCTTTGCTGCGCTGACTGGGCTGAGATCTCCTACAGGTAGAACTTACCGCTCTCCCTGCCAGTCAGTCACATGCGTAGTCCGTGTCGTGCCTTGGGTGACACTTCCCGAACAGTCAGCAGGGATTGCAAAAGTACGTATCATATTCCAACACTGCCGACTACATTTTGATGTATACTTGAACGAAGTCTGGATCCGGCTCACAGTTCCAACGTCGTACAAAGGTCTTCTGTAGTGTTGTCACGGCCACTCCGAGCCTCACACTCGACCAGGTCCATTGAGTATTTGCCTCGGAACTTGGTTGATGACTTTTCAGACGCAAGATACAGAAGTTGATCACCCCTAACAGTCTTTTTCTGTATGATATAATGAATTGTACATTGGTGGCACGTTAATGAACTCCTTGCTAAGTTGCTAAGAGCCAGCGCACTGCTTTGTCGCAATTCCTTCCTGCGCAGTTCACACGCTCACTGTAATCTCGACGCGAAGTACGTCGTCACGGCGCTTGCGTTTCAACAGTCGAACTGCAGCAAGTTATAGTCACCCATGCCCAAAGTAATGCGCTGTATATGACTGAACGAAGCCACGAGTGAGTCAGATCCACCTTTATACACCCCTTGCTCTGTCGTTGCTCTACGTTTTCTCATCGCATTAGGCGGCTTGAGAGTTCTGCACGCTGTTGTGGCGTGGGCCTCCTTCTAATATCGACCGACCGACTGCCCCGCCGTGGTTTTCGGTGATGGCAGGTCATATAGTCTTTTGTGACACCAATCAGGGTTCAAACTCAAGGTGGACAACACGTCGTGTTGGAGTCAGACTGAAAGTACCCATACCGGGAGGGTGTTTTCAAAGTTCTTTTCGACGGGAGATACCGTCTTGTCATCACCGTGACGGTCGTCTTCTTGGTCTTCAGTTGGGTCTTATAGTTGCGACGATGGGTGAATTCAGGATGGGACATGAAAGGAGAGGTCGAGCTGTCGTCTGACCCCTGTATTGCAGTCCCAACGAATGACCTCACAGTTATCCACCGTCCGGTTTTGCGGCGCGCAGGCAGTTGAGAGTTATGCAGTGGCAACCGGTCCGACCAGAAGGTGAAGTCAGATTGTATCTAAGGGAACAAGACAATGGTAGGCCAAAAGGTCAAACAGACTTATGCAACGAGACACGGTCAATAGTACGGCGCCTTCGGACGAAGCATGGATATGAGGAATAATTAGGAGGGATTGGATCCCAAGTGTGTTTGAAACGGGAGGCGCAAGAAACGGCGATGAGGTCGAAGTTGGAAAAGGTGTATGGCCATTTGGTTGTATATCACAAGTTCAGAAGAAGAAGAAGAAGAAAGAGGAGATGCGTCGGCCCGAGAGCCATTCTAATTTCGTTGACCCAAGGGTAATTAGATGCGCAGAGATGTCGCCTTGCCTGGATGCGAGCGCCACATCGTTGTGCTGCGGCCCATGCGGTGCGCCCCGAGTCCCTGTAGGACAAAGGTGCGGAACCATTGGTGGTGAAGTATGCCCAGTGATCTTGGCAGAGCCTGATAGAATGAGCATTTTGATCATATTGATTTGCAGACCGACTCAGAGCATAATATGCCCAAAGAAAGACATAAGAACGGTCTCAATCCATCGACGATGTTTTGCTTCATTCATCCTCCGGTCTCCTCCGCCACCCCCTCGGTATTTCTTTCCCTATCTTTTTCTCCGCTTTTTTCTCCGCCACGTACCTCTCCGCCTTCGTCCCCGGCTCCACCAAATCTTGGGCTCAGGGGTCCTTCTCCGCCATTCGAGTCATCGTCGCTTGCCTCTGCCTCCGTATTGTCGTTCGGGTCCACCGAGGGTACGATAGCGAGGTGGCCGCGACGGAGGTCGTCAATGATAGCCTTGAGCTGAGCAACGGTTTGCTTGGGCGATGTCTCTGCACTATGATGCAGAGCCATTTCGTATCTACTCTTCGTTCCGGGCTTGATCCGCAATTTGACACCAAGTGCCTTCAAGCCCTGGGTAGACCATATCATCTTCTTCTGAGGTGTGAAATCGCCTGTCGATGATCCCGTGTCGGAACGGCGATGTATAGTCTCGAGAGCAGAGTCTGTAAAGACGTAAATGATTAGCACGGAGTCGAGCCCGATCAGATGCAGACTACTTACTGAGTTGGGCGCGGAACAGAGTGCCGTGCCATTTGCCAAGAACGCCGCGAGTAGCACTGTCCATCGAGCGAGTGTTTGCTGATAGATGAGACGAAAACATATGTCACATAATTGGTAACGGTAACGTGGTCTCATGCGCGCATAACTTGCGGGGGCGAAAGGCTCACCCTCCTTCAGATCTGCCGCTTCATTGGCCTTGAGTGTCTCATCCCAGCTCATCTTGGAAGCAAAATTAGACAACAAGGAATTGCCGGATGGATCCTTGAAGTCGTTGCAGTGAGCTGCAAATCTGAGCCCACCTATCGAATGCACGGTTGCCTTCGTCGCTGGCGATACGTCGTCTTGATAACGAGGGACAATGAAGGCCAGGGTTTCCACTCCGTACAGCTTGGACATGCGTTGCGCCAGGTCTCGCAATTCTGCAATGTACTTTTTGCATTGCTCCATCCGAGTTGGGGAAGGAATGTCGGATGGCGACCGTGTGATGATGGTGGGTGGTACTATCGAAGTGAAAGTCGTATTATTTCCTGCCTCTGCCGCTGCAAAAGCCGCGCGAACAAGCTCTTCATCGTCCTCGCCAAGTTGGGCAGATCCGAGGTCCCCCTGGTCTCTCAGGAAGTTCCAGAGTTGAGCGGAAAGTTTGGTGATGGATTGCGATTTCGAATGATCCGATTCTGAACACGTTTGACACACCCAGGGTATGTAAGAACAGATATTGCGGACGCAGCGGTAAGCATAAGCGAGAGCGTAGGAGAGTGGAGTGGGCATGACCGGAAGCGCCCGGAGGACCGACTCACCCTTGCTTGCTCGCTGGTGTAAAACCTTGACTACAGGGTCCGAGAGAAATCTAGACCACGCATTGCCCTTCGAAGCGAGGCTGTTGAACTTTTTGACGGCCTGAACGAGCCTTGCATGGGGTATGCCGAGTTTCGCGGCCATCTTGAGCTCCGAGTAATATCTTCGAGCGGCCCAGTGCTTCAGCGAGGTCCACTTTCTTTGACTCATACGACCGGTCGCGTTCCGATGCGAGCCATGTATGGCCGTCCAGAGCCTGATAGCTCTTCAATGGTCGATCGCGACATCTTCAAACTCGCTCTCACTCTCACTGTAACTGTCGCTGTCGTCAGCCGAGGAGTGACTGGAATCGCCCCAATTGGGCTCGTCAGAGTCGGAGTCGGACGAAGGGGTTTGGGGCACGGGCATGCGCCGCTTTCTCTTCCGAGTCGGGCGTGGAGACGGTTCATCCAGAGTTGTGCTGGCTTGTGAGGATGCTCGACCGCTTTGATCGTCCCTCCGACCTGCAAGAGGTGTGAGAGAACAGAGAATTCTTCAGCTGTCCGGCAGGATTGAGTAGATAGAAGGATGAGGTCGATGACCGGCACTCTGCTCTCAGCCCTGCTACAAGGGATCTTAGTTGGCACACCAGACAAGAGCACTCACTCGGATGAGCGCCAAAGGAAATGGACTCTGCTGGAGAACCTTCCCTAGATCCCACGCGTATGTCTGACGGTCGCGTCATGGTGGAGCAACACAATTAGGCCCATGAAGGGGGATGTGAGGCGGGGAAACGCGTCCACATACCTCCATTCGGCAATAGCATCGATGTTCGTTCAACAGGCGCAGGGAGGTTTCAACGTATTGAGATGCGGGGCGTGGCGTGGGTCAAGGGTGCGCGTTGTCGCGTTGACGTGAGTGTGCAGAGGTCAACGTGTTAACGCAGAGAGACGCAGAGCGCTCGCCAATCTGAGCTCCGCGTGCGGCCGCACAGCCAGGCACAGCCCCGCCTCAATTTTGCCTGTTCAATTACTCTCTGGGAATTGATGCAGGACTGATTGCCGCTGGATCCAAGTCGACCGTCCGAAGGGGCTTCACTAGATATCCATTTTCTATACACAGTGCACACCGTTCAGAATAAGCGTTTGTCTGCTCGAGGACCGATCCAGGATTCCAGGGACCAGCACCGATCCCTCCCTCGGGCCCAATCATAGACACGGTGTGTACTCCCTCGGTCGTATCCAAACTAAGATTAAAACAGGACGAAAAGGTCTACACAGAATCTGTCGTACACATATCAGTTGATGGTATATGGAACTACACGAATTGAATGGACTGAGTACGACAAGCTGTATGACATTTATGACATAATTCGAACTTACAAGTCTTCGGAAAGTGTTATTCGTGATGATGGTGAGTCTTACACGAACTAGTAGCCCTTTATTACTTATGACCATTTGGGGTGCACTGAGCCGGGGTGGGACGGGGGTGGGGAGGGCATTGGTGCACCCAACCTGTACCAACCTCCAACCGGGCCAAAAAAACAGAAAAGCTGCCTTAACTCGCCCGCGCGGGGGAGCTCATTTGGCTGGGTTAACTGACCTGCCGATCTGCTTGGATCAAACACCTCGCCATTTGTGCGATTCTAACTTATTACTAATAAAAGACACCAGGAGTAGCTCGAGAGTCGTCCGACAATATCATGCCGCGCAGGTCAGCCATTTCCGTAACCGTTTTGCTGCAACTCTGTTGCGCTTCATTAACAAAATACACATGACTTACTACAGTCACCTTCAGCGGAACTGACTTGCTCGAAAAAGAACACAGAAATAGTTCGAATTCCATCTCACGCTTAAGAAGATAGCATTCAAATCATCCCCAGGTAACAATCACATGATCGTGCAGGACAAATCAGGTTGGTTCTCCGGTGTGGCCGCTTTTTGCAGAGGCGCCGTGTCGATGACCAAATCTGATTGAGCCAACCTCCCATCAAATATCTTGACGACGCCCATGGCGGAGGTACGACTGGAAGGATCAGGTCGATGGACGAGCAAATTAGCGCATGTGTTTTCTTGTTCAGTCGTAGCCAGCAGGGTAAAGGATCACTCACACTTCGTCAATATGACTGTGATGCTTATGGGGTGTGATGGGATGTTTGACTTGGACTATGATCTCGTATACGATTGCGACTGCAGCTCGCTTCATCGACGCTGTCCCGTCCATGTCCATCAAGTGCGAGCGGAACCGGAGCCTTGCGGACTGTGTGTAAGATAATGGGCATATCAGTGGTTTTAACACTTCGGTCCGAGACGATCGGCAGTAAGAGGTCAACTCACTTGGTAACGCCCTCGGAGGAATTCAACGATCGCAACCAAACCATCCAAGTTGACTTCTCGTGTATTGACGCGATGCTCGTATCTGTTCGAACCCCATGTTTGCGCCAGGTCAGCACCTCGAGAATCTTCTCGAAATGGATATCCCAATAACTCACGCAATGTGGAACAACTGGGGCCAAATTTCCTTCTTCAACTGCTCGATCGGCGGGCCAGGGACGGTAAGAATCGAGGACATGGCCGCTTCACACAAGGCGATCGGATCCCTCGGGAGGATGAAAGGTTCTGGAGCTGGGGAAGACGAGTGTTTGCTCGAGTGGGAGGAGCCGTGATGGCCTTTGACGAAGGAAGAGAGAGCCAAGGAGGAGTGTTTGGAGGAGGTAGAGGACGATCCGTGTGTGCTTAATCCGGAAGTGGGGTGAGAAGAGGACGAGGATGAGGTGGAACTCATCGTGTCCGAGTGGGTCAGACTCGGACCGCCATTCGAAGACGATCCGCCGCTACTCGGCATTCGAGATTCCTTTGGTCGAAGTGGCTTGGAACGGCAACTCGATCCGGGGACACCACCGCATCCCTCCGGTTGGTCATCGTCGTTGTCTTCCTGGTCGAGAGAGCCATGGGGTAATGGTGTTGTCGAGCCACTGCCGGTGCCGCCGGTCGAGAGGATCGAGGTTGGGTGGTTCGCGGCTGTGTCCTCGCCACTGGTCAAGCGGGAGAGTTGCGAGCTCAGATCATCCTCGGCCTTTTGGTTATGATGGTGATGATCAGACTTGTGCTTGAAAAAGTGAGGCGCCATGGGCACTCTGCGGGTAGTGGGCGATGGGCTGATAGTGAGCTGCAGAGGAGGCCAAGGTGACGTCGGGCGGCCTTCGGGCTCTAGGTTGCCTGCGAGCGCTTGTGAGATGCAACTGCTCGGATTCGCTGACTGCTTCGAATGCGCGTCGAGTATCGATTAGGAGAAGGTGCTGAAGGTGAGGCTGCGGCTTGCGGCGTGGAGCTTCGAGGATGGGGGAAGGCGCGAAGTGGAGGTGTGAAGCATGTGAAGGCCGAGCCAAGAGCAAGAGCGAACAGCTGCGGCGATCTGCGGCGATCGCGTGAAGTCCTTGCGATGCTCATGACGAGGTCATCGATGACTAATCAACTCAGTTTAACACGCTGTGTGACATGAGTACCTCGCGAAGCTTAGCCCCTCTGACTGCATACTCGTAACTTGAGATTACTGATGTGGTACATCAGTATTTGACGGATGTCGCTGCAGCTCTGGTGTATGGGAGACTCTCAAAATGAGCGGATCAAGATATCATTTTGCCGACTTGAGAGTCGAGCGGCTATAGAAAAAGGTGGGATTAACCCAGGAAGAGAAATGAGCTACAACAAGAACCAAAAAAGGTAACAAGCCTTCTCAAGAAACTTTGAAAGCCCCAAGTGCTCAGCCCTTGATCGGACTCTTCCTCGACATGACCTCCATCTCCTGCTCCTCCTTCAAATTCCTCCCGCTCCTCCCTCTCTTTTTGGCTCCCGCTCCTCTCCTCGAAGAAGGTGATGAAGTATACGTCGATGAAGCCGGTGAAGGGTACGCATCCTCGACTTTGACCTTGGTACCCACAATTTCAACTCCAACTTCCTGCTTGATCATCGTCATCGTTGTCGGCGTCGTCGTAACTTGTACCCTCCTCCTCTTGATCCCAGGTGTCCTCATCAATTCATCCACCTCTTCCTGCCATGTAGGTTTCCTCTCCTCCTTCACGACATCTTCCTCAAACTTGCCCAACTCCAGCACACTTTTAACCCCCTTGGCCGCGCCAGCACCGGGTGAAGCAGGTTTCAAATCGGCAAAGAAGAGTACCTGTTGCGCGTGGCCAGCGTAAGGACCCCAAAGTTGGACTAGTTTGTTGGCAACTCGATCGTGGAGGAGGGGCGTGAGTGCCGTGGCTTTGGAACAAGGGAAGGCGTAGTCGCGGATGGCGATCTGGATCAAGGACAGTGAGGTCGGAGTCAGATGAGAACATGGGCGGTCCTCAAGGAGGGCTTACACCTACTTGGAAGACATGCGTATCGACAGGCACTGTTTGTGTCCACCCCAAAGAGAACAACAGCACACAATCCGCCACCTTCCTCCCTACACCCTTGAACCTCAACAATTCCTCTCGAGCAGCTTCGATCCCGCCCCTGTTCTCGAAGTTGATTTGCTTGAGCGAAGCGAGGTATTCGTCTGGCGTGAGTTGGAGGGAGACGGAATGGTCCAAGAGGTGTTGGGACGACCAGGCGATGTAGGGTGCTCGATAGCCGAAGCCGAGATGGCGAAGGAGAGCGTCGGTGTTGGATTGGGCGAAAGAGGTCGGAGAGGGGAATGCATACATCGAGGGTTCGGCTGTCGACGGGCAAGTTGGCGGGGCTGCGGGCACCGAAGCCACGTTTTCGCAGACCGTCGAGGGGTCGAAAAGTGTGGGGTGGGGTAATCTTTCACCCAGAGCCTCGCACACTCGGTTGACCATCAACGTGATGCGCGAGATGTTGTTGTTGGCAGAGCAGATGAAGCTGTGGTGGGTGGTTTGAGCGTGAAAGCGGTCAGACTCAGCGTCGACTGACAAGAGTCTCTGCCCATAAACCACAGCCGACCTGATAAGGTTCTCCCAGGGATCTTGATTCAGTACTCGAATCCCCTTGAGTCGTTCCGACTCTTTCTCGATCTTCTTCTTGAAGTGCGGATCCCTTGCGGACCAATCGGCATAAAGAGCGACAAGCGGTGTCGAGTCGAGGTTGAAATAGTGGCGCAGCAAGGCCAAAGTGCTATTCGTTTCGAGATCGACCAAGAGCGCGTTGCGGTGGTGGTAGGGGTACAAGGCTCGGTAGTAGATGCCTTGGTCTGTATGCGTGCGGCGAAAGACTGTTAGCTTCCCATCGATGTAGACGCGGCTGCAATTTGCGCGTATCGCGAAACGCGTCGGCGTCACGCCAGGGGGAGGGGGGGGGAGGGGGGAAGTTCGACTGTTGCCCACTGACCATCTTGCCTCAAACACACGGTCCGATCACCCCACCCAAAAGCCCACTCTACCGGTCCCTGCTTTGTCGACACCTCATCACCAAGCGTTTGCTCATTTCCGGACAGCGATGATGTGGAGGTGCTCGCGACGCCGGCATCTGGACGTGTGGCCTGAATCGCGTCGAAGCGTTGCCATCTGAACGACTGGCCCGATCTGAGTACGGTGGCCAGGCATAACTCGGTCAGAGGGATGTGCAGGAATCGAAGAGGGGTCGAAAGCATCGTGTTGAGAGGTATCGCGCTGCGAGACGAGCACACCGCAGCGAGAGGCCGAGCGAGCGCCGCCGCGTGCGGAAGAGGTCGGTCGGTCACCTTTACCAGCCTTTACCCCGGATCCCGATCTATCCCGATCGCACCAGCCTGCAGCGACGGTCTCGGTTTAGGCATCATAGGCTCGGGCGGCCCACGCGAGTCTCAAGACGATCCATCCATATATCTCCCTGGTGGTATTTGGTTTTCTTACATCAATTCGGAGATCTACAAACATAATAATGCTGGCAAGAGTATGTTGGTGCGTGCTACAGATCCACAACGCGGGATTTGATCACTCGGACGTGTTCCTTCGGTCTGTTCATCCTCCAAGGTCAGCTACCCAATGGGTGAGGGGCCATATTTCTGATATCGAGTTGAGACGCACCTGTCGTCTGCATCTACGGCTACGGAACCCAACCTCTGTACGACGCTCATCCCTGTGAGTACTCGGCCGAAAATGGTGTGCTTCTTGTCGAGTGAGGGTGCAGGGGCTGAAAGTCGAGCGCGATAGGTTGGGAGTCAGTCTATGAGGTAGAAAGAGGGTAATAATAAGAATATGCGTTTGGACCCACCTAATGTAATGAAGAATTGACTGCCGTTCGAGTTCGGCCCAGCGTTGGCCATGGCGAGGATCCCGGCTCCGGTGAAGCGCAGTTCAGGGTGCTGAAGGAGGGTCAGAGTGGTCAGGAGGGAGAATGCATAAGAAGATATACCGTGTTGCGGTAGTACGCACGATCTCATCCTCGAATGATGCGCCATAGATGCTCGTTCCTCCTCGCCCTGTCCCCGTCGGATCACCTCCCTACGAACGGGATAAGCACGTGTGGATTCAGCGGATGCATCTCATACTCCTGACCAATGAAGCCTTCCCTTACCTGTACCATAAAGTCCCCGATGATGCGGTGGAACACGGTGCCCGAGTAGTAGCCCTTGTTGCAGAGCTCGACAAAGTTGCGACAGGTCTTGGGCGCGTGGTCGGCGTACATCTCGAACGAGATCGTGCCCATCGATGTCTCGAGGACGGGAGTGCCTTTTGTTTTGGACATGGCTTGGTTCGAGCGGTGTTGCTTCGAAGCGCGGTGGTGTGGCGAGGACCGAGGAGCACTAATTTAGGAGGTGAGGGAGAAAGGAGGCCAACCGTGCGGCTGACGGCGACTGACGGCGAGCACGATCGAGCACGATCGAGCACGATCTACGTCACGCGTCGCACCAGCAGGTCGCACCGCGCAGCTCGCAGCTCGGCTTTGTACTACATTTCGCCCCACCTGCCCCACCTCCGGCATCATGCTCTCGGCATTGTAAGCCGACACGTATCGGGCCGCCTCACTCAGCCACTCTGCCGCACAGCTGACCGTATGCCCTCCTTTCAATTCCCCTCCCCGCGCAGCTTCATCCTCAACCTCAAAGGCGAGGTGCTCATCTCGCGCCTATTCCGACCCGACCTCAAGTGCGCCACAACACCCTGCACTCCCCACATCATCCTCCTTGCTGACTGCTTCAACTCCACCTGCAGGCGTTCCATCTCGGACATCTTCCGCATCCACGTGATCGCGTCGTCGACACCGCCGACCTCACCGCTCGTCACCCTCGGCAATACCACCTTCTTCCACGTACGACATGGCGGGCTCTGGTTGGTCGCGGTGTGCAAGAATGTAAGCGGAGACCAATTCCATGGCAGTAGCACAGTTTCGAGGAGGGGCAAGTGAGGGAGTGGACGGCGCCTTTGTCTGGGGTCGAGGCGCACGTCAACGTTCCGTCGCTCGCTCGCATGTGCAGCTCCACAGCACTTGTCGCATCAAAGTCGATGCTCTTTCTCCGGACCGGCACGGTGCCAGTTGGACGCCATCAAACCCGTGATCTTGCTCAGTCCCACCAACACCGTACTGACACCTTCCCTCTCCGCCTCGACTCTCCGCCTCGACTCTCCGCCTCGACTCTCCTCCCCCACACGACCCGTCCCCCCTCCTCGACGAGCTCACACAGAACGCCAATGCCGCGCTCGTGTTCGAGTTCACGTACCGCTTCATCAACCTCGGCAGGGCCTACTTTGGCAAGCTAGACGAGGAGAGCGTGAAGAACAACTTTGTGTGAGCATCCGTTTCCTGCTCAGCTCGAGATGAATACATGGGCTGAACTCAGAAGACGACCCCAGGCTCATCTACGAACTGCTCGATGGTACGTTCGACTGAACCCGGATCGAAAAACGACCCTTGACTGGTTATGGATTGTACTACTGATGCACTTAGAAATCCTCGACTTTGGGTACCCGCAAAACTCCGAGTCCGACACGCTCAAGATGTACATCACCAACGAGGGCGTCAAATCCGAAGCGGCCGTGCGCGAAGAATCGTCCAAGATCACGATCCAGGCCACCGGTGCCATCTCGTGGAGGAGGAGCGACGTCAAGTATAGAAAGAACGAGGCCTTCGTCGACGTCGTCGAGACGGTCAATCTATCCATGAGCTCCAAAGGTTCGCGCGCGCGGCCGTTGAGAAGTGTGAACAGGGTCACTGACTTTACTGCGAATTGCGCGTGGCACAGGAACGGTTCTAAGAGCGGATGTCGATGGTCAGATCCTGATGCGAGCTTATCTCAGTGGCACGCCCGAGTGCAAGTTCGGACTGAACGATAAGCTGGTGATTGACAAATCGTAAGTGGCGAAATGGGATCGCGCCCGGAGGATTCCCTTCTGATCACCCTCAGGCCTGGTGCGTGGCATGCTGCGCTGCTTTCAGTGACCGTGCCAAGACGAGTGGGAACCCCGAAGCCGTTTCGGTCGAACTGGACGACTGCCAATTCCACCAGTGTGTCAAACTCGGCAAATTCGATTCGGACCGCACCATCTCCTTCATCCCCCCCGACGGCGAATTCGAACTCATGCGGTACCGCTCGACGACGCACGTCAACCTCCCTTTCAAAGTCCAACCCATCGTCACCGAAGTCGGCAAAACTAAAGTCGAATACACGATCCAAATCAAGGCCAACTTTTCCCCCAAACTCTCGGCGAACAACGTCGTGCTTAAAATCCCCACACCTCTGAACACGGCCAAAGTCGATTGTAAAGTCGGGATCGGGAAGGCCAAATACGTTCCCGCAGAGAATGTCATCGTATGGAAGATCCCACGATTCCAAGGCCAGAGTGATACGACTTTTTCGGCCGAAGCGAGTCTGAGTTCGACGACGGTGTTGAAGGCTTGGTCGAGACCACCAATTTCGGTCGATTTCCAAGTCCTCATGTTTACGGCGAGTGGGTTATTGGTCAGGTTCTTGAAGGTGTTTGAGAAGAGTAATTACTCGAGTGTTAAATGGGTCCGATGTGAGTTGGTTATGAGGGAAGAACCTCGGACGTGGGGTGTTTGACTGATCACTTCTTCACCCCCGGGTACGACGCAGATTTGACAAAAGCGAATGGGACGTACCTCATTCGGATTTGAGAGGAAGTTGGGGTTTTCATTCTCGTGGCTGTAGTCCTCTTTGACGTCCCTTTTCACGTCTTTGCATAACTTGCGTAACCATGTACTATTTTGACCTCATCCATCCTTACGGCGCGAGGTAGATTTGAAAGCTCCGACCCCGGCGGGTGGGCCTGACTGTTACCGGGAGATGACTGACTGCTCCTGGGAGACGTCTAACACCCCCGGGAGCTGGCGCTAGAAAGTCAGGAAACACTTCTTGAGATCCGGGGAGGGCGGCATTTGATTGGTTGCGGGGTTAGAAGAGAGTCTAAGCTTCTGTAGTGAGTTGGTCGGCGTTGAGGTAGGGGTGAGGCGGACCTGTAAGGCATCCCCTTACACCCTTACAGAACAGCCCCATAAGTAGCCTCTTACAGGACCCCTGCACTGTAAGGTGTGCTTTGAGAGTCAGTGATATTGTTGGTATGTGAGAATGAGGTCAATGTGCATGTAGGCCCTGATGATACAAAGTGCTTTACTAGGGTGCTGCCTCGGCTGCATTGAGCACTCACTGTAGTGCACTTATTTGACCGCGGATACAAGGTCCTCTCACGACCGGCGCGGCGACCAGTTCAGACTACTCTCCATTGACAGTCCATGATGATTGAACGTCAAGATGTTCATACGTTTCCCCCCCCCCCCCCCCCCCCCCCCCGAAAAAAAAAAAAAAAAAAAAAAAAGGTTCAACACTACCTCTTAGCGTGATCCCCGCGCTCACATGAAAATCTTACTTAGCCCTCGCCTTGGCCTGGGCCATCCTCAACCTCCTCTGTTCCCTCGCATGCGCCATCTTCTCCTCCTTCGTCATCCACACCGTCGCCCCTGTACCTACAGCTTCTCCTTCGTTCGATTTAATCGTCTCGTTCGACGTCGAGACCACTGAGATTGCAGGCGATCCAGTCCGTAACGGAGGACTCGCTACGCGTGGTGAAGGGATAGGATCGGAATCGAATTCGGGAAGGACCGGTGCAGGAGGGGGAGGACTGAAGACGCGTGGTTGGGGTGAAGAGATGATATCCGCGAAAGGATTGGGTGCAGGTGGCGGAGGTGGAGGTGATTGAGGTGTGGAGAGTTGGCGTGTCCTAGGCGAAGATTCGACGGAGCTGTTCGAGGGTCGGGGTGGGGACATGGGCGTTCGACTAGCCGCTGTATTGCCGACGAGAAGTCGGATAGGTTTCCTAGGTGATGTATTGACCGCAATTGGTGTTCGCGTCGGTCTCGGAGCGAGCGAGACAACCTGTTTCGGACCCGCCGGTACAGCCGAAGCCATCAAATTCGGTGGCGGTTTCCTCACGCTCGCCAACGAAGCCGGTTTATTCATCCCCCCAAAGCCCGAGGCCTCTTCCGTATCCCACGCTTCAGCAGCAGCGTCAAAGTCCATCATCGGCATCTTGGAAGCCTTGTTCGCACTACTGCCGCCCAATTTGAACGGTTTGGGTTTGGTGGAAGATAATCGAGCGGCTAAAGGATCGACTTTGCGAGGTGCTGAAGAACCAGATTCGAATTGGTCCCAATCGTCTTCATCGGCGTTGACGTCCATTAGGTCTTGACCCCAATCTTCGGGACCGGCACTCCCGTCTTCGTCTTCGTCTTCTTCGTCGTCTTCGTCGAAACCTCCCGGAAGAGCGAGGGAGGAGCTTTGGAATGGTCGATGGATCGATGATTGGGGGCCATGGCCGTTCGTCGCTCGACCAGCAGGTTTAGGTGGCGATGCTACGGGGGGTAAGATCGCCGAGGCTGGAATCGAAGGACCGGCCGACATGTGTGCCGCCGCTTCGGCCGACGACAACTTTTTCGAAACGCTCGCAAAGGCCCAGCCTGCCAACGCCCCCGCCGCTCCAGCAGCATTGGTCGCAAGTCCAGGTTGAGTCGCATTAGCAGCTTTCATCGCCATCGTCGTCGAAGTTGCCGAAGCCGCTCCTGCGCCTGCAACCCCACCAGGAATGATGGGGTTCCCATTTTCATCGACCGTCGCCGCCGTCTCGGGCATGTTGATCGTCAACTGCTCGCACTTTTTGATGAACAATTCGATCGCTTTGTACCCTTGATCACGAACGGCTTTCTCTCGATCGATGAGGCAGATCGACATGGCGGGAATGACTTTGCCGGCTAGATCTTCCTTCTCGTACACGTCTGCGGTGGCCATCAAGGCCATCAAACCGGCGATACGAGCGTGGATGAAGGGATCTCGGAGGGCGCGGGCAAAGGCGGGCACGAGCACTTTGCGGTTCATGGAAGGTTGGAGATGGCGAGAGAGTCGACCGAGAAGGATGCAGGTATTGGTGCGAATACCTGGCTCGGGATCGGTTTGCGAGCGTGCTAAAAGTCGAAGGAGGTCGTTGTTGAGGATTCGGTCCGAAAGCTGTGAGCGTCGTACCCAGATTTTAGTCAGGACACCTTTCGACCTCGACGACACTCGGTTCTAAAACACCTTGGGTGCGATCAGCAAGACCGACTTGACCGTCGCTTCTCGAATGACGGGAACAACATCTCCAAAACCCGAGAGCTGGTACATAGAGAATTCGAGGTGTCAGCAACTCTCCTTCACGAGATCTCTCGGACCTTGCGGGACCCACCAAATGGGGCCAAATCTTTTCCGTCACATCCTTGTTGGACAACTTGTCCGCGAACTTGTCCAGTCCCTCCAATAGCGCCATCCTCGTCGCTCGATCAGGCGTCGCAAACATCCTCACGAGCGGTTGAATGATGCTCTGTGCGTACTCCTGTTCCGACAGCCCCGAAGCGAGGTTCAAAATGATGGGCAACAACGCCGGACCTCCTCCACCGAATTCGAAAGTCCTGACGAGCGAAGAGAGTACTTTGTATTTGAGGAATTCGTCGGGTAAAGCGTTGCTCGCTCGTTTCTTGGTCGAACCGGCTGCGGCGGTGGCGTTGGCGTCACTGACGGTTTTGAGCATCTTCAACAACTCCATCTTTTCCGCCTCGGAAGCGAGGGAGAAGCCTTCGAGTGCAGCGGAGAGTTTGACGAGTCGATTCGAAGGCCACCATCCGGGTGTCCCCGATTCGGAACCGATGCCGAGTTCGAGGAAGAGGTCGGTGCGAAGGCGGGCTTTGGGGTTGGGGTTGCCGAGCCGTCGCCAGGTGGTGTAGATGTTTTGGGGGGTTTGGCCACGGGTACCGGGGAGGGTGGGGGGTGAGGAGGAGGAGGAGAAGGTTGGGGGCAGGGCGCCGTTGAAAATGACGAAGATGAGGAGGTAGAGTTGGTACGAGTCGAGGGCCGAGGCTTCGTGTCTGAAGGGGTTGGAGGGATCGCTTGGGTAAGCTGATTGCTGTCAACGGGTGGAGGTTGCACTGACTCTTTTAAAGCTGTCCATCCACCCTTTCGAACCTCGGGCGATGTGTAGCTCCTCGCGTCGGGTAAAAGACCGGCATAGTTCTGAGAGCAAGGCAAGGTCCGCATCAGCGTCGAGTCTTTCCCGCCCCAAGGCTGAGGCCAGAACTTACCCAAATGACGCCCGAGTCGTCGTCCTTGCGCGTGGTCAATTCCATGCCACCCAACTTCCACTCCCCACCCTGTGTGATCCACACGCTCTCGGGTCTGATGTTGCCGTGTATGCTCGCGCCATCCTTGTTGAGGAAGGCGAGCGCGGTGACGAGGTGCAAGAGTCCGTAGACTTTGGATTCCTCGGCCAAGGGTGTTCCAGCGCTATCAAGTTCGAGGGAGAGAGAGCGCACGGGTTCGGTGACGATCCATACGGTCGTATCGGTGTCTACGCCATCGAGGAACTTGAGGATGTGTGGGTGTCGCAGGGCGCGGAGTTTGCGGAGCGCGTTCTTGGCCAGGACGAGTTGGGCTTTACGGTCATTGGAGGAGCCGGCTGCACCTTGGTTGGGTTGCTGAGGTGCGTTGAGGTCGAAGGAAAAGACGGTGACGGAAGACGAGTCGTCCTGCCGAGACGAAAGGGGGGTGGGTGCATCAGTCGCATGCTGCGCTGAGGCGCTCGCCATGACGTGTTGGATGGCTCGACGCGGTGTGCGTGCGCGTGCGCCGACGACGATCAAGGTGAAGGGTGGGTTGTGAGCGTACGCACCTTTTTGGTCGCATTCGATACGGTCCAAATGCTCCGGCGGTCAAAGTGGTACAGCTTGTCGCCGAGGGTGTATCCGGGCAGACCGGGCACGTTGTTCCCCCCACTGAGCGCCGAAGCCGAGGCCGAAATGACGGTGTTGGCGACCGAGCCGGCGAGCGAACTGAGCCAGCTCATGGCTGGGTGCTAGGTGCAGCGTGAAGACGTAGACGTAAGCGAGGTAGCGTAGCTCCCACGGGAGGCCTCTGGAGGCGGGGGTTGGCAGCGAATGGCCGTGTGCGAGTGCGCGCCGAGCTGGGCGGAGGCTGAGCCGAGCTCGAGGCTGACTGGGGCTGAAGCACTGAAAGGTCCAAGCGGGCCAGAGCGGGCCCGGCCAAGCGCGTCCAAGCGCGTCCAAGCGCGTGTGGAGGCGAGTGGAGGCGTGCAGAGGCGTGCGCTGCACTGCACTGGGCAGCTGCTGGCAGGCGCGCAGGTGGAGCTCTCTCCGCGCGTCGCTGCGCGTTGCTTCCATCCTACTCGTCCACCCTACAGGTCCACCGCACTCGTCCACTCCACCTTCCCCGATCCAACACGATGCCACCCAAAGCGTACGTCCCCCAGACTGCACGACGAGCCTGTAATTCGCCTCGTGGCTGACGGGGTGGTGCTCTCCCTCGACGCGCACCTCTCTCGCTCGGGTCACTCAGTGATTGGGAAAAGTGTAAGCGTGCATATCGTGCACTTGGCCGACTCCAAGCAACGATACTGACACCGTCCGTTTCGGCCCACAGACGAGAAGCCGGTTGATGCCAAGCAAGAGGACAAGATCAATCGTCAGTCGCCCGTCGTCAGCACGGATCAGCAAGCGCTTCGTCATCGCCTCGCCTCGCCTCGCCTCGCCAGCGCCAGCGCCTGCACGCTAGCTTGTACCTGTGCACGCTGACATCTTGGCCTGCACGACCTTCTTTACAGCTCTGGACGAGCAGGACATTCAGATCTTGAGAACCTATGCAAGTCCTCGTACTTTTCGTCCCTCCAGCGAGCCCCACGACTGACCCGATCCTCACTCCTTCCATCCCCAGGGCCAAGGACCGTACGCCAAGCAACTGAAAAAGGTCGAGAACGACATCAAGGATGCTCAGAAGCGCGTCAACGAGAAGATGGGTCCGTCGCTGCCACCTCGCATCCCCTCTTTCTCTCTCCCTTCCTCCACCGACTGACCCGACCCACCGAACCCTGTCCGTCCCACAGGCGTCAAGGAACTCGACACCGGTCTCGCACCCCCGAACCTATGGGACGTCGCATCAGACAAGCAACGCATGGGCTCCGAACACCCGCTCCAAGTCGCGCGCTGCACCAAGATCATCCGTCTCCCCACCGGTCCCGATGCGCCTCCCCTGCCCGTCCTCCCTCAGGGCCAGAAACCCAATGCCGACGAACAGGACAAGTACGTCATCAACGTCAAGCAGATTGCAAAATTCGTCGTCGGCCTCGGCGATCGTGTTGCACCGACCGATATCGAGGAGGGCATGCGAGTAGGGTCAGTTCGGGACGTCTCAGCCCTCACGCGCCCTTCACGGACCACAGCTGACCTTGCGCTGTGGGCATACAGCGTCGACCGACAAGACTACAAGATCCAAATCCCTTTACCACCCCGCATCGACGCCTCGGTGACGATGATGCAAGTCGAAGAGAAGCCCGACGTGACCTACTCGGACGTCGGAGGCTGCAAGGAACAAATCGAGAAATTGCGCGAGGTCGTCGAAACCCCCTTGTTGTCGCCCGAACGCTTCGTCGAACTCGGCATCGACCCGCCCAAGGGCGTCTTGTTGTACGGCCCTCCTGGAACTGGCAAGACCTTGTGCGCACGAGCGGTGGCGAACCGAACGGACGCGACCTTTATTCGGGTCATCGGATCCGAACTCGTTCAGAAATACGTTGGAGAAGGGGCACGAATGGTGCGCGAATTGTTCGAGATGGCCCGCACGAAGAAGGCGTGCATCATCTTCTTTGACGAGGTCGATGCGATTGGTGGAGCAAGGTTCGATGATGGTGCGGGTGGGGATAACGAGGTGCAAAGGACGATGTTGGAGTTGATCAACCAATTGGATGGATTCGACGCACGAGGTAACATCAAAGTCCTCATGGCGACCAACCGACCCGATACTTTGGATCCGGCCTTGCTCCGACCCGGTCGTATCGATCGACGCGTCGAATTTTCTTTACCGGACAACGAAGGCCGCGCGCACATTCTCCGTATCCACGCGAGGTCCATGTCCGTCGAACGCCACATCCGCTTCGACCTCATCGCCAGATTATGTCCCAACGCCACCGGAGCCGAATTGAGATCCGTCTGTACCGAGGCGGGGATGTTCGCGATTCGTTCGAGGAGGAAGGTCGCGAGTGAGGCCGACTTTTTGAAATCGGTCGAGAAGGTGTATAGAAGTGGGAGCAAGTTCTCGAGTACAGCGCAGTACGCGCAATATCAGTAGAGTGCTCTTCTATGCTTTCCTTTGTCCTTTCTCTCCCTGTAATACGTCGAAACCCGAACGAAACCTTGTCACGTCCGAGCAACGCAACCATTCTCGAGAAAGTCGGAGCAAAAAAAAAGTACAACAGTCCCCCATAGAGACGCACATCGATTTCAACACGGTATCCCAATCACAGGACCCGATCACTGCACACAGCCCCGCATCCATCAACTCCACAGCGAACTCTGGCCCTTCTTCCCCGGTCACGCCGCACCGCCCATACTCGTCGAACGAGTAGTCACATCATCGTACGCCTGTAACTGAGGTCGAGGAGGAAGGGTCGAAGCTGCGTACGGAAGGTTGGGTGGTGGGGCGTTACCTGCACTCCCATTCGTCGCCCATCCTCCTCCTCCTCCTCCCTGGGTCCGTCTTCGATCATCATAGCTCACTTCCATCGTATTCGCGAACTTCGGTCCCGACGGAGTAGGCGGAAGCCCACCCCCAATTGGTCTGAAACGACGCTGAACCGGCGGAGCTTGGGGAGGGGCAGCGGGAGCAAACCGATCGTCTGGATTGGGGTACGAGCCGAAACCGCCGCTGGCAACTCTTTGGGCTGCAGGACCGGTCGGCATGGGGTTACGGGCGCCGTAGTTGAGGTGTGGTGGGCCTTGGTTCGGATTTTGGGTCCCATAAGGTAGTTGCGGGGGTTGGAATGGGGGAGCGGGTGCGAAGTGGTTTGCTTGATTGGGCTGATTGGGATAGGTGTGTTGTGGGAAGTGTTGCTGATGCTGCTGCTGTGGGTGATGGATGGGTTGATTGTGTTGCTGATTGTTGTGATGCTGGTTGCTCTGGTTGTATTGGTTGTTATAACCTTGTTGTTGCGGCAGCGTGCCATATAGTTCCGGAAACGGAGGAGGTGGAGGAGCAGGGATCAACCCTTGGCCTGCTGGAAGCTCATGAGGCGGTCGATGCGCCCCATACGTATCATGCCTCTGATTTTGACTCGGAGCGAATTGAGGCCCATTATTCCCCGGTATCGAATACCCTCCACTCTGCTGATAAGAATTCGGTGTTTTCCCACTTGCTGGGTGCGCGAGGCGAGGGGTGGAAGACCCTTGCTTTCGTCGGGGTTCGACGCGCAGAATCTCCGGAGGAAGGGGTTTTTGATCCATGGACGGGTCGTGAGGAATGTCGAGGAGTCGATAGACATATTTTCGTAGCTGTGATGGTCCCATGATAGCGATGTGTAAGTTGGAACACTGGGGTCAGGTCGACTCCCTTTGAGAGAGGCATGACTCACCCGCCGCCCTTCGTGCACGACGTAAGGATCTTGCCCCAATTCCCATGTTTCCGCGAGCAGCTTGACGATCTCTGAAAGAGTCGGGTTCGGAGAACGATTTCAGTGCCGTCAGAACATACGTCCGAAGCACAAACACGCTGCACCCTTACCTCGCATCCTATCCATGGTCACCTCGAACACCTTGAACAGATCTTCGTCCTGCTCAGCCTCCTCCCCTTCTTCCCCTTCTGGGCCTCCCTTCGAGGTATCTTTTGCCCCATCGAGCATCTCGACATCCCCGTTCTTCTCGCCCGTTCCTCGTGTGGATTCTTTTGGCCGTGATATGGGTCTTGGGACCGGCAGACTGAGTTGAGCGAGCGCGCATAGGATCGCAGCAGCGGCTATTTCGTACGCTTGATACCTAATGACGAGCGTCGTGGCGAGGCTGAACGAGAGCATGAAAAGGTGGCCACAATCGAAAAAGCGCTCATCAGCCCAGTGACAAAGTCAACGGGGCATCGTTACCCTCACTCACACATCCTGCAAGATCTGCCACGCGACGAAGTTGATCTGATCCCTCCCTTCCAAATCCTTCTTGTACATCTTCTTGAGCCCCTCGACCACAGCAAAGAACGGACTCTGGACCGTCAAGTCAAAGCATAGCGCGTGGAGCATCGCGTCCTCGGTGTAGAGGATCCTCTTGCTGATGTTTTGGGCGAGATCGTCGTTGGGGTCGTATTCGGGGCGCCCTTTGGCGTCGAAGCGGATGTGTTCGCGGTCGATCTTGCGTTCGATCGCGAGGCAGTAGCCGATGATGTGACGCAAATTGATGGGGTTTTCCTCGACTTTGTTGGCGAGGAAGAAGACGGCTGATCCGACGTCCTGTGATGAGAGGGAGGCCAGGGAGGCCAGGGAGGCCAGGGAAGGGAAAGAGGAAGGGCCGACGACCACGATGGTCAGTCGAGGGAATCTCTGCCGTGCCGCACATCTAGATGGTGCGGAGTATGTGCTCACCTCGGGAGGAAAGTCCTGTACGGACTTGACCATGTAAAAGCGGTGCATGAGGATCGCACTGGTCGAAACGACGACCAACGGACTGCGCAAGCGTGCACCGAAGCAAAGATCAGCTCCACGGGCCATTTTCTCCTCCCCCCATAAGAGACACCCCAACTGACCACGACATCATATTCCTCAAATTCCAAATCCTCTGCATCGCCGTGGCCCTTGCATACCGTTCGTCCGCCAAGGTGATCGGTTCTCGCCATGACCCCAAACGGGCGCGATCACACGACGGCGGATGGGCGACTTGCTTCGCGGTGAAGTACCATTGTCGATCGGTGATCAGCGAGGGACCGTACGAGAGTGCTGCTGGAGCCGGTGGGGGTGGTGTGGGTAATCTGGTTGGCATCGCGCTTGTTGTGGCCCCCACTCGACAACACCACACGCGAGACGGCGCTCGGACGAGAATAGAGTCAGATGGAGAACTACAGCTAGCCTCCGAGTCGGACAAGACCAAAAGCGGCGAATCTACTATTATCTCAATTGAGCTGATAACATTCAATTTAATATCGATCTTTGCTGCTTGTACAATCAAAGAAAGAAAGGCGGGTAAATGTATCTACTACTACGGTCACTACTCAAGGACCGAACGTCCTCAGCTAATTATTCAACCCGACCATCCCAGCAACGACATCATTATCCCCCTCATCACTATCCGAACTCTCCTCCGATTTCTCCCCATTGGTCTCCTCTGTCTTCCCGTTAACACCCCTCACCTTCCCCGACCTCGTTTTGCCATTCCGACTCGGCACCACAGCCATCGCATTATCAGGCGTCTCTTCAATCACCCCATCCCCGGCCGACCCTTCCGAACCCGATCTCGCACTCAACGTCGACACCTCCCTTCGTGTCCGACCCGCGAGCGTCGACTTCCCCAATTCAGGCGATATCCTGACGTCTCTCAGAATCGTTCCACTCCGAGTTGTGCGAGGGGAAGAAGAAGGGTCGCGTCGACTCGCCGTCGTCGAAGTCGATGTCGTGCCTTGATGGCCGTTCGTCTTGACCGCACTTTTGGGCTTCAAGGGAGTGGCCAATTTGGCAGTTGAAAGGCTTTGACGCGTCAGACGCTTCGCTGCAGCACCCACCGAAGCGCGGGATCGAAGTTCTCGACGGTCGGGCACTTTGACCGGTTCACTGGCTCGACCACGCTTGGGTCGACGCGGTGGACTCGGTGCGACCTGAAGCGAAGGGCCCGATTCGTCCGAAGAGGAATCATTGTGTCTCCTAGCTCGGACCTCGTCCTCCTCTTCGTCATCTTCCTCCTCCCTCTCAGCCCGGAACGTCGAATCCGCCGCCGAAGACGCTTCCCCACCCTGCTCATCCTCCTCCTCATCCTCATCCAGCCGACTTTGCGCATCCGCCTCACTCGCCGCCTCAGCCATCGCCCTCGGTGCATCATTGATCAAAGCCGACGTCGCCAAAGATCTCGAAGCGTTCGACGGCCCAGCAACGGCATTCGCTTCCCTTGGATCGTGCAAGGATCCGCTGTCGTCGTCCCAATGTGCTCCCAGACCGTTCGCCAAAGCACCGACGTTGATCGTCGTCCGAGCAGGCGAAGCGTTCGTATCCCCGTTAGATCGGATTTGAGCCGTGCCATCTTTGGCCGTCGAACCGACATTCGCGTCCAGTCCGAAGCCTCGCGTGACGAGGAAAGGTGACCATTGCAAGTTGGCCGGTTTGAGGCGGAGGTGGTTCTTGCGTTCCCACTTTTGCACGTGTTGAGCAACGTGTTGTCGATCCCAGGTCAGTCGGTAGTGTTCGGGTACTTTGACAGTCGGCAAGAGGTGGGGATCGTCGACGTAACCTTGGCGAGAGGACGAAGGCTTGGGCCCGGTCGAAAGCGATCCACCTGCACCACCGCCAACTCGACTCTTGCGTCGTTGCAATTGCCCTTCGGCCGATTCACCCTCCGCTCCTGTGGGCGCGGGGACGAGCTCGGGCGAAGGCAGTCGCGACGTTTCGACGATCCAGCCTTGTTCTTTGAGCACAAAGTAAATGTCGTCCGCGGTCATCGCCGTCTTTTCACTGATGTCTGTTCAGGGTACAGTGGCCGGTGTAGGCAAACGAAAATAAGTCGTTATGTCTAGGTTGCTCATCTTCGTAACTGGAAAACTCGCCTTGAATAGTGACCGTCTGTGATTCGGGAATGGCGTTGAGGTATTGGCAGACGGTGAGCGTCCAATAGTTGCGGTAAGAGAGTAGTCCTAGCTCGGACAGCGGTCGCTCAGGAGTTCCCACGCGTCCTTCCTTCTTAGATAAGAGATAGCCTACAAGGAACGAAGCGACGAAAATCAGCTCAAAGACTCTCCCAATCCAACCCCAACGGGAGATGTACGCACTAAAGTCGATCAAGAGGTTCCCCCACCCTCTCCTCTGTCGCACAGGCAACGTCATGATACAACTAACGTTGTTGGTCGGACTACGTTTCTCCTTGCTAAAGTAGCCGACAAACTTGGCCCCCGTGAGTTCGGCGGTGGTCATGACGTAAAAGAGGAACGGCTCGACGTCGTAATAAAGCGTCTTATGGTCGAGGAACATTTTGGCAAGCAGGCATAGGTTTTGGCAATACATCTGTGCGACACCCGGCCAACGAAAGTTCAGTATTTGTGGATCACTGATATAACGAGGAATGCACACACCTTGTTCTTTCTTCCATCGACTTCGAACACAGACACCGAGCCATCGCGATAAATCTCGTCCCCAGGCGGATGTCGAGTCTTGCATTTGAGCTACATTGTGTGTACGCATACATCAGCAAACGATCCTCCCGATATGAAAAAACCACACCAAATACTTACTCGATGCCGACTAGCCTGAAACCCTCCCTTGGTGTACTTGAGACAGAACTCGCAGATCCACAGCCTCCCATCCGCGACCCTCGAGTACTCCTCCGGGAACGGCGCCTGATACCACGTCTCGATCTCGAACTCGCCGAACCTAATCGCACGTATGTTTGCGATCGGAATCCCATTCGCGATCGTCAGTTCGTCAAAGTCGCTTTGCGCGATCGCGGCCATGCCGGGGATGGGCGTGCCGGGGTGGTCGTGCCCCGGTGGATGGTGCGAGCGTACGGGTTGTACACCCGAGTAGGCGATGTCGGGGACGTTGAGGGCCGGCAATTTCGAGAAGTGGCTTGGAGAATGATGGGAGGGGGTGCCGAACTGCAATGGCGGCAAGACGGCAGGAGGGAGTGTGGGCACGGGTGCGGGTCGGGGTGCGAGCAGGATTCGGAGTTGACGCGCCTGCGGAGGGTAAGTCACGTGAGTCAGCGCATGGGCCACCCTCATTGCTTCGCAACCCAACGTGGGAGTGGACCGACCTCGACTTGATCCCTGGCTCGCTTGAACCGTCTTCGATCATCATCATTCGGTGTTCGACCTTTGGTGTCGGACTGGTCCGGCCGGAGGTAGCCTGCCCACGGGTCGACGTGCTCGATCGGGTCCGCGTTGGCGGCGTCCTGCTCGGCCTCGAGCTCGTCCATCCGCTGCAGGTAAGCGACCTGTTGCATCCAATCGGCTTCATCGCGTCTCCGTTTCCTGGTTGAAATGATAGTAGAAGCGATTTGTGGTCAGCATCTTTCCATGTCAGAGCCGCGCCGGTGAGTCGCCGACGGCGACGCGCCGCCGTGTGCGGACTGACTTGTTGTTGCCCGGGAGGATGACCCTCGGCCCGACGAGATCGTTATCGGCGAAAGGGTCGTAAAACTCCCTCGACGGTGTCGCATCATCGCCTTTCCCCTTTCCTTTGCTCTTGCGGTCCTTTCTCGCACTCGCGCCTGTAGTCGAGTGTCGCCGCGAACCACCCCCACCGGCGCCGGCGCCACTGGCGGAGCGGTTCCACGAGCCGTCATCCCAAACCGAGTCACCCCTCGCGACACTGCTGCTTCTGCGCACGCGTTGGGACCGTTCACTCCTGGGCATTGGGTTGAGAATCAGCGAGGAGGGTAAAGGCGGTTTCGGGGGTACAACATGGATCTTGCGCCGGGCTCCGTCGGCGACGACGGTCGGGGCATCGTCGGCGAACTCGGCTTGGGACTTGCACGTTGGACAGACCCACTTGCCGCGGGGGAAGCTCGTCATCGGCGGTGTTTGACATGCCCTATGCCAACCTCGATCGCACGAATCGCAAAACAACATGTCGGCCTGTGGGTCAACATTCGGAGCGCGTCAGTAAGCTGCAGGACGTGGGGAACCATCCGGAGCCACGAGTGTGCCACTGACATCGTCGCCCTTTTCGTCGCAAACCTCGCAGCGCTTGCACTCTTGGCAGAGCCAGGCGTATTGCTTCACGCGCTTGACGATGCGGGTGTCGTCCCAGTCGAGACAGGTCGGGTGTCCGCTCGATCCGCACTCGTAGCAGCTGACGAGCTCCTCGGCGCGGTGGGCGCGGTTCCTGGCCTTGGTGCCGCCGCAGAACGCGCAGAGGGTGTCGATCGGGGTGTACGGCGGCAGGAAGGGCGCGCCATGCGGACCCACCCGTCGTGGGGGCGGGGGCAGTGCGATCGTGTTGGGACTCGATTCGAGCTCGAGCAGGTGGGATTGGGCGTGGGCGTGGGCGTGGGCGTGGGCGTGGGCGTGGGCGTGGGCGTGGGCGTGGGCGTGGGCTTTGGCCTTGGACTTTGATGTGGTCGTCGACGAGCGAGCTTGCGGTGGCGACTTGGACGATGAGCTCGTGTCGGCTGCGGGGGTGGTCATGCTGCCCTGTTTGAACTTGATCGACGGTCTCGATGTTCGCGGCGTACTGGCCGAGGTGGAAGCTTCGGTCGGCTTGGGTGTGACGAGTGCGGCCGATGTTGACTGTGGCGGGGGGTGGTGGTGGAGCTCGCCGGGGCTGGCGTTGTGGGCGCTGCGCCACGGGCGAGGGTCGACTGGCGCAAGGACGAGGCACGCGTCGGCGCATGGCGAGGCTGGGACTGCACCGTCGCCGAGACCGCGGCCGGGACGGGCGTCGAGAACTGCACCGTCGTCGACAGCGAGCTGGTGCCCATCACGTCCAGAGTCTGTGAGCTGAGCGGTTGTTCGAACGAAGGGCGAGTGGGGCAAAACAGCGAGCAGCAGCGAGCAGCAGCACTGCCAAGCAGCCGTCACCTGCCGTCTCCTGCCGTCACCGCCCGGCCGCTTGCTGCCATGCTGCCGCTTGATTGGGTTCGCGCAGGTTCGCACTGGGCCCCACTGGGCTGCGCTGCGCTGGGCGCGTGAGTGGCGCGTGCGAGGCGGCAGAGCGCGGGTTTCTGTACTAATCACGCGATGGTGATTGATAGTTTCTCTAATCCGGATTTGGAAAGCTCCCCACACGACCGTGCTCGTCTTCGTTCGACGACCCCACTCTCTCGCGCGCCGACAAGGCCAAACAACGTTCACGATGTCGCCTCCCAAGAGGTCGGACCAGCACGCCGACGAGGACCTATCGTCGGTCACCCCCAGCTCGAAGCGGCTCCGGCTCAAACGCACGCACGCAAGCACCTGGTGCGAGCAGTTCCAACTCGGCCCTCAGCAGCAGCAGCAGCAGCAGCAGCAGGACCCTGCTCGTCAGAGTGCCTTGAGGACGGTCGCATTACTTCACTCCATGACGCATGAAACGAGGTGGTGAGTTGCCCCCTGTTTGGGGAATGGGCCGCTGGCCTATCGGACTGACCAACATCCGCTCATCTCGGTGGCAGCTCTCCGGCATGGTCGTGCACCAATCTCCTGGCCGTGCCTCTACCACCCAACTTTACCGGTCGCTCATCCTCGTCTTCGTCCCCATCCTCAACTTCAAACCGACTGGCTGTGCACCTCACCCACCTCGCAGTCAGCGCATCGGCACCCCGACCTCGCCTCGACCTCTCCCTGTACCTTCCCCCCTCCTCAACACCCTCCCACATCACGCACCTCTCCTTCTCCCCGTGTGGAGCCTACCTCCTCGTATCCTCAACCTCGCACACCGGCGACAAGGCCGATCGTTTGACCGTCTTTGAGCAGCTCGAAGGATGCATCGACGAATGGGCGATCCTCTGGCACGAGAGCTTGGACCGCTTCGGCGCGAACTCTTCTGATCCGAACACGGCCAAGACGCTCGTCAATACGAGGTGGATAGGCGAACCCAAACAGGTGGGACCGACGAAGACGTGCGCGATAGATAGAGCCGATCGTGCTGACGCTCCTGCTCTCCCGTTCCCACAAGTGGTGGCCAACAAGTCCAGAGCAATCGACCTCGTCGAAACCCTTCTTCTCTACCCCACCTCGATCGGCACCCATACCGGGATGCGCGTTCGTCGCTGTTCTCTCCAGCTCAGAGGTCGGTTCACGTTCTACGACCTGCTTTGCGGCTCTGTATCACTAAACACTAAACTCTTCTCTGCTCCGCCCAGGCCCTCTTTGTGCACCTCCCCCGAATGACCCCCATGATACCGCTCACCGCTCTCCTCCCCTTACGACCCTCGCCACCGCTGACCCATCTCTCCCTCACCGCGCTCCCAACCGCCCCTTCCTACATCCCCGGAGTCCCCGGTGCGTCCCCCTCCACCAACGCCGTCGATTCCATCGTCGCGAACCTCGTCGACGCCACTTCGAACCTCACCGTGCCCAACCCAACACTTACGTCCGGGCCCCAAGCTCTGAAACAAGAACTCGAAGCCGCTCAAGCGGGTGCCGCGTCGAAGACGGCAATGAGGCAACGTCGAGTTGTTAAAGCGGCTTTAGGAACCGTCGGGGGTCCGTCGATCAGCGACAAGACGGCGATTGAATTGGGGGAAACGACGTTCTTGATCGCGACGAGCTGCAAGGCGATTCAAGGCAAGAGTGGGAGGGTTAGGAAGCCCAAGAATGAGAAATCTGGAGAACAGGCGGCAACGACGGCGACGACGGCGACGGTTGTTCCTCCGACGGTGGCAGCGAGGGACTCGCCCGATCCGGACGACGACGAGTTTGGACTGACCGATTTCAATGCTCTCGACGAAGCGTTTGGGAATGGATCCCCGAACAAGGTCGGTGCGGGAACGACGAATGAAGAGGACGAGCAAGGTCTGAAAGGGGTTGAGGAAGGGGACGAGGTGTGGGATGAAGGGGAAGATGCGCAGGGGACGATCGAGATGAGTGAACTAAGGATCGAGATGGGGATTGCGGCGGAGGGACCTCAAGTCACGTTGAGACCTTTGGCATCGGTCTTTGTGAACGAGCCGCATTCGGGCGAGCAGGATGATGGAGGAACATTGCAAGGCGAGTTGGTGCAGCTCGATTGGATCGAACAGGTCGCTGGAGTGGTCAATGGTCTGCATTTACTCGCCGTAACGACGACGGTGTCCTCCTCCGACGAATTGAACGGCATGTCCGACCACGACGCCAATCTCGTACCCACTCCGACATCGACATTGACGACCTGGTCCTTCTCGGAAGAGACTTACGTCCTCGCCGAAGCCTTCGCCTCTTTGGAACACAAGAAAGGCGAAGCCACGACAGGGCAAAAGGAATGGAATAGTCGGAGGATGCAGAGCGTTACGAGGGAGGGGGTAGTCAGTTGCCTTGACGCGAGGCATGCAAAGCTCAGATTCGGGAGTGTAATGATCGGGGTGCAGGGGGGTGCAGATGAATTAGGGACACAATTGATTGTGCTGGATTCAGAGACGTTGCAAGAGGTGTCGGGGATGGTTCCGACGGTGTTGCAGAGGAATGATCGTAAGCAACAGAGTGCAGGATTGTACTTTAGGCGTTGCCCGGCTGACTCGTGTATGGGATCATTATGAACAGTCTACTCCGAACTGGCATTATCAACTTTGAGTGCGCTCGTCTGCTCTCTACCAGTCGGCTCGGCTCGCTTCTTCCGACCTACGATCTGCGCTCTCAATCTTGGCGCCGTGGCGCAAGGTCAGCCACGTCCCACTCTGCGTTCTGCTCGGACAATACACTGACGATGTTGCCGCTTTCCTCAGACACTTCGACACTATCAACGCGACTTGCGCTCTCGTTCGTTCAACGGTCTGACAACTCCGACATCATTGGCCGAATCATCGGGGCCAAAGATGATGGTCAGTCATAGATGATCCGCCGGTCCGGCGAACTTGCTACCGAGGTTGACGTATTTGTGTCCAACAAAACTGTGCAGTGCAAACTCTTACAATGATCGTCGAGACTCGAAACAAGCTTCAACGCATGCTGCCCGGCTCGACTGTGTTTGAGAACACGCCTTTGATGTTTGAGTTAATGGGAGCAATTTCGACGATATACAAGTGGGTCTAGGAACTCTTTCGACCTGCGACACAGAGCAGTGCTGACGAGAGGGCCCTACTCATCGCAGCTCCTCCCTTGGTCTTGCCCTCCGCGGATCGATCGCCACCGATCTCCTCCGCCTAGGCGTCTGTCTCCGCGCCTACCGTCAATGCGAACGACGCGACCGCAACCAACCCATACCCGCCCCATCAGATCCCTCCATCCCACCCTACCGCTGCGAATCCGATGCCGTCTGGCACCTCATTTCTCACGCCACCTGGTTCTGCGACTTTTCGCGCCACCTCGCGCAAACCTGTTCTTCCCTACCCGACGACCTTTCCAAACCCCTCGGTCCTCATTGGGTCTTATTGCTGCATCCTTTCCCGCGAGGTCTAATCAAGTCCATCGTCGAAGCGATCTTGGGATTACAGGCTTTCCTAAGGGGTTTCCCTATCCATCAGAATTTCACGGTCGACATGGCCAAGATGGTGTTGGATGATGCGGTCGAGTACAATGGACTGATCTTGACGGAGTGGAGGAAAGTGCTTGATGGGTTCGAGGGTGCGGTCAAAGTGGAGCCAGGGACGATCAAGGATGCGTTGGTGGAGTTCTCTCTGCCTCCGGGATCGGTGGATTCGAGCGTTCTGTCAACCATCACCACAGCACTTTCGAATACATCCCTCTTCCTACCCAGGGGTCTTCCAACCCCATCTTCCTCAGCGGACCCGACTTCCCCTTCCACGACCTACGACATCGTACGACGCTGCAAACTCGATCGAGTCGGTTCATTCAAGGTCTGTACGAGGTGTGGTGAAAAGGCGGAGAGGAAAGTTGGGAATGAAACGGGGAAATGGGCGGCTTATGAATTGGGGTGGGAGACGAGGTGTATGTGTGGTGGGGCTTGGAGGGCGGAGAAAGTGGTGGTGTGAGGGAGAGTTTTGATGTAGAGTTGTACGGAATGTAACTCGGTACTGACTGAGAGACGTGACCACGAAGAGTCGTGACTATGATCGAATGGTTCTCACGTGTCACTTTGGCTACGTTCAAGTCATGCGCATTGATTACACACGAACCCCCGCGGAAACACGTACACCTCAAAGCGGCACGATCTCGGTATCACATTCCGGCAATGCCCACCCCGGTCCGGCAGTCAACACTTCCACCCCTGTCTCGGTAACAATCATCGTCTCTTCGAATTGAGCAGAAGCTTTCCCGTCTACCGTCACGGCCTGTGAATAGGCAAGAGCGACCCTACGATCAGTTACGTCCCCCTGAATGACGAGCGGCCCTCCTTCGAACTCACCGTCCACACGTCAGGCCAATGATCCTCCTTGTACTGCCCAACACAAATCATCGGTTCGATAGTGAAGCATTGCCCGACCTTCATCACCCCAATATTCTTGTTCCCCGCGTAATGGGAGATGTTGGGCGTGCAATGGAACAAGTTGTTGATCCCGTGACCGCCATAAGTATGGTTAACGGAGAAACCATCCTTCTTCGCAATCGCTTCAATCGTGTTGCCGAGGTCCTTGTATTGCATTCCAGGCTTCACGAGTCGGATCGCTTCGTCGAGACACTTGCGTGCGGTCTTCAGAAGCCGAAGGTTCTCGTCAGAGACTTTGGTCCCGACCGGGTAGGTGGCGTTGAGGTCGCCGTGGAAACCGTTGTAGTAGAGGGTCACGTCGAGGTTGACGATGTCGCCATCCTCGAGCGGTCGAGCGTCGGGGATACCTATATTGCAAGATTGAGAGTTGTGAGCGAAGCCGGTGGCGAAACGAAAATCCCTAGCGCACAAGATCCCTACTGACCGTGGCAGATGACCTCGTTGACAGACGTGCACACCGATCGAGGGAATCGGTGGTAGCCCAACGGACTCGGGTACGCATTGCGCTTCATGCACTCTTCATGAACAACGGCATCAATGTCGAGTGTCGTGACGCCGGGCGCGATCTTGCTCGCTGCAATGTCGAGCACTTCTCGGCCGAGCTGGAGAAGGAGAAACATCGGGGTGAGCCGAGTCGGGCCCAGGTCACCGTAGTCTCCACTCATCTACTCACCCTGCACACTTCTCGCATCCCTACTATCTCCTTCTTTGATAAGATACGCCCATATCGCTCCGTTCGGTTCGCGATCTCCTCCGCGAATGACCTGCCCTTGGCTGCAAACGAGAGAGATGGGAGAAGAATCATCAGCCCGGAGGTCTGCGACGCGCTCGGCTCGGACAGCGTCCGCTTGCACTGGGAACTCGCATAGAGACTGTCCCGCTTAAGTGACGACTGACCATTGTTGACATATTCGGGGCGCGGGATGGTTTCGGGGACGGTCCGTGTCGGGACAGGCTCCTTCGGATAGACGGCTCGCAACGGACCGGTGTAGCGATAGCGCCCAGCGAAGGGATCCGCGGCTGCAGGTTTCAGCAGCGGTCAGCAAAATGAAGTCGAGTGATTGAGAGACTGGTTCTGAAACGCACTGCCCGGAGGGAAGGTGTAGTTGCCTTGGGCGGCCGGGGTATGCAGCTTCTTGTGGGTCTTGTCTGCAAGCACGATCAGCGGAGGCGGGGGCGGGGGAGCACAACGATGAGCTGATGTTGACTAGGGCGGCACTGCGAGGTGTATACACGCACAATTGCTCCTGTAGCAATCCGGGGTGCAGAACAGAGACACGATGTTTTGGCTGTGGCCGAGATCAGGCAGAGGTCAGCTTTCGTCGCAAGTCACAGCGTAGTCGCAGCATCGTTCAGCGGCGACAATCCGTGGGAGTCAAGGCCAAGGCGTAAGCCATTCATCATGGAACAATTCGGATGGTCACTCACTCTTGACAGAGCTTGCACGTGTTGGATCGACTTGCCGGCTTGCCGCAGTTGGCGCACGGGATGCCCGAATCAATCACTCGCGGTGTCGAGGACGCCGATGATCCGTTCGTAGTTGCGGTCACCATGTCTGAAAGCTTTGTTCGGGCGTATTTCCTCGAAGTAGCTGGAGTCGAGAAGAAGGGGAGGAAGCGCAAGAAGCAGAGCGCGCGGGCGGCAGAGAGAGCTCAAGCCGGAGCGACGGAGCCAGCTGGAGCCAGCTGAAGCCAGAGAGCCAGAAGGAGCCAGAGGGAGCCTGCCGAAGTCCTGCCGAAGTCCTGCCGAAGTCCTGCCGAAGTCCTGCCGAAGTCCTGCAGAGGCCGACTCGACCTGCTTGCTACTACCGCCTGCTACGTTTTGCGAATCGCCGAGGGACTCGGGCCGAGCGCATCTGAACGACATGAAGCTCTCGCAAATCTCGTACATGTTGCAGAGGGGAAACTTACCGTATTCGGGGAGGCGAATCAAATTCCAAGCCATGCCTTGCCCACGCTGAGCCTCGGGTAATCTCCCACGCACAGACGCCGCTCGCCTCCGGATTGTTTCGGATGCGAAACCGGCTGCGACGGCTCGAAGTGTGGGGTAGGTATCTTGCTTCGACATAACCCACGTTCTAGAGTCCGGGAAGGTGGGGATTACGCTCAGTCTGGGCGTCTAAAGCTATGTCGCAAACATCAGTACCTCAACCGTCTCGTCTCCACGAGCGCAGCGCGAGTCTACGCCGGCCAGAGCGAAGCGCACACCTTTTCCAGCACTCCCCGAGGCTTGGTCCTTATAGCATACAGCGGCGACGATGTTTCTCTGAGGCGCACGTGTGCTACGGTCGTTCGAGACCACACCATTATCATTGTCGCGTAAGACCGTTTTGGCTTTGTTAGGGTGCACATGGTCAGACGCTTGGAGCACGGCCCGAGTTGAGCAAGAGCCGGACAGCCTGCGCAGAACGGCAACGTGTCCCTGGGTTCGGTAGGTGGCTCGCCGTACAAACCTCATACATGGAATTTGCATCCACCATAGCTCGTTGGTGATCTGACTCAAGCTCCCAACACTCTCTAAGCTCGTTTTCCTTCCTCCGAAACGGAAATGAGATCGGCGATCGGGACTGACCCCTAATCCAGATGACGGCCCACCGGCGACTTAAAACCGGGGGCCGTCGAAGACCGGATCCGACCGTCGGAAAGAGCTATATCTAACGGCGGCACCTAGAGCGGCCTTGCAAACATCCGCGGCAGACGGACCCATCCCGCTGTGATACCCAGGATGGGAGCCTCTTCAAGCACTCGGGCAAAATCGGCAGAACCCAGCCTGAGACAGGCCGATGCCGAGGGTTCAGACACAAGGTAGCCATGCGGCGTTTATGTTTTCCCTGCATCCCGAAATCGACGCTATAGTGGAGATCGCACCTCTACTTAGGCTCAGGCAGGTGCCAAGGCCCTATCACCTCGCGACGGAACCTGCCGAAGGAACGCAGTGCACGGGCCGACCGATGTTGGATGGCAAGAGCCGGCCAAGGGATCGGCCGATGATGGACAGTACAGATTGCACCTTCATGTGCCTGAATGGTCAAAGATGTTAAGTTGGGACCGGAGGTCGCTGGGGATTCGTGAGGCGGCACGAGCCGGATCGTTTCGGGGATGTTGCGAGGCAGGTCGACGTCGCAAGGTACTCCCAGGTCGAGAAGTCGCGAGGCGGAGCGGACGCAGCGCGGGGGCGCGAGCGTAGCCGAACGACCTGTTCTCTACCGAATCTCAGCAGTCTGAATAGTGAGAGGAAGCGATAGAGAAGAGGGAGAGAGGCGCGGGAGCGCGCGGGAGCGCGCGGGAGCGCGCGAGTCGGGTGAGGTTCTAGCAAGGGAGCGCACAGCGGGTCTAAGTCAAACTGGGCGGGCGCGTTGCGAAGCTACAAGACCGAACTCCAAGCGGGCTATCGGGGCTCTGAGAGGGGCTGTGTTGGACAGCGGACGCGAGGGGAAACTTATCTACCATGGTCGAGTGTTGGTGAGCGGGGCAGTCCGGAGCGACAGGTCCAAAGGTTGCGAACTACGGGCGTCATGCATGGGCGATGCTCTGGATGGCCGATGGAACATGAGGGCGGTGATGGCAAGCTGACGGTGGCTAGCGGAGGCAACGGCTCGGCAAGGACAGGAGAGGTAGATCGATTCCGGCGTGGGAGGCGGCGGCGCGCGAGCGTGAGTTGAACAGGCTGGCGCGGAGGCGGCGAACAGGGGGGCGGTGACGTGCAGGCTCAGCAGGCGACGGCCGGACGGATGGACCAGGATGTGGACGTATCGATAAGGCACATGGGTCGATGGAGCGAGGCTGGGCGCAAGTGTCATGCGGCGAGGCTCGGGTAACAGGGGGCCATTGGAGGCGTGCGTTCAACACTGCGTTGGCAAGGCGGCGGAGTCAGGGAAGTCGGTAGCGTGCGAAGGAGGGCGCAGATAGGCGAAGTGGTGCGGTGGCGTGCAGACAGGGCAGGTAACGGCCGGATGGACGGACCAGGATGTGGACGAGTTGACGAACGGTGCACATGGGTCGAGGAACGAGGCTGGGCGCAAGCGTCATGCGGCGAGGCTCGAGGGACAGGGGGCGCGGCGGAGGTTCGCGGAGGCGAAGGCGCGCGGAGGCAAGGCGCCGAGGCGAAGGTGCGAGGCGAAAGGCGGACAAGCCCGTCAAACGGCGGCCCGATGTCGAAGTGTTCGAAGGCTTGACAGACAAAAGAAGCCTGTCTCCTGCTACCGGAAGAAGATCATCACCCTCGCCGAGGTTTGACTTCAGGAGCCGATGCGTCTCCTGTCGACGAAGGAAAGTCGAGACCGGCGTGCACGCAGCCTTCGGGGAGGCAGAAGGGTGTAGCAAGAAACGCGGAGGGGGCCGGCGGTGCTTTTCTTCGCGCTTTAACCTCAACGAAAACCGTCTCTTTTGTTTTCATACCTCTCCGTCCCACAGTTCGGTGGTGGGAGCCTGCTCAACTGGCTGAAGTTGAATTGATGATGGCCTCGATTACTGATCCGACACCAACTGGTGCCCCTTCCCCCGTCGCGCGAGGTGATCCCGACTGCAGTCCTGGTGCAGGTCACCTTGAAAAACCTCGGGCCGACATTCAAGTCGAACACGAACAGTCTTATCCGCGTCGATCATCACGCTGGGATCAACTCGTGTTACTCGATGCCCATATCGCTCGACTCGAAGAGACCGAATCCTCGCCTACGGCGTCAGCGGCGGCGCCTTCGTTCGTTCTCATCATCCTTGATCCGCTTCATGTTCGTCCGCTTCCCGCCCTTTACTAATGATCCCCTTCTGACTGTTACCGCCATCAGTGGCATTCCATCAACCTGCTGACCAGTTCTACCTCTTCTGTCCTTTCCCCGAAAAGGTGGCGCAACATCGTGTCGGCGCCGAAGTTGGTGCTTTCCTCGCTGAGGCGCTTGACAGGCTCGCGTTCGACTCACTCGTGGCCATGGCGACCTCGGCGAACGGCGCCAACGACGAGTGTTTGGCGATACTGATCTCGTTGCGTCTCCTCTCGCTGAAATTACTCGAGAGCAACATGAGATCTATGTGTCGACTGATTACTCTCTCTCCCTCTCCAGCCACGTGGAGGACCTCAGGCCGAACGACCGCACCAAGCTCGAAGACAGCATCCAAGGCTTTCAGGAGCAGTCATTGCTCGGAGTCGGGATCGCCCTCCGCTCCGCTGCTGCAGTTGAGCGAAAAGTCAAAGGTCAGCTTTGTTGTTCATGAGCCAACTGGTTTCATGATATCTGCCTCGGACCCCGAGCTCCTGACGCCATACGCCTTTCGCTCGCTTCAGCCTTGATGAAGTTCCACGGTCTTTCACCCCTGTGCTCGTCCATCATCCTAGGAGAACACTTCCGACCCATCGGATCCTCCTTCTCAACCAATTCTAACATCTTCAATAAGCTGTACTATGTCACCGAGTCCGATCTCGCGAAGCTTTCGACTGCGATCTCATCCACGCCGGGCCCATTCACGAGTCACCCTGACACCGCAGTCGCCGACCCTTCTGCTGCCGGCTCTCCCCGACGACGCCCCCAGCTTGATCAGTCACGATTCTCGTCCGGCTCAAGCTCAAGGAACGTCGGTATCAACCTTGCCAAATCGTTCTCGGATCCATTACCACTCACTCCAGGTGATGGTCGTCACCTCGAACCGCTGGTCGCGATCTGGCGCCAAACAGTGAGCCCCTCCGGTTTCTTGCGAGCTCAACTACGGTTCCCATGGCTTATCAGCCCTGGCCCACCTCTCTCTCCGTTATACGTTGTAGCCCCCTCCGTGTCACAACTTTTACCTTAGTTCTTCAGGATGCCCTCATGGTACGAGTTGCAAGTTCGGCCACGACTACATCCTCTCGGGTCGAGACTTCGCGGATCTGAGGTCGAGCGTGCAGAGGATGCCGTGTGACAGTGTCAAGGAAGGGAGCACCAAGCCTTGTTCGTTTGGAAATGAATGTCTTTATGGTAAGTGAACAGTTCGAGCTACAAGTAGAAGATCGGGGTAAATGATGCCCCTCGTTCTACTCCTGTCCCCTGTCGACTCGCGCATCAGGTCACGTCTGTCCCTACGACGACAAGTGCGCCTGGAACCGCTGCAAATTCGGCTCGATCGCGCACCCAAGGAAGAATGCTTCCCGTAGCAACAGTGGCCATGATCCCATCCCTTCATCCCCTAGTCCTTCCTCGACGAGTGGTGCGGCGCCTTCGACTTCGGCTCCGTCGCCTACGAGCGGTGGTCGTCAGCCGGGCCAGCCGAGTTGTCATGCGGGTATGGAAGGATGGTCGAGGAAGAGACAAGAGAGTGTTTCCAAGTGACCTTTTTGATGGGAGCTTTGAGGGATCAGCTCGTGCGGTATTCGATCGAAATAGAGGGATGACGGGGCATCGGTTCGCAAATATTTTGACGGAATAGGAGGGGGAAAGAAGGGCTTGACTGGGATGGACTTTGGATCGGTGGGGTTTTACTACAAAAAATGGGCATACATCTCTAGCAAAATCAAAGGGCGATCTCAAAGCATGAATCACAAAGCTGAAAGGACATGTCTGCTCTTCTTGATTTGGCCCTTTGTAGCCCCATTGCTACAATATCGATCGTTAGTAATGATCGCCGCGACACCACTCAGTAATCCCAATTTCGCAACCACTTTGCTCCGCGCCGGCCCAGACGATCTGGACTCTTGACGTCTCCTCCTCCTCTCACATTCAACAATCGCAGCACCCGGACGGCTAGCACCACATCGATCCTCACCACCATGCCTCGACCTTTACCCGGCCACATGGCCTTGAAGGATTTCCGCACACGCAAGCAAGTCGCAGGTACGCTCATGCTTCCCCTTGCTTCCCATTGGCCTCCAACGGTCCTGGACCTCATACCACAACTTTGAGCTCATCTTCTCGACAAAACGTTTCTATTCTTTACAACAGCCAACGAATTGCTAAGGAAGGCTTACCTATACTTGTACCGTAATACGACCGTGGACCCCAAGATCCGGACGCAGGCGATGCTCAAGCTCAATGCATTCACCAAGGATGTACGTCCCACGCCTCGGGCTCCTAGGACATATCTTAGCTCTCATTTTCAACTGAGCTGACGTGTGCGCCCTACCTTCATGTCCCCTTCTGGCCTCTTCCGCGACCACCGATTAACCAGACCCGACCGACGAGCGTTAAGAACCGGTGTACAGAGACAGGGCGAGGAGGTGGTGTGCTCAGTGAATTCGGTTTATGCAGGGTACGTTTTTTACTTCCCATTCCAACGGGCTTTGATCGAACTGACAGGACTGACTTTCCTTGGGGGGTTCTTGTTCGTTAACAGCATCGCTTCAAGCTCGCGGCTGAGAAAGGGGACATCCCAGGCGTTAGTCGGGCGGCTTGGTAGGAAGAGGAAGGGAGATCGAGAGATTGAAGGATCTTTGTAATCATACTGCATCACTCTTTACACCGACGTCTCGTCGAGTTTGTGATGGATCCGGCGAAGCGTCGCGTTCCACTCTCGGCTTCCGTCCTTGCGTGGGAACTACCTCAGGTATCGGATGGGCGAGGCCGAAATACTCCGCGTGTGAGGTGGCGATGCCGAAGCTGATGTTGGTGAGGAAAGGAACAGCCAGAGATGACCGTCATGATCCGACGGCACTGAAGCTCTGAAGCACAGCCCGAGGCTCTACCACGGTAAGGACAGCCAGGCGAGATACAAATTCAATAGTGATGACAGTTTAGGAAGAGTTCTGTTGTTCGATATAATCGCGGAACTACTTGTTGACAGAAAGAAGATGTTGAGGGACACGAGAGGTACGGTTTGGAGTTGGGGCCTAAGAAGGATAAGGGTTGGAAATGAGAAGGTGATCGGAAGTTTACGATACCCTGCCCGATGGAAGTTCGTCATGTCAGTTCTGCTGAACATGCCTTCCTTCGACTTTGGTGGCAAGGAGCACTCACCAGAAGGACAAGGCAATGATGGCATAGAGTGCGACGAGCATCATACCCTCTGCAAGTCAACGTCGAACAGTCAGCTCATTGTCCCACAACCGAAACGACACAGATCTGTCTGCGAAGAAGACTCACCAAGCCAGTTGGACTTTCCATCCTGGACCAAGCAGTTGACGAGGTAGATCGAGATGAACAAAATGATAGTCTCGAACGTTTCAAAGTAAAGCGTGAGGTTCTGGCCAATAGCCCAGCCGACGACGACGAGCAAAGGGATGACACCGACGGCGATCTGGATCGACGAGCCGATGCTGGAGGAAGCGGAGGTCACACATCAGCTTCAGTTCACTCTGGTCCATCCTAAGTCGTCCATCGTAAGCTCACGCGACACCGATCGTGATCTCCATCTTTCCCTTCATTGCCATCCAAACCGACGTGACGTGCTCCGCCGCATTACCGACGATGGGGATCAAGATGAGACCAATGAAGGACTTGGGGATTTTGTATTGATCGGCGAACTCGTCGATCGCACCAACGAGGTAATCGGCGCAGAACGAGGTGATAACTGTGACGACACACAGCGAGGCAACAGCAGTGGTGACGTTCATCTTGGCCTCCTCTTCCTCGTGGTCCTGGGGGTCCTCGAACAGGTACGCGTGCGTCTTGAGTTGGAAAAGGAGATAGAAGGCGTAGCAGACCAACAGGATGATTGCTGTGCCGCGCGAGATGGTCAAGAGGCCGTCGAAAACCTTGGTCTTGTCCCCAACGGCGGTCAACAAGGTCGTGAACGAGTCGCCGTTGGCCTCCTTGCGGCTCACATGGTAGGCGGCAGGGATGACGAGCGTCGTCGTGCCGAGGACCATGAGCGACGACGAAGCCTGCGCAGCCGTGACCTGGAAGTTGGACTCCTTGAACTTGTACCCCGCCGCGAGGAACGAGCAGCCGAGAACGAGGAGAATGTTGGACAAGATCGAGCCAAGCATGGAGGTTTGGACGATGCGCAATTCACCCTTGGTGAGGGCCAAGATGCCGACAATGGCCTCGACAGCGTCTGTCGGAGGAGCATACTCGGTTGGTCAGCCACTGACACTCTCCCTTCGATATACGATCCCTATACCACGTACTTCCGAAAGTCTAGTGAATCGATGCAGGGAAGTAAAGTTCAGTTTGACAGCGCAATGAGCTTGGTGAAAGAATTCAACTACAACTGACAGCATTCATCAAGCCACCAAGCGTTTGCCCAAGTTTGAGAGCGCATTGCTCGGTCGCATCGCCGAGCAAAGAAGCGAGGGGAATGATGGCAATGAAGGAGATGATGAAATCCGCGGTCGCACCTGTAGCACAACGCAAAGCCAACGTCAGCCTCTCCGTCGGGCCGGACACGGGGTGCATGGAATCTCGGTCGGATCGAAAATTGACGGACTGACCCCACTTGGCAAAATGAGAGATGAACGACAGAGGTACCGCCACGAGCAGGATGTTGAGCCATCCCGAGAACAATAACGCCTTCAAAGAAGCAACGACGCCGATATCGCCTTGTGCCCCATTGCCGAGGTCGTCCTGTGGTAAGGGCAAATGGGCCGGATTGGGTGAGACCGCATTCGGCACCTAATCGATATGTCAGTTCACAAGTTTCTCGAAATTGCTCGGTACATGTGGTTTTTGCACGGGGGAAGATGATAATACATGGTGGTGACCGGGCCGAGCTGCTGCGCACAGGCGAATGGTGACCGGTGACCACCCTGACGAGCGGCAGGCATCATGCGCCTGCGCACCTGCGATGACGCAGGGCGAAGGGGGTGGGGCTTCCCGAGCGAGCCGCTCACAGTCCCGCTGACCCCGGAACGACGTCGCTGCGCGGTCGATGACGATACAGGTGCAATTAACAGCACTCACATGGTACGTGTGTTGTCGGTTGTTGTTGTTGCCGAGCAGAGCATCGCGCTCGCCAGAGTTGTTGTTGGAAGGAGCTGTGGAGCCGCAGGGCGCGCCGTAGAGCACCAGGGACAGCAGGCAAAGGGCAGGCAGGCAGGCAGGGGCAGCGCGCGGCGACGTCCAAGCGAAGCAAAAGAGGACAGGGCAAGACAGGGCAGGGAGTCGAGGCAAGTGGAAGCAGGTGGGGGCAGGTGGAGGATCAGCACATCATCGTTGCTTGTGCTTACAAGCTGGGACACTAGTACAACTCACCCATGTTTTCGACACAGAGTGCTTTGCGGACGAGAGGTGCGAGACAGCTGGAAAGAGAGCTGTGGCGTCTGACTGGCTTGGAGCCCCCGAAGCTTGAGCGCTTGAGCCACATCTAGTAGCCACATAGAGCCACATGCTCGTCATGGCGATCGTGGCGATCGGCTATTGACGCGTTCATTGCCGCTGGTCAATCAGATCGATCGCGCGCACGGCAAACGCGCACGGCAAGCCCGCCACGGCGCCACCACGTTCTCACAACGTCGATCACTCCCCCGGAGAGATTTGAGCAGGGCTTACCTGGCACTTCAGTTAGTCAAGTCAAAACACAGATTCATACTACTTGCGAAATCTTCGGATATGAGATTAGCAGGTAACTAAAGGCTAGTCATGGAGGTAAGATCGGCAAACAAGACGTATATACGTGCATGCAAATTTTCATCACGACGCCTTGTCCAGCAAGAACGCCTCCACCATTTGCAGTGCCCGCTCGGCGGCCGGAGAGACCCATAACGGCATCAACGGGTAGCAATGCACCTCGTTCTTCTCTTCCACGGCGGTGAGCTTCATCCCATGCTTGACCTTGCGGAGCAGCCACACCAATGCGTGAATATCGGGAGCGAAATATTCGGCACCGCCTGGAAATATGATACACCTGAATCAGTCACTTGAGAAAAGCACACTGATCAATCTACTAAACTGACCAGAGAATATAAGTATCCTCAGTTCGGCGCGATGAGCGTAGGCTTTGCCGATGTACTCGAGAGTGGGGAGCGACGAAGGCAACGCGGGCGAGATAAAGGGGTGTCGAGCCCCCAAGTTGTATATGCTATTCGGATCCTCGGACTTGCCCTTTTCGACGGTATTGACGAGATAACACGTCGCCGCGTTCGACATCTGACCTTGACTGAGGATGTCGTCTGCCAACCGGGTGTGCAATTTGCGGTGATTGCGCAGCGTGAGGTCGACCCATGGGGAGTAGAGGAACATGCCCGTCGGCAAGATGAACGAGGCCGGGTAGCTTGGCGAGCGGACGAGCGTCTTGCAAAAGTAGAGAAGAAGCGTTATCGCGAGTCCACCTCCAGCGCTATCACCAGCGAGCACGATGTCTTTGAAACCAAGATCGAGGAGATGCTTGTAAGCCGTGATCGCATCCTGGAGCGCGGCTGGGAAAGCCGTTTCCGGCCGGACGGCTTTGCGATAGTTGGCGCCTGTAGCACAGAGAGTCGATTAGAGCCCCGAGACGAAATGAAAAATTCCGTCAACCTGGACTATGACATACCAACCACTCTGAGACCGGTTTTTTGGGCGATGGTGTAGCACCGATTGCCTTCGATCGGCGAGCCTGAGAATTTAGCAGCCCCAGATTAGCGTCGTGAACACAGCCACCCTCCACGTACTCGGAGGCAACGTACCATACGAATATCCACCTCCCACAAAGTAAAGCACGACTCTTTCCCTAGGACCGGCGCGTCTTCCTGCGACGTGACTCTTCTGCTCCTGCCGCGGCTGTTCGAACCAGAACAGGGGGACCGAGCTCGGCAAAATGACGCCACTGGGGTCATACGCTTCGCCTCGGTAGTAGATCGAGGTTGATGCATCCACAAGCTCGACGTCCAATCCGAGAGCACCTTCATTAGATGGCTCGGCATCTTCGACGTGGACGACGACGCGTTCGGAGCCGGGGTAGACGACCCGAAGCAACCAGACGGTCCATCGCGGGATCGTGCGAGCTTCGTCATCCGAGAAGCGGGGCGCTCCACCGACATCGGTGATGGACCAGATCAACCGCTTTAGGATGGGGTAGAAGATCGACTGCAGGAGCGTCCAACTGTGCTTGTGCGTGACGGGGTACAAACCTGTAGGTACCACCGACTCGATCGGACATCCTAGAGCGACGAGGATGCATAGCAGCACATGGATTGGGATGAGCAAGACAACCCAGAGCAATCGCAGCGCTCTATACGGGAGTAGCCACTTCGAGTACGGCGCGATCCGTCGATCCAGGGCAGGGAACGCCGGCGTGGCCAATGAAAACGGTGTCATCAGTCGTAGCGGTTGTTTGGCATGTTTGGACAGGGCCACGGGGCTGACCCCGTGTGCGAGCGGGTGGATCGACATGGCGCCGGATGAGCAAGAGGAGACGTCGCAAGCTGACGTCGGTTCAAGTGCAGACGAGCGTGATAGCGGCTCGAGACTCCGGGCCCTTGCTTCGCGGATGGCACGGTGATTGGGGAGACGGCTTGTCAAGCGTATCGGGGTCCAAGCATTCTAAAAAATACTTCTACTCTCTTTAAAAAACATGGCATCAACGTAATCCACAATCGAATATTCGGGGAGGTGTTCAGATCCTCTTCTCCGAGTCGGTGTGCGATCACGTGGAATCCTACACGCGGAAGCGGTGTGTCAAGTCTTACTCAAGCCATCCAGCATACAGGGTGCTAAATCTTTTGGGAACAATTAGTTCAATGTGAATAATGGCTTCCGTCGACGCACCAAAGCCATCGTCGAGACTCGAGGTGTCGTCAGCTCCGCAGTGCAAGGCACGTGACTTCTCGGGCCGGCCGGACCGCAGATGAGGCGACCATGCACATGAGTCTCCGGGTCGGAAAGTACTAGTCCGGAGACAGCGAGCAGGGTTTATACCTGCTCTTTCTGTCCGTTGAGTTGAATTACTCAGTCATATCCAGGTAAAGTACCTGCCTCACCGTCGATTTAAGTTGACACCCAGTCACGTGGCCCCTGGCCCGGATTCAAGGGACAACATTACATTAGCAAAACGCCTCGGCAATTTGGATGTGAGATGCGAGCTGCCCGCAGCCTCGTTGTGCATCAATGTGCACACGTGCGTATTGGTATTCTAGAGTATTGATTAGAGTATGGAGCGTTCTATACGAGTAGGGACTGAATCCGACTTCATCTTATGCTCCTCCGAAGGGTTTTTGGCCGACCGGAGCTTGAGGCTCACGTGCCCTTCAGATTCAGTGCCCCCTTGCGAATTGCTGCCATGTCTCCCACAGGTAGTTTCTTTCCCTCATTGACTCGTCCCATCGTCGACTCCTTCACTGTTCTGTCCTCGTGGGGTGTGGTCCTCGCGCTGCTCCCCTTCTCCATCTCGGTTGGCCGTGCATTCGGCAGCGGTGGGCGAATTTCTCGACGAAGCAGAGCGTGGGAGGTCGATTCGTTCTGAGCGTGCACGAGGCTGAATTTCTGTGCGATATCGTGCACAGACGTGTGAACGAGACACATAAACGATGCATGCACCTGTATGCACACGTATGCAGGGATGACAGAGGCCGTACTCGTCTGCCAGTGACAGCAGCTCGGCTCCGCCGGTTTCGCACCCGAGTGGGGGTGGCCGCAACTTGAGTTCAGTTGGCTTGCTTCCTGAGGCAGGGGGAGTCCGGGGTGCCAACTTGAAGTACCCCTTCGAATGGGTGAAGCGGAATGAAGATGTCATAGGGTGGGTGCTGGAGCTCAATGATCCCCTGGGTCGATGGCTCGAGTACCACCTACCTACACAGTAGGCCCACTGCAGCCGCCAGCGAGAAATTCACCCCCTGAGGGGCCATTACTTTCTAAACTTTCTAAAGGAACGTCAGGTCGGGCGCGAGTCGCCGAGGTCAGGCGCGAGTCACCTGACGTTCCTTAGAGGGCCTCAGGCTCAAGACGGCCGGGCCCACGGAGCAATTCACAGCGAGACTCACCTGCGGCTGTGCGGCTGCCTGGCGTCCGGGCGCGTCCAGTCTGGTGTCGGGCAAGGTTTTTTGCCAAGCGCCGGTCCAGCCAAGTTGCGGAGTACGACTTAGCACTTTAATGGGAGGAGTGTGAGGATCCGTTACTGACGCTGGGTGGGAGATGGGTAGGTAGGAGAGAAGGTGCGTGTGCTGGACGGATGGTGAGATGGCACAGGTCGAAAGCAGCACGGTTTGGGATCTCGACTCTCCACTCGCTGAAAGGCCCGATCCGCAGCCGCCAGCCGAGGTGGAAGGACGGAGCCAGCTGCCACGCCTTGCCAGGCGCGGGGGCTGCAGTGCTCAGCCGAACTCCGGGGTAACCCTCGATTCTTTCCTTCACGTCCCGTCAAGCTCGGAGATCTCGGACACGTCCTCCTTGGGTCTGCAGCAGCCGTGGAAGAGGCCTTGCGAAGCCGCCACGTTTTCCATGAGACCCAAAAGTGGACACAGCCACACTTTCTCCCAACGGCCAGTGCGCGAAGTCGTGGAATTGACGAGTTCAGAAAAGGGGCCAGCCAGGTCAGGCTGCGGTTCTTTAAATCTGGTCATTCAGGGCAGTTGGTCGGTAGGTGACAACTAGGAAATGTAGAAAGCTAAAAAGCATTCCTTCATGTTCATGTAAATATCTCACCAATTGCCTACCCATCTATGCACCTGCACAAGCCGACCGTAGGTCAACAGGACGTGTCCGAGCTTGTCCGAGAGCGCGCGCACACCTCCCCACTGTTCGGTCAAGACAGGGAAATGTCGTTGAATGCATAGAGAAAGACCTTCTTTGTTGATAGAAGCTTTACGTTGATCACGATCCATGGGCTGTGCCCGGGGATTTTATCCTCATTGCCTGCGGCATCGATGAGCTGAGCGCGTCAAAATCGATTGGCTCGGTTGCAAACGGCTTTTGGGGTGGTGTTTACCCCGCCGTTTTCTGAAGCGAGGCGAGCATCAGTGGACTTCTGTGCACCCCGAAGAGCCGATTAGAGACAGATAAATTGACAAGAGCCCGGAAATTAATGAGGATTTACCCGTTTCCAAGCCTTTTATCTGAAAAGGCATGATAGGAGCCCTTCTTCTCGCCCGCTGCTGGCGCCCGGGAAGCCCCCAACCCTGGGCCAGATCAGTTGCGTAGGGAGTTAATGGAGCAGTGTACAGGTAGCTGTGCCCGAAAGGTATCGATGGCCCCTCTCCCTCTGCGAAAAGTACCGCGAGCTGAGTTGACGCGCGCGGTCGGTCCGTACGCCACCGTCTGGACCCCTTTTCAGTATAGCATGCTCGTCTCGCCGACGCGGCGTCTTCGCAGGCTTGGACTCGTCTACTATCAATGTTCCTCAGATAAGTTCTACTATCGTTGTTCCTCAGGTCAGTATCAATGTTCCTCGGGTCAGTATTATTATCGATGTTCCTCAGGTCAGTATCAAGGTTTACCACATGAACACCGCTTAACTGCACGCGCGGACATTGACGCCGGAGGACAGGGGCTCGCTCGCCTACCACGACGCCCAAGCAGAGTCATGGTTAAGAGGCTGATTGACAAGACCCCGCTGTACAACTTTGAGATTCTACACCTGATTGTTCTCTGCTCGAGAATCAGGTGTCCCACGCGCGAGCGACTGGGCTCTGCTCGATAATTGTTTCCTGATTTTGACTTCGACTCAAACTCGACCCGACTTCGACTCTGACCCGACTTCGACCCGACTTCGACTTGAACTTCGATTCGACTTCGACCCCGGGCCGACTTCGACTTCTCGGACTTCGACCCGACTTCGACCCGACTTTAACCTGACTTCGACCTGACTTTGGCTTCGACTCAAATTCGACCCCGGGCCGACTTCGACTCGGACCCGACCTCGACCCGACCTCGATCCGACTTCGACTCGACTTCGACCCGACGCGCGTCACGCGACGCTCTACGGCAAGTTGAAAGAGCACCTCAAGCTCTCCCTTGGAGTCAATGTATTGGGTGCAAGTTGCGTCACATCATGCGTCGACCTGCCTGGCTGGCTTAGTTTGCATGGTAATGCTGAGCTGGATTTCTCGCAGAGCGCCTGCCTGTGTACAGTGTGATGTTGAAACCGACCCCACACCTAACGAAGAGTCCACTGGCTGGCGGGTCAAATCGCAGCGCACCCCGTTGATTCGTCGTGCCTCTTTGTTTGATGACTCGAAAACCAGCAGTGCGAGGTCGGCCTTAGCTACATGGCCAGCTCAAAGGTTGGCCTCAAGGTCAATTTTGAGTCAAGAAACGGATCTAGCCTCCAGGGGCCAACTTAGGTTAACTCGTATCAGGCTGAGGGCTTCACGTCAAGAGGGGAGAGGAGGGTGCAAGTGTGTATTTGTGTTATTACGACAATCCTATGAGCGACATGACGACCCAAAGAAGATCCTCTATCCTCGCTTTAACCTCGGACTGCATTCGCTGCACAAAGGTGACAAGCGCTGTACCAAGGGTTGGACCTGGGGATAGGTTGATGTTTGAAGAGGGTTGGGGGATAAGGGTCTCATCGGAGAGAGGGCTGGGACTCGGCGGAGAGGGGATGTCCTCCACTTCTATCGGAGCAGGTGTGGGTGCTGGCGCCGAGGGTGCCGTTGTCGGAGATACAACGGGAGCAGCATCGAGGGTGAGGAGCGGTAGGACCTCGGTGTGGACGCCCGCAGACGACAGAGGTACTGCAGGGAATGAAGACGGCGCCGAGAACCTCGGCTGCGTGGCCAGCTCATACATCGAAGCGAACGACTCGGGGCGGGCGATGAAGCCCAACAGGATCGAAGCGAGCATAGCCAGAAGTGGCCAAGTCCATGGACGGGAAGTGTTGCTGAGATTATTTTGTGGCACAACTTGGTTGTCGAGTTCGAGGGCCGGGATCGGAGAAAGTGGCGGCGTCCCCATCGCAGACGCGGGTGAGCCGACCGCTTGCATAGCTAGAGGTGATGGCGAGGGTAGGATGGTCGGCGAGGACACAAAGCCGACGCTCGTGCTTGGTGATGCGGGCGGTGTGGCGACCTTGGCCTCGAGGTGGATGGAAAGTTTGGACATGTCCCGTGGAGCGATTTGGAATTTTGAGAACGTTGTCGGCTTGCCTTCGACTACAGGCGTGGCCGAGTCAAAAGTCTGCCCGTCCATTTTCAAATCGTACCCTGTAACACAACAATGTCTAAGCTTCCTGAACTTTTTCCTCGGCGTGGGTCACATCGCATGAATCGTTAACTCACCTGCGACAGGAACGACTTCGACCTCCATGCTGGCGACCTTGACATCGAAAGCGGGCAAGACGTCACCAATCTCAACGCTATCGCCTTCCTGCATCATTTCGACCTTGTACAACATCTCCTTCATCCCCCCCTGGCGTTGACGTGCCTCTCTCGGCGACTCGCGCACCGTCATCCGATTATTCGACACTTCCCCTTCGACGATGACCTTCCCCTCCTTCGTTTCCGTTTCCACCTCGGTCGAAAGACCGCGAGCATCCCACGTGTCGCACACTTCGACTTTCTGATCACTCCCGCCTCGGAGGGGAAGCTCGAGTGATCCGACGGGTCTGGCGAGTGTGAGATGACTGAACAGCCGCCACGGCTGATAGGGTGCCAAAGGCGGCACCGGCGTGATCCTCAACTTGACGAGACCCAAGTTCGAAGCCGCTAGCCCGACGAGGGAAGAAGAGGACATGCGGTGCCCCAAAGTGAGCGAAGGTTGTGAGGACTGCGATCGAAGGGACTGCGCCGAGGTCGTGCGACGAAGCAATGGTGGTAAAGCTCGCTTGCGCGCAGGCCCTCTTCGAGCTCGGGCCAGGGAAGGAGATGCCTCGTCCTCGGCTGCGGAGCCATCGGGAGAAGAGTCCATGTCGTCGAGGTCGATCCGACTCTTGGCCGGATAGGGTTGAGCGACCGGACGAGTGACGATCTCGACCTCGACAAGCTCGTGCTGCTCCACGTCCGAAGCGTTTCGTTCCGTTCTCCAGCGAGCTTTACCCCCTGCGGCGGGCAAGGGCGAGTCGAACTGGGATCGCTCGAAGTCGCCGTCGAGCATTGAGTTCGAAGCCAGCATCTCGACGCTTCGACCATCGCCGGCGGAAACCGAAACGACGGCATCTTCTTGCGCAGCAGCGGCGATCGAAAAGTTGGGCAGGACGAGGCGTAGTGGGCCAATCGATTTGGAAGCAGGACCGGACTCTGCAACCTCCGTCGAAGATCGCAGTGCGCCCGATGCGAACTCGAGGTCCATTTCGAACGCAAACGCAGGATTTGGCATGGCTTCGGGCGTCAAAAGGGTGCTGAGATCTAGTTGGACGCGAACGATGGTTCGCTGTACAGTGCTAGACTCGTCTTCACTGTCGCTATCGGCTTCTCTGATCTCCTCGCTGGGCTCGGGCTCCGACTCGGACGAGCTAGTCAACCAAGAGTCGATCAAAGCGGCCTTTTGGGGTGTGACAGAGCCCGCGATCTCCATCGGTATTGCCTCGGATACGAGGCTCTCATTTTCGGAAGTGTCCTCGAGCGAGTCGTCGACAGAATCATCCGCCTGCGAAGGAAACGGCGCCACCTGCCGCAGAAGACTCGGCTCCTTCAGCTTGGCTTGCACGCGGTCGGGATCGATGCGTGCGGCCAGGCCAGGGTCGATTTCGGGTGCTTCGGGCGCAGTCGTGTCGAATAGCGAGGTGTAGGAAAGAGGGCCACTTTCAGCGATACCAAGGGCGCGAGGTCGAGCCTGCGTGGTCGGAGTCGCATGCGCCATCGACTGCACTGCTAGGGGAGTTTCACATGGCTGTCGTTTTGTGCGAGTCCGTGTCGTCGTGCTCGAAGATGCCGCGACGTCCCATTTGAGCACACCTGCACCCCTAACTTCTGCCACTTGTACGACATCTCTCTGGTCCACATGCTCACGAGCGAGATGCGAAATGATGATTTCAATCCATCGTTTGTCCTTGAGCCCCGAATACTCAAAGTCGCCCGTGCACGCGAGCATGGCTCGGCCGGTGCCCGTCGGCCCAATGTTCCATCTCACATCGAGGTGCGAATGTGGGATGATGAAATTGGCTGGAGGCGAGTCAAGCCGGTTCCAAGACAGCACGACAGAGGACGTCGACTTGAAGGATCCGGTGAACGAGGTCGTGGGCAAGGACGTGACGGTGGAAAGTTTGCTCGAGAGGTTCCGCAGATCCGGCTTCATCGAGAGACCCCACTGGCCCTCAGTAGACGCGGATAAAGAAGTCGAAGCTATCGACGACGGCGAGGGTAGCTCGAATGTCAAGAGATTGCGTAGACACGCCGGTACGGGGATCACGACCTGCGTGAAGATTCTTTGCGGATTAGTTTCCGAAATTGAGGAGAGTGAACAGTCAAGTGACGGTACCTTGTTGGGGAAGCGAGGTAGCTTCAAGTCCCCAAACTGCGACTCGATTCGCAAGACGAGGATCCACTCGTTCTTCTCCCCCGCCTCGTCAATCGGACCCACCGGAGGCAAGGGACTTGTTGGCCTGCCCAGACCGACACCGGAAGCGGCTTCGTATTCGACAACGAGCGATATCTCGTTCGCATCCTGGGAGGTCCTGAATATCCTAATCTCCCTGTTGTGCGGTATAGAAGGGCGAGAGGTGGCCAGACTCGATCTTCGACCCGAGGGTGTAGTTCGACCAGAGAGGTGCTGCGAGTCGTCTGCAGCGATGCCGAGGATGTGCGCCGCCTGGGCTGCTTCGGTGACGGAGGCGTGCAGAGAGGTCTCCAAGGGGAGAGGGTAGGAAGAGTAGTGCTTGAGTTGAGCAGTGACGGGCAGGGTGAGGAAAGGAATGGTGCGCTGCGTCGATGCGTAGTCGGATGGGCTCCCCGTGGCGGTTGACATTGAAGCTGGAATCGCGATCTGTCACGGGTGGACGCGTCCCATATCAGCTGAGTTTTCACAAGTTGAAGCTCGGCTTGACCAGATACTCACTCGGCAGTACAGCGTCGCCCCGACCCCTTGGTCATGGGCTGCAGCTCGGACCACGAGCGACCGACAGATCCGAGTCGATCGCGTCGCCGATGACGACGAGTTTGGCTCAACATCGTCACTCAATGGCGGTGTCGCTACTCGAGGCGTGGCACCGTACGACGGCATGGACGAGGGCGAGAATGGTCGGGCCATCGCCGATCTGTTTGACGGGTTGCACTCGGATCTGAGAGCTATTTGAACGCAGAGGGCAACAGCGCAAGTCGGATCAGAGGGAGAGAGGCGGAGAGAGCCACAACTTCGAACGAGGCGCGGCGCGGCGCTACGTATGATCTCGGAGTTCCCTGCCCAGGGATCTCATACCAGGACTCTTGCTCCAACCAAATCGGCACACTTTCCTTGTACACGGCTCCGATACAATTTCAACTTGAATTTCTTCCTTGCAATCAAAGGAGGTATTCATTCACTGCAAAAGCTCAGGCCAAGATGGCCTTGAAAGCGAGGTAGACACTCATGCCGAGCAGGCCGAGGAAGCCGATGCTGTGGAAAGCACCGTAGTACCTCTTGGCTGAGGAGGCGTAAAGAAGGAGATAGATCACATGTCAGCTCAGATTGTTCCTCAATGCGACCAACAAGACAAAGAAGTGGACGAACAGGGATCGCCCGACGAGTAGCCGATCGTGAAGATGACTCGACCAACGAGCCAGATGCTGCCCAAGGTGGCGGCCGCACGGGGGTGGCTGAGGCCGACCTGAACCAGCGAGAAAAGGAAGAAGGGGATCGCCTCAAGCGTGTTGCCGTGGGCACGTTGCGTGCAGTCTAGACGGGTGAAGGGGAGAATCGAGCGGGCGCATCAGTCATAGGGAACGTCTCCATGGACGTAGAAAAGTCGCCAACGAGCAGACTGACTGAAGGCTTTCGCCGCGGCGTTGCGTTCGGCCTCTTCGTTGCTGGCATACAGAGCCGGGTACTTGATACCCGCCAGCTTGCGAGCCTTGGAGACGAGGACAGACTGGTACATGTTCAGCAAGCCAGTGCACGCGCCGACGGCAATGACGTATTTGAAGTCATTGGGGATCAGGAGTTGGGTCAAAGCGGCAGACACTGCGGACACAAGAAGTGTAGCAAGAGGTCGGTGATCATCAGCGTTGTACCTCGCAGCAGCCGTGACTGGGATGTGTAGTCAGTTCCGAGCCCACATGTGCGATACATCCCACGGATTCGTCGTGCCGAGTACAGATGACACTGTCTTTCGAAAACATCTTCCACACTAGTTCTACTCCGACGACATAAGGTAGGGAGTCCAGGGAGTTTGATGACGTGGCCCTCCGGCATGTCCGCCGATCCTCCTCGAAGTAGTTGAGAGACGACTGAGCCATGATCGACTTACTGTTTCTGCAGAGTGGGGAAGGGACACCATGTCAGAAAAAGTCTGATATAGCGCTAACCCTTTAGCGTACGCACATGAGTATGAGTTGGAGTTGGGGTCACTGATCGAGGGGAAAGGAAGAAGTGAGTCGACGAGGCCTGGAAGACGCTTCCACCGGCCAGAACCCGAAGTCAGCCGAAGCCCGAAGCCCATAAATCTTTTATAAGAGCGCGTTCGGCGTCTCCTCGGATTTTTGCCCAAAACGTCGACCTCCAAAATCGCAAATTGTATTGCCGCGAGGCGAAAATCGTCCAGCGGATTTTGACGCGCAACCGAACGCGATTTTCGAGCCGGACAAATCTGGACTGATGAAATTGATCCTCGCGCTGGAGCGCGCCGGTTCCCTTCCACGACGCGTCGCGTGCCAGTCACGTGTTGGGACGAGTACTTGACAGGGTGCGCTGTTTGCCTCACTTTCCGCCGCGGTCGGCTCGTAGAACAACGTTCTGGCTTCCACTTCTCCACACGCATTCCAAATCGCAGCACCGATTCACTCGCTCTCGACAATGTCTTCGCAGGTCAATATGCGCCTAAAACGACGAATGGCAATCATCATTGTTAAAGAACATCTGCGTCAACAGGCTCAAGCACTAGCACTAGCGCAACGGCATCTCATTGAATTGTTTGCGGACGACGACGACGAACCAGTGGCCCGCCCTCCCCCCAGACCAAAGCACAACTCGCCTTACACTGGGCGCCATCATATTCAGTTTCTCATCAACAGCCATCCACAGAATATGTCGGACGAACTTGGCATCACACCCGCCTGCTTCACCAAGCTCGTGCAAGATCTCCGAATCCACACTACTCACGGACTCGCGCTTCATACAACTCGAGCAGAAGGTCGGATTTCTCCTGCAGGCACTTCGACACAGTGATGGTGTTCGGAAAGTGGGTCATAGGTTTCAGCACTCGACTTCAACCATCGCTATGTGAGTGGAAGCTATCGTTTGCGCAAAGGCCTCCAGTCCTTACTTCGTCGTCTCCTTTTCACCGTAATTTGCAGCGAGCTGATCGGTTGCTACTGTCCCTTGTGCAGGTATATTCACGAGGTGGTCGAAGCGATTATGACCTCCAAACTATATGGCATATATGTGCATCAACCGACACCCGACGAACCTACCAGCGGAATCATCACGCGTAACCCGAAGCTCCAGCCATATTTCGGCCATTGCATAGGGGCTCTAGACGGCACTCACGTCCCTTGGAAGGCGCGCGCTGGCGATGATCGTCGCTTCCGAAATCGAAAAGGATATCTATCCCAGAACGTGTTCGCGGTGTGCTCGTTTGATTTGCTATTCCTGCATCTACACGCGGGGTCTGAAGGCAGCGCGCATGAGCAGAAAGTTCTCGCCTGGGCGATAGAGAAAGGCTTCCAAATTCCTGGCCCGGTCAAGTACTATCTTGGTGATGCGGGATACACCATGTCGGAGAACATCATGGTCCCTTACCGCGGAGTTCGCTATCATCTCCGCGAGTGGATCGCAGGCGCTCGATCTTCGTCGCGCGAGACGTTGTGAGTACTATCCCCTAGCGATTGCGGAAATGCGCCGATCGCCGCCATGTACGATCCCCCAGGCCGCAATCACGCCAGTCAACCCACGACAAAGGTGTGTATTGATTCGTACCTTTTCACCCTGTCTTAGACCTTCCACCAAGCAAGAGCTATTCAACCTCCGCCATGCCCAGCTCCGCAACGTGGTCGAACGTATCTTCGGAGTGGTGCAGCGCAAGTTCCCAATTCTCACCGGTTCCGCGCCAGAGTACAACTACAAGATGCAAGCAATGATTCCCTTGCTTTGCGCCTTTTTGCACAACTATGTGCATATCAACGACCCATTCAATCGATCGACTGGCAAAGCGCGAGCGGCGAGGATGACTATGGAAGCAAAACGTGCTCGTCTAGAAATCATCTACAAACGAACAGAGGAGGCTTTGCGGAACCCAGCGGTAGCGGTGGACGAGGAAGTCGATGACCCGCCAGAAGACCAACCTGAGGGTCTATCCATGGAAGCCACACGCAATGAGATTTCTGATCGAATGTGGATCGACTATTTGAAGTACAAGGATGGGCCGCGGCGTCGGCAACAGGTGCCTGATCACCTGGACGAGCTTCTCCTCGCGTTCGATCACGAGGGGCTTCTCCTTTGATAGTGTGTACACGCGTCCCAAGGCTATGCATTTAGGTCGATTGCTGTAATCTACTTCTGATCCTTTGATCTTTCGATGTCCACGGTCTGAGAGCACAAATGTTTGAGGGCAAAGGGTGAGTTCAGAGCCAGCAGGAAAGACAGTCTTTAAATTCCAGTGATAAGAGGCAAGGATGCAAAGCTTTCCGGCAGATGTTAGAAAGAGTTGACATCACCAATCGAATTGAGCAAATTGGGTAGTATGTGGCACTTTTACAGGCCAGATTATTGACAGAGCCTGCGTGTTGTTCATTGCATCGGATGCATCATGGGAGGCAAATCAAAGTTATGATTGCCATCATAGAAGGCCATGGTTTCCTTGGCTCTGCGTGCTTCGACAATGATCTCTGAAGCGGCACTCCAATTCGGCTTCCACCGAGTCTTGAGGTTGACCAGGTAACTGACCACTGACATAGGGAGTTTGTCCCCACTGGCAGCAACATAGGACACGACAGTATCCCACGCCGACTGGTCGAGCTCCTCGAATTTGTAGAAGTGCTCGAGGAACTTGTCACGATCGCTTAACATCACGCGGTCGAGGTGCCCTATCATACGATCGGTCGATTCCTCCTGCGTCTGTTGAAAGTCAGTGAGCGTGTTGTCCAGGTGCTCCCTTCTGGCCTGCATGATGGCACGCTGTTGCACAGAGGCACGGTCGCGAGAGAGCCGCGGTTTCTTGGTGGCGGGGGTGGACTGGGAAAGGAACACGGCAAAACAAGTCAAGGAAAGGCCAGAATGACCATATCGGCGGTAGCTCGCGTCTACGCATTTACTTACAGACTTCGCTCGTAAAGCTGGCAAGGGCTGTCAATGCGGTGTTGGAGATTATTCGAGCGTCAGCACGCGGTCGACGAGCCGATGGTTTCTGGCAAGCAAGCAAAGACCTACCGTTGCACACGCCGCGCGAGGGTCGATATCTTCATCAAATTCACCCGCACTTTCCGAAGCATCCTCTTCTGAAAGCTCGAGGGTTCCAGCTTCCGAGCTTTGGCGGCGACGGCCGGGATGGGGCGCCGGGGTTCGCGTCGTCGTCGACGCGTTGTCCCCATAGCTGAATCCGTCACTACCTGTGGCGTAGTCCTTCCCCAGGATCGCTGACGTCAGAGGGTAGTAGAAATTGGATGGACGTTTCGCGATGATCGCCGCTCTGGCGCATTTGGCGATTGCCTGGTTCGATCGGAGGATGAGTAAGCGACGCGTCGCGACAACCAACCACAGTAGACGCGCTCACCGTCTTCCATTGCTCCGCGTTCAAGATTGGGCGACAATTTTCCTCGTCCCATCCGATGCCAGTAGCGGTCCTGATATCGTTGATAAGCTTGGTGTCGACCAAGCACTGGGCATTTATTCCAGGGCCGGTGTTGTTAGAAGTGCGAGACCCAGATTGAGCGACACGAAACGACGCGTCATACCCGACTCACCGATTTCCACTTTTGATGGACCTTCTTGGAGTTGCCCGCCTTGGAGGGATCCAAGCGGCTGACCGCCTCATTGGCTCTGATGAAGACCGAGTCCGGGAAAGACTGCGTACCGGTTGATTCATAAGTGTCCTTGAGGACTTCCAACATCGCAATCACTTCCGCATCGGTCCAATCCCATTTGGGGTCCTTCGACTTCGCATTAGCGGCGTTGGACGGGTCAGCCTTCCGCTTGGCGGTGCCCTTTTTTGATGCCTGGGCTGGACCAGGCAAAGCAGCCGGGCGACTGGGCCTGATGAGATCTGCATCACCCGACGAATCATCCGACGACGGAAGTGGCTCACAAGGGTGAGAGCGCGACGCGTCAACATCGGCGCGCCTCGCCTCTCGCAGCCTTTCGCTCTCTCTCTCGCTGCGACTTGCGGGCAACCTGCACCGAGCGGGCCGCAGGTGGCCCCGGAGAGTGATAATCACAATTTCTCAAGTTACAACTCACAGTGGTAGTTCTGGGCGAATGACCCAGTATACTACGTTGACTAGGCTCGTTTCCAGGTTTTGGAAAGATATGATGTTATTGCACATAGATCATGCTTGAAGTGAGAGTCGCCTCCGAGTACGAGGGTCTGAAGTGAGTCGCCTCCGGAGTACGAGGGTCCCAGCTCCGAAAATCTCGAAATCCCACTCCAGAGGTGGGATTTCGGATTTGGCTGGAGAGACGATATTCGATTTTCCGAAGGCCAAAAATCGTCAACGTGCCGAACGCTCCGACGATTAATCACAAATCCCCACAAAATCGCGATTTTGGAATTTGGCCGGGCGATTTTCCAAAAATCGGTTGCCGTACGGGCTCTAATTAGGGCCTGAGGCCTGAGGACTCGAGTCCTCGCACGCCCGCCGCCGCCGCCGGCGTCGCTTTGCGCCACGTCGGACACAGCACAGCGCCTCGCTTCGCCGGGCCTCGCCGGGCCGCATCGTTAGTCTTTTCGGCCTTTGCTGCAAGATTTTGACGCGGACAGCTCAAGCGCGCTGGTCTCGGCCTAACGGGGCCCGCTCGCGCTCCACTCTTCGAACACGCATTCTTTGGACCCTGTGCCAGCACGCACTCTTCTCGGCCCCCTTGGGCCTCCCGCCTTGCTCACCCGCTGGCGCGCGCGGGCCCTTCCTCTCCCTCTCCCTCGTCGTCCCGCACGCCTTAGCGTTTCGTGTTGTGGTTCCGGCACCCCCCCTGCCAGTCTCTACTCACTCAAAGTGGGTAACATCCCTCGTAAGCCCTCTGCCCTTGTTGGACAGTTGGACTGATGAGCTAGCCTGCCACTACGTTGTAAGCAGCCGCCGTACCCGCTGCTTTGCAAGGTCGTATCGCACCCACTGCTTAGAGCAAGGGCGAACTTTTCGAGACTCGCACTATCGCGGCTCGCTGTTTCTAGCTAAGGTTCGCATTCCGGATCACGACTGTCCTTGTTGGGCATGTTGCCAAATTCCTTGTCCTTGTTGGGCAAGTTGACTCATGGGGCTACCTTGTATACAGACCTCGTTTGGCCGCGTCTACCTACCGCGTCGCCTTCCTCCCCTGCCATCGCCCTGCGCTTTTCGAGCAAAGGTATGCCCTATCCCCCAAGTCAGTTGCAGTGTTTTAGTTACTAATCGGACCTGCGCTCTTTGAGCAAAGCCGATCGACCATTTTTTTGAGCTCCTCCCTCCCACCCTACTTGTTCATAACTCCTGTTTAGAAAACCCTCCGTTTGTTACGGAGTGCGGGTTTTTCTCTTATCACTGCAACTCGACTCTTCCATCCTAAAACAAACGCCACAAACAGCGCGCACTATGGAGGAGTCGATCCCGCTGTTGATCGGTTTTTTTTTGACTCCGCCTTCTTCGCCCCGCAGTTTCACAAGCTTGTCCTTCCGGTCTTCCGCTTCCCTCTCAATACCACGCCAAAAGAGCAGCTCCTATCCCTTACCCCATCGGAATATTCCCTCACCAAATACCGACGATGAGCTCGGCCAGCTTGCACGCTCGCACCCCCTCGGAAGCGCGGCTGTTCAACCTGGGCTGGAAGGATCTTCAGGAACGACGGTCGGGAACGAGCGGAACGAGCCGGTGTTCGAGCTCGGGATCCCCGTCCCAATCACCCCACGAGTACGACAGCGACAGTGAGGAGGACCAAGAGCGCGACTTCCCCATGTTGACTCCGTCGATCATTGAGGAAGAGGAGGACGCTTTCGCTCGAGCGGCGGCCAAGGCGCTGCAGCAGCTTCAGTCCGGCGGAGTCGTCCCGGCAGGAGGCGCGCCACGAGCGATCTTGCGCCCGTCACTACATTCGCAAAGCTTGCTCGGACCGGACTACAGCCTCGACTTTGTGCACAAGCGCCACGACGTCGACTGGTGCTCGCAACAGCATTTGCCCCAAGCCTCGTCGCCCTATACGAATGCATCGGCGTCGGACGGCGGATATTGGTCACCGGCTTCTCTGAGCTCTTTCGGATCGTCGTCGTCGGGCGGGTCGTACTCGTCCATCTCGTCGCGCGAAGGCGAAGACGGCGTCGATGACTACATTTTCTCCAAGTCTTGCTCGGCCGAGGCTACAACTCCTTCGTCGGTCTCATCCCTGGCCGCTCGTCGAGGCCGACCAATGCGGATCAAGCTTCCACCTCGCCCGAACTCGTTCGGCTCCATCTCGCCTCCGGCCGCGGAGAGACCCGAAGCGACGCGCAACTTTGACTCTTTGCACCGCCCCGTCGGCGTCTCGGGACTGACCAACAACTTTTCTGGCATCTCGTTGCGTTGCGACAAGAACGAGTTCGAGTCCGACCTCGATCGACCGCTGCGATTCAAGAGTCGTTCGCCGAGCAAACACGGTTTCGCCTTTTGAGCGGCGCTCGTCCTAGGCGAACTACCCCGGGCCCACGTTCTGCCGCGTCGCATCAAGCACTACTCTACGAACGGTCTCCCCATATCTGTTGTTGTATTATTTCTTACATTACTAGCACTAGCACCCTCTTTTCACTCGTTCAATTTCAGTCCTTAATCCCAATGTCAAGCTACTGTCGGCGGTCGCTCGCTCGTTTTTGAGTCTGCTGCCGGTGAGAGAGTCACGTGATTCGGGTGTGATCGCTTGAATGGCTTTCTATCTGAGATCAGTTCTTCTCTCAGATGAAAAGTATGTCCAACACCCTGACCATATCAGTATCTAGAAAGCGGAGTTCACTCGGCCGAGTCGGAGTCGACTGACCTGGCTGAGACACTCGCGATCACGCCTTGGACTTGTGGCCGGCCCTTGGATCTCGGTGGGTGCGCCGCGCAGCTCTCCGTCATCCGTGCTCCACTCTGACTCGGCAAACCCCAAGCGGCCACCATGTCGACCAAGAGGATGCTGAGGAACGTCGCTCGAGCTACAGGTGCTCGGCCAAGATCCATTGTAACGGCCACACGTTTGTTCGGCAGTAGTAGCACCAGCCGAAGCAGCAGCGATGCGAGCCCATCGACCTCGACCTCGACTTCTACTTCAACGTCTGGCTCGAACCCAGCCATGTCGTTCCCATGCGTCGACCAGAACGAGTCACGCACCCAACGACTACTTGAACAACGTAGGAAAGCGCAAGCGCAAGCTTCGACATCCTCTGCCTCGTCCTCCCAGTCAACCGAGCTGCCCAACCTGCCTTCGCCGCCTCCGTCATCGTCGGTGAATGAGCCCGAGACCGGGCCCGAACCCGCCTATGCGAACGTCGTCACCGGTTACGAACTGTACTACCATGACCAACCTTACGCCCTCGACTATGGAGGCCACCTCCCCTCTTTTCACCTCGCATACGAAACTTGGGGCAAGCTCAACGCCGACAAATCCAATGCGGTCCTCGTCCATACGGGTTTGTCAGCATCCTCTCACGCTCACTCGACGGTGCAGAACCCGGCCGAAGGGTGGTGGGAGAAATTCATCGGACCGGGTAAAAGCATCGACACGGACAAATACTTTGTCATGTGCACCAACGTCCTCGGTGGTTGCTATGGCTCGACCGGACCGAGCTCGTTGGATCCGAGCGACGGCAAACCCTACGCGACCCGCTTCCCCATCTTGTCCGTCTTCGACATGGTCCGAGCGCAGTTCCATCTCTTGAGCTCTCTGGGGATTGAGAAACTGTATGCGAGCGTGGGAAGCTCGATGGGTGGGATGCAGAGTCTCGCGGCGGCGCATCTCGAACCGGAGCGGGTCGGAAAAGTCGTCAGTATCAGTGGCACGGCGCGGAGCAGTCCTTCGAGTATCGCCATGAGGCATGCGCAGCGCAGTGGTACGTTCGGAGAAGACATATGCTGTCACTATGTGCGTTTTTTGGCGTGACTGATGCAATCGTGTACTGTATTGTCGCAGTTTTGATGGCCGACCCCAATTGGAAACGAGGCTTCTACTATGACGATCTACCCCCACACACGGGCATGAAACTCGCACGACGTTGGTCTGACCTTATCGAACGTACTTTCACCTAGTCCTAGTACTGAAGCAACCACATGACTTTTCCCGCAGAGATCGCCACCATCACCTACCGGTCCGGCCCCGAATGGGAACAACGCTTCGGACGCCGACGTCGCGACATTTCCTCCCCGTCGTCCAGCTCAGCCTCCCCACCCGTCCTTTGCCCCGATTTCCTGATCGAGACCTACCTCGATCACCAAGGCGAACAATTCTGCCTCAAATACGACGCCAATTCGCTCATCTACATCTCCAAAGCCATGGACTTGTTCTCCATGTCCCGTGAATCGTTGGATGATTTGACGGCGCGAAGGAATAATCCCGAACAAGTGGGGGCGAGTTCATGCCCGCTTCCCACAAGTTTGACACCAGGGACGGAAAGAAAGTCGTCCAAATCCAAACCTTCCACAAAAGGCTTCATTTCCTCCCTTCCCTCTTCGCACGCCTACCTCCCCGCCCTAACAGCCGGCCTTTCCCGCATAACCCATCCGACGCTCATCATGGGCGTTCAATCCGATACGCTCTTCCCTATCGAACAACAACGTGAATTGGCGGAATGCTTGAAGGCGAATGGGAACGAAAAGGTGGTGTATTACGAGTTGAATCAGCCCTGGGGGCACGATACGTTCTTGTTGGATGTGAGTAATGTTGGAGGGGCGATCAAGGGGTTCTTGGAGGGGGGCGAATGAGTGGGGGTTCATTGGGGGGCGGAGGTTTAGGTTGTTCTTTAGGATGGTGATTGTTGTTGAAAATGTCAATGATGATATAAGAATTCGCCGAAAACGCACGAGAGGCCACACGTGGGAGAACTAGCTACACGACAAATGATAATCCGAAACCGAGACCCGGAAAGAAAATCCGAAAAGCCGACACACTCAAGTACGCTATATCCAAAATATTTTCCTCACACCTCCTGTCGAAACAAACCTTGCTGCGAACTACTCGTCGAAGGAACATGCACGAAACTACCCATCCCTGCATCATCGTGCATCGAAGAAGAGAGCAAGTCCTCCGTCCCCGATTCCTCGGACGAAGCGGTTGATGCAGCTCGGGAGCTCGTGGCGGGGGTCGAGGTTGACTTTTCCCTCGATGCACCTCCCGGGCGAAGAGAAGGAGGGTTCTGATGACCTTGACCGGATGCGGATGCGGATGTGTGTGCGGAAGTCGTAGGTGTCGGTGGGAGAGGAGGTCGTTGGCGATGATGACTTGTCGCCGATGCATACGAAGGAGGAACAGAACCCACTGCCCCACCCCCCAACCTCGTCGACGTCGAAGCCGGTGAGCTCGACCCGCCAATCCTCCTCGAGAAGTACATCGTATAAAGCCAATTCTGCATCCTCAAGAACGAATCCATCACCCACTGGGGGTACCAATTCGTCGCCACTCGATGGGTCCACGCACCTGCTCCTACGCACGAAGGGATCCAAAGTGAAGCTACCGCAGAACGGGTGAGGATGTGGAATACACGCGAGTGGAGTCGTTTAGGGAAGGTTCCTTTGCGGTGATGAGTCGTGAGGACGGTCGAGCGGGTCGAGAGTGAGGTCGAGTAGAGGGATGAGATGCGCGTCGAGAGGTTCTCGGCGGTCTTTCTTGTCGATGTTGGTGAGGCTTGGATGTCGAATAGGCCGAGAGAGAGGGACTTGACGCGGATGTTGGAGGGAGAGGAGGTCGCGTGCAGTTCTCGTCGGAGCGAGGTAAGGAGTGAAGAGATGGCCGCGTCCGAGGCCGAGGCGAGTGAGTCGAAGGGGAGGGAAAGAGGGGACGTCGAGGGTGCTATGAACGGTCAGAGTTTAGAGTCAGTGACACGAATGCCTGTGTAGATTCTGAGCTGGACCGACGAACCCAAATGAAGGAAAACGCCGCTGGGAGCCTCTGGTCGGTTCGCTGCCGAGCGCAGGATTGGCACGACGCCTCGGACGATGCCGGTAAAAGTCGCAATCTTCTCGCCGACGTACCGCCGCACCGTGTCGATATCCATGGCCTCGACAGGGGTCAGATCGTTCTTGTCGGCGTCGATGGAGAGGGCGTTGATGCACGCCGAAAGGACGAGCGCATGCGCGGGTCGAGCAAAGGGGTCCCCAGCGGACCTGAGAGGGAAACGCAGTGACAAGGCCGTAGCGAGCGATCGCAGGAAAGGTGCGACCGAAGTGGCATCGTTGCCATCAAGGACGAGGACCTTGAGCCAGCCTCGTGAACGCTTTTCGAGCGCATCGACGGCGTTGGGGTTGGAAACGGTCGCGATGACTACGAACCCCCTCGCTTCGAGGTCGAGGGCGAGGTCGGCAAAGAGAGATGAGTCGCAGCCGAGGACGAGGACGGCTTCCTTGCGTATCTCGATGTGGCCATGCTGGAGCAACCTCGCCGGACGCACGGGGCCGCCTCGGGCGCGCTTGACCCATGAGCGCGGCGATAAGCTCGCGAGCTCGACGGGCAGACGCGAGGTCACGGGTCGCAATACGCGTGAGGTCGCGCCCGGGTTGAGGTAGTAGGCCGTTCCGAGCCCACCGGACGTGACGACGAACGCGACGAGGTAAGGGTGACGGCCGACGAACGCGATCGGCGACGACGACGCAGGTGGGGCCGCGACCACGGCCGGCGCGGGCGAGGCTGCCGATGGCGAAGACGAGTCGTAAGCCCACGCGACGGGGGTCTCGGTCCAGGACGAAGGCAGCACCGACAGTGTGCCGTTGTTGGTCAGTCGGTTGTAGATCTCGTTGAGCGAATCGTGGATCTCGCTCGGCAGGGCGTTCAGTTGCGGGGACATGGTCGCGAGCGCGTTCCATGCCGAAGCGAACGCTTGCTCGGCCTGCTCGAGGAACTGCGCGAGCCCGTCCTCGTCGGGAGATGCCGAGGTGTTGGGCATGGTTGGTCGCACTTGAGCGGGCGACGATGGGCGACGACTGCGGACTGCGGAGTGTTGCGGTGTTTGGCGTGCGGGCAAGCCAAGAGGAATGCAAGGGACGGATCATGTTCCAGTCACGCGCGCGCCCCTTCCTCGAGCTTCCTCGACCAGGCCGAGACCCTTTCGGCACGTGACCGCGGTCGGGGGCCGTCTGGAGGTGCCGTCTGGGGCCGTTACCGTTTCAGATTCAGAGCGTTTCATCCCCGAGCGCGACTCGACGCGCCTCCATCGTCGCTCTGACTTGCCACTGCTCCGCCCTCCCCGTCATCCCGGCAGCAGCATATCACGCCACCACTTTGCGCTCGCCATGGTCTCCGTGGGTACCAGTCACTCGCCTGCAAAACCTCACGGACCTCCTGTCACGTTGACGCGAGTCGCACGCGCCGCTTCGGCCCCATCACCGGTCTCGTCATGGTCAACCAAAGCCCTGGCCTACGTCCGACTGCTCTCTCCCGCGCCGTCCATCACCTCAAAACACCTCGACTCGCCCTCGGAACGTATCAAGCAACTCCGCCAATTGATCCTGCTCGAATCCTTGCCCGCCGGCGAAGAGGGCGCAAGACTGAGACCGTTGGTTTGGAAGCTGTTGCTCAGCTTGAACGAGCTACCGCCGCACGATGAACATCACTACGACACGCTGTTCCGGGATGACGATATTCATCCCTTGCTTGATGTCAAGACCTACTACTCGCTCGTGTGAGTTTCAATCTTGCCTCGGCCCGCCCCTTTCTATGGGCAAGATAGGAGATCACTCTCGTTCGGCCCAGCACTCATCTTGAAACCCGAGTCCTCCCCCACCCACCGCAGCTCTAGAGATCCCAGTCCCATGTTTTCCAAGATTCGCAACGACACCTTCCGGACCCTGGCTACCGACCTGGAGTTCAAGGATCGAGTCGGCGAAGATCGTCTCGTCAGGTTGTTGGAAGCCTTTGTCTGGAGGCAACTCGGTAAGTCTTACGCTTAGGCGTAGGTCAAATACTAGGGGCCATGGCTGGGCTGAAGTTCTATCTTTTTGCGATACAGACGCGACTGCAGAACAAGACGATCGTCTTGGTCCTCTTTCAGCATCATCCTCGATCGACCCAAGGACCCCCTATGTCCAGGTCGGTCCTCTCTCCGGACCCTGAACTTTTGCCTCTCGAGGCTGATCACCGCTTACCCCAACCCAGGGCATGAACGTCCTTGCCGCTCCATTCCTCTACGTCCTCCCAACGCAAATCGAAGCATTCGCTTGCTTCTCGATCTTCATCGAACACCATGCACCGCGCTACGTCCGACCGACTTTGGACGGCGTGCACGCGGGTTTGCACGTATGTCTTACCGAAGGTACTAACTGCTTGAGTTCCTGGTTCAGACCGCTGATCCTCTCCCCTCCTTTCCTCTGCAGCTCGTCGACCTCTGCCTCGCCGCGCTCGATGAACCGCTCCACGCCCACCTCCTCTCACACCGTCTCACAGCCGAGCTCTACGCCTTCCCTTCCCTCCTCACCTTCTGCGCCTCGACACCGCCTTTGCATGAAGTGCTCGAGTTGTGGGACTTCCTGCTGAGTTGGGGCGTTGGTTTGAATGTCGTTTGTGTGGTCGCTCAGTTGTGGTTGATGAGGGATGGGTTGCTTGTGTCGAATTCGTGAGTCGTCAAAAAGAAACTTCCCGACTGGCTCAGGAAAGTAAATCTACCCACCCTCTCATCCTTCCCCCTTTAGTCCAATGAAACTCCTCCGCACCCTCCCACCTTTACGATCAAAGGACATCATCCCTTTGGTCGTCCAGTTCATCGGCGAGTTGGATCAGGAGTTGTACACGTCGGTGATGCGACATCCTTGGGATGATGGGTTGAGGTTCTGAACTACGTCTGCTAAGCGCAAGATGAAGTGTAGGTGGGTTTTTGGTTCATCCTTTGTATGTGTAATCTATAGTTTTTCAAATTATTTGAATGGGATGAGCCAAGTCCCTCTTGCGCTCTTCAATGCCCGCAGCTCTACTTTGGACCGAGATGGAGGAAGGTCGCCGGCACCGGTTATCGAAGAAAGCTCTTCGGTCGCGCCATCCATAATTACTTGGGGGTTCATAATACATTTCAAAACACGCACAAGGATGCCGCAATCCCCGCTGGGTGACCCTCCCATCGTTCTTCTTCTACATTTTGCGCTCCTCCTTTGATCAAAGTGCACTCATTGTGTCTGATGAATGCGACAGGTGGTGTGAGTATTCAAGTGCACCGAGGCAGTAGTTGGTATGTTCTCTGGGGGACCTACCGGCTTGATCTTGTAGTGCAGCGTGATGAGGGAGAAGACGAAGATCTGTCGGAGAACGAGTAAGGGTCAGCACATTTCTCCTAACCAAGGCGTTCCGAACCCGACGTCTCCCCCAATCTCGAACCAGTTCGCCCTTATGAATTGAGTTGAACCTACTTTGAGGTCCTGAACAAGGTAGTAAAACACCCTCAAGCCTTCCGGATCGTCGGATTGCTGCACGTCGACCAAGGACCCGATCTTGGCCGTTTCGAACGAGGCGTGCACGCGGCCGAACTTGAGCTCCAGTTCTTGTTTACCGACGACGTTCTTCTTGGGCCACGCGGTGTCGTTCTCCCTGGCGGACGTGAAGCACAGAGATGGTTAGTTGAGGGCGTGAGGAGGATTTTGAAGGGGAGGTGCTGGGAGCAAGGTTGATGCTTGTTCCGCGAGGCGATTTGAACGTACTTGATGATGCCGGATTGGGATATGATGCGTTGCAGTTCGAGCATGGACGATTGCGAGAGCCATACTATACTCGTATCGTCGTATAGAGTGAATCCAAGAGCACAGGGGAGAGAGCGTCAGGTCAGCCTAAGCTCGGTGCTGTTCATTCGTTGAGCGGACAGTAGATCCGAGTTGCGATTACACCAACATTCTTTTCGGATCAAACTCTCTCTTCGGTAGCTGTTGAGTGGGAGAAGAGATGGTAAACGGGGGGGTCAGACACACGATGAGGGTTCGTGGGGGACACGGTCGTGCTAGGCCCCAGCGAACGTACTTTGAGTTGTTGGCATATCGTAACCTTCCATCGTGTGTGAATTCGAATTCGAGGAACTATCGGGAATACACCGAACGAGGGTAGGTTGTGAAGAAGTCAGCGGCGTTGCCATTTGACCTGGATGACTGGCCAGCACTAAGCCGTACCTCGTGACCGTGTTGCCCCGAGTGGCCGGTGTAGTATCGCAGATAAAACTCTTGGTCCAGTGTCGATTCCATGGTGAGGTGAGTAAGAGTCGTGGGTGGGTGCGAGGGTGGGTCACGGGGGGGGAGCAAGCGCACCATTCGACGACGGCGCACGACGACGGCTCAAAGGCGGTCCAAGCGGCAGAGCAGCCCGTAATTTGGCACCTCGGGCAGACATAAAAAGTACGCCTCAACAGGCGCGCGCGCAGCGCCCTCCCACGCGCCTTCCAAGCCACAAGCCCGGCGGGTTGCAACCTTGCTACCCCAGGTAGCAGATTAGGCCCAGGTCAGGTATGCCCTCCTCGATGTCGAGTTGCCGAGACGTTCACTCCCACTACAACTCCATCGAAGACCTGGGAACAAAGGCGCAGTCAGCGAACAATAGCGTATTCGAATTTTTGGAGATTTTTCGAGAGTTATTGTTGTCCTCTGCAAGCTGAACAGGCGCTCTACCTCGAACACGTGATTCGGCACGGGTCGCGCGGAACAATTGGGGCCGGGATGGCCGGGACGTCGACGCGTCACGACTCCGGAGACGCTGGAGATGGCGGCGACGCGTCGCGCTCGCGCATACCGCCCATTCTTCTGCTTTGCCCAATCGCCCCCTACTACGTATACGAAGTAACGAACTATACAATGAGCATCCGTCTTGCGACAGTCTGAAACGAACGCCCACTTCGAAACACCGGATTAGTCATACTTCTGCTGCTCCTATCATGACGAGTCAATCCAATCAACTTAACCACCTCCCGAATCGCAGGCGCTCCGGCGACGAACAGCAGTATGTTTGCCGCCGATCGACACGGGTGCTCTGACTGGACTACCGGCTCACGATCACATCTGACACATAGGTTCATATGCTGCCTCTGGGTACGAGTCATGCACGTCATGCACCTCGCCTTGGACTCCCTACCAGTCCGCATATAACGACTATTCGGGTCCGTGGGTGGCCGTCGCGTCGATCGCGTACAGTATCGGTCTGTTCTGACGTTACACCGTCGTGCACCCGATCCAGCGTCCACTTCCGCTGGCGTAACGGCCATCTCGAATCCTGCGTCGTACAACTATCAGTCTTCTCCGGGATCTGCTTCGTCCAACCAACCAGTTTACCGTCCCACGTTCCCATCCTGGACGCATCGATGGCCCGTATCTAGCTCCGCCAGCAAGCAACAATCTCGCAAACATGGTCGAACGAGGAGGGAACAATCCTGACGGCACGGGTATTGTCTTTGACGCGGCAGGTTTGCCAAATACTGCACCTTCCGCTCGCGATCGCCAAAAGTCGCGGGCCGCAGAAGTTTCCCAAGACGAGGAGGGAGGCCGCGCATCAGGAGGGAGGGGTGTATCAGCGAATACCTGCGCACAGCTTGGAACGCACCCGTGGCTGACAAGAACGTTGAGACCAAATTCCAATGGTACAGCATCATCCTCAAAGAACTGTTCCGTGAGTACAAGATGTGCAGCCTGCCTACTCTTCCATACACGGTGACTAATTTTGACCCGGCTCGCTGTCTTCAGAGTCCGCGCTGCGCCGACGCTCCGTGCTGGACGGCGAGAAGATCCAATCGCCCAAGTTCGTCTATGACGTAAAGGCCCTCAGGGACAACGCCAGAATCATTGTTCAGCGCGGCGCGCTCCTTCGCAAAGCGGATTTCCGAAGCCCGAGTGGCAAGCTTAAGTTGTTGGGACCAGACCTGGATCGGATCATCCCATTGCTGCGTGCAGGCGAGCTGAGCTTCAGGCTGGAGGAAGAGGTAATCGGGTCAAGTGCAGAACAGAAAATGGCCGACGGCGATGAAGGCGGCGACAGCGATGCTGACCGGCGGACTCGGAACACGAGCTCCGACGAGGACAGCGAGTGAGGTGACGATGGCCGAGCTCTCAGCGCCAGCCAGACTCGTCGACGCGCATGCGGTGCGGAGATCTTGGCTGTTGAAGGGCCAACATTCGTTGGACAACACAGGCCACCACAATATTCATTTCAAAGTTTTGCTTCATATGCATCCGGCTCTTGGTGACTAAAGGCGGAGAGGGTGATTGTTCGTTGCCCTTCGTGCCTAATCTTCCCCTGGGCCGCTCGAGATCGACCTCTCCTTGTTGACGTGGGATGTGCCAGTGACGTAATCCTGCTCACAAACATTATTACTCTTGTTCTGGGTTGTTTTCGAAGTATTATGTAGAGTTGAATTGCCTAGTGAGAATGGAGTGCTCCCTGACCCGTGGTCCAGACGGAGCGTCTGCTTTCCGGAAGTGACTCTTTGAGCAAAGAATGAATGAACAGAATTCGCAACGCGCTTCCACTAATTGCAGTGTATGTTAGCATCTTTTTATGATCTATTAGCACTAAAGTGAACGGGCAAGGGTTACATCTGGCCGGGCTCGGTCTTCGCCAAAGTGCCAATCAGAGCTGCTGGGCCACGGTGACGACCCCCGGCCGGCTGACTTCAAGCGGCGCGCGCTCCCAGAAGAATGCGAACTGATCTGAGCCCCTGAACGCGCAAGCGGAGCGGAACACGTAGGTAATCAGTCGTAAGTAGCGAAGTAGCGACAAAGTACGTGCTTGATGAGAGGTGGGGCGAACTCGATCATAGGTTCGGTGAAAACATGGAAGGCTTAGGCTTGTAACAGGCTCTTGGAGCGAAACCCTCACTTGACTCCGAGACATGATCGATGGCCGCTCATACCTACCTTTTACTTGATAAACATTCCCTCTCATCAATGAGGTAAGCCGCCAATCCTCAGGCCACATGGTGAGTGCTCAAAGCAGAGAGAATTCTTGCATTCGCCGCACTAAAATGAATTGTCAGCACTTCTGCCCCCGTCAAGCATAGACTAGACTTGATCTTGAGATCTTGACACCAAGCTTTTCTTATAACAGGCGCAAGGCTCAGTAGCAGGGATCGGGATCGGTCCAAAGGGTCTTTGGCCGCGCCATGGCAGGAAGTCGAATCCTTCGAGCGGGAATCCTCAGAGAGAGAGAGCCGCCGAGCCATCTTGTTCGGAAGAAGGGCTTGCAGCACGCACATGCCAACTTTGCTATTCAACCCTGTCCGAGGGTAGGAGATACATTCTCTATACTGCCCAAACCCACTCACCCATTTTCACGTGGCAGACATTCTAGGTACTCGAGCAGGTGCATGCGCTTTGATTGAAAAGTCACCCGGCACTGGTAAGGGAAACCGCCGAGCCATCTTGTTCGGAAGAAGGGCTTACACGCACATGCCAACTTTGCTATTTAACCCTGTCCGAGGGTAGGAGATACATTCTCTATGTTGACCAAACCCACTCACCCATTTTCACGTGGCAGACATTCTAGGTACTCGAGCATTTGCATGCGCTTTAACTGAAACGTCACCCGGCAAGTCACCCGGCAGTAGTAAGGCAGGCGCAGCCCAGAGATTAGGTCTGACAATATTTCTCTCTGAGACGGTGATATTACTCTCACCCACCGCAATTGAGACGACTTTAGTTTTCAAAGACCATGTCCATTGTTCCAACATTAACTTGCTCCACCAATTCAATCTAAATCAGAAGCTGGTCTAAACGCCCGAGAAGTATTCGTCTTCCTGACCAGCAAAGTCATCGCCGTAGCTTCCATCCGAAGAGCTGCCCATCTCACCGTCCTGCTCGAGGAGTTATGCGGAGAAAGGCCCCACCTCCTTTGCGAGTTGAGCCTCGTCGCTCATATCCATCTGCGCCTGAATGCCCCGCACTTGCTGAACGTCACGGGCCAGCGATGGAGGCCGCGCCGAGTCGTCGAGCCAGATGTCTCCATAGGACCGCGTGTTCCCGATCGATTATGTGCAGGTAGCTGGTGATGTTTCGCCTTCTTGACACTTCTTCCCGTCGCGTTCAATCGTTGATGTAAACCACGAAATTCTGACAGTGCAGGAGGCATGGGCTCGGAATCGCCCTCTGACTGCCCGCGAGTGTCGAGCCAAACATCGAAGAAATGGTCGTTCTGGGACCAAGAACATTCGCGCAACTGAAGAAGCTCCATCCGGCGATCCAGTAAAATGAGCGCGCGGTTTCGGATCTCTTCAACATCTTCAGTGCCGAATATGGACTTGGCATCAGCTGGGTCGATCGATTCAGAAAGGGTATCTGTTGGGATGGTTTGAAAGATGTCAGGGCGACATAAGAGGTGATATGGAGCACGCTGTATCGAAAACTTACCCGACACTTTAGTCCAAAGTGTTTGGCAACTAGTGATACGAGTCTTTTCATCTTCGATCCAAGCCAAAGCTTGCCGCACCTCGGCGCCGATCCGCGCTTCCTCCTCACCGACTCGAGCCTTGGCGCGCACAGCTGCTACTCCTCGGAATGAGCGACCGTAGCCCGCTCCACAATCGCTCACAGCCCTCTCCATCAGTCAACCCGAAGTTCGGAATGAGGCGGGGGTTGAACTCGACTTGGCAGGACCAGATATGGGCGTATGCATGGAAGACGCTCGTGGCGAACTCCAGTCGCTTGAAAAGCTTTGGCAGGAGCTGCCTCGGGTGACAAATGATAGGAAAGTAGGCGCATTTGGTCTGTGCCAACGAGACTGAGGAGGAAGGGACGCGTCGTGATCGAAGCATACCTTTTCAATGTGGTGCTTGAAGTTACAAGCAATGTCGTATAAGACTCCAATCTTGGCGTTTTCAGGAAGGCGCTCTGAGATGCACTTGAGGATGGCAAGCGCATAGTATAATCTGAGCGGTCGGAGGGGAATATGCGCATTAGTACTGGGAGAGGAAAGCGGAAGCGACTACGTCCCAACCAGACAGCTCTGCGCTCACTTTTCACCAGACCTCTCAAGATTGACCATTTTCAGGTTTACATCATGACGGCATACGCAGGCAACGAGTCCAGTGTCGACTACTCGTGACGAGGTTGAGCCAGCTCCGTCGTCGGCAGCCTTCCACGACTCTGTGCACGCCTACGAGGGTTGGGTGGGTGTAGAGGTAAGCGATCCCATTAAGGCAAATGCAAAGAGCGGCATTACTCACCTTTTTGGTCGGCCGCACCGAAGCTTCAACCTCGGCCTTCATCGCCTGAACCTCTTCCTCACCCAGGAAAATGTCCGGAACGATCTGGTCGTGCTTCGAAGTTTTGTCACGCGTTTGCCGAAAGTTGCCGTCGTATGCAAGCACGCAATCCAATGGGACGTCGTGACAAGGTTGATTAAGTCACGTTGGCCCGAAGCACGCGGGACCCTTGTTGGAACGAATCGACGGTGCCTACGAGAAGGTCCCCGCTGTCCTGCTCGCATGTTTCGAGAGCGCGGTACTCGTCGATCGCGTTGCTTCCGAAGGTCTTTGTCCTGCATGCGCGGAAGGCAGGCTTTAAGCATCTGCCCCTGAAACGATGGCGGCGTCCAAACTGACCCAAGGATGTCCTGTATAGTGACCCCGAACCCACCCACAACGGGAGTAATACTCTTTGAGGCCGTCCGCATAGCCGGTGAGAGCGCGGGGGGTGACCCTCCAGCTCGCGTGGGTCTGCTCGACCAGTCGAAATGAGAAGGCGGTCATCGGCATTGAAGCGGTCGAAGAGATGAACCCTAGTTGGGCCAAGCGTTCGACGTCCTTAGCACACCGCGACTCGGAGGCACAGAGGGTGACCTGCAGTTTGTAGACCAACGGTTTGGACTTGTATCTTCTCTTCGGCGGCATGGCGACGCCAACTCAAGTGCATGAGCAAGAGGACGAACGCGAGCCATGGGGCCTGTACGGTCAATGGCGACGCTACAATGAGCTGTAGCGGAAGCAACGAGGTGAGGCGGCAAGTCAAGTGGAAGGTCCCTCGCGCGTGGCCAGCTGCAGCCAACGCGTGTGCTCGGACCCTTCGATCTCGGGACCGAAATCCCGGCGCGCGACCGCTTCGGACACGTGACATTGACGACATCCGAAAGATGCGAGAAAAAGATGAAGGAAGGAATGCATCTACTACGCACTTTCTTTATCAATCTAGCAGCTGTGAGAGTGTTGTGTGTACACAGAATCGACTCGAAGCAGGGAGTTGGGCGCAACCTGGGCCTAATCTGCTACCTGGGGTAGCAAGGTTGCAACCCGCCGGGATTGTGGCTTGGAAGGCGCGTGGGAGGGCGCTGCGCGCGCGCCTGTTGAGGCGTACTTTTTATGTCTGCCCGAGGTGGTCGGCTCGGTCGTTTCTGGAGCAATTTGTTTGACCTCCAGGAATGCTCTAGTTTGCGCAGGACTGTGCTTATTTCCTTTGATCTGGTTTCTTTCTCTCATCTCTTTTCTGTGAGAAAGCACTTCGTACAGTCCCGAGATCCGCGCCGAGCTCATTTCGGTGACCGATCTCGGTGACTGGGCGTGCCCAATTCGGAGACTCGCGTGTAAAGGCTTCCTCCATCGCCTCCCTCTCCATCTCGTCTCTGCTCTCGTCTCTGCTCCACGTTCAAGTCGAGCCCGAGTCGCGGTCGGTCCGACACAGCCACCACCATGTCCCACGCCACGGACCATGTCGTCACAGCTAGTACGTTCCATTTCCTACGCAATGTACTGCTCCTCCCCACTGACAGAACTGACCTGCCACGCCGCCTGTTCCTCTCCCGTTCTTTCAGCCGTCACGGGCTTGGCCGGCGCCACGCTCTCGACCGTGCTCGTTGAACCCTCTGCGACCGCTGCCAAGGCCGTCGCCGCGTCCATATTCGATCCTTCTCACCCCAACCCGGTCGAGTTCGATTCCACAAAGTGAGCTATTCGGTTTGGCCTGCCTCTACGACCTGGCCGCCCGAGTGAACGAGCAAGCGGCCACGGTCCTCACGCGACCTGCGCGCGTTCGGAAAGCACGTGCCTCAGCGTAAAGACCGCGTCCTCATTTCTTCGGACATGCGCGATCGGGCGCTCTGGCTCTAGGCAGGTCGCACACTTGATCGCGCTCAAACTAACCCTGCCTCTTCTTCAACACAGTCCTTTGATATTGTTCATCGTGCAAGCCTTCATCATCGTTGCGCTGTCGAGGATACTCGCCTTCTTCTTGCGCAAACTTCGTCAACCCCAGGTCATCGCCGAGGTCATTGGCGGCCTGCTCCTCGGACCGAGTGTATTCGGTGGGTTCCAGCCGCCAAACAGCTTTCCTTCTTTTCCACATCCTGACCTTCATCGTCATGCACTATCCAGGTCGCATCCCCAACTTTACCCGACGAATTTTCCCAGTACCCTCGGTGCCGTACCTCAATCTCGTCGCCAACCTGGGTCTGGTCCTGTTCCTGTTCCTCGTCGGACTCGAGACCGACTTTTCGCTCATGCGCCGCAACTTCAAGGTCTCGACGACCATCTCGGCCCTGGGCTTGGTCATCCCCTTTGCCCTCGGCGCCGCAGTCTCGGTCGGCGTGTACGACAACTTTGTCAGCAAGAGCGTCAAGTTCGGCACCTTCTTGCTCTTCATCGGCGTCGCCAATGCCATCACCGCGTTTCCCGTGCTCGCCCGCATCTTGACCGAACTCGACCTGTTGCAGAACCATGTCGGAGTCATCGTCCTCGCGGCGGGTGTCGGCAATGATGTCGTCGGCTGGGTGCTCCTCGCTTTAGCAATCGCGCTCGTCAACGCCAGCAGCGGCATCATCATCCTTTATATCGTCCTCACTTCGATCGGCTGGATCCTCGCCCTGTGGTACATCGCTCGGCCTGCCCTCGTCTGGCTCGGCCACCGCACCAACTCTTACGGCGACACGGGCCCTTCGCAGTCCATGTCGTGCGCCGTCCTCTTCCTCGTCCTCGCGAGCGCGTGGGTCACGGATCGCATCGGTATTCACGCCATCTTTGGTGGCTTCCTCGTCGGACTCATCGTCCCCGTTCAGATCCGCGCGTCCTTGACCGAAAAGATCGAGGATCTCGTCACAATCCTGTTCCTGCCGCTCTACTTTGCGCTCTCGGGCCTCAAGACCGATCTCGGCTTACTCGCCAACGGTCGCATCTGGGGCTGGACGATCTGCGTCATCGTCGTCGCCTTTGTCGGCAAGTTCGTCGCTTGTGGAGGAGCGGCCAAGGTGTTTGGCATGACCTGGCGCGAATCAGGTGCCGTCGGTTCGCTCATGGCTTGCAAAGGACTGGTCGAAATCATCGTGCTCAACATCGGTCTGAACGCCAAGATCCTCAACCCCGAAGTGTTTGCCATGTTCATCACCATGGCGCTGGTCACGACGTTCCTCACGACGCCGCTTACGCTCGCCTTTTACCCTAAAGCTTATCGCATCAAGGCCGACCGAGCTCGCAAGGGCTTACCGGATCTCTCGGAGGATACACTCGCGCTCGGTGGACCCGGCGACGAGAACCAACCTCGCTCCCGCTTTGCCATCGTTCTCGAACAGTTCGACAACCTTCCCGCCGTCTTTTCGTTCTGCCGCCTCATCCAGCAGTCCGGTGATACTGCTCTCTCGCTCGTCGACTCGGCGGACGAGAAGAAAGATAAGGAGGCCGAAGCCGTCGAGGGTTCCTCCGCCCAGGGACACGAGAGCGGCTCGCCACAGGGCTCGACCCCTTCGATTTCGGCCCTCCGTCTCATCGAGCTGACGGATCGTACCTCGGCCCTGCTCAAAGCTTCCGAGTCGCAAGAAACCTTGATCCGCGCTGACAGCTTGACGCGCGTGTTCCACTCCTTCGCCCGTGGGCTCGGCCTGTCGACGTCGCTCTCTCTGTCTATCACGTCGCAAGAGACGTACGCGTCCGTCGTCGCTGGCCACTCGCAAGAGCATGCCTCGGACGTCGTCGTGTTGCCCTGGGTCTTGCCGACCCGTCAAGCCGAACAAGGTGTGATCGCCTCGTACCTGCCGAACCCGTTCGATAGCATCTTTGGCAACGACGCTTCGGCCGCTTCGGGCTCGTTGGCGTACGCCTCGTTCGTGCGCAAGGTCTTTGCCGATGCGACGTGCGATGTCGCCCTCTTTCTCGAACGAGGCTCCCCCGCCGCCGATGCTGCACCTTTGCTCGCGGGACGGGCCCACCTCTTTCTCGCTTTTCACGGCGGTTCCGACGATCGAGCGTGTCTCAACATGCTCTTGCAACTCGTCGCTCGCCACTCGGGTCTCTCAGCCACGGTCGTCAAGATCGAGCGAGCGGCCGAAGCGACGGCGGCCGACCAGGCCTTGTCGACCAAGAATAACACCCGCGATGACTCTTCGAGCTCGATCGACGCCCCCGCACTTTTGTCGCAGTTCACCATCCACGGCGGTGGAGGAGCGGTCGACACGATCTACCCGACGCAGAACGAATTGACGTCGCAGACGGCGGATGAGATCCTCCTCGCGAGGTACTTTGACCCGTCCCTCGCTCGATCGCAGGCTTTGACCGATGCGCTCTCCCGCGTCAAGTACGAAACGATCCAAACCGTCCAACCGTTGCATCTCACCCTCGCCAGGGCGCGAGCGACTTCAGCTTCCTTACCCAATAACGTCCCCTTTGTGCTCATCTCTGGCCGATCAAGGAAAGACGCCCCTTCGCACGCGAGCGAATTGACCGACTTGCTCAAGCAGAACCTCGATCGCGTGGCCGGGGGGTGGCAAACTCGTCCGAGGTGAGGAGGTCCTTGGGCGACGTCGCGGTGGGTTATGTCGTGGCTGGTATCGAGGCGTCCAGTTTGTTGGTCTTGCAGGCCAAGGGCCAAGGGGGTAAGATTAAGAATCGTGGCGCTTAAGGGACTCCGACGCGCTGGTCGTCACCGTGTCCGAGCTTCCCGATTAGACTCTTTCTGTCCCTCTGCTGCGCCTTTTCTTCTTCTTTTTCTTATTAGTAATATCGTTCTGCATCGCTTTTGTTCCTACTACTGTTTGTACCCTGCCGTCCCTCCTGCATTTTCACACAGTCCTGTGCATCTCTCAGCAGGTCCCTTCTCCGACGCGGGGAGCAAAAACAGAAAAAAAAAAATGTAATTGAAGAGGAACCACAAAAGACGGGAAAGTGGACTAGATGAGCCGAAATAGGTGAAAAGACGACGACTCATAAGAGATAACGAAACGAAAGGTGAAAGAGTCAAAAGTGGGTGAATCGAATAAAATGGGAAGAGGGTCAGGAGGCACAGAAAGGAAGCAAGAAAGATCAAGTGAATACTCTACTCCTTGGAGGCAGAAGCCCACAACCTCGGGTCCCCTCGGCTGGGTTCGTACTTGGGGTACAGTTCCCGCTTGTGCCAACCCGTTGCGTCCTGACTACGCGTGATCAAAGGTGAATCGATCGGGATCTCGACGACGACCGTGCGCTCGACCTCGTCTCTCGGGGTGTCGTCCGGGTCGTCCCTAGAAGCGTCGGTGGGGACGTCAATGGCCGAATCGGGATGCGTATCCGTGTGAGTGGACTGGAAGGCAATGTCGAGAGTCACGTCGTCCGGAGAGAGAGGGCGGATATGCGGGAGGACAGGGGGTAGCGACGCGCGAGGAGCGGCGACTTCGGCCGTCTCGTCGAAGCGGATGATGTGACTCGCTGCGAGCGCAGCGGCGGCTTCTTCGTGCGCTGCTTCCTCAGCGACGTCGATATCGGTCGGGAAGGTCGTGGGCATCGTGTCGACGGGTGGGGCAGGGGGGGTTCGAGGGGCCTTGAAGTCCGACGCGGGCCTGGGGATTTCGCGAGTCGATTTCATCGTCGCTTGCGAGGCATTCGACCCCTGTGCGACGTGACCGGTCACCCGACCAATCACCCGATCGATCTCGCACATCTCCTCCGCCGTCATCGTAGGAGGAAGGGGTCGCGGTTGACCCACGTTCGGCTTAATATTCAGCACCTGAGGGTGGGGACGGTTGGGCGGCGGGGTAGGTGTCCTGGCGTAAGGGTGGGTCGAGGCGATCTGTACCGTGATGTCGGAAGGAGCCATGAACGTGGACGGCGAAGGACGACTTGGTCGCGGAGTAGGGCTCCTAGCATTGCGATTCGCCTCGTCGAGGATACTTTTTTGGTGCAGTCGATTGGAATGGTAGCGCAACAGAGCGAATAAGATCCCCGCTCCGGCCATCGCGCCGCACAACCCTCCGGCAATCGCACCGGGGTGGTTGATGCTCGTCGTCGTCGTCGTTTCAGGCGGTACAAATTTGTGCTCGAGGGAACCCGTTTCCGATGACTTGGAGTGCGACTTGGGCGGCGGCGAGGAAGACGGAGGTTTGGTCGGATGTAGCCAGGAGCCTTTCTGGATCGTTTCGACAGGGTGCGCGTCGATCTTGTTGTCACCACCACTGCGCGGGCAAATGCGAGAAATAGGGGTCAGTATTGGCAATGCCCGCCTATTAGTCGGAGAACGTCTCAACCAGGTTTACCTCGGCGTCGAGGCAGTTTCAGTGTCGGGCTTTGGATCAACACTGCTTCCTCCTCCTCCTCCTCTTCCATCTCCTCCTCCTCCACCACCACCATCACCACCATTGCCCCCGTTGTTCTTCACCTGCTGAACAGCGCCAGACCAGGGGTTCGAAGCACCAGAATTGCCGGGCTCCCCTTCTGAAATCGGAGTCGTAGTTGGCGATGGCTGGTTGACCGGAGCTGGAGATGGTTCCGTTGAAGGTGTGGGCTTCTTGGTACCGGCGCGATGGCCCGCGGCCCCGACCAGGACCGTCGACGAGTTCTTACCGCTGGTTGACACGATATTCGACGAGTTCATACCGCTCTTTGACACGACGGATGAATTGGCCGACTTGTCACCCTGCTGGCCCGTCTTCTCAGGGGACTTTGCGTCGGGCTGGTGATCGAAGAGCGGTTTTCCGCCACCGAAGAGAAGCGGGGTGTTTGTAGTGGTGTTTGGCTTGTTGACCGCCGTTGGTAAATCCTTGCCCACGACTGGAACTTTGGAGTCGGGTACCTTTGTCGGAGCATCCTTGTCTGACTTGCTTGCGAGTCGAGAAAAAGTCGTCCCGCCGACGGTTATGTTCGACGCTCCTGACGACGAGTTGCCTTCCAATCCGGGATCTTTTTCGAGGCCCTTGCCGGTACTGGTAGGTCCCTCGAGTACGACAATGGAAGAGTGGTTACCGAGATGCTCACCCTTGACTGGAATTAGAGGATCCAGAGCGTCCTTTGGATCCGTGTCCTTGGGTGTGTTCGACGCTCCTGACGACGAGTTGCCTTCCAATCCGGGATCTTTTTCGAGGCCTTTGCCGGTACTCGTGGAGCCCTCAAGTACGACAATGGAAGAGTGGTTACCGAGCTGTTCACCCTTGATTGGCATCTGAGGATCCGGAGCGTCCTTTGGATCGGTGGCCTTCGGATCGGCGTCCTTCGGATCGGCGTCCTTCGGATCGGTGACCTTTGGATCGGTGTCCTTGGGTGTGTTCGACGCTCCTGACGACGAGTTGCTTTCCAATCCGGGATCGTTTTCGAGGCCCTTGCCGGTACTCGTGGGGCCCTCAAGTACGACAATGGAAGAGTGGTTACCGAGATGTTCACCCTTGATTGGCATCTGAGGATCCGGAGCGTCCTTTGGATCGGTGGCCTTCGGATCGGTGTCCTTTGGGTCCGTGTCCTTTGGATCGGTGTCCTTGGGTGTGTTCGACGCTCCTGACGACGAGTTGCTTTCCAATCCGGGATCGTTTTCGAGGCCCTTGCCGGTACTCGTGGGGCCCTCAAGTACGACAATGGAAGAGTGGTTACCGAGATGTTCACCCTTGATTGGCATCTGAGGATCCGGAGCGTCCTTTGGATCGGTGGCCTTCGGATCGGTGGCCTTTGGATCGGTGTCCTTTGGGTCCGTGTCCTTTGGATCGGTGTCCTTGGGTGTGTTCGACGCTCCTGACGACGAGTTGCTTTCCAATCCGGGATCGTTTTCGAGGCCCTTGCCGGTACTCGTGGGGCCCTCAAGTACGACAATGGAAGAGTGGTTACCGAGATGTTCACCCTTGATTGGCATCTGAGGATCCGGAGCGTCCTTTGGATCGGTGGCCTTCGGATCGGTGGCCTTCGGATCGGTGGCCTTCGGATCGGTGGCCTTCGGATCGGTGGCCTTCGGATCGGTGGCCTTCGGATCGGTGGCCTTCGTCGGGTCGGGAATCATCGTCGTGGGGTTTCCGTCGGTGCCGCCCGAGGTCTTGTTCGACGAGGCCGACGAATCACCTGGAGACGATTTAGGAACGGGCTCTTGCGAAACCGTGACGTCCGTGGCCGCAGAACCCGGGTCATCGTGGGAGTCGGAGAACTTGATGACCACAGGCACGATCGGGGGATCTTTATCGTCGTCCTTGCCACCGGGATCTTTGGAGGAGCCGGTGACGTTCTTCTTTCCCAGGACGTCTTCACCGTCCGGCAACTTGGTCGAGGGCGACCCGGGCAGAACGGTTTTGGGCAGGTCGATACCAGCCTGGAGGCCCGTGTCGGTGGGTCCGCCCTTGATGGAGATCACCTTCTTAGGCGTCGGTGACGGCTTATCCGCGGCGGGGTCGTCGGGGTGCTTGTCACCGGGGAGCTTGGAAGGAGGCGGCGACTTGGGATTGAGGTCGTGTTCAGGAATAGGGGCATGGTGCGTGGTATTGAGGCCGCGGTCCGGGACGAGATTGCCGCCTTTGATGACGATGCGTGGCTTCTTCTCGGGTTCATCGGAGTGTTTACGTGAAGGAACGCCCAATATCGTCCGCGAGAAAGGCAGGCTCACGCCACCCTTGATGTCGACGAGTGTCTTCGGCTCCGGCTGCTCGATACCCGAGTCGTTGGAGTTGCTGTGGTGCTCCTCACCCGTTCCGTGACCAAGAGGGCGCGATAATCCCACAGGTGTTATCGAGTGGTTCGAGTATGATGGCTTGTGAGGGTCAGATGAGTTTCCAAGGGTTCCCGCGTCCGTCGGGTTCGACGACTCGGAGGCGTTGCTCTTGGATGGCTTGTGACCATCATCGGAGCCGACCAGTTTCACGATCGCAGGAATGAGCGATGGTTTCTTGTGTGTCTGGCCTCCTGAATCACCCTCGCGGTGGTCGCCTTCTTGGTGGCTCTCGTGCTCGTTTGACCCGCCGCCGCCGACTGCCCCACCGAGCAAACCCTTCAGCAAGCCCGAATCACCGCCCGCGCCGCCGGTCTGGTTGTGAGGGGCAGAGGTCTCCTTTGGCTCTTTGGGGTCGTCCGGTGCGGAGTTCTTGGTCTTGGGAGAATCCGGTTCGTTTTGCTTTGATGGTTTGGGCTCGTGGTCCTCCAATCCCGCCTTTTCACTTTTGGTGGTGTCCGCCCCGGCCGGATCCTCCTTCGAGTGGTGCTCCGACGTCTTTCCTATCTTGGTTCCTGGATCGTCTTCCTTGTCCGCAGAGTCGTTCGTGGGCTGGTCCTTGGGAGTTCCCTTGCCTTGATTCTGGTGCTGGTGCTTGCCTCCGTCCTTATCGTCGTCCTCCTTGCCCATCTTCTCATCTTGCTTGTCGGTATTGTCGACTTTGTGCTTCCTACCGACTGCCCCCTTCGGGTGCCTCGACGGGTTTCCTGACTTGTCTCCCGAGTTGCCTTTGGGGGTCGAAGAATCCGGATCCGGCTTTCCCAACTTGAGCTTGATCCCGGCATGGAGCAGAGGTGTGGTGAGGAGTCCTCCACGGTCGGTACTGGGCTTGCTCTGGTGAGCCTTGGGGATCGATTGGAAATTGACAGCTGTGCAAGCTTGGTGCCCCTTGGGGGGGCAAAGCGCAGCTTTCGACGACGCCGAACTCCCGCTGTGGTAGTGAGGTCGTCGGACAGCCAGAGAGCATCAGCGGGACTAGTACGATAATTCTTTGATGCAATACAGCTGCCAACTCACCCGATGACGACGGCATCAAAACTCAAGTTGCCGCTCGAGGTGACCTCGAGGATGACGGTGTGTTGTTTGTCGGGGCCCAGTTGCGTTTGCGAGAAGAGAGCCGAGGTTTTGTCGGGGTCGGATGAGACGGAGGGGAGGTCGGCATCTTGACCATCGACCTTCACACTGAAACTGGCTTGATCGCTAATTCCAAAGATTGTGAAGCTTTCACCTGTTGTCGTGGAAACGACGAGGAAACAGAATAGGGGCGACCATTTTAGACAGGAGAGGGGTCTCGTGTCAGCGCACCCGGAAATGAGCCCGAATCGCAACACGCGCGCTGAGAGCGGCCCAAGGTCTCACGAGAGGGCGCATCTAGGAAACTAACCGATGAAATTGAAGGTGGCCGTCGCACCCTTGTCGCTCGTGAGCATCGACGTGTACTGGTAGAATTGATCGTTGACGACTTCCTTCCATGATCCGCCGAACTTGATCCACGAGTTGGTGTCGTCGGCGTAGTAGGAGGAGTTGCCGCCTTCACCGGCCTGAGCGCGAACCAGTCGCACCGCCAGACAAGACAACCCGATCGCGCCAAGGACAGCGCCGCGAGCGCTTCGTATAAGCATCGTGCGTCGGCACTGTCGTCGTCGGAGAGAGATGGGGATGGGGGGATGGCAGAGTCTTCCGGAGACTTTTGAGGGTTCAAGCGAGTGTAGTATTTGGGTACGATACAGTTCAAGTGCAGCGCGTGGGGGGAGACCAAGGGGCGAGGTGGCGGCAGCGTTGACTAGTGCGTCTCATTCAACTCAGGGGCCACTCTGGGCCGCTTGTCCTTTGTGTCACACGCGCGGCAGTAGTAGGTAACTCGGTCCAGTTAGTACAGACAAAGCCCCCCATCGCCCCACCATCTAGCGCATCAACGAACCTCACTTTCGTGTAAAGATGGTAGTCAGGTGCAAATTCGAGAGAGTAATGCATTGTCTCTTAGAGTCGAACCCTCGAATGCCCGCACGCTCCACGTTGGGCTCGGACTCTGCTCGGTGGGAGGGCTTCCTCTTGGCCCGTGATTGACCTCCTCCCCATCACTGCTCGTCGCCTCGCTCGCTTGATCCGCACTCGTGTCTTTCACAGCTTCGATCATCGTCATGGTTCCACCACCTGCAAATCCCACGCCGTGGTGGGTACCCTAGCGTGCTTTGGTCGTCTCTCCTCAAGTGAAGTTCGTCTCGTGCTCCTGAGAAACAGGAGCTGGGTCGTCCCACCCAACGATTGAGCAGCGTTTCGTTAGTCTTGGTCGACCCGAATTCTTCGGGAAGGGCTGCTCGCCATCCAGTTGTGTGAGGCTCCCACACTTGACGAGCCACAGGGGATCTCGACGCGCTGACTCGGGAACCAGTCGCTCTTACGACTCACTCGTCGAGGCTGAACACCGCGGCCGCCAGCGTCTCCCGCCTCGATACGACTTTACTGACGATCTTTTGGACGCCGTTTCTCGGGCAGCTTGTGGCTCTGATTTCAGCTCTGTGGCGATCTCGGGAAACTCTCGATCACTTAACGTGTCACCTGCGTTGGCGATTTCGCAGGTCTCGGTCTCGGCGTTGCTACTCGGAGCGAAGGTGCGTGACGTCATGGTCCTACCCTGAGCACCGGCTTTGTCCGTGAATTTTGTAGAGCTTGACCAGTATTGGAAAGAGGCCAGCCAGATAAACGAAGCCTCGACGCTTCGTGGCCACCGTCCTGCTTCGCTACGATCCGGCTACGCCGCTGGGGACCAGGTCGCCGCAAGTCCGTCGATCGGTAGTATTTCGTAGCTTTCACGCAGTCTCGGAACACCCGATGAACACTAAAACAAAGCTTCATTGAACCCAAACCGAGAGGAAGAGAGCGTCCACAGTCTCGGGGAGCAGATCTACAACTTAAAGGAGACGAACCGAGCCAACCCAGCCCTGTCTCTCCACGCCTCGGGATGGAATGATACCGGATTGAAAGGACTTGAAGAGCTCACATCGCGTGTATACACAAGATGTCCCTGGTCATTGTCACCCAGCAGGACCAAGAAGACCACTGCGAGTTTGGGGTCCAAAGCTGAGCATCGAAGCCTCGATGGCTGACCTCGTCGGGGTTCTAGCCCTCCACGGCGTTATTGTGCCGACACATTGTGCCGACACATGCGCCGACAACGCGTCAACAGTTGTTTTGTCACCGATGGACTCGTCAGTCAGTGCTGAGCCATCCCTGGACGAACTGCAGAGCTTCATCCTGGACGGCCGAAGAGCTTGGAATCTCGTGACTCGGATAATTCCTCCATCGGTCCCGGCCCGTACTTCCAGTGATGAAAGTGCACAGGCTCATGCAGCCTTAGGTACCTATCGGCGTCCCAATGCGGATCGCGCAATGAACAAGGTGGCAGGGTCGATGTTACCTATAACATCGAGGTTGGATTCAAGTGTCCTACCAACTAAATAATAAGGTATCTACTACTAGTAGGTAGTGCGCCTCGTTCAGCACCTGCGCCGCGATCGCGACGATCAATCGCGACTCTCTGAGCTTGTTCTCCATTTAGCTCGACCCGCAAGGATCACAGCGGACGCCGAAGCGACGCACCGCATTAGGGTACCAAGTTTACGTTGCCTCCCCGCAGCCGTCTCGATCCCTTTATTAATTGAATCTGCGTCCTGCTCTTGAGCTACTTCGCCGCGCGATCGCTGATCAGGCGGGCGCGATCGGCGCTCATAGCTCCGCTAGAGAGCAACAGAGAGCTACTAGAGACCTCGTCGGCCTCCGAGGCTGGCGCGTGGGTCAACGTCAACGTTGAGGTTGGCCCCCGCCTCGCCCCTTCCTTCGCCGACCCCTATCAACACCCGCGCGATATGCATCGTCAGCACCCGAATCTCCACCATTCAGTACAGCCACAACACCAGGGCCCGCCTCCGATGGGACGACAGGGCGTCGTCGCAGCCGACGAGGACGAGGAGGAGGATGTCGATGTCGACGTCAAGGTCAGCGTCGGCGACAGTGCTGCGAACAACGGCGCCAAGGAGGCCAAGGGCGGCGCGAGTGAATTCGTTAAAAAATTGTACAGGTGCGTACCAAGTGGAGGGAGGGGAGGGGATGAACTCGCTTTGGCGTCGTGTAGGGTCCTAGGGGTCGTGGGGGACATCGGGGCGGCGGGCTGCGCGATCCGTCCCTCCCCACTTACGAGGAGGCTCGATTGAAGCCGCTTCCCAGGAGTGGGATGGCCAGGTCCTGCTTGTGGTTAATCGTCGTCATGCTTGCAAAGATGCTTTACGGTGGTTACTACGGGGGCGGTACCGATGGCCTTCGCCCAAGCTGTGCGGAGAAGGCTGACCCGCCTCCTCCTCCTTTGCCCCTTTGCTCGACCACAGAATGTTGGAGGATCCTTCCTTTTCAGACATCGTTGCGTGGGGCTACGCTGGGGACTCGTTCATTGTCAAGGTAGGTCGTTGCCGTCGGTCTCTGGGTGCGCGAGCGCTAAAACCCGCCGCTGGGCTTTGCCCGCACAGGATATGCACAAATTTACGAACGACATACTGCCGATGCACTTTAAACATTCAAACTTTGCAAGCTTCGTTCGCCAGTTGAACAAGTACCAATACCGTAAAGTACCGAGAAACAACGAAGATGGGCAGCACGGAGAACACGTGAGTCCGAATTCTCCGAGGGGCGCGAGGAAACCGCTCACTGGGCTGTGCCCATTGTTCTCAACAGACTTGGGAATTTAAGCATCCCGACTTCAGAGCTGGCATGAAGGATTATTTGGATTTCATCAAGGTTAGTTTGCTGCTTGCGCGCTCAGCGCGATTTCCGAGGACTGATCGAGATAACCCTTTACGCCCCCCCCCCACTGCACAGCGCAAAGCCCCAGCCGTGCGCAGAGGCGCAGGAGCTGCTGTTGCATCTACATCGGAAGGTGTCTCGCCCGCTCCTGAAGCGGGTCATACTGGCTCCGTGGGAGACCTGAATGCGATCCACCATCAACTGGACCAGCTTCATCGCTCGCATTCCAACATGCAACAGCACATGAACAACCTCTCACAGGACTACCAGGCCGTGATCGGAGAGATGATGAACTTTCAGCGCAATATGGTCGCCCAAGATCAATTGATGCAGAACCTTATCCAGTACCTGATTAACCTCGAGGCCGGTGCGTCGCGATGCACCCCTATCGTGTGCATGTTTTTTGGCGCCTGAGCCGGAAGCTGACGTCGCTAGCTACTTCGGTACACAGACCAAAGCGCCGCCGCCAACAGTGGTCAGGATCGTAGCGTCCCCTTCACTCCTTCGACGCAGGCCAAGAAGCTCATTTTGTCCTACACCGAAGTCGCGCGCGCGTCGTACGACCAAATGGCCGACTTGTCGCGACGCGCTTCGCTCTCCGGGAGTAACTTTCCGCCGATCCCGCCGCCCCCGCCCGAGTTTGGTCAGTTGGACGTCCCGGGCTCGACGGGACTGAGGCGAGGTGATGGGTCCGGGGATGCGAGGGATGCGAGGAACCTGCAGGGGATCAGCCACGCTCAATCGCGACCGAGTCCCCAGGGGCAGCAACCACAGTCCTCGGGCCAGTCGAAGGCCCAACAGCCCGATACCACCGGCAAGCAGTCGAACGTACCCGCATCGTCGTCCGATGCCCAGACGGCGCGCAAGCTCGCCTATGTGCCCGGATGGGCCGTCCCACCGCGCGTGTTGCTCGTCGAGGATGATGCGGTGTGCCGCAAGCTGTCGAGCAAGTTCTTGGAGGTGTTTGGGTGCCAGATCGACGTCGCCGTCGACGGCGTCAGTGCGGTCAACAAGGTGCGTGGGTTCAGGCGTTCTTCTTCGATGCGCACAAACTCATCGAGGGAGTTTGAATTGCTTTGCAGATGAACATGCAGAAATACGATCTCGTCCTCATGGACATTGTAATGCCCAATCTCGATGGTGAGTTAGAGAGGCGTTTCGAGCGACTATATCTGTTACTCACCCGTTGTAATCTCGGAATGGCAGGTGTTTCCGCGACATCCTTGATTCGACAGTTCGATCCAATGACCCCAATCATCTCGATGACGTCCAACTCGGGCCCAAACGACATCATGACGTACTTCTCGCACGGCATGAACGATATCCTCCCCAAGCCCTTCACCAAAGAAGGTCTGCTCGGTATGCTCGAGAAGCACTTGATCCACCTCAAGGTGATTCAACAGATGGCCGAGATCCCCCGTGCCCTCGGCTTCACCGATAACCAGATCCAGGACGCTCTTGCCGGTGCGGTCTCGGACGAAGGCACGATCAACAACCCGTTCTCATCGATGGGCATCTCGGACCACGACTACGTCGAGATGCTGCAAGGGATCGCGATGGAGAAGGAAGGCAAGAGAGGTTTGGAGGTCGTGCAGGGCGATGAGCGGGAGGGCAAGCGCGCGAGGTTTCAAGAGGTGTCCATGGGACAGCAGATGGCGTAAGGGCGAGAGGACACGATTTTTATACACACGATTTTTGTGATGTGCTGCTACCTTTTGGCGGCTTTTCCGATACGATATCATTACCCCCGGGGCGTGCTTGCTTGTCCGGGCCATATCGAGATATTGAGGGTCCACTCGGTGCGACTACGTAGCATTGCACTGCCGCGGAGGGGTGGTCGAGGTGGACATTGGTTTCTCTTTCCTGTTTGTATTGATCCTGGTTGTGTTGAAGCTTCTCTGTAATAGACATTGATCCAAATCCTTGTGCTCTTTGGGAAGCTGGGATCAAGCTCGTCGCAAATTGAAACGGAAGCGGACTCCTGCTAGGAACTTGTAGTTCCGAGAGACGTTTGCCCCGGCGCACTCGTACGCGCTGCACGGAATCTGCGACGAATGAATTCTCGTGTATCTACGCGACACCCATGCAACGCGCTTGCAGTGAAAATCCAGCTTTGCAGCCGCAATGGCTGGCTTAGGCCGGTCCTCTTCTTTGCCGAGCAGCAACGAGAATCTAAAATCGAAGGGATAGTATGGCCATCACTTGATGTCGGCAAGACTACTTTACGCTCTTACGTAGCCTCATATGACGCACTTGATCAAAGCACTCTCTCCAGTCAGTGGTGGATGGTGCGACAGCAAGTCTTTCGCTGTTATTTAACATGCGAGCAGTGATTCGTTCGTTTCGTTATGTCGTGGTACAAGAGGGACACAGTAGAATACAGCATCTGATAGGACAACTCGATGAACGTCAGCACCATGATTCAACACTGTAGGTGCCCCCTTTGACGTGGAGGAGGAACTCACCAGTCCAGGTAGGCTCAAATCCTCGGCGACTCCGCGTTCGCTATTGTAGGTGCCGTGGTGGTCGTCGAGGTATTCCTCTCATCCCTCTTCTTCAACCTTTCCTCCCTCATCTTCGCGAGCTGATCCTTGAGCTCGGATGGTGTTTGAGCCGGTGCGATCTGCAGGGGCAGCGAGCAGGAATCAGATCAGGCCACGCGAACGTGTCAGGGGCGACCGGTATCGAGCTGTAGTTTGACCTTTTACGCACCTGAGGCAAGTCATCTTTGCGGTAGTTCGATCGAAGCGGGCCGACGTATTGTTCGTACCAATCCGGATCGCCGTAATGGAGCATCGCAGCGATCGGAATAAAGACGTCTATCCGCGGTCACGACAGATTTCACTCGTCAACCACAGGATCGAGTGTTTCTGGAGAGGATGGAGAGCTCACAAAGTCCGAATTTGAATAGTTCGAGCTGTGCGGGTGCCATCGTGTGTGTGTCTCGAATGCGAGGTCGTGTTCGAAGGCCAAGCAGCAGCGGAGTTCGCGCCGGACCCGAGGCCACGAGCGGCCACGAGCGGCAACGAGAGGTAACGTGACCGCGCGGGCAGGCTCGGGCAGGCACCGGCTAGCGGCTGGCACGGGCTATTACTAAATAACTAGGTGCGTTACTAAATAATAGTCGCGGGCTCAGACTGGCTCAGATCCTCCGCAGGCCCGCAAGGAACGAAGCTCCGCAACCGACCTCCGCGCAGTGTGCTCCTGCCTTTGACACTATCGCTCTCCCCTCAATCTCATCAACGCTTGGTAGGATGGACGCCAAAACAGAAGCACTGCACCGTAAGCGATCCACACTTCCTTTCATTCGAGATTATCCGACTGACCCCTCCCGATCCCTCCTCGAACCACTTCGCACCGACCTCCCTTCGATCTCACCAGAAACCCACTCGCACATCCACCTCTTCCTCCGCTCGCACAACCTCCCCAAAACGGCCTCGGCTCTATCCAAAGAGCTGCTCAAGAATGGCACCCCTTTGATCACCGACCAACTCGATCCTCGACCGAGCGAAGGCGCCTTGTTGGCTCTCTTGAAGGCTAAAGTGGATTTAAATAGGGCGTGAGTGGCCATTTGAGCATAAAGGGGGTGATGGGGATGTTGTGCTGACGACATCCGAGAAGGGTTCGCAGTAAACGATCTTCGAAGGAAAAGGAGACGAAAAAGGCAGCCGACGTCCTCTCGGACTCGGACGATTCGGCCGATTCGGCCGATTCTTCCGACGACGAGCAGGAAGCTACCAAAGGCGCACCCAAGGCAAAGGACACGAAAACCGCTGTGAACAAAGCAGAATCATCGGACTCCGATTCCGATTCCGATTCGAGCTCGGATTCTGATGCGGCTTCGGATTCGGATTCGAATTCGTCCGACGACGAAGAGGAGGAGGAGGAGAAGCCAACGAGTTTGGTCGGCAAGGTCGTCGACAAGGTCAAGATGGTGGCCAAAGCTGTTGCAGAAGAAATTGCCGTACTCGAAAAACCATCGACATCAGCAAAGAAACTTGAGACGGCTTCTGATTCCGACGACTCGTCGGACGATTCGAGCGACGAGGAGGACAAGGAGAAGAAGGTCCCGGTTAAGGCCACAGCAACCAAAGTCGTCGAGGCCGTAGCACCGAAAGCGACTTCCAACAAACGCAAGGCCGGCGAGTCGTCCTCCGACTCGGATTCCGGTTCCGACTCGAGCTCGTTCGATTCCGATTCGTCCTCCTCTTCCTCTTCCGACTCGGATTCGGACTCTTCCTCCGACTCTGATGCGGAATCCAAAGCTAAACCGACCAAGAAGAAGCAAAAAGTCGTTGCATCTCCTAAAGCACCCGAACCTGTCTCCTTGCCCCCACCTGTACCCGCTGTTGCTTCACCTAAACTCACGACCCCTCTTGCGAATGGTATCAACGGAGGGAATAAGAAGAAGGAACGTGTTGTCAATGCCCCGTTCCGACGCGTCAAGGCGGAGGAGGTGACCTTTGCGGATCCGAGGTTGAAGGATAACTCGTTTGCGGCTAGGGCGAGTGATCTCCTCGTCTTTGACTTGTTCATTTTCAATCGCTGACCAAATTCATTTCTGGTTTTTCAGCCCGCTGGGATGTCGGATTACGGCGCCAAAGCTTCTGCCGATCTTCTCGTCACGCGAGGGAAGGGGTTCACCAAGGAAAAGAACAAGAAGAAGAGGGGGAGTTATCGAGGTGGCGATATCACGATGGAGAGCCACTCAATCAAGTTTAACTATGATTGATTGGGTTCGGGGCCGCATGGGATAAGTTAATTGCGGTGGTGGCGTACCGTTGTGGTACTGATTGTCTGGGCGATCGTGTCTATTCTCTCGCATCGTGTAATCAAGAGTTGTTTTTTATTCGCACCCAGTGAAAATCATTCGAAAATCTGATACTAGACCCATGCAAGTAATGCTCTGTCCCTGCTTTTATGCGAACCATCACTATGCGCGCCCTCAAAGGATTGTGCCCAACCTGTCTCAGGGAAACAAAGTAGAGAGGAACAGAATTGGATGACTCAGTTCAAATTGTCCATACCCAAAGAACGAGACTCACCCTCCCTCCCCACTCGACCACCACCATCACCGTATGAGCCAGCTCAAGCCGTCCTCCCTCCCGGACCCGAAGGACCATAGTAGATCCCAGCCGCGAGCGCCGCGACGATCCCGACACTAACAAGGACGGCGCTGACGTTACCGACCATGACCCAAGGGGAAGGTTTGGTGACCCCGGGTCGAGCTCGTGCGCGCGCTCGGGCATGGGAGGGGTTCAACGCTTTCGGTGCTACGCTCTGGGTGGGAGTGGAGGGGGGGGAAAAGGGTAAAGACTCGAATACGGACCCAATTTGTTTCAACGAGTTGATGTAGTAACTCGTGAGCTGTGAGAACGATCGTTCCAACTGTAAATCAGTACCACTTGTCCCCCTCTCTCTTAGAAACAGCGGGGCGCAGTCTCACATTTCGTTCAGCCTCGTCCTCTTTCCCAACCGGAACGCCGGAAAGCCTTAACGTCAACGTCGTCGAAGCCGAGCCTTGGTGCAAAGTCGTCTCGAGCGTGCCAAAGTACCCCTCGGGCCAGGTTGGTGCCCGCCAACTCGTCGTCATCGAGGTCGGCGCCTTGACGTCCTCGACTTTACCCGTGATGTTGCGACCAAACAACTCGACCTCGGCGCCGACTTCTGGACGGAACTTGGCCGGGTTGCGCGACCAAAGAGGAATTTTTTGTTCATTCGTGAGGAACTCCCACAGCGTCGCGGCGTCGCACATGAACTCGCCCTCGGCCTTGACGACGGCCGTATTGAACGACTGGCCGCTCTTGCCCTGGCCGACCGAGACCGACGAACCCGACGGGACCGTCGGCTTGGACTGGCTCGTCGTCGCCGAAGAAGAAGCCGTTGCCGTAGCGGGTGTCGAGGCGCCAGAGCCGGCACCGGAACCTCCGTCGACGTCGGAGAGCAAGTCCTTGCCGTGGGCCTCGATCAAATCGGCGGGGAAGCGTTGGAAGATGGGGCGCAGCTTGTTGGCCAAAGCCTTTCTCGCGATCGTGTTGAACGCATCCGACTTCTTGGTCGCAGCAGAGTCGAGCGTCGAGGTAAAGACGTAGTCGTCCTCGTCCATGTCGTGTGCGACCTCGTGGACGATCAAACTGCCGGTCACGCTGTCGTCGCCCTCGCCGGCTCGCCAGAGCATAGTGATCTTTTGGTCGTAGATGGTGACGAGCTTGGACTTGCGCATCCCCACTTCGCAGTCACCTTCGACGTCCTTGACCGAGTCGATTCGCACGCCCTCGGCCTCGACGCCGATGAGCTCTTTCCTGAACCAGTCCTTGGCCCATCTGTGGTCGTGACGTCATGTCATGCCAATGTGAAGGCGACAGAGGATAAGTCAGCTCAGGACCCTGTTCTAATCCATAACCCTCACTCGGGTGTAGCACTTTGAAGTGCACACGGATGCAGTCGGCTCCTGTCCACCAACGTCCCGGGAGAGGGGGACCGTTGACGGAATCGCATCGAAGGAAGCTCGCCGAGGCCCAGTCGTGGTCTTGCGTGTGGAGCCGTGTGGGGCTGGAAGAGGGTTACTTACGATTCACATCCTTTTGTTCGCCAATCTGCGCGAGTTCAACCACACACCACCCGTCGACGGTTTCAGCATACGTCAGGTGCGAACTCCATAAGGTCAGAGCGAGCTCGTGCAAGAGCACTCACGCCAGTTCTTGATGCCAGGTCGGTCCATGATGGTCGGTGCTAGTCAATGTCAGTGTGAGGGTGGTGAGATTGCGATTATTCAGGTGTTTGCGGGTGTGCGATTGCGAGTGCGAGCGGACGGTGGTTGGCTCCGAGTTGCGGCAGGAGAATGAAGAATGCCGTGGAACACTTCGGGCACAAATCGGCCGCTCAACTGCCGTGGCCGGGCTTGGCCAGTCGTGGCCCAAACTCTCCCGAACTGGCCCTGCCTATCCCGGACCAATCTACAGGAACTGCAGCCAGGTTTTTCTCGATTCGCGCCGTATTTCTTGTTCATTCTGTGGAATGTCAAAGACTGTAAATAGGCCGTGCTCGGAAGATGACCGTTCTGTCTTACTCAACGAAGAGCCAGGCTTTACAAAATGCTGAGCAACCCACTCGACTCATCCATCGACATTCCCAGAGACTTCATCTCCCACCCCCTCATTCAGAGAGTCCGACTCCTTGGCATAATCACCCCAAAAAGCCCCCTCGGCGCGAAGCTGAGCCTCATCGTCATCCTCCTCCCCGTCCTCCTCATCCGCTTCTTCCTCCTCAGCTCTTCGAGCCCACATCTCTTCCTCTTGTCGATTTCTCTGTGAAGGTCGAGGACCTCGGGGATCGTAGGGTGAGGGAGAGCGTTTGCGGTCACGAGTACTTGCTGCTGCGATCGGTACGTGGGTTCCGAGGTCTAGGACCCTGAAGGGTAACGTCTTTTTCGAGGAGGAATCGTCGACGGCAGGATCGGCTTCGGCTTGGTCGACGGAAGGGGCCGGAGAGGATGAAGGGGAATGGAAAGGCGAAGGCGAGCCGGCGGCGGCTGCGAACCGTACAGAGGATCGAGGTTTGATCATCGACGCAGGGGGTATGTTGGGACTATCGGGGACGATCGAGGATGGTGGAGGATGCAGGGTCGGCGATGCAGATTCGTCGTCGAGGCCGGCGGAGACTCCAGCTTCTTCGACTTCCATCGCGTCGTCCTTGGTTCCGCTGCTCCTGCTCAAGCCCGAAAATCCGAATCAGGACGAAGATCACGCCTGATCACGATGATTTACGACCCATCGCTCACTGCTCTTCCGCCGCCACCTCTTCCCTCTTCCTTTTCGCCGCCATCTGCGCTTCCTTCCCCACCCTGATCAGTTCCCTAAACTCCTTCTCATGTTCCTTAGCATACTTGTCCCTATTCCCAATCGCATGATTCTCCTGCGCGCTCATCGTCGTCTCCCACTCCTTGAGCTCCTGACGCATCTGCGACGGCGTCTTGTGCCGAGGGTCCTTGGGGTCAACGTCCGAGTTGGCATTCCAGATCGTCGTCCATCGTTGGTGACGCTTGGTGAGGTAGGCGACTTTGGCATCCTGCTTCGTCGCTTCTGGTGGGACGGAGAGGTCGAGATTGAAGTCCTGCGAGCGAGGAGAGAATACAAGACTTTGCGTTGGTGAGTAAGCTCCGATGCGAATCCTGCAAGAAACGTGCAGGCTCACCTCAAGCAAGCTATGAATCCTTTTGAGCTTCATTCCGGCGTATGATATTTGAGGTATCGGGTCGGTCGTCGGGTGACCCGATCTGAGTTCAAAGGATACCGATTCAGTCTCGATTTGACGTCAGCTCGTTTAACGAGCAAGGGTAGCTCACATCTCTTCATCTTTGGCCTTGCCCTTGGAGCTCTCCCCGCTCGTGTTGGCTGAGGTACTCGAGAACATGCTTCCCCACGCGGCTCCGGCAGGTTTGATAACTGCACATCCGCTGTCGATATGCCGGTTCATGTCGGCGTTTCGTACTTGGGCTTGACAGATGGGGCATTCGACGTTCAAATTGGCTAAGCAGCGGTGGAGCAGGGTTCATGGTAAGCTTTGTTCCATACCACAACCGACGTGAAATGTAGATTGGAACCTACGATCGTCTGGGTTACCTCCCCGACTCGAGCGCTGGGACCTCCTCGAAACGACAGGAGGACTTTCGATGATCTCGAGGTCCGAGCTGGCGGCATCATCGTAGGCTGTGCCACTTGCTCTGTTCGATGTCGTAGAATTGCGAGTCGATCTCGTCGATGTGGAAGCGTGGCCCGAGCCTTCACTCTTGACGCGTTTCGCAGGCCTCGAGTCTTGGGCTTTGGACGTGAACGGTACGGAGCCTTCGTTCGACCCGCGAGAAGCCGTCGTCGCGAGAGCTTGCAAGTCCAAAATGGCGGCTCTGTGCGGTAGATTTCCAACAAGAAAATCGATTCAATCACTCATAAGTTGTGACTGGATCGCGAGTGTGCTCCGCACCTTGCTTTTTGCCAGGCCTGTACGACCTCTTCGATGCGCTGGTTCTTGCGCAGCCTCGAGGTGTCGGTTTCCATTGCGCATTGTGGGCACTTGCGACGTTCCGAGAGACTCTGTCTGTATAAATCTCAGGTTATGTCTCAGCCTCTGCCGCCACGAAAACCACGCGGGGATGAGATCTGGCGAGTCGGGGATGAGCGCGCCGCGACGTGTCGTCGTCCATCATCCGATCATCCAGATGGAAGACCGCACGGGCCTTCGGATGTTTGAGTCGAGACTAAGACGTGGACTGACCTCAAACATCTCGAACAAAAGGTGTGACAACAGGTGGTGAGGATGACGGGACCGACAAAGAGCTCGGAACAGATGGGACATCGCAACGACGCGTCGAGCAGCCCGAGCTCGGGCGAGGTAAAGTCAGTCGGATCATCGATGTCGAAATTGAGAGCGTGTGGGACTGGTGGTGGCGGGGCAGGTGCTGGGGTGGAACGCCTCACCATCGGGCACAGCTCGGGAGAGAGAATCGACGTAGATGTGTTAAGGAGCAAGCGCCGACGATTGACATCACGTCCACGTCCTCTGTCGCGCGCCGGGCTTCCACAGTGGGAATTTGGCCCACGCGCCAGCCTGCGCCAGCACGCGCCTACGGCCCTACATCGAACAGCACCATGTGGATCGCCCTTTCGTCACGACTCAGGACTGCTCCCTTCTGTGCACCTCCTCGACTCGTTGTTCGGGTCGAGCAGCGTCAGTACGGGACTCCGAGAGGTTGGCTCGTGTTGATCATGGTCGGTCAACGTTTTTCATCTATAGTCTCAGAGCTCAGGGTGTCGGCAGGCGTCCAGGTGGCAGGCGAGCCCGTCCAAGGGCAAGGCGAGCACGGTCCTCCTGGCGCTGCTGGTCGATGACAATGGCGTCATGACCACGTACGACGCTGGATCGACTTGGAAGTTGGAACTGAATCTATCCACCCCACCCCACAGCCCACGAAGCGCAAAGCAGCCACCATATCGTCTTCATCCACCTCCAACAAAGCCTCAACTTCTTCTTCCGATATGGTCCAAGAACCTCCCGTCAAACGTCCTTCGACGCGTAGCTCCAAAGCGTTCGCCACCGCGGATCCGTCAACGTCGACTTCGGCCACCGCATCGACCTCGTCAGGTGCGAGCAGCTCCAAAAAGACACCGACCGCTGCCACCAAGGCAAATACTACTACTTCCACTGCTACCAAAGCGACGACCTCATCCACCTCCAAAATCGAAACCAAACGCAAGTCAGCCGAAGTCGAGCCCTTCGCTTCAACGTCTTCGTCCAAGACGAAAACTGCCACCACGGTCTCCAAGAAAGTGGTTCTGAAAACGGCAACCAAGCCTATCGAACAGGTCGAGCTCGACGACTTGCAGAGGGACGTTACGTCCGACAGTGGTGACTCGTCGGTGGTGATCGAGGTCGGTTCTGTCAAGTCTGCATTGCAAGTTGTGGGGGAAGCTGATGCGGCTGGGAACTGTACCGACAGGCACCCGCACCCAAGGTGACCAAGTCGACGGGCAAGAAGGCCAAAGAGCCCATCAAGAAATCGACTAAAGCCGTCAAAACCGCCACTGCATCATCTTCCAAAAGTTAGTCTCGATTTTCACTCGACGCTATGAGAGTCACAGGGAACTAACGATTTTTTCTGGTCCATTCAGGCGCTTCGAAAATCGGGACGACCAAGTTTACCTCAAAGAAAGTCGGCGCGCAGTTGACCGAGGACATCCAAGTGCACACGACGTCGACACCTTCCCCCGCTTCGGCCAAGAAGCCCAGCAAGACGGCCAAGTCTGCCAAGGTCACCGCGGTACTATTGAACTGGGACAAGCAGTGCAAGACCTGGTTCGCCGAGTACGCGAGTGAGGACGACCCCGAATTGATCAACTTTGACGGCATTCAAACGCTGTTTGAGCACATGGACATCAGTCTCGCCGATGTGGGTGTTCTCACCGATGTACGTTTAGATCGTGTACAACGCTGACCATCCGCGTTTATCCAGGTCACGGCCCTTGTGCTGTCGTGGAAGCTGAAAGCACCGACCTTTGGCTCATATTCGCTCGCCGACTGGCAACGCACTTTTTGCCGAGATTCGTGAGTCAGGTGATTGCGGATTGTCTACACTTTTACCCTTTCATTGACGAAGACTGTCTGTTGCACCTCCGACTCAGCGTCAAGTCGACCTACGAACTCAAAAAGTGGCTGCTCGATGTGGAAAAGACATTGTGGCCCGAGAAGCCATCCGAACGCTCGGACGCGCAACTGCACGAGTTCTACCTCTTCCTCTTCTCCTACATGATGCCCGAAGGTCAAAAGACGCTCCCCGGCGACGTCGCGCTCACGATCTGGGACCTCGTCCTCGCTCGACGTTTCGAAACGGGCCGAGCGATCGTGCGCTACGGCCAATTTTTCGCTGAAGAGACGCTCCGAGGTGTTTCGAAGGATTTGTACCACCAAGTGTGGGAATTTGCCACGATGGTCACCCCAGACCTCAAGGGATGGAGTGAGGAGGACGCTTGTGAGTGAGTGGACGGACTCGAATGTGATAGGTCTACGGCGACTAACTGCTGGGGTTTTTGTAGGGCCATCGACTATCGATTCGTTCGTCGAGTGGCAGCAGAAGCAGTTGAAAGGCGAATGAAGCGTCAGCTCTCTTTGATCCTTCCGTTCATTACTGCCTCGTGCGAGGACTCATGTCGACATCTCCACCAATTTTCCGAAGCGAGCGGTCCTCCTCCCCGATCCCGATTATTTTGCCCCTGCCCCGCTCCGCTCTTGCCTCGCCCTCATCCCGACTTGGACTCGGGGTCTCATTCAGTCATATGCTCGCATCGCATTTTTTCCTCCCCTTGTTTTTTCAGCCCGCGCATGTCAATTCCTTTGCAATCTCATTCGTCTCCTATCATACAGAGTCGCACCGTCGGTCATTACTCTAACTAGTAAAAAAAAAGTGTGAGTTAAGGAATGTACCTAAAATCGCTGTTTTTAACTAGGTTGCGGCCCGGAGGGCCGCATGTGGTGGATGTACCAGCATACTATTGTGTCTGCCGCACCTGCCTGTGGTGTCCATGTTGCGATCAAACGTCATGTACAAGCTCTGTGGCAACTTTTGTATTTTTCACGCCAGTCGAACGAAGCTACAGCGTTCCCAGTAGTTTCCTTCACTTTTTCGTTGAGGTGAAACAGTGATAACACTTATATTGTAGTGAATGGACGGCGAGCGCGTGGCTTTGTATGACAATGCTTCTACAGCAGAGCTCCGCGTGACGGGCGGGGCGAGGGCTGCAGCTGGCGTCGGTCACGTGATGCGGCGCGCCAGCGGTGTCAGTGTCATTCCGGCAGCCGACCAGCGGCATCAGGTACTATGTAGGTGCTGAACAACAAATCACACCCCGTGAACAAACCCGCGACACTCCCTCTAAACCTTTCTTTTTCTCTCCCACTCTCATCGAATTTTGTGACACTCATTCAAGTATAAACCCTCGCCACTATGTCCCGGTCCTAAGGTCGCCAATTGGAGGGCCATCGCAACCTCGCCAAGTCTTGGCGCGGCCGCGATGAGTGAAAAATAGTTTCTCTGCTGACTTTCGTCATTATACCGTTCAATTCTCCTGCTATTTGGAATCATATTCCCCTTAATCCAACGGGATCCCACTGGTTTTATTAAAAAAAATTGCGCGGCGCAGACTCGGCGCCGGCCTGCAACACCACACGTACCGGCCGGGTGGATCGAAGAAGACTGAAGAGGATCTCGCACCCGGACTCAGCCGAAGCTCCTTCTCCCTTTCCCGCGGCTGTCCACACCCTCAAACCTGCCTTCAACTCCGTCCTCCGTCTCTGCCCCACTTCCCACTTCCCACTTCCCACTTCCCACTCCACCTTCCCCAATCCTCCATCATGGCCCTCACCTCTTCCAACTCCGGCTCGGACCAACTCGAGCACCTCAAATCGCTCGTCTCGCAACTGCAAGCCAAGATCGAACGGTTGGAATCGCAAGCCGGGTCCAAGGCTTCCGAGATCAAGGACACGATCAAAGAGAAGGTTGGGTTGACGCCGGCGCAGCATTTGAGGATCGTGTTGATGGGGCCTCCTGGTGCTGGTGAGTTGGGTGGTGGTGACTTGTGGGATGGGATGGGTTTGATCAGGCTTGATCAGGCTTGCTGGGGCAGAGGTGGTGCAGCTGGCCGAGGAGGAGGGGATTCACCGTCGCGGGAAATCAAGGCGAGGCGAGCGGGTGTGTGCGGACGGACTAAAGGGATGGGTGGATGATGACATGTCGATGCTATGGGATGAGAGGACGAAAGATCGGGGTTCACGTGCTCAGTACAGGGTGCGCACACCCAACGCCGAGGACCCCCGTCGTCTACTTCGCCGCCGCCGCCGATCTTCCGCATGATGGTCTTCCAACGGAAGGCCGGACGTTCGTGGTTTTATCCCCAAATCGCTTTCGACTGCCCAAGCTTTCTCCAAGCTCGAGACGTCTCCTTTGCTCCGAGCGCAACCCATGAACTCGCTCAGCCGGTCCCAGGGCAACTCCTCGCTGACACTACCGTTCCTGCACCAGGCAAGGGGACCCAAGCGCCCAACATCAAGGACAAGTTCAACGTCTGCCACTTGGCGACCGGCGACATGTTGCGCGAGCAGGTCAAGCAAGGCACCGAGCTCGGCAAGCAGGCTAAGAAGATCATGGACCAAGGTGGACTCGTCTCGGATGAGATCGTCATTGGCATGATCCAGCAGCAGTTGGACGAGAACAAGGAATGCGAGCTTGGGTAGGTCCGGTTATATAAAGTTCGATTGAAAGACGGCGACTGATTCTCTGCGATCGGCACCTCTACCTCCAGTTTCATCCTCGACGGTTTCCCTCGCACGGTCGGCCAGGCCCAGAAGCTCGACAGCATGCTCGAGAAGAAGCAACAACCCCTCGAGCACGCGATCCAGCTACTTGTCAACGACAACTTGCTCGTCAGCCGCATCACCGGTCGTTTGATCCACCCCGCTTCCGGTCGTTCGTACCACAAGGAGTTTGCGTGAGTCTTTTTTTCGTTTGTCGAATGGATTGATTTGAGGGGTTGGACGAGATGCTCAAGCGCACGATCGCTCTTCTTCCATGTGACAGCCCCCCAAAGAAGGCCATGACCGACGACATCACGGGCGAACCCCTGATCCAACGCTCCGACGACACGGCCGAGACCTTGCGCAAGCGCCTCGACACCTACCACCAGCAGACCGACCCCGTCGCAGACTACTACAAGACCAAAGGCGTAAGCCACTTACGGATGCTGCGATCTTCGACAGAAATTTTAGCTGATTGAATAACGTTCTTCGCCTTACAAAGATCTGGAAGGGTGTCGATGCGGCCCAGTCCCCCAAGACGGTTTGGGAGACCCTCCAAAAGACGTTCGCCGAGCACGCCGAGAAGAACAAGTAAAGCGTCGCTTCGTGATCAGAAAAATAACAGAAGTGAAGAGGAAGAGCGGCCTTTTTGGGGGGATCGCAATAGAGTGCTTGTCAAAACAGGAGGGCCGATTCTCTTTTGAAGGAGAAAGGCACGCGGAGGAAATGAAATAAGACACACGAAAAGGAATTCAAAACATATCATACTGGGGAAGAGATAGGTATAAATAGCGTAGGTTACACATCCGAACATCAAGATTACGGAGTATACAAAGACAAGAAGGGCCCAAGCACAAGAAAGGGAGCGTCGTGAGACTTGTATTGAATAAGAAGAAACGTATATTTGAGCACTAAGGAGAGTCTTCAACCTCGACGAGTCATCTGTTCATCGAAATAGGGATTAGGTCAGTCCGATCAGGCCTGTTTGGATGACATGGTATCAACAAAAACCCTACCAAGAATGTTCCTGGGGTGGAGAAGTACAAGACAGAGGTGTCAGCCAGGATGTCGATACGGGTAAGCTTGGTCGCGAGTCCTACTGACCTTCATAACCAGACATATTAGTCGGCGTATGGGTATCCCTCCACCTTCCAACGAGGTTACCACCTACGCAGTACCCTCGATAGAGCCATCTCCCCCTTGAATCGGGGGTGTACTCTTTCGTAATGGAGAACATGCCGTCGTAGGACCGCACGCGTCCTTTGAGGTTGAATTGACCCCATGCCGAATGACCCTGTTTCGACAGAAAAGTCAATATCGAGTTTCACACGAGGACAGGTCAATCCTGTCACGGCTCACCGAACCGGACAACAAGATCTCGTAATCACCATCCTCATCTTCGGCCTCTCGATCTTCTTCCCATTCGATCGGCTCTTCGACAATACTCCGAGGTCGTTTGCTCCCCCTCGTGCTCGACGAGTCGGTCCTCGATTGGCGTGCCGCATCCTCACTCACTCGACGGGCCAACATCGCCCCTCCTCCTGAACTCGCAGCTCCCGAAGTCATCGCCGGCGCTCCTCGATCAAGACTCTGCGATCTCCTCAACGGACCAAATTGCCCAATTTCGTAACCCGCATTCAAGATCGGTCCTTTGCCACCCTGACGTTGCCCCGCTCCCAACTTGACGATCGTCTCTTCAATCTTCCACACCTGCGGCTGATCCCCAAACGGTCCTTCGTACAAGGATCGCATCCGACCTCCCAGCATCTCGCGATAGGAATCAAAGTCGAAAAAGGAGAACCGGCCTTCCCAAGAGCCGGCCAGGTCGCCTCGGGTGCACAACGTCGGTAGCCCTCGCGACGAATAAGGATCGATGCACGAGGCGAGTCGAGCGAAATCGCGGTCATGGAATCTGGACACGAGCGTAGGTAGTTCGGTTTTGACGGGTCGACTCGAAAAAGTTGCCGCGCCCCCGGCAGCAGTGGTGGCCGTCGGAGCGTTGGTGTTCATCTGCAGCTGGAAACGAGGTGGGGCCCCAGCTGCGGCTGGGTTGACGACGTCGGCCGAGACCTGTGACGGATCTTGCTCGACGCGGTAGAAGAAGCTGAAAATGGCGGCGTGGGCCAAGACGGGTGGGGTCATCTCGATGCGTCGACCCATGTGGGTGATGATTTGGGCGTGGGTGCGCGGGCGTAAATCGGCGAGGAAGGCGCCCATCGGTGGCGGGACGATGGGGTGTGATTGTCGCGTTACAGGGAGCGTCGGAATCGTCCAGGGGACATGGAAGGCGTCGAACTTGTGGGCACCAAAAACGTAGGGCTTGAGGACGAAGAAGCGTTGCTCAGATTCTGCGGGCGTCTCCGCACGGAGGTCGTCGCCGCCGAGCCAGCCGATCCATAGCCCGAGCGCTCGTCCTGCAGTCTGCCGTGGCCAACCCGGGTTCAGCGCCTCTGTAAAAAGCGAGTGTTCGTAAAAGAGTCGCATGTAGTCGCGCATCAGACCGTATTCAACGAGGTGCGCGAGGTTCTTTCCATCTAAGAGAGCAGGAGTTTCGCGGACATTAGCGGGCAGGAAAGACTGATCCTCCCGAGTATGCACGCTCAGACTGACCATTCTCGAGCAACATCAGATAGCAAGTCCATAGATTCTGGGTCAGCTCGTCCGGTTCAGTCAAGACGGGACCATCGAAGGAAGCCATGGCCTGCATCCTGGGACTGGACGGTCGAGAGCTCGAGGGTGGGATCGACCCCGTAATGGCAGCGGAGCGCATCCTTGTGAGGATCGTGCATCTCCGCTTGAGTTCCTTGGCCAGATCACGGCTCATGAGGGGTCTCCACACCGACGTCGATTCGAGGAGGTATTCGGAAGGCGAGTTGGGCCGGGTAAAGGAGCCGACGGTGAACTTGAGGTTGTTCGCTGGGCGAGCTTCGGTGGCCGATTCGAGCAGCACTGACTTCTTTTCCCGCTTGTCCTCAATCGTTTTCATCTGGTAAGAGAGTGCGAGCAAAGTTCAGACACGATTCAGTAAAGTACAACGTGGGGCAGAAGAGTACTTACTGCTGCCCATCGTCTCTCGACCGATCGCCAGTCGAAGCGCTGACGGAATAGATCCGCGTAGAAGCCCTCGTTGCGAGGACCCAGTACATCGTAGAAGCGTTTGCTGAGCAGGAACACGCTCAGCAGCGACGAAGGTGCACCCACGGGGCATTGACGACAGACGGAAAAGGCGATGGCTTCGATCAACTCGGGTGGCAACCGCTCGAAGGGGGACAGCGAGGCTTCCATCGACTTGTGCTGCTGGCTCCCCACGACCCCGCCTCCAAGCCTGCCGTTGCCGTTGCCGTTGCCGTTGCCGTTGCCGCTGCCGAACTCGGTAGAGTCGCTCGGATCCTCCTTCCAGTCCGGCACAGTCGGCGGGGGTGAATGCAACGACAGCGTCGAGTCAAACGTCTGGGAGAGCAAGGGAGAGAACAACAGGGGTACGGTCGCCATCGTGCCTAGCGCAGAAGGATGGACGGATCGAGAGGGGGAGGGAGGAACGATCGGACGTCGCGCGAGGGCCCTTAGCTCAGCAGCTCAGCCTGCCCTGGCAGCGCTCAGCAGCGTAATAAGGGGAACTCCGAGAACGCGAGGGGAAGGGCGGCATTCCAAAGTGGGATAATACCATTGCAAAATGACAATTCCTTTTGAATTAACAACATTTCAAGGTCTGCTAACTCTGCACGAACGTTGGAGGAGCTTTCCGATTGCTTGTTCGCTGACCTTTTTTTAATTTGGTCAGGAGCTAGTTCAGCTGCTGTGCAAGCTAATCCGCCGAATTGTCGATGTAGAGCCGCGGGATGTGTCTCCGTCGACCCGCGATGGATGAGCCACTTATCGAGCCAAATTCTCCGAGCCGGGAGATTGACTCTATCGTAGACCATTTAGCATGCTTTCAAAGATGAACAAAAGGGTCGCATCAACCTCGGCCCTGTGCCAATCTGCGGAGTTTGTGATCCGGCAGCTGCCAAGTGATCTAACGCGGTAGGCTGAACTTCAGTGCGAGATCTCCGATGCCCGAAAGGGACGCGTTCTCGAATTTCAAATCCGTGGTGCATGCGCATCTCGACTCGGAGACGTGCACTCAAAAACTACAAAACACGACAAGGGTTCACTAGGGAGGCTCAATGTAGGAGTTGGATCTGGCTAGGCTAAACAAAGACAAGTCGCCTGCCACTTAGCACCGCCAGCGTAAGAGTTCCGAGGTGAAACCAATTCGAAAGCAACAGAAAAAGAAAAGGGGACCTTGTCGACCGAGGTGGAGATGGCTTGAAGACCGTGTGCAGCTGGAGGTTGACGCGTACATTAGAAGTAAGCTACCTGGTACCATAGGATTAGGGTACATGCTACTCACTGAAGTTTAGGGTACCGTGAACCTCCTTCGATCCGAGCAGGTGAGATCGGTCGACTCGGTAACGCAGTGGAGGCTACTGTGTGGAGAGTGTAGGCGAGGATCGAATCGTCAGCCCCGCCGTCGTCAAGGGCCGGCGAGCACGATCGATCCATCGATCGATCAAGGGTCAAAGCAAAGACTCACGGGGTACGATCAAATGCAAGCGGCCTTGTGGACCGGGAACAACCTCAGTGACATGCCGTAGGCGCCATTCAACACTCGTCGACGAGTGGATAGGCTGATGGCAAGCCGTGACGCCGTGACAGACGATAAGGTCGGAGGCAGTGGCGAGGTGGGAAGCGAGAGATCGCAGTGAGAGGGGAGAGGGGAGAGGTGGTGAGGGGTAAGATGATGGAGGTGGTGTGGTGAAAGATGGAGGCGAGACGGGTGAACACGAGACGAGTCAGTCCGACCATACGCCACACGAACACGATCGCTAGCTAGGTGGTTACTCACACTTTTGACGATGGGAGGGATCGAACGACAGACTCTACCACATCACAAAGGCCACCGTTTTGTATCCTCCTGAAAAGGGGGGCGATGTCGGCAAGATTAAGTGGTGCGAGAAGCGCAGAGCGCGTCGACGAGGAGAAGGAAGGGAGAAAGAGAGAGAGGCAACGAGCTCGAGGTGGTCGCTGACTTGGGTGCGGGGTGTGCGCTTGGCAGAATGAGTCATCTCATCGATATGACGCCACGCTGTGACTTCAAGCTTTCGATCTTCTCCACCTCTGCCGAGCGCGGCCGAGAGCGGCCGAGAGCGCCGAAGATCTGAACGGACAGGGGACCGTGCACCCCACATCGAGGCCAACGATCCACCCCTCGGAAAGACCGAATACCTTGTCGATCAAGCTCGGTCAAGTCTCAGCAAGTAGGTTGAGCTCCAGGGATCACCCCAGAGCTGAGATCGCCGCGATCGATACAGCGGTTGTCGCTCCAGCAGCTTGGTCCGAGTTGGGACGACCCCGAATTCCGAGTCCGCCGCGGAGCTGGGTTGCGGGGCCGGCTTCACGCGAGAGCTCCGACGCAGCGAGTCGAGGCTGTCATGCAAGTAGGGTGGCACCCGAATACAAAATCATATTAAAGAAGAAGAGATTTAAAAAATTACATGTACGTCGGACCATTGTTCATCAGAAAATTGGCGGATTCTCGCTGCCTAGATCGTGGACGCTCAAGCTCCCCACTGTGATCTTCCGAAAGGAGGCTGCCGCCTTGACCAGACTAAAATTGAGAGCAAAACTAATGAATATGGGGTACAGGCTATTTTACGGTACAATGAAATATTATGATGCATCTTCTCACACTACTCTGAGCTCGAACGACCTTTTGTTGGACCTGCCCTCGTTTGCTTTTCGGCTCGGAGCGATGGGCAGCGCGGCCTTCTCAACCACCCTTGATTCTTCGTCTTCTGCACCTGCATCTTGCATCTTGTGCCTTGCACCTTGCACCTACACACCTCATGCCTCCCTCGATGACGGTCAAACATGGCCACGACTGCCTCGGTTACGCTTTAGATGCCGTTCCAGACGCCCTTCTCTCTCGGAAGACGAACCTGAGCAGCGCGCTGGTTTCCCTCGTCGGCAGATCGAGTTCCTCAGAGCCCCAGCCCATAGCTACTCCAGGACGGTCCGTCGCGGCTTTGCATTGATGTTTGAACGCGGTAGAGCCGTCGATGATGGCGACTGAGTGGAGCTCAGTGATCGACGGCGTAGAGGGTCAACTAGGGTTTGCTCGACAAATCGTCCCGGAGTAGCTATGGGCTGGGGCTCTGAGGAACTCGATCTGCCGACGAGGGAAACCAGCGCGCTGCTCAGGTTCGTCTTCCGAGAGAGAAGGGCGTCTGGAACGGCATCTAAAGCGTAACCGAGGCAGTCGTGGCCATGTTTGACCGTCATCGAGGGAGGCATGAGGTGTGTAGGTGCAAGGTGCAAGGCACAAGATGCAAGATGCAGGTGCAGAAGACGAAGAATCAAGGGTGGTTGAGAAGGCCGCGCTGCCCATCGCTCCGAGCCGAAAAGCAAACGAGGGCAGGTCCAACAAAAGGTCGTTCGAGCTCAGAGTAGTGTGAGAAGATGCATCATAATATTTCATTGTACCGTAAAATAGCCTGTACCCCATATTCATTAGTTTTGCTCTCAATTTTAGTCTGGTCAAGGCGGCGGCCTCCTTTCGGAAGATCACAGTGGGGAGCTTGAGCGTCCACGATCTAGGCAGCGAGAATCCGCCAATTTTCTGATGAACAATGGTCCGACGTACATGTAATTTTTTTAAATCTCTTCTTCTTTAATATGATTTTGTATTCGGGTGCCACCCTACTTGCATGACAGCCTCGACTCGCTGCGTCGGAGCTCTTGCCGCTCCGCGGCGGACTCGAAGTTCGGCGCTGGCGTAGGCTCGCGTCACGTGAGGCCGTGAGGTCACGTTCAATTTCGACTAACCAATAATTATAAGTCACCCAGCCAGTACTAAGTGCTCACGGAGCAGGGTTTTAACTTTTGATCGAGGCTCCCATCGCGCAAACATGTTGATATTTAACAAGATGCGAGAGAGAGAAAAGTACGAAAGATGTCATGTAAAGGCGATTGTATACTGGAGAGCTTCAGTATGAAGCCATAAGGCCATTGTGACATCTTTCATCTCTCGTGCCAACTGCTCCGAGACTGGGAGCTCCCTACTATGGTACTGGACCCAAAACCGCCGGGTAACCCGCTAAGAAGCGAGGTTTGGCGGGCGCGCTTCGCGCCATTACCGGGCGTGTACCTTTGGGTGCTTTGGGTAATGCCCTGAGGTGGCTTAGATCGCGTTCGTCCCCCGAAAAGCGAGAGCCTACTGCCCCACATGCGGCGGGGGTCCGCGGCTCTTCTTGCGCTCTGGACCTCTTGCAGCATCCAATAGCCATTCACACACCATGTCGATGCCATACGGGTCCTACATGACGTACACTGTGGTAGCCATCGTATCGTACCTCGGCTACGTCCATCTGACCCGCTACTTCAGGATCAAAGCGACCCATCTCGCCTACGCGAAGCGCCATGGACTCGCTCGACCGCCTCCACTGCGTCGTGGACGTGATGGCCATGCACCGACGCGTGAACAATACCCCATGACACCAGCAGAAGCTCAGGCTATCTTGACTCCCGGATCCGAGTTTGATATGCCCTTTACAATCACCAAAGCGCTTGAATTCGCCTTATTCCTCGTGAGTCGCTCGTGACCTCTAGCCGTGGTTTGCGGGGACCCCAGCGCTCGCTTTCAGCTGAAAGTTTCAACCTCCCCAAAGACTTGTCAACCTGAAAGCTAGCTGACCAAGCACAAAAGAAGGCACCTTGCATCAAATAGATACTGACCATTCCAAGTGTACGTTTCTCCATCTTGGCGTCCATCACAGACCTACGGCATCGAGACCATCTCTGACGTGCTGCTCAGTTCTGCCGAGTTCACCGACATGGACAAAGCTGGTCGCCGGTGAGTAATATGTCCCTACGACGAGGCGGGTGCTTATGTCCTCAATGTTCATACTGATGTTTGTACGTTCCGTACAGCTACGTCGATACGAGTGTACTAATTGGCTCATTTCTCCGGTACCCCATGGTCGGCCCTGGCTCAGGAGTCGAATCAGCCGGACCGCTGGACCCACGAGGAGCCATCGCGATCGCTCGCATCAATCTTCAACATTCCCACTACAAGGCCATCATCAACAGCGATTTACTCTACACCCTGTCGACGTTCATCCGTGAGCCGGCCCTCTGGGCCCGTCGCTTCGAGTGGCGATGCTTGACCCCACTCGAGGAACAGGCCTGGCACGTCTTTTTCTCCGAGATTGGTCAGCGTATGGGCATCGAGGAGATCCCTGTCGAACTGCAGGAGATGCTCGATTGGTCCGAGGCGTACGAGGAGGAGAATATGCTGCCGAATGAGAAGAGTTGCAAGGTCGCTGAAGCAACGACGGATCTGCTCCTGTTCAACGTACCGAACTTTCTCAAGAATGGGGGACGTATCGTCGTATCGACTCTGATGACGGATAGGCTGCGTGCGGCGGTCAAGTAAGCATCCAATACCGTTCTAGTGATGTTCATGGTTCAGGACTGATCAATTCGAGATACTGACCCCCCCGCAGAGCTCCTCAACCTCCCGCTTGGCTCACGTGCTTTGTCCACTCGGCCCTTCACATGCGCGCATTCGTCATCCGTCACCTGTTTCCGCCTCGGCCCGAATCGATGGGGTTCAACACTGTTCCTCATCCCCGAGAATATCCCGCTTTCCCGCCCGGCTATCGACACGAAGCCTCCGCGGACGACGAAAAGCTTTCAAAGTCGGACAAGGCCTCAGATCGATACGCCCCGATGTCCCATCCTCCTTCGTACATGAATGAACCATGGTATATGCCAATCCCGTCTACGCCTTGGATGTGGCTACAGAAGGGGTTGATCATGATTGGACTGGCTCATCCGCGTTCGATCCCGTCTACGGAGTTTCAGCCGGAGGGTTATCGTTTGGAGACGATGGTGCGTTCCAGGCCTACTTTTTTCATTGCCTCTTGGGGAATTGTGAGGCTGATAAATCCGCGTGCTCTTTTTATGCCTACAGGGTCCTCGCAAGTACGAAGGCAAAGAAGTGGACGAGGTACGTCGACGAGCCGAGAAGATTCAAGGGGGCAAATTGGAAGGCCCCTATGCGGTCGGCGGAACCCCGCGCGCGCGATGCCCCTTCGCCATGTGAATCTTCGAGGCTCGTGGCCGTGTCTCTTGGTGGTGGCGAGCGTATGGCCTCTGGAGTTTTTGAAGTAACGAAGGATTTTAGTGATTTACTGTAAAGTTCCCTCTGTTGGCCTGTCTAGCCTCTGAAGTTTGTGATCCACGTGGCACACGGACGTCAAAATTGATGTTGACCATCGGCAGAATTTGTCTCTGATCCCACATGTGATAAATACAATCCTCAATTCATCAAAATTTCTCCTGCAAGCAACTGCGAGAGCTTACTTGAGCCATCATACGCTCTCATGACTCCTCACGAAGAGCACGCGTCGAGGTTCGAAGAGGTCCGTGCGCGTGCGCGGTGGACTTTATCGTTCAACCTCGCACTCGAGGCGCGTCTCGTCGCCCCTTGACTTGCGCGCATACACACAGCCCACACGAGACGATCCACCCTCTTCCGCGGACAGTCGCAGTACACGTACCACACTACTACGCGTATCACGCCTTTGCATAAGTCTGTCATCATGTCAGCCGAGATGGCCAAGTTCGACGAAGAGTACGGCACCTTGATCGAAGGCACGCTCGAGTTGTTCAAGAACGCGGACGGCGACGAGCCCATCGACTGGGACGAGAAGAAGCGTCTTTGGAACGGTCCCGAGGTCAAGATCATGCATCGGACGATCGAGGGCGTCGAGGAGCTGAACAAGAGGTCCAAGGTCGTTGTTGATCACGCGAGGGATCATTTGAGGGGTGCGTTTGGCGCGCCGCTTTGGCATCGCGTTCCTTCGGAAGCGTGTCTTGAGATAGATATTTGATACTGACTTACCATGCGCCAAATCGCAGCCCTCGCACGCGAACAAGAACGACTTCGCATCGCGGCCTCGCGGCCTGCGGGAGTTCCCTCGGCCGAAGAGCACGTCCGGCTGATGGAGCAGAACCGCCAACAGCTCTTCACGGGCTACAAAAAGAACAGCGAGCTCGAGCAGAACGTCGCGAGGCTGCAGGCCGAGTTGGCCAGGTTGCAGCAAGAGTTGAGGGACGAGGATGCCGATGTCGTGCATGTTTCGGAACTCAATTCGGAAGTGTGAGTTGGGATGACGAACCTTTCTTTGAGGAGCGCGATCGAGACTCGCTTGGGATCGGTGCTTACTTTGATGGATCTTCACATAGCCTTCGCCTTTCTCTGTACCGGAATCTCGGGTTCATGCCCAAGGAACAGGACGGTGCCGTACGAGCTGTCATCGTCAGTGAGTGCAGTCGCGTGGCTGGGAAAGCGTTCAACCCGGAAAGCAAACCAAATCGCGTGCTGACCTTTCGACGTCTTGGAACAGAATCTCAAGCGAGCGACAAGGTGCGCACAGTGCAACTCGATGCGGAATCGTCGGATTTCGCGTGGTCCAACACGCTGTGGAATGGATTGGTCGCCTGAGGAAGCTGAGGAAGCTGAGGGGAGGGATATGGGTGAATTTTATGCATCTGTTTTTCACTGGCGAATATGTCGAGGAGGAGTCTTGGAAATAGTCTTGGGGATTGTGTTGTAATATCAGCTGTTGCGATCGTGTGCCCAGTTCCATCGAGATGCCGATCGGTGAATTGGAGAAATCAGAGTAGGTCCTCCGAGCGCGCTGGTGCAAGAGGCTCTAGCGGCCCCTCGCCCTCAGCCAACTCGCAGCTCGCCTTGCGCGCCTGATCGACCTCCACGCCTCAACCATGTACTCGGGCCTGGGCACACCACCTGCGAACTCGGCCACACCCCGACGGGTGGGCACACCTCGACGTGCTGGGTCTCGTGCAGCGACTCGTGCGGCGTCGCAGGCGTTGCAGACGTTGCAGTCGGGCGAGACCACGCCTCGAGCCTCACCCGAACCCAGCCTCGCCGGCTCGCAGTACGGCAGAGGGATCTATGGTCAACCCGCTCCCCAGAGCTATGGTCGCCCACTTCCGATCGCAGCTTCGAGTCGTCGTGCACAGAGCTCGATCGCAGCTTCGTCCGACGCGGGAGGCGACGACGACCGACGCTCCGTTGTGGGCTCACGACCTACAGATGAGTCACTCGACAAGGTGCTCGTCAGGGATGAGTACTTCGTCGTGTTCGAACGTAAGGGACTGCCCGTGGAGGTGCAGCAGATCGTCTCGAGTGCAGGTCAGTCCCCTTTTTTTTGCTCTGCCTCCCCCGTGGTTCAGTCGCTGACGACCCCATCTGCCCATCCAGACCCCTACGTCGACCCTTTCCGTGCAACACTCGATCACACCACTGGATTTGCGTGCCTCGTCACGCGCGAATACTGCTTTGTCTGGAACTGGACAAAGGTGAGCACGCCAAGCGGAACCGTCTTGCTCCTCTCGAGAGACACGAGCTCACCTCTCTCCCTACTCTCTCTGTCGCTTGGACATCCGTCGGTCAGCGCTCGAGTGCATCAGCAACCTACATCTTCCCACTACCCAAGACCGACTCGCTCCCTAGCAACGTCTCTGTCTATGCGCCCCTCTCGTTCGCCAGCTTCGTCGTTTCCTCGACCGGTAGCGCTTCGTCTCGACGAGAGCCCGGTCTCCTGGCCGTGTCGACGACCGGTGAACTTCGTTTCTGGGAAGCTCTAAGCATGGCACTTTCCGGCGTTGAGCGTTACCTCGGTGCATCTCTTTCCCTCACCGAGGGCGAACTCGTCCGCGGACTCACGACCCTCTCCCCGACCTCGTACGTCGTCAGCACCAGCCGTTCGCGTGTCTTGCTCATCGCTCTCACCTCGATCGGAGGTCGCGTCGATGTCAACGTGCGTCCCTTGGAGCGAAGTGTCGGATGGGCAGGCTCGGTCTGGTCCGCCGTCTTTGGCGGCAAGAACACCGCCGATCCCACCGCCGGCATCCTCTCCGTTGCCGTGTCCCCCGTCCCGTCCACACCGGACGGGGGCAAACACCTCATCTACGCCGTCACCGACACGAACGTACATGTCTGGGATGTGCCTCTGCGGGACGATGGCAGTGAGCGTTTGATTGTCGAGCAGGACGTACTCGCCGGTATTCTCGAGGCGCTCGAGGGGGCCAAGGTCGGCAACGAGGCATGGGCCACGAACGAACGACGTGCTACGATCCTCGACACTGCTGTCACAGCTTCGGGCCATTTGGCGTTGCTCGTCTCCCACGTCACACTCACAACGGCATCAAAGTCGCTATCATACTCGATCGTGCTGCTTGACGTCGGAAACGCGCAGCTTGGCGTCGACGTCGTCGGGGTCCGACACCTGCACTATCAAGCTCCGGTTGATCCCCGACCTCTTTCTTCACCCAGAATCAATCTCGGACCCAACTCTATCGCCTTTGTCGTCTTTGTCGACGCCGTAATTGTGGCGTCGCTCGAAGCGACCTCGGCGTTTGAAGAGACGTTCCCGCTTCGAAACAACACGAACCGCTTTCTAGGCTACTCGTCTCGATCGAACAACGCCAATGAGCCTTTGGTGCTCTTGACCTCGACTCCCTCGATCCTATCCCTTCAGCTCAACGCCGCGACCTTGCCCAGCCTGGCGACGTACGCCGTTCCCGCGTCCGAAGCGGCCAAAACGCGCCAGCTCAAGGTCAAGATTGAGCAAGCCGTCTACTTTGGTGCCGACGATGCAACAAACCCCTTGGCGTTTGATCTCTCGCCCAACTTTGAGGGCGACTTGGTCCTTGCCGCCGAAGCCGTGAGCTCGCAGATCGCGTCATCGTCCTCACCCCATGCACCCCACATCATGGACCTGAGGGCTCAACTGGCCGACCGTGCGTCACGTGCCAGGATCCTCATTGGCTACATTGGTTCGAACGGATTGCTGGGCAAGCTCCCGCAGAGTGCGAGAAGACGTCTCAGCTGGGATGCCGAGCGACTCGCCGGAGCTGTCGCTCTGTGGCATCATCAGAATTCTCGCATGGGCGCAGCAGACTCGTTCGGTCTGCTCTCGAACGCGATCTCCAACTTTTTGAACGCGGCCGGTGATATCGTCGACGATCCCGTACGTCTCTTTTTTCGGACGCGGGTCGCCTCGTTCGCGAACGTATTGGAGGAAGTCTACCAGCTGGCTCGTCGTGCGTTGTCCGATACGTCGCTGCGGAGCGAGCAACGCTCGCGCATGATTCACGAGGCGAACCAAGCATACCTGCTCGTCTTTACCGCCGTCGCTCGGCATCGTCAAGATACGCGTGCACACTATGCGCTCGACCAAGAGGTCTTACCCCTCGAAGCCTGGTCCTCAAAAGCTTCGATCATCGAAGCGCTTCAATGGCAGTTCGAACAAACCGACGCTTTGTTACGCGAACGCGTCCGGGAAATGGGCTCATCATTGGAAGAGGAGAACATTGGCGCCACCGGACCGAGCGAACAACAAAATCTGCAAGCGGAGTTGAAGAAGCAGATGGTCGGGTTGGCGGAAGCGACTTTTTCGGCGTTCGGGGAGAGGTTGTTGTTCCTTCAGACGGGGGAGGGGGAGGATCCGAATTCGGTCAAGGCGAGGGAGTGGTCGGAGAGGTATTTGTCTCAACGCGCCAAGTTCATCAAGATGCTTGGTGCGTCAATTCTTGTCTGCTGTGCTTGGAAGCAGAGATTGTGGTTGCTGACATCCCCCTGATGCCACACCTAGTCAACATCGGCAAAGTGACGCACGCCTACGAACTCGCCGAGCGTCATCGCGACTTCCGCAGCTTGGTCGAACTATGCACCGATCCTGTTCGAGGCTCTCCCGCTCGCACGGATTTTTTCCTGCGCAAATACGCAAAAGAGTTCGCGTTCCCGTTGTACCAATTCTACATCGAGATGGGGCAGTTGCGCACGTTGTTGGAGCAGGATGAGGTTTACCGACCGCTGTTGACGCAGTATTTAGATATAACGGACAATCAAAGTCAGCAAGGGGTATCTCCGCGTCAGCCTCGTATTATGTGCTGACGTTTCATCTTGCGACAGATATCTCGTGGATTAACGATATTGCGATTGGTCGCTACGCACAGGCCACGGAGTCCCTCGTCTCGGAAGCGCAGAAGGAAATTTACCTCGTGCAGAAGAAGGTGATCACTCCCTGATCGGTATGGCATCTTTGACTTTCGATCCCTTAGCTGATCCAGTATTCGGTTTCAAAGATGATGTTGAGCCTCGGCAAGTTATCCCAAGTCGCACAAGCTTCGCGTGAAACGCTAGGATCGGAGAGCGTGCAGCGAGCCATCGAAGGTGAGTGCCACATCTCTAACCCCGTCACATCATGCGTGGCAAGGAATTGAATGTCAACGGTCTGCGCTTTAGCTCTCGATGACAAGCTCGACCTCGTCAACACCCAATCGATGCTGCACCAATCCTTCCTCTCGACCCTCCCCTCCTCGCTCAACTTTGCCTCCCCCTCAACCCAAGCCCAATCCATCACCGAGAACCTCACCCCCCATCTCCCCCACGCCCTCCGATCCCTCTTCCATCACCTCACCTTGGACCTCCTTACCTCCCGAACTCTAAGTTCAGAAGACTTGATCGACCTCCTCACACTCCCCATGGCGAATTCGATCCCTTCCCCTTCTTCTTCCGCCTCATCGGACCATTGCACAGCCCTCGAGATCCTCCTTCGTTCTCAATCGAACCTCCCTCATCAACGCTACGACTCCGCTTTACGAACGATCTGGAGAAGGATCTACCTCTCCGACGCTTGGGACCAAATCAACCTTCCCCTCAAAGAGGGATTGAGCGATCAAGAGCTCGTGCAAGCCTTGATGGGGACGACGTTGTTCAGGACGCTGAGAGATTTGAAGAGAAGGGAAGTTGGGGAGGAGTTGGGGGAGGAACAGAAGGTCGTTTTAGGGCCGGAAGAAGCGGCTTTCGAATACGGTGTAGGAGAAGAGGAAGTAGGACCTAGATTCGAGGGAAAGGAGGGTATGGATCGGGAGTTGGTCAGTGGAGTCGTGGATGCGCTGAGAGGGGAATGCGAGAGGTTGAACGAGAGCTTGGGGAGGGAAGGATTAGGGGATTATTGTAGGGAGATTGAGAGGTTGTTGGCTCAGGAGGAGGAGGGAGGGGATGATGTCGTCATGGTTTGAAACGGATTTTGGCACCTAAGGGGCAGAAAGTTGTATACACGAATGGATGCGAATTGCAGGTGAAGTACCAGAATGAAAGCGGAAAAGCACAGAGATGCCTATTGAAGGACGTCTTTACAAGTTGATCCAAGCTTCAATCAATCTCAATTGTCTCAATCGGTTTCTTGCCCGACAGCGTATTACCCGACCCGGAGAATGATTTGAGTTGACCGCCAGCAGCGGGGACGGACGTCGCACGACTCGGCAAAGCCGTAGTAGGAGGTGGCGTCGGAGCACCCTGCGGTAACGCCGCTGAATTCCTTGCTCGACCCGAAAGCGTACTCCCCGAACCGACACCGGCGAAAGGAACAGGTATGGCCGCTGATTCAGCTTCGGCTTTAAGATTGTCGGCGATGTCTTCTTCGGAGCCGGGGGGTGGTCGGGGTTCGAATCCGAAGAAGAGATTGCCTAGGGGGAGGTCGAGGGCCGCGGGGACTTGGCGTTCGCCGATTTGCGTATCGGCTGTCACCATGCGAGGTTGACTGCGGGGAGTGCAAGGTGCGGTTTCGTTAAGTTCACAAGATCTTGTCAACAACTGAACGTGTGGGAAACTCACTCGGTCCTGAAGATCATACTGTTCTCATCGACGGCCTCAATCTTCTTAGCCTTGACGCCCTTGCCCTTGATCCTCTTCCCACTCAAGCTATTCCCGCTCCCCTTGAACGCCTCCCAACTGTGCACTGCCCCATCAGCTCCGACCGCTGCACCCGCGCCTCTCGAAACAGGCGTCGAGCTCCCACTCCCTCGAGCATCGACGTCTTGGACGCCCTTGGTGTCGATCGTGTACTTGTCCTTCATGGTCGGCCCGGCGATCGCACCTCGTGGAACGTATTCGGGTTCGACGTAGCCCAAGGGTGCGGCGAAATCGACTTCGACGTCCGTGTCGATGATGGAAATGGCGGGACCGGGTGGTGTGATCTCCATGATCAAGAGGCGGAAGGTCAGGGATTGGTAGCCGATCTCTATGATGTCCCCAGCCGAGAGACAGGAGAAGTGACGCAAAGCTTGTTCGAGGCTGGGGATTGACAGGAATCAGCTGTCCGTGAAGGAGGGGAAAGGATGAAAATTCGCTGAGCTTACACTGCCTTGGGATCGCTGACTTCGAGGAAATCGGTGCTCTGGGGTTGGATCTTGATCATCTTACCCTTGGGGTATCGGCCTCCCCAGATACGGATCGGGTCGCCTTCATTCAGTCGCAGTTGGTCCATGATCTGCCGAGGGTGGTGACATTTGTTGGATTCAGATGCTGAACATACATACGAATTGAGAGTGCATGTGCTCACCCATTGGGGAAGGTTGACGGTGCCTTCGTCGGCGATAAACTCGAGTACCCCGACGTGGGTCGTCAGATCGGGCCGAGCCGGATTTGTGATTTCGAACGTGATGGGCAGCTCGATGTCGAGTTGGGCTGTGAGGGAACGAATAATGGTCAGACATTCCCGATACCCCTCTGAGATGCTCTCGGGTCGCTCACTAATTTCCTCGAGTGCCGAGGGAGGCATGGTGACTGTGTGCGTGGATCGAGGCGAGAATGACATCAGCAACGGGTTCGAGACGGCAAGAGAGCGAGAGGGCATGGGTGATCGAACTGACTCTTTCCACCATACATGAGGTTGGATCTACCACCACCATAGCTCCTCCCTCTCTGCACCTCGAGAATGGCCGTCGAGTAAGCCCTGTACTGCCTCCTGAACGCGCTCGCGGGTGGTCTCGCAAAGGCATGCCCTCCGAAGCCGGCTTGGAACGCGTTGGGGTTGATGTATCTTCCCATGGGTTGTCGCGCTGCTTGACCAAAGGTGGGGAACAGGCCATAGCCTCCATTGCCGCCGTCATCGTCGTCGTCATCGTCGTCGTCGTCATCGTCGTCGTCGTCGTCGTCGTCGTCGTCGTCGTCATGATGATGAGGTTCTGGCGGTGGTTGATAGGCCGCGTTGGACGATCGGGTAACACGACTCGCTGAAGCAGCGGCAGCAGGGGTGGGTACGACAGGCGCCACGGGAGCGACAATGGGAGGGTCTTGATCGTCTTCGAGGAAATCGTGGGGGTCATAGTCCTCGTAAGCGTCGTCGTCCGAGGGCAGGTCTTGGAACTCTTGGTCGCTGCTCTGTTCGACCGGAGAACGAGGCGCGTACGTCAGCGCTCCGAGTCAGAGGAACAGGGGCAGGAGTGACGTAAGGGGGGAGGGGGAGGGGGAAGGGGGTTGTTGGCGACGTACCATGATTCTGATTAGATCGCGAGAGAGGGAGGTGGTCAGACCGCGTGATATGATGGAGGAAGAGCCAGAGAGGAGCGCCAGGGGTCGGGATGACGTTGCCAGAGCCACCAGGCGCGAGCAGGCGCGCACAGACCATGCGCAACCCTGTGCGGCCTTGCGCCACCAGTCGTCGACCACGACCTCCTCTTCTGGCAGCCCCCCACTCTCTCCGCAACAGCACATGCTCTTTCGACCCACACATATTCGAGCAGCAGCACATAGGATGCACGCCGTAGGTTCATAAACTACGTTTGGCTTCGCTCTGGACTCTCACCCAGCTGGCCCCTGACGCGTCCTTCGCGCTCGGCTTTGTACACAAATTCCGCATCAGGTCGCCGACTTTTGCTTGATCCCTATGGGAATTGGGGAAGTGGGGGTCACCAAGGTCGGTCACACCCATAGTCGATGAGCCCGTAGCTGGTACAACTTGACGTGCTCATCCCCCCTCTGGGCCCACCCCCACTTCCCCTTCTCCCATCGCACCCTCGACCTTATAGTACATTGCCGAATGTCAACGCGTACTCGAGAAATCAGGCTTGGAATACAAGTTGCACGGATGCAAGTTGCCCAACGTTCAGCATATGCCCAATCTGGATTCGGGCTAATCTTCAATCGCGATGACCGTCGTCGATTATTCCCTCTTTCCACGCAGATGGTACAGGAGTACAAGGTGAATTCGGCCAAGTGATGAAGGTCATCGAAGAATGCCATCAAGCTGTTCACGCCATGGGCTGCGTAAGTCCCTACTGCACCCAACTCGCTTTGGAAGCCTTTACCTTTGCTGAATGAAAACCTTTCTACCCTCGGACCACGTCAACAGCCCCGAGTCGCCACCGACATTCGAATCGGTACACGCACGGATAAACAAGGTAGTTTGGACAATAAGGTTTCGAGCGTACAGCAGTTGCTCATTAAGGATGAGGCGAAAAAGGAGTAGGGTCAAAAAGTCGCACCTCTGGCTATATATCTAAGCACACCAAAAAGTGGCGCGCGCAGCGCCCTTCCCAGCGCCGCTCTTAAGCGGCGTACTCATACAGATTGCTCTCCCTGCAACCCGGGTTGCTTGAGGGCCCGAGGCCAGGGGCACACGGAGGCTTGTGTGGGCTCCAACAGTTTCATCTCATGTACGTGCGTGCTCAAATCAGGTTATTTTAGTCATCGTAGTGTGTAATTCGTATTTGGAACACTCAGTGTCAATTTTTTCGGTAAACTATCAGCGAGGAGAGGTTCGATTAGGAAACATCATTACTAAAGTGATAAAATGGCATTATTGAACGTGATAGAGTCTCGTGCCCTTTCACCACGCTAACAAACGCAAGCGACACTGAGTGACAACGAGCGACTTGATGCCTCTTCACGCTTGACGCGCCGCTATCGACCACGTGCAGTCCTGGTCTTACCCCTTCCTGTCGCCGTTACGCTCTTCGTCATATATCTATACTTGACGCCATCCGACGATCCGATATGTCCAGCCTGTCTGCTCCCAGCAACGCGTCAGACTTTGCCGCTCCCACCCGTGAGACGCGTCCTCGTGTTTGTGATATGGGTGGTCCTTCTGCTCACCACCGTTCCTCGCTGTTTCTGCACAGCTGCTTCGGTGCAATCGACCAACAGCGCAGACATGGGGTCCGTACTGTCTCCAATTACGGTTCAGACCCAACAGAACCACCTTCCTGCGCCCAGCGGCGCGACTCCCGAATGTGGACGAAGCACACCGCTCGCCTCAAGGCCGACCTCGTCCAACTCAATTGATCAACAAATCAAACAGATTCAGGAAGAGATTCGAGCTCTCCATGATGCCGTTCGTGCGTTGCCTTCAACTTCGCGAATGTCGTCGTCGCAGAAGCAGCCCCATGTGCTCTATGGCTTGCAACGTCGCCTCGAGACAATGAAGTATTGTCTGCATCATGGCGTTCGGGACGACGACCTCGACTCGTACATGCCTCGTGCGATCCGAAGGAATGACACAAACGACTGGAACGCTTTCAAGACGAGCCGCTTTTTCCACTGTCTCGTCGAGAAGGACGGACTCGAAGGTGAGCGCGGCGTCTGCCTTTCTAGCTCATCCCGAGATCGTTCATTTTGGCATTTCAAGACGCTCCTTTACGCTTCTTTGACTCACAAATTGATCACTCTGTACCCCTACAAAGTCTCGAAAGATTTTTCTACGCTAAACACAATTGGATCGCGCTACTGGGAAAAAGTCAAAGACTCGCCAGATCTTTATGAACAATGGAAGGAAGCGTGGGCAAGTGAAGCCGAAGCGCGTGAACACGAGCAGACCACTCGTCCCTTCAAGCGATGGCGAATCGATCCTGCTGCCATCACCAAACTGAGTCACAAGTACGAAAAGACGATACACGAACTGGTCCGTGACAATTCAGCTCTTCTCGTTGGGCTCTCCTCAATTCTCATGATCCTCCCGCTGACTTAGATAGCTTGGCACTGCATCAGGTTAATCAGCATGCTGACACCTACGGATTCGACGCGTTAGTCATCGTCGGCTCGAACAAGCTCGAGAATAAAAATGATCGTTTCATCGTTTCGACGCTTGGCGGCGCAGCTTTCATGCGGCGCCAAAGCTGGGGTTCTCAAAAGAACGATGTGCTCGTTAACTTCACGGAATGCATAAATGGCACCCGGTTCAATCAGGAGCGAGACGAGCAATTCAAGATGGAAGGTCTGTCAGACAAGCTTCAGAACGGACCTTGTGCTCGGCGATAGATTGGTGCTGATTCCAAGAACTGATGAGCAACTCATCATGGTGATGTTGACAAGGCGTCTCACCGAGTGCTCTGCACATGATATCGCATTATCATTGACGATTACTATAGTAAGCAATCACTCCACCGCTCTGCGCCCACATTTGGCAGCCCATGACTGAAGTTTTGTGGCCGTGCAGATCAAGCGCTCCGTCGTCGCCACAACAGAAACAAGTCTATTCAGCCCTACGTGCCTTCCAAGCTTACGAGCTACAACCAGGAAACTCTTGCGAAGGATCCAACCGCTCTTGTTATCGAGCTCGGAAACGGTCTTCACGAGCGTGATTTCCGCAGTCCTACCAATGGCAAGAAGCCGACCGTTGACAATTTGAGAAGAATTATTCCATTGATGCGACAGGGTGGGCTTACGTTTTCGCTCAAAGAGGATATCGGCCAGGTCTCTTTTGACCGCACTCCTGCCGAGAGTACTTTGATGAGCGAGCAGTCGGAAACGGAGCCAGAAGACCAAGACACTGGATCTGATTCTGCTTCTGATTCTGCTTCTGGTTCTGCTTCTGGTTCTGATTCTGATTTGGGAGCTGCAACATTTTGATTCCGAATCCGACTACATTTCTGTTGTTCAGTATATTGTTGGTGCGCCTATCGCGCGTTGAGGTAGATTGCCAAACTTTTTGTAGTCGTTGAGGTGATATCGACCTGTGTGTGGCAAGAGGTATTCAACAAGTTTCCACGCACCTCGACTAGCTTGACTGTCCGTCCGTTGATCAATTATGCGACGCATTTTTGATCGCAAAGCAAATCGCAAAGCAAATCGATTTACCCGCGCTAAACGTTTCAGATTTTACTCCGTAGATTCAGGCAAATAATGGATGTTCAAATAAAGCACTCACTCATCCTACCTAATGTCAAACTGCAGTTAAGCTCGTCCCAGAGCTTGGGGGGTGACCAACAGCAAAGCACCCAAATTTCTTCGACTACCCCTTCGGACCCCCCGAGACGCCGGCGAAGTGACAGCAGAACCTTGTCGAGAATGTCCGTAATAACACGCTTCGCGTAGGGTTCTTCAAACGGCGTGCCCACGGTGAGAAGGAGAGCCGAGATTATCCGTTGGCGCTGGAACAATAGATATAAAACAGAAGCAGGGAACAAGGTAGTTCACCACTTCTGACCTGCAGACGCAAGATCGCAAGGTGTCCGAGCTTGCTAGCTGACCACGGTGTTCTAGCTGAGGGCCAGGGAAATACGACGCTGCATTACGCGTAATCAATGCCTTTTCTGCTGAATTGTCAATGGAAGGGGGCGTAAAGTCGGCATCGATATAGTGGCAGCTTGGTGCTGAGGCGTCAATGACTTCGTGATAGCAATTCTCGTTGTTGGCCGAGTCGCTTGCATACAAGCGCTAGCGTTCATAGGTCGCGCTCGGTGCCGACTACGTATTGCTTCACGCCTGGGACAGGCAATGTGCCAGGTGGCCACTATATCTCGTCTCGTGCAAATACTCGATGATCTTGATCTTTGTGTCCCGCAGACAGAATCGCTGGTTGTAACTTGGTATGAATCGAGCCGCTGAGGGCATCGGATCGGCTGTGACGCGACGGTGTCGGTGATGCTGTGAGTGGAGAGCGCGCGCGCTCGGTGACGCTCGGTGACGCGAGGCGCGACGTGTAACCCCGGGGGTACACAGTGGGACACTTCTCTTTCTCACCCCTAACCCCCACTCCAAGTCCAACATGGCACCACGCGCCACCGAGGGCGAGCGCGCTTGGCTCGACATCGACTCGCATCTCATCCGTGACGAGTCCGGCCAATGGCGTGTCCGTTGTGAACTTTGCAACAAACACTACAAGCTGCCTGGGGGGTACAGGTCACTCGACGCCCCAACTGTAGCACCGGAACATGCACATGAGGCCAAACGAAACCTGAAAAAACATATCATTCGTATACACAAGCGCACGTTCAATCCGTCTACGGTCGACAGTCGGTACAGATGCAACGAGGCGGCGTTTGAGCTGATCGGTACCGACCGTGAGGTCCAAGCGGTGGGTGCTAAACAGCTTTCCCAGGAGATCAGATACAAAATATGTGGAATTCGGCTAAACCTTTGTTTATGTACTTATCTGATCTGATTAGGGTTTTGGCCACCTGAAGAAAAGATACCGCCAGCAGTTGCAGGCCAAGCTTGACGGGTTGGAGGCGCCAGGGAAAGCGGACCGTGCGAGGCACGACGAGTGGGCGGCGGAAAGGGCGCGTCGGCTGGCGATGGAACCCGAAGACATCATGATTCAAGACCCAATCCCCGAGGACGACGAAAATTTGGCCTATGAGGTCCGGGAGGAGATCGACTACGTCGTGTGGCCTGTTTGGGATGAATGGGCAGGGCACAAAGGGAATGGACGTCTGCCTCGGAGCCTGTTGACCGTGCTCATCCATTGGAGGATCGTGTTGTTCGATGCATACGATGACCAGAAGCGAAAGAGAGGTGGAGGGAGCGCGAGAGTTTTGAAGGAGTATAGGACCCGCATCCAAGACTTCGACGACATCCTCGCGCGCATCTTCACCGTCCCCGTCAACATTGCCGCCGAACATGAGGAATCGCGCCTATTCAGTGAAATCCTTTCACCCCTGTACCACGAGTGCCAACGCCCTCTCCCTGAGGACGAAATAAGGACCGACGAGGACCAGGAGGGGAGTGACCGCCTTTTAAGATGGATCCAAAAGGCGTACCGCCCTTTCCTCGGGAAACGTGTCCCGGACGAGTTCTGGGATCAGTTAGAAAGCGAACATCGCACCTGGCAAGCAGCGCTCAGACCATTTGCAACGACGGTGCTCGTCCACGTTCCCGAACCTCTCAAGCCGCCCACCGATGCGGACCTCGAGCCCGAAAGGAAGAAGACCTGGGACTCCTGGATTGTTGAGTGTGCCCACAGGTGGTTGGCGCTGTCGAGTGAACAGAGGGACGCGTATTGTTGGATGCGCAAGAAGGGGTCCGGCGGTGAGGGCGCCGCGTCGACCTCGGGGGCACGAGAGGAGGACGCGATATCGGAACACAGTTCGGCGACCGGCCAACATTCCGACCACGGATCGGCGGCCGGCTCGGAGGCCGAAAGCACCCTCTCCACCCTCTCCGAGCTGACCAGCCTGAGCGAGCTGGAGCGCGGCCTGGATACTGGGACATGAGGCACCATGAGTGTCAATTCACCGGTTAGGCGATGACCGTCTCGAGTTTTCCGTGAGCGTGTGTAGCTGTCTAGCTTGTATGTTGTGTCAATGGAGATCCTCCACTGCAACCATGATTCATTCCGAGGGTACAACGCACTCCGAAGGCGGAAATTCTTGTTCAATTTCAAACCTTAGGGCATGGCGTAGATACACTACAACAGAGTCCCGCGCCTCCGGAAATGAGGAGGCGGTATGCGACGACGTGCTTCATCAATTCTGGGACACTCTTAACAAGCATTGTACAACCGGCGTGGCGGTGTGTACCCCCCGGAGGTACACACGACCGGTGCCCTCTCCAGCTATGTACCCCCGGGGTTCCACGGCTCAGGCGCGGTCCGTCGCCGACGCCCTTGCTGACTGCACTACAACAAACTTCCACGCACCCGCTCAAAGCCCAGGATGTGTCTACAGCTACTGAATGGAATAACCTCCTGCGACGAGACCGACGAAAATTTGTTTGCTACATCCGACTTGCACTCTGAAAAGCCCGCAAGGCCAACGGACTTCCCTGACTGAATTCTTCGTTCGAACCACCGAGCAGAGCGAAACTGCACTACAACAAACTTCCACGCACCCGCTCAAAGCCCAGGATGTGTCTGAAGTTACCGAAAGGATTAACTTCCTGCCGTTGGAGAATCGTATATGCCATTATACAGTGATCTGCCACCGGTGACCGGCTTTGCAACCCCGGGGGTACACAAGCCGCAAGCGGGAAAGCGCCTGTGCACCCCCGGGGGCACGCAGGACCGGTCCGCTCTTCCGCTGTGTACTCCCGGGAGTGGCCACACCCCGCGCGCCGAATGACTGTGTAACCCCGGGAGGACGCGGCCTGATCCGCCGACAAAGCTGTGTACTCCCGGGGGTACACTCTTGTCACGCGCCGACTCTGACTGTGTATGTGTACCCCCGGTAGTACAAAGCCCCTAGTACAAGGTCCTTGGCCGATGGACCGATATCCCTGCTCACTCGACTACATAAACTATCACGTCAACGGGGTAGAAGGTATGCGGTGACGTATTCGATTCTTGCTGACATATTATCGCAAGCACTGTACAACGAGCGTTCCGCCGCTGCGATTTCCGCTGCGTACTCCTTGGGCGTGTAGGGTCACGCACCCAAGACCGCAGGTCCGAGTCGAGTCCTCCGTGTTAGTAGTACTAGCAGTGAGCGCCGTTGTTCACTCGGAACGCATCTGTACCCACTTTGGGGTTCTGTTGGAACAGACAACTACAGCAACACCAATCCTCCCCGCCCCCCGCCCCCCGCCCCCCCCCCCCCCCACGGCTCTGGCAACGTTCCCAACTTACCTGAACCTGCAAATGTCAGCACCGATGCTCACCGAACTGCCGGTCAGCACCAAGCAGAACCTTCCACTGGGGTGTAATGCATTCCGGCGCTCGCATCCGTTGTGTGCGATCTTAATCGACCGAGCGCACAGAGCATTGTCACTGAGAAGAGAAAAGGAACTTTGAGCTGTAAGGTCTGGCAACGTTCCCAAATCTGAACCTGCAAATGTCAGCACCGATGCACACCAATTTCCAGTCTTTAACTTAGCAGAACCTTCAAGCTTGTCACTGCACGCACTGCAGTTCGGCGACTGTGGCCGTGGCGACCGGCTCGTGGGATCGTGGTCGTCAACGCGTCAACGCCTGATTAAGGCTGACATTCGATTTACTTTTGTGCACTTTGGCGTCCACATTCCACCATGTGCGATATGGGCGGCATACAAAAAGCAAAGTCCTTCAATAACAAACAATCTACAGTCAACAAATGCGCCAAACCATCCCTAGCTAGCCCATGGGCTCGTCGAGAATCTCGAGGTCGTCCGAGGCTTCACCCCCTGTCGAGCCTGACTCTCCGCCGCCCTCCCCGAGCTCAGCGTCATCTTCTTCCTCAGCCTCCTGCTCCGATCGTGAGCCCAAAAGTTCTTCCATTCGTCTTTCATACACATCATCGCGGTCTCGCTCGGCCTGCTCCGCGGCTGGATCGGGGGTCAGGCCAAGTTCCCTTCGGAATGCGTCGAGGTCGATGGTTGTGTGGCGCACGTCCACGGCAGAAGGACCTGATGAGCGGCGGCTCGACTCAGCGACGAGGCTCTGCATTTGAGTATTATTCAGCGTCGAAAGGCGGCGACCGAAATGACGTGGACTACCGCGCGAACGGCGCGACACCTGTTTCGGCCGTCCGGCGAAAAGTCCCCCGATCAAACCGAATGCCGAGGGCCGCGATTCATGAACTGCGGGTGAACGCGTTCTGAACCAGACAACCGAGAGATCATCGCGCTCGGCGAGCCGATCCAGACGCTCTTTGAACGAAATCTGTCGGCGTTGAAGCACATGCCACACCGCCGTGCCAACCTCGCCCGCGCCATCAGTTCCGAGAAGTTTCCTAGCCGCTTCGATCGTTTCTTCGGGAACTAATAGAAGGGGCGACGTAAGGTACAGCACCATCACAAAGAAAGAGTGTGTCCATCTCACCTTTGTCCTCTGCCCATGCCTGAGATACCCTAACAAAGCGAGTGTCCTCATCTTCGAGCCACGCGAGTAGTTGTCGAACCTCAGCTCCGATTCGAAGAATCTCTTCTTCCGCCCTGGCTTTGAGTAGAACCGCCTTGATCCCTTTCTGAACGTCGGTATCGATCGCCCAAGGCGCAGTGTTTTGTTCGAAAAAACCGTCTTGCCAGAAAGCGTCCGTTGGCGACAGAGTCACAAGCGACTTTATCGTGGTAGCGAGCGGCAAGTTGTCCAGAATCTTGGCCGATTGCTCGGTCGCAGCATTTCGGTAATCCCCGACCGCTTTATTGTACATCTCGATTGCCACTTTTACTTTCTTGCTGTGCGTCTGTGAGACGCTGACAAGCTTGCTGGCTTCGACTTGACCGATTGTCGCGCCGCTTCGTTCCCGACCCATTGAGTCAATTCGTTCTTGACAGCATTGCAATTGGACCGTCGCTTTGTGTAATGCGCGAAGTTTGACTACGCAGTTGCACAAATGCTGGAAATCTAGGTATGTCATGGGACATCAAATATCAGGTGGCGGTACTCATAAAGATAGGACGCGCGCCGCACCTGAAGCTGCAAGTTCCTTCGTACGATTGTATTCTTGTTGATAAGCTCTTAGCTGTTGCTGCAAGCGAGCCTTCGCTTCATCGGAAGCCATTGGATCGAATCTGAACACACAATGCCAAGACACAGTGTCAATTTTACGCCCTTGTCCTCCAATGGGGCTTGACGCGCCGAACGTACAGCCTTTCTTCCACCTGGTGTAGCTTCTGTACAATGTTGAAAAGCTCGAATCGCTCCTTGTCCTCATTCTCCCGACGTTGACTCGCCGTTGTGGCCGCTTGAGCAGCTCGCTGTAAATCCCATTGCGCGAGAAGGTCAGACTCGGACCATATTGCCGAAACGTCGCTCAGATCAGTTTGTGCCCTTCCAAGCTGATCTTGAGCATTCGACAGTCGTCTGCGGAGCCAACGGCCTAGAATGGACGATGAATGAAGGGACCGCACGATTGAGTAACGAACACGGCGTGAAAGTGTGGATGGCAGAGCATACCGAGGCTGTCAACACCGTTCTTGTTCATCAGGTCGATGCGACGCGAGATGTTGACGCGCCGGTGAGAAGCGCTCGCAGGACGATTGATCGGGATGAGCGATCGGAGCTGACTCCAAACGCGTTCGCATCCCTCCCCATCCGTCAACCCAAAGTGCTGAATCAGGCGCGGGTTGTACTCGAGCTGGCAGGGCCATTGATGAGCAAAAGCATGAAACACGCTCGTGGCAAACTTCAATCTCGGAAACAAATCGGGAAGGATACCTCTCTGCGGGCGATCGAAGTACAGTACAGGTCAGCGGCGCCCCAGGGCCAGAAATCTAAGAAACGACGGATCCGCCACTCTTGCTGACCGATTGCATGTAGCCGTCCAAATTACACGCAACATCCTACAGCACTCCGAGTGTATCGTCGGACGGGAGTTGGTTCGAAATATGTTGCAGCAGCGATAAGCCGTAGTAGCGCCTGCCTCATCAAAAACGAGCGTCAGGCCTTGTAAGCGGGTGAGAGAGGAGCTGAGCTGACGAACTTTTCACCTGATTGATACAAGTTGACCATCTTCAACGCGATATCGTGACGGCAGACACAGGCAACTAGGCCCGTATCGGACTTGCCCCGCGAGATTTGTGTCGCACCGCCGTTGGCCGCTTTCCACGAATCAGCACAAGCCTTCAAGACGCAAGAGGAAAGGCGTCAGCGCGTTGAAAGGATCGCAGGGGGCGGCTCGGATCAGCGGACCTTTTCTGACTTCTTGCTGTCGCCACCATCACAGATCTCCTTCATCGATTCGAGCTCATCTTCGCCGAGGAAGAGGGCTGGCGTCGACTCCTGAGGATCGTATTTGGCTGAGGTGTCGCGAGAATGTTGGAAGTTGCCATCCAGAGCGACAAGATGCTGCACTTCGACTCTATGGTGGGCTTGGTTCAGACGCGTCGATCCGTAGCATGCTGGACACTTATCCGAGAGAGAATCCGCGACACCGAGGACGAGGTCGCCCAATTCTCGCTCGGATGTCGTGAGAGCCCGAAATTCGTCAAGGGCGCGCTGGAGTTGCTTTCGCAACTCCTTGTCCTGCGCAAACGATGATAAACATCAGATAATGCTCAATAGCAATCATGACAGGAGGTCGAACTCACGAATTGATGCTGACTCAGGCCCGGCCGACCCCATCCAGTTTGCTCATAGAAAATGTCGAGCCCGCGAGCTGCTCCATCGACAGGAAACGGCGCGGTGCTCCACCAGGAGTCGAAAAATTGGAGAAGTCGAAAGGTGAATGCAGAGCGAGGAGCAGCTGCGGTCGATCCGATTAATCCGATCTGAGCAAGGCGCTCGGCGTACGTAAGGCATGGGCTATCGCTGCTGGATCTCGGACAAAAAGCGATCGGCACCTCGACCACTGCATTGATTCAACCATTCGACCTTGTCAGCGCAACGTTCGACACAGCGACCCAATTCGCCTGATTCACATACAGCTTATGAGGTCGTACACGTCAAGCCGTAACGTGAGGGGACTCTTGCATGAACAAGGCGGCGGCACTTCGCTAGCGACCGAACCCTGGCACAGCTCCTCGTCCACGTCAATCAAGGGCCGTAGATGACCTTTGACCCCAGCGCAAAACGCGATGTACTGGCGCAGAAGCGCTGGCCGTTCCAAGCGCCTAAGGCGAGCGTCGTTGAACACGAATTGCTTGTACGTTCCTTGCTTCGACTGACCACGTGTGGCTGATTCGAAACTTTCGACTTGGCGCAGGTCAGCCAGTGATAATCGCTCGGCGATTGCACTATAGTCAAGCGAGGTTGGGAAATGGGATGTTCGATCTGGAGAGTATGGGGCTGGATCGAAGTCGTGTTCGAAGCCACCACCGTACTCGCTGTAACGCTCTTCATCCCAATCCATCCCACTCGGGTTGGCGGCGTCACTCGCGGCTTCGTCGGAATCGGCCTGAATTGGAAGGGCCATTGGACGCTGAGGAGACGGCGAGCTAGCTTCGCCAAAATCATCGAAGGTTCCTTGCTGGATTTGGCGGGCAGTGTAAGTAACACGGTGCCGGGTTCCGGGGATGTTGGTGCGGAGTCGGGCGTCCGATCGGAGGCCTTGAGGCCTATAGGAAGGATGCTCCTCAAAGTAGTCCAGACGGACCTTGAAAGGTCTCCATCGATGCCTGCCCATCGTCGATGTGAATTGCGTAGCTTCGAGATTTAGGAAGGGTGTCTCGATAGTTGATGCTCTGGTTAGAACTGAGGCGGGTCTCACTTGGCGCTGAGCGGAAGCTAAAAGAGACAGGTCTGCGGGCATACTAGTCACTAAATGCTCAATCTCATTAGCAAGTTAATCTTGGCCTGGGGCCAGCGGCCAACCCCGGTTGCAGGGGGGGGCAACCTGTATGGGTACGCCGCTTAAGAGCGGCGCTGGGAGGGGCGCCGCGCGCGCCACTTTTTGGTGTGCTTAGAAATATAGCCAGAGGTGAAAAGTCGTCGGGCTTTGGATCAAGGGGGTCCGAGCTCAACAATGGGGATGACGCAATGCGCGTACGCGGGACACGCTTCGGCTATTACGAACGGAGGGTCGAACATGTACAGTGGGAGAGTTTCTTATAAAAGACGCCGAGTCGAGTAGGGCTCATCATAAGAAACGGTAAATAAATCCAACACGAATTGGGAATGAAAAGAAAAATTGATTCTGATGTATCACTCTGCCAGTACTAGTCGTAGTCGATCGCTGTAGCCTAGCTCTGGGCAACAAAGAAACGTCGGACGGTCGCGGCGCCAAGCACCAAGAACTCAGAAGCAGCTCACATGATCACAAGCTCGACCCTTTTCTTGAGCGTTTTCCCCTTTCTCCTCCTGCACTCGACAGGTGTTGTTCGTTCATCTTTCTCGTCCAAGTGCAAACACAAGCTGTGAGTCCGAATGTCCCACACCCTATTCAAGGGAGACACGCATCTCGGTGTGGGTGGCGTTGCGCCCGCTGCTCTTACGGCCGTGTCATACATAACCGGGATCACCTGACACCGTGCGCTCCAACGAGCCGGCGTGCGGCGACAGGCCAGTGTCAGCCAGTGTCCGCTTCCCCCGCATGTTTCCCCATTGACTGAAAATGGAGCCCCTCCTTCTTCCTTCCCCTTTGGCCTCTCCCAACCACCCAACAGTCGCAGTCCACGCCAAAAACCCATTTCCACCATGGCCACTCTCGAACGACCCCAACTGGCGACCCAAGACTCTTTAGCAGCAGACGCCACATCCCCCTCCGACTCGGCAGTCCCAACCCCGTTCCCACAAGAAGCCCTCAACCGATCCACCCCGGCCGCGGCAACGCGACAAGAATCCCGTTCGCCCAGTGTGACGCGTCGACAGTCCTTGTCGAGGGGCGTGAGTGGGATGATGGATAAGGTCAAGAGGGTCATGAGTGCTAGTCGCGATCGAGGGACGAGTGGGGGTGAGGGAGGGGAGAGGGACCGCGGAAGGACGGGCGGACGCTTGGCCGAAGGTGCGTTCTACGACATCCTGTTACAGACTTGCGCGCCTATTCACTGACGATCCCTTTGACTGGTCTTCTTTCTCCCGTGGTACGTGCGACGCGACTTGTATCTGGATCCCACACCACGCTCCGTCTACTTGTGACCTCGTGACCACTCCTCGAAACGCCCTTCCTCCTCCCCAGGTACGGCCGAAGAACCTCGTGGTCGAGCCGGCGCCGAGACCTACGCCGCGGCCAGTTTGAACAAAACAGCGACCAACACCACCATCGGCACCAACGTCCTCTCCCAAACGACCTCACGTTCGACCTCTCGCGGCCGCACCCCCGCTCTCGCAGTCGGACGAGGTGGAGCCGGTAATATGAAATTCGCGATGCAGGACGGTGAGACACCGGTCCTTTCGACGGGCGAAGAACCTGCTTCGGTGGTTCATCAAGCTCGAGTGGAGAGGTCCAGTTCAAGGGAAAGGGAAGGACGACCTGAAGTCGTTGCGAGTGGTCGTGGTGGACAGGGGAATATGAGGAGTCAGTCGAGAGGAAGGGATTTGGATTTGGCGAGGGTGCCTACGGTCGCGGAGGTGGAGGAGAAGGCCGAGATGGAGAAGGAGGAGGCGAAGGAGAGAGAAGTGTTGCAGAAGCATGAGAAGGAGGTGGCCAAGAAGAGGGTATGGGCGACCGGACGAGGTCAGTCCCCGGTGCTTTGGTTGTCAGCTCGGGTGACACCAGCAGCTGATGCTGTACCTTATTCGGTACAGGTGGAGCGGGCAACATTCGCTCACCCGATCGGTCAGATGAACGATAGAGGTTTACTCTTGACACCGCCCCAAGATACCCAAAAATGCAAGTGCGAAATGTCGTCGGAACTTCGACAGCGCGAAAGTCGCCTACAGTCTGTAGTGTGAGAGAAAGCGATGGATTGCTTCTTGATAAGGCTCTTTGCGTACAATATCGTGTGCGATAATTATTCATCTCACCCTTCACTCGGATACCCGATTTGCGATGCATGACGAGAGAGAATCCATGCGACGAATCTAGAGCCCCGAACGAGCTAGTGCGCTTACGCGCTCACGCTCAAGTTGGGCTCGTGCTCACTGCATGCGCACCCGCGCTCCGTCTTCTCCGGTCCTCGCACTGCTATCGTCCATTGCGAACGATCCGACTCGAGTGAACCGAGCAGTAGGTGAGTCTTTCAGCATCTATTCAGGTAACATGCTGCACGTTCTCAAGTCCTTTCTCCGCGATTCGACCCCGACCGTCGTCGCCTACTGCTGCTGCGAGCGCCACACCTCGAAGTTGAGCGGATGGAGTGACTCGTCAGTCAGCTTGTTCGAGGCTGAGCCTCACCGTGACTTGAGCGCCGCTCGGTTGCATTTGATACTTCAGATAACATGATGAGGATGCTTTGATTGCATGGTGGAGCTTTGGTGGGATCGTGTGATGAGCAGCATCGTCAGTGCGAGCGTGCCCAGCTGAAGGGGCCAGCTCCGCGTCGATCGGCCGCTCTCGAGGCTCCAAGTGGGGGTGAGATCGGTGAGATCGGTGAGACCCGACGACTCCCGACTGCCGACCAGTGCCGCCCACTGCATGAGGCCATGCAACTAGCAGCTGCTTGCGTCCTATTGAGGCCACCGACTTTCTCCGTTTCGTTGTATCCTCTCCTGTGTCCGCTCCCTCCGAGGTCCAAACTACCCGCCCCACGTTTTAGCGACTTTTAAGTCACTGGTGCAGTGCTGACCCCGGGCCCTCTTCCCCACTACCAAGATTTTCGCCATTTTCGCCCGCTCAGGACAGAAAGAGTCTGCGCGGCCGAATTCTGCCCCAAGCCGACTCTCTGAGTGCACGGTACTTCCTCCTGTCGCTGGCACCCTTCCATCTTCGCAAGCTGCAGTACTCGACAAATTCGATCTGCTTCCGGTCCTCTTCTGGGCCAAAGGCCTTCGAGTGAGTACACAGTCCCCTCTACGTCAGTGTGAAGGGCGAGACTCGGATCGGTCGCAGGCGATAAGCCGCCATACACCCCGACCCCCACTTTGCGCCACGCTGCACGTGCTGCTGCATTCAACTCTCGTATGCTGTACTGATACTATGCTTATGAATCTTTCGATAATACACATGTCTGTTCCAACAGCTGCATCGTCGACCTCGGTCCCGTTGGAGGTCAGTCCGTGAATCGGGATTCGTCAGCTGTCTTGCCTCGGCCGAACGTCGTCGTCGTCGTCCCTCGTGACCTGCACGTCCAGGCCTCGGCGACGTTCGACCTGTCCCACGGCCCAGAGCGCACAGACGCATATACGCTAATACTTGTTACATCTTGATCATTCAGGGGAATTGTGCTCGGATTTGTAGCTTGATTTCAAAGTGCCCCATTCGTCTCCAACCATGACTCGACCAAACGCCGACTCTTCAGCAAAGGTTTCACCGATACCCGTTGACCTCGGTTCCGCCCCTGCAACGTCGTCGGACGAAGGCGATTGGTCCGACTGGTCTCCATCGGAGCATTCGACCGAAGGCGATGACCTCCACGACGAGGCCTCATTCGATCTCGTCCAAAGTCATGAGTGGTCTGAAGGGATCGACCATCGACCAGCGTTCTTGACCAAGACTCACATCAACCGTCAAGTCGGTGGTCATCGTTCCGAGCGCTCCCGAACTCCTAGCCACGATGGAAGTAGCGTCGCCGCGAGCGCGAGCGGGGACGAGCGAATGAGGCTGAGCTTCCCTGATCCTCTGCACGCGAGCAGTGAGGCATCCATCGCCTTTGATGCACCCTCTGAAGGGTCAAGCGCTTCGCTCGTGGGCCAAGACTCGGATGGCGATGCTGAGGACGAACACGGCGTGCCGGGCACGACGAGTCGTCCAAACTCTGAGGTCGAATACTCGTTCTTGCTGGACGCCAAGGAGGACATGCCGTTTGACACCAAATCGGAGCCCATCAAGGTCGACTCGGCTCCTCCCGTCTCCGATGTACCCCAACAAGTCGACGGTCCCGTCGCGGCCGATGCCAGTTCGCCCAGCAGCTCTTCAGGCCCGCCGAGCGGATGTGCCATCGCACAATGGGTCCAATCTACGGTGCAAGCATCTCAATCGTCTTCCCCGACCCCACTCGATCAAGATGAAAAATTTAACTTCGATCATCTGGACTCCTCAAGGCCTCGTACCCCTTCAGAGGTTCACACGTTGCCAGCCACAACAGCCTCTGTCGACGGCGATACGCCCAGGAACGTGAAAGACGAGACCAAGCTCGTAGATGTCGACGGCGCGAATTCTAAACACGAAATCATGTTCAGTACGAGCCAAGAGCGTCCCCTGTCCAACGAATCACCTTCGGACTCCCAAGCGTCGCTCCGCTCCGTCGACTCGAACATGACCATCCTCGCGAGCTCGCCTTCGAATCGAACGAAGTCACCGGCAGTTCTCGGCTCTCCGATCGGGTTCGTCTTCTAGATTGCATCGTATAATGAGGATGGAGCTGACCAGGACTACTTGAATTTAGCTTGCGCAAGCGCTCGACGCAACAGGCAAGCTTGCCCAGCTCAAGCAAGGAACCCTCAACCAGCACAACATCCGCTGTGCCAACCTCTTCGAGCCTTACGACCGCGGCAGCGAGCCAAGCGAATGCTCAGGAATCTCAGGCGACTAATACGAACCCGTCTGAAGCCCCATCGCCCGAGGACTGCGCCGAGATTGAATATTTTGACCTTTCGAAGAAAAGGGTTTGCCGTGACACAAGCACCCAATTCTGGATTCGCAGTACCTCCGCTCTAGTTGTTTTAAGCGTCATCATAGTCGGACTTGGCTGCGGCTTCTTGCCTGCCCGTCATGGCAATCTCGCGATGATGGATCAAGGAGTGGTCTCAAACTCAAGCTCGCAGTCTAGGCCGATTAGTGGGAGTTCGTCTCACCCAGCTTCCGGGCACGGAGAAGCTGGCTCAAAGCTCGAACCGGCTCTCGCTGTAACCCCGACTATTCTCGATCAAGTGGACGTCGCCTCTACCCCCATCGCACCGGTTCAACGTGCCGCTGATGTTGATCCGGTGGCTACGATGAAGGCACCGGTGGCGCGTCGTCCAAGTTCTCGACAATCACACGCTTCCGCGTATAGGATGGTGCGGCCTTTCAAAGGCCAAGTGGAAGAAGTCATACCTCGATCTGAGAGCGTTCGCGACGAACGATGCCATTGTCAGTGTTCCAAGGATTATGGAGAATCGACCACGGGCGAGCAAGATGATTTCTGGTCTCAGCCCTCGGACTCGAATCCCCTCGCCGCTTTCAAAGCCCTCGTCGATGCTGCGCAAGCCCAAGCTTCCACGCTCGCCAAATACGCCTCGGAGACAGCGTTACGCGAGAGCAAGAAGCGCATCAAAAAGTTGGGTCAGGACGCGGATCGTCAAGCCAAAAAATTGGCGCGCGACTTTGACCACATGGCTCGTCGAGCGGCGCACTTGAACGGGCATGCTCGACGACAATCGGTCAAGATGGGTAAATCACTTCACCACCTTTTCCATCGAACGGGGGAGCGTAGTCACTTAAGGAACGCCGATTACGCGCGCATCAAGAAGCACATGGTCAAGCTCGAGCACAGGATGAAGCAAGCGATCAAACTCTTGCCTGATCGTTCGGAACAAATTCGTCGCGAGGGCAAGAAGGCGGCCGAGGTGGTGACGCGACGCGTGCTGGAGGCGAAGTGGATGGTCGAGAGTTGGCGTAATGGCGAGATTGACTTGTTGCGCGTTCGTGAGGATGGGTTCAAGGTCAAGCAGTGCGATGCCCATGGGGTCAAGGATGAGAAAGAGTGCAAGGCTCGACGGAAGATGGCCAAGGAGCGTGGAGGCAAGGGCAAGGCGCCGGGACGGAAGAGACGTGGGCTGTGGAGGTGAAGGTGCGTAATCGGATAAAGCTGGATCATTCAACTGGCTAACAGGCTAATCTACTTCGGCTTACATGCGCACAGCCTTGAAAGAGAGCCTAACCACGCGCTCGGCTCGCTCAGGGGTCCTGGATTGCATTCGCCACTGGCCAGCCTCCGAGTCGTTGAACCCGTACTCGTGATCCACATTCTCGGTGCCGTCTCTTGCGCTTCTTACTCTCATCACTTCATACCGTGCATCTTTGCTTCTCCGCCCTTTGTCGCCTCACTACTCTGTGACGCGATCGGCGATGAGTTGACCCATCCCGCTTCCGGAGCCGACTTTGCTCAACCCCGATCGTGAGCAACCCCCCTGTTCCTGATGCTTCTGATTTCATTTATGATTGACCTCATTCGGAGACTGTACTCCTCTAGTTGCTTTGTGGTTACCTTTTCTCCCCCCTTTTTTGTGATGTAAAGCATTGATTTACTTTCCGCTGGTCGTGTTTGGGTAACCTCATTTCCGGAGTTTGAGTCGGTGTTCTCCGACATGGTCGGCAAAGAAGAAGAAACGCGTCATGGGCAAACGACCGGAACGCGCGAAGCGAGCTCAATGCGCTTCCCAGCCTAGTGTTCCTTCACCCCACACGAGACACATGCACGATCCATGATGTTACGGCTTCGACCGAATACCACATCTTCATCCCAATCCTGGCCCAGACTCCCTGTCACCGTCGAGCCTTCCTCTCTTCGTCGCTCCGCCAGCAGTTCTCTGAGCGGAGTACGCAACACGTCGATCACGTTCGGACATGTTCGCCAAGCTCTCTCGCGACGAGCACCCAGCGCACTTCGCCGAATACCGACCGCCGTCGCTTTGTTGGGATGTACATGTCAACATCGACGTCGGTTGGATGACCGAGGAGGTCTAAAGGGTTTGAGGGGTGTTGAAGGACGGAGGGGTTTCTTTGGACTCGGGGAGATCGTCGGCGTTATTGCAAACGTGAGTAGAGTCAAGCCAGGTCTTCGGCGGTCACTAAGCTGCGATGCAGACGGAGCAAGTTTCGCACTGTCCTTCAATGGAAGGATTGACGAAAAAAAAAACCCACTGCATTCTCATTCGGAATTCAACTCACCCTTTCGATCTTGCTCATAGCCTTCGGAGGTGCTCAAAAGTCTGCGCGAGTCCAAGCAGCTTTTGGAGGAGGCTCGCCAGGAGATGCAGGAGAACAAGGAGAGGGAACAAAGTCAGCACTACAGATTCTCTATTTTTCTGGTTCGATTGTGATTACGATGTTGAACCCTCGTTCTCGGACACGCGTTCACCAAACAGTCCCAACAAGTCATACTTTTTCGCCCTTGCCCGGGTTCTATGATCGGCCGAAAGAGATCCAAGCACTCGAGCGAGCTTTGGGTTCTGTGCCTGTGGGTCGAGGGGTACCATGATCCGGCATTGTGGAATAGACTTCTGAGGGGATAGACCGTACCCACAGTCCTTCACGGTCCTCTTCGGCGCCTCGTCGGTCGGCAAAACGGCGTTGCTACGCCAAGTCCTCTCCCAGGAGCAATACCACTGCATCCACTTTGACTTGAGAATAGCCGGATTCGCCGACCTGCAGAGTTTGTACTTCTCTCTCGCTCAACAGATGGAAGGATACTTTGGTGCCTTGCCGGAGATGATGGGCGAGGAATGGGGCTGGCGTGTTTTCGAAAAGGAGAGCTGGGCTTTCAAAGTACGTAGTCGCAGAGTCGCCGTCTCGAGTGGTGAGAATGGACACCGACGAAGCCGCAGCTTTGCATGTGGTACAGCATGACCGACTAGCGATCGAGGATCGCGTCTCCAAAGGCGGGGTCGTCAAGACGTCCGATATCGCGCATCTGATGGAACTGTTCCAATCTGCGCTGCTCAAGTATTGGCAATTCGAGCCCATGTCCGATGCTAGGAGAGCCGAGCTGGAACAAGAACAGAAAGGGAAGGGCGAGGAAAACGGAAAGGGAGGGTCGAAGAAGGGGGATAAGAACTCTCGGAGGTCGACGAGGGAATATACGGATACGACCGAGGCCAAGATGCGACAAGGGGCCGTACGGGAGACGGACAAGAAGGAAGAAATCGACGTACTAGCTGCTCGGTCGATTGAGGAGCAGAAGAAGAAGAATGAGGAGGAGAAGGAGGTTCAAGGCTCAGAAGGGACCAGTCAGGAGGGTGAGGAGGAAGTCGAGGAGCCCAAGCCGCCGCCGAAGAAGGTGCCGGTGCTGTTCTTGGATGAAGCGCACAAGGTACGTTTCCTCGGCTCACTTCCGCACCTCCCTACCTCGGATACCCATAAAGTATCTCATTACCTACCTACAGCTCCCAGCGCTCATCAAGACCGATCCCGACGCGATGAAAAGTCTGCTCGACTCCATGTTGGTGCTGACGAAGCAAGACCGCTTATGCCACGTCATCCATGCGACTTCGGACCCGTTCTACATGCATTGGCTTCGTCAGCTCAACGTCATGCAACATTGCAACATCCTATCCATTGGCGACTGCTCCAAAGAAGAAGCGCGAGCGTTCCATGAGGAGGTGTTGCTGCCCCACGTTCCAGACATTTTACAAAGTGGCTTCGCGTTCGAGACGCTTTACGAAGTTTTTGGAGGCAAACTCGCGCACCTTAGCGATTACACAGCCGAATACATCAACAGCGATGGCAAGATCAAGCCCGAGCTATCGTCGCACTTCCTTCAAGCCCACTCGCTACTCAACCTCCAATTAATTCACTCCTTGCCTATGACCGATTCCGCTGAACCCAACGTCGAGTCTGCGGAACAGGGTGGATCCGGCTTCTCAATCTACTCCCCTCTCGTGCAAGCTTCACCTCACGCCGCATCTTCCCCTTTCAACTCGGACCCATCCAGTCAACTCGCCGCAGCGGGTGCATCAGGTGCAGCAGGATCGGGCTCAGACTTCTCGACCCAATCGCTTTTACTCGTCATGTCACGCCTAAGGAGGAGGTTCGAACTGCCTTACTTCCCTCTGTGTCGTGAGTTGGGGGCTCGTGCGGTGGATGGAATGGTACGAGGTCGTGTTTTGGAATTGAGGTGGTCGAGGACGATCACGGAGGAGAGGACGGGGGCGGCGGAGGAGCGGGTCAAGAGGGGCGGGGTACAAGGTCCTGTCGTAGTAGCGACGACTCCTGTTTTGCATCATGCCATGGCCGCGGTGTTGGATGAGTATAAGGAGGAGGGGAAAGAGGTCCCAGAAGCTTAGCCATGTCGTCATCGTAGTTATAACTCGTAGGGTCAGTCTGGATTTCATGCTGTGGTTGTATATGCACGAACTAGGGGAAAGAGCGAGATGAAGGGAGAAAAGGCAAATTACATGTCTACGTCAATCGATCCTTCGCTTAATAGAGCCTGTCTTCGGTAAGAGGATCGCGGCGAGAACGACCCGATCACTGCTCGTACTCCGGCCCATCGTCCTCCTCATCCCTCTTAGCGACACTCATTCGAATCCTCGCGTTCTCCGACTCGAGCCTCCAGTCCAACCTCAAGATAACCCAAGTCGTCAATGTTGCCGTCCCCGTCAACGCCGCCGTCAAACCCAACCACAAACCCTTCAAGCCCATCTTCGGTCCGGCGAACGTCAAAGCCATTCCCAGAGGTAGTCCCACGACGTAGTAAGAGATGAGGTTGAGCACGGCGCCTAAAGTTGCTTTACCCGCTCCCCGTAAGAGACCGGCCATGGCGCCCGAGATACCATCGGAGAGTTGGAAAGCGGCGACGAGGCCGAGTACGGAGGCGACGACTTCGATGACTTCTTTCTCGGAAGAGAAGAGCAGACCCCAGCGGTGGCGGAAGACGACGAGGAGGAGCGAGTTGATGCCGGCGACCCCAATGGCGAGCTGTTAGGGATACCGAAAGAGCAGGGGGTCAGGGCCGATCTCGACCGGTTTCAGACATGAGCGGATCTGGCTGACCGTCATGGTCGCATACGAGGTCATTCGAGCCGTGTCAGGTCGTTGAGCACCGAGGAGATCTAGGGATCAAAGTGATGTCAGCTTCGCGGTATTCATATTCGAAGAGAGACGCATGCCACTCACTTCCAGCACGGACGGCGGCTGCTACGGAGAGTGCGTAGGGGATTTGGTAAAACAAAGAAGCACTCGTAACTGCGTGGAGATCGAATCAGAATAAGAAACTGCAGATTCACTAAGACCCGGCCCCTTGTCGGGAACTCACGAAGCACGGATTGAGCCGCCAAGGCTGTCGGCCCAAGGAAGGATGAGGCCAACCCCACGATTTCCCAAGACCACCATTCCGACACGACCGCCGCTGAACCGGCCAGCCCAAGGGTGATGTTGAGGCCCAAGTCATGGAAGACCTCCTTCGAGAAGCCGCCCCATGCATCACGAGGAGCTGCAAGGACGGCGTAGACGACGGACACGATGAACATGACGTTCATCGAGATCGCGGTCGAAATCGGCGCGCCGATGAAGCCGAGTCGAATGGAATCGGGTCCCCAGACGAGCAAGTAGTTGAGAAGGACGTTGAGGGGCGCGGCGATGATCAAAGTCACAACGGGGGCGACCATCATTCCCTGTGCTTGCAACCATCGTCTGATGCACTCGAAGCCGGCATAGCCGGGCAGGCCGAACGAAAGGGCTCGAAGGTAGGTCGAGGCTCGCTCGGCGACCTTGGGATCCTGTCGGAGAGCTAGGAGAAGGCCTTCGGCATTCCAAAAGATGATCACTTGCGGGATGACGAGGATCATGAGGATGAAGAACGTCCTCAGGGCGTACAGGGATGTCATGCGAGGGTTTGACGTGTAGGCTTGGGGGCAAAGCGTGTCGAGGGCCGTGCAGAAGCCCTGAATGAGGGACAGGGCCACGACGTTCGAAGTCATGGACGCGATCGAAGCCGCCGCGAGTTCGACCGTGCCAATGTGCCCGACCGAAACGACGGTGACGACGAGGAGCGAGTACTCGAGAAAATGGGTGCCCGCAATCGGCACGGCGTAGCTGATGAGAACCTTGATCTCGTGCCAGAACGCGGCGCGCGCCTTTTGCCCATCCTCCGGCAGGGGCACATTGACCAGAGTCGATGCACCGGCGCTGCCGAGCAAAGGAGTGTGTTCGGTCGCCGTCGGTGCTGTCGGCGCATGCGGCGCTGGAGCTATACTCATCGATTTTGACAAATCGACGGCCACCGTTCCCGAGGTCGCAGCGACGGTCAACGTCCGCGAAAGTGATCGTTCAGGCTCATCCTCGAGGAATACAGGTCCGAGTCCATCCCGGTTCCTCTTGTCCCCACCGAGGCCCATCACTCCGTCGCGGAGTTCGTCGTCCTCTTCGCCGACGGTGGATTCGCGAGTCGGACTGAGCCTGGAGCCGCCGAGCGAGTAGATGGACGCCCTCGAAGTTTTACCGCTCGAGCATCGTCTCTGACGACCCCTGCCCCTGTAAGCATCGTCCTGTTCGTCGCTGTGTGTAGACTGGTCGTCGACTATGTGGCCGTTGTTGGCGCTCGGGCGGCGGGCAGTGGCCGATCCGGCTGGTCCGAAGGGGAGAGATGGATCGCCGCTCGGTGGGGGCTGCAGCGTCGTATCGCCGCGCAGTGCAGCGCGTTGCAGGAACGAGACATCGCCCTTGAACGAGGCGGGTGAGGTTCCGGGATGGCCGCTGCAGCAGTCGGGAACGGACGAGAGGAGAGCAACGGCCGGGCGTGGAGATAGAGGTGGTCATCAGTCCCAAGGCCGCTCAGGGGCAAAATCCACGATGTACTCACGCAAACATGGTGCTCCTGAAGCCGAACGGGTTGGGTTGTGCAATCCGTCTACTGTATGCGAGATCTTAGGCCCTCGTTGTAGTTGTGCTGGAGGCTGTAATGCGCCGGCGTGTGCGAAAGGCGGAACGCACGCCGAAGAGGTGCCGGAGAGTGAAGCACAAGAGGTCGATACGAGCTGGAAATTCACAGATGGAGGTTGAGATGGTGGTACGTAGGGGCGAGTCGTTTGGCTGTGCGAACGCAATGAAGTCGGGAAAACGAGAGCGAAACCACCGCCTGGCACGGCCAGCAGCGTCATCACGCCCCTTCTCAGCGTCGCAGCAGGTCGCAGCAGCCTCCCATGGGCACGGACCTCTTGGTTAACTTCGTACGGGCGTCGGGAAGCCGAGACAAGAACCGCTGACTCTAGGATTTTCAGTCGGCACAACGAGTTGCAAACATAATATATAAGGAAGATATTCAAGTGAGATCTGAGACACGAAGATAAGAGCGCAGTCCAATATATCGAGATGCCGGGAAGCCTTGCGCCGCCGCCGCTCCATCACCATGGCACTGCAATACATTTCGTCTCGGCGTCTTACAGTCTGCTGGGTAACTTGGTTCTCGAGCAAGCTGGATCACACTTCCAAGGTAGGGCGAGAGTCCGGTTGGGTAGTCTCGCGCTCCGCCTCGGATACTTGATGACTGTCGACTTCGTGCTTTTGACCGCTCGTCGCCTTGACTCCTGAATCAACCGAGCATCGCGTCCGACCTCGGCCGGAGCTGGTGGATCGTTTCTATATCGTTAGAATCCGTCAACAGGACCTGAGCATTCGAAGCATACCCACCTATGTACAGCAGGAGCCAAGTCGAGGATGAACGTGCAAAGAAAGAAGTCGAAGAGGAAGGCAACGATCCATTCGAACGTTGCCGAGGCCGATTCGACCCTGTTGCATCGAGGAGAGGGGGCTCGAGTATTGGGCTCGGTAAAACATGCGCCGAAGAGGACTGCGAAGCTCAAGGCGCATGCCAAGGCGATAACGAGAATCACCAATTTAATTCGCCCACTGGGTTTTAACCCCTGTCCGTGGCCATCGTGACTACCTTTGTCGCTTTTGCTATGGTCGGCATCCGCGTCTTGCGAGAGTAGACTGCCAAGCCGGCGCACTTGGATGGTTTGACAGATCGACGAGGCTGCCATGCACAGCACAAAAACCAAGGTGGACGCCCAGTGAGCGGCCGCGTGGCGATAGACGTCACAGATACTGCCAGTTGACAATCGTCAGTCGGCGCTTTATGGTGAGGAACCGAATCGGCGATGCAAAGGCTCACGAAATCAACAAGAGTGCAGAACCTCCACAAAACCCAAACACGCAAGATAAGACACCATATCGCACAATGTCTGGCCTCGAGGATCCGGGAATACGACGTGTGTGTCTTAGCCAACGCTCGAGGAGCAGCGTCGCGGAGTAAAAGACCGCGGTGAGAGTACAGCCAGGGATGAAGAGGTTCTCGTGGAATGCGCCGACTTGGCTCATGTAGGCTGAAAAGGGAGGCTCTCAAATTGTCATCGGGTTTTATTCAATCGTGCGGTTCTTTTCGCAGAGCATGCTTACCGATTGTCGTCTGTGTCGTTTGACGGTGGAGTGCAGGTGGTAAGTATCCGCCGCTTCCGGTCGTGCCGTCCGGATAAACTGGACCAAGCAGGGCTTACGAAGCTGACCGTGTACCGCCTCACATGGTCGTCTAAGATCCACAACAGCAACAAACCCAACTGGGAACGCATGGATGCCAGTCGGAGAGGGTTTCAACTCGTCAGGGTGTCCATGATCATAGTGTGTCAAGCATCACTCGTCACATCTCCTCTGCACCTACTATGGTTGCGAGCCAGGACGCGACCGCGAATGCGGGAACGACCCAATAATGACCTCTGAAGAGCACTAGGCGACCGGACAAAAAGCATGAGCCCGTGCTATTCCCCCGATAACCAGTGTCGACTCACAGCTCAACTCACTGGCAATTCAACAAACAAGTGTGGTGCGATTGTTGACGGGTAGTAAGCGAAAGAGAACGCGTGTGAGTCTGTAGTATCACGCGGTAAGCATGTAGCTCGGACCTGATGACCCCGGGCTATCCGGGGAAAAAGGGGCCACGAGGCAGGAAATAGGAGAACCCTTCGTTAGGCCGGCGGCGGTGCACAGCTGGGCGACGTCGTGCGAGGGCGGTTGTTCGGTGCCGTTCAACTTCAAGAGCGTGCACGACATTGTTGTCGGTGACGGCGAAGTTCCTTGGAGGGAACAGTCACCACCTATCGTACTCGGTGTCAGTGATGATACAAGGGAACCGTGTGAGCTCGATCACCTTTCTCGATTGTCGGAGGCCTGACCCGCCCTTGGGCATTGGCCACCCAAAGTGCGCGGGGGGCGGCGATTCGGAGTGCAACCGACCGGCTTCGGCTTCGGCTTCGGGAAAGGAGACGAGTCCAGGCGAGCTGCGAGTGGAGGCGCCTGCTTTCGGTATCAAGTCATACCGCCGAAAAGTAGGGCTGGGTTATCGCCCTTTAGTTTTGAAGCTGAGAACCCCTTGCGCCGAGTTTGGATCGTCGGCCGCGCCTGTGGACTTGTCGCGATTGCCAAATTTCCCCAGCAAGAGCGAGGTGGGTGCTCACGGTGGTGACGACGTCCATCTTCACGTAGGTACTAGTCCCACTCGAAAAATCCCGTAGAGAAAGCGCCCCGAACCAGTTTCTGACAAAGTGTGCAATTGCTTTTGGCGTCTTCCCATTTGCAAGTAACCATTTGCAAAGTAACGATTTTCGGGCCTTTGTTACGATTTCTCAACAGTACCAGTTGGATCCCGTTAAATTAAAGGGAATATGATTCCAAATAGCAGGAGAATCGAACGGCATAATGACGAAAGACAGCAGAGATACTATTTTTCACTCATCGCGGCCAAGACTTGGCGAGGCTGCGATGGCCCTGCCTGGCGACCTTAGGACCGGAGCATATTGGCGAGGGTTTCTCCCTGAATGAGTGTCACAAAGTTTGATGAGAGTGGGAGAGAAAAAGAAAAGGTTAGAGGGAGTGGCGCGGGTTTGTTCACGGGGTGTGATTTGTTGTTCAGCCCCTAATGCCGCTGGTCGGCTGCCGGAATGACACTGACACCGCTGGGGCGCCGCATCACGTGACAGACGCCAGCCCTCGCCTCGCCCGTCAGGCGGAGCTCTGCTGTAGAAGCAATGTCATACAAAGCCACGCGCTTGCCGCCCATTAGAAACAATATAAGTGTTCGTATTGTTTTAGTTTTAGGTCAACGAAAAAGTGAAGGAAAATACTGGGAGCGCTGTAGCTTCGTTCGACTGGCACGAAAAATACAAAAGGTGCCACAGAGCACCACAGGCGGCCGAGTCCGGGCCGCCACCTAGTTAAAAACAGTGATTTTAGGTACATCCCTTAACTACCTTTTTTTATATACAGAGGTAGTAATTTACGGTTGTGTTTTAATCGTTGATATGGTTTCAATGACAGCATAATCGTGTTAAGGCTGTTTCGGTGATCGGTTCCAAAAGTTCTGACGAGAATCGGCGGTGGCGACAAAGCTTCCAGATCGATTGAAAAAGGAGAACAAGTAACTCGACCAGTCGACGCTCCGAGCGGGCCACGAGCGGGGGCATTCGAAGTCGGGGGAAGCAGGGTGAGGAGCCGGAGAAAGAGCGGTTCAAAGACGCCGAGCAAGCGGACAGCCGACTGAAATGCCAGACACTCGGGTGCGTTCGTGAGGTACGGCACGCAAGATTTGGACCGATTATCGACGTGGGCATGGTTCGGGAGGCAAGTTAATCACCTGGATGGAGGGATCCCAGGGAGATGCAATGGGCAATATGCTCGGCATTCGAGTGCAGTGAGCCCTCCGAAACTGAATACGGAACGATCAGTACTTTGCTACGTGCACCTTGAGATCCCACATACATCCCTTGCCACTGTTCGACTTGGAGCTTGAAGCAAGAGGGAGCTTGGTGAGGTTCGATCTAATTATTTTTTTCTTTCGAAAAGTTCATTGGTTGTGTCTGGGAGCAAGGACGCCGCGAAGCCGTAGACGCGCCAATCGGCTCACTGCGCAGTTTCGAAGCCTCTCGCGATCACGGATCCATTGGTTTCGACAGTAATTCGTATATGATATGATGCACCATAAGTGTTTGCATTCCAGAATGATCTAGAGAGAGAGAACGACAACGGAGCAGGACGGACCGAGCCGCCGGCATTATATAACAGCGTCGAAGAATTAACGTGTGTGGGAGAATAGATATAGGAGGCCGGGGTCCGAAATAGACAGTTCGGAAATGCCCGGGGTTGAGACAGGTTTTCGACGTTTCCTCAAGCGTTCAGATGTGTTCAAACCTGCTGGAGTCCCTGATCTCCCGAGGTCCGGCCGACGCGAGGGCCGAGCGAGTGATCATCTTCGGACGCACGTCGGACGGGTGAGTCAAGACCTCCAGGAGCTCCGGGTCGGCCGTCCTTGTGCTCGTGCAGCACATTGGACTTGTCCGCCTCGATCAATCCAGGGTGGAACTTGTGGCCCTCACTGTGGCAGCGATGAATAGGGCGCCGATTAGTGTTCCGAGACAGCAAAAGAGCGATTCAGCCCGTGAGAGAAACTCACGTCTTGCGAGCGGGCAGGAGATCGAGAATGAAGGTGCAAATGTAGAGGAAGAAGAGGAACGCAATGAACCACTCGAGCGAGGCCGCGGCCGACTGAACGACGTTGCAGCGCGACGTGGGTGCGACGTCGTTGTTTGCGCCGGCGCAGATGCCGTAGGTGACACCAAAGCCGATCGCGCCAGCGACGGCGACGCTGACGATGACGAGCTTGATGATGGCGTTGCGGCGAAGGTGGTTTCGGTCGACGTGGTCACGCTCGAGGGACATGACTTCAAGCGTCTGGAAGATGGCCGAGAGCGCGATGCAGACGACAAACACGAGCGTCAGCGTCCAGTGAGCCGTCGAGTGGTTGAAGGCGTCGAAAATCCTGCCAAGCTCAACAGATTGGTCAGCTTCCTGTCGCTCTGATCCTTGAGGCCGGAATGCAGCTTCGCCGAAACTCACGAGAGCAGCATAAGAGCGAGTCCACCCAAGATACCAAACACGCAGCACACGATGTCGTACACCGTCTCCTTCTTCTTCAGCGCACCGGGGATGCGGCGAATGTGTCGGAACCATCGTTCAGTCAAGAGGGTCGCCGAGAAAAAGACGAATGTGAGAGCGGTGCCGGGAATGAAAAGTCCCTTGTGTGCAGCTCCAACGTCGGAGATGAAAACTGGTCCATCGCAAAGCAAAAGTCAACGTAAGAGGTCAGCGGAGGTCCAGGTCCTCGGCAAGCGCAATTGAAGCAAACCCACCGACGGTCGCCTGTTAGACAGCGGCGCAGACACCGAGAATAGAAGGGGATGTCTGTCAACCTCGCCGCCAAAGGCAGAAATCCATCCCCAGTACCACACACACCTCATCGATCATGTACTGCTTGCTGTTGTCGTCGACGATCCACCACAACAGCAATCCGAGCTGCGGAGGCGTGACCGAGTTCCGCGCGTCAGCGTCCCGATCGAGAAGTGGCCCAAGGTCTTCGCCCCTCGCAGGCATAGGAAGTGCAATACGCACCAAGGTTGCCAACCAAAAGACTGCGGCAAGGGTAGGAACGATCCAATATTGTCCGCGGATGAGCACTGTTTCAACAGTTCAGGGGGGGACTGGTGGTCAGGAGACATGATTGAACTACGTAGAAAGCGCTTGCCCGTTTCGCAACTGGGCGCCGATCGTCTACACGCAAGCTTTCCTCGCCGACCGGACCTGGTGGAACTCACTGTCGGCGGAGACTTGGTGAGTGCTAGGCGGAGATTCGAGTAGTAAGCGAGTAGCGCAGTGCGACCGAATCTGAGTGCGGTGATGAAGGAGAAGGGAGAAGGGAGAAGGCGGGGTGACACCGAAGCGCCAGCCAGTCGCCAGCCTGGTGGATGACGTCGTCGCAGTACTGTCGCAGTGTAGTCGCAGGTCGTCGCCGATCTCGTCCTCGGCCGCTGCTGCACCGACGGCTCCGCACCACTCTGCAAGATGCCGTCCCTCCAAGGAGGACCCAAATTGGTGTCATCAACTTCAGGTGTAGATTTTATTATAGCGGTGATTTGCCATCCTGAAGCCGAACATGACGACGGATGCCCGCGTGAACAGCACCTTCAGTTCGAACCGGGGTTCACCGTTCGACCAGCTCCGACCAGCAGTTCCGACCATCGACCGTATTTAGTACCTGTACTTGCCTGTACTTGCCTGTACTTGCCTGTACTTGCCTGTACTCGCGCGAGTTGTGCTCGCGGCGTCTGCGCGTCTGCGGGCGACCGCTTCCTGGCTCCGTTCTCTGTACTTCGCGCCCTTATTGTACCGCTACTCAGCTTCACAGAAAGTCCTTGGATCCGTCCTCGGGTTTGCTCTGCCATTCGAGTATCGACCTATCAGGAGCCGCTAGAGTCGATTATTTTTGTAGCGCCGCTTTCCCTCCCTTCGACACAGTTGCAGCTCTTCTTCGACCCTCACGTTTGGACGTGGCCTTTCAGACCGCGTCGAACGGAAGGGAAACCACAGCGAAGAGTTGTACGGGGATTTGGGACTGGTGACATTATCTATCGTACTTCTTGTGTGTAGTCGTCCGAATGGCGTGTATCCTGTCATGCTTACCGTGGAACCACGTACCTTCGCGTATGGCCACTGTACTGCCACTGCAAGCTACTACTGCAAGCCACTGCATCGCGCCTCACGGCCTCACGGTTGCGAAGTCCAGTCTTGTTCGGGCTGTTCGCCTCACTGCCCTCTGCTCTTGCGCGCACCGGTCAAGGCATGGCGTGAGATAGTGTAATCGCACGCACCATGTCAAGTGTCAGAGCAGGTGCGCTCATGTCCTGCTCCGCTCCAGGGTCCCCTATCCTTATCTCGGTCGCTGATGCCGGTCGCTGGCTCGCAGGGGCGCCCCCACCACCCAAGGTGATCACCAAGTTGGCCGAGGATGTCGTCAATCGCATCGCAGCTGGCGAGGTCAGTTGGTTCGAGAGTCGTCGGGAACGACATTCCAAGCTGAACTCTAAACATAGTGGCCGAGCTCGTGGTGCCACAGATCATCCAGCGACCGGCGAACGCGCTCAAGGAGTTGATCGAGAACGCGCTCGACGCGGGATCCACCTCGATTCGCATCACCGTCAAAGATGGTGGGATCAAACTGCTTCAGATTCAAGATAACGGCTCCGGGATCAGGGTCAGTCCCTTGCACCTGCAAGCCGAGCCAGGCTCCCACCTCCCAAGCCCTCTCGGATGAGCTAATGTAATGTCAGCACGCGTCGCGACGCCCCACCCTCGTCGACCACGCTCTCTCGCCCCCTCTCTTCTAACGAACATCAGAAAGCAGATCTTCCTATCCTGTGTGAACGCTTCACCACGTCTAAACTCAAGGCGTTCGATGACTTGAGTCGATTGGGGACCTATGGCTTTCGCGGGGAAGCACTAGCCAGCATCAGTCATGTCGCTCACATCTCCGTCACGACCAAGACACGGGACGATGCCTGTGCTTGGAAGTCAGTGTGGTCCTCTTATGGTCCCGAAGATGCGAAGACAGGGGAACCTACTGACCTCGATCATTCATCTCTCCTATGCAACGCCTTTTTGTCAATACCCGGCTTCACACGAAAATTTCGACGAGCAGGGCCTCGTACTCCGATGGAGTCATGATTCCGGTCAAAGCAGGTGCTACCAGCAATGAGCCAGTCCCATGTGCTGGCAACGACGGCACACTGATCGTCGTGAGCACTTCGTAGGCGGCCAACCGACTGAGAAGAGTTTCATTCTGATCGCCTCGAACTTTTTCCAGGTCGAGGACCTGTTCTACAATGTGCCGATGCGACTCAAAGCCTTGCGATCATCGTCGGATGAATACTTGCACATCGTTGCTGTGGTATTACAGTACTCGATCCACAACGCCGGTGTCGCGATGGTCTGCAAGAAAGCGAGCTCGGCCAATCCAGAAGTCAACACTCCTGTCGGAGCTACGGTCCTTGACAACATTGGACTGCATTACGGCGAGCACGTCAAGAGGGAACTGGTAGAACTGGATTTGAAGGACGAGGAGCTTGGGATCAAAGCGACAGGATGGTTGAGTGGACCGAACTACGGCGTCAAGAAAGGAACGTTCTTGTTCTTCATCAACCGTTCGTTTTTCAGGGCTCTTCGCTCCGCCGTTGCCTGATCGCAATGCTCATGCTACTTCCCCTTTGACCCCTTATTCTAGATCGCCTTGTCAAATGCTCCTCCCTCAAACAAGCCCTCGAAGCATTCTACGCCGCATTGCTCGCCAAGGGCTCCCATCCCTTCGTCTACCTCTCGCTCGAGATCAGTCCCAGCAAAGTCGACGTCAACGTGCATCCGACCAAGAGCGAGGTTGGCTTTGAGGACGAAGACGAGGTCGTCAAGGTCATATGTGACGCGTTAGCTAATAAGTTCGCCGCATCGAACGAGTCGAGAAGCTTTCAGATTCAGGTCAGTTGTCATCTTTGCCGGGCTCGAGCAGTGTCTTGATTGAAGGGCTAATGTCGCGCCGGGCTCGGTTTGCTTCTTCAGACCTTGCTTCCCGGAGCGTCTCGACCCAGCGATGTTCCCTCGACCTCGACTCGTGATCAAGGTGGGAGCAACAATACCGGCCCCTCGTCAACCTCTACGAGTATACGCAAAGTCGCCCCCAAATCGATGATCAGAACGGATCACAAGACGAGGACCCTTGACTCCATGTTCGAGCCCGTGTCTTCACCGTTGCATGATCAGGATAGGGGGAAAGGGAAAGGAAGGTTGATGGAGGTTGATGATGATGGAGATCAGGTGATCGATCCGGGAAGAGAAGACGAAAATGAAGATCAACCGTCGGTATTGTCGAAGCGGAAGCGGACGCTGGGTGCCGAAGAGGACGAAAATGAAGACGACGATGATATCGTAATAGAGGAGGAACCTCGATCGATATCATCTATCCGTCCCGAGCTTCAAAAGGCAACGAGCGTCAAGATACCTCAAAGCCAAACGACATTGAGGAGCATTCGGGAGCTGAGACAAGAAGTGCTTGATCGGGCCGACAAAGGTATGTTGACTCGAAGAGAACCCTGGTTCCATTTTTTCCGAGCTTAATACGTCGACCACTATATTCAGATCTCGACGCCATCGTCAAAGGTCACATTTTCGTCGGGGTCGCCGACCTGAGGTCACACTTGTCGCTGATCCAGCATCGGACGAAGCTTTATTCGGTCAATCATGCGGCATTGTCGTGAGTCCATGCTTATTTCCGAATTCACCCCATCTGAGGAAGAGCCGTCCGCTGACAGGAAGTTCCTCACAGTGAAGAGCTGTTCTACCAACTTGCACTGCGTCAATTTGGCCAACTTGCTCGCATCGACCTGCAACCTCCCGTTCCTCTGCGCGACACGATCAAGCTAGCCGTAGAGAGTGACGAGGGCAGGGAAGCGGCACAAATGCCTACAGAAGAGATCGTCGAGGTGAGAACGCTTTCGTTGCCGTCAGATACGGCTAGAGCCGGGGCTCACTCCCTTGTTGTTTGCTTTTGCAGCGGCTGTACGATACGATCCACCAAGGGCGGGCGATGCTGGAGGAGTACTTTGCCCTCTCGATCTCGGTTGAGGGCATGATCGAAAGTTTGCCCCTCATCATACCGAGCTTCCTACCTAATCTCGTCAAGCTTCCACTCTGTGAGTCCAGTTGCAGTGAGCCCGTGAAAGACCCAAGCACTGACTTGGTCCTGTTGTTCTTGTCCGACAAAGTTCTTCTACGCATCGGCGTCGTCGTGGACTGGGAAGACGAAAAGCCATGTTTCGAGTCGTTCCTACGCGAGCTCGCATTCTTCTACATCCCAGGACCCTCCGCCCCCGAGTTCGACGACAACGTCGCTGCCTCCGAAACGGACCCATCCACATCAGACGAACACCGCCCTGCTCCAAGTGGTCGGACCGAAGCGCAAGAGAAAGAGGAGAAGCGAGCATTGCAGCACATCGTGTGGCCCGTCGCAAAACAATATCTCGTTGCTCCTCATCATTTGAAGAAGAGGGATGTGGTGCAGCTGACGAGTATGGAGAATTTGTTCAAAGTGTGAGTCGCTCGGGGGCGTTCAGTCGCTGACGTTTGAACTGGCGTGCTGATTGTACCGTACTCATTGACGGCTTCAGGTTCGAGAGGTGTTGATTCTGGTTGCGTTGATGATGCAAAGCAGTAAAAAGTGCGAATGAAAATTGTTGTAGAATTCCCATTTCTGTCATGATCGTGCTGCGTGTTCTCCAATCGCGTCCAGGGTCTTGGATCGTCTTTCCGTCGACTCAGAAGGCACCAGAATGCGCCTGACACTTGTCGATTCCCGCCCTCGCGCAACCAATTCACGGTTTGTCTCTCTGGCGGACTCTGCAGCGCCTACCTCTTCTGTTCCCAACACGATGGTGTCAGGGCGATACACGGACCGGAACTATTCAGCACGGAAGCGGGATGGTCCTTCACCAGCGAGGGATGCGAGGAGTCGCGTGGTCGGCTTGTTCACGTCGAGGTTAGTCGTGACGTTGACCGGTCTCCGAGGCGCGATGCTGGTCGAGATCCGATCACGGGCCCTTGCGACGTACGACAAGGCCCTTCGGCGTTATATCTTCCTTGCTGATGTGTACCTCTTTTGCTCTCTTCGAACAGAACGATGATCGCTCTGATATCCGTCATCGTTACGGTCACATACATGAACGCGTCCGGATTCGTCGAGCAACGCGCAGCGCGAGGGGCCGCAATCGGGGCGTCGAACAGCTACAGCTACCACGACTTGACGCCCGTTCACGCGTCGCCGAGGGGACATCTGGCAAATCAGAAGGTGCTCATTCTGACCCCGCTCAAGGACGCGGCAGAATGGATCGACGAGTACTTTGAGAATCTGAATAGGTCCGTGCGAGTGTCGTGCCAAGCCTGTCTAGTTCGATTCGGGAGAGAACGTGATGAGGTGGGAATGCGAGCTGACGCGCATCAACTTTATTCCAACCCACCAGAATCAAATATCCAAAAGAGCTCATCTCATTGGCGTTCCTTGTCAGCGACACGACCGACGGCACCATCACCAAACTCCGAAGACGAGCCGAAAGGCTGAGTCGCATGCCTTCGAACGAACGCTACGATTCGATCCAGATCCTCCAAAAAGACTTTCACTTCAACCTCGCGTCCGAGGTGCGACACGGATTCGAAGGACAACCCGTACGAAGGGCGTTCATTGCGCGAGCGAGAAATTATCTCCTCACTTCGGCACTGAGACCGGATCATGCTTGGGTGTTATGGTTGGATGTCGATGTCGTGCGTTACGATCCCGATATTTTGATGGATCTGATGGGCTTAAACAAGGATATTGTGGTACCAAACACATTGTGGCATTTCAACTCGTGGGATTTCTGGGTACGTACCTGGGTTTCTTTTTCGCGCAGTCCGAGCCTGATTTTTGTGAGCTAATGTTATTCTTGATGGGGATGGCAGGGTTTCGACCGAAACAATTTCGCCGAGACCGAGGCGTCGTTGGAGTTGCTCAAGGACATTGGGCCGGACGTGATGCTGGTGGAAGGGTACCGGGAATTGATGACCAAACGACAACACCTTGTCGACATGCCAACGCATCTTGGATTGGCCCACGTCCCGCTCGATGGGATAGGGTGTACTTTCACGCTTGTCAAGGCGAACGTACATCGGGAAGGGGTCGTGTTCCCAACTTATGTCTTTGAGAATGAGGTGCGTGAAGGATGGGAAAGAGTCTCAGTGCGCAATCGGACTGACAAAACCCTTGCACGGTGATGTTCACGCAGATCGAAACAGAAGGTTTAGCCAAGATGGCGAAGAAGGCTGGATTCGAGGTGGTCGGTGTACCGGGTCTGGTCGTGTTCCACGCTCGCAACCATTAGATGCTTTTTTTTCGCACTTCCATGAGTTGTCGAAGCTATGAAGTTTTCATGATCACGACCTTAGCCCGTCGTCTTCGGAACGATGGCGATACGACTTGTAACGATATGAACTCAGACGACCTCCGATGTTATGGTGATTGGCAAGCGTGAATTGGCAGTAAAAGCCGCGACGCGCAAATGAGCGCGCCAGCAAAGTCACGTGAGGGAGCGTCGCGACGCGGTTGACGCGATGGCGCAAACAACCCGATCGGTCTCACGCGAGTACTCCGCAGCGCGTATCGTCAGTCTCTGCCCCCATACTTGTCGTATCCATCCTCACATACGAGCTCTCGTGCTGCACGACCTCAACCTCTTGGACGTTTCCCCTCCGCTCTGTCAGTGCCTGCCATCTTCCACCATGAAGCGCTCCACAAGACCACCAGGCAATGATGTCAAAGCAACCACCGCCGCCGTCGTGGGCGAGTCCGACTTCATGTCGGATCTCTTTGCCGATCTCGACGCGTCCATATTTTCCCAACCACCTTCCTCGTCACCAAATGGAGTTCGTACACCGACCAGTAGTGCTGGTCACTCCAGCTCTGCTCCTAGACGTGCGTCGTATGCACCACGGGACCGGGACCGCGTCGTCGTCGCTTCCACCTCGGCATCGACGTCAGCCTCGAGCTCAGCCGCCTCGACCAGCGCACGCACCTCGGTTCGGAAAACCTCCCCACCAGTTCAGAAACGAGCCGTCTCACTCCGGCCGGAAGAGTTTTGGAACGATTCCTTGTCAAGACCGTACGCAAGACCCGCTTTGGTCAATACCGCGACGTCGACATCCAAGCCGTCACTCTCCGTTTTTGTCGCGAAGAAGCGAAAATCCGACGGTCTCGACGGCGTCCAAGGGATCATCAAGTCGCGCGAACGAAGCATGTCCACTGCGGCGACTAGTCTCAAGCTCAAAGGGAAGGAAAAAGAGAACGCACCCGTTCGTGACGATCTAAATCGCCAAGCTCCGAACATCAAGCGTGGGATGGCTTGCACATCGGAATTCAAGCTTGACGTGACCTCGGAGGATTTGCTGGAAGGGATTGACTTTGATGACTTGATGGACCACGATGATGACGAAGATGAGGAGGTTAGTCGTTACCTAATGGAACATGTACGCTAACACCGGCCAAAGCTGATCCATGGCACATGAACTTGTAGCCACCACCACCGAGGAGTAAAGACTTCGTCAGATGTGTCGTGGAAGCAATTGAGGAGGGAATGGGGCCTAAGCGAACGCTGGTACGCATCCTTACCGGATTTGAAGCAGATTAAACGCTCGAACTCATCGTCCTGAGTACCGTTTGCAGATCTTAGAAGTCTCGAGCGAGAGATTCGAGGACCGACGGCAGGTTGTTCTGGCGGATGACTGGATTCAATCCGTCGTTGAAGTTGGTGAGTCCCGCCGGCTCTTCGAAAGATGCGAGTGAAGTCTGAAGAACTTTGTATTTATGATCAGGGCACACCATAAACGTCGTTGGACCGTTCGATCTGGCCGCATCTCCCTCCGCCATCATCGATCGTCTGTCAGGCTACCTCATCCTTCACCCCGACATCCTCGTCTCGTCGACCAAAGTCGCCGACTCCGCGCAGTGCTCACGCAAGGCCTTGCTGCAGGAGATTATCCGATCAAGCGAGGGAACGAATTCTTCTCTCGTGTATGGCAACATGCTTCACGCGCTCATGCAAGCTTGCATGCTTGACAATCGGTGGGACGACGAGTACAGAAAGGAGAAGATCCAGAGCATTGTTCAGAGCCAGATGCAGACCTTGTGGAGCATGAACAAACCGGGACCGATCGAAGCTGAACGTGCAACAGAGGAGATGTGGGAGAAGAGCAAGGAGTTTGAGCAATTCGGCCACATCTTTGTTGGTGATAATCCATCGGTGCGTTCCGTGGCAAGCTCACTCCAGGGCTGGGGTACGGACAGCTAATTTCGCGATGACTTCACTTGTAGCTTCGAGCAGCGTTGCCAGATGCTCACTCGGCTCGTGGTGGTTCAACGGCGCGATTGGCCATCAATAGAGGTCTTGCCATCGAAGAGGATATCTGGTCACCCCGATTCGGTCTCAAGGGCAAGATCGACATCACCGTTGCAGGAAAGATTGCGGAAGGCCCCTTCACGCGACTCGGCACCTTCCCCTTCGAGATCAAAACGGGCAAATCCTCGGCCGGGATGGAACATCGTGCTCAGACGATGCTGTACACCCTTCTCATGACGGATCGATATAATGAAGCGATTGAGTCGGGATTGCTGTACTACACGCAGTCGAATGAGGTGCTGCGCATCCAGCCTGCCCGGAATGAACTTCGGGGTTTACTCATCGCTCGGAATGAGTTTGCGACGTTCCTGCATCGACGGCTGTCTCTATCCGCAGGCAAGACGTGGCTTTCATCCACTCCCAAGATCGAAGATGAAGATGGAGAGGGTCCGAAACCGGTGGTCACCCTCGCCGCGACGGCCAATGATGTGCCAGCGAGCTCGCAAATGTCAGCATCCGAGGCGGCGCTTTGGGCAGATGCGACACCCCCGAGCGCAGCCGATGCCAAGCCCGTCGAACTCCAGGATCGACTCTTGCCCGAGCCTATAGATGAAGCGAGGTCTTGCAAGCGATGCTACGTCAGAGATGCGTGTATGCTTTATCGACGGGTGAGACAGTCTGTTGTGGTAGGTGTTCATGTAGTAGGAACTGACGAGCTGAACTTCTTCGGCAGGCATTCGACGGTGACACCGAAGTCACGAATGATGACTCGAACGGCTCTTTGCAGCAAGTGTATGAGGACCAAACTTCTAGTTTGACCGATACGCAGCTTGCCTTCTTCCGGACTTGGGAACGTCTCATTACCCTCGAAGAACAGGAGATGATCAAGTTCAAGAAAGAGATTTGGACAATCGGGGCTAAGGAGCGTCAAAGGCTTGGACGGTCAGTCTTCCTTCCTGCGGTTTACTCTTTCAACTTGGAACTGACGCGGGCTCCTCTTTAGATGCCTGGCCAACATGGCGATCGATACTGCCGCAGAAACACCCGTCCCAGTAGAAGGCGCTCCCCGCGTGCATACGTACACGTACTGTCTTCGCCGCGCCACAGCGCTCTGCACACAGGCGACGTCGACCCAACGCGCAGCCGATTCATTGTTGGGCGGAACGATCTCCGTCAACGACCCGATCGTCATCACACTCGAACAACCCTTCGTTCTCGCCATGTCCCGTGGCTTCGTGCTCGAAATGTCGGCCCATCATATTGTCGTTGGAGTAGATCATTCGTTGACGGACTCACCGCTGCTCGCTCGAGCAAGAAAGACGAAGTCGGACCAGGGTCAGATCTACCGTATCGACAAGGACGAGCTTGCCGCCGGTATGGGTCGAATTCGAGACAACCTTGTGCAGTTGTTCGTGCCCGGCGGAGACGAGCGTCGTCGCGAACTCATCGTCGATCTCGTTGAGCCGCAATTTGACGAGTTGCGTCCGGTGGTCGACGAGGCAGAACTCGTTACCCATTCCGATCTAAACGAGGATCAAGCACGAGCGATCGACAAGGTTTCCCGAGCTCGAGACTATACCTTGATCCTTGGGATGCCGGGTACAGGCAAGACGACGACGATTGCTGAACTGCTGAAAGCGCTGACGAAGAAGGGCCAGTCGGTGCTTTTGACGAGTTACACCCATTCGGCGGTCGACAACATCTTGCTCAAAGTGAAGGATCAAGGGCTCGGTATCTTGCGTCTTGGGAATCGAGACAAGGTGAGTCCGAGAAACCTTGCTGGGGTACTGCCATGAGACTGACTCTCCTTGTACCACAGATCATGCCCGACCTGCATCATCTCACCCTAGATCCTCGCGACCCTGCGACCAACTTGGCTCAACTTGACAACCGGTTCATGACCCCGCAAATCATCGCTACAACTTGTCTTGGCATCAACGAGTAAGTCGAGACATTGTTTCTTGGCTCTTCTGAACGAAGTTTGAGGCTGATCTCGACCTTCCCAGGCACATCTTTTTGAAACGCCGATTCGATGTTTGCATTATTGATGAGGCGGCTCAAGTCACCCTGCCGACTTGCCTCGGGCCTTTGCGCTTCGCTGATCGCTTCGTCCTGGTTGGTGATCACAATCAGCTCCCTCCCCTTGTAAGTGTTTCACGACAACATAAATACGCACCGACCCATTTCGGCTGATGCTGATGATTGATTCTACACCAGGTGCGTAACCCCGCCGCTCATGAAGGCGGGCTCGACGAGTCGCTCTTCGCTCGTCTATCGAAGGCGCACCCCTCGGCCATCGTCAACCTCACGATTCAGTACCGCATGAACCGTGACATTATGCTGCTCTCGAACCGACTCGTCTACGATGGTGAACTTCGTGTCGGTTCCGATTCTATTGCGGATCGTCGATTGGCTCTGCCAGGGTGGGAACGACTTGAAGAGGGGTGGTGCAAAGACGTCGTCGACCCGAGAAAGACGGTCGTTTTCGCTGATACGGATCTATTGCCTGCGCGTGAGAGGAAGCAAGGATCTTTGATTGACAACGAGGGCGAAGCACGGATCGTTAAAGAGGTGAGAAGATGACTGAAGCCCTTATCCCGGCCGCATGTGCAAGGCTGACAGGTCAGGTTCCCGAAATTCAGATTTGCAAGTCTTTGATCGAGTCTGGCCTCGAAGCGACCGAACTCGGTCTGATCGCGCCCTACCGCCATCAAATCAAGCTGCTCTCCTTCCATCTGGGTTCGACCTACCCGGAAATCGAAATTCTCACCGCCGATCGTTCGCAAGGACGTGACAAACTTTGCATCGTCATGTCGTTGGTACGCTCGAACGAATCAGGCAACGTTGGGGATCTGTTGACCGATTGGAGGAGGTTGAATGTCTGTTTGACGCGAGCCAAGGCCAAACTGATCATTGTCGGTTCACGCAAAACGCTGAAGCACGTCGAGGTACTGAGGCGGTTGTTCGATATTTTCGAGGATGAGAGCCGTCAGTGTATTTACGAGTTGCCGAAGACCACGCTTGGAGAAGAGGTTCGAGACGAGGCAGAAGCTCCTGAAGGAGGGTCGGAGAAGAGGGCCCAAGTCGTTGGACCTGGGGCCAAGTTGATGCAGAGGGCTTTCGCGAGTGACATCGCCAACTGCTTGTAGTTCTTGCTGTCTGTTTTTAACTCTTCATGCATTGGATCTATCGCGTCGTCGTCACTTCGCGCAGAGAGTACCAGGTTTCTGCTTTGTGGACTCCCTGAAGGCTAGGAAGGCACTTCTGTGCGGCACTGTAGGCGAAGCCCCGCACGAGCAGTCCTGATAAAGCCCCCAATAGCTCCAAAGAGTTCTGGTTGAATGATGGCACTCGTGTCGCCACTTCTGATTGCAAGTCGTACATATTACATCATGCCATCCTGGCCTTCGCCGAACGTCGCTTTTCGTCGGTACACGTTCTGATCCCTCAACCACTGTCGGTAGCCCGACAGACTTGATACCTTCTCTGCATAGTACTGTATGATGACCAAGGAAAAGTAGATCGGTCAACGTTCCACTCCTGTCCTCCACAGGCTAGAGCTCGATGCAGCAGATGCAGTTATCTCGGCTCGGCTGAGGACCAAAAGCAAACTCTCAACTCACATCCGGGACGGGGTTCGAAACAGATTGTCGGGACGGGTCGACGCGATTCCTGGCGATGTGGGCGTAAAAGTCCTTCTCCTTGACTTCCATCGCTTGTAGGACCTTGCGGTGGGTCAGCCTCCACAGACCGGTGCCGACGATAGGTCCGGAGAGCCAGCCGAGGGCGACGCAGGCCATAGTCGCGATTCCGTATCTGCGGTCGATAGGATAGCAGCAGATGGATTAGTTTCCAAGGGTTATTTTCCACGCATGTTGGCGAGGCATAGACCAGTGGCCCGAAGACCGAACGCCGACCCGGGTCGTTCGCCATGAATGACTTTTCTCAGGCATCTCTGCAAAGTGCGCGCTTCAAAACTCACGCATACACAGGCTCAAGGCCAAGGATCAGATCGGTCGGTTCAGCCTCGATGGTCGCAAAGTAACTCGCTCCAAGGGTGAGTCCAGCGAAGGTGGTCGGGATCGAAGCGAGCAGGCCGTACAGTCGTTGCGATCGACGCAGCGCGAGGTACTTTGGCCACGTCAGTTGTTGAGCTGCTGAAAAGGAGAAGCGGGAGAAAGATCAATGTTGGGGGGATGTTCAAGCTGCTGGGAGGGCGTATCAATCGACGTACAAGGGGTGGAAGCGGTGGATGACGTCGAAGCGGCTCGCGACAGGTGACGGAGAAGGGGTGTAGGATGCGCTAAAGTGGGCCTCGAGGCGAGTAGGCGGGCAACGGACACGGAAGTTGTCCTTGAGATGGACATGGCTGATGCAGGGAGGCGCAGAGGTGCGTTGGCGGATTCCCGGTCACGATGCAGTCGGAGGTCAAAGTCAGGACTCGGAGCAGCCGCTGCCCAGTTGGGGTCTCCACCGTGGTCGACGGGACATTTTCGGCGGATTAAGGCCGAGGGCTTTCCAGCTCGGGACGGGTCCTTGGGCTAGGGCATTTTGTCTTCAAAATTATTGGCTACTTCCCAGTGCTCGTCAAGTGTGGATCCACCGCAGCGGGTAATGTGCTCCTTTTCGAGTGAGCTCAAGGTTCCCGACTCCCGGCTGGCCGAGCACGGCGCAGAAACAAGTGTGACAAGATAATTGCACCGTCAGATCAAAATACTCTACCAAAACAAAAACAAAAACCCAAGAAACGTGTACGGCCTTATTGACAGTTCTCCCGACATGTAGCCAAATAGATCTACGCGCAAAAGGTAGCAATTCGGGATCGAGACAACCTCTAAGAGAACCGCGTTTCAACTTCCCCAAAAGAGGAAACATGAACATCCGTCTTGCAATCCCTGAATCCCTTCCATCCCCTAGGAGAATGACGAACATGGAAGGACTGTCAAGTAAAGGGTGCAGAGGCAGTCGACCTGTGAGCAGTGTCGCTGCCGAGGGTGGATATGGGTCGAGCGCCCACGCATATGAAAGGGGAAGAGAACACTAAGGTGGAATGAGGCACACTGACGAGCGTCTACAAGTCGACAGGAGCAACCGTGAGACGACTTGTTCAAGACGTTGGTGAAGCTTTGACTCGTGGGCCAGAGTGCGACCCAGTGAGGAGGGAGAAAAGCAGTTTCGCAAGGGGCTGAACCCCTGGTTCGCATGCTGGGTAGAAAGGACCATAGCATACGGTGACGAGGTGCTCGTACAAAGCCAAGTAAGCGTAGGATAGGTTGTTGGGCCGCGGGAAACGGATGATGGAGCTGCTGGTGGAGCCGTGGAAGAAGAAGAAGAAAAGCGCCGGCAATTGCTTCGCACAGAGCGTTGTCCGCGAGCCTTGAATTATACCTGATTAGATTCGCAGGAGTAAGGCGCAATTGCGCGTTGGTTATAAGGGTTTGCGACGGCTTCGACTCGCGCTCGACATCCTCACTGCACGTAGGTGTAAATCTGTGCAGTGGATTCTTTTGTTACACACTATGGAGAGGACTACAAGTAATAGGCTAGGTCTTGCGTTCTGGTTCCATGATCAAACAATCAAACAAGGAATGACTACAAAAGCATGACACCGCTGGCTCCGGAGTCCGGAGCCACTGGGGCATCGCTATCGCTTGACGGAGGGAGCAAGCTTGCGGCCAAGATTTCGAGGAGTGGAATTGGGAATTTGGGGGAATGGAATGCAAGCAGAAGGGAAGACCTACCCATTGCTGCCACGAGTCGGTAAGACGAAATTGCTCTGAGACACTCACCCGCTTCCACGCCGCCCGCGCCAGCCGATCTTCTCTAGCATGGGGTGCGATCGGAAGTCACGCCTTGGATAGTCGGTGTTCCCCGCGCGGAGTCCGACCGTGGTCTGCTCAGGGACGCTGCAAATAAAACAAGCGTTACCTATACCCACGCACCTATAAGGTAACAGCTGACCACTTCCGAACTGGAACGTGCAGCTCCTGCTAGGCCCGTGGTGTAGAGTATGTAGGTCAATTTGAGATCCTGAAGGTCTGTCAATGTGGTTGGGGTGAGGTTGGCAGTTGGAAGGGTAATGAAGGCACTCTGCAGCTTGCTGGCCCGTCGCTTCGGAAGTCGTGAGACTCTCATTGACCAATCATAACGCCGCCGTGGCCCAGCGAGTCCTTGAGTCGGCGCGCCAGCGAGAAGCAAGCCAGCTCCTGCAGGCTCCTGCCAGCTCTGGCAGTCGGAAGCTGGCCAAGCGGTTTCCGTGCCACCCACGGCTTGATCCTCCTAGCCGTATTCCGGTTGCCCAGCCTCCGCCCAACCGTTCTATCTCGTCCTTCATTTCGCACCTTTTCAGTTCGGCTAAAACCCGACGCCCGACATTGGCCGCACCACTACTTTGTGCGGCCTCACAGGCCTGTATAGGCGTCAGGACACTCCGGCCGACTAGGTCTTCGCACTCCGGCGCTCGCCCAGGCGCACCGGCTACCGTTACCTGCCGTCAAGGTGGACATCCAGTCGAACATTGGGCGCACGTCTTGTGGAAGCCAGAGGTGAGAATTGCTCTGTCAAGGGTGTTGGAAGCCCACGCGGCGCAGGGGCGAGCTCGTAGAGCTGCCTCCTGCGACAGCGTGTGAGCGGATTGGCACGCACTTGCGCCTGTGTCGACGATGTCGAGTCCCTCGATTGATCGCCGGGCGACGATCTGCCCCCCCCCCCCCCCCAATGATTGCAACTCGCTGACCGCCTGTTATCGCATTCATTGTCATGCTCTCATCGGCATCCACTCCCCAGATTAGACCCCGAATCGCACTCGCCTCGAATCCGACTACATCGGACTTGCCGGGCCGAATCTAGAGCCACGGTCCCGTTACGGGGCGCGGGTGTGTCGCCTTCATTGCGAAATCGACCGACGACATCACCGAGCGGCAACGCCTGCAAGCGACTACAGCACTTTGTACCAACTTGAGGCACAAGTCTCACAACTTCTACCCAGAGGAATCGATTTAATCTCGCTGTATGCAGCTCAACGAGGCTGACAGCGCCGTCGTAGCGGCTCAATTGTCGCAACAGCCCCCGCACGTGAATGGCGGCGGGAACAACGGCGCAACTGATCCAATGTCTTCCCATAACGGTCTACCGACCACTCAACAGCAACCGCTGCTCTCGAATCCAAGCTCACCACCGACAGCAAATGCACAGGCTCAGACGAGTCCGCACGTGCTACAGCTGACGCCCGTGCAAGCCGAAGCGCTCGCTAGTTTGGGACTGTCGGCTCTCATTACGAGCCCGACGACCACAACCGCCAAATCCGTCACGTCGAATTCAGAACCACACACACCACAATCACCTGCATTTCCACAGCGTGCCGCAGATATGAACGCATCGCCGTTCACGCGGGTCAATGGGCCGACGCCGGCCGCAATCGCCGCGAGTTTAGGAGTCGGGGGAGCCCTGACGGCCGCATCCCGAGCTCTGGCCCACGAGATGGAGCTGGCGTACCCGACAGCACCTTCCTCGGGTGCACCCTCGAACCCGTCCACCGCACCGCCAACGCCTTACTACTTTGCGTCGCCGGTTGGGAATGGGGCCAGCGGGAGTGGGGCAGCTACCCCATCCCTGCAGGCGATTGCCAGAGCGACGCCGCCCCCTCCTGCGAACTCACCGATGATCGCAACGGCGACGCCGGCCTCGAGTATTGTCCCCCCGCAGCCGGCCCATTCGGCTCCTCCAACGCGACATCACCCTTACGCCCATCCAGCACACCCTCGACCTCTGCATGCGAATACGGCGTCCGTGTCCTCCATCCCGCACTATCTCTCCACCAGTGTCGCTGCATCACCGGCGGCCGACTCGCCCCTATCGACCCCACCGATGCCTTCCACGGCGTTCTCTCCCGCCCCGCCGATACCTCCACCGCGAGTCCAGTCGGCCCCGATTCACATCACTTCGAACAATGGCGAGCTGCTCCCTGGCGAGGGGCAATACACCGCCGAAGACGAGTACGGACGGGCCTCGAATGCTCTCGCATCTGCATTAGAACAACAGCATCACCACCAACAGCAGCAACAGCAACAACAGCAGAAGCAGCAACAACAGCAGCAAGCCCAAGCTCAGCTTCATGCTGCCCAAGTCGTCCACGCCCAGGCGCATGCGCAGCAGGTTCAGGCGGATTGGGAAGCGCGAAGACTGCAGCACAACAATCTCGCTGCGGCGATGGAGTCTAGTGCGGTGATCGGAGACTGGGAAGGCGATCGGGGTATGGCGGATGCCTCGCCGCAGCTCCTGGGCATAGAGGAAGCTCAGGCTCAAGCTCAAACCCAAAGCCAGTCTCTAGCCGCACCTCTGCAACTCGCTGGTCCCGCGTCGTCAGGCCAGCCGACAAACGCTCTTCTCACGACGCCGACGGCGATGCCTACGACGTCGAATGGCTACTACGAGTCTCCCAGTGCGCCTCCGGTTGCACCAGCGTTCAACTTCCCACCACCCCCGACCTTCCAGCCCGGTCCGAACCCGCACCCACCACCGAACGAGACCGTCGCAGCTGCGATCGCATTGCTCAAAAACCGCTTGCCCATCTTAGAGGCCGCGCTCACTACGTCAACCAGCGATCTTGGCAATGACGAAGAGGAGATTTGGAAGGGCGTAGCGAGCGCGTACAAGGAACTGAAGCGCATCATGAACGCGCGCAAGGGTGCTCGGAGGGAAGCCACAGCAGTTCAACAAAGCGCTGCTCAGAACTTTGCAATGGATCTTGAGTCAAACCCACCAACGTCGACTTCTGCGCCACCCACGGATCGACCCATTACGGCGAGCACCATCTTCCTCAACACCCATGCGCCCCCACTCGTGCACTCGCAGTCTTCGCCCGAAGGGCTGCCGACGATCGCAACCCAACGAGCGGCGCAGGCCCTGGCTCAAGCATCGAACGTCCAGTCGATGCAACGTCAGCAAGTAGCGATTCAGCAACAGGCGCAGCAGATGCAACAGATGCAGCAGATGCAGCAGGCGGTCGCTCAGCAGCAGCAACACGCCGCTCACGCTCACGAAGCGCAGGTCCAAGCGCAAGCACAGGCTCAAGCTCAAGCTCAAGCACAGGCGCAGGCGCAGGCGCAGGCTCAGGCTCAGATGCAAGCCGACATGCACGTACGAGCACAGCAAGAGGCTGCCGAACAACAGGCCCGAGCGGTTGCCGACGCGTCAGCACGAAGAGAGCAACAGTTCCAACAGGAGCAGTACCAGCAAGCCGTTTCAGCTCAACAGCAACAACAACATGCCGCCGCTGTCGCCGTTCAGGCCCAACATGTGCTTCAGGCCGAAGTGAGTCGCTTCTTATCAGGTTCTGAACTAATTAGTTTTCCGCGTGCTCACCGCGGAACCCTTTCGCTTTGGCCAGCAACAGCATCGCCAAGATTTCGAGGCCCAGACGAACGCAGTAGCTGCTCAACAGCAGCAAGATTTCGTCTTGGCAGCGACCGCTGCCGCTGCAGCAGCAACCCAACTACCTTCGGGAGCAGTGGCAGCCAATGGCAGCGTGCCGTCTCACTCGCCGATGCCGATGCCGCCTACCATGGCCACCATCACTTCGGTCAACTCGACTCAGTCCCACCCCCTGTCGCCGAATACGATGCAAGCCAAGCTTTACGGTCGCGCTCGCACTGTCTCACAACCCACCCTCGGCGCTTTTGCGACGAGCTCGGCTCCGCTGTCTGCGTACGATGCCGACTACTCGATGGGCGCAGTGATGCAACTGCAGATGTCTCTCGGATCAGCTTCCGCGATCGGGGGAGTGCATCCTCAGCCCGGTACCCACCCAGCCCTGACGGCACTCTACCCGGAGGTCGTGGAAACAAGCATGCTCGCGGGCGGATCTTCGGCCGAATCTGCCTTCGACGACATGAACAGAAGCGGGTGGAGGAGCGACCCAACACACGCCGCCTTGACGGCCGCGGTGACGAGCGTAGTCGAACCAACACTAGCAGCGCACGTCTCGCTCCAATCCCCGACCAGTGCAGGTGCTACACCGACCATCAGCTCGCGGCCGGCTCGGTCACGGGCAGCCTCCGGCTCGGGCTATGCTTCGGCTTCGGGCTCTCGTTCTCGCGCGGCTTCAGGCTCGGGCTACCAGACTCTCTCCGAAACTCGCTCTCGCGCGGCATCCTCGGCCAGCTCGGTGTTTGGCCCACCTTGCGAGGTCGATGACGAGGACGAGCTCGAGGACGAGTTCGAAGACGCCGTCGTCATCAAGTCCAACGCCGCGAGCTCGCTGGCGCAAACCTACGCGACTGTCTCACCCGAACTCCGCGCACGTATGGACCCCGTTTTCAATGAGTACCTGTGCGATTTGTGCTCGAACCTCGAAGCGACGGACTCGAAGGGCGAGGTCATTCATCAGACTTTGATGGCCAAGAAGATGGAGCGGCTGGACCAGAGCGCCGATTTCCGCCCCTTCAAATTCCGAATAGCAGCCTTTACCTCCGCCTTCAGCGAGCGCCTCGTCGCTGCAGGATTCGCTGATGTCGACATCCCGACCAAACGCGTGCGGCAGTACTTATGGTCGCAGTCGTGCATTTCGCGATACAACGACGACGGCAAGAAAGCCAAATCGAAAGGGAACCACATCTGGACGATTGAAGCCAAGAAGGATCCCGAACGACGATGGGTGTTCCGCACGTTCGAGCGCTGCATCAAGGGAAACGCACCTCAGGTTGCCTTCGTCGGTTTGCTGTGGACGTGGGCGCCGCGAGTGTGGGACCCACAATGTTCGATCTCGCCCGCTCTCGTTACATTCAGTTCGCCTTCTTTACCAACATGGCTGCATTGGCACGATCACCTGTTGACCGGCGAAGCTCCCGAGTCCGCTCATGGTCAGACTTTCGAAATCGAGGCGGTTGCGTATATCCATGGGGCGACCGATCCGGGCAAACCGAACGAGATCTCGTCCAAGGTCTCGATTCTTGTCGCTTCGCCCTCCGAACGAAATGGTAAGCTTACCTCATTTCCTTGAGCCCCGAGTTTGCGTTCGGACACTGACATGAATCTGCTTGTGCTTCCTTTTGCCTACGTCTTTGCGGCGCAATAGACGTCCTGTCGTTGAGCATGTCGAGCGATCACGATGTCTCGGCGCCCGTTTCTCAATCGGCGAGCCCTGTCATTTCAAGAGACACCTTCTTCTCACCGCGGATGCAACACGTGTCGTCAACGGACAACGATGGTCGGGCTGAACTGCAGCAGCAGCAGTATCACGCCGAGGCATCGAGATCGAACTTGCTTCCTTCTCTCATGGGCGGTCACCCGATGAACCAGGGTCGGCCCGAGTCGCCCTCTTCTACGCTCGCACAGCATCAGCAGCACCAGCAGAATCAAGAGGTCGCGCATAATCGACAACAAGAGCAACTGCTGCTCCAGCAGCAAATGTACGCGCAAGCCGCGGGTCAAATGCAACTCGACTCGGATCTGAACATGGTCAACACCTCTGCCGACGATGCGGCGATGGAGTCTGATTCGGCCAGCTTGCATCGACAATACGCCGCTATGGGGGTGCAAAGCCTCGGCGCATCACCCACGAGCTTCGAACAGCAGATGCAATCGCAGACAGCCGTTGCGCTCTCGTTCGCCCCGGCCGCCGAACTCGTAGCGAATACGCTCCACCAGGTCCAGGGCGATGGCTCCACCCCTAAAAGCTGTGAGTAAACTCGAGGTCTTCTTTATTCGGCCAGCTCGTGACTCTTAGCTCATATTCCTTTCCTTCACACTCAATTAGACAGCAACGGTCTCTTGAACAGCCATCCCGAAGCGGGCACGGCGTCGCAGATCGACGTCGGCCTGCGCAACATCGCTCTGCGCGATCGTCGATCCTTCGATCACGGCGAGCCCATCTTGTAGATCGCCATCGTGCGGTTTCATCGTCTGCACCCCCACCTGTATCGGACAACACCCCTGTTGTCTCGTCCTGTATCGTCTCCGCTCTGCGCAGCACCGCTTTTGCTCCTCATATACCTCTCTTCCGGCTTCAGTGCGCCTCACCCCATCACCTCGGAACCTGGACGCTCTTAGCGGACGAGTTTTTTGTACAAATGATCTGGCTGTAGAAGACTGTGAGAGCCTTGATGTTGGAATAGATGAATGTGACTCTATTGCGTTGGGGGCAAGTGGAGCTCGACGTCTTCATGCTCTGGGAAACAGGCTGAATGCCCTGAACTGCAGCAAGATGGAACATCCTACTGAAACGAAGCACTTCGGGAGCGGATGAGATCTCGGAGGTGTGCAAGCGGCGGAACGTGTTAAGGTGCTTAGGACGAGTTGTGGACAGAGACTACAAGAACGTTGAGAGCGAAGACGACAAGCTTTGACGATACAGTTTAGAGAAACAGTAAGCACGTTTGGAGTGTTGGAAGACGAGACTGCGAAAGGTGGCAGAGCACATGCTCATCCGCGGGAGCTTGACGCGAGAGGTCGGGCGGCGTTAGGACGAGCAGCAGCCCCGACGGTGAGCGCTTCCTGCCCCTTTCCGCGAGCGGATCCTCCGACACCCGTTGCCGTAATCTGGTCAAGGTGCTGTGAGAGAGTACCAGTGAAAGTAATAAGAAACCCCAAGATTTGGCATGTCTCTGTCAACCTAGCCTCAGTTCGACTCACTTGAGCGTACGAAGCAGGGAGGTGATCCCACGCGAAGTCGGGCAAAAGAAAGCACATCGCCCAACGAAGTGCGTTGGTATAGCTCGAATTGTAGGCGACCGAGCGTGAGCTCATGGGACGATGTTGCGAACCATCTTTGACGATGACGACACGCGTCGCATGGTGTAGTTGGGTGGTGTCCGGCTCATAATAGGGTGCTTTGTTGGGCCTAAGGTAGATCTCCACCCCGATGTGGGCGTAATTGAGGACCGACATCGAGGTGCCGACCATGCCAGCGGCCTGAGGGCGAGCAAAGCCGGGAGGGATCCGGGTCACGATGTCTCGATTGTTCTTAACACGCCACATAATGTTGGGACGGTTGATGGGGGCTGTGAAGAGGAGCGGATGAGTGTTCATTCGCGCTGGCACTTGGCGGGGCCGAGCCACATTACTCACTGATGGTCGACTCTTCAAACTTGGCAGCGAACTGGGCATCTCCGAGCTGTTGCAGGAAGCAAAGATGTGTCGATGAGGCACGCTTCACCGGAACCCCCAAGCAAGAGACTCTCTCAACGCGAGTAACTTACACGAGGGGTTCCGTAGAGGTAGCAGTCCCTGAGCACGATACCCTTCCCGAGGTCGCAGGGAACACGCAACAGTCGCGTGTACAACAACGAAGCAAGGGCAGAGCCGAGAGAATGACCGGTGACGAAGAGAGGAACAGGCGAGCTTTCGGGGTCCGGTGACAACGTTTCCGCGATGTGCTTCAGCTGGTGTGATCAAATCCAAGGCGGTGGGGTGGTCAGCGCGTCGGCTCCTGGCACCCCGGCGCTCCCTGCGCAGAGTCCGAGTCAAGCGAAGCTGCCTCCCACCTGGAACAGGATCTGCCCGAAACCGTCGGTGCGCTCATCGAACATGGGGAAGAGCGAGGTCGCAAAACCTTCGTGAACAGTGCCATCGCCGAACCAGCTTGTCGCGTTGATGCGTGTGATCGTAGCATTAGTCAAAAACTCGGCGTAGCTGTGCAGCGAAGAGTGGTCAGGCCCCTCGGAGCAATGGGGATGGTGTCCCAAAGCAATGCACTTACTTGCTCGGCGTCGTGCCCTTAAAGACTAGAACGATAAAGGGCTTCTCCTCACCTGATTGCGTGTAGAAGGCACTTGCAAAGGGGCCACTCGTAGACGAGAGATCAGAGATGCCTTCGTAGTTCAAGCCCCACTTGGCCGCTTGTTCCCGAATGGTGGTCTCACTGTCGAGCAGAAGTACCTCGGCGCCTTGAAGATCACCCCGAGCAGCCTTGGCTACGGCCTTCTCGACGAGCTTGTCGTCGCGCTCGTATACGAGAGCACACATACTCAGGCACGCTTTTGCGACATCGAGGTCAAAGATGCGGTTCGTCTTGGGGGGTGAGCTAGGGAGCGCTCCCGGTGCTATGGCGTCGGGGAAAGTCGTCTTCAGCCCTCCGAGAGTCGCACGAGCCGATCGGATCGTATTCGCCGATTGAGCAGAGTTTATCAGTGCGGGAGAGGCCCAGTTGACTGCGCTGTACCCATCGGCGTACTTGCGGCTGATGTAGTTGATCAGCGCCGATCCGCCGATGCTCGAAGCAAGGTAGAGCCCAAAGATCGCAACGAACAGGATCATGTAGATGCCCTTTGAGAAAAGTATTCAGTCGGTTAATTTGGGTTGAAAACTTTATTATGCAGGGCGAGTCCAGCAGGTGGCAGGGAGCGTGAGCTCCTCTCGGGCGGCGCGGCCCTTGAAGTGGGGCCCCTCGAAGACTGCGAGCGAACGACCTTCCGTCACCGCCGACGATTCGGTCGTAGCAAATCAAAAGCACAACCAAGAACCCCATCTAATCAGTTGAAGCTTACCGGGTAAATGATTAGGGTTGCAATCGTAGAGAGAGGGTCGAACAAAATCGAAGCAGGTGCAACGACGAGGGTCGTCAGGAAAGCAAGCGTGTTGCCCGCGACGTAGTGAAAGAAGGCGTAGAAGAGCGAGCTACGGCTATGCTGAACGGATGAATCGCCACGACAACTCAAGACGGACACGAGCTCTTGAATATGCACAGCGAGGCGCTGCGGCTGACCTCCAGTGGCTGCGTCACGACCCTGGGCGAGCGTCTGCTCGTTGTGGCCTGATTGCGACATGGTGCTGGACGACTGCGCCCTCGTACGACACAGTCGGCAGGCAGCGGTGGATACAGGTTCGGCAAGGTGAGCAGGGCAAGATCAGATCAGCATCTTCCGAACTGGGTAACTGGGTTGTTGGACGCGACTGAGATTCGCTTCGAGCTATGAGGGAGGGGATGACGAGCAACACGGGGAGGGGATAACGAGCAACAAAAAGAGTGGATAGCGAGCAACAGAGGGAGGAAGATGGGGAAGAGACTGAGGACAGAAGGCGCGATGCACTGGTTGGTGCGAGGTCGCACCAAAGCCGATTGCCCGACCTGTGGCGCGCACGGACCGCAGCTCCTCGGTCTCGATCAACGTCAGCTCCTCGGTCGAAATGTTTTGACCAACCGTCACTACCGAGTACAGAGCTTTTCATTTACTCACTACAGTAATCAACTACTCGAGCTCAGCGTGGATGCATACACTCACTTCGCCCACTGCACCGCAACTCACCACACAAATCTCGTGAAGATCTTGCACTGCAGTGGACCTCGACAATGCTGCACGACTCTATGCCCGAGTCAAGAATTGTCATTCTCCTAGGGTAATGTGTTCGGCAATGTGCCAAATCAATATGTTCTCCGACAGTATTTGTGTTTTGGTGTGCCACTAGGAACGCGTCGCGACGTTATTATCGCACCATGATGATGATGAACACCGTCGGCCCCGTGCATGGAGACATTGGCCGGCGGTCGCGTCGTGCTGCGCGGTGGTCCTCACCTGTCCCTGCACAAGCATTGCTCGATAGGTACAGATGTCAAGCATTTTTACTTGGCTATTTTCAACTACTAACTGCAACTAGACCAATTTCACCTCGCCTCTGGAATATAACAAGCACTGTGACTTGTCGTCCCGGAGGATAATTGAGTCCACCATTCCGCCCGAGATTGTCATGGTTTCCAATGTAGACGACAATGCTAACTAGGAGCCGAAATTTATCCACCTGCTGTCCCATACCTACCTCTCCAGACAGCGGATTGTAGCTCAGGATTAGTGCAAAATAACGCGTTGGTGACCCAGGCATCCGGAGCACTTGGGCGGCAAGTCGGATCGTTTCATGATCGGACGTTGAAGTCCTATTAGGCGCGGCCTTGCGCGGCTGTAGCTCCCGTCGCGGTCGCGCGTCTGAGCGTGAGCTGGCGCGCTCACGACCAGGCGCGAGCTGGCGCGACTATTGTCAGCGGGCCGAGCTTTAGGCCTCAGGCAAGCTCAGGCATGACTCAAATCGGCCTTGTGTGAGGCGCTCCCTTTCGCTCCCTTCATCCGCCGTCGTCGCCCCTTGATTTACGCCCTCCACCCGTCGAACCTGCGTGGCGCCTCCTGAATCGACGATCGCGGCTTCTTGACCGTGCTCGATCATGACTGTGAGTGATCAGTCTATCTGTTCGCACGCACCCGTCGCCATGGTCGGACGATGCGTTCGAGTGTGCCCTACCGTGCTTGGTCCGAGAGATGGCTGTTCGCTCACTCAACTCGTCCGCTTTACCTCACCGCGCCTTCTACCATTCTCCGCCGCGTGTTCCCATCCACACCTACCTCCAATACCCACCCCTTTCCGCGACACCGTTCCTATTGTCACCCACAGACCCGAAGAACGACCCGTCGATCGGCGGTACCGGTCGGCACTGGCACCGAGAACGAGCAGTCGCTCAAGGCTGGCCTCGCCCACGCGCCCTCCGCCGCGCTCGCGGGCAAACAACCGATCGCGCTCAAGCCGTCGGCGTTGGCGCTCGCTACCACAACTCGAGGTCACCCTCTGACGAACGGTACCAAGCCCATCAACGTGCTCGGTGTCAAGGTCAGTCGTTGTGTTTCATTTGCATGTGCTCGAGGTCGGGCGCGTCTCGCTGGCTCGCCACCGCGATGGACGACGTGATCGGCCCCGCTTGCTATGCGGCGAGAATGTGCGCTGACGTCGTCGATCATCACCCCCTTTCTCTCGTCTCGCGTGACGCCCACACACGTCTCGACCGAACAACAAACAACAACAACGACAACATCGTGTCTCATCTCGTCTGATGTATTGACTCGCACCACGATCCGACCACTACAACGGTGCATTTCCGATTATTTGTCATCAATAGTCTTCCAACGCGTCCACCGCGGGTGCCACCACCGCCGCGGCCACGGTCAACTTGCGCAAAAGGTCCGCCTTCGCCGACGTGACCAACGGTGCCAAAGCCAAGGCCGCAGCAACCGCACCAGCATCTGCTACGACTGCTTCGGCGACGGCATCGACGTCGAACCTTGACGCGGCACCTCATGCCAGCTCATCGACGACCACACGTCGGACGTACCGCACCCGCTCCTCGACAGGAGGAAGTGCGATGAAAGACGAAGAGCACGACCACACCTCCGTAGGACCTTCGGACGAACTTGCACCCGAGGACTATGATGATCATGCGATGGCCATCGACGAGCCTGCCGCGACAGCAGCCCCCGTACGACAGATTCGACCCATGCGGAAAGTCTCGATCGGCGGGAAGGTCAGCGCCGAAGCCTTCGTTGCGGCCACACGCCGCCCTGCACTGGCTCCAAAACGGGTCAACGCGTCCACCACCTCCACAACAACGGTGTCTCATCGATCAACGACCATCGCCACCACGGCGACGAGCGCGGCGACACTACGTGCGAGGCAGCGACGAGAGCTAGCGGAATTGGCGGCCAAGGCCGCTGCGGATGAGCTTGAACTGGCGCGTCAAGAGGAGGCAGAAGCACAACACCGCAGCAAGAAGCTCAGGACGAGTGAACCCGAGTACCATGAATATGATGATGAGGAAGACGCGGATGCTTACGACGAGGCGGTCGATGTTGCTGAGAAGCCCCCCGGACTCGATCACATGCCGGCCAAAGACGAGGGATGGGAAGATCTTGACGAAGGCGACGAGGAGGACCCGTTGATGGTTTCAGCGTATGTAGTAGAGGTGTACGATTATTTGAAGGAACTCGAGGTGAGTTGTCGCGATTGCGTGCTTGATGTGTGCCGCGACCTCACGTGACCTGTGCCACGCGCACCGGTCTTGCGACCGTCCTGCGCGCGTGCTCGCGTCTGATGCGCGCTCGCTCACGCGACGCGGACAGGGGCTTTCAACTGCTGAGACTCAACACGCGTAGTCAACAGTGTTGACTGGTTCGATGTTCTTTTACCTATCTTGTAGCTCACAACGATGCCCGAGACGGATTACATGGCGAACCAGAACGAGATCACGTGGAAGATGCGGGGCATTCTCATCGACTGGCTGGTCGAGATTCACACCAAGTTCCGTCTGCTCCCCGAGACCATCTTCCTGGCGACCAACATCATCGACCGTTTCTTGTCGACGCGAGTTGTGTCCCTGGTCAAGTTCCAGCTTGTCGGTGTCACGGCCTTATTTATCGCGGCCAAGTACGAGGAGGTCGTCTGCCCCTCGGTCGCCAACTTCCTCTACATGACCGACGGCGGTTACGGCGACGACGAGATTCTCAAAGCCGAGCGCTACGTCCTGTCAATGATCGAATTCAATCTCTCGTACCCGAATCCGATCAACTTCTTGCGCCGCATCTCAAAAGCCGACGGATACGACATCCAGTCGCGCACGATGGCCAAGTTCCTGATGGAGATTAGCATTGTCGATCACAAGTTTATGGGTTGCCCGCCGAGCTTGATCGCCGCTGCAGGGAACTGGCTGGCGCGTAAGGTCCTTGACAAGGGTCCATGGGTGAGTCCTGCGACCGTATCCCCGTGCCCCCGACCGTGGTGACGCAACGTGCGCGCATGAGCGTGAGCTGACCAGCGATGATGAACTGTTACACAATAGGATGCCAATCTGGTACACTACTCTGGTTACAGCGAGGAAGAGTTGAAGCCTACGGCCCAGCTTATGCTGGATTACGTCGTCCGCACGTCGCCAACGCTCTCGTCCGACAAGACACCGGCTATGATCAACAACCCGCTCCAGACGAGCCCGGCTGCGCACGAGGTTGAGCACCCCAACTTCATCAAGAAGTACGCCGCCAAAAAGGTCAGTCGCAGACTCTGTCCTGAAGCCCGTGAATCCTGTTGTGTATGTCGATCGAAGACTCACGCCGCGTGTTTTCTTACAGTTCTTCCGCGCATCGACGCAATGTCGCAAGTGGGCTGAGGAGCACTTTGGACCGACCGAGGTCTTCAACCCGAAGAAGCGCAAGGTCGAGCGCATCGCACGACCAGCTCTGCTCTAGAGCGCCTTCCTCGCATTAACCCCCGAGTCTCCCTCTGCACCTTCGCCCGTTGAGCCCAGACGGCGCTTCTCCTCTTTCGGTCTTCCTCGTTGTGTTTCTTCCTAGCGCCTACCCTTACGCAGACGTGTCCCCCCCCCCTTCAAGTCGTTTTACCTGTCCACATCCTTCATCGCAGCCCACAATCATATACCAAGCGTGATGACGAGCTCCCCTTCGTGCGCGATTGAATCCGGTAACTAGGTGTGCCATTCGATCGACGCAGAGGACATATACCCCATTCCTCACCTCGTTTTGCAGTCCTGTTTTGCTCATCGTTTGGGGAGATAACTTTCGTGGTCTCGCTGCTGCAATTGCCGTGACCCAAACGTCATTCTATTTAGTGAGAGTACGACCGAATACTCGGGAATGTGTCTGGCCTGAACAGACTCGGTAGCCCCTGGGTCAAATTGTGGTGGTAGCGCCATGACGGTGAGCTCGGACCACGTCAAGGGGCGCCCAGTGGCGCAGTTGCGTGCCCTTTCGCCCACCCGCGGCTGCTGGCTGATCAAGACGAGGCGGCCTGGAGCAGCCTGCAGCCTGGAGCCCGAGCCTGAGAGGCCTGAGCGCCTGAGCGGCCAGGAGCGGCCCGCCGTAGCCCGCCGCTTGGGAGGTGTGCTCGAGCCAAGCGCCTCTACTCCCCTCCCCTCCCCCACCCACTCTTTCGTTGCACAACAAAGGTGAGCACCATCGCAGCATCGCAGCGACTCATTGCCAGATGGCATCCTAAGCTGACGTATCATTTTCCACCACTCTTGCATGGCTGTCGCGTGATGCATCGTGGAATCTCGACGACACTGCACTCCCAACCGCACTCTCGTTGACCCTCGGTCATTCGGTCTCACTGGTCGTCGTCGTCGTCGTTCTGGTCGTCGTCGCCATCGTCGCCCTTTCGGCACTCTCGCCACTGCCCCGCCTTCAACGGACGCAGATTATCCACCATGTCTTCCGATCTCCTTGGCTCCAAGTTCACCGACGATGACACCACCGCCGTCAACACGATCCGCACCCTTGCGCTCGAGTGAGTGCATCTCTATCGCTCCCCTGCCTCCCCGCCCGTGGGTCGCTCAGCCTCGGTCGCTCGTCTGCCCGAGATGGGACCCTCTTTGGCTCGCCACGATGTGTATAAATCCCACAAATCGCGACGTTTCAATGTAACTGACCAAGTCTCATGCGCTACAACCTGACAGTACGGTCAACAAGGTCGGTTTATCAACAGGATCCGCATCCACATGTATACGGTTGGGCCGCGGAGGCTTGCTCTCGCCCATCCGTATTGTTTCTTTTCGCTGACTTGAACCTCGATATCATCTCTCTCTTGACACGCCACACTCGCTACTCGGTAACAGGCCAACTCGGGTCACGTAAGCCTCTCCATGCCATCTCCCCGGCAGAACCCCCGAAGCCCCGAGAATCTGAACCCCGAAAGATAAAGTGATGCTGACACATGAAGACGTCGACCTGTTTTGTCTCGCACAGCCTGGTGCTCCCATGGGAATGGCCGTTGCTGCCCATGTCCTTTTCTGTGAGTCAAAGGAGAATCGCGCAGGTGGCGTGTCATCGCGTACCGCTCAACATCGAGCTCATTTCCGCCCTCCCTTTCACCTCCAGCGCGAGTAATGAACTTGAACCCCAAGAACCCTCATTGGGTCAACCGTGATCGATTTGTCCTCTCCAACGGTCACGCCTGCGCCTTGCAATACGTTCTCCTCCACTTGCTCGGCTACAAGGTCACGATCGACGACCTCAAGAGCGTAGGCCCCTTTACCGTTTCTGTCGCCGTCCTAGGGGGGGGGTCTCTTAGTATTCGAACTTGAGAGTAGTAACTGATCTTATGTCTCTCGTCCTTATCAGTTCCGTCAACTCGACAGCATCACTCCTGGTCACCCCGAGGTCGGCGTCACCGAGGGTATCGAGGTCACCACAGGTCCTCTTGGCCAAGGTGAGCACCGATGCGCCACGCCCCAAGAAACCTCGTATTGACAAGATCGGACTTCTTGTGTGCTTTTCTCAGGTTTCGCCAACGCTGTCGGTCTCGCGATCGCCCAGGCCCACCTCGGCGCCACCTTCAACAAGGATGGCTTTCCCATCTTTGATAACTACACGTAAGCCTAATTGTGGAAGAAGCTGCCACTCTTGGCGTCCGCCGAATTGCCAGATTGACTCAGATCTTGATCTCTTCTGCGGCTTAGCTACATGTTCACCGGTGACGGTTGCTTGATGGAGGGTATCTCGAGTGAAGCCGCTTCGCTCGCTGGCCACCTCAAGCTCGGCAATCTCATCGCCGTCTACGACGACAACCACATCTCGATCGACGGTGACACCGCCATCGCCTTTACTGAGAACGTCGCCAAGCGGTTCGAGTCGTACGACTGGCAGGTCCTCATCGTTAGCAATGGTGACGATGGCTTCACCGACATCTTCGAGGCCATCGAGGCCGCCAAGAAGGAGACCTCGAAGCCGACGCTTATCCAGATGAAGACCACGATCGGCTACGGCTCCAAGGACCAAGGCACTCACAGTGTCCACGGCAACCCCCTCAAGAAGGACGACACGATCAACATCAAGCAAGAGTTTGGTTTCAACCCCGAGGAGTTCTTCGCAGTCCCCGAGGCCACGAAGAAAATCTACGGCGCCGTCGGCGAGAAGGGTGCCAAGACCGAGGCCGCATGGCAGAAGATGTTCGACGAGTACTCGAGCAAGTATCCCGAGGAGGCTGCCGATATCAAGCGCCGCATTGCGGGCAAGTTGCCTGACGGTTGGGAGAAGGCCCTCCCCACCTTCACCCCCTCCGACGCCGCTGTCGCCTCGCGCAAGCTGTCCGAGACGCTCCTCGGCAAGCTTTCGGTTGCGATTCCCGAGTTGATGTCCGGATCTGCCGATCTTACCCCCTCCAACTTAGTAGGGCGATTTACCTCTGCTCTAATCGATGCCTGGGGCATATGAAACGGCGAGCTGACCCTGTCGAAACTCCTCCACCGTCCAGACCCGTTGGTCCAACGCTGTTGACTTCCAGCCCAAGGAGAACGGTCTCGGCGACTTCTCGGGACGCTACCTCCGATATGGTGTTCGAGAGCACGGCATGGGTGCCATCATGAACGGTCTTGCCGCATTCGGGTCCGTTGGCGCATCCCTTGGACATGGGCGATTGACGCTGCCCTGGACTGGAAGTATAGCTGATATTGTTTTATTGCGAACATACAAACAGCCCCAACTTCATCATCCCCGCCGCTGGTACTTTCCTCAACTTCGTCTCCTACGCCGCTGGTGCCGTCCGTCTCGCGGCTCTTTCGCACCTCCGCGTCATTTGGGTCGCCACGCACGACTCGTGAGGCCTACGATCTTGAGTCCTTTCTCTAGTCTCTTCCGCTCAATGCTGAATTTCGTGACCTCGTTCCTAAACAGTATCGGCCTCGGCGAGGATGGACCTACTCACCAGCCTATCGAGACCGTTGCCCACTTCAGGGCTCTCCCTAACTGCAATGTGGGTCTACCGCTGCTCCGCACGCAATGCGACCAAGACCATGTGCTGACAATCAACCGTTCTTTCATCCAGGTCTGGCGCCCCGCTGACGGCAACGAGACCTCCGCCGCTTACTACATGGCTTTGACCTCGACCCACACCCCGTCCATCATTGCGTGAGTTGGGCGAGAAGCGACACTGAGCCAGGAACGACGCTGACCCCGGCCCATCGAACCGCTATGCTCCTTGTCACTGCCCCTAGCTTGTCCCGCCAAAACCTTCCCCAACTCGAGGGATCGTCTCTTGAGAAGGCCAATAAGGGTGGCTACGTTCTCCACGATGCGGCTGATGCCGATCTGACCCTCGTTTCGACCGGTTCCGAGGTCTCGATCATCGTCGAAGCCGCAAAGGCTCTCGAGAAGAAGGGCCTCAAGGTCCGCGTCGTCTCCTTGCCGTGCTGGGAGATCTTCGACCAACAGTCCAAGGACTATAGGCTCTCGGTCTTCCCCGACGGTGCCCCCGTCGTCTCGGTCGAGGCTTACACCGTGAGTCCGCTTGCCGCCGGGGCTCTTGCGTTCGGTCCGGCTGTGGCTTCCGTTTTGAGCGCGGCGCTGACAACGAAGAGTGTACCCATTGCTATCCTTCTGCAGACTCTTGGATGGTCGAAATACGCTCACGAGTCGATCGGTATCAACACCTTCGGTGCTTCGGGTCCTTATCTTAAGGTCTATGAGAAGTTCGGCATCACGGGCGAGAGTGAGTGGCGCGACCGGCCCGGTTGACCTGCACGCGCTGTATTCATGCTGACGGGCTCGTGCCGTCTCCCCGAACGTTCCTTCCCCCGAACAGATGTCGCCGCCAAGTCGCAGCAAGTCGTCGATGCCTACAAGAAGGCGGGCCACTTTGTCGTCTCGCCCCTCAACAAGGTGTTGCTGTAAAGATCCTGTCTAGTCGATTCTTATAAAACTTGCCTTTGCTGTCCTTTTCCTTCCCAACTGAAATTTAGAAGTCGCCCCGCCCGCGATTTTTCTTCTCACGTCCCTTTGTCCACTCATTGCTGTCGACATAACGCTCTACCTCATAAACTCAGTCAATGGCTTAGCTTGAGAAGTATAGGAGTATAAACGTCATGTAAACAGGTGATGACCCATTTGCGCACACAAGTGTGTGAATCCGGGGACCCACAATCGAAGGGGCGCCTGCGGCCTCCCCTCGGCTTGAAGAACTCTATACTCACGTCGGGACCCGGTCGCAGTGCCGTCGCTCTTTTTTTAGTCTGCGCTAATATTCTCGGTTGAGGTACATACGGTAGGACGGAGCAAACCTCTTCTTTCTCGATGAAGGAATCTGTCTCACTTACTTACTAGTGGCGTACCATGCCCGACCAGGCGTCGTGTCGAAGTCTGGAACCCCAAGCGGCGCTTGTGCCTGAGCTCGAGTCTCGAGTGGTGGCAGACCCAAGTCGGCGTTGATGAATACTGCTCTCCATGGGGATGCTCTACACGCTACACGGTATCCATCCCGGCCAGTCTAGCAGTAGTCATAGGGTTGCCTCTTCTTGACCTGCTCCCTCGCCAAACTTTCACGGCTTGTAGTCCCGGGTTTTCTTGGCAGCTCAAACAGATGGTACTGGCGTCTTGACCATGCGGTATGTCTTCTGGTATGAAAGCTAGGTCCAGAACTACACAAAAAATAGACGTCGTGTCTTGGCAAAACTTTCGTATAGGGGTGAGCGAATAGGTACCGAACTGTTGAAGGCGATCGGCAACAAAGCACGGTGAAAGACCGAACGGGATGCCGCTCGGCGGCCAATCGCAGGCGCGCGGCCCGTCATCAAAAGTCTAATAAGACAAAATGAGATCTATGGACAAAAAAGAGACAAGCAAGCTTCAGGACTCACGGTGAGAGAAACCCCATAAGATAATCCATCCAGTACTCAAAGAAGGCCGAGCTATAACTTGATGTACATCAGCAAAGTATGCAATAGTCAGCACATGATGGCGATAATGACGATGACGAATATTGATGATGATGATCGATGATCGACCGAGGTCGAGTCCTAGTGGACTCGGGACGGGAACGTCGCACGAGCTCTCGTATCATACTTCGACGTCTTGTGAATTCACCAGCAGAACATCCCAGAATATCCTACACTTGTGACATGTCCACCTGATGCTCCAACTCCCGTCCTCTCTTCTTCCAAATCTAGAATACAAGTTTGAGAGCGCGAAGTGGGTCAGCTCAGGCTTGCAAGCTTGAAAGGCTTATCAAGGTCGATCACTCTCACTTCTTCCCAACCACGTTCAGATCCGCATTTTCAAAGCGGGTCAGAGCGTGGCCTTTCTCGGTAAGATATAGGTCCAGCGCCAGCTAGTGCAGATTAACAAACATGTGGCAATGTCAGTCACCAAGTCGCGGAGTGGCGAGCACTATCACATCGAGGAAGCTCGAGGCGACCTCCTGTGTGCGACCGCCACCCGATCGATCTGCGCGGACAGCAACGAAGACAAGCTGACTACTTCTCGAGCAGGAGGTTGTACAAGCCAGATTGAAAGTGATGTGATCGGGGATGAAGATGATAGCCCTTACGAGGCGGTGGAGCGTCAAGGTGATCATGTAGCGGCCGGCTCAGGATCAGCATGAGTCCGAGCACCGTCAGTGGATCAAGAACCGGTCGATGTCCGACAATCGAGCCAGAGCAAGAAGGGAAACACTCACGCATCGGGAGATTACTACTCTGGTTGAACCATTATTGCTAAGCTTGAGGATCAGGTGGTTGAAGATGGTCCTGGAATTCTGGCGTTCGCTAGGCCCACAGTGCAGAGCCAGGGCGACGGAGAAGGGAGGAGAAAGGGAAAAGACGTGTGTGAGGTGGTGGCTGACTTGGGGGTGGGTCACGGGCGGGCGTGAGCGGATGAGTCATATCAATGACGCCACCGCTTCTGATCTCTCCACTTCTGCCGAGCGTCGAGCAGGGCGAGGTGCGGATCCGAAGCGACATTACGGACAGGGGACCGCGCACCCAACATCGAGGTCAACGATCCACTCCTCGTAAGAATTGAAATCCACGGCAATCAAGCGTGCAAATTTCAGCATGTAGGTTGGGCTCTAAAGATCACCTCAGAGTCGAGGTTGGCGTGATCGATACAAGTGGTTGTTGTTCCAGCAGCTTTGCCCGAGCTGGGGCGACCTCGCTGCCACCGCGATTCACTGCGAACTCCGATGCGGCTTCACCCGAGAGCCTCGACACGAGACATCGAGGGAGCCAAAATGAAGAGGGATTCCTGTATACTCCAAAATAAGCAGCCGTGATCAAGTAGGCGTTTCCTACTCGGAGGTAAATCAGCTGCTCAGCGGTCGAGGGCCACATAATAGTTATTCGGGTCTAAGTACACCAAGGTTGCGTAACTGCGCGTCTGGGTAGGTATTCTCACTCTGTCGTGACTCTCCATACCGTCAAATGTCTCGTGATCACTCCTCGTGGACTGTGGTCCTCGCCCTGTTCCTACTTCGCCTCGACTCGACGTGCACTCGGCGGTGGGCGATGGAAGGGGTTTCGCGACCTCAGGTCGCGGAGGATGGTCGATTCGATCCGAGAGCGGAGGAGGGTGCATAGCTGTGCAATGTCTTGCGGAGACACTTGAACGAGACGTAAAGCAATCATGCATGGGTTTGCACTCATGTGCACGTGCATGCACACGCACACGTATGCACACGTATGCAGAGGCGACAGAAGCCAAGCAGCCGGGCTGCCAGCGACGGCGACTGTCTGGGCCGGTTTCGCACCGAGTGGGGGTGGGGTTGCAAGAGTCAAAAGTGATGCATAGTGATGCGTCAGCGTGCTTGCTGAAGCAAGGGGAGAGGGACCCCTATGGAACGGGTTCCTAGGATCGAAGATACAATGGGGAAGGTGTTGGAGCTCAATGATCGCTTTGGTCGATGATCCCTTGGGTCGATGACTCGGACACCACGCCATGTCTAGCGACCAGCGGTATGTCCAAGACCTCCCCCAAGACGTCCCAAAAGTGGCCATTAACTATCCTGAAAGCGATTTTGGCGCCGGCGAAAAATGCGGCTGGGCGCGCCGTGAGCCCGATGACCGCAGCCACAGCAGCGGGCGCACCTCTATTTGATTCTCCATTCCGTTTTGCCGGGAGGAGCAATTATTAGTGGTCAGTCGTTAGCTGTCGTTAGAGCCCCTGATCAACCTACCCTAGCGTGTTCTGGTAGTTCGAAGGGATCTACTCTTCGCCACTAACTTGATACCTAAAGCTCGGATCATCAGTCCAACTACCTGCCATCTTTACCCCAGGTACGCATTTACGCCGAATCATGCTGCAGCATGATCGACCGCCTTGCGTGAGGGGAGCGACGTTCCAAGCTCAAGATTAGAGTCACGCAGCAGCTGGCGTTGCCCCAGGTTCGGGGGAAGGGCGGTCGCCCGAGTGTCGTCCGCGTCGTGAGTCGCAACACTGGCCGGCGCCGGGCCCGATGCTCCTTGGTGCAAGGGGTGGCAATCACGGGCCATGTGGTCACTTGAGTGCTTTGGGACGCGTCTACGATTGGCGGACGCTGTGGCCGGAGACCGGTCGGGCCAATTCGGCCAGGGACCGGCGGCGAGGACGGCGGCACCGGGCCGCAAGATCCGGGGCTCCGCTGTCCTTGTGCGCTGCGTGTGGTCTGCCGGCCAGCACGGGGCCGATCAAACATGAGACGAGCGAATCCCTCCCCTCCTTCTTTCCTTTTTACTCCACACCGAACTCCACGTGAAGGCATCCCTTCCCCACATCGAAGGTCATCAACCTCGTCTCACCTCATCGTCAACTACTCTAGTCTTCTCTCAAGGCTCCAACCATGCCTTCCAAGACTACCGTCACCAACTGGGTCAGTCGTGGTCACCTGTCGCCCCGTCACCGCCGGGCACGAGACGCGAGACCGATTTCGGGGCTCCTTGCTGCCGGCTCGCGACCCTCGCGATGGCTCGCTCTCGCCCCGTTCGTGTAGTTCATGCTTACTGACACACCTATCTACTCTTCACTCGCCTTCTACAGTGCTACGGTATTGCTGCCTGCACCGCCATGATCCTGTACGGCGTGAGTCATGCCCTTCTGCCGTGTGACAGGACACGCCTAAATTTAGGCGCCGGAAATATCCCTTGGCGCCGTGAGCGAGCAGTTAAGAGTGGCTGATGTTCACCTTCTTGAACCTATCTCGTGGTTGTCCACCCCCCTATCCTACAGTACGATGCATCCACTTTCAATGCCGTCCAGGGCTCGAAGCATTGGGTCGCCTACTTCAACAAGCCTACGCCTTCTCAAATCGGGTATGTCGCACGTTACTCGACCCATTCAGGGGCAAAGCGAAAGTGTCGACGCCGAACCTTTAGCTAACTACTGTTGAAATTATCCCGATGTGTCATTTTTTATCTGCAGAACGATCAACAGTGTCTACGTTGTTGGTGAGTGCTATAACAGCATTGAGTCATCATTATCTTGTACGAGGGAAGCCTGCTAACTACCAGCCCCATGTGCCCTTTCCATCCATCAGGTAACATCGTGTCCGGGTGAGTTTCACCCCCCTCGGCCCGCGTCCATCGACCCGCCCAAGCACGGCCCGTGCCACTTGCCACCAGTGCTCGTGCTCACCCTCTTCGACTTCTTACTGCACAGTTTCTTCGCCGCTCCCTGGGTCTCGTCGCGTTATGGTCGCCGTGTCCCCATCATGCTTGGTGCCTTGCTGGTCATCGTTGCCACCTTCGTGCAAACTTTCGCTCCCCGTGGTCACCTCAACGTAAGTTTGCCCGGCGCCAAACCCGAAGTTGGACCCGACTTCCGAACTGTGCTCCTGCCGAGACAGGCTCGCTAATCTTCCCTCTCCCTTCCACCCCTCCCACCTTAGGCCTTCCTCGGTGGACGCTTCGTCGTCGGTCTCGGTCAAGGTCTGGCTCTCCCCAACGGCCCCGTCTACGTTTCGGAAGTGACTCGCCCTCACGTCCGTGGCCGCCTCCTCGGTTTCTGGCAACTCTTCTACTCGGTCGGCGCGTTCATGGCTTTCTGGATCAACTACGCGACGTCCAAGCACACTGCCAAGCTCGGCGAATGGGACTGGAAACTGGTCCTCATCTTCCAGCTCGTCTGCCCCGTCATCCTCTTGATCACCATGCCTCTCGTCTGCGAGAGTCCCCGTTGGTTGGTCGAGAAGGGTCGCGTTGACGATGCCCGCAGGGCCCTTCGCCGTATCCGTGACACCGAAGAAGAGATCGAGTCCGAGCTTCTTGAGATCCGCGAGGCGCTCGAGTTCGAGCAGAACGAACTCAAGAGTACCGGTTTCTACTCGGCTTACAAGCTCCTGTGGACCGACAAGTCGCTCCGCCGCCGATTCATCTTCGCCCTCATCATTAACGCCGGACAACAGCTTACTGGACAGGGCTCGCTCGTTTCTTACTCGACCGCTGTGTACAAGAAGGTCTTTACCAACCTCTCGACCGTCGCCCTCATCAACGCCCTCAACGCCACCTTCGGTATTGTCTTCACTTTGACCGCTGTCTTCTTCATCGAACGACTCGGTCGCAAGGGTCTGCTTACCATCGGTGCCATCGGTCAAGCTCTCTGCATGCTCATCGTCGCCGTTGTCGGTAGCGAAACCCCCTTCATTGGCGCCAAGCACGACAGCAAGACGCTCCCCGTCGGCGTCTCGATCGTCTTCCTCCTCTTCTTGTTCATCTTCTTCTGTGAGTTTCTCTCTACCTGACTAGTAGCTCACCTGGTAACTTTAAAGCTGATGCTCTGCGGCTTTCCTGTCCCGTATTTCAGACAAGCCATCCTGGGGAGCCACCGTCTGGATTTGGACCTCCGAAGTCTTCTCGTTCAACGTTCGCATCTACGCTGTCGGCGCCGCTACGCAAACCCAGAACGTCGCCAACATCATCTTGAATCAGTTCTTTCCGCAATTCCTTGCCAAGGCAGGTTTCCGAGCCTTCTACCTCTTCGCTGGTATCAACGTCGGATTAGCCATCTTCTGCATCTTCGTGCTGCCCGAGACCAGGGGGGTCAAGCTCGAGGAGATGGATGTCATCTTCGGCGGCAAGAACCACGTCGACGGTGGCGCCGACATGATGGCCGGCCAATCGACCTACTCTGCCGAGAAGCCGGGTGTCGAGCACCACGAAAACGATCTGACTTCGGAAGAGCTCGCCAAGCGTACGGTTTGATTCGAATCTTCTCGTCTCCATCAGTGATATGACCCCAGGTGGCTCAGAGAATTTTTAGGGATTTTCATAAGGCAGCTCTTCCCCCACGTTCACTATATTATACGGTTATGTGTTTATCGTCTAGGTGTAATATGACATGCATTATGCAAGTTGTTGTACCTGCCTCTCAAAACGCCTGAGCATTCCAGTGACCGCCAGCTCGTAACGACTAGAGCACCTTTAGGCGCCGTGCTCAACCTCATTTCTTACTACGTCGTGGGACTACAATGGCTTTGACGTTCGCCGGACTGAAGATGGGCTTGAAGGGTTTGTGGCCACTCAGTCGCCATCATCGACGGCTCTACTGCGTTCAAACATCAATGCAAAGCCGCGACGGACTGCGCGAAAAACAACGAGCCAAAGCGAGGCCAACTGTTCCTCGAGGCCACTTGGATCCGCCTTGCCGTCACTGCAATGATCTCCTCGAGGTGTCGAATGATCGCATTGAGGAACAGTTGGCCTCGCTTTGGCTCGTTGTTTTTCGCGGTCCGTCGCGGCTTTGCATTGATGTTTGAACGCGGTAGAGCCGTCGATGATGGCGACTGAGTGGAGCTCAGTGATCGACGGCGTAGAGGGTCAACTAGGGTTTGCTCGACAAATCGTCCCGGAGTAGCTATGGGCTGGGGCTCTGAGGAACTCGATCTGCCGACGAGGGAAACCAGCGCGCTGCTCAGGTTCGTCTTCCGAGAGAGAAGGGCGTCTGGAACGGCATCTAAAGCGTAACCGAGGCAGTCGTGGCCATGTTTGACCGTCATCGAGGGAGGCATGAGGTGTGTAGGTGCAAGGTGCAAGGCACAAGATGCAAGATGCAGGTGCAGAAGACGAAGAATCAAGGGTGGTTGAGAAGGCCGCGCTGCCCATCGCTCCGAGCCGAAAAGCAAACGAGGGCAGGTCCAACAAAAGGTCGTTCGAGCTCAGAGTAGTGTGAGAAGATGCATCATAATATTTCATTGTACCGTAAAATAGCCTGTACCCCATATTCATTAGTTTTGCTCTCAATTTTAGTCTGGTCAAGGCGGCGGCCTCCTTTCGGAAGATCACAGTGGGGAGCTTGAGCGTCCACGATCTAGGCAGCGAGAATCCGCCAATTTTCTGATGAACAATGGTCCGACGTACATGTAATTTTTTAAATCTCTTCTTCTTTAATATGATTTTGTATTCGGGTGCCACCCTACTTGCATGACAGCCTCGACTCGCTGCGTCGGAGCTCTCGCGTGAAGCCGGCCCCGCAACCCAGCTCCGCGGCGGACTCGGAATTCGGGGTCGTCCCAACTCGGACCAAGCTGCTGGAGCGACAACCGCTGTATCGATCGCGGCGATCTCAGCTCTGGGGTGATCCCTGGAGCTCAACCTACTTGCTGAGACTTGACCGAGCTTGATCGACAAGGTATTCGGTCTTTCCGAGGGGTGGATCGTTGGCCTCGATGTGGGGTGCACGGTCCCCTGTCCGTTCAGATCTTCGGCGCTCTCGGCCGCTCTCGGCCGCGCTCGGCAGAGGTGGAGAAGATCGAAAGCTTGAAGTCACAGCGTGGCGTCATATCGATGAGATGACTCATTCTGCCAAGCGCACACCCCGCACCCAAGTCAGCGACCACCTCGAGCTCGTTGCCTCTCTCTCTTTCTCCCTTCCTTCTCCTCGTCGACGCGCTCTGCGCTTCTCGCACCACTTAATCTTGCCGACATCGCCCCCCTTTTCAGGAGGATACAAAACGGTGGCCTTTGTGATGTGGTAGAGTCTGTCGTTCGATCCCTCCCATCGTCAAAAGTGTGAGTAACCACCTAGCTAGCGATCGTGTTCGTGTGGCGTATGGTCGGACTGACTCGTCTCGTGTTCACCCGTCTCGCCTCCATCTTTCACCACACCACCTCCATCATCTTACCCCTCACCACCTCTCCCCTCTCCCCTCTCACTGCGATCTCTCGCTTCCCACCTCGCCACTGCCTCCGACCTTATCGTCTGTCACGGCGTCACGGCTTGCCATCAGCCTATCCACTCGTCGACGAGTGTTGAATGGCGCCTACGGCATGTCACTGAGGTTGTTCCCGGTCCACAAGGCCGCTTGCATTTGATCGTACCCCGTGAGTCTTTGCTTTGACCCTTGATCGATCGATGGATCGATCGTGCTCGCCGGCCCTTGACGACGGCGGGGCTGACGATTCGATCCTCGCCTACACTCTCCACACAGTAGCCTCCACTGCGTTACCGAGTCGACCGATCTCACCTGCTCGGATCGAAGGAGGTTCACGGTACCCTAAACTTCAGTGAGTAGCATGTACCCTAATCCTATGGTACCAGGTAGCTTACTTCTAGTGTACGCATCAACCTCCAGCTGCACACGGTCTTCAAGTCATCTCCACCTCGGTCGACAAGGTCCCCTTTGCTCTTCTGTTGCTTTCCTTTCGAGTTGGTTCACCTCGGATTTTTACGCTGGCGGTGCTATGTGGCAGGCGACTTGTTCTTGTTTAGCCTAGCCAGATCCAACTCCTACATTGATCCACCCTCATGAACCCTTTTCTCGTTTCCCTAGTGGTCCCCTTCGTGTTTCGTAGTTTTTGGGTGCACGTATCGAGATGCGCATGCACCACGGATTTGAAATTCGAATGGTGGACTAAAACGGCGAGTAGTAGAGTGGCAGTCCAAGGAAATTACATCTGCCGCGGCAGTAGCTGTATAGTTCCCTGTGTCCAGCTCGTTGAATGTCCTCGTTATGCGTTTTTAGGTAGGTCTATTACCTACGTGCCATCAGGCGCAGACTCGTGGGGAAGTGCCGGACGGACTGCGGAGGTTGCATCACACATCCCCGCGGCATGTTGCGAGCGAGTGATAGTCTTTTCGGCCTTTGCTGCAAGATTTTGACGCGGACAGCTCAAGCGCGCTGGTCTCGGCCTAACGGGGCCCGCTCGCGCTCCACTCTTCGAACACGCATTCTTTGGACCCTGTGCCAGCACGCACTCTTCTCGGCCCCCTTGGGCCTCCCGCCTTGCTCACCCGCTGGCGCGCGCGGGCCCTTCCTCTCCCTCTCCCTCGTCGTCCCGCACGCCTTAGCGTTTCGTGTTGTGGTTCCGGCACCCCCCCTGCCAGTCTCTACTCACTCAAAGTGGGTAACATCCCTCGTAAGCCCTCTGCCCTTGTTGGACAGTTGGACTGATGAGCTAGCCTGCCACTACGTTGTAAGCAGCCGCCGTACCCGCTGCTTTGCAAGGTCGTATCGCACCCACTGCTTAGAGCAAGGGCGAACTTTTCGAGACTCGCACTATCGCGGCTCGCTGTTTCTAGCTAAGGTTCGCATTCCGGATCACGACTGTCCTTGTTGGGCATGTTGCCAAATTCCTTGTCCTTGTTGGGCAAGTTGACTCATGGGGCTACCTTGTATACAGACCTCGTTTGGCCGCGTCTACCTACCGCGTCGCCTTCCTCCCCTGCCATCGCCCTGCGCTTTTCGAGCAAAGGTATGCCCTATCCCCCAAGTCAGTTGCAGTGTTTTAGTTACTAATCGGACCTGCGCTCTTTGAGCAAAGCCGATCGACCATTTTTTTGAGCTCCTCTCTCCCACCCTACTTGTTCATAACTCCTGTTTAGAAAACCCTCCGTTTGTTACGGAGTGCGGTTTTTTCTCTTATCACTGCAACTCGACTCTTCCATCCTAAAACAAACGCCACAAACAGCGCGCACTATGGAGGAGTCGACGTCTGCAGGCTCCTTCGAGTCGGACTCGATCGGAGGGTCGAAATTCCGGGTGCCGACAGTAGATAGTAGTAGTAGTGCGGACGGACGACAGATAGACCTCGGTGAGTAGGTTGTAGATGCAGCTCAGAAGGCTGGGAAGCGCGGAAACGACCTATCGGGCAGGTTTGGCACGCTCCGAGACAGTCCGAGACTCGCAGTGGGATCATCGCCTTGCGGCGTCACAGCTAGGCGAGGAGGGCGGCGCCAGCGCGAGGCACAGCCGTCGGCGTTCGCTTGCCGTGGACGTGAAAAGGGGAAACCGGTGTCTCACAGGGTCAGCTACCTAGGTAGCTATTTAAGTGCCTGCTTACAGCTCCAACTAGAGACAGGATATGTCGAGTTTTTGAGCTGCACAGCCCGGGGGGTCTATCTTCCGGTATGCCTTGGAATGCCGGAGATCAACGCTGGAATTACTGGGTCACGCCGTCGGACTTAAAACCTCAGGCCGAGGCCCTGGTGAAACAAAAGCATTGAATCCAGTTATGCTCAGTCGGATTCCCTCTTCAACTCCCAATCTCCCAACTGACACCTGTAGACTCACGAAAGTTGTTTCGACCATCTTGCCGACCACCGCGAACCCGAAGTTTTGTGACGCTTGCCAGCGCCACGGGTCGTTGGAGGCGCGGGCGCAGGCGCGGGGCCAGCGCGGATTCCGTGTCAAGTTTGGCCACATGCCCAACCATTGTGAGCTACAGGAGGATTCCGGAGAGGATCGTACTTTACTACCCCCCGACCAGCCCCCCCACAAGGTCGGTCTACCCCTGCACCACACTCTGTCAGCTGGCAGGTGCTGCTTCTGGTTGCGCGAAGGAGCTTACTACTGACATCATCGGGACGGCCGTCCTCGTTGACGTCGACTCCGTCGTGGTCGTTCGTTTAGATCGCAAGGCATGAACGCACACTGAACGAAAAGCCGCGTTCCCACCTCGGGTCAACGTGGCCAAAGAGCATGCCGTGCCCTAGTGTCAACCTCCCAACTGAACTCATACAGCGCATCTTGCTGCGTTCGTTGCCGGAGCCGTCGTGGTCGTCGTTCCAGGAGACGTCCACCACCTTGCGCTCGGTCGCGCTCGTCGCTCGAGTTTGGACCGACTGGGCTCAATCCGAACTGCATCGACATGTCGTCTTGCGTGACGAAACCACCACGAATCTTTGGCTGGAGTCTTATTTGACCGAGCGCCCCAAGTCGGAAGCTCGAACAAGATTCGTACAGACGTTGCGGATAGGAGGTGGGACGTCGATGAGGACCCCTCCCCACCGATTTGACGAGGTCCTCGCAAGATGTGGCGCGCAGTTGCAAGAACTCTGGTTGTCCGCTTTGAAAGACGTGGATCTCAGACAAATTTCAAGTATTTCCAGTACGTATAGGACCTACACCGTGATGTCTTAGGGTGCTGACCTGGCTTGCGTCGTCGGGACAGATCTCCGAACACTCGACTGCGTCGACTTGACGCTCGGTTTTCCCGCCCATCTCATCGACTTCCAACTTCCCATCGTGAAACCCTCACTACAACGACTCGAAACCCTCATCATTAAAGACGTCGATATCGCCTCATCGACTCACGCGATCATGTTCCAAGACCACAACTTTCCCCGCCTCGAGGTGCTCTATGTCGACTCGGCCGAAGTCCTGGCGCAGATCTTCGACGAGCTGAATCCGGACCTCTACCCCGACGAAAACGATGATGCCGTTTTCCCGCGATTACGGATGCTTTCTCCCGCTTCGGATCTGCGCGTCCCTTTCATCTACCCGAACGGTTTGCTGTTCCTGAACCTCGAGGGCAAGTTCTTCAAAGACCACGACTGGAGCGATGATTTCCCTTCCCTCCCAACCACAATCCGCTACCTCCGCTTCGACCGTTCCGTCGACGTCGAAGACATGGTCGACTTCCTCCAACTCGTCTCTTTAACGAACCTCGAAACCATCTTCCTCCCTATTGAATGCCAAGACCCCGTTGAGAAAGACCGGTTCCCTCCGCCTCTTTCGAAACAGTGGTTCGACTCGCGCGGCGTGAGGATCGAGTACGAGGTTGATATCTACGACGACTCGTTGGCGCTGCAGGATGATTCTCAACCTTGGAGTTTCTTGAGGAGGGTCGAATGGGTCAAGGCTCGACATCCCCGAAAAGAGTTGACGTCTCCTACGTCGAGCCAGGGTTATCGACGACAGAGGAGTGAAGGGGGGAGGTAATATAGTAGTGGTAGTAATGCAACACGTTTTGAAACGAACAGACTCCACACCTACAACAGCAAACTCCACACCTACAACAGCAAAATGTATTATGATCACGTCGAAGAAAGATAGGAGAGCAGTGAAAAGATAACGTCGTCTGAGCCCTCCTAAAAGTTGGGCATCCACCCTGGAGGCAAGTCGGCTGCGAGCGCTTTGGCGCGTTTAGTCGTGAGCTTCTCAATCTTGGTCTTGCACGTCTCGTCTTTGAGATACAAAGGGATAGGCTCGAACCTCAAACTCGCGTTTGCAGCCGAGGCTGTTGCTGTAAAACGTGGATTTGACGCATAGTCCGTGAACAAAGCCGTATGATCGACGGAATCGATGTCGTCGAAAATGGAAGGCTGGTTGTTCTTCATCGCGGCGGCGGTTTCCTCCCTTCTAGTCGCGCTCTTGGCAGAGGTCGGCATAACGTCCTCGAACCATCCTTCACCTCCTCCACGCTTGACTCCACCGGGTAAGGACCTCAACCATGCTCTTCCTCGCGCAATTCGAGCCAACACGTCCCGATTCGCGGATTCTCGATCGTCGAGGAGTCCGAAACCACCGATGAGACTGCGAAACGGATCGACTTGCTTCATGGCTTCTTCCGTCTTGTGTTGCAAGAAGGACAAGGTTCTCGAAAGGATTAAAAGCGGGAACGAGCTGAGGTGCTTGAGATCGGCGAGTAAGCGTCCTTCGGGTGAGAAAGGAGAGGGTTCGGAAGGGGCGATGAGCGCTCGGATCGCTTGGAGGAAATTGATTGTTGGCGCCGGTTCCTGTTGCGCATCTCGCCATGCGATCGCGCTCTGTGCGTTCCAAACTTTGTCGCGAGAGGGGAGGTTGCTGTCGAGTTCCGAAAAAGGGAGTAGAGGTGCGCAGGAGAAGCTCGTGGCGGTTTCGAGGTCGCAGAGGAAGCAGATGAAGGTTACGCGACGACGCGTCTCGAGCTCGACCCACGTCTTCCAAGCTTCGTCCAACTCGTGGCCCATCGCGGTCGCGCTCACGGGTGGAAGAACGGTCCGCCGAATGTGCGTTGGAAGGTTGAGCTCGCGGACCATCAGGATGAGAGCCGAGTGGAAGGTGTTGGCGAGCAACCTTTGCTCTTGATCTCGATGGAAGAGGCCGAGCAATTGGTAGAGCAGAAGTGACTGCAAAAACGTGAAACGGCTCTCCTCCGTCGCATCGGCTTTGTTGAAGGAGCGCACGATGAAGGTGCGCTTCTCGACGAGCATTTCGTCCGAGAAGCCTTGCCCATCGGAAGCGTAAGCGGCACCAACGACGGTCAAGGCAAAGGTCACCGCTACGGGCGCCTCAGAGAGCTTGGTCGTTCCCGCGTGGAGCACGGGGACCGTCGGCAGGAACTCGTCGGCGGCTTTCGCAGCAAATTGCGACAGTCGAGCGATTGGGGGCACGTTCCACGGTTGAAGGTACGCGAGACAGAACTTATGGGCAGGGACGTAGAACTGGAGGTCGCGGTCGGTGTGCGGTACGGGCTGCTCCATCTTGTTAAGGTCCCACAGGCCCGGCTCGTGGTAGAAACCTAGGTCGAGCGCCGAAATACCTCCCACGCCACCCTTGTTGAAGTAGTCGGCCAAACCTTGCGCCTCGGGTGAGAACTCGATGCTATTCAGCGGATCGATCGGTACACCACCATACTCCCATCCTATCCCTCCAACCAAAGCGCCTGAAGAGTCGTTCGCTTCGGCCGATTCGGTCGTCGTCATCGACTTGTCGCCGAGCCAACTCGGTGTCGTGACCAGCGCGGTCGCCAGGGGCTGTTGTTGCGACTCGGCACACGACTTGCTCTGTTGCATAAAGTCGATCGGCTGGGAGAAATATCCACCCGGGGAGGCGCCGTGATGGGGCGGCGGTGAGCGCAGTAGATCCTCGAGTACCTCCGAGGCGAGGATTTCGTCCTGGGTGAAGGGCGAGGCCCGGAAGAAGTTAGGTGCCAGGGTCTGGTTCGCTGAGGCCGATTGGGTTGGGTTGAGGTACATGCTCGAGAGTGCTGAAGCCGCCATAGCGGCAGTCGGTTGCGGCGGACCGAATAAGGGGATGTGGACGTGGGGCTGGGTGAAGCTTGAACTCGAGCTCGCTGGAGTCGACATCAAGGGCGTCTGCGGGGACGTCGCCGAGGAACCGGATGATGTACCGCAAGAGGATAAGGGAGATAGATCGGACGACGACATGCCGAACGGTGTGGCTGTAGTCGAGAGAGACGACGAGCGCGACGAGGTCGACACGCTCGGTGGAGCATAGTCGGCGAAGGCGACATCGCCTGTGTACTTGATCCCGGCCAAGTCGGCATGTCTCGTCGGGGCTGGTGCTGTGACCGCGACCGTGATCGGCGACGGAGTTTCGATTGGGGATCCGGACGTCGACGTCACGGGACGTTCCGAAGAAGAGTTCGCTACCGACTTGTGGGCATTGTGGGTGCTCTGGAGGACGGACTTGTTGAGCTGGCGGCGAGCTCGCTTTTTGGGTGGAGGAGTCGGATCATCCGCACCACCTTCGCCGAGATCGTTCGGGTCAGCGCCATGCTCGAGTTGTTTGATGACGCTACAGGTCGTCTTGTGTCGCTTGAGGATGTCACTGTGGACAAGATGGAAAAAACGCGAGCGTGAGTCGACTGCGGGCACACGCGCTAACGAGACAAGATCAAGCTGTAGCCAAGCCCCGGATTGGTGCTCCAAGAAACGGCGGCGGCTATTACAGAGCTCGAGCGGAACTTACGATCGAGCGAACGAGGTGTCGCATGCGTCGCACAGGAACGGCCTTGCTCCTTCGTGAGCCAAGCGGGCATGTCGATTCACATATTCCCGCCTGGAGAAGGTCTTGTCGCACTATCGAGGAGATGAAGGGTGTGTAAGCTCCCGAGTTGACGCCCTAAGCGAGCCAGGCGAGGGCTCGATGCATGCTGCCAGGTCCGACACCGAAACCTGCGCCGCGCCCACCGCGGCCAATCACTGCACACAGCTTCATGGTTCTGGCAGCTCACATCGGGACATGCAAAGATCTTGTTGTCGCCATCTCGTGCGCTCGTCGACGGCATGGTGCACGGGGATCGTCGTCGTCGTCGTCGTCGTCGGCCGCGGTGACTGGCGCGCCCGAGTCGGAACTGCCAATGAGTGGAGGCAGGCGCGAGAGGCGCGAGAGGCGCGAGGCGTGCGGCGGGACGGCGTCGGTGGGCTCAAGTGCTTGGAAGTAGGATCGATCGAGCTTCCGAGTCCAACGAGTGAGGGAGTTCAGTCAGTCCAACGGATCGAGTGACTTCAGACGGCTAGAGTGAGCGCAGATCCAGACGCGGGGTGAACGGCAGCTGTGGCCCGTGGGCACAGGGGCAACACACTGGGGAGGGCGAGCTTGAGAGAGTGACTGCTGATCGCACCCACCGCCGTCAAGTGGAGGTCATGAGCTGTCATGAGCTCCAGCATCCAGCGATCCAGCAGGCTCGAGCAGGGTTCCCCATTAGATGTCCAGATATCTATCTTAGCATATCTCGCTAAGATATAGATGACATCTTATCTAGGGGCCGAATATCTTAGATAGATAGATAAGGCCCCGGGGGTTTCCTTAGATATCTTTAGGATATCTTAACTTTTTTTGTGTCTGATACAGACTCCTGTTGCGCTGGAAGTTGTACTTTCCACTAAGGAGGTTCTTGCTCCTTAGCGAGGACATCGAATTTCAAGTCGTATTCGGCTCAATCTCCATGTTTGTGCCGCATGGTTTGGCCCAAGCGCTGACCGCGGGTGAGGCGGCACGGCTTGCCGACGGGCCAATTTGGGAGCTGAGGCTTTCAGACGTTTTTGCTGCCAGAGGGTGCTTATCTATACTATCTACTAAACACGTATCAACTACTAATCACACAAATCACACAAAGAAAGAAGGTGCAATTGCGACATTTTGTGAACTTCGCAATGTACCCCGGCGCCGTTCTCTCTTCTTTCTTCGCTCACTTGCACTCTCACACCTCGTCAAACGACTATAATCAATCTGAGTCTGTGCTGAAGCAAGATGGATCATGAGCTCCCCACTGCTGAGGAGGACCTTGTGTGTACGGAATTCGCCACGGACAAAGAAGCGCAAAATTACTCTCAGCTGAGAGGTGCCTCCGCAAATGATCGCTGGCAAGCTCGCTGCGCCGACGCTGTGATTAGATATCTATTAGATATCTAGGCATCTATCTAAGATATCTGACTAAGATGGGAGATAGATAGATAAGGGCCAGAGCCCAATTTTTTTAGATAGATATCTAATATCTGCGAGATTATCTTATCTAATGAGGAACCCTGGGCTCGAGCGATCCATCATCCAGCGCTCGAGCTCAGCAGCCTGCAGGACAGCTCAGGACGCGCGTGACCCCGGCCAGGCCACTATTGCACGGGCCAATATCTCGGCAGCCCAGTCATTTTCAGCACATCTTTTTCACTCATGGTCACATTTTCCCTGCCCTCGTGTCACGTTGTAGAAAGTGTCCTAGCCACACTCTGAACCTCCTGAAAAATCCGCGTACGGTGGATTTGACCCAAAAATTGTGGGATTTCCAGTGGCGCGCTTGGTGACATCTCGAGGGTGCCACGTTGGTCAACGTATCCGTCTGTACGTCGCTAAATGTTGTGGTGGACTCGGCGCTCGACAGCTTGAGCTCGTTCTTGCCTTCTTTCACGCTCGCTTTCCCCCGCCCGTCCCCTCCCACCTCGGTTGGGCATCTGCGCAGGATGAGCGTCGTCCAGACGAACGTGTTTGCTCCTCGCTTCGACTCGACGACGGCGAGCAACACGGTCGCCCCTCCGACGCGAAGTGTGTCCGAGCTGCTCACGTCCAGACCAGCGTCGTGCTCGTCGCTGCCGCCGTCTCAGCACTATGTCGTATTTTGCAAGGCGAGTCGTGGCGAAATCCGCTCTTCTCAATCCCTCGCTGACCCTGTATTAATCCCTCCTTTCGATAGCAGATCGTGTTGCAGAGGCGGCTACGCAACATGTTTGGCCTGACCGGCTTCGCGGCCTATTGTCTGCTCTTGCTCGCCGTGTTTGATCCCAAACAACTTCCAGGTTTGTCAGGGTCAGGAGAGAAAAAGCTGCTCGCGTTATGTGCTCACTATCATCTCGTCTTGTTCGCAGGCTCGCTCGTCAACTTTGGTCCGGTGTTGCTCTTCTCCCCCGTCGTCTTCTTCGGCGCACTCCCGCTCTTCATACATCGCAAGAGCACCATCAGCAGTCAGTTTCAAACACCTGGTACTCTTATGAGTATATCGCTCCAGTCCTGACCTCTATAGCACCCGATCTGCTTCTCCAAAGCCGCGATCCCATCAGCTTCGACCCCATTCGCTCAACTCGAGTCGCTGCGACGGCCGAATGCCGTCACGACCTTGATCGTCTACCTCGTCGCCGTTGCACCCATTCACTTCTCCTACGTGTGGTGCACGAGCTATACATCCCGCGAACCGCGGCTCGGATGGTTGTTCTATCACTCTGGGTCGGTCAGCGTTTTCCGCTGCGAAAGATGCCTGAGCATTGGCCTGACCCATGCTATCACCCTTCATCAGTCGTGATGCGTACCAAATCAACGAGAGGCGGATACTGTTGCTGCTGTTGCATCTCACCCTCGCTGCCTGTGCAACCTTCGACCACGTCGTCAACTCAAAGTCGAGGGTTCAGTTTGATGATGGATCGGCGGTCAGTAGGGGTCCAACAGTCGTGGTCGGTGTAGAAGTCAACAAGTTCAAACTTGTGATCTCGTTTCACACAGCGTCCTATCCCGCAACGGTTGGCGAAAAGAGCTCAAGCTAGACTCCCCACCGTTATGCGCTCCGTCCTCATAAGCAACGCCCTCTTCTACTCGAGCTACATCGTCCTGCGCCGGCCAGTGCTCAAGTTTTTCGTCGTTAACTTTGCTGGACCTTGGGCAAGGTCGGTAGATGGACTACAACGATGTTCAGGCAGGGGGATTGCTCAACTCACATCATCATCACTTGCGCTACAGACCGTACCTCTACTCACTCCTCAAGCACAACGCAGCCTTTTCGCTCACCCTCGCCAGTCGGTCGCTGATGAGCTCGCTGCTCGTCTTTGGTGTCTGGGAGGCGGCTCACGTCTGCTTCGACGTGTATGCGAGTCAAGTGAGTCTATCGCGGGTAGAAGTCTCGGTTTATGGGAGTCATCTCATCAATCCGCTTTATCTGCCTGGATTCTCAGCCCCTCAACATCTCGCATTTCTCGGTCAACCCCAACCAATGTCTCTTGTCGGGTCTTCGGAATACGGATGCATACTATCAGGTGAGACGCACGAGTGTCGACAAGTGGTCTTGCCAATCGACTGATCCTTCCCTGTCGGGTTTTCATTAAAGCAATTCGCCTTCCTCGAGCTCGAGAACATCACCCTGACGAGTCCAGAGAGGAGAAAGGCCATCTTCACCGACATCAAAGCCGACAATGCTCAAAGAGGAGCATGGGCCGAGATCTCGAGGGAGTGCTTGTTGCTGATCGGGAAGGAGTTGCAAAGGGCAAAGGGGAGAGGCAAGGTGCAGAGTAAGTTTGTGTGGTGCTGCAGTAGGCGCAAATCACACAGGCTGACGATAAAATCTCGCAGGCCCGCCGTCCACAACATCGAGTCCATCAACCTCGACTCCGACCTCAAGTCATTCCGGCTCGAGCGTCCCCGTACGCAACGAGAACGTCTTCCAGCCGACGAAGAAGACATTCCTTGATACTCTCGCTGGACCATCCTCGGCACCAGCACCTACGGCTAGATCGACAGGCGTTTCGACGACCTCTTCTTCCTTGTCTACATCGACGACGACTTCTCGAGTGCCTTCCATCTTCCAAACGCCGACGACAGCTGCGACGTCGTCGATCTCTGCAGCGGGGTCATCAGTTGCTTCCGCCGTTTCGGGAACGCTCTCGTCGTCGACGATTAGCGCTACCAAGTCTTTGGAAGCGAGATTGAGCTCTTGGATCCCCACGCCTTGGCAAGGGTCGATGTTCACGACGCTGCCGACACATGTCGTGGACGTGTGCGTTGCAAGGAGGAGAGAGGTCGTTGGTGCGATACATGGTGAGTGCACCCGATGCGCTTCGTCGTCGTCGTGCGCTGCATTACTTACACAATTTACCTACACAGCTCTCTCCAATCTCCTATGCGCTTCACTGAAGGAAGACACGTACGGCGTCGCGCAACGCGACATCCCACGCGTGCTCGAGGCTTTCGTCCTCTACCTCAACACATTGGACGTCCTCGCTTCCAGTCTGTCAAGCACCGCGGAGGCAAGCAGTAGTAAAAAAGCGAAGGAGCAGCTACAGACGAGGATCTCGGAATCGATTGGGCAGGTCCAATTAGGTAGGTGAAGATGAGCCCGCAGCCTCACAATCAGGTGCTTCTTTGTGCTGACCGTGTCTGCGGCGTCAATACCCATACCTACAGCTTTGAGGGAAGGGATTCGAGAGATCCTAGCGGAGTTCGAGCCGTTCCTTGCTACTGAATTCCGTGAGCCCCTTGAAGACCCGAGACGTCGAGTCGAGTTGCCGCCTTGCGGATGCTAACTTTAGGAATTCCTTTGGTTCTCAGGTTTCCCGACCAATGTTGCGCATCGATTGCAGCTAATTGCGGATTGGGGTTGAGCGATGAGAGCGGGGACGGGTGAGGTGGTGACGTTGTAATGCATACAAGATCACGCCGCCCTTTTTTGGGGTCATCGATGATTGTCGCCGCGGCTCACCCCCACATGAACTGGTGCTCAGCTCGGCAATGCTCCGGTGACGGCACCTCGCCTATTACTACAGGATGGAACTGCCGTCCAAAGCACAGAGCTACGGACCACAATTAGCACGTCGAGCCTTTCTGAAGTAAAATGAAGTTATGCTCGCTCGGTCGGATCTCTCATGCTCATGGCTCGACCGGCAGAATGGCGATCACCGATTCATTCGCGCCGGCTCCGCAAGAAAGCTTTGCCGTCCTCCGGTTCCGAGAGGTTCCGAGTGGGAGATGTCCGGCAATGTCTGGCCGAGTGTGCGCGGCTCAGCGCTCAATCGCCACCCCGCACTTGCCCAGAGTTGTCTTACTCCCCTTCCATCGTACTTGACTCGCACCACTACGGACCAAAACAAGACAAGGTCACCATGCCCGTTTCGCCACGAACGATCTTCTACCGCCCGACGGCCAAGGAAGCCGAAGCGACATTGGACTCGCAGTTCCGGCGCTATGTCAACAAAAAGCGAGGATTGCACCTTAGGGACTATTGGGAACTGCACGCATGGTCGTTGGAGGATTTGAATGAGTTCTGGAGTCAGTCATTCTACCTATTCGTTGTTTTTGGTCCGGTTCGGAGGGGGGATGTTCAATCGTCGGCGCTACCTACGCCGGAGTTTAGGTCACGAAAAATAATGATGAAAGCACTTCGGGCGGTCGATCGGGTCCCTCGTCGTGCTGTAGAGATTAGGTATGACTAGAAGAGTTGACCTTTTTTTTTTTTTTTTTTTTTTTTCTTCTTTCGTACACAGCCGACATGTGGGACTTTACCGGTATCGTGGGAGAGAAAGAGTGCGTTCACCTAGCGCTTGCAGCTTGCAGTGTTGGGCCTCTACCCCACCTACATACCGGGCGACCGAACCCAAGCAGAATCGAAAAGGTCAGGAGTTGACCCGGCTTTCTTCGTCGTATGGTACAGAAAATTACTCTTCGATTCGTCGCAACCTATGGACCGCGTGAACCCGCGCTTGATCCGAGCCAAGATGAACTACGCCGAAAATACTCTCATGGCTCATTCTAATGCCCGATCAAAGACAGCCAAAGCCATCATTTCGGTCGCTGAACCTTCGGTCCCTTCTTGCTCCCCAAAATATCTCGAATCGACACATTTGCGCACGATGACCTATGAAGAGCTGTACCAAGAGGTGCGCAAGTTGGCGCATTCGCTCAAAGCCATGGGCGTCGTTGCGGGCGACCGGGTTGTGGCTTTCTCGTCTTCGAATGTCGAGGTCATAGTCATGACTTTGGCGGCTGCTTCCCTTGGCGCGGTATGGAGCAGTTGTCCTTCGGAATTTGGTGTCAAGGCCGTGTTGGAACGATTCACTCAGGTGGGTATTATTGTTGAGAACCATCTATCCCAAAGCTCCCGGCTGACTCATCCTGTTCAAAACCGCTTTTGTCACTCAGATCGAGCCCAAAGTGCTCATAACCGGTGATCGCTATCGCTACAACGGCAAATCACTCGACGTCATCCCCAAGCTGCTTGAGCTTCTCGAAGGTTTACCGACAGTCAAGCACGTCGTCATGGTCGGCCAACTCGAAAAGGACCGAATTTCAAAGGTCCCGTTTCCGAAAAACACTCACGGTCGTTCCTGGGCACACTACCATGAGATCATCAAAGCAGGTGAGGGAGCGCCGGCCGAGATCCATTTCACGAGGATGGACGCCATGGCTCCGATCTTTGTGCTGTACTCGTCTGGAACGACGGGCAAGCCCAAGGCGATTGTTCACACTATCGGCGGCATGGTCTTGTCGCAGAAGATGGCAAAGTGAGTTCTACCCACGTAGCAAGCTGAGTTCAGGTGGGTGCTGATCTGTTTTCATCTCGTCCGCTTTAGTTCGTGCCACAACAACATGAGCGCCGACGCCGTCTTTTTGCAATTCTCGACCCTCGGATGGATGATGTGGAACTACGCGCTCAGCACGCTCATGAACGGCTGCACGATGATCGCCTACGACGGATCGCCTCTCGCTCCTCTCGGTATCCTCTTCTCCCTGGTGGACGAGTATAAATGCACCCACTTGGGCATCTCCCCGCGCTTCCTACAGACGCTCGATAACAACAACTACTTCCCCAAAGAGCATCATTCGCTGAAGTCCTTGAAGGTTATCGCTACCGCTGGGTCGGTACTCAAGGCCGAGTTGTACGACTGGGTTCGCGACAATGTCGGTCCCAAGGTCTTCATCAACAACGGTACCGGAGGAACGGACATTTGCAATCTGTACGTGCGAAGCTTTTCAACATCCCCGGAATTCGATGGGCTGACCCATCCTTTGGCACGTCCATGACTCCAGTTTCGTGGGTGGTGTTCCTTCCTTGCCTGTGTACCACGCCGAGATCCAAGCCCCTGGGTTGGGCATGGACCTGCACGCCCTCGATGATAACGGCAAGCCCGTCATCGACGCACAAGGAGAGATGTGCATCCTCAAGCCGTTCCCCAACATGCCCCTCGGGTTCTGGAACGACGAAGGCGACAAGCGCTACCGAGCGTCCTACTTTGAGGCGTACAAGAACCCCATCTGCTGGACCCAGGGTGATTGGATCGAATTGCATAGCGTTACGGGCGGGTGCACCGTCTTTGGACGAAGTGACGGCGTGTTGAACCCTGCCGGTGTTCGTTTCGGAAGTGCGGAGCTTTACTCGGTCGTCGAAGAGATGCGGGACATCGTCGAGGACTGCATCGCTGTTGGTCAGAAACTTCCCGATGGTGACGAACGCGTTGTCCTCTTCGTTTTGCCCAAGCAGGGAAACTTGACCCCTGAGTTGCGCAAGCGCATCAACGACAACATCCGCACTCAACGTTCCACACGCCATGTCCCTGTTGTGATGATCCATTGCCCCAAGATTCCTTACACGGGTAATGGCAAGAGGCTCGAAATTCCCGTCAAGAAGTTGGTCAATGGCGCCAAATTCGAGTCGTTGAATCTTAGTTCGGCCGAGGATCCCGAATGCCTCAAGTTCTTCATCAACCATCCTGAGTTGGAACTCAAACCCAAGGCCAAACTTTGAGGGGTGTGTGTTTTGCAGGGTTCTCTTCTTGTCATACCAGATTCCTAAAGGTGTAATAGAGACACTGCGGAAGATGGGCAGCGGAGGCTGGTGAGAGGGAGAGATGGTCACGTGACTGAGATCTGCGATATGCGCACGTGCTCGAACGAGATCGGAATCGCGCCAGCTCACCGTTACCTTCGGACCAAAGCCGTCTCGTGCTTCTGCAACTCACGTCGCGCAATTCTTGAGTTAGGCGTGCCCACCCGCCTTCAAGCCTTTATTGCTCCTTACACGACGGATCCCTTTTCCACACCACCCTCCGCCATGCCATCAGCGATGTCACCTCTCGTCAAACTCGCACTCGATTCGCGCTGGGCGTACTTCGGCGTTTGCTACGTCGTGTCGGTGCTTTCACTCACGTTGTGGTACTATGCGGTCGTTTACGCGTTCGGATTCGATTCTACACCCAAGGAGGCTGTTGGAGATAAGGAACGAAGCTTAAGGATAGCTCAGAGTGAGTTGACGTGCTTCATGCTTTTTCTGCAGTGATGGTTTGGAGTGCGAGCAGTCTTGAAGGTGGCACGCGCCTCCTAAGGCCGCCCCACCGAAGCAGGCCGGCGCGGCCTCGGGCTGGCATGGGTGACGTTACCCCAATCGCTTTGCGCCCAGCGCTTCAGATTTGACTTACAATGTCTCTGATTCATCTCTTCTTCTGATCCCCATGGGCAGGTAAAAGGCGATCTTGGGTCCTGACAGGAACCGCGGCGTTCATCATGACTATCGCCTCGATCCCGTTCAACTACGACTTGCTTCGCCGTGGTCTTGACCCCCGCTACGTTCAGCGACGAGAGGCGTTGGCTCGAGCCGTGGTGGCTTTTTTTGTGGCGTATTTGAACACGGTGAGCTCATTTGGTTTGAAGCTCACAGGTGCGCGGGATAAGCCGTGGCCTCTGATTCGTTGAAGCTAACAGGAGTCTTCTATGCTTGCTCGCTACTCGGCACAATTTTCCCCACTGCTCTGGCCTTTGTTGTAAAACTTAGGATCTCCTCATTGGAAGCATGCGTTACCGTCAACAAGTCACCCTGCTTACCGGTTGGATCCATCACATCGCCTACACCATCCTGCTCGGCTTTGTATATCGGTAAGCCTCGCACGCTGCCAAGATCGGTTGATGTGCCCCCAAGGACCTAACGCATGCCTCCGATCATAGACGGGACATCTGCCACATTTTTTGTGGTGCCGCTATGATGGAGGTGAGTCATAACCTTCGGGACGCCTTTCGCGGAGGGTCCGACCTGACCCCTGATTCGTCCGCAGCTACCTACCGCCGTTCTTGCACTGTCCATGCTTGTCCCGCGCACACGATCCGACCTCGTCTTCACTTCCCTGTTCTTCCTGACCCGCATTCTCTACCACGTCGTCCTCATCGCTGTCTACGCGTCCAAACATGGTGTCGCATACTCGTCCGGTCTCGATATAGTCGATCCGACGTACATCCCTCTGATTGGGCTGATCCTCGCCGCCCCTCTGCACGTGTCTTGGTTTTCTTCGGCTCTACTGGGGATGCTGAAGAGGAGGAGAAAGGCTCGTTCCGTTGCGGTGCTGCCTGCAACCGCGACCAGCGCTGTCGACCAATCCCGCACCTCAATTACAGAAGCCACAAAAGCCGAAGCCCTCACCGCACCCAAAGTTGTTGCTCAACGAACCAAGCTGGTCTCTCTCGCCTCGTCCTACCTCTCGAGTCCTCGCCCTTTCCTCCACGTACGCACCCCTCTCCCGAACCCAATCGCATCGACTCGACCTCTCCCCTCCCCTTCCCGCCGTCATCTCCTCGAGCAAGAAGTCCGCGACTTCTTCCTCCAAGCCCGGCGGGACCTCTTACCCCTCGGAGCCCAAAATTGGCTACAAAGGGACGAGAACGATATTCTGAAAGCCCAAGTCTTGGGACCCAGTTTGAATTTGGTGAGGTTGAGGGCGGGGAGGTTGAGCGCTACGGGTGGGGCGGATGTGAGGAGGATTGGGGGAAAGGTTAGGAGGAGCTTATTGGACGGAAGCGGGTTGCCTTTGGGATTGGGCCGGGGGGTGAGGAGAACCACGGAGACGGCTTGAGTTTGTGCATTGTCGAGGTAAACTTGTAAGATGAGTTGATTAGTCTTCCGTGTCCTCAACTCGGCTTAGTCGTTCCGCATTGAGCGCGTGTTAATACTAGAGCTTAGTGTCTCCACTTGAATGGGTACCTCATTGCCCCGCTCAGAAAGAGGATCGTACGAATGCAACAACTTTTTAAGACGAAACTACAAGTTTGGACAATCAAGCGCTTCCTCAGGACCCCATGACAACGACCCACACTCCCGTCCCCATCGTCAGCCCACCCATCACCATGGTCCACCTCCTCAACAACCTCTCCACCCTTTCCTCTCTCTCTGCCAACTTACGTAGCCAACCGACCTTCCTCATCCCCTCAATCGACCGATCCAAAATACCCTTACCTCTCGTCACCCCTTCCTTCCTCCCCATCTCCCCCAATTCCATCCTATCCCCCACTTCTTCAGATCCCCTCATCAAAGTCCAAACGGTCGACCAAAGCACTTGTCCATCCAAGTGAGGTAGAGGGAGTAAGTTGAAGAAAGCCAGGGCTAGACTGAGGCCTAGGAGGTGGGAATAGAAGCGTTCGATCGTGCGAAGATATAGGAGAGGGATGAGGCGCGTTCGAGGCAGGTCGGTCGTGATGGATACTGGTTTCGTGTGGGTATCGAGAGGATGGCTGAGTCGTGAACTTTGTGCGAGGGTTCAGGTTTGGGCTTACCGTGGTGCAATACTGCCGTTCTCGGACCTTGGTAGATGAGAATTTTGGTAATCCCATCAGGAGAAAGAGGGTCTTCCACCCCGATGCGTAGAATGCGTTGGTCGCTCTTCAGGCTCGTACACTTCTGAGCAGTCAGACTACACCCTCGATCGTCCAGACATCGGGTAGGACCTTGCTTCTTGGACGGAGGAGAGAAGATGGACGAAGGTTCCAAGCATGCGTACGAGACTGCCGAAGCGCCGTGTTGGAAGCACAATCGATCGGTCTGGGTCGATGCCGGTGTGCAACAGGAGGGAAGTGCTTGATCCGATGGGGTAAAGAGGGTCGCGAGACACCACCCTAGAGAGTTGTAGGATGAACTTGTCGACGTGCTGGGTTCGGATGAGAGATAGTCTGCCCACAGGGTTGCAGGTGTTGACGACGAGTCCAATTCGAGATCGTCAAGATGGGTGATCTTGATTCGCGGTGGCAGAAGTTCATAAAGAGGCGATGTCTGGCCGGAAGGAAGGAAGGAAAGGTCAGGATGGCCGGGAACTGGACAATTCGAAAGTAGGCCCGAGAGAAATCAGACCTACCAGATCAACTTCCGTCACGAGCACGCCTCCTTCTACCGACTCGTAGAACACCCTCGTAAAAAGGCTCCCCCATCCCAGTCCATTAGAGCTGATAAGCCACGTGAATCCGACGAGGAGCAAATTGTGCCATACGCCTGCAGCGGCGATCCGAAGATCGGTCGTCGAGCTCGCCACAGAGGAGTGGGATGTGGTCGACGAGGGTAGCTCGACGTAGAATGTGGGGACGATGAGATTTAAGCGGAAGCCGATTGAGAGTAGCGGGATGGATTCACTGCTCGAGGGACATAGAAAGTGGTGGTGGGGAGTCGGGTTTGGGCAGCAAGGTTAGGACAAGACGTACGATGCCGCTGCTAGAGCATGACCAAGCTCGTGGAAGACTTGGGAAGAGAAGAGAGCGACGAGAACAAGCGGCAACGAGTCGTACGAGTGCGTGAGGCCAGGGATCTGAAGATAATCCCGCGCGTTAGGGGCCCCGTGTGGGAGTTTTGATCACGTGATCATGGTCATGCTCACGATCGGCTGAAGCAGCAGCGCTTCCGAAGGTGGGGGCTGCAATTGCTTCGTTGCGCGCTTGATGAGACCCTGCACGACACCCAATGAGTTGATTGGGTCCGTTTGCGAGGTTGCGTAGAGTTGGAGTAGTGCATAGACGCCCTTGCACGCCGCGGTTGCCAGAACGAGCTGAGCAACGACCAGACCGAACACAACGACCAAGGTCGCGAGATCCCAATACAACGCAAGCACGCGCGTTCCTCCTTCTGGCCGACGACGAAAGGTCTTGAGCAAGAGACGAGGCACATCGTTGAAGGTGGTCGTCGAGGCGTGCAAGGACAGAGGCTGCAGCTCAATCGTAGACGATGCTGAAGCTGACCGAGAGCGCCGAGTGAGGCGAACGTAATTGATGACGACCCAAAAGGGGGCGAACACGAGCAACAGCGACGTAGGGACGGGCATCTATGTCGGTGTCATATTTTGTGGGTTGCCCTTCAACGGCGGAGGGTGAGGTGGGGAGAAGGAGGTGTGATCGAACACGCCAAGACGGCGAACTCGGGCCGGAGAGATGAGCCGAAGCTTGAGCCGACGGCACTTTTGCGGGCTCCACAGAACTGCAGTGTCTCTCTCTCTCCCTTTCCCTCCTTCTTCTGACTTACAACACCACACGCTATGAACGGACCACTCAAGACTGTACACTCGGCGTAAGTGCCCATTTGATCAGAGACGTCTACATGTCTCCTCCGTCCCATCTCACTCAGCTCCCTGGCGACCCCCACACACCGAAACTCGACGACGTCATCATTACCCGAACCAACCTCTAACGCCATCCTCCGCAGATGAGTGCGCACCTTGACTGACACCTCGCATCCTCTTACACAGACTCGAAAAGGCGGAACTACTGGGTACACCTTACCTCCCGTCGTCGTTTCGACCTCAGGTGTTGCTCCAAGTCAGCTTTTCTTCGACGGGGGTGTCGGCTCAGTTGGGCAACGAGTTGACCACTGCCGAGACCAAGGAGACACCCGTCATTTCGTTCGTCACAGAGGTCAGTCAATCAAACAGATTGTTTGGCCAACACGTATGAAAGGTGGAGTAAACTCCAGCTTGTTCTCCCCCCTTGCTCGACGTACTACGCTCGCGTTTGCCGGACTCCGGCATGACTCGACCACACAGGACACGGACTCGACCTATGCGATCCTGAGCTTCGACCCCGATGCCCCCTCGCGCGAGGACCAAAAATTCGGACCTTGGCGTCATCTCATCCAAGGTGGTCTCAAAGTGAAGCCCGGATCGACCGAGGTGACCGTGACCGAAGAGCCGCTTACGCCGTGGGCTCCTCCTAGTCCGGGTCAGGGAACTGGGTAAGTTTACAGCACGTTGTCAGAGAAAGGTGAAGCTCTGATTTCGGGCCGCGGCTGAATCCCACATTGCTCCTACCAGTCCTCACCGTTATTGCTTTGCGTTGTACAAGCAAACCCAAACGATTTTGCCGATGGCCGAACAATCGCACATCCAGGGCAACGAACGACCCGAGCGTCGCACTTTCAAAGTCGCCGACTTTGCGCAACAAAACGGGCTTGAGTTGATCGGGTTCAACTACTTTTTGGTCAGTGATTGAAAAAATCGGGTGGAACGGAAGGTACCCGCTGACGAATGATGTACCGTTTCTGCTCGATCATGCTGAAATTTCCTGCTCTCCTCTTTTTCAGTGCGAGAACCCTTGACGACTGTGGCTTGAGTGTGACGGTATAGTCCGAGTAGCACATGTCTTTGACGAATTCAGTAACCAGACGAAATGAGATCCCCACGAGTATGACATGGAATGCATAGTTCCCACCCATCTTGCCAAATCGGGCATTTTGTTAGCCGAGGCACTGGAATCGGCACTGCCTGCACGTCACCGCGTCCTACCGCGTCACCCTCTGCCTCCCCGCTGCACGACCGCCCGGCGTCTACAAGCTCCCTTTCGCTTGCCTACCGCAACCGTTTTCGATGGGCAGCAAGAAGCGCAACACCTCATCGACTACCTCGACCCCGTCCAAACCCCGTCAGGCGCAGCAAGAGCAGCAAGCGGCGGACTCGCGCTCGTCGCCGACGTCGTCGTCCATGTCGACCAGCAACAGCAACAGCAACAGCAACAGCAACAGCAACAGCAACAGCAACAGCAACAGCAACGCGCCCCCGCCCCCGCCCCCGCCCCCGCCCCAGTCCTCTCGACCAGCGGTCGCCAGCATGGGCGCCACGTCCAAGATCGCCTCCGTGTCCTCGGTCGAGATCCCCTCCCATTCGAGGAGGAACCCCAAGAAGATCGGCTACATCAGGAGCTGGATTATGTGGTACGAGGGGACGCTGGCGATGAGCATGTTCGAGACCGTACGTTCACCCGCGCCGGCTTCTTGCTCGGTGTTGTGCTGATCTTCATTCTCGACTGGACACCACTCAGTGGGAAAAGATCCTGCTCCGTGCGTCATCTTCATCCGCAGACCACCACCCAACTGCCTCCGACTAACGCTGCGGTGGCTTGTCACGCCCACAGACTCGATCGCCCTCATCTTCATGCTCTTCTTCTACATCGCCGTGGCGCGCTATCTGCCCGCACGACTACGACTGATCCAAGAGCGCGTCAAGTGGTACATCACCGGAAGTGAAGGCTACAACGCCGCGAATGTCATCGCCGCGGCCAAGGCTGGCTCGATGGGCTCGACAAAGACGCCGTGACCCTACAGTGATGGCTCACATCGAAATCGTCGACCACGATCGGACACCCGACATTACATAATGAACTTATATACCCTTTATTTATGCACCGCCCACCTTTTAATCACGCCCTCCCCTCCATTCAGTAGACTCACTCGGCCTCGGTAACGGGCCTCGGGATCCCATCGACCTGTTTTCTTGTTGCAACCGGATCCACGTCTTGTTGTAAATGTACACACACCTACCCCGTTTGGCTCGATCTTCCCCCGTCAGAAAAATCTTCATCAGCGTTAGGAACTTGGGGTCCTGGCCAGCTCGACGGCCTTTGTGCGACGTGCAGGACACGAGCGGTCAATGTAGTAATTGGTGCTGCTTGAGCATACCGCGTTGATGAGGACTTGCCTCCTTTCACTTGAGATTTAACATGTCAAGATCCCGATAATGACGTATATCGCTACCACAGGAAGGCCGTGGGATAACGAGCAAAGCGACCGATGCATACATCGTGTAGATGCTCAGGAAGCGCACTTTGAGAGCTCCCCGACCAAAAGTACGCTGCCGCCCCGGTCCCGACGGACGGTATTGTCGATCACGTTGTAGGCCGGCAAGGATCCGGACCACCGAGTGGCTCATCCGCTCCCTACCACAACCCCTCACTCACCATTCTTTCTTTGACAGGCCTTACCGACTGTAACCTTGACTGCAATCTGACCCCGCAAACCGGTATTGAATTTGCTTGCTCAATTGATCCCACTAGTAGTACGTTCTCAACACGACAAATCGCCACCTCTCTGCGCCCACAACAAGTCTTTGTCTGTACCACGATTCTTTTCTCACTTCTTGGTCCCATTCTTTGGTCCCATTCATTTTAACTGTCCCCGTATTTAACACCCATTTCGCATACCACTCCGCTCGATCGAGTCGGCGGGGATTTTTTAACTAGTGCCCTCGTTCTCCGTTTACGTAGAGGGAATCCAATACTTGCCAAAATGCCGCCACGTCTGATACGCTGACTTATTCGACTTGACACGACGCCTACCTAAGGTCCGACAATCGGCCCTTTGCGGGGAATTGGTACAATGAAAGGAGTCTGAAGCCCAGTGGTCAGATCTGGCACTGGATCTCGCAAAAGTGCCTCTATAGGTTTACTTGAGCCATGACTGGGCGTTACCATTCCTTCCACTTGATCAATTCGACTCGGTGTTTACGAAATCAAGTGTTCTTATCATCGAGAGCTCCTCCCAACCGGTCTCTTAGAATATACGAAGTGGGTTTCTCATCGTCTAGTCTATGTGTAGGTGAAAATGCTTCTATGATCTTTGTGAGTGTTGTGCTAGAGCGAGGGAAGGTACCAAGCAAACCAATGTAAGGGATGAACCATGAACAGAGAAGAAGGAAAGTGCTATGTGTAGCTATGTAACAAAACAAGAAAAGACCCCCCGTTCTCGGCGCGCCTCGAGTATTCAAGCATGATCTCGGCGACAAACACTGCGCGGGCAAACAGGGACGAACAGCATCAGATTCTCGTAAGCTCAGAAACGTGCTCTCTCGTCACTTGTCCTGCTTACGGGCATGTACCGTGCTCTTTGAGCCAGGCCTACAAGGGCAGAGGTGTAACAGATGATGAGTGTCAGCCTCCGCAGTAGTTAAAAACGAAGCTGGAGGGAACACTGACCAGCAAGCACTCGCGATGGAACCCATGCGCGCACATGCCGAGCATGCACTCATCGTCGTCATCGTAATCCTGACGTCAGATATAACTAAAGTTCTTCAGTACGCAGCCCAATGCTCCAAATAAGAAAATCAAAAACTACTGACCATCAAGCAGACCGAGCAGCGCTCCTCCTTCTCTAGACCTTTGCGCGCCAACGCAGGGACGATCACTGGATCGACCATTGTCGATCCAAACGGACGTGAAGTACTTGTCGAGGCAACAGGGACAGTGGATATAGTCGTGGTCATCGAAGGTGAGTTCGAAGCGTCCCTACGCTCCGGTATCGGCCAGGCCTTGTACTTGAACGTCCTCAACGCGGCGAGCTTGTCTTCCGGGACACCCTTGGGCTTGACCACGTCGCCGAGTTGTTCAGAAAGGCGGAGCAAGGCATCATACGACGAGTCAAAGAGGTCGTCCGCCTGTAGCTCAGTATCAAGAATCCAGATGAGTTGACCGAGAGCCCAAGTGCCAAGATAGTTCGAAGCTGACTGACCAAGTAGTTTCGTGGATCGAGAGCGACCGAGTCGCGGCCAAAGAAGGCGAGTAGCGAGTCATCATCGAACAGGCTCGTACCAAAATGGGCCGTCGCGCCGACACCTCTGAAAAAGTCACTCAGGCCACGTCGGCGCGTGCCAGGAGATCGAGGTGTCGCTTGATCTCCGGCGTCACGAGCAGCACCAACGCTGGCGGTGTTGACGGTCGTCGTCGAAGTCGGGGGTGAAGCCGAAGTCGTGGTTGTGGTCGTGGTCGTTCTGGTGATGCTAGGACCCGAGAGCCCACTCGTTAGAGGAGCGGTCAAGTTCCCCATCAAATGGCGCATCTGCCCGCGGTCTCTCCTTAACGCGGCCAACGCCTCGGACCTTGACCGCATCCTCTCCTGCGCCTGGCGCGCCCGTTGCTCACTCTCGGCACTGGCCTCCATCTCAGCACGAACCCAACGACTTCGACCCGCCGCAACCTCCTCACCGAACGTCCTTCGCACATCAGGACGCCAAAGCTCCATATCGACATCGCTACCTGGGTCGTCATCGTCGTCGTCTTCGCGTTCCCATTCAGTCTCCTCGATGACGTAGCGCCGCGCGGTATCATCGATTGCGCCCTCTTCGGCTCGTCGTTGCCGCAGATCATCCTGCTCCCTCTCGTCAGCAAGTCGAGCCGCATCGTAGCGCGTCAACGCTTCGGCTAGACTCGTCCTCGAGCGATGCGCAATCGTCCCCTGTGCAAGTTGGCTCGACGCTCGCATCGCAGCCAAAAGCGCGGGTCGATTCGAGCGAGAACCGGTCGCAATATCGACCGCGTCCGAGCCAAACGGATCGAAGCGAGGCAAATCATCAGGGCGTGTTTCGTTCGAGCCATGGGTCGGTCGTCGACCCCTACTTCCGCTGGATAACATCGGAGGCAGCGCAGAGGGTCGCAGAGCTGCAGCCGCACGAGCTTCGAGCGCTTCAACTTCCCTCGAATCGTTGCCCGAGTCGAGCGATGGGGTCATCGATGACAGGTCGAGACCTCGCGCAGGTCGATATCGCGGCGGCGCCAAGCGAGGCGTCAATGCGAAGGGGGCCACTCGCTCGGGTCGAGGCAAGGTCGATCCGCCACTGACGGTAGAATCCTCAGAAAGATCGCTCGATCTCGCGTCCTCCCAAGGCGTGACTTCGGGGTCGACTGGCCGTCGAACAGGAGTTGGGATCGTCGAGTCGGCTTCTCGAAGGGTGTTGTAGCGTCGACGGATCTCGCTCGCAAGATCACCCCCACTGGTCCCATTCTCCGTCGTGCGAGGCGCGGTCGTAGTGGAACGGAAATCCATGCTACGCCATGGCAAGGTTCTCGTCGGCCCCTCGGTAGCGACGGCGGCCCGTTGACCCAGAGTATGCGTCGTGGAGGAACGGGGGCCCAGTCGGTACGACGATTCCCTGACAAGGGAAGGAGTGTTTAACCCGGTGGCACTAGCGGTCACGTTCGTCGTCGTCGTTTGGGCCGTGACGGGGGCTTGACCTAGTCGCCAGCGCTCGTTCGCTCGTTCGGTCGGGCCTCGCATCCGCCTCGGCGCCATTGATGATGGAGCGGAATCAATCGCACCAGCATGGGCAACATCAAGACGCTGTGGTGATTGCGACTGCTCCTCACCCCACAGGGCAGGCGCGACGACCGATACTTGGGACGTCGACACGGCTCCCTCGTCGTGTAAATCGTCGAGCCACCCACTCCTTTCCCTTTCGCTCGACATGACCTCGGGCGAAGGCACACCTGTCGAGTTGCGCGCCAATCTTGGTCGTCTCGCTCGAAGATTCGTCAAAAAGTATCGCGTCCTCGAGGTCGTGGTCGTCGGCGGGTTCGCCGATGCGGGTGCCGTCGTACTACCTCCACCGGACGAGCTACCTTCCCCATCAGACGGACTCGATGCCCAGATCCCTTCCGATGCCGCCCTCGTCGTTTGATTGAGATTCATCTCGGTGTCCTCCCCCGACGATTCGGTGCCAGCCGGAGGGCTGAGGTGGAAGTTGAGGCGCGACTGCCGACGTGCGAGGATTCGTTCTTCGAGGGTCGATGGCGTCGTCGCACCCAACACGCGGGACATGGTCGCTTCGGCTCGTTCGAGGCGCTCCGTCGCTCGTTGCAGCACCTCTCGAGCATTGGTCGTCGTCGAGTCCGGCGAGTCTGCGACGTGGGCACGCGTAGAAGACAAGCCGTCGACCATCCATCGATAATCCATGACCTGGCTCGGCGCGGTGGACGAAGGCAAAGTCTGAGGAAAGGTCGATGACCTTGCAGCTCGTGTGCGCAGAGACAACATCGGTGGCGTCGTTGACCAGTCGCGAGCTCCAGCCGTCACGGGTATGGTGACCGCCGAACTCGTTGCCATCGCCGACGCATTCGACGAGATGGGACCAGTAGGGTTGCCGGCTTGCCAGAATCGAGTGAAGCCACCGACCGAGCGTCGTGACGATGGCTCCGAAGAACTTGCGTCTGTCGCAGGAGTTCTTGCTGCGATTGTAGGGATGGTACTGCTGGGCATGCTCAGCGTCACCGAGGGCCGTAAGTTCGAGAATTGCGACTCGAGCTCTTCTCGGAACGACATCGTCTGGCTGGACGACGATGCCAAAGTTGAGGAGGCTGGCGATGCAGCCGCAGCTCCGCGCACGTTCAAGCTGGGTGGTGCGGGCCACGGCTCGGCGACTAGAACGGGGTCGATGGGGATCGGCCGTGGCACATAACGGCCCAAGGCGGGGGCGAATGTCGTACCTGCTGTCCCTGAGGTGGCCGGAGCCGTGGAGGTCGAAGGACTCGAGCGCTCGGACCCTTCCGAGTGGGGGATTGTCGCCGAACGACGGCGCTTCGATCGATCCCGCGAGATTCCCAATCGATCCAATCCCACCTCATCGTACGGATCCAGGTAAGCATGACCCGATGTGACCGTCGACGCCGGGCGTACCGAACTGATCGAGGCCGAAATTGGTGATCGCCTCCTGAGCGTCGCTGGACTGTTGCGACCAGTCCGACTCGAGTCGAGGCTGAACGTCGACGAGCGCCCACTAACGCTGGCGCGCTGACTTTCGCACGTGTGCCAGGCAGGCAGCGGAGCCATGTTGGCCGAGTCGTCCGAGCCGGAAAAGGGGGACGGCGAGCGTCCGGGCGCGGCACTGTCGTCGTCGGCGTCGTGCATCTCGGCATCCACGGGCATCGCAGGAGGTGTCGAGCCCGTCGTCGGGGACACCTCGTCATAGGCACGTTTAACCGAGATCGAGGGTGTAGCCGGCCGGGATGCGACATCCGAGGTGGCCAAGGGGATCGCCGCAGGGTGCCTGCCTCGGCTAGGAGTGACTTGGACTTGCATCGAGGCAGGGGCCGGCTCGACGTGTTGGCTGTAGCGAGCTCGATGGGTGCGTCGGATAACGATGTTGGACGAAAAGGCCGATGGTGTCGGAGCCGATCGAGGACTTGGGTAAGGGTAAGATGACGACAACGTGGACGACGACGTGGCTGGGGGCGAGGTTGCATCGGCCGAGACTCGTGTCGTCGAGCTGTGTCCGAGTTATAAGCCTGGGTCAGTTTTCACGCGGGGACGAGCCGTGGGAAGCAAGCGAGGCGCCACTCCCTTCCCACGGAGACCACGTTTCAGAGAACTGACCCCGACGAGCGATCTGGACCCGTGAGTCGTTCATATGTCGCAGCAGGACCATTAGGGGCCCAACCAAACGTGCGAGGCGCCATCGTCACCGGGGCGGCTCGAGCTCCTGGACTGCCTGAACTCGGAGGAGCTGCAGGCGACGGCTGAGCTCGGTCGAGTGGGTGCGGCATTGAAGACGATGACGACGATGACGTCGAGGCTAGTTCAAGATCTTCCATCACGAACAAGGCACCTGGTAAGCTGGCCAGATCGTCGTCGATCGTCGATTCATCCGAAGAACTCGGTGGGGTCGTCGGCGCGGCGGGCCGTGCGGCTGCACCGTTGCGCCGAGTCACATTGTCGTCGGCAGTGGTGGCAGTGGTGGCAGTGGCGGCGGCGGTGACGGCGGCGCGAGGGCGAGAGCGCGAGCGAGAGCGTGATCGGGCATCCACCGCGATAACCTGAGGCTGGACCGACCCGCCCGAGTCCGAGGGACGATATGGGGGAAGCTGTGGCGGCTGAACAGCACACTGGTGCGAGCGGACTGGCTGAGCAGGTAATGAAGATGGGGTTGGCAATCCGGTGTGCGAAGTATGGCTCGGCTTGGCGCGTTGAAAGCCGACGAGGTCGATGGCAATCGGATGGGAGGCCGCTGCCACCGCCGATGGCGACGATGCTGCGGGGTGGGGAGGATCCACACGGGGCAGGGCGACTGAGCCTGCCGAGCGATTCATCGTCGAGTCGGTAAGGCGATCGGCAAGTTGACGACGACGGTGATTAGGCTGGTCGGTCAAGGAGTGGCGTCGGCTCACCACACGTCACGAGAGACACAGCAACGAGTCGGTGGCGGGTGAACGAGCTGGAGCCTCGCCCGCAGCGACCGAGCGCTGCTGCACAAAGTGGGGGCGGCGTAAGGCGGCGGAGGGCGGCGTCGGCAGGTGCGCCGCCATTTACCTCAGATGAGATTCAATCTGAAAACACTGTGAGTTACTACGAGAGCTTGTTCACATGCTTTGACCGCAGATCATCTCCTCGCTGTTTCGGGATCACCAGCTATCCCAAGCTGGCGCTGGTCAGGCCAACCGCGGAGAGGAGGCCCCTAGGAGGCGGGAGATCATGTGCGATGTGCTCGCTCCCCTCCGCCGCTCACTACAACCAAGGTCGGACATCTCACTGCAAGAAGCGGCGATGCTGTAAGAGTCAAGTACACTGGTATTACAAAAAAGACACGGCACTAGGGGTAGCCTATGACTTGAGCACCTTTTGCTCCATCGCTCGGTGAAAATCACCCACGTCGGCCGTCTCGACTCGGTCTGTGTATCTCGAGGTGGTAGTAGTGTCAGTGAGGCGGTCGTAAGATATGTGAATGAGATCACCTTCTCACCTCGTAGAACATCGGCGACATCGATCTGTTCGTCGTTGCCGAGCAGGATGTCGAGATGCAGATTCGACGGTCGGGTGAAGCCTCCCAGCGAACGCGGCACGACAGACTGTGCGGTATGCGATACCGGTGAATTGCGAAGGTCATGGGGAGTGTACGATTTGGTGGTGTGTGACTGACCTGCTTGACGAGGGAACGTTCCATCCTCTGTCGCACGGGCATGTGCAGGCCAAACATTTGCCTCTGCAACGTCAACTGCAGCATCTCTCGATGGTCATCCCACTGTGAAGAGTGAACACAGGAGGTACCAGTTAGGTTGGGTTCAATGTAGTCAGGCTTATGACACCGCAAACCACCACAGGGTGACTGGGCTGACGAGGAGGATGACGCGTCTGCCTCGTCCTCGTCCTCGTCCCCAGAACAAGCGCCACTCACATTCTCCAACCTGGCCTGCAAGGGATGAGCGGGTGCAACATCGGCGGCGAGTGATCGAACACCATGGCGTAATGTGTCGTGCACACCCTGCGAGTTGGCGGTGTCGGCGATCGAGGCAGAGGAAGCGTGCGACGCCCCGGGGACGAGAGAGAGCGTGGGTTGCTATGGGAGTCGCGGGTGGGCTACGGTTAGTTACGGCTTCTGGACGGTTGCTACGGATGAGACCTACCATGATCGATGAGTGCCGTGGCGACTCTGGGCTCGAAAGGCGAGGCGTGTGGGGGAAGGCTGAGCAGGGCCAAGCCAGCGCAAGCCAGCAGAAGCCAGCCAGCCAGCGCGCGGGCGACCGAGTCGAGTAGGACCCCCGAAAGCCCAGCCATAGGCGGCCGTCTAAAAACGGCCTTTTTCGAGGCAAAATGTCCAAATTTTTTCCAGATTCTGACTGAAAATGTCCAAATATGAGGGCCGCCTAGTGTTGCATAATTTCTCAAAACTACTCTACAAGCTGTACAATGCTCAGAAAATTTTCTGCGCGCAGCGCAGACTGCGTTCCCGCCGCGCGCGGGCCGGAAACGTCGCGCGCGCGCACCAAGAGCGCCGCCCGCGCGACCGCCAACGAGCCTTTTTCAAAATGAAATGGACTTCAATAGGATCTCATCTTTGTATTCATGTGATGGTCTTTGGAAAAGTCGGAGGAAATGCAATTAAGCACACTGGCTAGGCCAGTAGTGTAGGACTCATTGACCCTGAATCAGAATCATACCCACTAAAACCCCCTTGGGTGATTTACAGAGACGCAAGGCGACCTTGGACTCCTAAATTGACGCCCGGAGCTCCTCGAGTGCCGTTTCGGTGATCGCTTCCAAAGCATCCGACGACAATCGGCGGCGGCGAGAGAGCTTCCAGATCGAAAGGAAGGAGAGGAGACGTAGCTCGACAAGTCGGCGTTCCGAGCGAGAGACGACCAAAAAATGATAAATGATCGCATATGCAGACACTTAGTACTAATATAACGCGTTCCAAACGAAAACAGCGCGACTGTTACCCGCGCCGCGAAGCTGGGCCGGCTATATATATGCCCTGCGCCTCCAGCCTCCCGCTAGCCTGGTCTGCGCTTCAGAGTTCGACCGAAGGGAGGAAAATGTCCAAAAATGAGGTGAGCCTCGACCCATTTTGAGCCAAAAATGTCCAAATTTGCGGGCCGCCTCTGGCTGGGCTTTCGGGGGTCCTAATCGAGTCAGGTCGAGTCGGGTCCTGTCGGCAGTGTCGGGTCGGGTTCATCTTTGTCGTCATTCCATTCCTCCGTCTCCTGACCCGCACATCCCCCTCGAGACCAGTCAGAACCACACGCAGAGCGCAAGGGATTGATTACCACACCACACACTCGGTCCTCCTCCCTCGCTCTACAAACGCCATGCCGCCTCAACCTCCCCCTTCCTCCACACCCGAAGCGGTCCTCCTCCGTCGCCTCTCGACCATCAAGCACATCATCCTCGTCCTCAGCGGCAAAGGCGGCGTCGGCAAATCGTCCGTGTCCGTACAACTCGCCCTTTCCCTCCTCTCCCTCGACCCCAATGCCAAGGTCGGACTCCTCGACGTCGATCTCACCGGTCCTAGTTTGCCGAGGATGTTGGGGCTCCAAGGGCATGACGTTCATGCGAGTGAGGATGGCTGGATACCCGTCTACCTCGATCTCAGGCAGCGTCCTGATGGCGGAGACCGTTCGAAGCCGAAGCGGCAGGATTTGGATACGTCCCCGTTCGGTCAGGGAGGTTATCTAGCGGCCATGTCGATCGGCTTCTTGCTCAGCGACGCTTCCGAATCGGTCGTGTGGAGGGGCCCCAAGAAGAATGCTATGATCAAGCAGTTCTTGGGGCAGGTCAGGTGGGGCACGTTGGATTATCTCATTGTCGACACACCGCCGGGTGAGCGGTGCGCATAGTCTACTACTACTCCTACTCAGCAGGACAGCCGGCTCATCGTCATCGAACAATATATTCCCCCTCAGGCACCTCGGACGAACACATCTCGCTGCTCGAATCCCTGAGACCCCTGCTCCTGCCCCCACTACCGAACGCGCTCCCTCTCCCCACCCTCTCCTCCCTCCTCGTCTCGACCCCTCAAGCGCTCGCCCTCCTCGACGTCTCCAAAGAACTGTCCTTCATCCGTCGTACCGAACTCCCGCTCCTAGGCTTGATCGAAAACATGTCCGGTTACGTATGCCCGCACTGTTCCGAAATCGTCGGCGTGTTCGGTCAAGGTGGTGCGGAAGATTTCTGTCGACAACAGGAGGAGAAGAAGGGGTCTTTGGTCGAGGGCGAAGGAGGAGGGTGTAGGTTCCTGGGCAGGGTCCCTATCGATCGAGAGTTGGTCAGTTTGTTGGATCAGGTCAAGGATCTCAGAGTCGTGGTCGAGGCTCCGCTGGGATTGGGCAAGGGCAAAGCGGTTGGGCAGAAGGAAGGGGAAGGAGAGGATGAACGGATGCAGACGGGCCCCGAAAAGGATCATGCCCAACCGATCAAAGGAACGACTTTGGTCGACCGGTACAAGGCGATCCCTTCGTTCCCGATCGTCGAAAAGATCGCGCGCGAGGTCGTCGCATTGATTCAACAACAAAAGAGGACAGCCTAAGGAACGGCTTCGCGACGATCGCATGCTAGAGATCACTACAGTATTCACCATGTTGTCATTATATACCGGTCGCTGAATCGATTCAGAGCCGGCTACCGCGCTTAAGCCTGCATCGATCAATTCAGCGTTTCGCGGTTCGAAGCTCGGTTACACCAGTGCGAACACTAATTGCAAAAGAAGGGGTTCAGAGAGCAGGAGCGACGATTTACTGTGTTTGAAAAGGAAGCAAGTCTGATAGGTCGACGTGAGATGATATCGACATCTGGGCTGACCAGGCTGTTCTGAACGACGCCACTGAGACTTGTTGTCGTAGCCGAAGGTTCATCACCGTCAAGGTTTCAGGCCATTTGAGCTATGCCAAGGACGAGGGCAATGTCCAAAGTAGCATGATCTTGACCAATAGATAAAGGCTTTCTCTCTCTCTCTCGGAGACGATCGGTTTGAGGAGAGGATATCATGACAGACACACACAGACAGAAGGAAAGAAGGAAAGGAGTTCGAAGAGGTAGTGAAGAAGGTGTAGTCGTAAGCAGAAGCAGAAAAGAAGAACCCATTCAAACCTTTCTACACCCCAACACTAGCCGTGATCCCTTCGGCCTTGGTCAGCGCCGCAATCATCTTTACGCACTCCTTACGACGCGTGACGACCTGATCCGACTCCTTGAGCACATCATCGATCACCTCGGTCTTGTACAACTCGCCCAACAGCTCCTTCTGCAAGTCGTCCTTGGCGTGGAAGACGAGATTGAGCATGATCGCTTTCGGCACCATGTCGATCAAGGTCCTCTTGGAGAGGGAGAAGTACGAGCTAATGAGCAGTTTGATGACTTCGGTTTCCATCGTTTCGCGTTCGGACAAGGTGCCCGAAGCCCTCAACACGGGTGGGGGAGCATCCATCGCGGCAGCGCCTTTACGGTTCGCCGGCACGATGGGTTTCTTCCCTCCCGGCCAGAACGAGCCAAAGAACCCTTCTTCCTTCTTGAGGTCAACGTCCAGATCACGACCGTTGTTCAACGTCCCCGGCGCCATTTTGCCCGACTTGGGATCATGCGTCGGAGGAGCCGGTTTCGCAGCAGCGATTCGATCGGCGACGATCGCCATGGCTTTGTGACCCGAGATGAAGTCGGGGTGACCGGTGTTGATGTAGGTCGCTTCCATCGAAACGAGATCGGTGACGAGCTTGTTGGTCGGTACCATCGACTTGCGGTAAAAGTTCTGCACGGTCGAGTAGAAGCGATCTCGCAGCGCCGGGTATCGTTTGAAGGTGGCCTGTGATGATGAGGACGAGCATCAGCCCCTCTTCCCCCCGTTGAACGGTTCAACGGAGAATCGGTCACAACTCACATTCTTGGTCAAGAGCTGGTTCAGTATCCGCATGAGCTCATCGTAAACGAGGTTCGCGCACTTGAGCGACGGTTCCTCAATACGCTTGATCTGTTGCTTGATAATGACCTCGAACGCGGCCGTACCGACGAACAAAGCCGGCGACGAGCCGGACGAGTTGTACAAGATCGTACGGATGTCGGCGTCCTTGACTTGGTCAAAGGGGTCGAGCGACTTGACGCCGTTCGAGTAGAGTTCGTGGAAGACGAACGAGATACGCGCACCACCGGACAGCTCGTTGAGGGACAAGTCACCCGAGTGACCGTCGATCGCGTTGCGGAACTCGGCGCAGAACTCGGTGATGATTTGCAGAATAACATTGCCCTGTCAAGGCGAACGTCGCAAATCAAGGTGCTCCTGGGTCAGCGACAGTAGCATGCCCACGCCGGCGGCCCGGCTACCGTTGCTCCATCCCATCCACTCACGTTGTTCTGATCGCCCATCGCGCCACCGAGAGACGCCAGCTCGGCCTCGTACTTGCTCAACGTCTGCGAGATCTTTTGCTTGATGTCGGGTAAAGTGCTCTTGATGTGGTGCATAAGGATCGTGTTGAGGCGTTTGGTAAGGTACGGTGTACCGCAATAGGAGGCCTTGGATCGGTACGACGAGTGGTTCTCGAAGAACTCCTTCTCGTGTTGCAGAGCCGCGGCGATCGGTCGCTTTTGGTCAATGTCGCGTTGACCACGGTTGACGACGGGGACGTAACCGAGTCGGAGAGGGATGATGCGACCGGCGAGAATGTCGACGACATCCGTACCTTGGTCCCTATGGCGTGCATCAAAAACTCGACGCTCGTCAGCTCAGCCCGCCAAGTCAGACGCACAAGTCCCTCGGACGCTAGACTGACATGAGATCGACCTTGGTCAAGACACCGATCGTCCTCGTTCCCTCGGGGTCGACATCACGAGCGAGCTTGAGCCCGTCCGAGTTGGCCAAATCGGTGTTGGCCGCGGTGACGGCGAGGATAATCGAGTTGGGCTTCATGATGAACTTGAGCAGCATCTCTCGGATCTGTCGCTCAATGTCGCGCGGTTGGTCACCGACGGGCACCTGTGTCGAGAAAGAAGGGGGTTCTGTTTCAGCACCCGGCGGTCAAAAACCTGGCACGAACGGCACCGAGACCGACCTTGGTCAAACCGGGCAAATCGATCAAAGTGAGGGTGAGGACGTGAGGCGAGAAGATTCGGAGACCGATCGGGAGGGGCGAAATGCCTGAAAAGAGCGGAGCCACTCTTATCAGTCGGCCATTCACGGTGAGGCACCCAAAGTGAAGCCCACTAACCAGCATTCTTGCCCGTCTTGAGCTCGGTATCGGCGACGATCTCGTCCCGGACCTTGTTGAAATCATAGTATTTTTCTCCCGGTTTGTGCAACTGTGCGGAGCAAAGGCGAGACGTTAGCTAGCCTTCGTTGGGTCGACGACGAGCAGGAGTGACGTACGAATTCTGCCCACTCATCAGGGTTGGACGCCTTGTCGGACGTCTCGGCCGATCCTTCGGCGACTGTGGATGTGATAGTGCATCATCAGCTTTCCCGACTGAGAATTTCAAGCAATGGGGTTCCCACTGACCACCGTTGACGATCTTGCCTCCCGTAGCAGGTCGGTTGATCAACTGCAGCACCAAAGGTCGTCGAGTGACGATCCCGGCTGTGGACAAGAAAGAGAGCGAGGAAGTTGAGCCACCCGACCGGTCCAGACGTACAGCACAATGTTCGGCTCTGACTCACTTCCTCGGGGCAGAAAGTCGCGTCCGACAATGTTCTGTAATGAGATGAGGATGGGATGGTCAGTTTCAGAGGCGGCGGCCTTCGTCGTTCGAAAATCGGCCTGTCGGAGAGCGGCGAAGGCTAGCTCACCTCGAGCACGGACGATTTCCCACTGTTGAATTCGAGCGACGACGATGATGCATGGTGTGGTTGGTGCAGATGTGTATGCGGTGAAGGGGATCATGGGCGAACAAGGCAGGATCAGCGGCTCGGCTCGATCTTGGACGCTGGCGCACCCCGTGGCGTAAGCCAGGAAACACAATGGCACGAGAGAACTACGTACGAGGATTGAGATCCAATCACTGTCAAGGTGGAATGTCACATCGGATCCAACAACAAAAGGGGCAGAGCGCAACGAGCGCAAACGGAGATCACGAAACAGAACCAGGAACGGGAACGGGATCGTCAATGGAAGCCATCGCCACCCGTCACGATGCACCGCCGACCCGACCAAGAGCCCCTCTCCCCTCTCGCAACCTGCCACAGTTCACTCACCTGCAATCTGGGGCAGATCGACCGGGTTCGAGGTCAGGCCCGCCGAGGCGAAGGCGTCCTGCAACTTGTTGACCGTCGCGATCAAATGCGCGTCCATGCTGGGCAAAGTGTCGGGAGCGACGAAGTGTAGAGAGGAGTGGTGCACTGAGCTTGGTTATGTGCGATGTGGCGAGGGTGGCAAGACCGACGCGGTGGCTCGAAGGGTGTGGTGTGTGATGGATGATGGATGATGGATGATGGATGATGGATGGTCAAGCTCAGTCAGTGAGCGAGCGCAGAGTGACACGCGTCGCATTTCGCCCGCTTCGGGCTGCTTCGGGCCAACTTGTGCGCAGGCTTGCGCAGGGCTGCGCAGGGCAGTGGCGAAGAGTCTCGAAGAGTGGCGATCAGTTCCATGTCGCTGCCGATCATCAATTCAGTTCGTTCCACAGCAGAGTGACCCTGGTGCTCCGAAAATTGAACAGGCAAACCCAAAGAGAAAGTTCATCAACCTCTCAACATGCTACAAGGTATCTACACTCGACGCGATCAGACCTTCGCCCTGCCGAACCGCCCGCGCCTGCGCAGCTCAAGCAAAAGCGCCTCGGTCCCTCGGACATCCACCAAGAAGCGGCAAGTCAACTCAAGAAATACGACACGTTCGTTAACACAATCACTGCTCAACCCAGCCAAGAAAAACACAATCACACTCCAAGCCACTCCAACTCAAGCCCCCTCATCTCCGCCCCACTGAGCCCAGTCCCCTCCTCCGCTCAACGCGTTCAACTCGTTCTTGATCGCCGCTCGGGCGCACGTGTCGAATTCCTTCGAGACCATGACGATAATTTTCTGGGCCAATGTCATAAAGGGATCAGTATTGCAGGAAAAAAAGGTCGGTCATCCTCAGTTTCACTTGTGGACCCACTCACCTTCAACCTCGCATCAGTCTTGACGACCACATCCGCCAACGCAGGACTCAAGCCCGACCCAGGCGAAGCAGAAGACCTCTCACTCCCAGACGAGATTATTCGACTCGACATCGAGGTGCTTGTCGTCGAAGCTCCCGAGGAAGCAGTCGCTTGTGTCGCATTTGCCGACGATGAAGGACCGAGCAGCCCGAGTATTTTTTGGTAGATCTCAACGAGGAGATCGCAGGTCGTGATGAAGACTTGATTGTAGTCGAGTTCGAAAGGCTAGGAGATGGCGTTCGGGAAAGTCGATCGTGTCAGTATGAATAGGGATAGGTATTTTCGGAGAGGTCAAGGACGTACGATATTGGGAACAAAGAGATTTGAAGCGTCGCTCCCTTCCTGCAATCCTATGAAATCCGACCCGGCCAACGAAACACCTTTCCTACTCCTCGTTGTACCCCGAAACAACGTCTTGGGCTATGAACGAGGCAAGACCATTGAAGACGTCAAATTCCGGGCCACGGGCTCATCTAGTCCTGGACCTCGACTCACATTTCGATTCCTGTCGAACCGATCGTCGGGTACATTATCAAATTCTTGGACGAGGGAGAGCAAGCTTTTGAGAAAGTCTTGGGCTGGGGCGATGTCGAGGATCGCGGAGAGGGACATGCCTAACACGGCGAAACGGGTCGTTCTGGGATCACGGTGGGGAAGAGCGACCGTTTCAGCGACGAGAACATCCATCGCGCAGGGCGAAGGACGTACCGTGCTCTCATCCTCCCATGTTCGAATTGGGCCTTGACCAACTCCGGAGTAAGTAAGACCGTCTGTCAAATACTTGAACCATCATCAGCTGCAGCCCCATCGATTGTTCGTCGATTCCCCGTAGAACTGACATTGAACCAATACAGTTTACCCCCATGCGCTCGCTTGAGGTATTGCAACGTTGCTATGCGCTTCTCAACCGTACTACGTAGGTTCTCCAATGCTACACCTAGAGCAGAACCTGTGAGCGAGAGTCGGAGGATGAGTAAGTCCGGCCGGTGAGGGGGATGAGTGGGGGGAGGGGTTTGGTCCGTCTAGGGCGGGGACGTACCCGCTGATGGTAAGTTGGGAACGGATAGTTGAGATCCAACAGCACCTGATGCGTTCATATGCAATGCCGTCTGAATGGACCATAACCACCACGCCCCCGAGTAAGCAAAAGTCAGCTCGTCCCTCCGACGCGTCCCTCCACCTGAGCAGCAACTCACCCTCGCATCACCCATAGTATCCGACGAACCACCCAGCGACGAATTAACAGCAGCAGCAGGAGTAGAGCCTTCTTCGATCAACCCGGATATGGAAGGTAGGTGTCGGTTGGCGCGAAAATGCGTTGACTGATGACGACGAGAGGCAGGAGGTGAGCGCTTGGACCCTCTCGCTCCGTTGAACCAGCTTTTGGCGCCGAGAGATTCGCTCGGTGGTCGACTACTCTACTCACTTTGCGTCGGGTCAATCCGCCTTTCATGACGTTCAGTCAGATGAGAACAAAGAGCAGAAATATATTGCTCCTCTGAAAGGCCGATGCAGAGGACCCTGCTCACTGACTGCTTTGATTGCCAAGAAACACCGACTAATAGCAGTAGTTTTCCCGATCTGAATACTAAAAGAGATAGGAGAGATTGGGTCTGAGTAGGACCATGCTGAGACATACTGAGTCGAAACTCCAGTTTGACGCGTAACGCTGGGTCAATGAGTTGTAAATTTTATCATCACGTTGACACTGTTAATCAACTTCGAGCTCAACTGGGGGACGCGCTGTCTGGGCGCCTCGGAGCGAGTCGTGGATTCGGCCCGTGTCATTCGGCGAAACCTCATCGAGGGGGCGGCACTTGCGCAGCCTCAAGCGCTTCCCCAAACCCCGATACGGCCGCTGCTGATTTTCAAGGCCACGATATAAAGGGTCAGGTGGAGATCCATATTATCACAATAAAGGTTATATTTTGGCTTCTTAGTTGACGCGTCGTTGGCGCGATTGGCTAGGTTTCCCAGTATTAATGTCGTCTATCACGTGTCGACCGAGTTGAATTTCGCAATGATTTGTAGAACGGTCGTAAGAGGCGTTAGTAGCGTCGAATCGACTCGTATATCGTGCGATGTGCTAGAAGTAATTCATGAATACTTATGTCCCCTTCCTATTCTCCTTGCTCGGAGCGTACCAAAGTGAAGTCGCACTCGACAGGAGCTCGAGCTCTTCACCACATGCGCGGAGCTCGCGATTCAGGACTACAGACCGTGTTGTCAGTCCAACGGCGGGCGCGCAAAGCAAAATGAAGTCGCCCGAGCCAAGCAGCACCCAGCAGCCAGAAATCAGATTATAGAATGTCAGAAGCGAAACTTAAAGTTGCATTTGAAACCTTTGCAGAGAAGGAACGCAGCAAAGCCCTCACAAGATCGTGAGGCAACCTCGAAGTCCACCTTTATGTTGGTGGCACACAGCCTTGGTCGTACCGCTCGCTACGAAGCATGTCAACGGACGTTATTGTCAACCCCCTTGAAGTCCACCTTGCGGTGGCATACAGCACTCGGCCCTTACTCATCGATCGCAGTCATCGGATGTCACGTGAGTTTCCAATTGCCGCCCCTCTTGCCGCCCCTCTTGTAGCTCGTGCTCGTGGCACTTCATTCCCCTTTTTTTTGTCGGCAGGGCTTTAGTTTGGTTCTTGGTTATAGCGTTTCCAGCTCAAGCCTGTTGAACTGGCATGCAGGTGAAGGCCTTGACGCGACCCCAGAACGTTCCGCCGGTGCGCTACCTTCCAGCAGTGCCAGAACGTCTCTGTCCTTGACGACGTCCTTCCGCTTCTCTCTCCGGATATCTTTCTTTGACTAGGACGCGTAGACCGTGCTCTCGTGCCCACGGGTACACCTCTCCCTTGTTTCCTTTTAGCCATGTCCGTGACGTAACCACTGACGTTTGACCGTTCGGCGCACTCCCTCCGCGCGGAGTCGATTGAACCTTCGCTCGAACCTGGTGGGGCACGAAGGTCAGAACGGGTTGGATGAGATATGGCCGTTCTTCGGGGCCAACGTCTAATACTCGGTGAAGGTTTTGTTCTTCTCTTCTGTCTTATGATATTCTTGGGGATTGGCAGCTCTTGCACCGAGCCTGGCCGCCGGATTAGAATGAAAACTTCGGGTTGAGAATTTCGGCAATCTCGCTTGCTCGAACACACGGCCGGCTTCTTACTCGTAAGCCAGATTTAGACGTCATAGTTGAACTCTTAATAGCGCTAGATACAATACTAGCAGTCAAATGTGATGCATGTATTCACTTCCGAGGTCGATCGACGACTCACGAGCGCGCGGCGCCAGTTGCTGCGGACGATCTTGGATCAGGTGGGAGGTCCGAGCGCGCGCGCCTGGCCGATCGGCTTGTTTTGATTTCTGGCACGCCCCCCTCCCCTCTCTGCATGCATTCACGCGACGCCTGCCCCGCTGCCACCCACCCACTCGACTTTGCGTGACCTCGGACAGTCGGGAAGCCCCTCAAGATATCGCGCGATTGTGTTTCTTCGGGTCGAGCTCTGTACACATTCGTTTCTTCGACCGTGGTGATTACCTGCAAGGATCCGCGAACACCAGCCTCGGACACCCACCCGAGCCTTCGTCATTCAACCGCACCAGCAAGTTTCCCCATCTCGACGAGCGCTGTGTATAACGCCTTCCGCGAGCCTACGACATTGCCAGCTGCACCAAGAGTAGACTTCCTCACTCAATCAACCACTACCCACTCCTGCCACCATGCCGGCTCCACGAGCGGCGCGCCAGACCAAGTTGATGAGTCGCAAGTCCGAGGTGCGCGACCGGGATCTGTACGATGCACCTCTCGACGACTCGGACTCGGACAGTGCACCACCACCACCCAACAACAAGTACACCAAGTCGACGGGGAGTAACGCCACGACGACGGGCACATCAAGAGGCGCAGGAACAGTAACCACAGGCCATGCGACGATCGAATCACCCCGGAGATCGGCACGTCAAGGCACCAACAGGAATTCACCCGTTCCACCACCACCGCCTACCACGAGCTCAAGACAACGGACCGTATCACCGTCCAAACACGCTGCCTCGGCTGCTGCAGCACCGCCACCACCGAGAGGGGCCAAGGTCGTTCCTCGATCCCGAGCACGCGACGAGGACGAGGACGGCCGTGATCACCCCGACCAAAATAACGATGCAGCGTGGGATACCTCCACAAGGACGGGGACGCGTACATCACCCAGAGGGAAACGACAAAGGACCGATGCACCGAAGATCGGAGGAGGCGAAGGCGGCGCAGCTTCCGACGCGATCGCTTCGACGTCCCGGACCGGCTTTGTGGTCAGTCACGGGGATGCGAGCGTGTGCCATGGAAATCTACTGACTTTTGGGATCATTTTCACCTCTCCGAACAGCCTCGAGCGGCGGCACAGCAAACTCAAGCGGCCAAGGCCAAGCCCAACTTTGCGCATACACTCGGCAACACGTCCAACGACGATGCCCAGCCGTTCGCGTTCACAACCAAACCTCCCACACCTCACAGCTCGCCTTCCACAAGTCGGGCGCCGAAAAAAGGGCGTGCAAATGCGCCAAAGTCCAAAGTCAGTAATATTCACGAAGGCAGGTCGATTGGCGCGAAGGCTGACGGACCTTCGTCTGCGTACTGTCCTCACTTTGTAGAACGCGCCCCGAGCAGCCATGTCCATGCGAGTTGATGGAACGGCTCCGATCGCTTCAATTTCAAGACTGTCTCCACCGAGTCGACCAGTCGGGCATTTGGCGCCGATCCATGCCGCCGAGACGCCCGTGCAGAACAAGAACCGAGCGTTTCGGCAGGGGGACGCGACACCGGCGACACCGGGCATGTCCGTACGGAGAAGCAGTGTCAAAGGAAGTGGTCGGAGAGGGAGTAGTATTGGCGGAGGGTTCGAAGGTGAGCATCGCACTTTGCTCGAAACGGGCTCAAGACGCCTGAAAGCTAACGAGATGCGAGTGCATTCTATCGGCAGTCCCACCTCATGTTTCAGTACCCGATGACAAATTGTATCGACAAACCAACGCCGAAGACCCCGTGGCTCGACGACTGCGGAGCATCTTGTCGTGGACATCCCAGCGGCAGCGCGACCGGGTGTTTGCCTCGACCTCGGTCTCACCCAATTCGCGGGCCTGTGCGAGTGCGGTGATCGATCAGTTCATCAGTGGGATCTGCGATTCGAGTATCGACGTCTCGGTGCCGTTTCAGGTGAGTAGCGGACGCGTCCGCTTCGGGGTGGGCGCTCAAGAGCTGACTCGGTTCGTGCATTTCTAGCCTGGGACGAGTGATTCTTCCGCAAACGATGGGTTGCCGCAACATCCTCAAAACGAGAGCAACACGGCGCGACTCATTGAATGTAAAGCCAACCACGATGCGTGAGTGTCTCGAGTCAGCTCGGTTGCCCTGAAAGCACGTGACTGACGTCGGCGAACCGTCATTTCACAGCATCGGCAAAGAGCAAGAGCGACGGAAAGAGCTCGAACGCATCTATAACGACTTCGCGCATCGACGTGCTCAAGCGCGTGCTCTGGACCTCCCAACGATCGAAGAGACCTCCCTCAGCTTCGACCTCTCGACCGCAACACCGACTTCGATCGGACAAGCCGTCGAACTAGGCGCATCAATCCTCTCCAACCCGCCATCGGACAAGGGCAAGGGCCGAGCCTCCGACGTCATCGAAGACGAAACCTTGGCCTCGCTCTCAGACGTTCGGTTCGGATTGGCTCAATTCCGCATCCTCATCCACCGCTTGACGCAATTCACCAATGTCTCTTCCGCTTTTGTCGACGAGAGGATCCGACAAGCCCACCGTGCCCTCAGTTTGGAAACGACAAGAGGCTTAGCGTCGACAGCTTCAACGACGACGAACAAGGATGCTTCGAATGGGCCTGTCGTCGGTGGGGTCGCTCAATTGGGGTTAGCGGTCCCTTCTGGGTCGGGGTCGACGACAACAACGGCTACTCCAGGTCCGGATGCCAGGGATTTGCTTCGGGCGATCGCGAATACGGATCTCAAAACGGGCCGCAGTCGACCGAGTGGCCCGTCGTGATTCTAGTGGCTTGCAATGTTTCTGTCTCCTTCGAATTTCCTCCCTCAAATCGAGGTCCTCTTTCTCCTAATCAGTTGTCTCATTCTTCCAACCCACAATGGGGTTGTATACCTTCCACGTCAACAAATGGACGGCCCGAACCTCTCGGTCGTCTTCATGCGGCATTTCCCAATTTTGATTCGTAGACCTCTCATGACCTCCCTTTAACCTTTCTTCGTGTATGCTTCTCCCCCCTATTCTCTAATCTCCGTTGTTGGAAAAAAGCTACTCATGTTTTGTCATCCTACTCGAGGCTCCCGTGCTCGAACGTCACAGAACAGCTAAGCACTATTCCGCCATTTGCATGATCCGATCGATCGCGTCGACCTCCTTCCTTAGTTCTGCTTCGACCTGGTGCAGTGGGTACCCAAGTTGGATGTGAAACTTACTTCGGGAGGCCCAGCCTCGGGTGAGGAGCTGCGCAAGTGGGATCATCTTCGTTTTCTCAACTATGACACTCCTTGGAGCAGGAATGGCGACCTGGCTTGAACCACGGCCTAACGAAAAACGAACAGCGTTCCTGAGACTCGAGGTTCCATCGCTCGTCTCCCTAATTCTTCACTGTACGCAGAATCAGGACTGTACCTCAGGAGTCGGGAGACTAACTTGAGTGTACTGCAGAGGGTTATCATTTAGAACCATTGCTAAGTCTCTTACATCAGAACGAACATGTGGAATCCCACCTGAGGATCCAACTGACCGCCGGCGTGGCGACTTTCCTTCAGCAATATTTTGCTTCGTCCGAACAAAGTCTTATAACGTGCAAACATGGGAAAGCTCGAGGCCGTGCTGTGTCCGAATATGCTGTAGGCTTAATCCAGAGTGCCCTCACAGCTACGGTCCCTGAGTTCCGGTAGCGGTGAAACGGCGGTACTCACGCGTAATCCTCCGGAATGGCAGAGGCTGCGCAAAACCTCGCGGCTGAGGGGGCGAGATTGTCTGTGCCGAAATGTCGACAGTAGCATCGGATGACCAAGCGTACCCACGGGCACCTTTGGCAAGCTTTGGCTCACCGAGAACTGTGTGCCAGCTTTCGATGGCAGCAACGAAATCGAGCGACTCGATTTCTCCCTCCTGAATCTCGGGCCTGTCATAGAGTGCATCTCAAAGGAGCAGTGTAGGTTGCAGTATAGAACAGGGTAAGGGGAGAGGTTGGAAGTCGTAGGTCAGGGCAGAGGCGATAGCCCAGTTAATGTGGTCCAGCGCCCGATAAGGGTCGTCTCTTTGTAGACTAGCTGGAATTCTCATTCTCATTCTCATTCGATGATGGTGAGGCTTTGGACGGTCTGAAAAGATGTCCCGCTCGACGCGGTGCCACCAGTTCCCTCACAATTCTTTATTGAGGCGTGGAGGCTTGAATCCGGTCTCATCGTCTTCATCTGGTAAAGGAGGACCCATTCGTCTTGCCTCACTTACTTGGCCTTGTGCTTCGAATCGATCGCCAAGTCCTCAGGCACCACCCCATGAGGAACGAGCATGGCTTCAGCGACGATGAATCCAGGGAGCCCACTCGACCTGCACTCCTGTTCTATCCAGACTCACCATCCCTCACACCTGTCGCTAGCCTAACTTTACAGAATAAAGTGAAAGGAAGTGACACCGGACGCCATTGAGGATCAGATGACACGTCAAGTTCCCTCCTCCGCCTCGAAGGGATCCCGACTCCGCAGGGTTCTCTTTCGTCATCAAGACTGCGCCTACTGCGCCACGCTAGGACATGGTTCGCCGGGTCCCAGCTCGGCCAGGACGACGCTGAGATTCAAAACTGTGGTTCTTTGCATGGTGCAATTGTCCTTCGATCTACAACGCTCATCTAATTCGTCACCCGCCTTCGACTGATACAATGAAGAAAACTGGTTTTCCCCGTCCACTCGTGCCACTTGGCAAATCTACATCCCCTTGGCGCTGAAGACGCAAACCCGGAGATAAGAATCAGTTCAAGTCACAACACTCCATCGAAATACAGCCCCAGCTCTCGAAAACGCACTAATTGCCAGCAGCATAAAACGCCTCGAGCTGAGTAATAACCTTCTCCAACGCGTTGAGCCACGCCTGCAATTGCCCATCGACGTCCGATCCGGGGGGGCCGAGCTTGGCGTAGAAGTCCTGTGTGAGAGACCCGTCACCTCCAAGATCAGTTTTGTGGAAAGTTTCCGCTGGCTTTTGGCCGCGCGGACGTGGGGCCGACGCACTTTGCGGTAGGGGCAGGCCTTCATCGCCAACTGCGAGCGCGAAGAATCCGAAACGGTCCCAGTCAGCTCTCTTCGATTCAGCCCCTCCGATCATCAGAACTGTAACCCATACGTACGACAAAGACGGGCTTGACGACGAACGAGTGGTACGGCTTGAGCGTGTTGGTGTAGGCGGCGTCAAACGAGACGTTCAATTCTTCTGTCTTGTTGGCTTGCGAGCGCGACAGGGCGATCTGCGTGAACTTGAGGCCGCTGTGAACGAGATCTCAGTGTGACGTCAACTCTTGATCTCGATAGTCCTCGATTAAGGCGGTAGTACTGACCGCAACAGCCACAAGAGCCCCTCGGTGGCCGTGCGCTTCTTCTCGGTCGATTCGTGCTTGACCAAGTCCTCCAACGTCTTGAATTGCTCGGGGAAGGCCTCGTATCGCGTTCGAATTTTCTGAGAAGCATACATGGAAGATATAGGGATGAGTATTTTCTTGAGTCCGAGTTTGAGCTCAAGCCCGGATCCGAGTTCTTGGGTCCGCGTCGGATTCCGAGCTGAGACTGACCTTGACGTTACCATTCATGTCGTTCTGCACAACGACGAACGCCGAATTTCCCAAGAGATCTGCCCAATTGCATCAAAGATACCACGATCAGCGTCCATTAGTTCGTGCTCTCTCCCCCCGCGCTCGTTTGCGCAAAGTGACACGTCGGGTCGCGTGTGAAAGCTCGTACGCCGTCCAACGGTCGACGTACCGAACATCTTGATCAATCCTTCTGTGGCTTCCAAGAAGGCGACAGTGTCGACTCCCGGTTGGGTCGGGACGTCGACGAAGGACTGATGGTGCGGTGAAATACCAGCGGTTCAAGAGGTTGTGAAATAGACGTGTGGAGAGACGTGTTCGGAGACGGTCGTCACACATGCGTACGGGGAACATGTGGTACAGATGGAGTAGGCAGTTCGTCAGCATGAACGCATTGAAATTGAAGTGAACGAGTATCGTACCCTCTTGACCGTTTCCAAATAAGTCGACATGTTTCTGTGTTGTGGTGCGGTGCGTGAACTCGAAGCTTGAGCGTGAGCTCGAACGTCTCTCCTGGTAACTTCAGCTTGCGCCTGCTTGCGCCTGCTTGCGCCGACTTGCGCCGAGACAGCCGAGACTCTCACCCACATTTCTTCCCTTCTGTTTGCGGCCTGCGCGGAAAGCCTCACGGCGCGGGCCAGCCGCGGCGCCAGCGAGTCGCCTCGAGCGCACAGCGTCAGCTAATCAACTTGGATCAAAATCGAGGTCAAAATTGTTTCAAGTCGCCAGGGCGGCGCTGAGACAGAGCTGAGAGGGAGCAACTCGAACCCTACTTCACGTACGAAACGAAAACTGTCCAATCTACGTCGGAATCTTCGATCGATCGGTTCTTTCGTGAACCGTTACCTTGCTGGCCGTCGATCATCGTGTAAGGACGACTTTGACGCTGTGTCCTACCAGGACAAGGATTTTTACGAGCACCACCATTATTGAGGTTCCCAGAGGCCCCCATCCAACAGGGAGAGGTCAGGAATCGTTTGCGCATCTGACGAGAATCATGCCCGGCGAGCTCTGAGACCGAACCTGGCCTCATCGCCTAGGTCACGTGAGTTTGCACTAGCGCCTCGTGGTGGCGGTGTGTGCGACGGGCCGGGGTAAGGCGCAAACACTGCGTGGCGGTGGCAAGGGCTCGAGCACTTTCAAGTTCCGGAAGAGGACAGAAGCTGTACCTAATGGTGCGACGATAGGGTTGCTTAAATCTTACAAACTTACCAGGTCAGATGCAACGGTTCAAATGCCCGAGCCGTCGGTTTCAGTCGGGGTGTTTTTGTGGCACTGCAGCTGGCTGTCGGCGAAGGCGGGAAAATGACGTTGGGCTTGCTCGCTTCGCCGCTTCGGTTGGATCTTTTTTGCCGAGAATAGGAGAGAAGGGGTTTCGCTTCCCGTATGAGGTCATACCTCGTGTAGTCTAGGAGTCCTGGAGTCGCTTCTCACCACGAGTCATTTTACCCGCTCGGCTTGTGCAGTCATGGCGACCCGAGAGGTTGGCTTCGTGAGGGGTTGCAAAAAAAAAAAAGTCTCAATTGAGTGACATTGGTTTTGATCATGGGCCGGGCCAGAGTAGGCCCGAAAGCACTGAGCCAACCGGAGAACGGTTTCCCATCGGAGCCGCCTCACCGCAGCAGACAGCAGCAGCACCAGCGGCGCACCGTAAGCGCCATCGAAACGACAGCGCCCGATTCGATTGAATCCGATGAGCTGAGCCAAAACCCGCGCCCTGTCAGACCTCGCCTAGGTCATCTCGGGCCTGCACTTGTCCGCGCCTGGCTGCGCCTGGCGACTGCCTGCGACTGCCTGGCGCCCCCGAAGGACGAAGAGGCCCGCTCTGTCTGGTTCACTCGTGCCCTTCTGCTGCTCCCTCAACACGAAAGAATCGATCCACCTGGTGCTAGAGTCGCGAACGCCCACAGCCCACAAGCTCGGGCCTTTCGAGTCAGCCGTCTGCTCGTCGTAGCTTTCGTGCTCTTTAACGCCATCCCCCTCGACGTTGGACAACTGGGTTCGTTCGTTTCGCCTTGTGTCGACGTCGCCCGCAGCCAGCCGTTGCCCGTGGCTATTGTCAGCGAGCGCCCAACGCCCGCCCAACGCAGCGACCGTTGCACCCTCGATTCGAAGCTCGTGTCGTCGACGACGTGCCATTGCTTGCACCTGGACGTCTGGTCATCTCGTGAATCAAACACTCGTTTCATTCTACGCGTGTCAAACAAGTCAGTCTCTGTCCAATATGTTCTGCTGCACCCGTTCCCGCAGAGGGCCTCGGCGTGTTTGGGTGCGACCGAGCCGACGACTCAGCGCGGCGACTCTGAATCGCCTCGAGTTGAATTTGGCCTCTTCGAGTGCTCTGCGCCGCCCGCCCGCTCTCGAAGGGCGGGCGCAGGTCCTGGTGACCCCAGCCCCGCGGCCTAGCCTCGCCCAAGCCACAGCCATACCTGCCCCACCAGATGCATCACCGGTCAAGTGCAAGACACTGACATGGTCTTGATTCACACCCCTTCGTGCTGCGCAGGTCGTGTCGAGCATTCGAAGCGACTGCACGCAAGCCTATAGGGTTCGAACGTCGTCTCCGGTCGTGAGGGAGCAGAGGGTGGCATTTCGCAAGCACCTCTTCGCGTTGGAACAGCGGCAACAGCCACGCCCACCACTTGCACCAACCTCTTACTTTTTTTCATCTTCATCATGCCCGCCCTCGTTTAATAACGCATCGTCCTTACCGACGAACTCGTTCTAAACGAACAACCCACCCTTATCTCCATCGAGTCCGTTTCAGGAGTCCGTTTCTCCACACCGGCGTTCGTGCACCCCTCCGTCATTCGACGACTCTGCCTATCCGCACCCCGCACCCCACCTTTTATTTTCCCCGCATTTCACATCGACGTTCCACTATGTCGCTGTGCTCGTTGGCGTCTTACCTCGCCTCGCTGAACGCACCCGTCGTTGCTCCGCCCGGCCCCAACTCTCCCCTCGAATCCAGCGCTAGCTCGGAATCGCACTCGGCATCTTCCCTCGAAGGGTCACCCACAAAACGTGCTCGCGCAGACTCGCCCGATACTTCGATTGCGTCGTCTTCCCCCGCCGAGTACTTCGTCGCCTTGTCCGCGATCCACCACAAGTTAGGCGGCGTGTCCATGCCGAGTACGCAGCTCCTTACCGCGTCGAACCTCCTCGCCGCGTCCTCACCCGCTCAGACCTCGGGCTCACCCGCTCTTCGATCCATCCTCACCCAAACTCCCTTACACCCCGATACCGCCGGCGGTCCCGGACCCTCGTCGGCCGGTGGGCTCTCGGAACCCACATCACGACCGCTGTCACGCCGTAGCTCGACCGGCGCATCGTCGACGACCAAGTCTGTCCGTTTCGCGCGGTGTACGAACGCGAGCGTGTTTGCGGCCCTTAGTGTCGAGGAGTACGACCGTAGCCCCATCATTCCGACGTGCGAGTCAGAGTCGCTCGAGCTGCCCAAGCGACAGAACCGCGAAGAGGATGGCTGGATCAAGTGCGTCGAGCGAGAACGCGCCGCCGCCGCCAAGCGCATGGCCACGGGTCAGAGCTTGCCTGCACTGTCACCCTCAATGGACAACCCCGTCGAGGGCAAGCACGGTCTCCTCGAGGGTGGTTATTTTGTCGGCGGGGAGCGCGAGGAGCACTCGTCGGACGAGGACGAGGACATGATGGTCGTCGACGACGAGGAGACCGGCGAAATTCACGATACGCCCGGCATGATCCAGGACGATTCTAGCGGCGACGATGAGAGTGATGGGATATTGTCTATCACATCAGAACACACCCAACCTATACTCAAGCTAGTCTCATCACAACCTTCCTCCTTCGCCCCGACCTACACTATCAGCCCCATTTCCGACACGGATCTGCTCAAGCACGCGACACTAAACGCTGCCGTCTGCGCCGCCATCACCCTCACAACGCCGGTCGTTGATCTCACCCCAACCGCCAGTCCTGCTCTTCCATCCATTGCGACCTTCGGCCCCACCCCTGCTGCGGACGCCGAGTCCGAGCCATCCGCCGTCGACTCGTCCACCGACGAATCGTCACCCATCGAAGCGTCAACCGAAGAGGAAGGCGACGAAGATGCCGTTACTGTCGCCGCACGGATACAACGGGAGAAGAAGGAAAAGGCGAAGAAGTGCCGCGAAAGATACGGTCTGTGCGCCTTGGGCAAGTACAGTCGCGCCGAGGTCTTCAGCTCGTACGATTCGCTTGGCGGCTTCTGAACGCCAAGGCCGAGGACCGTGACGGAGGAGTGGAGCTGAAGGATGGGGTGGTGGTGAAGCACGCGTCGTTTGGAAAGGACGCCAAATCTTACGGGTCGATCAGCAGTGGTCGACGAAAACGTTCGTCGCGGATGGTGTATCGCGGAACGAGACGAGAAGAGAGTCGTGGGATCGATCGGTCGATGGCCTGGCGACGCAAGCAATTGCTCTTCTCGCCATCTTTGCATTCCGAATTGTTCATAGTGTCGCAACCAAGCTTTCGTGTGTGTGTGCATACCTTTCAGGACGTACCTATACACAGTCATCTTCGCCTACCCCACTTTCTCGACCCCTTCTTCCTTCGTCTTCCTTTCGTCGAAGGGTCCCGGGAATGGCGATCTTCTTCTCTTGGACATATCCCCCCCCCCCCCTTTGCAAGCAGTAGTCAGCGTTTCGGTGTTTTCAACAACTTTGATCGATCTCTTCCTCTGGCTCGATCCTCCTTGTTCTTTCGCTTCGCCGTCACCGCACTTCTGTTCTGTTCCCCCTTGTCTTCTCTTCCTCGGTCCGGTCACGTTATCCGCCACCCATCGCTCGTTTCGTATCTCTCTCTCTCTCTCAGTAATTTGCAACATCATAGCATTAGTTACCCATGCCCAATCCTGGTGCCCGGATCGACACTGAAGAGAAGTGGCCAGCTCCTGAGTGAAAGACCCCTGATTATCCAGATCCGACGGAATCTGAAGGAGCGAAAACCTCAAGCACAGCCGTATCACCTCACTCTATATCTTGCAAGGCTGGGAACAACGACCTACATCAACAAGTCGAACGACGTTGCGGCCGCGCGTCCCATCTTAGGCTCTCGAGCTGCGATGCGGCGTCCGGCAGTGGCTCTTAGCCATTCCCAGGCTCTTCTGCAGGTGCCCAGTTCTCGACGCAGTAGTCGAGCTCGAGTTTGTCCACCTCCTTGAAAAAGCGCGGAAAGCTGGGAGAATAGTTTCATGGCCACATTTTCTATTGTGAGCTATCGATCTCACAAAAGTCTACGTCGCGCAGCTCCCTAAATCACATTGTAGTAGACTTTGACGGGATCGACGCCGAACGTCGGTCTGGCACCAGTGCCGCAGCCGTGCAGTGGCGGACGACGGTTCCCAGTGAAAGGTGAGAAGCTGTTCCTTGCGACCGTTCCATTCGATGGGCCCCTGAGATCCCGCAGTTAAACTCACTTGGATCATGCAGGTAAGCCCCATTCGATAGCCCCTTGGATCCGCAGGGACTGGGAAGCCTCTTGCGAGGAGACCGGCTAAAGCTGAAGGCGTGTTGACCTCGTTGCACCTCTGCACGGTCGCGGCGGAAGCCCGGAGTTATATGGGATTGGGCGTTGAACCGAGAAGCTTTGATCTCGCTGTCGCTGTCGCCATCGTAGTACATCGTTGCTGACGGCGCGAGTGCACATGGGACCGATTGAATGTAGTAGCGTCACCTGCAGTGGTTCATAATGGAATTCCGTCTCCGAGACAGCCAGACAAGGCTGGAGCGATCGAGTCCTTGACGCCGTTTGAGAAGTCTCTCATAGCTCCCGCTAGAATCTCATTTTGACTACAACACGAACCCAATGATTTCCTCTAAGACCATCTTTCATTCAAGGTGAGATTGGGAGAAAGGTACTCGCTCTTTCGCAAATCAAGTTGCCGGCCGAAATTTGGGATCTTCCAAGTTGAAGTTCCTGAACTCGGCGTCTCTTGGGGTTGGGGTCGAGTCGAAACGCTGCTTCGTGCTCCGAGCCCATCTCCGTGCTTAGCTTTCCCTGACGCTTTAGTCTCGTGAAGCCGGCGCGTAGATGGCACCCACGGTTGACAGCCTGAGAGAGGGTTAGTCTAGCCATCAGGTTATTGAGGATCCTAGTCCCTTGTCCCTCCCTCCGGCTGACGGTCTCAGCGAGTCGATCTGCTTCCCCTTCGCACCCCACTTTTAGCGCTGGCGCTCCTCTCCCTCGACACCCGCGGCCACAAAGACGTCCTATCCCGTCGACTGGCACGGCATAGAAAGGCACAACATGAAGCTGAGACACCGAATCCTCCTCCTGTCTCAAGTCGCGTTCCGATACCACGGCCGAATCGACCACGTGGCCAGGCGTTCGATGCGTACCTCTGTTTCGACGTCGAGGCGACGTGCGAATACTCTTCGGGGCAAAATGTCGCCAAGCAAGCTTTTGGGTAGGTCCGGAGTGAAGGATTCTTTTTGGTGAGCCGATGCTGTGAAGTAGGCCGTTGGGCTGAGCGGTGCGTTCGTCGACTCTCCCCTCGCAGTTGGCCGAATGAGATCATCGAGTTCCCCATGATTCTGCTCAAGTGGTGCAAGCTCGATCGTATCAAGTCGAGTCCTCAGTCGTCTTTCGTATCCGAATCTGATAAAGCGAATCAAGAAGATGGAAAAGCCGGTTCCGATGACATTCGTTCGTCGGAGGAAGATGGCACAGAGGAAGAGGACGAGGCAGATCCCGAGCGGTGGGAGCTGCGCGTTGTCGACGAATTTCATTCCTTCGTCCGACCGAAACATCGACCAAAACTCTCCGACTTTTGTCGAAATTTGACGGGTATTACTCAGGTGAGCACTGCCCTGTGACTGGCTCTACAAGATGCCAGACCTGACTTGGCCGAAGAATCTTCCCTCGCTCCCTCTTCGGCTCCACCCATTAGGCCCAGGTCGATTCGGCACCCTACTACCCGCAAGTGCTCAAGAGGGTCGAGAAGCAATTCATCACCAAACACAACCTCTTCACCAAAGAAGTCAAGACCGTTTGGGTCACCGACGGACCGTGGGGTAAGCCAACAGCAACGCCTGATTCACAAACTTGCACGTGACTGACAATCTTCGTCTCCATGTGGACAGATCTACGGGATTTTGTGGCCAAGCAAGTTTTTCTCTCCAACGTGCAACGACCCTCGTGGCTCGGCGGCCACGTCATCGATCTACGCAAACTCGTCACGCACTATTTTGCCGGACTTCTCACGCCTTCCATCGACCTCACCACCAAAATGGACGATTCGTCCTCACCCAAATCGTCGGATCCCTTACCGATGATAGCTCCTGAATCTCTCTCCATACCCTGTGTACTCTCAGCCTTGTCTTTACCCCCTTTCATAGGCCAACTCCACTCGGGCCTCGACGACGCGCGAAACCTCTCTCGGATCCTGGTGGAATTAGCAAGGAGAGGGGTGGCTTTGGAGCCTAATCTGACGGTTCCGCAGGTGCAAGGCAGGGAGAAGAGGTGGGATTGGATGGGGAGGGACGGGACGGTTGTTTGGGATAGGGTGTTGGGGTTCGAACAGGTTAGGAAGGCGGAGGGAGGGGGATGAGTTCCGAGGGGGGGGCAGATCGAGAGGGGACAGCTTTTGGGTGTTCAAGAGGAAGTTCGAGTCGCATTGTTACTTAGCTTGCATTTTGCATTATAACATCGTCGTTTGTTTTGTCGTCTTTGTCAAGGGCGGGAATTGACATTCTGCTCGACCGAGTCGGGAATTGTGCCGCCCCATAATGCCCGACGTGCACCGACGACCCGAGTCACGCGGTTGGGAAACGCCGAGGGCAGCCGAGGGCGCGCGTGTTGCCCGTCCGGCTTGGCCTCCGTTGCCAACACTGCGTGGCGTTCACCTCGGTCCTCGTCGCCAAGCGTACTGAGCTCAAGCGTCGACACCATCACCCTCATACCCGGTCTTTGGTGCTCGATTCGAGGAAGCTGGAGTTCTGCATTACGGCATTGCGTTACCGACGATAAAGCGTCCGCAGCGGCTGGCAGAGCCGAGCACGTCGGTCGTTCGTCGGGCCCCACACGCGTGTGACTGCAGCTGCAGCGCCGTCGACGTCCTTCGATCGGTCCCGCTCCACCCGCAGCTACGTCCCCTTCGTGGGCCCCTCAAGAACGATACACCCACACCCACACCATGTCCTCCCTCAACCCGTACAACCTCTCCACCCCTTCGACCAGCTCAAGTCCCGTCGTCTCAGCCTCAGCGTACCTCTCCCAAGCCCCGAGCTCATCCACGACCGACACTTACTCGCGCGACGAGGTGCGAAGGTTGGTGTTGGAGTATCTGTGTAGTGGGTGTTATGCGAGGAGTGCGAAAGCTTTTGCGGAGGAGGTGGAGAGGAGGGATAGGGAGGACGAAGACGAGGATGGCCAGTCCTCCGGGACGACGGCTCGTGCGGGAGGGGGAGGATCAAGAACACAGAGGAGTAATCACAAGCCAAGACAGGACGACAATGGGATGGAAGGCATCGAAGCCACGCCCGAACCAGAAGGATGGAGAGCGACCGCACCCACAGGAGCAGGCGTCGACGTCGATTTCGAATCCGACGAAAGCAAGGAGGCGATCGAGGTCCATCGTGCGTTGAGGGGGCATACGGCCGAGCTACAGAATGGCAGTCGAGCGGTCGGGGAGACGAATGGGAAGGCTGTGGCGTTTGAGTTGACGAGGGACGAGTTTGATCGGCATGGTGGGGAGGAGCATGGGCAACCCGAGATCGACGCTGACGACGAGCACGATCGCGACGAGGTCGAGCTCGATCGATTTGCCGGCAACAAGTGGTTGAGCCAGGATCAGCTTGATCAGGTCAGACTGAGAAGAGGTGCGTGCCTATGTTTGGGTCTCGTGCTGCCTGTGTGCGTGTGCCGAACTGATACCGGCGCCCCTGAATTGAATTAGACATTCGAGATGCGATCCTGACGGGACGGATTCAATCCGCCATCGAGATGCTCAAAGAGCATTTTCCTGCCGTCCTCTCCGACCTCCCCATCACGACCAAGTCTAGAAAGTCGTCCTCGACGTGCACGCCCACGTCCTTCTTCGTCTCGACGCCCTCGTCATCCTCCACCGCCGGACCATCGAGCTCACGACCTTCGACCACGACGTGCCATCCCCCGGGCGCGTCGACCCTCGGCGTGCATCCCATCTCTCGACCAGGGACACCGAAACCCACCGTTCCTATCCTCGGTGCAACGTTTGGTTCGTGGTCACTGTCGTTGGACCCGCAGATCCTCGCGCTCAATCTGCAACTGCAATCCTTTGTCGAAATGATGCGAGGCGCTCACTCGTCATCGCACATCTCGTCCACGCCCTCGACGCCCAACTATTCATCCCATGGGAACGGCAATGCAACGACTCTATCAGACTCGATGCATTCCGATGCCGGTCTTTCGGGCTCTACGGCGTCACTGACGTCCTCAACGCACGCCTTGAACATCGCGATCGCGCAATCGCAAGCGTTGAACCAAGCCGTTGCGCAATTACCGAGCGGGAGGGACCGCGATCGTTGGGAGCAAGAATGCATCGACGTCAGCGGGTTGATGGCGTACAAGGACTTGATGAATTGCCCGGTTAGGGGTTATTTGGAACAGGAGAGAAGGGTCACGTTGAGTGAATTGGTCAATGCCGCGATCCTAGGTCAGTCCTTGCTCAGCTACATCATCGCCACAGCGGACAAGTGCAAAGGCTGATCACAACTGTACCCCGGAGTTGCTACAGCCTGTTCAGGTCAGACACCTCTTTCGATCCTTGCTCTTGCCGCTCGATCCACAACGGCCGTTTGGTCGGCCGTGGCCGAACTTAAAGTCCCTTTCGGACCCGCCATGGCCCCACCGACCAAGGAGAGCAAGTCCAAACATAGGGTACGTCGTTTAGGTCCGACTGAGTTCAGGACGCGGGATGGCACCTTTGAAGGGAAGGCTGATTTGACGGTGCACATTCTGTACAGGTCTATGCTCGCTTCGATCTGAAGACGTTCCTCGGGGAATGCGAGCATGGAGTTGGGAGATAGCTCGATCCGGAAGCCGCTAGCTCGTGATGTATGCCCCGTTCTTCGTCCCAATTGCCTACCCTATCATCATCAAATTTTTAGCATCCTCCTTTCTTTCGTCGTTGTTTTCCGTTCGGTGTGCTGTGCTTGCCCAGTCCTGTTCTCCACTCGCATTTCCCCTACATCGTTTCCTGTGCAATCCATCCCGTTCCAAGTCTGATCTCCGACGGGTCCAGACCCGACGGTCCTCCGCTGCCCATACAAGTTGTGGTGTGGAAAGAAACCCAAAGTATATGCTTGACATTTCCCGACCCAACCCTCCCTCTACATCCTCTTACTACAAAGATCCACACCTCTACAGCGCCTCATAATCCGAGTCCGCTCAATCGTATTGCGCTCGGATACTGCGATCGCGCGAAACCAACACACACACACACGCACATACACTGGTCAGTCTATAGCGTCCCTGAATATTTGGGGGGGGGGGGGGACGGGGGTCAAGTACGTACTCCTTCCATTGTTTACCCTTGTTGTGGTTGTCCCACCACTTTTGGGTCGCGACGTCGAAACCCATCGAGAAGGCGAACGCACCTGGTGACGAGACCGCGACCGAACGTGGTAGATCGGTGTAAGATGATAAAAGTTGAGTAGGATGTACGGTGGGTGGGTTGGGGTGTTGATGAACGACCAGGGCGGGGGGGGGGGGGGGGGGGGGCGAAAGGAGACGAGGAGGAGGAACGGGCGGAGTCGGGCATCAGCCACGAGAGCGTCCGAAGAGGAAGGATCGATAGGAGGTCCAGGGAGGGAGAGGTACAGAGGGTAGCGGCATCAGTGAGAGAGCGTCTCAAAGTACATCATCTGGTGTTGGTCGCGCCGGACTGACCAAAGAAGACGGTGCCGACAAAGACCGAGTTGCGGCTGAAGACGCGCGTGAGGCTTGATGTCTGTTGAGGATCGACAGACCGTCGGCAGATCGTTAGTCCAACGAGGTCTGGCCACAGAAGGGGTGTGTGCGGAGGTGCTTACGATGGCCATTGCGGTTTGAGGGTGGTGAGCGGGTGCAGGGACGGGGACGGAAGTGTGGGAGAGCCGGGCGAGGCGCGGGTGGGTGCGAAATGATGGGCCATACCGAGCTATACAGGGGAGGACTGCACAGTTAGCTTGGGTCTATGCGGACTAATGCTTAATTCGGGGCTGGGCTAACCACCGAGCAGGCTGAAGGTCGGATCACTAGTCCATGCTCGTGTGATTCGCTCAAAAAAGGATGCACACGTGTACATCAATGCACCGTGATGCACCCGTATGCACCGCCTGCCAGGACTCTCATTTATTCACCCCCTTGCACAACCATGATGTACTCGAAACAACCAAATTACTATTCTGTGGCCTTCGACCGCTGAGCAGCTGAGCAACCGGCCGATTTACCTCTGAACGGGGGTAGTGCTCACTTCTCGTTTCCCAAGTGTTTCCCTTTATGATTTATAGTTTCGAGTACTTTGCTTTGATGCGCATGCACCTGAAATGGAAAGGCGCACTCATCGACGACGGTCATGTCGTTTGAAGAAAACCTTTCGCGGTGAAGATAGATGATCATCGTGTTACAACATCGTTTGAGAATCAGCATCATCATCATCACAATCATCAGAATTCTCGCCAGGAATGATTCTCGTCAGATATGCTCATACCTCGTACATGTGCATCCCAATCGTTCTCAAGACCTCGTTGCCCCTACAGACGAAGTACCGAGCCTCACGTGGTCCCCACGACGCCCATCAACGCGCCCTGTAACTGCTGTTGCCTCGTCGACTCCTCCATCTTATAACTATTCATCAAAGTCCTCACATTCTGTACGATCTCATGCGCCTGCTTGACGCTCTCCGCTTCGAAATCGTACCTCTTCTCCACGCGATCTTTTTGGACGACGATCTTGAAGGCGAGGTTCGAACGACGACTGGTTTGACAGGCTCGGAGCATCGAAATGTGGAAGGAGGTGGTGCGGCCGGCGGAGAATACGTCACCTCGCGAGTCGGAGGGAAGGAAGTGGATGCTGGTAGGGTGAAAGACGCACAGGATTCGATGGTCAAGAAGGAATTAGCTCTCCTGGCACGTGGCCCGACCCTGCGGACTCATAGACAGAAGAAAGGACTGACTAGTCTCCATCGATCGCGATGATTCGTGGATGTCGACCCAAGACTCCCAACTTGCGCATTACGTTGTACCTACGATACGTCGCCGCCAACTCGGAAGCGGACTGGTACGCGTCTTGACCCGGTCGTCGGAACAGCGAAGCTGGAAAAGACGCCCACAATGAGATGAGCAGACAATCCTCCGGCAAGCATCCAATCGCTACCTTACGATACTCACCACTCGGGTTCATCTCCCCCACCAGCGGCGTATTAATCTGACCCGCGCCTCTCAATCCACCAATCTCGGTTCTTCGCACCAACTTGAGCTCATGGTTATCACCCAGACTTTCGACCATACGATCGAGAGGGACGATGATCTCGGAGCCGCGGTGGCGGACGGTGAAGGCCCATTCGCGTGCGTTCTCGAGGTTGCGCTTCTTGCAGACGTGTTCTGCGGATGGTAGTGAAAGGGTGGGGAAATAATGATCAGAGGGAGCGGACTACGCACTAGACTGGAGGAAGATTAGGACTGACCGAGCACGTCGTTCATATACATATCGCCAGGCACATTGATGGTCGTATTAATCGACTCGACGCCCTGCCCTGGTGCAGCAGGTAAACGGATGCGCAACAAGACCCCAATTGCGAGCGTCGACGAGACACCCGCGGTCGCGCTCAGTTGGGGTCCGCTCAGCGGCGACATGGGGACGACCTGGTGCCCTTGCTGTAGAGCGAGCATGTTCGTGGGACCTTTCGGAGCCGCCATGTTTGGATTGGCGAGTATGCGGGACGGTCTTCGGGTGATAGTGGCTTGTTTGGCGAGGTTGTCTTTGACTATGAAAAGTGCACAACGAGAGGGTCAGGAGGGTCAGCTACAAGCAAGATCAAACTTGGTCCTGAGTAGGCTCCGGACTCACCCTGATTCCCAGTAGCTTTGACGATCGCAAACTCCCCAAACGAGAACTTGGACACCGCTCTAGTCCGATCGAGGGCTGTGAAGATCCAATCTCAAGTGTAAGCTTCACCCATCTCACCCTGAAATTGACCCTGCCAACACCGAGTCTCGAAAAGAATGAAAACTCACCAGGGAAGTCCTCATCCACCTCCCCATCCTCTTCCACAATCCTTAAATTCCACCGAATCGTCTCTTCCTCTTCGCCTTCCTCCTCAACTTCCAACTTGGGCTCCCTCCCTTCCTCCCAATAAGCCCACAAGCCCGCTCCGATCACTTCTTCTACCGTCAAATCCTTCTTGACCCCGATTTTGAGCGGTGTGCTCGGTTTGTCCGAATCGGGGAAATAGAGGGACAACTTGAGCGCGTCCGAGGCGCGAGAGATGAGAGCTGCGTATATTCGTGAGAAAGGGTTGGAACCCGATCCGGAACCGGAGGTCGCGCCGAGTAGAGCGGTCAAATTCGATCGCGCGGGTGGTGCGGACGCCGCAGCGGTTGAAGAAGAGGATTGAGAAGGCAAAGGTCGTTTACCGAATGTGATCCCTGTCGAGGGTTGTCGAATCGGCTGCGCCCGACGGTTCGCAGAAGGACTCAATCTGGGATTGGCCTCGGTCGCGGCGATGATGGGTGACGAAGCCGCAGAAGCGGGTTTTGATGCCAGAGCTGTATCGATCTTGAGTGAAGGTGGACCGGAACCCCGACGCTGTACGATCGTAGGTGATACATTGAGACTGCCTTCCTTCCTTGTGTCAACTGGAGATGTCGATTCTGGAACCTCGAGGACGGGCAGTTTGGACTTCTCGTCAGATTCTGGGACTGCGATTACTGGGGCCACCGAAGCCGCCGTCGGTGGATCCTCTTCGTGCACTGGTTCAGCCATGGGCACAAAGACCCTGCCGCTGATGTTGACCCTTCTTCGTTCCCTCGGGGCCTTCATGAACCTCGCAGGAATGACGAATTGCGGTGGTGGACCAGGCGCTGGATTCTCCGCTCCGGGTGTGGGTGTGGGTGACAACGGAACAGGGGCGGGAGCGGTGGGGGAACTCGGGTAGGGTGAGCGGGGAGGCGGCGGCGGCGAGATCGGCGGGATCACCTGGGAGAAAGTATCGGCCTTGTTGAAGTCGTGCATGGCAGGTGTCTCAGGTGGAGCCGGTGAAGGGAACGACGAGTCGCTATCACTTCGATCTCTAGGCCCGAGGATCCCGTCGTTCGAGCCCAACCTCGAGGTACCAAAGAGTGAAACACCCGAGCTGGCGACACTCGCGTTGCGCGGTCCCGTCGAAGACAACGAGAGGTCGCCCACCGACTCGGATCCAGCATCCTCCAGGGAAGGGACGAGTGCCGTCTCGCTCGTCGACTGAAGATGGGGTGCGTCGACTTGCTGGAGATCGCCGCCCGAATCGGCCAGCTCGTCGATGGCGAACCTCGTTACCCGTATCGGGCTGGGTAGATCGGCTTCGACCCCAGGAGGGCTGGCAATACGATCGGATTCCGGCGAAGCAGGAGCGATGTGCGACAATTGAGAACTGTAGACCTGATCAGGATGAGCGGGGACCAAGATTTGACCGGAAAGGGACGATTCGGAATGGCGATTCGTCCTTGAGCCGTAAGGGGTGGCTACAGGGGAGTGGATCACGACGGGTGGTGGTGAGGCTTGTTGCTGGGGATGGGTAGGGTTGTGCAAGGTGTTTTCTTCGAGCCTGCGTCGGTGGAGGGAGGCTTCAAGAGAACGGCTTCGTCTGCTCCGAAGATCCGGTCGGGGATGGTCAGCAGATGCAGCCGCACGGAACAAAAGCATTTGCAACTCGCCTCAGACTATGAGCTCCGACCGTGTCGACCAGGTCCACCGAATCGTCACCCTTGTCGATAGGTTCCATCGGCGCGACCTGAGTCGTTGCTCTCCTACCTCGAGTCGAACGCTGCCTGCCACCCACGCTCATCCCCGGTCCTGTGCCCGCTCCAGACTTCCCATAAATAGTCTCCTTGTAGTTCAGGCCCGTTGCGCCTCTTCGTCTCGAGTCGTTCCCCATCCCCATTTCGCCGGATTCGGGACTATGGACCGCACTCGCCGCGGCGGATCTAGCCAAGGTCGAAGCGAGTGGGGGGCTCGATCTCCCGTTCGACAATTCGGGCCAGAGCGCATGGTCATGGGTCCTCGAAGCGACGATGTAGGGTGAGGTCTGGAGCGTGGTGGGGTCGAAGGCTATGAGGTTGTAGGACCCTGTACCGGGGATCGAGGAGGCATGTGGCGCGTGCGCGGGCAGGACATGGCGTAGGTACGATAGTCGCAGGGCATGGATGAAGTAGCTGATTCGCGGTAGGCGTGAGAAAGGGAGTGAGCTTGATGGTCAGACGTGCACGGTACAATGGCATGGGATGGACCCACTCTTGATCAGCGACGAGGGACATGATGTCCGTCGACGGTGTACAGTCGCGCGTGCTTTGGCCCGAGAGTGTTGTGTGCTGTACAATCGATCTCTTTGCACGTGATGAGCCCCCGATCAGCTGTCGATCCGAGTAAGCACCATGGTGGAGTGCGCTCCCGGGTTAGGAGCCAGCCGAAAGAGGAGGTCATTGGGGCGCGCCTCGAGCGCGAGCGGCCACGAGCGGGGGAGAAGAGGTCCGTGCGCGACAGAACCCGCGAAACAAAAATCACGCGGCTCGCCCGCCCGCCCGCCCGCCCCGTCGCTTCGTCCTCTGTGCTCCACCGATCCATCCCCCTCTACACCCGATCATGGTCAGTGCTCACGAGCTTCTCCAACGCCGGCAGCCGCACCACGCTAACACGCCACTGTACCCCGCCAGCGCCCCATCCTGTTGTCTGGTCACGAGCGATCCTTGACGCGTGCGTAATACCCCCGTACACTCACCCGCCACCTCCACCTTGAGCCCAACTAAGCTCCCACCTCTTCACGCCCAACAGAGGTCAAGTACAACGCCGAGGGCGACCTGCTCTTCTCGGCGTCCAAGGACCACATCATCAACCTGTGGCACTCGCACAACGGCGAGCGCCTCGGCACCTACGAAGGCCACAACGGAACCGTATGGACCATCGACGCCGACTGTTAGTGTTCTTCGCCACGTTCTCTTTCTGATGTCGGATGTCCTGGGCAGTCTGGGGGATCATGCGCGAAGCAGCGGAAGAGGAGCTGGACCACCCCGACGAGACGACGACCTGCGAAGCTCTCGACAGAGCGGCCAAGCAGGCAGTGCCATCCCATAGGGGAATGAACCCAGCTGGGGCGGGAGATCAACGGAGCAGTCAATCCAGAGGAATCAGCTTGGGCATGTCCCTGTTGCGAGGTCGAGGCGGGATGGCTAGAGCACGGCGCATGGAAGGGGGAACGGGAATAAGACGGTCGGGGTGGTGGTGGTTCGACTCAGCGCACGTTGACTGTGTGCACTCGTGCTCTCCGACATTACATAATTACTTGCTACGTGAATCTGAACTGACACTTTAAATACCTTTCTCTTCAACAGCCACCTCAACCTACCTCATCTCCGGCTCCGCCGACAACAACCTCAAGCTGTGGGACGTGCGAACAGGAACATGTCTGTACACGTGGGAATTTCCGACCGCGGTCAAGCGCGTTATGTGGTCCGAGGACGACTCCAAGATTCTCGCCGTGACCGAGCAACGCATGGGCTTCAAAGGTGCCGTGCGAGTGTTCGAGATTAACCGCGACGACCCGACCAAGCAGTCCGTCGAACCCTTGTTCCAGATCGAATCGACCGGTTCAAAGGCGACCGTCGCGGCGTGGTGCGCATTGGACCAGTATATCGTCACCGGTCACGAGAATGGTTACCTCAACCTGTGGGACATGGACGGAGAACTTTTTTACGAAAAGGAGGACCGCGCCCACAACGACCTCATCACGGATTTGCAAATGGCGCCCGACGGGACCTACTTCATCACCTCGTCCAAGGACAAGTCGGCCAAGATCTGGTCGATTGGGCCGGACAAGAACTCACACGGCGACGAGGACTACCTCACCTTGATCAAGACCTTCACCGGTGAACCGCCTTTGAACTCGGCCGCCATCTTGCCGGGGAAACCTTATGCGCTTCTCGGTGGTGGTCAGGAGGCCATGGCCGTCACAACGACGGGTGCGCGGCATGGTCATTTCGAAGTCCGTTTCTGGCACCTCGTCTTTGAGGAGGAGGTTGCGCGCGTCAAGGGTGGGTTCGGGCCTTGCAACACCATCGCCGTGCACCCGCAGACCAAGGGTTACGCGATCGGCGGCGAGGACGGTTATGTTCGAGTTCATCAGTGAGTACCATGCATCAATGTTCTTGTTTGGGCTTCGAGTTCAGCATCCTGATCACTTGGTTGTTCCCCGTCCTACAGCTTCGATGACGACTTCTTCGCAGCCAAGCCGTACGGCGCCTCCCTCGAGCCAGAGGATTGAGCGTAGTAACCATTTAGGGGCATTCTTGCAATTTCACATGCTGTACCAACGGATAAAGTCCATCAGGCGCGCTCGACGTTCGATTGTATCCATTAGATGATATCACACCGTCTGCTCTGCAGCTTCCTTCTGATTCCGTGAAGATTCGAGTCGACCAGAAACACCAAACGACTCGAACTCTTCCCCAGTCACGAGCCAAGCCTCAAGTGGGGCCTCCACCGAACGAACGGCTTGCTTGACCGATTGGTACGAAGTCGCAAGCTCGGAACGTTTGATTTGATGATACGTAAAGGAACTGCAACCGTTGTCGAGGGATCAGTTCCAGTCCGATGCGTCTCGACGAAAACTCTACCAGGTTCTGAATCCATAACACTTACCTGGGCCAAGCGACTCCAACTATCGGCGCGAGCTCCGCACACCGTTGCATCAATCTAAGTTTTGAGATTCGGGAGCTATGATCGCCGCAGCTTGTGAGTCACTGCTAGCATCGAGACCAGAGCTAGAGGAGTAATAAAGACTTACCTCGTCTTGGGGCTCAGCGGTTCCCCCGGATTGCGTTTCAGTTTCCCACCCATTCGAGTCCCGTTGCAAACAATCTCGATACCTTCATCCAAGATGTACGAAACATCTGCGTGTCGAATGATCCCATCAAGTCGAGGGGTTAGACAGCGACAGGGCGATAGGAAACAGCCGAGCAAAACAAAAACAGTACTCACTCTCAGCAGCCGACACGACCTCCCTCGGCCCTTGAATCGCACTACGATCATTTTCGAAAACAGCATCGCAAAATCCAACCTCCGGAATTATCGAACGCCATCCATTCAAACTCCAATCGCCTATCCGTCCACCGACAGCCCTTCTCACTTCTTTCTCAACTCTACCACGCTCATCCCTCGGGACCGCTCCTCCCACCACAAGCATCGAGACGATAATCCTATCCATCCCCAGCGCAGCGAGTAATCCACCCTGTACACCAACCAATGACCACATCGCGAGTTTGTCCGAACACGAATGCGAGGTCGTAGGAGGAGAATCCAGTCGGCCCGGTTTGGTCCTCAGCGTTCCAGGAGGTGCCGAGTATCCGACTCGACCTCTTCGAGGTATAGCGGAGTCGTCATTCGTAGAGTTGCGGGATGTTTCCATACCTAATGAGGCGGCGATGATGGAACTTTCGAGTAAGGGGGGAGGCTTGGGGACGTGCTGAGGTGTGGTGAACGGCTCAAGTGGGGGTGAAGGTGGGGCGAGCAGAGCGAGCGAGTAGGTTGAGGCATCTCCGCCTGTATGAGTAACGCAGAACGTCAGAAGAGATATATCAAAATTCGAAGGAATTATGTTTGAACTTACATGGTAGCGTACTAACGTACATGCCCAACCTCAGCTCGTCCTTGAGCTTCCACCGCCCATTGCTCCCCCGGACAAGACAGCTCGACGTCGGGTCCACCACACCTAGAGCCACGTCGAGCTGTGCCACCAAAAAGCGTAGCAGTCCTCTTCGAGCGATGATCTCGCCATGCGAATCGTGAAGTACGTCCCCGTGGCGAGGTAACTTGTTGTAAGGAAGCACCTTGACGCCCGTTCTGTCAGTCCGCGGTGCACACTAAGAGTGAGCTACGCACTCCCTGTGACTTCGCGTGAGAGCCAGCCCCTCGAAACTCACCCAAGCGAAACACAACGATACAGACTCAGGTCGGACCTCTCGCCTTGCTCACTCGGGTAAAGGCAGAACCCGGCGAGGACGGTCCATTCGCGAGCTCCGTTCGTCCTCGTGCGAGGTTTGCCTTTGGGAGGCAACGCATGGTAAGTGTCGAGCACGACTCGGGCGATGTTTTCCGTGAGAGAGAACAGGAGCGGCGATGCGCTCATGGGTGTGTAAGTAGCCATTCATCTCGTAGCCGATCGTCGAGGGCCCAATCGTGGGGGAAAACCGAAGTGGCAAAGCAGGAGGCAATGAGGCGCGCGAGAGAGCCAAGCGGGGTCTTGCCCAACTCTCTTCAATTTTCTCACAGATGCACCTTCTACACGTGTACATGTGACGATATATTTGTTGACAACAGGTATGCTACTGGTGCGCTAGTACATTTGCGTAAGATTCAATCCTCGTTCTCTTCCGACTCCTTGATGGGCGATGGGACGACCACCCTCAGGCTCGACGTGCCTCCTGCTCCTTCCCAAACTTGCAGGACCCAACGAGCCGTTCTTTTCCAACGGAGATTTGGGCGTCCCAGAACGCGTCGCACAAAATTCATCACCTGGCGACTCGAGCTCATCCGAATCATGGATCGTCCATCCGGCGACTTCGATCCGACCATCCGCTTCAAGGAATATGCGACGTCAACCCAACATTCGTCTCCACTGGATTTCTGGTCCCGCTCGCACCGTTCGTACACCGTCCTCTCGATTAGCACTAGGAATCGTGGACTGTCGAGTCTGACTCCTGGCCTTGAAGACGAAGAGCGCCTCCTTTGGTCGGCCCGGCAAGCCTTGTATGGATCGCATGAGCGATAAGACCCCTGCTGGGAAACCGCAAATCGCGAACGTCCACATCATCGATATTACCGCGATACTGAACGCGTACCCATTCAAGACCACGAGCCTCGTGGCAAAGACGAGGAAGAAGGTCGTCGCGGTGAAGATGGTGCCGATCGCGGTGACGCAGACGCACGTCAGGAGCGCGTTCCAAAAGGCGCTGCGGATCGCACAGTTTCGATGAATTGGGTCCGACTCTGAAAGCTTTTCCTCGTCGACTTTCCGAAACTCGCCGCGCAAGAAGGCGAAGTAGCGACCGGCGATGACGCAGAGGATCTAATCGAGGAGGTACTGATGTGAGTTCCCCATGGGGCCTTCCAGTGTGTCAACCCAAGGGGACTCACAACGTAGATGTAGGCGGTGCCAATCATCCAGACGATCCACACGGCGCAAAAGGGTCGATGAAATGCGCATATCCATCGAGAATGGACTGTATTGTAGGTGTCGAAGCCCGCAGCATAATGGCAGCTTGAGTTCGAGGAGGGTCTTGGTCTGAGCATACGCCAACGCGCTGAGTCGTAGCCCCTCGGTCGTGCGATACACGCGCTCGTAATGCGAGTCGGCGAAAACACTGGGCCCAATGACGATCGGGATAACGGCCAAGAGAGCGCAAAAGTGGACGTTGAGGACCCTCGGCGACGTGCTCCAGTGGGGTCTTTGGCTGTGCGCAAACACGCTTTGGGCCACGTAAAGAGACCACGACTGAAGACACATATGCGGTCAGCTCCTATTCGTGCTCAGGGCAGAACGTGTGCACTCCTCGACTTACCAAGCACCATACCGAGAGGTAGGATGGGATGAAAGGCAACAATTGCCACAGAGTAAAATGGGCAACATAGCGCCCTTTCGCATGCAGCGTCCCTACCCACATCATTGCTTGACAAGCTGTGATGCGACACGACGGAACAGGACTTAGAACGGGGTTAGACCTTCGCGCCGCCTGCTCAAGTGCTTCGTGATCCCGGGCACGGCTCACCCAGGAGGAAGAAAGCGGACGCGATCTGCAATGACACTGCAAAGTGTGGTGTGATATAGTCACCCGCAGGCGTATTTGTCCACCTGAAAATCCAAAACCCCGAGGGCACCCGCATTCGTACGAGTAGCGAGGCGACGAAGAGCATCGTTTCGCTGTCGGTGAACGGATTGATTGCCGCCAATAGCACTCGTCAGCTCGAACAAATACCGATCGGCGATAGCATGCGATGCGACACTCACAACGCGAATACCCCTAAGATGACTTTGAGCTGTATTGCATATGTTGATGGCATCTCTGCACGGGGAATTTCAAAGGTTCGGGATCAGTGACTCGTCCGACAGAACAAAGGAGGGCCGAGGAGTGGAGGGCGGAGGCCGATCCTGGCGCTTAGCTTCTTCCCCAGGCCGGAGGGAGTACTGAGGGAGTCACTCACCAGCATAGAACCAGCGATGGGCAAAGTCGGCTACGAGTGAGAACAGGTCGTCGGTCGCGGCATTACTAATGATCTTGTCGAGGATGATGGTCGCGTTGAGGCCAAACCTTGCAACGTCGTAGTACGGCAGGAAGGTCCCAGGAGTTTGCATTGAAGGAGGGACGACGAGCGAGGCTCCGCGCGTAACCGATCGGGCGGAGTGTTTGGGAAGCTTTGGCCTCCAGAAGCCGCACTGTAGGCCCCCCACCAATCACTCGCCGCTGGAGCTTTGATAGCGATGGGATCAGAGGGGAGGGGAGGGGGGGAGAGGGGAGGACCTGGCTTCGGAATGGAGGTCAATACTTGCAAGAGAGCAAGATCACGAGTTAATGTCGCGGTCGAGAGCCACCGGTGTAGGTAGTCGGCGCGGGCGCGTCGCAGGCGCTAAAATGAGACCCAACGACAGCTACTCTCCGAGTTCGGAGTCCGAGAGAGACGGAACTTGTTGCTGAGGCTCCTGATCGGCAACGCGCAAGGCCGAGGTGATGGCGAGGTACCTAAGATACCCTAGGAGTAGGAGAGGCCGAGAGTTCTCAGTGACGACAGACAAGTATAAAGGCGAGAGAGGTTCAAGGCGTTGCAGGTAGTGGTGTGTAGCGGCGGTCTTGGTGAGCCGAAGTCCAACCACTGTCCAACCCCGGTCCGGCTGAAAAATCAGGGCGCGACTAACTCCGATCCTCCGCCTTCCTCTTCGAGTCATGCGGGTGCTAGGAGTGGCATTGATACTGATGACTTTTTTCTATTTTCTTGTGCGCGGATGAGCGCCAAATTGTACTACTAGTATTCGGGGAAAGAATGTGCCTGAGTGGGGTGCCACGTTACGACGCATGCACATGGCCCTGGAAAATGGTATGCTTACACCCTATTAGAGAGTTCACTTGGGAGGTGGTGCAACTTTTAGCCATAATACTCCCGTCCCAGGGGACAGGGTGTGGTCCAGATCGTATGGCTTGCAGGTTACGTGCCCGAAAATTCGCGTCCTCGAGAGCCAGGCTCAGGGAGGCTTTTCTTACTACTTGACCCTTCATGCCCTGCAAAGAATTCCACGGGAAAAAAAATTATAATTAGAAACCTACAATTCCACGCTTTCCCGAACCTTCAATATGACCCAAGCATGGATGATCCCTGCATGGTTTGCTTTCAAGTACCCTATAAGGCTGGATGCAGTGAGCCGGACTCGTCGGTCACGGTGTCTGTAAATGGTAAGTTGCTTGTTTGCTAATCGTTGCACGAAACCAGTGGGATCCCGTTAAATTAACGGGAATATGATTCCAAATAGCAGGAGAATTGAACGGTATAATGACGAAAGACAGCAGAGAAACTATTTTTCACTCATCGCGGCCAAGACTTGGCGAGGCTGCGATGGCCCTGCCTGGCGACCTTAGGATCGGAGCATATTGGCGAGGGTTTCTCCCTGAATGAGTGTCACAAAGTTTGATGAGAGTGGGAGAGAAAAAGAAAAGGTTAGAGGGAGTGGCGCGGGTTTGTTCACGGGGTGTGATTTGTTGTTCAGCCCCTAATGCCGCTGGTCGGCTGCCGGAATGACACTGACACCGCTGGGGCGCCGCATCACGTGACAGACGCCAGCCCTCGCCCCGTCCGTCACGCGGAGCTCTGCGGTAGAAGCATTGTCATACAAAGCCACGCGCTCGCCGTCCATTAAATACAATATAAGTGTTCTCACTGTTTTACCTCAACGAAAAAGTGAAGGAAACTACTGGGAACGCTGTAGCTTCGTTCGACTGGCGCGAAAAATACAAAAGGTGCCACAGAGCTTGTACATGACTTCTGATCGGAACATGAACACCACGGGCAGGTGCGGCAGACACAACAGTATGCTGGTACATCCACCACAGGCGGCCCTCCGGGCCGCCACCTAGTTAAAATCAGTGATTTTAGGTACCATTCCTTAACTCACCTTTTTATATATATAGAGGTAGTAACGTCATCCGCTTCCAGCCCGGATCCGATCGCCCTACGAAACGCGGCTTTTAGCTGTCTCACCAGAGGGGTAGGTACCACACTGCTCACTATCTACATCAACATAAAAGAATGCATCGGTATTCAAGGTCTTCCTAACGGTATTTTAGGTCTTCCTAAGTATCTTAGGTCTTCCTAAAATACCGATAAAAGTCTTGGAAAAGAGTGCCTGTGAGGTATAAAGTGTTGGACAGACCTCAGACTTCGGAAGACGATCCGGGGCATTCGGACCGCCTGATGTTTGCGATGCAGAACTTGCACTCTACGCAGTCCTCGCATTCTTCCACGTTTTGTGACAGTAAGACATTTTCTCGTTAGATTTTGTACCTTTCGACGAGTGAAGGAAGGGTCGGTAATCCCTAAACTTAAGTCGAGCCCCTTCCTCACGCCGAGCGTCGACGATCGGGCTCGAGACGGGGCCCGTGCGCGTTTCGCAAGGCCGGCGAAGCAGCATCGTCACCGCGACTCGCGCAAAAGGTATCTGACTCCGCTCGTCGCACCACCTCGTGAGGCAGTACAGCAGCGAGAAATCTCTCGGGCTCTGTACGTGCTCGCCCAAAACGCCGTCGGCCACCTCTGCAAGATCCGGTGCAGCGCTAGGTCTGCTCGCCAGCTCGCAGCAGCACCTTACCCGGGGGCGATTGAGCGCTGCAACCAGCAGGAACGTAGTACCTTCATTCGCTACTTCCTCCAGAAGCGCCCGTTCATGGTTCGGGAGCCGTTCATGGTCGTCGATCAAACCAAGCATGTCGAACAATGCTCGCTACTTGTTGTCGATGCTCTCAACCTCGAGCTCGGATTCTCGGCCAGCTCTGCTCGTCACCTTCGAATCGCATCGTTACCTCTTCAACACCCCAGAGTCAATTTCGAGAGTCTGCGTCCAGAACAGGATCGGGCTGAAAAGGGTGGGGCACGTCTTTGCCGGCGATCTGAGCGAAAGCACCGGGCTCCCAGGTTTCATCCTAAGTGCTGTCGAAACGGGCAATCACGAGATCCAAGTCGTCGGTCCTCCGGGAATTGATCATCTGTTGGCAAGCTATCGCTTCTTCACGCGAAGGTGAGCGGAAGAGCTGTTAGGTAGGGTTTTGCTGTCCAGTTGCTGATATGGACGTCTGGCACTTCCAAATTCTCAGAGAAAAGCTCTCGCTCAAGGTCTCTGCGATTCACGCGTCTTCATCCACGGTTCCACCGCTGCTCGTCTTCAAGGACTTGAATATGACCGTCTTCGCTGTTCCTTTGACACCGAAGTTCACATCTTCACCTAGCACAAGAACGTTGGCCTCCACAAAACGGCGGCGCTCCCCTTCGTCCTCTCCGCCGCAGCGGCCAAAATCTCCGCCAGCTCTGGCTTCGAGTTGCACTGAGGAGGACCCGAGCACATCCACTTCCACTGCCCTCTCTTTCGATCCGGAGGTTCCCAGCTTCAATCCGGCCCTCTTGTGTGGCGAAGCGGCGTCGCAATGGCGTACCTTGGTGCTCAACGACATGTTTCGCGGGCGCAAATTCGTCCCAGAAGCTACACCTACCCAGCCTTCGTTGCCGACCCACCTCAAGGTCGGGCCTTACCGCCAAACACCGGCTTATTCAACTTCTCGGTTGCCACATCCCGACGAATCGGCGTTCTCTGGTACCGTACTCAGTTATGTGGCGGTTGGGCCAGGCTCCAGGGGAAGGTTCTTGCCCGAGGAAGCACGCAAACGGGGTGTGCCACCGGGCGAAGCGTACAAGAAGCTCATCGAAGGACAGAAGGTATGGGTTTTGAAGCCACAGAAGGTGGTAGCTGCCTCGGCAGATGAGATTCCGCGACCCAAGGAAACGAGGAAGGAGCGGGCAAAGCGCACGGCCGATGAACGCGCGCGATTGGCCGCAATCGTGGATGGCGAGGGGAACGGGATGTGGGTCGAGCCGAGCGATTGCTTAGGGCCAGGGCAGGCCCCTTCGACTTTCCTTGTACTCAATATCCCCTCGCCAAACTACCTCGACGCCCTGCTCGAGCACCCACCGAGCCATTTCACCCAGGTCTCGCCGGACAGCACGTTCAGGACGATCTTCTACTTTCTTGGACCGAACGTGCTGCAAGATGCCCGGCTCGACAAGTTCGTGTCAAGCTTTTCAACGGACTCCGGGATTGCCCATCGAATTGCTTCGCCCGACGTAGCCTCGAACAATCCCGTCACCTTCGTCGCCTCGGCACTCTTGAGCTTCCGGCTGTCGTACCTCGACAAGCACATCTTCCGCCTCCCTCAATACACGTATCTTCCCGCGGACGCCAGCCCAAAGGTGCTCTCGGATTCGACCCGGTCACAGTCCAGCGTCACCCTCTTACGGACGAATGACACCTTTTCCGAAACACACGAGCTCGTGGTAGCGAAAGGCGTCCCCTTCCGGACATTCGACTTCGACATCCCATCGTCGGCCGCCGATATCGAGGTCGCGAGGCTCAAGGGGGACGAGAAACCGCAGAACGTGCAGGATGCAGCACAAGCGGCTTGGAAGGCCTACGAAGCTGCGGCCAAGGACGTGCGGCAAGCGGTCGAGCAGGAGACTGCGAAGAGGGGATCGTCGTCCTCGGACGCGCACGGCGATCTGTGCGTAACAGCACTGGGGACAGGGAGTGCGATCCCGAGCAAGTACCGCAACGTCAGCGCCACGCTGTTGCACCTTCCCGGAGACGAAGGCTACATCCTCCTCGACGCTGGTGAGGGTACTTGGGGCCAAATCGCGCGGTGCTTTGGCGACGACCCTAAGGAAGGGAAGGAAAAGGTGCTGCGCTCGATCAAAATGATCTTCATTTCGCACTTGCATCAAGACCACCATGCCGGCTTGACGACCTTGTTGCGCGAACGCGCAGTGGTGAGTCGGAGAACGTCCATCGCCCAGATTCTTCGGTGAAACTAAAACAGTCTCGTGTTCCTTCATTGACAGCTGTTCCCAAGCCCAGAACAACCGCTCGTCATAGTCGGCCCACCTGGAGTTCGGGTCTACCTCAAAGAGCAGCAAGAACTATTTGATCTTGGGCTATCAGCTAGTTCGTCGGCGCCAATTCGGTTCATCGATTCGACAGCCTTGGAGGCTGGGAAGAAACTAAACGAATCTGACACGAGGTAAGTACATGTCCGGTCGAACGCCGTTCGTGGTCTTAGTGAGTCTGACCCACCAGTACTCTGCATCTCTCGCGCTCAGGCGATCGGTTGTGCAAGATTTATATTCCTTGACCGGCCTCAAGTCCGTCACCACGGTGCCGGTATTGCATCGTTGCCGATGCTGGGGTGTCGTCATCACCCATACCTCGGGGTGGAGAGCCGTGTTCTCCGGAGACACTATGCCATGCGAGGCCCTTGTCGTCGCTGGACAAGGCGCTTCCTTGCTCATCCACGAAGCGACAATCGAGGATGGGCTCGAAGAGCTGGCTCGTATTAAGGGGCACAGCACCTTCGGCCAAGCCATCGACATCGCGCGCAGAATGAAGGCCAAGCACCTCCTCTTGACCCACTTTTCGGCGCGGTACCCCAAGTTGCCCCCGCTGTCCTTGAATCGACCACCAGCATCGGACGGGACGGAAGGTACACCGATTGAACCTGTCGTAGCGATCGCGTTCGACATGTCGAAGATGCGTTTGGACGACTTTTGGAAGTTCGAGAGGTACCGCGATGCGATGGATGTCTTACTTGGATGGGACGAGGCGACCGAGGATGACAAGCTCGACGATGGCTCCACCGTGGTAAACGCTGCCACCATCACCGACATGTCATGATTTGGCCAGTGTTCGCTCGCAATGCAAGGGCTCCTATAGAACAACATAACATAAACTGCATCCTCGAGCATTCCGCGAGGCCCGGAACCGCGCTATCTGAAAACCCATGATAATCACAGCCACGAAAACGGAAGGAGAGAAGGGGGAAGAAGGCCCCGATTAAACTAAAGTACTGCTGTGAAACAAAGTTGGGGACGAGGAAACGGAGGAATACAAATGTGAGGTACATGTATCGTCCGCGATCACTTCCGCAAAGCTGGTGCCACTCTCCGGCCGAGGTTGTGATCGGCGCATCGACTGGGTTTACGGAAGTCGAGAATCTGCCCTTGATTGAGCAACCGATAGTGCTTGCAGCCACCTGTCGAGTTCGGCATCGGGCTTTTTGTACTTCATCGTCGGTGATCCCAATGGCGGCGGCGAAGGTGATGAGCTCACGCTTGAGAAGGCCGGCGAATTGGGCGCGAGGATAGGAGCGACCGAGACGGGCGACGTGGGCGAGGCGAGTTTCGAGGTGTAGGCCTTGCGGGACGGCAACATGCGAGCAGCGAGCACTTCGGCTTCTGTGACGGCTCGTGATAGTGGCGAATGTATCCCTGGACTGTGAGGTGGGCTCATCATTCCGGTTGTAATTGTGGAGGACGACGAGGAAGAGCGACGAGACATCGTGAGATCGCGCGCCGGGCCTAAATTTCTCGACGAGATGGAGCAGCCCAACCTCGATGGGACCTCATGTACGAGTGGTCCAAGGCTCGAAGATGACGCTGAAGGGCTAGGCCTATGCTTGGTGCGAGAAGATAAACTTGAGGCGGTGTAGGTGTGCAAGGGACGTGCGGTCGTCTGGAAGGCTCGCGTGGTGATTTCCAGGCGCGGAGGTCTCGGGACCTCGAGCGGCAGCGCATAGGAGAGCATCGCAGGTGACACACAGAGGTCGTACTCGGTCGCGGCGCGAGGACGTCCAGACGAGGACCGGGCCGGGGTGATCATGTCTTCCATAATGTAGGGATGATAGAAAGGTGAGATGACGGCCATCTGACTTGGCGTGATTAATAGTTTAAGCTGGTGGGAAGCCAGTCGAGCGACCCGCGACGTCGTAGACTCCCGTGTTTCGCGACCCAAGCCCAAAGAGGAGCACCTTGAGTCGAGAGCGGCTAGTGATGACGACTACCAATAAGGGACCGCGTGCTGCAGCCGACCCGTGCTATCTTGGAGCTGACTTGTCTACGATGAGTGGCAGTGGGCGTATGGGCGTCTGAAGAAGTGCGCCGGAGGGTGCAAAACAAGGAGGATCTGAACGGGATGATGGATGATCGATGCTGATCTCGCAGTCTGAAGGAGCTCTCAAGTCAAGTCGTGTGGGGACGGGTGTGCGCCCTTATTTCGGCTGTGCCTCTCAGTAGTGGTGTGCCTGAAATGGTTAAGCGGCACCGATTAATATCAGGCGTGTTACAGTCGATACAATCAGATTCCTGCCGAAGTATTAGACGCAAATGCGCGGTCTTAGACATATATAGACATATATATCGGGCTTGCATGTAGTGGGTCCTACCTGATTTCTCTGATTTCTGCCCCGCCCAAAATGTGGGCCTTCGGGGCAGTCAATTTTTGGTACCGACGTCACCCTAGTCCAAAAATCGGGTCTTTCAGTCGCGTGGCTTGCACGGGCCATTGAGGCCAACCTCTTCCCGCTGCCTGTGGGCTCTAAAAGCAGGACGTCGCTGAATAATGTCGATTCGTTTGAAAAAGACTTTGAGAACCATGACATCATTTTCGATGGGATTTCGTCGCCGATTGACGAAATTCCAGATCTGAAAGCGGGATCGTTGAGACCCCTTTACAACAGAACACTTCAAGTGCCCAGAGCAGCGTAGCTACAACATCGGTGTATTGTGTCTGAAATCTCGAATCACGGTGCAAGCCTGCGCTGAGCGCCAGACGGAGCTGGCCTCCTCCTAGAAGCGCTAGCGGTGAGCAAAGTTCCCCCAAAAAGGTTACTTCGGACAGCACGCTGTCGAAAGGGAAGGTGCACTGGGCGATCCTTCCACTCTGTTGAGCTTCGACTGCTCGACCAGTCTGCTGCCAGGCCCCGGAACGCAAGGCAAGAAGAAGGCTGAAAGTTAGTAAGGCACGACCATAATACCGACGGTCGGAGAAGCTATTAGTAAGAGGGATATCAGTGATTCAGAAGTCTCTCATTTTCGGACAAGTTGTGTAAAAAAAAAAGTGTGCCGAGCGGCCGGCACCGTGATCGCGATCGACCTGGAGATTCCGCAAATTCCTCACCGTCGGAAGCGATGGGTAGTATCCTCAGTCTAGTGTTGCGGGCCTGCGGGAAGTTGTGTGCCCCGTGACTTGCGACGACTTGGCGAGAGACTCCGCCAGTCAAACACCGATTTTATTTATTTATTTGATAGACTTCATTAACGCGCCCCCGGAGGGGGCGACGGGTCCCTGAACTTCTGACGGAGTAACACCGACTGACAACGTCAGCTAGTATTACTAAGAACATGCCATGGATCGGGCATGCAGCACCAAGTTGGCGAGTCGGTTCAATCCACATCAATGAGTCGTGTAAGTATGGGCCAAACATTAATGAACATTGCAGCAAGAAGAGATCGAGCCAGAGCCGGGGTGTACATGCATAAGTTGAGATCACTCGACATCGCCCATGCCACAGTCCGTGTCTGGTCCGACTCCAACTTTGTGTATGCATGTGGTCGTCAGCGCCGGGGACCCACATCGCCCTTTCACCGAACTTGGCTATAAGAAGTGGTTTCAGTTGACGTTGAGAGATCGGGACTTCAGGGAGCGACTTACGTTTTTTTTTGGAAGGGGCAAGGTCAATGCCACGGTAATGGACCTCTTGACCGGTGATAGCTTTTGCTTGGGCGACGCTGGACGGTCGGTGAGAAGAGGGAGACAAGGCTGTAATGATGACGATGCCGTAGAATTGTCAGATCAGCTTACCCATACAGGAATTTAGTTGATTGTACGCGTGACTTGCATGAAGAGGGGCTTGTTCCTGGCATGTACCCGGATCCGATGCGGCACGAACTGAAAGCGAGCGTTTTGGGCCTGCCTCGCCTGGTTGAAGTACGTGCGTGCTTGGACGAAACGCCAGAATACGGTCGATATGCGGTAAATTTCGAGCAGTGCTGCTGCGATTCGAGCCACCTTCTCTTTGGGGACCCGAAAAGCGAGGTGGCGAAACACGTCTCGTCGGCGGAGAATGTTCGAGATGATGAACGGGAAAGACGGGTCGCACCGAAAATCGCTGTCGTATAGATTGAGCCAATGTTTGACTTGCTCCTCCAGAGAAATCTTGACGTCGCGCTCGACACAGACACCGACGAGACCAAATGGATCGAGGTGTGGCCACAGCTTTAAGAGCAGGAAGTCATCCGAAGATTCCCACAAAGGGTCGTCGCCTGTAGGAATGACATGGGGGGGGGGGGGGGGGGGGGGGGCTGGTCTTGCAGTGGTTGAAATAACGAAGAGCTTTCTCAGAGAACTGCCACGAGTGAACTGGTTCGTCGGTAGCGGGTGGCGGCACATGGACGTGTTCGAATACTGGTTCATCAGAGTCGTTATGCGCTGTTGCGTAGCCTTCAAAGAGCGATGATGTTGGTTCCACTGTCTCTGCGGTAAACACATTCGCCAAAACTGCGTCGGGCACGAGACTGTCTCCATCCGAGGTTTGTCCATCCGACACTTGGGGGAGCAACCGAGACGGAAGCCGAAGCCGAAGTGGAAGCTGAAACCGCCGTGGGTGCTGGAGAGGTAGAGTTGAGCACACCAGAATTGCGTCGAACGAGCTGTGCAAGTCTTTCGCCATTAAAAAAGGAGACGGCAGAGTACGCCGGATTCTTGCTTTCGTTGATCAACCACCTGAGCATCTTTTGCAGTGGATCCGACTCTGCTTCACGATCATGGGTCGACACTTGTCCAGCTCCGCAAGGTTGGGGTTCCCTCTGCAGAATAGAACGCACACACTGTCAGCGAGTTCCTCGACTAACATGGGCAGTACATCGGTGAACGAAGCGGTGTTCTGGCTGAAGATGAGGGTGTTTCCGCGCCTAAATTCTTGTTGAGCTTTGCGATCTCCGAAACGAGTTAGCTTGTACATGATCTTGTAGGCTCTGGCGCGCACAGTGACGAGGTGCTCAAGCTGACTCGTGTTGGAGAGGCAATCTCGGACATCAGCGGGGACGTGATCCAGTGCGCGATAAAATCCGTTGCTCAACGACCGAGGGGGCTTAGTCGGTGGCCCTGTGGTAGGGAACAACGGTTTGAAGCAGTCTGGCCAGAGTGAGCACTGAAGCTTGTTGTTCATGGGCGAGTACGCGATCTGATCGATTAAATCGCTCGGTCGATGAAGACGTCGGGGATGGATGAGTGCGCCCCGTCGAGCTGAAAAATCGTAAGTCGGTGGTCGGAGGTCCGTCCGCAGTGTAGAGTTGGTTAATACCTTCCAAATCCCTGATTCCTCACGCTTGATGTCGTGTTCAGGCACCCATCGTACTTTATGCCCGAAGACTCTCTCGGAGCACACCAGGCAGCAGAAGAGACGGGAACGAGCGTCGGTGAAGTAATCATTCCATTCAGAACGGTTCTCGGTCTTGAACTGATCGGATGCTGGCGCAAAATGCGATGTCACTTTACCGGGTTCTTCTTGTTCGGGTTCGGGATGCAGCGGTGGACGTCTGTGCATCGTTTGTTTAGAGGTAGTCGCCGAGACGTTCTCGCGATTCTTCTGGGCTTCCTCGTTCAGTTCGGTTTGGAGCACGTCAACAGGTTTTGATGCGTATGCTCTGTGCTCGGGGAAGCAATGGGGGCGGAGTCACGGGACTCGCCGCTTGTTGCCTTCTCAAAACATACCCATTTGAACAAGCATTACAGTTGGGATCGCACGACCAAAGGAGCGCTTGTAGGAATAGCTCTTTCGCAAGCGGATTCCTCCTGGAGTATCCTTCCACGTGGTGCGCCCGACAAAGCTCCTTCAGGAGATTCATGCTGAATTTGATGCTGCTGCGCACGAGTCGCCCCAGACTGCATTCTACAATGCCAACACTGGACTGTTGCGTAGGAGCGGACCGGAGTACACATACTGTGCGTGTTCGGTGCGGCGGGTGGATCGGCTGTCGCTAGCGGTGGACGCGAGGCTTAACACGTCGTCGAGATTCGAGCGTTCAAGTTGTGGGCTGACCTCGATGGTGCGGAGGGGTACAAGATCACAAATAAGTCACATGACGGCGGCTGTGTGATACGGGTCTTAGAGATGCGAGGACACTCGGTCCAAGTTGGAGCAAGGCGAGTACAGAGAGACGGAAAGGAGAGGGCCGGGCAGTGGCAACTTGCCAGCGGAGGCTGAGCCCGGGCAGCCTAAGTACTGCCTGAGTGCGCTCTGCCGCGGTGACTCGGGGAGGCTGATGACGCCCAAGCTGAGTGCTAAGTGCGAGGGGCCCTCCTATCCGGGAAGCATTGTTTTAACCGATCGGCGCTGAAATCGGACTCTCCTATTGCGCTCAGGCAGGGTCCTCCCATCCGGGGTAGCCTTGTTCGCACCAATCGGCGCTGAAATCGAGCTCTCCTATTGGGGCTTCAACAGCCACGCGCGTGCGGGGTATTTCGGCCATTTCGTCCAATAAAATCTCAGACGTGCACCATTTTCGAGGCTGGGACCCCCCCATTTTTCGAAACGAAACCTTCAGCTCTAACGAGCTTCAGGGATTAACAGCATAATTATGTTAATACCTAGAAATCTTCGGAAAAGTCGGAGGGAATGCTGTTACGCACACTGACAGAAGCCAGTAGTGTAGGACTCGAACCAGGATCAACCATACCCACTAAAACCCCCTTTGGTGGCTTACAGAGACACTAGGCGACCCTTGGACTCCTGAATAGAGGCTCGAAGCCCCTCGAAGTCCGTTTCGGTGATCGGTTCCAAAAGATCCGACGAGAATCGGCGACGGCGACAGAGCTTCCAGATCGAGTGAAAGAAGAGGACTCGTAGTTCGACAAGTCGACGTTCCGAGCGAGACACGACCGGACATACAAAGTCCACAAAGACTGGGTGGGGGGTCGGGGACAGAGCAGACCAGAGACGCCGGGCAGATGGGCAGCCGACCGCGAGGTGGGCCAGGCACTCGGGTTCTTCCGAGAGGCACATCACACAGGAGGCAGATCGATTGTTGGGGTGAGGGCTGGTTGGGGTGGCGACTTGGCTGCCCGGATGGAGGGACCCCAGTAGATCTCATCTTCAGCAATAACCAGCTCGCGTTGCCAAAACGGGTGCCAGTCAGCAAAGGAGCGCGCGGGCAGCTGGCGCAAGGCGCACACGCGCGTTGACCAAGAAGGGGTCCGAGCTTTCATTTGTCGCGCGCGTGTCGACGCGTCCTCAGCACCTGATTCCATCACTCACGCCGCCTGCTGCACCATCTCGACGACGCCGGTTTCGTATCGTCTCAACTCGTCGCAACGTCCCTGAGTCTTCTTGGTTTACCGCTCCATTACGTTACTTCCATCTTGGCCGCTACCAAATCTCTCCGAGCCGACTCCTGGCAGTATCTCTCCCAATACGCGCCCGCCCACCCGCCACCTCGGACCTAAAGCCTTGGACCCTCGCATACACTCACCCCTACCCACGGCAACAGCACTTTCAACCGCCAGGATGGACTACAGTCACGGCACAACGACAACGTACCCAACAATGTACGACTACGCGTATCCAGACGTGCGACAAGGCGGTTCGTCACGCGACGGTCGACTGGTCGATCGGTCACAATCCGGCTCGTCGCTCGCGCCGGCACCCGTACTCAAGCGCACCAACAGTGTCATCTCGTTGCCATCGCCGCCCGATGAAACGATGTCTCAGGGTCCTCTGGCGCCGGTGGTCGTGTATCTGTCCGACGAGGAGCTGCACGACACTGACCTCGAGGAAGGGGGTGACGACGACGACGATGTGGAGGCGTCCGGGCCTATCGCACGATCGCCGCCGAAAAGAAGCTCGTCGAACCGCATGTTGCTCGACTGTAATCCTTTCCTGGTCCCATCTCGACGCGCAATTCAGGAAGAACAGGAGAAACAGGCTCGCATCGAGGCTCGCCCGGACCATCCTCACGCTTCCCCAACCCACCAAGCCCGACGGAAACGGCTGCAACAGGACAAGATCAAGCTCGACGTTGGACAAGCTAACAAGCAAGGGATGGGAGCAAGAACGATGGGGCGAGGGTGGGACTCGCCGTCGAACCCTTTCATCGCGCGGGAAGGCGACACGGCTGCTCCGACCGCTCGGCGCGAGAACCACAAGCCGGACAAGATCACATACGTCTTGTGAGGTTACACTATTTGGCTCCTTCCTTGTTGGCACTCGTTCTGAAGGTTGGACTGACACCTTTCTTCATCTTGATCGGCCTTCAGCCGAGGAAAACGGGTTACGTACGACGTGCCCCTTGACGCCCTGCTTGCGCCCGAAGATCCCGAAGATTCGCCTTTCCCCGACCCGTCGCCTCGGCTGCTCTTCCCCTCCGGTCCTACATCAGACGACGAGGTTGAGTCAACCAATCCCATTACGCCTCCATCCCAGTCCCGCCCGACCTCGTCGTTCCTCGACGCCCTTCGCGCTACCACCAGTGTAAAACCAACCGACGAGGTCAAGTCGAGCTCTCTTGGACTGCCGCCGACACCTGTAACGGAGCGTCAACGCAAGGCGCCGGAAAAGACGTTCAATGCCAGGAAGGAGGCTAGGTTCGGACCCTACAAGAAGATGGCGACGCTGCATGAGCCATAGGCCTGCGCATCGAGAACAGGACCGAGGCACGCTACGTCCACAAGGCTTCGCGGTTACCCGTAACGATTGACGAATGTAGTTTGCCAAACCTCTTGTGGCAATGTACATCTATGTTTGATACGCGAGTAAATCCCTCCCTGCGGCATGCTAAAGACAGTCAGTGTGACTTTGGAATACAGTGAAACGAGAATGGGTGCTCCTCGAGCAAAGCGTCATACGCAACATAAAACAACGGGGCTAGTCGGTGACCCCAAAAGGCCCGACTATCAAGAAAGTGCACAAAACGCAATGCAAGTGTTAGATGCGGGTTAGGGGTACTGAGCAGTGGAAAGGAGACGTTGAAAGGCCGATGGGCTGACACTCGTTCACCGGGAACCCCACAGGTGGCCGTAGTGTGATCGGCGCCGAAACTCGGTTAGCCCAGCCCATCCAAGGCGAGACGCTTGTGGTCGAGTTTGACGAGAGGATCCAGATTCGAGGACGAGAACATCTCCTCTCCGATCCAGTTGGGCTCGAGTGATTGCTCGCACTCGGTGCGATCGGTTCGAAGTCGGCGGAAGTCGTCGCACTCTGCCCCCCGTGCCAACGGGTTGACTGCGCGTGTTCGTTGGGTTGGCCGAATGGGTGCGGTCTGTCAATAGGGTACAGATGTGATGGCTCATAGTGATCCCACCTATTTTGAGCTTCCTTCTTCTTCGACGAGATTTCCATCGACTGTTCGAAGCCAGCCCTCGGCAGCGTGGGTCGACGGTTGATCTCCGCCGAATGTCGGGAAGTATCGTCGAGTGGCGTGCAAGAGGTGCATGAGGGGCCAGAAGTTCCTTCTGCTCAACTCACGGCGCCATACATAGACTCCGAATTCGAAGTGACCCAGCGGGTGAGGATGGGCTGACCATTCCGACTGGTCTCGAGCATTGTGCGAACGTGCTGGGAAGACTTTGGAGGCTTTGGCTTCTTCCGTGAGGTGGGGTGTCGCACTGACTGGCAGGTACTCTAGTTAGGGAAATGATGGACTCGATGTTCTTCAACGGTGCTTCTCCCATCAAGTAGCAACGCATGAGGATTGAACCTTAAAGTGCTACGTGAGAAGCCACAGTCGAGTAAGACCGGGGCGAAAGACCCCATTTCCACTTGGACTACGGATGGGGAACATGTTTCTCACTACGTCATGAGCTCTTTGCTGTACGTGGTGCAGCGCTACGAAACTGTACTCGAGATATCCACAAGTCGTAACAAGCCCTACAACTCGTGTAGTAGTGTTTTGAACCCAAAGTTGTTCAAATAGGGGATTAATGATCGGCTCTATATAGCGCCTGTAACGCACTTCATTGCTTTCTCTCTTCCTCGATATGGCTCCGTATTAGTGTAAATTATTGTTACAGCATCATAAAAGTCCACCAAGCAACGATATGGGCTCTCGGCTCTGGGTGAATTATGCGATGGGTTAGGGGCCTCGACGATCGCCCTGCAGTGGTCAACCCAGAAATCGCCCCGAATCGCCTCAAAAGTGAGCTTTGAGAAACAATTGTAAGCGTTTGAGTTTGAAAGGGACGCCCGTTTGGGTGTTATTGGAGGCTATTGGGAGCTACTAGTATTGGGTGAGATTGGGTGCCGTGCGCGCTTGCTCTGCGTTGCTTTCCGACTCACCCCCCTCCCCCCCCCCGCGCGACCAATCGACAACGCCATGTCTTCCAAGCGCAAGTGGGATGATGCCGGAGCAACCGAAGACGCAGCTCTCAAGCAGCCTAAGACCGAGCCCGAGAACGACGTCGAGCGTTCGACATCGTCAGCGAGCGCTGCACCCGAGCCAGCCGTCAACGCGGTCGAGGATCCCAAGGCTGCGATCGATGCCGCAGGTACGTCGATATTTCTTTGTTTTGTGCTGCTAGAGGATGAACCTTCTCATCGTCCCGTCCCTCTTCTTCCACAGCCGAGGTCGCTGCTCGACTGGCGGCACAGTATGGAGGCAAGCCCGCTCCTGCACCGGCTCAACCCGATCCAGAGTGAGTGGCGTACCATTCTTTACATTCCGGTCGCACTGGTTCCTTTCAAGGCTCGCATGTTGATGATGCTGATCTCATGATGCTGATTGGCACATGTCTCCGTATCGCGCTGCTTCGACATCACACCCCAGATTTGTGAAGGACATTGAGATCAACGACTTGCGGAATCGGTATCTACTCACAAAGGAGCCAACGCAACAACAGGTATGGAGCCTCTCAAACGCTTACAGACGCTGGTACGGTGCGAGTCGTTGGTCCTCCTTGATCATCACTGACCCGCTGTCGCCGCGATCCTGGGCACGTGTAGATCCTCGAGGAAACTGGAGCCAGCGTCGTCACAAGAGGCAGTTGGTTCCCCGACAAGTCGATGGCTACCGACAAAGACCCCGCTTTGTATCTCCATATCACTGCTGTGCGTTCTGCCCCCCCCCTGCCGCCCTCTCACAGGTCGTCTTTCGGCCCAGACTGACGCTCCCATTTTCGGTCCACGACTTTCCCAGGACACGGCCGAGAAGCTTGAGAGGGGGATTGCCGCCGTTCAAGCACTCATGGACACCGAGTTGGGACCGCTGATTGATACGCGACGATTCGAGCGCGCCGCCGAGAGGGACCAGCCGCGAGAGAGGGTCAGTATGCCGCCTGCGAAAGGCCTTTGATCAGAGCGCGAAACAGACGAACTGATGTTATTCATCCCATCTTCTGCAGAGAAAATGGCCGGAGGAAAAAATCCCTATCGAACTCGAGCCGATGCGCAACTTCAACGTCCGCGCCAAAGTTGTCGGACCAGGTGTGAGTCGCGCTGCAGCGTCCAGGTCGTAACAGTCGCTGATGCTTATGACCTTGTACCTTCCTATCCGCGTGCGCTCTCTCAGGGACTATTCGTCAAGTACATCCAGCACGAGACTCAGACGCGTGTGCAGATCAAAGGCATGGGGTCAGGTTTCGTCGAGACCGATACCGGGCGCGAGGCGGAGGAGACGATGCATGTCCACGTAACGTAAGCTACCCCACCACTTGTCCCAAGGAAGAGGCCCCGGCTGACGAGCTCTTGCACCCTTAAATCAAACAGAGGCCCCGACCAACCGATGGTCGATGAAGCTGCCGAAATGGCGCGAGATCTACTCATCGTCGTGAAAGAGGAGCACGCCAAAGCACGAGCAGCACTGGAACAACAATTTCAGCAGCAGCAGCAGTATCAACTGCAACAACAGCAAATGTACGCGCAGCAGCAGAGCTACGGAGGAGGTTACCAGCAGCAAGGGCCTGGGCAAGGCAGTTATCCTCAGCAAGGGTATCAGGTGAGCCCCCAGTCCGACCTGTGCATCCTAGGAGACGCCTCAAACTCACCTGAATTCGCATGCGATCTCAACGTGTCATTAGCAATCATACGCCCCAGGTGTCACTGCCCCATTACCGCCAGGTGAAGCACCTCCACCACCGCCGGGAGAAGCCCCTCCCTTGCCGACGAGCGAGCCACCCCCTCAACCCGCTGGCGGCACCGCGACGGACGAGCAATGGCGTGCTTACTGGAACTCGCTGGATGGGCCGAGTCAGGCATACTTCATGCAGTACTATGTGGGTATACCGGGCTCTGACCCACCCATCACTCGTCCAGAACATGACGCTGACTTCGGCTTTGTTTCGCAGGCATCGGCCTACACCCAACCCATCGCTGCTCCGGCCCCACCCTCCGCCCCTCCTCCACCTCCACCTCCGCCAGCAGAGCCGCCGAGGGGCGGCTCGGGCATGTACGGTGCTGTACCTCCTCCTCCTGGGCTGTAATGCGAAGCGTTGTGGTTTGCTGTGACTTTAGAGAGCGCACTTGAACATCTAGCCGAGGCTGACGTGGAATAATCTTATCATCGATCATACGCCGAACGAAGCTCCTGAGAGGACCAAGTCTTGGCGCGTTGACCGAACCTCGGACGCTCTCAGAACCGCAAGGACAGAAAGATTCGACCAAGGCGTCCGTCTGAGCGATTCCACAGTAGCCCAATCAAGCTGGTGACATCTCTCCTGGAGCATAGACGCACTAATCTTCGAGCTTCTAATATGCGTGGCGGCAGCGAAAGTGACATTCGCAACCCTCAAAGTCACATCTCATCCATCTATCGAAGCCTCCTCTTCATTCGCCAAGACTACCCTATTCTCTTGACCGTCCCCTGAGGTACCATCCTCCCTTTCCTTGGACTTGCGGCGAGAAACCTATCGCAGAAAAGATGCGAGCGCGGAAATAAAGCCTTCCGATAGGTGAGGGTGCACGACGCCGAGAAGTCAGGACCACAATGTAGAGCGAGTGATGAGAAAGCTACCAAGAGTAAACAGCCGCGCGGGAAGAAAGCCCCGCGCGCTCCCTAACTTAAACAGATCAAACTCCAATACCAAAGTGACTAATGACTAAACACACGCGCACCTCGCGCAGATACCACAGGCACAGACACATATCAATTAACAAAACCGAGTTTATCGTCATTACTTGGGATGAGTAAGCAGTGCGCCTTCGGGGTGTGTCGTCTTCGGTGTCTCCTTCGGAAGCGCATGCTTGCAGTGGTCGAAGCACGCATCGCATTCCTCTTTGTCCCTGTACACACGGAATTATATAAACCTCACAATATTGCCCACACTTACTTGGCATGTACACAACAGTTCGAGAACCGCTACAGCCAAGCCTGGGGCGATGTCTACTCACTGGCAATGAAAGATGCAGCCAATGTTACAACCCACTTTCTTCCAGCTGCTCACCCGTGTCAGACATGTCAGCGTCCCGCGCCATTTGGTGATCATGAAGGCGCCAAGATGCTCACATGTTGGACCGGTTCGCAGCCGATCAGGGGCTCATGCTAAATTTCTCACGCTCGGACCCCACGTGTCGCTCAGTAGTATCCAACCTTAGGTAGTGTCTGTATTGCCAGTCGGACCATGCGATACACGGGGATCGACCTCGTGTTTACTTCGAATTGTCAGAGTCAACAGCGGTTATGGGAGCATCGGTTGGTCGTATTTCGGCGCTTGACAACAAGGCACTTCCGGTGATCGGCATGGTCACGATCTACAAGGTCAACGACGGTGGCAGCGGCGGCAACAGCGAAAGCAGCTTGAGGTAAAGGTAAAGTTTCATAGATTCCAGCTGTCTTGTTCATAGAGGAAGTGGAGTTTAATCATGAGCGCGCTCCCTCTTTTTGCGCCTTCGTGCCTCCGAGTCCGCGGTTCACGGCGAGGAAAAGGGCGGAAGTGCAGGCGGAGGGTCGGGCCGAGCGGGATGTAGAGAGTGAGAGATGGCGGCCAAACGAGCAGATAAGGACTGACTGAGTGGATGAGGCGGTGAAGGGCGGAGTGATCGGGAGGAGCCACATGACCTGGCATCCGTGGCCGTGGACACTCCATCGCCCGGTAACTTCAAAGACTCCGGCCGGGAGCTGGCGGCTGCCGGCAGGATCCAGGAGCAGCCTTTGGAGTTAGCCCGAGACTGAGCCCGATCGAAAGCCGAGTCGTCTTCGAAAGCATTCACACTTCGAAGAAGTCTGGATTGGGTAGCGACCAGAGCAGAGAGCTGCCGGGGGAGGGTCTAATTTGAAAATTGTTGGGCAGCACCATTTGAGTAAGCGCTTTTTGGCTAGATGTCCCCGGCCCCTCGGCGGATTACTCGCTCGAGGGCTGAGGCTGATGAAATTCAGAGCGCGGTGACGTAGTGAGGCCGGCAAGTCACGCTCGACGCTGGGGGTCCTGCCCTCGCAGTCGAGATAATCCTGGTGAACATAACGAGCAATCCAGATTACGTTATGTCAGTGTATCAATCGATTGACTGATTCCAAGCTTCTTGGACGAGCGAGGACTTCTTGACGGGCCACTGTGCCCCCCCCCCCACTTCGGCTCATCGTCATCGACTCGATGGAGACGAGCTTGGATTGGTGGATACTGTGATACAGGTCGATCACATTGCTCATGTTTCTCTCGTACTCTACGCCTAGGTCTCATCCCACAAATCACGCCAACATGGTCGATGCGAGAGACAACGTCAACGCGTACAAGTCCGAAACGAAGCAGGAGGCAGCTGCGAAAGCGTCCAAAGAGGCGAACATGGTCAGCTGACGACATTGATAGAAGACATCTTGCAATCTACCTCGGTTCTTGTCGACTTCTGAATATAAGATTGTCTCTTTCCATTAGGCGATCGCAGAGGATTCGACCGCGTCAATCACCGATCGGGCCAGTGCCGCCATTAGTGCCGTCGGAGACAAGATACAAGAGTCAACACGTGAGAACAACAAACGAGAACCGAGTTGAAAGGTAGTTGTCCCATGCTGACCAATCCACAAAAACCTCATCCTACCCCAACTGGCAGATGGTGCGAAAGCAGACGCTCATCAGGAAGTTGCCGAAGTAATTTTTTCAATAGACCAGTGGCGAGACAGCTTATCATTCCCGCTTCTCTTCTCTCTTGGAACCACACGTTTCTGATGATGATACCAATTCCACAGGAACAGAGCAAAATCTAGAACGCCCCTCGATGCCATGGCGAGGGTTTCGATTATCTCGGGCACGCAGGAAGGGCATACCGAAAGTATGGATATATGTAACTCACAGACGTAGACACCTATTTTGAGTACGGCTCATTCGATGAACACAATAAAATGCCCGAATGATGAACTGACGACGAACTCCGGATTTGACAAGAAAGTTGGTCCGAGAGCTTGAAGGATGTCGAGACAAGCAGTCGCTCGACGTTCAACAACGCAGGTCCCCTGGGCTCGACGACGGTTCATCGTCAGTTTTCGACGATGGATGATCGGCGGTCGTCGGGTCATCTTCAACTGTGGTTTCCAGAGTCTTCGCATCCGCCTGTCTCGCCACCTTGTTGACCAGGCGGTTCATCCTAGACGCCCAGATCTTGTGAGCCGAGGTCGTGGGATGTAAAGTGTCGATGTAGAGATGGTGTTCGGGGTCTTTGCACAGGACTCTGGTGGACGAGTTCCAACAGGCTTGTGTGACGGGGTGCGTGATGCCGTAAGCGCGAGGAAAGCGATAGATGGTCTTGAACTGGTCGAGATGAGTTTGGGGCAGGATCAGCGTAAGGGACTAGAACTCATCAAGTTCGTGTGGTGGCAATCCGACTGACCAAGTTGGCGAGGTCGTAATACAGAACCCTGCTGCCGGGTTTCACGTACGCTTTGAGATTCGAGGTGAACGCCTCGAGCTCAACGTTGAACAAATCGACCAGCTCGCCGGCGTACTCGAGGGCAGCATCGCGTTGGGCCGCCGTATGGTTGGGGAATGCCGCGATGTAATTGAAGTAGAGGTTTGGAACAATACTCAGAGGAGGAACACCGACGATTAGATAGTCGTCAACGACCACATTACTATGCGGACGTCCAATCGCCTTTTATCGTGTTAGCTTTCGCGAATCATCTGACCCCTATGATCGTTGAGGTCGAACTCACTCTCGGAGCGAATCATGGGTAGCCAGGTATCGGATATACTTCGCCATCTGAGTGACTTGTTTGCCGATGGACCGTCTCGTCTTGGCATGGGTGATGTTGGCGGTAAGAGCGTGCAGCCACATTTGACTGATGGGGTTGGTGCCTATTAAGGGCAAATCACGAGACGGAAGCTCAGGATGGTCCAGGTCCACCAAATGACATCAGGTTGGATACTTACCGGTGTGAATAACATGCAATACACGACCTCTTCCAGGATCAATGACCTCATCGTCCAGCTGCTCGAGATATTGTTTAATCTGCCGCAGTGGCCCAGTCAGTTCCTTGCCTCGGAATCGACGAGATCTACTGCTACAGCGTACTTCGCGGCCCAGATCGGGAATATTGTGCGGCCCTGCCGTTCCAGTCAGATTGTTCTTGATCACCGAACCACCATACGCAACTGTCGGTAGAAAAAAATATCTGACGCTCAGCTCCTAAGAGCCGGTGTGTTTTGCCATGAATAGGGGCTTACAATCGAAAAGCACCGGCGGCTCAATTTGAAATGGCCTAAGCGCGGGATTGGTGCTCGGCTTAACCATGTACTCAACCGCAACGGGACCGTTCGTATAGCGTCCTTGGTCCGAAAAGGGATACTCTTGCTGGTCGCGAAAAGAGGTGGCGTACTTCTTGGACCGTTTGTGAGCGTTGTCTGTGAGCGTAAAGCGATGTCCCATGCGGGATATCGCACGACGAGGGATCGTTGAACACGGGGTTGGCTGGACCTCCGACGAAGCGGAGGACTCACCCATATACGAGGCACCGAAAGCAATGACGGCCGAATAGCCTCTAGGGTACGATTTGGAGTTGGAACCCGTGACTGATGCTGCCGCACTTGCAATCACCTCAGCTGGGGTACCAGCCCGCCCCAGCCCGCCCTTGACGCGTAGCTTGGGGTGATCCACAGCATCAGCCGCGGCCAGAGTCGAGAGAAACACAAGCAAGGTGACGAAAGTGACCAGCACTCGGACCGTCACTGATCTGAGAATTGTGGCTTTCGGCATAGCTCAAGGCGGCGTAGTACGGCAGCAAAGGGTTGCGGAGTGGAGGGAGGGGCATGGAGGGAGAACGAGAGCCCATATACTCAAGGATCTGAAAGAACACAGTAGCTACCCAAACAAACCGGATATTTTAATCTGGTCTCCTATTTTGCGGTGTGACGGTGATTTTTCAGAACTGGACAGTTCGTTAGCGTTTTAGGAGAGAGCGCCAGGTGGGGTCATCGCATAAGCGCACCCGAACGAAAAGTGGTTGCATTCTTCTTGTCAAATCACACGTCGAGGCTACTGATCATAAGAACGTATGCATTAGGTTACAGTACGAAACTAATCCCTGAAGCTCGTTAGAGCTGAAGGTTTCGTTTCGAAAAATGGGGGGGGGGGGTCCCAGCTTCGAAAATGATGCTATTCTGAGATTTTATTGGACGAAATGGCCGAAATACCCCGCACGCGCGTGGCTGTCGAAGCCCCGATAGGAGAGCCCGATATCAGCGCCGATTGGTGCGAACAAGACTAGCTGGAATATATGGATTAAAACATTAAAACAATGGATGGGAGGACCCTGCCTATGAGCGCAATAGGAGAGTCCGACTCGGTGTCAGCGCTGATCGATCCCTGAAGCTCTGAAAGAGCTGAAGGTTTCGTTTCGAAAATTGGGCGGTTCCAGCCCAGAATTGGTGCAAATCTCAAAGTGTCTCAGAATTCGGCCCCTCAGTCCTCAGGCACAGCTTCCCCGCACTTTATGAAAACGCGCGCGGCGTTGTTCGGCCTAGCTCAGGGATCAGGACTCAGGAGACAGGGACCACGGAGTCACGGACCCGGCGGCGGGGTCGCTCTTGGTCCTTGACTCCTTGGACCTCGTCATAAAGCATAGGGGGGCGAGGGGGGCCCGGTTGCCATAACGGGGCGGGAGGGCAAGAACTAAGAATAGCACAGGTTTCACGCCCTTCGAGCCACGTCGCTTTCGAAGCTTCGCCTTGTCATTCGTCACTCGCACACGGCCCGACCCACCCTGCACACTCTACACTTGTGGGCTTGTCAGACTCTGCGATCTTCTTGTCATCTTAGGAGCGCGGACCTAGTAGCCAGACCTACAGCATCCGGACCTGACACTGGCCAGACCTACCACCCGGATTTAGCCTGTCTTGATCCAGATCCCCGAACTCGAGTCAAATTCTGCTGCTGATTGTGCCCAGTTGCACGCTTCTCGAGCCAACATGTCTACTCTGTCGCACCTTGTTCACCTTCAAACATTTGAAGCGCCTTCTCAGCTGAATACACTTGATGAGTTTGATGAGATCAGGTTAACGACACAAGTTGGCCCTCGAGAGCAGCCAGTCGTACTACACAGTTACTATGGTCCAAAGGATGGTTCAGGGTCGACTCCGCAAGCATCTTTGGCTGTCCTCAAAACCTCGGTGTCTCTTCATCTCTTTCTCCCTACTTGTCACCACGCCACCTTCATCTACCTCTTCCGCGAGAAGCAATGACTCCGACCCCCTCTCTGACCGACCGACTGCCAACATCATACGACGCTCTAGATTATACGAGCGAACTTCCCTCACCCACGAAGACGTTCAGAACATTGTCGAGGTCTACAACGCCTACCTGACGACCTTAGCCAACATCGTCGATCATCGCTCGGTTGCCGATTTCGTTCGTCTACAGAAACCGGGGAACTACGACGAAGTCGCACTGGCTACGGCGGCCGGTCAAGTCGCCAACATATGGCTTGTAGGCCGAATCCGAACCATTGATCCTGCAGGGGGAATCGTGCCAAAGAAGTAAGCGAAGCCACGTGTTACTGGAGATCTACACTAGCGCTAACCAAGATGCCGCAAACTTCTATACATGCCCCTGAACAGCCAGCAATGGCGCCTTGAGCGAGATTGCGTCAGGCCTGAAGATCTCGACCGGGAGATTCGACTGGAGCTGTTCGAGTCTGACTCGGAGGTCGTAAAGTTTCGAAATTGGCTCCAAGGAGGGGTGTCTCAAGCCCTTCATCAGCACTGGAAACTTCCCAAGAATCTTCAAGGTGAGCCGCTTGCTGAACTTAGGCGGTGTTAGGCGTGCGAGCAGGGTGCTGATTCTGCTGCTGCTTCCCATCGGCTACTTTAGAACTTGCGGAATTGGCATCGCCATTTGGGCGCAACTCAAATGGTGCATACATCCACCACCGTGTGGTGACCACAAAAGAGTGAGTGCGCGTTTTCCTCACCTACTAAGTTCCCGCAGAAGGGGCCAAACTGACACTGATTTCACAATGGCATCCTCTGCAGCTGCTGGAATCACGTCTTTGGCCGCGACATCCCGTTCCCTGCCAGCATCAAGGCCTCTATCCCTCCTTGGCTGGGGACGGATAGTGAGGATCCGGCAAGGGAAAGGGAATATTTACAATTTTGGAAGGAGCTGTTGCAGCTCCGCTTTCAAGGAAAACCGACGGAGCTGGCCGCGCCGACGCGCTTCCCGGTTTCCTTCGCAGACGACCCGAATCGACAAAAATACGCACACACAATTCTGCAAGCAGAGGATGTGTGTGGGATTATGTGCAACCTACAGATCCATGTGTACGAGGACAAGAGAAAAGAGCAATGGATTGGACGCTATCAATTGACCCCGGTGGCAGCCCGTATCCATGGTCGACTTGCCAGTGCACCTCAGCCTGCTGCCAGCGGATCGGTGAGTGCAGCGGTGGGCCCCCATCAGCATGGTCTCTTACTCTTGAATCATGTGTTTTTTTTGGAAAAAAACAAAACCTGAGACCTCCTCGGCACCACGATACCAGGGCACGCCTCAAAATTCATCGGCCATTCATTCGCCTGTGAAGAGGTCTGCGTACGAGGCCGAGTTCGAATTGGACTTTGCTGACCTAACTAATAAGGGTAAGTGGAGACACCGATGCGCCTAACACTAGTCATAAGTCAACCTGACATGACCTTTCTTCACCCCCGGCGGCGCCTCCTCCTTTTTCAGCCAAAAAGATCAAGTCGGACAGCGACAATAGCAGCGCCGACTCGGACGAAGACGAAATCGGCCTCGCGGGCTTCGGACACTTGGGCGCCTGACCAATCTACTCGCTTTCTAGTACATAGCTCATTTTTATCAACTGGTATAGAATTGAGATGAATGCCCTTTCGATGTTAACTCGACCGCGCCGCGCTTGAGAGGTTCAGGGACTCGTCGCCGCCCCGCGGCGCGTCAATTTGAACAATGCTCCCCCGGATAGGAGGACCTGGCTAAGCGCGCCGATCATTAATTCTCAATGGCCAGTGGCCACCAGCCCGGCTGCGAACCTAACCACACAGCCACCTCAGGCGTACCTTCAAAGGTACAGTCTAGACCGCGTGCGCGAGCGCGCCAAAAACCTCGATCCTCAGCGAGTTTCACACTGGGGTTGGTAGCCCGATACCAGGGTAGCTAGGACTTCCCATCCCGGGCCGCCAACAGCGGCAAATGCATGATACGGACCGACATGACTTCGTTGATCAAGCTATACCCAGTGCTCAAAAAGGTCCGATTTTTTCCAAATCCTTAAAACTACTATAATAAAAAACGTCGTCGAGACAAACCACGTGGCGAGACAAACCACGTGGCGTGACGTCATAGGCAGCTCTCGGTCGAGCGCGTCCCAGCTAGCTAGCGCTGTTTCAGCATGGGTCGGCCAGCGACAGACCGTTTCGTCTACGTTCGCCGACGTTCCAACGTTCGCCGACGTTCCATTTCCCATCAAAGCAGCCTGACACATGACCCTCCGCTTCCCGAAGCAGACTGAGACGACCTGTTTTGCGTGTCTACCACATCGTAGCGTAGTTCCTTCAATCATCCGGCTCCTGCTACTGCCGAAATTGTCATCTGCAAACTTTTACGTCCCGTCTCCTGTACGACAATCTTGACGCCGCACGGAGAGCAGAGGGGCAGCAGAGACGTACGGTCGGCAAGGTGAGCGAGCTGAGCGCGCCGCCCGCGAGTCCCTCCTCCTCCGCACAACTCACCTCCGGGCTTGAGATTCGTTCGTCCACGCTTTGAAGCAGCTCCAGACCTCGGGTAGTGTCGGCCAGTGCGCCAATTCCGCCGTTAGGGGCCCCACCAGCGTGTCACGGCTTGCCGACACTGGGCTTCACTCCACGTCGTTCCGCGGCCTTCCGCGACATTCTATGAACCCGGTTTAAACTGAGGCGCAGGCTTCTCCATCTTTTTCCCTCCTGCTCTTCACACCTTACCCGTCGCACCTCATCCCATCGCCACTCATCTCTTCGCCACTCATGAAAGAAGCCCCAACACCACTCGCATGGCGAACGAACAGCCCTGTCAGTCGATGACCTCGATCGACTTGCCACAATACGGTCCTGGCCCAGGACACGGCTCAGTAGTTCTCACAATGCTTGGGGAGTGTCGACTGATCAATCCCTCAACAGGGAAGCCTCCGTGTAGTAAGTAACGCGAACAGCAAAACGTTTAGGGGAGCAGCCCGTTGATATACGTTCATGATGTCAACCAACCATCCATCCAGCCTTAGCCGCAGATACCGAACGGGTGGGCCGATCCGAACTTTGCGCGAGACAAACCGGCCTCGAGCTCGCGACACCCGAAGGGGTCGTCGTGGAAGCTCTGCAACGAATACGGGACAAATTTTCTCAAGAAATGGCTGCAGCATGCAGCGTAGCTACGGTTTCGAGTAAGTAACTTCATGAACTGTGCTCTAGGTGTGGGATTATTGAGCAGCTAATGGAAAACTACCAAACAGCATTTCCCTTCAACACGTCTTCGTTGAATGTCAACCCTCGAGTTGCTTTCCTCCACCATCAACTGGTGACAGTGCATTCGTGAGTTATCACTTGACATCGGCTGTGCAATCGGGTATGACGGAAAAACTGATACGAAAAACAGACATTGGATCGTCAGGGACAGGAGGTGACCCTATCCCCGAAAAGCGGGGGCACCCATCGTGGCCTGCCTGGGAAAACGACATCGATGCCCACAAAAACCCCATATTCTACAACAACGCTCGCGAAGGAAGCAGGCCACGGGAAAATACAGCGGAAGGATTGACTTCGTACGGTTGAGAATCCGGGTCCATGGGACACTAAATGTGAGTCTTCGTTGTCATTGCTACAGATGGACAACAGCAAGAATACTGATAGCTGTAATAAACGAATCACGCAGAAAAACAGGCTCTGGTTCCGTGGATTGCGGCTCACCATCCCGTGGCAGATCCTCAACGGCTCGGTTCGGGGGAGTGACCGTCGTGTTGATCAGGTGTGTGCCAATCTTTCAAAAGCAAAGCGTAGGGCAGCATGACTAACTGACCGGTTGGACTGTAACATCACAGGGGATCCGAAGCGATGCCTTCCCGTCATTCCAAGTCATCGCCTGCACAAATCGTCGACGCTTGCATCATGGAATGCTGACTTCTGGGGGGAAGTTGAGGTGCTGCATCTCTCTGTAAGTAGTATAGTCCTTGCCTGACTTTTAGGCCCTATACTAACAGCGGCACGGTGCAAGGGCAGACAAACATGCCTCTTCTGGCCGTTGCAGACCGCAGCAGTGGCGCTCCGACGTGATCTTCTCCTGCCGGCAACCACGACGAACAGATCCAGGTTGATCAGACACGTTTATCCCGGCCCCGCGCTCGAACTGGAAAATATGTCGATAGGCGAATAAGTCGAATACTTCCGACATCGAGCAATTCTGGCGCCCAAAGATCAACGACATGGTGCTCGACCTGCTGCCGGGTGACGCTCAAACGTTCTACAGCCCGGATTCGGTCGTCGAAAACGAAGACGAATCACTGTTCTCGATCGAGTATCTTCAGTCTCAACATCGTCGGGATGGCGTTGCTCCACACTCGACGCGGGTCTTGACGACGGTCTGAGCCCATCATCGGGCTCCTAGAGAACAAAAAAGTAGTTCAGTGATGAAATGAAGGCTCTGAACATTTGATCGTCGTCGCGCGCTCCTCTCCCGACTTCAACCACTAGGCTTCCGTTACTGAACAGTACCGCAGCTGTTGCAGCAAAGCACATCACATTTCAGCGGGTCAACGGTTACGGTATGAGGTGGCGCGCGGAGCGCGCCGCCGAACCTAGTCTTAAATAATTAACGCCCCCCCTCCGACGGGTCCCTGAACCTCTGACGGAGTAACACCAACTGACAGCGTCAGCTAGTATTACTAAGAACGTGCCATGGATCGGGTATGCAGCACCGAGTTCGCGAGTCAGTTCGGTTCACATGAATGAGGCGTGGAAGTGTGCCAAACGTTAATGAGCATTGCAGACAAGACGAGATCGAGCCAGAGCCGGGGTGTAAATGCATAAGTTGAGATCACTCGACATCGCCCACGTCACAGTCCGCGTCTGGACGAGTTTGTCTCTCAGTAGTTTGTGTTCGCATGTGGCCGTCAGCGCCGCGCGTTCACCGAAGTCAGCTATAAGAAGTGGTTTCAGTTCACGTTGAGATCGGGACTTCCGGGAGCGACTTGTGCGCGAGACGGTCTGGCTAGGTGTGGTGAATGTGTCCACCTGTCCACCTGTCCACCGCTGAGAGACATGGGAATCAAAGCGGAGGCGAGGTGCTGAGGGCAACAACGTGCTGGTCCCCTGTTGGGTGAAACGATCGCTCAACTAGATAAAAAGGCATCTAGGACACTTTTCATACGTTCACTGATCTGACATGTTGGTAAGTAGGTAGATTTTCTATACGACGGATCCTTGCAACAACTGCAGTGAGAGGAGACCATCGGAGATCATGCGATTGACAGGGGCATGTATGCGTTCGGGGATGGACCGAGGTGTCAGGCACCGTGGTGGTCTTTCAGGACTCAGGAGGCGTTGACCAACGCGTTCATCTTGCTCGCCCAAATCTTGTGGACCGACGTCACGGGATGCAAAGTGTCAAAATAGATGTACTCCGTCGGTTTCATGCAAACGGCTCCCGAGGTCGAGTCATAGCACGTCTTGTTGATGACCTTGATCCCGTACTTGGACGGTGAGTTGGTCAAGTCTCTCCACTGTACGACGAAGGGCAGTAATCGACCGTAGTCAGAACAAGAAAGAAAAAGAGACCTAGTGAAGGGAATGCTGGTGGCTGTTGGCTCACCAAAGCTGCGAGATCGTAGTAAAACACCTTGCTGCTTGTTGGCTTGAAGCTCGATACGAATCTTTGCACATCCGAGTTAAATCGCGCCGATAGGTCTTTGAGGATTGAAAGGGCTTGTGCACGTTGTGTTGCGGTGTAAGTAGAAGGAATCTGATAGCCGAAGGTTGGGACGATCTCGAGGGGAGGGATACCAGCGATCAGGAAATCAGCTGCAGCGACCGAGCTGATGCGTTGTGTGTGGCCAAAGTAGGGCGATATGTCAACAACACTACCAGGTCGCGTTCTCTTGCGCGAGAGAACTGACCCAGTGACCGATTGACTTGTCGAAGTGATGAATTCGGCCAGAGCTGCAGAGTTGCTCTTGATGTTGTTTCGAGCTGTATTCATGCTCGCTACTGACATGTTGCCGTTGAGGACCTTCAACCAGATCTGAGTGACCGGGTTGATACCTGTGGTATTTCGTAGAAGATACGAGAGATGAGAGAGGACCCTGAAGCCTCTAGAACTCTACCGAGCTCACCAGTGTTGAAAAAGTGCAGCACACGACCTTTCCCGATGTCGATCCTTGAGCGCTTTAAGTCACTGATGTACGCGGCGACCTGGGTAGAGACGATACCATATGGCTTCAGATCATGCACATTCATGGTGCACGGCCGACCACAGAACTGACCTGATCTCTTGTTGCCGGATAAGAGCTGGACGCTTCGCCCAGTCCATTCCTAATGACCGAGCCGCCATAGGCGTCTGCCAAATCAATTCAGAGAAACCAGATGAGGGTCCGTGCCATGCGCCAAGATTTTTTTCTCCCGCTTATTCCAATTCCCAACTGACAATTAAACAGTTTCACGGCGCTTTTCCCATGCTGTTTGAGTGCGGGACTGGTGCCCGAAGCAACCATGTACTCCACACCGACCGGCCCGTTCGAGTAGCGACCTCCCGCGGAGGAGTAAGGGTAGTAATTTCTCATCGAGCTTTTGTATACATCCGCTCGGGGGTGGGCGTTATCTGATGTTCATCAAAATTGGCAACAATCAGAGACGATCGAATAATAAATTCGATCTGGGCTTGGTCGTAGTACTTACCGACGTAGGATGCACCAAAAACGACTAAGGCAGAGTAACCCGTCGGTGCTGGGGCGCGAGACTGCACGTGATGCTGCGCGTGCGCATCCGAAGCTCTGACTGCGACAACATCGGCCTCCACCACGGGCGACTGCATAGCCACACACAACAACGCGATGAGCAGGACCGGTGTCCAAAAGGGTTTGTTCTTTCCCATCAGTTTAGTGGGTATTCGAGTTTCGGCTCGACGATAGGACAGGGTAGGGAGGCGACTGGGCTCGGCGCGGAGGCCGGACGAACGGAGCAAGCGATCGTTCGTGCGAGAGTAGCGGTGCCAGAGAGAGTCGGGCTGGCCCGAAAACTGGTGCGATCAGAGGTAAAAGAGTGTGGGAATGAAATAGATGGGAGTGGTCAAGGATGGACTGGGCGGTCGCGCGGTCATAGAGGAGACACAAAGCGCGAAGGAACAGAGGAGAGTCGAGACTGGGATGCCCCACGCCGCCGCGCCGTCCACATAAGTCCAGACCAGTCCGCCGCCGCCCAGGGATCCGAGCGCCTCGTGCAGCCGAGGTTCGAACGAAGACCGCGGGATCGCCAAGTAGAAGGATAGAAAGAAAATGTTTCGTTCAACCGCACATGTGACGAAGATGTCCCGTCAAGATACATGGTCTACATTCAGGAAGGAGGTGCCTGAAGGCCTTTGCGTGTGCCCCCACCGGGCACCGATCACGTGACTGGGTCCGCGGCCGTGTGCGTTCATCGGTGCCAATCCTGACTTCCCGAATCGAGTGGATATGGTCAAGCTTCCCGCCGTGAGTGGGCGTGGTTCCTGTGCATTCCCCATGTTCACGTCTTACTCCGCATGACGTTGACCGTGAATCAACCTGTTTTCTGATCAAATAATCTGCTCTGGAACTTCGAGCGTCGCCCCATTTCCCCGGGGCACATCGGGATGGGCAGTGAAGAAAGATGCACCGATTAAGTTGAATTGTTTGCTCAACGAAATCTACCGAAGCCTCGTGTTATTGAATTCCGGTAAATGATTGCTAGTGAAGGAACGAAATTAGACCCGACAATTAAAGTGCGCCTTCGGAGGGCACGAATTGAAGCGAGAAGCGAAGGACAGGTAGTAGGAAAGACAGGCACTAAAGGTACGGTGCCATCAAAAGAATAAATTGTACCACGACCTTGTCGCAACCCTAAGGTCCGAGGTCACGTTTTTCGATGTGCTCGGTCTTGCCGCTCTCGCCCTTGGCGGCGAGGTAAGCATCCTTGTCCTCGTCGTGCATATTCTCGTCCAAAATACGCTTGCGGAACGCATTCGAGTTGATGATCGAGCTGTTTCGGTATAAAATGTCGACTTGCTCCAGAGACAAACCCTGTGATCGATACGGAGGTGAGCACAAGCGATCAGCCAAACCTTCTTAGGACTGGCGTGAGATCTATTGTGTGCTCACCTTGGTTTCGGGGATGCAGAAGTAGGTGAAGATGAAGCACAGTACGCAGCCTATCAATTCATGCGATATGCTCAGTATCATCTAAAGTTTGAGCTCACCCTCATTCTGTAGAAGGAGCTTACATCCTCCCCAAATCCAGAACACGTTCGACTGCAGCCCCGCAGAGCCCGGAACTTTGTTAACTAGATAAGGCGTAGAGTAACCCTATGATGGTGCACTGTGTCAGCTTGTGAAACCGAGTGACGTTTAGAACAACCAACTGCAACGACTCACAATCACGAAGTTGAGCAGCCAGTTGGAAGCCGTTGACAGGGACATGCATCTCGCGCGGATCGAGTTGGGGTAGATCTCACTCGTCACGACCCAAGCCAGAGGACCCCAAGTCGCAGCAAAAAAGGCGATGAAAATGCATACGAATGCGATGAGAACATGTTGTCCGGCCAAGTTAGTCGTTGCGACCGCGTCTCCGACCGCGGCGACGATGAATTGAGAAACGAGCATGCCCGCAGCACCAATCAAGAGCAAGGGGCGACGTCCAGCACGATCGACTGCCCACATACCGGGAACCGTCATGCAAACATTGACACTGATAACAAAAAACATGTATTGATTCAGTCTGTCATTTCCCCGAGGCGACATATTGAAGCTTACACGTTGGTGGCGACGGTGATCAGGAAGGGGTTCGTGATTCCCGCATTCTGGAAGAAGGTAGTTCCGTAGTAGAAGATGACTGAGTGAAGCCACGATCATCAGTACAAGAATCAACGTACATGCCTATATAACACCAGAGAGTCAAATGAGAAGCTCACAGTTGATACCGGTAAGCTGCTGGAGAGCTTGGAGGCCGATACCTGTCCAGGTGCGCAGCGAGTTCTTACCAGGGCCGGATCGGAACGTGTCCAGGTAGCCTGGCACGAGGCCTAGATCTTTAGTTCCAGGATATTTGCAGGCAAGGCCAAATGCTCACTTACTTGCAGATCCGAGCGCTCGTTCGTGATGAAGGTTGGCGGCGATCTCCGCGTATTCCTCGTGGACTTGAGCCGAATCGACAGGGGCGGAAAGGATCCTAGACAGTGCGCGCTGCGCGCGCTCGTTGTGACCCTGCGCCAAGAGCCAACGTGGGGACTCGGGGAGGAACAACAAACCGACACCGAGCACGGCGGCCCAGATGAACTGCAAGCCGATCGGGATCTGGTAGCAGGCGGCAGAAGCGATATCCTTGGTTCCGTAGACGATGCATGCAGCCTAGCAGAGATCACTTTCCTTTTTAGCAAGCGAAATCAGATTTTGACGATCAAGCGAGCGAAGCTTACAACCAGTAGACCGACGGTGATCATCAGCTGATACGCGGCAACGATGGCGCCTCGGATTGACTTGGGAGCGCACTCGCTCTGGTACATCGGAACCAGACAGGACGTTCCGCCCTGTCGACGGGATGCGATGTAAAGCCTTCGGTCAGTGGGTGCCATGCGCATCGTTCGATGGCTGTCAACTCACGACTCCAAGACCCTGTATCGAGGAGGATCCACGTGGTGGTCAGTTGACACTCCAGGGAAAAGCAATCACGGAAGCAGCACAACTGACCGCGAAAACACGACCGATGACGAAAGGCGTGAGTGATTTGCCACCCGTTTGCAAAGCCACGCCGATGCAAAATAGCACCAAGTACGCAATAATGCCCTATGACAAAGATATAAAAAGAACTGCTTCAGGAGTTGTGATTGCCCCATAAAGGCTAAATGGACTTACCCAACGCCTCCCCAATCGATCACCGACGGGAAACGCACCCAAAGCCCCTAACGAGCAAGAGAGCACGTGTTAGCTGCCTTCGGGCAAGCGATCACGAAGCGAAGATTGTATGCTTACCAACGAATGTTCTGAGGAGGGAAACGATGCGAGTTCTGGGTCAGTCATGTTCAACAAGTCTCACCCCAAGACAGGAGGCACAGTCAGCGTACCCAGCGGAGAGAATCGAGGTGATGAGCGAGTCGTGACCTGACGAGAGGACGAAGCGTTGATCGGGAGAGTTCTCGGGATGGAAGTCACCGAATAAGGTGAGCCAGTATGGCATCGCTCTATGGGGATGGTGGTGTGGAGGGTCCGAGCTCGTCAGTTCACGCGAGATGAGAATTGAGCGCGCCGCTCCGCCCCAAGCCAAAACGGCGAAGACGTACTTGACTCCGGAAATGTTGCCGGTATCGTAGCCGTACCTACCGCCCATAAGTCAGGAAGGGTGTGCAGGTCAGTTTCAGCATCCAGAATGCATATCCGAGCTCAAGACGAATGCTGAGCGAGCCCGACCCCCCAAGGCCGGTGCGGTGGGGCGACCTGCGGTGGCCACGCTAGCCGTCGCGCCGTCAGGAGATGAAGAGGGAGCTGCTCACAGGAAGCCACCAAACGCTGCAAAACACGTCATGGCCACGCCCATGGGTGAGATCTCGTAGATCACAGCGGGTGCCATGGCGAAAGAGTCGAGTTGTGGAGTAGGAATAAAGTCGGATTGCGCTTGGAGTGCTAGGAGGCGGGGCTAGGAGGTGGATCGCAACTTGATCGAACAGAGACTGAGGAGGTTTGAGATGCGGTCGACTCGAAGTTGGTTGAAATGGAGCGGATCGATTACAGCTGTGTTGCAAGCTTGCAAGCTTGATATCACTCCAAGGTTGAAGGAAAACAGTCGTCCTGGATTGTGGAGTAGGATGTGGGCAGAGGAAGGAAAAAAAGGGGGGGAACAGGAAGAGTCATTGCACCCCGGACTGTGTCGCACGACCCCAGACCGGTGACTGTTTGGCCCGAGCGCGGCCGGAAAGGAGAGCCTTTCTCGCTCACGCTATGTACAAATATTTGCCGGTGGTCACGAGACCTCGCCGTTTGGTACACAGGTACACACGTATATGTCTCACTCCGTATACGCGGGGATGTCCCACAATGGAAATCCGTACGTCGAGTGATCCCCATACCCCGTACGGCCCGCATGTAAGGTATGCGCCTTTGATGTGCATAAAATACAATCTGTCGTTCTTAACCGCTAGGCTAAAAGCAAGTCGTAACTAGAACTCGACAGTTCTAGCTACTCAGAGGCTACTTATGGGGCTGTTTCTGTAAGGCATCCCCTTACACCGCAATCACATCCGCCGCCCGGGCGGTGCTCCCGTGCGCGGTGTAGCCCCTGACGCAAATGACGCGCGCCTGTTCCGTAAACCAGTCTTAGTCATTGTGGCACCGCACGTGGCTTCAGACTTATAGTTTCAAGGTTCGCCCGTAGTAGGCACCATGTACACGGACTTACGGTCAGCCGGGCGAACTCGGTTCGGCTTCGCGGCGATGACGTCAACAGCATGCCATCATCATCGACAACTCAAGTCGGAAAGAGGTGGCAGTTCATGATCACATGATCAAACTGTGTCGACTACAGTACAGCTATTGACCAAGCATGTCTCTTCAAGCAGCTCGGGAGAATTGGACGAGTCGAATCGGACTGGCGCCATTGCAAGACAAGCCGGCCATTCTTGCTCTGTGCCGTGCTATGTATTTTCCCCGAGTTTCAGGAGCTCTCTTGTCCCTAAAAGGTCTCAAAACCCCGCTCCACCCTCCACCCCACGCTGCATCCCCACGCTGCACCCCCGAGTGTGATCGATTCGTCTACTCGGCGTCTCACTCCGCCGCCGCGATGAACCCAACTCTGTGCCGTACGACGTGAACCGTAAGTCGTGGTCCAGGAACTGCGCGTTGAACGATTGTCATCAAGGGGTTTCTACAGATATGCTCGGGGTCAGAGGGGCTGAAAAAATTGACTTGCGCTGACGACTTGCGCATCCAAGCCTCTTTCGCATCCGGATCCTTGCGCAGTCATGCTAGGTTTCTCCCCCGAGAAGAATCAGTGAGACTCTCCGTTTCAAATCCAACTTCCCGAGAATAGCAATCGAGTGTCGGTGATTGCGGATGATCAAACAGCGGACCTCAAGAAAGAAATGATGGCTCGGGCTCGGCGTCTCGGTCCGACACCCCGCGGGGGGTGAGACTTTGTGCGCTAGGATATACAAACAGGGGCTACAAGTACACAGATGCTCGTTTCGGGGGCAGTATGTCAATCCGTGCACCTTTTTAGACATGCTATACTTCAGACACAAAGAAGAACCTGACAGCGCAAAAGTGCGCAAAGAGGCCTGGCGCATCGACTACATCTGATCCTCGGGCCTCTCGTACTGGTGTTCGTGATCGTCCTTGGGCGAGAATGCCTTGACCACGACGACTTGGTCCCCTACGCGAAGGGTACCTCGTGCTGTTCGGGGCACAAGATTGACGCCGAAGAAGGTCTTTTGGGCGAATATGGGCCAGATTCCTTCTCGATACAGTCGTAGGGTCTGCACAAGGAAGAGATCGTCACCTGGTCAGTCGACTGGATAAAACTCATCCTGCGCAAGCACGCCCCTCCTTACCTTGTCAGGCACCGACTTGTCTCTTACTCCTGTCTCGGGGTCAACATTCGGAAGCTACAACAATGCATCGTTGGGGGGTAACCTCATTAGCGCAGATCATTCATCGGGACAGGGAGCGGGGGGTGGGGGGGCTGACCATACACCTGGCGCATCGTGTAGCGACATTCATCGTCTCGCTCTGCTCTCTACCCTCGAATCGAATTTCATTCCATCCATCTTCTTCCCAAGCATCGGCGCCATCGACGATGACGTTGCCCCTCCATCTCAGAATCTCAAGCGGTTGCTTCTGGATCCCCCGCTCCGACCATCTCTGATTCTCGTTCCCATACCCTTCTTTGAGCAGATGCTTCTCGACGTCCCTCCGAGAAGCTTCGGAAACGAGTAAGACGGGGAACTGGTCGCTCCATTTGATCGTGCTTCCACCCTCGTAGTCCATCTTGACCTCGCTGAGCGTCTCGACGATCTCCCCACCGGCCGTGAGCCTCGGCTCGTCGCCCTTTCGAACCAGCAACACGGGCTTACCCATGAAGCCACTCAGAGCAGCGTTGAGCTCTGGCGTCCCGACGCTGTAGGGGGTGTTGGACGACCCCCAAATTTGCACGTCGGTCAAGAGATCCTCGTCGGTAATAGATGAGGGCAAGTCAAGTGGGATCCAGTGGGACGAAGCAGGGTTGTCGCCCCAAGCGGGCACGTCAACTTGAAGTGTTGTAGAGCTAATTTTTGGGTGGATAAGCACCATCTATGTTGGAGCCGTTCATTATGTTGGGTCAGCCGACGGAAGAAGCGCGGATTCCGAGGCCCACCTCCCAGAGACTGACTCGAGGAATGTTGCGAGCGGTCAAGAAGCGATGCGAGCGTTCTTCGACTGCGAAGAAAAGCCAGCGATACCAATCAGATCAACTTTATCGAGTGGACCAAAGCAAATCGCTTGGCTTGGGACCGACCGATCATCCATTGGCGGTCGTACTGATCGCAGACGATGTGGCGGGGGATTCGAAGCACAGGCAGATAGTCTGGATCAGCGAAGCGCTACGCAAAGTAGTGAAACCGACGCCTACTTGCATCCAATCCTGTTTCGCTGTATCCACTCTCCTTGAGCTGCGTGCCCTTGCAGCTCTTGATGGGGAAGATCCACAGGTCTTTGACGACGATCCTTTTCTCGACCATGATGGCGCCCGTCGAAGCAGTCACAGGCTGAAGCAGGACCAGATACGATCGGTGAATTAGGGTCCTACAAGTTCTTGACTTGGAGGGTGATTTGCGGAGAGCTCTGAGAGTCGTTGTAGGCTGCGGCTTCGACTGATGCTAGATATAAGACGGAGCAATAACTTGCGGACTAGAGCGGAAGAAGAGCGCAAGAGAGCGCAAGAGTATGGGCCGCCTTTTGTCGTTTTATTCGGAGTGAACACGCGCGGCGCAATGACAATGCGCGCGAGACCACTTCACAGCACACACCAGACATGACTGACACTCGCCAGACCCTCTGTGACATACCTCGACGCATCGAACACACGCGTTAGCGCTATCTTTGACCCACGAAGTAGCATTTATACACTCCTTCGCACTTTTCACTTGTTTCCGACCCATTTTGACAACACTCTTTCCCACTTCAGGCGCACTCGAGCGAGGTTCTCACGCTCCCCAGACTTATGATGACGCACGCCAGACCACATCTGAACACACGCGAAAGCGACTTGAACTCTCCAACATTTCAACGCACGCGCCAGAAAACGAAAATGAATTTCAGGATATTTTCCCCGGATTTATAACCCCGCACTCACTTGTGATGATTCGCACCAGACCCGAGTTCACCACCCTCTCCCCGCGCTCTGACGCTCCTGAGCCCCGGGTTCACACCCCACGCAACCACATCACACTCGCGCGAGACCTCATTTCAGGCGCGCCGTGCGTCCCATATGTCGCACCAAGTTGATGATTTGACGCACGAAGTTGATGACTGCCGCACGAGATCAAGCTCAGCGGGACTAACGTGGCGTAGACTGTCTACTAACTTCAGTAATTTTCTAGTACTAGTCTATCATGTGCAGCCACAAAGAAAGCCTTCCAAATGGAAACTGCTCCCGTGCTCTCCGTGTAATTCCCAATCAGTGAATCCTCCCAGGTGCAATGAAATAACGTACCTCAAACAGTACCACAGTGGTAGCCCGAGCGGCTCTCCTGCACGAAATACGCCGGCGTGGGAGAGCGTGGGCACCGGGGTATGCGGGTGCGCGGGTGGACCGTGGCTTCCTGAGCTGGCAGCAGGTGCAGCAAAAGTGCAATGCCGCAAGTACGCACCAAAACACCGCAAGTAGCGTGCACCAAAACAGTCGCATGTCTAGTAGCATGTCTAGGCTAGGTTAGAGACCCTACAGCGCGCAATCTCAGCAGTACTCGTCGCTCGAGATGCATCGCAGCGTCATTGTGTTTCGGGGGAAGAATCACACGGATGAATGTAATGCTTGAGACATAGCACAATGAATGACCGGTGATGATTGAACGAGCGGGGCTCTAGTTGTGAGCTGCCACTCACACGGATTGTTGCAGCTTGAACGAGTGGAAATCCGACTCATGCTCGCGTCGGCAGCAACTGCGTCGTACGAGCTCACTGAGCACCAGCACACCTGATAATGGCGTCACAGCCGGCATACTTGTTGTGGCGATCGTTCTTGTGCCATCTATGGTTGATGAGCCCGAAGTCGGATAGTCTCATACAGCGTTTTCGGGTGAGAATGAGGACGGTGAAGGCGAAGCACGGGCGTGCGTGTCCAAATTCGCGTGCGTGTGTTCCAAGTTCGCGCGTGCGTGTCGTCAAATCAGCTTGCACATCATCAAGCAGCCGCGCGCGTGTCATGATCAGCAAATCTCGCGCGCGTGTCTTCAAATCGAATAAAACGACAAAAGGCGGCCCATAAAGAGAGCGCAAGAGAGCACATGTTCCCGTGGCGCCTCGAATCAGATCGACTTCCCCTGACTTCCCCCCGCTTTGGGCCTCTTTGGGCTCCTCCTCATCACCCTGCCCGCTCTGCCGTACCCGCTATCAAACGCCCCCCACACAGGTACACATCCGCTGTAACTCAACTCGTTCAAGCCCGGATCGGAGTCAATATGGCGCCTCCCTCGTCGGCGATCCCGTCCGCGGCTCGATTATCGTCCCTAGCGACGTCGACGCTGTCGCAGATTCTCGAACTCACACGAGCAGCCCAACTGTCCCTGCCTTCGACCTCGCTCTCATCAACCATCTCCAAGAACCTGTCACAGCTCTACAGAGGAATCGAGCTTCTCGATGGCCAGGACTCGGAGTCGCCGCAGGTCATGACCGAGCTCAAAAGCCAGTACCAACGCCTGATCAAGCTCGTCGAACCGCTCGGCGTCGAGGTCGAGTTCGATGGGCAAAAGGGCAAGGGCAAGAGTAAGGGCAAGGGCAAGAACAAGACCGGGAGTAAGACGGGCAAGCTCGTTGATGCGGGAGACGACGGTAGTGACGAGCCATTCGGACTGGGCGACGACGGCGATTCCGACGATGAGGGCAGCGACGACCAAGGCGATGACGATGACGATGACGATGGAGCTCTCTCGCCCAATCAGTGAGTACCCCTCGATGGCCATGTCTTACGTCAACTCATGTCTGACCCGTCCTCTGCCGCGCCTCTAGATCCGGAGTAGCCCTGCATACCCTGTCCTCGGCAACAAATCCTCACGTCGCGATCAAGTTCCCGCCGAATCCGGAAAGCGAACTCGAGCAGATGGAAGAGGACGAAGAGACACTACGGAGAGCAAACGCTGAAGTGGTGCAGATGCAGAAGCGTATGATCGAAGGTGCGTTTCAATCTCGTGGCAAGAGTGAGCAGCCAGCGGGCAAGATGCTGACCTGAGCTCCTGGGCGATCCACCAGATCAAGATGAAACCCTCAACTCTTTATCCTCGGCGATAGCACGGCAGCACTCGCTATCACAGCACATCTCCTCCGAACTCGAACAACAGTCAGGTCTGCTCGACGAAACCGATTCAGCCATCGACCGAACACAGATTGGCCTCCGTCGCGCAAGCGGGAGATTGAACCAGTTCACTCGGAAGGCGAAGGAGACGGGTTCAACAGGCCTCATCATTGCTCTTGTCGTCTTGCTACTAATTTTGATTGTCGCGTTCAAACTCTGAGCTTTTTTAGTTGCAGCAGCTCGATCGATGATTTTGCCCCTCAATTCGATGCCGGCTCGAGCTCTAAGACTTGGTCTCTACTTGTCGTATTAGGTACTCTCTCATCATTGTGTCTATTGTACCACTCATGTTATTCCCGCGATTAGCTACGGACCTGTATGAGCCTCGCTGGATCCGCGCGACGGTCGCCGTCCGAGTAGTACTAGTAGGGGAGCGATGTTGACGATCGGCGGTGAAAATCGTCCACGGGAGTCGACTTGGTAGGCAGACTCGCTGCAGGATCTATACATTGGATCTATTCCACCACTTCACAGGTGCTTGCAACGAATTTGATCATGTACACGTGCCGTCGAAACCTCTTTCCTGCACACGTAGGCATTCGCAATCAACGTCGCTGCTGACGTGGTGACCAATGACCTCATGCGCACAGAGGCGAAGACGTGCTGACGTGATCAGATCCAATGCTGCCCCGACCGGTCGCCGCGTTTGGCAAACCGTTCTCTCCAACGGCTTTGACAACAGCAACAGCGAACTTGCTGTGGCGCATTCGGGTACTAGCAATTGCGCGCGATTTGTCAGCTACAGCGTCGTAGGCTTGATGGTCCGTCGGCCCCAAGCTGAGGCAGCCCAAGGCAAGGGTCGATGTGGGGCACCCGGCCCCCCTCTCGCACTTCGACTGCTTTCTTCCTTCTGATTCCATCACCTCTCTCAACTTCCCCGCGCATATCAAAACTCGACCATGCCTGCTCAATTCACCCTCTACTCGCACACGGGTGGACCCAACGGATGGACCGGTGAGTCATTGTCACATCATGTGGTTTTCACGCAGCACCGAGTCTTTCGGCCCCACAATAACTGAAACGTCCTTGCTGCAAACCACGCGGTCGTCCCCCACCAGTTGCTTTCCTCTTGAAGTGAGTGCCCTTGTCGGGGATGGTCCTCCTACACACCTATGCTAATTCTGGGTCATCTTACTCCTCGACAGGGCTCTTGGTCTGTCTTACGAGACCAAGTATCTCGACTTCTCGAAGGGGGAGCAAAAGGCCAGCGACTTTGTCAAGCTCAACCCGAACGGCAGGGTCAGTAGCTTCCACCTCGGGGATCCCGAAGTCGGCAAAGGTGACTGACAGGGAGTATCACCACTTTTCCTCCACACAGATCCCCGCTCTCGTTGACCACCAAAACGGCGACTTCGTCGTTTGGGAGTCCAAGGCCATCCTTCTGTACCTCGTTGACACTTGTACGTCGCCTGAGTTGGCCCGCACGAACTTTTCGAACACGCGCAAATGCTGACCTATTTCGATGCTCCTCTTTACGACTTGATGACGAGAAGACGACAAGGAGGGCAGATTCACCGTCTCGGACCCCAAGGAGAAGGCACAGCTCATTCAGCTCCTCTTCTTCCAGGCCTCCGGCCAAGGTCAGTGCTCGCGGCACCGTCGGTTTCCTCACAAGTCCAATACACTGACACCCTCGTTTGCGTGCTCTCAGGTCCTTACTACGGTCAATCCGCACACTTCTCCCTGTTTGCGCCCGAGAAGATTCCTTGTAAGTCGGCGCAGTGAGCACCTATTCCCCTGCCACCCATGCTGACGCCATCATCCCGCCCTGCTCGCACCACAGACGCCATCAAGCGCTACAAGGATGAAGTCAAACGCGTTCTCGGCGTCCAAGAGGAGATCTTGAAGGAGGCCAAGGGCGGCTACCTCGTTGGCGGCAAGGTCACGATCGCCGATCTCGCTTTCATCACCTGGTCAGTTGCTCCTCGCCCTTGCCTCAACCCTTCCTCGTTCTGCTCAGTCAACTGATTTGGTTCCCTACTGCACCGTTCTAGGAACGAGTTTGCCATCGCCGCCAGTCTCGGCCCTGACGGCACGGACGTGTCCAAGGAGTTCCCGACCCTGTTCAAGTGGCACGAGGGCCTCAAGCAGCTGTCTTACGTCGCCGAGACTTACGCCGAGAAGGCCAAGGTTGGCGCGCACTAGAGTTGCTGGTCGTTCATATCGTGAGAACCAATGTCACAAGTAGATTCAAAGCAATCACAAACATACAATGTGAAAAAAAACCAGGTTGTTCATGACTCCCGAGGTGCGCCTGCGCGGATTTCTTGACAAGTAACACTTCAGTCGTCGTCGTGACCGTGACAGTCGAACGCTCGATGTCAGAGAACAGAAATAAACGACCGCGAGCGTGATGTCTAGACATGCAACTCTTGACCGTTGAGTACGTCTGGCCTGATGCGAGTGGCCAAGCCGAGTTTATTTCGAGTTTGCTAAAGCGCAGCAAAGCGCGTCTGTTGAGATTCGGAGGCCGACGACGAATGACCTTGGTGTTATCACATTGAGTACTCGCGGCGTATGCCCTCATGCTAGGCTCGCTCCCCGCTTGCATGGCGCGACGCTGCAATGGATGGTCCATCCCTGTCGGCCCTCGGGACATACGACCGTCTCGGAAAAGGACATCGGCACTTGCTCTCGCTTCAGGGCCGGGCTGGGCGCCCACCCGGGAGTATTTACCGCGACTCGCGCTCAGCCAATGCCAATGCCAAAGAATTGTCAGCGAGTTGTAATTTCGAGTTGCTCGAGCAAATCTAGGTCGATCGCATCACTCACACGAACAAAAAACCTGTGTTCCGGGCCTTGCGTTGGTGTTGGTCCTGGGTAGAACAAAGTCATGATCTGACGGCGGGTCCATCACGCGTACGTCCATTCGATCGACGACCGTCCGGCGGCGCACGCACGTGTCGCAAGCAGCGATCGCAAGCAGCGACGATTTTTCGAAAAGGGCCCGGGCCCGCGGAACTATTGGTGGATCGGACCCTTGACCCTCTGATAGGGAGCCCCTTGTAAAACAGATTTCTCGGCACCAAACGCTTGTCAAGGCGTGTTCGATCAACTGCAGGGGTATCCACCTGAATGAAGCTTTGCGCTGAATCGCTGATAGCCTGATACCGCCTCTCCGGCACGCTGGGTCGCAGCCGGCAGATCCTGCTCGAGTCCGACTCTTTCTCAGGCCCGGATTTCTTTCTAATAGCTTAACGTAATTAAAGGGGCGGCCACCGCCGCTAGGCTTTCACACTGCAATGTTGCAGTTGGCTTGTAGAAGCTACCTTTTACCAAGAGGGACTACGTTGAAGGTGCCGTGCAGCGCTTGTACGTCGTGCACTTGGTGTCGGGCGGCGGCCTTGAGTCGACCTGACAGACTCGCTGAATCGAGGGTGCACGGACTTGGGTTGATGAAGGATCCGAGGCTTGTTGTCGATCGATTCATAGCCCTGCCGGCCGCCTGCGCCGCGCTCTCTGGCGCGTTTGCTCACGCGAATTGCCTGAGACTCGTGCTTCCGGGACATCGTTCCGACCCCGGAACCCTCCTTCTTGAATACCGTCCTGTATGTGCGGCACTTCTTGGACAATACCCTCCCTCGATCCACACCCTATAGAGGCCCTCCAGCAGCTTCACAAGCCCTATCGAAGCCCTATGACCGTCCGCGCTCGACATAACGGCGTTCGGAGCGTGTCTCCGAGGAATAACATGATCGCCGCCGACCCATGCCAGACAAGTTCGGGCGGTGCACTCCCGCCTGTGCGCCGTGCACACGCCCTCCGACCTCGATCTCTGGCGAGTCTGCTCATCATTGTATTGGGATGTATCTCTCTTGCCCGAGTGCCTGTCACAGTCCTTGCTGCTCCGACTCCAAGCGGCTGTCCTAACAGGGCGTCCTCGGTCGCCGTGCCGCCCGAGTATGCGAACGCGCCTCGACGTCGGAACCCCCGGTCGCGAAGGGTGCAGAAACGGGATACGTCGGTGGAAGGATATTCGGCCTTGGTCACCTTTGGAGCTAGTTATACAGGTCAGTCGTTGTGGAAGATAACTGCGTCGACCTTGGAGATGCGTCATGCAAGGGCAAACTGGCCCCAGATAGCGCTTTTCGGAACTAGAAACTGAGGCCCTACCCCTTTTCAACCCTCCTCCCTTGCTTTCTCGCTTGAGAACAGACAACGCGCATGCGCGGGCGGCCAAGTATTTGGCCAGCATTCGTACCTTTGCACCGTATAGCAACGGACGATACAGCAATGGACCCGTGGAGGTCGAGTATATGGTCGACCCCACCGTCAGTCCCGCTATGCCGGTCGCTGCCGGCGTGACGAAAGTGAAATTGATCGATTGTGAGTGTGGCACTTCGAGCCCTCGTGGATGTTTGGAAGCAGACAAGTATCTGAAGATTATAACCTTGGAATACCATACAGATGCTTTCGGAGGATCCGTGATTTTGAATGGACTTGCCGGAACCGAAGGCACCGCCTCGGCCCCGGGCATCGTCACCCAGGTGAGTGAAGGTTGAGGAGTCGGAACGTTTTGGCCATGTCCTACCTAGCTAATACATGCCTTATCTCTCGCTTTTCCTCAGATGTCCATGTATCTGAATGACCTGAAAACCAAGACTGCCAACGTCGGTTCAGGTCGCGTTCTACACTACTTCAACTCTGGTGAGTGTCAACCCGCCTGACAACCTGTCATCACGTCTCGTCGGTAAACGCAGCGCATACCTGCTGACGTTTCAACACCCGGCTTCTCTACAGGAATCAACCCGGTTGAGCAAATTTGGTACCGCTCGATTCGAAATGGGCTTTCGACGAGTGCCACTCAAGCTGCGAGGATCGCAGTGACGCTGAGTGTCAACACCTACATTGCCGGCATTGTCAAACTTGTCAATGATCCTACCCTCGCCTCGTAAGTCGTGCTCGCTCTCCCGCGTCCCAGGATGGGACCACCGAGGCTTCGTCTGACATCCACGCCCCCTCTGTGTCTATTTCGCGCAGCGATGTCGTCACGGCGGATTATATGGTGGTCGGAATCCCGCATCTCGATACCGTCCCGTCATTCCGGTTTCTCGTCCCGTCAAGATTCTCCAACTTGGATCGACAACAAGCGCTGGCGCAATTGTCAGTGTTGTCGCAAATGTACAACTTTGCTCTTCAAGCGCTCGTCGTGCAGCTGAGGGCTGCGGCGGGGCCGACTTCGCGCGTGTGGTATTACGACCTTACCGCCTTGGTCAGTTGAAAAATGTCTTCCATTGAAAGAACATACGAACGCTTTGCTGACGCGGCGAACGCGCCTCCTCTTTAGTGGCAAGAGATGTACAAATCGCCAGGGTCGTACGGCATCACCGTTTCGCCAGTGACCACACCTTGCTACAGCAAAGGCAAGCTGTGCGCCAACCCGAAGAGCTTTTTGTACTTTGACACCCTGCACCCGGTGACGTCTGTTCATCGGATGATGGCGCAGAACATGAACGCCGAGTTGTCGAACCCACAGGCGGTGATTGCCTAGAGCGTCCGACATCACTCTCGGGTTACTCCTGATTTTCGGTGCTGATATAGATATCTTTGGATGTATAAAGCTGGCAGTTATAAGATAGCATATGCATGTTGTACAAGTAGTTCCGCATACCCATCCTGGAATGATATCTCGCCTGTTGGCGATACCACAGCATCACTGAAGTTCGACAATCACCACCGCGCGGGCGAACCTGATTGATGAAGGAGCACGAAATGACCTGCAAAGGGTGACCGGTGACGCAGCTTAAGTCCATGAGACGGCCTTGACGGCCTTGAGCGAGAAGGATGATGCGACGACCCGAGGGCTTCGTGTAGCGATCCACCTGGGGCTTGACTTTGGACTCCTCAGTGGCAATCTTTTTGAGCCGGGCGTCGTCGATCCCTGCGGGAGCAAGAGCATTGCTTCGTCAGACCCGAACACACAGAAGCGCCCCCATCTTTGCTCTCGAGCTGTTTGCTGGTGGAACAGTCATTATATTGTCATGTTGTGAATGGAGGAAAAATGCGAATGATGCGGATCGAAGAATTGCGCGTCGAAAGCCAAGAGCGACGTGAAAGGGGAAGGGGTGAGTAAGGGGAGAGATGGGCAAGGCAAAACGGTGACCAGTTGAGGGTCTACGTTTTTGGTGTTGTGCTACAAAGTGTACTGCTTCAAAACGGCTATAGAGATGCGCAACCAAACGCTAGACGCACGCATCGACGCGAGGTCGAGACGCCGTTTAGTAGCGATAGTGGTCGGGCTTGTAGGGGCCGTCGACGGGGAGGCCGAGGTAGTCAGATTGCGTCTTCGTCATGACCGTCAACTTGACGTTGAGCGACTCCAAGTGAGCGCGAGCGACCTCTTCGTCGAGAGCCTTGGGCAAAATGTGGACGCCGACGGGGTACTTGCCCTTCGCGGTCCAGAGAGCGATCTGCGCGAGGACCTGGTTGGTGAAAGAGCACGACATGACCCACGAAGGGTGACCGGTGGCGCAGCCCAAGTTCACGAGACGGCCCTGGGCGAGAAGGATAATGTGACGACCCGAGGGCATCGTGTAGCGGTCCACCTGGGGCTTGACGTTGGACTCCTCAGTGGCGTTCTTCTTGAGCCAGGCGACGTCGATCTCTGTGGGAGCAATGACAACGCTTCATCAGCCTCAAATACACGCGAAATAATGCATGACGCAGGGGGGGTAGCTTACCACAATCGAAATGGCCTCCATGAAACAACAAAGGAGATGATTAGCAAGTGTGCGCAAGTATAGGATCACGCGGAGGCGCGCGGAAGCGTAGCGCAATCTCACCGATGCTGTCAAGTTCAAGTGTGTTGATGGCGGTCAGTGAGTGTGCAAACACAAGGATCACCATAATACTCAAAGTGTATGACTCACTTGCAGACGATGGCATCCTCGGGCATAACGTTGAAGTGCTCGTCACGGATGATGTCTCGGCAGCCGGTGGTCGTGACGAAAATATTGCCCTGGGGGGCAGCCTCCTCCATGGTCGTGACCTCGAAGCCGGCCATCGCGGCTTGGAGGGCGTTGATGGGATCGATCTCGGTGATGATGACACGCGAGCCGTACGAGCGGAGGGACTCGGCGCAACCCTTGCCAACGTCACCGTAACCGGCGACGATGGCGACCTTACCGGCAAGCATGACGTCGGTGGCACGCTTGATGCCGTCGACGAGCGACTCGCGGCAGCCGTACAAGTTGTCGAACTTGGACTTGGTGACGGCGTCGTTGACATTAATGGCGGGGACCTTCAGGCCTCCGTTCTTGAAGAGCTTGTAGAGGTGGTGGACACCGGTGGTGGTCTCCTCGGAGACACCGAAGCAGCCCTTGATGACATCGGGGTACTTCTCGTGGACGAGAGCGGTGAGATCTCCTCCATCGTCGAGGATCATGTTGAGGGCCTCGCCGTTGGGGAAGCCCTTGATAGTCTGCTCCATGCACCATTGGTACTCCTCCTCGGTTTCGCCCTTCCAGGCAAAGACGGGGACGCCGGTCGCGGCGATGCTGCGTGAGCGAAGGGAGCAGACGCGAGCCAAACAGGGGGTCAGATTCGAGCTGGGGACGTGGGGATGCCTCGCAAGATACAATTTCTTACGCAGCGGCGGCCTGGTCTTGCGTCGAGAAGATGTTGCACGATGACCAGGTGACCTGGGCACCGAGGGCGGTGAGGGTCTCGATGAGGATGGCCGTTTGAATGGTCATGTGCAAGCAACCGGCGATGCGAGCGCCCTTGAGGGGTTGCGAGGGGCCGTACTGGTGACAAAGGCAAGATTACGTCGACAAGTCAGGCCTAGAGGCGCAATTGCCGGACAAGTAATGAAAAACGAAACTCACCTTCTCACGGAGGTACATGAGACCGGGCCTGATGACGGAGAAGGCACGAGGAGATCATCCAGGTCAGCGACCAGAAGCAGACTGACAGACTACGTCTCGCTAACGAGCAAAATTCTGACATTCCGGGAAGATGCTTACATCTCGTGCTCCGCGATGACTGCGGGTTTAAAAACGGATCAAAGTACGGAAATGGGGAGCGGTGATGAAGAGTGGAAAGTAGTTTAGGCACTTCGCGTGGTCAGTCCCTAGAGCCGCTGCAGGAGACTGTCGAACACAGCGATCTATTCGGAAAATTGTGACGAACCCATTTCCTTGCGGCCCCAGGCGGCAAGCGAGCTGCAAACAATTGCAGAAAGGTAGTATACGAGGTCAGCTCCGCGTGATTGTCCACGAACGTGGACGTAGACGTGGCAGCGTTGCGTGGCGTGGTGCAGCGAGTGCGGCCCCCCAATACTCCAAGAGTGGCTGGCTGGAGGAAGTCACTGACATATCGGCGCTGTGTTCACACGCATGAAGAAGGTCCGTTAGCATTGATGTATACTTATTAGTCGTCTACATCGCAGTCGGCGACGTACACCTTGAAGTTGGACATTCTGAAAGTTTGTTTTGAGGGGGGGTTGGGTGAGAGGCTGTTGTTGGGTGCGGAGCCGTGCCGGGAGCCCGAAAGCACAAGAGGCAGGAGGTAAGAACCAAGAAGATTTCAGTCGGAAGGACAAGGAAAGATTCTCCGAACAGGGGGCACTCACGAGGGATGAAGATGGGAGTGTGTGGGAGGAGAAGGAGCGTTGGCCGATGCCAGATGCGCGTGGTCATCGAAAGTCCTTCGCAGCTTTTGCACGTTCGAGCACTAAAGTCGATCAGCCCAGCCGGCCAGCCTGGCTAATTCCGCTCCGCCGGTTTTGCCGAGCCGCCGGCTATAATAACGACGGGGCCGTTACCTGCCGTTACTCTGGGCCGTTTGGACCCATTTTGGACTTTGGATTTGGCACGCGCTTCAGCTGCAGGCTAGGATTCAGTTCGACCTCTGCGTCTGCACTAGCTTTGCAGCAGAACAGACCACCGACATGACGAACAATGTAGTTGGATTGGACTCCCGACCTCATGAGGCCAAGTATCACCAAGTGAGTGTCCCCTCGCCTGGTCGAATGTTGCAAATGAGCGTCAGGCTACCATAGGCCCGAGCTCAACTCGATCGCAACGTAATACTCAGATGGCTCAGTACACGTGCACGTTCGATGCCCGACATGGAACGGTGCATTGCCAGCCTTTTGTCCGCACTTTTGTCGAAGCTGCCGGCGGCAAGTTTCAAGAGATCACATCGCTCGTCAATCAGAAAGGGGAGCGGCTGCCGCGGGCCACGATGGCCGACGGCGAACCCTCGTAGGTCTTTCCGGGGCCCTCTCCTCAACTCACCGCCGCCCAGCATCAGCTAAGCTCGTTCCGTCACTCTACAGTAACCCCATCATTGTCACTTGAACGGGCCTGCAGGCTCTTTCACGTCTCAATCGGGGAGCGTCTCTTCCAGGCTCCGGTCGCCAGGTGGCGCGAGGGCACGTAATTACGCAACTTGAAGAACTTGTTTCATCAAGTTTGGTCGCTCAGATGATTGCAGCATACTCCTCGCCAGTGCATGGTCTAGTCAACTCCAGCCAGGATGTCTTCAATGCCGTCTTCCTCTTCGCGGATCTGCAATTCCCGCGCGACCATGTCCAACGTTTCGCCCCCTTCCATCGCGTCCGCCAACCCCGATATGGTCAGCGGGATACGGTGGTCCGTCAATCGGTCCTGCGGGAAGTTGTACGTTCGAATCTTCTCGCTCCGGTCCGCGCCTCGCACCTGGTTCCTTCGCACCGACCGTCGCGCCTCTTGCTCGATCTGCAGCTTGCGGTCCATGAGGCGAGCCCGTAGCACTTTGTAGGCTTTGGTTCGATTCTACGAGATCATTATAAGAATTCTTCTCAGTTCTCGAGTGAGGGAATGCGATGCCAAACTTTTGCACATTGCCAAAAAACCCACTTCGTGCTGCGAGCGAGAATCTTGCATCGATACGCTGATGCCTGTGGGCTGATGGGTTAATCGAATCGCCGACTCGGTTTTGTTGACGTGCTGTGCGTGAAACGATGGAAATAGGCGTATATCAGCCAATGTCGCAGTACGTTGAATCTTGAATGGCACCATGACTGCCGCCGCAAACGAGAAAACTTACTTGACCGCCGGCGCCTCGAGACCTCATTACTTCGACTTTAACATCCTTTTGGTCGAATAAGTCATCGTCTATCGGTGCAGAACTGCCGGTTTCTGATGGCAGGACCTGAAAGTGCCCATGGAGGTATGCTGCGTTCAGTGCACGGTTTCGCGAGCCCAACGTCGGCGAGGCAACTCACGATGATGCCGACGGTGCTCGTGTGCAGCCGCCCCTGGCTTTCCGTCGCGGGTACCCTCTGCACTCTATGTACGCCCGCTTCTCTCCTCAACATTCCGAATGCGCCTTCGCCCGTGACTTCCAAGATCGCTTCCCTGTAGGCATCGCCCGTGCCTTGTCCGACGCCGCCCAGGCCAACGACTTCGACCAAACTTGCCTTCCATCCTTTTCGAACCGCCAAGCGCGTGTACATGCGAACAAGTTCTGCAGCGAACAGCGACGATTCGGATCCACCGACGCCGGACTTGACTTCGAGTATCGCCGAGAGTGACGCGGTCGGCGTCGGCGGGAGCAGAGTATTCAGCAAAGTCGACCGAAGCGATGCAAGGGTCGCCGTAGCTTCTGGCAGATCGCCTAAGGCCAATTCACGCAATTCTTCGTCCGGTTCAGCATCGGCCAGTTCTTGTAGGGTACTGATGAGCTACATTGTCCAAAAAAATATAAGGGGAGGGCACCTTGATCAGCACATTGGTTCCATGGATGAGATTTGCCGAGCCAAGGCGGTCCAATCTTTCACAACGAGAAGCGGCACGATCTTGTTCGACAGCTGTATACCCGAGCCATTTGGCACTGGTCCTAACTTTCGCAGTGAATGGTTCTGGTGCGATGTAACGAATCCTTCCATGCGACGCGCCGCTCGATGATCGCGAGCTGAAATGGTCCGCAGGCTCAGCTGAGGCTCACCTCTTGACCATCCTCTACATCCGCTAGCGCGCGTCTCAGACCATCGAGCTCCCTTTCACGCTTTGCAGCCGCAATACCTCCATCGTTCGTAGCTTTTGCCTGATCAAGCACCGTCCTAGTCGCCGTAATGAGCTTGTCCTGTGCCGGCGCCTGCGAAGTCGAGGTCGAAGCAGCCGGCGAAGATGACGTCGCGAAGGAACGCCTGTACACCGCACCACATGTACATTGAAGTGGTGTCCGAGCAACTGTCGGTAATAACTTAGCGCGATACGTGCTCCGGAGCGAAGCTGTGAACGATGCCATCCCTACACTTGCGAGGACGATGTTGCCGAACACTAAGCTTGCCGGCGGGTTTCGAAACAGGTCGGGCAGCTCTCCACCGAATTACTCTGGTCTGACACGATCAGGCTCAATCACTAGCCCCCGGCGGTGGACTCCGAGGGCAGTCGCAGGGGGGGGGGGGGTCTGACGGCTAACAGTACTTAGTTCTCAGCAAGGGTCTACTCTGGTTCAACTAAGCTCTCATGCCATCTCTTGCTGTATCAACAGCATACGCTGCAGCCCCACAATTACTGCAATCGGCGATGGACGGCCGCCGTCCATATGGCTTTACGCTCGAAATTTCCGGCTCGACTTTGCGGGCCTTCGGGACCACCAAGATTACATACACATCCTACAAGTGACCTTTCCACTATTTTTAATCCTAACTGATTGCTGAATACAGATTGGTGCACATACACTGAAACCTACGCTAGCGAGACAAAGGGGTATAATACTGATCTTCAACACGTGTGCCGAGCTTGACTGCCGACGCGGCAAGCTCGACTACAATACTTATTATCGCACCGAGGGCATGCTGGGTAGTTCAGTCCATTGGCACCACACCCATCGCAAATTGTGGCCACGCCAACACGAGAGTTGCGCTCCAACTCGAGCAAGAACGGATCGATTGGTCCCATCTTAGGTGATGCAAAGTCGTCTGCGCCGCCGCGGACGGGCGACGGAGGAAGTGACTCGAAGGCATGGATCCTGGCTCGGCGGAGCGAGCGAGAAGAGCGGATTCGATGGGGAGGGCGAGGGGGAAGCAAGTGCTCCTTCGTTGGGGTCGGAGGTGTGACGGTGCAAGTCGGCGTCCTCATCGGTGGGGGCGGTGAGTCGTAGCGGAGGCGGGAGGCTTCGTTCACTTTGGGCAGTGTCACGTAGGATCGGTGCCGACTCAAGAGTGATCGCTCGCGACTGTTGTCGCGGAGCTTTTGCACGACCGGAGAGGCGGGGGGCGAAGTTGGAACCGAGTAGACCTCGGATTCGTGGTCGTCCTCAAACAGGTCCGAATCCTCCCACATGCCGGCCGACGCGACTGCGTCATCATTTCTTTGCAGAACCTGGCGCAAGAGTGATGCTGCGGAATTGGATGGTACTGGCCTAGGCAATGTGCCCTCTTGGAACATTGCCGATATGGAGAGCTCCGACACCCGTCGCCGGAGCGTGCCGGCCCACGTCGCCGCACGAGCAGGTGCAGGTCGTGGCGGCGCAGTCGGGACCACGGAGGAGTGATTGCCATTCGCAGGCAACACGCCTGTCGCTGTCCAAGTGGACCCCGAGACTCGATGCGGTAGTGCGGCAGCGTGAGCACACGTGGAGAGCGAGGAGCTCGACGCCACCCGACGGATGAGGCGAGGCGGCGCGAACACGATGGATGCGTTCGATGCGATTCGACGAAGGCTGCGAGTTGGCGCGCAGTCAACGGTTGCGTTCGGACTGCCTGAACCGATATCAGGTGCGTATGACTTCTCCTCAAGACTGTCGGATATACGTAGAGATACAACCACGATCGGCGGCGAGCCCTGTTCCGATTCGGGCGGGGAAGGGTAGCCATACGTATGCGCAAGCTGAAAGAAGGAAGCGGATTGCGAGGGTTCTGCGCGAGCCAATTTGGAGGTGAATGTTCTCTCGCTCCGTCCACGCAGCACAGTATTCGCTGAAGGTTGGAAGGCAGGCGTCGACGTGCAGTCGATGTTTGATGACGACGATGGTGTCGGTGAGGGGAGTCCCCCGAGAGCGCAATCGATTTCTCGTTTCCAAAATTCAAAGCCCGAGTCCCGCGCGAGACGTTTCATAGCTTTGGCCACAATCTCATTGCCTGCCCTCGTTCCGACGTGACCGCCGCAGTCTTGTGCGATATCAACGATCTCCTCCCAATATCGCTCGGCAGCCCCTTGGTCTCGATGCCAGGTTTGAAGAGCAAGTAAGTAGAGCAGATAGCACTGGAGCGTAACAACGACCTTGCGTGCACTTGTTGATCGTGGTGTGCTCAGGTCGATACGAGAAAGAGCCTCCGCATCCGCCGAGGCCCGATCGTGTGCCGACGCCAACGCTAGCGGCAACACAGTCGGCCACGGCTGTTCCGAGCGCGGGAATGGCGCGACCAGCACCTTGATCCGAGGTGTGATGACGTCGGGGTGGAGTGTAGCAAACTCTGCGACTCGACATCCCCGCGCCCAGAGGTTGGGGTAATTTGGATCGTCGTGATCGTGTCGCATTCGCCCGTACCGATATTCGTCAACGAGCTGGGACAATAAATCGAAGATGGGGCACTATCAGTTCCGTTTTGCGGGGTGGCAATGTGAAGCCAAGTCGGGATCAAGAGGGTGACTCACTCCAATGACGAGGTCAAGTACCTTGTCGAGGTCTACTCGTCTCGTGATCGGAGGACTGCCGCTTGAACTTGATGAGCTTGTCGAGGAAGGGTTTGCGGCCACCGAGCGGAACGGATCCACCGGGCATCGGTGAACATCGCAGTTCAGTTCGAGCTCCAAGCCCCTGATATAAAGGTGTGCAGGGGCCAAAGCATCTGTAAAGGGGGTCTTCTCGATACGCAGTGTTGATTCGAGGGCTGCCGGGGAGGCGATCGGGAAGTAACTCGCGGACGAAGTTGATGATGGCGGAGGAGGCGGACACACCGTCGGAGTTGAGCCTTGCAGACGTTTTGACAGAAGACTGTAAGGTAAGGTAGATACATCAGTGCTGCATCTCGACCAGCGAGTGCAGAGTGCTAGAGAGTGCTAGCCCATGAACGGAAGCCCTTAGCTTCCCGCGAGCGCAGACGACTCACTTGGCTAGCAGTTCGCATCCCGCAGAGGATCCGAGCGCGACGGCTCGCGACAGCTTGATGATAGCGTCCCCACGACGGCGATCGATAAGGTCAACCTAAGCGATGAAGCATCCGGTGCGGGCGGATACAGAACGAGAACGGGCGAGGTTCAGTCATCAAAAGGACCGAAGCGGTTCGAGGCCGCCGCCAAACCAAGAGCCGGACAGAGCAGGCACGGTATGCTTACTTGGGCAAGCTCGATCAGATCCTCACTCGTCAGGTCATCCAAATCTACATTATGGGGAACCGGATGCACGAAGGGCCCATGTCTTATGCTTGACGGCGCTTCGGCGTCGGGCGTGGCCTGTGATCGTCGTCGCTCCAGCGCTTTCAACATGGGCCGAAGGATAGTCGCGAAGATGGACGACGAACAACGGGCTCCGACTGGCAGGCGGCTCCCGACGGGGACTGGCTCCGAGTGTCTATGTTCACTCCACTATATCTGACCGACAAAGCAGATACGACGCGAAACGGCTGCGAGTATAGACGGGTCGCGAAGGATGCGAAGGTTGAGACAGGCTCCCGCTATCACACACAAGTCGTGTGACTTGCACGGACTTGCCAATGGAGCTGCCGGGCCGTTCGCGCTTGTTGTTCCTGATCGAAAAAGCGATGCCGCCGGTCGAGCTTGCTTTTGATTTCCCATCTCGATTTACATATGAAAACTGATTGCTTGCGAAGGTTCCATTTGGAACACATGCTCAGCTATCCAGAATCATGCCTTTTCTGTATTCTCCCACAAGGTACCTATGGATCCCTGCCATCTGGAGTATCGAGCCAAACTCGTGAAGACCTCGGGTCTCCGAGATGTCTTCTATTGAAGAAGGTCGCGACGGCGATCTTCCGCAAACTCGGCGCGTGGGCTCCACAGCTTCTCTCTAGCCGGGTCCAGGTTCACGGTGATTTATGCTTAGTTAGAGCTCGTGCTTATAATCTCCCGTTGCTCGTGACACAATTACCTATCCTAACGGCACCTTACATACTGCTCAATGGCTCCGAGTCCCTGGCCCGTGCGCCGCGCCACAGCAGTGGGTCATGATGAATCACCGCGGCCCTGACCACCGACCGGAGTCCAGACCACTCAGTCCGATCGTGATCAACATTGAATATTCAGCCGTGCCATTCACACGCCGCGTGTTGCTCGGCGCTAGCTGTCGGATTGTTCATGATCTCGAGTCCGACAGCTGCGCTCAAGATGTACTTTCGATTTCGGCGGCTATGCTCCTGTGTTTATTAGTTCTCTAATTTTTGTTTCTCGCCCAGATGTCCTGACACCGTTCGAGAGAAACACGTGGGTAACTAGTTCGCTTTCGAGACTTTACTAGGTCTACTGGAGGGACTCCCGTTTGGCGAGTTCATGGTCACGCAGGCGAGGACAAATACCTAGCGCATAGGTGCTAGGTCAACGCTTACTGGTATGCGCAGTGAGATATGCGTGTGTGGCCAGCGGAAGGGCCCTCCAAGACCCCGAGCCAGCACACGTCTGAAGCGGGGCAATGTTGTGCGATTCGCAACTTCTCAGGCTCCACTGCAGCAGAGTTATCGGTCGAGCACCCGGTGCAGCACCGGGTGCAGCACCCCAAGGTGTAACGGTCTTGGTGAGCCGAAGTCCACTGCAACTCCGGTCCGGCTCGAAGATCAAGCGCGACTTACGCCGGTCCTCTCCTCACCTTCCTCTTCGAGACAGCACGCCGAAACCCGAGAGTCGTCTTCGTTCCATGACATTCCACATCGTTCCTCAACCTTCCATCTGGCAACCCGGACATCGGGCATCGTGATCTCTCGCTTGTAGAAAACCTTCCATGATCTTCCACAACATTCCACGGCTTTTACGATAAAATCCGGCCATTCCTTTGCTTCCTCCAAGCAACAACTAAAACTCATCCTCATACCAATACCTCATACTCCTACAACACTCCTTTGCAATCACACTCCTTACCCTTCTCGAGAAACCCTACAGTTCAAGTCCTGCTTCAGTTGCTTCGCAGTCCTAACCTGATCCTCCCTCGAGAATTCCCTCGCACCTCGTCCCCGAAAGTCTAGTCTCAGCCTAGACCTCTCTCCTGCCGCGAAGACCGTCATACAAGGTTGGGTGTACACCCTCAGACAATTCCGGAAGTAGACTGGACCCTCTTGGAGGTACATGTGTATCCAGTCCAATGTATACTGGGAATCACACCCTTGCAGGCGTCAAGCCGTCAAGTACTCCTATGCGTCGAACTGGCACTGCAGCTGAAGCAACATACCGTACGGCGCTTCACAGCCCCGCGCGTTCCAGCTTTAGAGACCAGTCACCGCATCCCGTCTTGCCCCAGACCGGCCACGGCGCCCCTATCTTCATTTCGTAGTGCCTCTTCAAAACCTCCCATCCTTCTTCTGTCACGCTCGATCGCCACAGTAGATGGACCGACAAAGAACGCCCTCGACGGTGTCGACGCGCTGGAGTCGGGATCACCGGCAGACGCGTCGACGCGCCAGCTGTTACCCATGCAAGTTCTGCGGTATTATTGTTGCTACCATGTAGGTCCGCTGTATTCGCGGGTGTCCAATCGTCGAGTAGCTTCCCAAGAGGTGATCGAGTTGGAGTCACTGAAGAAGGAGTGGGTGTTTGGGAAGCACCTTTTCCTAGACCGTCGTCGCCATGCATCCGATTTCCTGCAATTGCTATTGGATCAGAGCGACTCGGTAGTTGGAATATGATCCCAGGCAGCGTGGGAGATACTGCAGATGGGAGTGCAAGTGATGCAAAGGGTAAAAGTAGCGGAGGTGGGGCCGGGAGTTCGATAAACATCGGCCACGAGGCCGAAAAAGGAGATTCCTCGCAGCTGGTAGCTCGTTGGGCTCATAACCTATGAGAGGTAGAAGCAACGCACAGACCTGCTCAAGCAGTGGTAAGTCTCTGATCGACGGACCAAGGGAGACCAGACCAAGAAGTTGCTTGAGCAGGAGAGAGAGAGTCGCGCGGGGCCAGCTAGCTGAGAGCAAGTGCGCGAGTCTGGCCAGAATGCGGAAGATAGACGGCAAAGCCGGGTCAAGAAGGAGAATAAGGGAAGAGACACAGGGGCCATGATGCTAGAAGGAAATAAGAGAGAATTAAAGTACTTTGAGAATCTCACACCCCCCCGACTTCGAGCATCAGGGAGGACAGATGCCAAGGCGGCCGCGGTGACGCGCAAAGAGGTCGCGGGCTAGAGCCTTGGTGAAGATGTCGGCGGTCATGTCGGCCGTGTTGATGTACTGGACCGCGATATCACCAAGGGCGACCATGTCGCGGACAAAGTGCTCACGAAGTCGGATGTGGCGGGTGCGGTGTGAGACGTCTATTGGAGCGCCGGGATCGAGCTGACATATCTTGGAGGCATCATAATAACGCTGGTATTGCCCCTGATCGTTTGGGTAAGTGCCACCGTAGGCAGACCATTCAGGGGTCCGTAATCCCGAGCTGGACGAGCAGGACGATGACGATGCCCCCGAGGATGATGACAGGCAAGAGGAGGAAGCAGAGCAGCACGTTGGTGGATCCAGTCCGAGCACCTTTGATCTAGGACGCATTTGAGACCTATTGGCGTAATGGCCAGACGCGATTGCTGGTCATTAAGGAACGGAGGAACTGGACGTGTCACCCGGCAGTCGAAGCGACTGACAGGAGGCGCATCCAAGGGACCCACTCAGTGCGTCCGAAGCGACGTGATACGAGTCCTCGTCAAGCCCAAACAACGCCAAGACAACGCGGTCTTGATCTTGACGATCTGCTACGGTCGGACACGGCTTCGATAAGGGTGGCTTGCTCGACACTCGTAAGCGATGATGACCTGGACTGGCGGTGGGGGAAGCCCGAAGTTGCCAGCTCTCATCTCACTATTAGGCCCTTAAAGCACGTGTGCGCATCCCGCGCCGGTCCGCGCCATTGCGCACGTTGCCGAGGGGCCTGCCCTGGCCTGCCCCGAAATTAAGCGCGGACTTGCTGGACAAGTGTTTCTCGCGCCTTTTAAACGAGTTACAGTCCATCTACTCCAGCATCATGTGCGAATCATAGTCCAGTTTTCTTTACATTGAATATTTAAAGGCGTCATCGACGCCGAGGGGTACTTGTCACGGTGTTCGATGAGCGAAAGTAACTACTGCCAGCATTTCGTCCTACATAGCTTGCGCCTAAGCTCGAAACCCTTATCCGCGTGTTTGGCTGAGTTGCCTGCGCGGTAGTCTGTGTTTAAATGTTTAAATCCATATATTCCAGCTAGTCTTGTTTAAAGACAGAATCTAACAAATTGCTAGATCCGCTGGACCACCATATTCATGTCACGTAGGCCGTCACCTTGCTGTCACCAGGACCGATGCCCCCCATTCCAGGGCTTACATCAGTCTTTCCCTCGTCCAGCTCAGCGCCCGCCCTCAAAGGCAGGTGGGGAATGCCGCCACCACCGCCTCTGTCACTAATGCGAATTCCTTTGCTCCGTGTTCCTTTGCAGTGCCCACCACTTCCTCATTCTCGCCGCCCATAACCGTCCGGCTCCCTTTATAAGCTCGTGATGCCATGTCCGATCCAGCCGCGTCCGAGATCGCTCATCGAGGGCCCAGTAGATGTCAGGTTTTGGGATCATCGGCATCGCATACCACCATAGATGTCCCGTTACTAGCCCTGCAGCGAAATTGGAAAGCTCGTATACTTGTGCTCCCGTCCATTCGTGGTGTCTCATCTCCAGTTCCCTACGCGTCATCTGAAACAAGTCCTGTCCAATTCTTTCCCGCAGTCCACGACCTGCCTCGCACTCCCTGAAAACATGTTTCTCTGTCTCCTCTGCCAATCCACAAATAGTACACAAAGACGACGTACCGAATCGTTCTGAGCATCGCGAGGCGGTGGGAAGGATGTGTGCCCGCAGCTGGAGTTGTGTTTGCGCTGCGTACGTCGAAATTACGCGAAGGTAAGGATACCGTCCTGCGGAATGAGCGACTTGGAGTAGCAATTGAACGTCGTTACCGATCTTCTGGGGCAGCGATTTGATTTGCCATGCTTCTTGTAGGTCGTAGATTTTCTTGATCACATCACCCTCTATCCAAGCAGTTTGCTCGCCAAGGGATGCCTGGATTGTCCATTGTGGGAGTGCAAAGTGGGCTCAGGCCTCAAAGCTAGGCCTAAGCCCCTCCCAGAGGGAGGGCTTATGTTGAGCTTAGCTTGCGCCTAGCCCAGTTAATGTGGTCCAGCGCCCGATAAGGGTCGTCTCTTTGTAGACTAGCTGGAATTCAAATTCTCATTCTCATGCCAACGGCGACTCGAGGCTCTTCCGCTCATGTTATCGGGGAATGAACGCGGGCCAACAAGCATTCAACAAGTATGAAAGAAAATGAAATGTTTCAAAGCCTATTAAAACCCCACACCTCCACTATCCTGATATCAATCAGCCGAAAAGGTCGGTGGTGCCTCCAGGACACCACCACACTTGATAGCAAAAAACTGCACAAAAAGCTCGCTGGCGGGATTGGTCCCGCCACTGCCGTGAATCACCAAAAAAGCCAATAGTTTGCGTAGCCGAAGAAAGGTCGAAATACACCTGGCTAGACCCGAGTCACCTCCCATTGTTGTGCCCGATCACCCTGCACCGAACCCCAACGCAAAAGAAAGCCGATGATCAGAGCATGATTTGCGGCTCAATCGAAGATCTGCGAGCGAGAGCCATGCTTACTATGTTAAGAGCCGCTAGCGCAGATCCAATCTGACCATTGGCGCCTGTTGTCCTCTTTGCGGTCAAGGCTTTTGGTATCTGGTCAAGGATGTGATCCACCGCGACGCTGAGTACCAAAGATGTGTCATGCGTTAGCCTCCTGAGTCCGCTCGTGGAAACCAGCTCCCAGTCCGATCTCGCCGACTCCGTATCACGGGTGTGGACAACGCGAGAACCGCGAGAACCCACAGGCAAACAATCATTGATTCCTTTTTAGACCCCTTTCGTTGTCGATGGTGGCGTGACTGAGGTCGGCCTCTTGAGCGTCTGGAAGACCGTCGATTCCTCGAACTACCTCGACCTCGCGCTCGTTGTTTCCGTCTGAGCGTTGTCTTATACGGAGCATCCTGTACATGGTTGATAAGACCAGCAATGGGCTTCGGGGAAAAGTCGGTCATGGCATCCGGACCACTCCGAGCAACTGAAATTTCAGATCGACGGTGATGATGAGGCTGATGATGATGCGAGTGGAGTGTACGATGACCATGGCGAGGGCGAGGGTGAAGGCGAGGGCGATGGCCAGGGCGATGGCCGGGGCGATGGCCGGGCCGACGACGAGGACGAGGGCGACGACTATGACGATGGCGAGGATGAGGATGAGAACGGTGACGGTGGCCGCGGCCACGGGAGCGAGAGCGAGGATGCGGCGGTTTCCGATGCCTGTGCTGGTTGCGAGGGCGCTGGCGATGAGCGGGTCCGGGATTGTTCTTTCGCCAATGATAGTCTCCGGCCTTCTGTGAGTCGTGGTCGCGGAGCCGTTCCAACAGATCGACGAATCGGTTAGAAGGGGAACCGCAGTCGAAAGCGAACCACATTGCTTTGACGATGGTGGGATCCCCGCGTGTCTTGCACGAGTAAGCGACCCCGACGACATCGCCCCCTCCCCTGTCCGGCTTCGATCTGCCATATTGCGACGCGACACAGCGCTTCTGAGACGAGATCCTGAGACCAGCAAAACTACCTGTCCTCTTCCCGCTGGTTGCCTTGGAGGAGATCCACTCCAAGCCGAGCACGGCAGGTTGAGACTGGGTGACGATGCTCATCTTCGAGTCTCCGCCGTGCCCGGTAGGTTGGCGGGTGAACGTGAGGTACTTGTTCGTCAATCGACTTTTGAGCGTGAAGTCGCCCTTGATGTCGATGGAATTTTGCTGTGTGCAGGTTGCAGTTGGTGGGGCGAGAAGCAGCCGCCAGTCAGTGCGGCTGCCCCGAGTGCTTGCTTGACTCACAAACGGATATCACTGTCCAATTCCTGCATGGCCGGTCATACTCACCTCAAGAGACTTGTAGAACTGAGTATTGTCAACGACAAAACCTCGCACGAACGCACTATGACTTGCAAAAGCCAGCAGGGTCCCCAAGAGGAAGTGAGACCGCATTCTTGCGACTTGGACCGCTAGGAGTCGCCGCTAACTGTAGCCGGGAGAAGTATGAAGATGGTACAGTGAAAGTAGAAGGAGAGACGTGCGCTGAAGAGCGGGAAGAGGGAGTGTGGTGTGCACTTCGCCGTGGGAAGGATGTCACAACTTGTACTGGGGGAGTAGAGTTGAACGACGTGTCGTCTTCGCACGCAGAACAAGGATAGGGCGAATCCCCAAACTACCCCCTTTTCTTGAGTTCCCAGCTTCGCAAGACATTCGGGCCGCTGATTTGGCCTCGCGTCACAACCGAGAGCCATGTTGAAGCTGGTCATATACGCCACAACATGCGATAGGAGGCTCTGTGCAACGTGATGCCAACTGAAACTGAGACATGAGTCAGGAGGTAAGGGGTTAAAACAGGACTGAACTGCAGCCCGCAGCATGGAGCATTGGAGACGTCGACTGCGCAGTGATGAATGAGAATCGCTAATTGGGGGCGTAATTGACACCAAATTTGTATTTTGAATGACCGCACCAGCTTCAACAGTGGTGATTAGACGGTCTTGTGGCGGAGAGGCAGGCCATACCAATTATTACCAAAGCATCGGTAACCATCGTGCCCCCGCCTCCAGTGTAATGCACTGAAGCATGACTCCAAGCGCAGACGTGCGGCACAACTTCGCGCTATTCAGGTAATGTCATCTTAGGACGTCTAGCCAATCAATGGCTGGCCAAGCTTTTCCAGTGCGTACCTGCCTAATAAGTTGCAAAAGCGATGGCCAGGGCAGTTGTGCCTCCCACGGGCCTTGCGCACAACTGAGACAAGTTCTCCTCTCCTTCTTTGAATAAACTTGTCATATTACCTTTTGATGTTCGCTCGTTCCCTTCTTTCCTTCAGACAAGTGAGACGATTTCGACGAATGGAAGGAACCCTAACACGTCAACAGCCTATTACAGCAATTATGGTGACCTTTGAGAGATCAAAGTGTAAGGTATGCGCCTCAGTAACTCATAATTCCAACCTGTTGTTCTCGACCGCTAGACGAAAAGCAATTGTAACCAGAACCCTATAGTTCTAGCTACTCAGATGCTACCTACAGGGCTGTTCTGTGCGGCATCTCTTACACAAACTCTTGCATCGGAAGCCAGTAGACCTCACGGGCATCACCAGGATCGGTTGAATACGAGACAATACTGAGGTGGCATTGTCATCACAGCAGACGAAGAATATGGACAAAGTGTAGAACCAAGAGGGAGAAAAAAGGATGTCGCTACTTGTGGAACCAGTCCGAAGCGAGCGAGACACCAAGAGCACAGAAAAGGGAGGAGAGGACAGAATGACGAAACAGAGGGGTGGCGTCGGGTGATCAAGGGTACTACCATACATGCCATACAGGTCAAAAGTCGACATCCGAGAGGTGGGCAGGCCCCGTATCACTCCCCCGCACCAATGCAGCGCGGGGAAGCGTGAAGGGGTGAGGCGGAAGGATGGTGGTGGGTCGGGCTGGGTAAATGCACAACATCGAGAAGGTATGTCCTACAAATACCGCGTAGTAACGTCATTCTGGTGAGACTTGATTCGAAAGGCGAGGAAATTATCGGGGGGCGGAGACTGAGGTGAGCGTCGAAAATGGCTGGAGACGTAGCACTGAGGGGCCGAGGGCAGCGCGCCGACAGATGGGGCAGTCGCTCAGGCCGCGGTGATGATCCATTGCTGGGTCTTGTCACCCTGTATAGAGTGCACAGCATCGTAGGATTAGCAATCATAAGGACATAGTCGGCGAGGCCGAAGAGCAAAGCGAGTCAGCGCGGACTTACGGCGTTCCATTCTTCGAGCTCCATGCTGACGTAGCCACCGTAGGTGTTCATGCTGGAATCTCCAACGGCGCGCGTTTCCCTGACAAATCAAAAGCCGTGTATCAGTAAGAAAGCTCGGGTGCATCCCATCTAGGCAACTCACATATCGGAGAGATGGTCGACGGCGATGATGCAGTATGTGCCTTGAAGGGCTCCGCGCTTGGTCAGGGCACGCTTGACAGGCGTCATGAAGGAGCGACGGCCGAGGCGAGCGAACTGCGACACATGGTGGGACACGATCTCGGACCGACGGCTCTTGCCATGGCGCCAAGCGGTGAGGGTGGCCTTGCACTGCGAGTTGCCTTGCCGAGTGATGTACTCGGGGTGGCGAGCGAGCCATTTGCCAGACTTGGTGCACTTGACGTTCTTCTTACTTGATGTCTTCTTGCTCGACGTCTTCTTCTTGCTCGAGGTTTTCTTGCTCGTCGTCTTCTTCTTCGTGAAGGTGGTCGACGTCTTCTTCGACTTGCCGTTCTTCTTGGATGCCAGCGACACACCTGAGCTGGCGCCCGATCCACACGGGTACTGCAAAAAATTCGTACAATATGGTCCTTACTTAGTGCCGGGTCCACTTGAAAAGACACCACGATACGTCGAGCGAGCTTACGAGCTTCCAGAATTGCTTGGCTTTTTCAAGTGTCGTTGTGCCGGAGCCGCCGTTCACTGACGCCAGAGCGTTCGGAAAAGTCAGCGAACAGCACTCCAGAATTTTACAACGACACTGTTAAGAGGAGAAGAACCTACCCGAGCAAGCGTACGAGACAGCAGCATGGTCCACGCCCTTGTTGTCGTCGAATCTGAGTTTCGCCGGCGCAGCAGTGGGGCAGAGAGCGAGTCGAGGTCAAATTTTCACTCGTAACGCTATACACCCAAAGACGCGCGAGAGAAAGTCAAAGAGCGTGAAGCCAGGAAAGATGCAACTCACTGTGCCGACATGCACTTGGTCATGCCCGAGAAGACCGAGCCGACGTAGGTGCCGGTCTTCTTTCCGCTTTTGCCGTAGGCTGACCCGTAGTTGATCGAGATCGAGCCTCGACTTTTCAGCGACGTCAGATCGGTAGTGTCGTCGGGACGGGTGAATTGAAGGTACTACGGAGCAAATGGCATGAGGAGTCCCGAGGACAGTTTGATGAGCAACCTTGTCCCCTTGCGCAACCGCGTCTGCGCAGCACCAAAGGTGCTCCACCAACTCACGCGACCGGTGGCGACGTTCTGCACGTAGTAGTTGCCTCCATCGAGCGCAATCTCGCTAGACTGGTCATATCAAAACCAAGACCCAGTTTCAGTAATACGAATTGTTAGACGTCCCCACCAAGCTGGGCCGGGTGAAACTGGGGCAGGTTTGAACGCTGCGAGGCTCGAGCGAAAACGCGTGACGCGCGCGCCGTGCGCGTGCCCGGCATGTTTGATGCCCCGCGCGCGCGAGCGAAGGCGCGCTCCGACGCGCGCGGTCGACGATCAGCGAACATTGTGCCCCGAAAGCGGTAGATCGCACTGACCTCAATCATCGACATCTCGCGTGAATTGTCGACAATACCTTGGCCGTGAACGGCGGACAGCAGTGCGACGAACGCAACAAAGGTTGAAAGCATCTTGCAAGCCTTGTTGAGCGGAGCGGTGCGTCGAGTGGGGGGAGCGGAGGCCGAAACGGGCGAGTGAGGCGCACAAAGAGAAGCGGCTCGTGCTGCGATGAAGGCGGCCGGATTGAAACGAGTGAAAAGGGGTCGTACAGCGGGGTACGAAAGTGTCGTTTGATAGGATGTTCACAGAATGAAAGAGTGTTGTGGGATGCTCGCAACCAGTACGAAGCAAAGTAGGCAGAGAGAACAGTTGAGGTGAGGTAGGGAGCGAGACCAAAGGCGGAGGCTGCAGGCCGAGTTGGCCCGCTGCGCCGATCTCGCACTACGCTGTGTGACTCCCGTACCAGACAAGCGAAATTGTTGAGTTTGAAATCCAAGGCGCGTGCGCTCAACGTCCCGCGGTGCGCTTGCGGTTCCCGCGTGCCGCGTCCCGGTCAAGCAGGGTCAAGGGATCGGGAAAAGGCTTGGCAATGTCGCACAGCTCGCGGTTAATGGTTATCATTCTCCTACAACTCCCACCGCTCCCAAGCCTGGGTGCCACGAGCCACGCTGGACGACAAGATAATAAGGCCTGGCAACGGGCGGCATAAACACTAGAGTCCTACACCAATGCCTGCGACCCCGCCGTCAGCCTTTGTGTTTCGTGAAGATCTCACCCCTTGGACGGGACGTCGTCGGGACCACGTCGCACTAGCTCAATCGCGTCCCCTTCGATACCGGCCTTTTAGGCCAAGGGATGAACTAATAGGTTCATATTACCTATTTGACCGCAACCTTTTGGGGTAAACGCCGCTCAAAAAATACATAACGTAAAATTCGGTGAGGCGACTTGAAAGAGCTTATGGGCGAAGGGCGCTCGGTGTGTGCAGAAAGAAAGGGATGATGAGCTCACCCATCCCAGGTCCCGACCTCATTGGCAGATAAGACAATTTGCCGAGAGTGGGATTAGCAGCTTGACATCAAATAGATGCTCAGCGAATACAGAAGTATAGATCACCAAACATATTCCTACACCAAAATAAACAGATGAAAAGGATAAAAGCTTGTGTCCCCCTCAGCCCTTCTTCATCTTGCCCAGCTCGATCGCATAGGCGATGCCGACTCGAACAAACTGAGCCATGTGCTCGAAGCTGAACTCTGGAATATCAATCGTGTCTTGGGCCGAGTGCATGCTAGTGGGTCCGGATACATGAAGCACCGTTTCATCAGTGGCTTGACTGACAACATCGTTAGCGCCAAGAGACTTACTGAGGGTTGGAATCTTCGAATTGACCTTCGGACAAGCAAGCAGCCGGTGCACCGATCTTGTGGAAACTGGCAAAGTCGGAACATCCACTGTGCGGCAAAAAGCAATGTACACTTGGGTTCATTTGTATCAATGGGTGGCGAGGTCTCGTTTGACTTACTATCCACACGCAGTATCAACGTAATCAATTTCGGCGTACTCGGTGATAAGCAACCGCATGAATTGAGTAAGACATTGTCACCGATTATTCCGATTCTGGGCCTAGTACCGATCTAATAGCACGATATACAATATCGAAATGAGAGTAAGCATCTCCATCCGCGATGCCGAGAGCCTGTAGAAACGGCTCACCTTGACAAAGGCGACGACATCCATGTGGAACATGGCTCGGATCTGCTTCTCTTCACGTGCATACGCCTGAGCAACCTCGCCCGAGCCCAGTAGGCCACCTTCCTCCGCGGAGAAGAACATAAACTCGACGGCGACTGTTGTCGCCTCGAAGTGTTCTTCGGCCAGGGCACGGAAGGCCGTAACGAGAGTCGTAGTGCCAGAGCCGTCGTCGTCCGCCCCCGGTGCACGAAGGAAGGGTAACGAATTGGTGCTGTCTTGATGAGCACCGAGAATTACGATGGGTGCTGAGGAGGGGTTTTTGGCCTTGGTCGGTTCAAATCTCACGATGATGGTACGCTGAGTCCACGAGTGCTCGAATTCGGAGAAGGTCACATTCGCTTTGGAGCCGCTATTTGCCAGGATCTGGGATACATTGGGCATGGGGATAGAGAACGTTAGAGCTTCATAGAATTACCTGTTACATACCCGTTCGATGATTAACCAAACTGGGCCCCAAACTGACCTCTTTGAGGTGGCCGAGAAGAAATTGCTGCGATTCCCGATCCGTCGAGGAGCGATAGTAGCGGGTATAGAAACCCGAAAATCGGGTCAAGAAGGCCTTCATGGTAGGAATATTGATGTGCTTGAACAGAGGCTCTAGTTGCTTGCTCGTGTCTGCGCAGGGTTTTGGCGCCGTGACAGGCTTGTGTTCAGCATGACAACCCGAGATCGGCGATAAGCAAGCAATTGAGTCCTGTCCAGAGTCCAGGCCAGTGCCGTGAGGCCCACAGAAATTTTGGCAGACTCACGACTCAATTTAGTCGGATAGGTAGGTTCCTTTAGGGCCGATAGTAAAGCTGGATCCTCATTGGTCACATCGATGAATCGAATGCCCTGCAGCGTCAACAACGCTTTGGCCCCTTCCGTCAACTCGACCGTCGGACTCCCCTCCCCGAACCGCACTAATCGCTTCTCGGGCAGGGCTTCGATATGCTGCTGTAATCTCCTATGGCTGTCTTCATCTACGGTCTCGAGCTTGGCCGACATGGAGGCGACGATCAAGGGGGTCAAGGCCTGCGAGAGCGAGAGGGCAGAGATGGCGGGTCTGGCTGCATCGGAGGTTGTAGTAGGGTGCACACCGAAAGGGTACTGTTTTTGCGGCAGTCCGGTAACCACGAGCGGTATCGAGAGTAGGGATAGCCACCGCATCGTAACAGAGGTGAGGTGGGGATAAGTGCGATCGGGGATCGGTGGACAGGAAACCCACGTGGGACCGAGCGACTTGTGGGGGCGATCGCTCGACTCGGCATTCCTCTGCACGGACCGCTTGGGGCCGCCAGGTCGGTGCACACAGTCAGTGATCGATGGTCAAAAGACAATGATGCTCGCTGTATGCGGTAGGCACGAGCCATCGCCATTCTGAATTTTTCTGTTTGTCATATATCAACTATCACACACCAGTTATGACTCTGCACAATCGCTCGCACGAATATAGAGAAGGCGGGACTCGGGAAACGGAGTACACACAATAATGGCTCGCGAAAAGCACGGACCGGACGCGTAAGACTTTCCTCCTCCTACATCTTGGCCGAAGGACCCTCGGCAAGATAAGGCGAGAGATCCGAGGTTAAGAAGTCACTGAGGTACTTAGCGCGGATCTGTTCCTTGAGGTATCGCGCGGAGATGTCGACGCGGCGGGCATCGAGGCCGGTCGCCTTGACCTTCTTTGTCTCCTCGTCCAGAATTCGGTCAATGTAGTTGGTCGTGATCTTTTGGCCGTCGCCGGTGCTCGCGCCGTGGTAGTTCCAGTGCCAGAGCTGCGAACGAGAGATCTCGGCCGTGGCGGCGTCTTCCATCATCTGCGGGCGACCGCCGAGCGAGATCCCTCCACAGGTCAGTCAAAATGAACTGGGTCTGTGGTCGATCTCAGAAGACTCACATTGGCAACGGGAACGCAGCCGAGACCGCCGATCCAGTTTGCGCAGTAGTGCAACAACGCCGAGCAGTTGGAACGGACGCCGTCCTCGGAGATCGTCCCGGGCACATTGGTGTTGAGCAGGTCGAGCGCGGTGACGGTCACTTCCTCGCGGCGAATGTGGTACTGGTTCGGGCCGACCATGTTCTTGTTGAAGATCTCCAACGCGATCTTGACGAGCGCGGGGTGAGCGACCCAGGTACCGTCGTGGCCGGCCAGACTCTCACGCTCCTTATCGGCGCGGACCTTGGCCATGGCCGCCTCGTTGCGGGCCTCGTCGTTCTTGATCGGGATTTGCGCCGACATGCCGCCGATGGCGGCGACACCTCGCTTGTGGCATGTTTGGATGAGCAGGCGGACGTAGGCATCCACTGCACGACTCGGTTCCAGCCGTCAGTACCTTTCCGACCTGCAAGCAACCGGTGTGATCGCCATTCGAACGTACTGAAGGGAACGGTCATGGCAACGTGACCACGGTCGGGAAGCACGAACTCGGGGTGCATGCGCATCTTCTTGATGAACGAGAAGATGTCTAGGAGATCGCCAATTCGGACACGTCCGGTCAATCAGCATGCGTCATTCCCATCAAGCCATGCATGAGACGCATCGAAGCATATCCTAACTCACAGTCCCATCGACCGCAGTTGAGGCCGCTCGAGTGCTCGCGAAGCTCGTAGATAAACTCGTCCATTTGGAAAGCCGCGGTGATGGTCTCGATGAGGCACGTCGCACGAATCGAGCCACGCGGGATGCCGATGTAGTCTTGCGACAAGCGGAAGATGTCGTTCCACAACCTCGGCTCGAGGTAGTGCTCCATCTTGGGCAAGTAGAAGTAAGGACCGAACCCACGCGAGATGGCCTCCTTGGCGTTCCAGAAGAAGTAGAGACCAAAGTCGAAGATGCCACCGGACATAGCCTCGCCATCAACGGTGACGTGGATCTCATCGAGGTGCCATCCACGCGCGCGGACGAGCAAGGTCGCAGGCTTTTCGATCAGCTTGTACTCCTTTCCGTTCGGGTTCTTGAAAGAGATGGTGCGTCGGACCGCATCGCGGAGGTTGACTTGACCGTCTAGGTTGTTCGACCACGTAGGAGCGTTCGAGTCTGGTCAGGTACAGCAAAATAATCGTCAGCCAAACATAACTCTTGCGGAATGGGCGGAATGGGCGGAATGGGGATGATCGTGTATGAGACCAGGGGTCGGCGAGCTCGCCACGGGCCGCGCAGTTTGGTGCCTGAACGATCGAGCGGTTCGCCGAGATAACCGGGCGGCGGCAAGCGGGGGCGATCGGAAGCCGGAGCTCGACCCAGCCCAGCGCGGCATACCTGAGATCCGGACTCACCCTCAAAGTCGGCCATGAAGGTGGCAGCACCCGAGTTGAGAGCATTGATCACCTACAATAAAATTTAAACACAACGCAAAGAATTTTTAGCATTCGCGGAGCACTCAAAGCCGTTCGTTCCGGGGCCGCTCATCTCGGCGAAGTGCGCCCAAGAGAAGGGCGAAGGCCGATTAGCTCTCGGAACTGACCATCTTTCGGTCGACGGGGCCAGTGATCTCGACACGACGGTCTTGCAAGCCGGGAAGAGGGGCAGGTCCGGTCCAGGTCTTGTCCTCGCGAACGTGGCGCGTCTCGGGCAAAAAATCAGGCAAGGCGCCGGCGTCGTACTTGGCCTGCTCGAGCTTTCGACGGGCGAGGAGCGCCTTGCGAGTCGGGTTGAAGTTGCGGTGCAGCACGGCGAGGAACTTGAGCGACTCATTGGTGATAATCTCGGCATGGGCGCCAGTGACCTTTCCTGTGTCGCAGGGAGAGGTGGGGGTGGGCGAATACGGCGATCCGACACCGGCCGAGGAGGATAGGACGGGAACATGGGGGGCAAAGCTGGCGCGGGGTTAGCGGCGCTGGCTTATGAGATTCAAATCACGGAGATCATGCAGTCCAAGCAGCGTATCGACGGCCTCATCGGCCGCATACTCGTCTACTGCATCGTTTTTCGACAGCAAATGTGTTGCATCCGATGAGGCCGGTCGGCGATCTGCTCCGATGGTGCCCGGACTGGGCGCATACCCCATCTCGGAACAGGCCGCGCACTGGCGTAGCCGGGCCCACGGCTTCGTTTTGTCGGTCGTTCTCCACATGACGTCGGAACGCCTGCGGTCACGGCGGCCGGCAAGTAAGGTCTACACACTCATTCGCACAAACGATCACTTACCAAGAACCTTGACACCGGGAACGTTGAAGGACATGGTTGTGATGCTGAAGTAGGAATGTGATGGGGCCTCGCAGAGGTGGGATGTGGGGAGGAGGGTGGTGGTGGCAGGAGACAGAGTAGTGAGGGCGCTGTCGGGTCGCTGCGCCACGTGAAACTCATCCAACGGCTGAAGACGGCTGGCTACGGCTGACAAGGCCTGACAACCGGCTCCGATGGGCAGAGCTCATGGAATCGCCTCCACTCAGGATTAGGCTCTGTCCTTGTCATCTTTATTTATGCTGGCAAGATCTCGGTCCTACGAAAAATCACTATCCGTTCATCATGCGGATGCACTGCATATCATTAGAGCCCGATAATCCGGAGCACCACCTCGCCTATCCGGACCCCCTCATCCGATTCCCGCGCATGCGCTCGGCTTTTCTCTGCCATCTCGGGATCAAACACACCTCGTTCGGCTCGCACTTCGATCACCTTGAGCACAATGTCGGGAGAAAACTCGGGGTGGCCTTGCAACGTTAGGACCTCGATGTCGCCTAGGTTGGCCGACGGCGGTGAAGGGGCCGAGCTGAAATATTTGACCATGCCATGGATGGAACACATCGGTGTCGATCCCAACAGTTCGAAACCGGACGGCAGAGAAGGGACGTGATCTCGATGCATCTGGTGAATCGCCTGTGGAATATCAATGTGGGGATGGTGTCGGCGGCTAGGCTCGACGAGGAGGTCCCAAACTGCCGTAGGCTTCCTCGGCCGACGGCGGAGACGCTCGGGCATAGATCACCGCGACACTCACCAATCTTTCACCCCCAAAGATGCTGGAACCATACTCTGTCAGATCCATCACCCTCACTCCGACTTCCCACCCCTTGCTGTTTCTCTCGACCGTCGACCCGAAGGCCCTCGCGATGATTTGGTGCCCGAAGCAGATACCGATTAACCTGATCTGCGGGTTGATCTTGGGCAATGAGGCGGTATATCCTACGAGCTTGGTGATCCAGTCGAATGTTTCGTATGCTGAAGAAGCTATGGGCGAACAACATGCAATTACCGAGAGCATAGAGTCAGATTCTGCCAACCGAGTCGAAGGACTAGATAGGCACGCCGAGAAGACTCGGTGATCTTTCTTTGAACGACGCACCGCTCCCTGTAATGAGCACTCCGTGCGCTTCTTTGACCCGATCCTCTGTCGGGTATTGGCCTTGCACGGCATCGTAGCTCTCCACCGTCAGCACCGCTTCAGACTGGGTTCCACTCGTTGTTTTCGACCCCAGCTTGATTTGCGAGGCGTGAAGTTGGACCGAGTGCTCGAATAGGCTAGTGAATATATCATGGTAGTTCCCATGCGCTGCTTTGACGCTGTGAGATTGAGCGAAACAGATGTCAGATCGTCAGCTAATCAAGCCGAAATGCGGAGGTGGGGTGAAATGGACCGACAGAGGCAGCGGTGTATCGGCAAGCAGCACAATAAGCAGCAACGACTTGCTACTCTGCCCAGGTAGAGGGATGGCGGACCTGAATGGCTCTTGGCTCATCAAAGCTGGCTGTAGATGCGTTACTGTTGTTGTGTCGCGGTGAAACAACCAAGAAGCACCAAATAACGTGGGCGGCAACAAGTGTCGCGCAAGGTCGCGCAGTGCCGCGCTTCCGCTTTGACCGCCTCCCTCCGACTTGTGTCCCTCCTTCACTTTCCCTCTTCCCAAGTCCACTCGGAGTGGAAGCGCTACCTCAGCACGCCATCTTCGCGGTTGGTCGCGAGTCGGCTGGATGTCGCAAGCTCTTCCGCCGCTGGCACCCCCTCACCAGCCCCAGTCGATCGCACCCAACGAGCTCGACGCGGTCCGACTCAAGCTCGTGCAGCTCATTGACTCGATCCAGCTGCTGCTGTCTCAGGTGCACTACCTTTCCTCGACCGTACCGACGCCTTCAATGCAGCACCCTGGACTGCTGAGCTACAACGAGTTGATCAGTCGCTACAACCTCATCCTGTCCCATGTCGCCGCCTTGGGAGGGCTGCTGAGCTCGGTCGGCAATCCGAGGGAATCGGAGAGGCGGTATCGTAGTGGCGAGCCAAAGAGGGATCCAAAAGCCGAGAGATGGAAAGGGTCGCTCGTTGTACCCGCTGTCAGCGTCGAGCCGGCCAAGGATTGGGTCGTCGGGACCTTGTTGAGGACGAAGCAGGTCAGTTCGCACGCTCCCACGCTCTCAGCTCTGGGAACCTAGCTGACTAACTTTCTTGGTCTCAATCCTCTAGACCGTCGAAGTCGAGAATTACTTGAGCGAGCTTGAAGAGTCATTGCCCCGTGTCTTCAAAGAGGAGGCGAGCCGGAAACGAGCGATGGAGGAACGCGAAAAGCTGGTCGAGGGTGCCTCGGAAAGGATACTGAGCCTCAAGGACGGCGAGAACGGCGAGGAGTGGGACTGGAGGGCTCGTGTCGAGGTTGATGAAGACGATGAAGAGAGTGAAATGATGCAGATCGAGGACAATATGGAGAAGAGGAAATGGACAGTCCAGGAAGTCGCGACTTACCAACGGACGGGTAAGCTTCCAGTGTGAACGGAGTAGCCACGGATTTCGACACAGATATGTATGTAATACCACGTGAACGAGATCAAGTACCTGATGGCTGACGTCAAGCTCGCGGAGATGTCCGAGCCTCTCAACTCCACACGCAAGATTGGCCTGGCGAGGTCCTCGGAGCTCGGCGAAAGATAACCGGACTCTCGTTCCCTGAAGACCCAGCTCGTGAGGATACCGCACGAGTGCGACAAAGAAAGAGCAGGTTTCACATTTGATTGGTCTCCTTCTACGACTCTGGGGAGTCAACTCTATAAGATAGGACTCGGGATTGGTCCGCCGCGGCGAGGAGCACAGGCGTTGCGGGGGGACAGGAGCGCACGGAAGTTCGGAATGTTTGTCCAAGAGGGGTTTCTTCGGAAGCAACTCGGCCGAAAGCTTCCCGATCGCTCTGGGCCCTTTCCAGTGGTCGTCTCCTTTCTGATTGCACCTATTGCTGTCGACATCGGCTTCCACCGAGTGCACCTTTTCCGTAGTCAACTTCTGCCCTAGCGCGGGTCGCGACCACGTATCGTCTTTAGCTCGTCGCGCGTGCGGACTCAGCGGAGTGTACCATGTACCCCACCGACTCGTCCAGGCACTACATATCTCAATCCCCTATTCCTCTACCTGCGCTCCATACTGTTCCACCTCTACAGCATCAGACCCCTTTTGCTGCGACTTTTCACGAACGACAAACCACTTTCACGTGAGTGACGCTAGGCTCATGCCAAGCCGGGCCCGGTGTTGCCCCTCTCCGATCTCGCTGGGCGGGGTCGGAAGCGATCGTAGTGCGTTGAGCTCAACGCGTTGACCTAGCACGCAAGTTGCCTCGGACTTGCAGCATTGTACCCCATCCACAATATCAACAGTTGCAGCAACCCGCGTATCATCTGTCCAGCTCCCTGCTTGCACCGTCGTCCATCTCATCGCACTCCGCGGACGCCTCGGATCCGTGCCCGACGCCTTCCCTTTCCCCTTTGCCTGCTCACGGGGAACGTTCTCACTTGTGGACCGCGCCTGAGTCCTGCCGTACTCCTTTCTACGACTATCGCCGGCAAATAGGAGAGAGTGAAGCGTTACAATCCCAATCTTCTCCTTGGTTCTATCCCACGTCGTCGAAAGAGCTTGACCAGGGCCAAAACGAGGAGACGTATAAGACCTTTCATCGGCGAGCAAACTCGCACCATGGCTCCACACACCAGAGCCACGAGTTCTTCTTTCCACCCAGCAGCGGATACCCATCTTTTCCGTCCTTTCCTGCGAGTGAAACGACAATCCCTGCACTCCATCCCTACCCAGCTTATGTCATGGATGTCCTTCCACTTGATTCTTGCCCCAAGAGCTCGGCGACGAACGCATCAGGCCAAGAGGATGAAAATGGAACAAAGACAGTTGGTCCAAGTGCATCCCTGTTCTTCTTACCTGAAGACGATCGGGCCCTTCGCCAACTGGCTTCAGTGGCGGCCTCGGGACTCGCTTCGTTCGCGCCTGCGCCACCGCCTCCTACTCCCACCGGCACTGAGCTACACATGCCGATGAGTGACAACTTGGACATCTCATCGAGGTCGGGCTCGCTTCATTCGCTATCAGATCAAGTCGAGGGCCCCATGGCATCAGTCTTGAGCCGGTCCGGCCAGACGTCAGCGTCGAAGGCGTTCCTTAGCAGTCCCGAACGAGTAGGTCGCCGCTCGAGGTGCTCCGAGAACGACGAAGAAGGTGCAGTAGAGGAGAAGGATCGGATCGCTCTCATTAGGCTCGTTCGCCAACAAGCAAGTGCTGAAGGGGGCTCCTCGCATCTCAAGCGAATATGTACTCGAAGCGAATCGCCTGCCAAGTCTCCGGTCGCAGTCGCTCCTCTTGCGCCTCAACCAAGCTCTTCTCCGACCGAACCTGTCGGGGCGTCTGCGTCATCACCTCGAACGCCACTGTTTATTCACTCTTGGGTAAACAAGTGCTCTGAACGATCGCCCGATGGCGTTGAAGAGGCTCGCGATGGCGACAATGGACCGGCTCAACCGCGCTCGGATACGAAAGAGACTCCGGTGACAGCCCCTGTCGTCCCTCGCCAGCGCCGGTTGGAGGACGAGAAAGGCAGCGGCCCAGAGAAAGAGAAACCATGCTCACCCTGCGACACACAAAGCACCGAGGGACGTGAAGCTACTAGTGGAACCTGTATCAGTGAGGACTCACTACAACCACACGCAATCGATCTACACGAACAGGCTCAGGACTTCGACTTGCCGCTGTCGTCACCGGTGTCGAGCGAGACGTCCGACCCTCGGAGCCCACTACTCAAGCCGCGAAACCATCGTCTATCTTCGAGGGATGAAGCCGCTCAACTCGAGGACCTCAAATCGGAGTGGGCATCAAAAAGATGGCTTTTCGGGCCTTTCCTTCCGGGCGAAGCTGTGATCGATTCATTGAACCAGCAGTGAGTCCTCTTCGACATCGTGAGTCGTTGAGCGCCCACCATCCGACTGATGCCACTTTGATCGATTTCTACTCAGACAAGATATAATCCCGCGCATCGATCCTCCGCTATTCACCCACTCAAAAGAGGCACAGGCATGGATCGCGTATCGCCGCAACTATTTCGGGCTCAACGTCACGATCAAGCTGCCCTCGGCCCACGCGTCGCTGTTCGTTCTCGGAGCCCCGGTCCGACGCTTCTTTACCATGACCAAAGCTCGCAACACCAAGTTTCATTCGCCGTCCAGACCTCCTGGAAAAGTGCACCGCAATCCACCACCCATTCTTGATTTCGTTTCGATCCTGCAATTCGACGGGACCCGCAACCTCGCTCAAGCGACGGAAGTCGAACCGCACGGGTTTCTCCCATCAAGCAACGACCCTCACGGCCGTGAACTCGTGTCGCCCTATACTCGAGTACAATTCCGAAATGCAACGGCGAACCACATCACGGGTTCGGTCAACGCGAATGGGGTTGGGAAAGCTGTGAGGCTGATGGTATTACTCCTGGCGGAACTTGAGGATGGTAGACACGTCGAGGTCGGTCGTTGGGAGAGCGACGAGATCGTCGTCAGGGGGCGGTGTCCCAAGAATTTTGTCACGAGCGGAGAGGGTCGCAAAAATCGCAAAAGGTCGAGAAAGCGTAATCTGGAACACAAAGACGAGGAACAAGAAATGAACTCTTCATCGATCGACGAGGAGGAACTAGTAGTTCGTCCTCGACGCGGCACCCGATCTCGACCCTTGTCAGGCCGCAACCTCGATGCTCAGCTCGAACTTCAAGCTTCGACCAGGACGACCCTTCGTTTTCAAGCGAATGCCACCCTCCCCAGTAAGCGAACAAAGACGTAGAAATCATTCTACCCTCTTCACCTTCACCACAATCATGGAATCCCGGATTTGTCAGCCAGCTTTTCCTACACTACTAGGATGGTCACGCATACCGAAGGGGTAGTGGTCACCGCGCGGAGTCGAGGGGCTCGTTAGGGAAGCGCCAGCATTGTTAATTGCATTGTGCCCGTTACTCATCGCGTGTATACGCTACCTTCATGCTTTATGCTTTTGTCTCTCTTCTGTTTAGTAAGCTGTTGTTCGTCGCACTGTAATAGAGTTGACCCGTTGCCTGTTTTTACTCGCTGGTCTGCAGAATTTACAAGCGCTGATCGTGTAGGCTCTTAGTGGAACTCCCTCCTGATCACGTTGTAGGTGTGAATCTGTTCGATCATACTTTGTACAGCTTCCAACAGTACATTCATGGACGCACAGACCCCCGCACAGCATCGAGCCGGTGTGTCACCTCGGCGCAAACATCCTCGGCCTAGTGCGAGGCAATCCCTCGTCCGAAGCCTATTGGCTCTTCTTTCCACCTTTCGGAGCTCCATCAGTCTTTTTCTTCTCCGTCGTCCCGTACTTGGTTGTTTCCGCTGCCTTCTTCGACTTGGTAGGAGAGACCTCGGGATCCGCCTTCTTCTTCTGCTCGGCCTCGGCCTCGTTCTTCTCGGCGTCTTGGTGCGAGATCGTGGCGGAGTCTTTTTTGAGTTCTTTCAAGGGGGAAGTCGCGTCGTTGCGGATGCTTGTGGTGGTGAGCGAACGACTGGAGGACAAGGTGGGGTGGCGCTCAGAGCTTCGATCGATCGATCGTTCGTGGCAGGTCCACTGGGGCACGGGCGGGCGGAGTACTGACGTGAATGATGTGGGAACCAGTCGAACGGATCGGTTGACGAGTGAGAACATGTTGGCTTGAGTTCAAGGGATGCGGTACCAGCTGAGAGAAGTAGAGTGGTGAGGGAAGGATAATGAGATCGCTCACTTTCGAAGCGATGACGTTTGATCGCAGTGGGGGCGGGCGGGCGCAGGCGACACGAAATCACGTGAGCTGCCTGCAGTGTCGCGCTTGAAAATCATTTCAGCATGAGGTCTCAAAGGGGTCGGTTCGGTACATGGTCTTTGGAAATAAGGTATCGAGCACACGAAATGAGGCAGGCCAACATCCGGACGTCGTGATCACCGAGTCCATCGCCGACGTGGTGATGTGTGCGCTGGTGCAGTGCAGTGGCTCTTGCGCCGGCCCGGGGGGAGATCAATTTGCTCGAAAATGTCCCGAACCGCTCCAGGCTCCAGCCTCGGGTTTAGTCTCTTCACACCCGCTTCCGCACCCGATCTCACGATGGCAACCTCTGTGAGTAGCACAACAGCACGACGGCACGTACTGACCCGAGAAGAAAACTGAACTTCTGGCCCCCCTGCAGACCACCTCTGGGACACCCGCCTCGACCACCCCAGCGCCATCTGCTCCTGCACCGTCGTCGTCCACGTCGACACCGGCAGCGGCCAAGTCCGAGGATGTATCTCAGAAGAAGGGTGCTGGTGTCAAGTCGTTCTTGTCCGGTGGATTCGGCGGTGTCTGCTCCGTCTTGGTTGGTGTGTTGGACTCGTTCCCGCTGCTTTTGCCCGGGCTTGATTGATCGTCGTCGTCGGTGTCGTCGGTCCCGGGGCCGCAAGCATCACGGGCTATATATATTACGGCGCAAGACATAGCCGGACGTCGACGACCGACCCCGGCTTGCGAGGGCCCAGCCGCCTCGATAGGTTCCACCAGAATGCAAGACTGACCCCATCCTATCCCGGGCCACACATGCAGGTCAACCCTTTGATCTGACCAAGACGAGGTTGCAAACCGCTGCACCCGGTCAGTACACGGGTATGGTCGATGTCGTCAAGCAGACGATCGCACGAGACGGGTTGAAGGGGTCAGTCCTACCCCCATATTCATCTGGTCATCCTGTGCCGTGCCTGATCTGACATATTCTATGCTCTCCACAGCTTCTACCGAGGCATGGGTCCGCCCCTTGTCGGTGTCACCCCCATGTTCGCGGTTTCGTTCTGGGCAAGTCTTTGAGACGTCACCACCGATGTGTCTCACATCGGGCGGCTAACCTCTCTTCTCTATCTTGCCTGCACCTGGTATACTCCCCCATTCTTCAGGGATACGCAATGGGAAAGAAGATCGTCTACAGCTTCACGCCCGAACGAACGTCGCCGAACTTGTCCAACGCCGAGCTCGCCTTTGCCGGTTTCTTCAGTGCCGTGCCCACGACCCTTGTCGCAACCCCCGTCGAGCGAGTCAAGGTTCTTCTCCAGGTCAGTATCGATCGAAGGCACGGTGCGCACTTTCATATGTGCCGTCGCTCACTTGGTGCTCGGTCACTCTTCGTCCGCAGATGCAAGGTCAAGGAGGGAAGCAGATGTACAGTGGCCCGCTCGATGCCGTCGCTCAGTTGTACAAACAGGGTGGCATCAAGTCGATCTACCGAGGAACGGGTGCCACCCTTGCCCGTGATGGACCTGGTTCAGCCGCGTAAGTCGTGCGATCGACCGCCACCGAGTGCTCTGCTCGGAGTTCGGTCTCACTGTGTGCAAATGTTGTTGGCAGCTGCTGACGCGGAATTACGTCCCCGTCTTCTTTTGTTCAACAGCTACTTCCTTGCGTACGAGGCCATCAAGAAGAAGCTCACTCCCGCTGGTCAGGACCCGGCTCAGCTCTCGCTCTCGGCGGTTGTCGTCGCTGGTGGTTTCGCCGGTGTGACCATGTGGACGTTTGCCATTCCCCCTGATGTGAGTGAACTAACGAATTACCCGTTGAATTGGAAGAGAACTTTGCTGATGGGTGGGATTGTTAATCTCCGGGCGGATAGGTCATCAAATCGCGATTGCAAGGAGCGCCTGAGGGCACGTACAAGGGCTTCGTGGACTGCGCGATGAAGACGGTGAAGAACGATGGTGCTGGTGCTTTGTTCAAGGGTCAGTCCCGCTTTTGGTCCGATCTGTGTGTGTGTCTGCGTCTCCGCACGGAGCTGACTTGTCGCAAACTTTCGTCCTGAAAACAGGCTTCGGTCCTGCCATGCTCCGCGTAAGCCCAGTCCCATAGTTGCCCAACTAGTATCTAATGCACGAGGCTCACTTCAAGTTTTCCTTTCCGTCATTTTACAGGCCTTTCCCGCCAACGCTGCCACTTTCGTACGTCTTGATGAAGCATTCGCCTCGCAGTGCTTTTTCAAACATCGCGATACTCGAACTGATACTCGTCTCCTTGCGTACATAGCTCGGTGTCGAGCTCTCGTTGCAGCTCATGAACAGTCTCTGGTGATCGCATGCGAGTGATGCTTTCGAGGTGAATATATGCGGTGGGCTTGCTTGGGGTAGATTTGTCAGAAAGGAGAGCGGTTTTGTCAAAATCACAACTATATGCAATCAGTTCGGTCTTGGTCGTGTCTTTTCCCCTTTTCCCCTTGTGTTACAAATCGAGCGACTCAGTCAGCAGCATGCTGTGCACAACAGCTCTCAGTTCCCTGCTCCTGCCGAGTGCCGACGCTGAGTACAGCGCGGCCGGGTTGCCCAGCTCCGAGCGTGGTCGTTTCCCCGACCACTATTACGCCCCCGCGCTTGCTCTTGCGCCATTGGCCTCTGCGAAGGCTGGTCAGGTCGGGATGCAGAGCTGCAGAGCTGCAGAGCTCTCCCCTTGGCGGGGCGATCCCGCTTGTTCCCTCCTTATCGCTGTCTTCTTCTTCAGAACCAAGTTCCCATCTTCCCATGTCGTCTACGGATATCAAGCATGCCACATTAGGCTCACCCGCGGACTTGGACGACGGCTCCGCTTCCTCGCTCGATGATGCTCGCCTACAGAAGGATCCGCGGCAGCCGCCGTCACGGCAGCACCGGTTCCGGAACTTTCTGATGGAAGAGCTCGACACCGAGGATACGATGCCACAGGTCACGCTGTACTGCTTCCTCACAGGTTAGCGCTACACACTTTTGGGGTGTTCATGGGAGCGGCTTGTGCTTTGCATGGGTTGTAGGTGTGAGAGGTCATCGCCGTTGACTAGAGGCTGATCCACGTGATCTCCCCTCGTGTGCCCAGGTTTCATCTCGGCCATCTGCTTCTCCGCTACGTTCTTGTGGCCTACTTTCCAGAGTGAGTACTACCATTGAACTGTCAAATCATGAACTACCCTGTACTGTCTCCGCGTACCTAAATGCCCGGATTCGGTCCTCCTCCTCCGCCCTTACCCTCGACCGCCGGCAACCGCGACCGATCACTCACTGCAGCCGGAGGATTCGTTCAACTCTCAATCGCCGTCTCTCGTCTCTTTGCTGGACCTCAACCCCGCGACCTCCGTTTCGAAACGAGTGACAAGCAAGCCTTGACCTCGCTCCTTTCATTCCTTTTGGGGGCCGCACTCCTCGGCCGGCTCGGAGATCGTCTCGGAGCCAAGCGTCGGGGATGGGTCATGTTCGCGACTTTCGTACAAGCACTTTTGCTCGTCGCGGCGGCGGTGTGTGTACACTCTTCGGAGGATCCGAGTGTGGCTACGTGAGTACTTACGAAGCATGCGCAGGCTCTCGGGCTCGCCCGTCCCCTTTCTGACCGCAACGAATCTTTCCCCTAATGCCGCTGCGCAGTGCCCGAGAATACCCCTCCTGGCGTTCACCCCTCGGATACGCCGCGCTAGGCTTCGCCTCCGCCTCCCTAGGCCTGCACGCCATTACCGCAAAACGGCTCAACACCCGAGTCGGTACCTCTGTCGTGCTCACCACGATCTGGGTCGAACTCGTCTGTGATCCAAAGTTGTTCGTCTTTGGGGGCGTCAAATCGAGGGATCATCGAGCGATGGCATGTGCGTCGATCTTTGTAGGCGGTTTGTGTGCAGGAGCGTTGGTGAGGACTATTGGGAGTGCGGGGACGTTCGGGATCGCGGCCGGGGTGAGGGCGATCAGTTGTGCGAGTTGGGCGGGGGTTAGGGCGAAGGCGAGGAGTTGAGGGGTGTGAAGGGTGAAAGGCCTTTGGCCGATAAACATTAGTTCAACTTAGAGGAGGCGTGGTCTGGTGTACATCGTACTTGGACTCTAAGAAGTACGCGTCTCAATATTTTAGTCTAGAGTAATCTTCCAAGTGCAGTACCGAGCAACAGTTACACAACCTGAGTCATCCTGAAGAGGATTCGAACACCTCAAGCCTGACCGCGCCTCATCAAATTCCGCCTCACTTTCTTCCTTCCCCCACCTTGCCCACCCTCAACACTGAGATAAGGCACGTCCTTCCACCCTACGCCTGTAACACCACTTTCGACACCGCCGGTTGTTGAGGGGTCCATCAAGAGTCCGACGGCGATGTCGAGCTCGATGCCTCGGACTAAAGCGATACGATCGGTCTGTGGTCGAGGGATGGGGGTGAGGAGGTGGAGGGATTTGGAGGGGACGTCGATGGATCGAACAAGGGCCAAGCCGTGGGCTCGGGTGTAGGTGTTCGAGATATGAGCGTCGTAAGGGAAGTTCGAAGACAGGTTGGGTGTCACGTCTTCGTCGTTTACTTCGTCGGGCTCGACGATCGCGACTAGTGATCCGTTGAGCGCGTAGAGGACTTGGTCATAGTCGATTTCGGAGCCCAAGATGGTGATGTTGGAAAGGGACGTCGTCCAATCGAGGACGATCGGTCGTCGACGTACGAGGGGCTCCACACAATCCCACGATGCGACGAAAGTCGAGCCTGACGAGTCACTCGTCGAAGATGGAAACACGGCGTTAAAGTATGAAATGAGTTGAAGGACCCTTAAATCAGAGGAAGACCATTTCGAATCCAATGGACTAGGTGGAGCAGCCTTCATCCGATGCACGATCGGTCCACCTTTCGCTCCCATCGAGGTTGGAGAATCGTCCTCTTGGTCACGATCGAAGGCAAAAATGTGCGTCGGCTGAATGTCCATCTTCAACTTGCTCAAAAGATCCAACCCGAGTCCTTTGTTCCACCCGTGGGTGTTGATGAGGAGAGGGATTCGATCGGTGACTTTCGTCCCTTCCTTCGACGTCGAGCTTTGGGCTTGGGGACCTCTTCGACGAGTCGAGCGGGTCTCCTCGGCGAACGCGTATTCCACCTCGTGTTCATAGAGTTGATACAATTTGTGAATTGCGTCCAAATAGCTTGTGGGATCGTTTGCTGGAGAAGTTTGACCGATAAAGTAGGATGCCATCGGCACCGAAAGATGGGTAAAATTCGGTCCCAGCTGAGGAGAAGTGATAATATTGAGTGAGACGAAACCCGGTGGCATGAATTCGGGTTGACCGAGATCGGTATCGAGGTAGGCGACGGCCATAAAGCGAGACAGAAGTTGATGCAGGACGAGTTTAGAAAAGGTCGACTTGCCGACTCGCTTCGGGCCTTCGACGAGGAGGCAGAGGCGAGGAGACGGCGTGGGGATCGCGTAGGCGAGCTCTTCGTCATCTTCGTCATCGTCCTCAGCGTCCGGGATTCTCTTACTTGCCGGGTCAAGATGTTTTCCGAGAGCGGCCAAGGTCGCTTCCCAGCCGTCGACGGATCGGATCAGTGTGAGAGAAGGCGTTGGCTCGACGACCTGCGCACGAGACGACACACACAAATTAGGTCGCACCTGGACACCTGAATGAATTGAAAGGTACGTACCAATTTCCAGGTCTTGCCATCGCACTCGGATGTCCTCTTGATAGGCCCTTGTGGGTGGTCGACGTCCCACATTCCCGCTGCGCAACCTAGCCCTCCGAGTTTGAGCAGAGGCTCGATCCCTTCTACGCCAGAATGGTGATCTCGCACGACAAAAGCGGCTTCGAAAATCGAGAGATCAACCGTTTGTCCCGTTGGAAGGAGCAAAGAAGAAGGTCTGCGGGACCGTGACGGGTAGGGTCGTGGGCTCATGGGAGGAAGGGGATGGGATGAGGGGGCAAAGATGGGTTGGTGGGTGCTGTTAGAGAAGGCGATGCTGAAATCGATCGTGTCCGATGATGGTTCTGGCGCAGGTAGACTCGAGTTGAGGATCGCGAGAGCACCATAGATAGGGGTCACCATCAAGACACCGTGGACGACGATCATCTATGAACGCGGAAAACCCTTCGTTTCAGTAAGATCGAGGCCGCGTCAACACTCAACACTGGGATCATCCTCACCTGATCGGCGCGCAGGCAGAAGACCAGTGCTTGCTCGGCGTCAGCTCGAGTGTGCTCGGTGGTCAAAGATACACGAAATACGTTGACGTTGAGCTCAGGGGCGAAACTTGAAGTACAGAGCGGATCAATAAATGCACTGTGGACACAAGGACCACGATGACGCGTCAGTTCCGAGTAGCGGTGGCCGAGAATCGAGCAAGTTGAGACTGACGTTTTCTCCCGACGCCGTTTGCCTCGATATGCTCGGACCTGATTGGCGCTGTTTTGAGTTGCATCATCGGCCGATTCGTCCATGGGATCGAAAGGAACGAAAGTGGATTCCTTGCTGTCGTTTTTCGCAGCGAGACCCCTGTCACCCGCAGGGCCGTCGTCATCGGACCTCGAGGTGGATGCTGCTGCTGCAAAGTATCGCGTGGATTTGGTCGCCGTTTTGGCTTTGGGGATTTTCTTCTTCTTTTCGGGAACGACCTTGCCATTGAAAGATCGCGCTGATTTGGTCGAGCTCGAGTGTTGTCCATTATCGCCAATGGTGTCGTCGTCGTCCGAGGAAAGCACTTGAGGCAGCGAATCGTCGTCGTCGTCGTCATCTCCAGAAGATTGGTCCGTGCTCGTCTCGAGCTTCGAAGTAGATGCTTTTGGTTGTTCCATAGCTGCTGTTGCCGCTGCCGCTGCTGCATCGAGTTGAGCCTGCGCTGCTGCTCTCCTCGCTGCGACGGCCGACATGGGCGGCGCTGCTGCCACCGGGGTCGACGTTGACGACGATGACAAGTCCGAAGTCGAGTCGGTCCGGCGTCGCTTGCTCGGCGAATCCACCACCGTAGCTGCCATAGTATTCCAGGAGCTCGGAGGCGTCCACTCCTGCCTGTGTAGCGCCGAAAGCCTGATCCGAGTCGCGTGAGCAATGGATGTACGGAGTGCAGTCAACGCGCCAGGCAGATCTGGTCGTCGAGGGTCCCTGCGGCGAGTGCTCTGTGCGAACTTGTGCGAAGGCCCACGCTGACCTGCCCGCCTCAGCTGCAGGCTGGGGCGCATCGTCGTGGCGACCGAGTCAAATTGAAGCTGGGCCATCGCGCACAGCTAGAGCCCGTTACTAAGAAGCGCCCGAGCCCGCAGCGGAGGAAGAGAGCGCGTCCACGCACGTTCCCACCGCGGTCGCTCTGGGCTCTCGGTTTGCTCTCCTCACGTGTGTCCTTCGTGTGTGTTGATGCAGCGCTCGCTCAGCTCTTTGCTTTCTTCCGCCTCCACCGTCTCTCGCTCCCGCATCGCCGCGCGACCGTCGGCCTTCTTCACTTCGTCGTCCTTGCGATCGTTCACCTCGTCTAGAATGGCTGCCGTTCAGAAAGGAGATTTTGTCAGTCCCTCGTCGTCGTGCTCGTGTGCTTCCTATCTCCGTCGCCACTCCGCCTCCGACCCGCCGCTTTATGCAGCCTCACTGACCCGGACCATCTGCGTACCCCTTCACCAACAGAATGTCGATCTCTACACGCCTTTGGCGGAGTTCGATCCCGAGGTCCAGAAGCTCGTCGATCGCGAGGTGAGTATCGCACGCTGGTCGTGGGGCCTTCCCCCAACTCCGCCGACCGTCGGCATCCGGTCGCCGCACAGAGCTAACCGTTGCCATGCATTACAACAGACCTTCCGCCAATTCCGTGGTCTCGAACTGATCGCCAGTGAGAACTTGACCTCGCTCGCCGTCATGGAGGCCAACGGCTCCATGTTCACCAACAAGTTGAGCTTCCCTTTCCTCCTCCCCCGACCTTGCCTTTTGAGGTATTCCATGAACAACCGAAGCTTACCGGCGCGTCCTTTTCTCGACAGGTACTCGGAAGGTCTTCCCGGTGCTCGTTACTACGGCGGTACGATTTACGCTCCGCTCTTGGATATACCTCGGGTCGAAAGCTGACTTTTCCCACTGGCCATCTGTCACAGGTAACGAGGTCGTGGATGAGCTCGAGATCTTGTGCCAGAAGCGAGCCCTCACCGCGTTCCACCTCGACGAGAAGACTTGGGGTGTCAATGTTCAGCCCTAGTCAGTTTTGGAGCAAACCATTCGCCGCGCACAACAGAAACTGACACCCCTTGTCGAAAACCCTTTTGCAGCTCCGGTTCGACCGCCAACTTTGCCACTTTCACCGCTTTGATCCAACCCCAGGACCGAATCATGGGTCTCGGTCTTGCCGATGGTGGTCACCTGTAAGTTTGCGCTATCGCCACGCTGAGCTCGAACCTGGTCGCGTACCGAGTGCCCTCGTTTGACCGACATCCGCCCACAGTACCCACGGTGCTTTCACGCCCAAGCGCAACATCTCGGCTTCGTCCATCTACTTCCAATCGATGCCGTATCGCGTCGACCCCGAGACCGGCTTGATCGACTATGACGAGCTCGAGAAGAATGCGACCGAGTTCAAGCCCCGAATCCTCATCTGCGGTGCCTCGGCTTACCCGCGTGACTTTGACTTTGCTCGCTTGCGCAAGATTGCCGACATCAACGGCTCTTACCTCATGTGAGTTGGCTTTGCACCGTTTCTCAGATTCCGAACATCACACTGACATGGTTCGCTCGAACAGGATGGACATGGCCCACGTCTCTGGTCTTGTTGCCGCTCAGGTCCTTAACGACCCCTTCGAGTACTGCGACGTTGTCACCACCACCACGTCAGTTTCTTCTAAATATGAGCAATATTTGTTTGCATCGTTTGCCTGACACTCGTGCTACTTGTTTAACATCTCACAGCCACAAGACCCTCCGTGGTCCCCGCGCTGGTCTCATCTTCTTCCGCAAGGACAAGGAGTCCGACATGGAGAAGCGCATCAACGACGCCGTCTTCCCCGCTTGCCAGGGTGGACCCCACAACAACGTGAGATCATCGAATTGGATGAGACAGACTGGATTGCCCGAGCTGACGCATTCGATGCTCCCAGACCATCGCCGGTATCGCCGTCACGCTCAAGCAAGTCGCTTCGCCCGAGTTCCTCGCGTATGCCAAGCAGATCGTCGCCAACACCAAGGCGATCGCCGCCAAGCTCCTCGAGCACGACTACAAGCTCCAGACCAACGGGTCGGACAACCACCTCGTCCTTTGGGACTTGCGCCCGATCGGCTTGACCGGTTCCAAGATTGAGAAGATCTGCGACTTGGCGCACATCACGCTCAACAAAAACTCGGTCCCCGGTGACAAGTCCGCAACCGTCCCCGGTGGTGTGCGAGTGGGTACGAACGCGCTTACGTCGAGGAGCATGAAGGAACCCGAGATGGAGGTCGTTGCCGAGTTCCTTCACCGTGCCGTTCAGATCGCTGTGAGTACCATCCCGAGGTCATTTGTCTCGCGCGTACTTCGACTGACCCACTCCAATCATGGGCTTTGCACACAGCTCTCGGCCCAAAAGGAGTGCGGCTCCAAGCTGCTCAAGGACTTTGTCAAGACCGTTACCGAGGGTGAGGGCGAGTCGCGCAAGGCGCTGCAGCAGCTCGCGAAGGACGTCAACGAGTTCGCCGAGAAGTTCCCCCTCCCCGGTGTAGGTCCCTCTATACTCCCTGTGATCGAAGATGTACTGCATACTGATTCGTGTGTGCTCTGCTCAGGTCCCTGACTCGTCGTCCATCAAGCGCGTCGAGGCTTAAATAACGTACTTGACCCCGTCTTGCTTTCTGTTCATTTGTTCACGTTACTTCGCCAACCCATGTCTCAACACTCGTACCTGTCTTTATTCATTCTTCTCCTTTTCTACACCGGAAGTTCTCGGTTATCTTCGGGGGTCAAAGAGGGGGGGTTCTCTATGTCACATTTGCATATTTTGAAAAACAAACCAACATCGTTCAACCGCACAAAAACCATTCAGCAGCCCTTCGCTCTCTTGAGAGCAGTTCTTTTTCTGTCACAAATCGATCCGAAACCGATGTCTTTCGTCCGTACGAATCGGCGATCCCATCGTCGCCGACCAAAAAGCGATCGCTCGAGGTAGATCCAGATCCACTTCGGCGACGAGCGAAGCACAACCCAATTAGACGGCTTTCGAACGAATCGCTTCGACGCAAGTTCGTCCCCAACCTTGGCGTCGATGGGGAACGAACACGCTGAATTCGGCGATATTGAGATTTGCAGTACTAGGAGGGGAACTTTCCTTGATAAGTGAGAAGGTCGTGTAGAGGTTCACTAACCCTATTCGATCGGCCGCCGTCGCCGGCGGGTTCGATTCGGAAGAGTGGAAGAAGTGGAGCTCGAGATAACGACCACCTTCAAGTTCTTTGATACGTCGACGTAAGTCATGTTCGTAGTTTTTTTGGAAAGATTCCAGCGTCTCGGATTCGAGGACCGAAGGCCATTCGGTGATGATGTAAGTGATCGAGGCCGTGAGGAAGGGTGTCCAGAGTGGGGAGGAAGGCGTGATGCGGTCGCTGAGGGTGATGACTCGGTGGGGCTCCTCCGAGTCGGATGGGGACATGGAGGTGCAGGTGGCCGTTGGCCCTACCTCTGCCTACACAGATTGGTTCCACTTGAAAACGGTATTCGACAATGTGTAGGGTATACTTTTCAACCTGGGTATGATAGTGCGACGTGCTTTGGGTGTTCGCTGATGCGTCGGCGGATGAGAGCAGGCGAGCGCCCAGCTTGTCCTGGAATCAAGAGGTCCAAGCGCTCGACAATTCTTCGCAATCGATGATGCCTTTCTCGGCGCTGAAAGAAGCGACATCGCTTCAATGGTACATATTCTCATGTTTCAGAGGCAGATGTAACCACACAAGAGGGTCAAGATTTGGGCACAGAAAAGTAAGTTAAACGAGCTGGAACGCACACTCACTTGCGTCGCTTGTTTGAAGAGGTGCCCACAAGCCAAGTAGAAGATGACGTACGAGCTATGAAGGTTTAACTTCACACGATGGCATGTCTGACAGGACAAACAAAACAATACCATCAATGTTCGCGTGAACTCACCTTTCGTTATCGGAAGGCGGGCAGGACGACATCGGGGGGCGAAAGTCTTCCGCCGGACCAAGAGCTCGCCGGGGCGTCAGCTGCCGGAAGCTCATAATCGTCATGGGTGAGCTTCTGAATTAGAGCCCTCTTTCGTCCTGCACCGAGAGAAGAGGGTTCCTGTGGACCAAGCGCGAGCTCAGGCGCCTGACGAGGCTTGTGCTTCATTGCGACTGCCTCCATCCTCGGCACGGAGTCTTGCGCTTTTTGATCTCATACGAATCAATCGTCTTCAGGGATTGCTTCACCCGGTACGATCGTTCAACGTTGTGCTTTTCGTCTATTGTGTTTTGTACGCACGCCACAAATACAAGGTTGGAAGGGCTGAGATTATGAGACTTGCTCCGATGTGACAGGTGAGTTACGTTTCACGCGGTGTTTTCTTTGAATTTTGAGGGGGATTTGAGATTACGACAAGAGAGGGGGACGGTTCGCTTTTTTGGGGGACTTTCTTCGGGATACGACTGCTTCTTTTGGTCCTCGTTAAACTCATCCAAGCTTGTCACTAATGGCCGATTGCTTTTCAATGTCCCAAGGACAGTTCGAATGTGAATGGAAGAGAGCCGGCTTTCCTTTGGCGAGAGAAGTAGGTAGATCAGCGACGGAACCACGATACGCTCTAATTATCGTGTTTCTGCACTCACCGGTCCAGATGCGTCGAAGAGCCATTTAGTACTCGCGGGGAGGAGGAATCGAACGTTCACGACGAGGAGGACTAGGGCTGCGCGAGTCACGACGCCTCCTAGGGGGCGACCTCGACCTCGAACGATCCCTTCCGCCACCGTAGTCCCTACGTCCGGACGATCGGTCATCGCGATCACGGTCGTCCCTACGCGACGAGTAGCGGTCGTCGCGGTCGTCGCGTCGGGAATAGTCGTCCCTGCGAGGAGGAGGGGCGCGAGGAGCCCAACGATCGTCACCACCTCGCGAAGAACCCCATCGGTCATCGTAGCCTCCTCCACCACCTCGTCGAGGGGGGAAGTCGTCTTCGTCACGCTTGATGCCGCGGTATTGTCCCGGGGTCGGGTCGTGGGGTCGTTTAGTGGCGGAGAAGTCGACGCGGATACGACGACCGTGCAGATCCATGCCGTTGAGATCACTGATGGCCCTGTCGGCACCGTCGATATCGGCCATGGTCACGAAGCCGAAACCGCGCGATCGATCCGAACGGGCGTCGTACACGATCACGACCTTTTCGACCTTGCCGGAACGCGAGAACTCGTCCTCGAGGTCGCGCTCGGTCGTGCGGATCGAGAGACCAAACACACCGAGCACGTTGCTGGGTTCGGCAACCTAGAAGGATAGAACGAAAGCGTCAGCTGGGCTGTAGCTTGGGGGTCACCATGGGGTCGGAGTGCACTGCCAGATGACACACAGGAGCATGCGCCGGTCGACGGGGTGGAGGAGGTTCGTAGCGCCTGCGATTGTGGAGGGAGGAGGAAGTGGATGAGCACCATTTCCAAAGAACACGGAAACCACGACATGACTCACCTGGGAGGTGGGGGTGAACGAGAACGGGAACGAGGTCGAGCACTTGCACCATCACGCGAGCGAGGAGGCAACGGCGAGCGGGAGCGGGAGCGGGAGCGTTGGCGAGGCCGTTCCTGGTCGTCGTAGTGACCCGAGATGGCTCGCATGGGCGCGTCCTCTTGTGCGTACGAATCGCCAGCGTGGTTGGACATGGTTGGTGAACGGCGGGACCGGAGCGGAGAACGGAGAACGGAGAACGGAGAACGGGGGATGATGTGATGAGCGAATCGAAAGTGCCGGTTGGCGCTCCGAGGAAACAATCGCAGTCGTGGTCAAAATGCGGGCTGAAATGAATTGGGCGAGGTCGATTATGGCCGCTAGGGATGATTTTGGTATAATTGATTTTTGTCGCGCGCCGTCGCGAGAGCCCTGCGAGAGCCTGCGAGAGCCGGCCAGCGAGTGCGACGAGCTAACGAGGTGCGCTCCAGGCGCTCTTCTGCCCTCTTCGTGCGCACCTCTAGGAACCGTCAAGATGGTAAGAGACTGCTACACCTCACCCATGCCAGCTGCCGTGTGGATTTGACGCTCTGCTTCGACCCACCACCGACTCTCGGCCACTGCTCGACCACTACGACCGTACGACGGAGGGCAGACGGATGCGACGGTGCGGTGCGACGTTGGCGGTGGGCTGGGCTGGGCTGGCGGGGCTGGCTGGGCTGGGCGGCGGGCGGCGGGCGGTGGGTGGGCCGGCCATTGGCTGGGTGCGACGGTGCGTCCACGCCCGCCAAAAAAGTTCGTGCGCGCGCCCCCAGCCGAGGGGAGGGGGGGGCCGCAATCGTTCGAGGCCAGGCGCACACCACCGCGACGGAAGCCATGTATGGGCATCTGGTCAAGGAGGAGGTCGATCACGCTGCGCACCCAGACCTCGTGAAATGAAGCCAGGCTGGGAGGGGGGGAGAGGCCGGTGGCTTCGGGGACGCAGTACGGTTGCGACCATTCGACGACGCATCCGCGCCCATTCGATGCTCGCACGCACGCCCATGCGACACAGCCCACTCTATTACGAAATATGCATCCTTACAATCATGGGCGGCATATCATATTCGAGCCTACCCAAATTGATGTCTGTACTCGACCCGACCCGACACGACAATCCACATCGCAGCTGGCTGTCGTATCTTGAAGCCAAGCACGCTCCGCACACGTGAACTGACCGCTGCCCGCTTCTCCAACCAGGGAATCGACATTGAACACCACCACGTCAAGAAGGGAAACCGCACTGCTCCCCGCAGTGAGGACCCTTACCTCCTCTTGCTCGTCAAGGTCCGTAGTGGCAGCCATCGACTCGGCCGGCCATCATCCTACCCTCCAGCGCTAACCCGTTCCTTTCCTCTTCCCAAACAGCTGTACCGATTCTTGGCCCGACGAACCGACTCCAAGTTCAACAAGGTCGTTCTCCGCCGATTGTACATGTCGCGCATCAACCGACCCCCTTTGTCCATCTCGCGCATCTCGCGCCAGGTGTCCAAGTCCAACGCCGCGTCGTCGACCGTCGTCGCCGTTGCGACCATCACCGACGACATCCGCTTGCTCGAGGTGCCCAAGCTCTCGATCGCCGCTCTCCGCTTCACCAAGACGGCGCGAGCCCGCATCGAGGCCGCCGGTGGTGAATGCCTGACGTTGGACCAGCTTGCTCTGCGCAAGCCGACCGGTGCCAACACGTTGTTGTTGAGGGGTGCCAAGAACGCGCGTGAGGCGGTCAAGCATTTCGGCATGGGACCGCACAAGAACAAGAAGCCCTACACGATCAGCAAGGGGCGCAAGGAGGAGAAGGGTCGTGGTCGCAGAAAGTCGCGTGGTTTCAAGGTGCGTTCTCTTGTCTATCGTGATCGAGAGGGAGAGGAAGCTGATCGTCACCGCCTTGTTCATCACAGGTCTAAACGCACTCCATCGAACGGGTGGTGTGTGTTTGCGACACTTTGGAACTACGACAATGGGCGCAAGTCGTGGGAGTGGCATGGGGCTCTTCCCTTCGTCTCGCCTGCTCCCTTGTTTCCGGTGACTTTCCTCGGTCTATTCGAACGTTGCAGTCTCTTTCTCTCTCTCTCTCTCTCTCTCTCGGTCTTTGTGTTCTCCCTCTCCGTTTCACCCCCAAAAGCTGCAATGTTGATGTGATTTGAGGAGCCATCATTTTGGTGTCGAGAGAGAGGCTACTTTAAAGAAATGAATCTGAACCCGATGCGATAGGCGATGAATGTGACTCATGGAAGTAGAAGGAAATATACCCGAATGGGATCCTTATGACTCGCTTGCGTCCCGGGAATTATTACCCGAGTCGCTCGGAGTTCGGGGATGTAGTCGGCTGCTCTCCGACGCCGCTCTCTCTCTCCTTCTGATCCGTGACCTTTGATTGTGCTTCGTCACCGACACAGATGACCGTCTTCAACCCGACACGGCGACATTACATCAAGTGGTAGTATCATCATCACGTCACCGCACAGGCCCGCTCGATCCCCTTTCAATAGCGTAACCTATCTCGCGCACCTCCTTGTCAATCCCCCACGCCCACGAACAAACTCCCCTCTTCACCCACACCTCCACCCACACCTCTAAACCCCATTCCTCCCCCTTAAGCCGTAAGCCGTAAGACGTAGACACACACTCTCTCTGTCCCTACCTCATCATGCCGCTCAAACTCCTACACCACAAATCGTTCCACGTGTACAAGGCGGAGAACGTCGCGCGGGTCGCGCGGGACGAAGCTCTCGCTCGAGCGCAAGGGGAGGAGAAGGAACGAAGGGGAACGGTCGCGGATTCGGAGGCTAGGTTGGGGAGGATGAGGGCACGGACGGGGTTGGTGGAGATGGATTGGGGAGGAGGGGGAGGAAGAGGGGGAGGGGCAAGGAGGGAGGGGAGGCGGAGAAGAGGTTGGAGAAACAGTTGAAGGGGAAGGGGAAGGGGAGGGAGGAGGGGAATGGTGCGGATGGGAAAGGGCATCTTAATTTCTGGGCAGAGTTTGAAGCTGGGGTAAGTCCAAGGGTCGGATGACTTCAGGGGACCGTGGTGGTGTTGAGGTCGCGACGAGGCGAAAAACGCTGACGCTTTTGATGAACTTCGTTCGATCAGGCCAAACCAACCTCCTTTGAGAACGCCGAACGCAAACTCGAAAAAGCGATCGAACAACAAAAAGTCGACGAGTTGACCAAGGTGTACCTCGCCAAGAAGGGGGAGGGGGATATGAAGGGATGGTACGCGAGTGAGGATGGCCAGACGGAGAAGGAGAGGAAACTGTCGGATGAGATGAGGTTGGAGAGGGCGTGAGTGGTTTCGGTGGTGAGGGTGCCGTTATGCTGGTGGAGTCAAAGCACTGATTTTAAATTTCCTCATTGATGTGATCAGCTACAAGGACGGGGAGAACAAACGCCTTACGGACCCTTTGGCGTTGATGCAGTCCTACCTCAGACGAAGGGATCAGGTCCTCGATTCTTCCAAAGCCGCTTCATCATCCTCGTCGACGAGGTTCCGAACCCCTGCAACACCGGATACGGAACGAGGCGACTTGTCTCCCATTATCACTTCCTTACTTGCTCCCAAGAGAAGGAAAGGTGATCCCATACCCCGATCTCGATCTGCCCCGTCCTCCCCAACATCCCACTCGGACCCCTCCACTTCCACTTCCTCTCATCCCACCCTCGACCCACGAACCGAAGCTGTCCGTCGCGTCTCTTCCGAACGCGCTCGAGCTTCAGCCGTCATCGCTGCTCGGAAAAAGGAACTTCAAGGATCCGATGCAGGGTCGGTCGCTTCCACGCCTGCGAGGAGCGAGTTTGGAGCGCAGGGGTATGGGATGTTCAACAGGGAGGAAACGAGGGATGCGAGGGGACGGTGGCGGGAGGGGAGAGGGGGGAGTGGTTTGGGGAGTAGTGGTGGTGGAGAGAGTGGGAGCAGGGGTGATGGATGGGGTGAGCAGAAGAGGAGGAGGGAGGAGAGGTCGAGAGGTGGGGAGAGGGGGTGGGGAAGGAGGACGGGAGGGGAGTAGAGGAAGGGCCGGATGGCTCTGCGGGGAGTTCAGTTTTCACTGTGTTGTTTCACAGGCCATTTTCAGATGTTCTTGGGTATTTTTTGCTGGTAATGAAATGTTGTTACTCGACGTTGCAAAAAATTGACCATACACCCCTTCAAGCCTTTCTCCCTAGTCCAATCCAAGGCAATTTCCCAAACTCATTCTCACTAAACCTCATCATCGAAATCGTCCCATTATCCACCACCGCGATCAAAATACTCCTCCTCCCCACTTTAAGACGAGGATAGATGCTCGATCCCTTTTTGGACATCTTTTGGATCGCCGAAGGTTCGAAAGCGGTGCGTCGTTTGGGGGACCAAGGGAGGTAGGATCGCCAACTTTTTGTGGAGGAGGTGGAATCGGCGCTTCGAGGAGTGAACGTCTTTCGAGGAGGTCGAGTAGATTTAGGAGCGAGGTTATGTCGCACGACTCTGGGAGGCGGAGCCAGTAGATCCTCCGTGGTGGAGAGTGGAACTTGTTCGAACATGTCGAACAACTCGAAGAGATCGGGCATGGAGGTAGTGGAGGCGTTGATGACGACGAGTTGAAAGTCGGGGGGTGGGGGATCCGTCTTGCGGTATTTGGTGATAGGCTTGTAGACGTTGAAGAAGGGTTGGTAAGGGTGGGTTGAGAGGGGTGGGAGCGAAGAGGAGGGGTTGGGGGAAGGGTCTGTGGGGGGGAGGGGGTCTAGCGGTGTGAGTCGGGAGGGAGCGCGGGGCAGGGCTCGTCGAGGTAGGGGGGTGTCGTGCCCTGTCGGAACGATGCGCAGGCAAGAGAAGATTTGTTCTGTGCGACGATCGGGAGGATCAGCACCGCATTATGGGAGGGTGTGAACAGGGGAGAGTAGTAGACTGACCATAGGTCGTCCATCGGTGCCCCGAGACCAAGCTCTTCATTCGACCTTGCATAGGCTTCAACACGCGTGACACCGTCAAACGAAGGTGGGGGGCCAGAGGTGTCGGGAAACACCATCGACCAAAGTGGACGACGAGCTCGCGGAATCGGATCAGAGGCCATGCAATCCATTGAATGACGGTTCGAGGCGAGAAGGATCTTGGCGGTGTGGGCGCGAGGGTCGGTCTGGAGGTGGAGCGAGGTTTGGGTGCGGGTGCCCTGGTTCGGTGGAGGATGAAGCCTAGTCGTCGGAGGTTCGCGTAGACCTGCGGAGACACTCCAATTTGATCAGTTGGTGACGCGGCAAACGGTATAGGTAGTCGACGCACCTGATACCTCTCGATGGTCAATTCGTCCGCGCCAACCAACTCTGCCCACGCCTGTTGCACGCTCATCGGCACTCGTGGTCCTCGTTCGTCCTGTTTGGTGCCCGTCGCCTTTGTCCACAATTCGATCGCGCCCCTTTCGACGAGGTACAACGCCTCCTCGGGCAGCAACTCCAGCCTCTTTCTCTCACTCGAATGCCTGCCCATCGAGCCCAAATGAACACCAAATGATTGATCGCGATCGAGCGCGGCTCGCGCCAACTGTGGATCCCAAGTGAACGAATTGTACGCCTTTGAACTGTGGTGTCGTGAGCCGGTGGAGAGGGCGCTGAAGAGCGCTGCACGGGATTCGTTGAGTTGGGATATTTGGTGGGAGGAGAGCGTGGCTAGGTCGCTGGAGGCGGGGAGCGAGGAGGACGGAGGCACGGGCTCAAAGTCCTTTTCGCCGCGTTTGGGGATGAAAGGGACTGCGGAGACGTGGGAGTAGTCGTCTTGGGCCGTGAATTTACTGTTGGGTCGCGAACGGGAAGGAAGCTTAGCGTGTGCGGGACCGCTTGGTAGAGCGCTGGGACTGATCCGAGCGCTGAGCCTGATGCTGCTCGGCGTACTGACTTTGCAAACGTGGCAAACTGCCTCCAATCGGGCAAGGCGTCCTCCTCGTTCTCTTGCTGATCGTTGGCCGTTGCTGCCGTCGGTCGATCGTCCTGCATCGCTCGTGAGTTGATCGGTGCCACGTGGTGGGCAGCCACCGCGATCGATCGTGTGCGAAGAGGCTCGGGCCGGCTCAGTCGCGCCCAGTCGAGTCGCGCCGAGTCGCGCCGAGTCGCGCCCCAATCCGAAAAGAGGTCCGAGCGCACCCAGCTCACCGAGCACCACCCCTGCCGGTGGCAGACTGTGGCAGGGCACCGAGCACCGAGCACGCCGAGCACACCGGCGGTTGTCACGTGTTGCATTCCTACCTGCACCTCCTCCGGCGTCGATCTCACCCTGTCTTCCCCAACACGATTTCCCTCAATTCGTTTGGTCGGTGCTGTCCTCGTAGGCGTCATCTCCCGCTGGGCATACCACTACCATCCTCCACCCCTCACCAGGCTCACCGGCCTCACCGGCACCTCCACTTTCAAGCCAGGCACGACCCCCACTTTCGCCGGCACCACGGCGACTGCCTCGACTCGGACCACACCTGCGACTTCATCTCCCACGATGACGCCACCTCCTCCCTTCACGGGCAAGACCCCACTGGTCGTCCCAGCTCAGAACAAGCACACCGCCACCCTCATCTTCAGCCAGTCAGTCCAGTGTATGCTCTCACTCCGAACGGCCTCAGTGGGGCAGCCCGGGAGCTGACCGTATCCTCATTCTCGCTCCCTGCAGTGGCCTAGGCGATACGGCAGATGGATGGCTCGATTTTGCAAAAGATCTCGCGCCCCAGTTCCCGCACGTCAAGTGGATTCTCACTAATGCGTAGGTCCGCAAGTCGTCGGGACGGCAGCTCGGCTCACCCAAGTCTACACTGGCGCTCAGCACGTGTGGAGGACGTGGATCCGTGTGCGAAGCTAAGACATGACGTGTTCCTTGCATTAGACCACGGAGATACATCAAGCTTTGGGACGAGTCGATGCCCTCTTGGTCAGTCCTACCTCCGCAGAATGGGAGGACTCCGACGTGTCGGCCGAACTCCTTTCCCCTTCCCAACCTGATCCTTTCTCTGCACGTACCACGTAGGTAGGATTTCAAAGTACGCAACGCACCACCGCAAGACGAGGACTCGCCAGGGATGCTGCAATCGGTCGAGACGATCAAGCAATTGATAGAGATCGAGGTCGCGAATGGGATTGACCCGGGCCGGATCGTCGTCGGTGGATTCTCGCAGGGTACGTACCTAGTGGAGAGTTGATTCACTGCAGAGCGCGTCTCTGACTGATACGAATTATGTGCTTGATGAAGGCTCAGTCCTGTCCATCTTGACGACGGTGACGAGCACTCGGCCCCTAGCTGGGACCTTGGCACTTTCGGGATACCTGGCGTTGACGTACGAGAATCGCATCAACTTGCTCGCTACGGACGTAGGGCGCAATATTCCCATGCTCATGGCCCATGGGGATCAGGATGCGGTTATTGCGTACGTCTTACGGGAGCAAATCTTCCATCTTTTTGGGGAAGAAGGGCGCAGTGGCGATGATGACTCACCTCCAGGTTCTCACCTCACTTGCCATTTTCGGGATCCGATTCGTCAAATTTGCTCCTCATCCTCACCGAACTCGATCAGTTTGGACAAGAGCCAGAGAGGATACGATCATCTCAAGTCAATCGGGTTCGATAAGATAAACTATCGTGTTTACAAAGGTGAGCACTCCCCAGTTTCGACGGCATCTCTCGGCGAATCTCGTTCCTCGGCTCCTGCCTCGGAACAAAATGCTGACTCGGACAAAAAAAAAATCCTCCGCCAACTTGATAGGTCTCGCGCATTCTTTGGGTCAGCAAGAGACATTAGACATTGTAGAATTTTTGAACAAGGTTATTCCTTAGCTATGGTCTCTCAAGTTGCCATTCTACGATCTGAATTTACAAATTTCTAATCCCGCGGACCGCGGGAATTGTCGATTGATCGCCTCTCGGGTTTGGGTTCGAACCGGAGCCGAGTGGATCGCTTCTTCGCTCTTGACACTTACTTTCGCACCAAAACGGACAAACTCCGCGGACCGTTCCCGGCGCATTTTTACCATGTCGGCTCGTCGAAATGCTACTCTGTTTGGACAGTCGATGGTGAGGCCACACACTCTTCGGCCACGGCTCTTCTCGGGTAACACCCCCGAAGCACGAGCACAGCTCTCGGCTACGTCGACGTCGTCGCATAAACTCCGAGCTCGATCGCTGGCCACGTCTTCCAACCCGTTCCCTTCAAGTTCTACTTCTTCACCAAGCTCGACATCCTCCCCTCCCCGAAGACCAAGTTCCTCCCGGACGTTCCTCAGCCTAGCGACGGGACTCGTGCTCGGTTCCGCCCTCGCGTTGACCTTACCTCGACCTCGTCTCCTGTCCCTCATCTTGCCCAACCCTACACCTCTCCCTCACGCCGCCGATTCCGAAGAAGGCCGTTTAGAAACCCAACGAATAGAGAAAGAACTTGAGGCGCTTCCCATCGTCAAGCAATTAAGGGAAGCCCAAGTGCCCGCCGCACAAGGGTACGCGAACCCCCTGATCGCGCAAGACGTTTCCCCTACGCACGTCGAGACGTCCCTCACTGGAATCGAGGATAGAGCTCCACCGAGGGATAGCTCCCTCGCGCCCAAATACCGCGAATCACGTCCTTACGCGGCGGCGAACGCGGGACCTCATTCACTCTCGGGTTTCACGCTCAGGGGTCCGAGCAAATTCGCGATCCCTCCTTTGGCGTTCACGAGCAAGGATAATAAAGAGGCGGTGTTTTTGATGCATTTGGGGAGGGGTTTGTGCGGTCATGAAGGGGTCGTGCATGGGGGTTTGTTGGCGACCGTTTTGGATGAGAGTTTGGCTTGGACGGTCAGTCGGCGAAGGGCTCTTTCCGGGCCGAAACAGGCATTGAATGCAACGATTGGGTCATCTCACAGGCTTTGCAGTTGTTACCGAGTAATATCGGGGTGACGGCGACGCTGTCGTTGTCGTACAAGAAGCCGACGTTCGCGGACCAGTTCGTGGTCATCCGGACCGAGTTTGTGCGACAGGAGGGAAGGAAGGTTTGGGTCAAAGGACAGGTCGAGGATTTGGAGGGGATGGTGTTGGTACAAGCCGAGTGAGTTTTTTCTTCTTCTTCTTTCTCTTACGTGTGGAGTTTGTTCGAGATGGGTGGCTGATTTTAATCTGGTTTCATGTGACCCGCTCTCAGAGCTTTGTTCGTCGAGCCCAAGATGGCCAAGTTTTTATCGAGTAGTAGTGTGCGTGAACATTTCAAGTAGTGAAAAGTGGACAGAAATATACAAAATAGATTTTTCGTCCGATGTATAATTCATGTGAAGCGGTCACACTTTGATCAGCGCGTTCCTCCGAGAGAGGGCCGACGAGACCTTGGCTGCCACATGCCGTACCTGCCACTTCCGCTCTCGCTCTGCCACCTCGTCGTCGCACGGCCAAGGAGAGCGTGCTGAGCGTGCTGAGCCGCCAATGTCGTCGCACCACAGCAGCTGGAACGTGTCGGCGTATGCGACCACGAAGGAGACTTTGGTCGCTTGCATTGGTCAGTCGATACGACCTGTGTTCCGTCGAGAGGTGACGGTGCACGGAGCTCATACAGATGCGCGCTCTCACCTCACCTCCACTCTGCTCCATCACGCCCGGCCTCTTTGCGCGGTGATCGACCCTTGATTGACGCGTTTGGGCGAGGCGGACCTAGATCGAGCGTGTGATCCGCTGTTACGGGAACCCAACCTATCGCTCAACCTCGAGATCGCGGAATTGATCAACCACAAGAAGGCCAACACGTGAGTCCGGGCTGTCGATCGTCGATCGTTCAGCTCGGCGCGCGATCAACCCCCCTGCACGGAGGTGACGTGCACCGCGAGAAGAAGCGTACTGACGCATTACGGCTCGTCTCTGAATTCGCAGACCGAGGGAAGCCGCAGTCGAATTGGTTCGGTTGGTCAACCATCGGAATGCGCATGTCGCTATGCTCGCACTTCATGCAAGTCATCCGTCCCGAGGCCAGGCGCGCGCCGCTCGAGGCCGCCGAACCCACCACCCCTCAGGCACCAGGCTGACCACCACCTGTTCCACCTCTCTTCTCCAACAGCTCCTCGACATCCTCGTCAAAAACTGCGGCTACCCCTTCCACCTGCAAATCAGCACCAAGGACTTCCTCAACGAGCTCGTACGGCGCTTCCCCGAACGACCCCCCGTGTTCGCCCCTCCCCCCATGGCCAAGATACTGCAGCTGGTGCACGAGTGGAAGAATACGCTCTGTGTGCATAGCAAACATAAAGAGGATTTGGTTCATATCAGGGACATGCACAGGTTACTGAGTTATAAGGGTCAGTCACTGGCAGACAGGGAGGTCGGGCTGGGGATCGGAAGCTGATGAGGGTACGGTCCCTTGCACAGGTTATCGCTTTCCGGACTTCGATAAACGGGCCCATTCGGTGCTCAATCCTTCAGAGGTGAGATCCACGTGGAGCGGTGTAGACAGCGCAGAGAGGGTGCTGATCTTGGCCTACCGTTTCGGGCAGACTCTGCAAACGCCCGACGAATTGGAGGAAGAGGATCGAGCAGCCCAAGCGGCCGTGAGTTGGGGTGAACGTCGACAGAACCTGACTCGGTAGGGAGAACTAATGCACAACACGCAAATTTTACACTCTAGAAACTGCAAGAGTTGATTCGACGAGGTACACCCAAGGACTTGGCCGCCGCGCAGGAGTTGATGAAGATCATGTCCGGAGCCGTGAGTGCTTCGTCAGAATTTTAGAAACCACACGAAAAAGGGGGGAGTGCTCATCCATCATCATCCTTTCGAGCGATTAGGAACCGGAGAAACGACCAGACTACGAGCAACAGGTGCAGAAGGAGCTCGACCGGATACAGCAGCGCATCCTCCTGCTCAACGAGATGCTCAATAACGCCAAGCCGAAGGAACGCTTCGTCGAGGGCGATGCTTATGATGTGAGTTGTTGAGCAAGTTGGGAGAGACCTATTGGCGCTAGAGTGCTGACACACGTGAATTCGGTTCACAGCAAATCGCCCAAAAGTGTAGACATGTTCAACCCAAGATTCAAAAGTGGATCGAGGAGAGCGTAGAGAATGATCCGGGGGCAATAGGTGTGTTGCCTTCGACCCATGGCGAGGATTGTGGCTTTGAATGACTGATACGGTTATGTGTTTGTCTCAGACCGGCTCTTGATGATGAACGATCTGATCAATAACATCCTGAAACGATACGAGTCCTTCAAGGCTGGAGACCGGACAGCGGTGGCGGAGATAGATCCTGCGTGAGTTGAACTCGACAATCCACGCCAGTTGATCAAACTACTGACACCCTGCTTGTGCGCGTGTTTCCTGCAGACTGGGACCGTCTGGCGGCAAGCAAAGCAAAAAGGTCGAAACATCGTTGATCGATTTCGACTTTGACGAACCCCGAGCTGGCGCGTCGAATGCTTCACCGGCCTCTTCGAACCCCATGGACGATCTATCCGCATTGTCCGGTCTCTCCTTGGGCGTCGGAGCCGATTCCTCGTCCGCTTTCGCAAGTGGCCCTACCTCGGCTCAACCTTTCGGATCTCAGCAGGGTGGACAACAACCCAAAGTCGACCCGATGAGCTTTTTCAATTCGCCTTCTTCGTCTTCGTCGAATACCAACTCGCCGAGAACTTTGATGCCCAATTCAAACAACAATGGGATGGGCGGTGGAGGAGGACTTTTCTTCAGTAACCCGACATACCAACAACAACAACAAAACGCTTCCTCAACTTCGAACGGTTCCGGTAATAGTCAACCAGGTACAAGCAATTCCCCCATCTCCTGGGCCAGCCCCTCCACCTCCAACGCCATCCCCAGGGCTTCAACACCCAGCCAACCAGGTGTGATCCAACTGGGTTCCGGTTCTGGTAATGGAGGAAATGTGAGTGGTGGACGAAGTTCCTTGGCCGTCTCCACGGGCAAAGGAGGGTTTGGTGGACAGGCAATGTATGGGAATAGTCCACCTTTACCTCAATTGCCGATGGAGGCGAATCAGGAGGGTGGTCATGGGGCAGGGAAGAAGAAAGATGCGTTTGAGGATCTGTTGGGGGATTTTTGAGGGACGACGGGGAGCGTGTATGCATTTAAATTTCTGTTCGTGATGGATTGGGGGGCGTCAGGTCCCTCTTTTGTTTTCGTTTGCAATTCGGAACGCTTTAACGACATTCAACCCCGCTTGGTGTTCGTATGAGAGATCCATGTTCCTCCCTTCCCACGAATCGGTTCTGCTCCTGGTGAATTATATTGCGTCCTTAATTTCCGAGATCTCTACATTCAATCTATAACCGCTTCCTTCTCCCTCTCCCCATCCTTTCGTTTCCTCTCCTCAACCTCCCGGTCCTCAGCTTCGATCTCGGAAACTGTTTTGAACGCCCTTGCGCGGGGCCAGAGGGCATGCGCTTGGGTCCGATATGCGTCGACTTGAGTCGAATTTTGTTCGGTTAGGTAGGCAAGGCCTCGAGTGGTGATCTACGTAGAAGAGCACGGGTCAGTCGAACAGGTCCTTGCGCGTCTTCCGTAGAAGACGGGTGTTTTTTGATCTTAAAAAAGCTTACCTCGAGACTAGGTCTTTCCTCCCCTTTCAAAATCTGCATCACCAAATTATCACTCTCCTCCTTCGCCCCAGGTCCTTCCAAATTGATCTTCGCCTGTGCAATTGCCAACAACCTCTCACCCCTCCCTTTCTCGTCCCCATGTTGAAGAACCGAATCGAGGAACGCTTCGATCGAGCCTGCGTCTCCCCAGAGGGTAGGAAGGGTTGCACAGATGGTTTTTTGGACCAAGGGAGTTTGAGTGGTTTGGTAGGTCGTGGTGGTGGTGAGTTTGTGGAAGGAAGCGAGGAGGGGGAGTATGGAAGGTGAAAGAGGGGAGAGGGATAGGGCTCTTCGTAGGGCCGCGAGGGCGAGGAGGTATTTGCCTTATTGGTGGAGGATGAGATTGATGAATTGTCAGCTCTGTCTGCTGACTGGGTGTTAGCGGGGTGCAAAAGACTGACCCCTTCGAATCGACACCTGATAACTCAAAACCCAGGTCTCGACCAAGCCCGCCGCCTCCTTCTCCAGAGGTTTCAGGAACTTGAGCGCCGCTTGCAAAGGTTCCTTGTTCTCCAACAACTTTTCCCCCAACGGATCCTGATCCTCATCCGCCTTGGCCGAAACCTCCTTGTCGTCTTTGTCATCGTCTTTCTTCGTCGTGGTGGAAGAGGAATCGTCTTTCTTCCCCTTTCCTTTTTTGGATTTGGATGCAGTAGTAGCAGCGGTTTTGGCCGCTTTCTCTTGCTCCTCCTTTTCTTTTGCTTCCTTTTCAGCTTTCGCTTTGGCCGCTTCGGCTGCGGCTTCGGCGGCTTTCTGCCGTTCCTTTTCAGCTTCGGCTTCGGCGGCTTCGGCGGCTCCGTTCGTCAAAGCGGGTCGTTGGAATGCCGAGGGGTCATCATGGAGGCGGAGGTAGATCTGCAATGAAAGGTAGACCTCGATCAGCGATCGAGCACGTGAAAAACATGACTAATAAGGAGACCCACTTGAATCGCCCCCTTGGCCGCAGCGACGTAACGAGGATGGGACCTCAACGAATCGACGAAGCGCAGCATGTCGATGTACGCTCGCAGCGTTGATTTGCGAATGCAGTACGAATGAAAGTCGTATTGGTCTTCTTCGATCTCGGTGAAGATCTGGATGGAACGTAAGTGACGACCGTGAGCATGCTAAATTTTATGGAGAGTCCACGCCGATGATGTGAAACTCACATCAAACAACTTATGATACCTCTTGAGCGCCATCGCCTCCTTCCCCTGCCTCAAGAAACTCTGCGCCTCCTCTTGCAAGATCCACAAACACTGCATATCGACCAAATCACTCATAGGGCTCGGCGCATCCTTCTTCGTAAACAGTCCAGCAATCTCTTCCGCCTCGGTCAAAGAATCCGCACGAATGAGATATTTGGAGAATTTGGAATTGAGGAACCGGTCTTGGAGATCGAGTCGTTGGGCCGAACGCATCGCTTGCATCGCTTTGAGGGGGTCGCCGGAACGTTTGAGGATTCGGGCGCGGAGCATGGAGAGTTCGGGGAGTGAAGGCGTATGCGCTTCGGCGGCGTCGAGAACGGAAAGGGCTTTCTCTTGATCGCCGTTCTGGGAATGGTGTTGGGCTAGGAAGTATAAAGTCCAGAGGTAGACGGCGGTCGATTCGACTTGGTCGTCGGAATCGGAGGCGAGGCCAAAGGTCGAAGACGATTCGAGCGATGTTTTGTAAGCTTCAACAAGCTGGCCGATTTGGGCTCGTTTGGTCGTGTCGGGGTAGAGCGATTTGATGTCCGCGAAAAGAGAGGGTACGCCTTTGGACAACGCATCGGTGAGGTATCGAGAGGCTCGGATTTCGAATTCCTTTCCTGTGGGGACAGCACATCTCAGTTCTGTCAGCGCCTGCCACTATTCCTCGTTGCTAATGGATGTATCTCACCTGAAGCAAGATCTAATCCCAATCGCCGGATGGCCAACGATCGTGGGTGCTTTTCGGCCAAGAGGTCAAGCACTTTGACCGCGGCTGTTCGGCCCTCGTCCGTTTTAGAATCTGAGGGTGAAGGATTGGACGTCAGTGACAATCTACATCTGTATGAAAGCTCGTGCAGCATACCACAATCCGCTCCTCTTGCGAGCACGCTTGCTCGGATGAACTCGTAGCTGTCGGGGTTCTCTTCGAGCAAGATGTCCCAAGCCCATTCTGCTGGCTCTTTCCGTCCAAGTTTGAGCAAAAGGTGAGCTGTTGGAGAACCAGACGGTGTCAGTAGCCTGCTTCTGATCCCTCGTTCTCACTTGGACTGACCTCGCTGCACGGAATACGCCGTGCGATCGACGATCTTGCCGGAGTTCTCCTGCAAGAATTCGAGGCATCTCTCAAACTGGCCCGCCTCTTCCAAGACCTGAGCATGGTAGAGCAAAATCTCGCCAAGATCGAATTCGCCGTCGGGGACCTCTCGCAGTATATTTGCGAAATGGGTCAGCGTACGATCGGCTTCGGCGTGCTGCGAGGCGAGGTGCTGGGCTACGGCGAGGTAGATCCAGTTCTTGCGCAAGCGAGGTTGGGTGCGCAGGATCGCCAGTCGGGCTTGGGCGTATTCGGTGTAGTGGCGTAGGTGGACCAAGAGCATGGCCATGTCCGTCAACAGATTCAGCGAGTCCTGCGGGCCAGAGATCGTGGGTAAGCGAAGGAGCTCTGCGAGAAGCGCTCGGGTGTCTCTGCGGTTTTCTGGACTTGCCGGTTCGATCGTCGTAGCTTTACGGTAACAGTCGAGGGCTTGTTCGAACCTACTGTCGGCTCGGAGCATGAGGGCATAGACGTGCCATACGATGTGGGATCCGGGGTCGTTGTCGACCGCTCGATCGACCTCGGCGTATCCCTCTGGCTTGCGATCGACGCAGGACAGGAACAGACCCCTCATCGACAGTGCTTCTGCGGCGGTAGATAGTGCACCAGCTCGTTAGCTCCCAGTGGTGGCCGAGGAACGAGCCGAGTCCGTCGCACGGCCACGACCAATTTTCCCCGCGAGACCCACCTCCATGCTCAGGAAAGCCTTTCAGTATCGCCTCGACGGTCTCCAAACCCTTGGTGAACTGCTTGTTCTCATACAGCGTCAACACCTGACGAAACAGTTCGGCCTCCTTCTTGGGTAAAGCTCTATTCTGCACGGTCGTGGGGGGGTCATCGTTGAGCTCGGTCGTCGCAGCCGCGGTCGACTTGGCTGACGCTTTGACGGCGACGGGCTTGCGACGGGGTGGCATCTTGCTCTGGGCGGAAGGAGGGGACGGGACCGCGGATGCGGGATGCGGGATGCGGGATGCGAGTGCGAGTGCGGGTTCGGGTGCGAGAGCGAGAGCGAGAGCCGAGAGAGGCCGGTTGAAGGAGGAGAAAGACGGTAAGACGGGGAGGAGGAGCCGAGCCGATGGATCCGAGTCGTGGCAAGTTTGCGGAAACGACTCGGAGCAATAATGGAAAACTCTTCTGCGACGGTGTAGGACAGCAAGAAAGAAATCCAGAGTGTGAAAAGTTAAAACAGTGTCCAAGCACCTCAAGTCGGTGCCTGACCTGCTCTTTGACGCTACAGCAAAAATACTGTCGTCCGAGTCTCGGTAAGGAACGCCGCCCAATTCCTGATGTGCGGCAGATAGTCCTCTGGCGCGCGCGGAATTACAAGACTTACAAATGTCAAAAATCGAGCTCTGAAGGCGTCCGACTGGCGACGCGCATCACCCGCCCTGACGCGCCTGACGCGCCTGACCCGTCTCTCGACGCGACCTGCAACGTACACGCCGCTGTAGCGTACCACGCACACACCGCTCCACCGACCACCGACCACACTCTATCAACGACCGAGGCTGTCCTTGGCACCCAGAGCCAATCCGCTCCACTCGACTGCAGCACGCCATGGCTCGCGGCACGCCTTCCCAAGTGCGGCTCAAGTTCAGCCAGTCGCTCAAGGGATGTTCGACCGCCGAGCTGCAGAAACGACTGCGTACGCTCCACAACGAACTCGCCGAGATCGACCAGGACCTCATCGTCACGTCCTCGCTCGACAAGGTCGCCAAAGAACTCATCTCGTCGAGCTTGCTCCTGCACAAGGACCGGGGCTCCAAGGCTTACCTCGCGTGCTGCTTGGCCGACATCCTGCGTCTGTACGCTCCCGAGGCACCCTATACCCAGGATGAGCTCAAGGTGAGGAAGCGTATCCTGTTTTGTTGGGGTAGACTAGATTCCGGCGCACCGCGTAGCCGCCTGCCCACGAAGCACACTCCGGCGACGTCGTTCCACTTTGGGACGCGTTCAGAGTCTTCAACGCTAGACACCGTACTGACCACCTGTCCTTCCCCGCTCCCCCAGGATCTGTTCCAGTTCTTGTTTCAACAAATCAAACACGTCGGAGACCCCGCGGACGCGCATCAGTCGCAGTATTTTTACCTCGTCGACTCGCTGTCGAACGTCAAGTCGATCGTGCTCATTTGCGATCTCGACTCGGGCGACGAGCTCATGGCCGAGATCTTCAAGCAGTGCTTTAACACCATCACGTAGGTTTGATTTTTTTGTGACTCGATGTTCAGCAACTTGCATACTCACCCGGTCTGTACTCCCTTCCCGTTCACGTTCAGCTCCAACTCGCCGAAAAATGTCGAAATCTGCGTCGCCGACATCCTCATGCAATTGCTCGAAGAGGCGCAGACGCTGCACTCGGACGTCATCGACATTATCGTCTCGCAATTCCTGCCCAAAAACGTCAAGACCCGTTCGGCGGCGCATCGGTTGGCCGTCGACGTTTGCACCGGAGCGGCCGACAAGTTGCAGCGCTACGTCTGCCAATACTTTGCCGAGGTCATCACTTCGACCATCTCCGGTGCGAACGGTGCGAACGGTGACGATTCGAGTCAGCATGATAGCGATGAAGAAGATGATTCGGACGACGACGACGATGACGACAGTGATGATTCGGCGGCCAAGAGGAAGAAGCGGAGAAGGCAACAGCAAAAGAAGAAGAAGCCGGCGACGTCAAATTCGAACAAGCTCACCTCCGCGATGCTCGACAAGGTCGAGTTGCCGCCCCGATTTGTCGCTGCTCACGAATTGATCGAGTCCATCAACCGCACCGTACCTCAACTGCTGCTCAACGTCGTCCCCTTGCTCGAAGAAGAGTTGACGGCCGACAAGCCCGAATATCGACGGCTCGCAACCAACACGTTGGGTCACATGTTGGGAGAACCGATTGGGCATGGCGATGTCGCGCGAAAGTATCCGCAGACCTGGAAGATGTGGTTGCAGAGGTCCAGGGATATGGCACCGGCGGTGAGGTTGGCCATGATCGATCATCTCAAGCCGATCTGGACACAGCACCCTGAATTGGCTCAGGAACTAGGGGGTACGTCACGGTCTTTACATCGTACCCACCCCGTTACAAGTATACTCATCCGCTCTTTCGTTCTGTACAGGCATGATTGGTAACGTGATGCTCGACGCCGACGATAGGGTGCGATATGCTGCCGTCGCAGTGTTTGAAACGATCGAGTACGAAGTCGCGCTTCACCACGTCGACCGAAGAACGCTCGCAGCCCTCAGCGAACGTTGCCGGGATCGCAGACCGACGATTCGAGCGCTCTCCTTCCGTTGCCTCGGTCGCCTCTACGATTTGTCGTACACCGAGATCGAGTCGCGCGATGCGAACGCGGTCGATCAATTTGGATGGATCCCGGGGAGTCTGCTCGAACTGATCAAGACCGGTGGTGATGTGCCCCTGCAAAACTCGGTGCGCGCTTTGATTGAATCGACGTTATTGCACTACATCGTACCTCAACCCAAGAAGGAAGAGGATGAGCAGGCGTGGGTCGATCGCTTCTTGCTCGTCTTGGGCGCCCTGACGCAGGACCAGCTCGCGACGATCCTGAGTATGACCAAGCTGGCGACTCGTCGGCCCTCGGCCCATGACGCCTTCATCGCCGCTTGCGAGAGGTACAACGGTGGCGTCATTGACCAGGATGAAGACGAGATCAAGGGTCGCCTCAAGGTCATCATCCAAGCCATCGCCAATTTGAGCGGGGACCCGCCCAAAACAGCTGAGGACCTGCAAAAATTCGCCAAGGCCAACGAAGGCCAACTGTACAAGTTGACGAAGCAGCTCCTCGACCCTCAATCGGACCTCAAGACGATGCTCAAGTGTCGACGAGAGTATGCGCGCCGGATTGAACAGATCCATTCGAGTATCGTCGAGACGTTCAACTGGTTTATCCAATCCAGCGCTTACCTCTTGATCAATCGATCGTCGATTCCGACGCTGCTCAAGCGGCTGCGGACGCGCACAGGACCCGACGGCCAGACGACGTCGAACAATGCCGCACTCGTGCTCGAGTACATCTCGGCCAACCGACCGGTACTTTACAAGGCCCACGTGGCTGAATTGACTAAAGCTCTATCCGGCGAGACGGCCAAGGATGACAAGCTCGTCGAGGTCGCCTTGCACGCTCTCAGTCGAATCAGCAAGACGAAGCGCTCTGTTTTAATCGACAAGAAGCTCGCCGAACGAGCGGCTCATTTCGCACGATCGGAGAAAGAGCGTCAGGCCAAGCATGCGGCGACGATCGTCGCTCTCGATACGGCGCGGTTACAAGCCGCCGATGATCTCGTCCAGGACTTGTCCGACTTGATTGGGGTAGCCAAGGGGGAGTCGCTGGTCGCTCACCTGTCGGCTTTGGCCCGGCTGGTGCGCCATGCCGTTGGTGCGTTCGAGACGAAGAGCGAGGACGTCACCTCTTTGGCTTTGGAGATCCTCAATCGCAAGATCGTACCGGGTGAAGTCCACGACGACCTCAACTGGGTCGAGGATGATCAGCTCGACCCGCTCGCGAAAGCGCGCCTACTCGTCGTCAAGCTCTTCACGAACCGATGCCTCGCTTACGCCGATACGGACTCGGCTGAACAAGTCGCTCAACCCGTGTTCAAGATGCTATGGCCGCTTTTGCAAGTCTACGACGAGGAGACGAGCAAGTACACGCCTTCGACGGCCTCGCGGCTACGATTGGCGGCGGCGCACTCGATGCTCAAGCTCGCGACGTGCCCGGCTTACTCTGGCTCGATCGCTCGTTCGTTCGAGTTGCTGGCCAGAACGGCCCAGGATGAATGCTACGAGGTTCGATCGGGCTTCATCAACACGCTGTTGACGTATTTGCGCTCGAACCGAATCTCGACCACCGCAGCGAGGTACAATATGGTTTTGTTCTTGACGGCGCATGATCCTGAAGTCGAGTTGCGCCTCTCGGTGCAGAACTTTGTTAAGACGAGGGCGAACGCGATCCCACCGGCGGCGCGACAGGCGCAGTTTGAACATCCTTTCGTGAGGTTGTTGCATCTCTTGGCGCATCATCCTGATTTCGAAGGCGAGGAACATGATGAGGGCGAGATCGCTACGATGGCCAAGTGAGTCCGAAGGACCCCGTGATCTGACATTGACATTGTACTTGTGCTGAAGAAGACCTTGGTCACTCAGATACATCGAATTCTACCTCGAGTGCCTCGCGACGAAGGAGAACGCTCCCTATTTGTTCCACCTTGCGCTCAAAGTCAAGACCATGCGCGATGCCCACTCCGACGCCTACAACACGAACCTCTACCTCCTTTCGGAACTGGCGCAACACCTGATCAAGAATGTCGCCAAATCGTACGGTTGGCCTTTACCGACCTTCCCGCATGGGGTGACGATGCCTTCGGATATCTTCAAGTTGATGCCTGACAAGGCGACGCAGAAGAAGGTGATGGATACCGTTTACCTCACCGACGATCTGTTGGCTTCGGTGAGGCCGATGATCAAAATTCGAAGCGTGTTGCCGGCTGCGACCGTACCGAAGAAGAGGAGGAGTCCTAAACCCAAGGCGTCGCCCAAGCTCAAGGCGGTTTCTACGGCGGGAGGGAAGAAGCCGAAGAAGCCGAAGCGTGATTCATTCAATTCCTCTGCGGAAGAGGAGAGTGATGAGGAGGAGGGATCGAGTGATGAGGAGGCGGAGCTGGATGTGGATGGGCAGAGGAAAAATAAGAGGGTCAAGAGCCCGCCCAAGGCGAGGCCGGCTTACGAGAGGAAGGGTTTGCGGTCGACGAATGGAGTGAAGAAGAGTGAGGATGAGGAGATGGAGATGGAGGAACAGCCAGAAGAGGTGGAGAAAGAGGTCGAGAATAAGTCCCCTCAGAGGGATGGGAAGGGGAAGAAGGCGATGACACCGAAGAAGAAGGGTGCGGATTCGGCGGCACCGACTTCGGCTCGGGCCAAGAGGACGAGGGGTAAGGTTGAGGTGGAGGTCGAGGCGGAAGAGAAGAACAAACCGGGGGCGACGAGAGCGTCGCGGAGACGGAAAGCGGTTGACTCGGACTCGGAAGAGATGGATGAAGATTGATTGACTTTGATGGTGAACAATTTGGAGTGATCTGGTTCTCACGCGCTTGTTTCTTCTGAGTACTTCTACGGATTCTATTCTAGGCGGTCGACCTCGAGAACGGCTTTCTCTATGTGATGTCGAATAATTTTCCTGTTGTGCAAGACGGTATCGATTCGGTGGCAGTGCGGTACGACATGGAAAGGTGACATTAAAGCGCTTGTGCAAGTACTCGTGCAAAAGCTTCTAGGTCTACAACACCACGAGTCGACGCAGCGTAATCCCACATTTCGCGGATCTGTAAACAACGGACGCTCCCTAGGGTTAGGGAATATGATCCACCATCTCGACAGGCAGGCGCACTCACGTCATCTTCCGGCAAATCCTCGTTCAGCAACCTCGCCACTCGTTCAAGATCATGCATCGCGATCGCGCGGTCCTTGAGCGGCCTCTTGTCGACACTGCCTTCAAAGAAAAGCTCAAACGTGTCCAGCGCCTCTTCGACTTTCTGCTTCGACAACTCCCGATTTGGATCTCGCTTCTCTGCTTTTGTCGTCCGTGCTTTCCCTTTGCCCTTGCTCTGTTTAGCACTGGCGGTCACTTTCCCCTTGGAGGCTGACCCGTTGAGATCCTCGAAGTCGGACTCCTCATCGTCATCGTCATCATCGTCCTCTGGAGCGAAATCTTCGGGGAGAGGGGCTAGCGGCTCGTCATCTTGTACATAATTCGCTCGAGTCGACCTCCGATTCGATCTTCTTCGACTCGGTTTGACGGATTCGTCTCGGTCTTCGTACGCATCCCCCTCATAATCATCTTCGTCGTCGCTGGCGGGTGATTTATCCTCGTCCTCGTCGTCCATTCCAGCCATGAACGCTTTACACACCTCCACGAATCGTTCTTTGGCCACACATTCCACACCTTCCTCATTCGGGACCGCAACATCGCTGAAGAGGTCCACCAAATCCTTTTCCGACGCTGGCAGATTCAACGAAGCGATCGCGACGGGGATGGACCGAAGTGGAATTAGATTCGTCGAATATTTAGGTGGCGGTAAAGTTGTGTCGTTCGAATTGGATAAACTCGGTAGATCGGGTAGATCGGGTAGTTCTGAGATCCCTTCGTCATCGTCTTCGGGTACGAAGCCACCTCCGAGCGGAGGTACATCCTCCGGTTCGGGGAGGAATCCGCCCCCACCTGCATCGACCATTTCGCTGTCCTCCGCTATGAATCCGCCGCCACCGCCGCCACCATAGTAAGGCGATATGGTGGAAGCTGCCCGGTCGTCATCCTCGACAATGAAGCCACCTCCTGTCGTCGCCGTTGCTCCGTTGACTTGATCTGCCTCTTCTCCTTCCGGCAGAAACCCCCCACCCCCTCCTTGCCATCCATTCTCCGTTGTTGCATCGTTTCGAGAGTTGGACGTCCCACTCGGACCAATGGCCATATCGTACTCATCCTCGCCTTCGTTCTCGGTAGAAGACTCGATCGTCGTCCGGGATCGCTTCTTGTTCCTCGATGAGCTACTGGTCTGAGCTATTGTGGTGCTCGACGGCGAGGCAGCGAGGTCGAAGGCTCGGTTGATGGAACGTGATTGAGCTGGAGTAAGTGCACTGCCTTTGCTGGCCGACGTTGAGGCACGTGCGACGCGTGCTCGCGCCTGAGTGAGGTGGGACGGCGTGGGGTGGGAGGTGGGAGGGAGTCAGCGGGGGGATGAGTCAGCAAGACTCGAGCGGGCACCCTTTTCAGATCCTTTGGTGAAGCAGTTGTACTCACCATAGCTATGCGCGTATCCGGTAGTTATAGGCGAATGTGAATGTGCTGGACCTGAGACCGAGTATAGCACTGCTCCGACGCTCCGACGCGGAGGCAGTCGAATGTCAAATCGGCCTCGCAGCACGCGTCAAAAATAAAGGGGAGCCGCTTGCTGCCGCTTGCTGCCGCTTGTGCGGCGGGGAGGGCGGGGGCCTGTTATTAGTGGCAGCGTGCGCCACGCGTCGCGCATGACGTAGCCCGGGATCGCGACGAAGCGTCATCCCAAGTTCGGGCACACACGGGTGGGGCAGTGTCTGGCCTGACATTCTATTTCGGTCGACACATCGTACCCCCAGTATTGAATCACCGCACGTTCACCGATTCTTTCTCTTCTCCTCTGCTCCGTATCCTCACCCTCCCCCTTGCACCGAATCGAGTACACCATGTGAGTATGGCTCGCTCGAATCTAGCTCTTCGAAAGAGCTTGCCCTCCGAGCTGCTTTCGCTGCCAAAGGAAGACTGAGGCAGCTCCGGTCTGTGGACGTCACAGCTCCCTTATTGGTGGTTGGGCTTCTACCTCGCCGCAAAAGTGTATACAATGACCCTCGCCACGCAAATGATCTGACCACCCACAACCCTCTTTCAACTCGCCGATGTAGGACCCTCGCTCGCCAACTAAACGCCGAGAAGCTGTTACAGCATTCGCACGAGCACGTAAGTCCACAGCCTCGCACACTTCGCAAGATGGAGCATGAATTTTTCAGCAACCATCGATCACTAACAATATCTCACCCTTCTTTGCTCAGGCCAAAGCCCATGGCCGAACCAATGTCCGCTCGCTGTTGCAGCGTGAGGGAGGCCACAAGCTCGAGTCAGTCTTCATCTCGAAACTCAAGTCTTTGGGTGCCAAAAGGAAACTTGTTTTGCTGAGATCTATCTCTGGCATGACGCAGACATCCCAACTATGGAACGAGCGAGTTGCCCAAGCATTCGATCCCGAGCAAAGGTACCGAGCCCGTCATTGCGTGAGTGCAGCCGAAGACTCTGCTGGCTTCTCGAGATGCTCAAGGGCTGACCCTCTTTGCTTCTTTTGCCCAGGTACAACCTCATCCACGTGAGCCGATCATGGTCGCGTCAGATCTCAGTCCCACTTGTGAAGCTGACTTCGTGTTCCTCTTGAAACCCAGGACGAGTTGAGCCTCGACGGAAGCCCTTTGCTGAATCTCGCAAGTTTCGTCCACACCCATATGGATGAGTACGGCGACAAGCTCACCTTCGAGAACATTGCCAAGAACTTGATCGACACCGATGCAAGTCACAACTTGGGAAACTTCGTTCGAACTGAACCCCGCTGACCGCCGAGACTTGCCTCTTTCAGGAGTACCCCGCTACCGTCTTGCTCCACACGCGCTGCATCTCCATGTTGGCCAAGCTCTGGAACGCCGACGAGACCAAGAACGCGACCGGAACTGCCACGACCGGATCGTCCGAGGCCATTCAACTCGCGGGTCTCGCCATGAAGAGGCGCTGGCAAGACAAGCAACGCAAGGACGGCAAGGACGAGTACCGCCCTGGTACGTAGTGCAGCGGTGCACACAGCACCCTCAACCTGCGCATACGAGACTGATGGAGGGTATGCCACTTCCACAGGGCCCAACATCGTCATGGGTGCCAACGCTCAGGTCGCTCTTGAGAAGTTCGCTTGCTACTTCGAGGTCGAGGCGAGGCTCGTGCCCGTCTCGGAGGAGACCAACTACATCCTGTCGCCCGAGCGTGCTATGGAATACGTTGACGAGAACACGATTGGTATCTTTATCATCCTTGGATCAACCTACACGTGAGTGGGCGCCTTGCTTTGCTCTCCACTTGTGCAGCACTTGCTGACCTTGCTGTGTTACGCTACCAGTGGCGCTTTCGAGGACGTCGAAGGGATGTCCAAGCTTCTCGACGAGTACGAGGCCAAGACTGGCCACCATGTTCCCATCCACGTTGTGAGTAATCTCAATTCGTCCACATGAACGTCCCGGATCAATGTCTGACGCCCTGTGCTCAACCCAATCAGGACGCTGCCAGCGGAGGATTCGTCGCCCCCTTCGCTTACCCCAAGCACGTTTGGGACTTCCGTCTCCCCCGCGTGTGCTCGATCAACACTTCCGGGTGAGTTGCGCTCTTCTCAATCCAAATCTGGAGCCGAACACTTATTCCCCGGATTTCGTCACCTCTAGCCACAAGTTCGGCAAGGCCTACGTCGGTGTTGGATGGGTTATCTGGAGGGATACCGCTCATCGTGGGTCGATCTTTCTGCAGCCGCATGACCAGACATTCTTGCTGATAGTCAGCCCACATGATTGTCTTACAGTCCCAGAGGATCTCGTCTTTAAGCTCACGTACCTCGGCTCGGTCGAGTACTCGTTCTCGCTCAACTTCTCGCGTCCCGCGCATCCCATCATTGGCCAGTATTACAACTTCGTTCGCTTTGGCTTCGATGGCTACCGCGCGATCGCGCTGCACGACGCCAAGAACGCCCGACTGCTCGCGCGTGCGCTCAACAACTCGAAGTACTACACCGTCATTAGTGACTTGCTCGAGCCAAGCCAGCAGACGGGTATCGTCGACAAGGCGGCCAAGGCTGTCGGACTCAGCGAGAACATCGAGGACTACAAGCCCTCGCTGCCCGTTGTCGCGTTCCGCTTCTCGGACGAGTTCAAAAAGGACTTCCCCTACGCCAAGCAAAAGAGCGTGCAGACGCTCATGCGGGCCAAGGGCTGGATCATCCCCAACTATGAGCTCCCTCCCGATCTTTCGAACGTTGAGATCTTGCGTGTGGTCGTGCGCGAGCAGTTCTCCGAAGATCTCGTCGAGCGCCTCGTGATTGACCTCATCGAGATCACCGAGGATTTGATCAAGGACTCGATGGACGAGGCCAAGCTCTTGGCTGGTCAATCGAACCCTTCGCAGGACAAGGTCAAGGGTGTCACCACTCACCACAGCGAGAAGCAGGCCGCAACACAGGACCAAAAGGGTGTCGAAACCTCCGGCCACAGTTCGGTGTGCTAAGCAAAGAAACTCGAGTGCCAAAAACCAAAGGGCTTGAGATGTAAAATGTGTCCATAGTGTTTCCGTTTTATCCCCCGCATGATGTAAACACGCTGCAATTAAGTCGACATCATGTCGAATATTCGGTTTGGGTTGCATTATAACTGTTGAGGCCTAACTGAGGTGTCCGAAAGAACGGGATGGCCGCCGACATGACGGCCCGCTCGGAACAGTCTTGAGCTCTCGCTTTCAGCCTGCATCCGCGAATAGCCGTGGTCATTGCACCATGGCGGGACAAGACCTGGTCCAACGACTTGCTCATCCGCATTACATTGCAAACGGTCTGCTTTCTCTCCCGCTGCCGCTGCTGCTCATCTTCGCAACGGACGCCGGCCTCCTGGTGCGCTGCCTGTCCTTCGCGGGACCCATGCTGCTGGTGGCATTGGTCTTGCCTAGAGATGGAAAAAGAGAAGCAGGTAAGAATAGCATAGTGCTTTCTATTCATCTTCGTAGGCTAATCTCCCGCACACTCGGTGCCGTTGGATGTTCCTTCAGAAACGAACACCGAACTAGTCACGTGGAACCTGAGGATTTTCAACCTCTTTGGCCTCGTGTTCACCCGGAGTTGGTTAGGATTGGGGTGGATACATGTCGGAGCTTATTTGTTGGCGTGGCTTGGTCAGTCTTTGCTCCCTCCGTCCTTCATGGGTCCTTGAAGAGCGATCCTCATTTTCTCCGAATCGAACTCCGTTCTGGCAGTCGTCAGCTTCGTCTTCCCTCAACCTCCTTACCTCGGGCCTTCCAAGATGATACACTTCGATACTCAGGTCAGTTCGACGTGACTCGACCCAAATACTAGATTGCCACCGATACACTTCCTTCTTTCCCACAGTACTTCGACGAAGACGTCCTCATCATCCCACCCATGACAAAGTTCTCTTCCTCCGAAACCAAGATCACCGACGTCTCCTCAGATCCAACGGTGGACGACTACGGCAAGAGGAGGAAGACGTCGGATGTTTGGCATGTGGTGTTGTTCCATGTAGATTGGAGTCGCAAGTCGAGGGAGTTGGAGATGACGTTGGCGAGAATGTCGAATCGGTTGAGTCCTCCCGGCTGAAGTAGTTTTGGACCGGTTCCGAAGGTGCTGACATTAAACCTACGTCGTACTTCTCTATCATAGACTCGCATCATCCACTTTGAGTTTCGGCCTCGTCACTCCCGAATCGACCCCTCAAATCTTCTATGACCTCGACCTCTCGACCTCAGTCACCTCCTCCTTCCAAGACCTTCCCCTCATAGCCCTATACCACCGCGGCAAACTCGTCGATCGACTACCCAAGAATGCTCAAAAAATTGCGCTCGAGCGAAAAGAGAGGAAAAGAGAGATGAGGAGACAAGGTTGGTCTAGTAAGAGTTTGAGAGAGGGGGAGAGGAAGAGGGAGAGGAAGAAGAGAACTGAGGGAGCGGATGCTGGGGATGGGGATGAGGGTAGTGAGAGTGATTCGGGGACGGATGAGAGTGAGGATGAGAGGGAGGTACAGATTATCGCTGCTAGGCAGAGATACGAATGGGATCGGACGCAGGTGAGTGATGCTATCTCGCTTTTTGGCGGTCGTCGATGAAGAGCTGACGATTTTTGGCCGGGGGGACTTGAGACAGGGGTCGATCGAGAGGGCGTTTGGGTTGAATGCCAAATCTAAGGCTGGGTCCAAGTGTGAGAAGGAGACTTATTTTAGCCACATGTTGTAGTCTCAATGCCCGCGAATGGCGGCAAATCCCATTGTACGACTCGGACTCGGACGCCTCCGAGCTCGAGGAGGTCCGAGCCTGTCCGAGCCTGTCCGAGCCTGTCCGAGCCGCGACCCAAACCGGCGCGAACTTTGACCGCGAAGCTCGGCCGACCTTGCTCTCCCCTCTTCTCCCCACTCGACCTGCTTTGCCCACCGGCAAGCCATGCCCTTGCAACGAATTACATCAGCGTGAAAGTGCTCGACACGATCAAACTACTCGACATCACTGCTTTACCTTACTTGGAGGAGCGTGCGGCTCAGCTTGACGACCCACCCGATCTCCGCTCGCTAGCGGGGGTTGAGTGATGGCCACCACTTTGAACGCTTCGATGCCCGAGAGCAAGCCCCGTACAAGATGGTTGGGACAACAGGTCGAGACCGACTCGGAGGACGAAGAGGATGATATCGAGGTGTTCTGGGAAACGACGTCGATCATGTCCGGTGTCCCGACCATCTCACCCAACAAGATGCCGACGACGACGACGACGACGACGACGACGAGTACCCCACCTCGCACGACTTCCACCTCCAGGACCACGACGGCGGCGGGTCATATGACCCACTTGGCAGGGCAGAAGAGACCGGCGAATGCATCACCTCCGCCATCATATTCTTCTTCTTCGACAGCAACCAAGACGGCCTCTGCAGTAGCAACAGCAGCAGCCTCCTTGGCCCGACGAAGGAAGAAGCGAGCCGGCGAAGGCTGCGACGTCCCGATCGGACAAGCCGTCGATTCCAAAACGCTCAAAATGGTCGGCCAACTCGCCATCAAATTCAGTACGCGATCGTCCTCCGCTGCTGCTGCTGCTGCTGTTGCTGCAAATGCGAGTCGACAGTCGGTCGGGGCTAAGAAGAATCATAGTGCACCTTTTCTGCCTTTGAGGGATAGCACGGGGAGGATGGTCAATGTCAATTCGGCGAGGACGGGGATGACGACCGAGAGCAAAGGCAAGACAGTTGCTCGAGCAGCAACAGGTTAGTGACTGGTATGTAAAATGACTTGGAAGGTCGTACTCATTCCAAGTCAATCCACAAACAGCACCATCGGGGACACTCTTGGATCAGCGAGCTCGGACCGCTCGTCGATCGCCTCCCACCCTCATCTCAGTCGCACCCAGGGCAAATCATTCAACATCGCACGCCTCTTCCTCGAGAGCATCTGTAGCGGACACCTCATTACGAAGTACGAACGTTCTTACGACCAGTGTGACCCGGGTGGAGCCTATCGAAGAATCCCGACCCAAGAGCGACGACTTTGACGACCTCTTTGACGGCGACGACTCGTTCGAACACATACTCTCCCAATACGACGAGGAGTCCCTCATTTCAAATGCTACTACCATCATCTCGTCGCAATCGATGGGGACGACGACGGTGTGCAAGAATGATCAAGCCAAACCTGCGGTGCCGGAGCAGAAACGGTCGGATCGGATCCTTCATGGTGTTGGGGGACAGGTCGCGACAAAAATGACCACTTCGCCACTGCCCCGGCTACCCCATGCATCCTCCACGCGCTCCGAAGTAGCCGCAAGAGGAGCCTCACCGAGGCGGAGTGCGAGGGCCGCCGTCACACGGACCACAAAATCGGCTGCGGCCCCAGTTACGCGAGTGATGACGACGACCACAACAGCGCCTACCGCATCGACGACCAAAGCTCCCGCTCGACCACTACCTATCCAACGAACGGTTTCCTCATCTTCATGCAGTCAAGCTGAGGCTCAGGAGAGGTTGCAGCAAGAATTGCAGAGTCTGGCCGAGCAAGATGTCAGTTTCTGGTCCGAAGAAGGGGCTGAGGTCTGAGGTTTGAGGAAAAGGGGTGACGTTGGAGCGAGTCATTTCTTTTCTTGTCGTGTTACTTGGATGTTGTGATCAGATAATTTTGCCTTCGCTCCTTGGAGCGAGTCCGACCGGACTTGCACTCCTCCATGGGGCGTTTGACGTGGGCTCTGCGTTCGTTCATCAAAAGACCTCGTGGGTACTACGAATAATGTTATCAAGAGGAGCTGCTTGCTTTACATATATAAGACCGGTCTCACGCCCAATACTCTGCTTCTCCTCTCAATCAGACCACTTTGCCCCCAGCGCACTCCCATTCCCCAGTTCGTACCCTCCAAACCCACGCGAAGCAGGACTCGGCGATCCATGATTATTGTTCGCAAGGTAACTCGAAGACGTTGATCCAGGGAACGAATGAGCTCTCGCCTGGATCGGGTGCGAAGAAGATGTCAATCGGAAAGGGACGTTGGGTGTTGGGAAGGCCGTTGATCCTTCCGTCGAGGAGACGGATGATGTGATCGAATCGTACGATTCGTCCGCTTCCCCAGTTTCATAATCGTCGTAATGGTTGCCACCGCCTACTCCTCCGGCCCCTGAGCCTCGATAGAACGAAGGCGACGTTGCCGTCGAGGACGAAGCGGACGAACTCGTTGTCGATCGTGTCCCCTCATTTCGTGTTGAAAACCGAGCCGGCTCAAACGCCTGATCAAGAATCGTCGTCGTCGACCTCGAAGATCCCCCCGTCGTTCCCCTGAGGTAAGCTTCTTCCTCTTCCTCCGAAACGACGAGATTAATCACTCTCCGACGAGGGATCTTAAGGAGGCCATTCGAATCCTTCTCGAGCGCCTGGGCTGACCTTCGTCGATGGTACGCTCCGAAAATGGGGCCGACGAACCAGTCCCATAAGGCCGAGGCGCCGAAACCATCCCTTCTCAGGCCTTGCCAGAGGATGAGGAGCTTGAAAATCCGGTAGCGAGGCTCCGAATTGAAGAGCACGACGGGGAGAGAAGGGGTCGTAAGGGCGCTCGTTTTGGAGACGTGCCGCCGCGGTTGAGGGAACGGTCGACGCTTCTGAGCGACCGTCGGGTTCGATGACAGACTGGCGGGAATGAACGTTTCGGGAATGCGGGAGAGCGAATTGGGGTATCGCAGAGCCAGTCGACGCATGAGCGACTTGAGGGACCGTGTGAGAGGCGCTAATCGCGTCGATAGGGGTACGGTCGATGCCGATGCTCGAACGGATTCGGTCGCGCCGAGTAGGGCGAACAACAACCAGAACGACAGGACGTGCTTGAGTTCGCGGCGATACGAGTCGATGCGTTCTTGTCGGAGCTCTTGTTTTGCGACCGAGTCCAAGCCTGCGATGTCTGGGTTGTACTCATGATCTATCGTGAGGAGCTCATCGTCCTTGTCCCCCTCGCGGTCGAGTCGATCAAGGACTTTGAACGTCTTGGTCACCCCTTCTGCGACACCCGATACGGTCAACATGACCCTCCATTGGTCTCTCCACCTCGCTAAGCCTGCGACCAGTCCGACGTTGGCGAGCAAGACGATCGCCCAGGGTGACAATCCTACGATCCGTTGAAGCACACGCGACGGCGGCGACTTGAGTACCAACGATTCGAGATACGCGATCCTGGGCAAGATAGGCCGGGAAAGCGTGTGTAGTATCGGATGATCCGGTACCAGGTTGAGCAATGAGCTTGAAAGGGGTAGTACCACGCGTTGTGAATTTGCTGCCAGGATCGACGAAGTAGAGGTTGAGGCCGAAGACGAGCCCGGTGCGATCCCTAGGGCACTCGTGGTGCTCGACATCGTACTGTTACGACGCGACACCATCTCGGAGGACATGGCAGTAGTGAGCGTGAGCTGTGGCGTTCGCTCGCCCAGTTACTGGCTGGTGTCGAATGAGTTGCTGCTGCGGTTGCGCAAGAAATTGTGTGACGCGCCACGGGGGGGCGTTTATTTCACTCACGCGCACGCGACTCGACTCGACTCGACTCGCCGTTCGGTAGATACGGCGTGCCGTGGGAGGGGATTGATGGGTCCGAGCGTCGGGTTGACGATTGCGCCAATATGCGGCGCAAGGGCTGATCATATCACGAGGAGTATCGTGGGACGACAGAGTAGTAGCATCGTCAAGATTTCAGCCAGATATATCTACTGAGGCAAACGTAAGGGCGGCCTCGAAGCCGCAGCCTGTCACAGTCTTGAGAAATTCTTTGAGGCCGCAGGCCCGCGCTCGCTCCGCCACAAACCGCAGTAGCGCCCAGATTGCCGGCCGGCTTACGGCCGTGCCATCTTTTCACAGCGAGCCACTGCACGTACCATCGATCGATCAATTCACTCTTCCTTCAACCTATTCAAAGTAAGGACGTCCTCCAAGTCATTCCTATGCTCTAGCTCCAACAAAAAGTCAATGACCGTTCATGTAAGGGGATGCCTTACAGAACAGCCCCATTACATCAGCAAAATGGGCACTCGGCGCGCACCGCTTAAAGGCGCTTAAGCCCCGCTTAAGGACGCTTAAGGACGCTTAACAAGACGTCCTTAAGCCCCGCGTCTTGTTAAGCGTCCTTAAGCGGGGCTTAAGCGCCTTTAAGCGGTGCGCGCCGAGTGCCCATTTTGCTGATGTAGTGGCCTCTGAGTAGCTAGAACTGTCGAGTTCTAGTTACGACTTGCTTTTAGCCTAGCGGTCAAGAACGACAGATTGTATTTTATGCACATCAGAGGCGCATACCTTACAGTTCAAGGCATTGGCCGGCGAAGCGCACAAATTTCGTGTTGCCGACGCAGATCCGACGCGATTTCGACATCAAGTCAGGAAACACTTCGGCCTTGACTTTGGCGACGCGTTACTCTCCAATGCAGCTCGCCAACCTGCAGTTAAAGATCCCCTAGTCGAAAAATGTCATAACCGACGTCGCGGACTGGAACAGGATAGTCACTGCATGCCTGTTGCTTCTTTATAACCGCTGTCCAGGCCGCCCCCACTTGCGCTCCTGGGCTGTCAGAAAGATGACCTCGCTCCCCCACATGCTCGTGCGCGCGCGCCCTCTCGTGCTGAGCTGCAGCCCCGATGTGCCCAGCCTGCCGAGGGGCCAGAGGAGTCCCACCCTCACTCTTCTGTCTCATCCCACGACACCGAGGCACCTTCGCCTTAGTGACACAAGCGTAACACTACCCCTCACCAGTCTTCACCTTTGCTTGTCGCAGCTGTGACCCTCCTTCACGACCAGCTGAGCGCACCCTGTGTTGATCCGCCGAAACCCCGCATTCTTGCACCTCGGTCCCACTCTCAGGCTCCCGTCCACTGCACCGGTGCACTGAGCACCCCCATCATCGCGACTCGTCCACTCGGCAGACTTCGAGTCGAACACGCCGATCGGGTCGGATCGGTGACCAACCGCGAGTTATTCGTCGTCATTCTCGACCTCATCAACCGCCAGCCAGCGGCGCTGTGCTGCCGCCCGTGGTCACGCGCTCTCAGGCTCCGGCCCAGCCTCGCCCTCGATCATGACGATCGGCGGCGACGACTTGCACTATGAGCCGTTGCTTGCGTCGCCCGTCTTTGATGCGCCGCCGACTTCGGTTCATCGTGGACCATTGCACCCTGGAGCATGCTGGGAAGGAGTTCAGAAGTCCGGTCGTAACGTCTACAAGGTCAAGGTCGACATTTCGACGTGAGTCTATGCGCCGAGCTGGTCACCAAGCCCCGTCCGAGGCGCCGGCCATCACGCCGTCTCGCTTCGAGTCAACTCTGACGGAGGAGGGCTGCGCCAATTCGGCGGCGATACTGACACCACTGCACGATTTTTGTTTCTGTTCTGGGCAGTGTCGATTTGAACGAGGGGAAGCTGTCGGGGATGCTGCAAATCCGTCACCTCACGCCTGAGCTGGAAAGTCTCGTCACCTTCTTCGAGTGGGTTCACCTCTTCCCCCCCACCGCCCAATCTGATGTCGGAGAAGCTGACCGTCGACCTCGACACTACGCTGCAGGGGAGAAATCATCGGTGACGGTACTGGATTTTTGACCAGCAGATGGGGAGCTACAGAGTGAGTGGTGAGACCGGGCCGGGAAGGTGCCCGTCCCCGTGAGTGCTGTATTGCTGCAGACACTGATGACGGTGCCCCACTTGCGCGACCATAGAGCCGACGATATGAAGGTGAGGCGCGGGACATCCTACTTATCCTATTGTCACCAACCTAATGACCAAAAATGAAGAACTGATGAGTATTTCGTAATCATTCCTTTGCAGCACTGGTCTCGATTTCCAGCTTTCAGCAAAACCCTGCGGTCCACGCTCGTCAAGCCAAATCTCACTTTCAAGGTACGAACCAATGCGTTTCGCAGAGGACTCATCAATATACTCACTCTTCGATTGTGCAGCACTCGAATCGGCCTTTTTTATTCATGCGCTGGAAGGAGCAGTTCGTCGTTCCCTCGTCTCATGCGCAGAATATTCATGGCGCAAGCTTCGCTGGGTGAGTTTCTCAAATCATACCAGGCAAAGTGAAGGTCGATTTGAGCGTCTCGGGTTTCAATTCAACACGCTGATGCATTAACGATGCCTACAGCTTCTACTACCTGTGCCTCGACTTTGACATGCCCGCCGATGGAGCCCACGTCTGCCCGGATTCGGTACGCACCTCATCACCGCCACTCCGAGGCGCGGCTCGCATTCGATCGATGTCGTCCGAGATATCCCGGGCAGCTCTCGGCTCCGTTGGATCGCCGATGCTTGTGAACTCGACCGATCACGAAACGGTCTTTGAGGATGAGTCCGCCGATGGCTTGAGGCCGCCACGCCCGCAAGAAGCTCGAGCGCCGCTGTCCCGACCCGCTCAGCCACGACGTGCGAGCAACAGTGGGTTCTCTTACGCGTCCGCTGTTCGAGGTTCATTGTCTTCGTCGCAACCTTCCGGAACGTCGACTGATCCCGGCCGATCGTCGTCGTTAAGCTCGGACGTTGCGATGCCCAAAGAAGTCGAATCGACGTCCGAAGCAGGTGTCATCTCGGCCTCCCACGGTAGCTCAAACTTGGGGGCCACGGGTAACATCTCGAGGTTCAATGGCCCTTCTGATTCTGTTCCTCTTCTCCTGTCGAATGTGCCCTTGCCGACAAGCATCCCGACGCCGATCGGCACGACCGCTGACGATTTCCCTCCACCCTCGTCGCCTCCGCTCGGAAGCCACGTGTCCTTCGGGTCCCTTCCGACGGCTCGCCACAATAGCATGAACTCCTCTTTCATGTCGTCGTCTCCGCCAGCTGGCGGTGCTGCTTGGGGTGGTCGAGGTATTCGAAACACGATCGACGCGGCTGTTCTGGGATCCGAAGCTGGAGAAGGGCACAGCACTCGTCAGAGATCGCGCAGTTTCAACACGGCCCCGAATAGGCCCCATGTTCCGCACGAGAGAAGGTCGAGTATAACCAACCAAATGTCTGGGAGCGAGAAAGCGTCGACGAATTGGGGCTACCAGAGCTGGATGAATTGCGAGATCAAAGGGTTAGTGCGGGCGTGGAAATCGAATTCGGGCTTGGAGGACCTGACACTGATTGAGCTGCCCTTTGGCCGATCTGTAGATTCTACTTTTTCCGTCACAGCGAGCCCTATCAAGAGCTTTCACTACGATACGTCCCCAAAGCGAGGGGCACGACTCAAGCTTTCGCGTTCCGTTGAGATCATAATATCCGGGCTGCTTGTCGGTTTAATCCCCTTTGTTGAATTTTCCGCTGGTTCCACGTTCTTTTCTTGAAATTTCACCCTATGTTGTCGTCCGACCCGGCCTTAGAAATGCCTATGTGGATTCCTTTTCAAGAAAGATGTCTAGATCGATTAGAGAAAGCCTGTTAATTCCCTTTTTCTTCGGCTCTAACTTGTTAAACACTAGAAGCATACAGAACGGTGAAGGACAGACAGAAAGGTCGAAGAATAAAAGAATAACACCGCGACGATCCGGAAATTGATGACAGCAACTTGCGCGGGTGCTGCCGCGGCATCTCAAACCTGCCACCCGACGCACGCGAGCAGTCGTGATCAAGGGAACGGGGTGTCTTGATTTTTGCGGGTCGATAGTTCAACCACAAGGGCTTGGGTGGTGAGACATTCCTGTGGCATCCACAATCTCTGTCACCTCGAACGACTCTGTAACCGGATGTCTTTGGCTGTTGTCTCACCTCGGCAGCGTAGCCGGCGATCGACGCCGTGCCGCAGCTTTGCGACTGGCTCCTTTCCCACGCTGGAGGTATGCGATCGGAGACAACGGTCTTTCCTCGCAGCGCGCGACAAAACGGCCACATCGGGCACCGTATCTTGACTCTTGATATGAATGAGAAACGAGACAGATGAATGTGTGGTTCTCCGACTACTCCCAAGTCTTTCCCCTGGCTGCAGCGGATGTAAAGGATCGTGGGAGGGTTCGGGCAGCATGCCGACCCCGGCAATCTGATTAATTGCCACGCTACATGGCCGAGGCTACCGGGCCGACTCTGTGGTGATCGAGGCGTTGGTGTGGAAACGCGCCGGCGTAAGGACCCGGTTTCCTTTACACGAGTGCCCGGAAATGCACCGGTGGAAAGAGGCGGGAGAGCTCCTATCGGGCGGTGACTCCCATCGTTGCTAGTCAGACAGGAGGCACTCGTGTTTTGGCGCCGCGCTTTTCCTAGGCGCGCGTGTGCCCGAGCGCGTCTCTGAAGCTCTGAAGGCGCTCCCGTTTCCGTGCTATCCTGAATTGTGACGCTAACGGAACCACTGCGAAGGGCCGAATCTACTCTTGGCCCGTTCGAGGATCAGTTACTTCTCTTCCAGTATCGATAGCCTCGAGATCTCCGTCGCTGCGACTCGTTGAAGGTGCCCGACTCGTCTGCATGTCGAGGGCCGAAGGCGCTGTTTCGAACGGCAACGCTCCCGTCGACGCCGCCGCCGCCACCGCCGCGAAAGCTGATGTCGCTCGGCCGGTGGTTAAACGTTGCGGAGCCGGCGTTCCATCGAGTGGGGTCGACCTGTCCGAACGAGTGGACCAGATGGCTCCTTCACCGCGATCTAGCGTTCACGGTGACGCGACTCGGGATCAGTCCTCGTCGCCACCCTTCGCGTCTGTGAAGGTGGTCGATTGCGCTGGCGTCGACGTCGTCTTCGAACAGGCTCACGAGACGGCAGGCACGAGTACATTATATCACTTCACACCCAGCCTCCAAGCTATGGAAGCGAATACAGAGGCGCATCCCGCGCCGGAAAACATGATGTGCGTGGACAGCGGAGCGGAGCGGAGATCGAGCTCGGCAAACGGCGCCGCGTCAAGCCCGACGCCTTCGGCATCATCCTCTCGGCTCACGTCGCTCGATGATGGGTCGGTACCCTCGCCTCGCCTCGCTGCATATGACATCTCAAAACCTCTGGGTTCTACAACCCCAAATGAGCAAGATGCCTTTCCCCGCGAAGCGGAGCCCCAGGCGCAAGAGCAGCGGCGTGGGATACAGCTGCGCTCCTTCCAGCAATTTCAAGTCCCGAACCCGCCAGACCTTCCCCAGCACCCCTCGCACGCGGATTGGATCGCTGCAAACCACGACCGCTCTACAACCTCGTCGATCAAAGGAGATGTGCCAGACAAGCTTTTTGAATGCGACGAATGCGGAAAAGCGTTTGCGAGAAAGAGCGATCTTTTGAGACACTCGCATATCCATTCCAACATCCGGCAGGTTTCAGCTAGAGAGATCGCCCTTCGGGCTTTTATGCTCGCGGCGCGCGTGATCAGAAAACTAACCTCTTCCCGAACTTTTGATCTTCACAGCCCGTTTGTGTGCTCGTTCCCAGGTTGCGAAAAAGATTTTATTCAACGTAGCGCCTTGACGGTTCATTTCCGAGTACAGTTAGTGGATGTCTTCACTTTGAATGTGCGTTAGGTTTAGCCCTAACCGTTCGGCGATCGACCACAGTACCGGCGAGCGGCCCCACGTGTGCACACACCTCGCTTGTGGAAAAGCCTTTAGTGACTCGAGCTCATTAGCTCGGCATCGCAGGACCCAGTGAGTCGATGCGTTTGGCAGATGTGAATAGCGGGCTAACACGGGTCGGATCTCGGGCGTCGCTTCAGCACAGGAGCCAAACCATTCCAGTGCGAAGTGCCCGAGTGTGGAAAAAAGTCAGTTTTCCTCACGACTAAGGGTCTGACCTCTCGCTGAGTAGCGCTCCACACTTCCTTTGTACAGATTTTGCCGAAAAATCACCCTCACAAAGCACGTGCGGCGTGAGCATGTCCCAGGGGGTCGATTGCCACGCTACCGCGGCGCCACGACGCGTCGAAAGCTTCGTAGTGGACCGTACAGCGAGCACCAGAACTTCGAAGAGACGACGACCATTCAAAATGCCGAGAGGTTGCTGGGATGGGCTTCACGATCTGCGGCAGATGGCGAGCCTCAAGATCATGGCGGTGGGAGTCTCGGGCGGGGTGATTCCAGAATCGGCTCCGGTGCTCATACGACTCAACACCCGAAAGGGAGGTCGACGGAAGCGCGGGATCAAGACCGTTCGCGAGAATCTGCCTACGCTTTCGATGGTTCTTCAAGACGTTCGCAGGGCCTACCCAAGTTCCCTGACCAATGCCTCTCGCCGTACGACCCCCCTTCAGTCGGAACTTCGCGCGACGACTCGCTGTCGCAACAACTTCAATCATCGGCGGCAGTCGCGACGTCGTGCGCCATCAAGCCCGTCCATCCCCAGCTCGCGAGCCTGCAAGCGTTCTATATGGAGAGCTTGGGCTCTTACCCGCAACAAGCTCAAGCTTCGATCAGCTACGAAGCACGCGCTGCCGTATCCTACCCATCGACGAATCGAGGAACGTCGAGCTCGTCAAGCTTTGCAAGCTCCTGTGACACGATGAGCGGAGCCATCCAAGACCGTCAAGATGGTCATGAGCCCCAGCCCCAGTGGGCGCAGCCCCCTCAGAGCCTACGGTACCACGGTGATGTCGACGGGTCCGAGTATGCGAACTTCAGTGCTGCGCTTCCCATGTACCCAAGCACATCAAGTCTCCCTCACATTCCGAACCCCGAGGTGTCTCGAGGCCCAACTGATTCGTTCGGGGCTGGATCAGATCCGGTGCCCAACTTCCGTCGATACCCCTCCACCTGGCCCCCGTCTGTGAATGCCAAGGCTCAACACCAGGATCCGCGTTCGTCTACACATTTCTACGGTGACGACGCTTCGGGTCATGCGCCGGTATGGCCCACACTAGGTTCAAGCACGGACGAGTCGAGAAACGAAGTGGCCGCCCAGTCGAACGTACTGGATGATCATTCTAATCCTTGCTATTCTCTCAATCGTGGATTATGGGCCGCCAACGCTTCGGCCCGACGTGTGAGCCAGATTCCATTGCCCGAGGCCGAATTTTCCTTGGTCATGGATGATGGAAGACTCGGCGGGGAGCTACGTCAGGAGAATGCGCCTCCTGCAGGTGCTGTGTATGCCACGTCTAGCGTGATGGGAGGCGTCTCTATCGACAATCGCGTCAACCTCGCCAATTGTGGGTTCACCCGGGGTCGAGTCAGCGTTTGAGATGAGCGTACTACCGAGCTTGAGGATTCTACTCAAGATTTGAGGAATTGATCTATGAATATTCGCCAAGATGCATTTTATCGACTTCAGGTCTATTACTTTTTGTCAGCTTCTTTGTCTAATATGCAAGAATTTGAAATATTATTGAGCAACACACTACGAACTGATGCGAGAAGCCGAGCTTATGTGTTCGCTGCCGAGACCCCGTGCCGCTTCGTTGAGACAGGACCCCCACATCGACGAGCCACCGCGTGCAGCGGAGCTTTCCCTGCCACCACTCGCCACAGAGACCCAGCGCACTCGCTCACCCACTCATATACACCCACTGCAAGGTACCGCCACAAGTCACGTTTGCTACACCGAGTATGGCCAATTCTGTGCACGTCGCCGGAGCGGCATCACCGCTGGTGACGCCCGAAGTAGCCCCATTGATTGCGATGGGCACCTTGTCACCGATGCGCATCTTCGTATCGCTCGCCGTGCTTCTCGTCTTTCTCCTCGTCGCCTTCTTCTCGCCTCGTAATGCACCGACAAAGCGGAAAGCACAGCCCAAGGGTATCAGCACTGTCGTGCTCGCGGGGCCGATGGGAGCAGGCAAGACGGCGCTCTTCTACAAGGTACGCCCCGATACACGCCCCGATACAAAGAGTGTGCAACACATGCACTTGAGGCTCACCTGGAATTGTACCCATCAGCTGTTATATAATCAGCAACCTATGACGCATACGTCGATGGAGAAGAACGAAGCCCTCGTAGAGTCCAAGTGGACGACCGCGAGCAATGACGCGCCAGGCGAGAAGGGTGCAAAAGAGGTGTGTGCTTCCACGCCAATTTGCTTGATTCGGCCAAACTGTAACAGTGTCATCCGGCTGTTGGAGCACCCGCAGCTCGGTCCCGAAAAGCTTCAACGGCCATACCATCTCGTCGACACCCCCGGTCACCCTCGCCTTCGCACTCGATCGCTTACCCAATTCTTACCCACGACCGATCGGGTCGTCTTCGTCGTCGACGCCATCAATGGTACCTCGGGCAAGAACGTTCGAGAAACGGGAGAGTAAGAACCTGCTTCTCCTCGCTTCGGCTCTGGTTGTCCGCCAATTCTCCACCGAGCTGAGCTGATCCCGGTGCCTCGTTCGCAGACACCTCCATGTCGTCTTGTCCCTCCTCTCGAAATTGTCCAGCCTGACTCATCGGGACCCGCCACCACTCTTGATTCTGCTCGCCAAGTCGGATCGCGTACCGAGCAAATCTTTATCGCTCACGCTCGACCGAGCCCGCCAGTCGCTCGCCCGCGAGATGGAACGACGGCGAGTCGCGTCGCACACGTCATCGAATCGTGCTGGAGCTCGATTGGAAGGACTGGATGCAATCCCTGCATCGGCAACCTCTCAATCGATCTTGCAGTTGATCATGGGGCTGTTCGGCCTTGGTTCGGCGCCGCCACCGTTGGAGCAGGAGGTCGCCGGGGTCGGACTGCCGAGCGATGAAGCCGAAGTGTTGAATATCAGTGCTTTCAACTTCGAGGGAGAGTTCGCATGGGAAAAGCTTGACGTTCAGATCGAATGGGCCATGGCGAGTGTCAGGGAGGACAAGGCGACACCGGGGGTGGGGTCAACTTCGGGGCTCGAAACTTTGTTGGAATGGATCGAGAGGTGATGCGGCGCAATGGACACTCAAGATACCCGTACCAGCACCTCGCATTCGGATCGGATTCGGTTGTTCACCTGCGCTCTTGGCCACCGACGCTTGGGCTCTCGTGAGCTAGAGACTAGCGTGGGCCCAAGCGTGCTCGACCAAGGTGTCCGTGTCTTAGCGAGACTCGTGCCAGTTGTTGGTTGAATGACTTAGTTCAGGAAACACCCACCGACCTTCGTGCACTGACGATCACCTCAGAGAGCGGTGCGCGCTGATCCTACGCGACAAAGAGAACGTTGTAAGCACAGGCCTCGGCGGGCGCCGATACCTCCAACTTTCTTTGTTCTCGCGGTGGGCGGACGCGCATGGGCCGCTCGCGCCCCCGCCAGTCAACGTAGCCCCTGACGAATCGATCTGACCGAGCGCCCCTTTGTTCTCGAGGTGGGCGCTTGGCACCGATCCCCAGCCCGTCTCTCGCTCCAGGCCAGTGTTTCAGGCTTACACCTCTGCCATACTGATATACCCAAACATATCAATATGATTCTGCGAGGATACGAGACAGTACTGCTCCTTCTCACCAGCTCTATTTCGCTCGCCCATGCTGAGCTGACTCCGATCAGGCTCACACCAAGGCGTTCATCACCCACAACAGGCGCGCAGGTGCTCGCTCGATCACTCGTTGAGCGCGGTACAACATCCACGACCAATTCGACCAACGCTTCTTCTGCAGTCTGTACCGCGACGCAGTGTCTACAGGGGACGAACTCTTTGTCAGGTATGTGCTCTGTTTTGCTCCCGATTCACACATAGGCGCCTGATGCTCCAAATCTCTGTGGTCATCACAACAGCGGGAGTGTATGTTGTATCTCGGGCTAATGGAACAGACACGACCTTGGTCAAGCTCTTACCGGGAACATATACTTCCTCCTCATCCACAAACGCAAATTCTTCCTTCCTCTCCTTTCCGTCCTCGACCTCGGCCTCGACCGTGACCCCATCTGCCGGCTTCACGACATCTGGGATCCTCGGATCGACATACACCGTGTCTCTACAACCAGGTATTATTGTCTACTCATCCGCTTTGTTCCAAGGCACTCCAAGCTATCTTGCACTCCCATCCACGAACACGAGCGCGTCGAATTCCACCTCGACCTCACTAGGCAGTTCGATTAGCTCGCTCCTCCTCAGCAACAAAGTGTATGCGATTCTCCATGCCGGTTCGGAGCGTTTGGTCGTATGGGATGGTGTGGCGGATGTATCGCAATGGCGGTCAGTTGTGAAAAATCAAGTCACGTTCCAACAACTTCAGAGTTCGGCTTGCGCCACGCCTTGTGCGAGCGGAGGGACGTGCACGGGGGACGGGCGGTGCGCATGTGCGACGGGCTGGGCGGGGACGCTGTGCGGTCAGTCTGACTTGGGTCCTCCCCGAGGACTTGTACACCGGACTACGGTCACTGATTTGAGCTACCTCATTTTTGATTGTTCAGACATCTGTGAGCCAGGCCATTACGGATCAGCCTGTCTACCTTGCCCCGCCAATTGCGCCAACTGCGATCAAGGGGTCACGGGAACAGGCCGCTGTCTCGACGTCGGTTCTTCGAGCATCGTGCAACCCTCGAGTGAGTGCGGCGCCTCGTCTCAGAGAGTTCTGAAGACTGAATGACACCGGACGGAGCTGCTTCACAGTTTGTAACTGCATCAACGGAATCTGCGCGTCTAATTCTTCCTCGGCGACGTGCGCATGTAGTGCTGGATGGTCGACCGCGGCCAATGGAACACAATGCGGAGCGTGCGCGACGGGGTACTACCAAACGAGTGCCGGGGATTGCCTTGGTGAGTCTATCAATGATACATGTATCTTGCTGATGCGTAAGCTGATACTCCTGGGACGAGACTCTCAGCATGCGACGCATCTTGTGCCTCGTGTAGCTCCCCCTCGGGGACGTGCCTGACTTGTCAATCAGGACTCCAACCCGACTCTACGGACGCCACCAAATGTATAACCGCCACTTCCACCTCTCCAAACGGCACCTTCATCACCTGTGCGGCAAGGACCTATTACGACTCGACATCGCAATCTTGCGTCGACTGCAACCCTTTGTGCGAAACGTGCTATACGACGGGGACAGGGGGTTGTTTGACCTGTAGGAGTCCGAATGGGTTGCTCAATGGGCAATGTGTCGCCGTCAGTACCAAGACGGGAGTGTGCAACTCGGCACAAGAGACGAAATACAAGTCCAACGCGGTTTGGGTGTTTGACAATACGAAGCAAGAATGCGATGGTCAGTCACACGCACCACATTATCGCTGCGATCACAGTTGACTGACGCCCATGCTCTACAGCCCTCCCCGCCAAGTGTAGCGCTGGTGGAATCGACAACTTCTCTTCCGGATCACTGAGATCCGGTGTGACATGCTCGACGTGCGTTCCCGGGTCGTATCTGTATCAGGGCATCTGCTACAACCCTTGCCCGAATGGTACCGCCGTCTCCACGGACGAGACGTCTTGCGTCCGTAAGCTCAAATCATCTGTGACGGACCATCCGGAGCTATTCTTGGGAGCTGACAAATCTTAACGCCCTCACAGCCTGCGACTCGTCATGTTCGACTTGCTACGGCAGTACCCCGAGCGCATGTCTCAGCTGCGCAAATTCTAACCAGGTCTTATTGAATGGCAAATGCGTCTCCTCCTGTCCTCAAGGCTTCTATACCGCAACGAACTCGACCTGCATGTCCTGTCATCCCGACTGCGCAACCTGCGGCTCTTCCTTCACCACATGCTTGACCTGCCCCACCAGCCGACCGGTATTGAGTTCGGGACGTTGCCTTCTCGCGTGTTCCTCGTCGCAATACTACGACACATCGTCGACCTCTTGTCAAAGTTGTTCTTCTACCTGCGGCACATGTTCAGGACCCGGAACGAGCGATTGTCTCTCTTGTCCCTCAGGGTCGAACACCGTCCTTTCCTCCGGCGCATGCGTCGCTTCCCCAAACTCGTGCCAAGTTATTCCTGGTTTCGGAGCGTGCCTCTCCCAACTCGTCGTCGTTTCGGCACCCGATACGGCACCGGTCAGCTCTAAGAAAAAGCTTCCTTGGTGGTGGATACTCCTCTCCCTCCTCCTCGCCCTCTTCTCCCTCCTCGGCGGCTTTTGGTGGTGGCGTCGTAAAGACAAAGCCCGTCGTCGTAAACGGACCGAACGTTTCGGCCTGGATCTAGGTCATCACGAGGTCAAACTCAAACTACAGAAACTCGATCCCGTCATCGCCAATCCCGTCGTTCCTAAATCGGAGGAGGAGGTTGATCCGGTCTTGATGGAAAGAGTTCCTTTGACGCCGAGGAGGTTTGATACGAGTGCCTATAAATCGGGGAAGAGGGAAGGGGAAGCACATGAGTTGGAGGGGATCAAGGTGCATGATTTGAAGGAGCTTGAGAGGACCAAGGACGAGGCCTCGCATCACCAGAATCGATGGTCCAACTTATCGTATCAGTCGGCTGTTCATTCGACACCTTCTCGACCTGCTCCAGTACCACCCCTACAGCCTCAGGATACGGGTACGAGTACTTATAGCGATATGAGCACCTTCACAACCGCGAGCGGGAAGAAGGTCAGGTGGGGGGACCGCAACCCTTTCAACCCGCATCACTGAATCCGGGAAACGGACACTTTTGAGCCTCTTGTAGAGTTGCATGTGCCATATGTGAATAGCTGTTTCATCTTGTTACAAAGCCCACGTGCAATACTGTCTACCAAACAAGCGGCTTGTTCGGTGATTCAGGCTCGGGTTTGGCCCTGACTTCGGTCTCCTTACCTGCCGTTGTTGCTATGACTCCTATGACTCCATCAATGACCTCCCTCTTGACCTCAACTCTGGTATCAACTTCGATCTCGACCTTAGGCAAGTGTGGTAGGGGTGGCAGGTCCTCTTCTTCCCCCTCCGCTTTTTTCGGTGTCTTGCGAGGTGAAGGAGGGACGACCGATCGCTTGGAAGGACAAAGTCGAGGCACCTTGGCCACGTCGCATAGGTCGCATCGAGGGCCAACGGGTTTACAAATCTCTTGACCAAAGCCGACGAGCATCCTGTAAGGTATTGAAAAACAGGGATCTCGGGTCAGCTCGTAGAAGGTCTCAATCTGGGCCGTGCTGATTGGAACTTGCAAATTGATCTTGGGGTGCTCCTCTTTGGGCAACCAACTCTCGAGGTTCAGCCTGGTCTGTTCCGGCGTATTCGTCGCCGGTTTATGCCACCCCAATCGATTCGAAATACGATGCACATGTACATCGACTCCAATACCGGCGTTGATACCGATCGCTTGGAGGTAGAGGATCGCCATTTTAGGTCCGACGCCATTGATCGCCAACAATTGCGTCAGATCCGAAGGGACGTCCCCACCGTGCATTTCCTTGAGTCGGATCGCAAGCTTCTTCAAATTGGCTGTTTTGATATTGTGGAAGCCGACTTTACAGATCGCTGCGTCGATTTGTTCGGGTGTAGCGGAGAAGAGAGAATCGAGGCAGAGACCATTGGGGAGTTGTTCGCGAAGGTTTTTCACGGCTTGATGGGTGACGGGGTCTTTGGTTTGGGAGGAGAGCATGAGCGAGACGAGGATTGAGAGGCGGTTGTCCTGTCGCGTATTGAGATGCAGTATGTGGACCGTGCTATGAGCAGCTGAGTACGTTTGATGGGATCAGAGGGGCCCACCTTGTCCGAGGGCAGAGCGGTATCCCTCTCCCTTCCACCCTGTTCACACCCCATAGTATCCACGGGTGCAACAATCTAGAGCACCAAACGAAAAACAAGTGAGTCTCCCAGAAAGGACCTTTTTCAACAGGCTCTGAGAAAACTAACCCTCTGTCTCTGCTCGCGAATGATCTCATACGCCTCCCTCCATCGCTTGGGTTCAGGATGCGCCTTGTCCAATCTCACCACAAAAGCCGTCGGTTTCCTTGGGGAGGGTTCCTTTCTGATCTTTCTATTGAGGTGGGGCTTGACTTCCTCCTGTCCCTCTCGATAGGGCTGATCCTCTTGCTTCAAGGGTGAGGACCGAGTAGAACGGCGTTTGATCGGGGTCAAGCTGGAAGTGGAGGATGTGGTGCTCGTCGGTGTGGAGGTAGGTTCATACAGCGTCACACGCGAGTTGTACGTCGAACGAGTTGATCGCAGGCTTCCTGATGGGGCTGGTGAGCTGTTCGTCCGGGCCATGAGTGTTGAGGAAGCGATGGCCAAGGGGAAGATTGATCGCTCGATGTGGCGCAGGGGAAGGCGGAGATGGAGCAGCGCCAGTGGTACAGGCAGTAAGGGGGAGGTCAAGGGACAGAGTCCAGGGTGTAAAGTACTTGGTCTCGAGGTATGAAAGTCGCCTGGTCGAGGGATGGTGCGGAATGCCAGAGCAAAGCCAGGCGCGACTCGACGCGTCAAGAGCTCAAATTGTCAGATCGTCACCGCGGCGGCTTTCGGCGATCGGCATCGTAGCGAATCAACCAATCCGAGACGATCTATTGGCATTCCCACAAATACCGATCGACTACATCACACTAGTTTTTCCACTGCTCCAAGACTCCACTCAACACGTCCAACACTTCCCTTTCATGACTCGACTTGCCCTCCCTCGTCAACTCGTACACCGAAGTACGGAGCACCTCGACCAGAGTAGACAAATCTTGATCCATTCGCATGAGACGGTCCGCAAAGCTGTCCGAGCTCAGAGTAGAGGAAATACGCTTGGCGGGAGTTTGTTTAGAGTCGTCTGATGGGGCTTGATCCTCTTCATCTGAGGAGTCGAGTGTTGAAACGCGTCGACGGTGTCGTTTCGTAGTTGAATGACGAGTAGTCGCCTTACCGAGAGGGTCGACAATTTCGGTCCAAAGGCCAGACAACTCGACTCCTAGATCAAGAATCGCATACAAGGCTTCCTGGGACCCTTCAGCCTATTGTAATTTTTACCGAGTCAAGTCAGCACAAGTCTGGCTGGATGAAGCGGCAATCAAACCTACCGAATCATTCAACAGCAAACCCGTTTTTAGCCTCCCCATTGACGCTCTCCACAACTCGATCAACCCATCCAACTCTTTCGTCGTATCCAACCTGTCCTTGAACGACCGGACTTCCGATTCAATGATGAAACACATGAAGAAGCTTTGCAAGGTACGGATGCACCATCCCAAGCGGCTCTTGAGTGCGAGATAAGATCGCAGTGCTTTGGCAGAGATCCGGATCGAGTGGATCGGGTCGAGCTTGAGCAAGATGGTTTGGTCGAGTACGTGTCTTGCTCTTTGGATGCACAAGAGCACAGTGAAGATGCGAGAGCAGGTGTCGAGACTCGAGGGTGTGATGATGTAGTTGAGCGGCCATGGGACGTCGTACTCGAGGTGCAATCGCTTCAAAGCTCCAAAACCTGAGGTTCTGAATCGTTGAGTCTTCGAACGAACACGGATGAAGGATGATGTAGGGTGTCCAGCTGAAGCTCGCGTCCATGCTGAATTCAAGGTATGGTAATCGGACCAAGGGAGACGGCGATCCATCTGTGTGACCCGAGACCCAATCTAGGTCTTAGACATCCCATCGAATTCGGTAATGACAATGTGAAACGTACGCACCTTGTGAAATATATCACTAATAAAGTCATCCATCAACTTGCCGTCCCGCATCAGAAAGACCCCTTGAACGGCAGACAGATGTTGGTCGAGTCGACACTCGTCGATGATGGTTCGATGCAAGGTCAGGTGAACTTGTTCAAAGGTGGGGAGGCATAGTTGCTCGATCGAGAGGGTGAGAGATTGGGAGAAGGGGACGAGGTTGGGAGGGGCTGACGAGGCGCGGTCGTAATTCGTGTTCCCGAAAGGGGTCGTCTGCAGGTCCGGCATCGGTCCATGTTGCGATCTTTCCACGAGGTCCCTCAAATTGGGCCATTCCGAAACTTGCGCCTCCTCATCGATCCCCGCGCCGATCACCTTCGACAACCCTTTGGCTTTCCCACACCCCACGATCGCTTGCGCCAAACCTTTGAGGAATCTGGGCACATGTTGATCGACGATATAGCCTTCTTGATAATAACCCGCGTCCGCAACATCAAGCTCCTCGTTCTCCGAGACAAAGAAGTGTCGAGTTTGTTCGTTCCTGCGCGGTACAAGTCGACCAAATCGGATCCAGGCTCCCAATGAGGCCCATAGGGGCGTTGCGGTGGCACACCATATCTCGATCAAAGTAACTTCGATCGCCCTCGCTGACAGAGCTCGGTAATGATCGATCCTTTCTTGCAAGTTGTCGAGAAGATCGGACGTGACGAGAGAGGATGAAGTCGAAGGGAAGGAGGTGATCCGTCGAATCAGATCCGTAATGACGAGCAACGGCTCCTGACGGTCCTGAACTTGATTTGCAAGGCCTAGTAGAGAGATGGTCGAGGACTCGAGAGGTGAGAGAAGGTCCGATTCGAGTGAGATGCACCATTTCCGAAAGGGTCGCACAATCATATCGTTGACAGAGTAGGCGAACGCATCAATCGAGGTTGATCGAGCTGGGGAAGCCGTGATGGAGCGGACAAGGATGGTTGACCTCAGGAACCTATCGATCATCTTCAAGAGATCTAGCGTTGGCGTGAAGGATGCAAGGAGTGAATGAAGTGACTGAGTCGAAAGATGCAGCAAGGAGGGTGCACGAGAAGAGACCTGGAAGGAACGGCGTGAATTAGCCTTTTCGAGCGAACCCCTCGTCCGGACGACTTCCTGCTCACCTTGTATCCATCTGCGGTCTTGACGAACAGCCCTGCGTCCCTTCTTCCCTGAAGCGCCCCCAAGACATCACGATAAATCTCAACCTCGCTCCAAAAGCTCCTCGAGTGACGCTCATGTGATTCCTGTCCCAGGCCCACGCGTTGCAGCCCAGCCATCAGCGTACTAGGATCGCCAGACTTGAAATGGGCGTGCGGATCCAGAGATGTAGGCCCCGAACCATCCCAATACTGTTCTTTGATGAGGTTCAACCTCGCTCCGAAATCAGGTTCGATCGGTTGGATCACGCTTGAAGCGCCTTGTAGGATGATGGGTTGTGATCGAGTTTGCTTCCTTCGAGTCCGAGGCGCGTCGGGTGTGAGGGGGAAGTCGTCTTCGTCGTTGCCCGAGTTGGATGAAGAGTTGGACGAGAGTCCGTTCGTTTCTTCATCTTCGGAGGATGACTCGGCTGGGATGGTATATGCCGAGGGCAATGGTGCCCAATCTTGTTCACCCGCATAGCCGGCGACCAGAGTTTTCCAGTCGACTTGGGTCGGAGCTGTTGCTGCAGCGGTAGGTTGGGTATCCCGAAGCGACGATACTCTGGCATAGTCCAAGGTTGCGGATGTGGGTGGGGAAGCCAGAGCGAGAAGGAATTGTAGCGCATCGGGAACTCGGTCGGGCTGGGAGCAGAAAGGACGAGGTCACGTGAGGGGGTGTAGTGCTGTTGGTTCAAAGGAGCGGGAACGGTGCTCACTCGAAGTAGGCCCTCGTCTCTCTCTGAAGCGGGGAATAGTCTGTGCAGTGTCGACTCGAGTTGTTCCCCGAGTATCTCATTCGAATCGGCCTCGACCTTGTACCTCTCCGCGAGTCTATCACCGTGCCGGCGGCGCGTCGTCGGAGAGCATCAGCTTGGGAAACGCCTGGACCCGAGCTCCAGCGCAGACTTACGCGTATACATTGGCTACGAGCGGGATCCTCCCTCTTGCTATGCCCTGCCGCTGCGGGTCATACAGAGCATCGAGGTGACGCCGTACGCGTGCGAGCGGCAGCGGGACACGCTCGTCGTCGTCGTTCTCAGGCGGGACTTGGGCGGCTGTATACACCAGCTGCAGCAGTTCGACGGGCAGCGAGGTCTTGTGGGGCGTGTTGGCGCGCGAAGGGGGACGTGAGGAGGAGGGACGCGCCATGTCGAGAGAGAGGAGAGAGAATGCGAGTGTAAACACGGAAGCCAGCGGAAGCCCTCGGAAGCCCCTCCGTCAAGACAGGGGGACAGACGGGGGACAGGAGGACACGCGACGTGGAGGAGGTCCGAGCGCATCAGGCCGCGCGCGAGAGCTCGCGAGAGCTCGCGAGAGCGCCTTTTCGTGAGGGAACATTCGTCCTTGACTCCACCATCGTACCTGGGAGTAATCATGGCATTCACAGATGTGCCGCGCACACCCGAGCACTCGACTGGTGCAGATGCCACGGCATTGGCCACGGCATCGACCTCATCTGCTCCGCAAGACGTCGCTGCGGAAGCCGCCCCACCCTCCTCCACCGGCAACGGTGCGAACGTGGACGACGAGGACGGCTACGACGGTCAACTGCCCGACTTTTCCGACGACGAGGCCGCTTCGGCACCTGCGACGAATGCTCCCAAGCTTTTGCAACCCAAGCCGAGGGGACCCCCGGGAGCTCGCAACAAGAAGTCCGGCTCGTTGGCCTCGTCCGCCGCCGCGCTCAAGAAGAAGCTCAGCCCGGGCAACAAGGCCACCAAGACGACCGCCTCGGCAGAACAGGCATCCTTCTCGACCTCCAACACTGAAGGCATCAAGATGACCGACAACCAACTCGACGCCGTCATGGCCAAGCTCGCGCTCGACCAGCCCGAACTCGCGGGCAAGCTGCAGCGCCTTGACGTGCAGGAACTCATCCACCAGGCCGGCATCAACGACAAGTTCCTCAAGGGGGAGAGTGGGCTCATGGGCAAAGGCGTCAAGGACATGGCGTAAGTAGTTTGTGTTTCTCCGCCGTGAGGGGAAAAGCTTACTGCCCATTTGGCCGGGTTTCCAGACCCCACAAGTTCTGGTCCACCCAGCCCGTTCCAAGGCTCGACGAATGTGAGTGGGAGTGACGATGCGGAGAACGAGCAGTACCTCATTTCATTCGACTGTTCCGCACACAGCACTGCAGGATGTCCGCGAAGGACCGCTCGAGCCCAATACCCCGATAGAACAGATCCCTCGGGAGCCGATCAAGCTCCACAAGGACTTTGTCTGGTCCAACGTTGAGCTCAATGACTCGGCCCAGGTCAGCGGTTCATTTCGCACCGGTTGCCATCGTCTCGAGCCTGACACTATCTTTCGTTGTCGGCTGTGCGCAGCTCAAAGAAGTCTACGATCTAATGACCAACAACTATGTCGAGGACCCGGACGCATCATTCCGTTTCGACTATTCTGCCGAATTTTTCGAGTGGTAGGTAGACGGAGCCTGTGATACATGGGTAGGGTGGGTAGGGGTATACGCTGACCTTGTGGGGCGTTCGTAATGTCTGCAGGGCCCTGAAACCACCGGGGTACGTACCCGATTGGCACGTGGGCATCCGAGTCGCCGCGACGGGCAAACTCGTCGCTTTCATCTCGGGTATTCCTCTCGACCTGCGATTCCGAAGCGTGTAAGTCCCTCGTAGATCTTCCACATGACGTGTTCTAGATCACTGAAGCCGTTGCATTACATTCCCTCAGAACTAAGAGATGCACCGAGATCAACTTCCTCTGCGTGCACAAGAAGCTTCGCTCAAAGCGCTTGACTCCACTTCTGATCCAAGAAGTGACGCGTCGCACCCACCTTCTCGGCATCTTCCAAGCCATCTACACAGCGGGAGCGTACCTCCCTACTCCCGTCTCACGCTGCCAATACTACCATCGCAACTTGAACCCACAAAAATTGGTCAAGACGGGCTTCACCTCGATCCCGAGGAACTCGACCATGGCGCGTTTGATCAGCAATTATCGCGTCCCGACCGAGACCAAATTGGTCGGATTGAGGGAGATGGAGAAGAAGGATTTGAAGCAGGTCGCGAGGTTGATCCGGGCTTATAATGCTCGATTTGATATCGCGCCTGCGATGGCGAACAAGGAGGTTGAGCATATGCTCCTTGCCGGGAGGGGAAAGGATGTCGATGGCAAGAGAGTCGGTCAGATCGTTTGGACCTACGTTGTCGAGGTAAGATCTTTTCTGTGTGCACCGTCACCAAGTGCTCAATGTTGCTGACCAGATCAACCTCCCCCTTCCAGGAACCGGGGACGGGCAAGATCACCGACGTCTTCTCCTTCTACTCGCTCCCCTCAACAGCGACCAAAATGACGACCCGAACTCTCGTCAATGCTGCTTACCTGTTCTACTACGCCACCACTGCTTGCCCGTCCTGTGCCGATTTGGGCGATGGGTCAACGGCGACGGCGGTGACGAATTGGAAGGACGAGACTAAGGAGGAGAGGGAGACGTTGCAGAAGCGATTGATCGAGTTGGTTTCGGATTGCTTGATCTTGACTTCCAAGGTGCGTGGACTCGTGGGATGATGGATTTGGTGACCGTGGCTGATGCATGAATCAGTTCCCCCGGATTCAGCTCGGTTTCGATGTACTCAACGCTCTGACACTGCAAGACAACGCTTTGTTCTTGGAGGATCTCAAAGTGAGTAAGAATGATAGGTGGTCGCCGATCGTGATCAATCGCTCATATGATTCCTGTCATGTCTACAGTTCGGCAAGGGAGAGTACGTGACGAGCACAGATCCTTCGAACAAGATCTACGACCAAGGCGAATGCTGACCCTTTTCTTCTTTTGCACTTCCTCGTCGCAGTGGTTTCTTGCACTACTACCTTTAGTAAGCTCTTCTGATTGGCTCCCAACTTATTAGCGAGAATCTTTCACTAACCGCTCCTCATTTCTCCACCTACCACCTACCAGCAACTACGCAACCAAACCCATCCTCGGCGGGATTGATGCCACCGATGGGGGATCCGGCGTCGGCGTCATTATGTTGTAGATCATTTGCCCGATGCGCGATGCGCGATGGTTGATGGTTGATTATGTGCGTCATTAGCCGAGTGGATAAAATGGAATGAAAAGGGTGTCCATCTTTGGGGCCGCATCGCCAGTTAGCTTGAGAGAAGGTTTGAATGCTCTGTCACATTAGCTGACATCAGCTTCGGGCGGATCCGCTTGACCGCGGTTACTCCACGAAATTCAGGGACAGTGATGATGAGTAAGTCCGATAGACGAGAGAAAAGGAGATGCGCTCGACGAAAGAAAGGAGACGGTGTTCTATGCAAGGTGTCGAACGAGAGGGGAAGGGGCATCGACCGAATCACGGGAGGAGCGAGTCTGGACAGGAGGTATCGCTGCCTCATGATTGACTAAGAACAAAGTTTGGAAAACGAAGAGCGGGTGCGCAGTAAGCTCAGGAGGCAAGCCGACTTTTCTTTGACGCAAGAGAGCGGCGTCCGTTCACACATCATGACTCGAGCGTTCACTCACCCGTTGATGATAACTCGATGTCAGGTAAGACAGCGAGTAATCCTTCAAGTTGCCGACATGTTTCTTGGTCGGCGGGGCTGGCGCCGAAGCTGCGGTTAGGAAATAAGGCGAAGAGGGTGGATCGGAACATGCTTTGAGCGGTTGAAGAGTTGCCGATGTTGGTTGGACGGTTTGACCAGTGGTCAGTTGGGAGAATGGCGCCTTGTTTTACCCAGTACAGCACACAGAGAGAGAGAGAGGTAAAGAAGTAAGAAGCGTAGGGAAGGGAAGGCGTGTTGCCACCGATTCGGTCCAGACCCGGGGCCTCGCCGACTCGGTTCGGGCTGAACAGCCCCCTGAATCAAGATTTGGCCGATGCGGCTGTGCTGCCCTATGCTGATGTCAGTCTTTTTCAAATCAAGTGGTCTGCTCGTGACGGAAGTCCAGGTTATTCCTAAAGATTACGGTTTACCAATCCTATCATGGAGAGCCAGCCCCGCCTCGCCTCTCAGAGCCGCTTGGGTTTCGGTCTCGGCTCGGGGCACTTGAAGCCTCAAGACAGGGGTCAATGAGGACAAATTGTGATGAACGTGCAGCAAAATTCCTTCGGCGGTACCCAGGATATTCAAATTCAATTTCCACACCGTCATCAAATTTGTGTGCCGATTGCTTAAGGGGACATTAGGCGATCGAGACGATTGAAGATCGAGGATCGCTCTCCGATCGGTTGACTGCGATCTACTGCGATTGGCAAAGAATTGGCCAGGACCATCCAATCGACACGCTGATTGTTCTCTTCAGAACATCACCTCTCTGCTTCAGTCCAAGCTCCGCAGACAACTCAGGTTTCCAAGTGAGAGATGTCATTCGGCAACACTTCAACACCATTTGCTGAGCCTGCTTGGTGAGGCCATTACCTAAACTACGCGGCCAGGGACCTCGTCCGGCTATGTCATGCCGAGCTCGCCGCCTTGCCTTTCACGTCGAACAGGGAATCGTCACTTCATTTCACACCGTATGCTTCGTATGGTTTGGGTCATCTTGACTGATCCAACACTCGCCTTGGTACTTTAAATAGGTACACAAACCCCACTTCTTCACCCTACTACTCCGAAAAACATGTCAAGCTGCGGGCGTTCATGCGCCAACACATCGAGCGTTTGATGCCGAATGCCGCCGAGTGGGAACAATTGGGGCAGGTTCCTGAAGCCTTGGCAACGGAAAGGGCCAAAGCGGGGTCAGTCTCGGCAGTTTCGATGTGCCTTCACGTTACTTCGAGTTTTTGTTGTAAGCTGATGTTGAGGAGACTGACAGCCTGACAGCCGCTTCGATCTACCCTCTGCCCGGTGCGCAAGACCTAGATGGGATCAAACTCCCAGCCGGCTTAGAGCGTTCGGAATGGGACCCTTTTTGTGACCTCATCATGTCCGACGAAGGAGCACGACTAGGTTATCTCGGCGTCGCTTGGGCTTTGGGAGGAGGAAATGCAATCGGTGCTCCTCCGCTCGTCGCGTATGGAACAACGGCACAGAGACAGAAATTCCTGAGGCCGATCTTGAGGGGCGAAAAGAGGATCTGTTTGGGGGTCACCGAGGCGAGTGGTGGCAGTGATGTTGCTGCCATCAAGACGACGGCAACTAGAGTGGAAGGAGGATGGCGAGTGACAGGGAGCAAGAAGGTGTGCGCGAACTCCGTGTCGTGCACCTGTTGTTCGAGCACGGAGACCCCTGTCACATGAGGGCAAATTGAACCGAGGGAAGGCAGTGATTTTGCTGACGCAAGGGGGCGCACATACTTCCATTCTCCCAGTGGATCACCAACGCCATCTTCTCCGATTACATGATGACCGCAGTCCGTACCGGCGACGAAGGGAACAAAGGGCTCTCCTTCATGATTATCGATCTTCACGCCGACGGAGTGACGAAACGCTCGATCGAGAACACGGGCGTAAAAGCATCGGGATCGAGTTATGTCGAACTGGATGAGGTCTTGTGAGCTGTCAAAGATGCCCAGGGAAGTACCAGCCGCTTAGCTGACATTCCGATCACGTCGATCCCAGTGTCCCTGATTTCAATTTGATCGGCAAGGAGGGGGACGGGTTCCGCATGGTCATGGTCATGGTCAACTTTCTTCATGGTGAGCTAAATACGCCATCTACCGGTCTGAAACGCTCTTCTGCCGCTGACTGAAAGTCAAATGCTTTACAGAACGATTCCTCCTCGCCGTACAAGCTAACCGCATGTCACGCGTGTGCCTTGAGGATGCCTACGAGTAAGAGAGCCCCGACTTGCTAACCCGAAGAGCACTACTTGAACCTCGCAATTGGGATTCTCTCTTTCTGTCAGGTACGCGACAAAGCGTCATACGTTCGGCAAACCGCTCATCTCCTCGCCCATCATCCGAGCCAAAGTGTGTCTCCCTAACGTACACTGGCCGTAGTGACAAATCCCTCCGAGCCCCTCGATCTAATACCTCCAACCACATGTGCCCAGATCTCCGACATGGCGCTCATCATCACCGCCAACCATTCATGGATCGAAGCTCTGGCGTTTCAACTCTCCGTCCTCCCCAAAGTCGTCGCGGACGTCGAACTGACTGGTCAAGCGGCGTTGCTCAAAGTCGCTTGTACGAGGGGTTTGGAAAGGTGTAATAGGGAGGCTTTGCAGATTTTGGGAGGTGGGTTGGGAAAACATAAGATCATTTTTTGATCGGGAGATATGAACTAAATTCATGGGGATTTCGGGTATCACGCAGGGATTGGGTACCAGAGGGGTGGCATAGGAGGTCGGGTCGAACAGATGTGAGCTCTTCTTGTTGCCTTGCCACATACTGAGGAACTGAAGTTTTCACTATATCATCGTTCGTCTACAGCTCGAGAGATTTGCGTGTGATGTGCATCGGAGGAGGCTCGGACGAAATCATGAGTAGCCTCGGGTTGAGGCAGGCCGAAGCGGTGATTTCCAAGAACGAACAGAGACTGAGTTTCAAGGCGAAATTATAGGTGAAGGTGATTCACAGGCGATGCACACTATTGCTGCTGGTAAAGATTGGTGATCAAGTCTATGTGAGGGGCTCAGGGAAAGCTACAGCGCTCGACTAACTGAAAGCCTAGTATACAGACATTCATACTATACAGACATAGATACTTAAGCGCAAGAACATATCGAGCCTGATAAGTCTATTCCATGACCAAAGAGCTCAAAATTGGGACTTGTTGGTCCCGCTCATCAAGAACTCGAAAGCGGCATCATACGGGTTCTGCTGTGGTGGTAAGGATGTTTCGAACGACGCTTCGTCCCCCAGGAATGAAGGGGTTGCAAAGGGAATGATTGGTGGAGCGATGGATCCATATGTGAAAGGCGTGGGAAAGATGTTGGCTTGCGTGACCGGCGGCTGGGTGGGGTACATCGACATGGAGGGGTACTCGGGTGGGATGATGGGAAGTATGGGATGTCCAATGACGCGCTGAGCGTGGGACAGGGGAGGGAAAGTCGGATCAGGGACGGATGCCGCTCGCGTCGGAGCGATTGGATCGGGCTTCGGCTTTTCTTTGACATCGACTACAGGGGTTGGTTCGGGTGCTGGCGTCGCTTGTTTGCTGAGGTGATTGAAGCCGTTGCGCAGCGAACGGCGTTGGACGTCTGCTAGTGCCGAGGACCACGAAGCGAGGGCCAGCATGTTCATCATACTTTCAGACGAAAACAGAAGTACCAAGGTCAGCATCCTCGACAATGATGCACAGAGGAGTTACAAAGCTCACGTTGTACCCATATCCTTTGTGATGCCCAATTCGGTAATCAATTCCGCCACTTCGGGTGGACGACTACTCCGCATACTCGACCACGTCAAACAACACTCCAACACTTCGAAGAGCCTTCTTGCCTGGATCAACGCCGAGGTCCTCGTAATCTCCTTGGCCATGACGACGACCAGTTTGAAGAGTGCTTGTACGCGCGCACAGGAGGTCGCATAGAGCTGCAACGCGATCGGCGCCGGATCTTTGGCCGCGGCATCAACGATACGTTGGTGTACCAACAGATCGAGTCGGAAAAGATTACGACGATGAAAGTTGAGTAGTGAGATGAGGTCGAACGTGCGTTCGTCGGTCAATTCTTTGCTTGCGAGGGGCGTGAGGCGGCACAGGACCGTTGCTTCGGCGTCGTCGAGCCAAAGCCGCACCATCTCCACTCCTCGCCAAATCTCCGAGATGTGATATCCCAGCCCTGCAAGAACTCAAGTTATCTATTCAGAGAGAAATACAGTGGTTTGTGTGGCTCGTGGTGACTTACGGCTCCCATTGTCGACTAAGCGCCTATAGAGGCGAGTGATGACGATCCCAATCGATGCAGTCTGTTTCCCGAGCTCGGTCCAACCTTGCTTCCGATCGATGATCCGGCTCGGATGGTGAAGAGAACTGAGAAAGGTATCATCCAACTGAATCTGTGGGAAGTAAAAGCCCAGCTCATCGTTTGAACTGGGGTTGGTGTGGAGAAGGGTTCAGCAAGTCGAGCCCCAGGGATTATAGCCGAAGAGAACTATTTACATCGCCGATGGGGTCTTGAGAACGGCAGCAGTCTGTGCGTCCAGGCTCTGAGCGAGAAAGAGAGCGAGAGAGCTCAGTGATTAGTTTCCGCGAATTTGTTCGATCCGAATCGCGAAAGACTCACGAGAAGCGTGTGGCTCAGAGGTCCAATCAGAGCCTCTTGGATCGGCTTCGGCAGCTCCGCCTCCCGTCTCGTGAGCAGCTTGAACATCTTGATAGCCGAGTCCACGAATCGCCTCTGAGTCCTGATACCGTCCGTCGTCAAGCTAAGACAATGGTCCATTGCGAGCATCGTATAGATCGCCTCGATCGAAGGATAGGAATCGATCCTAGACTCGGCGTATAGCTTGAGCGCGCGCGTGGCGAAGTGCTGTACAGCTTCTTGACGTCGTCTGCCGAACGAGACGAGCTTGTCGTATTGCGCGACCGAAGCTTTGATCCCGGAAGGTTCGTCGTAGGGTATTTCGGGTTTGGGAGAAGGGCCAATGAAGAGCTGCCCAATGCGCCGAGATCAAGGCCGGGTCAGCTGCTGGGGTCACGTGCTCTCGACGCGCCGCATGTGGGGGGCGCGCGGCGCTTTGGCCTCGCCGAACGATGGGTTGACTCACCTCGTGATCCGAGAATGTCACAGAGACGGCGATGAGTGCACCACAAAGAGTCTGACGGGTTTTTTGGGGGACGTTAGACTCTGATTGGGAAAGTGATATGCAACAGCGGTAGGTACATACCTCGGCGGCCACTTCCAACTCGCGCGAGACGCCAGCGGAGTTGTTGAGCAGCGCTTGGAACAGATCGTAATCGAGCCCGGGAATGCAAGGGTTGGCCATGTTGAAGCAAAGTCTTTGGAAGGGGAGTACAGGGTTGGTCTACTGCAATGATCGCAGGGGTCGCTGGGACTTACTGGATGAGATGGAAGGTCAAGGCTCCTCCGAGTTCGTACTGATCGGCTTGCGCGATGTCGGGTCTTGCGGTGGGTGGGTATCCGACGTGACTGTTGATCAGCAGTGAAGCGGCAGGAAGAAGCAACGATAACGCAACTGACTTGGTGTCCACTGCAAGCTCTGTGGGCGTCGGTTCCTGTGCGTGTGCGTGTGCGTGTGCGTGTGCGTGTGCGTGTGCTTGTGCTTGGGCACTGTCGCATCTCTTTCGTCGTTTGCGAGGTTGAGCCTCACCGGGGCATCTGTGAATTTGGACCGCGAAGCACGGTACGCTCAGTGGCAGCGCAGCGTGGTGGGATGCACACGCGATGTCGTACTCACTTGAGGTCGGCCTCGTCACAAGCAATGCAGCTCTCGGAGGTCTCGGCCTGCCATGCGCACTTGATCCGTCTTGCGCGACAGGGCTGCCGGTGGGTGCTAGGATCAGATCGAGTCATGCACTCGGCAATCCGGCTCAGGGAGGACGGGGGCTCGGATGACTGACCTCACACGCGAGGCGTCGTCTACCAGGCTTGGCTGGCTTCTTATCGGTCGTAGGGCGCTTGCCCAACGCTACGACGGACGACGATGACGAGGAGGCATCGATTGCACTCGTGCTCGTGCTCGTGCTCGAGCTGGCGACGGGAGCAGTCGAGATCGATACTTGAGGCGGCACATCCAAATCGTGTGTTGGACCAAACATTGCATCCATCGGAGCTCGCGAGGGGAGCGTCTAGCGGGGTCTCATGTCAGGTGCGCAGTGAGGACGCGGACGTGAGCAGGCAAGAAGAGGAGGCGCTCCGAACGCTGGAGCTACGCAGTGCGCACGGAGCGGTTCGGAAGAAGCCGTAAGAGGCCGCAAGACTCCGTAATCTTAAGCTTTATCGATCGGAGCCGTCGGAGCGGTCGAGTGCCCGTCGCCCGAGGACGACTCGGAGGCACTCGGCTCGCTTCTTCGCCATGCACCTCCCGTTCGAGGCACCATCCCATCCATAAGCCGAATGCACGATTCAACCCAAGTCGATCGGCTGCGGATCCAAACTCAGCTGCTCAAGCTGACCCGACACTACCAAGCCAAATCACCGACGACCGCGGCGCTGATCCCAGCTTCGCAGTTTCCGACCGACCGACAGCTGTCGTCCGAGGCTGCGCAGCAACAGCTCGTGCAGCTCTTGATCGACGAACAAAACGAGCACGATCCAAATCAGGAAGCGGGTGTATGGGAGAAAGTGTTCTGGAGGAGGATCGTCAAAAGCATCGAGGCGGGCTTCGCAGACAGGAGACGGGACGGCGACGGCGAACAGGTCGATGACGAGGTCAGCAGCGCGTCAGTCGCCCTCGTTTCGGGTGAATTTGACAGGAATCAACTTCATAGGAAGTGCACCCGAGCATCCTGGAGGAGAGGGTCAAGCATCTCTCGGCCTCGTCGACCTCAACTCCGAGCTCGAGATCGAGAAGATGGTGTTGGGGACCTCTGCTGCGTAGGGACAGATGGAAATCGGTCGTGACCCACGAAGAGGGCAGGATGATCAGTGCTGGTCAGTTCACCTATCCTTCATACAGCTGTGGTCCAGTGCTGATCACCCTCATTCACGGTTCTCGGCACTTTCAGGAACGACTGGACTGAGAACTTGGTAAGCTTGAGAGAGAGAGCGGAAACCGGCAGAGAGAAAAAGACCGAGGCTGACGTTACGGAACAAAATCGTGTAGGAAAGCTTCAATAGCGCTATCGAATCATCTAATCGCCTCTCCTACCCTCGTTTCAGGCGTCGCCGCTCCACCGACGGTCGTCGAGCTCGGCGCCGGCGTGGGGCTCGTCTCCCTCGTCGCTGCATCGCTGCACTCAACGATACGAGTCATCTCGACGGACGTCAACCCTGATGTGCTAGTCCAACTCGAGCAGAACGTTCGCAATAGTGAGTCTTACTGAGAAAATATGGTGTGCCGCACCTCGTACGAAAATCTTGATCAATGCTCGCAATGGCAATCGCAGACGGCCTGGACGATCGGATACGAGTCTCGTCACTGGACTGGGAAGACGTAAATCCTTCTGAGCGAGTACCTACTGGCGTTTGGGCACCCGAAGAGTACGAGTCCCTCCTCATCCTTGGCGCCGACATTGTGAGTGAGATCAGGCGCTGAACCACGTCGCCGTCGACGGTCATTGTTGAGCAGGGCCCTGAACTCGTTGCACGTAGGTCTATGATCCGACATTAGCGTCATACTTGGCTGCCACACTCTCTGTGCTGCTTAGACCCGCCCCGGAGGACCTGCCGGTAAAAGCTACCACTTCGACAAGAACTGCGCTCATCGCCGGAACAATTCGCAACGAGTCTACCTGGGAGCATTTCCTCTCCGAATGCAGTAAGTATTGTCTATGTCGCTTTTGCCCCAATTTGCAAAAATTCTAACTCACCAATAATCCGCCTTCTGATTTCCCACCGCAAAGCCTCTCGGTCGTTGCTGATCGAGCCCGTTGACTTGCTGATCCCGCCGGAGGACGGTGGCATAGTGGGTACAGAAGGTTGGGAAGGCGAAGGCGAGGTCCGATTGGTCAAAATTGTAGCAAAGCCTTTGTAAGGAAGTGCCTTTTCCCATCACTTTGTCTGTGCACAAGGTGCGCACCCAACTCCGCACCCGACTCCGCTCAATCCGCTACAGGGAAAAGGACGCGGCAAAAGGTCGCCCAAAATTGGCTCAAGACGGACGACGGTCAAGACTTCGAGAAGCTGTAAATACGATGCCCTACACGTTTCCCTCAAAGTCTGCGCCGACTTGCCGAATCCTCCTACTAGCCCCGCCCGCTCAAAGTGGTCTTTTCCGAGTCGCAGGGCCTCTTAGCGCGACGACAGCACCTTCGCCGCCAGTCTCCTCACGCACTGGCGGACTCAGCAGAGCGGCAATTCGGCGGTAGACGACCCTCAACGCGGGGCGGCCGTTCACGTCCCATTCGAGACTGTCCGGATTGTAAGAAGCCAACCATGGCACCACAGGCTTATCAAGCGGATTGATCGAGCAACAGTGTGGACGGCCGCCCCGCTGCGTCAGTCGAGAATTCGCGTCGAAGTGTAAGGGGATGCCTTACAAAAACAGCCCCATAAGCGGCCGCGACACATGTCCGCACATGTGCGGACACTTGATTATAGGTCAATACATGACGATATCGTATCTTTTCGATGTCGTAGGACAAATACCCCATAAGTAGCCTCTGAGTAGCTAGAACTGTCGAGTTCTAGTTACGACTTGCTTTTAGCCTAGCGGTCAAGAACGACAGATTGTATTTTATGCACATCAGAGGCGCATACCTTACACGAGGGTCCTCGGCCGCCGAATCGTCACGAGAACTGCAGGCCAACAAATCGAACCCTTCGAAAGAGAGGATCGAGGGTGAGAACGACTGGTCCGCGGCTCGCAGAGGCAACGACACGCACACGATGGAAAGAGAACTTAGAATGATAGCTACCATATGCAATGCAGCAAGAACAAGACCGCATCTACCCATGCGAGACAAGTGTTCTTTCAAAACAAGTGGTACGGATCCCGGCCGAGTGCCGCGGCGCGGACTTCTGGGACGGCTGCTGCAGAGCTGAGCGCTGCACAGGAGCCAGACTCCTTAATCGTCTAACCCATCATCCGACTTACATTTGGTGCTGCGGTGATTGGTGTCAGGCCTGGTGGTCGAGCCTCAGTGCAAGTAACAGTAGACGAGTGTGTCCTCCATTGGGTAGGAGAAGGTAAAGTCTACTTCCCTGTGGTGCCCAAGGCCGTACACGGACTTCACAACTCCTGTCGAAAGGTGAGTCGACGACTCGAAGCAGGCGTTTCCGTTTTCCTGACTTGACGCGAGCTGCGACTACACTGCCGTTGGCGCCGTCGGAGGAAAATGTTTCCTGCTGGGTTGCGCCTGACCAAAGCCAGTCACGTGACGCGTGCGCGCGCGTGCTCGCGCGTGTGATGATGCATGATGGAACGCGGCGCCAGCTTCGGCGCGTGCACGCTTCCTTTCATTCAGCCAACGGACGGAGTCGAAAAGTCGAAGACGACACTTGACGCGAGGCGTCTCCTCCACATCTCCGACTCAAGCACCTACTTGGAGTTCAGTAGCTCGAATTGAAGATTTCTGGACCACCTACTCGTATCTCAGCCCCGTCCCACCATCTTGGAGCGATGTTGACGGAGTACCTACCCACTGCTCGGCTCGTGCTTTCGTGGCTCATCATCGTGTCGGCGTTCCTCAACTCGGGCTTTTCAGCTTGGCTGATTGGTTTCCAAGCTTTACGAACGGTCAGCTTTAGTTCATTGCAGGACATACTCCCACAGGGCGAGGCGCGGGCCGGACTCCGCTGATGATGACGATGACTGGCAACGGACACGTACGATTTGCTGACCTTCGGACTCCGTTCATGTGCCATTCGCGCCCCATTGCGACCCTACGACAGCACGGCTACCAAAAACCGGTCCCTGCGATTCTCGTCATCAGTTTTTTCGCCTTGTGTCTTCAGACATTCTTCCTCTACTCCAAAGCGTTCCACACCTCGCGCGCATGGACGACCAAGCTCGCGTTGTTCGTTAGATCAATCGCTTGCGAGTTGATCGTCACCGGTGCTTTGGGCGGTATGATGTTGGTCAGCGTCGCGAATCTTTCATCAGAGTGAGTGGAGCGATGTTGATCTGTCATGATCGTGAGGGCTCGAAGAACCGCTTCGCTAACCGGGTGGCCCTTCGATTGTCGGCTTCCGCTAAATCTTCAATTCAGCACGCCGGGGTAAGTTCAGCCCATCTATCGTCAAGCCCTGCCCGAAAATCTAATCTGATTCTGAATTTCGATCCATCAAAGCCTGCTGAGCTCTTGCGGCGGATACCTCATGTGCCGACTCTTGACGGCTGTTTTTGCTCTTGCCTGGCTGTGAGCTCGACTTTTGCGCTCGGACCCTCACTTCTGTGCCCCACTAAAGAGACCTCCGTACGACCCGAACTTTAGCAACGTCCTCTTTCTCGGCCTCTCCTTCACCTTCCTCCTCATCTCGTTCCTCTACTTCACCATCAAGCGTCGTCGCGCGATCCCTGCCTTGACGGTCCCCTTCGGCGATGTCAACTGGGCCGAATATTCCATCCGTCGTTGTCGAGCACAGCAAACCCCGATCCCTCTTCGAGCCTCACCACGAACGGACGAGTACAAAGAACCCCTCGATAGCGGACGAGGTCAAGTCGACGAGGTATTTGTTGTTGTTGATACGACCGAGTCCGAGAAGGCTGAGCAAGCTACGACCGGTCTGGGCTTGCATGAGCGCAGGAAGAGTCGTGATATTTGTGAGATTCTCAAAGTACTTTAATTCTCTCTTATTTCCTTCTAGCATCATGGCCCCTGTGTCTCTTCCCTTATTCTCCTTCTTGACCCGGCTTTGCCGTCTATCTTCCGCATTCTGGCCAGACTCGCGCACTTGCTCTCAGCTAGCTGGCCCCGCGCGACTCTCTCTCTCCTGCTCAAGCAACTTCTTGGTCTGGTCTCCCTTGGTCCGTCGATCAGAGACTTACCACTGCTTGAGCAGGTGAGTACTACACATCACTACCAACTCCAATACTACTAGTCGTGATAGCTTACCTGTAGTTGTTGAATAGGTGTGTCAAGCAACTTCTTGGTCTGGTCTCCCTTGGTCCGTCGATCAGAGACTTACCACTGCTTGAGCAGGTCTGTGCGTTGCTTCTACCTCTCATAATATTGATGTGGGAACGAGCGTTCAGATGTGATGAATCGAGCTTGGACCTCCTCCAATCTACTATGTATACCTTGCATCGCATCTCTTCTTGCAATCCTTTGATCTCATCTCTTGCAATCCTCAAACCGAACCTACAGCGCAGCTCGTTCTCCATCGCCAAGACTTCGAGAGTTCCGGAGAGAGGGAGCAAGCAAGCTCGGGCTCAGGACGGCATGGCCGGCCCGGTGGTGCCGTGATCCTGTGCTCAGACCAGTAAGGACCTCACCTTGTGATTGGCTCTTCTGCTTCTTCCACATTGCGTTTCAAGTCGTTCGGAGAGGATGCAAGCCTATCGAAACCCCATCAGTGAGCTCTGACGAACTTTCACATCCCTGTGATGAGCTACACACTGACATCGTCTGGGATGCCGTTGCACCGCTCTCGCAACCTATGCCTCTAGTCCCGGGTTTCAATCCCGACCCATGTGAGTCCAATCCACTGCGCGACTTTGAAGAGCCAATGATATCGGTCCTGAACTGCTTCATCTCCACTTCACAGCCTGCATCTGTGTGGATGGTGTTTTCTACCTCGTCACCTCGACGTTCCTCTACTTCCCCGGGATCCCCATCTACGCTTCCCGAGATTTGGTAAACTGGACCCAGATTGGTGCGTCTCTTGTTCTCGGCCACCTAACCGCTTATCATGCCCCTAAAAATATATATTTAAAGAATCTCATAAACAGGGAATGTCGTTTCTCGACCATCCCAAATCACTCGGTTGACCGAATGCGAAATTCGTTACCCCATCGGAGGAGGACTTTGGGCCCCGACGATCCGTCATCACGAGGGCGAGTTCTTCGTCACCGTCACGCTCGTGTTCCCTCAAATGAAGTATGAAGATCCGAAGAGATGGGATAATGTACGTCTTTTTCTAAAATCTACTCGATGGTTGGGGGGACATGCCTCGCATGAGAGCCGACTCTGACCTGAAATTTTCCATCCCTCGACACTTTCGTCCAGCTCTTGTTCAAGACAAAGGACCCACGAAAGGGATGGTCGGATCCTGTTCGATTCGATTATCCGGGGTATGACACCTCTTTGGCGTGGGATCGGGAAGGTGTGGCGCATGTACAGGGGTCTTTCTATTGGCGAGTGAGTGGGACCGAGAGCTTGTGTCTGAGACCCATGACAATGAATGCTGAGTATCTCCAACTTCTGTAGGTCCGACCGGAGATTTCACAAATCACCATCAACACGGATACGGGAGAAGCCCTGTCGGGTAGTCAAGGACCGGAAAAGATTTGGTCGGGTGAAGGTGGCAAAGCGCCTGAAGCGCCGCACTGCTATTGGAGAGAGGGGTGGTGGTGGATCATCATCGCAGAGGGTAAGCTTAAGCGATTCTCGCAATCTGAACCCGAAGCTGACGGAGTGAGACGTACTTTTCAGGTGGTACCGAGCTCGGCCATCGGTGCACCATGGCGCGTTCGCGCTCCTTAACCGCACCCCTATCCGAATGGGAAAGCTGTCCCTCCAACCCCGTACTCCAGTCCATAACCCTGCCACCCGTCGGAGCCTCCAATTCGGACCCTTCCCTCGATTCCTACTTCATGACCGTAGGGCATGCGGACCTCTTCCAATCGTCGGCGAATGGGCAATGGTTCGCTGTGGCGCTTGCGACGAGGGATGGGATTGAGGACTTCCCTATGGGGAGGGAGACGGTATTGGCACCCGTTGAGTGGGAGGAGAGGGATGAAGAAGGGAATCTCAATTGGCCTGTGTTTGGCAAGGTCAGGTCGAAGATGTGGGCGAAGTTGCCGGTTGGTGATGGGGGGCAGGAAGAGAAGGGGATTGAGCCTTTGAAGGAAGAAGGGCCCGAAAATTTGCTCGAGCTGTGTGCGAAGCAAGAAGAGGATGGACAATGGCCTCTGCACGTCTTGTTCCTTAGATTACCGGACCCGAAGGCGTATACTTTGGATCGATCGACGCCATCGCTCAATCTTCGACCAAACTCAAGCTCGACGCTTCTCGACCAAGGCAAGGCAGGAACGACGACGTTGATCGCTCGTCGTCAGACCGACCTCGAAGGATCAATGACGACGAAGATGACGTTCCCCAGGGGAATCGAAGGTCTCGAAGCGGGCTTGACCGTCTTCTTGGACGCCACACACCATCATGCACTGACCATTTCGGGCGATCAAAAACGACTGATCGTCAGATCCGCAGATGGGGTTGAACACGGCAAGGGCCTCGAGGTCACGGACACACCGGGCACGATTGATCTCAGAGTTGAGTGGACAACATCGGAGTACAGCTTCTCGGCCCGGATCGGCGATAAGTCGGAATGGACAAAGGTTGGGCAGGGCAAGGCGAGCGCGGTCTCTGGAGGGTTCACAGGGGTCGTTGTGGGCTTGTTCGCCCAAGGGGATGAGTCGAAGGAGGTTGTCGTCTCTGAATGGGTCTACCAAAGCACTCGGACATGGTAGATTCATTTTCCAAGAAAACCCTTCAATGTATGCCAAGTTGAGACAAAACTTCTGGAACTGATTATTTCACAAGCGTAGAGAGAGATACGGACAACACGAACAACGAAAGAGTACGAAACGACAACAGAATGCGACCCACTCGAATTTTTCAGGACTCGATTTACTGTAGGAAGCGGTGAATACTTTCTTCGGTCGCAAGGCAATGCAGTGGTTGAGGGCGCACGATGCGCAGGGCATGGAAGCCTATGTGAGTGGTGGGGTTCCAAATAGGACGATTGCTACTGATGCTCACCAAGCCTCGCATCCTGTCAGAGTCAAGACCCAAACGAGGGAAATAACAATAAGAGGATAGAACGAAGAAGGATGCAAGATCTACCCAACGTTGTACCGCGAAGGGTTCAACGTCGATAGCACGTTTGAGTGTGCGTGCGCGGAAGATGAAGATTTGAAGCGGATGGCAAAGATTGGATGCTGAAGGATGAGTCGGGTCAAGGTGTGGGTACACTATGGATCGAATATTACAACTGAAGAGAGAAGAAGGAGAGAGAGAGAGAGAGAAGGGCTACGAAGAAAGACTAGATACTCCGTTGCCGAGCTCGCGTGTACGCTTTGCGTCGAATGCTTTGTTCGCATCTTGTTCGGATCCAGAGAGGGAACCGCGATGTCGCGGATGAGGAGTTCGGATCCGGAGAGGGAACGGATGAGGAGTTCGGGTGAGAGGTGGTTGCTTGAAGATCTTGATTATGACACTCCCCTTCCTTTTACCTCAAACGTCCTCAGTTGAGTCGAGATGGAGGACTAGTTGTTGCAAGATGCACTGAACGCGAACCCAGGGAAATGGGTCGAGATCCAACAAAGCGACGGCGCGTCAAAGTCTTGGCTATTGCGCAGAGGCGACCATGTCGCTCCATACGCGTATCAAGTTGTCGCGGGAGGAAGGCGTGGTCCTTGGCATGTTTTGGATTCACTCGGTTTGGATCACTGGATCACAAGCGATGAACTGGAGCGTAGAGGGGTTGGTGACCTGATATACGCAGGAGACCGGGTATACAGGCGCCCTAGGGAAGCACGAAGGTTCAACGAGGCGGAGGATCACAAGTGGGCGGAGGCTCGAGCAAGTTTCGCTCCATCTCGTGTACTGAAGTCGGCGTTTCTTTGTTCCCCGTTCCCAGAGAAGTGACCAGAAAGAAATTCATTCATGTTCCGATACCAAGTCGACTCGTTCAACGCATCTATCGGTCACTTTGAGCTACCCTTCGCTTCGACTTTAGTTCTACCGAGACCACCCGGTCCGTATGGTCGAAGATCCGAATGGACGCCGTCTCTCAAGTAAGCAGAGCAACCAACAAAGGCAATTCTTACCAAGAATGACCAAACACACCTCACAAGCATCAGACGGCAAGAGTGTCGGGTCTTGTACTCCCTCAGCGATTTAGTACGAGATGTCCTTTGGAACTGCGGCGGGACAAAATTGTGACCGATGCAACCACTAAAATCGGATGCAGATTGGCTCCACGACCTGCCATCCAGCTTGCCATCGCTTCGCGCTACCAACAGCCTTTGTAGCGAAGCTCGCAAGAAGAAGCACTTGCATGAGTTCATGCTCGGCGGACCATATGACAAGATATTATGACCTCGGCTTGATCATTATCGGCATCGGTATCGATCGGCATCCTTCCCTGCGCTTCTTACATGGGCATCCTCGGTATGTTGATGCTTCGTCGATCTTCAGTTTACGACCTAATCCACCATTCAGGATGTGCTCCGACGGATACGAGCGCAACAAAACGGTCCTCAAGAAGGGCGACTCGAGACGCGTTGGTAGCTCGGATTGGCCTCGCCGAACCCGCGATCTCAATTGACCGGTGCCTTACTCTAGCCATTGGAACTCCAAACACGGTAAAATGTTCGCACAGTTTCTGGGGAAGGCATTTCAAAAGCAAAAAATATATCTTGTAATCCACGTGTTCAAAGCCTGCTTTTTTCATTGCTCTTTACACTGCTGTCCGAGCCTTGAAAAGGCTTTGAAGTGAGGCGGCTGCGAGCGGGACTGAAGCGTGTTTTTCAAGCTTAGGCATACCATCTTTACGTGTACCTGGTGTTGGTGTAAAACTACCGACTTCGGGCAAGTTATGCAACAAGAGAGTACTATGACCATGTACATCATGTGTTCGTCTTCTCTTCTTTCCTTATCTTTTCCTTATTTCCTTTCCTTTTTTTTCTCTCTTTTCTTCTCTTTTTTCCTTCCTTTCCTTCTTTTTTTGTTTTTTTGTTTTGTTTTGAGAAAAGGACAAAAATGCCCTCGGATTCCAGACTTTTGTAATACTCGATATATCAGCTCACAGCCAAGAGGGTAGCTTCTTGTAGTCTTTGTGATCAGCGCCGTATACTCGGAATCTCCAGAGGTGCCGTGAGAAGTCACTTATCACGGTCGCAAAGTCAGGGGCCTCATCGATCTTCGACGCCTCGAAGGCGCGATGGTTAAGTTCGCGAATCGACGTTGGCCTCCTTCCGCATTCTCGTCCCGATACCGAAGTCAACACCGGCTTTCGACAATGGAATATCGTTTCAATAAGGGGGAAATCTTCTATGAAAAGAAGGAGCTCACGGATGCAGGCTATCAACTTTATGCCCTTGATCACCAGTCTCAGCTCAACGTTCGCAAGTCGGATACGCGTCGTTGGCACGTCGTGTGCAAGAGTGTCCACGATCCTCCGTGCGCCTTCTCTGCCACTGCTGTTTTCAAAGGAGAAGGCAGTGTTTGGACCATCACTGTCTTCAATGAAGCCGCGTGTCCGACTTGCGAACGTCGAGCTGAGCTTGAAATTGGTGATCGAGGGCATATTGATAGCCTGCATCCGTGAGCTCCTTCTTTTCATAGAAGATTTCCCCCTTCTTGAAACGATATTCCATTGTCGAAAGCCGGTGTTGACTTCGGTATCGGGACGAGAATACGGAAGGAGGCCAACGTCGATTCGCGAACTTAACCATCGCGCCTCGAGGCGTCGAAGATCGATGAGGCCCCTGACTTTGCGACCGTGATAAGTGTAAGCTCAACTAAGCCCTCCCTCTGGGAGGGGCTTACGAGTTATCCGCGCTTTTGGCTGAGTTGCCCTCCGAAATTTCAGGGCCATTTGGGGGTGGTTCTCTGTAACTTGGCAAGTAGGCGCATCCATGCAAAAGTGAAGGACCCTATTTTTCTTTATGCTCTAAAAATGACATACCCCAAGTGGCGAGAGCTTTTATAAGCTGTGGGTGGAGCTACAGCGATCCGAAGTCTGCGATTTCGGTCGATCGGGCCTCAGATGGTCCGAGCGCATCGTGTAATTGGCGCTCTCATCATCGGCGAGCCTGCTAATTCGGCTTGATCCCTTTGCGTACGCTTCGCTATTCTCCTCTTTTCACGATCACCGTCGTCCACGTCAAGCGCGACAATATCTAAAGCCAAAAATGACCCGAACAAGCAGAAGCCATACCTCGTCAACTCGCCAGAACAACCGCCGCGAGGCGGATCTGTTGGCTGAATTTCGTGGCCGCGATCTATGTCAATACCTATCGTGGTACTTCAGCCCATCCACACGATTTGAAGGAGTTCAAACACACCGACCAAAGCTGTTCAACAGCAAGTGGTCCAGCCTCAAGCGTGTACTTGATCTTATTCTACGACTTGCACGCGAGGATGGCGCAGAGTCAAGAAGCCGAATCAATTTTTTTTTTGTATCAATGACTGGATCGCCGAGCAGGTGGGCAACACTTCGTACTTCTCGGATTGATTCTCCGGATTCGAAAAAGCTACTGAATACTTGCCTTATCCGCGTGCAAGCCGACTCAATCATCATTAAAGAGATGAAGCGAACCAAGTCCGCCTTCGTCGCTAGCCATGATTTGGCTCCCGAAGTCCTTGCATCCGATCACATCGACGCACGGCTCGATGCAATCGCCGAAGACAACCCTTTTATCAGCGGATGGGTTCGTACCTTGCTATCACAATGCGGAGACCCTCCACCGGCCGAGCCAATCAATCGCGACAAGGACCCAACAGCTTCCACTGATGTCGAGATGGAAGAAGCCACCCCGGAGAATGGTTCCGATCCAGAGCAAGAGCAAGAGCCTGGTCATGAAAAAAGGCGTATCGAGTTTGTGAGTGTTTCTGACCCTAGCTCGGCTGGGTATCGCAGCGAACTGACACCAAAAATCAACACGCTGGCCGCAGCTTCACCGCAGTGTCATGGGTCAGATCGCATTCGCTTGCAACCGAAGGAACAACGCCATGCAGCATCGCAACGGTCTCATGACTCTCGCATGTGGAGCGAACGACCGATTGACAATGTTTCTGTACGATTGCGGCTTGACGACATCTCACTGGACGACTCCAGGCAGCCGCGAGCTTGACGAAGGCGAATTCGACGAAACTGAAGGAGATTGGCTCGAACAAGTACTTCCATGTGACCATTGACAACATCAACGTCACACATCATGTCAACGATCGGCAATTGGATCGACGAACCGAGCTGCTTCATCGAACTTTTGGTTACGCCCACACTCAGAACGGAGATATTGCCGGCGCTTACAACCTTCGAGCCTACTCTGCACATCAAGCGTCTTTACCGCGAGTCAATCTTCAGCATCTCCTCCCAACTCCCCAATCCGACTCGTCATCTACAACCGGGATAAAAGCTCAGATATATCGAGCGCTTGCTCGACTGGTCCCTCATCTTGGCCTCAGTCTTCTTGATGCACACCACCCCCCTCTCCTCGTCATAGACGGGCAACTTGACGCGCTCTCGAAAGGACTCGTTAGAGATCAACTTTGCCCAATCTGCATTGTTCATATGCATTTTAGGAGACTTGACACGCAACAGGAAAGGAAATCAACACATGTGTACTTCACTCAAACAGGAGGTCAACCGGCACATACGATCAGAATGAAGGAGATCTTGTGATTGGGGTCGTCCAACTGCCTGTACAGCTCGCCGTCTCTCCAGGTCTCCTCAGATACGACAATCGCGTTCTTTCCCTTTCAATGAGATTGGCAGCCTGAAAGAAGCATGTGACTGCGGAAATCAGCACGAATGTCGGTCCAGCAAGCCCAGTCGACAGAAAAACTCACCTGATGATTGCTCAGTGCATTCAGTGGACTGACAACAATGGTGACGGCCCGGCGTCCGTAAATGAGATACATTGCTTCGAAGATAACACTTTTGCCTGAACCGTTGGCGCTGTGACGAACACAGCGTCATATCGATCCCCGCTCCCAAATTGATCGAGTTCGAAAAGTGCAGCAATGGCCTCGATCTGCACAGGCCGGGGGGTAGAGTCCTCGTCAAGACTTTCGCCCAGAATCACTTTGATCTTCTTGCGTAATTCGCTGGAATCTCGTCGGTCCTGGTGAGTCAAACGTGGCCTCCAGTGACCGAGAACGGCTGTCGGATTGGTTGAATGATTCGGTGCTGGGGTCGTAGGACTGGCCCTTGAAGCTGATCGCAAGGGAGACGCCCTGAACTCAATTGATGGATGTCGACGGGGCGGTCCCCTAACCGGCCTGGGTGTTTGTACCGACATGGCTCATCATGAGGGGAGGTGCGATGTTGAGTGGAGGAGAGAGAGGATGCGTGAGGCGCAGCCGGGCTTAAGTGACCTGGCTCTATGCAGCCTTCAAAGGCCTTCGACAGCCTTCGTTTTTTTTTTGGTATCAAGCCTGATTAGATTTCACATATTCGGTTATCTACGCAAAATCAATGTTTCTTGAAAAGGGGGGTTGGACTTATGTAAATTTATAGCCACTAGATCCATGCAGCCCCCACACTCCTGAAACCACCAAAAGTGTGATTCCAATCATGTGAACACCAACCACCCTTCCTATTCCACGGTGTTAAAGAATAGGCACAATCGAGAAAGAGAGAGAGGGGAGGGGAGGAAAATCAGGAGAGAAAACTCAGAAACTCCGTACTCATGAAAACGTCAAGTCACGTCGACGCGGACTGGACTACGACTGGTCCGTGCGCCGACCTGCGTCTCGTTCGGAATCAGTTGATTCAAGCTGCTATAACGAGATGATCAAGCGTTCCTAGACTTCAAGCTTCGGTGAAGCCTCATCAACAATGATGAAGTAAAGACGTATTCCTCCAGTTTTCAGATAGCACCAATATATGCCATGCTACAGCAAGGGGGCACTTTTCAGGGCCGAAATTTCGGAGGGCAACTCAGCCAAAAGCGCGGATAACTCACAAGCCCCTCCCAAAGGGAGGGGCGTCGAGCTTATGATAAGTGACTTCTCACGGCACCTCTGGAGATTCCGAGTATACGGCGCTGATCACAAAGACTACAAGAAGCTACCCTCTTGGTTGTGAGCTGATATATCGAGTATTACAAAAGTCTGGAATCCGAGGGCATTTTTGTCCTTTTCTCTTTTGTTTTTCCACTTCACCGGCAACTCCCTGGACATGGGTGGCGGCCCCCATTTCTGGCTATGTCGTGTGCTTCACCGCCTCGTCACTCGAGCTCGTCATCACCCTTGCGGCTGCGGGGATCTTCCATCGAAACATTTGTGCGAGCACGCTGCTGCACAACCACGGCACACCCCTGCTTCTCGGTTTCAACAACGCTACATGTAACGGTTTCGAGTCAAAAAAACCGTTCCTCAGCGTCGACCCCGACACGATCGTCAACTCATTCATCTGCACCCGCCAAGACCCTGAAAGTTTTCGCCCGCACAGCTCGGTATATGACGAAATTGAGACCGTGCACAAGACGGTCGTGTCAGTGTTGGCGAGGTACTTTGTGGATGCCGACAAGGGCGGTGGAATCGTATGGGACCGTTTCCACTTCGGCGCGTATCGTATCCCACCCGGCAAAATGTCGGCAATCGCCCATGCACGTAGTGACCTGTACAACAATAAAACCCGACGTAAGCTTGGGAAGGGGATGAGCGTGTTTGAAATGTGCGCCAAAGACCTCGAAGGCCGATCCAGACCGCTGGGAGTCTTGTACAGGGTTATCATGCAGGAGGAGCCTGTGGCTGCGCACAGAAGGCTGCTCTGGCGCAGCCCTGATCGCCTACGGCAAGAAATTCTCGAACTGACGGGGGCGGATTGGCGTAGGCAACTCAAGGTGGCGCTGAGCAAAAAAAATGCGGGCGCCCAAAGTGTAGCCTTGGTCCGCGATTCTGTAATCCGAACGCTGCACAGCTCTAAGTCTGCTCAAGCATAGTGACAAGAAGGGAGCCGAGAGCAAAAAGGAGAAGAAAAAAGAAGGCAAAAACAGAAACAGAAAAAGAGCTTGCCACTGCTTCGAGTCAACGAGCTCGGACTACACGCGCAACCCTCAACCGCACGGAATTGATGTGGGCAAAAGCTCGATGTTGTAATATCTTGCATCCCATAAGGCATTCGGCCCGAAAACATCGAGCTTATGCAGATGGTCACCGTTGCGGATTACAGCCACATGAATTCCGTGCGGTTGAGGGTTGCGCGTGTAGCCTCATCACGGGGCGGGCTGGCCGCCATTCTTGTGAGATTTTTCAACGTTCGTTTTCAGAGTGGTGTGAATGTGGATGCAATAACAGAACTAGGTTGAGAATAGCTTTACGTAGAGTTACCAAACTCGTGCCATGAGAGCGAACAAGAGAAGAAGAAGGAAGGGCTCGAGCGACCACGTCGATACTTGCTCGGGGCGGCTTCGACGTCGCCTCGCCCAGTGGTCGGGAGGAGTGATCTTACAGGAACCGATAGCCAGTTCGATCACGGACAAATTAAAGCGAGCCATGGCGAACGCGAGAATTAGGCATCGGCAAGACTCCTTTCGACGACGAACACCTCCTGGCCATCGATGGGGTCGGGACACGGCGGGGCCTCCCTTGAAGCTCGACTCCAACGACCTCTGGCCTTTCGCCATCAAGCGCATATCGACCCTTCCTTCTTACGAGGACCGATCCTCGATGATGCGCATTCATCCCGTCTTCCATCTCTCGCTTCCATGTCTCGTTTCTCGAACCTCATCGGCCTCACCGCCTCAATGCTCCGCCTTGGCGCCGGCAAGGCGCCCGGTCGTGCGAATCCTGCGGAGGGTCGGCAGGAGGCACGGGGGCGCGACGAAGGTTGGCGTAAAGGGCACGAGACTCCTGATAACGAAGGATCTGATCCTGCACGAGTTGCTGCGCATCCCCAAGACGATCACAACGTTATCGAACATCGGGAACAGCGGTCTGCTCGAGGGTCTCATCAGCCCCGGCCGGGAAATCAGCGCGAGTGGATCGCAGTCGAAAGGGAGACTCGACCACCGAGCACCGAGCAGCTGGCGAAGCTAAGGACGCATTGCACCTTGAGGGTGGTCGGATACGGCTAGGAACAAACGGAGTCCACCTTTGAAGCAGACACCGAGACACGGCGGGCGAGATGACGGAGACGAGGTACTCAGTCAAGGTCTGGCCGTACTCGCCCTTCTTTGGGTCGCAGCAGAGTAGGTCGGCCATTCGATAGCGTGTGCAAAACACAGACTTTCCTTGATGCGGACGAGGTGGTATCCGGAGCGCAGATCGAGCTTGATGGGGATTCTGAAAGAGCGAAGTCGGCCGAGCGCTTTCAGAATCAGAGGCAAGGGGCCTCGTTTGGTGAAGGTGACAACGTTGAGTGCCCTGTAGTCGACGTAAAGGCGAAGCGATCCATCCTTCTGGCGAACGAAGAGAATGGGTGGGCCAGCTGGTGGTGTCGACGGGTGGACGAGCGCCTTGGCGAGGTCCTCATCGATCCACATCGCGAGTGCTGGAAGCCCTTTCCGCACGGTAGCTCGCTCTTGAAAAACCGCCTTCATATTGTTAAGCAGTTGCACGAGCTTCTTGTTCGGCGGCTTGGAACTTCTTTGCGTGCTGCGCAGTGTGCGAAGCTTAGCCTGGATCGTGAACTCAAAAATCGCGACAATGTCGGCGAAGGAAGGGTGACCTTCTTGAAGTCGGTGCAGGAGAGAACCGTCGGGTTTTTGAACGCCGGAGTTGCTGGTAGTCTTCTTGAGTGGTCGCGAGAAGGTTTCGTCGCGAAAGACGAACGGGCCCTCCAGTTTGCCACCCTGGTCACACGTCAAATCTGAGAATACGTCAGCAGTAATCGATCCCCAGTAGGGTGCGTGAGATTACCTACGAGCGACGCAACCGACAATTTCTCGGAATTTGGTGCGGCTGTCGTCCGTTTCCGCGCCGAGAAGAAAGTCCCCGATCGCTTCGGCTTCATCGAGCAGATGGGCCGCCGCCAGCCAGTCCTCGTTCGCCGAGGCCGACTCTTCAGGCCGAGTGCGGGCTCGCGCACTCGAGCCAGTGGCGGCAACCCTGGGCGTGCGATGGAGTTGAGCCTTGCCGCCGCGTGAGCCTGAAGCTGTCGGCTTTCGGATGTTCTTCTTCAAAAAAATATGATACGCGAAAGAATTCGTTAGCGTAAAAGAGATCATCTCGGCTCGTTCCTATGACGACGAGTAGAGTCACCTTGGGGGGAGTTTTTGGCGCTAAAGTTGCTGGAGGCCGCGCCGGCGGGGTCTTTCGGCGCCGATGAGCTCAAGGTCGACGTCGCCCTCGACGTCGAAAGTGAAGTCGCAGGAGATTTTAACTTCGAGGTGGAAGTGAAGGGGGAGGGGGAGGAGGGGGAGGGGGAAGGGGAAGGGGATCTTGCCTTGGAGGTCGAGGTTGGGCCCGAGGCTGAAGATGACGACGACGATGAAATGTCGAGGTTCAGCATGCTTGCGGAGAGAACGGCCGTGGCTTCGTCAGGGATCGTTGGTTCGGATCGAGGAGTGGGTCGTGCCGACGAGGACCTGGACGCTTCATCCGAGGCATCGCGAGCTCTCAGCGAGCGCTTGTTTGCCATGATCCTTGCAGAGCCCATGACGGAGCAGGAGAGACCAAGAAAGACAGCGATCTACTGACGCCGCGACCGCCCACGCGAGCGTCAGATCTTGGGGCCCGTGCGGCGGGAGCCTCGCCGGAGCGCGCGTGTGCAACGGCCGGGGTGGTTCGCGATCGCCTCATCGAGGGCGTGCACAGGGAGCCGGTCAGTCGCGCGTCGGCAAAGTCTGGTCACCAAGCAAGGAGAAGCCTGGCTACGTCAGTGTAGCGGTGTCACCTGTCAGCACAGTTCTCTAAGAACAAAAAGAATAGTATCACTTCCTTGCAGCCTCTAATCTTCGGATGCAGAATTTTGGATTCTGGAACGGCCACCCGCCACCCCTGTGCCAAAGTCCGACGTCCGACGTCCGACTCCGACTCGGAGAAGATCATGGTGAGAGCGGTCAGTCCTACTTAATTTCCGGGCAGGGATTCACGCGAATTGGAAACGCACCCAAGTGAACTTGATCGTTTCGCCCGTCTCCTCATCCACCTTCTCCTGGACGACATCGAACTGATTATACTCCACCACCCGCGTCACCAAACTCCTCACTCTCGGGAACTTGAGGTGCAAGGCGCCAAAGTTGGGTTTATGAGGCCAATTACCGTTGCGTAGGTAACGTACGAAAACGTCTTCGTCGCCGCGCGGAAGCGCGTAGGAGATGGAAGTCCGGGGCGGGGGAAGGGGATGGCCTTTGAGGTTGGCTTTGGTGGTTGGGGGGGAGGGTTCGGTGACGAGGTAAGGAATGGGAGGGGCGACGTTGTGGAGATTCGGACGGCAGTCCGTGTGAACGGGACACTTCGTGTGCGACGCGCGACGGAGGAAAGTGGCTCGGAACATGGTTGGTTTAGGGTGATGAGGAGCGAGAAGAGGAAGAGAGAGCGGAACGGTAGGAGGCTGTGATGAGAACGAAGTGAAGGCCTTTGTCAAGCCCTCATTTATCGTGGGGGACTCCGATGAGCTCGGGACAAGGCGCGCGCGCTTCCGCCTCCCCCCTGTCACAACGCAGGGGCCTTCCTCTCGGACGTCGTTCGGCTTCCCTTTGTTTCTTCTTGCTCGAGATTAGATCTGTGCTCGGGCCCTCAATAAGAATGGTGATGCGATTTTGATTGATGCATGAAGGAAGGAGTTACAACATCGAGGACTTGGAGTAGCTGGTGGCGTAAATCGGGTACTACTTCGCCGCCTCGGCCTCCCTCTGCTTCCGGGCCAATTTCCTTTCCACAAGCGAAACATACTTGTTCATCCCCCCCTCCATCAACTTGATCTTACCGCCACCCACGCGATAGGTGTTTCCCGTAATCACACCCTCTTCGTCGCTGCTATCCTCATCATCGTCATCATCCTCTTCGTCCACTCCATCATCCTGAGTGACACCTGAAGCTTGTTTGAGCGTCTGTCCCTCGATCACCACGCGTGAGAACCATCGATCATGAGTGATGACGATCACCCCTCCTTGATAATGTTTCAACGCCACTGCAAGGGCTTTGATCGTCGCCAAATCGACATGAGTCGTCACCTCATCAAGAAGCAATAGTGGAGGAGGATGATAAATAATCAACGCGATCGCCAGTCGAACCAGTTGACCTCCTGAAAGTTGACCCAAAGGTGTATCGCTCGCCGTCTTGCCTTGTAATCCAAACGAACCTAGACAGGCGCGTACTTCTTGTTCGAGTACAGTTTCCCCCTTGGCTTTGAAGTGATCGAGGAAGTACGAGAGCGCCGTCATCGGTCCTCCCGTCGAGAGGGAGAGTCCTTGAGTCTTTTGAGCGAGCGTCAGCTCCTCGACCGAGTGTTGGGAGAAATACCCGATCTTCAAGGAGGTATGTCGTTCGATTTTGCCTTTGGTCGGCTTCAATTCTCCCATGATCAATTTAGCCAGGGTCGATTTACCCTGTCCATTCGCACCGACGAAAGCGCACCGTCCACCTTGGTCGACGGTAAAGGTTACGTCTTCGAGAAGGGGGACCTTTTGTCGGGGATGTCGGAACTCGACGCCGTCAAAGTGGATCAGCGCACCGAGAGTCCGAAGCTTCTCTGGGTCCGGAAGGCGAAGTCTGATTTTCGACTCTTGATCCTCGAATAGGATGTCGTCACGGTTCGTGAGATGATATCCTATTTTCCGCGTAACAAGTGATTGTGAGCGACCATCCAAAGTACTCGTCGTAGCCTCCTACGTTTGACATACCAACCCGATCTCGGTTGAGCTTGAACCGCGTCCCCTTCGCACTCTGTTCCAATCCGAACCGTTCGTCCAATTTCTTCTGCCGAGACTTGACCATCCTCTGTCGATTCTCATCTCCTGTCTTCTTGGCGCTCGCAATCCCTTGCTGGATCGATTTCTCAATCTGAAAGATCGACATCCCCGAGTCAGCTTCATGTTGCGCTCGGAGTTTGGTGTCTAGAATGCTACTTACATGCTCCTTTTTCCGATCCAATGCCTCCTTCTGGCCGATCAACTTCTTGCGTTCCTTCCGTTCGTTGAGTTCGAATGCAGCGGGGGTACCATCAAAGTACTTGAGATTTTGGTTGCGTAGAACGATGGTCTCCTCCACGACGGACTGAGCAAAAGGGGGTAGTAGAAGGTGTTAGCCGTGTGACTACGTCGATAAAGGACGGGGTCAGCGAGTAGAAGTTTCGGGCTCACGTTCAAGAATTCTTGGTCGTGCGAGATGAGCACCATCGTCCTCGGCTCGTTGATCAGGTATCTCTCGAGCCTATGAGGATGCAAATCGATCATCAGCCTCTCGCAGCCCCGGCAACGAGCCCCGAGACCTTCGCAGCACTGACCAAATCACGGCCTCGAGATCCAGAAAGTTGGACACTTCATCGAGTAGCAAGACATCACAATTGACGAGCAGCGACGTCGCGAGTGCGCATCGTGATCTCCAACCACCCGAAAGAGCCGAATAGGGGCCTTGTTGCATTTCGAGTGAGAAGCCGAGACCCGTCAAGATGGAACCCGCCCTAGCGGTAGTTGTTGATGCTTCGAGCTGGCGACACCAGGAAGGGGAATCAGGTCAAGTTACGACAGAACTAAGCAAACATGCCTGGACTGACTAGGTTCACCTTGTTCTGCGCATCCAAAAGCATCTCGGTCGCTTTGGCCAGGATCTCGGGGTCCGTCTCAACCGATCCGACTTGCTCCACTCTGGAGTAAATTCCTTAATCATGAGCATCGAAATTTAACCGGCCCAGAGTATGATGCTACGTACCTCTCCTGTGCCTCTTTGACCCGCTGCTCAGCAAGGATCTCTTGCTCTCGAGCTTCTTTCCCCCGCGTGCCAGATCTTCTCAGAGCAATACTTCTCGCTTCAACTAGTTCTATCCGTCTCGTTGAAAGTTCGATTTCGTACACGATACGCACCATCTCGCTGACCGAAGGTGATTCGACTGCCTTCGTCAAAGCTGTGGGATTCATTCGCGACTCATCAGCAAATCCTGCCGTAAACTTGGTTTTTCTGATGAGTCGCAATCTTGACTCTGTACGGCCGCACCTTCAAGTTCATGCAAAGCCTTCGTGCGCTCCTTGTCCCCTCTGACGACATGCTCCAAAACGCTGATCTTGTCCCGGGTCGCTTCTTCCGTTGCGCGATTCGAATCTTGCACTTGACTGAGGAGAAGGATTCTCAGTTCGCTCGGTAGTCCCGGTATCAGTTTTTGGTCCAGGGCTTCGAAGAGGGATGATTTGCCTGAGCCGTTGCTGAATTATAAGAGTAGAAGATGAGTTTTCTCAAGCATCTTGCGCGATTCTTTTGTGTTTGACTCACCGGCCGACAAGACCATACCGTTTCCCCTCTTTGAGCCTCAGATGACTACTAACGATCAAGTCGTTTGGGCCGACCGAAACAGTAACATCCTTGATATCGATCTCGAGCGAACGACTCGAGATGGTCTCGGTGTGGAAACGTGATTGTTGTGAGGTACAGTGAATGTCCTTGTTCGGAGCTGCTGGTCGAGCTGAGGGTCCGGATGACGTCGAGGCGCTTGGATCGTCGCTAGAGGTACTGGTGGATGGTGCATCGCCTTGTGTAGCTTGAGCTTTGAGCTGTCGCTTGAGTGCGATGCGTTCACGCGCTGTCGCCATCCTGGGTCATGTAGAGAAAAGGAGATCAAAAGAAAAACGAGCTCGACGCCGGACAACGATCACGGCCGAAGGGTGGACTTGCCGAAAGCCTGACTCGAGCGGCCGGTCTTAGCCCAGTACGTGTGCCAAGTGCGAGAAAGTGACCACAGGTCATAAAGACTGGCTCAAGCTTTCGGTCGAGAGAGCTACTTCCAGCTTGCATCAAATTCGGGCTCTTGCTTCGTCTCTCCGTGCTGTAGCAGCTCTGTCAGCTTTGTGGTAATTCGCGAGCGAAATTCGATTCCTCCGCTACCGGCACCCCTCGTCACGTGACTAGTCTCTGTGGATTTTCAATGACCGCCGCGTAGATGTGAGACCTCGCATTTCCTCCCGGCTACAAGATCAGGGGTGAGTCCAAGAATATCTCCACTCTCTGAGTCATCTATAGGTTGAAGTTCGAGACAGTAGAGCTTTTGCGCCGCTCTGCTCGGGTCGGTGCATGGTGCTAAAATTGGCACCTCCGCACCTCCTCAAATTGGGATTGGTGCCCCACCCCTTGTGCCATTTGAGACAATTTCATGCAGGGGGCCCTCCTCAGACCCACTTCTGCTTCTGTGGTCCCGTGGGGGAACGAACATCGTATTTAGGCTGTGCTATAATTATCCCGTTCTCTCTAATAAAGGGTGACAGAAGTGGACGGGATTTGAAAGAGCCAAGGAGTGTCGAACGTGGGCTCCCTTTTTTACGTTTAGCCCAGCCGAGAACGAGACCCTCGATACGCAGCCGCGGGGCGGGCGGACTTGACTCCATTTCCCCAAGCTAACCCGAGTCCAGCGCCGCCGTCGCAATGAAAGCGAACACTTGAACGCGCGTCGAGGTCTTCTACCTCCCCATCCGACTCTCGATCATCGCTACTATTCGACCGTCTCACTCGTGACACATCTGGGGATCGCTTGGCCCCGGTCCTCCTCTCTCTTCTCCCTCCCTCCCGTCGACTCCTCCGAACTTCTTTATGCTCGCCGAATCGTGCCGAGTGTCATGAAGTACGGCAAGAAGTACCAAGAGACACTGCAGGCGCCAGGGATTCCAGAGGAATGGCGCCAACAAGCGATCGAATATCGACAGGTGAGTACACCCCACCATTATTGACCATTTTTGCTTTGTACAGAGCACGACTGACACTGGTCCTCGACTGCTCGCTCCACAGCTCAAGAAGGTCATTAACCGCGTCGCGACCGAGCTCAAGGACTTGGGTCTGACCAGTGATGTGCTCAAGGACCTCTTGTCGCAACAATCCACCGCATCCACATCCACATCCAGCGCCACCTCCACCCATTCAAGCCCGCTTTCAAAAGGTAAAGACCGACCCCGCCGGAGAAGCAGCACGGTGCGAGCCTCGACGAGCGGCCATCTCTCGACTTCGCCGATTTTCGCTCCGAGCGAGGACGACAAGTTGGAAGCCGCGGTCAGGATCGAGAGCGTCGCGGATGAAGAGGCCGTCACGTGGGATAGTTCGGAGGATTCGTCGCATGATGCGCCAATGAGTAATGGGCAGTTGAGGAAGGATAAACGAAGGAGGCAGAGCAAGCTTCGGAGGGCGAGAGCGAGCTACGAATTGGCCGGTCAGTGCCAGTGCATGAGAAGGAGTGGTTGTAGTTGGTCGAAGCAGATACTCATTCCATGACCTCATCGATCGAAAATAGGTGACTCTTCCAATCCGGAACCACGCATCCACATCGTCTTCTCGTCCGCTTCGTCGGCGTCGATCTCCGAGTCGTCGTCGGGCGAGTCGAGCTCGTCTGCGCACGTGCGAGGCCAAATCGGCAGCCACTCATCGAATCGCTTCACCGAGCTGCACGACTCTTCCGAGGATGACAGTTCACCCGCACGTAGTGCAGATGGTGACGATTTGCTCCCTCATCAGCATCATGAGCACCACCATCATCGTTCAAAGCATCATCAACATCATGTCAAGGCTCCTACTGAAGGCGGCGACGAGTCAGCGAACGAAGAAGGTACGACGACCAGTTCTTCGTCGGCCCACCGCGCCAAGATTCAATTCGAAGGTGCCGGACCTCAAGCGAACGCCCTGTTGAAAAAGATGTACGGTCTCGAAGAGAGCGATACCGAGATCAACGAGCCTGATCCTGAAGGACAGGGGGAGGACGAGGATGAGGACCATGCCAAGGCGATGCAGGAATTGGCCGAGGTCGAGTTGGATTTGGAACCCAAGAGGAGGAGGAGCGACGAGACGCTTAGGTCGACGGTGCCGGTCGATCAGGAGCATGTCGAGGCGATGAAGAAGCTGTCGATGGATACTGAAAAGAGTGCGAGAAGGACTAGCTTGGTTGAGCAGGCCAATGAGCGACAGGCTTCGGATGCTGATGATGAAGGGCCGGAACGGCCCAGGAGGTGAGTACGAGTGGTTTGGATGCTGGTGTCGGAGTAGAGACTGACTTCTCCGCTCGATCAGACGACGGAGACGACACATTCACCATCAACCCCGGAAAGAAGTCTTCATCCCCCTCAACAAGGACAACGAGTTTCTCGGCCTGCTCGCCAAAGCCCTTGCGTCGCTCGCGGCTCTCCAACTCGCGCAAAAGCAAAATTTCACCACCGCCGTCGAACTCCTCGCCCGGGAGGTCTCCGCTGTTTCTTCCCCCAACCGACCCAAATCCGACCTCTACATTTGGAGAGAAATCTTCAGTCTGTGGGTCGAAGCCCAAATCTTTGAATCGGCAAGGGAAAGGGATCGAGGTGAACGCTCCGTCGAGGCCGTTCAAGAGAAACTGAGTTGGTTCGTCGATCAAGTCGCGAAACGCAAGTTGGCCAAGAGGATGAAGCATAAGGAAAGTCGACATGCGTTGGAGAGGTTCATCCAGTTGAATGTCGAGTTGCTCGATATGAAGAAGTTCCAATTGGCGAACGAGGAGGCGGCTCGAAAGATTGTGAGTTGGGAAGGAGGGTGACGTCGTGTGGGAGAAGCAATGATCTGACTTGAGAGTATTGTCTTTGTCCGGTTCTCACCAGCTCAAGAAACACGATAAACGAACGGCCCTAACTGCGTCCTTAGGGTTCCCTAAATTCATCGCCGCCGCCTCGTCCCTTTCCGCCTCCTCCTCCCCTGACAACCCCAACAGTCGTGTCCTCACCCTACCCGGATTCCCCTCCCTCCCCCACGTGCTCCTCTCAACCTTTACCGCCACCCTCCTCCCCGTCATTCCCCAATTAGAAGACTACGAATGCGCCATCTGTGGTGAAGTCGCTTTCAAGCCCATTCGCTTGGAATGCGGGCACAAGTTTTGCGTGAGGTGTTTGGTCAAGATGCAGAAGAGGGGGCAGGACGCGTGTCCGCAGTGTAGGAGTCCGGTCGTCCTGAGGGCCAATGCTAGTGAGTCTTTTTCTCAAGGGGGGTTAAAAGAGAAGATGGGGTGGGAAATGGGTTGCTGATCATCAAGTTTGTGTTCGTTCAGCCAATCTGGACACGGCGATGCAGAGTTATCTCCAACTTTGGTTCCCCAAGGAAGTGAAAGCCAAAGCCAAGTCCAACGCAAAGGAAGCGGCCAAGGAAGAATTAGCGGAAATGGTCAGTAACATCAAACCCCTCTTCAACAACACAAGACAACGTCCGTTTTTTGACTGTTTCGTGTTTTTTTGCGTGTCTCGTGCAGGGTATGGACGATCATCGGTGTGCCGTCATGTAGTGTAGTGGTTTTTGCTGTTTTTTCTTTTCTTGAGTTCTCGCGTCCTTCAATCTTTCAATTTTGATATCCCGTTTTCCAAGAATATACGTGCGGAGGACAATGCAATCCTACTTTTATTTCATCGAAATATTAGCAGGCCTGCATCATTCCTTCAAATGGCCCCTCAACGGCATAGCCAACCCTTCCCGATCCTCAACCTCACACTCGTGTCTCGATCCTCTAAAACGATACCTAACCCTCAACGACTTTTTCTCCCCGTAAGCACAGTCGTAGAAACCCAGGAGATGGGCTTTGGACCTTCCTGCTGGAATGACGAGTTGGGATTGGTTCACGAGCGCTTGGAGGGGGATGGTCACGTCTTGGTAGCGCTGGTTGATGGCGATGTCGATTTCCGAAGGGGATTTCTCATTCGTAGAGGAGGGGACTGGGGTGGGCTTAGGCGAGGACGCAGTTCGTGGAGTTGGAAGCGGGTCGGGTAAAGTCGTCAAAACGCCGTACCAAGCCTCTTCAATAACCAAACCTGAGATTGCGCGCTCGTGATTTGATTCAGTTCCCTTTCAGGGGGTGGTCCCCTTTGTGGAAAAAAAAAGGGCAACGTGCGAACTCACCTTGCACCTTCTCCTCCTGTTCGATCTTCTTCCTGACGTGCTCGACGAGTAGTGCGATCGCTTCTTCGGCTTCGTGACGTTTCTCGACGATGTATTCGCCGTGCTCTTTGCGCAGCTCTTTGATCTTGCTGTTCGATGAAATGAAGCCCACGAGGAGTTTAGCCTCGGTATAAGAAACTAGAGGTCCGGCCAGTCGTGGACTTACGAAGCAAGTCTCTGCTTCTTCCTCGGCGCGATAACGAATTGATTGACGGCGATGATAGAAAGGGCTGGAACGACGGTGAACGAAAGCGCGAGTCGAGGATCCCAATTCGATGAGATGATGATGGGGAAGTTGAGGCGTTGTCCAAGACGATTGAATCTGTGTACCACCCAAGTCTTACCTCAGCTTCCTGGGTCGAAACCGTTTTGACCGATGAGGATCCTTAGCGACACACCTCAATTTAATGGTCATGACCCCGTTCATGCCCATATCCAACGTCATTCCCGCTCTGACGTTCTCCGTCACCCTTCGATCACCACTGACGAACGTGCTCAAGACCCCTTGCGTCGACAACGCGCCACCGACCGAGACCTTGACACCACCGAACATGACCTTGGCCCATTCACCTGAAAGGGACGACGCCGTCAACCCCGTCATGAGACTACATGACCACCCTCGATTGTTCTGCAGGGCGAGATTGATGCCGGAGGACGAGACGGGCTCGAGGGAGGATAGGCCCCAGCCAAAGAGGGAGTATTGGCCCGTGCGTAAGGTAAAGACACCGGTCGTGTCTTGAAAGAGGCGACGTCCGAGCGTAATGGCAACGATGGGTGGGGCGGCGAAGGTCTTGGGTGTGGCGTTGATGGTGATGAAGCTGCGGTCAAGCAAGAGAGTGTCTTTAGTTCGAGACATACCGTACGCCGAGTGCGCCGAGTACGAAGGCTCACGAGTCTGGATCAGGGGTATAAGTCGCCTTCATGGGTAATGTCCGCGGCCGAAGCAAAGTGGTGCCAATCTGTGGGATCCCCGACGACGGTTTCAAGTCAGCCGCCCAGGCTACGATATCGAACCGTGGGGTCCAAAGCCAAGCCCACCTCCAAGGAAAGTTTCGAGTTGGGATTGTAGAGGATTTTGGCGAGCAGATTGCCCGCTCCGGCGCCTTGGCGTGCGAGCAACTGACTCGTCAGCACGACCGTCGTCGAAGGCGAGATGGGGTTCTGTAAGGAAAAGGTCGAGCGTGCAAAGCTTGAGCCGTCCAGCACCAAGCTCATGCATGGCTACTGGCACTTACGACGAAAGAATGCTTCAAAAACAGCTGCCGTGTGGAGGCGGTCGACATTTTCTGCCACAGGGACATGTCCGGTGGGCCACCCAACTTGCGGCGGTGCTCGTCGGGGAGGAAGAGCACTCGAGCATCGGTCGTACAGGTCAACTCGCCCTTGGACCTGATGAGGCGCTCGACGTCGACTTGGAGCTGCTTGCGACCTCGTCGCTCGAATTCGGCTCGGAGCTGGTGGGAGAGGAGCGGGAGGGGGAAAATACGAGCGCTCGGGTGAGGGGTGGGTCAAGGCCAATGTGGGGGTTCGACTGACCTCTGCGGGAGTCTTGTGCTTGGGCCCCACTTCCCAATCGGTGTGCAGCCCTTCTTCACCGAGTTGGTCGTAGATGGCCCGTCTGTGAGGGTCGGACAGTATCTCAAAGGCATGGTTGAGGCGTTGGAAGCGCGAATCGGCGGCGGCTTTGAGAGCCGGGTCCCGATGTCGATCCGGGTGGAGCAGCGCTGCAGCAGGGCGGGGTGGGGTGAACGCTGCACAGGTCAGAGTGCTGTGGTCGCTGCTCGATTCGCAACAAGAGGTTTCTCGTGCGCACTGACCGGCCAACCTCTTGTACTGCTTCTGTATATGCTCGTCCGTGCACTGCTTGGGCAAGTTGAGCACGGCATAGAGCGCCTCCGAGTCGGCATCGTGGGCCTCGTCGGCGCGCTCGTCCGAATCGGGCACGGTCGACCATACGGGTTCCTCTGGACGGTCGTGTTCAGGTCGAGTGAAATGCGAGGGGAGGCTCGAGTCGTCAAAGGGTGAGCTGGACATGTTGCGCGGCACGGTCGGTCGCTTGGTTGGCTCGACGGGTGAACGACGAGTGGGGGGGCCAGGGAGCGGTACTAGGGGTGCGAGGGTCGACTGAAGAAAGGAGCAAGAAGAATGAAGAATCGCGGGTGTGGAGCAGAGTATGTACAGTTGTATGATCTAGCCGTACAAAGTCGGGAACGCGACGAGGGCGTCCTTGACCACTCCGAGTGGTGTGCAGTGCGGATGCGAGTCGATGCAAAGGCGCGGCGAGATGGGACGCGTGTGCGAACGATCGCAAGCGCCGCGCGCCAGCTCGCGCCAGCCAGCCTCTGCCAGCCTCGGCCTGGGCCAGCTAACAGCCCCTGCCGAGCCCTGCCGCCGAGCCCTGTCGCCGAGCCCTGCTGCCCAGGGTGCCGCCCGCGCGTACGACAGCAGACGACAGCCGACGACAGCAGACGACAGCAGACACGACAGCGTGCGGCCCGGCGCATTCCCGGCTCGGTCCGCAGAGGGGTCGCTCTCCCAACCGGTCCTCTCACACCACCACACCCGTCGTCTCGGGCCATTCGGGAGACATGTCGGATACGTCCGTAAGCTCTTCCTACACCTTATTCGCTCCTTCACACACCGTGCTGATGCTTCCCCTCTTTCCACTCTGCCTCCACCTTCCCCCTCTCTCCTCGCCTCACACTGCCTCGCAACCGAATGACGTCGCCCCCCCCCCACCCTTCCTCAGTCGCCACCCCCACCCCCAGCCCCATCCGCGTCCCAACCCACCCGAACGAACCCCTCCGAACATGCCAAACAACTCTTGACCCCCATAGACGTGTCCGTGCCGCCTCTGATCGTGCGAGGCCCCTTGATCCCCACCTCGGACCCGTCCTCGTCCTCCACCTCGATCGCACCCACCGGTGCCGATGCCTTGCCTCCGACCAATGCAACCGCCATTCCCGAGACCGAAGCCACGACCACATCCTCCATCAGGATCGAGTTGACCGAGCAACAGATGCAGGATCAGAGCAAGTGGACAGAGCAGAGGATACAGCGCAAGATGAGGGGAGAGTACGAGAGGGCAGCGCAGCAGCTCAGCGAGTTGGTCAGTTGCGCCTACGCCATACATACCATACCGCGTCAACGTGGTCCTGATCCCACTTTGGGTTGCTCGTACAGGTCAACGAATCATTGGACACGCCTCTGAGGCTCAACTCGATCCGGATCGTCGGCGCGAAAACGACCCGATCCTCGTTCCTCTCGTCTCTCGTCGCACCCTTCCTACCCGAGATCGCACCCCCATCCTACCTCCAATCAGAGCCCACGTCCCGACCCACATCATCGTCCTCACCCCAAACCTTGGCCTCGCTACTCAACACGACCCGCGAACTCTCGACCTTGCTGTCCCAGTTTGACATTTTCCGGCAGATTGACGCCTCGCTCGAACAATCACCGAGTGTGCTCGCTGAACCGGGCGATGTTGATATCGTGCTCCGCGTCAAGGAGGCACCCAAGTACTTTTTACGGACAGCGACCGATGTTGGCGACGGTGAAGGATCAGCCGTGAGCCTCGCTCTCCTTACACTCGTCTCTCCCATTCCTTCCTTCAGTGCACTGACTTCTTCCTCCCCTACTCGCCCTCCCAGACGGCGACGGCCCGGATCCGCAACGCTTTTGGAGGAGCGGAACAAGTTGAAGGCAACATCGCGTTCGGTACGCGCACCAAGTCCGCCTTCCAACTCCGAGTCGATACCCCGATCAACGCCTCGCCGAATTCGCGTGCCGAACTCGCCGTCTTTTCCGCCAATCGCGACCTGAGCTACTACGCCAGTTGTGGCGAGTACACCAAAGGTGCCCAGGCCAAGATCAGGGTCAGTTCAACACGGACCATCGTCTTTGACACGCTCGATCTCGATACTGACCTTTCCGTATCTACAGACCTTGACCCCGTTTGGTCTGTCCGAACTCTCGTACGAAGCCGTACTGCGCAACCTCTCCGACATCCTGCCCAAAGCCTCCATGTCGATCCGCAACGCCGCCGGACCCTCAGTTAAATCCTCCCTCTCGCACACCCTAACCAGGGACACGCGCGACGACCTCTTCGCGCCTACTCAAGGGTCCTTCCTCCGCTTCAAACAAGAGTACGCCGGCCTGGGGGGCGACGCGCAATTCTTCAAAACGGAAACTGAAACTTCGACCAGTCGACCGCTACCTTTCTGCCCACCCGGATGGACCCTATCCTTCGGTTCGAGAACAGGTTGGTTACAACCCCTCAACGCTTCACGCACGTCCCATTTCATCGATCGATACCAACTAGGGGGACCGACCTCGATGCGACAATTCCGACCGAATTCGCTCGGTCCCAAGGACGCGGCCGATCATTTGGGTGGGGACCTCTTTTGGGCCACCGGACTTTCGCTCGCCGTTCCTTTTACGCCTAAACCTCACTGGCCTTTGAAGGTACATACCTTCCTCAACGCGGGCAAGTTGTCCACCTTTGATCCTCAACGAGGATTTATCGGTAATTTGAGGGGTTTGGTCAAGGAACCTAGTGTGAGCGTAGGGTTGGGTTTGATGTATAGACATTCATTGGTGAGGATCGAAGCGAACGTGGGCGTACCTTTGGCGATGGGCAAGCAGGAAGGTGGGGTGAAAGGATTGCAGTTTGGGTTGGGGATGAGTTTCCTTTGAGAGAACGGTTTTATGGGAGGTAGACAAGATCAAATATAACCAGATCGGTCGTGAATTAATAAAACAAGACGTGCAAGTCAGCGCACCCCTTTTCCATGCGCACTCGCTTTGGAGAGGCAACGCCTGACGTGATCCAGAAGTAGGCAGGATTAAGAACGTCAAGTTAGATTCCACGCAGCTAGACGAAACGCCTCCCCAACGCCCTTCTCGTAATATATGGGCAGAAGAGGTACGCGAAAACAACGAACGAACACAGAAAAAAAAAGCGTACAATACACACAGTGTAGACGGGGGTCTTGGGAAAAGAAGAAATCGAAGTCAAAAGTCGGGAACGGATCAGGGGAATATATATGAGGCACACGAGGACAACGGCAACCCAGGGAGGGTTGGGGTTGACGTCTCTAGGAGGAGAAGAAAAAGTAATAAGTATTATGCGCATGTAGGGCACGTAGCGTTTATCTTTTTCGGTCTTTGTTCTTGGTTTTGTGCGAAGGGCGCCTATGGTCGATAAGGTTCCAATTCGGAATCGCGAACCATCTGCACCCCCGTCCTAATCACATCCTCAACATCCATCCTAGGGCCCTTGGGTGACAACTTGAGTCCCAAGATACCGCCGATCTCATCCGTCGCTCGAAGGATTCGATCGAGATCCTCCTTCGTATGCGCCGAAGAGAGACAGAACCTCACACGAGAAGCGACGAGCGGTGTCGCCGGGTAAGCGACGACGACAACGACGATCTTGTGGCGTTCCAACATCATGCGGGAAAAGGACCCCATTTTCCCGGGGGAGAACAGGAGTAGAGGAACGATCGGACTGTCGCGGTGACCATAGACGATGAACCCGAGCTTCTTGAGACCGCCAGAGAGGTAACGGCAGTTGAAGGCGAGGCGACGTAGGCGATCTTGGCCTTCGCGACCATCCATGAGGTGCGTCGGCAGTTTCGCTAGAGCGGGGACATAAGCGAGCGCTGCGGGGCCCATGATCGAGCCCATCGAGGTGACAATCTGAGACAAGACTGGAGGGGCCATCGCTTCGGCGTAGTTTTGCGAATGCGACGTCAAGCGCAAAGCGTTGATCAAGGCGTGACTACCGGCGATGTAACCTCCCGAGGCACCGAATGATTTGGTGAAGGTGCCCATGAGGATGTCGATCCGCTTGGGGTCGACGCCAAAGTAGTCGCACACACCTCGACCGCGCGGGCCGAGCGCACCGATCGAGTGGGCCTCATCGATGTAGAGGTAGAACTTGTACTTCTCCTTGAGCTGCAAAATGACGGGTAGGTCGACCAGCGTCCCTTCCATCGAGTACAGGCCTTCGACGATGACCATGATCTTCTTCCACGGTCGATGCGTCCGCGGCTGACCTTGCGACACGCACTCGCGCAACAGTTGCTCAAGATCCTTCATGTTGTTGTGCTTGTACTGACGTACCATCGCGCCACTCAAGCGAGCACCGAACCGGATCGACGAGTGGTTGAGCTCATCCGAGATAACGAGGCAACCCTTTGTCAACAACGCCGGCAAGCTCGTCGAATTCGTGGCGAATCCCATCGACACGATCATCGCATCCTCGGTACCGAGGAAAGCGGCCACCAGTCGCTCGGCCTGGACGTGGAAGTCGGAGGTGCCGACGTCGTTGCGTCCACCCGCAGCGGTGACACCGAGTGTCTTGACCATCTCCTCGGCCTGATCTGCGCACGGGCCTCGAGTCTGCGCGAAACCGAGGTAGTTGTACGACGAGATGTTGAGCGCCTGCGTGGTTTCGCCCGTAAAGGTGAAGTCGTGGAAAAACTCTGAAGGTGTGCGGTCGAGGATCGTGGCCGTGCGAGCGGCGACACCCGTGATGGGTCGGGCGAAACAATCCTCGATGCGCAGTTTCAGTCGACGGGTGTAAAACGAGTCGAAATCCGAGTACAGCGGAGCATAGCCCTGAATTTGTCACGGAGATCCCTGTTCAGCTCGCCGGACTAGCACACGAGTTGGTGCAGATGTCCCCCAATCGACGACTCACGTTGCTCGGTTTGAGATGCGCATACTCGCGCGGGAACAGCCGTTTGCCGATGAAATCGCGCAAGTGGCCGATCAGAATCAACAAGGCGTCTGTGACAACAAGGCAAGCATCGCATTTGAGTCAGTTGAAATTCCCGATTGAGCGGATTCGTCAAGGCAAGAGACTGACAGCTGACGTAGGTGAAAAGATAGACGAGCACGGATGGCTCCTCTTCCGAAGCAGAAAGATCGTCGCCGGGGGTGTACTGCGATATGGTACGATGTGCGGGGTCTATGTCGTAGCCGTATTCGGAATGTCGCAACGAGTAAGGGTCCTGCGGGTTCGGCACAAAGTCGACATCGAAGGCGCGGGTGACGGGACGCGTCGCCGAGACGGCCGACGAGAGCGGCATCGAGGTGTTGAGTCCACGCCAGGACAGGGAGCGGGTCGACTCATTGGAGTCATCGGATCCTGCCGAGTCGGAGCTGCTGCGTTTACGGCCATGGAGGTCGAATTGGGGCAGGGTCGAGGCGTACGAGATGAGCGACGAGGAGCCATTCGACAATGATCGCGTCCGTACCGAGGCGCGCGACTGCACCTGGGTCAAGTACGACGCGGCGTCCTTTTGTGGAGAGACAGCGCGAGCGCGCGAGCCACAACGACGACGACGATCAGGACCGCACGCACAGAGGCAAAGAGGAAGATCAGAGACGTTCCAAGGTCAGTGCCGGGTTCGAATGGGTTGAAAGGGGTTGTACGTACCATTCGATTGCCGTCGATGCCGGTCGTCGGCGTGGGTTTACGGGGATAGTGCGACGGCGGCGACGCAGCGGCTCCTCGAACAGGCATCGGGGCGCCGGCAGGAAGGGGCGCGGCTGACCAAGTTCGAGGGACAAGATCGTGACAAGATCGCTCTATTAGTGCGACGCACGAAAGGAGCTGCTGCGGTGCGATCGGAAAGGGGTGTACAAGACATGCCCACGGTGAGCTTGACCATCACTGGGTACGATGCCGAGCTCCTGCGGTGTGTGTACGTACGATGGGGCTAAGGTAGCGTGTAGGCGCTCGATCCAAAGCGGTGAAGCGACTCGGCAGCTCGTGTGTGGTCGGTCACCTCGGATGGATCGTCAAGCTCTGTCAAGCTCTGTCAAGCTCCAGGCCGAGCTGCGCGCGCCGAGAGAGCGTGGGATTCCTGTTGAAGCGACACGAGTTGCAAGGCGGGCGAACGACAAAAGGCGGTGCAAGGGGAGAAGAGAAGGAAAAGTGGGGACCCAGGGCCGAAAGTGAGGTGCGATGATCGCGGTGCAAGAGGAGGTCGGCGGCTCAGTGCAGCGCTACCGACGCCGTGCCAGCTGATACGATCTGATACGATTCCCGAAGGAGTCCGAGCTCAATTTTGGGGGTGCCGCGCCTCGAGCCAGAACGGGCAGAATTGACCGCGGTCGGCCCGTCTCCGACCTCGCTCGACACCCAACCCCATCCCGTCGCCCCTCACCGCTGAGTCCTACAAAGATGTCTGCCGCGCTTGCTACCGGTAAGCATTTTATTCCGACGACGGCCTCACTCGGTATGATGGACTTGCAAGCTGGATCCCGTCCCCTCGGTCTCCATCGGTAGCTCGCCGATGATCGAGAGGGCCTGTAACGAGCGTGCTCAGATTCGATATTTGGGCTGCTGCCATCTTGGGTCTTGTCAAAGCACCCTTCGCTGCCGTCCAATGTCGACAGCACATCTTTGCGTCGCGCTGGGGACGAGCTGAGATGACGTCGTTCGGCGGCGAAGCCATCTCCGACCCTACCGCCCCACCGAGTCCAGGACGCACAACCCGCGTTCACTAGGGCTGTTTGTCACGATACACAATCTGAGTATGAGGCTGATGTAGTGACGTTCTTGCTTCCGGACGCCTCTGCCTCTGTTCTCACTGGCGCTCGACCCACCCCACATCCCGCCTCGCCGCTTCGGTCCGGTCCCTACCTACGTGCAGATTACCCCGCCTGGGCGACTCTGCAGTCGTTGTACGACAAGCACCACACCTCCCTCTTCCTCAAGGACTTGTTCGCCGCCGATCCCGAGCGCTTCAGCAAGCTCTCGCAGGCGTACGACAACTCGGCCAAGGACGTGCACATCTTGCTCGACTACTCCAAGAACTTGGTCGACGACAACGTTCTCGATGCGCTCTTCCAGCTCGTCAAGCAGGCCAAGGTCGAACAGGCTCGCGACGACATGTTCAAGGGCAAGCACATCAACACCTCCGAGGACCGCGCCGTGCTCCACGTCGCTCTGCGCAACGTCGGCTCCGAGTTCAAGATCCCCGAGGCCGGCGCCGACGAGGTCCAGGGCGTGCTTGACCACATGACCGAATTCTCCAACAAGATTCGCTCGGGCGAGTGGAAGGGATACACGGGCAAGCCGATCGATGCCATCGTCAACATCGGCATTGGTGGATCCGATCTTGGCCCGATGATGGTCTGCGAGGCGCTCAAGCCTTACGGATCCAAGAACCTCAAAATGCACTTTGTCTCGAACGTCGACGGCACCCACATCGCCGAGGTTACGTCCGAGTGCAACGCCGAAACGACGCTCTTCATTGTCGCGTCCAAGACGTTCACGACCCAGGAGACCATTACCAACGCCGAGTCCGCGCGAGAGTGGTTCCTCAAGTCCGCGGGTGACAAGTCCCACATCGCCAAGCACTTTGTTGCGCTCTCGACCAACACCTCGGCCGTCACCTCGTTCGGCATCGATTCGGCCAACATGTTCAAGTTCTGGGACTGGGTTGGTGGTCGCTACTCGCTCTGGTCCGCGATCGGTCTCTCGATCATGCTCTACGTTGGGCCCGAGAACTTCAAGGACCTCTTGCTCGGTGCGCACGAAATGGACAAGCACTTCCTCGAGACGCCCGTCGAGCAGAACTTGCCCGTCATCCTCGCCGTGCTCGGTATCTGGTACAATGACTTTTTCGGCGCCCAGACCCACGCTCTCCTCCCCTACGACCAGTACATGCACAAGTTTGCCGACTACTTCCAGCAAGGTGACATGGAATCGAACGGAAAGGTCAGTTCTCGCGTGCTTTGTAGATTAGTGGTATCCGTTCAGCTGCTGACTAGGGGGATAGTACGACGCTCCCACAGTTCGTCACCAAGGATGGTCGTCGAGTGACGTACCAGACCGGACCCATTATTTGGGGCCAGAGTGGAACGAACGGTCAACACGCCTTCTACCAACTGATCCACCAGGGCACAAAACTGATCCCGGCCGACTTCCTCGCGCCGATCGAGACCCAAAACCCGATCCGCAACGGCCTCCACCACGAGATCCTGTTGTCCAACTTCTTCGCCCAACCCGAGGCGCTCGCGTTCGGCAAGGACGAGGCGACCGTCGCCAAGGAGTTGGGTGCGCAGGCCAGCAACGAGGCGCTGCTCAAGTCCAAGGTGTTTGAAGGCAACCGACCGACCAACTCGATCATGTTCCAAAAATTGACCCCCAAGACACTGGGTGCGTCTCTCGTACTGAAGCCCTGCGCAATTTCCTCGTCGCTGATGTTGTATTGTGACCTTTTCTGTGCAGGCTCCTTGATCGTCATGTACGAGCACAAAATCTTCACGCAAGGTTGCATTTGGGGCATCAACTCGTTCGGTAAGTCCCAAGTCACTCGCATCTCCAGCGAAGAGGACTTTGTGCTGACCGCCTGATCCTTATTCGCTTCGTGCAGACCAAATGGGTGTCGAGCTCGGCAAAGTCTTGGCCAAGGCGATCCTCAGTCAAATGGACGACCCGAACAAGGTCACCGGTCACGACTCGTCGACGACGGGTTTGATCAAGCACTACCAGTCCAAACGGGCGACCAAGTCGACGTGACTACATGGTCCCGGAAGGTTGTAGGAGTTTGATTTAGTTTCTACTTCAAAAGATACTATGAGTGTAAAGAAGTTTGACATGATATAGAGAGGGCAGAATTCGTAGATTGAAAAGGGCTGTATACCTCACAGCTTAGGCGTCGAGCACTAGCCCGCATGTATGAGAGAAGCTTCCTCCGAATTATCAGCGCGCGTGCATCGACAAGCGCTTCGCATCCGGCTGCCTCCTCGCTTCCATCCCCCTCCTCCCAAACTCGCCCCACCTCTCGCAACAATGCAACCTACAACACGTCGCCTCATATCCTCCACCTCAGCCTGTCTCGCCCGAGCGCCGCGAGGTCGTAGCGGAGCCAGCAGGGATCCCCTCGACATGGCCTCGATGATCCCCGGTACAGGTTCCGGCGCCGGCGGGTTCGACTACCCTTTGACACGCCCTACGATCCTCAAGATGCAGGAGAAGAGGCTGTTCTTGCATTATTTGAGGTTGGAGCAGTTGCAGTTCCCTGATTTGGGTGAGTTCGGAGTGTCGAGATGCCGAAGGTGCTGAGGGTAGACGGTTTTTCCCAAGGATGTGAACGTCGTGCCTAGTGAACTGACTTGAGCTGTATACGCTACACACCAGTCGCCTTCCGCCAAAAGTACAAGAGACCCTTATCCGAACAAATCGTCCGAGTTCGTCATCAACACTATCAAGGCGAGCCCCACCCCGCGGCTCGTAAAGTGACCGTTTCCGTCAACTGCGACGACCTCGCCTCGGCCCTCGGATCCGAACAAGCTCAACACAAGTTCAAGTTGTTGGCCGGACCTAGGTGGGACGCGACGAGTGATGAGGTCAAGTTGAGTTGCGAGTTGTTCCCTACACCGGAGATGAATGAACGGTGGTGTTCAGAGACGTTGGATAAGATGATTGCCGAGGCCAAAGTGAGTTTTCCGTCTAAGTCTGGCGCGGGTCGCGAATTAGAAGTTGGTTGGTGTAACATGAAACTAACTTTGAGTTTGTTTGTTTTTTCAAAAAAAATCCCATAGGACCTGTCGGATCCCATGTCGGACATTCCTTTGGACCCGCGACCGACGCTCTCTCGGTTGGCCAAATCCGGCAAGCACAAGATCGTCACCCTCAGCGACTTCCCCAAGGAATGGTTACCCGCTTCGAAAAAGCGCTCGAGACTAAGAAGGGACTCGATGATAGAAGATGGATCGAAAGGGACAATCACGGTTTCTGCGGAAGGGACCCAGGCTGTTGAGGCGCAGGATAAGGTCGATGTTCAGGATTTGCCGAGTGCTGGTGTTGGGAAACAGGGTGGGGCGGAGATTCCGGCCCGGGAAGCATGATAGAATGGGCTGCAATGGGATTTAGTAAACGAGACAGAAACTTGGACCTTGCTCGATTCGCCAGGGTCGTAGAAGGCTGTGCTCGGGCGGGTCGGGCGGGTCGGTCGGGTGGAGCCTGAGGATTGGCGCTCAACCACGAATCAGTCCCATGCTGTGGGTGTAGTGTCTCGTAGAGCATAAGCAACCGATGCAAGGTTTGAGAAGGTACGTAAATGGGTCTACACGAGCAACTTCGTGTGCAACGAAAGCTGAGTCCCGATGAGAAGCGAAGGGCAAAACCTCGAGGAGGTCCGTGCGTGCACGGGCGCGCGGAGCCGAGTGCATACAGTCAGGGCGAGGCGCGCGCGACCGTGGTTGTTTTGACCTCTTGCTGCCCACTCATCGCAACCGAGCACTCACACGCCCAAGAATGGGCCTTGACCCTACCTACCCTATTGCATCCACATCACGTCATCAACCCATGGCATCCACATCTGCCAAATCCTCAACCACAACAACGAACCCTGGACCCGGGACAGGCGGTTCCCACCTTCGACGCGTCGCCATCACCGAACAAGGTCTCCAGAAAGCCGCCGAATCCGTCCTCAAAGTTCTCACCCATGAATCCATGGTACAATGTTTCCCTGAATTCCTTCCCGTGTTCGTCAAGACGTATGGGGAGGAGGAAGGACAGGTGCAGTTCGATCGGTTGGTCGAATCGTTGAAGGAGGTGCTGGTGGAGCATTATAGGGAGGGAATTCCGGTTAGTTGGGGTTTTCGAAGAAAATGGATGGGGCGAGGGGGTAGTTCGTGAGGCGTGCTGATACGTGTGGATGAACTGTAAAACAGCTCGCTTGGACAGACATGTGTGAACGGTTCGATTGGATCGCTCGCGCCAACGCGTTGGATGAGATCGTCGAGCGAGCGAGGCAGGAGAAGGCGCAGGGACGAACGCCGAGGAACTTATATGTGTATGTCACGAGACACTGTGTGGTAGTTCGTGCCCGATGACTGACTTGTAAGCCCTCTCTATCGCCCTCCTCTCGACACCTCTCGACGCTGGCCACTCCCGTCTCGGCGTTGATCTTCACGAACATAGCAAGGGAACGGATGGACGCTTGACAATACCGAGTGCCACCGTACCCGTGCTCAAGGACGCTACTGCATCACTGAGGGCCAGAAGAGTAGCGGTGAGGATTCGTTCGAGGTGTCCGACAAAGACGCAAATTTTGCAACAAATCTGACCCCTGAAAAATCTTGCTTTTGGCGAATCGTAACAGCTCGAAGAAAAGAACCAGGCGACGTACGAACGCATCGTTCAGAATCAAGTCGTAGCGGATAGGACAGAAAAACAGATCAAGGAGATCGTCGAGGACTTCCAAAGGGTAAGAGATTTCGAACAGAGTTCTCCGGGCGGATCGGAGAGCCGTGCGCTGATGAACTCTGCGCCAAATGCTTGACGTGACTTCAGGCCGTCAAGATGCTATCGACGGTCGATATGAACGAGTTGACCGAGCTGCAGAAGCAGGTCGTGCAAGCCTTGCCGGCGGATGCGATCGTCACGTAGATCCGGTCGCGAGGTGGCGGATTTTCAGGTTGAGCCGATTCCTTAGCAGTGCCATTGGGTTCTGTATTCGTCATTGTGCAATAGTCATCCAAGTGCTGTTCTTTAGTCGTGCTCGGCGAGCTGCACCTCCCTTACGAAAAGAGGACCCAATATTGAAGTCGATTTTGTCGTCGGCGGTCCAGCTTTCGCTGACAAATTGCCAATCGCGGGCGGGACCTCGTCGGTGGGCGCGAATTTGTCATCGGGCAACGGACGAGCCGGAGCGCAAGCTACGCAGAGCTACGCGCGCTGGCCCCCGCGATAGCCCGCGATTGATATTGATCAGCGAGCGGTTACTTTGATTCGCTCATCTCTGCCTGTCGCTCTATCTCCCTCCCTCCCAGTGGCATCACCAGTGTATGCTTCATCGCCCTCTGCTCAGTCTCAGCAGCACTACTACCACTCGACTCTTACCTCGCTCGATCGCTACCCGAGCGTTCGCTTCCACTCGTAGCAGCAGCTCTAGCTCGTCCCGTCTCAACCAGCACCAGCACCACCACTCGGCCACTTTCTTGGGCCTGCTCACCGCTTGCGCCGCCGTCTCGTCGACCCACTTGTCCCGACCTCTCCACACGATGGCCCCGATCGAAGTCAACGGCGGTGCCGCGGCCGAGAAGCCGTCCAAGCACAACAAGGTCGTCATCATCGGATCTGGTCCCGCCGGTTAGTTCTTGCTTCCCCCTTGTCCCTTTTCCTGGCTCGCCTCGCCGAGCCCGTTTGAGGCCGTCAGTCTGTCAGCCGGAAGTGGTCGTGCTGTGGCGCGGCGCCATTCGCCAGTTTCCCCGAGCCCCATCGAAGTGCACGCCTCGCTGGCTGCAAGATGATTTCAGTATATCTGCTCGATGAAACAAAGTACACCCGTGAACGAGGCGACTGACAGTTCAATGATTCACTTGCCCACAATCAGGTCACACCGCGGCTATCTATCTTGCCCGCGCCAACTTGGAACCGGTCATGTTCGAGGTCAGTAGCACCCACCAACTCGGTCTGCGCCGTCTTCGTCTATCACCTGGGGGCTGGCTTTGCGATTTTTTTCACGAGTGGTTGAAGTAGACGTTGCTGACATGATTACTTGCCTTTCGACTTTGGCTCTCGCTCTCTGCAGGGTATGCTCGCCAACGGGTGAGTGGGCCCATTTCCGGTCTTTTCCCCCGGAAACGTTCGTCGCGTTGACGCTCTCGAGGAGCATGCAAGGCTGACATACTGCTCTGTTGTCTTGATGCGCAATCCAATCCACTCGCAGTGTCGCTGCCGGAGGACAATTGACGACCACAACAGAAGTCGAGAACTTCCCTGGATTCCCCGAGGGTATCCGCGGTCCGGAGATGATGGACCTCTTCCGCGCCCAGTCGATCCGCTTCGGTACCAAGGTGCACACCGAGACCGTTTCCAAAGTTGGTAAGTTCATCGCACCATCTCACCAGTATGGAGGTGAAACTGCGGCTAGTGCGGTAGTCTCGAAGCTCGGTCACGGTGCTAATCGCGCTTTGGATCCCTTGGTCTTGCTTTCACGATCCCTTCAGACCTCTCCTCACGACCTTTCAAGTACTGGCGCGAAGGAGCAGAGCAGGAAGAACCCGAAACGGCCGAGACGATCATCATCGCGACCGGTGCCTCGGCGCGTCGCCTGCATCTCCCGGGAGAAGAGACCTATTGGCAGTCCGGTATCTCGGCCTGCGCCGTCTGCGATGGTGCGGTCCCCATCTTCCGCAAGAAGCCCCTGGCTGTCATTGGTGGTGGTGACTCGGCATGCGAAGAGGCCATGTACCTCACAAAAGTGAGTTGTTCTTTCGCGGTCATCGTGCATCGCCGCTTCTGCCCTCCTCTCTGAGCTGACTGATTCGTCGGTACCAACGATGTTCTCCCTTTCACTCAAACAGTACGGCTCGCACGTCTACGTGATCGTGCGACGAGATGTGCTGCGCGCGTCCAAGATCATGGCGAACCGTTTGCTCAAACACCCCAAAGTGACCGTGCTGTGGAACACCGAGCCCGTCGAGGCCAAGGGCGATGGCGATTTGCTGCAGGCGCTCGTCATCAAGGACACAAAAACGGGCGAGACCAAGGACTTGCCGATCAACGGTCTCTTTTACGCTATTGGTGAGTGGGGCTCCTGATCGCCCGGATCCCAAAGCGAGCTTGCGAAGTCATGAGGTGCTGACAAGATCTGGTTTGCAATGGTACTGCAGGACACGAGCCGGCGACATCACTCGTACGCGGTCAACTCAAGACCGACGAGGATGGGTACATCATCACCGAGCCCGGAACGTCGCTCACCTCGGTCAAGGGTGTTTTTGCTGCTGGTGACGTGCAGGACAAGAAGTACCGACAGGTGTGTTTGCGCAACCCTGAGTCTCCGAACCGAGTAGGCTATTGACGGGCCCGTTGTTTGTCATTCTCACACAGGCCATCACCTCGGCCGGTACGGGTTGCATCGCTGCTTTGGAGGCCGAACGCCTGTTAGCCGAGGAGGAAGTCCACGACCAATAAAGAGCGAACCCCAAAACGAGGCGGAGGGAACCATTCATGACACCAGCAACTCCTCGACCGTAAATACCAAAATCACACCGACCTCGCCCTCCGTGAAGAAGGCCCTAGATTGCGGCTCTCTTCTTTGGTGAAGCCTTTCATAATGACATCCTCCCCAATCTTCTCTTCGTCATTCTTCCTGGTTTGTGCAATGATGATCTGAAAGAGGGGCGATTTACCACACACTCATTGGTGTTTGCTTGAGATGCTGCTTTTGCATCAAGGGGGAAAAGGGCGACGTGTCCGGCCCTGTGCAAGCCTTGCGATTTTAAAGTTTTAATCCATATATTCCAGCTAGTCTTGTTTAAAGACAGAATCTAACATGCCAGCAGGCTGCAGTAAAGGCCTCGCTCCTTTGCCGCGGCAAAACGGACGCGGGCGGCACACTGGTTTTGGCGGCTCCGGTTTCCTCGCACCCGGTTCCCGACCAGCGCCTTAGACTGCCTTGGGCTGCCTTGGGGGGCCAAGATGCTCCTCCCAGATCAAAGGCGGGCTCGGGGTCCCTTCTTTCTCCCTACTTACCACATCACTTCGAATCACCTACTTCAACCTTAACTTACCTACTCACTTACAACATGCCCATCGATTTCGAAAAGGCTATCGGTGAGTGCACTGCTTCCCATCTGCCCTTTTGGGTGGACGAAGTAGCCCCATGCCCGCCTTTGTGCTACCGGCTGCGGGCCCCACACCGTTTACCCCGGGCTTGGGCGAGGCGATTCGGGCGGACAGGAGCGACTCAATGACGACCGCCGAATGAGATTCCTCACCTCCTATGAAGAGCGGATTGCTAACTCGCTCTTTTGGTGTTGGGTTCAGGCTACGAGAAGACCCCCGCTGCGGTCTCGTGGAACCAACGTGACTTGTTGCTCTATGCCGCGGGTACGTTTCAAATCTCCGAGCTCTCCTCTCGAGACCTCGAAGCGAGGGCCAATCCCGGGACTGTGGACCGATTGAATCCGCGTTGTGTTTGATGGTGTCCTAGGTATCGGAGCCAAGCGCAACGAGTTGACGACTCTGTTCGAGCTCAACAAGGACTGGCAACCTTTCCCCACCTACCCGCTCGTCCTCGGTAAGTTCTCGGACCCACTCGTGGGCAGACCTGGTGGCCTCCTGAGGCGCTCCTCACCAAACTATCTGTTCGAAAAGAATCACGGCACATTGCTAACTTCATCCCTCACCTGAATTAGGCCTGAAGGGTGACTCCGAATCGATCAACGATTTCTCCAAAGCTAAAGACGCCGGAGGAGCCACTCCCGGTCTCCCCGCGTTGAACCCCAAAAAGTTGGTCCACGCCGAGCAATCCATCTGGATCCTCAAGCCCATCCCCGCCGATTCGGGTAAGGGGTGGAAGTTGCGCAAGCAGAGCGTAGGCGTCAAGGATACGGGCAAGGGTTTACTCGTCGATGATTCGCAGGAGTTGGTTGGCCCGGATGGGGAGGTTTATGTGAGGATGTGAGTACTGCTTGGCTTGCGGCTCAATTTGGTCGAGCAGTGAAGGAGTGAAACATTGACAGTTTCTGTCACCTGCATCCCTTCCAGGATCTCGAGTGGTTACGCCTTCGGCGACTATACCAAAGATGAACCCAAGTGGAAGGGGTTCCAAAAGAGCATCGCTCCTAAGCAGCCAACCAAGGCCGCCAACAAGCCTCCTGCGAGGAAGCCCGACGTCGTCTTCTCCGAGAAGACGACTGAGGAACAGGCTATTATTTACCGATTGAGTGGTGATTACAACCCTCTTCATATTGAACCTTCGATCGGAAAGGTACGTTCTTCTCTTCTTCCCACTTCGCTTCGAGCTTGAAGCTAATGAAGCTCTCCAACGAATCGCCAATTTTTTACAGGAGTTGGGTTTCCCCGGTGCGATCCTGCACGGCTTGTGCTCGTACGGCCATGCGGCCCGAGCACTCGTTCTTAACATTACGGGTGGAGACGGTTCCAAGCTCGTGTACATGTCAGCTCGATTCACGAGGCAAGTCTCTTCGCTTTTTTAAAACTCTTTCAACCCGTGCGCTGATCATCCGACCCGTCGTTGAAACAGCCCCGTGATGCCCGGCGACGAACTCGAGACTTCGATGTGGTTCAGTTCCGAGGGGGAGAACACCCGTGTCGACTTCACCCAAAAGATCGTCCAATCGGGCAAGACGTGCTTGGGTGGCGGTGTTGCGCTTTTCAAGGGCAAGGCTAGCAAGCTTTGAGGATCTTATTCTTGTTTAGTTAGTAGTTCGAACTGGACCTCTCTCTCTTTCTTTGTGTGTTCGTTCCTGAATGTGCAATGGGAGCAAGTTGACATCACTCGTGAACCTATTTTGTGCGAATCTATTTTGTCCGAGCATTTACTGTGTCCGACCATTTACTGTTTACTGTGTCCGACCACCTATTGTCTCCTACTGTCCCCTGATCTCTGTCGTCTCCAACTCCTCGGGATACCTAAACGCCCCTTGCTCCCTAACCTTATCAAAGAACTTCATCATCAACACCGTGTCCCTCAACGGCAACCTCTCCGACTCTTTCTTCCCGTCGCGAAGACAACGAGCGACTTCATCGGCTTGCCACGCGTAGCCGAGGATGTTACCGGGGCGAGGCTCGAATTCGAAAGTTTCGGTTTTGGAGGGGTTGGTAGGGGAGTTGCCGGAGTTGGCGTAGGCTTGTTCGGTGGGCCAAGCTGAGTAGGTGAGGGAGGTGGGTCGGTAGGCGGGGCTGGAGACGGAAAGGACGGGTGATTAGATGGAGGCAAAGTCTTCCCGATTGATATAGGTGTCCACGCGTGACTCACCCATTGACTTGAATGAACCCCTTCGTTCCCTGAATCAAATTGCACCTACTAGGAGCAGTCTGCGAGGTCTGACTCGTCATCAACACCCCCATGACCTTCCTCTGTCCACCTTGGGCTTGTTCGTCCACAACGGGGAATTGAATCGCCGCGACAACTGTGCCATCGACTCCGGTGGAGGGCAACTTGATCATGTTGGATTGAACATCGAGCATTTCCAGCGGGTCCTCCAGGCTCTTGGGTTGAGGACCAAGAGGAAGCATTGTGAGGGCCAATTGGGTCCAGGGATAAGGTCCGAGATCGAGGAGCGCACCTCCGCCGAGGACGGGGTTGAAGATACGATGCTCTGGGTTTATGGGGGCCATAGGGGCAAAGTTGACGTTGAGTTCGGCTTGGGCGGTTTGGATGGGGCCGATTACGGAGGATGAGATGAGGGATTGGAGCTTGAGGGAAACAGGTTGGAAACGGGTCCAGACCTGAGAGGCAGCGGAGGCCATGCGAAGTTTTGTCAGAGAATGACCGGTTGTAGCTCTTCACGAGGTGATTGATGCACTCACGGCTTCCATCAGGAAGAGTTTCTTGGAGCGGGCCAAGTCGACCAGGATTTGGGTTTGGGCGGCATTGATAGTGAAGGGCTTTTCGCAACTGGACAACACGCGCGTGGAGAGGGGAGGGGTCAGTTTCGGCGATTTCCGGCGGTCGATCGGTGTGGGGCTGCACGGGGAGCCAAGAAACGGACAGGACGTTTTTGCCCGCACTGAGGGCCGCATAGGCATTCTGAAAGTGGTGCGAGTGGGGTGTACCGATGTAGATGCAGTCGATGCTCTAGCGGGCGGAGAAGGACTTAGTGCTTGCCCTCGGCGGACAATCCCCACCGGCGGCCTGGTTGAGACTGACCCTATCGGCGCACAGCTCGTCATAACTGCCATACTGCTTGACCTCGTCCTTGCCCTCCTGAGCTTTGGCCTCCTCCCAGCACTGATCCAAAAAAGGCTGAACCTTCTTGATATCCCTCGAAGCAACGGCGTAGATCGAATGCTTGACATCGTTCACGTCTCGCGTCGAGGGGTCCGACAAGAGGTCGGTCACGAACATGCGACTGATCCATCCGCACGCGAGGATGCCCCAGCGCAGCGTGTACACGGGGTGCGACGACGATTCGGAAGTCATCGTTTGCGGTAGAGTCTGGTTCAACGGGAAAGGGTGGGGGAGGATGATGAACGCAAGAATAGGGTGTGTGGGGCGGGATGATCAGCGCAAGAAGAGGGGGAATAGGGTGTGTGGTGGGGGGGAAGGAGGGAAGGGGTGGGGGGATGTTCAACGCAAGGATAGGGTGTGATAGGGTGTTGTAGGGAGCGTCGAGCCAAAAAGCCAGGATAAAGTTGTGGCCGAGCCGAAGGTCAAGCGAGGTCACACGACGGGGTGCGCGCCGGTCAATTTCGACTCGGAGACGGCGCCCAGGAGTCGGACTTTTTCGGACTTTGCTCTACGGTGTGCCCTCGTGGTTCGGCATAATGTCCGAAATCGATCAAGTCAGGAAATACTCTCTGGTCCGTTCTCGGTAGCAAGACGAGATTGCCGGTCACTACTGCTCCCACTCGGCTCGATACTAGAATCCCGTTGCCGACTATAAAGTGCCGAGGACCGAGCGGGTCGGTTGCGCTCGGACCACTGGGCGGGTATGACTTGGACGGTTGCCGTCATCGCGACTACTTGGTCACGGGTCCGACCCCACAATCCGTCGGGATGAGCTTCCACCCGCTTCCTTACGCCAAGCGTAACAAGATCACTTCTGGCAAGCCGACGCTTGACCCGTCTGCACCTCGAGAAGCCTCCTTCCACCACTTTCAGCATCAGCACCGCGAAGCCGATCGTCGCCAGACCTCGAGTTCAGCAGCTGACAAGGCCTCGGGCAGTTCACCCAGTCGGTCCAGCCAACGTACACGCAACAAGGGGAGCTCCAATTGGTCCAGGTCGAGCCAACCGATCTATGGGAACTACGTCAACTACTACACCAAGCGCGATGGTGGACAGTTGACGCTGCTCGATCCTCGATTGGCGTTGTGTGACCCGAGCTGGTTCACCGACAAGCGCGTGTTGGATGTGGGGTGCAACGCAGGAAAAGTGACGATTGAGGTAGGGCATCACTTTCAGGCGAGGAGCGTGACGGGCGTCGATATCGACCCTCAGTTGATCAAGCAGAGTGAACGAGCTCGTAAGTTTCGTCATTGCACAACAGTACGGCTCGTTGCAACATCAACAGGCCTTTACCCTCGTGTCCAATCTTTCACAGTCGACTTGGCATGGTCAAGACAAAGCCCTCTGGCTGGATTGATCGAGAAAGCATCGGAGCACCACCTCATTCCGAACCACTCGAACCGACCGGCACCCCCGGCCAAACCCGACCCCCGCCATTTCCCTCTCTCAATGCCACGCATGCTCGGCTTCCTCCCCGTACCTCGAGATCATCTCATCGAATGGGTGGAACAGTCCGTAGAGCACCTAAGCGGTGCGGCTCGAGGTCGAGGGCAAGAGCAAGAGGACGATGGCCGGAGAGGGAAACGGAGAAAGATGGCCCCTCCGAAAGAGGTTAGGACGTTCCCGACGAATGTCAGGTTCAGGACCGCGGATTGGCCCGTCGATGGCGCCGATGAGGACAGAAAAGGGTACGATACGATACTTGCGTAAGTCAAGCTCTTCTTCGCCGCGCCTTCACGAACGCCGGTTGACCCAAACAAGCCCTATCTGATAGCTTTTCGGTCACCAAATGGATCCACCTGCACACACTCAATTCGGGGCTGCTCGCCTTCTTCACTCGATGCTACAACGCTCTTCTACCCGGAGGAAGACTCATTCTAGAACCGCAGCCTTTCTCATCCTACGCCCCCAGCGCGCGTTACGTTGACGAGTTGAAAGCCAATCTGCAGCTCATGAAGGAGGAAGGGGAATTTCGAGGTTGGAGAGCGGAGGACGGGGATTTCGAAAAGGTCTTGTTGGGACAGATCGGATTTGAGAGGGTCGATAAGTTGGGTGATACGAGCAAGGATGGTTAGTTTCGGTCTGGATAGGACGGCACCGACGAGTTCGGTGGAACTGACATTTGACCTCGGCACATAAAACAGGCTTCAGGCGACCGATCGAGGTGTATGTCAAGTCTGGAGGGAGCTGGCTGTAGTGCTACCTTTGTGCAAGTGCAATTTATTCCGTAGACGGAATGTGTCGAAAAAGACGCTACAGCGCTATGAGAACAGTGCCGGCATAAAGTCGATCTCGCCCTGTGTGGTCCGGCCCGGCGGCTCGGCCTTGCACGTGTGAATGGGTCCGAGCGTGCGATTGAGCTCTCGGCAATTGAGCGCCATAGTACTCTTTCTGCTTCAATCTATATCACACCGCATCCATTCGACCGATCAGTTGCAGGTGAGCAGTGCAGACCATCTGGATGGTTGAACACAACTCTTGTACTGACGCATGAACCACCTTTGGCTCCGCAGACTGGCCTAGGCCCTTTCCGATGGCGCTTCGCCGGCTCCCCTTCGAGCTACAGACGCTGCTGTGGCACTTCCCGTCCTACCGACTGGTGCCTACAGCCGTCTCGCCAACTCCTTCATCGGTGCTTTGGTCTCGTCACACCTCGGCCCCGGCGGTCGACGCCAGCCTCGCTCGTTTCCAATCGTCGTCGCACGTCGTTTCTCACCCTTCGCCGCTCGCCGTTGACGACATCACCGCGACAGGCCCGGCCATCTTCGAAGACGTCTCGAACGAGTATCAAGAAATCCCTTTGTCGACGCTCGATTTTCCTCGTTCCGCTCCTCGCTCGAACGACGATGCCCTGCTCGCATTGCTCGAAGCAGGCGATCTCGTCGGCGCACGATCGCTGAGAAAAGATCTCATCGATTCTTCCCAACTTATTCCGCCCCGATTCGAATTCCTCAAATACGCTGAACAGATACTGCGGGCTGATGTCGCGGGTACAGAGACCACGAACGATTGGTTGGAATGGTGGTCGCTCGCGCCTTCGCTCGTCTCCGCGAGGTCGATGATGGGTCAACATCCCGGCCAATACAAGCGCAGGGTAAGGGAGATTGCACATGTCGCGGAGAGGATCTTGGACATCTTGATGTCGGGCCGGAGAGGGCGGCAAGCGACGACAACCGATTGGAATCGCGTCTCGGCATTTGGTCTTGTGCTCGCCGAGCAGGGTTTCGTCCGAGGGCTCGCCGACAAGGTTCTGGTTCAGGCTGCGGCGTACGCACCTGTCGACCAGAGCGAAATGATGTGGTTGTCTTCAGTCGACTCCCTCCGACGGGTGTACCACGACATCGGCTCCCCAGTAGGCTCACCACAGAACGCCTCCACATCATCGCCGAGCGCCAGAACAGACGCTTACATCGCATCGAGGGTACAGCAAGATTTCATTGCGCTCAGAGAGCGACGAGCTGGAATGCTCAGAGCGCATTGCAACCTCGGACGACTCGACCTCTTCACCGGTCTACTCGACGAGCTGGCTCTCGTTGAAGATCTCGACGGTCGACCCATGTCGCTTCCGAACGAGAGTTTCATCCCTCTTTTGGCCGAAACGGCGACGTCAAATCGGTTCGATCTCTTCGAAAGGATCTTGGCGAACTTGTATCGGAAGGGTCGTCGACTTGTACCCGTGCATTCGGAACGGCTGAGAGCGAGGACACCGTACCACATCAGAGGTGCTGCTAGCGCGTCGAGTTCGGGGACGAAATCGACCATCTCGCCGCAAGAAGCGTTCACGACCTATCGCTACTCGACGCATGTCGGTGCATTGGAGGAAGGGACGGATGAAGTTGCTCAATCCAGTCTTCGTTCCGATTTGAAAGCCGCGCTGCAGGCCAACGATGCGGATCGAGCCGCGCACGTCATCACCTCCATGATGGGGGCGCATGAACAGCCCAGCATCGATGCCATGGCCGATTTCATTCGGCTCGCCCTTGATACCCGACAAGAAAGGACGCTCGCCTTTGTCGAAACGCTGGATGAGCACTTTGACGTGCGAAGTTCCAAAGGAGCTCATCGACGCTCGAGCGAGATGTGGGTTGTGTCCAAGATGTTGGCCTTTGTTCAACGTGGGGAACATACTCGAGCTTTGGATTTGTTCCGTCGCACCTTCTCGCTCGATGGAATACCTTCGACGCTCGAACAAGTCCTAGCGACTACTATTCCGCCTTTGGATCCCGACTCTCGATCAGGTCAAACCCCTCTCACCGCCGGGGCTTTACGAATCGCCTGCGAAGCTCTCGTCGCTCTCTTAGAGAAATTGCAATCGACTCTAATCATCTCTACGATCTACGAGGCCCTGCTCCGCGAACCGGCCATCATCATCCCTCTACGACCTAAAGGTCTCAGCTCCCCTCTCGACGCTTCGACTTTCACACCTTTCATCCTCTCGTTCAGTAAGAGGGAGGATCCACTGGTTTTACTCAAGGTATTGGATCAGATGTGGACGGTTTTAAGATTACGTCCGACCAAGCATCAGGTTGGGATGATGCTTGGTTCATTCGCTCGGTTCGCTAGGTCGAATGAGTTGTTTTATGTCCTGGACATCGTGACGAGACGACCAACAGCAGGTTTGCAGGGGAGTGTGAGGGAACAAGTCGCGGAGATGATGCATAACATCGAGGAAGCTTTCGACGAGGAGAAAAACAGGCTGGACATCGTGGTGTGGTCAGCGATGATTGAGGGATTGATGAGACAGAAGGATCACGAGGCTGCGCAAGAGGTCGTAAGGAGGATGCAGCAGAGCCCAGGGTTCGGGAAGGGCTGGTTTGAGGATCAGAGGTTGAGGGAGGCGATGACTGAGCTGCTCAAATCGACTAGATCGGTCGAAGAGTGAGAACCGGTAGTCTTGGGAGATATGGGTATATATAAGTCTCGTTCTTCTTGTTGTAACTGTTATTACCGATATTCGAGGAGTCACTCAAATGCGAGATCAGACTTGTTGCACCACGCAGGCGGCATCAGTAGGTGCCTTCAACATCCTGCGAGACCCTCTCGACGGACTGTAGGTACCCAGCCCTGAGTTCCCGAAAGCGTTGATCCGTGACCTCCACCTCTTGTACGGGTGGCCCGACGATCGAAGCCTCAAGGCCCCCGGTTCCAGACCGAGTCGTTTCAAGTACACTTGTTCGTCCGGTAACGCGGCTATACGGATCCTGATACTCGTACTTGGCGATGATCGTCGTGCATTTCTTACGAAGTTGAATCGAGGAGCTATGGCATCGAACGTATCCGTTTCGTTACGTACGAGGTGACCCCTAGCCAATCCAGCACGTAAACGATGGCCATCCGCAGTCGATACCCTCACCCCACAACCTCATGTCCAGAACGTCGGACTCAACGCAAGGCCACTGGTCGATGTTAGATGATATCTTGGCCGCCATGAGGAGCAGATCACCCCAGCACCACCTGAACCGTATGAAATCGACCTCGATTGCGGCCTGTTTACGTTGGGAAAACTTTTGGAGAGGAGCGACGATTGGCTCGGGCCTGCCGCACGGTCCCACCCAAGGTCCAGCCGACGATGCTGTATTCACGTGCTCAAGATCCCAGCGAGGGGCGAATGTTGGTGGTACTGGTTTCACAATTTGAGGTGCCGTCGCAGTCATGACCGTAACGAGTTGTGCCAAGTCCCGAGTGAGCCCGGATGCGTGGGATAAGGGCGGCGGAATGCCAGTTTGAAATGCTCCATCTAGGGTTACAGGGGCTGATCTATAAGGTGGCCACTCTGACACGCAGTGCTATGTACGAGAGAATGCGAAACATGAGGGTCAATGCAAGTGCGATTCCCAAGAATTTGCCTGATTGTCGGAACGGAATGGGATAGGATGAGAGAGGTCAGTTCGCTTGAAGGCAGGGCAGATGCGAAGGTCATGCTGCTCGCGACTGACCAGTTCCCGACGGTGCGATACTGAATGTCTGGAGCAGCTCTTCTCCAGTGGCTATAGAAGATCATCGAGCATGGAATGCATCAGTATCAAAGACCGTTGCATAGCCCGTAGACCTCAAGCTTACCAACGACGCAAGCGCCCGATGCGATATCCTGGGATGTGCAATCAAAGACGAGGCCCTTGAACTCGTTGATGATCTGAACACGCGCTTGGGACTTAGTCACCGTCGCCCATCCGATAATCTGCAGCCACTTTGGTACCGTCACGGAGATGATACCGTTTAATTGAGCGAACATTGTGATTGAGGCTGACACAAGCGAAACGGCGAGTCCTCCATTTTCGAAGAAGCTACTGAAGATGATCTGAGAAGGGGCAGACGGCGAAGAGTGAGCGATTGCAGACGTGAGACGATGTTACAGCACGGAGCACTCACTCCGATCGATTCTCCGGTCGAGATCAGGGCATAGGACGTCAGCCAGAACTCGATGAAAATCCGCGGAGTTTGCTGAAGCTTGATCCCGAACACGAACACGACCGACCACAACAGCGATGACACGATCGAGACGGCCGTTTCTTGGAGCGAGTACGCAACGAGGAAAGCTGCCACGCCATGTCGTCCAGAGCTTCGCCATTCGTGGAAGAACAGACCTCGCTCCGTTGGGAAGATGGACAAGCACGCCAGCATACCTGCGGGGTAGGAACTGCTAGTCGGCGTTCCTTAAAATGTACAGTGCAGTGATGCGTGAAGTACTCACCAACAAATGGCAACGCTGTCGTCTCTTGAAGGGCGCCCACACGTGTTTGCGCGCTGCCTGGCCCGAGGCTGAGCCGGCCAAAGAAAAGGAAGAAGAGGAGAGCGAGGAACGGTGGATTCGCGAAACGGGCGACGAAGACGTCACTCTGCCGTCGCAAGTTCTTGAACGACCGAGAGAGTAAGACGGGTAATGCACGAATGAATGGCGCGGTGAGTTGCTTGTGCGTACCGAGAGGGGACGCTTGCGGTGATGGCGAGAAAGATTGGGCAAACTCGTGGTTACTCGTCCGCCACACCTGGATGATGCGCTCGACTTGCGCAGCCGACCGTTTCTCCTCCAGCGAATCGCGGTAAGAGACCGAAATCACGTCGAGAACAAAGTCAGCGGGGTTAAAATCTGTCGGGCAAACGGCACCACAGCTCTCGAGCGTCTTGAGGATGTCGGTCCGCGGCCCGGAGTAGGCTGTGAGACCTCCTTTGGCGAGCAATAGCACATGATCAAAGATGTCCCAAACATCCGATCGAGGTTGATGGACCGAAACAATGATTGTCCGGCCTTGATTCGCTAGATCTTTCAGCGTGAGCATGATGTTGTAAGCCGTGAAGCTATCCAGGCCCGAGGTGGGCTCGTCGGCAAAGAGGACGGGCGGGTCATCGATCAGTTGCACGGCCAGTGACAGTCGTCGTTTCTCTCCTCCGCTGATACCCTTCAGGAGAGGGCCACCGACGAGGTTGTCGGCACAAAGCTTGAGGCCGAGAATGCGCAGGACCTCTTCGGCTCGAGCGTCGCACTGCGAGAGGCTTTGGCCAGGCAGCCGAAGACGTGCAGCGTAACGCAATGTCTCGTGCACGGTCAGGGCCGGCAAGTGGTGCGCATCTTCTTGCTCGATGAAGGCCATCAAGCTAGCGAGCGAAGAGTCGTAAGGGCGATCGTTGAAGGTGACGGAACCGTAGGTCGAAAACACAGACGTGGCGCCCGATTTGAGTCGCCCAGACAAGACTTGGAGCAGCGAACTCTTCCCCGCCTGGCATAAAATGAGAAGCAGGTCAGTACGAACAAGGTCTGGAGCGATAGTAAGAGTGCCCTATCAATACTCACGCCCGAAGGTCCCATTATTGCGCGGACTTTACCCGCGGGAAAGAAGGCGTCGACGTCGTTCAAGATGATCTTCTCGACCTTTTTACCTCTCGAGGCAATCGAACGACTAGTGACGGTGAGCCCCAGTCCGCGGACCCTGATATCGACCAGTTGTTTGCCACTCGCCGCATCGGCTTGCCGGTCTTTTTCCAAGACCGCAGCACTCTGCTCTCGACTCGGTTGGGTTGCAGCATGTTTGACCCCGCCGGGATGGTAGAATGAAAGAAGCAAGAGGGCGAGGACGTGAACACCAACGACGAAGCCGAGGAGGCCCAAGGGGGTAGACCAGTAGTGGGGTCGCGGTGGGGAATCGCAGACCGGTCAAGACGTTGTCCCCGATACACTGGTTCTTAGCCACGCCCGTAACGCCTTCGCAAGCGAAGATCCGCCCTTTGAACTGCAGCGTTGCGATCCAGTGGAAGCCGTAGAAGTAAGGACCCAGCCAGCGAAGCCAGGCGATCCAAGCGGGCAAATTGACGATCAGGTAGCCGGCAGTGAGGATAAAACTGATCGAGAACCCGTTGGCCAATAGACTCGCTTGGGCGAAGGAGCGATTGATCGCGCAGCACATGGCCGCGTATCCGAAACTTGAGAGCTGAACCATGATCCCGTTCGCGCAGAAGCTGAGGACGTTGATGGCGAGGTTGTCACGGCGGAAGCCACACATGAAGTAAACTGGTGCGCGTAATTCGTTTCCACTTCAGCAAATGCGCGCAGAGCGAAGGTAGGTCGCCGTGACTCACTGATGAGACAATGGACGATCGAGACGAAGGCGTTCGTGGGCAGGTAGCTCAGGAACGAACCCAGTAGATACGGCACTGCCTGGACCAGTCCATCCTCATTTTCACGATCAAAGACCACGAGATCTTCGACGAGGATGAAGCACCATACGATGATGGACAGGTAGAAGAAGGCGGGGGTTGACTGAAATACGACCGTTTTGATCGACTGGATACCGGCCGGTGTTTCTGGAGGGTGGTAGAAGGCCAAACCGACGACTATACCGATTCTGCTCATCGAAAAGACGACAATCGATCAGGCTCATATGTTCTTCATGGTTCATTGTTAGGTCACGCACATGACAGCCTGCGCGAGGAAGCCAAGACTTTGGCCATAGTTTCGTGAGACGTTGCGCAGTCCTCGAACCGTCAAGTACCCCGTCTGGGCGATCCACCCCGGCCTTGCGTCAACCCGCTCTTGTCGCATATTGCCCTGAGAGCGGGAGTCTCTCCTCGTGATCCCGCCATCTGCGTCGCCGTTCAGACCCGGTTCCGCCTTTGAAACTTCCAAATCGTGTTCGTCGGTCAGGCGCTTTGTGCCGGTGGCGAATTCGTAGGCGGTCCAAGCCAAAACGAGCTTGTTGACTCGCTCACTGGACTCGACCTCCGCGATATCATGCCTCGTATCAACGCTCGAAATGTCGATGATAAAGTCAAGTGGGTTGGCCAGCACGGGCAAAGGGTGACCCAACCTGTTGAAATAGTCGAGAATTGACATTCGAGGCCCAGAGTAGACGACGGAGCCGCGAGAGAGGAGTGTGATCTTGTCGAAGAGCTTGAAACAATCTGGTCGGGGTTGATGGACACTCAGGACGATGATTCGACCTTGTTTGGCCAAGGCACTCAGGGTTTCGAGGAGAGCGAACGCGGTGAACGAGTCCAGACCTGTGGTCGGTTCGTCGAGCACGAGTACTGAAGGCAGGGTGACCAACACGCAGCCGATCGACAACCGACGTTTTTCTCCACCCGATATGCCCTTGCGAAACAGTCCACCGACGATGGTTTCGGCCGCATCGCGTAACCCGAGCTCGTTGATCGTCTGCTCGACGATCGCTCCCCGTTGCTGGCGGGTAACCGACCGAGGTAGTCGAAGCGCCGCCGCGAAGGTTAGGGTTTCCCGCACAGTGAGATAAGGCAGGAGGAAGTCGTCTTGTCGAACGTATCCGATGAGCTTGCGGGTATTAACCTTGCCTTTGCTACGAGTCGCCCCAGCCGGGATGGAACCAAAGTCTTTAGGGGCAAAGGTGACAGATCCGGAGGACATCTCGAGAGTCGTGTTCCGACAGGCTATTGTGTCGAGAAGGGTCCTGTTTTTGAACGAGAAACGAGAGCCTATGTCAGCCTTTGCGTAAAGGGAGGAGCCTTCAAACGGAGCTCGTCGGCGAAGGGAGGACATCGTCGAAACCTCGGATTAGGCGCAGAGACCGGACTCACGTTTTCCCAGACCCCGACCCTCCAGTTCTAGAGATTCAAAAGTCAGTATTCACCATATCGTATACAAAGCAGGGTTAATGTGGCACTACTAATTGCTATGCGGCATATGGATGACGCCTGGTGCGAGGGCACGCAGTGCAGGTCGGATCGAGGACCGTGTAGAGTCCGAGGCGACCCCTATTCGCAACTCACAATGCCAACACCTCACCGGCGCGGACCTCGACATTGACGTTCCTCAAGAGCTCCTTGGCGACCAATTCCTTGCCCTTGTTGAGTCGCTTTTGCACCGATCGAGGTACGGTGATGGGGATTGCGAGAGGGATGCTCCATTCCGGCGGTGGCGCGACGCTAGACAGCGACTTGATGGAGAGCGAGTACGACTCTGGAGCGGGCAGTCCGGCTAAGCCCGTTTGAGATGGACCAGCGTCAGGGCTTCCACTGTCCATGGCCGAAGACCCTCGCAAAGACACGAGGTCCAAGTGATGGTGGGCGAGTGCGATTCCTGAGCAGGACGCGGGACGTCGTGCACGGTCGTATGACCGAATGACGCGGTCAACGAAGTTGAAACCGAGCGCGCTTCCGGTTCTCATCTGCGACGCCGTTCTATTCCCGAGGCGCTCTGGTTTGTGGAGTCGCGGCGCGCAACGGTCTTGGTCCGAGCGAACGGAATTTGTCCGAGCTCTCCGTTCGGACCTCCCTCCAGAATTGGGGACGTCACAAGTTCAAGCTTGTCCGACTCTCTTATCGGTGGCACACTTTATCCATAGGCCGCTATCGCCTACCCATTCTTTCGAGGGTATGTAAGGTAGGCTAAACCCTCACTCCAAGCTTTTCGTGGGCTCTCAGTAAATGCTGGTGATTGTCCGCTACAAAATTAGCATCAGGTCGAGACCGGAAGTGAGCGGACTTACCCTTTTAGTACGTGGGCAAGCAAATTCAAATCGAGGTCCGAGGCGTTCGGTAGAGAATCGCGTCGTCTTGATGTAGCGTTGCAGTATGACTGGTGGGATTTTTGCTAGATGGTTGTGAAGGACATACCTACCTAGCAAAGCCTCTCGGTGAGAGAGCCCAGCCTGTTCGGTCCGTCGAGGCACCGGCCGCGGAGAACGCCGGAGCTCGCGTGCACGTGAGAGAGCCCTGCAGCTGCGGTCGCAAGCGCCGAAGCGCCGAGGTACTACCGAGGTGCGCCAAGGCCCAAGGCGTAATCAGGGGAAGGCCCAGTCCCAGGTCGTTCGAGCTTCGTGCTTCGGGCCTTGAGAACCTTACCTAATCCCATAGACTGCGTGCCCGCCTTAGCCAGCCACTTCGAGGATACAGACACGTCTTACTCTTCCATGTACCCAACCTGCGACGTCCCTGACCTCTAATCATCGGACGACACGACCTCGAACGAGCGGGATTTTGATAACGATAGCCTAAGCGGCCCGGAGTGAAAGATGCCCGTCGCTTGCGCTCAACGCTTTCGGCACACACCAGTGCAGCAGCAGCAGCAGCAGCAGCAACAACAAGCTTATCCTCTGGCCTCGACATCACGCACAACACTAGATGATGCGGACACCTTGGAACCGGTTTCGGAGGATTCAGTTGGAGCGTGCGCCCGAAGCGAGACGGCTCAGGACCCCCCTGCGCCACAGTCTGGCTTTGGCAAGCAAGCACCACCCTTCGCAGTCACAGATACGTTAGAGCTACACCGAACCAGGTCCGACTCGACATCCAGCATTGGTAGCTCCAAGGGCAAAGAGAAGGCTTGCGATGATGGCGATGGGGAAGGTATCGGCATCGGTCTCGGCGCCGACGATCCTGGAATGGTCCTCGCCGCACATACCCTGCCTCGAGTTCGTACCGTCGCCGTGTCGGAACCATCATGCGAAGAAGGGAGCAGCAGCAGCACCCATGATTCTCCCAGAGAAAAACATTCCATCGCTTGGGCACCGATCTCCCCACCGTCAGCACCAGGGACGGTGCAGCAGAGTCCCTCGGCGAAACTGCTCGGCACTCCGTCTCGTACTACGACGACAACCGCGCGGCTGAGCATCGAGACAGCCACGTTACCGAGTGGAGACCTCGCCTTCTCGCTCGCATCGTCGACAAGACCCATACTGAACGAAGCGGGGTCGATACGCGGAGGCTCGGCCGAGACGAGTCAAGAGCATTCATCCGCCGGCCGGTCCGATGCCCAACCCAACATCGCCTCGACGACCTCGGGACAAACCTCGCGCGGGGAAGGGAGCGGTCCCATCGATGGCACCAGTTCCTTCTGGGCCACGACGAGTTGGAAAATGAGGTCTGGGAAGGCGACTGTGGATCAGAAACGACTTCGCGCCCTTGGGTTCAACGAAGAGCTGTCGAGGGATTTCGACTTTTGGGCCTCGGCCGGACTGACGATCTGCAACATCGGTGGTTTCCCCGGCACGGTGTTGGCGGTCTTGACGGCGATGCGAACGGGTGGATCGTCGATGTATGTGTTTGCTTGGCCCATCTCGGGACTATTCTTCATGAGTCTGGCTGCCGTACTCGGCGAGATGGCTTCGACGTGGCCCGTGGCAGGTCAGTCGATCGCCAACACTCTCCGACCTCAGTGCGGGACACAGAAAGCTGACCCTGCTTACATCTCGTTGCTATCGTAGGTGCCATGTTTACTTGGACGTTCCGATTGTGTCGAAGCTCTCGAAGGCTCGACATTTGGGCTCGGTATCTTTCGTGGATCGTGGGCTCTTTCCTGCTGTGCTCGCACATTCTGCTGCAGGTAGATCCGATGTGAAGCCGGGAGACTGAAGTAGATCGGAAGGGCTGACTTTGTACATTTCGTACGACTCCAGATCGTCATCACCTGGCAATTCTCTCACAATCTTCTCGGCACGATCGGCCTGTACAGCAAGACGAATAGCTCGATCTGGGTGCCTGTGGGGATTTGCTGGGTAGGTTGCGAGTCACGGCCTCTAGTTTTGGAGTGAGTAATGAATCCGCTGACCTAGTCTCTCTTATCTGGTGTTGTCGATAAGGCGGTTCTCTTGGGGTCTGGGCTGATCGTCAGCTCACCTATCGTACGCTCACCCTGGTTCTGGCGAGGTTGTGGTTTCATGACCATCGTCTTTTTCCTCACGCTCAACATCACCCTTCTCACACAAGCCAAGACAATTAAGTGGGTATAGTGACTGGTCCAAGTGCTTGGTAGTGGAGTGTCCTGACGCTCCTACCTTGGCTCCACAGATCCGCCAAATGGGTGTTTTCAAACTACGAGAACGACACAGGCTTCTCCAGCAAGAGCTACGTGTACATGCTCGGTGAGGAACATCAATACGTTCTGCTCGCGAGGGTTTCGTCGGCTGACTTTTTTGTCATCGACACAGGCTGGGTATTCACTTGCGTAGCTTCAGGGATGGAAGCCGCCGCTCATATCGCAGAGGATACCCGGGCCCCGGCCAGAACTGTGCCCCAATCCATGTTCTGGAGCCTCGCTGCGACGTACGGCATGGGTTGGGTCTCGATCTGCGTCTTGTTGGCAACGTTGGACGCTTCGAGTCTCGATCCGACGCTGCAACCTTCCATCGCGCTCATCGCCAACTCGATCCCGCGCGCCCACACAACCGTTGTTCTGATCTTTGTCCTCCTCTCCTTCGCCTTCCAGTCGATCGCCCAACTTCTCGCCACCTCTCGATTCACCTGGGCGCTAGCTCGAGAATCGGCTCTTCCTCTGTCCCCCTTCTTGCGTAAACTCACGCCCAAGAGTCGATTGCCTCTCCGAGCCATCTGGTGCATCGTCGCCATCGCTTTCCCCGCCATGCTTCTCATCATCGTCGATTACTCGATCATCGCGACCATCATCCTCGAAGGCGCCGGCTTCAGCGTCATGTTCTCCTACACCGTCCCCGTCTTGATCTACCTATTCCTCCCTCGCGACGCATTATCCGGTGATGGCCGAGCGTTATGGACCTTGAGAAAATGGAGCAAACCCGCTGCTCTTGCAGGGACTCTGTTCGCGCTCATTTTCATGATCATGCTCTGCTTACCTACGGCCTACCCCGTCAACGCGATATCGGCATCCTACGCTTCAGCCGTATTGGTCCTCGTATTCTTATTAGCGACGCTCGCTTGGGTCTTTTACGGGAACGCGCACTACGCGGGACCGATCAAAACGACGACGAAATGGACCATCGGAGCCGAGATTGAATTACCTCGTTCGGCCACGATGCAGAAAACGCCAACCCCGGCCGGGGGCACTAATAGTCCTGTGCAAGCTTTAGGTCCACGCTTGACCGAATCGGAATTTTTGGGCAGGACCGCGCATGTGTTTTCTTCGTTCGAAGGGGAGGGGACTACCACGCATGGGATGACGACGAGGATGTCGGGGACGAGGATCGAGATGGGAAGAGAGACGATGGGGACCTCGCATACTGGGATGGGGACGGAATGGTCCACGGATTGGGATGAGGAGGAGGAGGAATACTCCTCGGAGGAGGAGGAATACTCCTCGGAGGAGGAGGAAGAAGCACCCTCGGCGGAGGCTGGGACGACTTCACGGAGTCAGAAGAAGGGGAGCAGTAGAGAGGTGGATTCGACGAGGTGGAGACCTAGAAGGGATCAGGAAGCTGATGGACCTAGCACGCCGGATGCGAGCGTGTGATCACTTTGAGTGGGCGATTTATTGGGATTCACGGACTGGAAAAATATGTGGTGATATAGTGCACACACGACTTGTAATGTTGTATCACCTAGACCTTCGCCTATAATCGTTGCCCCTGTTTCAGCCCAAGAAACTTGCGAGCTGCAACGAAACTCGCGAGCTGCTGCAGCGCTCTCAAAGACAGAACATCTTTCAGGTGGGGCATTCAGTGGACAGAAAGCACAGTCCAATATTAGTAATACACAAAGAGTGAGCTTCTCCCAAGAAACAAAGGCAAAAGGAGAGCAGAGCTTCTACTCGAACGCCATCGGATATACAATTTCTAAAACTCTACGTCCTAGCAGGAAGAGAACGACTTCTTTGGGAGGCAAACCAGCGGATATTGAGGAGAGAGTATGTGTCTTCGAGAACACGATCGAGAAGAATGAAAAAAAGTTGTTTGCCCGAGCTCAGTCATCCTCGAGACCGCCCGTCAAGCCCGATCCACCGCCGTCCCCACCTGGTGTCCCGCCTCGACCATCACGTTTAACACGCGACCACATGCCCACTTTAGGATCTGTCCGATCACAAACAAAGTCTGGTCAGCTTCTGTTTGCCTAACAGTCAGTTGGAAACCAGGAAGGTGTTGACTTACCAAAGATGAAACGCAACGTCACCCCCGGCCAACTAAGATGTTGAGGCAGCGGATCGTAGAAATCACTGGCGATACGACGCAGTTCGGGAAGTTTGGTCCAAGCAACGGAAGGAAAGTCGTGGTGTTCGTTGTGATAGCCGACCTGAGAAGGGTAAGACAATTAATCCCTGGGGTCAGTATTCGGCGGAGAGAGCGGGTGGGGAAATGTGGGACTGACGTTGTAAGCCAAGATGTTGAGAGGGCCGTAGTAAGACCAAGTTTCTTGGTCGTGACCATCAAAGAGGTAGTGCTGTACCACAGCAGAACACAGAATGATGTACGAATCAGTATCATATTAAACCCTCAAGCGACCAGTCCAGGCCAACTCACCTCGGCAATAAAGTGCCCAGCACAAGGATGCAACGACCCAGCCATATGACTCGAAAGCAAAAAGTAAAGCATCGAATACCATCCAAGATATCGAACGACGAGGGCATTGAAGCTCAATTGGACGAGCCAGTTGAAAGCGACCCAACGCGTCGGGGCTTGGTAGCGGATGAATCCGGGGCGTAAGGCGTAGAAGAAGATTTGGAAGGAGCTGTGAGGGCCGGAGAAGACGGTCAGTCCGACCTCTCTTGATCACGTCAGAAGACGCCTGTTGAGGTCTAAGCAACTGACGCGAAGAAGGTCTTGCCAAGCACGGTTTTCAAAACGAGCAATTCGAGTCGCGAAGGAATATCGGTGTCCATGCCATCTTCAGCGAGGAACTAAGTCACAGTGAAGAGTGATTTCCAGTCAGACCTCCCGGCATGAATTGAACTCCGCACTCTGCAATCGACGCACCTTGTGATGTTCGATATGATACTTTTTGAACATCATCGCAAACGGCACACCAATGGGCAAATTCGTCAGAATCGCAAAAGCACGGTTGGCCTTGACGCCTCGGAAGGCCAAATTATGCGTGATCTCATGCACGGCCAAGAAGATGTTTTGGTTCGCGGTACCACCGATGACGTAGGCGAGGATCCAGAATTTCCAGGACCAGAAGGGGGTGTTGCGTAGGTAGAAGGCGGTGAGAAATTGTGTCGCCATGACGAAGAGCACGACGTATTTGGTCAAGGGTTCGTAGCCCATCAGTTTTCGGATCTGTTTTTTGCATCCGAGATCCGAGATTGGTCCGGTAAAACTGATCAGCACTTCCTTTCCTACAATATTTCAATCATCGCCTCATCACCGGCCGAAAGTGTCGCCACTGATCACCATCCAGATCAGCATCCCCCCCCCCCCCAAACTGACCTCCGGATGAGCCTTGAGCACGGCCTTTCTCCTAGTCCGATGCGGTTCCTCCGTCATCAACCACAAGAAATCATTTGGATCCTGTTCGGGTTCGACCTTGCGTGGAGCCCATTCGTCACCCGGTCGAGAACCGACCTTTGTGGTGGCGCCGAATTGCGCGAAGGTGGTGCTGCTCGGGTTCGAGTTGCTGCGAGACCGAAGCGCGGGGGACGAGGACGCGGTGGATTCAGCACCTGTAGTTAGGTCCTCCCCTTCGCCAGTCGATGAGGAAGAGGAAGAAGACGTCGACAGGGACGAGGCGGATCGTTGAACGAGCAACGAGGGAGGGACAACTTCCGCTCCGGCTGCGAGGTCGAACGCGAACCCGGACGCGGGCAGTGGGTGGCGATACACGTTCGACGCCGTGGAGCGTGTCGAGGCCATGTTGCGGCGGCCAGGTTATGGAACACAGGTGCGGTATAAGGAGCGGGAGAGCGACGTAACCGGGAATCTGACGAGCTGGATCTAGGAGGGAGAGTGAGCCCGATCTATTAAGTCAAGGCGAGTCGTCGCGCGACGAGCGAAACGACGTGTTCCCGCCCGTGCCTGAGTTGGGACCCAGCCTGGCGGCAAAGGGGCGCCGATAAATGCACGCAGGGAGCAAACGGGAGCATCAGAAGTGCACGCATGGGGGCGGATGGGAGCTCCCCTTATCACCAAGACACCGCGGTGACATGGGACGCTTGTAGAAAGTGGGTCTGGTATATTCATAACAAAAAACACCTCATAATCCCCTCGGACACAGCCAGATGGGGAAAAAGTGGGGGGTATAGGGATCGGATCGGGAGGGGCCGAAGAAAGAACGAAGCAACGAGCGTGAGGTGTCGAAACGTCGACAGATTAGGTACCAAAGTGTCGAAATGGAGGTCTAGTCAAAAAGGGAACGAGAGCACGAGAGAACCATAATGCAGTTGCACGTGACGCAGTCATCATAGGGTAACTAGGGGGTGAATCTTACAGGGTTTTCGGGTCGAACCGGAGGTGGACGAGAACGATACGATCGCGTTCACAAGCGATGTCCAGGGACCAGCACGAAGATGATGGTCAAGATCGCGACGACGACTGCACTGAGGAAGGTGACCCATAAAGCGCGGCCAAACAAGAGCTTGCGCACGTAGGGTTCACGAATGCCGATCGTTCGGAATGGGGTCTGTGCGGCGGTTCTCCTTTTAATGTTAGCAACAGTGCGGGGCAACCTGAGTTACTAGGTCAACACCCACCGTTTCGGATAGACCCATAAAGACGAGTAAAGGGTCAAGATCGTAGGCATGCGCGACGAGGTTGACGATGGCGAAAGTAAAGGGGATGATGACCTGTTTTCGATGATCACAGTTCGCATTAGTACATCTGACAAATTCACCGTCGAATCAGGCCCAGGGCATGACTCACCCATAATCTCGACACCTTAGGCTTCTTATCAAGAAAGATGAACGCAAATCCCGTTGCCAACCCGACCCACAACGCCAGCAGTCCAAACGCCAGTCGCACCAACGCCGATATCGGCGTCAAGTTGCCAAACGCCTTGGCACGCAGAAATCGCGGGAAAGTGTCCTGCTCCATCGCTCGGTAAACGTATTCCTTTTGCGCGTGGAACATGTCGGGTACTTGGGCCTGCGCATCGGCTTCGCGGTCGTAGTCGGGGTGCGTTACAGTCGGTAAGTTCGATGATGATAAGGTGAACTCGGTGATGCGCAGTGCAGGGGGAAGGTACACCTCCTTGTCGGCTCCGGGCATGAGGTACCGCGAGTAGATGCGCTCGGCTGAAGCGATAAGGTCGGTCCTCGAGATGGCCGTATCGCGCCTGATGTACGGTTGGGCCGGTGCCGCCGATCGACCGTTGCGAGGTCGGTCCTCCGAGTCGTGAGGGTAAAGCGCCTGCAGGGTTGGTGAGAGTGGGTAGGATGCCGAAGCAGGCGTCCGAGGACGGGGGGACGGCGTGCGCAGAGCGTCCTCTCGTTCGCCGCCCAAACTGGGCCCCCTTCGATCGCCATCCGCCTTCTCATTCGTCACCCGCGTCTCCCCGTAGTCACTCCCACTGAACGCCTGCGGTCTCCCCGACACGCTCGGTCTCGGACTGGCGGGTGCGGTGGTGCCCGGGAATTCCTCGCCGCCATCGTCGCCGCGTCGGATGCCGGTCACGCCACCGTAAATGCTGCCTCGGGTGCGTGCCAACTCGTGGTACCTCGGCCAATCCTCTCGTACGGTGCGACCCGACTTGCGCAAGTCTTTGAAGTAAGCTCGACCTGTCCAATGATCACCACGGGTCGAACAAGGTCAGGCCCATCCGTCGTTAATGCACCGCCGAACCGAGCCGAGTTAACCGTACAAAGGTTCTCATGCTGTTGCACATCGAGCCAAAAGTCAAGAGTGTCCTCTGATCCTTCGCGCTGGAGAAAGAGGTAGTAGCAGTATAGGTCGACTGGCGGGCGAGTGTCTGGAGCGGGCCACAGCGATAGGGGAGGGGTGGCAGTGGTGGAGGGGGGAGGGGTCAGTCAGTCAGGGCGGATCACGTCAAGTCATCACCGAGACAGGGTTGATGGCGGTGATTGGGGCCCATGGGACGTGGACGTCCAAAGTGAGATGCTTTGGATACAGTCCAACACCGCATGTTGCACCCACGACGGCTGGATGGATGAGACAGGAGAGGGTGCGCCGTGACCACGCAACAAGGGACCTACTGCGTCTGAGCACCTCGGCCAAAGCGGGCAAACGATTCCGCGGTGGTGGGGTCGACTTCTTGGTCGTAGGCGTCGTCACTGTAGGCCAGCTCACAACACGCAAAGGTCAGCATCGAGCTCGGGCAGGCGAATTAAGCGCCGGACCGCTCTGGCGGCGAGATCGGGGGCCCGCGCTCAAGTGGGTGTGAGAGCTGCACGGCATGTGATGCAGTGCGAACCAACACTTTGTCGAGCCTGTAACCAACTCACTCTTGACAAGATCGCCGTCGTTCGTCCGAATTTGCTTGAGCTCCCAGCGGTACTGATCTTCCTATATAACGGCGAAGTGACGAAATCGGTTGAAGCACCCGCACCCGCTCGCTGAGGCGCTGATGATCGAGGAGCGCTACAAGCTGTAAGCTGTTCGAGTCGCACCGCACGCACCGCGTGTTTGGGTCCGTCCGCAGATCCGAATCGGGGTCGTACGGTACGCTCAAGAACTCGCGTTCGCCGGTCTTGGGAGGCCGGGGACCGATTTTGATTGGGACTGCCGGCTTCGTGGTCGATGTGTGTGCCAGAGGGAACGGGATGGTTGAGGGGTCGCGGTGACCCACGCTCGTCGATTTCGCGCCAGTTCTGGCCAGTTCGCGCCCGGGCAGCTCGCGACGCTACTCGACGCGCGAGTGACGCGCGCGGCGAACATGCTCGTGAGCCAGCGGATGCCCTCGTGAACAGCTCACGGTTCGGTGAACCCGAATGACTTTATAAGTTAGTCGCCAATAAATTTAGGGAGAATCTGGCCCCGCATGATTTCTCAGAGTATTGTTAAGAATGAAGCACCGTCTATCGTCGATTGCATCGGGTTACTACTGTTCGGGCAGAATCTTCTTGAGCCAAGCCTCGACGTCTTGCTGCTCCTTGGCCCCGAGGGTATGTTGCATACCTAGAAGCCGATCATGAACCAACAACAACATGTCAGCATCGTACCATGGGCGAGACATCACAACCCCGCCCCAACTGACCCGGATAACTTTCAAACTGAATATTCTTCCACCCGAGCTCCCTCAATTTCTGCACCGACATCTCCCCCCACTGGTACCTCACCACCGGATCGCCGGTGCCATGGCCCCAAAAGACCGGGTAGGAAGGTGCGTGGTCGACTTGCATCGATTTGAGCTTGTCCGCCAACATCAAGAACCCCGAGAGCGAGATCAGGCCGGCGAGTGTGCGCTCCAAGGTGGCTCCGACCGCGAGGGAGACGACGGCTCCTAGGAAATGACGAAATACTATTGTCAGCGGTTGTGCGATTTCGAGGCTCAACGGCGCATCTCCTACCTTGTGAGAACCCTCCAACGACAATGCGATTCGCGGGGATACCAGCATCGACTTCGGCAGCAACCAAGTCCGAGATGGTTCGCACCGACGCGAGCAGACCTCGTTCGTCCTCTTGGGAGGAGTTGGTCGGCGTCAAGGAGCGGATGTCGAACCTGGCATGTGCACGAGGCATTGTGTGAGCACTTCTCTCCAGACTCGACAAAACCTAGACCGTTATGCTCGAGCGACATACCAGCTGTTCATCGGCATGCCTACGTGTCGCATGTGGGGTGGGGTCTCGATCGGATCAGCAACGGAATAACACCAACGTATGACAGCTCATACCAGCGAGCATCGCAGCTCTACCCTACTTACCTCCATTAAGCGTAACAGGCTGCATAGGAGCGGTCGGCAACACCCATTTGACGTGCTTGAACCTCGGTGCCAGAGCCTGCGCGAAAGGGTACCACCCCGCCGCACTATCGCCCAGCCCATGGGAGAAGATGATGGTCGCTGTGTGTTTGGCCTTGGGCAGGACGGTCATGACGGACATGACGGACATTCTGGGAGGGGTCTTTCGAGGGGGACCGGTGCGATGGGGAGCTGGAGTGGGATGGAATAGGCGGGTGGAGGGTGAGACACGAGGCGCTGTTGAGGGCCAGAGGAGGTAGAGGACCACGGTAAAGACGCCGATGAAGAGTAAGGTCGTACGCTGAGGGTGCGGACGGACTGCTGCAGGGTTCGCCGTCGCGTTGGGAAGAGTGGGATGTGTGGGGGGAGAGCAAGAAGCATTGACGCCTGGCCTGGCTAAGCATGCTCACTTCACAAAGCCATCCTCAACGTCAACTCAAATGCCACAGCCGCCGAGCGAGTCCTTTACGCTGTAATGATATCTTCGACACTGCCCAAAAATAGTCGTGCTGCACTCCCACTGTATATTCCAACCCGTCCACAGTCAAAGTTACCACATGGCTCTCCGTCTCCGTCGTTCCTCGACCGCAATCGTCTTCTTCCAACCCCACTTGAGCTCCCTCGCCGTCCTCTTGTGTTCCAACGCCAACTTCCTCTCCTTCTCGGCCCGTTTTCCCTCCGGTCCATCTCCCCAACCCAACAAACCCACCACGGTCGGACTCGCGAGGCCAAATTTGCGCGCCAACCGTGATCGAGTCCATCGTGCCGGATCCGATCTCCTCAATGCTTGCAGTTGCTCGATCTCTTGTGCCGACAACACCTTCTTACTTGCGTTCGGGTCTTGGGCACTCGCTTGACCGGCCTTGGACGGTCGCGAAAGAGGTAGACGATGCTCCTGTTCGTGGATCGTACTTTGCGACGACGTCGAAGGTATCGCAATCGTCGCGGGGAGGACCGAAGGAGGTGGTCGAACGATAAAGGTCGATCCAGAGGGGAGGACAAAGTGCTCGGCTAGGGCGGACGATCGTAGAGGGTCCTTGGTGCGGGTGAGCAGTGGCATCTTCTTGGAGGAAAGAACGCGCAACGTCGGGGCGAACGCGCTTTTGAACATGGTGTGAGGTGGCTGAGTGGTGGACAGGGCAGGGCAACGGGCTGTGATTTAATCAGTTATTGGAGAGTGCCCGATTGGATGTGCGGTGCGGAGGGCGCAGCGGGATGATGGGCGCTGACTCGGAGTTCGTTGAGCACAAGTCGACCGGTGACGGTGGATTTCGTCGCAGACGGGCCTCTTAGCGCGCACGGACCGTCTAACGCGCGGAAGCGGGTCCGGCCGCCGCTCACCTCCCATGCAAGGACTCCGGCGTCATTGATATAATACCTTATTAAACCACTTTGCAGTTCATTGGAATCAGGCTTCCGAACGGACTGGCCGGAGAAATCTGATTAGCTGTCACTCCAGCTCATTGGCTAGAAATCGTGAACGATTCGGTTCAGCTGAATAAAAAAAAAATTAAAAAAAAAAAAAAAAAAAAAAAAAAAAAGGTCAGCTGTAGATGCTCTTTCTGGGTCAATTCGCACTTGGACCTCTTTGGCCGGGGTGGGGCTTTGCTCAACTTGATAGGATGCCAAGCTTTTCGATTTAGATCAATCGAAGGACCGCATCGGCCTCCGGAACGCTTCTTCGCTTGATGAGCTCTGGTCAGTCCCCTGGAATGGCGCTCGTTGGCGAGTAGCGTGGAGCCGGCAGGGACCGCCGACGCGCCGACGCCTCATGGCAAGCTGCGCCGAGCTTCGGACGAGACTTCGGATGTTGATGAACCACATTGCTATGTTCTTGGGGCTTGACTGAACTTGAGTTTTGATCCCACTCGTCCGGGAGAGCTTTTTTATTCCTACCCTTGTCTCTCTCTTCCGCGCCCTTCCGTTCGTTTATCTTCATCGTTTTGTCTGACTCTCAGTCTCTCACACCATTCGCCCCGACTCTCATTCGACCACGCCCTAGTTCGTAGCGCCTCCACTCGTTTCAGCTGCCGCTCCTTCACCTCAACACCTCCACATCACCTCGACGGTTTCCGCTCAACAATGAAGGGGATTCAACAACTACTCTCGTTCTCGACTCTGATTACGGTGGTACTCGCAGGCGGGTCCATCGACAATAGCGACGAGGCAAGGCTCATCAGGGTGAGAGATTTTCGTCGGTCGCTCCGAGGCCCCACTTGGATCCATGTGCCAGCTGCTGAGCGTTACTTCAAACGCGTCTCTGACACCCTACCACTTTCCTCACACAGTCTTCTGCATCTACTCTTTCCGGTAATGGCAACTACGTGTTCGAAAACGTTGCTACTGGACAGCAGCTCTCGTTCCGTCGCGACTCGGTCACGAATTTCTTCCCTTCTCTCAGGGATGGCGATTCGCTCGAAGTACAGGTACGTTCGTGCATGCTTCTCTATCCGGATCCGCTCTGGTGGGTTCAGAAACCGTACGCGTCCCAACGTGTTTCATTTCACGTGCCGAGGAGCTTGATTGGTTGGGATGTGCGTCAACTCCGAGCGGGGACCCCCTCGGCACGCGATTCCGCAGTCGAGAGAGTCCCGACTCCCGAGGCGTCGACGCGTTTCAGCCCGAGGTCCAACGGCTCTATGCTCCCCGGCACCCCGGCACCCCGTGCGCGCGCGCGCACGACGTCATCGGCTCGCGTCAAGCTAGCCAACCCGGCATTGTCTTTCAAGCAGTAGACCCCTAGCTAGCTCCGATTCGTGACCCCGGTTTCGTGTGCCTGCCTAGTACCGTAATAGGCCAGCAACATGGATCAATCAACCAACTCCTCCATGTTGTGACTACATGCTGACCTATAGATCATTGCCAACTCCGTTCCCGCCATCTTCAACGAAAACCCTCGACCTTGTTACGACTCTCACATATCATAACCCCTGTTCCAGTTCGAAAACGGCGCGGCGCGCATCAGTGGCGGCAACAACAAGTGCGCTTCCGCTCAATGGAGCTATGACGTAGAGGACGGTGTCGATGCTTTTGCCGTCTCGTACGCTTGCGCTGTAAGTCGTTCGTACCTGCGTGAATCGAGTGCTGGATCAGATTCACGAGCTCACGCCTTGGATGCCTCGCTTGCAGGTCGGGGAGGGCCAGAGTGGTACCGATACCCTCGAGAAGACCAAACAATGGCGAGTAGTGAGATTGTATCCTACCTATGCCCTCGCTTACCCTAGTATGAACCCTACGCTTGCTCAGGTGGTATTTTGTCGAGGCCGACTCGAGCTCCAGCGATGGCAACGACGACGACGACGACGACGACGATCACTCTCCTTCCCTCGGTCTCTCCCTCGCCGCCAAATCCCGCAAAGTCACCACCACCCCTTCCGAATCCGCTACGTTCGACAGCGCCAAGAAGGCCGTCACTTCCAAAGCCAACGCGACGACGACGGCTTTCCTCAGCCACGCCAAGGGTTTCTACGAATACCATGCTTCGAGCATCCCTCGCAAGTTGATCGATCAAACTAAGGTTATCCCTACGAACCGCACGACGTGGCCTTGCATTCATCCCGGTTGGTGGCTGCAAAAGTGAGTCTCGACAACGTCGCTCGCCGTCACAATCACCGTCCATCGGCACAGTGCTGACACGTACTGTCCACACCTCGTCACAGCCATCCCTCGTACGTCACGAAGGATGGCCACATTGAGTGCAAGGGCGACTTGAAGGCCTACCGTGCATCGCTGTCTTCGTCCCGAATGGCTCGTCGATCGAGGATTGCTGCGGGTGAAGGGTCGAGCAAGGTCATCAAGCGCGGGGCGAAGGAGTACTACATCATCACTCAGGATCATTTGGACGTGAGTACGGAGAGGTAAAATGATTCAATTGGGTGGTGATTGTACTCAATCTCAAACTTGGCTAGTAGGACATGGCGACGCGAGCCATTGGATCAAAGTCCGTTTCGAGCTTTGGCGAGTACACGAGCACCAACCTCGTTCTTTGGAACAAGGTGAGTCGATCGGGTCGCCCCATGCGATATCTTGTGTCCTTCGTTCCACTGCTGACCGAGTTGCATGGACCTCGGTGCACTCCTCAGTCGGATCCGCATCAAATTTGGACCATCGTCTCTGAGTAATCATCGGGACGACTCACCATCAGCAACACCTTCAACGCATCGAATCTTGGAATCGGTGATTCCATCATGTTCATATTTGTTGTTTGATACCCCCGTCATGACCTTGTTCACCACAACATGTCGAAGTTTGAGTGCCTCACCGACGACATATTCTCTTCTCGACCCACGTAGCAGCACTCCTGTCGTTTCCCTGTGCACATATCATTCATTTATATATTTGATCTTAAGAAATTCAGACCTCTGACCGTGCGCAATTCGCACCCGATCTCTAGTCGTGCGATGCTTGACTGGATCACGTCCACCGCGAATCCCTTTGTTCTCGGAGACAGCTAGCCCCTATTACTCCAGAGCCTTTGTTCTCGTTCGCTCTCGGAAGGAGTCACCGGTTTGGCACTGAAAGCGCTTTGTTTCACTCCTTCCTCTTTATTTTTATACCCTAGACTTCGTGTCCACCCACTCGCCTCTTCTTTCGGTCTCCTGGTGCAGACCTCGAGAACCTGTATACATCCCGGAACGTCTTCAGCAATGTTCACCTTCACAGCTCTAGTCATGCTGGTGCATGCCATCCTATTCTCCCACCATGTTGAAGGCACGTCCTTTCATAACGCCGAGATGTTTTCGATCATCCGGGTAAGAGCTTATGGTCATCAAATCCGACCCTTCCCAAGCTAATGCGCCCCACCCCACTGCAGGACAACGCCGAACTATTCTCGGCCGGCGACTATTCCATCAGAAGCGCCACGACAAACAGATACCTCACTTTTCGGCGAAAAGATCGCGTTGGCCTCGTATTGCAAGACGACTACGCGACCGTTCGAATGGAACAAGATGCGCAATACGGCAAATCGGGTGATACGGAGGGGCTTTGGTTCGGCACCGTGATTTCGGGATGTGGTATGTGTGGTTCGAGTCAGTATGGATATCCAGGCGGTCAGGGGAAGATCATTGCTATGGCGGCGTATAGTTGTCGAGCTGGGGAACCGGGCCAGGCGGGTGGAGAAAAGCCACCGATACCGATCGCCAAGCGTGAGTTAGGGGTCAGCCGAGGGGGCGAAGCACCGTTTTACACAATGATCTTGATCATGGCCGCTGATTTTCTGGAGTCTTTTACAGAGTTGTTCCACTTGGTCAAATGTTCCAAGAGCTGGACAGCCGATGGCATCATCGGCAACCCCATCGAGCTGGAGGGGCAAGGGACGCAAGAGACTCCGACCCGTCGTCGCTCCCTGTACGAGGGGCCTACAGAGCCCGTGGCCCGGCATCGAGACGGGACTACTACGAGGCAACGGCACCGGCGTACTTTTGGCAGCAGCACTAGCGCGAATGGTACACGAGATGTTGTCATCGGAAAGAAACGATTGGAACGGCGAGAGCTTAAATCCGGTTGCTACTGTATGTGAGTCAAAGAACAACTTGCCAGAGGACCAGGGCCTGCAACGGGAACTGACGCCTTCGGCCATACTCATCATGGTTACGACCTACTTAGTATCGGCGAGGACCATCTTTTGGATCAGTCAGTTGAGCTCGCACCTGCAAGGAAATTTGAGACGCCTCCATTGACGATGCTCTCTGGGGCAACTCACAGGACAACTCGAGCAGTCGTTGACAAGCAGTTAAAGACATACGACACGTTCGTTGACGTGGCGATGGCGGATCTCAACTGTGTGAGTGGCATACCCTTGGGAGCGTTTGGTCAATTTGGCCAGAGTCACGAGGCTGACAATCTGGCATTCGCCCCAGTCTGATCATGGCCAGCAATGGATAGTCGAACAAGCGTCAGAGGGGAGTCCAAGCTCAAACGCGCAGTGTGCTAAAGAGTCCCCTTGAAAAAATTAAGAAGTTTTCTTGATTTTTTCTGAGTCCTGGTTTTTCTCTCTATTACAAAGAGCCTCCTCTAATTCCCTCAAAAGACAATTTAACAGCTTTCACTGAGCGACGTTTTTGGCGGGTAATACCCATTGAGATGGGTATTCCCTGGGCAACGGTATTACCCATTGAGATGGGTATTGCCCACCTGCATGGGTAATACCCGCTGGTTCGATATTACCTACCCGAACGGGTATTACCCACGTGACGATGGTATTACCCAAGCACATGGTAATACCCTTCGCTTCGGTTATTTCCAATCTCAATGGGTAATACTATCCAAAAAGTCTCAATAGGAGCTCTTTTCGGGAGCGTGATCGAGCTTAATTCACATTAGCTTACTCATTAGGTTCTGTAGCATTAATCACTAATGCGAGCTTTTTTGGCATTAGCTTACTCATTAGGGTCTGTATAATTAATTACTAATGCTCGCGTTCATATTTTACTAATGTTAATGCAGCCATTTTATATTGCATGCCAGATGATGTAGTACATATTGTGGTCTGTTTTAGTGCATTATCTAGCAAGTGTCTACCTTCGTTACCATCTCTGACCCGTAGCCGGATAGTGCGGATCGTTGGCGTCCAAATCATCCGCAGCTGCCGCGAGTGCTCCGCTTCCTCAATTCCTATCAAAGCGTTCCAACTCCTCGACTTCTTCTTCGTCCTGTCCCTGATCCTCGTCTAGTTGCTCTTGGTTTCGACCGTTGCCAAGGTCCCTCTTGTGGATGGTCTGTTGGCTTCTGTTAGGGTTTTGATCGGTCTTCTTGCTTTTTGACGGGCCCGGGCCTCTAGAGCCAGTCACCCGATGTGACCGCAAGGAAACATGTCCATTCTTCAAGGGCCGATGGAGAAGTGACTGGTCAGCACGCAAAGCGAGCGCACAGTAAAGTGAGGACCGGCGCATTTACTTACATACTTGACGACCTCTCATTGCTTCGAAGGAACAAGTTTCTCCACAAGATAGTGTTGGTGCTTGTTCTGACAGAGACGAGTCTGCACGCGTCCTTGGGATGATGTTCTTCGGGCCGTTGATAGCTGTGGGACCATTCCAGGTCGATCTCCGAAGCGGCCCATACCGCAGGACCGGGACAAGTGTTCTAATCTCTGCCACTTCTGCATCACCTACTGGGTCGAGGAATGTTACGAGTGGCGAAGGGAAGTCAGAGCTAGTCGGTGGTCGGATTCTGCTTGTTGAAATTGCCGGCGCCTACGCAGAGTCGAATGTAAGAGACTTTGTCAGTTTGCCCGTGCTTGCAAGTATACTCACAATATCATATCGCCTTTGTCTTCGTACGTACATGCCATCCGCATCGACGTACTTTCTGGCTGCAGGGAGTGGACCGAGGCGACACGTCAGCGAAAAGTTGACCGACTTAGCCCGAACGTGAAGTCAGCCCGAATCAGCCCGAATCAGCCCGAATCAGCCCGAACCTGAGCCCGAACGTGGCGAAGCACACCCTTGAGTCAGAACAATTACTCCAAGCTGAGTTCACCAGTGCCCTTCCCATTCAGACTTTGAATCCCCTCGTCCTTCCCGAATGCAGATCTGCCATTGCTGAGCTCCCGTGTAGCAGGGGACAGAAAGGTGGGTGGGAGAAGGACTGAACACGTGAACGGAAAGAGGCAAAGGGTGAAACGGAACGCGCGCGCGCGCTTTGCGCAGGCTCACATAGCTTGATTAGATTTTGAATTACTGCTCGTTAATGTGTACGACTATTGAGAAAATGTCCGCCACTACTGCGCCCATTGCTCCACGATTTTCGCTAAGTCCTTCTCCCGACTCTCCAACGTGGTCGGCGCTCAGATCGACGACATGGCGCTGTCAAACGAGACACAAGTCTCTGGCAGCGCCTCAAGTAGTAACTCGCACATTCAATACATGCGGTCTTACACATAGCCGATTTCATCGAATAGCATGGGCCAACACTTTGCCATGGCCGATTGCCAAGCCGACGCCAAAGCGGCGGAAGCGGAAGCTGTGTCTGTTGTGGGAGCGCATAAACATCAGAACTTGTTCTTCACTCAAGGTCAACATGCTTCAGGAGCGGTCGAGATCGTGGATCTGCGGTGCATCCTGGGCTCAGCTGGTCGCATACATCGGAGGGAAGTTGGTCGAGAGGAGTCTCGGAAGTACATTTTTGCCCGAAGCCCGCCCTAAATTTTTGAGCCTGGAATGATACACTGGCGTCCTTCACTCGTCTATTTCATCCACTGCCAGAGTCTAGAGTGTTACAGAGAAGCTCTAGACATCCGAGGGGTGGTATTGCGGTGGTAATAACTCCAAAATGTAATAAATACGCTGCACGTACGGTAACCCAGAGGTCGGGGGAATAACCATCTAAGCAGATAATACCCAAGTCAAAGTTACTACCCGGCTGGGGGGTATTACCGCGCCTCTGGGTATGACCCCTTCGGCTGGGCATTACCCCTTCAGCTGGGCATTAACCCTGAGCTGGGTATTACCCCTCAAGTGGGTATTACCCGCCAGCTGGGTATTACCCAGGGAGATGGGTAATACCTGTCAGAGCGTTAATGCCCGGCGGGGGGCTAATACCACGCGCCTGGGCATTACCCGTCAGCTGGGTATTACCCAGGCGCTCGGGACAATACCCATCAGAGAGGGTATTCCCGGCACAAACCGACCCTCAGTGAATTTGCTGTGGAAATTCTGCCACAAACAACCCTTTTTTCCCTGATTGATGAGACTAGAAAAGACTTGTTCATCCTCTCTTGCGAAAAACCAAAATTTTTGTATTCTTCTTATAAATAATAGTTTTGGGCGTCATCATCTCGGACCGCCCGTGCTCCCCGCCCGGCACCTTCACCCGCAACGCCTTTGTCGCCGCACCCGTCGTCGTTTCCAAAGAGGTGCTCGCCAAAGGGCGTGGAATTGCCCGAGGTTTGGTCGTCAACTCTGGGTGCGCTAACGCCGTCACGCGGTCCAAGGGACTCAAAGATGCTCGCGCCATGAGCGATCAACTCGATTCGTTCGTCGGCGAGTCAAACTCGTCCTCCGCGACGGGGACCCTTGTCATGTCGATCGGCGTGATCGGTCAACTACTACCGATCAAGAAGATTCTTAATGGTATCACCTCATCGACCGCGACGTTGGGATCGACCCACTCGGCCTGGCTCGATGTGAAAGGCACGAGATCGCTCTCGAGCCTCACTGATTCCGAGTCCAAACTGAAAGGATCAAACGGTGTAATTCGCAGGCGAAGAAAGACTACTAAAAGGACTAAGGTCAAGAGACGCGGCGGCGCCGCGCGCGAGGGCAAGCGTGAGGCCGGTTGGCTCGAGGTCGTCGTGAGGCGTAAGCGGAGCGGCGCCTTACACGATGCCCAGGGTTCCCCATTAGATAAGATAATCTCGCAGATATTAGATATCTATCTAAAAAAATTGGGCTCTGGCCCTTATCTATCTATCTCCCATCTTAGTCAGATATCTTAGATAGATGCCTAGATATCTAATAGATATCTAATCAAAGCGTCGGCGCAGCGAGCTTGCCAGCCCTGGCAGCGATCGTTTGCGGAGCCACCTCTCAGCTGAGAGTAATTTTGCGCTTCTTTGTCCGTGGCGAATTCCATACACACAAGGTCCTCCTCAGCAGTGGGGAGCTCATGATCCATCTTGCTTCAGCACAGACTCAGATTGATTATAGTCGTTTGGCGAGGTGTGAGAGTGCAAGTGAGCGAAGAAAGAAGAGAGAACGGCGCCGGGGTACATTGCGAAGTTCACAAAATGTCGCAATTGCACCTCCTTTCTTTGTGTGATTTGTGTGATTAGTAGTTGATAAGCACCCTCTGGCAGCAAAAACGTCTGAAAGCCTCAGCTCCCAAATTGGCCCGTCGGCAAGCCGTGCCGCCTCACCCGCGGTCAGCGCTTGGGCCAAACCATGCGGCACAAACATGGGGATTGAGCCGAATACGACTTGAAATTCGATGTCCTCGCTAAGGAGCAAGAACCTCCTTAGTGGAAACTACAACTTCCAGCGCAAACAGGAGTCTGTATCAGACACAAAAAAAGTTAAGATATCCTAAAGATATCTAAGGAAACCCCCGGGGCCTTATCTATCTATCTAAGATATTCGGCCCCTAGATAAGATGTCATCTATATCTTAGCGAGATATGCTAAGATAGATATCTGGACATCTAATGGGGAACCCTGACGATGCCGCAAAGGCTTTCATGACGACCGATACGTTCCCCCACCCGGTCCTTTGAACTCGGCGGCAAGGAAGTCAGGATGGTCGGCATCGACAAGGGAGCAGGGATGATCCACCCCAACATGGGCCCACCGCATGCGACACTGCTCGGCATGATCGCCACCGACGCTGCCGTCACCCCCGCCTCTCTGCAGGACGCGCTCACGTACGCCGTCGATCGCTCCTTCAACTCCATCTCGGTCGATGGCGACATGTCGACCAACGACACGATCGTTGTACTGGCCAGCGGAGCCAGTGGATCGGTCGAAATCTCGGAAAAGGCGACGCCGGACGAGTACATCAAGTTTAGGGACCAACTGACCGACTTTGCGGCGGAGTTGGCCCAGCTCGTCATCAGGGATGGTGAAGGCGCCGAAAACTTTGTCAAGATTACGGTCAAGGTGAGGAGTCGATATGTGAATGAAAAGGGACACTGACAGGTGTCGGGACTGCAATGCTCATCATGACAGGGGTCACCGACCTACGAAGCCGCGCATAAGATCGCCTCGACGATTTCTACATCCGCCCTCGTCAAATGCGCATTGCACGGCGAGGATGCCAACTGAGGCCGCATCCTCTGCGCGGTCGGGTACTCGAACCCCGGTTTCGACATCGACCCAACGAAAGTGACCGTCTCGTTCGTCCCCGTCGACGGTTCGGCCGAACTCGTCAACGGGGAACCCGAACACGTCGACGAGGCGCGAGCGAGCGAGATCCTCAAGAGCGAGGATCTGGCGATCCATGTCGATCTTGGGCTCGGGGATGAAAGCGCAACGTACTGGACGTGCGACTTTTCGCATGAGTATATCTCAATCAATGCTGGTGAGTGAGGGGTGCCTAGATCGGATCGCCCCAGCCGGAAGCGAGGTCTTGAGTATCGGAGCCTATGCGCTTCCGATTTATAAAACCCGAACCTCTCTCTGACGATGCCATGGACCTTCTTACTGGGTACAGATTATCGATCTTGATGATGCTACGTAACTCTTCGGAGCAAGCTGAGAATCGGGAGTGTACCAAAAGTGCGAAGTCAGTACGACCGACCCGGATTCCCACGCTTACCAATGACGCCAGCCCGCGCCGCCGCCGCTCGGCATCGCAGCTCCTTCGGCGCTGCGGTCTTCCCAAAAAGGAGACCCCTCGGTCACCCGAGGTCACCAAGTCGACCTGATTTGTAGCAGCAACAATGAAAAAAGCAGTGTTCTTGATGGTTGCAAGATGACACTCGTATTTTAACGCATCTGCTCGTATTACTCTGAGTCCGAACGACCCATTACTTGTGTTGCCCGTCCATGGCTCGGAGTCATTTTGAGGGGTCAGAAGATCGAGCTGATGAGCCAGGAGCGCGCCGGTCCCCGTCAAGTGCCTTCGCCTCGCACCACGTCGCACCATCACCAATTTCACCCCGCATCCACGCGAAGATGGCGACCCCGTTCCCACAAACGCAGGATACCACCATGGTAGACGCTCCGTTTGCCGTCGCCTCTGATCAAAAGCCGACCCTGCACACGCTGCAGCCGCTCGTACGCCTCCTCGTCATCTCGCATAGAGAAATCGAGTCCATTCTCGGCGAGGCCCTAGGGCATCCCCTGGCCAGGCTCACCGATGGCCAGTGGAGGTCCCTAGGCGACTGTTAGAGGTGGGGTCTGAGAGCCTAACTCATTGCTATTAGTCTTGGTTAATTCCTTATTCTGCGCGCGCGCCTATCTCTGTCTTTGCGTCTTTTTTCCTTCTGGGTTTCCTTCTCCACGCTATTCTCATCATCTCACTCGTATACCTCGGAGCTGAGTCGTGGAGTACCTCTTAGTCCTTGTCGTAATAGCGACAACAAGAACGCGTGGAGGACCTTGCTCTTTGCCCTCCTCTACCTCTTGCGAAAAGACGGCGGCAAGGCCACGTCCGGCAAGACCTTGACGAAGTTCGAGGATCCGCTCACCTCGGATGCGCCCGAGGGGTCGCAACGACGTGCTCGAGAATACGAGGACTTTCGTCGCGTATCGGGGGGGGGGGCAAGACTCGATCGGATTTTCCGGTGTAAGTGACGTATGGTTCGAGACGCCAGCGACGAAACGAGCACGAGGCTGACGGCTCGTTGGTGGCACGCTGGTACGGGTTCCCTGAACCGGTCCTCGCACAGGCGTGGGTTACCTTGAGGCAACCAGACGCAACCGCCCTCCGATCCCTGATTCCCTACACCCCCACCTGGTGGGACGACCGTGCGATGAGGATCGTCGAGGCGATTTTCGGATGGAAAGACCGAGTCTACCAAATCGTCGCGACCTTTGTCGACAGTCGCTTCGTCTCCACCTCGAATACACCCCCCCAGGACGACGATGCTGACGACGCAAACACCGGGCCACCCGCGAAAAGGGGCAAGGATATAGGCTCTTCACTCAAGTCCAGCGTCAAGAAGGCCGTTGTTGAGGCTGTCTGCGAAGCAAGACTCGCCAACTCGCCCGACGACGACGTTCGACTCCTTTCCGACCTGACCACACAAATCGCGAGTCTACACGACAAGGCCGCAAAGCAGGTACAAAAGGCGGTGGACCTCTATGATCTAGCGTCGGTGGCAACGTCTACGTTCCAAGATACCGTGCACATCATCCGCCACAACTCGCCGCGGATGCTCACACCCGACGAGCGTTCCCATCTTGCCGAGCAGACGATCTGCGACTGGATCCGAGGGGTATCACACCGCCCCCATTGTCTCTTCCCGGCCCTCCACGCGCTCAAGGTTGCGAGCGGGCACACCCGAGGCCTTGGATTGGTAAGTGGTGGCACCGCTGGCTCTCACCGCGTTTCAACGAGTCGGCCCGGCCGTCAGCGGGCCGACACGCTCCAATGCGAGTGCAGTTGCACTGACCCGATTGTTCAACCATCCGACCTCTTTGCACAGGATTTGGGGGGCGAGCTCATTTCCTGTGCAATGGAGGGCCGGGAAGAGACAATGGGGGCGGTGTGATACCCCTCGGATCCAGTCGCAGATCGTCTGCTCGGCAAGATGGGAACGCTCGTCGGGTGTGAGCATCCGCGGCGAGTTGTGGCGGATGATGTGCACGGTATCTTGGAACGTAGACGTTGCCACCGACGCTAGATCATAGAGGTCCACCGCCTTTTGTACCTGCTTTGCGGCCTTGTCGTGTAGACTCGCGATTTGTGTGGTCAGGTCGGAAAGGAGTCGAACGTCGTCGTCGGGCGAGTTGGCGAGTCTTGCTTCGCAGACAGCCTCAACAACGGCCTTCTTGACGCTGGACTTGAGTGAAGAGCCTATATCCTTGCCCCTTTTCGCGGGTGGCCCGGTGTTTGCGTCGTCAGCATCGTCGTCCTGGGGGGGTGTATTCGAGGTGGAGACGAAGCGACTGTCGACAAAGGTCGCGACGATTTGGTAGACTCGGTCTTTCCATCCGAAAATCGCCTCGACGATCCTCATCGCACGGTCGTCCCACCAGGTGGGGGTGTAGGGAATCAGGGATCGGAGGGCGGTTGCGTCTGGTTGCCTCAAGGTAACCCACGCCTGTGCGAGGACCGGTTCAGGGAACCCGTACCAGCGTGCCACCAACGAGCCGTCAGCCTCGTGCTCGTTTCGTCGCTGGCGTCTCGAACCATACGTCACTTACACCGGAAAATCCGATCGAGTCTTGCCCCCCCCCCCCCGATACGCGACGAAAGTCCTCGTATTCTCGAGCACGTCGTTGCGACCCCTCGGGCGCATCCGAGGTGAGCGGATCCTCGAACTTCGTCAAGGTCTTGCCGGACGTGGCCTTGCCGCCGTCTTTTCGCAAGAGGTAGAGGAGGGCAAAGAGCAAGGTCCTCCACGCGTTCTTGTTGTCGCTATTACGACAAGGACTAAGAGGTACTCCACGACTCAGCTCCGAGGTATACGAGTGAGATGATGAGAATAGCGTGGAGAAGGAAACCCAGAAGGAAAAAAGACGCAAAGACAGAGATAGGCGCGCGCGCAGAATAAGGAATTAACCAAGACTAATAGCAATGAGTTAGGCTCTCAGACCCCACCTCTAACAGTCGCCTAGGGACCTCCACTGGCCATCGGTGAGCCTGGCCAGGGGATGCCCTAGGGCCTCGCCGAGAATGGACTCGATTTCTCTATGCGAGATGACGAGGAGGCGTACGAGCGGCTGCAGCGTGTGCAGGGTCGGCTTTTGATCAGAGGCGACGGCAAACGGAGCGTCTACCATGGTGGTATCCTGCGTTTGTGGGAACGGGGTCGCCATCTTCGCGTGGATGCGGGGTGAAATTGGTGATGGTGCGACGTGGTGCGAGGCGAAGGCACTTGACGGGGACCGGCGCGCTCCTGGCTCATCAGCTCGATCTTCTGACCCCTCAAAATGACTCCGAGCCATGGACGGGCAACACAAGTAATGGGTCGTTCGGACTCAGAGTAATACGAGCAGATGCGTTAAAATACGAGTGTCATCTTGCAACCATCAAGAACACTGCTTTTTTCATTGTTGCTGCTACAAATCAGGTCGACTTGGTGACCTCGGGTGACCGAGGGGTCTCCTTTTTGGGAAGACCGCAGCGCCGAAGGAGCTGCGATGCCGAGCGGCGGCGGCGCGGGCTAGCGTCATTGGCACGGATGAAGCAAGAGCTTGACCTCGAGTCGCTTGATCGACTCCATCGTAAGAGCGCAATGCGAACCGAAATAGCTGGGATGGAGTCGGATTTGCAGCATAAGAACCAGGCATCCCGTAACAAACGGGATGGGTTGAAAATCTACCCACGAGAGACCATAGATAAGAAAGTAAAGGAAAGAACACAAGGCTGTTTTTGTATTTATTTATTTTGTAGGGTGGGTGGGAGGAGACGAAGATAGAACGACTATGCTTGTAAAGCGCGATTCTATTAGTACTCGGAATACTGCAAAGACTCTGAGGACTATGGCATACCTATGCTTGTAAAGCGTGTCGCTTGGAGACAAGAAGACAGCAAAGGAAACAGACCTCGGACGCTGGCACGTCGAGGGTGGGTCTGTGTAGCAAGGTAGCCAAGTCAGTCAACGTGTCCAACAAGGACAGTCGAAAGCAGGAGTACCCTAAGGTAGAGCCTGAAGGGGGGTGATGTACCTCGGCTCTTTGAGCGAGACGCAGGCGAACGGGAGAGAGGCGCAGCACTGGCAGGTGCAGGCAAAGGGAAAACAGACCTCGGACGCTGGCACATCGAGGGTGGGTCTGTGTAGCAGTGTAGCCAAGTCAGTCAACGTGTCCAACAAGGACAGTCGAGAGCAGGAGTACCCTAAGGTAGAGCCTGAAGGTGGGTGATGTACCTCGGCTCTTTGAGCGAGACGCAGTCGAACACGAAAGAGGCGCAGCACTGGCAGGTGCAGGCGGACGGCTGCATACAAAGTATGAAGCGTCAGTCAACCATCCAACAAGGAGTGTTGAAAAAAAAAAAAAGAGAGGCGTACACAGTGGCAGCTGTTCGTCGTCAACTGGTAAGGCAGAAGACTGGAAGGCGGAAGCTGTACGGTATCGCTGGGGGGGTCCTGTGAGAAGCTCTGAACCTGTCAGCCAAATGGCGGCAGGAAGAGTTCAAGGAAGGCCACTGACCTTGGCAGGAGGTGGCAGAGGTACACAGCGATACTGGTACGGCAACGGCAAGCAGTGGGAACTGAAAGGTGCGGCAGGAGCGGGCTTGGTAAACTCTTGCGCAAGTGCGGCTTACAGACCAAGGCTCGAGGCAGGCGTGCGGGGCGCGGCTTACTGCAGGAAGGGCAGGCGTGCGGGGCACGGCTTATTGCAAGAGGGGCAGGCGTGCGGGCACGGCTTACTGCTGTTGAATTCCATACACTCTTGCTTAGGTCGATCTCCAGCCCGCGCCCAGCCTAGCCAGCCGCGCGCCGCTCGGACCCCTTTTGGACTTAGAGATATTTCGCGCACTCGCACCGCGAGCCTCTTTAGTCTTCCCCCTAACGCTCCAAACTACTTCCTAACACTCGTACTGTGTCTCGTGTACTCACTGGTTGCCGATCCAGTCCCCTCTCGAGACACACGATTTAACAGGTTATGAGCCCGAGCTAAAGCTGCTACAACGATGCCTTCACCACCATCGTCACTCGCCACCATCATCATCGCGTTCGTCATCATCATCGCTCTGTACCACACCGTTGCAACCGCCCTCGCCCATGCGACCGGCCGTTACCGCACCATGACGCCACTTGACACGTCGCACCTGGACCCGACTGTGAGCGTGACAGTCCGGCCCAGCGTGAACGTCGTCGCACTCCTAGGTCGTCTACCATCGAACCGTGAGCTCCACCTTCCAAATGACACCCTTGTACTCGACTCGGGCGCCTCCCACCACATAGTCAAGGACGCGTCTCTCTTCGACGCCTGGCACACACGGTCACACGTCGCCGTTGATGGCGCTGGCGGGTCACTCATGGCACAAGGCACCGGCTCGATCACGATACGAACGTCGAAACAACGAACGATCAAGCTCTGCAACGTCTACTACGTCCCCGACCTTCCGGCCAACCTGATCTCGGTCATGCAGCTGCGACGCGAGCGCGTTTACACCCACTTTGGCAAGACCATCGAGCTCCGGTCACAAGGTCAACTCATAGGTGTGGCATCACTCATTGCGAATCAACTGTCGACACTGGACGCCACCCCAATCCGCAGCACGGTGTCACCGGTCGCAGCAGCCGCCATCCCTCTCCTGACTCTGCACCAACGATTCGGCCACCTATCCCTCCCCAACCTGCGAAGGGCAGTATCGTCGGGTCAACTCCAAGGTCAAACATGGACGTACTCGGCGGCCGAATGCAAGGCCTTCTCCTGCGACACCTGCAAAGCCGCCAAAGCAACAAGGACGCCTTTCCCAACGTCGGACTCTCGCGCTTCGCAACCACTCGAACTGGTCCACTCCGACGTCCTCACTCTGCCCGAACCCGCCACCGATGGGGAACGATACGTTGTCACCTTCATCGACGATTTCTCCCGGAAGACGTGGGTCAGCGCGCTGAGGAACAAGAGTCAGGTCTTCGACACCTTCCAGCGTTGGCACGCCATGATCGAGCGCTCGACGGGCCTCAAGCTCCGCACGTTACGAACGGACAACGGCGGTGAATATACGTCCAAAGCCTTCATCGAGTACTGCTCTCATCACGGCATTACCAGGCAACTCACGATCCCTTACACCCCGGAGCAAAACGGCCGAGCCGAACGGACGAACCGCACAATCGTCGAGGGGACGATTGCCCTGCTCCAGCACTCGGGACTGCCCATGACACTCTGGCGCGAGGCCCTCCGGTACGTTGTTGACACCAAAAACCTCAGCCCGCACAGCGCCATCGATCACAAAATCCCGGACACTATCTGGTATGGCAAACCTCCCAGCACGGCAAACCTGAGAGCATTCGGCTGCCGCGCCTGGCACACCACCCCTCGGCACAAGCGGGCAAAACTCGACCCCAAGGCCAAACCATTCATCTTCGTCGGCATCGAAAACAAAACCAAGGCCTGGACGCTGTACGACCCAGAAACAACTTCGTTCTTCCAGAGCCGCGACGTCAGATTCGATGAGAACGTCTTCCCCGCTCGAGATGCCCCGACTGGCCAACCGAAGCCTCGCACGACGTCCACTGCTGGCGACTGGACCTTCGTTGACGCTGCACATGGCTCCCGCACTGCCCCACGTCTGTCACTCCCGCCCGTCGTGCACGAAAATCGATTTGCCGCACTTGAGACCGACGCGAGCGACGACGCAACAATCGACATGTCCGATGATGGCTTTGACACCCCGTCCGACATGTCCAGGGCTCAGTTCTCGCCGTCACCTCCTGCGTCGGACGTGACCGATGACTCGGCCGACCCCATCGACTTCCTGTCATGCCCGTCTCGCGCCGCTGCCTTTGCCGCCACCACTGCAGATTCACCGGTCGTCGAACTCGAAGGGCCAACCGAGGACCCCCAGAATTGGTCGCAGGCGGTCAAGTCAGGTAAAGAGGAGATCTGGAGGCAAGTAGCAGCCGACGAGTTTCACTCCCTTGCCACCGAGTACAAATGCTTCACCCCGATTGACTCCTCCTCACTGCCCCCTGGCGCCAAAGTCCTTGGATCCAGGTTCATCTTCCGCACCAAACGCGATCAACTTGGCAAGATCACTTCGCACAAGGGCCGGCTCGTTGCACAGGGATTCTCCCAGCGCCCAGGTATCGATTACGACGAGACTTTTGCCCCTGTTGCCAAGTTCACCTCCATCCGAGCTCTCATCGCCCTGGCCGCCGCCAAGAAACTCCACGTCCATCAGGCCGACGTTGACAAGGCGTACCTCCACGGCGAGCTGAAGGAAGACCTCTACATGCGCGTCCCACAAGGTGTTGACATGCCCGGTAAAGTCCTCAAGCTCCATCGATCGATCTACGGCCTCAAGCATGCCGGCCGAGTCTGGAACGAGCACATTGACTTGACGCTGAAAAGCCTCAACTACCGCGCCACAGCCAAGGACCACTGCGTGTACGTACGACGCGACGGCGACCACTACCACTACATCGCCCTCTACGTCGACGACTTGCTGATGGTCAGCCCCTCGGAGGACGAGATTGAGCGCATCCTCAACGGCCTGGAGCAAAAATACGGCATCAAGCGACTTGGCCCAGCCCAGTACATCTTGGGGATCCAGATCAAGCGACAGGCCGACAAGTCCATCATCCTGTCGCAAGAGGCGTACATCACGAGCATCCTCCGCAGATTTGGCATGTCAGACAGCAGCCCCGCCTCCACGCCCATGGCCCCGAACCGACAGCTCGAACATTCGCTCGCGGAAACATCCAAAACTGCTCGGACACGCTACATGCAGGCTATTGGATGCCTCCTATACGCCGCCACCGGTACTCGCCCGGACATTTCCTACGCTGTCGGATACCTCGCACGCTTCTCTGCCAGTCCCACACCCGAACACTGGACGGCCATCAAGACCGTATTTCGGTACTTACGTGGAACCGCACGTCTAGGCCTGCACTACAGCTCTGAACAAGGCAAGTTCTCAGGCTTCACCGGTTACTCTGATGCAGACTGGGGAACCTGCACCACATCGTCACGGTCGACCATGGGGTACAGCTTCCACCTGGCCGGATCTGTCATCTCTTGGTCCTCCAAAGTGCAAAACCGTGTGGCCGACTCCACCACAGACGCCGATTACCTCGCCCTCTCACACGCCTCCAAGGAAGCTGGTCACCTCCAAGAACTGCTTATGGAACTGGGCATCGACACACGAGCTCCCGTCCAGCTGTACGGCGACAACCAAGGTGCTATTGCTCTCGCCAAGAACCCCACCCTTCACCACCGGTCCCGTCACATTCGCATTCGTGAGCACTTTGTACGCGACCAGGTCAGGCTGGGCACCATCCAAGTCGACTATGTGGACACGAAAACCATGGTCGCCGACATCTTCACCAAGGCACTTGGACCCTTGGTGTTCAAGGTACATCGTGACAACCTGGGTCTTCGAGGCTAAGTAAGCTTCGAGCGAGGGGGGGTGTTGAATTCCATACACTCTTGCTTAGGTCGATCTCCAGCCCGCGCCCAGCCTAGCCAGCCGCGCGCCGCTCGGACCCCTTTTGGACTTAGAGATATTTCGCGCACTCGCACCGCGAGCCTCTTTAGTCTTCCCCCTAACGCTCCAAACTACTTCCTAACACTCGTACTGTGTCTCGTGTACTCACTGGTTGCCGATCCAGTCCCCTCTCGAGACACGATTTAACAACTGCAAGGAGGGTAGAGGTCGCGCGCGCTTGAGTCCTCGGCGTCAAACTCTTGCAGCAAAAGCAGAAAAGACCATAAGCGCCAAGCCTGGCCTCTGGGCGAGTATAAAAGCGCCCCCCCCCCCTCTCACCTCTCTCTCTCTCCTTCCTTCTTCTTCGTTGATGAGTACCTCTCACATGGCTCCTCCACCACTGGGCCGTAACCGACTAGCGCATCGATGCAGCACCGAGGCGGTAGGTGGTGGAAGTCGGCAGTAGTGTACCATCAGCCACCGTGAGTTCACCCCTCCCACTCGTTGCAAGTACCACCGTCGCTGACTTGGGCCACTGCCCTCTCGTCTTGACTCGGATCGTCACCAGCCTCCGATCGCACGCTCTTGATCGAAGAGGGGCCCACGGCAGTCCTGGTCGTCTTGCGAGGTAAAAAGTTTGGGAGAGGTTTTTGGTTGTCACTGTATCGGGTCAGTCCCGCTTGTGGCCACCTCCGAGCATGTACCGCCACCGCCACCGCAGCTGCCATCATCGGCCGGACCCGACCTCGTTCGACGGACTTGGGCTGACCTTGCTCTCACCTGTACCTTTGCATGCCCGTTCATCTTCATCTACCTTCACACTTCATCTACCTTCACATCTACCCTCACATCTACCTTCACATCACACCATCTTCACCTCCATCACCATCTTCACCTCTACATCGATTCTCGTCTTCACCTTCACCCTTCACCCTTCCCCATCACGTTCGCTTCCACCTCGAAACACCTCCACCTCACCACCTTCATCCCTTGTCTTCACCTCTACGTTTGTTCCTCCCCATTGCACCTCCACCTTCGACGTGCCCTCATTTCATGCTGCTCTTTCTTTGACCTTGATCTTGATCGTCAACCTCCCCTTCACCGCACCGTCAACCTCTTGCTTACGTCATCCACCACCTCCACCTCCACCTCCACCTCCACCTCCACCTTTGCCTCCACCTCGGGATTTGGCGTCACAGGGAGCTTCCTTGTCCGCCAATTGGCAGTGCAAGACGTCATGACCGGTATCAATGATGAATCAACAACTTTGTCCACAAAAAGTGAATTTTATGCACACCAAGTGTGACTACCTACCAGTAGTTCCGTTTGCTCGAAGGTAAAGTTGCGAGCTGCTGCTAACATGCATAGTCACGCGCTGCCAGCAGCTGCTTCAACTGGCAATGCGGCGGGACAGGTCAGACTCGAGGGTGGGCATGATGGAGAGGAAGTGGGGACGTGTGGGGGTTCGCCGTGTCTGCTTTTTTAGTCTTTTTCTCACGTGCACGTGTCAGGCCGCGTTGCACAGCGACTCCGACGGGTGTCCTCTTCTTTGTTTTCTCATGGTTTGGGTGAAACAGAGTCCGAGGATTAAATGTACTGGAATGTCGAGCAAGACATCCAAGCCGAACGCAATCCTAACACCTCCTCCCAAGTCGTCCATCCATCTATGACGCAGCCCTACGTCGCATTGATACTCGGCAACATCATGGGTCTCCGAGACTTATCGGCATCGTCGTCACCCTGGATACAACCTCGAGCGTCGGAAGAAGGTCCGAGCGCCGTTTTAATTCACGCGACACATTTGCCGGTTTGCCGTCTGCTAGCTACACTCGGCCGGCCCCGGGCTTCTTCGCCGCCCACTTTGACACATCGGGACTGCGAAGGTGTGTGACACGACCGTGAGTGTCACCTCTGGAGCTGTCTACTCTGTCTGTCCCGCCAAATCGACCTTTGGAATCGTCGAGTGATGACGATTCGGCCAGGTGTCGTCCATTGCCCGGCCGGCTTCCGGCAATGCGAACGCATCCCCTAAGCTAGCCTGCAGGACGTGTTCTTCAGCGGTGACTACCCGGCCATGCAGCCGGATACGGATAGGACCCGCTGATTCTTTTGTTGCGGGTGCCGAGTACGCAAGCGGCGATGAGGCCGAGCCCTCCACCCCCGACTCGGACGGCGACACCTCGACTCGACTCGACGTCACCGCGCACACTACGTGACCCGAGACAACTGCTGTGACAACACCCACCGCAGACTAAATGTGCTGACCGAACAACTTGCGTCTCTCGAACGCCGAAAGATCCAGCCAGGATGGCGCCTGCCCAGTCCAAGCTTGCGCGAACGACCTCGAGCTTGCCCGGTGGATCGGCCTCACTGGCCGTTCCTTTACTCGTTGCACTCTACTATCTCCGGAAACGCATCACCGATGCGGCGATCAAGGCAAACCTGCGTAAGCCACCGGGAATTTTCAGCTGTGTGGTTGTGCAGCACGGTAGCTGACCACTCTTGGTCTCCGCCTCCTCACCGCCTCCTCAACCCACTTGTCTGATCCCCGATCCCGTCTTATGCCTCTAGGAGGAGCGCCTCTGACAACACCACAGCTGGAAATGGCCCAGCGTGACCTTTATAAGCCGTGAGTCGGATTTTATGACGTGTTGACAGAGCTATGTGGAGGACTAAGAGGCTCATCATACCACTGAATGTCGGCCTCCACACAGACTTTCGGGGGGCGCACGCGAGCTGCTCGTGCCTGCGAGAGGCCGCGTCTCCAAAGTTCTCATCCGACCGACGAAGCAATCGACTTTCGAGGCCCACCGACCATTCTTTCGGGCACCCAAGAACACGCCTGCTGCGAGCACGACTTCGGCGGGTACTCGAGCGCAAACGGCCCGCGTCGGGGTCAACAAGGAATTTTTCCGCCAGCTTTCGGCCATCTTCAAGATCATCTTCCCCCGCTTGACGAGCAAGGAGATCTTCCTCGTCGCGACACATACCAGTTTCTTGCTGCTACGGACATATCTCTCGCTGCTGGTCGCCAAGCTGGATGGACGACTGGTCGGTGACCTCGTCTCGGCGAATGGGAAGGGGTTCATCCGAGGCCTCGGGCTGTGGTTCGCTTTGGCTGTCCCCAGCGTGTATACGAACTCGATGATCCGCTACCTCCAGCAGAAGCTGTCCATCTCTTTCCGGACGCGTCTCACACGCTACGTGCACGATCTCTACCTGTCGCCGAAGAGCACCTTCTACAGCATCGTCAACCTCGACGGGCGAATTGAAGGCGCCGATCAGTTTGTTACGACTGACATCGCGCGGTTCTGTGACACATTGTCCGCGCTTTAGTGAGTTTCCAGCTCTCTTTGATTCCCGATACTGCACCCTGCTGACCGATGACGTTGCTCGACACTCAGCTCCAACATCTCTAAGCCCACGCTGGATCTGATCTTATTCAACATCCAGCTTGGTCGATCAATCGGAGCCAAGGGTTCCGGTGGTCTATTAGTGTCGTACGTGTTGACGGCATGGATCTTGCGCAAGGTCACACCAGCGTTCGGGAAGCTCGCCGCCATCGAAGCCAAGCTCGAAGGTGATTTTCGCAATGCTCACTCGCGACTCATCATCAACGCCGAAGAGATCGCCTTCTACGACGGTGCGAGCATCGAAAAGGACATTCTCAACCGCGCTTACTTGCGTCTGATCAAGCACGTCAACTCGATCTTCAAGATCCGCATATTGTACGGCATGATCGAGGACTTTATCGTCAAGTACATGTGGTCAGCTTGTGGCTACTGTCTCATCTCGATCCCTGTCTTCTTCGCACCCAAGCACCCGGGCGCCAAGAACTCAGTCGAGACCGCCGAAACGGACGGGAGGAAGGTGGCACAGCGAACTGAAAGCTATATTTCGAACCGACGGTTGCTGCTCTCGCTTGCGGACGCGGGCGGACGACTCATGTACAGTTGGAAGGACCTGTCTGAGCTGGCTGGCTCGACCTCGCGTGTCTACAGCTTGCTCTCGACATTGCACGATCTCGATGCAAAGCGCTACCAGTCCGTCCCTCGACCGGTCGACCTTGCCGCTTGCAAACCCTTCTACGATCTCGGCAGTGTGACGGGCAAGCTCATGCTTGAGCCTCGATCGACGGCGCTCAACGAGCCTGTCGCTGTGTCGTTCGACGGTGTGCCCATCGTCGCTCCCGCCCCTGGTATGGCTCGAGGCGGAGAGGAGCTGATCAAGAAGCTCAACGTCAAGATTCACCAAGGCGAGCATCTGTTGATCACCGGACCCAACGGATCCGGAAAGACCTCGATCGCTCGTGTGCTGGCCGGTCTGTGGCCCGCCTTCGAAGGCGTCGTAACCCGCCCCGAGGACGAGGACATCTTCTTCCTCCCTCAGCGACCTTACCTCAGTGCTGGTAGTCTGCGCGACCAGATCATCTACCCCCACTCGTACCCTGACTTCGTCGCGTCTGGACGCAGCGAGGCGGATTTGCTCGACATCCTTAAGCACGTGCATTTGGCGTACTTGCCCGCTCGTGAAGGTGGACTTGACACACGTAAGGAGTGGAAAGATGTTCTGTCCGGTGGTGAGAAACAACGCGTGAGTCCTACTTCTTTTTGGTGCCGATGCTTGGTAGATGAGGAGTGCTGACGAGTTCCATACTTGGAGCTTTCAGATGGGTATCGCTCGATTATTTTATCACTTGCCCAAGTATGGTGTTCTGGACGAATGCACCTCGGCCGTCTCGACCGATGTCGAAGGGATGATGTATCAACACGCCAAGGACCTCGGCATCACCCTCATCACCATCTCGCATCGACCCTCGCTCTTCAAATACCACCACCATCTCTTGCGTCTCACGGGAACCGATGGGGAATGGGAGACGACGCAGATTGGTACGGCGGCTGAGACGTTGACGTTCCAGAAGGAGATTGATTCTCTAACCGAGAAGCTTAGCGATGTGGATACGTGGAAGGCGCGAATCAAGGAGATTGAGAAAGAGCTCGCTTTCACTACCACATGAGATGATTGCTCATAGGGGCAATTAGCCCTATTTGATGATATGAGCTTTCCGTAGCATATTGTGTAATGAACGCATGTATTTAATACTACATGACTGAGAGGAGGTCCGTTGAATCATACAACGTCTCGATGATCGCCTGCGCCACTTCGTCGCCCACTAAGCCCATAACCCTTGGCTGCGCAAGCAACCGCACGATTTCGTTTCGGAAGGCTCTGTACAGCGGAAGGCTAGCAAAAAGGGGATGCAGTTCGTCGAGCACCTGCATGAGGTTGATCATCGCATTCCGAAGGTCGTGCGCTTCGCTGGTGTTGGCGTGGGCGTCGACGGCGTCCAGTCGATCGAGCAGATCGAGAAGCTCGAAAGCCATATCGAGGAGTTGCTCCATGATTTCAACACATACTTGCTCAAACAGATGAGCAGACGGGTTGGGATGCTCGAGGTACAGCAATATGCTGGTCAGAAAGTGACCGATTTGCGGGTATTGGAGGGCATCATGGAGTACGGAGCGAGCAAATTGGGCAACCTGTCCAAAAAAATGGCTGGACGAGTCAGAGCTCAGGTGTCCACTTCGAGCGGGATAGAGTTTTGGAAGCGAATGAACACGAACTTCGGTCCATGTGTCCACTCTGACCATGTCAGATATCTGCAGGAGATGCAAGACGATGATCTCCATGTCACGGTACGACATAATTTGCTCGACGATGACGCTGTGTCGAACGTCCATAAATATTGACGATAGTTGAGCGGCAGAGTGCCGGTCCTTGCAGTGTTCATATGTCAAATAATCATGATATACCGTTGGTCCGGCTTGGATGCACAAGAAGCGTCAAGATGTTCATTTTAGAGACTGAATCCGGAGACAGGATCTCGGTGCGACGGAGTCAGCTCACCCTTTCGTACGACCGAGAGAACCTCGGCCCTTGGGACGAGTCCGACAGCGACAACTAGTGGCCACTGTGCTCGTAGTTCGCTGACAAATCCTGGATCAGAGTCGCCAACGTAGTGTTAGCCCGAGTCGGTTGATGACATCAACCCGCCTGCCGATACGGGCTCACCGGTCGGGGTCCGAGCAGCGGGCTTGAAGCTGAGCAGAGTTATAGCCTACCGAGCGATGCGTCGCACTGTCGCGTTACATCTCGGTCAACCTGAGTCTGTGACAGCACCTGGACTAACCAACGCGATACGAAGACGGTTTCGAACGGCTGGGCTTATGCTCATCGTGTTGGAACCGCTGCAGATGGGAAGACGGTGCCGAACCGACGGCGATTGGACCGGACCGTCTCGGCAGTCTCCAGAGAGACAGTTTTCGGGCGCTCCACGCCTCAGCCAGCTCCTTTCAACCTCCACGTATACCTACCTACCTACTCGCGAAAGGGGACGAGCTTTTAGGCCGGCTATGAGAACGAAACCGTAAGAGTTGTTCTGGCTGGCGAGTTGGTGTTCACGTATCCTAGGTATTCAATACCGGAGTGAAGACAAAGTTGTACTGGCACTTAGTAGTCACACTACAATGTCTGGTCTGCTAGGAATTGCCCGCGGGACCCGAGTCAGCGGCCTGAGTGAGCCAGAGTGATCGTGATCGGAAGACTCAAATCTCAATGTCCTTTGGCAGCGGAAGCTTAAAGCTCCCCACGGCTGCGGTCTTCCGAAAGGAGGCGACCGCCTTGACCATGTCAAGATCGAGAGCAGAAAATACTGAAGATCGGGCACATGATATTTGATGGCACGATGTAAAACATTATGACGCATCTTCTCGCACTCCTCTGTCAAACGAACCCTTGCTTGGCTTGTCCTCGTTTGCTTTTAGGCTCGGAGCGAGCTTGTCGGCAGCGCGGCATTCCCAATGGTCACCCTCGTTTCTTTGCCGGTTTCTTGGTCTTCTGCGCCTGCGCCTTGCACCCACGCACCTTACACTCAGCTGGATGACGGTCAAACACGGGCACAACTGCCTCGAAGACGCTTCGAACGTCGTCCACGACGCCTTTCTCTCTCGGGAGACAAGGCTGCGCAGCGCGTTGGTCTCCCTCGCCGGCGAGATCGAGGGCAAATCACTTCTTCAAAGCCTCCGAGCCCCTTCGCATGCCGCGACAGATCCAGGGATATTTGCCGAGAAGGACCCTAGCTGATCCTCTCCACTATCTATTTACTACGCCCTACTCCGTTAGGATCATTTAGAGCTCTACTGCCTTCAAACATCAATGCGAAGCCTCGACGGACGGCGCGAAGAACAAGGAGCCAAAGCGACGTCGGGTGCTCCTCGGTGCGATCGTCACCTCGAGGAGATTGTTGCAGCGACGGCAAGGCGAATCCCAAAAGTTGTCGTGTTCAACCATACCATCCAGCATCCCAAGCTCAAGGAGACGCTTGCCAAGATTGCCAACAGCAGCAACAGCCTTCCTAGGGGTCGACCTCTGTCCCCCACCCTGCCCCCGTCATCACGAGCGACACCCTCGCCGCAATCGTCCACGGACGATCGAGAAAAACATGGGAGGGCAGGTTCGACAACGGTGACGAACCAACCCAAGTCGTCACCTTTGTTCGCTGGTTCGAGCACGGCTTAGTACTCGTCCGGCGGCCCACGAAGCCGATCCCCTCGTCTGGGCGTCGACCAAATTCGGACAGGTTTGTGACGTTACGCTATATCCCAACCGCGTCGTCCTCGTGAGCGCCGGAAGCGGAGTTTCAGTGCTTCTCGGCGCCGACTCCTCCCGTTTTCGCGCCGTGTTGTCGAGCAAGGACAGCTCCAAAACATCAGCTTGGTGGCTTTTCGTGCTCGACGCTCACCCCGCGGTGTGAAACTATCAACGATTGTGGCAAGCCTCATTCTCGAGTGCGAGTACTTTAGTGGGATCAAAGGGATCGGGCCAGCGACCCTCAAAAAGTGGCAGGCTGGCCAGTGGTTGGATGCGGTTCAGGGTGCTAGTCCAGGGTACGCCACATGAAGACCCTTCGAGAGTCTCGCGATATGATATGCCGCAATTCTCTGTTGTGCACTAAATGGGGATCTTCTCCACCGCACTCTGCCGCCCCCCTTCCGCGCCTTTCGGCTATCCAAGATCCCGAACTCCAAAGAGACCTCGCCATTGAAGTTCGACTACGTCAAGCCGAGCAGTCGACCCGCGGGTCTCGACGACGCCGTTTAGGGAGCGGTCAAGGCGTCGGGCCACCACTTGGTCGAGCCCGAATTCGAGGACGGCATAGAACGATAGAAGTGCAAACTTCAGAACTTTAAATCGATGGAGAGGAACAAGGCGACCACGGCCGCCGAAGCTCATGTCCCGTACTCGAAGCAATCGGACTCGGGCAGGAGCTGCCCTGGCGATGAAAATTCTCTCGGCGGAGTCATATACAAAGATGTCGACAATGACGGGTACGTTCGACGATCTGGTTCGAGAACCCACTTTGCCTGGAGAATTGAGGTAAGGCGCACATCGGTCTCGAAGACCCGCCGCAAAGACGACGCGTCACTGTCACCGGGAGGCAAGCGCACCGCCGGCAACTCGTTACCGATTGTCGTATTAGAGTCGGACTCGGCTTTGGTCGTCGACGTATCCGAATCGCGCGGCCACGGCATCGCACCAATGTTGATTGATGGCTGAAGCCGTACGAAGACAAAGGAGGTTGATTTGTCGTCGCAGCTTTCGGGGTTTTGTCGCACCGGGACCGGCGAGAGTGGACCGAGTCGCCACCCGCGCTTCAAGTCGACATCATGATTTTTTCCAGGTGTCGTTCCAGATCAGAATTTTGACGATTTGTTCTCAAATAATCTCCACGAATAAGATCATACGTTTGCGCGGTGCTACACTGAATGATTCTCCCGAGTCGCCGGACAACTCGATCGCGCATCGGCCTCGTCCAATGCACTTTCCCTTTGCCCTTTTGACCCGGCGACAGGGCGAGCAAGTGCCTCCCCATCTGGCGCTCTTGGTTGTTATTCATCCCGTAAGCCGAGGAGGACACCATCGATCACCGCATCATCAAGCCTTGTGTACTGATACTCACGCCGACTGTCGGATTGCGAATTATTGCAGTCGCATTCGCACACTGCCACCCCCGTCCCCGCGGCGTCGATTTCCGCGTGGCCGGCCTAGTCATTGGCTTCCGTGAACGGGCGATTGCGTCTCGCGACGGACATCATCTATCACGACGGTCTGAACGGAACACCTTTCACTGCTCGAGACACGCCCCTGCGCCTCTACCAACGCTTCCTGGTCGACGCGACATCGCCTACAGCCGACACTCATCTCGAGCCCGTCGTCTGATCGACACGCGCTCCGGAGCGCTCTGCCAGAGCCGCCGACGTGATGGCATCCCCACAGCCGCCGTACGAGGATGTACACAAGGCGCGCAACAACCACCGACGCACGCGTTTGAACGCATTGAGGGCTATGTCCCTTTCGTCGCATCTCAACGGGAGCGCCTTCGCGTTGCTCTATGTCTCCCCCGTCGGCGAGATCGAGACCTTCTCGACGCCCTCGCTGAGGCCCCACCTCGGTAGCTGGTTCAACATCAAGGTCCGCAAAGAGGCCAAGCGCTCGGCCATCAAATACTTTCGTACCAGAAGACATATACAAGGCGAGTTCGCGATCGCAAACGACTTTCGAGGCGAGTACGACGTCGAGGAACCCGAAGCTCCGACGAAAACGATCACCGGCAAGCCGAGGTGGCCGCGATCTCGCACGGCTTCGGCACGCGCGATCGTCGAAGACGACTGGGGGGGAGAGGATAGCCCCATGCTAGGTGCTGAAACGGCCTTGATCCTGCCTTCTCTTGAACCAAAGCATGCGACCGAGTCGGGCGCGAACCAGGCTTCTGCGCCGGCGTCAAGAGAGAGGGAATCCCCGCCAGACGCCGGAAGCGCCGCAAACACTCATCTGAGGACACCTGGACCCATGACCAGGCAGAACCGACCCGCACGGTCACCTTCGTCTGCGGGAGCCCGTCCTACCTCCAGCGAAGGCGGCTTTGGCCGATCCCCGTCCATGGGTCAGCTTGGCCTGGACGATATCGCTGCAACCGGGAGGAGAGATCTCGATGCCCATGGACGACCTACACCACCGCTGTCGACGTCTCCTACTGAGCTTGACGTCACATTGTCGCAGGCTTCGACCTCTCCTCGCCCTCCACCGTGCCGGCTCGTCCCCACCCTGCTGGACCCGCAGTCGATCTCGAAATGGTATCTAGGCAGATTCTCGGCGATTCCCCACGAGCAACAGTACGAGCTTTGTGCATTGTGGATACGAGCCCTAGAGCCCGATCACAAGGTCAAGTTTCCTTACAAGACCAGCGGATCGACTCTTCAACCAGCGTGGTGGCCTGCAGGGGTGCCACACAAGCCGCCATCCCGCCTGTCCGAAACAGGTGAGCCAGTGTCGGTGAACAAACCCATATAGCCTGGGGCTAACGCTGACCCTGCACATGTCATCTACGCAGAGCGAACCCTTCTGCTCGAGGCCATGATCCACTCTCATGATCGACCGTTGTACCAGCTGGAAGAGATGACCGCCCAAGATTCGTTTGCGATCTCTCTCGAGCTCGACTATCTGCTTAATGATATCTACAAAGTCGTCAAGCTGCAGAGGCGAGGGCAGAATAATGTCGAAGGTAAGGGTCGACGCTTATCATGCTAGAGCAGGATTTTGAAACCGTAACTCATGCTCTCTGCACATTTCCTCACCCGCAGGAGCGCTATTCCCTGCCTTTAGTGTGGAGGTCCTCCCCCTCGACTCGGAGGTCCTCGATTTCGTGGCTGGCGCTTTAACCGTTGTGCCGGAGGAGGAACCCGGTCGCCCGACAGGTGACGCCAACACGAATGTGCTTGCCTCCCCCATCAAGCCGAATGAGAAGAGCTCTACGGGAGGATCCAAAGGATCACGACACCGGTCCCGCAGTTCGCTCTCCTCCGCGCCATCAACATCCGCGACCACCGTCTTCGGAGCGTCACCAGCACCGCGGGCGCGGACCTTCGCGCATCCCTACGCCTTGTCGCGATCCACCAGCGTTCAGGACGTCGGCATAAACGGCCTGTCGCTTGCGACAGGGTCCCAACCGCTCTTGCGCAGTCACTCTATCAATGGCCCTGGAACTTCTCTGGACGATGCGATGGCCAACAGGGATCGCGGCATTGCGTCCAGTATGGCCTCGCGAGCCCATCGAACACCTGGTCCAAAGCAAGCCTCCGATATTGGCAACATTCGTACTTTGGAGCGTCCTTCGACAGCGACGACATCCGCTGCCTTGCAGCGCGCACTCGAGAACGGGCTGGACGATCAAGACGACGCAGCGCTCAAGTCGCCGTCTGATGGCGCGAGTGCCTCGCGGCGTTCCCACCACCGCGAGCCGGCGTTCGCCTCCCCCGCTATGATCAAATCTGCCAGCCGGAACATGGTCTTTGATTCCATACCGGAAGCTGGCGGGATGGCCCCTTCGCCCTCTCGTAGTGCACCTGTGGCAATAGTCAAGAAGCCAGCTGCGTCGAAGCCCCTCTCTCGCCAAGGCTCTCGCGCCTCGGCGGCGAAGAAGGACCGAGTACGCGCTTCGGCCCCCAAGCCGATTACAATACACCCGGCTCATCAGCTGGGAGAGCTCGCTGTCGAAATAGCTGGCGCGGACTATCCCACCCCGACGTACTCTACACCGTCGCACATGGCCCGGTCGCAGTCCGCAAGGCAGGCCTTCCAGCAGGCTCCCGAGCCCTCGCAGCAGGCCATGTCCCATCCTCACTCGTCGCAATTCCCGCAATCGGCACAATTCCAATCGTCGCATCTCGAAACCCCCACCCAGTACGGGCAGCCGCGTTACACGATCCCTCATCCTCAACAACACCAAGTCATGCACCCCGGCATGCAGTACGGGGAGTACGAAGAACAAAGAACGGCGCGCCAGCCCCTGCCCGCTCAGCAAGCGCCGAACACCTTTGTCGTGCCCGTTCCCGAGGATCCCAACGCGCGGACGCACCATCAGATTGGCTACTCGCCGCGAGAAGCGAATCGTTCTCAGATGCGACACAATCAGGGCCAAGCCGGACAGCAAGCACACTGCATTGGGACGCCGGGCTCGCAGTACTTCGAGGCTCAGGCGGGACGATCGCAAGGTCAGCCCGTCCAGCAAGACGCCGAAGGCTCTCGCTTCCAACACCACTCGCCCTACTTCAATGTTCGCATGGTCAATCAACAAACCTATCCAACTCAGCCCACGCACTATTACCACAGCGAAGCGCCAAACCAAGCCGACACGGTGCAGTACACCGGCGGTGCCATGGGCGTGAACGATTACTCGCAATGGCCTGTACATCAGCAGTCGGCCGTTGGATTAGGACTGGATGAATTCCCCGGTACCACTTGGGACGGCGCGATGTATGATACTCAGGCCATGCAGGGCATGATGCAGCAACAGCAAACGATGCAGTACGGTTTATGAACGAAACTCTGGAAGCTCCTCGGGGTCATGTTCTCGACCAGCGCGGAGTCAATCTTGTTGCGCGAAGGTCCTCTTCTCACTTTTCTTGATCTATTATATCTTATCGGCTCTCTTGTATGTCTCGCTCTTTCTTCCTTGATTGTCTGTATCCATGCGGTATTCATCTTCATCTCCATTGGGGAAGATCGTAAAATCGAAATTGTACTTGTGCCAATTCCGACAAAACGTCTCAGTTACAGTCGTCGAACTCAGTGGCATCGCAGCAACATACGCAGGGAGTTGTTCTTCCAAATCACGAGTAAGGGGTAGATTAAGAGGAAGCGACAACACAACTTAAAAGGACGCTTACAACAAATTTGGCTCTGGTACCAAGGGCACTCTACACATCGACCCAGCGATGCTTTATTGGATCCAACTTCATGCCCAACAAGAAGCCGAGTGGTCTTCAATTGAGTCCACTACCATCGGCCTGGACTTGCCACATCCAATCCTGGCCCTCTTCCTTCTCGCCCTGATCCAGCGCATCCCATTGGTCCGTGAGATTTACGTCAGTCCAACTCTGTCCCTGAAAAGCGTCAATGACATGACTCGTCTGTTGATCGGGAAGACACGGCACGAGGTGTGTCGGTAGATTGGGGTCCCGATTGGAGACGACCCCGTAGGTGTCGAAGATGTACGGCGAATATTCTTGAGCGCCATCTGAGTCCTGCGTTGCCATGTACGGCTCCACTGCGGATTGGTCCAGGGAATTGGTGTCCGAGTATTGCGATTCCGAGCTGAATTGGGTCGAGGGACGAGGATCTACTGGCGCACGACGCTGCATGGGATTGCCGTATGAGGTCGAGCCTGGCCGAAGGCGCCTTCGCGCCTCTGTGAGCTGTCGGAGACGCGTGCCAGCTCGAGGCGTGAAGTAACATGCTAGTTCGAGACCTTCTCGGAGCCTATGAAGGTGCACATTACGACGTTCAGCAAGTGATTGTGTATTGCTAGTCGCTCGATGGAAGAGAAACTGACCACTCTAACTCCTGCTCGCTCAGCTCATACTCGGTGGAGGTGGATACACCGGGCAAATCAACTCGCTGCGCCGCCATTTCCGTCCATGCCGGCAAAGTCTCAAGCTGGACCACGAGGTGGTAGACGAGGTGTTTGTCGTTCGATTGTAGGAAGAGCTGCGAGTAGAACGCGACGAGCTTGAGTGACTTGCGCACGCGAAGTTCTGACTCATGGCGCAAAGAAGCCAAGAGGGCGCTGTCCCGACGCGTCGAATTCCAGGTCGAGCGTGCGTCGGAGTGCAAGGACTGGTGAACCAGATTGATGATGTCGACGAGATAGGTGTCGGCGCGAACCCCAAGGAGAACGAACTGATCGAGCGCGTAAGGCTCATCCTCACACCCCGGTGGAGGCACGTGGACATTGACCAAAAACTGCTGCAGTTTCTGGATGCCCGCGTGTGTCTCGTCAATGAGGGCGTACAGAGCTCGGAATTCTTGCAGAGGAGACGGTGTGTTGGGACGTCGGTCTGCTGAGAGTAGAAGTGACCATCGTCAGATGGTCGAGTCATAGCGAAAAGTCGGTAAGGGGCGAGCTAAACCACGTACCGATCGCGAGGCGAGCAAAGAGGCGCTGCACGCCACACACCCATAGGCCGGTCGTCGCAAGTGCCGACTCAACAACGGATCGAGTGAGAGGTTGTTGCAGAGTCTGGTCAAGCTCAGACGCAAGCCGTTGCTCGACGAAATTGGGAAGCGCGGCCCCCGCCGGCCCAAAGTAAGATTGCAGCTCCTCCGTGCTGATGAGGCAGGGCCACATCGCGCGTGGCGCTGTCATGGCATCGTCCGCGAACAACGACGTCGATAGCCTCTTGCTCAGGTCAAACCCGGCTTCCTCAGTGTCGCTATTTATGAGATCGACGAACATCCCGACTGCATTCCGGAGCACGAATCGACTCTCTTTCGGTTGCGCCTCTTCGACTGTGTTCAGCACCGGGTGTGTCAGGGCCTATACCTCCTCTTCGCGATGGGGAAGCTCTACTCACATATGAGCAGCTGCGTCAATCCTGCCAGAGACTCCAAGTTGTCCCACCGAGGCTCGCTCAGCACCTTCCCTGCCCAGCAAATTTCCTTGGCGCGCGCCTCGAGCGCTCGACAGGCGTTCTCCCGTCGTTCGCCAGCACCGAGGTACATCGCAGGAGTGGCCGTTCCGTCCGAAAGTGCGGCCGTCGAGATGCCCAAAAGGGCCGAATGTGGTGATGTTCGAGCGCCGAGCGCGCAGAGTACGGCGACACCGAGTTGGGCCGACGGTTCCAGGTCGTGCAAGTTGGCCTGGTATTCAGGGATCCGTTCCGCAAGCGCATGCAAGGCTGGTAACCGTGAGCAGCATGCTCTCTGTCCCGCATGCATCAGGCTGATCGTTAAGGCCTTAGCGGCGCTGGGTAAGCCGAGTCGATGCTCGATGCTGAAAGGTCCAATGTTGGCGAGGCCGAGCCGCTCTTCGACCAAGAACTTGAGCAACGAGCAAGATTCCTCCAGACTGAGATTTGGGTGGAGGGCGCTATGAATAGAAGTGACGAGCCTTAATGACGCCTCACTGTTGCGATCGTCGGGAGGAAGTGGAGGCACGGGCGTCGGGACGGTCCAGGCTGGGGTGTTTGATGCGGCTGCGGGCGAAGTTTGCTTTGCGTCGTGGCCGCTGTCATATCGCTGTGCTTCCAGTTGTTGCTCCACAGTGGCCACCGCAGCTTCGAGCGCTGCCACTCGGTCCGACTCTTCCGGGTCATCCCTTTTTCGAGCCGAGGTCTGGTCCGGGTAGCTGCAGCCCTCGCGACGCTTGAGACACCGACCGCAGATGGGGAACGCTCGGTCGCACCGTACGCGACGCTCCCTGCACCGATTGCAAGTCTTGTCGCCGTAATACTGCCCCTCGATCGCACCCGGGTCGATCTCGCCTCGCCTGCGCTTAACGCCGACTCGAGCGCCCTTGACGGTGCCCGAGGCGGACATGGTGACGTTCGAAGCAATCCGACTCCCCGAGTGGGCCTCGAACGCAATGTGATCATCGTCGGGTGAGCTCTCATCTTCGGCACGAGCGACGGTGACGATCATGGTCGAAGGGTCGAGGGTGTTGTTGAGGCTGGTGCTGCGCGACTTGTCGAAACGCTCGTCCTTGCCCCTGGAGCTGACGGCGCTAGTCGCACCGGTATCTCTGCCGGAACCTGAGCCCGACCCGGAGCCGGAACCTGAGCCCGACCCGGAGCCGGAAACCGAGCCCGAGCCGGCACGTGACGTGGTGGCGTTGTTGGGAGAATTGGAAGCGACAGAGGACATGACGAGATGGCCTTGTGCTGTCGAATGCGACTGCGAGCGGGGAGGCGGCGGCGGCGATACGGCCGCACCGGGCGGGAGAGGCGGGAGGACTCGTAGAGGGGCACCACCGTCCCAAGACTGGCCCGGGTCGAAGGGTGACCAGACGTATTGGTCGGCGCTAGTCGTAGCGGTGGTGGCAGTACTTGCGAGGGCCGAGGACGAGCTGAGCGACGCTGACTGCGAGGGGATCGAGCCGGTCCGGGCGGCTGCTGGGCCTAGAGTGGCCGGAATCGACGCTGAAGCTGGGCTCCGAGTCGGATCAGCCGGCGTGGCGCTCACGCCAACGTGGTACGGCGTGTACACGAGCGTGGGAACGACGTGACTAGTCAACGTGTCGTCAGTGAAAGGTAGTGTGGTGGGTGGTGGAGGCGACAAAGTTCGTCGAGAGCTCATCAAAGCCAAGCCACGCCAGTTGTCGATCGTGATGGCTGCTTGCGCATCTGACGACGCCGACTGACAAGCAATCCACAGCCGTCTTGTCACAGTTTCACTTGGCGCAGTAACCAAGAAGCACTTTGGTCCTGATTCACGTCGTAGAGGTAGCGGCCGGATCGTCTGGCTGTGTTCGGGGTCAAAGCCAAGGAATGCTCTGGCACAGCGCCTAGCCAGGCGTCGGCAGGCTGGCCCCCGCTGCGCCTCCTGCCTCGCCCGGCTCCGGGTGACAACTTGAAGCGGCCTCAAGCGGCCGGCACCGACGGGCCCTGAGACAGCTCATCTGGACAGCTTTTCTACAAATCACGATTCTCCGATCCTCTGATGTCACTTGAATTCCCCTCCTGCACAGAAATGTGCCATGTCAATCCACATCAGCACTTGACTTCGTGTGGTCTGAATTAGCGAACTGTTATAATTAGTCGGGCATTGGCTTCAGCAATTCAGCAATTCAGCGAGCATGCTGAACCGCATGCATGATTTGAATGATCGGCCTCAACGTCCTCGACTCCTCAACCTCAACCTCTGATCTGCAAGTGGAAGTCAACGAGGTAGCTACCGTACAATTGAGCGAGACTGTTTTGGTCATATGTCACACGGCCACAATCTTGGACACCATGTTCTTCTTGTCACGCGTCAAAGTGGCCTCGGAACATTTAGTGCTAAGATTGAGCAGCAATTTCGTTTGTCACGCTTTGGCGAAGGAATCACTACAGTAGCATCACTAAAAGTCGAGTGTCTCACCGTTTGCGCCCAGAATTGGCCTTTGGATCGTTAAAATCTTGCAAGATTTCGGTCCCAATATGTCACACATTTCACAATTTTTGGGCGGAATACTACGGTTCAAATCATACGGTCGCTACAACCTCGGGCGGTAGACAAAGCGGAAGCTAACGAGGTGGTAAAGGCCTACATTCTCACACGTCCCGAAGCCCACGGTGGTTGCAACACCGCTCAAAGGTTGGTGAACGCATCCATACATAATGCCGCGAGTAAATGGTGCAATTACAAATTACGCGCGCGCGTTTACCCCCGAAGCTTGACCCATCTACCCCCGGTACTAAGGTGCAAAGTTCACCTACAAATGGTGCATTCTTCGCACAAGTTAGTGCGTTTGCTCCCGAAAAAAGGTGCGTTTACCAATTAAGGATGGTGCATCTACGTGACGTAGCTGGGCAATCCACTGTATCTCGTGTAGTATGACATGTTTCACACTGAAACTTGACGAGCTCTCTTACAAGATCATCAAGTACGTCCACCCTTGGTAAGAAGCACTCTCATCGGGATCTCATGTAGTTGAAAATCGTGCCCGTACTCCCTCCGAGTCCCCCGGGCTCGGCGAAGACCCCCACTGCAGGCATCGAAATATTCACTCTTCCTTTCACTGGGTACTACAACGGGTCAAGTGATCCGAGCATGCGTGACACTGCCCATGCAAAGTAGCCCTGCATCCACTGCACAGCTGCGCATCGCCGCATGCGACCTTGGCCAATTTGTCGGCCCGGGTGCAGTGCATGCAGTACTACTAGTGACGCGGACTCCGGCAATGATTTGTCACGTGACTCACGTCTCCGGGAGTCACTGCACTCCATCCGACTCAGCCTCCTTGCCGCAATTTGGATGCTATGCTATCCAACAGGCTAGGTTGTCTGACTCTGACCGCTCAATCTGAGGATTGCTTCGCGATTCGCCCAAACTGAGTGAGCATAGTAGTGATATCGCCCGCGGGTTTGGATACGGACCGGTGCAGTGGTCATTCGCAGCCTGCCTGACGCGTCGGGTCGCGCCAATCGACGACTTCTACTTCCGACTCATGCTCACCGCGCCACGCCAGTTCCTACCATCTGTTGCCCTCGACCGATACTCGCCTTGGTTGCAATGATCGTGTCACATACGTCATGTCCACTCAGCAGATGAATGCATCCCTCCAGAACAAGGGTGGCCGACCCCGCATTGGGACCCGACCAATCGACATGACCAGCCCACCTGCACGTGGCACCTCCCAGATGTCCTCGACTATCTCTACCCAGAAGAAAGACTCGGGCCAGCGGGAACCCAATATCATTGACCAATCTCCCTCAGTGACGCACTCCAATCAAACTTCAATGACTCCTGAGGGCTGCTCCGACGATGTCGACTCGAACGCCGACTAAGACCCCGCCATCGACGACTCCGAAGCCAGCTCCTCCGATGGCGGCGAAGAAGCCATGGATCGACTGCGCCAAGTCGTCAACCTCCTCGAAAATTGTACACCCAACCATCTACAGATGGAGTATGACACAATGCAAGCCAAACGTCAAGCGATCATGTCGTCGAACCGCCTCTGGTCGGCGGAAGAGAAAGCCGACTACGGCAATGGCCGCTGATTCTTGGCAACCGAAAGAAAGCAGACGAATGTAAGCTCAAGGACACCAGACCAATTCTCAAGCTTCCTTTGTACATAGACACCGAAGTATGTCGGTGGTGGTTCCAGGCATAAGCAGTCATTGGTGGCTAGTCGAAGTTGCCGAGTGGAAAGCAGAATTGACAACATTCTTCCTCAACAATCCCCCTCCTATCCTTCATTGAACCAACCGGAACAGGAGCATGAATGGACAGCGTGCAAATAGGAACGTTGTGTCGCCGTAGTAGAAATTCGTCACGGTGCTCCATCGATCTCTTTCTTTCAGCATCCGGCGAATCACATGGCATTGATCGAATGGCACCCGCGGATCGGCGAAAATTTGCAATCCACTTGGAATGAATCACGCAAAGAAGTGCTTCGCATATTGCACCAGTGCTCGGGCGCTTGCATGCGCTACACTTGAGACGATGGGAAAATATACTACAATGTGCGGCCGAAGGACAAAGATATCGAGCGCGAATGCTCTTCACACTTGAAGGTGAGTTGGCCAAAACTTCAGACTCAGAGATCCTTCGTTTGCTGTCTTTGGGTTCGTGGCTTTTGCGCATGCGCTGACACCCATTTCGTTACCTGCACTCTGCTTTTGTAAAATTATGATTTCAGCCAGCAATGTCTCGGGGTGACTCTAGAATCGGTCAGGAAACCGGCCACGGTTATGCGGACTATCGCTCGTCAGATAGTGCTTCGTTGTGGCAGCACCCGTAGCACTGCGTTCCAAGGTGAATCACAATCATCATGATGTGTTCAAGAGAAAGCTGTATTTGTCTGCTGATCGCATCGCTGACTCGGGTTCGTTCACAATTTACGCGAGAAGGTGTTGTCCGACTATTGCAAGAAGTGGGAGAAGATCCACCGGGTCACTCGCCATCCTAACCGGGCCATTTGGGCCAAGCAAATCAAAAGACGCGCGTACGTGTTGGACGTTGTTATACATACTCGCTTGCGGTGTGACATGGAGTCGGAAGCAAACTCTGACCCCCCCCCCCCCCCTCCCCTCGGTGTTTGACGGAGGGGACTGAAGCTCCTCCTCCAGCTCCTCCTCCGCTTTGCGGTCAGTCATTCTACTGTTGATCTCAATGATCTGATCTTAATGACAGTTCAAAGTTGCTTTATATTGAGGCTGACACTCATGTGTATGCAGACTCTGTCCCACTCGCGCTCAGGGAGAGTTTGCTGGAGCTCGAAGTAAAACCCCTGGGATCGCCCAAGGTTGAAATTTTCGCGCCTACCCCCGTCCTAATTGATCCTTCCATCGGCACGATGGACACCTCTCATTCCAATTTCGATCCTCAACGTACCACTCCGTTGGTTTCGCGAAACCCGCGAAGCTCCCCAGCACCGTCAAGCGCAACGATTGGTCTGATGCCAGCTACGCCACCAATGAGACTCCAAAGGGCCGTAAAAGGTCGACCCTACTCCCTCCCTGCCGGTGTCCGAGCCACTCGAGGTCGTTGGTTCCTTGTCAAGGTATCAAAGACGTACACTAGCCGCCCGGTCAACTATCCCTATATCCGCAAGCGCCCAAGTCCTTGCCAATCGAAGCGCAAGAGGGAAGAACCCTCTTTCCAAGCTGCACAGTTTTGCTCAAGCCTTGCACTCAATGTCGGGCTCGCAAGACAAATTTAATGTTGAAGGCACTTGCTCAAGGTATAGGCTCTTCCCAAATTGCAGCGGATCCTTGTCACCAGAACACTCACACTCACATTGGTCATGGTTTAGTGACTCCTTGAGCAGCTGCAAGAAGAGGAGTGAGATCGTCGATCCTAAGCCGTGCCATGATGAGTAGAACTGCAGGAAATGTACATAATGAGGTGATAGTTGCAGCTAGTGACCATTGCGAGAGCTCTTGGTGATGTGCTAGATAAACTAGGACAGGTTCGATGATATGAAGAGGCAATCAATGATCTTCGTTGTCCAAGTTGCTTTGGGGCTGGAAATGCGGCAAGGAATACTATACTACAAGGTGTCCCACCCCATATGGACAGATTCAGCAGCCCCAACATGATTGGTGCTCTTAGTTTGGTAAGAAGAAAAGGTGGCTGAACTGAATCCGGGGGCCTTCGCCGAACTTAACCCGGGGGGATTTGTTACTCGGTCCGGACCATGGCCGCGGCCAGGACGAGGGCCGGCCGGCCCTGCCAGTACGGGCACGATTTTCAACTACATGAGATCCCGATGAGAGTGCTTCTTACCAAGGGTGGACGTACTTGATGATCTTGTAAGAGAGCTCGTCAAGTTTCAGTGTGAAACATGGCATACTACACGAGATACAGTGGATTGCCCAGCTACGTCACGTAGATGCACCATCCTTAATTGGTAAACGCACCTTTTTTCGGGAGCAAACGCACTAACTTGTGCGAAGAATGCACCATTTGTAGGTGAACTTTGCACCTTAGTACCGGGGGTAGATGGGTCAAGCTTCGGGGGTAAACGCGCGCGCGTAATTTGTAATTGCACCATTTGCTCGGCATTAACCCATTTTCCCTTCCGGGTGCTCTCACGATTGACCGGGATCGCCAGGGTCTGGGCGCCCCTGGAGTCCGAATTCAGAGGCGATCTCAACTCTGGGGTGATCCCTGGAGCTCAACCTACTTGCTGAGACTTGACCGAGCTTGATCGACAAGGTATTCGGTCTTTCCGAGGGGTGGATCGTTGGCCTCGATGTGGGGTGCACGGTCCCCTGTCCGTTCAGGTCTTCGGCGCTCTCGGCCGCTCTCGGCCGCGCTCGGCCGCGCTCGGCAGAGGTGGAGAAGATCGAAAGCTTGAAGTCACAGCGTGGCGCACTGGCGTCATATCGATGAGAGGACTCATTCTGCCAAGCGCACACCCCGCACCCAAGTCAGCTACCACCTCGAGCTCATCGCCTCTCTCTCTTTCTCCTTCTTTCTCCTCGTCGACGCGCTCTGCACTTCTCGCACCACTTAATCTTGCCGACATCGCCCCCCTTTTCAGGAGGATACGAAACGGTGGCCTTTGTGGTGTGGTAGAGTCTGTCGTTCGATCCCTCCCACCGTCAAAAGTGTGAGTAACCACCTAGCTGTGATCGTGTTCGTGTGGCGTAGGGTCGGACTGACTCTCGTGTTTACCCGTCTCGCGTCCGTCTTTCACCACCCCACCTCCATCATCTTACCCCACCCCACTCCTCCCCTCTCCCCTCTCACCGTGATCTCTCACTTCCCACCTTGCCACTCGGACCTTACCGTCTGTCACTGCGTCACGGCCCCATCAGCCTATCCACTCGTCGACGAGTGTTGAATGGCGCCTACGGCATGTCACCGAGGTTGTTCCTGGTCCACAAGACCGCTTGCATTTGATCGTACCCCGTGAGTCTTTGCTTTGACCCTTGATGATTGATCGATGGATCGATCGTGCTCGCCGGCCCTTGACGACGGGCGAGGCGGGACTGACGATTCGATCCTCGCCTACACTCTCCAGACAAGCAGCCTCCACTGCGTTCCCGAATCGACCGATCTCCCCTGCTCGGATCGAAGGAGGTTCACGGTACCCCTAACATCAGTGAGTAGCATGTACCCTAATCCTATGGTACCAGGTAGCTTACTTCTAGTGTACGCATCAACCTCCAGCTGCACACGGTCTTCAAGCCATCTCCACCTCGGTCGACAAGGTCCCCTTTTCTTTTTCTGTTGCTTTCGAATTGGTTTCACCTCGGAACTCTTACGCTGGCGGTGCTAAGTGGCAGGCGACTTGTCCTTGTTTAGCCTAGCCAGATCCAACTCCTACATTGAGCCTCCCTCGTGAACCTTTTTCGTGTTTTGTAGTTTTTGAGTGCACGTATCGAGATGCGCATGCACCACGGATTTGAAATTCGATGCAGCTCAAAGTGCCCCGTGTCGAGCCAAAAGGGCGAGCCTGACCCGGCCGGCCGGCCATCTCTAGGCCGCTGTCCATCTTGTGCACTCCGCCTAGCCGGTACACACGACTTCACACGATGAGCAACGAGAGCATCCAGACGATTCAAGCGATCAAATCGGGTCAACGACAACGACCCGACTCGATCGCTCTCCTCGCTCGTGATGACTTCGCGTTGACCAGCCCACTCTCACCGCCCGCGTCGACCACCTCGTCCGGCGGCGCCAGTTCCGTCGATCGCCCCCCTTCAATGAGTGCCGGCGGGGCAATGCCCTCGTCACGGCTGTTTCCGATGAGGTCAGTCACGCGAGGTGTTGATGTGCTACGACGTGCAGCTGTCTACGCAACTGTCCACCGTATTGTTCTGATTACCCGCTGACACTCGACCCTGAACCTCGCATTTGTTACCACGATCCCCGTCATGGCTCAACCCCCGCCGTCGAATCGTCGATGTGCATCTCGCTACACCTTCGCTTCGTCATATCCGTGTGGTGTCCTCTGTCGATCGGCGTGTGCAACATCCGAACTCGAACGGAAATATAATCTAAATGTCTCTTCTGTCACGATGATGTTGCCGATCTCACCTGTACAGGAATGTGATGCACTACCACTCGTCGAAGGGAAAGGAGCGTGCTGCTCCGATGTCACCGGGCTCGCCTCCGTCATCGGCGTACCCACTCTTGTCGCCGGCCTTTTCCAGAGCTTCGGGGACCTCTGGTATCACCTCTTCCATCGACCCTTTTACATTCCACGCATCGGCGCCGCCGGCGATGCCGACCACGCGCGAGCTCGCGTCAAGGGCCGAGACCCCCGGCACCGCGTCGTCCGCCCAGACCGTCCCATCGGAGGGCGCGCAGTCCGACATACCCTTGCTGATGACGGCTCGGTTCGAGCATTCGGTTGCACCGGATGGGTCTCACCACGTATTGACTGGAAGGGACGGGGTCATGGAGAGATGCGAAGACGAGGTGAGTTGGACGAGCGGGCTTGTAGACAGCTTACAGGAGCTTGCGCCATCTCGTTAGCGAAATGTTGAGGCGCTGACTCCTGCGCTTCGTTTTCTCGTGCCTTGCAACTCTCACGCTTCCCCAACACAGCCAATCCGGGTACCTGGTGCGATTCAAGCCTTTGGGGTGCTGATCGCTTTTGAAGAGCAACCGGATGGCAAGCTGCGGGTGCAGCAGGTGTCCGAGGTGAGCAGGAAGGAGCGCGGAATTGCACCATAGGCTCAACCTAGGAGCCGTAGGACTGATCTGGTCGCTTCGTTGCATCATCCAACGTCTTCCGCAGAACTCAAATTTTATTCTTGGTATGCGGCCAAACGACTTCTTCCGCACCCAGTGCCTTACCAGTCTGCTGGACCCCGAAGAAACCGACGCATTGCGGGACGCGCTCGATGCCCTCGACGATCGCGACGCTGATTCTGCCAACTTGGACGAAGGGCCTATCAACTTCCAGCTCTCCGGAACGGGCCGACCTGGCTCGGCTGCGGCCGATGCCCAGGATTCGTCACGACTCGAATGGTCGTGTCATGCCGCGCTGCATCGGCCCGATCGGGTCAATCGGCCGAAAATGGCCGTACTGGAGCTGGAGTTGATGGACGACACGGTCAATCCGTTGACGACCGAGTCCACGGAGCCGGCATTGCATGAAGAAAAAGGGGGTATGGAGACGGACCAACCTTTCGAGCCGACCGAGGAGGATCTGCAAGAGAGTACGGTCTCGCTGGTCAAGCCGTTGCGGTCATTGGCGCGGATGAAACGGCAGCGCCGGGCAAAGAGGTCGCAAGCGGATGTCGACGTCGTGACCTTGCTATCCAGTATCAACGACCAGCTCTCCAAAGCTGAAGATGTTAATGTCTTCCTCAAGATCACAGCCGGTGTCTTCAAGGAGTTGACCGAGTTTGATCGCGCAATGGTCTACCAATTCGACGAGAAATGGAATGGTCGCGTTGTGGCCGAGCAAGTTGACTGGTCACGCACAAAGGACTTATTCCGCGGTCTGAACTTCCCTGCCTCCGACATCCCTGCCCAGGCCCGAGAGCTATATCGCGTGAACAAGGTACGACTGCTGTACGACCGAGACCAACCGACCGCTCGCCTGTGCTGCCGCGACGTCTCAGAAGTCGACAACCCACTCGATATGACCCACTGCCATCTGCGAGCCATGAGTCCAATCCATATCAAATATCTCGGTAACATGGGGGTGCGAAGCAGTATGTCGATTTCGATCACTGCCTTTGGGGACCTATGGGGCCTGGTCGCCCTGCATACATACGGTCGGTATGGTCATCGAGTCTCGTTCCCCGTCCGACAGCTGTGCAAGCTCCTCGGCTCGTCAATTTCGCGAAACATCGAGCGGCTATCCTACGCAAAGCGACTGCACGCTCGCAAACTGATCAACACGGCCCCGAGCGAGGCGAACCCATCCGGCTATATTCTGGCCAAGTCAGAGGACCTCCTGCTCCTCTTCGACGCCGACTTTGGAGTGCTGAGCATCGGTGACGAGGCCAAGATCCTTGGCTCTGTCGCCAATTCTCAAGAATTGCTCGCCGTCCTAGAGTACTTGCGCGTAAAGCAATTCACGACGATGCAGCACTCTCAGGACATCCGTGCGGATTACAACGACATCGACTACCCTGGTCCATTCGAGATGATCGCCGGCTTGCTCGCCGTTCCCCTCTCGAGCGAAGGCCGCGATTTCATTGTCTTCTTCCGACGCGGTCAACTACAGGAAGTCAAATGGGCCGGCAACCCGTACGCGAACAAGACGGAAGACGGGGATGTTGGTCAGCGCCTCGAACCACGCAAGAGCTTCAAGACCTGGAGCGAGGTCGTGTTGGGGAAATGTCGCGCCTGGACGGATGAGCAGATGGAAACAGCGGGCGTGCTCTGTCTCGTTTATGGCAAATTCATCACGTGAGCCGTGCACCGCGGAAAGGAGCAAGGTAGCGAGAGAAGGCATGGTGATCTGGGCTGACGTGAACTTTTATCTATACAGTGTGTGGAGGGAAAAGGAGTCCGCTCTCAAGACCAGCCAACTGAACAGTCTGCTGCTCGCCAACGCGTCCCACGAAGTGCGCACCCCGCTCAACGCGATCATCAACTACCTCGAGCTCGCGCTCGATAGTGAGGTCACGGGTGAAGTGCGCGAGAACCTTACACGAAGTCACGCGGCGTCCCGTTCACTCATCCACGTCATCAACGACTTGCTTGATCTGACGCGTACCGAGAGAGGCCAAGACCTCTACCTGCAAGACCCGTTCAACCTGTCAACAACACTGGAGGACGCCTTGTCGGTTCACAGGGCTGAGGCCAAACGTCGGGGTATCACGCTCGACGTGGTTGAAACCCCTCAGGGGACGCCAACAACGTTGCTCGGAGACCGAGGCAAGATCCGCACGATCGTCAGCAACATCGTCGGCAATGCGGTCAAGCACACGAAGAGCTCGGGCAGCGTCACAGTCGAGTGGGGCGAGATGACCGACGTGGATCTCGAGGATGCCATGGAGAAAAAGACCGACAGTATCCGCATTGGGCTGTCGATCATCGACACTGGCGTGGGTATCTCAGAGTCACGCCTTGAGTCCTTGTTCCGCGAGTTTGAGCAGGTCTCGACTGTCGGTGATGACCAGGGTGGGGAGGTAGCGTCCTCGGGGGGAACTGTCGGACTTGGACTGGCCGTTGTTGCTCGCATCATTCGCAATCTGGGAGGTCAACTGAGGGTCGAGTCAAAGGAAGGCGAAGGCTCCAAATTCATGGTCATCATCCCGTTCCGACTCCCCCAGCAGCCGATCTCCCCGCCCGGCAGCTCCACAATGGACGACGACACGTTGGCGGCCTCATCGCGAACGATGAGTATCGCTAATGGGCAAAGGTCGATGGCCCGCTCCAACAGCACTGGTTCCGCCGGGTCGAAGAATTCGGACATCGACTCCATCATCAGCGCCATGTCGAGCTCGCACATGAGCCCTGGAGCTGGCAACCATATGACGAGCGGCAACCAGCGAATGCTGCAGGCGAAAGCGTCGCGCGCTTCGAACCCTTCCGCTTCGAATCGATCCAACCGCTCTGAAGGGTCGATGCGCTCAAATCGATCCTACAACTCGACGGGCACCGTCGGGAGCAAGGCCGGGTCGAACGGCTCGATCGAAATCGACAGCTCGAACGTCGCACTACGGGCCATTCGGGTGCCGCCACCTATGCGCTCTGCACAGGAGTTGAATTTTCCGGGCGGCGAGCAGGAACGAGCGGTAGTACGCCGCGGCTCGCTCACTCGGAGTGGATCGCGCAGCGGTGTACTCGCCTCCTCCGAGGAGCACCGAGGAGAGATCAATGCCGTCCCGGCTACGACGAAGAGGATCACAAACAATCTTGCGGCCATTGCATCGCCTACTTCATCCACACGGATGGATTCTGTCGACGCTACCGCGAAACGGGACGGGGACGCCGTCAAAACCGGCGACGCAAGTCTTCAGCCACTGGTCGAAAATCCGATACACGTGAGCCAGTACAAGGCATCACCACCGGCAGTGCAAGAGGATAATGTTCCCTCGATGCGCGTACTGGTTGTCGAGGACGAGCTCGTCAATCGTATGATCCTGCAAAAGCGACTGACCAAGGATGGCCATGAAGTCGTTGTCGTCGAGCATGGCGGTGATGCCGTGCGGCTGTTCAAGGAGGACCGACAAGTGAGCCCAGTTTCTGTGTCCTTATTTGATGAGGTGTGTTACAGAAAGCTGATGAAGAAATATGCCTTGCTATCAGTTCGATTGTATCCTGATGGACCTGCAAATGCCGATCATGAGCGGTCTCGAGGCGACGCGTCAGATCCGGGGGATCGAGCTCGACGAGCCCGTCTCCCTGGCGCAGCAGAGGCCTTCGTCGATATTGAACGGCCAGATCCCGATCCTTGCCGTTTCAGCATCGCTTCCGGAACGCGAACGACCACTGATTGTAGAGGCCGGTATGGATGGGTGGTGCCTCAAACCGGTCGATGTCAAGCGCTTGCGCAAATTGATGCGCGGAGCTATCGACGCCGCTGTGCGGAGCGAAGACGTTTACCAGTCAGTCCACCATTCTCACGATTTCCTGATCCTGTTGGCATTCCAAAGGCGCGTGAACTCATACTCGAGCTTTTGTTCGCTCACAGAGCTGGCTCGTTTGAGAAAGGCGGATGGAACTTCGAAGCGCCGTCGCGCCGACCGCCCAAGCCCGACGTGGCCGACTGGGTTCAGAACCTGTCCAAGTAGTGTCGACGTTCTATTACATATATGCGAAGTGCGGTCGGCCGGTGTCTTCGGACTTTTCATGAGCATGAGGTTTGAGGGGCGTGCCCGAAGTCCTTTGCGGTGCTCAATTTTTCTTTTTGTTTGCGGAAGTTGGCGCGTAGGATTTATCTTCTGAAGTAGTCTTTTTCTGGGGCCCGGGATATTCGAGGTTTCATGTCATGTCATCTTTGTACTGTTTTTATCTCTTGACGAATTAAAATACCAGAGCTCTGTTTGAACAAGAGAAGCCGGTGGGGGAACTCGTGTTTCCTGTGCCGACGGCGCGTCAAGATCGGTTGTCGTGGATTCAGCTCGATTCGGAATAAACATTTGCGCTTCCGGACGGTTCCCCCAAGCGCCCCTGCATCGACGCCAGCCCAGCTTTCGCCCGCATCCCACCACCCGACCGCCTCACCCGCTCAATTCATCATGTCCTAGTAAGAGCCACCTTCTTCTCCTAGGGCCATCTCAGAGCTACCGCCTGTACGACTCGGTAGTCTCCCACGACCGTTCTATGGTGCTACTACATCATAAGCGAACGAGCCCCGATTCGCGCCGGGGTCACTGGCACGCTACGCCCGGTCCGACTCGAGGCTACGATCATGTCATCTCCGACCTCGACCACTTCCGACGAGAATTTTCTCCTTAGCTACGAAAGGAGCAGGATCGTACGCGTTGTCGATCCCACATTCAAGTTGGACCACGACCGCCGCTCATTGCGCTCGCTTCCGCAACGACCTCTCAACCCAACATCACCGACAAGGAAGCAACAACTGACTCTTCAGCTTTTGTTCCACTGCAGTACCATCGCCGGCAAGAAGATCCTCAACGAGTACATCGCGTGAGTCTCGCTCACCTACCTTTTGCCCGTACTTATGCGCCGCGGGGAGGCGTTTCGGAAATTGAGGATTAAGCAAGCGCGTTATTAACCATTTGCTTTCCGTCGTCCTCCCGCGACCCCGATCGCGCTTCCCTCCCTCGCATGCCCACGCCGTGCCGTCCTTCGTCATCTGATCCGGGTTCGCTCTTCTCCGACCTGTTTCCTCCGTCGTAGCCTCGGTGTCTTCGGCATGACCGGTTTCGGCGCATGGGCCGCGACGCGAGGTGGGGACGCCAAGGCGACCAAGATCGCAGAGTCGACCAGCGCCAAGCTCAACTCGTCCAGGTAGGCGCTACGAATCAAACTTTCCGTTTCCATGATCAATGTTCTAGAAGTTGACTGGGCTCTTTTTTCGCTTTTGTGATGTTTGTCCCTTTGTGATCAACAGCGAGGAGGAGGCGGCCTTTATCCAAAACTTCATCAACGATCTCGAGCACCAGGACAAGGCGCAGAACAAGCACTGAGCGTAGCGATGATAGTTCTAGTGTGCTGATTTTGGAAGAAGAACAAGATCGGGAGGGAGTTATATAGAAAGATGAAATTGGAGAAGGTCTCCGTCCAGATCTCCTTACCTGCACGGCATGAGGGTTAGGTGCTCGCGAGAGATTCTTCGATAAGGGTTGCAAAGAATCGTTATCTTTTCATTTCGAGATGCTATAAGAGAAGGAAAGCGCAGAGAGGAACACAAAAGGAAACACTCGGACTCTACTTTGTGTCCATCGGGACATCCTCCTTCTCGTACCCTTCATTCTTCCTCAGGATGACATCTGTGATTGCCAAGCGGAAATAATTAGGTTAGTGAGCATTCATCGGCGCGTGCAAGTCATCGGAAACATCGCTGCAACTCACATCCTTCAAGTACATGCGAGTAAGAGATGTACTCCTCTGTCGCCAACTCGGCACGTTCGACCTGGCCCAACCGCACCGGTGTTTGATGCGTCTGGAACCCAGAGATTGTTCTCGGTTTACCGGCTTGACCCACAACATCGACGGCGGTCCCGACTCGGACCGTAGCAGGCAAGAGTTCGCCTTCCTCGTTGAAGGTGATGAGGAAGCGAGGGTACATGGCCATGACGATAAAGTAGAGCATCCAATGTGACTTGTCGAGTATGAACTCTTTCGAATCGGTGAAGGCGATGATGGTCGCCAATAGACCCGCAACGGCGACGGGGGACATGAGGGTTCGATCGGTATGAAATGGGTTGATCCCGATTGTGCCTTTACCCATATGCACCAGGCCTTGCGCGATACGGACCATGAAGAGGCAGTCGGGTTCTTTGGCGTAGTACGATGCGAGCTGGCGCAGCATTTGTGCCAAGCGCGCATTGTTCGTTCCCGCGCCGACGAGACCCATCGCGAAGATGGCGTTGATCGAAACGGCGAGGTCGTTGTCGTGCGAGTAACGCGACAGGGTATCGAGCAACGTCAAGACCGGGTTCGAAGCCGAGATCAGACCCAAGGCCAGAGGGACCGCACGACGAATGACGGGCTCCCCATAGTGCATCAGGTGGTTGAACTGTCGGATCGCCATCTCGGAACCGACGTCTTCACCCATCGAAATGACTGCGATACCGAGCACGGCAAAGGCCTGGTGCAAATCTTCTTCCTTTTCGGCGTCAATGTGCTCGTAGCAGTGGTTTAGCATCGATTGTATCTTGAGCACGTTCCCTGTCCCCGCGTACGACAGAATCTCGACGAGCACCAAAGTCTGTTTCCCGATCGGCGCCTCGATCGCCTTGAGTGTCTCGATCGTCGCGTCCGAAGCGTCCTGTCGACTGAGGTAGAGCAACGCCAGTCCAAGGCCCAAGAAGCGACCCCACTTACTCTTGAGCTCAGCTTCCTCGCGCTCCATCATGGTCTGCAGAATCGCCATCGTCACCTCGCCGTCGCACGAACCGACAAAGATGAAGCCCAACGCGAGCGACGTCATAGCCGCGATCTCCATCGTCACCGCCGAGTCGGCGATAGCTGGAAGAAGGAGCTCTCGAATATCCTCCCGTTGTGTGCCAGCGTACGCGATACCGATACCGATAATGGCCGCAACTCGTAACGGCACCGATTTGGACTCGACATGTTCGGACAAGAGGGCGAGCGCGGCGTCCATCTCAGTTCGGATGCCCGAGTGAATCAACCCGTTGGCCAGCATCGCACCGGCCTTGATGTGTTCCTCGGTCGCGTAGGCGTACTTGTCGATCTGCGACAAGCCGACGTCCGTGTCCCACAGCAAACTGACACCGAGCGAGGCCGCGGCGGAGAACATGCCGTGGTCCTTGTTCTTGTAGATCCAACTCTGCCCCTCCTCGGCCTTGACCATCAGCTTGTCGTTGCCGAAGCCGGTGTTGACGAAGGCGTTGACAAACGTGCCGGCCAAGTTTTGACGTGCCGAGTCGACGTTCGCGGCGGCGCCGGTCCGTGATGTGTTTTCGAGGTGGGATTTGTAAATGTCCTCGAGCGACTTGGGTTCGGTGACGTTGAGCTCTTTGCCGAAGCGCTTGAAGTTCTCAGTTAGCTTGGTGTTGTTGAGGATCTCGACGAGGTCCTCATCGTCGGTTTCAATATTGACTTGTTGACGAGCCAAGAGGTACGCGAGTTGTCGCTTCATGTGACTGAGTGGGAACAAAGCAAGCCATTCAAGGGTTATGCGTCAGCATGCTGCCCCTCGTGAATATTCGCACTTCGCTTGACTCACGGGTTTGTCGGGGATTCGAAGTCCTCCTTGATCAAGTCCATGTCCTGCAACTTGAGCGAGAGCGCGATGCTCTCGGTGTACTTGCCGTGCTTGCGGTAGATCTCGCGCGCGGTTTTGAGGAAGAGTTGGTCGTCAGGAGAGATGAGCAGGTTCACGCACGAGACCATGTAGAGGCACACGCGGGCGTAGGTGTCCTTGTCGACGTGGGGTACGATGCTCGGGATCGATTCGAGTTCGAGCAAGAGATCGACGGCGTCGGCCTCGCCGTTGTGGGTGAGCAAAAAGGGGACGAGACGCAATCCGAGCTGGAGCAAGTCGTCGGTCGACTCGGTCGAGCTCTCTTCGTTCTGTCGGGCGAGGTATTCTTCGCCCAACTCGGCCGCAAGGTGACGCACGTACTCGTGTCCCCACAGTCCCGGATCCTCCTCGCTGCCGCCCTTGAGTCGGTAGGACAGCGTTTCGCGCTTGCCCGAGTCCGAGTAGGTCATGGCGAGCACGGAGAGGATGTCTGCAAAGAGGCTCTTGTCGCTGACGGAGGCCGTGCTCGAGTCGGCGGAGGTGATGCCGACGGCCTTCTTGACGTCGTCGAGCATCGACGTCGAAGGCTGGTCCGGCAACGAGGCCTGGATGGCGGCGAGCTCGGCGTAGTGGGGACGGAGGTGCTTGAGTGGTTTGGGCACCGAGGTGAGCGACGAGGTCGAGGTGCGGATCAAGGTCCGTAGTGACTCGAGTGCGGGTCGGTACAAGGACGTGTTGGATTCCTGTGTGGGGAGGAATGTCAGTCACGGGGGAGTTACGTGGGAGGTGGAGAGAGTGGGACTCGCCTTGAGTCGCTCGACGAGCATCTCGAGTTCGCTCTTGAGTGCAGCATCCTCTTCGGACTGTGAGTCGTGTACGAGTCAGTTGCTGTTGTACTTTGTTTTGTTGCAGGCTGGGTTGGTTTCGGAGCCGACGCTGACATCGAGGTCGAGGGCGAGGTCGACGCGTGGTCGGTTGCTCAGAGACTGACCAGCTCATTCTCATCCCCCTTGGCCGCCGTGGCCGTGGCCGTCGTGGTCGGATCCTTCTTGTCGTCGTCTCCTTCCGGCGACTTGCCCTTGTCATCCTTCTTGACCGGGTCCTGGGACGGGATCGGCGCGACGATGAAGGGGACCCCGTTCGGGTCTCGTTCGTCCTCAGCTGCTGGCATCGTGGATGGGGAGGAGATATGGGGAAGATGGAGAGAGGTGGGCAGAGGAGAGGGTGGTGGTGAAAGAGTCGGAGGGGATGAGGTGGGGTGAAACGCAAGGAGAGCGTGTAGAATCGAGAGAGAGCAAGCTGTTCGACGAGCACGTCGTCAGCGCCTGTCTGCGCCTGTCTGGAGAGCGCGCCCGCAGGCGCCCGCCAGCTCCTGCCAGCTCCAGCCGATTATGGCTGCCTATGCGCTCCCGCTTGGGCCTCTTCCTCGCGAGCTAGCGAGAATGGCGCAGAATGGCGCAGAATGGCGCGCGCGGCTGTGCAGGCTGGCCAGACCCGGATCGGATCCGTTGTCCGATCGAGACAGCTCTTTAGCTTAGGTCCTACAGGCCCAAGGTATCATCAGCTCTTGCTCCTCCTGAGCAACATGAGCCTCGACCCGGTGCGCCGCATCATCAGCGGCAAAAAGGCGCGCTACACCAATGACGAGCACAACCTCGACCTCGACCTCGTCCAGTTGACCGACCGCGTGAGCACTGGCTGCTGCTCAAGTACGGGCATCGTACACGACGTGCTGACTCGGAGGCTGACCACGCGCGCCGCCTTTGACTACAGGTCACCTTGATGGGGTATCCCGCCGTGGGAACTGCGTCACTCTACCGCAACAAGAGGTCAGTTCGTCAGGCGGCGAAGGAAAAAGCGACGTCATCTCTTCCTGCGCCGCCGTCTCGGCGCTGGATGTCCCCCGGCCCCCCTATCTTCCCATCTCTTCTGTCGTCCCCGGGACCGCGCACTCACAAAGCCCTGGTGGCTCCTTTGGACTCTACAGATCCCAAGTTCTCAAATACATCTCCCTCCTCCCCGCCCCGCCCTTGATCGTCAACCTCTGCCCACGCTACGAAAACTCGTACCCTGCCGACGCGCTCGTCCCCCCCGCCGATCGAGTGGTGCGCTTCCCTTTCCCCGATCATTACCCACCCCCTTTGAGTCTGCTCCCCGTTGCGGTCGAGACGATCGATACATGGATGAAGAAGAACCCGCAAGGGACGCTGATGATTCATTGCAAGGTGCGTCCGTTCAACTTCGTTTGCTCTGTTTCGGCAGGTGAGAAAAGACTCACCAGAGATCGTAACCTTGTTCTGTCACCGCGCAGGCCGGGAAAGGAAGGTGAGCATATAGTGTGGAGAGAACGCCAATCACACTCCCAGGAAATCTCGCTCAACACCAAATACCTTTTACAGATCGGGAACCATGGCCCTTTCCTACCTCTTGACCTTACCCGGTCTCCCGTCGGCACCTTCCCTCCCCACCAGTTCTTCGGACTCGTGCTCAAACGAACCCATCGACCCTTCCCCCCGCCCAGCAACTACGACGACCCATCAAACGCACCAAGAAAAACTCGCCGCCCTGATCGACTTCCACACCTCGCGCCGGATGGCCCCGGGAACGACTTCTCGAGGCGTCTCGATCGCGAGTCAGAGAAGATGGCTGGGGTATTGGGCGAGAATCTTGGATCGAGAGGATCCGAGACCGCGGGTGGTGGAAGAGAAAAGCTTGAGGACGATCAGGTTGGATTGGATTGGGATTCGAGGGAAAGGGCCGAAAGGGTTGTGGGGCAAGTTGGGTGGGGAGCGGATGGCAGTTCAGGTGAGATCCGAGCGTTCGTGAAGGTCATTCGTTGAATCGAGCACTCAGCTCGAGGACCTGTGCCACTCTTAGGTCTTCCACTACCGACCTTCCATCTCTTCCTCCCTGCGCAAAAGGGAGGTCGGACTTGACGCCGACCGCAGCGCAGACGAGATCTCGAGCCCCTTTGACGACGAGAAATGGGACGACGAGGAAGAGGACATGCTCCAAAGAGTCGGCACTTTCTCCGAAGCCCCTGACGTCGAAGCGCCTTCTTCACTGGAGGAAGGGGAAGATCTTACCGAGACGCCGAATGCTATCACACCAGCAACGACCGCGCCGTCGTCACCTCATCCTGATTCGCCTCCATCTCCCTCAAGTCCGAGCTCCAATCCAGAAGAGGACAGCCCAATCCGAACCCTTCTCCCCTCTTCAATCTACCTTCCTCCCCCGACCTCACCCTCTCTCGACGTGGCTCCTCGATCGAAAGAAGTGTCCAAGTCTTCCACGGCGTTGGAAGAAGGGATGATCCTCGATGCGGATGAGGGTATCCAGTTCAAGTTGTTGTTGGGTAAGAGTGGGAGGAAACATGGGGACTATCTACCTGCGATGGTGAGTCCTTTGTCTTCGCTGACAGGGCCCTATTCTGACAGCCCACTGAACTCGAGTGCTTTTCCGACACACAGGCAGCCCTAGGCATCATCTGGTTCATACCCTCTTTCGAAGCCGATGCTGCCGGCCAATCCCGATCGCATGTGTTCAAAGTGGAAAAGGGTTCGATCGATTTCTTGAAACCCCAATCGGGGATCCAAGGAGTCGAGATTGGGTTTACTTTCGTGTGAAGTGGTATTATGCAGCGTGGTGCTATTTTCCTTATGGAACACGTTTACCGGAATTTTTACTCGGGTCCTCGGTTGAAATATTGAAATTACGAACGTAGCCTTGTACAAATTTCGGGCAGTTTCTGGCATTCTCAGGGCTCAATCTCCTTCTCCACCAACCCCCCCATTACCCATACCATCACTCCCACTTTGACCCCCACATCCAATCCCAAACACCTTCCTCATCCGGTCCCTATCCTCTTTCCCCAATCCCAATCCCCTCCTCTCCTCCTCCCCAATCTCCACCCCCCTCAAAACCTCCTTCAAAACCTTATCCCCCTTCGCCCATCGTAATTCCCTCTCCTGCCCTTCCCAAAACCCATGCACCAATTCGCGCGTCTCGTAATGGGTCATCAGGGCCATTTTATGGAGGTGTGTGCTACGGATGGAGCAGAGGGAGGTTTGGGAGAGTGAGAGGAGGTTTTGGAGGTGCGGTTGAAGGAGGGTCGGAGTGGTCGGTTGGATGGGGGAGGGAGGGAGAAGGTAGGACGCTAAGAGGGTGGGGACCCAAAGGAGGGAAGGGATGAGGAGGTGGAGGAAAGCATCAATCTGGGATTCGTATTTTGGGCAAGTCAGCTTGAGGTCGGCCAGATGTTCCTCCACCACGACGAGATGGGGAGTAAGAAACGTACCATCATCACGTTCCCGGACCCAACATTACTCCACCTCGCATACACCTCCCCAGCAAACCCCACCCCCAGCGCGCCAACAACATAAACCCTCCACCTCTTTCTCCTCCCCTGTGAACCCATGAGAAGGATCGAATCGATCGTTGCGATGATGAGATATTTCAGGGCGATGGAAGGGAGTAGTACGAGTATGTAGTCAAAGGAGGAGGTGGGGGAACACCAGGTGCAGTGCAGGAGAGGGGAGGGGCCGTAGGAGAGGTAGAGTTCGCGCGCGTCGAGGGTTGAGAGGCGGGATAGGAGCGCATGGTCCTTTGTGTGGGGGGGAAGGGAGGGAATGAGAAAAGAGTCAGCGCAGCGGAGGTGTCCCTTTGTCTTTCTCGAACGCACCTGATCGTTCAAAGTCTTGTGCCGACTCCAAAGCTGCTGCAATCTCATTGTCGAAATCTTCAACTCGATCGGGGTCCTCAGGACGGGGAAAAACGTCTGCGATAACGATCTCGAAGGCGCTAGGTGAAGAAACAGGTTATCCGTCGGGATGAGAGATCGAGCAAGGAGGCTCGAGATGGTTACGGTCACGAGACAGAGGCGGGCGAGTTTGAGCCGAGGGGGGAGCGCGGGTTCGATGTGGCGGGTCGAGAGGAAGGGGGAGGAGGCAAGGGTATCGTTGCCGTGCGGTGGGGCGGCTTTGGGATATAGGAAGGCTGTGACGAAGCGGATCAGACGAGGGAGTAGGAAGGGGGCTAGAAAGAGCTGTCGGCGGAGAAGATCCGTTGTGGGGTCAGATACTTGCGTGGATGGAGAGGGCTGTGAGTGGGGAGACGTACGAGGAGGGTTTGGGTGAGCGTCGAGGAAGACATGGTGATGATCATGGTGTGCGCGGTGGTGGCATGGGGTGCCTAGCCGATTGTAGCCGAGTCTCTTTACTCTTTAATCTTTATGCAACTGACACACGCTGGCGACAGTGCGCTTTGTGGGGTATGTGGGCCGATGACGTGGGCGACGACCGCGGAGAGAAAGCGGACGTGACGACGTGGCTTGACGTGTATGGACCCAACCGCTCGAGGGATCGCCGAAGGGGAGTCGAACTGGAAGGGTCTTGACGAACTGGGGGGAGCGTTCTAATCCGGTTTGACCTGCGCAAGACGATGGACAGCTGGCGATCGTGGTCCAAGAACAGGAGCCGGATCAGAAAGCGACCGAAAGTGACCGGCAGAAGCGGACAAGCGTGCGAGCGGGTGCGAGCGGGTGCGAGCGCAATAGAGCGCAGTTAGAGCAGGTTAGAGCGCAATCATGTGCAGTCATGTGCTACCATGTGCGCGCGGTGAGGCGCGGTGTCTCGCTTGCACCTCCCTTGCACGAGCTTGCACGCCTCGCACACCTCTGCTACGACCCGTCACACCCGAGAGCTTGGGCTTTCTCCTCGTCTCTGCACCTCGACTCCCACAGCTCCCACTCGAGTCGATTTCTTTCTCCTCTCCTCTTTTTCCCTCTCGCCAGTCGTTGACGGAATACAAGCCATGGCATCCAAGCAAGCAGCCAAGCGCTTGAGCAAGGAGTACCAGTCGATGCAAAGGTCACCTCCTCCCTTTGTATGGGCCCGACCAAAGTCAGTATGAATGAGACTCAGGTGATCGATGACGTGCATGACGGGCGCTTACGTTGTCTCGCCGTTTCATGAACACGCACAGTGAATCAAAGTGAGCTAGCTCCGCTCCAATTGGGGTTCAGCATCACCAGTATGCTCAGTCTCGATCGATCTTCCCATAGCGTGCTCGAATGGCACTACATCCTCCAAGGACCTTCGGATTCGCCGTACTTCGGGCAAGTTCCGAGAGAGGACCGACCCCACCTCGTACGAGCCAGCTGATCCAAGTGCATCTCGATCCGTATACAGTGGTGAATACTGGGGGACGCTGCTCTTTCCTTCGGTCAGTACACGAACCAATCTCACCTTGCACCTCCGCTCACTCACTCACTCACGCTCTTTGAAACCGTGCGCAGGATTATCCCTTTGCTCCCCCGACCATCAAGGTGGGTTATGCACGAACAGGAAGCCGACGGAACGCGCCAGGCGAATTGAGTTTTCGTACCACACCCTGCAGATGATGACCCCCTCAGGACGCTTCGCCCCCTCGCAAGCGATCTGCACGAGCATGTCCTCGTTCCACCCTTCGACTTGGAACCCGGCTTGGTCCGTCAACACGATCCTCGTCGGGCTGTTGAGCTTCATGTTGGGTGATGAGATCACCACAGGTGCGTTCATAACTCGGTGGGAGGCTGCTCAAGGATATGTCTGATGGTGGTTCGAGTCCTTTACAGGGAGTGTGATGACTACCGAAGCCGAGAAGCAAGCTTTCGCCAAGGCCTCCCACGCCTGGAACATGCAAGTCCAGTCTCCACCTTCGCAATCACCACCTCTTGCATCAAACTGAAATCCCACCCTTACCTTACCTCCCACAGCCAACAACCACGTTTCAAAACCCATTTTCCCGAATACTCTTCTCCCGTTATGAAAAACCTCCCCGTGATGGGTTCTGCCGGTCCCCCTCCACCAACCCAATCGGCCGCTGTCAATCCCACGACGACGACGACGACAACAGTGTCGACTAACGGTGCTGCCCTTCCTGTACATTCCTCTTCTGCTTGTTCGTCTTCTTCTTCGAGGAACGGTACAACTCGGGAAAGATTCGCGTGATCCATGAGAAGGGAGGTCGCTGACTCATAATTCCTCCTTCCCACATTCCCAACGATCCATCTGCGTCTACCGCCACAACGAACAATCTCGACCTCAATTCCGCTCATTCAACCGCGCGTAGTGATCGACACGAAGAAGGACGAACGTAAGAGCAAGACAAGAACATGGTTTCTCTGGGCTTTCGTCGTCTTGCTCGTGTCGTGGGGCGGAATGAAGGTCTTGGAATAGACTTGAGGGTAAAGAAGAGGGGGGGGGGCTTGGGGTTAGGTTTTGTTAGAGCTGTTGTAAGATAAGAGGTCAGAATAAGCGTTTTCGTTTTCGAGAAATTCATTCCCCCCGCTCAATGTCGCCTTGGGAATTTGGAGGGATGGACTTGAGAAGTAGTGAAACCGAGCGATGTGCTCAACGAGTCGAGGGCAGCGAGGGGCCAATGAATTTGCGAACGAGTGAGAAGAAAAGGCAAAGACGCGATTAACACACAATCGAGACGCGCGTAATGCGAATTTAAGGCCAGAGTAATTCACTTCAACAAGAAGCAGCTAAGCAATACACAAAACAAACAGGCGAGACTAATCTTCCGACAGACAAACCGGTCTATCGATTCACTATCAATTCATGCGCGAAAAACCCTACCTCCATACATTCAAGCAAGATCCTTCGCGACCTGAGGCGCGATCTTCTTCCACACCTCGCACATCTCCTCCCAGACTTTCTGTTGCAACGCTTGACCTTGCTGGGTCGCGAGACTTGCGGCAGGACTGAACGCAAGAACAAGGATTGAATACCCGGAAGTGTCAGCCTAACTTGTACTGGAACCCTGAGCAAAGGCCGGAACGTACGACTTGATCTCACAAACCGAGATGTACGCTCCAGCGGTGGAGGAGGTATCCTCCACGGCGGCCCAGGCGATATTCTTGCTCCCATCTTCGGCCGTTCGAGCAGCCATATCAAGCATTTTTCTGTGCCGAGAACTTGACTCTACTCAGTGTCTTGCTCGCCAACCCAACCGAACGAAGCATCTCAGGAACTGACCCGAACACCCAACTCATCTCCTTCCTCAGCTCGCTCACGCACAAACCCGGGTTCACGACATTGACGATCACACCATCCTTCTCGAGGATACGGGCCAAGTTGTGCGCGAGGTACATGTTCAACAACTTGGTGATGTTGTAGCGATCAGTCTTGTAGAAGTGTCCGGGGGAGTTGAGGGCGTCGAGCGTCGATCCGGGGACTTTGGCTTCCTCGAAACGGGCCCAGCCATGAACTGGAAACGGAGATTCGGTCAGTTGAGCGTTTGAATGGTGGGCAGCCAGCTGTTCGTAAACTATGAGGGGTGAGACGTACCTTCTGAACCGACAATTGTCAAGTGGGTTTTGAGTCCCAAAGACTCAGGGCAGGGCGACGGCAATTTGGCAGTCTTGCGCAGCAAAGGGATCAACAAGAGACCCAACAAGCCAGTCGACAAGACGTTCGTTTGAAGCCTGATGGAGAATTTGACGAATGAGTCAGCATGTACATACTGTACGCCACTTCCTCGGTCTAAATTCGGCAAAACCCAAAGACCCTCGGGCCCGAAAAACTCACGATTCCTCCCACCCATCCTCGGTCTTCTTGAACCCAAACGTCGCGATCGCCGCATTCTCCACCATCACATCTAAACGATCCAAATCATCCTCACACCTCTTTGCAAAAGCCTTGACACTGTCGAAGGAGGCGAGGTCGAATTGCCAGACGTGGATGCGGTTAAGGTCAAAAGAGGCTTGTTCGGCGATTTGAGCTCGGGCCGTCTCGCCTTTGCTGGGGGTGCGTACGGCGAGGATTAGTCGCGCTGGGTTGAGGCGCGCGAGGTGGATCGCCGCGTGGAGCTATGGTTCATGGTAGGGTGGAGTGTAAGGAGGTCTGAGAAAAGTGATCGTATCAAGTTGTAGGTTAGGCTTCTCTGTGCGACAAGAAGGCTTACCCCTAAGCCAACGTTACTTCCTGTGATGATCACCGTTCGACCGTCGAGGCGCTGCGTCGGAGCCACGACCTTGCCAAAGAACTGTTCTCGCAACATTTCAAACATGCTTGCACGTGGCGTGAGGTGTACGAAGAGGTTGGTTGTTTGGAGTTTAGAAGAGCTTGGTTGTGGACAGTGTCGAAGAGGACGCGTAAGCTGAGTGAAGGAAGGAGGGAGTCTTTCGATGAGGTCAGCCAAAGACAAATGACCATGCGACAGTTCTCGTGCTGGCAGCGGAGTTTGAACCCGAAGCCGAAGGAGGTCGCTTATAAACCCGTACGGAGGCAGTACGGACTACGGAGGCTGTTCGGGGAAGCTCGGCGAACCCCGCTCGGCGAACCCTGCTCGGCGAACCCTGCTCGGCGAACCGAGATAAGCTCACCCCAACGTTCAAAACGGCCCAGCAAAATGTTTTTGGCCAAATTGCGCTGCTTTTGACCGCCCTACTGGGCCGGTTCGGTTCGGGATAAGTAGGATGGCCAAATGTACTGCATTACAACATTGTACTCAAATACCCTGCTCGTCCGCCTCTCCCCATAGTGATCATACTCACCTCTGCATGCATCTGCAAATGCCAGTCGAGCGACCGTAGCTTCGGTGTCGGAGCAGTCCAAGACAAACGTCTCCGGCACGAACGACGGAACCGAGCTTCGAACCCGTCGGAGCCAATTCATGATGGGATATCTGCAATGGCACAGGGTAGGGATTCACATGAGCACACGAACATACATCGGTAGCAGATCGCTTCTTATTGGGTGCTCAATAATACTGACTGAGTTTCATGAGGCGTCAACATCCACGCGACTGGAACACCTTTGCCGGCGCGCCACTGCTTGACCACGAGCGAGAACAAGTAGACCTTTGCGTGTCGATCATCCATGGCATAGCAGGTGTTGAGCGTTGATTTCGTCATGACCAGACGTTCGCATTGCTGAATCACTCGTGATTGCCATGGGGAACGCAGGAGCACCGCTCACGTCGGCCGGCAAGCGTCATCCCGGATATTCTCGCGAAACTCGCCGTGCCAACCCTCGGCGCCCAAGCGCTCGATTCAGGCGTTGACATTCTCTCGAGCAGCGGAGGCACGGGGCGATTGGGAGGGCATGTTCTGTCGCACCTTGTTGTACACGTCCCTGTATCTGACGCGAAGTATTTCCGGTACGGTCGGAGATGAGCCAAGATCGCCGATCTACGAACGAAGAAGTCAACAAGCCAGGGTCAGTGGAGTGATACATGTAATGCCTGACGCCATTGTAGGGATGCGAAATCTACTCACAGTCCTCATCTCTTCTTCGGATAGTTGCATTAACTTCAGCGTGCTCCAATCGAGCCCCTTGGAAGCAACCTCGGAAAGCCAAAGCTGAATCGGAGCCGAGAGTCGAGAGCGAAGGAGGTACTCGGACGAGTAAGGATCATGGTTGTTATGGGGCGTAATCACGACATGGTAAATCGTGGGGTTGTCACGGTAATAAGACACAGTTATCGCAGCCTTGCAGCCGCATTTGATCGACGACTTTCGAATTCGCTTTCGCATTGATTCTGCCACTGGTCTTGGGCTTCCGGCCCAATTGCAGATGTATTGTTCGAACATGACTTTGCGATGTTGACCTTTGAGACGAGTGTCGGGATCTGGGTGGACAGGAGCAGCGGTAGATGGACAGTCAATAACACAGTCAGCATAGGCATCGAGAGCAACGCGCTGTTCGACTTTCATGAGGAATGCGAATGCGACGGAGACCTACTCGGCGGTTGATTGGCTTGACCTTCGATTAAAGCTTTGCTCTTGTAGCTCTGGCTCTTGTGGCGTTGCCAATTGATGGTCGCACGTTGGCTGGCCAGCCAGTTGGGGAATTCGGCGGCGGGAACCACTGTTGTTCGTATCGAGTTGGCGTCAGGCGGCGCAACGAGAGGGCGCGTGGCCTTGTACGACATTGAAGGGGGTTTGATGTCATGATGTTGGGGGTGGTGAAAATGTTATGGGGGACGTAAGTGTATGGAAGGAAGGAAGGACACGATATGGGTTGAACAGCCTATTTCTTCATGCGCGGGTTCGACAACTGGTCGACATCTACGAGCGCAGGAAACGCGACAAACATTGCGCTTGAATCGCACGCGTGTTGGTCACGTGCTGGGCCTTGCTGGGCTACCACCTGGCGGGCGCGCGAGATAGCGAAGCCGAAACTCGAGACGAAATCAGTCCAAAACTCGCGCGCGCGGACAACAGAAAGATGGGGTGAGCGTAATTATCCAAGGCCGCTTGGGCGCTCTCGGGCCCGGGACTACGCTGCGCATCGGCTTCTTTGGCGCACGACGGGAAAGATCCGTACCTAAACAAGAGGGCGCGTTGGGACCGTGGCTCGGGGTTGGCAAAGTCCACTTTGTGGATCTTCTTGACGAGCTTTGCCACCTCGGACCTGATTCGAAGGAGCAAGCGCCATCACAGGAATTTGCGAGCCCAGGAAATGCCACTTCAGCGCCGATCATCTCAGCTCCTCTTCACGTGATACCCCTGGGCGCGAAGTCGAACGCAAAAAAGGGTCCAACAAACGAGAGAAAAAGAAAAACAATCCAATCACCAGCCTCTCGTGACTTTGGGTGATTGGACTTGCCTCCCGAGACTCCCAAACTCTCGTAATTAGCCGAAAGAAAGCAGATTAGCCGAGGGCCCTCGGACTACCAGCTAGTGCTGCCGACCAGCGTCACGATGCACGGCGAGTCTGATTTTTGTGGTGTCTCAACTGCCTTTTTGTTTGTGTTGACCGATCCGCGCAGCTACCAAGTTGTTGCGAGAAGAGATTTCCTGAGGTGTTCGGTCCGCCTCATAATAGGTTCCAATTCTCTTTTAGTTCTGTGGGAATGACGATCATGAGTTAGCAAAACGTTCAAATACCCTTGGTGAGATGGGGACTTACAATGTCCTCAATGCTCGGCTCGCCCTGCTCAACGTTGCTCACACCCAAACGGAGCTCAAATCAGCCTCGGCACTCCATCTCAACCGCTTCAAGACGACTAGTACTGACCGCTGCGGTGTCGACCAGGTCTGGTACGGCATCATCATCATCATCAGCCTCCGGTACGACCGCGTTGGGGCCCATCGAAGCGGCCTGCCCTTGCGAGGTTTGGTACGATTCGGCGATCCTTCGCAGGTTGGCCATCGCGTCGGGACCGAGCTGGGACAGGACACCGGGGACAAGCTCGGTGATCTCCTTGTCCTTGCCTTGACCATAAATGGCGAAGGTGTTGGCCGCGATCGCGTGGTGGACTGTAGTCGATCAAATTGGATTGGGTCGGAAGATCGAGGCGTGGGCGAAGGGAAAATGCGTGTGGGGGTTGCGATTGAGAGCGCATTCCCCAGACGGAGGTGCCATGGACAGTTTTGGAAACAGTTGCAGCGGGTAGCGTATCAAACATCAATTTCGAGGATGATCAAGGTTGTGATCGAGGGTGCAAGGTTCGTTCAGTGAGAAGAAAGCGGGGTACAAATAGGTCAGACAAAGGACGGCAAACCATCCAGAGGCGAGGCGAGGAAGGCACTGACCCTTTGGTGCGCTAAAGTGCAGGACACCACCATCAGCCTTGAACATGTTGACCTCCTCGACACCTGCGGTGATGGCAGACAGGCCCGAGGATCAGTACAAGAGTCTCTTGGAACAAGCGGGATTGCGTCGGGGGGGGGCGGGGGTAGAAGCCGTTTCCTCCTCGTGTACGGGCACGCAGCGGCCGGACAAGCTGTCTTCTCCAACGATACAACCATTCATATAGTTGTGGAGCGCTACTGACCCTGCATGGGTTGAACGTTGAGCTTCTTGAGGGCAGCCTGCAGCTTCTGGTCGCTTCCACCGGCGCGAGGCTTGGCCACGACCTTCCGTCGGACCGTGCCCTTTCCGCCTGTTCCAGATGCGCACATTGCATGGAGCAACATCATCGTGCGATATAATTGGTAGGTCAAGCGTTAAAGTCAGTGGGGCGTACGAGCGGGACGACGGTAGGATGCCCATTCGAGGGTCGCATGCGCAGAGGGACGGCAACGGGAGCTCGAGCAGGTGCAAGGGACGAAAGAGACAGAGACCAGCGCCAACTGACCAAGACGGAGAGCAGCGGTCTTATCTTGCAGCTTCTTGAGCGCCTCGGGATCGAATGTCGACATAATTGATGGTGGTGGGTAGGTCACAAGGCTGTCGACGTGACGCTTGGCCCGCCGCCCTCCCTTCCGCTCCCCCGGGCTCCAGAGGACCCGGGAAAGCTCAGCCCAATGTGCGTCCGAAAAAACGGCGATTTTTGGCCGATTTGTACATCGGGATGAGGTGTCTGAGGGGTCGATTTGTACCTATTTTCGGTCGTACATTGGAAGAGTTCCGAAACGTGAAAAATTCAATGTCGTGAAATTGCTCAAAAATCGCTCTCCAACAGCCAGAAATACGAAAAATCGCTCTGACGACCCGGTACTAACGTCGCGTCCGCTTTGACAGCCGGCCGCTTGGACCCTGCGAAGATCCCGACCGCTTATCGGCTCCGCTCCCTCCGTCTGCATTAATACCCCTCTCCTCGCCAGCATGCGCAAGTTCCTTTCGAATCGGGGCCAACGACGCTACAAGGACCCCTTTGAAGCTTTGCAGCTGGTAATATCGCGCTTGTGCCTGTGGGTCCAGGACTCGCCAAGTGTGGCCGTCGAAGCCAAAACCAGCTGGGGGCTCAACGGTCTGCATGCTCGAGTTGTAAGTGTCAAGGCAGCTGACGGCCCGGTGACCATTCAAGAAGAAGATTCGAGCTTGGCCGCGGCTGTTGCGATTGGTGAAGACTCCGGAACTGGCTTGCGTAGGAAAGAGCTCCTGAATCACAATGTTGGAGACGAGTCCGAGGGATTCGGTGCTCTCAACACTGCAGTGAGGCATTGCTGGTGACGGCTTTGTGTAAATATAGCGCACTGTGGTGCATGCAGACGCCGACGTGATGAGCAACTTTTCTCGATTGCAGTGAAGGGGTTCGAAATGCAACAAGCAAGGCGCTTGCCAGCTTGATGTACGCGGCGTCGCGTTTGTCATTGACCTCAACATTGCTTAGCCAATCAACGTTATCCAAGATGGTTGACTTCAGCTGCTCGACAGAGTCCAGATGTTGCCAGAATGCTTCGGAACCGATTGGCATGTGTTCCACTATCGACGTGCAAGGGGATCGAACCTCGATGGATCGATAGCCGGAGGCGTACAATTCTCGAAGATTGTGAGCTTTGTTGAATAATACACGGGCGTTGCTATCGGGGCGAATCTGATGCTCATGGAATGTCGGCTCGAACTCGGATACGGCGAGGGTTGCGGTCAGGTCAGGCCGGGTAAATTCGAACGCAAGAAGCTCGCCGACAATGAGCTCGGCAACAGGAGACATCGCGGCGAATTGCTCATCTGGAATCTCGAGCACGTCGTCTAAGAGCACTTGAATTGGTGCATCTGGAGGGGCTGCTGTAGATGACATGCTGTCCTCTTAACCCTCAGCAAGGGCACGCAGGGAAGTGCGCAGAGGGTAAGATGCTCGCGACGTGGCACAAGGTGAGGGTGGTCAGAGCACCTCGGGCAGACATAAAAAGTACGCCTCAACAGGCGCGCGCGCAGCGCCCTCCCACGCGCCTTCCAAGCCACAATCCCGGCGGGTTGCAACCTTGCTACCCCAGGTAGCAGATTAGGCCCAGGTTGCGCCCAACTCCCTGCTTCGAGTCGATTCTGTGTACACACAACACTCTCACAGCTGCTAGATTGATAAAGAAAGTGCGTAGTAGATGCATTCCTTCCTTCATCTTTTTCTCGCATCTTTCGGATGTCGTCAATGTCACGTGTCCGAAGCGGTCGCGCGCCGGGATTTCGGTCCCGAGATCGAAGGGTCCGAGCACACGCGTTGGCTGCAGCTGGCCACGCGCGAGGGACCTTCCACTTGACTTGCCGCCTCACCTCGTTGCTTCCGCTACAGCTCATTGTAGCGTCGCCATTGACCGTACAGGCCCCATGGCTCGCGTTCGTCCTCTTGCTCATGCACTTGAGTTGGCGTCGCCATGCCGCCGAAGAGAAGATACAAGTCCAAACCGTTGGTCTACAAACTGCAGGTCACCCTCTGTGCCTCCGAGTCGCGGTGTGCTAAGGACGTCGAACGCTTGGCCCAACTAGGGTTCATCTCTTCGACCGCTTCAATGCCGATGACCGCCTTCTCATTTCGACTGGTCGAGCAGACCCACGCGAGCTGGAGGGTCACCCCCCGCGCTCTCACCGGCTATGCGGACGGCCTCAAAGAGTATTACTCCCGTTGTGGGTGGGTTCGGGGTCACTATACAGGACATCCTTGGGTCAGTTTGGACGCCGCCATCGTTTCAGGGGCAGATGCTTAAAGCCTGCCTTCCGCGCATGCAGGACAAAGACCTTCGGAAGCAACGCGATCGACGAGTACCGCGCTCTCGAAACATGCGAGCAGGACAGCGGGGACCTTCTCGTAGGCACCGTCGATTCGTTCCAACAAGGGTCCCGCGTGCTTCGGGCCAACGTGACTTAATCAACCTTGTCACGACGTCCCATTGGATTGCGTGCTTGCATACGACGGCAACTTTCGGCAAACGCGTGACAAAACTTCGAAGCACGACCAGATCGTTCCGGACATTTTCTTGGGTGAGGAAGAGGTTCAGGCGATGAAGGCCGAGGTTGAAGCTTCGGTGCGGCCGACCAAAAAGGTGAGTAATGCCGCTCTTTGCATTTGCCTTAATGGGATCGCTTACCTCTACACCCACCCAACCCTCGTAGGCGTGCACAGAGTCGTGGAAGGCTGCCGACGACGGAGCTGGCTCAACCTCGTCACGAGTAGTCGACACTGGACTCGTTGCCTGCGTATGCCGTCATGATGTAAACCTGAAAATGGTCAATCTTGAGAGGTCTGGTGAAAAGAGAGCGCAGAGCTGTCTGGTTGGGACGTAGTCGCTTCCGCTTTCCTCTCCCAGTACTAATGCGCATATTCCCCTCCGACCGCTCAGATTATACTATGCGCTTGCCATCCTCAAGTGCATCTCAGAGCGCCTTCCTGAAAACGCCAAGATTGGAGTCTTATACGACATTGCTTGTAACTTCAAGCACCACATTGAAAAGGTATGCTTCGATCACGACGCGTCCCTTCCTCCTCAGTCTCGTTGGCACAGACCAAATGCGCCTACTTTCCTATCATTTGTCACCCGAGGCAGCTCCTGCCAAAGCTTTTCAAGCGACTGGAGTTCGCCACGAGCGTCTTCCATGCATACGCCCATATCTGGTCCTGCCAAGTCGAGTTCAACCCCCGCCTCATTCCGAACTTCGGGTTGACTGATGGAGAGGGCTGTGAGCGATTGTGGAGCGGGCTACGGTCGCTCGTTCCGAGGAGTAGCAGCTGTGCGCGCCAAGGCTCGAGTCGGTGAGGAGGAAGCGCGGATCGGCGCCGAGGTGCGGCAAGCTTTGGCTTGGATCGAAGATGAAAAGACTCGTATCACTAGTTGCCAAACACTTTAGACTAAAGTGTCGGGTAAGTTTTCGATACAGCGTGCTCCATATCACCTCTTATGTCGCCCTGACATCTTTCAAACCATCCCAACAGATACCCTTTCTGAATCGATCGACCCAGCTGATGCCAAGTCCATATTCGGCACTGAAGATGTTGAAGAGATCCGAGACCGCGCGCTCATTTTACTGGATCGCCGGATGGAGCTTCTTCAGTTGCGCGAATGTTCTTGGTCCCAGAACGACCATTTCTTCGATGTTTGGCTCGACACTCGCGGGCAGTCAGAGGGCGATTCCGAGCCCATGCCTCCTGCACTGTCAGAATTTCGTGGTTTACATCAACGATTGAACGCGACGGGAAGAAGTGTCAAGAAGGCGAAACATCACCAGCTACCTGCACATAATCGATCGGGAACACGCGGTCCTATGGAGACATCTGGCTCGACGACTCGGCGCGGCCTCCATCGCTGGCCCGTGACGTTCAGCAAGTGCGGGGCATTCAGGCGCAGATGGATATGAGCGACGAGGCTCAACTCGCAAAGGAGGTGGGGCCTTTCTCCGCATAACTCCTCGAGCAGGACGGTGAGATGGGCAGCTCTTCGGATGAAAGCTACGGCGATGACTTTGCTGGTCAGGAAGACGAATACTTCTCGGGCGTTTAGACCAGCTTCTGATTTAGATTGAATTGGTGGAGCAAGTTAATGTTGGAACAATGGACATGGTCTTTGAAAACTAAAGTCGTCTCAATTGCGGTGGGTGAGAGTAATATCACCGTCTCAGAGACGTCTCAGAGAGAAATATTGTCAGACCTAATCTCTGGGCTGCGCCTGCCTTACTCCTGCCGGGTGACTTGCCGGGTGACGTTTCAGTTAAAGCGCATGCAAATGCTCGAGTACCTAGAATGTCTACCACATGAAAATGGGTGAGTGGGTTTGGTCAACATAGAGAATGTATCTCCCACCCTCGGACAGGGTTGAATAGCAAAGTTGGCATGTGCGTGCAAGCCCTTCTTCCGAACAAGATGGCTCGGCGGCTCTCTCTCTCTGAGGATTCCCGCTCGAAGGATTCGACTTCCTGCCATGGCGCGGCCAAAGACCCTTTGGACCGATCCCGATCCCTGCTACTGAGCCTTGCGCCTGTTATAAGAAAAGCTTGGTGTCAAGATCTCAAGATCAAGTCTAGTCTATGCTTGACGGGGGCAGAAGTGCTGACAATTCATTTTAGTGCGGCGAATGCAAGAATTCTCTCTGCTTTGAGCACTCACCATGTGGCCTGAGGATTGGCGGCTTACCTCATTGATGAGAGGGAATGTTTATCAAGTAAAAGGTAGGTATGAGCGGCCATCGATCATGTCTCGGAGTCAAGTGAGGGTTTCGCTCCAAGAGCCTGTTACAAGCCTAAGCCTTCCATGTTTTCACCGAACCTATGATCGAGTTCGACCCACCTCTCATCAAGCACGTACTTTGTCGCTACTTCGCTACTTACGACTGATTACCTACGTGTTCCGCTCCGCTTGCGCGTTCAGGGGCTCAGATCAGTTCGCATTCTTCTGGGAGCGCGCGCCGCTTGAAGTCAGCCGGCCGGGGGTCGTCACCGTGGCCCAGCAGCTCTGATTGGCACTTTGGCGAAGACCGAGCCCGGCCAGATGTAACCCTTGCCCGTTCACTTTAGTGCTAATAGATCATAAAAATATGCTAACATACACTGCAATTAGTGGAAGCGCGTTGCGAATTCTGTTCATTCATTCTTTGCTCAAAGAGTCACTTCCGGAAAGCAGACGCTCCGTCTGGACCACGGGTCAGGGAGCACTCCATTCTCACTAGGCAATTCAACTCTACATAATACTTCGAAAACAACCCAGAACAAGAGTAATAATGTTTGTGAGCAGGATTACGTCACTGGCACATCCCACGTCAACAAGGAGAGGTCGATCTCGAGCGGCCCAGGGGAAGATTAGGCACGAAGGGCAACGAACAATCACCCTCTCCGCCTTTAGTCACCAAGAGCCGGATGCATATGAAGCAAAACTTTGAAATAAATATTGTGGTGGCCTGTGTTGTCCAACGAATGTTGGCCCTTCAACAGCCAAGATCTCCGCACCGCATGCGCGTCGACGAGTCTGGCTGGCGCTGAGAGCTCGGCCATCGTCACCTCACTCGCTGTCCTCGTCGGAGCTCGTGTTCCGAGTCCGCCGGTCAGCATCGCTGTCGCCGCCTTCATCGCCGTCGGCCATTTTCTGTTCTGCACTTGACCCGATTACCTCTTCCTCCAGCCTGAAGCTCAGCTCGCCTGCACGCAGCAATGGGATGATCCGATCCAGGTCTGGTCCCAACAACTTAAGCTTGCCACTCGGGCTTCGGAAATCCGCTTTGCGAAGGAGCGCGCCGCGCTGAACAATGATTCTGGCGTTGTCCCTGAGGGCCTTTACGTCATAGACGAACTTGGGCGAGGATCTTCTCGCCGTCCAGCACGGAGCGTCGGCGCAGCGCGGACTCTGAAGACAGCGAGCCGGGTCAAAATTAGTCACCGTGTATGGAAGAGTAGGCAGGCTGCACATCTTGTACTCACGGAACAGTTCTTTGAGGATGATGCTGTACCATTGGAATTTGGTCTCAACGTTCTTGTCAGCCACGGGTGCGTTCCAAGCTGTGCGCAGGTATTCGCTGATACACCCCTCCCTCCTGATGCGCGGCCTCCCTCCTCGTCTTGGGAAACTTGTGCGGCCCGCGACTTTTGGCGATCGCGAGCGGAAGGTGCAGTATTTGGCAAACCTGCCGCGTCAAAGACAATACCCGTGCCGTCAGGATTGTAACCTCCTTGTTCGACCATGTTTGCGAGATTGTTGCTTGCTGGCGGAGCTAGATACGGGCCATCGATGCGTCCAGGATGGGAACGTGGGACGGTAAACTGGTTGGTTGGACGAAGCAGATCCCGGAGAAGATTGATAGTTGTACGACGCAGGATTCGAGATGGCCGTTACGCCAGCGGAAGTGGACGCTGGATCGGGTGCACGACGGTGTAACGTCAGAACAGACCGATACTGTACGCGATCGACGCGACGGCCACCCACGGACCCGAATAGTCGTTATATGCGGACTGGTAGGGAGTCCAAGGCGAGGTGCATGACTCGTACCCAGAGGCAGCATATGAACCTATGTGTCAGACGTGATCGTGAGCCGGTAGTCCAGTCAGAGCACCCGTGTCGATCGGCGGCAAACATACTGCTGTTCGTCGCCGGAGCGCCTGCGATTCGGGAGGTGGTTAAGTTGATTGGATTGACTCGTCATGATAGGAGCAGCAGAAGTATGACTAATCCGGTGTTTCGAAGTGGGCGTTCGTTTCAGACTGTCGCAAGACGGATGCTCATTGTATAGTTCGTTACTTCGTATACGTAGTAGGGGGCGATTGGGCAAAGCAGAAGAATGGGCGGTATGCGCGAGCGCGACGCGTCGCCGCCATCTCCAGCGTCTCCGGAGTCGTGACGCGTCGACGTCCCGGCCATCCCGGCCCCAATTGTTCCGCGCGACCCGTGCCGAATCACGTGTTCGAGGTAGAGCGCCTGTTCAGCTTGCAGAGGACAACAATAACTCTCGAAAAATCTCCAAAAATCCGAATACACTATTGTTCGCTGACTGCGCCTTTGTTCCCAGGTCTTCGATGGAGTCGTAGTGGGAGTGAACGTCTCGGCAACTCGACATCGAGGAGGGCATACCTGACCTGGGCCTAATCTGCTACCTGGGGTAGCAAGGTTGCAACCCGCCGGGCTTGTGGCTTGGAAGGCGCGTGGGAGGGCGCTGCGCGCGCGCCTGTTGAGGCGTACTTTTTATGTCTGCCCGAGGTGGGTCAGAGGCTGTCAGGGGGGTCTATTGGCATTTGTTTCACTTCCAGCGCCCTTGATTTGGTGAGCGTCTGTGAGCTCTCTGAGCGTGAGGCGCATTTTTTTGCATTACAATCGGCTCGCGCGTCCAATTTCATTCAAACTAATGGACCGCCAGCTGGCCCGCGGCGCGCGCCTACTGATCCCAGACCGCCGCCGCTGATACGTGCTCGGCCATCGGCCGAGCAGGGGACGACCAGGGAGGTGCGAGGTCGGGGTACATCGATTTGTACCACATCCAGGACGTACATCCAAGATCTGGAGTGCCACATTTTTCGATTTGTACCACTTTTGAGTCGCAGTTTGGGGTTCAGAGGGTCCGATTTGTACATTTTCGGGGACGCACATTGGGCTGAGCTTTCCCGGGTCCTGGCTCCAGCTGCAAAGGGCCACTTGGTGCATGCGCGTGGGCGGACTTTTGAGCTCGGGCCTCTTTTCCTGCTCGGCCGCCACGGACGCAAAGAGCGCGAGGCCCCTCTGCCAATCCTTCTCGGCAGCTCGAGAGAAATGGTCTCCTGAACACGTCCCGGCGGCGAGGAGCACTCGACAGACCGGCGCTCGCACTCGCCGAGCTCACACGGCTGATGAGCGCTGGGCCGTTTTTCTTCTGCACTGCACTCGCTACACCTCGCACCAAGCCATGACAAGCTTGTGGAGCCGCAATCTACGAGATGAGGACGACTGTGGGTTTGACCTCGACTACTATATCACAGCTACACCTGCCAATCCTTGGCATCAGGTGCCACCACCCGTCGCCGCTTCATTCTGGCCGGTCGCAGCCGCTTTGTCTGTCCCCGACATTGCGCCGCGAGCTCGTCGCAACCACCTCCTGACCGGATCGGCTTCAACTTCCGCACGGCAGCGGACCGTCGTACCGTCGCAACAAACCCAAGATGTCGTTCGTTTTTCGCAGCTGCCAACTGATTCGGCTGCCATGTCGGTTCCGTCGACGGCTTCGCATCGATCTCCGTTGAAAAACCTGTCACCCTTTCAAATGGTCGTCACGGCCGTGTCACCTCCGAGTCGTAATTCTTACGCCGATCGAACCGATGCCACTCAGCGGCCGTACCGGTATGCGACGGCAAGGACCGGCGATGGGCATCTCAAGCCCAAACCTTCACTGCACTCCGAAAGTTCAGCCAGGATAGACCCAATATGGTCTCAAGCACATTTATCGAAAACCAGCGCGGTCCTCCGAGTCGAAGATCGCTCTCAGGACCCCGTTCGTACGACCTGGTCGTCGCTGTCAACATTCTCGCAGAGTATGCCCATGTCTCTGACCCCATCACAACCAGCAACCGCAAAAATACCTCGTTTCAATACCCAAAATACCCAATCGTCATCCTCAACCCCGCTCGAACAAGAGGTGGTAGCTCCGACACCCATCCGACTTACACCACCGACCCAAGTAGTTGTCGATCAGAACTCGGCGACCGCCGTTCCATGCGCAACCCCGAATCGACTAGAGCAGTCAGCTCCTAATCCGTCATGGCTCGAAGAAGCGTTGTACGGACCACCCTTTGGAGCAGACATCACTTCGAGCTCTCAAGCCCCTGTCACGGGCCAAAACAGGGTGACCACTCGCAAAGCGAAAGTTTCACGCTTCAAGCGGATCGGGAGCGTGTGGGTGAGTTGAGTCGATTTTTCCTTTGCGGCGGTGACGTCACCCGACAGATTAGACCACACCCAGGCGATTATCACTCAGTTTTACTGACATCTGATCTGTAGACCCGTAAAACAACCGCCGCTCCTGCACCGGCGCACACCATGGTCGCACCCTACCCACACGACGGGGAATCCAAGCCGTCACCGACGCCCCAAGCGATTCGAAGACCTTTCAAACAGAGAGGTAATCGACACACGCCACCGAGATCCAGTCAGGCATGATCCAAGGTGCCAAATATATTCGTATACGCTCGACTGGAGGGCGACATTTGCCAATCGAAAACATCGTTGCGCCGGCGCTCCCATTCGGAGGAATTTTGGGGGCCCCACATAGTCCCACATGCTCGATCGTTGGCAGTCGTTGGCGCGGCCATCGACTGCCTAGCCTTGGCCTGGGCGATCCTCGGCTGCTTCGCTCTTCCATCCATTCTCTCATTCCCTTCCGCACCCGATCGTGAATCGTTATCCCCTCCATCATGCCATGACTCGCCTTTGAGACAGTGGATGCCTTCACCTCAACCGCGTTCGCCGGCAACCCAGCGGCCGTGATCGTCCTGCCGAAGCAACAGACCCAGGAGATCGATGCGACGCAGATGCAACTCATTGCACGAGAGTTCAACCTTAGTGAAACTGCATTCGTCTGTGCATTGAATGACGAGGTCGAGGTCAAGGATGGCGAGGTCGATTATTTGATTCGGTGGTTCACTCCGACGGCAGGCAAGCTTAAATGACTCTTGACTCATTCAGCTGCGACTCAAGTACTCAAGACTGAAGGTTTCTCACTCAAGTTGCTGACTCGTTCGCTGATACTTCTACATGCTTATTTTATGATCAAACAGAGGTCCCTCTTGTGAGTGATGGTGCCACAAGTTCACCTCGGCACAATACGCGGCGTCTTCAATAGGACCTGACCCTGCCACTTGCTCGCTCCCTCTCTCCACAGTGCGGTCACGCCACGCTTGCTTCTTCGCACTGCCTTTTCACAAAACATTACTCCGGTGCGTGACAAATCAACTTCAAGACGCTCCATTCCGGAATCCTGACGATCCAGCGCCGAGCCGCCGATCGCATCGAGCTCGACTTCCCCGCGGACGTCAGCAGTCATTCTCGAACGATCCCCAAAGATTCGGAGCGATGGTCCCCGATCATCAAAGCGCTTGGCAAGGCTTTAATAGTGGGAGTTGAGCCTCATGTAGTTGCTATGTCTGATTCTGTTACCGGTCCTTTGATCGAATTTTCGGTCGATGGCATCAACCTCGAGACAGCCAAGTGGAAACCCCAGGCTTTTGTGAGTCAAAGTTTCGATAGCCGGATGGGATCGGACGATTCGTATACCCTGCAAAAGCTGATGGTAAGATTGACCTGAGAATATCCAGACGGCAGAGGTGTCTACATTCCTAGTCATCGTCACACAACCGGCGTTGAAAGGAGAGCAACAGGATGTCTCGTCTCGAGTTTTCCGGCCTTTGCTCGGTGTGCCCGAAGATCCGGTGGTGCGTACTCCGAGTCCTCCTAGTCCTTCACTGTGAGGGATAACCTTCTTGCAGATACATGAGATCGCCTATTGCCATCCCGATCGGGACATCACAGACCGGCTTTGCTCACACTGTCCTCGGTCCCTACTGGGGCAAACCGAACGCTGCGCCTCATGCTCGCCTCCTCGCTGCCAAAGGACTGACAACATGGTCCAAGGATTCGCTGGAGTGCAAACAAGTGAGCGAAAGAGGTGGGACGTTGGTTGTGAGGTGGAAGGAGGCAAAAGCGGATCGCATCGCTTTGGAAGGGTCGGCCAAGACGGTAATGAGGGGAACGTTAGAGTATTGAAAGGTTTGAGATTGCATGTTCAGGCTCTTTGCATGTTATAGCTAGACAGAAGGGCGTCTGCCCAGTGCTCGAACTTGTGAAAGATCATTTTTATGAAACTCAAGCAGCATACACCCTGTCGACATCGATTTAAGTAATTCCAGCCGGCTCTCGCTCAGCCCAGGGGGTGCTTGCTCGCTTGCCGCGTTGTCGACAAGCTCGGCCGCTCGCTGCGTCCTCGACCTCGCTCCCGCCTCGAAAAACGATCGAGATGCACGCGATCCCAGGAATCCTTGTCCCCTTGCTTCTTTGTGAATGTGCTCTGGCCCTGTCGCTGCGATCTTATCTGCAAGCCGAGCTCAATGGACCGTCTGAGCTGATAGGTCGTCATTCTATGCCGTCATCCGGACGGGCCGGCGAGGCGCAAGACCGTTTCCGACTCCCCGACGTGCCTAAGCAAGACGGACCCAAGATGACGAGCGCCGAGTTCTATCCGTTGCTACCGCCAGCAATTCCACTAGCAGTCAAATCGCCTTGTACGTGCTAAGCTGTGGTGTACGCAGTGGATATAAGTGCCTGGCATCCCCGCGGCTGCAGTGTGGGGGGCGGACGGTCCAGTGTGGGGCTGTCAGCTGACGTCGGACGAGGTGTCTAGTGGCTGCAACCTATCAGCGTGCTAGCAGTATCCGGTCACTGACTATTCTATCGTACATCTCTCAACTCTGATCGCTGTCAGATCTCAATGCCTGGCTCCCAACGGGCAATGATCGCCAGGACGCGGGCCACCTAGCCGGGCACTGGCCTCGCTTCTGGCCAATTTCGTACCCGCACACCGAACGAGGCTACCGTCTCGGCTGGTCGGGGATGATCCGCATCGACTTGAACCAAACCTACGTCTTTCTCGGCGATCCTGGTTCGACTCCGGGCTTGAAAGGATTGAAGGTCCGTCATTCTATAGGGGTTTGTCTTGGCAAGGGCGGTTTGGCAGGTTGACTGACTGACTGACATGATGGTGGATCCTCCAGATGGCCGTGCAAACCCGGTTCGAATATACAGCAAGTCGGTCGATCTTCTCCTTCAAAGCTGGAGGTGTTCACTTCAATGTCACCTTTGTTTCGCCCATCACCCCCGACGACCTGATTTCGATAAGCTTGCCATTGTCCGACTTGGTCGTCGAGATCGATAGCAAGAGCCTCAAGCATCATCATGTCGAGGTTTACACGGATATCACAGGAGAGTGGGTCACGGCCGACTCCAACGCTCCAATAGTGAGACGCGGCCCTTTTTGATATCCTTTCTCGTTTTACAAGTGACTTACGAAGGATCGATTTCCGTGCGCAGACATGGGACTTTGTCCATCATTCTGCAGCAGGCATCCACCTGGTCCGACGCAGGGATGAGCTGCTTTTTGAGGAGATCAACGAACAAGCTGAATGGGGAAGTGCCGTGTATGCTACCGAAATGGTGAGAGCTCTGTTGCGGCTAAAACGTCCCCACCAAAGATCTTTTCTGATGTTTACTGTTTTCATTTCTTGCGGGTACAGTGTCATTCCACTCGAGCGGGCTCCGGTCCCGCTCGTAAACTCAGAAAGGAGTTTGCTGAACAAGGGCGCCTCAGTGGTGCGCTTGACGCCCAGTATCGTGCTGTGAACGATGACCAGCCAGTTTTCGGGTTTTCTGCAATGCCGAGCCCTCAGAAACCAAGTGTCACCTTCACGATCGGTCACATGCGAACACCTTATGTTGTAAGCCCAACCCTGAGCCTAGGGCGTCGCCTTTCCGGCTGCGCACCCACAGCTGATCCCAACTCTTGCAAACTTTGAACTCTAAACAGAACTATGTCACAAGCGAGGGTCAAGTCAACCTCGATGGATATTGGATGACCCAATTCCCCACCTTCACCGACGCTGTTGCTGGGTGGATAAAGAATGGCTCTGCCATCCATGCCGCCGCCACATCTTTTGACCACAAGCTTCGGCGAGATGCGATCAGGGTTTCGGGCAAAAACTATGCCGCAGTTGTGGAGCTATCGGCCCGCCAAGCATTTGCTACGTTCGAGATCACATCTGGGGGCAAGGGCGAAGGCGATACTGTGGCTTTCTTGAAGGAGATCAGCTCGAATGGTGACATGTCGGTAAGTTTTGGGACAGATCTAAGGAACCAACCATGTACAGGCAGCTTATCATCATCACATGTTCTTGCAGACGGTGGACGTCATCTTTCCTCTTCACCCAATCTTGGCGTACGCCCAGCCAAGACTCATCAGACTGCTACTCGAGCCCTTGCTGCGGTACGCGACCAGCGGCCTGTATCCAAATCAATGGCCGTGTCACGACCTGGGAACGTATCCAAACGCCCGCGGTTACAACGATGGCAATGATGAGGCCATGCCCGTCGAAGAAGCGGGCAACCTGCTGTGGATGGTGTTGGCCTATGTCCAACTGTCGCACGATGTTGAATTTGTCGAGGAATACTACCACATCTTGACACAGTGGACGGCATTCCTGATCCAGGATGGTCTCATCCCTGCTGAGCAATTGAGTACCGATGACTTTGCGGGTGAGCCAAACACGTTTCGGTCCCCGGGCTTTTGAGAACCCGGCAGCTGACTCAAATTATGACCGCAGGTACTCTGTCAAACCAGACCAATCTTGCAGTCAAGGCCATTGTCGGAATAGGTGAGTAGTGGAGTCTTCCATTTGCAAAGTTGTTCGTCTCTCCTTTGTCTTACGCATGTCTTGCTTCCATGCAATAGGGGCTATGGGTGGGCTAGCGGCCAAAACCGGGCGGTGGGTCGAGTCCATTCATTATGGAGCGACAGCCAAGGTCAGTCAGCTCGTCCTGCTTGTTGTTACTGCAAGTTTGCTTACTCCTCCTCCTGGAAATCGCAGGCATATGCTGCCGAATGGTATGACCTGGCGCTCACGCCCAAGCCCATTCACTTACCGCACGCCAAGCTCGCCTATCAGGACGAAAACTCGCATGGGTTACTCTGTACGTCCCGAATCTTATCCCGGCTCCTTGCTTTAGGAGCTGACAAAGTTGATTCCTACCGTATTACTAGACAACTTGTTCGGAGATCGCGCCTTGAATTTGGGCATCTTTGACCGTCAACTCTACGAGTGGCAGTCCAAATTTTATACCACGCTTCTTCAACCTTTCGGTGTGCCCCTTGACTCTCGTCATCTTTGGACCAAATCCGATTGGGAAATGTTTGCTTCCGCGTCAAGCACATCTCGTGACTCGAGGGATATGTTCGTCGACTCCATCGTCAAGTACATCAAGGCGGGCAAGGTTGATGCAGCTTTCCCAGAGTGAGCCCATCATTTCCGGAGCAGAGCCAGTGCTGCAAAGGGCTAATCGGAAAACATGTAACCCTGCAGTCTCTACGAAACGACCGATGGGAACTTTCCAGGCCGAGGGCTTGATTGGCCTCTCGAGTTCATTGCTCGACCCGTTGTTGGGCAAGTTCACATTGGCCTTTCTTCCTGGCACAAAAGACTCCTAGACCACGTGGATTCGTTCACTGATCATAATCAATTTTGGATATGCAGGGGCCATTTCTCCCTTCTTGCGCTTGATGTGGCCAACAAAGCAAATGGGGTCAAGCGCGACCCATTCCGGGGCAATGACTTGGACTGAATGATGATGCCCGGCCTTCGGGGGAGTACTATATACGTCCAGCATGAGTGGTCAATGGACCCGATGCATACGTGATTTTTATTCATTGCAATCTTGCTTAATTTACACCAGCCAATTGGGCACACGAGATCCACGGAGTCTAGTGTGAGGGACAACACAACATAAACGATCGGAAGAGATTGTTGCGGGGGCCCACAGCTAACTGATCCGCACGAGTCCGCACGTTGACTCGACGTGAGTCGGATTCCGGCCTCAGTCGCTTGACTCACACTCCCCCTTACACCTTTCAATCGGCTTGCAAATTCCACCGCAAAGCCTCGCGTTGATTTAACCTCTTTCTTGACTACAACACCCGATTCAGAATTTGTCCACAACGATGTCATCCCTCTCAGGGCATCGTCGCTCGCTGCCCTTCTGGACCTTGGACGTCTTCACCTCGTCGCACTTCCACGGCAACCCCGCCGCCGTCCTCGTTCTCCCCACACCTACCTCACCCGAATTCGATGATTTTGCTCTACTTCAAAATTTGTCCACCGAATTCGCGCTCCCCAATACGGCGGTGGTGAGACCCACCTCGGATCGTCAAGTATGGGACATCCGTTTCTTCTCCAAAACGCAACAGATCCCCTTATGCGGTCACGCGACCATGGCCGCGGCCTATCTATTCGTGAGAGAGTTGAAAACAGTAAACCTCGATGCGAATTCTGTGTTCCGTACCTCAATGGGAAGAGGGGATATTAAAGTCTCGCAAGTCGGCGATGTGTTGGGCATCGAACTCCTTGCTGATGGATCGGTCTTGGACCAAGACAACGTACAACAAGTCGACACGGAGCGAGTCAAAAAGGCTGTGTTGCAGTCCACAAAGGGTGTCGAAGCGCATGATATCGTTCATGTGGTCAGGAGCGAGCGGGTCGGCTGGATCGTCGAGCTTTCCCCCGACGTCGATTTGAAGAATCTGCTCGTCGAACCGAAACCGATCGTTAGTCCCGCTCTTTTATCATTGGCATAATCACCATCTGATTAACATCTTGTAATGTGAATCTTTGGCACGCACAGGAAGATCTGACCCCCTTCATGTTGGTCATGACCCAACCCTCGAGTCAAGGCGGCGTCAACTCGAGAGTGTTCTGTCCTAGCATGGGCACGGTCGAGGATCAAGTGGTGCGTTTGGCACCCGTTTCTCAAGTGAATACGATCGAACCTCGACGAAGAGCCGATACTGAGCTCTATACTTTGATTCGCCTCCCACAGTGCGGATCAGCGCATTGCTCGGTCGTGCCTTACATCCTCGGCACCCCTTCCGCCCGAGCACGGTTATCACCCGAAGGCATCACCCAGACAAAAGCGAACGACTCGGGGTTCCAAGTCACACATCTCAGCAAACGAGGTGGAGAAATGTTCGTCACGTGGAAAGAGAAGGAAGGGACGTGCGTACTCTCGGGTGACACTGTGCTCGTTAGTGGTGGGAACGTCTTTTTGCCGTGAAGTAGGCGTGTTTACGGCCGTTATGGTCGAGCGTTGTCTAGAAATTAAGCAGTCATCGTCCAAGTGAACACTTGAACTCCAACACATATCCGCACAACCTCGATAAGATTGCTCCCACGCTCGAACGCGATCCTAGTCCCAATCCTCATCACTCTCATCATCATCATCACTATCGCCGAGCTTGCCCTTGCGCTGATTCAAAGCCGCAGCCAAAGCGCTTGCCAGATCGGCTCCTCCTCCACCACCCGCTCCATCTTCATCACCACCAGCAGCCATAGCAGCACCGGCACCGGCACCGGGGATTTGAGGAGCCGCTCGAGCGTCCGGGTCGGCACCGGTTTTGCGCAGTTGACCAACACCAGCACCTTGGATCGAGGCCAAAAGACCTGCTCGTCCGTCTTGGGGAGCTGGAAGCTGGACGGCAGGCGATGCCCCGGGTGGAGGTGGGGGAGGGGGAGGTACACCGCGAGGGGCAGGAGGTGGTGGCGGCGGGGCAGACGGCGCGCCGGAGCGGGCAGGTGGGGGAGGAGGAGGTGCGCCTGAGCAGAATCACAAACGTGTCAGCTCTCAAAGATACTGCGCGATGTTTATCGTGAACACGGGACTGGAAACTCACCTCCACGGGGCGGGCCACTCGACGGTGGTGGGGGCGGTGGGGGTGGGGGCACGACGCTCGAGCGAGATGGAGGTGCAGACGATGGAGGTGGTGGTGGACGTGCAACAGGTGCTCGAGAGGGTGGCAAAGGCGGGGCAGCGTCGACAAAGGAGTCGGAAGCAGGCACCCTACGTGGTGCAGGCGGCGCAGGAGGTTTGCGCTTGATGTTCTGCACAGCTCGAGAAGCAGGGGCCTGAGGAGGCACTTTTCGACTAGGAGGGCCTGAAGGTGGTGGAGGTGCGGGTGATGCAACAGCGTTCGGTCCGCCCGATCCTTCCACGTAGTTTCGGATAAAGGCCTCGTTCTTGATGATTTGGTTCTGCGGGGTTCACACGGGAACAAGGCTACTTAGCCCCCTTTCTATCGACAAGATCTCAAGATCTCGAAGCCCAATCGAGATGATCCCAACTCACCCTACTGATTCCTTGTCCTTCGAGTTGTCCGAGCAATCGTTCCCAGCTCGGATCGACATTACTACTGCTGAAGCCCTTTTCCGTGTCAAAGCCCATGTGAGCGACGTGACTGAAGCCGGTCGGGGCGCCAATCATGCTCTTGTCGATCACGCCCTTCTTCTTCTTCTTTCCACTGGGACTCGACGTAGCAGCCGATGCAGATGAGCTCTTCTTGGACGATTGGCCGGCTTTGCTCGCGTATTTGGATCGCATCGAGACTTTCTTGAACATCTCGGCGGCTTCGGATTCGGATGAAAAGGCGAGCCCTATCATGCAGTCCTGCGTGTGACGTGGATATGCAAGTAAGCATTCATGACATCAAATGTTTTACTTTGGTCGACATTCTAATTCGACGCTGTCTCGCCGTATACGACGCATCCGAACCGGGATGCGACTGGGCCGAGAGACTCACATCAGACGGGAACGTGTGGAAGAAGGTTCGATCTTGGTAGTACTGCATCTCTTCAACGATCTCGTGTTTCCAAATCGTCCCTCGTGTACCCTGCACAGGTTTGTTTTCACATCCGATCAGCGCTGCAACCTTCCCCGTCAAAGATCGGGCATCCGAGCCACGGCAGACCGGTGTAGGACGCACCGCCAGATCAACAACCTTGATCCACCCGCCCTGACTACCCCATCCGAATACGAGTGCACCGCTAATACCGCTGTAGGACCATTTGGCCGGGTCGGGGAAGGCGTAGTAGACTCGCGCGACGGCGGCGGTGTGGATCTTGTCCCCTGGCGCTGAAGGGGCGTGTTTCTTGATCAGCGACTTTTCGTTCGAGGTGAGGGTTGATGTGGAGGGCATAGTAGCTGAGGAGTATGACAGTCCTGTGGGGAAAGGTGCTAGGTCAGTGATCTTGGGTCGTGAGTCGATGAGCCGTCCAACACGGTTGGGTGTGATGGTAGCCGAGGCGGCCGATCCACCGAGTCGGTAAAGGGATATGAATACCACCAGCTGATCAGGCGTGAAGACGAGAAGACATACAGCGCAGATGAGCGGCACAGCTAATGGATCTCGGGCGGACAAAGGCCGATGACGAGGTGGAGCCGGGGTGCGAGCCGGGGTGCCTTCCCGGTACGAGTCGAAGGCTTGGGCACCTCCGACGGTACCACAAATAAGCTCGAAAAAAATTGCGATGTAGGACGCTTCGACAGATAAGAGTGCTCGGCTTGGTCCTGACCGGCGATGAGCTGTCCGGTGCTCGTGCTCTTGCCCGTGAGCGTGAGCGTGGCTGTGTGACGATAGTCTTTTCGGCCTTTGCTGCAAGATTTTGACGCGGACAGCTCAAGCGCGCTGGTCTCGGCCTAACGGGGCCCGCTCGCGCTCCACTCTTCGAACACGCATTCTTTGGACCCTGTGCCAGCACGCACTCTTCTCGGCCCCCTTGGGCCTCCCGCCTTGCTCACCCGCTGGCGCGCGCGGGCCCTTCCTCTCCCTCTCCCTCGTCGTCCCGCACGCCTTAGCGTTTCGTGTTGTGGTTCCGGCACCCCCCCTGCCAGTCTCTACTCACTCAAAGTGGGTAACATCCCTCGTAAGCCCTCTGCCCTTGTTGGACAGTTGGACTGATGAGCTAGCCTGCCACTACGTTGTAAGCAGCCGCCGTACCCGCTGCTTTGCAAGGTCGTATCGCACCCACTGCTTAGAGCAAGGGCGAACTTTTCGAGACTCGCACTATCGCGGCTCGCTGTTTCTAGCTAAGGTTCGCATTCCGGATCACGACTGTCCTTGTTGGGCATGTTGCCAAATTCCTTGTCCTTGTTGGGCAAGTTGACTCATGGGGCTACCTTGTATACAGACCTCGTTTGGCCGCGTCTACCTACCGCGTCGCCTTCCTCCCCTGCCATCGCCCTGCGCTTTTCGAGCAAAGGTATGCCCTATCCCCCAAGTCAGTTGCAGTGTTTTAGTTACTAATCGGACCTGCGCTCTTTGAGCAAAGTCGATCGACCATTTTTTTGAGCTCCTCCCTCCCACCCTACTTGTTCATAACTCCTGTTTAGAAAACCCTCCGTTTGTTACGGAGTGCGGGTTTTTTCTCTTATCACTGCAACTCGACTCTTCCATCCTAAAACAAACGCCACAAACAGCGCGCACTATGGAGGAGTCGAACTCAGAAGCGCCGAGGCGGCCGGTACCCGGTACGTGATTGGGCCCCGTTCGCGAGCGACTATTTGATTTTACAACCCATGGAATTCGCTTCATTCCCGTACGTCAGAGAGCCCGATGAACCTCTCGAGAAATCTTCTACTTGACCGATGAAGGAAAACACAGTACAAGCTGTTGCACTTATCGCGTGTCATCGAAGAATTGAGGCCGAGACTCTCAACAAAAGGCGAGGAATTGGTGAGGAGCCTGAAGTTTTGATCGTGAAAAGATACCATTTCATTCCGGTGGTGAAATGGCCTGAACGTGTACATTGAGGCGTGGAGAGGGGAGGCGTAAGCGAGCCTCGGCGCCTCCGAGTGAGCCCCTGTTTTGCGCGCCAAAGTTTCATCCTACCGCCAAGATTGCTCGAAGTAACCAACCGATCGCGCCAAAGGGAGGCAAATAAATCCCCCCTTTGAGTGAGAATGCTCACGTAGAAGCATGTACTTCTGGGCTGAACACGCGCCTTCCATAAGAGGTTCCGGTTGACTGCTGCGGTCGAGCGTCGGCCGAGCTGCACATACCTTTTCACCGAGCTAATCATCCGGCTGCCCTTCTGAATGGAGCCGGACTCCAAGTGGGGTATGAAATCGAATTGTCCTCGGGGCTCAAGACAATATCGGGTGAACGTGTCCTAGTACCGGCCCGTTTTCCGGGGTCGCCGCTTACCTCCGGAGGATCGCTTCTGCACAGCCACAACGCGGGCTTGGAACTCGGTGAACGCGCGGCCTCGATTTGCAATGCGGTAGTAGTAGATGACTCGACCAGTCAAGATTCGCGCCCATCAAATACATTTCATACGTCCCTTGTGCTCAAAGCATTCAGGCGAAGAGCGTCTAACGGACAAGTGCTACAAGACGGGATTCAGAGACAGTCCTCATAGTAAACCCGACGTGCGCAGCAGAAGCTCCCGGGACGACGTCAGCGACTGGCTTGAAGCTTCGTTTCTCCGATGCTCAGGCCTAGGCCTCAGGCCTCAGGTTGACAGCGCCCCACTTCATCTGCGAGACGACGAGCTTGAGCTGGCTTGCTGCCCGTTTGCTACGAGCCAAAAATGGCATCAACCAGGCTGGGCCCAGAGCCCGTCAGCTGCCCGCGGGCGCCAGAGTGCAGGACGGGCGCGCCTGTCCAGTGTCCACTGCCTGTCCCGCCAGGCACGGAGCCAGCTAGCTCGCGCTGGCTTGCCTTTTGCTCTCTACTCTCTTTCCAGCCCCACATCAAACACCTTGCTGCTCTACCTCATCACACCATGGATCAACTGGTGAGTGGTCTCATCCTCCAGACCTGAGCCCCATAAGTGTTTGCTGCATGCGCACCTCTCAGCTGGCGACTGCCACGCCGGCGATGAAGCCGCCGGTGCCAGCGGCGCTGCTCGGCTGAAGCTGCATCGTGACGCACGCGCCCCCGTCATGTGGGTGTGGGCGTCCCCGTCGGCGTGTCTGCGCGCAAGATGACTACCATATTCACTCACCAAGCCACGACTGGTTTTCACCCACTCACAGTCAGAAGAACAAGTCTCCGAGTTCAAGGTTCGTTCAATCCATCTCGACCCGGGAGTAGTGTGTTGGGGTGTGGTGTGGGGACTGACACGTCCGGCTGTCCCACTTCTCTGCATCTCGCACGCTTGAATCGACCCTTACACTCTGCAGGAAGCCTTCTCCCTCTTCGACAAAGGTCAATACACATCTTATATACCTGCGCTACCTCGTATAAACAAGCCGACTGACGCCCCCGATCTGCCTTCCCCTTGCACAGACGGAGATGGAACAATCACCACGCGCGAGTTGGGCACCGTCATGCGCTCCCTGGGCCAAAATCCGACCGAGGCCGAGCTGCAGGACATGATCACCGAGGTCGATGCCGATGGGAATGGTCAGATCGACTTCCCTGAGTTCCTGAGTTCGTCTCTGTTCCGCTTTCTCTTCGTCTGAGCCCCGCCCTTGTCTAGAAGACCTTTGCGCGCGCTGATCCAGTCACTTGCTAAATCTCTCGCCGAATATTGTACCTAAAACTGACCTGTTCATTCTCTCCCTTTCACCGCATCGCGACTTTCCCCTGGACTTGTCTGGATCGCCCCGCACGCCAATCGACCACCGCCTTGCTCCGAACAGCAATGATGGCGCGTAAGATGAAGGACACGGATTCAGAAGAGGAGATCCTCGAGGCATTCAAGGTCTTTGACAAGGATGGCAACGGTTTCATCTCATCCGCTGAACTGAAACATGTCATGACCAACCTCGGTCAGTTAGACCCCTCTTTTACGTTTCTGTTGCCTAGCGAGAGGAGCTAGCTCGAGTCGTAGTACAAAGACAGGGAGACTAAACTGCTTGCTACCCATCCACAGGCGAAAAGCTGACGGAGAATGAGGTCGCCGAGATGATCCGTGAAGCCGATGCAGATGGAGATGGCCAGGTTCGTCTTTTGAGGAATCGCGACACATTCCTCCACTTCATCCGCTGACAATCCCCCGATCCTGACCCACCTCCCTGCGCCGAATCGCATGCAGATCAACTACAACGAGTTCTGCAAGATGATGATGAACAGTTAGTCGGGGTCGGACACGTGTTCTCTTCTGCACCCCCTTCTATTCTTGAACCCACTGCGGTTCCGTCTCTTCTTGGGCGCAACCTTTCCCCACCGCGTGAAGTTCTCTCTCTCTCCCCGCCTGCATCTGGGGCCGTGTTACATCTTTTCCACCCCTCGATCCTCGATGTGCTTTCCCCTCCCTCTTCTTTCCCTGGTCGCTCCTGACTCGCGAAAGCTTGATCGGCTCTTTCTGCATCTCATCTTCTCTTCTTTGATCCCAATACGAGTAGTCGTTTTCCAGACACGAAATCAAATAAAAGACAAACTCCAAAAGAACTGAACTCGGGCTAACAAGAGAGCGAGGTACTGCGCTTAGGAGATGAGCAGGAACCCATGACGCAGACAGCATCTCTTACGACGGAACATGAATTACAACTTTGCACCTGCACGAGTGATGATCTTTTGACTCCACCACGGGTAGAACTCGGTCGGCAAGTCTTTGGGTACGCTCGCGACCATTCTGGGGGCGCGCTTGTCTCTGAACGCTTGCACGCCTTCTTTGGAATCGATCGAATTGCCTGGAAGTATACCACGGATTGTGATTAGTGCCCAGTAAGAAGTCCATTCATACGCGCCCGTGTGTGAGGGCTGTACTGACCAGCGACATGCATCGCCTTTGAATCAAGCAGATGTTGATCCTCGGGACTGTCCATTCCACGCCAGACCAAACCCTTGATCAAAGAGGACGAGATCATCGAGTTGGAGAGGGAGATATCCTTGGCCAAGTCGAGGGCAGCTTGGAAGGTCGCTTCAGGGGAGGGATGACGCGAGGCCCAGAGGAGGTCGAGGATGGGCGAAGTTGCGGAGATCACTTTGGCCGTCTGAGTGGAGATCGAAAAGGATTCGTCAGCTGACAAAAGACCTCATGAAGTGCTTGAAGTACCGCGGAGGAGCGAGGAGTTCCTCACCATGAACAATTGCATCGCTCGCGAGTGACCGATCAATTTGGGCAAGAAGTATGACGAAGCCGCTTCGGGAACGATGCCGCGTTGAGCGAAGACGAAACCGATTTTGGCGGTCTCGGAGACGAAGCGGATGTCGGCGCCGAGGGTCATGGTGATTCCTGGGTTAGGGTGTCAAAAGTGGAGTCAGTCGTGTGCGATGACAAGTACAGAAAGGTGAGACCTACCGATTCCAACAGCGTGACCATTGACAGCGGCGATAGTCGGCTTTCGCACTCGGAAGAGCGCAAGCGAGACCGTGCCTGCAAGGCCAGTAGGGCGTTCGCTCGGCTGTCAGCTTGGCACAGACACATGAGGCGAGAGCATCAAGAGTCCTGCTCACCTCCACCATCACGGTGCTCGTTTAGATTACGAGCCGAGTTTTGTGAATACCGGTCCGAAGTACTGAAATCGCCCTTTGACAGATCCGCTCTAGTACAACAAGAAGCAAGTTCCTCGCCAGGTCAGCTCAGGGGCCTCTCCGCAATCCACGTCGATCCACACTTGGCGACGATCCACGCTTCAATGCTAGCGATCCTCACCCTGCACAAAACGCTTTGCCTTCATTGGGCGATCCAGCAAGTATGACGACCTTGACCTTGTCGTCACTGTCGAGTCGGTCAAAGGCAACGACCAAGCTCTTGGCCATAGGGTCCGTGAAGGCGTTGCGAGCCGCGGGGCGATCGAGGTACACGACCGCGACCCCATGGTCCCGCAGTTCGACTCGGATGTCCTTCAGTTCGGGATAGAGCGACATGGTCTTTGGTGTTGAAGGGTGCAGTTGAAGGACGGTAGACGATTTGAAGACGAGCCTTGAACGACGGTCCGGGGAACGGAGAAGTGGCCCCGAGCCGGGGGCGCGCGCGAGGGCCCATGTATGTGGGGGTCGGCCTCGCGTGTCCTCGGCAATCAATCTCGCCGGGTCCGGCAGCGGCGAGAGCCTCGGATGGCCCGTGGGGTCGGATCGTATTACAAACTTATCTCTGCTTATGCAAATGGTTTTATGATATTCAAGAATGACTGAATTGTGTACGCTGTGATATGGTGTAAGTATAGGACGATTACAACTCTTGCCTGGCCCTCTCCACGAGATAGTCGTAACCTGGCATGTAGACCTCGCCCACGAGAGCCTTGACCGCCGTCTCGGCATCATCAAGGGTCAACAGCAGCGATCCAAGAGCAACGATTGTGGACGCATATGTCCCAAAACGTTCATCCTGTTTAAGTTCGATTGAGTCAGCGCATCTCGGTCAGTCTGCACGGTTACACGTTCCCGAAGTGGTCGAGCGTTGAAGATCGAGCACTTACGCGAAGAATTGTCCAAGTCAACTCAAATTCGCCCAATCGTGCGCCGTCCGCGGTGTGGAGTACTTGATCCGACGCTTCACTCCTCCCGGTCTTGAACTTCTTGTCGTGATACAACAGTCGATCAAGGAGAGGGCCCGGTGTCGCTTGAGGAAGCGGCGCACCCTCCCGAAGCGCGAGAGAGAGCTGACAGGGAGATAGTGGGAGGTTTGGTCAGGCTGTGTCGTAAATGGTGAGCGGCTGGCCTCTGGTATCAGGCCAACTGACCAATGCAAAGGTCGATGAAACATCGGAGATAAGGTTGGGGTGCAGGAAAGCCGTGGACCTGATCAACATCTTTCGCCAAGCTGGTTCGAGTCGGACCAAACCCAGTCCTAACGACCCAAGAGCTCTGGATAGGCAACAGCATGGTCCGACAGCAATCAGTCCATGCTATACTGCTCTTCTGCACGGATTAGACTCACTGCATCATGATAACTTGAGCCCGCAGCAAGGACTTGTACTCGGCTGCGGGCCAATCACCGCGCAGGGAAAGTTCGTATCTTGACTCTTTGATGTGTTGCGTCGTTCCTATCAACTTGGCCCAAGTCGCTAGCAGGATCTCACGGGCCTCTTTCTGTACGGCAGGAGTAAAGGCATCGAACTCGAGTGAAGTCGCCTCGGGCCTAGGTTGGACCAACTCCTCGGACGAGTGCTTCTGCGCGTCGTGACGATCCTCGGCGATCCAGTGCGAAAGCAAGGCCATGTAGATGCGGCCGATCTCGCCGATGCAGGTTGCATGCGTTTTGCGTACAAGCAGCCTTGACGACTGGTGGCCGGGGAAGAGCATGATGATCATCGAGGCCACCGAACCGATGATGACGAGCAGTGCTCGACGCCACGCGAGCTGAGCGCCGATAGTTCCACCGAGAGTCGCGAGGTGGCCATTGACCCAGCTGTAGCCGACGATGAGCACAGTAGTGACGGCGGTGAGGATGGCCATCTGCTGTTGCGCCGGCGGTGCGTGATTGCGCAGCGCCAATAGAGGGAGCATGAATACGAATAGCGACGCAGCGGTTCCGATCCTATTGCTGCCTCGCCCGTTCCCAACGTACCAGATCATCATACCGTAAAGTAGGCCTACCACGGTTCCGGCAATTTTTTGAATCGTAGCCATGATCTGATCTCCCGCGTAAAGGGAAAGGAAGGTCTGTGCAGTGATGAGCGCCCATAAACCCTTATTCACGTAGGTGAAGTAGGCCGAGGTCTTGAAGACCTGGGGCAGCCACAACGCCAAACCGATGGCCGCGTACTTGATTGCAAAGATCGTCTCTGTCGTCTTGCACCATCGACCAATGCCGTACAGCTTGCCGCCGAAACGTTGGGCCGCGTTGCGGGGAGCGCGCACATCGGGGTCCTTCTTCTCCTCGTTCCGTTGCCGCAAGAAGAAGTGCAGCTCTTCCTCCTCTTTCTCTGCCCCATCAACGAGGGTCGATGTCGAATCAGAGAAGGGAATAACAACCTGGTCGGGATCGTCGCCATCCCCCGTCACACCATCGATCTGCGATCGATGTCGGCTGAAGGCGAGCTTCCCAATCTTCCGCAGCCCGGTGGGCATCCACAGCTTGTTGACGCGGCGTTTGTTCTCGAGTTCGCTGAGTCGCGCAACGAGATTGAGGATGGTGGTCGCATAGCCCACAAGCGCGTCCGAAGCCGAAAGGACTTGCATCAGCGAGATGGGAGAGAACTTGAGCTCGGATCGCGGTCTTCCTGTCTCGAGGTCGAAGAATTTCTGGAAGGGGGCAAAGATCTCGAGTCGGCGGGTGGTGCGGTATTCCTCCATGGCGCGCTCCAGAGCAGCGACACGTTCTCGTTGCGCTTCATAGTCGGCCGCGACTTGATCTGACCTGAACCGCTTCCACCTCGAGGTGTTGGCCACGGAAAGCCAGGTCATGGCACCCAAGAGGGCTTCGTCCATAGCGATCAACAACGGGTCCACGGCGTTGGCAAACCGGGGCAGCAGGGTCGCAATCGAATGGGCATGCTTGTCCTCGGCAGCGGAGATGTTGCTGCGCAATTGGTTCAGATGAGGCGCCTCTCTCCCGATGGGGTGTTGCAGCTTGGCCTGCAAATCGATGATGCCTTTGGTATCCCGAAGCGTACGTAGCGCTTGCGACTCGAGCCCTCGGTACAACGACCCAAGTCCGAGCGACCGACTTGCTAGCTCTTCGAGCAGAGGCTTCAGACTGTAATAGTCCTTCGCACTCATGCGGCCGACCGACGCTTCTAATTCCATCGTACCCATCCCTCCCAGAAGAGCGTTCACGCCGCTCGCGATCGCCATCGCGTTGTTGTTCCACGCGTCATGTTGGTCGATCCAGGCCGTGGACGTGCTCGAGGGTGGTGGGGTCCGTAAGAGCTTGGAGAACAGCGCGATTCGCTCGTACACAGGCGTGAGGCAGGTGTCCACCAAACTGGTGGTCCAGGTACTGTTGATCGATTCTGGAAAGATGAGGACCGATCCAGCCGCCGCGATTCCGAGGAAGCAGCCTGTTGGGAGCAAGAAGTTGTACGCGAGGGTATAATTCGCCCTGCGCGTTCGTAAATGGGTTCGCAAAACATGATCAATCACAAGCGACCCTTGATGACCAGATAAGATTCAAAGCGCAGATACGCACGAAGGGAACAAGGGGCCATAGCTAAGCATGACGTCCATGACGATTGTCCCAAAGATGGAGGCCACCATCAGTTTAGGCGCATTAGCACGCATCAGTCCCAGTGCGAACGATCCAATGACGAAAAAGACGCCAATGACGAGCGTCGACCGCCAATCGAGAAATTGACCTTGAAAGATGGCCACTCGGTACAGCGCGTCGATGTTTTGCGCGTTAGCGTTGGCTACCCTGAACGACTTGACCTCAGAACCGAGCAAAGCTTGACTCCTTGTTCGAGCCGCCGCCGCCATCGCTGCGCAGGACCACGCCCACCCCAGGCACATGCCAAACACCAGCAGGAAGCCGACCAGAAGGATCATCATCACGGGCAGGTTCGCCGGAATCATGATGGCGGAGATACACCCGAAGAAAGCCGCGTTGCCGAGACGGGTCAACGACTTGGGCTCGAGGACGAGGATGAAGGCGCCGAGCAAGACGAGCGCGCCTCGAGCCAAGCTTTTCCTCGCCCTCCATCTTGCTCTGTTGTGATTTTGAACGAAAAGAGAGTGTGTGCCCGGGGGTTTGGGTGCGGGGAACAAAGCTGACCAACGTCAGCGGGGCCGAACGTGGGTGCCAATGTAACGTCAAGGTTAGCGCACTGCAAACGGTTCGGATGCATGTATGGACGATACAGGGATGTAGTGTTCCCGTCACATTAGCTTGGTGGAGAACGGCATTCTACCATTCGTCCCGCGCACGCACGGAGCATGCAGTATCTGTTTGCCCGCTCCGCCGGGATCTTCATTGTCGTGACCAGGCCCTTGAAGGTGGGGTGCCGGAACGTACCATCGAGTGGCGCCGCGAATAGCGGATAGGTCACTTTGGACCTCCAACCGGGCTTGCTTGCTGTTTCAGGTTGATCGTTTTGGCCAAAGTCACCTGTATCGCCTGCTGCGGCTTGCTTGTGATCGGCTCCGTCCTTCGTTCCCGTATCGACGGCGCGCATCTCGCTCTCAAGTGAGGGCTACTCCGGATCAACGTTGAACGACTCGAGGTTTCCTACCTTCAGGCAGAGTCGGAGCGTGTGTCAGAGGACGGATCAAAAGTGGATCCGTCTACGAGAAAGGGTAACGGAAAGAGGCGGAAGCGACTGTGGTTCGCAGCTGCACTAGCTAGTGTCGCGAGATTGATAGTAGATTGATCGGGCCTAAACACCACCCGAGAACTATCCGAGATCGACGCGAGCAAAGCGCGAGCGCATCTCCGAGGCCGAAGCAGGAACCGGAGCACGCCGATCGCCGAGCGTAATACCTCCAGTCCGCTCACACCCGAGCACAACCCTGAGTTCAGTAGATGGCTCTTAAATTACGTCGATCTCTCACTTGATTTGGAGAAAAGTCGCGAATCTCCGTGCTTGGGGCATTGGCCAATTCAGGCTCAGGTCGTCGGTAGGATGAGCGCGTGAAAGCTGAAAGTCATACCTGCTACCTGCAATGCTCCTCGGGTTTCGTGAACCTAAACCTTGGTCATTGATTTTACAACATGTTCTTAATCCATCTATCAAGGTCGACACCCAGCCAAGTGGAATCGCATATCTTCCTTACTTCTGCAGCTCTGGGTCGACGAGTGTCCGAGATTCTATACCGACGGTGCGCTTTGACTTCTACGGCGCCGCTGACGTAGCTGTGGTCAATCTCTTGCTTTCCAAGGAGTCGAGCCCTTCCACAAAGTCTCTCATCGGATCGCTCGGTGATGGTGCCGCTAAAGTGCCAGTATCTTCGTTGACCGACAATCCTACAAACTCGGTCGACAACGAAGAGGTCGTGCCACCAGTTGCTGCCGAAGTCATCGTTTGTGACGGAAATGTCTCCTTCTTCGATGGTAGGATCATCCCACCGTCTCCCGTCCATCCGGGTGCAACGGCGTTGAGGTGGGCTTTCCTGGCCTTCTCCTTGGCTTCAGAGTAGGAGCGCAACCGTTCCAATCGCTGGCCATGAGACGATCGTAGTGCCTCGAGAGCAGCGGGAAGGACAGAGAGGGCGTGGTTCTCGATAGTGAAAGGGTACACGAACTGTTGGTGAGGTACAGTCGTGGAAGATGGAAGGACATGTGGTTCCGAGTCAGTGGGATGATCTGTGCTCGTGGCCCGGATCGCTCGCTCACGCACGTAGGGCTCGACCGAGTCGGGTAGAGGATGGATGTCTGGAGGGAGTTCAACCTATTACGTTTGGTCAAGCGTCAATCGGGTCAGCGCTCCGAGGCTCAGCATGGTCCCCTCGAATGCTCGATGGGAAGCGGGATGAAGATATGACGTCGGACCCACGGGTTTGGGTACCCAGAACGAAGGCGACTTGATAAGAGGTACTTTCTCCACCAGGTCCCTAGTCGTCAAGGTTTGGCCCGTCACAGCTACAGCGATATACAATCATGGCCATCATCATTGTCCGAACGAGCCCGTCGCGGTGTGACACGTGCATTGCGTTCAGGTGGTTCAGGTGGGAGCGGAACAGGACGTCACGTCGAATGCGGGAGCGAGCGCCGCGGGGAAGAGTGGTGATAGGGGGGTACAGATCATTGTTAGCGATGGAAGATATCGGGATGCGTCTTATCACGATAACGACTCACAGGACATACCAATCTGCATTTGAGTCGAGCTCCGCCTACGGTGACGCACGGGTGACGCCGTCCAATTCGAGCGGAGGCAAAATGGGTCACGTGGTGAGAGGGGAACAGAGGGGAACTCCGCCGAGACTCCGCCAAAATGAGTCGACTGCCCCTACGCGCGGGGCATAAGTGAGTCGACTCGCCGACTCGAGAGGCATAGGAGCCATTTTTAGATGCCCTTGCCTCACAAAGTACCTATCCAAATGGGTAGGCGGTCATCGTTATTCTCTGCTCCCTCACCAACCCCACCTTCCCAAACTCTTTCTTATCCTGCACCCGACGCCGGCTAGCTGGCAGCAACTCATCCGCTTATAATACGCCGACGTCCTCGCGATCGCCCGCAGCGCGCTCGCCGACTCGTCGCTCACGCGCTCACGAGTCACAACTACAGGTCCCTTACGTACTCTCACTCTGACTTCCATCGTGCTCGCCATCATGTCCTTCTTCAGGCACATGCTGTGCCAAGGCAGCGACGACGACGTCGACAACCTCTTCGCGACTGCTAGGGTTTCCAGTAATGTGCCCGTGGCGCACTGGGACCCTTCAGATGAAATTCCACGCGGTTTCAAATCGCACGTCCAACACTTTGAATTCGGCATCACCAACGATTCCAGCGTCAAGTTCGAGTCCAAGGGCGCTTGGGCCAACGGCACACTGCAGCTCTCTCATGCTTGGTCGAACCAGCTGTTGCAGCTCCAACAACGCTCCGAGTCTGATGAGAAGGCCTGTGCCACGCTCACGTCGGACGTCAAGGGGCACGACTCCGAGTCCATGGTGCGCGCTCAGACCATGTGGCCCGGGTGGCCCTGGCATTGGTGGAGCCGAAATCGACAAGAGGTGGACGACTGGCCGATGCGCGGCAATCCGAGCGGTCTCGTCGTCCAGATCCGCGTCGAGGCTCGCTACAACAATGACTCACTCTGGAAGGAGTCCAACATCATTGCTACTTGCGACGACTCGTCGAATGTGACCCTGCTCGTAGAGGTGAGAGCCCAACCCATCTCGGCGCCGCGGAGAGTCCCCAAAACGCTGACTTTTCCGTCTGCTCCTCCTCCGCCTCATACGCTCTACTCTTCTACCAGACTCCCGAAAGGCCCTGGGATAACTCGAGAAATTGGAGCCGACTCGACTTCCACGCCACGGTTCGCACCTCGTCCGCGGTCGAGTCTCTCAAGCTGCTTTCGGTCCAAAACTCGTCGTCCGATTCGGCTCCACCGCAGCGCCATGATTGGAAAGTCCAAGGGGACATTTCGCTCAAAAATATCTGTTTCGATCGAGTCGACGTCCGGACCAAGAACTCTCCCATCTCTTTCGACTACCTGGAAGCCGACGACGTCGACCTCGCGACGACCAACGCGTCCGTTCGAGGCAAGATTCTCGGTGCTCGTGTGAATATTCAGGCTAGCAACGGCAGCATCAGCGGCGACTTCGAAGGATGCGAGGGCTTGCGAGTCCAGACGACTAACGCGTCCATCTCAGGTCTGTACAAGGTCGGCGAAGGTAGCGACGGTGTCTTGCTCAAAACGACGAACGAAGCGATCCGGGCCCAAGTCGAAGTCTCCGAGCAAGAGGACGAAAAGAAGATCGCTCTTCGAGACCCTGTCAAGATCGAAGCCCAGTCAACGAACGCATCGGTCAATATCGACGTCGTCCGTTTGCCTCCTAGAGCCAAGATCGATTGGACCGTGGCTTCGAGCAATGGACCGTTGAGGCTCAAGTACCCTGCTCCATTCGATGGTTCCTTCCAAGTCAGGACCTCGAACACCTCACGCACCCAGGTCAGTGCACCAGGATCTCATAACATCAGATACAAATTCAACACCAAGTCGCACAAGGAAGGTCTCATGAGCTCGGGTTTGGACCCAGCGGACCGCGGCAACGTCAGGCTCGTCGCCACCACCTCCAACGCCTCGGCCGAGTTAGTCGTCGCCTGATTATATCACGAATTATTGTTCGCCTCCTGGGTATTGGGCAGTGAAAACATATTCTCTCTCTTCTTTCAAGCTTGGATTCCTGGGCTGCAATGATACCAGCTCCATGCACCTTGAGATGCATTCGCCACGAATAGGACGACAGTGGATGGGCCCGCGCTGCGGCAGGGATAGAGCTTTACGGAGAGCGAAACAGTCTTGAAATACGGCTTTTGTACAAGCACTACTAAATGCGACATCCACACAGAACACAAGAGGCCCAAAGAGAACAGCTGCGCCTGAGGAGTTCTAAGTCGTCCTCCGCTTCTTGCCTTTGCTCGCCTCCAGGTCCTCGACGGCAGGACTGGGCGCGACAGAATCGACACGGGCAAAGAAGGGAGTCAACGCCCACGGGTCAGGGGCCATGTCGGCTACGTTGATGGGCTTGCTGGAGAGGGATTGTTCGTATTGCTGCATGCGCGAATGGACACGCGATCTGAATCCGTCAGTTTGGGCCCTATGGGACGTCGGAGCTCGGGTAGCTGGACCGACCTTTGCGAGCGATGGCTTGCCCAAGAATCGGATGGTCGCATTGAGGAACTCGTACATGTCATTTTCGAATTCGGAAAGTCGGTACTTTGAGCTGAGACTGGTGAGGTGAGACTTGAGTGTGCGTCCTTCGGGCACATTCAGGAACTGCACGGGAAATTACACAAGAAAGATCGAGTCAGCTCAACTGGCCGATTCGCACGGAGTCTATGTAATCGTCGACGAAGGGGGCATACCTCGTGTATCCGATCCCTCATCGATCGTTCAAAATCTGCTTGCGCAACGTCTCGTGAGCCAAAGAGCAATTGCGCCGCTTCGACGAGCTTGCCCTTCTCCTTCTCGCGCTCGACTTCTAGGTGCGCCTCCTCGTCATCGTCGTCATCGTCGTCACTGTCATCATCGGCGTCATCTCCTTGATCGACATCCATCGCCGTTGTGCTCCGAGGAGGTCGCGGAACGATAGTCGTCGCCGACTGGGTCGTCACGCGAGCAGACCACCCTCGGCCCTCCCAAACACCACACCCGCAGCCGAACAAGGTCTCAATCGCCGACGTGCCCGTCCATCCATCGACGAGGTAGCCCTCAAGGCAGGCCTGGATGACGAACGAGTGGAGCAGCGAGAACCATGCGGCCGTGACGGCAATCTCGACCTCGGCGACCTGTGTTGCATCGTTCTTGGCGAGGTACGAGTCGAACTCTTCGCTACGATCAGATTCTTGACGAAGCACACGGTCTCGAGCGTCCTTGAGCAGGTGCGCGGAGAGTGAAAGGAATCTTGGGATGACGTCGACGAGGGGTCGCTTGCCCGGCGCACCTTCCCCGTTGGCCCCTACGTCCAGGCCTTGGCCGGGCACATTGCGGTGCTTGTTCAGACGAGTCGACGCGACCATGAGGCAGACCGAGCATGAACCCACTCGATGGCGGCGGCACCACGTCGTTGACGTCGAAGGCAGGATGGACGAGCCAAAAATGTCTTTGGCACGGGAACGCATGGCCTGCCCGCGCACGATGCGGTAATCCATATGGGGCGCCGCCGTCAAGTCGCTGCCTCGCGAAGTCGAGCCGGCACCCTGGGTGCTGAAGACAGATCGTGCGGGCGAGTCTTTGTCAAGGTATGTCGGCTTGTCTTCCGCTTCAGCAGCGGCCGAAAGAGAGGTGGCACTTGTTGAAACAGTGCATCCTTCCTCTTCTTTGGCGAACTTCATGTTGATGAGCGATTGCGCGATCGAAGTGTTCTTGGGCCTCGACAAGTCGACGGCATGGGCCGAGGTCGAATGGTACAACGTCGTCGTATCCGGACTGGTCAACACTTGAAGTGCCTTGATACCCGGAACGGCCTCACTGGCGACCACGTCATGTGACGTGATTTTGCACACCGATCCTTCCGGCGTTGGGTTCGACAGGAGCTCCTCGGTCAAGCCAGCAAGCTCGACCCGTCGGGCCACCGAGGCTGGAAGATCGCCTTCCCGACGGTTGGCACGCAAGAGACTGACGCCGAGTTTCCACAGGCCCTGCGACTTTTGCTCGGCATCGAGCCAGGAGTCATCGAGGTCGATGTGGTCCTCGTCCGAGACGTCCTCGGCTCGGTGCAGCAAAGCGCGGGCGCCATTGGGTAATGTGTATGCCTCCAATCGGGACGAAGTTGCGAGGTGAACGGTATAGGAGAGGATGTTAGATCTCGAGGATCGCGAAGGGGCGCGGGGTGGGATCGATTGAAGCAAGTGCGACACCGGGTGCTGGGGCGCTCTGCTCGCCGAAAGACAGGGGGCGGGGAGGCAAGCCAGCGGATGGCAAGAGTCAGCGTCCTAAAACTTCCACATGCGGTCTCGAATCGAATGTATTGATGAAGCCCGACTGATGGTTCGACAAGTTCATTCGAGATCCGTGGCCATGGCCGTTCTCCGTCGCGCTCGGTGAGTTGGTGATAAGACCCCGAACGCGAAAGCGCGCGGATCACCGACCGTGGCCCCGCAATCATCGGAGAGGCGCGGGCGAAGCGCTCCGAGCATGCGCCGCCCGCAAACGGAAGACGTCGGCAGCGGAGCATACCCGCATCAGGTACGGCGGCCACACCACGTGGTACACCCTGATCGTTGAAATCCTGTCCTGCAGTAACAGTGGCATGCTGCGGAGGCAGTTGTGGGTCCGAAGACTCGAAGCCTAGTCGTCGTAGACACGAGTGGGCGATAGCGGAGTTGACGGAAGCGCCCGACACCATCCGGGTTGAGGAGCACAGGGGGAACTAGGTCACGAGGACATGTCAGCTCACCTATAACCGGGGGTATCAGTCCCTATGCCATTAGGTCGAGCACTGGAAGAGGTGTTGGTTGTTGCCGAAGCGGTTGAGGCCATCGTCGCCGGGGCGCTTGACGATGTCGACGTCGACGCCGTCGGTACCGTTTGAGGTCGTACGGAGGGATGAGTGCGACTCCAAACTTCAAACTCGCGTCGACTGATGAAGTGGCGAGAATCTCCTTGCAGAGACGGACAGTCGGAGGGCAGCGCTGGCATCAGAATCGACGGTGGAGCCGAGGTCGCCATGACGGAACGGGAGGCTCGAGTGATTGCGGGTCGCGTAAGGCTCGTGTCGGGGACAGGCGGAACGGTCCGAGACCAAAAGCGTCGAAGAAAAGAAGGTGTATCACGTGGAGTTGTGGCCCCAAGCGAGGGTATCTGAGATGGTAGACGGGCGTCACAGGTCGGAGGAGGAAGCCTGGAAAGTCTCTCGCGGGAGATGCGCAGAGACGCGTCGGAATCGAAAATTGTAATCCCGAATTTCGACCCGAAGTAATCTCGACAGTCAAGACTTATGAGCAGTGTTCGGTGCAGAAGGTCCTACAACAGAGCAGAATTGTTCGTGCTCGTCACTTTAGCTTCGACGCTTATCCCGCCTTGGGTAGTCATGTAGCACACCCGAATCGCGAGTCCACTCAACCCGGAGGATTGCAGGCCAAGCAACCCCAGGCCAGCCGCCCCACACGGGGAGCCAACGATCGTCGATCGTCATTCGACGGAGACCCGCATGCATAGACCTGCACCAAGCTTGGGTAGCATGCGTAATATCTCCAACTCTGCCTGTCTGACCTGAGTAGGTACGTAGCCACACGAGGTGTCCGAGAGCTATCAGCGTGTGATGGTCCGATCAAGTTCTGGCAGTAGCCGAGGGCCGAGTCAAGAGCGCACCCGGCTGCGGCGTTCGTCGGCATTTGAGAACTTTGAGAAATTCTGATCCCGCTCAGGCGCTCGGGAGAGGCACCCCTGAGAGCTCGCGGGGACAAAGGGGCCTAGCGTCGGCCCGGAACCGCTGGATATCTGCGATCGAGCACAACCGATTTTTTCTAATGCAGTGATGGTAGGCTTATGCGTGCTGACTGGACCAGTAGGGGCATAGGGCACCCTTTTCGGGCGGTGAAAAACGAGAAGCTTTGTGCACTTGGGCTTCGCGCGCGCCTCAGCCTCGTTCGATCCCTGAATAATCTCGGGTTCAGGGCCAGCGGGAGAGCTTCCGGAGCCGAGGGCCGGCGCGAGCGGTGGGTCGGGCTCTCCACCAAGTGGCTTCATGGTAATGGTAGAATCCAAATCAATTTTTGGAATAAAGTCTCGAGGAGTAAATTCGGTCTGGACGTTCGCTGCAGCATATCTCAAGGCGGTGTCAGTCAAAACGCTGCCGAGCGCTGCTTGAAGCTGTCAGTGGCCACCGGCCTGCGATCGGGGCCGAACGCTGATAAAGTGCGCCGGGCGCGGTCAGAATTAGGCCAGCACCGACGACGACCTGAGGCCTCTCCTCATTCCCACTTCAAGTTTGGTGTCTTGTAGACGCTCACCTTCGCCCCGACGGACCGCCGACTCGCTAGCTCGAGTGCACCTCATCCACCATGGACTTGGGCAGCCTTCTCAACCCGTCACCCGAGTCATTGATCAGCGCCGCCAGCTTCTTCGACAACAGCGAGAACCTCAACCACGACGACGCACGCGCGAGTCGTCGTGACATCGCCAACGTCAAGGGATCTGCGTCAACGCTCGTCGCCGATCAACGCCCGACGGCGCCTGCGGACCGGGACCATGACATGTACGAACACAACCAAGAACACCAGGTGCATCCGACCGCCAGAACACAGCCTACTGCGGCTCCGATCCCTTCGTTCCTGCTGAGAAAGCGCGAGCGAGCTCTAACAGCATCATCGTCGCTGTCGTCGTCGTCTGCTGCCGCTGGCTCAGCCTCCGCCCACGCCAACGGCGGCCCACCGGCGGCTCCGCCAAATCGACAATCAGCCTCGATGTGGCCGACGTCCCCTTCCAGGCAAGTCATCACACCTGCTGCTACTTTTGCTAGACCCTGGGGGGCTCTTTCAAGTCGGGCTCTGCTCCTCTCTCCCCTGTCTACGCGCGCGACGACATCCGAAGTCGCGGATGATCTCCTGACGCATTTCTTCAAGGAGAATTCTTGGACGTGCGCGCATCCGGTCGCGGCCCGTTCTCAGGGGCGCGTGCCTTGCGGCCTCTGGACTCAAACGAACCCCCGACGGGGCGAGGCATGCATGTTAAAAAGCGATTCTGGAGCTAACTTAGCTGCCGTTGCGTGTCCCCTATCGGCTTCTAAAAATCAATTTTTTACAGATATGACCAGTCTGGGTCATCCCTGGTCGGCCCAGGCCATCATGGCCACTCTACGGACGTTGCAGCAGCTCCTCTGGCTGCGGTTGGGCCGATGCCGCCGTCCGCCCTTGGCCCGATCGCCCCGCCGCCGCCGCTCCTCGCCGACGAGCTGCTCCGGACGACGATCTTGTGGAGAGCGTTCGCCGGCTCACTCGACTCGATCAAAGCCGAGTCAGGATCTGGTGAGTGCTGCCTCGCTGCTGCCTTATCCACTCGAAGCCAAGCATCGGCCTTGGTACACGCTTCTGTCTCTGCTGCGTGGGATGGCACGTCATCGTGTCGAAGATGGCCTTTCCGACTTCGATCACGGGACTACCCGTGCCCGGCCGATCATTTCATCTCGCGCGCGCGCCGCACCGCGTGAGCGAGTGAAACACGACTCGCGAGCCTTTTTGCCAGGACGCAGACTCGTCTGCCGTAGTTCGGGCCTGAGTCTCTCAACCAGACAAATAAAAGCCCTCCTTCCCGAGCGCATTACTGCGCAGCTATTCCAATAATCTGCTCACCTTGATTATTATTATGCTCCAGATGAATCGTTGGACCGATACTCGGCGCAACACGTCTCTTGGGTTTTCAATTCGCGCGAGCAGAATTATCGCAACCAACTCTGGGCCGACTGGACCATCTATCAGACCTTGTGGGAGAAGCTCGGCGTCAGAGCTTTCCCCATATCGGAGCGAAAGGTGCGTGCTCTTCTACTTAAAGCTTGAACACCATGATGTAAAAGCAACGCTAACGCATCCACTCCATTATATGCTTTCAGGTCACTCTGTTGGTCTCGCAATTCGTCGACCTGCCTTGCTCAGCTTCGCTCCGCCACGCCTATGGTAGCGTCACGACGGCTCAAAACGTCAATCTGCATCGTGCCGAGTCCATGCTCAACACCCTCAAGCTCGCTGGCCAGGCAACACTGCACCTTTGGCCCCGAGTTCGGTCCTTTCATGAAGCCGACTCTGACCGGTTCGAGACGCTGCGCGAAGTGTGGCAGAGGATCCCGTGGTTCAAGTGCGTAGGCAGCACTCGATCATCAGGTAGAAGAACTTATCCCGAGCTGATATCGTCTGGCTCTGCCCGCTCCCCATCGATTAGGATGCCGAAGAAGACTCGGCTCCCCAAGACCGTAAGCGTCAAGCGCGAGCGAAGCACCACCTATGATTTGCACCTGTCTGCCGATGAACCGAGGACTGGACGTATCGACCAGCATGCGATGTCTTTCGAGGAAGGTGAGAAGACGCGGCGCCTGACACGCGATGAACCCAGAGCTCAATCGCTAATTCTGAGTTCCGCAATCACCTCGATCTCAGACGGCATGTTCGAACTCATCCCCTTCCCGCGCCTTCTCGTTGATCTCCCGATGGTCACTCAGGACCTGCGCATCCTGCGACCTGGTGAGTACCTGCCTGCATCGAACGCCTACCGGTTCATGTGCTGATCTGAGTTCACTTCGTCCCCCGACATGCAAGATCCGGCACTGAATCATTTGGGCCATGGACGTCTTCAGACCGCGCTCGCTCACGAGGACTCGGCTCAAATCGATACCCGCTACTCGATACGTCGGATTTGGATGTTTTACGCCGATCTAAGCGCACGATTCCCCATGCCCGAATTCCCAATTACTCCGATCAAGCTCGCACTGTTCGCGTTCGCGTATACACCCGGGCCGATCCGCGCCACCTTTGACCAGATCTCGCACTATGAGCACGTTCGGCAATTTCCAGCCTTTGAAGACTCGCATTCGTTCATCAAGGCTCTCGAGACTCTCGAGGCGACGCAACGCTTGACACGTGACCTGGGCGAGGTTCACGCTTATGAGAACGCTCAGTGGCTCATGTGGAAGAACGCCTTCATTAATGACATGCTAACGTAGGTGATCATTGCTAAAGCAGTACCAAAAATTGTGTACTGACATCAGACGTCTGTACTCTCTCCGCTCATTCTCAGCGTCACCACCAAGTCGCCCCGGTCGACCGATTCCGGCGGTTCCATGGACGGTGTGTCCTCGTCAAACTCTTCCAACGCCGATACCAGCAAGTCGAACTCGCTCTCGTCAAATTCTTCGGCGCCATCCTCTTCGTCGTCGACGGGTAATGGGAACGGGAAGGCGGGACGACCTCGTTTGCCGTCCGCAGCCCCTCTACTGAACAAACCAGCGGCGAGCCGATCACACCAAGTGCCGATGAAGCGGGGCCGCTCATTCTCAGACCACTCTGACACCTGGAGTGAACACTCTGATGCACCGCTCACGTCAGCCGGAACAGGCTCGGCGAATGCAAATGGGGCAATCGCGGGCTCCCATCGTCGACCAGGACGACCCCGTAAGCAACGCACCCAAACGATCACGCCCCCTCCACAACCTTGGAAGCCAGAGAAGCTGGGCGAACTCCCAGAGGATCGTCGACCTCCCCCCTTACCACCCGTCTTCCCCCATCCTTTTGCGAGCATGTTTGCCGGCGACGAAGCCGACGCTTTACAAGGCCGCAGCGTTGCTTTGCACCGACCCAAGCGCATCGTCGGCCTCAAGATGATACCCCTCGCGAACCTCGCTATCCTCGCTTAGCATAAAACACGGATTCGGAACTCGCCTGCGCGTAGTACTCCCCTTCTTGTTTCTGTGACCACATCATACTTTTATGTGGGATGGAGCGGATCTTGCATTGCCCTCGGGGATCTTCTTACTGCTTATCATTGGCCCCGTGTCTTCACTGTTACTATTTCGTCCGTTATCTCTGCTCATGCACTTTGGTATATATCTGTAGTCTGAACTGCAACGACGCATCTTTCCCTTTCCTCTTCGTGTGAGGAACGCTCGTGAAGGATCCGATAAATAAAGAACTCTATTGCAGTGCTGAACCCAATTCTCAAGCCCCTCCCAAACTCGCCCGCCGCTTGGCCTCCCTCAACGCCTTGACGCGTTCAACGATCACCTCCTCCTTCCTCGCGAAACTGCTCTTCCTTTTCAACGAATCTACTCCAGCTATTTCCTGACTTTTGGAGATTGCCGAAGCTGGTTTGATCATGTGGTCATCTATTGAGTTGCTTGGTCCGAGAGGCCGTTTCTTGGGAGGCGATGAGGGTAGTAGTTTCGAATGGGGCGGTATCGGAGTCGATGCCGAAGAGGAGAAAGAGGAAAACAATTGAGGATCAAGTACAGCTGAAGGTGGCGGTGGGAGAGAAGAGGACAAAGGACCGAATTGAGCTGAGGATGACACGCCCTCGGGGTGTTCACCTTTGGTCGACAATGACGGGAAGATCGGCTCCAGAGTAGCGGGAACAAGGATCGTTACTGTCGACGAGGACGGTTCGTCTTGACTGTCCTCGATTATGATCGTCTCAATCTCTTTGAGCTTCTCGTGCTTCATCTCGGCTTGGGAAACCGCCTTTCGAGACGTCGATAGAGCACTTTTGACCTCCTCGTCCTTGGCCTGCGCGGCCGATCGTCGATCATCGGGATCCGACTGGCCTGAACTCGACGCTGTCGAAGCAGGTCCATCCACCGCAGCCCATTCTTCGACCTGTCGCAATACCTCTTCCCCACCCTCGATATTAGATCTCACGCCTTGCATCTTTTCCGAATTGATGAAGTAGTCCTCGTCCAGATCCGTGATGACCCGGGACCCGACTGCAACAGCGATGCCTTGGACCCCTCTTTCGAGTAGAGTTTGTGTCCGCTGAACAAGCTGAATGCGATGGCCCGCTCGGATCTGAGTTTCGACGAAATGGCGAGAGTACGTCTCGGCGTCGCGAAGAATGCGTTCGAAGCCTTGAGAGGGGGAGACGAAGGGAGCGAAGTAGTGCGCAACGAGTCGGTAGGTGTAGCCTGGGTCGTTGCGTGGGTCGTCCATGACGAGAGGGTAAAGGGACAGAGGTCGGAACAGGCGTACGAACTTTTGCAACTCGGGTAATGTCGAGTGGCGTGATAAGGAGACAAACTGTGTGAGAGGTGGTGTCGATCGGGGTCAACGACGGCAACGTAGAAGACGCTTCAAACTTGATCGACGAACCAGGTTGGTGGGCCAGTTCTCTTCTTTCCCCTTCGGAGGATTGACCTCTACATTCTCCTTCGCCTCCATCCTCTTCAACAGAGCCTCGGTATTCTCAACGTACTTCCTCCATGTGTTGATGTCCTGCCCCTCCGTTGGATTTACGTACACGACCCTAGCCTTCCCCCGATCCACACCAGGCCGTTTCAACCTCTTCGGTCCTCCCAGGCACGGCAGATGTTCAGGCAGCCATTCGTAACACCCTTGACCTTGGTCCCATACTTGGTCGCACTTCCACCTCCTTTCGCATGCGTGGAATCGCAACGGTCGGGTCGAAGTCGTGCCTAATCGAGAGAGCTGCGGGTCGGTCGCCGATATGGCGCGATAAATGATTGCTTTGTAGGGGTCGAGATGGATCTACTGTAAGGTAATAGTGGATCAGTGGCGGACATCTATGAGCGATCACAAGCCACGAGATTCACCTTTTCATCGAAAGCGCGGAACAAGCCTTTGAGCAACTCCTATCGCAGCCAAATCACGCACAAGAACCGATCAATATCCGATCGTCACAAAAAGGAGGAGTCTTCGCTCAGGAGCACTCACCTCATAGCCCCACGTCCAAGCATTGATGAAGAAGCTCGTATCCTTAGGATAGTATGGAATCAAGCGCACGAGATCCCTAATCGCCTCCTCCTTGGAAGCGACGGTTCGATGCCAACTCATCGTCGACGTATCAAGGTAGATCCTCTTCAACAGTCTCCTCGAACTCCCCGACGCTAAGGCACGCCGTGTATCATTGAGGTCGTCGTCGATCGAAGTTGAATAGGGCATGTCTGACCATGCTAGGTAAGGGGATAAGTAGGGGTTGCGAGCGAGGGATTCGATCCACCAGTCTTCGGCTCGGATATCACCCGTGATGAGCACCGAAACGCCATCGGTGCCTTCAATGAGAAACCTGCATGAGGAGAACGGAGAGAGTCAGAAGCCAGACTTGCAAAGATGGTATGCTCACAACCTCGTACTGACATGGCGCTTCCGGGACAATGGTTCGCATCGATTGCGGTGACCGTGACGGATTCCCCTGCTGGTCCCGAGATGGTCAGGGGAACGTTGTATTCGATCATTTTCTACCATCCATACGAAGTAGGCGTGAACATCTAGCGACCCAGACTAGAGACCAAGTTAAGTCACACACTTACGAACAACGTATCGATCCTCATCTTGCCCGTGTTCCTCTGCAATGGTTTTCTCAGATCGGCGTACTTGTATCGTTTCGAGATTTGCTTGATCTCTTCGGACCTGACTCGGTCTCCGGCTTCCATCGTGTGGCGGAGGATCTCCTTGGTGGCCGAGGTGCAGTAGACGGTACTTCCGAAATCGGGTGAATTGAGACCTGGTTTTCACACCGGGGGGGGGGGGGGGCATTGAAACTTGAGCTATGCTGTGTAACCGTGCACTGAATTCGTGCCTAACCCACCGGTGGTATGATCGGTGTGAGCATGGGTCAATAAATGAACGTAGGCCTTTTCCTGGTTGTAAGGGTTGTACACCTCCGCGAAGCCATCGAACGCGTCGACCCTGATCCAAGGAAATTCCTCAACTGTGCGATAGACGCCAAGTCAGAGCCGTTAGAGAAGTGAGTGCTTTTCGAAGATGACTACGTCGTGGGATGAACGCACGATAGCCATGATGTGTCGACATAAGCGGGCCAGGGTTGGTTGTCCAAGGTGGTGTTGAATGGGCCGAGAGGGTTTGGTTCGCAACGCGATGTCAAACGCCGTCCAGCTGCAGACGGGGAGTTCAGGCCCGACGTCGAGGATGGTGAAAGGTCCACTTGCGGCCACAGCAGCTGGAAAGGTTGAGTGAGGGCGGCAAAAAAGTGGGATAACGTGTCGAACGTCTTCGTGTGTCAAGTCAACGCCACAAGTGGGCGGTTCAAGTCCGGTATTGACGCGCCGCAGTCACGTGTTGAGGAAGGGCGGATCCGGATCAGAGAGGAGGGAGAGAATGACAGCACCAGGCAATCGTCTAGGGAGGGAATGGTACGCGACGGGGTGGTTAACGTCTATTGACGTGGCGCGGTTAAGTAGGCGGAAAGTGGTGGAAAGAGACTCAGACTCAAAGTGAAGAGGCACTTCGATTGACGCGCACCTGACGTAGGACCCCCGAAAGCCCAGCCTGAGGCGCGTAGGTAAAATCCGTCAAAAATCCGGGATTTTGGACCTCATTTGTCCACCCTTTTTTGGTGTATTCGCCCAAAAATGTCCTTAAAATGTCCAGTCCATCTACGCTCGTCCAACAATAGCACTAGAATTGCTTCGGATGCTCTACAACATCTCCAAACTCGCGATTTTGGCTTTTCTAGGGCCAAAAATTTGTCCACTCTTTACCTACGCGCCTCAGGCTGGGCTTTCGGGGGTCCTCCTGACGTTGGCGTCGCGGCTCGTCCTGGCCTGTCCTGTTTTTGTCCTGGCTCGTCGCACTAGGTCGCGGCCCGTGCGAGGGAACAGCCCGAAACCAAGATTCACCAGAGTCTTTCCCGCCGCGTGCACAAACAACTACTTCAAACACGCTATGTCCAACTACTTCGATTGACTGGAGGCTTGAAGGACGATGTGAGGTGCACTTGAAAAGTGGACTGGTTCCTCCTCAACAACTGTCAAGAAAGGTTTGCAGCTCGGTGATGAAATGGTGCAGGGGTGGGAAAATTCGATCCCCTCGCTCCCACTTGGCGTTCGCTTATTCTCGGTATTTCAAACCGTCCTGGTTACCTGACCAGTACACCGAAAGTGGAGGCATCTCCACCCGGGATGCATGCGCCGAATCCTTCTCGACATATTCCTGCCTCATGTTGCGTGTCGGGGACTGCTTCCTGCTCCGATCAGAAATTCCGAAGAAGAATCTTCAGCTTCACTATGTGGTTCGTGAAGCTCACCATCTAGGTCGATATCCCACGCGACATTAGCCGCTGGAGGCAGAGCAGATCGATCGTAGGGGGGGTCTTCGAACTGTCAACTCTTGGCCCGATTCCTCGGCGGATTATTGCTCTTGTACGTGGAGTGCTCAACATAATATCGCGAGCGGTCCCGAGCCGCCTACGTCCTCCGTTCGATCCCTTTCCACCCCGACTAACTGTCTACGGCAAGCCACCTACGCTAGACTTAGTGGACGGTCTGAGAAATACCCAGCGATAGACCAAGGATCCTGCCACGCGAGGAGATTTCATTCCGGTGTTTCGCATTGCGCTTTCAAGCATCGCTCCAGAGGGCCTGTCCACGGCTGTAAGTGGGAAATCAGGTAGTCGGGCCGTCAGTCCCCGACTTGGCCCATTCGGCTTCACGGCACAATGGACTACACGCTACAATTTTACGGCGTGTCCTGAGTCCCATCTGCATGGCCCTACCCACGTCAATCTTGTGCATATCGCAGCGTCCAGGGAGGAGGGAGAAAGAATCAGCACTTCACCTGGTTGATCTTGGTTGCTATAGACCCTATCGTAGTCTTGGTCTCTACATCGAGAAGTGTTTCGACCCCGAGGACAAAATCGACGAGGTGCTCCAGGTCGACGAGGCTTCGATCATAACGTAGTCGCTGAGTGATTTAGACCTTCTCCGAATCAACCCCTTCAGATTTCTAGCAACCCTCAATTCCGCCCTGCGAACGTTGTCGCTGCCCTGGAGGAGAAGCGGTGCAGAATGGCCGAGATTGAACATCCGTTGAAGAGGCGGCGCGCTCGTCCTCTCGCAGGATCTTTCGACCGTATCTACAGCGAAGTGCTAAGCAATTTTTTCTTCGTCTGAGAGGGGATCGATCAAATAGTCCGGATGGATGCCCATGAAGAGATAGAACGATGAGCCATTGGGTGCCGCCCCCATTGTTCCCGATGAAGCACTCTCGATGATGGTGTGCAGTGTGCCTCGCTGACCAAAAGAAACGCTTTACCCTCTACCCTCGTGTTCAAATAACCGGATCTCGTATCTACGCGGACTGTACGGACTTGATGTCGATGCGATGCCAAGGAGGAGTCGCCGAGCTCGGTTATCGCGATGGGTGGCCCGGCCCAAGAAAGATCGACTTGTCCTTCCGCAACCCATCTACACCGGAGCGACCTCATTAACGGAAAGCATCAAGCTCTCCGCGTGTGTGGCTAGTATTTGTCCTGACAGCTATTGCCAAGCCTCCACCCAATCTTAGTATTTGAGCCACGTCGCCTTTGACCAGTCGTATGTCGATTGCGCACGGCGTCGGGTTCAAACTTTAATTCGATGCACCAGAGTTGAGTCCTGACTGGCGATCGCAATGGGAGTGATTTATTTTCCAGGCAGACGAAAGCGTAGCGTTTCATTCGCGGGCTCAACTACCTCAATGTCCGATGCCCAAGACGATGGTCTCTGGTTGTCGTATTGGAAGGCCTTAAGTGAGAGTCTGAATCCGCAGAGGTCTCGAAGTGAAAGCGGCGCCGGGCGTGAGCAAGCAATCTTGATGGATTTGCTACACACGTAGATCACTTGGATTTGGTGGATGTGGGTGTAGGATGAATATTCAGCGGGAGTAAGCCGTTCCAGCGAGCTCTTCGATCAGAGAGCCGAGGGACGAGCCAACCGGAGCCGAGCGACCACCGTCGAAACTGAGGTGCGCAGCGAAGAGGGCAGCCGACTATCCGCCTGGATTAAAACTGCAGTAGCAGGAGGCGACTGAGGGTTCACTCAAACGTTTACAAAAGTTCACGACGGTATGCGACGCTGTGTATGTCGGGAGAAAGCAGGTGCAAACTCAATGAAGAACGTACGATCAAGCGATTCGCGTCCACCGCTTGAGTTCGAAGTGGAATTCGAAAGTTGTAGCCGGCGACTCGAGCCAGGTCGAGACGCCTGAGAGCAACGAGGGAGGGTCCGTAGGGGTCCGTGCGAGAGGCGCATCTCATTCACTAATAGCTCGAGGACGACCGCCGAGATGGCTTCCCTTCCCGTTCCCCGTGTGTCCTCCTCTCCCCACCCACAATGCCGCCCCGTATTCGATCACTCACTCCCGAGTCAGACGATGACGATGACGTGTCCATGATGACCTCATCGTCACCACAACGCAAGCCGACAACGCCCGCAGACGGCCCCGCGACACGTCCTCCCGTCGCTTCGACTGTAACTGCGACTTCAGCTGCGACGGCTGGCATAACACTACCTCAGACCCATGACGACGACGATGATGAGCTATCATCTTTACAGTCGTCTGCGGAGGAAGACGAAGAGGAAGAGGAAGATGATGTGGAGGACGATGAAGACAAGCAAGTCTCCCCCGCCACTTCACGGAGTCGCAAGACGGTCCCGCAATACAAGGACGATGACGAGGCCAGCACCTCCTCCGAGGAAGAAGACCAACTCGACGACGACGACGACGATGACCAGGACGGAGCGGCGTACTCTGATGATGATGAAGAGGACGAGCTTTTTGACGAGGAGGAGGAGGAGTTCGCGAGGGCTAGGAATGCTGCGGGTGGATCTCGTTCGAGAGCATCATCGACGATCAAGTCCAGTCCTGCCAAAGTTACAGGAGCGGGGATGAAGATCAAATTCAAGCTCGGGGGAGGTGCAGGGGCGAGCGCGAGTGCGAGCCCAAGTGGGGGCAGGGCGACCGTCTTGTCCGGTGGGGGCGGCAAGGCCAAGAAGGGTGGCAGTAGCTCCAAGAGCAGCAAATCGAAGGGGAAAAAACGCGCTCGTACGTTGTGAAACGGTGCTCTAATGCTCGAGACGTGACGATTGACTTCATGAGCTCCGCGGCCACAGACGACGACATCTCCGACATCTCCGACGACGATGCAGGCGACCCTTCCTTCTCTGACGGGTCGTCCGTCAACTCGGGAAGCCGACTTACGGCTCGTCAAAGGGCAAAAGAAATGGGTGGAGAACACGGGATGGAGTTGGAGTCTTTGTCGAATGGTGAGGGAGCATCTGGTCTGGCCAGTCGGATCCCCGTGGGGATTGATTTCTCGCGTGATGCTGATGCACGATCCTGTCTCGCGCTCTCACGGCCAGACATCATACCAAGGAACAAGGTCAAGCTTACGGATGCCGAGGCTGCACTTCGACGATCCGAGAACCTTAGGAAGCGCCGTTCTCAAGCTTACAAGAAGCTCGATGACGAGGTGAGCTAGCGTTGCCTCACGCTCCCATTCGATCTTTTGTCCAGAAATGCTCATAGCCGCTTCGTTTTCCCCTCCGTCCGAACGCTAGAAAACGGAAACAATCAATCGACTGCTCAAGAAACAAGTTGGTCGTCAAAACAACCGGGGTGGCAAAGCCTCGGCCAAGAATGCCGGTCAGCCCAACAACCTCTCCCATGCGGACGCTGTGGGTCCACGCACGCCGGGCGCGACGCTGGAAGCCGCAAGACCGCCAACGGGGTTGCGATGGGTTAGTTCGATCAAGACTGGCGAGTTTAAGAATGTCTTGATGCTGCCTGTGGGCATCGTCGAGGGGTTTGGAGCGGATCCCAAGGTGTTCAAGGGATACCCTGGGCCGAGGCCTCCACCTCAGTCGAGGGACTTGAGGCAGTTGGACAAGACGGCGCCTGCGTCGGTACAACCAGTGGCTTGATGGTCTTTGTTTGCATAGGAGCTCTTGTGCTAGCTAGAAGTATGTTGTAACGCACGGTGTATGTGCCTGTCTGGTACAGAGCCCACGCCGATCGCCGATCGAAATTGGCCACTGGGCCGAGAAAGGTCACGTGCCGTGAGCCGAGAAAGCCGTCGGCACGCGCCGGAACTTCGGCAAGGTGCCGACTGGTGCCGGGTGTGGTGCGGATCGGTGCGGATCTGAAGCGGCCGCCGGCTCGGACGTTTCTCCGTCTCTCCCTCCGTCTCTTGCTTCCTCCACAAGCACCCCACTTTTCCGTGACGAGGCCAGGGATGATCGCATCCACCTCCTCCCGAACATTCACGCGATCGCTACTGGGCTGCTCGTCATGCGCCTCGGCTTCCGGCGCGGTGACGCGACGGACCTTGCTCCCCCCGCTGCCCCACTTGGCGATCTCGTCCACGCGATTAGCCATTGGCGGCCCTCACCAGACCCGCTCATCGTCTTCCTCCGGACCAGCGGGGAGGCCAACCGTAGCAACTTCTTCTTTCCTCTCGACGACTCGGGAAGCTGCCCTTCATACCCCCGGACTGAGGTGGAGAGATGACGAGTCGATTCATCCGCCTACGAAAGATCCCGACGGCAACATCGTCCTTGGGTCCGAACCAACTTTTGTTGAACCCTCGGCGGAGGATCTTATCAGCGTTGATCAGGGCGGGAGGGAGACCAAGAAGATGAAGTCAGTCTTGGGCGCATCGTTCGTCGATCACCGACATCTGAAGCTCATCACTTGCTCTTGATTCGTCCGTGTGGGGCTCTTGCTCTCGCCTCTGTTCCGAAACAGTCTCTACCAAGCCGTCCGAGATGCCATGGCGTGAGTCCAAGCTTTTCCTAGGTTCGATAAAGACATGCTTACCTTGGAACCCAATCTTATTCAGTATCACACTTAGCAAGGATTCTTCGTCGGTCGTCTTCGGAGAAGACGTGAGTGTCTCGCTCCGGACTTCTCGGCATGCCGTGGATTGACTGACGACTCTGCCCTTCGTAATCATAGGTCAACTTTGGCGGTGTATTCCGGTATGAGAAAGACTTCGCTCCGTATCAATGCTGCGCGCATGCCTAAACCCTATTTCTACACCGCAGATGTACCATGGGTCTAGCCGATGAATTTGGCAAGTTGCACAGAGTTTTCACCCCCTCGCTGTGCGTCATCACAGACCGCTCATACGTACTTTACGTGCTCCTCCAGGCTCGGAACGCGTATTCAACACCCCTCTGACCGAACAAGGAATCGCCGGATTCGGGATCGGTCTCGCCACGATGGGCAAGACCGCCGTGGCCGAGATCCAGTTCGCGGATTACATCTTTCCTGCATTCGATCAGATCGTCAATGAGGCGGCCAAATATCGCTTCCGGTCCGGGGATCAGTACAATGTAGGGTCGTTGACATTTAGGTCTCGTGAGTCATTGTCTTCGAGGACTGCCTGTGGAAATGATAGCGCTGACTCTTATTTTGCTCGCCTCGGGTATCCCTCAGCTTGCATGGCGGTTGGACACGGTGGTCTGTACCACTCTCAGAGCCCGGAAGCTTATTTCTTACAGGCGGCAGGATTGAAGGTGCGCTCTATCCATACTTCGACTCGACAGCTCATCAAATTTATCAAAGTTCCTATGTCTCGCACCATAGGTCGTCATCCCTCGATCTCCGATCCAAGCAAAAGGTCTCCTCTTGTGTGAGTGCCTAGCCTCAGTCCTGCCACACGGCTAGCGCTGATTAGTCCAGCATACCTCACAGCCGCAATCCGTGATCCGAACCCCGTCGTGAGTATCTCCCGTACTCTCTCCCGCCTTCAACTTCACCCACTCACCCCAAACTCTCCTCTTCTCTCTATTCGTGCCCGACTAGATCTTCTTCGAACCCAAAATCCTCTACCGCTCGTGCGTCGAACAAGTCCCCGTCTCCGACTACCAACTCCCCCTCTCCTCCGCCGAAATACTCCAGGAAGGTTCGGACCTCACTATCGTGTCCTACGGTCCCCCCTTGTACACGATCGAAGGCGCGCTACATCTGTTGGCGAACCCGAGTGAGGATATCCAGAACCTCGTGCCGAGGGACTTGAGAGGGCTCAAGGTCGAATTGATTGATTTGAGGACGATCATGCCTTATGATGTGAGTGTGGGGGTCCCTTTATTAGCTGGATCATACGAACAAAGGCTTAAACCCCTTTCGATGGTCATAGATCGAGACCGTGGTCAATTCCGTCAACAAAACTGGGCGATGCATCGTCGTCCATGAAGCGGGCAAGATGGGTGGGGTGGGCTCCGAATTGGCAGCGGAGATTCAGCAGAGGTGTTTCTTGAGATTGGAAGCTCCTGTTCAACGTGTGACGGGGTGGGATACGCCCTTCGGTATGATTTACGAGAAGATGTATTTGCCGGATCAGGTCAGGGTCGTAAGTCATGGTTCGCGTTGGGAAGGGTGAAATTGACTTGAAAGAGGGGTTGAGCTGACTCGGGGGTAATTTGTTCCTTCGACAGCTCGATTCGATCATAGAAACTATGCGGTACTAGGAGAGGTTGCTCGATATCATTTCCTCCGTCGGATTTTTCTTTCCTTTTGTGTTCCGACTGTATGATGTGACATTCCAACTTATTCTTTGATACTAGTACAAAGCCCGAGACTCCGAAGTGTGTCAGCATTCGATGGCGAAAGAACGAAAAGAAAAGAAATTATATACAACAATCCTCCAAATCCGAGGTGAGCATATTCACAGGCGTTCATTCCGGGGGGTCGTCGATGTAGATGAGTTTCTTGATCTGCACGGGGACGGCTTTGCCTAGGCTTCCATTATTGACGGTGAGGTTGCCGAAGGAATCGAGAGGGGCTTTGACCTGGGGCAGGGGTTGGTTTGAAGATCACACTCAACTATTAGTACACAGTTCCATCACGTTAGAGATGAAGAGTCCTCACCTTCAGTATCCCATCAACCTTGACCTCTCCCTGCCCCTCCATAGGTCCTTCATAAACCAACGCCTTATCCCACTTGACGCGTCTAGCCGGTGCGCTCCCGACCGAAGTCTTCTTCGTCGCTCCCGATCCACGTTTCTTGTTCCCATTCGACGATGTCGAGGGTCTTACAGGACTAGAATACTGCTCCTCGTCCCCTGGGGCTCGATAATGCGTCGTCTTCAACTGCTCCACCCTTACGACCCCATCGACAGCCGCAAAAGCTCCTCTCGCTGCGTCCAATTCCGAATTCAACAAATCGACCTCGCTCCCATCCGTACTACTCCTCAACGCGTTGCGTCGCTTCGCGGCCCTCGCCTCCCTACCCACAGACGTTGCTCCACTAACTCCGTGTTCACCAATCGATTTACGGATCTTGCTCGTCGGACTTGGGGGTCGGGGTACTTCGAGATGGGTGACGATGACTTGGTGGTGGTTGAAATGAAGTTGGTTCTTTTTGGTGTTGCGTTGGGTGAGACGAGTGAGTTCATCTTGAGTTAGGACGGGCGCGGGTTGGAAAGTCAGAACAGGTCGAGGCGTGAGGGGTTCAATGGGGGTTTCGGTCGTGTCGATCGAAGGTTTCTTTCGTCGGACAGGACGAGGGAGCAATGCGGTCGGCTGCTCTGAAACGGGTGTAGCTGGTGCGACGCGATCTTCGGTGAGCAGCTTGGTCTGTCGCGTCGGTCGAGGTAGAGGCGGAGGTAGCAGTTCTCGAGCAGGAGCTGAGGGAGCGAAAACGTCTTTCGCGGCGATGGCAGAGGTGAGAGGATCGAGCGACTCGGTCGATGCGGTCAGGATCGAGTCCGAGGACGCGGTAGGCCCCAGACCGAATAGGCCCGTTCGGGGAAGTGGGAGTGGAGGTGGAAGAAGTTGAGGCTTGCTCCTGATCGGCGATGTATAGCCAGCGGAGACGAGGGAAGGTGTTTTGGCTAGACCTCCTCGAGATGCTGTCCCGAGTGCCGAAGGAGGTCGAGCGATCTCCAGGTCGACCTGCTGCAACAAAATGAAGGATTAAGCATGCGATGCGCCGTATCAGAGCACTGCGACTTCAACTCACCTTTGTCGTGACAACACCATCCTTGACACGTTGAGCCTTCTTCTCCGGCGATCTCGGTGCAGCCGACGCGAGAGGAGCAGGGCGAGGCAAAAGGGGCAGCTCTGGGGCCGGAGGACAGCCAGCAACAGGCGTGGATGGAGCAGGAGGCATAGCCACAGGAACAACAATTTGCTGTACAGTGACTTCAACGGACGACGCTGTACTTGCTGTGCTGAGCGCTGAAGCGGGCCGTCGGACCAAAGCAGCAGCGATATTCGATGCCGAAGGACCAGCAATGATGCGCGATCCGGGGCGTCCTAGAGGCTGTCGGGCAAGTGTGGTTGCAGATGGCGCACCTATAACACGCCCCTCAGTTGCTACGATAGTGTGATTTGTTCGCAGCGTCGTTGTCATCGCAGGCCGTGGTCCTGGTTTCTTCGCCATATTTTCATTCGCAGTACTCGCCGCCGCCGCTCTCCGTGCCGCTGCCGCTGCGACCCTAGTTGCACTCGCCCCAGGCGCAGCCATCACCCTTGGTCGAGTGGCCGCCACCGGAGCGGCCGTCGTTGAAGAAGACGAAGCCGTCGAAGCGGACGAGTTCGATCGAGCGTGATGGTCAGTGGGAGGCGAAGGTTTCCGCGGTGATCGGCGAGGAGATGCCGGCGCAGTTGCTGCTGCGAGATGTGATGAGGGTATGGTCGAACTCGTCCCTTCCGTCAAAGTTGGTTTGGATCTAGGCACGGTTTGCTTCGTGACGGGTTTGGTAGTAGCGCTCGGTAGCCGGGTCGAGGGAACAGTCGCCGAGCTTGACGGAATCGGCACCTTGGGAGTCGGTGAAGCGATCTTCCTCACTACCACAGGTCGTGCAGTCGCAGTGGGCGCCGGGACCACCTTTTTCGAGGTCAAAGCAACCCTCTTTGACGCGGGTGAGCTCGAAGTGGAAGGCACAGCCGAATTCGTAGCAGAGCTCGAAGCCTGAGTAGAGGTCGAAGGCCCAGCCAACATTGCCCGAGGCACAGGCACGGCTGAAGAAGCACCCCCACCCAGCCTTGATTTGAGCTGGCCACCTTTGGTGACGGGTTTGAAGATCTCGCGCGGCTTAGCCAACTGTCGACGAGTGGTAGGGGCCGCAGTCAAGGCTGCCCACTGTTCCTTGACGACGGAAGGGACGACGGGCGTTTTGGTCGGTGATGGAGCAGGCGATTTAGCCGCTGGGGTTTCAACGACGTCCGAACTAGCAGTCTCCTCCTCAGTGTCTTGATGTTCCTCGGTGGAAGATGTGGATGAGAACTCGGGGTGTTGAACGGGTCGGAAGGGTACCGGGACTGCTCGTTCGGCCGACTGCTCGGGAAGGCCGTCGTCACATTCTAGCTCCGTATCGACTTCATTTTCTGGACTGGGTGGCGGCGAAGATGGAATGCTTGTTTCTGGGGTCCCTTCTCCATCCTCTTCTTGTTCCGTCTCGTGATCGACCGCAACGTCCTCCTCTTCCTCGTTGTCCGGGCTGTCTGCTTCTTCGGCCGGGTTCACGAGCTGCTGCGCTTCGTCGACTGGATTGAAGAGATCGAAGTCATCTTGCTCGGCCTCGGACTCCGATTCAGTTTCGTTCCCTTGATTCTCCCTCTCACCCTCTTCTTCCTCCCCAAGCTCATCAGACTCCTCCAGACCTCGCTCTTCTTCTTTCCCCTCCGCCTCCCCTTGCTCCTCCGCCTCTCCTTCCTCCCCAGACCCAAACTCCTCAAAGCACTTCACCATCCCCTCATCCAATCCCACGCCCTGCATATCCACCTCGCCCTCCCTCCCACTGCCCGCCGCAAAAGAGACCTCATCGACCTCCCAAGGCGAATCCGTATCCGTCAATTCGTCATCGTCGTAGTCAATCGCTCGGCGAGGGTGGTGAAACATGTGCTCGGTTTCTACGGTGGTGGAGTTTGTCGAATGAAGTAGTTCGAGTGCTGCGGCGGGGGGTTGTAGGTCGCGCATGGTGACGTAGGGCATGTGTGGGAGGCTTTCATCCTCCTCATCGTGCTCCTGGGTCGCTGCGTGGTTCTGGATCGTGTGGGCCTCGTCAAAGAATCCGGTATAGGTTGTCGCATCGTCATAGTCCCCCAATGCTCGGACCCGTTCCTCCTCATACGAACCCACCCGTCCGACCTCGGTGGCCAAAGCCATCCGACCCTCCTTGACCACCACCCGCAACATCCTCTGTAATTGTTCCTCGTCCTGCACAGCCGGGAAATCGTCTTGTACGGGCCAGAATGCTCTCAACCCCGACGGTGTGCCCGGTCGTGAACCAACGCCCGCTGTCGCGAACCGAAGAGGCGAGCCGGGTCGAAGAGGAGATGCGAGGTGGAGGTTCGAAGGCGTAGGAGGTCGTGAGCGAGGTGAAGAGGGTGGGAGCGTGGGAGAGTTTTGCTGGTCGTTCGCGTTGGAGTGCGTGCTGGGAAAGGGTGAGGAAGGTCTCGAGTCGTTGAGGGAGTGGGTCGGCTTCAGCGGTGATGAGGTTTTGTTAGGGGTCGCCGAGACGAGTGGTGATGCCATGCGCAGAGGTGATGATACACGCAGGGCTGTGAAAGATGTACATCGCAAATTTGTGAGTTCGCTTCGCTCATCCACTTGCAGGCCATCACCCATGATCTCGTCTGAAACTGACGTGAAGCGCGCTGCTCGCCCGTTGTTGACTGACGGTTCGACACCGGCGACGACGACGACGACGACGACGACCCGTCCAGCAACGAGACCGCTACGACATCCGGCCGAACGACGACCGTGTCCCTTCTTGAAAGTCTTGCACTCCTCTTTCTTCCTTGGTCGACCACCGACCCCAAAGCCGTAGGAACCGATGCCGACGAAGGCCCGGCGTCGGTCGTGATGGTCGTGGTCGTCGACGAGCGCTTCGCGCCAAACACGACCGAATCGTCGCCGTCGGACGACGCACACGACGAGGGGGAACGCACCCTTCCTTGCCGGGTTTCGAAGTGTGAGTCTTCCAGGGCTCGTATCGAGCGCGTTTGACGTCCATGGTCAACCATGCACAACGCCATCGGCCGCGAGTTCGGATACTCCCGAGTAGGTGGATGTCGCGCGGGTGGTGTGTGGCTTCGAGGTGGCAGAGGGCCACGGGAGGCCCCGGGCGGGGAGATCGAGGGCTATCGAGGGAGATCGGCACCCTTCGGCACCTGCACTGAGGCTGGCGCGCGAACGCGCGAGAAGGGGGCAAGAGGGCGCAGCGCGCAGCGCGCTGAGAAGGGTCACGTGACGTGCAATAAAGAACTTGCGGATGCACATGCAAAGGAGCCAAACTCTACGGAAGACGTGTACAACAAGAATATCAAAACATCGCAGGTTCATCAATCAAACATGCCACCCTCTGCACCGATCAAACCCCCAAGAGACAAAAGGAAAATGTCAGCTCAGCCGATCAGGAACCGAGTACACCCGAATTCAGAGCACTGACCATCATCACCACCACCACCACCGACACCCAACATATCCCCATCGTCACCTTCACCGTTGTCAAAGTAATTGTCCTCGTACTCGTTACCACCATCGTCGTCCTCGTCGTCTTCGAGACCTTCGAGTTGCTCGTCGTCATCGTCGGAGTTGCCAGAGACGTCACTTCTCTCTCCGGCACCTTCGGCATCCTGTGAGAGTGAATTCGAAGGATAAGGTACTCATCAGGTTAGTCAAATGTTGCTTCATGAATTTGCTCCGGCGGTGAAAATTGGCGGCGTCGGCCTGGAAACGTGACTTACCTCTTCGGCTTTCATGAGATCGTCGACGTTCTTGCTCTTCTTTGACGAGCTCGAATTGCCTAAAGCGAAAAGTGACCCAAACCAAAGAACAAACGATTAGCATCGCCTCACCGACCCATTCGCCAGCCCCTGACGAGCCCAATCTCGCCCTCTCGCCCTCTCGCCCTCTCGCCCTCTCGCCCAACTGACCCTGCTCATCCCGTCCGAGCCGCCTCTTGTTCGTCTTCTCCGTCCACACGGCTTCCGCAACACTGGACGGTAACAAGTCGAGCGCGACGGTGCGGTGCTTGTGCCATTCCTTGAGCGTCGGTAGGTCTTTGCTTCGTCCGAGCTTGAATCGGTCCGCATACTTTTCCAGTTCTATGCGAACACGCCATCCCGTAGTAGACCAAATTCATGATTATGAGTACGATGGTATCAATCATTCATGAGACCAACTCTGTGCATCAGCACTGACCAGCTTGGGTCGTACTCGGCGCGGCGAGGTGGAAGGTCGAATTCAACCTCATCTCGTTGTTGAGGCGCGAGATGGTGCGTGCGATACGTTGTTCGTCCGGGGAGGGAAAGTCGGTGTCACATTCGGGAGCAGGCTGGAAATTTAGTTGGAGAAGAATAGCGTCAGCAAGTTGGTTGGTACAGCGAATGCTAGCACGGGCACGACCACGAGGAGAGGCACTTCGCAACCTCGACGACAAGTATACGACACCAGCGAGCGAACGAGCCATGACGAGTGTACCAGCACCCAGTGCTCGACTTGCAGACTTACCGGGTACAACACGCCGGTCTCCAGCTTGGAATGAGCGATGATATCGGAGTAGAGCAACTGGCCGATCGGCATCTGAGGCGCACCCCCTGCACCCCCTGCACCCCCTGCACCACCACCCCGTCCACCGCGACCTCCTCGTCCCCCACCTCGTCCTCCACGTGCGGCCATCCTGGTACTCGGGACTTGCTTGGGGGGTAGCCTGGAGGAACGAACGAGAGGCGTGCGCACCGTGCGCGGATACGAGGGCTGGATGAGGGCGAAGTGCACGAGGGGCACAGTCCAAGAATCGGCGAGGATCACGGATCTGGCTAAATTATCGCATGTCGTCCAGGAGATGCGCTGCGGAGAAGAGCCAACCGCCGTGACTTATTCCCATTCACTTCTTTTTTTTTTTTTTGGTCTATCTTGAATCATCCACTGCCGAACAGTCATTAGCCAAGACGACCTATCACCACGGAAGAATCCTTCCACCTTGTCGTCGAAACTTCCCTCACTCCTCCTCAGCTGCCCTACTCCACAACGTCCTCATTCCTCCCCGGACTAGGTGCCCTCGAACTATCCTCGAAATGACGCTCATCCGCATACTTGTACACCACACCCACCCACCCCTCCTCACCTCTTCGCATCCGAATCTCAGTGAAGCAGCAATTCCCAATCCGTCGATCGAGGACTTGGTCGAGCGAGTCCGAGAATTCGCTTGGAGAGAGGGAGTAGTTTGAGGATCGGTCAATGAGAAGGGAGTGCAGGAGTTGGCGAATCGAGCCGCCGTGGGAGACGATCAGCCATTGACTTGGGGAAGCGGACGAGGATCCTTCCTCGTTCATCCCATGCGCATCGGTGCTTCCGTTGGAAGTCGCAGTGGACGTAGGGGTCGACGGAAATCGCTCGTCCCAAAAGGACAGAAGACGATCGGCAAATTCAGAAGTGGGTTCGATCGTTTTGGAATCGGCGGCGGTGCATTCATCGCGGCGTTTGTTCTGTTCGGACACGTTCGGGAAAGCGGAGGTTAGAATCTTTCAGTTCGAGTCGGCGGGAGATGACGGTGAGGAAGGAGGCTCGACTGACCTGCATCGTACCCAAAAACTGAGCCCGAATCAAAAACGGTAGCTGAATCAGTATCATCATCAATCTTCATCGTCCACCACCTGGCCCGCCCTGGCACGATTGCCCGCCCAGCAGCAACCCGAACTTCACCTCCTCTCGCAACCGCGCACTCACCCGTTCCCTCAACCTCTCATCCTCCCCCACGCTCATCCTCTCAAAACCGGCCTTATCCAACACCGTCCTCGCCGTCACCTTGGCCCTCGACAAATCACTACTCCAAGCCTGATCAAAACCCTTGAATCCTCGAGCAGCGAGCACTCGGCCTGTTGTGGAGGCTTGGGCTAGACCTTTGGTGTTTAAAGGTACGTCGATGTGACCTTGCACGGTTTTGGAATGGTTGTAAGAGGTTTCACCGTGGCGCTGGTGAGGATAGGTGGGGGGGGGGGGGAGATTAATGATCAAGCGTTGTCGAGGAGTTGGTTTCAAGTCGGCTCGAGATGGGGACGACCAATGCTCTTTCGTTCGAGTAGTGACTTACGACGATAGTGACAATCACCTCATCAAGAGATGCCGGGGAAGAAGAACACATGACAATAAAGCCCGGCGATGGAAAATCAAGCCGGTATGGCATGTAGGGCAAGCGTAAGAGCTCGACGTGGACCTGGACGATAGTTGCGACGACCCGTCGACGTCAGAGGTCCGAGCGTCCGACTCGCTGCCGATTGCTTCTGGGAAGCTTCGCTCCATGGGTGTGAAAAGGATGAACAAAGTAAAACCATCGTTACACAAAACCCGAGAAAAGTAAAAGCGGAAGAAGAGTGAATGTCCTCACAACACCAATCCGCTAAGGAAAGGGCTCGACTAGAGTACCAAAGGGGGCGTCATCAAAAAGCGTTCGGGTTCGCAGCTTTGCTCGCGAGTTGGTTTGTTCGTAAAGAGTAGTCGTCGCCGTGTTGCGTGATATAACTGTTGAGATAGTGCGACACAGGGCTCGTAAGGGTCAGCAGTCCGGTCTAGACCGAGACACTAGCTAGTACTAAACGGGGTCTGCTCACCGAACCCAAGGCAAGGCCTGGTAGCCTGACTTTTCCACCACTTTGAGGTAGCGCACTTGAATACCTGCGAAGCCACACCACGACTCGTCAGTCATAGGTAATACACTATTCAAGCGAGCAGCGGGCACTGACCAGATACGGTAAAGTAAGGGATCTCAAACTTGACCGAGATCGGTGCGCGCTTATCAATCTCCTCCCCCTTGACCGAAGGCAACCCAAAGTGCGCCCTCATGAGGTAATCCTTTCCCCCGGCCAACTGCTTGATCTTCCACACGAACGCGCTCTTCTCCGGCACGTAATGCACGGTCCCGATCGCGGCGCGGAACTTGGGCGAATCGGCATCGTCCGGAACGGGGATGTAGATCTCGACGTTGTTGGCCGTCGATCTCCGCTTGAACTGCGCCTTGACTTTGACGACGTATTCGATCCTCGAACCCGAGTGGTGTTCGATCAACGCCTCGGCCCAGATCAATGGTTTGACTTGGGTGTTGAGGCGGTACGACATGAGCTCGAACTCGCCGTCAGGTGGGATGAAGGAGATGGTGCGGTCGTTCTCAAACCGTGACAGGCGCACGCATTGGTGGAACTTGACGTCCTCCATTTCGATCGCCTTGCCGCGTGATGTCCGCCCCGTGTTCTCGAACATGACCTTGTCGTTCAGACCCAGTCGCAGCTCGGGCATACCCGACAGGTAGCACTTCATCTTGACCGCGCCCAATATCTCACTTCGCACGACGTTGCCGTTGGTGTTGACCTGCGAGTGACAAGAGCACACGATGTCAGTGCCCAAACGCATCGGATCCTCAGCGCACGCCTTGAAGAACGCACCAGCAAGTTGACGGATTCAACCACGTCCAAAAAGACCTCGTTCTTGCGATACCGTATGCCTTCAGATCGCCACGACACGGCATTGGTCACCGCCATCGGTGGTCGTACTTGAACTTCCAGCTTGTGCGATTCCTGCGTGATGTACCTAAAGGGAGGATGCCAAGCCGATGAGGGATTGTCAGCTTCTTGGCTCTGCTCAGGCCTGATGGCAGCGTGCACCATGCGGCGCACTCTTGCAAGATCTTGCTCTCGGTTGTTTGCGGGTATCCAAAGTCCATCATCTCGTCCAGCAGTTCGTACTGTCAGTGGCAAGCAGAAGCATAACCCGTCAGCCTTGGACAGCCTCGCGCCGCGCCGAGGCAGATGGAGGAGCCGCCCAACTGACGATGATGACAAAGTTGTCCCGAATCGACTCTTCCTCCAACTCTTTGAAATATTCCGTCAGGACCTGTATAGGGATGAGCATGGGACGAGTCATGCGTGAGTCAGAAAGCCGGGATTGGGCTGTGCCGATTGTCGTGACGCGAGGAGGGTGAAACACTCACCGCGACGAGTTTGTGCAGGAAGGTGAGGATCTCTGCTGCATTCGAATTCCTCTTTGTCAATGCGACGACTGTTGCGATACGTCGTGTGATTGCAAAGAGCAAGATGACGCGAAGGCCAAGACATGGTGTTGATCCAAGGGCCGCGTGTCAGTGTCAGCTCATCTCCCTCCCCCTTTGAGCGCGTTCCCGACCCATGCCCATCTGCCTGTACTCTCGGACTGACGATAAAGGTTGTTGTGCCGAATGTGAAGGTAGTTGATGCCGCTATTGGAGAAACAGGGCGTGACGTAGGCGCCTTCCTCTTCCTGTTCGAGCACGAGCGGCAGGAAGCGCTCGATCGTCGACGAGGGGATGTCGTCGCGGTAGGACCGTTGGATCAGGGACTGTGTGGAGAGGAGCGTAGGTGAGCAAGTTGAATGCGCGTCGATCGGATTGGCTTGGACGATGTGAACGTACCTTGCCCTTGAGATCAAGGATGGCGACGAGTGAACACGGCATCGTCGGCGGGGGACACGCGACGAGAGGCGACCTCTCGCTCGAGCACACACGCAACCGAGAAGAAGATGGAGTGCCTGACGCGAGGTGGTAGCAGAGCACAGATCCGGCCTGTAGTCAGAGTCTTGTGGTGGTGTCGGATGCGTATGACGGGGTGCGGCGGGCGAACGTATCTGACGACGGCGGCAGGTGGGAAGTGAGCACGGCCTGGCCGGGCTTAGTGCCGCGCAACGTGGTCCGGCTGGGCTCTCATTTCAAGCCGAATGGTGATACTAGTAAGCGCCGGTGAACATGGTCATATGAAGTAAAGCCATTTCCCACCACCGCTCTCGTGCATTCTTTCGCTATGGACATTCTAAATATGTTATTCCACTATGAGATAAAAGTGCCTACGATGTCAGCTCCTCCGAACAAATATTGCGAGGGCAAACGCCTCGAGCGGAGACCGGAGCAGACTTGTTGAACCCAGTGACGGGGAACAGATCCCTCTGGTGCGACAGCCTCCAATTCTCCCTGCCGACATGCTCCATATAAACATGGTGGATTAATGTCGAGATGTACAGAGGTCCGGCGGGGTACTTGGGTAGGCGACATGGATGCGAAGGATCGTCAGTCTCGATCCCAACTCTTCATCCTTCACGAGCAGCAGCCTACGGAACGCTCACCTTGTTCGGATGAATCCCAGTCTGATGACTCTGCCATCCTTCAAACAGTCCTCCAAAGTCAAACACCGGTGCCCCCGTCGCGATGGCAACGGCGTCCATCATCTCCCTCAGTTGATGCGTTCGAACGTTGGTGAAAAAGTTGGAAAACTTTTCGGGAGCGGCCTCGGCTTTGCCGTCTTGGCGAAAGTCATCTGAAGTTCGACGCCCGAGGAAAAGTCAATTTCATGATGGGGACACTAGATTCCTCCCAAAACTTACAAGAAGCTTGTCCAACCGGTCCGACGCGATGCAACTTGCGATACCACACCGGTGTACCCGGCCACGTCTTACACGTATGCTCAAGGATTTGCGCCGCCCTCTTAACCCAGAACCGAACTCGTTCATTCGATAACGGCGCTTCACTGGACTGTTGCCACGCTCGATCTTGACGACCGAAGAAGGCAAGGTCCCATACTGCGCTCACACAAGGTAACACGCCGACTCAGTTGTCGGACTGCCCAAACGCAAGCACACGCTGCGGAAGACTCACGGCCGGAATGCAGCGAGATAAATGAAGGCTCTTGAGGTAGTTGCGCCGTATGGACTTTCAAGAGTTTGTCGATCCGATCCTCTGCCTTTCCAGGTGCATGCCAGTCCGGCTGCTGCTTGAAATTGTCCTCGTCGTCCTAAATCATCGGAGCAGCGGTGAGAGAGGGCAGAAAGCTTTTCAAGGTCAACCTCTTTCCTTCCCCATAGTCGGCTTGCCTCACGAGACACTTACCACCCCATAAAAGAACCCATTCGTCAGCGTCAACCCCAACCAAGGCACCTCAATAACCCAAGGGATACCCCGATCGTCCCACCCCATCGGCACGACCCCCTTCTTACTAAAATCATCATAAGGCACGCAATACCTCGGCAGACCAAACATCTCCGCGAAGTGATGTAGAGCATTCCGATCGACCGAATCACCGAGGACGAGGATCGCTCGGTCTTTGAGGAAGGAGAGACGGGTCGTGTCTTTTTAGGCGAGGAACCCGAGCCAGTCAGGGGCGGGTTCGCACGATTCTGAATAGGGGATCCAGCGCGTGCCTAGCGGGTTCTCGGCGTCGTAGTGCTGTAGCGTAATAGGATATCGAATGTCAGCTATCTTTCACTCTCAAGACCTCGTTTCACCTCGATCAAGCTCTGCCCAGCCTAGCCCATCTCGACCCAGCTTCTCTCCGAGTTCGCGAGGTGGCCTTGTTCACGAGCCACTCACGAGGAAACCCGGCTCGGCGAAAGGATCACACAGTTTGTCGGTATGTGGGTCTGGATCAACGAGCTGTATAGGACTGCCATGAACGGAAACCAAGAGCAATGCCCTAGGTCAGCGCAGCCTCCTGGCAGGTCGCCTTCAAGCTGACTCGGAGGTTCGAGTGGGGACCCCCACTTACTCGACCAGCCCAGCGGCTTCCCGCCGTCGGACAACGAGCCAGTAGAACAGCCCGACGGCCAACAATGGCGAAATAAGCTTGGGCGTCTTCATCAATCCCCAAGGAAGAGCGATATCGCGTGCAAGAGCAAGTGCAAGACCGATGCCGAGATGCTGCATCGCGCCTCGCGGCCGGCCAAGTTCAAGCCTCCCTTCTCAGGACAAACCTTATTTTTGAACGAATTTCAATATCCGTGTGGGCATGCGCATCTCGCTACGTAAACACAAAAGTACAGAACATAAATGCGTACACCAGAAGTGAGCTACCTCGTGCAATAGGATCAGTGTACTTGCATACTCACTGATGCTGAGGGTACCGTGGACCTTTTCAATCCGATTGTGAGATCGAGCGCTTGGGCGTCGAGCCGACTCGGGGTGACGGAAGATGCCGCCACGGAGCCGGGTCGGTCGGCCGGCTTCACGCGAGATCGAGCTTCGACGCGGTGATTGAGCTCCTATACAGTGGCACAACAAAAGATCTTATCAAAAAAATCAAGAGAAACACTTTAGTGCTGTTCACTAGAAAATTAGCAGGTTCTCTCTGCCTGATCGGAAGCAGCTCCGAGTCCCCACTGCTGCGGGCAGGGGGAAAAAGGAAGGAGTGATGATCTGGGGGAAGGGACAACAGGGATGAGTCTTAGTCAGGTTAGAAGCGATTGCATAAACAATGTGGTCCAGCGCCCGATGAGATTTGTCTCGTTATATAGACTAGCAGTTGAATTCTCACTCTCATTCCGAAAGGACAGCGCCGCCTTCACCAGAGTAACTTTGGGAGCAAGACTAATGAATCTGGGTTACATGATACTGCGGGGACATTTGTCAGATTCTTGTACTACTCTGAGCTCGAACGTCCCCTTGCTCGGCTTGCAAACGTTCGCTTTACGGCTCGGAGCCAGCTGGGGAGCAGCGAAGTCTTCGGCTCTTCGTCTTCTGCACCCCTCTGCTCAGTCTGCTCAGGCACCTCGCGCCTGCGCGCCTCACCCCTCTCTCGACAACTGTCTAACACGGCCCCATTCTTGGCGAAGACGGTCCCAACGGCTCGCGGTCGCTAAGGAGACTCGAAGCTAAGGGACGTACCAATTTTACAAAGCCATGCGCGCCATGTCGTGTGGTGTACACGTTACAACTATATCACTAACTATACTACATCAAAAACGCATTTAAGCCACCCACCCAACTCAGTACGTCTGAGGCAAGACCGTCCTAGTCCACTCTGTCGACTCGAACCGATCTTTGTACGTCTCAAAGACCTTAAGCAACGACGCGTACTCCTTCGCGACTTCAGCTTCACCGTCCGCATCCGCCATCTCGGCGTCTCTGTCTTCTCCAGCTGGTACGGCTGCAGTATTGCCAGAGGCCCACGCGTTGAGGAATTCTTCGACCAGTGCGGTGCCTTCTGCGATCGCTTCGGGAGGCAGCGTTGAGGCGGTGGTGGCGGCTTCTCCGGCTGCAAGAGACAATGTTATCATGTTGTGTCAGAATCGAGAGGAGGGGTGCCACCAGTCCGAGACAGCGAGCACTCACGTCTGTCACTGAAGTCCTCGAGATCGTCCGCTTTCCGCTTCGCGAGCTGAGCGAGATGAATGCGATGTCAGTTTCACGATTGCTCTCTCGCGCAATCCATCTACGTTGCTCTCACCTTGACGACCTCCTCGGGGAAATTGGCCAGTTCCGCGACGTGTATACCAAAGCTCTGATCGCAGACACCTGAGGAGAAGGGATCGATTTCGTCAGTGATCTGAGAGCGCTGATTAAGTTTTGGGCCCTCGCACTGACCTGGCTCAACCTTGTACAGCAACGTGATCTCCTTGCCCGTGAGCGAGTCAGGCTTGGGATCGACGTGCGCGACGACGTGCAGATTCTTGACGTGCGGGATCTCGTGCGCGAGCGCAGTCAATTCGTGGAAATGCGAGGCGAACAGTACGGCGGCGCGAGTCTCTTTTGCCAGATGTCTGTTTACAACGTCAATCAGAGGAAAGGTCAGGATACAAATGGAAGGGCCGACTGTGGTTGGGGTGTACTCACTCTGAGATGGCCCAAGCGAGACCAAATCCGTCGTAGGTCGAAGTTCCACGACCCAGCTCATCGATAATGACGAGCGAGTCCCGCGTTGCCGACTTGAGGATCGCCGCTGTCTCCAGCATTTCCGCCATGAAGGTAGAAACACCCTTGAGCTGGCTGTCACCAGCACCAACCCGGCAGAGGATTGAGTCAAAGATCGGCACGGTCGCAGAAGTGCATGGCACGAAGCAGCCGATTTGCGCCATCAACGAGATCACGCCGGCTGAACGAATGAAGGTTGACTTTCCGCCCATGTTCGGTCTAGAAGGAGGCACAGAGGGCTTGTCAGCTGGTAAGCCTTCGTCTTTGAAGAAGCTGGCACGTACCCAGTGACGATCTGAAATTCGGAAACATCTGGAGATCGCGGGGCGGTGAGAACACGAGATGAGCGGAGAGCCTCAGTAGACCTTACGCTCTTGGTACTCACCTCGCTCGAGCGAGATATCATTGGCGATGAAGTTGATGCCCTCCATGACCTCCAGGCAAGGGTGACGCGCGTCGACGAGGTTCAGACTGCCCTCAGCTTGCTCGCAAACTACGGGTTTGACGTACGAGATCGGCGCGTTGAGGGAGGACGTAGCAAGCGAGGCAACGACATCAAGATGGGCCAGGAGATTGTTCAGTGTCTCGAGAACGGGGCAGTACGAGGCGGCGATGGCAATGACCTCCTTGACGAGCGCGGATTGCTTCTTCTCGTACTGCTTGGTCAAGTCCTTGTGATCGTCGTTGAGCGACTTGAGTTGCTTGGTCGTGAAATGAACACCATTTGTTTGGTTCTTGAGCTCGATGTAGCCCCTCTTGTTCTTGATCGCCGACCCTTCTTTGCGAGTCAATCGGAAGCAATAGCCGTACAGCGGGCTCAGCTCAAAGTGCAGCACCTTGTTGTCGGCGTCCATCTTGAGGTCCCCAGCGACGCGTTGGTGCTCCTCGTCGAGTGAATCGCGCACTTGCTCGAGTTGCTGCTTCAACTCCTGAAGCGTCTCGTCGAACTCGGGCTTGATGACAAACTGATGGCGGTCGAGCTCGTCGAGGTCGATCGTCTCCTCCACCATCTCGCGCATCGGTTGCAAGAAAGTGGCATTGTCCTGTGAGTCAAGTGCGAAGAATTGAGGGATTAGTGAAAATTGACAGCTTACAAACTCCGAGCAGTCCCTCGGTTCAAAGAATGCACCTTCAATCCAGCCAAGTAGACCTCGTCAATCAGCTCACGCCATCGCTGGTTTCCATCTGCGCCGTTCTCGAGCACGGTCAGGAGACCGGGTAGCAGAAGTAGCGCTTGGTAGACTCGCACGACGTCTTCGAGGTTGGCAGCGCCCTTTTGGAATCTTTTCGAGATGCGATGGAAGTCGGGCATCGACTTGAGGTAGTCGTTCTATGAGAAGAAGGGCGTCTATCAGGTGGGTTCGTCAATTGTTCAGTGCGGGACGCCCGAACTGACCACCACAGCCTGACGCAGCGCAGTGTCTTCAAAAAAGCACTCTACCAAATCTTGTCGTTGTTCTGTACATCCAAGGAAAATGGATCGTCAGCATACGGCACGCTCTCGAGTCACGACCTGGACTGTTTTCTACTTACGAATCGAGTGCAGATTCACCAGGGGCTGCTTGAGCCACTGAGCGAGCATGCGTGTCCCTTGTGACGTCTTGCATCGATTGAGCAAACCAAACACGGACATGTTCTTGCTTCCGCCGGAGCCCATACCCGTTGGATCGGGCATCACTATGGGGAAAGCAAAAAAAAAAAACGAGTGAGAATCTGTCGAGCCCGAATCGGAAAGAGATGGTTAACGTACGGTTCAGGGCTCTTAAAGCGGAGGCATCGAGCTTCATGTACTGCTTGAGGTCGTGGGTCACCATCTGGTACGAGCCAAAGTTTGAGTCGTCGGTCATGAGCCCGAGATAGGCGATCAGAGCCGCTGTCGAAGCCATTGCCACTTTGAGGTCGAGCTCAGCTAAAAACAGCGAACTGATGAATCAGCACGAGTTGGAGGGAGCGATCGGTAGAGTGGGCTTACGTCTCGTTGAAGCAGGTACATCGCCTCGCAGTAGTCGATTTAGGTCTTGCTCCACGTCCTTGGCCGTGAATTCGTCTGAGGTTTCGCTCCCAAGAGGTGAGTCCGTGAAGCTGGATTCTCGGACGGGGAATGTGCACTCACTCTTCTTGCGATCTGTGAGGACGATGTTGCATCTCTCGACAAGCGTGTAGATCTTCTTGAGGTCATAGTCGGCTGCCTTGTCCTCGCTGGGCAACAGCACCTCTTTGACGCCAAGTTGGATGAGGAGAGCCTGGTGCAGATGAAGTTGGTAATCAGCGGTCAAAGTTTGTCCATTTCTAGCCGGCATTAGTAAGTGAGCCTACCTCGGTGTTAGAGAAGAGATCGTTGTCGATGAACTCGGCGACACCCATCTCCTGCCTCGACGTATCGGCAAACGTGACGCCAACGGTCTTGACGTTGTCCTTGACCTGCAGCTTGAGGGCGAGGATGACGGGTGCGGCGAGCATGTCGGTATGCGCGAAGAGCAAGTCCTCAACCTGGGCCAAATGACCGGGACTGGCTTGCTTTCCGAGAGTCCACTTTGAGGCGTTCTTGCCGCCGGCAGACTGGTAGATCTCGATGCGGAGCTGTTTGGTCGTCAGAGCGTCGCGCAAGAAGCCTTGTGCGACCGCGATCGACATGGCTACGGCGGGGAGGCCGTCGGGGAAGATGGACGAGATCTTGCCGAGCTTCTTGATGACCGTTTGGGTCTAGGTGGAATACAGTGGAGAACAGTTGCAAGTTGAGCAAAGCGCATGTCCGACCCGTTGGCCAGGACTGACCTTGTAGTGATGCGTGGCAATGTAGATGGCATCCGTCCCAAAGGCCGAGTAGAAGTCGCCCCGATCGAACAACCTGACCGTGCCCGCGGGAGTCTGTGGATTCGAGTGCTTCGAGTCACTACATGTAATTCAAGTTCAAAGTACACGAAGCCCCTCCCATCAATTGCTGGCATGATCGCGGCCCATGCCCCGTGAAGGTCGGGCGGACTTGCCACGCAAAGGAAGCTCATTTCCGCGGCGAGATGAGGCGACGCGACGCGTACGGCTTGGTTTGGTGCGACGCGCCAGCCGGGGGAGATCGATGACGACTTACCGCAGGCAGCTTGCGGATGACATCGCAGAACGAGTTGTCGGCCTGGTCGGCGTTCGAGTCGTCCACTTTGCCTGCTCCGTACTGCAGTGGGGGCGACATGGCGGCCCGTGGAATGGTGGATGTGGGGGAAATCGAACCCACGGTGGCCAGCTGTGGCACCCTGTGGCAACAGTGTGGCAACGTTGACGATGAGCGCTTGCAGTGAGCCAAGGCGCGCCGAGGCAAACATTGCTTCGTGGTCGGCTTTTTGCCCATCTACCTTCGTTACGAGAAGCGCCCGCTTGACTTGCAGCACACGCACAAGACCCCTTAGGAACCCATCCCCATGCCATCTCTCGAAGGTCTTGATGCACCCGATGCGATCCTCAGCACAGCCCGCTACGACCCACCGCTGAGCTCACTCGACAAGAACTCGCTCACCCAACCCCCCTCGGCACCCTCCCCGTATGGCTTACTGGCGTATCACCACGACCGATTGGTCCAGGCAGCGGCTGCGTTCGCTTGGACGAGCGCCGCGCAGAGCCTCGAGGGTGAACAGGGGCTCATCAGGCTACGTCGGCGACTCGATCAAGCCGTCTCGCGGTGGCAGACACAGAACGCTGACAAGTCAGATCAACCACTTCGTGTGAGTTTGCCTACAAGGATGCTCGGAGATGAAGCCTCGTACTCAGTTCGTTGGTGTACTCTGCCACAGCTGCGGATTCTGGTCTCCCCCACTTCGGCCGATGACGACCTCATCACCGTCCAAGCTTTCGCATGCAACCCCATCACCCCAATCTCCAACTTTTTCAACCTCGCACTGGCGAATCCGACGACACTGAATGCGCTTTCGTCCTCTTCGACCTTCACCTACATCCCCGTACGGCTCGACCCCGCCCGTACCTCTCCTTCCCTCTTGACGCAATACAAGACAACCGCTCGCGACCATTACCTCGCCTCTCGGGAGCGGGCAGGTTTAGGCAGAGACTACAATAAACCGGACGAAGTGTTACTATTCAATCAGGACGATCAAGTCATGGAGGGCTCACTCTCGAACGTTGCGTTCTACCGAGATGGCGCGTGGGTCACCCCACATGACGAGGCTGGGGGATTGAACGGCGTCATGAGGCGGTGGTTGCTCGAGCAAGGGAGGTGGAAGCAGGGTATGATACTGCGGGGACAAGTTAGTCGGGGCGAGTGGGTCCTGCTGAGTAATTGCTTGCGGGGGTGTTTTGTCGGGAGGATAGAATCATAGGGGCAAAGCACGTGCGCTCCGTGGACCAGCTTGGTCACGTGATACGGTACGAAGACAGTCGATCTCGTCTCGCCCATATGATGTTCTAGACGCCCACCATCTAGCCGACTACCATCTCGCCGCTTCTTGGAAGAAACGACAAAGCTGCATAATCTTCTCGTGAAACCACCCAGCCCGCCCCATCCGATTGAAAGCGTGCCGGCGCTCAGCGATCCGGAGGGGCCCCGGCCCAAACCTGTCAAGAAGGTTCTACTTACTGTTGAACTTCGCTCCATCTCACTTCGAAAACAATATGCTCTCACTGCAGTAGAGGTGCCTCGCCTTTTGGTGCAGTGGTATATTGCTCCTTCCTAGTTACCATTTCCGACGTTGCGAGCCCATGGGCGGGCCTCTCGACGGGGCTCCGGCTCGCACGAATCGACTTTAAACCTTTCTTTGATTGCACAGTACATGAATTCATTGTCGGACCAAAATTGGGAAGCTTTAATTGATCAATCAGAAGCTGGGCCTCGGGCTTAGTCCACCCATCATGAGCCATCAAGGTGCGAAAATCGCGCCTCCCGGGGTCTGAAAATGAAGTCTTCTACACCGTCAATCACTACATCACCAAGGCAGTGGGAATCTGATTTGACGCTTCATCCTGCTGTTGCACAAAAATAAACCAAAAAGGTTGTACCTCTTGCACGCTCGCTTTCATCGCCGTGGCGGGCTTCCTACCTGCGCGACCCTCGCATTTCGGAGTCCTTTCGGACTTGTGCCTGACAGGAGGCGGCTAAGTGGAGCGAAGTGGGTAGCTCGCAACGTCGGACTCGCGACTCACCGCACCGTCCCGGCGATCTGCCCCTCCCTCTCGTGCCTTTACCTGAGACATTGACACTCGTCTGGCGTGCGGTCCTTCCCTTCCATGCCACCATACATGGACACACCACCCGTCCCGAGCACGTTGGCTCCATTGCTCTTTGGTTCATGGTTGAACACGGGGTGAGTTGCCGGGGTTCGCGATCGTGGGATGCTCCGTCTGACTTAGTCACGTACGCAGAGAAGGGCCCTACACGACGCTATGACACTGACCAAGTCACTCACGTCTACTTTCGACAACAGCTTGTTCACGCTGGAGCTACTGTGGATGTTCGAACACTTTCGGAAGCATCGCTTTTCTCGCGGGCCACGATGGATCAGTGTGACCCTGCTCGTTCTCCTCCTCAATGATTCGATCTCGACCATCTCCAACTATGCCGCCGTTTGGCTCTACACGATCGTCCATTTCGGCGACTAAACCTACCTCGCCTTACAAGACTGGACCGTCGTCGTCTTCCTGATCACCACGGGCGTTTCGGCGATGGTGGTGCAGTTCTTCTTGCTCGAACGTGCCTGGAAACTGTGTCGCTCCGGCAAGTTGAACGCGGCCATGACCATCATGATCGCTCTCGTCGCGTTGGGCATCTTGGTCTCCTTCTCGAACTGTCTCTGGACCGCAGTGTATGTTGTCATTTACAAGAATTACACCGAGCGGTATAGGCTCGTCACACCCGTCACGTCAGTCCATGGGCTCGGCTCTCGACTGGAGGACAAAAGTCGCCATGCAGCTGACGGGACTTTTTCCATTACCCCAGTGTGTGGCTCACCATCAGCGCCGGATGCGATGTGACGATCGCTGGTATTCTTTTGTTCAAGCTCAACCAGGCCCGAAAGGAGGTAGCGCACCGTGCTCATAGGTAGGGCGAAGTCTGTTTACTTGGGCAATCGTCTTCCCGATGATCTTCAGGCACACCGCCCTCACGCGCATACTGATCCCGAGGCGATCACTTTCGACGCAGTAATTTGCTCGTGCCGTTGCAAAAATTGATGATCATGGCGCTCGAGTCGGGAGCCGTTACATCATTCGTTGCAATCGTTGGACTGGGCCTCTACCTCGGTTTCAAGGTAAATTCCTGGCGCTCGGCAGCTGAACTCTGTCAGTAATCCTGACCGCGTGACACCCCCAGACAACCAACCTTCCCTTGGCGCCAGGCTACTGCCTCGGCCGTATCTACGCCTTGACGATGCTCTTCAATCTTCGGGTCCGTGATCGACTTCAAGCCGAAGCCATTTCATCCCAAGCCGTCGGGGTGTCCACCTTTGCCCTTCGAGCCGATGCGCCTACCGATCTCTCAAAGGATCCTCATGAATTCGATGTCGAGCGACACGGGGTCATGCGCTCAGTCGGTGGGGTGTCGACTATCCGACCTGACCCGAGAAGAGGTCAAACATCGACGTCGCACACTGTGCAGGCTCAGACCGCACAAAGTCAGACCGTACAGACCATCTCGCTGGAGACGGCTTATATCATGCACTGTCCGACGAAGCCGAGGATTGGTGGATCGAGAATAGCGGAGGAGAGTGATGGGTTCGATGCGGATTCTTCTTCGATCGAAGATAGGGAGCCGAGAACGAGGAGACCTAGGAGGGTAGCTCGGAGAGAGGTGAGCAACAGCATAATTTCATCATTGCAGTTTTGGTGAAGTACTGACCTAATCCAGTTTCGCCCATTGCAGTCTGCGTCGTCCCGGAGATCGAGCGTGAGCATTCCATCCGTTGACGACCCGATGCTCGCGACTTTACATTACGTGCCGCGGCAGGATGTATCCCCTCACGAGCTTATGTAAATATATACCCTCTATTATGCTGTATACCAAAAGATGGGGTTTTAAGAATCGACAAGTCTCCAGAAAGGTCAAGTGCGAACTTTCGCCCAAGTCATCGCGCGAGGTGGGCCACCTTTCTAGAAGAGGCTCAAAGGACTCGACCTCAATTTCCTATACGACACACCGCTCATAGTGGACGAGATCAGCTATCTCTGTGCGCTTACATCGCTCTTTCTGAATGGTTCGTGAGCGAGAACTTTGGCTCATCCGTCGGCTTCATCAGGACTTCTCGTTACATCCCAAGACCTCACACCGCCCAACTCAGAGAAGCTCTCCATCACCTGACGGGGCGTGGGTTTCCTGCGCTGAATCCCGCCTGAACGTTTACGTTGCACTTTGTTGGAGTTGTTTAAGCTCAGCCTCGACGACCTCCCCGATCTCGAACACAGCCAACACGCCTCAGCTCCATGTCCGATCGTCTCATCACCGCCGTGCCTTGCAAGCGTTCGAGAACGTCCAATATGCTCCATTTCGAAGGCTTCGTTGCTTCGTCTCCGGACCTTAAAAGGAGTTCTCCTCCAATCTCTTCGGTTGCTCCTTCCTTTTGATCAGAGGGTTCGATCGATATCCTTCGCTAACCCATTTTGGTGTGGCGGAGAAAGACGAACAAGGGGGCGAACCCCTTTCGCCCCTCTGGCCTTGGTCAATTTTGGAAGAAGAACAGGCGTCTGCAGGACGGGTATAGGTATGACGAGACGGTAAAAAGCGTGCAATATATAATGGATTTTGTTTGAGTCTGTGTAGAGGTCGTTTCTTAGGCATGTGAGATAGACTTGGAGAGACTTGGGTTTTCTCTAGGGCTCGGGAGAGGGGAGGCAATTTCTGAATGCCGTGGAGCCGGGTATGATCTGAAAAGCCGTTATCTCCAACTTGACTCAGTTCGATACATTTGTGTGTGACGTCCTTTATACGACTCGAACGCTCGGAGATGACTGTTGTGGACTGAGCGAGGGCCTATTCACTGCCGTCAGCCGGTGCATCCGAGTCGCCGGCTGCAGACGCTTTTCCGTCGGATTACGCTGTATTGAATCGGCGAAACAAGTCTCGTCTACATTAAAAAGATCACCACGAAGTCGCGAGGTCAATTACAGTCAGATTTTCCTGAAGAACAGAGCACCATCCTTAGGTTCAGCATAATTGTTCGAGCTGGGTGTCGAGCCAGATCCAAATGTTTCACCCCGCCACCGCGGGCGCGCGCCAGGGAAATTGCGATTTTTGGGCCCGGCAGTGGCCTGCAGTGGCCACGTCTCCACCCCCTTCACCCAGCCGGCATTTGCTGGCACCGCTCCTGTTCTGCCGCTTACCTAGGACACGTGTCCATACGAGTCTCTTTTCCATCAGTGCTTTCACTTCAATCCAACCGATCGTACCCGCGCCCCCCCCACCTAGGCCTCGTTGACTTGCCTCCTCGTCACACCCCTGCCTCGCTGCTGGCTTAGGTCGCACACGCACGCACCCCCACTCCTTGCTCTCCGACCTCCTCAGACAGCGCCATGGCCTCCCCTCCCGAACGCACGAACCCGATATCGCGCTACCCCGGCGCTGGTAGCAGTGCGCACCCCAGGTCACCACCCCGCTACGGTGGCCCGTCTGGTCCGAGTTCGAGCCCAAGCCACGACGCTCCCGGATTCGCGGGCGGCGGCGTGGGCGGCGGTTATGGATTGAACAACGCGAGCCCGTCCTTCAACGACTACAGTCAAGCGCGTCAAGGGCCCCAAGGTGGGAACCCCAGTGCAGCGTATGCAGCACGAAGAGGATCGATCCCGGCGCACATGCAACCCCATATGGGAGGCTACAACCCTCGAGCAGGCCACGGCAGGCGAGGTTCGGTCGTCGACATCGCCGCCGAGTTCATGGGGCCACAGGCGACCGAACATCTCGAAACGGCCAAGAAGTTCAGCGCCAAGGCCGAGGACTGGATCGATGCCGCGACGAGGCCCGTACGACCTTGGTTGCCCGGATTGGGTCGGTTCCTCATCGTCGTCACCTTCCTTGAGGATGCGCTCAGGATCCTCACCCAACTTGGCGGTAAGCGACGCGGTGACGTGGCTAGCTCGACCGATCTCGGGATGAGGGTGATCCCGTCCGTACTGTGCAGACGAGAGCTAACGCTTCAAATACTTGTTGTCCTGTGTACGCAGACCAAAACTACTACCTTCAAGTGAGTGCCCCGCGAAGTCGGCTTGTGACTTTGGAGTTTCCGGAGCTGACTGGTTCTCTCTCTGTTGGGCGCCTGGGTCAGAAACACCGTGGCTTCCCCTGGGGTATTTCGCACATCTTTCTCCTCACCAACGTTGCTGTGAGTCAAAATGAGGGGCTTTCACGATCTCATGGACTGACTCTTCCAAGCTCCTCTACGCCTTGCCAGATCATGCTCGTCTGCTCCTTCCTGGTCGTCGGCAAGAAGCTCCCCCTTTACGCGAACGGGGGCCTCCTCTGCGTCGTCCTCGCCCAAGGTTTCGGTTATGGTCTTATTTTTGATCTCAACTTCTTTCTTCGTAACCTGTCCGTCATCGGCGGTCTCCTGATGGTGCTGTCGGATTCGCTGTCGCAACGCAAGTCGTCGGTCGTCGGAATTCCCTCGATGGGTTTGAACGACGCCGATCGCAAAAAGTACTGCCAACTCGCGGGCCGCATCCTGCTCGTGTTCCTTTTCCTCGGCTTCGTCTTCAATGGCCAATTCTCTCTCACGCGCGGGTTCGTCTCCGTCACCGGCCTCGTCGCCTGCGTCATGGTCGCCGTAGGCTACAAAGCCAAGTTATCCGCCTTGTTCCTCGTCGTCGTTTTATCGACGTTCAATTTCTTCGTCAACAATTGGTGGAGCGTGCATTCGAGTCACCCGCAGCGCGATTTCCTCAAGTACGATTTCTTCCAGACGCTTTCGATCGTCGGTGGGCTGTTGTTGTTGGTCAACTTGGGGCCGGGTGATTTCTCGGTCGACAAGAAGGTGCGTTCTCACGCGCTTTTGGGTTTGGGCTTTGACGAGATGGTCTACTAACGCCCTGGTCCGTTGGCCATGCACGACCACAGAGGATGTGAGCGATTATATGCGCCGATTCAAGCAGTGGAATCGCAACTTTGAGCCGACGCATAGCATTTTCTTCCCATCAATGTACACGAAGACCTCGTTCTTGCTGTAGTCTGGACTGTCCCCACACTCTCACACAACCCACACCTCGTTGTAAGGGTAAGGCGCAGAGCAGAGCTTACGTTTGGCGGCGTAGTTCCTTCCTCCACACCAATTCATGATGATAATGATGCAGAAAGAGTCTCCTCGTTCGGACGTTCGGAGGAAGTGGGCAAGGAAGAAGAAACAGAAGCTCTCATAAGGAATTCGTGGTGGGAGGCGCACCACCCTTGTTCCATCCGGAGCCCATCTTGTCCTCGTTGCTTGAACTGGGCAACCCCCGCCTTCTGGCCAACATGATCTCTGACGGCCTATCGTACCATTACAACAAACAGGAGAAAAGCACTTGCAGCAAACCATGCGAACTGATGAAAGACCAACCGTGTCCTACGCCCCAGCGGAGGCTTGAGCCTGCAAGGCCTTCCTCGGGATCCTCTTCCCATTCGGACCCTGCGTGATTTTTTGCTTCCCCGATTTGGTACCCGTACCTGGCGCCGTAGTCGAAGACGCTTTCGTTCTTTGTGGGACGCCCCCACTCGCTTCCCCCGAAGTAGTTCCACCATCTTCCTTCTTCCCCGCCTCAGCTTCCCCCAAACTCCCATTCGGAGGTGGTGGTATCGATTCGTCCAATCGAATCGGAACGGGAAGCTCTCTCGCCACTCTATCCAACGCGTTGAACAACAACGGATTAAAAGTCTCGGGAGGTCGCTTCGACAGATCTTGAACCCCTTCTCCGGTTTCGGCTCGAATGACCGGTTCCGGTTCGTCGGGACTTGATGCTTCGTCCTCGCGTGAACGTTTTTTAGTCGCTTGAGCTCCCAACACGTCAAGAGGGTTCAGATCCGTGGCCGAAGAAAAAGATGGATCGGTGAGCGTAGTTGCCGTGGACCGAATCTTCCATTGTCCGGCGCCACGTTCGGTCGACCAATTAGGTTGGTTCGCCTTGAGCGCATTGAGTGATGTGGAGAGGGCGTGGAGGGAGGCGAGCTGGGACGATCAGAGGAAAGAACAAGTGTTGGGGAGGGGGTTTCCAAGGCTGGGGCGTAGTTAGGGACGGAGTCAAGGTGGAGGACGTACGAGGCGTTCATTGACGACTTGGTACAAGGAGGGGGCCTCGTAGATCGAGTCGTTGAGGATGTGGTAGGCTGCTATGGTGTGAGCTGATCAAGACAGCAGAGATGAGTGTGAGAGGTGTACGGATTGAGGTTCGAGCAAGGTAGGCGGACGTGCCTTGAGTGGGTGATTGTCGATCCCTCTTGTGGATGATGAACAAGCCCGGAGCATCATCATGTACGACGACGTATTCGATCCCTTTGAACCTCCTTTACCCCATGGCATACACAGAACCGGAAACAAGATCAATGACCGGTCCTACCACACCCTCGCGATAGACTGACTTCAATTCCCCTTCCTCGTCCAAACCGTCCATCAAACCGCCGGCCGCGTTGCCGGCTGCACCTGCACCTCCCTGTCGTGAGAACATGATCTGCATCCTCAAGGTGGCGTTGTTGCTCCCGTGATCGAAGAAGGGGGAGAGGACGAAATAGTCCATGAGGATCGATTTGGTCAACGGTCCAAAGGCGGTAATCCATTCGGGTGCTCGCCATTGGAGATGGGAGAGCGGCGGAAGGGCGGAGGTGGGGGACATGGGCGGGAGAGCAAGAGGGGAAGAGGGGAAGAGGGGAGAGGGCTGGTAGAGAGCTGCGGCGGGTTCGCGGTCGGATGACCGCACCGAGAAGGGAGAAGAAGGGCCAAAGGAGAGGGAACGAGTGATCGAGTTGTGGGGCCGACTCGCGGCTCAGCCGGACTCGACAGTATTTTCGAGGCAATGTAAAGAGGAGAGCGTGGTGTTACATTCGTTGCTAGTGCAGATCACGTTCTACAAAGGTCGACCGCAGTGGCCAAAGCATAGCATCGTTTTCGCCCCCCAAGCCGAGGGGTTCTGTCCTCAGATCCCGAACTTGCCCAGTCGTCCACCGCTGCTCAACACCCCATGAAATCGCTCGCCATCAACCTGCAACACCCACGTCAACGCGCCCGATCAGTACACCCGAACACGCACCGAAGATTCGCCGCAGCTCTCGCTGAAAAGACCTACAACTCGAGCGCAATCTCGGGCTTGACCCTCCGTTTGAAATCCGGAATCTCCTCCTTCGAACTCGCATACTCGTACTTGTACATCAAGTACTCGACCACTTTTTCGACGATCTCACTACGGTGCTCTCCCAAGGTGACGGTCGACGAACCGGCTTCGAGGAACCCGGACGACAACGTGTCGGAGAGAAAGACGGAGCCCAGCGCGGCTTGGCGGGGCAGTACGAAGCGGAATTCTGTGGAGGCGGGTGAGCAGAGACGATGGATTCAGCTTGCTGCTCGCTGTGTACCGGATGGGCGGTTCTGTGTCGTCTACTTGCGGTCGGAGGAGATGAGGGTCACGTAGGGCGCCTCACGGCTTCCATTCGAATCCGTCTGCGCAAAACGGAGAGCTTAGGATGGGGTTGAGACGCGAGCTGGGAGAAGGTGGGCTGACTCACCGCCATCCTTGGAGGCTCAAGACGTGTCAAGAACAAGCCACCAGCCACCCGCCGGAACACGTCGAACACGTCGGGAAGAGACCCAAAGAGACCTAACGAGACGAAAGCGCGACCGACCAGTTGCAAGTTGCACAGAGTTGCACTTGCATCGATCGCGCCTGTTGACCTCTGTTGACGGTCTCTGACGGTCATCCTCCTCATATTCTCACCCCTCATCGGCCTGGACGTTCGCACAACAATGTCCAAAGACACCTCCACCTCGGACTCCACCTCCACCTCCACCTCCACCTCCACCTCGACCCCCAACCCGTCGACCTCCGCAGCAACAGGCACAACAGGCACAGCAGGCACGACAACCTCCACCACCGACTCCGGAGCGCCCGCGCCGTCGGCTTCCACGGCCAACAGCAGCACCCCCGGCACCACCCATTCGAACGATCATCTGTCCCCTTCCCAACTACGCTCTCGGCTCGAAGCGACGAGGAAGGAGCTGAGGCTCCAATTGGACAAGAAGCGTAAAGTCGATCGAGAACTGGTCAGTCCACCCCAGACGAAGCGCAGCTCGACCACCTCTTACCCGCGCACCACTCTGATCCCGGTTACGTCTCTCGTTCGACAGGCCAATCTAGAAGCGTCCATCTATGGCTTTGAGGGATCGTACCTCTCCGACGCCTTGTTATCCAGCACGATCTCGAACGGCGCGAGCGGAGCGAACCCGGCCTTGACCGGAGCAGGCGTCGGTCAGGCCGCTCATTTCGGCAACATCATCAAAGGCTGTACGTTCTCAATCCGAACCGAGCTCGCCCCTCGATCACCCGCTGATGGGCTTTTCCGATCGGGTCTCGCAGACGACGCTTACCTCAAAGCGCCTTCCACCTCCACCTCTTCCACCTCCGATCGCAAACGCTCCCGAGCGAACGAAGAACCCCGACCGGGAGATCGCATGTTCTCCATGTCTTCGGCGACCTACCAAAAAGCAGTCGAAATGACCGGAGGCGTAGTCGCTGTCTTACCTACCGCGCCGGGGACGACGACGGGAGCGGCGAAAGAGGGGACCCGTAAAGGGGCCGTCGATAGTGATGACGATGGCGAGGGGGACACGACCGCTACGGCAGGAAGCGGACGTGGAACCGGCACAGGCACGGCTGGTGGTGGTGGAGGTGGTGGTGGATCAAGTAGCAGTGCGGCGAATCGAAAGAGGAGGAGATGAGCCAGTGGGGTGGGGGGTGGGGGGTGGATTTTCACCGTTTCGTTGCCGACGTGGTTCGATCATCTTGGGGGGGTTTTGGTCTAACGAGAGTTCTACGTTGGAGGTCGTCTTTTCTCATTTGTTGTATTGCATCCAGGAGTGCATTTGACTCGGTTCGCCCGTCGGACGTGATCCTAACGGGACTTTGACGATATTCTCAACACCGAAAACAAGAGGACTGTACACTCTACACACGACAAAACTCCAAGAGCCCCAAACACGACCTCCTCCAAAAAGCCACCTTTTACTTTTAATCCCTGTATTGCTTCATGAAGCCCTCATGGAACTGCTGCAACCTCTTCGCGAACTTGTCCGTCCCCGGCGCCAAGAACGTCGTTCGGAAATGGAAAGTGCCTTCCTTTTGCCCGAACCCTGATCCAGGCACGACGCAGATCCCTGTCGCTTGCAAGAGTTCGAGGCAGTAGAACGCGTCGGGGGCGAGATTGGCTTTCTTGGCCGCTTCGATGGCCTTGGGAGGAAGGTGGACCGTCGGGAATAGGTACAGCGCTCCCTGTGAATTCACCGATAGCGTTCAGATTCAGCTTCCTGTACAGAACATCATTCCCGGGAAAACGCGTTGGCGAATACTGACCTCTGCGTCATTGCATTCGACGCCTTCCAGCTCGTTGAACGCCTTGTGCAAGATCTCACTCCTCTCCTTCAACGTCTTGGCGATCCCCTCCCTCTCCTCGATCCATTGCGCATAGCTCGCCTCCCCTTCTTTGGGAGGACACACCAACACGTCGACGCCGATCTGACCCCCCAACGAGGGACAAAGTTGAATCGAAGCGAGCTTATAAATTTCCTCTTCGGCTTCGGGCGCAAAGTTGCACAGTTCGAAATAACCTCCTCTTCGACCGCATTCACCGGTCTGTCCCTTGGAGATGGAATGGAATGAAACGAGTTCGACGTTATCGCTGTAGGGGGCCCCGAGGTCCTTGAGGGCCTTTTTGAACGAAATGAAGGGTCGGTTCTTGTGATAGATGTTGTCCTGGTAGACCTCATCGGCCATGAGCACCAACTTTTCCTCGTAGCAGACCTTGAGGATGTCGTTCATGTTCTCGCGCGACAAGCAGTTGCCCGTAGGGTTCCCCGGGTTAATCACGACCATCGCCTTGAGCACGGTGCCGTCCTCGCGAGCTTTTTGAACGTTGTTTCGCACGTCGTCCATGTCGAGAGACCAGGCGTTGGATTCATCGAGATAGTAAGGGACCGCACGGGCCGAATTGAGCGCCAATGCGGCCGTGTAGAGCGGGTATTGTGGGATCGGGATCAAGACACCATCCTCGGCGGAAGCGACGAGCACTTGAAGCAAGTTCGACACACCTCCCGAAGCACCAGCGGTGATGTAAATCTTGTCCGGCGACGAAGGGTAGCCGTCTCGTTCTATGAGCCCCGAAACATCGAACAGGTCAGTCTTCCGTCGTGTCCGGTCCGACTCGTCGGCGACAGACCAGCTCCCGTTGTGGGCCGCGGCTCCCTTTTAGAGATGATGACCTACCCTCGATGAACTTGGCAATCCTCTTCCTGATCGCAGGTACACCCATCGAATGCGAATAAGCACCGACGCTTCCAACCTCCTCGACAAGCTTCTTGGCGCGGGCAAGCACATCCTTGGGGAAGAGGGCTGACGCCTCGGGCGAGTCGATCAGGATCGGGTACTCGGTCAGAGCCGCGAGCTGATATAGAGAATAGCAAGGGAACGTAGGTGAGCAAAGTGGGAATGAAGCGCGTACGGTGGTGGAATGTGTTTGCGAGAAATCCGAGAAAGAGGGATCGGTCGCAGTCGGAGCACGATAGGCACTTGGGGCGATGGTCGATCGCGAGGAGTCCCCACCGGGCCTCTCGGGACTCCGCAGGGGTGAGGTGGGGGAGAATTGAGAGTTTTGACTCGGGGCATGACGCTCGTCCGATACTCCGAGCCCGCTCACCGCAGCAAACGCCCCATGACCACACACACACGAGAAGCTGAGACGTACCTGACGAAGATAGGTCAAGGGTTTCTGATCGAGTTGTTGCGGGTTGCCAATGTTGCAGCTCACGACTTGGTCGAACGGCAACTTGTGGTCATCACCGGATTCGAGTTGCTCGCGCAATTCCTCGGCGCGGAGTGGAATCTTGCCTAGAGAGTAGGAAGAAGGAGGAGGAGATGGATGAGTCGATGCATCGTGCGACTGGGTTGCCCGCATGCGTAGAGAGAGCGAGAATCAAGCGGGTCCTCACCTCGGACGGCATACTCGGCTTTCAGTACGGCCGGATTGATACTCGATCGAGTCAAGACGCGGTCACTCGGTTCACGCTTCACCATCGTAGTGAACGGTGTCGAAGAGAAAGAACGGAAAGAAGTGGAGGATGAAAATGAGCCGGAGTTGCCGAGGTGCGAAGAAGCAGAAGAGGGAAACCGGAGGCGGGGCAGTTGGAGTGGGAGTGATGTCGAGGAGGACGACCAAGTGGAGCGGCGGCTGTAGCGGCGCGCGCCGAGCTGCAGGTGCGACGGCGCGACCGACCGAACGCTCGAACTGCTCGTCGTCGTCGTGGACACGAAGCCAGACCGCGGCGACAGTCGCACCAATGGGTTCAGGCAAGAGGCAGAACGCATCACGACCCACAGGGGAATGCCCCAATAAGGTTGGACAAACGAAAGCGGACGATTCGAGGTGAGGGGACGGAGTAGGAAGCGGTGAGACTCTGGTCAAAGAAGGCGCCCAAGCGTTTCGCTACCCGTTTCCCCAAATCAGTCGACCGCCGATCGTCGTCTTGATCAAAATATCCGGTCCTTCTTTGATCCTCGATCTCTGAACGTGATCGCGTTTCTTTACCGGGATGAGTTCTACCTATGCCTCACTTCAATTGTAGAACACCTAGGACAGGGCGATGATTGCGAAGAAGCAAGAAAAATCGACATCCGATAAGTCCGAATTTCCGCTCAGACCATTCTCGTCGATCAGGGGCTTCTCTCAAGACTGCTCAGACGAGCCAGCACACAAGAGCAGAGAAGAAAGAAGAGTAATCGCACAACCCGCGCGAGACTAAGACTTGAAGAATTCGCATTCGACTTCCACGATCCGCCCGGAGATCCCACCTCTCATACCTTGCCCCCAAGTTCCCCAAGAAGAAAAGAGCATTGACGCCAGGGTTTTTAAGAGGTTGAAAAGGATGTTTTCAATCGATTCGATCTACGCAGCAGCAGGTAGGTTGTTGGTTTAATCGAACAATCCGAAGCCCATATCGTCATCGGACTCCTCCTTCTCCTCCTCCTTGGGCTTCTCGGGCTCGGCGGCGGCAGCGGCAGCGGGAGCGGCTCCACCGGCGGCGGCGGCGGGAGCGGCGGCCCCTCCACCACCAACGTTCGACAACAAGTCCTTAACGTCCTTGCCCTCGAGGGCCTGTAGGAAGGACATGGCGGGTCAGCGTGGGGTTCTCTTCCTTCGTAGGGATCAAGGGAGAGACCGACCTTGGCGAGAAGGTTGGCCCAGATAGGCTCGACCTCAACCTTGGCGGCGGTGGTAAGAGCGATGATCTTCTCAGACTGTGACGATCGATAGGCAAGGGTTACATGCTCAGTGCTGGTACGGTGATTAGACACGATGCGACGCGTTGTGAACGCACAGAGATCTCGATACCCTCGTCGGCAAGGATCAAGGCGGCGTATGTGGTAGCGAGTTCGGACGACATCTAATCGAGGAGCAAGATAAGGTCAGCATCCGATTCTTCACGGTCGATCATGATTCTAGATTGGTCAGAGACGGAGACGGAATGCTCGCATGCGGTCGAGTGGGTCGTGATCGTACTCGTACTCGCGTGCGTCGTGGCTGGGCGGCGCGGGGGCTTTCGCAGTCGAATGGTGGGCGCCTCGCCATTCGTCGCTGTCATAATGCATACGCCAGCAGCATGCTTCCGTCGACCCAGCCCCATCTTCGAATCCAGTACGTCCATATATCCCCCTCCAACCGCATCCAGCCCACCGATCGCCCTACAGGACCAAGTTCGCCCTGCTGCTGCCGCTCGGCCTGGGCCCATCAGCGGGACGCTTTTTTCTCCCCTTCGCGCCTGACGGCCTGACGGCCTACGCCCGGCCGCCCACCCGCACGCCCGCCCAGCGCCTACCGAACGTCATTCTCACTGCAACGACGTCGTCCATGCCGAGTAGGTGGGTATGTCGTTCTGTCGTCCGATCGATGATGACGTCGTGATGGGGAATGTTGATCGCGTTGACTCACTTTTGGAACTTGGCGGATTAAGCAAGCAAAGTGCAGCGCAAGGTCTTGGCCAGGAAACGAAGAGGGCCCCCTCGGTCGGCGCAGCGAGGACCCCCGAAAGCCCAGCCGGAGGCGCATTTTTTTTTTTGACATTTTGAGGACCCAAAATCCTGAAAATCGTCGAGGCGCATTGCAAAAAATTGACATTTTGGGACGAAACACAGGTTTTGCCCCCGAGGCGCCTTTGCAGATTTTGACATTTTTCCCGTGGGTCGACGCAGTTTTGGCCTACCTTGAGCAGCCTTCAGCATGACTTTGGGCCTCTTCGCCTTCGCTTCGAGGCGCGCGTCGCGATGCTCGCGCTTGTACAGGTCACTAGTCATTTTTTGTGATCACCTTCCTTAGTGCAATGGCTGTTAGGGATTAGGTACCAATAGTTCCCACGGTTGAAGCGGCGCCGGTTCCGTTCCGCTTCACTTCGTTCTGACATTGAAGCATAGCACGACAACAAGATTTCATGCTTGTTTCTCGACGAAGACCAGGGCTACTATTTGAACGGACGATGACTTCGATCGGTTATCGCCGCTCACCAACATGACGATCGCCGAGCTCCTCGCCTTCGATGTATCATGTCGCTCCCGCCGACGCGTCTCTTCACACCGAGTTGTCCAAAGACAAGCCCACCCAGTAATCGACCTACCCTACCCGACTCTCCAGACCAGAGACGCGTTTCTCGCCACCGATGCTCTGATCAATGCACGCAAGAATGGATATCGACCTTTGGCCGTCGCGTCGACAAGCAGTACGGAGCGCTAGCACGACGCTATCGTCATTTCGGATCGCTTGACGGAGTTGTAACCACTGCCACACCTTTGGAGATCGGATCCCTGATCTGCTTTGGCCTCGGGCGTGGCATGCAGCTGCGATCAAACTGCTTATGGAGAAGAAACGCTGTCCATCGGAATTGGTACGTTGTTTTGAGTGCAGTGGCAGTTGAGCTGTGACGTTCTCATTTGACAAAGGTCTTGTCTGCTATAGTGCGATACATCTACAGCAAAGTGACAACAAACCACTGCAACCGAGACACGCTCCCGTCGTTGGTTCTACTTTCAAATGTCGTCGTACAGGAGCTTCGCCTCATCAAGAAAGCATGCTATTCCACTCACCTCATTGATGGCACTATGCCGTTTCGCATGATTGATGGTCGACAGGTCATCGAGTCATTAGGCCCGCCAACGACTACATATTGTCCCACAAGGATCTTACCTCATGTTACCCCGACGAGCGCATAATCAGCACGTGCGCACATGCCCAGCAAAGATTGCCGCCCTTCGGAGCGTGCCCGGGCCGCGAGACACCGCCGGTAGAACCTCTACAAGCCACATAACTGCCACCGCGGATACAAAGAGCTTAAGTTCAGGAAAACGGAAGTCTGACAACGAAGTAGCGAGCCCGCCAGTAAAGCAAGGAAGGCCCTCTTGATGCCTGGAGCCACGCGCGACACCAGCCGAAGCGACGCGCGCCGCAAGCCACTTTCGATCGGCCGCCGCGCGCCCGCAAACGCTCGGAACGCGTTTTCGAGGACTTTCGAGCGATTTTTGGAGCATGGAGAACACATTTTGGTAATATTTCCGAGGCGCATGTGAAATTTTGACATTTTGGGGCCAAAATAGGGTAAAAAACTTTGACAAAACCAGTGGGAACCCGTTAAATTAACGGGAGGATGAAATTCAAATATCAGGATAATCTAACAGTCTACATGCAGCGCAGAGATTAAGATGAAAGTACAGCTTAGAAGTACAGCATAGAAACTATTCTCCGTTCATTGCCCTGAGAACAGAGCAGAATACTGGGTTTGGGGTCGCGGTGGTTGCGGCTGCCGCTCGATCGACGGCAGGCTACGGCAGGTAAGTAGTCGTCATCATCGGCGGGGTCGCGAGGGCAGTAGCATCTTGATTCAATCAACACTCATGGCTCGAGACAATGCCACATACAGCTGCCCATGAGTGAAGACGGGATGCAGGGAGAGATCGACGCCAACACAATCGAGTGATTGACCTAGGACTTTGTTGATCGTCATGGCCAAAGCAACTCGAAGCGGGGGTGGAGCCGGCGCATAATGAAACCAAGTTGGCGACTGCTAGTTGCATTCGGATGCCCGCTCAATCTCCGGTCAAGATGATGGCTGGAATGACGTGCGATCTTGCGTGCAAGACGATAAGGCAAGTACCGTTGCAGAGGCCGGCGTCTGGGTCCAGATTGCGAAGAACTACAGGGATCCCTTCCTTGAGACGCAAGCGATGCGCGGGGAAGTCGGACGGGTTGATTGAATGCAGATACACCAGCGAAATCAGATCGGGCGCCATCCCACCCTCAGTTTCGGCTGCCTCGACGGATAATCGATCACGTGTGTATGCATCAGAACGACGCCGAAACAGCCTGCACCTTGCTTGTTGCCGTCGTCGCAGAGTCGGTTCAGCTTGGCTTCAAACACTCGTGCAATGAGATCCGGACGGTTGCATGCTTGGTCCTTTGGCCCGAGTGCAGCCAGGATTTCCGACCGTCCGGGGATGCACGTCACCGTGATGAACAGCGAAGGCTTTTCATATTTGAAGACGCAAGCCATCGTACCTTGGTAACCTGCGTGATCTCGCACGGCCTGTTCTTCAACGTTGATCGAGCCCAAAAATCACCGAACGTCCCATTTGATCCGGGGTCAAGCCGTTGGCAACAGCTTCAGCGATGCCTTGGGCCGTGGTGAGGCGCAGGTTTTCTTGATGCAAACGGATGGAGTTCAGTCGATCGATCTCGACTTGGGAGTATCCGTCGATCACGAACCTCGAGAAAGAGACGCCGGGTGGAACGCGGGAGCGAGAGATTGTTGCCGCGTTCGTGAAAGTAGTATGCAAAGAATTGGGAACGCAAGACTCGGGTTGATCCACCTCGAGCCCTTCTCCTTGATCTTCGTGCTAGATGTTCAGACATTCTATGTCAGTCTGTGCTTGCATCTCAACAGAATGGAAGACGTGAGAAAGAGCCGAAGACGCTTACGTTCACCTTCACCTTCCTCGCTGTCTTCATCCTCATCGTCGCGGTCTTCGTCCTCCTCTTCGTCTTCGTCATCCAGACCGAGACCGGCAAGTACCTCGCGCAATTGGACACCATTGTCGATCTGCTCTCGGTTTCTGGCTATTGGCGGCCCGGCTCGGTGGAACCCGCACAGAGGAATGTTGGGGTGGAAGCCATCTTCCCCTGCAGGAAATAGTAGTGGGTAACGGAGAGGCATCGCGGACGGATGGAGCGAGCTAACGACTTGGTACTTGGGCCGACCGTCGGCACATCGATCACCGTGCACCTGGAGAATAAGATCTTGCGGTCCACGATCTCCCGTGTTGGTGTCGGACTTGCAGATAAGCATCGCCATTTCCGTGCTTGACGTAGGAAGGTTGTCGGTGCGTCGGTCTCGGCCTGGCGGGAGGCAGAGGCGCAGGATCCACTCTTTGGCCGTATCCTAACCTGCGCGAGCTTTGGCTGATGCGAACTCCCTCACAAAGCAATTGCCGGTACGCAGGATGGAGTCGAGCTTGGTCAAGGTAGATCGTTGCATGCGACTGTCTGCGCCGTCGGGTCCAAGTCGAGTGTCGGTCGCCTCGGCCGGGTCGATGAGTCATGTTTGAGCAAAGGCTGGGCGTTGATCGACGGCAGGGAGCAGGGCGCCGAGTCGATGATAGAGGCGACCAAACACGCGAAACACGGGGGGTCCTAGCGTGCCCACTTGAGTTTGGTCCCAGTGGGCAGCGAGCGAAGTAAACGACAACGCGTTGTTGTACGACCGGGCGTTCACGCGGAACGCTTTAGCTTCTGTGTGCGTGGGAAAATTGTCGTGGAAAAATTGTCGCACAGTTCAGCATGTGGGTCTACTGCAGACGAATGTTGTTGGACGGAGCAACTGACCGCTGTTCGAGCCTTCAAGTAGATTTCGATACTCGGGGTTGGGCTGGGGGGGGGGGAGGTAGCCGCACCTTGCCCTGCGAGCAGCACGTGCTGAAGTGTCCGGTCGACTTCGACCTACTTCGACCTTTCGCACTCCCAGTGCGGAGCCTTGCAGTGGGTGCACACGGCCGTCTGGGGGCTGAGCTAGTCGCGGATCGAAACGTGGGGCTTGAGGGGTTTGAGCGCGATTCGAGCCAGTTCGAGCCCCGCGCATTTGCGCATGAGGAGGTGGTGGTGGGGCGTGGGGGGCGTGGGGGGCGTGGGGGTCGCGCGCGAGGCGGGCGGGCTGGCGAGGGCGAGCCAGGCGAGTCGAGGCAGGTCGAGGCGAGCACTTCGCCGAAAAGCAGGTATTCGCCCACTTCAACTCAGGAAACAGTCGCGTTCAGCGTCGGGTCGGCCATCGCGCTGAGTCGCTGACCACGCTGTCCGTTCTGCACAGCTGCACAGCGGGCTCGTATATTTGTCGCAATACCAAGATCGGTTGGGTTGTTGTCATGACGTGCGGGGGGGCTGATTCTGTTGATCAGAGCGGGAGGAAGAGGAGGGTCGAGCAGCGGGACGCCCAGCAGCAGGCGCTCGAGCAGGCGCATGGTAGGGCGCTACCGCGCTACCCTCGCGCCCAAGACTTGGCGAGGTTGCGATGGCCCTCTCTGACGACCGTGGGACCGGGGCATAGTGCCGAGGATTTGTCCTTGAATGAGTATCACTAAAATTGGGAGAGTGGGGGAAAAAAAGAAAAGGTTCGAGGGAGTGGCGCGGGTTTGTGCACGGGGTGTGATTTGTTGTTGTTCAGCCCCTAATGCCGCTGGTCGGCTGCCGGAATGACACTTGACACCGCTGGCGCGCCGCATCACGTGACAGACGCCAGCCCTCGCCCCGCCCGTCAGGCGGAGCTCTGCTGTAGAAGCAATATCATGCAAATCCACGCGCTTGCGGTCCATTAAATACAGTATAAGTGTAAGCACTGTTTTATGTCAACGAAAAAAGGAAGGAAAATACTGGGATCGCTGTAGCTTCGTTAAAACGGCGCGAAAAATACAAAAGTTGCCACAGAGCTTGTACATGACTTCTGATCGCAGCATGAACACCACAGGCAGGTGCGGCAGACACAATATTATGCTGTTACATCCACCACATGCGGCCCTCCGGGCCGCAACCTAGTTAAAAACATCGATTTTAGGTACATTCCTTAACTCACACCTTTTTTTTACTAGTTAGAGTAAAGGCCAAAAAAGGCCGTTTTTCCACATGCGCCTCTGGCTGGGCTTTCGGGGGTCCTGCGCAGCGCTGTGGTCCACGCGCGCGCTAGCGGGTTCTAGCGGGTTTTTCTGGGCGCAGGTGTGGACGGATCAATAATGTCGAGTGGTTAAGAGCCTTGTTTTTCAAAGGGTTGTATTGGCCAGTTTCGTTCTTTCTTTCAAAAGTCACACACACCAGGAAAACACAAAAAGAAGAAGTGAGGAGAAGGAACAGCGTGTGAGAAGGGAAAAGTAAGAGGAAAAAAGGGGGAAGTAGGGACATGGGGTTCGAAGGAGAGAAGAAAAAGAATCATCACCGGGGTCATCAAGCTGGGGAGAGAGTGGGGGAGGGGGGAGGGGAAGAACTAGGGCGCATACGAGTACGAGGGTGGGTTGGGTAGAGTGTAGTCATGAGCACAGCCATAGAAGCATTGAAACACGTCGCTTTAAAGAGAAGAAGCACCGATTAAACCACCAGCGAGCAAGATGCGTGTAAATGCAAGGGACGAGAGTCCGCGTCTGGTGTCCAGTTCGTTCTTGCGATCGTTCCTACTGCCTCGGCGGCCGCGACCCGATCAGAGGTGCATCGTCCAACGGTTTATGCGATGCCAATTCCTTCAAGATGGACGCATCGACGGGAATGACCGACTTCCGTCGCACGTGCGGCGCCTGCGGTCCACTCGAGCCGGGAAGTTGCTTTCGCGCCGTTTCGGGGAAAGCATTCGGCTGTGATGGGGGATGCGCAGCCAAGATCAGTTTTTCAGACCAGTCAACCCACCATTCCAAACAGGAGCTTGAGACGTGCGCAACCACTCACCAAATCACCATGCCCATCATCACTCTCCATCGCATCCTCGCCTTGATACAGTCTCCCGAACGACCGATCCGCATCATCATTGTACCCACCACCCCCGGACCGCATCGACATCTGCTGTCCATCGTCCTCCATATCACCGAACGATCCATCCCCTTCATCCTCGAGGTCTTGCATCGGGTTGTACGTCCCTTGCGGCACCAAGTCGTCCGAAAGAAGCGACGCTGGTAGAGGCGTTGTGTTGTTCTTGTTCTTGAGCGCATCGTCTCGCAACATCTGCCATTTTTGCTCGCGTACCTTTTGTCGCGCCTTCTCACTGTAGAAAGATGGGGCCACGATAGGGCTCAACAAGTCAGGAACCAGCGGGTACATGGGTTAAATGCGTCGTCCACTCACGCTTGCCGCGACTTTTTGTATTCGGCCGAGCATTGCTCAAACACGTCGGCGTTGATCTCCATCAGTAACTTGAGAGCGTTATAAGCGAGGTTATGAATTTGCCTGCGGGCGTACACGGAGAGAGCAGGCGGTTCAGTGACTACGTGAGTGGCGCAGACCCCAGATCCTCCGGTTCCACGCTCACCTGTTCCAGTGCCCATTCGAATTCGTATATAGCGACGTGAACACCAGCGGCAATATTGTTTGGATGTTCGCGCCGATCAAGTTGACGATGTACTCGTTGTTCCAATAATACAAGGCGCGTTCGGCGACCTGGAAGTGTTGGCTGCTGACGCACCGCGACAGCTGCGAGAAGAGCTTGACCATGATCTTGTGGAACTCGATCGGCTCGATCACGTCAAGGATCTCCTCCACCTCGTTGAGGAACATGACCTCCTTGGGCGAGTTGACCTTGGGCCAGTATTTGAGCAAGCCCTCGACGACCTCCTGGGTCAGGCTCGAATCCTTCTCGAGGAACTGGACAACGCAGTACGCTAGCTGAGGGTGGTACAAGGCCAATCCTTTGACCTTGTGCAGAGGGATCAGCACACGCGTCAAGAACGTTTTGTGCTCCTCCTTGAGCGGTAGAGCGAAGCCGTTGATGATGGACCCAAGGATCTCGAGCAGCTCTGCAATCCCGTTGTGTCGTTCGGTTTCGAAGATGAATTGGAAGAAAACGTTGTTGATCGAGCGGCGAATGAAGGCGCGCAGGTTGAGGAATTTGCCATAGATGCGATGCAGTGTCGTTTTGAGGAAGTCACGCTCGCGCGGGTCCTCGCTGTCGAAAAGTTCGAGAAGCTGGGATCATGCAGGGGTGCGAATGTCAGCAAGCACACTCGAGAATGGTTCTCCTCCTCGTTCCCTCTAACTGACCTGGAGAACGAATTGTTGATCAATGAAGCGTTTCGCAATGTTGGTGTTAAAGTCGGGGCTTTCGACGAAACGCAAGAAGAATTCGTAAACGATTTGCAAGTGGGGCCATGCGAGTTCGAGCACGGGTTCGTCCTCCTCGGGGTCGTAGGCGTCCCCGGTCGGATTCACGGGTGGGGGGATCGATCGGAACAAGTTCGATGCGAACTATATATTGGGAGGCTGGGGTCAGTCCAGTGCTCAACCAGAGCAATTACTAGCCCATGCGGGGTTCAACTGACCATCGCCACGACCTCGGGATAAACCGACTCGGTGATGACACCCCTTTGCGACGAAATCCAATCGAGCATCTCGGACAGGGTCGCCGACTTGATCTGCTTGCCCTCAATTTCGGTCGAGGCATCGTTGAAGTCAAATACGACCGAGCACTGGTGTAGTTTTTGCAAGAACAGATCGTGCCGTTCCGACGGCGGGACCTCTGTGTACATGGAACGAGTGGGGGAATAGGGTCAGAGAGGTGGTCATCGAATCGCGACTCGTCATAGAAAGGGCGAACTGACCCATGAACCCTGGCAGCCGCTCCAACTCGATCCTCTCTGTAACATGGAACCTCGAGCTGCGTTGCTTCCTCGGCGTCTTTGATGCCGGGATCGTATCCTTGGGTCCTGCAGCCGCGGCGGGGCGCAACTTGCCTGCGCCCGCGAGCAACCCTGCTGATCCGGCCTTGGGCGGTGTTCCGGCAGGAGACAAGCCCGTGAGCGGGGGTGCACCCGGTGGAGGCGGCGACGAAGACGATCCTGGTCCACCAATGGCGGCGAAGGGTACGCCGGCCATGGGTGCGCCGGCGCGATTCGGGGAGATGGGGTGGTGGGGTTGACTGGAAGGGTGAGGCATCGGGTCCTGCGGCATCACGGCCTGTGTGCGCGTGTGGGGACGGAGTCAGTGTGCTTCCTGGTGGTACAATCTCGAGAGCATGATGGCCAATACGACACGCGGCACAAGCCCGTGCCAGAGCAATAGGCACGACGATGCCTGTCACAGGTCGGAGTGACCACGACACCGACGACAAGGAACACGCGCGCGTCCGGCCTCGGTTGGTGGTGGTCGATGGAGGCCTTCGACGGCCGGGGGACGCCGGTACGACCAGCGAGAGACAGCGCGATCCGAGGGCACCGATCCAGGTCCCGAATGCAACACGACCGGGAGCAGGCCGACTTACGTGCTCAGGAGAAACTACGATTGAAGGTGCGGACGGGCCACCTTTGTGGGACGGCGCACCGCCCGAGAAGATCGATGCACCGGCGCTACCGCGACTGGAACCGCCGGGAGCAGCGGCAGGGGCGTGTTGGGCTCCTTGAGGCGGAGGCGCGCCCTTGCCGGACGGGGCTGAGGTCGAACTGGGACCTGATTTGCCGTTGGACGAAGAAGATGAGTTGGCGTCTTTGGAGTTGCGGTTCAGCTGTGGATTGTATGGGCGAGCATTGCCGGCACGCGGAAGAGGAGAGGGAGCCGCCGAGCGAGATGGGGATGGTGGTGGTGGTGGTGATCGTGTACGCGGGTTGATCGACGACGACGATGACGAGGCCAGACCGCGAGACGAGCCGCATCCGAAGAGGCCGCGGTGGGACAAGGGCGGAGGTGAGTGAGAGAGCAAGAGGTATGTCAACATCGTCCATCTACCAGAACCATGCACCTCGCACGCCTCGCAGTCGGATCGCCGACGGTGTGCGATCGCACAATGGCCCGCCTTGGGACCGGTGAGGGAGACCGCGGGGACAGCGGCGTGGAGGGGCCGTCGAGTGGAGCGTGAACGCAAGCGAGGCAGTGGGAGTGACTGACCAGTCGTTTCTGAATGCTCTTCATCTCGACGTCGACGATGGACCAGAACAGCAACCTCGGAGATCTAGTCGGATAGAGCACAAGGTCAGGTCAGGTCGTCCAGCGGGTCCGAGCGAACGCGGGTAACGGTGATGGGGTCGCGTCAACCCGGTCCCCCCGTCCCGCTTCGATGGCGCATCCGCATCCCCCAGAAGCGCTCACTCTGTCAGACTCTGTCCTACTCTGTCGGCCCGCTCGGGCCTCTTGACAATCGCCTCTCCCGATGGGCGGGGTTCAGCCTTTGTCACATAGCTACAGCAGTGCGTAGGAAGTAGCTTTGAGGAAGAGAGGGATACTACAACATTTTCTCAAGAACACCTGGGCTGCCCGAGATCGTGTTCTCGTTTCCAGAAGAGCTGCCACTCGTACAATTGTCGCGCCGCCAACCAACTTGGATCCACACCATTCACTGCATGCAGTTGAGGCTTGCAAGTGCACCACACTCGAGCTTGCTTTTGAGGCTAGGACCCACCTCAAGAGCATTGAGAACACTAGGAACGACTCGCTGCCTATGGCACCGCGACTTTGCGCAACGTCAGTAGCAATTCAGAGTTCTCGCTCGTCGCCCCTATCACCAACCGGGCGAATCCCCACTAGCTCCTAGCGCGGGGGTAAGGGAAGCCTATTGGACGATTTCGGGTAGCTCTCCTCATTTCAGTAGAAAAGCGCTAGAGGGCACCGGAACTTGAACCTGCTGTGGCATTGGCAATCTTTCTGCTGGGCTGAACCAACTTGCTGAAACTTTGGTGTCGAATCTTCGGACGGCAGCGGTTGGCCGAGTTATCTTATTACACTAGGTAATATGCCCCATTATGTAGTGTTCGCTTGCTTCCGACGCTGGGACTGAGAAAGCCCTGTCAGAGACGAGTTTCGCTAGATATCCCGAATCAGATGCAGCATCCCGCCGATTGCCTGTCACGCGTTTGGGCCTGCCAGGCTCGCGAGAGCTCACGAGCTCTCACGAGAGGAGAGGCGCGTCAGCCGGGCAGCCTTGTCTCACTGGCGCTGCCTGTCTCTCTGCTTCTTCCCACGCAGCTCAGTCCACCTTCTCTCAAGACACTCATCCGGGTAGGAACAAGGCTACCTCGTCAGGATGGTTTCCATATTCGTTCCCATCAGCTGTAAGTATTATGCACTGTCCCACTCACCGCGGATGTCGTCTGCCTCAATTCGGACACGTCGATCGTTCGCGTACGGACCACAACCTCCATGCGCGCACAGAGCTGACCGTGGCGTCCCCGTTGTGTATTGGTTACCCAGACCTTGTCTTCCTGTTTGGATCTTTGGCCGTCTTCTCCCGCTTTTACAGGAAGGCCCAAAACAGTCAGTCAAAGCCGCTAAAGCCTCACACCTCACGTCGAGATGTTCGGGTATCCCTTGATTTGAGCGTACATCACTGTCGTCGAAATCCTGACATGTCGCTTCAAGCGCCTACAGAAAAAGCTGTGGAAAAGTCCTGGTTCCCTCAACACAAGTCCCGGGACATTTATGTCTCCTTACTTTCGCTCGACCCGGCCCCTCCTCGTCCTATCCTGATCGCGGCCTTGTTGCGTCGAGCAATGGACGACGTCAAGCTCATCTGGACCATCCGCGATTCCAAACAAGCCCTACAAACGCTTTTAACGAAAGGCCAGATCGGCGATGATCTTTGGGAACGCTTCCAAGAGGCGGAGAAGGAATTGGAAGCCGAGATCGTCGAGGTCGTTCAAGAGGCCAATACGTTCCAAGAGGGGTATGGGCAACAAATCTTTGGTTTGGCGAGTGAGATGGTCGGTCATGAGAAGTTCAAGGAGGCGTATGACAAGATCGCGGAGAATCGTAAAATCGAAGGTCAGTCTCGGCTTCAGTCTTTGTTTCAAACAGGCTTGGGTCAGAACTGACGCGAACACCCAAATGTTGTCTGCGCGATCAACAGAGGCCAAGATCGCTGCCGGCCCCGCTTCCAACATCCTTGCCCCGACGACTTACCTCACACCCTCGTCCTTGACGCTCGCACCCTCGAACCCGCTCGTCGCTTCGTTCGCCACATCTGACGAACCCTCTCACGCTCACTCGACTGATGGTCCGGAATCGACCCCCGCCCCCGCTTCGGCGGACGAGCATGCTGGTCACAGTCATAGCCACGGTGATGGCGACGATCATAGCCATAGTCATAGTCACAGTCAGGCTCCCTTGGAAGCGAGGACCACGACGACCAAGCCGCCTTCACCCGTTGTGACGCCTTCGAAAGGCAAGAAGCCGAGCTCGAAGAACGCGAGCAAGAACAACTCTAACGATGAAGACGATGATGAGGTCGACGAAGATGAGGATATCGACGTGCCCATGCCTGTAGCTGGTACGAAAAATGGGGATGCCGCTGCGACGAGCAACAAGTCGACCCCGTCGGCGACGCCGAGTAAGGGGCATACGCCTGCTAAGGCTAACAAGAAAGGTGCGATCAAGAAGAAGGTCAAGGGTGGGAGATAGAGGCGGTGCTGTTTGGAGTGGGGAGGATCTTTTTCGATACGAGTGCATGAAATTTTGAACGATGAGTTCAAGTCGCTTGGCTTGACTCTCCATCACAGTGCATTGAACGACGGCATATGCCAAGACTGATGGTATTGCAAGAATCGATGGTGGTCATACACTACTTTGCAGGTAGCGACGTTGTGCTTACAGCTCGGACTTGGAGTCTACAGGATACTGCGGTGGGAGTTGCGACTCCTGCGGCAACCTAGCATATTTGGCCAGGATAGGTTCGAGCGCTCCCTCGTTGACAATCTCCGTCCAAGCGGGGAAAACCTCGCCCAATCGATCCCAATGCAGTTCAGGCAACCTCGTCGCGATCGCATTCGCCACACCTTCCGTCACGACGCCATAACCCTCGGCAGTCAAATGTAAACCGTCGGAGAGGAATTTGCTCAATCCCTCGGGGGTCTGCGCAGCCCTTTGCGTGATCGCGGTCCACGTATCGACGACGGGGACCCCTGCTTCTTGACCGACTTCCAAAACGGCGACGGCGAAAAGGCGCGTCCGTTCGGTATCCCGATCGGGGACGCGGGCAGGGATTCGAGACATGAGTTCGTTGTTGCGTACGTCAGCTTCGACGGGGGGTGGGGTGATGAGGAGGAACTTGGTCGTGGGGGAGTACCAGGGTGAGTTGGAGTCCTTGACGAGGTTGATGATGCTGTGGAGGGCAGCTTTGAACTCTTCAACCGTGATCGACTGAGGTGAAGGCGGGAGAGCGGCACTGCAGCGGGAGAGCGAAGATTCCTCCTCGGCGTTAGGACGGGATCGTGAGCGCGACGCGTTCTGCTTGAACACGTCTTTTTACGCACTCGTTTGCACCGAGCCAGATGGTCATCAAAGCCATTTTGGGGAGATGATCGGTCTTCTTGGGCAAGAACTGCGGGTTGCAAATTTACGCCGAGGAGGAGGGCATCAGTGGATTGCTTACAAGCAGGTCTCAAGTTGTCCGGAGGTGCAACTGACCTCCTTGGCCACGGCAAGTGCCCAGACACCTTTTGAAATGCGCAAGGGTCGGAGGGTCAGCTGGAATGTCTGCATGGATGGTCATGTCGAGGCCGAATCTGCATGAACGAACTGTTGTAACCTGCGAAGGGACAGAATGTGATCAGCACGTGTTCATACGACCTGCTCCCACCAGCTTGCATCGAGAACCTACCTGCAAATCCACGGTTAACGACATCACTGTAAAGAGAGGATCACATGCGTCGAAATGAGCACGTCGGCTTGCAGAATCGTGTGGTAGATCTCTTTTCACTGACAGCTTGCGTTGGTAGGCATTGGCCAATGCTGCACCCGTTCCATTGAGAGCCCAAGCTCCTTGGGTGATCGAGTCTGGTAGTGCATGGCACAAGAATGACCGACGTGGTGATCAGCTGTCCGAAGTGCGGCGGCCACTGCGTGTGCGATGAAGGATCCAGGTGGAAGGGGAGGCGGGTGGGGGCAACGGCAGTCGGGAGTCGGGACTGACCACCAACCATCGTCACGGTCTCCATCAAGATCGTAGGAGGACCCATCTTGGCAGCCAGAAGATCTTGAATGAACGTAAACACGCAGATGCAGCCGATGATGCAAGGGAAAATCCACAGCCAGAGAGACATTCAAAGACAAGGCCCGCGGTTTTGGATCCGGTTTTCAAGTTGGTGGTCGTCGGGTTTTGGACACGAGAGATGGCGGTGGGAAACGTCCGATCGCGACCCGGGCCGTGCGGTCCGTTGGCCCGTCTTCCTGGCGCAGGAAAGCAGTATGAGATAAGAATCCACTGCAGATCATGCTTGCTCGGGCCGATCTGCTCGAAAAAGAGGGTTGAGCTTACCCAAGTACCACTTGGTGAGTCTTGGTCGAGAGACTTGGTTTTGACCATGTTAAAAACCGTAGTTTAGACAATGCTGGGTGGCACATGCCTGAATCAATTAGAGGGTTTTCAACTCGGCAAAAGAGGAATTTTTCGAGTCCTCGTCAAGTGGCAGCGCTGATGCACTGATGCCACCCCTTCATTCCACGTCAGACTCGAGGATCACGATCAAAATAGAAAGTCCTTTTGGAGGCACAATCTGTGCGCCACTCGAGTTCTCCTACAACGTGGCTGAAGCTGAGATGCCCGGCTCTCCGATTCGACGATTGTCCGAGAAGCTGCAGTGATCGCGACCGATCGAGCCGGTTGTGGTGCCCAGCTCGTTCGTTTACTTTGCCCCTGAGCCATCTGTGCCCGGCCTAGCCTGTATCACTTTCCCGTCAAGGCACTTCCGCAGCACCCACTGAATTATCACCATGTCTTGGTACAACATCACCATCGCCCGCTCCTCAGGCTTCCACCCCGTCGTCACCCTCTCGATCCACCTCGACCAAACCGAGCAACGTCAACGATCGATCGAACAAGGCTGTTCATTATGGACCCATCTCGACCTATCACCCTCGTGGATTCTCGATCGATATCAACTTGCCCAACTGCATCGTGAAGGAAGATTGGGGAGTCATACCGATTCGACGAGGGAGGGGGAAGATGAGTCGTTTCAAGTTGTCGGGGAGGACGATTTGGAAGGACCGGTGATGAAGGCGGGCGGAGTACAAGCCTTGTTGAGACTTCAAGATCCAAAGGGAATGAAGAGAGAGGAACAGCTTGACTTTGAGGTGAAGATCCCTCTGCATCTTCGGTACCAGACACCCGTCGAACGTCGAATCGAACAAGGCAAGCGAGCCGACGTCGTGTCCGTTCAACTCCGAGCCCCGGCCGTGTTTTGGAAATGCCCCCCAAGTGAGTCGCTAACGAATCTCGCTGTGTCCTTCCTGAATATCAAAGTGTGGACTGAGGGAGATGACACTGCGCTCACCAGGCAACAAAGTGATTCGACGGTGTCCCCCCGCACCGGCGCTTTCGGCGTTTTCTTCCCCAGTCTCCTCGACGAGCTCGTACCACTATCTCCGCCCCGAACCTCTCGATCCAAGAGCATCCTATTCCCACGCTTCCTCTTGCGCACAACCAAGATTACCCAACTTGGGCGTTTCGATCGCGACGGGCGTTTCGAGCGATCTTCCGTTCGTCGATTTCGTCAACTTTATCGCCATCTGGTTGGGCACGATCTGGATCGCTTCGAGTGCGTACAAGTGGCAGACACGAAATGGTAAAAGTTTCGAGCCCGCGGCAAACAAACGAGTCGAATGATGGGGTGAATCCGGGGGTATGCGTCGGGTTGCAGTAGTACAAGTGTTGTATGCAAAAAGGGAGGGAACAGAATCCTCGATCTAAATCAAGTCTGTTTGAAAGAGAAGGTTGCGAGTGGTGGTATGGATGACCCGAAGGACAGAGAGCAGAGCAAACGAATGTACGAGTTTGGTAAGGAGATACAGCCCAAAGTCGATGCCCAAAGTCCAAGTCGTGAGTTGAGAGAGCGGATGGACCTCACAGGATCGTGCAGTTTAGTTTCCGGCGAATCTTGCGCCTTGGCCCCTCGTACGCGGCCCCACCGAGCCCGATCCTACTTGTCCCCTTTATAGCGAGGTCCAAAGCCAATTGAAACACCTCATCGACCCCTCTCCGGTGCATCGCCGACACCTCGGCATAGCTTGCACCGATCCTTTGTGCCACCGCCTGTCCTTCTTCTGTCGTGACGGGATGTCGACCTTGGGCCGCTAGCAGGTCCCGAGCATGTTGGTCCGACCTGAGATCGATTTTGGTCGCGATGAGAATGATGGGCACGCCCTCACAGAAATGAGAGACCTCGGGTGCCCACTGTGCGGCGTTAGATGCGGGGAAGGAGTTCATCAGTCAGTGTGACCTGGAATTCTCATTCGCGGATCCTTGCACCTACCTTGTCCTCGACGTTCTCCAAACTCGGTGGGTAATCGCACGAGAAGCAGATGAAGATGACGTGACTTTCGGGGTAAGAGAGCGGACGTAGTCGATCGTACTCTTCCTGTCCGGCCGTGTCCCAGAGCGCGAATTCGACAACCTTGTCCTCGAATGAGACGTTCGTGACGTAGTTCTCGAAAACGGTCGGGCAATAGTCCTGTACGGAGGTGCATCGGGCGGGTGAGCTTCTGAAGTTCCTTCGGCGCATCGTACAGCTCATATCACAGCATCGGGCCATGAATAGTCATGACGAGGGTGCAGGGAACTGACGGTTGGAAAGGGGTGCCCCGAGTAGACCATCAACAGACAAGTCTTGCCGACGCCACCATCCCCAACGCAAACGAGCTTGGTCTTGATATCAGGTCTGGAAACAAGCTGGGGTGTCGACGCCATCGAAGGGGCTACGACGTGGGAGTAGTCGGAGCTGAGCGTCGAGGTGTAGTAGGAGATTTGCGGCGAGTTGGTTGATGCGCTCGACAACGCGTTGGGTGAATGCACTTGCGAGGCCCCGTAGTGCGACCCGTCGGCGAGGTAACGTTCGGTCGAGGCGTGTGCCATGCTCTTGTGGACTCTGTGGTGGGAGTGAGGTGAGAGGTTGCGGCTTTGAGGAAGCGTAGAGGAGCAAGTCAAGCTGCAAGCGCGCTCGGTCCATCACCGGCATCACCGGCGCGGGCCAAAAGGCGCCAGACTGCGCCAAAGCCTGCAAAAAGCTCGCTAAACTGCGCCGCCTCCACATCAGAGCTCGCTGCGGATTGGCGCACAACGCAATTGGCGCACGACGCGTCGTTTTTTTTTTTGCCCTGGTTCGTCCTCCAGCGGTCCGAGCGCGTGACGCGTCGCTGCCCGTTCACTCACGTTTGACATCCGGCTCCTAACCGCCACGCGACGTAGCACACGCTACGCCATGAACGCGGGCTAATACATCAACCGCTTACGAGCCTCATCGACTGTCGAGGTCGCATTGTCTTTGTCGTTGGAGCCACTCGACTCAGCTCCATTGCCCCATCCCACCGGCAGGTGGTCATCCCCATCGTCCTCCGTCGTCGCGATCGCGTCACCAGAGCGCGGTGTGTCCAGGGACGCTCATGGAAGACTTTCAATGTATGTCACAACGGAGTGAACGTCTTGGTATCCCCAGCTTCCAAGCGTCGGCTGACCACCGCTTTCGTGACTCGTGTGTGTAGCTCGGTTGACTTCCGTGCTCGCCGCGATCGGCCAAACCTCGATCGACTCACTCGAGGACTTCATCTTTCTACACGGTGCAGCTCGTCTCGTACCTCTCTCAGCCGATGAGCCTCGCTCTTTAGAAACTCAACAGCTGCCACCCACAACTCCGGCCGAGGAAGTGTCCGAGATTCGCAAGCGAGCGCTCATCGAGCTCAAGGACGAGCTCAAGCGCAAGGACAAGGAGCTCGAATACACCCATCGCCTGTACGAACAGGAGCGCGAAGAGAAGTTGGGACTCCGAAGAGATCTTCGGTGGTTCCTCGATTCGCAGCGCCAAGAGGACCGGCCACCTAGTCATGCCGATCCGGCTCGATCGGCACTCGAAGCTAAAACATTGGCTCAGCTCCAAACCCAACTCGACGAGGCGAATGCCGTCATTGACAAGTTCCATCAACAACAACAGAAACTTCAAGCCGAGATTGAGCGATTAAGACCGGCTTTGGAGCAAGCTCAGCAACGGAATGGAGCTGCTGCAGAAAGAGCTGTCAAGGGATTGACCCCACCTGCCGAAACTTTGTCGAGCGCAGCTCAGCCTTCTTCGGCAACCGTCACTCGCAGTCCTGCAACAAGGACGGGCGCTGATGATGCGACGACGAGTGCAAAGTCGAAAACATCATCTTCCAACGCTCCCGCCTCTACCACAGCTTCTCCGCTACGATCCGCGCGACTTCAAGAGGCGCTGTACGAGACCTTGCACAAACGCTATCTCTCAAACAAGAAGCGCGCAGACGACATCACCAAATGGGCAATGACCAAGTTGCAAACCTTCATCGCTGATAATCCCACCTATCTCGCTCAACTGCCTCCCACGCCACCTCTTCCTCCGACGAGCGTATTACCCGAGCTTCCACCGCTCAAAGTTGTTCTTGGCGAGCCATCGGAGGATGCGGCCGGTCGCTTCTCGGTCGCGCTCAGTGAGCTCAAGAGATGGGACGATGATGCGCAGGCGGTCGTAGGGACCTTGCTAAGGTGGAAAAGTATCATCAAGGACACGGCTCGTCGAGTCGCCGCCCTCAAGGAAGCCAAGGACGCCTCGAAAGCCATCGTCGCCGTCAAGAAGAGGCGTAAAGTCAAAAAGTCTCCTGCCGACCTAAACCCGAGCGCGTCAACGTCCTCGAGTACCAAGAGATCATCGTCGCCCCTCAAGGAGGGGATGAAGGCCGGGTCCCCACGACGGTCACGTCTTGTTTCCGAGGCCCTCAACGGACCTGCTTCGGGCTTGGTCTTGCGTGTCGACGGTGTCTTTGGCAAAGACGCGTCTTCTTCGGCTCCTCCGGCGAGTCCACCCAAACGCGTACTCTCACCCTCGCCTTCTGCGCAAGGCCCTCGCAAGATTGATGCGCCGCACGAAGAAACGCAAATCCCAGACTCGCCGATGAAGTCCAACAAGCGCAAAGGGGATCTTGGGCTCGAGGCGTCGGCGTCGGCCAAGTCGAAGCGAGCGCGAAGATCGTCTTTCAAGACGAACCAGTCACCTCTCCGTTCGGGTGTTCAGAACAGTCAGCTGGAATCTTCGCCGCAGCGGGGTTCACCTTCGCTGTTACAACGACAGCAAGACCGGTTCTTGTCGCAGAAAGAGCAAAGCAAGAGTCCCGAGGCCGCTTCAATACGAGCCCCCTCGATTCCCGCCTCGAGCTGGGGACCCGAACCCGATACCGAGCCCGATGACTTTTTCCCACCTGCTGCTCAACACGATACCGTCGACGAAGCCACACGCTCTCCATCGGCGAGAGTCTCTTCGCAGGGTACTCGATCTCAACCTCCTACACAGCCTGCTATCCTCAAGCCTGTCGAGCTTTCCCCCTTCGTACCGAGTGTGGCTCGGTCCCAGGCGTCGGCAACACGAGCTTCATCGCGAGGAATGATCGTCTCTCATTCGCCGCTGTCTCAAAACTTTTGGAAAATCAACGCCTTGCCGGACTCTGATAGGAAGGCCTCCGTCAACGACGACGAGGACGAGGACGAGGACGACGAGGACAATGTATCAAAACGACCTCCATCACCCAGTCCATCGGTAGCCAAGCCTAGGATTTCCTCCTCGCCAGTCGACACGAGGTTGACTCGAACCCCTTTGATTCGATCACCCGCGAATCGACCCAAGGTGACGGAGGATGAACGGCCGCTTATGAGGTTTGATGCTGCTTTGGGTTCGCCGCCTCTACCCCAGGCGGATTCAAGGGTGAAGAAACGTCGTCAGGGGATGAATCATGCTCCGATGAAGGATGTGGACGGGGATGAAGAGCGGGGTGATGAGACGCCGAAGCGTGAGAAGTCGAGGGTTCACAAATTGCGCGAGAGGGACGGGGAAGCGCAGAGCGATGATGGGGGAACGGCTGTGGTTCGTAAAAAGGCTGAGACGTTTGCTCGGAAAGAAGGCAAAAAGAAGGCGAGGAAGAGCGAGGCCGATGCTGATACGAGAGGGTCATCGTTGAAGGGCAAGGGGAAGGCTAAAGCAGCCCTCGACGCGGATCTGGATGAAGAGCCGAGGGTGGAGCAAGACTCGGAGGAGTTGGTGCAGAGTGAGGACGATGTGACGGGTCATGACTTTATGCGCAAGTTGCACGCCAAACGCGCGAGGGAAGCCGAGGCGATCGCTGCGGAAAAAGCCAGGAAGACGTGAGTCGGCAAAGTCGTTGGGTATCCGGCCCACATTTGTTGACGCCTGATCCCTTGGCCGTTTGTCGCTTACAGCGGCAAAGCCTCGCCGGAGATTGAGATCAACCCCGGGCGCAATGCGGGCAAGTCGTATCATTTTTACGAGGTCGAACGCAACAAGGCTGCGAGGGAGCAAATGTTTGCCCACGATTGCGAGGATTGTGCAGGCGTGAGTCTTGACTGTGTGCCCCATACATGTCCCCCCACCACGGGTAGCTGATTGCCTTGTTCTTGTTGCCTGAATGCAGTACTACGCTCGCGCGCACGCAGGTCTGGTCGTCCCTCCGAACCATGTGCGATCGTGCAACCACGCGAAGACGTCCAAAGGCGCCTCGTCCAACTTTCTTGCGCAACGACAAGAGGCGATGCAAGACCTATTGCAAAAGACGTCGAGGCATCGAAAGCATCATCGGCGTGAGTGATATCACGGTTTCGGGAGGGTTTGGATGGACGAAGTTGCTGATCCGTTCAATGTTCTCACCTGTTCAGCTGATCCGACCCCACCTGATTTTTGGCAAATGGGTGAGTGTTGCACAAGCCCCCCAGGTCGGATCGCACCACTTTGCGCCATCCACCCACTGATTGGGAATGCAATCTCGTCTCGCAGGCTTCCCTTCCACCGCTCAAGTCAACGACATCAATGCCCGTGCCGAAGAGATCCGTCAAGAACGGCAGCGCTATCAATTGGCCGAAGCGAGGTAGGTCAGCTTCGTCGGTCGTCCCATGAATTAAAAGAGGATTCTCATCTGATCGCTCGATTCTCGTGCCGATCATACAGCAAAGAACATGGATTTTATCGCTATCGCGATGACGCGCCCAAAACACGTCGATAGGGGGGTGTTTCACCTTCCATTGGAGAATTTTGTTGTTGTTCGTTCAGTCATCAATTCAAATCGGCCCACCGTGTACAGCAGAGGTTTTTCGTTTGCAGTTTGATTCTTCTTCTTTTTTTGTTCAGTTGTTGTACAGCTTTCTTCAGCTTTAATCAATCACGATCGGGCTATCTCCCCTCCCTGAAAGGACTATTGAACCTCAACATGCGCCTCATATCCTCGACCCAGGGATCGTTATCTTCCTTACCCTTTTCGGCTAACCTCGATAAAGGGGAGGATTGGATACAGGGGACAGGGTAAGGGGACATCTTGATGAGGAGCGAGTGGTGAGGTTCGAGGGTTCGGGGTTGTAGTCCGTCGAGCGAGAGGAGGGCGAAGGAACGGGATCGTTTGGAGAGCTGAATAGGGAGGGCGAGAGGAGATGTTCAGTTGGGATGTTCGTGGTGGGGGGATTGAGAGGGAGAGAGGAACTCACACTAAGTTGTACAGCCACATCGCTGGGCAACAGAACGGTCCTAAAACTCAAACTCCTCGGCGCGATCGCAGTAACACCCAAAGATTGCACCGAAGGATGAACGATCGGACCTCCCGAGGAAAGGGAATAGGCCGTTGAGCCTGTTGGGGTCGAGACGAGAAGACCGTCGGCGACGACTTCGGTGAGGTGGGCTCCGTCGACTTGGGCGTCGACGTAGATGAGGTGAGGGGAGGCACCGCGGTGAAGGGTGATTTCGTTCATCGCGTGGACTGGTGGAGGGTGAACGGGCTAAAGATAAGATAAAATACTTCATGCGGTTCCTTCGGCAGACTTGACTTACTGTGCGCTCTCCCCTCGTCGCCATTCTCGGAAAGGGCAGAATCGACGAATCGGCCGTTATCGTACAGCTCGCATTGGAGACGCATGCGGAGCAGCATCGAAGCTCGATTCTCCAATACGTCGGTCAAAGCTTGTTTGAAAGCGTCCAGTCCTAGCCGTGGACAGTATCGCGATACGAGGGTGAGCGAACCTTGTCGCGATTTGCGCAACGATCTCTTGAACAGGCGCCTGGAGCGTGGCTTACGAACTGGCATCATGAACCCCAGGGTGCCTGTATTGATACCAATGACGGGAGGGACGGAACCATCGTCGAATAGGGAGGATACACGAAGTAATGTACCGTCTCCTCCGAGCGCAACGATGAAGTCGACGACCGAGGAGAGGTGCCGAGTGTGCTCTGTGCCAGGGATGGAAAAGTCGGCGCTGCTTCTCGGCGAATGAATGCTGAAGAGAGGGACGCTCACCCGGACGAGCAAGAACAATGGAAGAGTGCGTTTCTCCGAGATGCGAGTAGAGATCCTCTTCGACGATGATGTTGAGATGTGGGTCGTGTTGTCGCATGTGTCTGAGAGCATCATCGACTGAGCCATACCCCACGAAGAAAGAAAACCCTTCGTTTGTGCTTCGGGACTTACGCAATCACACTCTGAGCCGCTCGCGCACTATGTCGATCCCCCTTCTTACACACCACCAGCACAGTCCTGGGTCGATCGAGCCATTCCAAGCGATGCGTCCCACCGAATGTACTGCCTACCCTCTGGACGACACTGCGACCTCTTCGAGGGGCAAGGTTGGGTAAGGCGGAGAAGCGCCCCATGGGCGTGACTTGGAACTCGGCCTTGGGGTGCGGGAGACGGGAGAAGGGGTTTGGGATGGAGGATGCAGGGGTGAGGGTCGTGGTGGTGGTGGAGAAGGATTGCCGAAGCCATGCTTGGGAGGATGGGGGGATCGAGGAACGGAGTCGGTTCATCTTGGGGTCGTTGCGAGAGGAAGGAGGGGAAGAAAGCGAAGGGGAAAAGGTCTACTGTACTTTAAGGAAGGAGGGCCAGATCAGGTGTGCGACGAAGAAGTGCACGAGTCGAGGTCGGGAGGATGGAGGAAGACGAACGGAGCAGAACGAAGCAGAAACAAGCGAGAAGAAGCGAGGAAATGACGTTGCTCGGTCGAGCTGGTCGTCGACTCGTGGCTCTTGGCCTCGTTCGCCCACACTTCTGCGCCGCACATCACCATGGGCAAACTCACAGTGAGCTCTTCGTCGCCTGTATCTGAACCCCAAGTACCTCGACTGACCCTCAATGTTCCCTCCCCTGTCCCCCCCCCCCCCCCTACGACCCCCACCTCGCTCGTTTCCTCGGGTCACTCGCGTGTGCCCCCACACCACCACCACCATCACCAACCGCCGATCGCGCACCGCCAACTACAGTTCAAAGGCGAACCCAAAAAGAAGAAGCACAAGTCGCGCTCCACCTCCTCGCGCCACGATTCCAACCCGACCTCGACCCACGATGACGCCTACACGGACCAAGATCTAAGCGCATGGATCGCCGTCCCCGAACCTGGACTTGCCCTCGGACCGCTCTACCTCACCCTTCCTCGCTCGTCCATCACTTCCTCCCCCGTGTGTTTGGCACTTCAGCCTACGACGGGCAAGGTCCATCCTTTTGCGTTGCCTGAGCCGGGGAAGAGTGGGGGAACGAGTGCGGAGGATTCGAAAGCGAGGACTTCGTTGGCCGCCACCTTGGACCAAGAGGAACTCGAAGCTTTGGTCGATTATGACCCTTCCTCCAACCACAACTCCCTCGCCCCATCCCTCACCACCGAAGCCCAAACTCCTACCGACATCCACCACGTGTGGGTCTGTACGCGCATCCCCGACTCGCAGGACAAGATCACCCTCCGTTCAGCGACGGGCAAGTTCCTCGCTGCCGATCAGTTCGGTCAAGTCACCGCCGAAAGGGAAGCGAGGGGCATGTTGGAGGAATGGGTCATTGAACCGAGCTCGAACCCGGATCTACCCCGAGGGACCGTGGTGCTCAAATCATGTCATGGCAAGCTCTTGTCGATCGATTTGGTAGCGGGGGGCAAAATTGAAGTTTCAGCCGATACGGATCCGAACGCAGGGATCGGTCCAACCGAGGAATGGCAGGTGTGGATGCAGGGCGAGTACTTGGCCAAGGCGAAGCAGCAACTGTTGGAGAGGACGGGTACCAAGGCGACGTTGCTTGATGCGAGGGCTAAATCGGCGGCGGGGAAGCGGGATGGGTTGACGATTGTCGGCAATTTGGGTGGGGCCGAACAGGAGGCCATGTGCGTCGCTTTCGGCCTTGATCAATCCCGGAGACTGATTCCGATCCCACAATCACATACAGCAAACGCTTCCAAGCCCGAGGGCAAGGGCGGTACATTGGGTCAGAAGAGGACGTCTCGGAACTGGCTAAAGCAAGGCGGAAGGGCAAGCTGTCCGAAGCGATGCTCGATCGAAGGGTCAAGCTCAAGAGGTTAGTTCAGGAGATCGGGTCTTCGCGGGTTTGTTTCATTTGCTGACATTCCGTACTGTGTGGGCTTGACATTCACAGTGATCGATACTGTTGAAGAGGCAGAAAGGAATGGAAGTGATGTCGTTTGTACTTTCATACTCCGCTTGATAAAATCGAGCTTGTACCCTGTCCCCAGGATCAGAAAGTTCGGATACCTATAAGCGAGCAATCTTCGTTGCAAAGCTTTTCTGCACAGGAATCCTTTATTATAACAGCCCTTGTCGCTTCAAGTCCTCGTATGTCTGTCGAAAAGCAGGAAGGGAGCGAAGAATGTCAGAGGCCAGAAAGGAGACACGAGGTCCAGACTGGACAAAACCTCACCTTTCGGTTGTACACGTTGCCGTCGTCGTCCTCGAGCTCCTCCGTCAGTTCGACCTGTTGGATTTCTTGCTTGCCTTCCTGCTTCAGCTTCTCGGCCACTGTCAAGGAAATGAGTTGTTGTCAGTGAACTGTGTCCAAGTTGCGGTACCAACAATGGTGCCAACTTACAAGCGATCGCATCCTCGATCCTGGTGATCTCATGGAAGTGCTTCGTATTCGGCAACCCCAAGGCCCTCATCCCAAACGCATGCCTCGACTCCTGGAAATGTCTCTCGAACGCTTTTCGTCCCATGTAAACGTAATCCGAGCAGATCTCGCACTTGTACTCGACGCCCAATCCGTGCAACTTGTACAACCAGAAAGGGATGGGTTTCCCGTCCCAGCCCAAAGGTAGTTTGAGAGGGTTGTAGATGCGCTCTTCTTCGTCGTCGTCTTGGCCGGAGATGGGGAGTCGTCCTTCGGCGATCCCTTTCGCTTGGGCGGCGGCCGAGGCAGCGGCGACTTCGGCCGCTTCGCGAGCTTCGAGTTCTTCAATCTCGTTCGCCCTCTCTTTGTCCGTGAGAGCAGCACGACGTTCGGTGTTGGACAAGGTATCAGCGAGGAGTTGCGACAGGGGTCCTGCCTCGTCTTGCAAGGGGGATTTGGAAGCGACGAGCGAGGCGATGAGCGCTTCTTTCAGAGCCAAAGCCCGGTTCTTTTGCTGCCGTAGTTTGGCCAACGATTCCGGAGTGACGGTTTCGGATGTTGGTGCTGTAGTGGTGGTGGTGGTGGTGGTGGATGCTGCTTCGTGGGACAGCTTTTGGGCGGCCTTGACGTGCTTTTTGGAGGTCAGATGCGCGTTGTAGACGGTTTCTTTCGAGTAGTTCTTCTGGCCTGTTGGTCGCACGCACACAGTGTCAGCTTTCGGAGCCGTACTACGCTACCCTTGTTCTTTGAGGGACTCGCATGCTGCACACCAGATGCCCTGCTCGGCCTGACCGTTGTGCGCCTCTTCGTTCGTGGCGTTACTCCAGCCGGGCACGTCGCCTTGTTCCCATGCTTGAGCAAAGCGCCGATCGGCATTGGTGAGAACGGACTCGAGATCCTTGAGCGGGAAGGCGCGCTCGTGGAAGCCGGTAAGGTAGTCGAGCAGGTTGGCGAGGTATTTCGAGTACTCGGGCGTGGCCTTGATCGAGAGCGGGAGGTCGAACTTGGCCTCGCCGACCTTGGCGAGGTACTGCAGGTAGTTGAGGCGCTTCCATGTGCCGATCGGTTGGGTCGAGAGGTTGTTGTAGAGCTCGTGCTGGGCGTTGAGATCGAGGTAGCGACCGAGCCCTTCCTCGCCGGTGAACTTGTTGTCGAGCCATTCCTCGTCGCCGTGTTCGAGAGCGGCGAAATCGACGATGCCGGACGACGAGGCGCGGTTCGGGTTGGTTGCAGGGGTGTTGGTGGTGGTGGTCGCGGATCGTTCGGGGTACTTGCGATGGTGTTCCTTGAGCTTGGCCAGCCGCGAGTAGAACTCGGCGAGGTCCTGCCCCGGTTCAGGATCAGTCCCACCGGCCAAAGCGTCGATCTCGCGTTGTCGTTCGGGGTTAGCTTCGTCCAGGACGGTGAGGAGCGTCTCTGATCGATGGACGATGCGTTGTACGAGGTCATTGGCGCGGTGCGAGGTCGCGAGCCGGTCGCGGTGGGTCAGCGTCACCGGCGACGAGAGCTGTAGGAGCAGATCGGCGAGCGCGCGGTCATAGTGGTCAATGTCCTCGGCCTGTTGGCGAGCATCCTCGATGATGGAGGTCGACATGGAGAGCGGGAGAGCGGGAGGGCGGGAACGTCGCGAGCGTCGCGAAGGGGCGAGTGGAGGAGGTGTCGGACGACTGGAGGAGCCGACGGGAGGAGCCGACGGGAGGAGCCGACGGGAGGAGCCGACGGGAGGAGCCGACGGGAGGAGCCGACGGGAGGAGCCGACGGGAGGAGCCGACGGGAGGAGCCGACGGGAGGAGCCGACGAGCGACTATGAGAGACTTACGAGCGAGCGTGCGAGCTCACGCGCGGGACTCGCGCGGGTCAGGTCGCCGCAATTGGGATATTGGGATTAGGAACCCAAGCTAAGGTAGAAACTGCCCATGCCCATGGTTGCGAACGAGGCCTGCCAGGTCACGAGCGAGCGCTGGTGAGTAGAGTGGGCGCCTAACCGATCGCCATCCTGCTCTCACCTGCACCCACACCCTACCCTACCTCGACCATGTCTGTGAGTTCGTCACGCTTTGCTACCTGACCGTCGTCGGTGCTGTTCTCGCGCACGATGGTCAGCGACGGTCGTCATTCTTGGGGCCACCGTCAAGTGTCGCACCCCGGCAACCCAACCGACCGTCCTGGTTCAGCCCCTACCCGACCATACCGACCACGCGTACAGAGCTGACCATGCCCATCGCCATCGATGCAGCTCGACACATCCCGAGACTCCAAGCTCAAGTTCGAGACGTCCGAGGAGGTCTCGATCGTAAGCCCCCCCCCCCCCGCCGCCGCGCCCTCGTAGCCTTGTCCTGACTTGATGGCTGGCTTTCAATGCATCGTCTAGGCCCCCACCTTCGACGCTCTTGGACTCAAGGAGGATCTCTTGCGAGGCATCTACGCCTACGGTCCGTTCTCCCCCGCTGCGCTTACCCGAGTCGATCCCTGGATGGCTGACCCCTCTCCCCGCCTCATTCCTACTATCCTACTACAGGCTTCGAGAAGCCATCTGCAATCCAACAACGTGCGATCCGACCCGTCACAGAAGGTCGCGATGTCATTGCTCAGGTCAGCACATCACCACCTCCCACTCACTCACCCTTGGCTGCATACAACCTGATCCACCCTTCTCTTGATGACCGCGCGACTACCCACAGGCCCAGTCCGGAACGGGTAAAACAGCGACCTTTTCCATCTCGATCCTGCAGTCCATCGACACCTCCGTCAGGGAAACCCAGGCGCTCATCCTCTCCCCGACTCGCGAATTGGCCACCCAGATTCAAAGCGTCGTCCTCGCTCTCGGTGGTACGTTGCCGAAAGATGAGCTCAGGGCGAGAACATGCGTTCTGACGTAAACATCTTCAACGTGCATCACAGACTACCTCAACGTCTCTTGCCATGCCTGCATCGGCGGCACCAACGTCGGCGAGGACATCCGCAAGCTCGAGCATGGTCAACAGGTCGTCTCCGGCACCCCGGGACGAGTCTTTGACATGATCAAGCGCCGCACCCTGCGCACGCGCAACATCAAGATGCTCGTGCTCGACGAAGCCGACGAGTTGCTCAACCGCGGCTTCATGGACCAGATCTACGATGTGTACCGGTACCTCCCGCCGCAGACCCAGGTTGTGGTCTTGTCCGCCACTTTGCCCCAGGACGTGTTGGAGATGACGACCAAGTTCATGACCCAGCCCGTGAGGATTTTGGTCAAGCGTGACGAGTTGACGCTCGAAGGCATCAAGCAGTTCTTCGTCGCCGTTGACAAGGAGGATTGGAAGTTTGACACCTTGTGCGACCTCTACGACTCGTTGACCATCACCCAGGCCGTCATCTTTTGCAACACAAGGAGAAAGGTGGGTAGGGCGTGTGAGGGGTACTGAGGCGTATACAGTGTACTCATTCCATCTCCTCGCTTGGACAGGTCGATTGGTTGACCGAAAAGATGCGAGAAGCCAACTTTACCGTGAGCGCCACTCACGCCGGGAAACTCCGCACGTCAAGTGCCGCGCGCTCACCTCTCGCATCTCTCCCACCGCAGGTCTCCTCGATGCACGGCGATATGCCGCAAAAGGAACGCGACACAATCATGGGTGAATTCCGAGGCGGCAACTCGCGCGTGCTGATCACGACCGACGTCTGGGCGCGTGGTCTGGACGTACAGCAGGTCTCGTTGGTCATCAACTATGACTTGCCGTCGAATCGTGAGAACTACATCCACCGCATCGGTCGTTCGGGGAGGTTCGGGCGCAAAGGCGTTGCTATCAACGTGAGTGCTGGGCTATGAACGTTGACCAGGGTATCTGAGCTGATCCCTCCCTTGTGTCTCGTTTGCGATCCAGTTCGTCACGGCCGAAGACGTCAAGATCTTGCGCGATCTCGAACAGTACTACGCGACGCAGATTGACGAGATGCCCAACAACCTCAACGAAGTCGTCGGTTAAAATCAAAACGGATCCATGGAAAGCCATTCCAAAAGGCGCGCGCGGTAGACGGCCACGTTCAATGCTTTGATCGGTTTTGCTTTATGAACCCTGATCGATCACCCGCCACCAACGCCTATGACGTCGTTTTAGCGCGTCGCGAGTGATGCTTTCTTCCCTGATTGTCAATTTTCGCGGTGGATGTAATTGTAACATAAAAAGCCCGGACCGCAGCGTGACGTGGCATGTGTGCGATGTGACCCCCCCCCCCCTTGATAAGGCGCGACGTTCCCGGCGTCGACGTCAGCTCGGGTGAATGAATCCGAACAAACCTTCTGACGAGCGAAGACAAGCTGCGCGGGAGCTTGTGGTTGAAGATGGCGAGTTGGGGATTCTGAGTTGGAATCATTGATGTTGGTTTTTGAGGTTATCTATGGTTTGGGCTTGGGGCATTGCGCACCCGATCGAGTGACGCCGTCCCGCGAGCTCACGGCCCGGCTGAGCGCTGGGCGCCGGCGCAAAGGGGAGGAGGCACCGGCCCGGCGGCGGGCGGGAAAGCGAAATTTGTCGGTTCGAAACGAGTTCGCCGTTGCAGCATGAAACCACGTGGTACATCTGATTCACTGTACAGCTTATCAGTACAGTCCTGTAGCGCGTGATAGCTAGTGTACCTGAAGTGAGTCCCATCGACAATGTAAGAGCATTTGTTAGATTCTGTCCTTGAACAAGACTAGCTGAAACTTAGGAATCTCTGATCTCCGGATCGGGGCCTTGAACTTGATGAGAAAATACTTGAGGGGCGGACGAGATGCACTGACCGTCTTTGGCTACCAAGGAAGGTGGCGGGATAGGAGGAAGGGAGGTTTCAGGTCGGGTGTTAGAAGAAGGGTAGTGCGTTTCACCTAAGCTTGCTGCGCCTCAAGCCGCCGGGCTTACTTACGGCTTCGCTAGTGACCCAGCCGCCGGTACTAATCGCTCCATGACACAGGGCGGGCAGGGGCCGGGGGCCCCGGGCTTGAATGTACGTAAGGCGGGTGCTTTTCCTTTCCTCCTCTATCTCTCTCCTTTCCTCTCCATCGATCTCAAACGCCTCTTCCAAACGAGCAAGAACCGTCATGAAGCTCCTCGCGACCGCCATCGCCGTCGTGACGCCGGGCGTCGTCGTCGTCGCCATGAGGGTCGCCGAAAGTCAGGCCGCACCAGAGGGCCTAGTATGTCTATTAGTAGGAGGTAAGTCCCCTAGCGACCTCATCAGCCCGCAAGTGTAGGTCAACTCAAGCCGATACCTCTCCTCTTCTTTTGATCATCCAAAGCGAGATCTGGAAGGCCGCGTGCAAAAAGATTTGTGATGACAACTGCATGTGAGTAGTGGGTCGCGGAATCCAAATGTTCGAGACCACTGCAGCTCTCGGTTGCGGATTATCCAGCGCTCGGCTATCACCGCAGGAAGTTTGACATGTACAAGGGGTGTGTGTATGTTGCAAGTGGGTAGAGTACTGAAGAGGCGTCAAAGCAAAGAAAAGCAAGAAGCGAAACGGCGAAAGAAGCACATGTTGACCACCTAGAGAGAAGACTCAGGAAAATGAAAGCACCCCGCCACTGTACTACAAGCTGTACGTAAATTCTTCTGAACAAGCCCCAGCCCTTCTAAAAGAACAAGACGAGGTATTTGGTGGACATAATGATACGAATACAATACATCGAACAGCGGACGCGAGAGACGCGAAAGGCGGTCTCGCCCGCGAGGAAGAAGCCAAGATGAACGACGCCGATTCATGAAACGATGGCGGAGGGGAAGGTCGTGGCGTAGGCCGCGTCTTCGCGCGGTGGAGTGGAGGCACCTGAGGAGGCGCGAGACGATCCAGCAGGCGAGTAGTAACCTGTCCCGTTACCACAGCCTGACAACAGAGTGCGGCGAGGCGTCGTGGCAAGATCGCTCGAGGAATCATTGGGCATGCCGTTGTGGCCACCGGTGTGGAAACAGTACTAAACGTGGTAAAGCACGCAGCGAAGATCAGCTTTCTGGATTCGATAGCCAACTTCATCGACACTCGAAACAGAGAGGGCAACTCACTCGATCGAGAAAGCTCGAGAACTCCATGGGACCATTGGGCCTGTTTGTTGTGCCTTGCAGCGGCGATCCCGCGATCGAAGTGGCTTCAGAGTCGACCGACTGCGCGTCGGACGAGTTCACGCTCGATGGTGGATCCGTCGACGAAGAGGCAGGTGACCACAGAGCCTCTTCGGGGGACGACACGTCGGGGTACAACGGCGGCGAGGCCTTGCGAGGAGGCGACATCGTTTGTGGCGAGATAGACGGGGAGTCATGAGGCGAGTTCATCGGCGAGGCCAAGGGTGATCGACGGGATCGATCTCGGAAGGTCGGGGGCAACAGTGGGGTGTAGTGCATCATCGAGCTCGGAATCTGTGCACCTGGCGATGGAACCGGTGGTTTGTGATACGATGTGCGCACAGCCGTCTTCATTTTGGTGTCTTGGAGAGGCAGGAAGGGCCGGTCTTGGTATCCCGAGTAGAGGCGCGCGAGCTCGGCTTCGGGAGGAGGTGAAGGGGCACGATGACCCGACGGAGGTCCGGGGTACAGCGAGGATGCTTTCGAGTACAGCGGCGATGCGGCTTGGTACTGCTGCAGCGTCGTGGAGCCAAAGTCCGGGGGAAGATCGGCACGCGTGGCAACCGGGCTGCCGAGTGGGGCCGAAGGCTTGGAGGAAGCCGAGGCACTGGCCGGGGCATGGGAGTATGCGGTCGAAACGGTCGATGCGGGCTCGTGGTAAACGGTCGTGGGCATGCCGCCCACAATGTTCGTCGTTGAATACGCCCTGTTGATCTTGGGTGATGAGTCCGAAGGGAGTTGGCCAAAACCGTCAAAATGCGTCGAGGAACGCGTGCCGAACGTCTTGAGCGAATTGCCAAAGTCGTACCGGCTTGAGAACATCGACGGCGACCCATCGGTGAACGATCGCGTCGAGTGATGCGCCGTGGGCTCAAGATCGTCGTCCATGACCAGTCGATCCAACTCGCGGCGCAGGGCGGCCATCGGGTCGGCCGAGTGGCTACCATGGCCCAAAGTCCATCCCTGACGTTTGCCAGACGTCGCATGTGCTGTCGCTGTTCCGTGCGGTTTAGTCGGGGGCGAGGGGTTCTTGACGAACTCGACGCGGTAGTTCTGCCCACCATTGTTGTCCCAGATCTCGCGATTGCCGACGTTGTAGCGGACGGCGATGAACATCGTCTTGGCTTCGAGTCGTGCGAGCAGGTCTTGCAGTTTGATGGTGAAGACGAATCGATCCGACATCGAGCCCATCGACTCGTGGTGTTCGGCCGACACTTCGGAGACGGTTTGCCAATTGTCGAGCGTGAAGCGCACGGCAACCCACTTCTCGAACGACAGATTACGCACACGAACGACACCTCGGATCGATTTGCCATCCGAGGCCATCTCCAGCGACTCGACGTACGCGTCCTGGTCGTGATCAAGTCGTGCGGGGAAGTTGGGCAACCGCAGGGAGATCGAGCCGGCTTGAGCACTCGCCATCGCGGGGAAGGGGAATGCTTCGGGCTCGTCCTCGGTTTCGGTTTCGACGGGACTACCACTCCGACTGACGGCGGCGGGTCGCTGCTGGGCGATGAAGTGCTTGACATGCTCCAGCTGCGTGTCAAAGTGGACGTACTTGGCGCCGATCGGCGTCGACGGCGCAGACCTTGGCTTGTCGCGTCGTAGCGGGTCGCCACCTTTGAGTGAAGACCGAACCAGCTCGCCCGACTTTTTGCGGACCATCGCAGAGGTCCTAGCGGTGAAGTCGGACTTGGCCCGTCCCGAGCCGCGCATCGCTGAAACGATGGGCGTTGACGTCGTGCGGCTGGGTACTGGCACCAGGGGAACTCCGGACGTGGCAAAGGTGAAGTTGGTTGTATAGTTGGCATTCTCGACTCGCGGGGTGGCCGGATCATCGTCGTTACGAGCCGCTTCGTTTGAAGAAGACTCGTCTTGGGATGAGGGTCCATCTTCGTTATCTTCGTTCGTTGCGGATGCGGGCGTGAACCCGAAGAGCTTGATCCTCCTCGGTTTCGGTGGTGCGCCGTTCGAAGGTCCGGCGACGGCGTTGGCAGTCGAGCTCCATGTGGCGCCGATCGAAGCGGACCTGGCCTTGTCACCCTCGGGTGAGGCGGGCTGAACGTAAATGAAGCTCGTCTGCTTGTGACTGCCGCTGCCCGACGTCGGGATCGCATCGGACGAATGTGAACGCATGTGGTGTCGCGCCGGTCGTGGTGCCATGCTCCGATCGGTGGTAGTAAGGGTCATCGTACTGGTCGGCGAAGACGAGAGAGAGGATGGCGTTGCGTAGGGCATGGTGTGGGCGTTCTATGGGAGGCGAGAGAGAAACAGTGGGGCGAATGAAGGTGCAGCGTTGGGGAGCCGACGGGAGACCCGAGCCAACCAGTCGCGTCCTGAAAGAAGGAGACCATTGAGTGACAGGCGGATGGCAATAGGGTTGCGCAGAGCCATTTCGAGAGGAGAAAACAGGGACCGGTGTGGGAGAGAGAAAGACCAGTCAGTGGGTATGTTAGAGTGCTGGGAACCCTTCAAGACCTCGATGTATGCGTCTTCGGACAGGTGGGGCCGAGGTTGCTCCGCGATGCTGGCGTCGGCGCCAACAGCACCCTTCCAGCAGCTGGGACTCAAGACAGCCCCGCGAACACCGTCCGACCACGACATGCTGTCCCAGTCGCGAAGATTCCCAGACCTCGGAACAAGCATGCCAGAGACGCGATTGGCCTGGCTTCAGGCGAGGGACCCCAAGGTCGGCGCACGATCGTTTCGTGTCTCGCGTGTGGCAGCCCCCAATCAGGACTAGCTAGACCGCTGGAATGGACCCCAAATCGTGTCAACTTACAAGTCTGAACTGATTGAACGTCAAGCCAATGAATCGGCACGCTCTGGAGACGAGGGTGCGGGGCGAGCCGACTGAGACATGGGAAACGACCAGGTGGGTGGTGGGTGGTGCAGCGACCCAGACGGCGCCGGCCGAGAGTCGAGTGAGTGCGCGCGCGTGGGCCCCGTAATTGCCATTACGAAGCGCGTCCAAAAATCGAAGGAGACGTCGGCGAGCCGTATCGAAATCCAAGTACAGGCGGAAGGTTGCGAGGAAAAGAAAACAAAGAACATGGTCAGCCTATTCTAGTCCTTCTCATGGTTCGGTGCAATAGCACGGGTCGCGCCGTTACTGCGTCAAGGTTCGGGCGGAGCCAGGCGCTGGGCATACCACGCCAGTTCGAGCCGAACACGGAGCCCGAGCCCACTGCCGTCTGCGACCCACGGAGCTCTCGGTTGCTCGTGGAGCCAGTGGCCTGGCAACGCGTCGTTGCACCCTCACAATGACAAACAGGATAGCACCACTCACACTTCAAGTAGAAAGTCTCTTTTTGGTAACTGAGCGCCGCAGTACAGACGGATAACGTGGGCCTGACCGAGCTGGGCGGTGCGGGGGTGCTTCGGTCGTCGTCGACTTTGATCGTCGATCCAAGTGAAACCGTCGGACGGAGAAGGGCGACGAGGCACTGCGTTCACAGAGGTCGAGTGAACGACCCTACGAACGACGAGTACGGAATAGATTAGATAGATAAAAGTCGACAAGAAACCGAACAAAACCCTGTCGGAGCTGGCCTCGGCGTCGTGGAGAAGACCGCGGCGGTGGGTGGGTGATGCTATGCGCCGTCCCGACGACCGACAAAGACGTCGCTTGATCGAAACTTCGATCGGATGCGAGCAAGGGTTCCGTCCAGGGCTTGCGTCGAAATCAAAGCAGAATGTCGAAGATGTGTCGGTGGCCCGTCGTCAAGGCTCGAAACCTGAAACGGATTTCAATTGTCGCACGGGTACAGAACGAGACCAACTGGGCTGATGAGCGCAGAGCTGTCAATAGAGGGAGTGCGATTGAAGAGAGTGCTCGCTTCGACGCTGAGCTCATCGATGTACGGTGCAGCGCGCGACGGGTGGGCCGCCCCCCTGGGGGTGGCGCACATGCGCTTAGAGTGAAGTAAGGCGAGAGAAATGCCTGTTCGCTTCTGCACCTTATTCGTTTCGCTCGAACGGCAGTGCTCATTGCCTCTACACTCGCGAAACTTTTCAACCCTGTCAGTACCGGCAATGACGACTGCTTCGACCTCAACCAACGACCACGCCGCGACGGCCCCGCAATTGCCCCCGATGCGACTCTCCGGCGCCCTAGACACGACGGCGTGTACCACTTACGATGGCGCTTTGTTCCGATGTCGTGTCTGTCACGACACCAACAAGTCAAGATGAGTCTGAACTATGGTGTGGGTCTCAAGGCGCGGTTGGAGGCGGGTCTGGTCTTCGACGGTTGCCTGCCGCGCACGCATTGGCAGGACGCGCGCTGTTCCTATGTGCTCCTTATCAGCGGTTGCCCCGATGACGGCCTCGACCATCGTCCGAGGCGCACAGTTGCCTTCGGAGATGTTTGACCGCCACTCTGAGTCCGTTGCGATGCGGACCTGTGACTCGAACTGGTACATCATGCGGAAATACGACTTGATGGTTCGTTCTTTGTGGTGGTCGGGATCCAAGGTCTCGAAGATAAAGGGTGTCGGACCCTTCGACCAGTCAGTCGATCATGGCTCACGTCTCGGCTGCCCTCAACGTGCCCTCGAAGTGGGCTGAGCTCGCGGCCGAGCAACAGTCATCGTGGGCCCGGGCGATGGAGCGCCCGGTGGACGATCTCATCCAGGCGCGTGGCCGCATTCAAGCCATGGAGGCGGCAACGCTGGGGGACGAGGATTAAAGCCGATTCTTCCTCTCCTCAAACCTGTAGTGGTGCGCCTGCAGCGGTAGTCGTAACTTCGGTGGTTCCGCTCAGCGCTGCGGCTGCCGCGAGCGGCAGCCTGCACCAGCGTTCGTGAACACGCGTGTTCTTTCTGTAAAGGCCAGCACGAGGCTTATACCCACGTCGGGTCCGCATGACCCAGTTGGCGCGTCGGTATCACCATCCTTTCCCTCTTGTCGTGTCGTGCCGTCACTTCCGCCTCATGTCCGCGTACGTGTAGATGCCTGGTCCCGACGGGCCCTGTGCCCCTTTCTGAGGTCGTTACCTCTCAGGCATCGCGTCGCGTGCCTCCGTTCTCTGGTTCAGGGGTCGAATCCCCCGCCGTTCGCGCCTCCTCACGTCCGCGTACGTGTAGATGCCCGGTCCCGACGGACCGGAGGGGCGTTGCCACTTCCTGCACAGCCGAGGGCTGACGTGCTGGATTTGGACCCGGTCTCGACGGGCCCTGTGGCCCTTTCTGAGGTCGTCACCTCTCAGGCATCGCGTCGTGTGCCTCCGTTCTCTCGTTCAGGGGTCGAATCCCCCGCCGTTCGCGCTTCCTCACGTCCGCACCCGCTATTCTTTCACGTCGGGTCCGCATGACCGAGTTGGCGCGTCTGTATCACCATTCTTTCCCTCTTCTCGTGCCGTGCCGTCTCTTCCGCCCCGTTCCGATGTACCAACAACCTCCTCGGGTTCCGCTACCATGCCGGGCTTTCCTACTTCGCCTTCGATTCCACCGTCTTTCTCGACTCCGTCTCCGATTCTCGCTCCCGGCTCGCCTCGAATTTGGCCCTCACCGCACGCTCAATACTCGTTTCCCGTACGATTCGAACCGCTTTCTGTGGCCCTTTCTGAGGTCGTTACCTCTCAGGCATCGCGTCCGTTCTCTGGTTCAGGGGTCGAATCCCCCACCGTTCGCGCTTCCCCACGTCCGCGTACGTGTAGATGCCCGGTCCCGACGGACCGGCTGGGCGTTGCCCCTTCCTGCGCAGCCGAGGGCTGACGTGCTGGATTTGAATTTCCAGACCCGCTAACCGCTGCTTCGGCGGACTCTGCGAGCATCGCCGAACTGCCCATCCACGGGGTGGGCAGGGTTCCACTCGAACCTGTCGCGGCCGGCAGCAAAGGAGACGTCCCGTTCGTGCTTTCAATGCCGCGCCGGGCTCGTCGCCAGCGCCCGAAACTTCCGCTCGCATGCGAATCATGGCTCGCGAAGTCGACTCGTTCCATGATGCGATGTACAAGATTGTTACGCCGCTCGATGCTGGTGCGTTCGAATCCAACATTAAGGCACTCGCAAAGGTCGCGCACGTCGCGCCGTACCTGGCCGCTATACCGAAGCAGATCCGAGAGGGCTTGATTTCGGCATCAAGGACCCTCCGTCGGAGCGTCACATCGCGAAGAACGCACCGCTCAGTGAGGAGCAACAACTGGTCATGGACGGCGAGATGGAGCGCATGCTCGATCTCGGGTACATCGCGGGCCCGTATGACAAGGACGAGCTCGAGGCCGCGGTCGGTCCTTTCCGCACGAATCCGATCAGCTATGTGCCGAAGTCAGTAGCGCCCGGAATGCCGGTCTTACCCGAAGGCGAAACCGATCGTTCGAACCACAGACCTTGACGAAGCGAATCATCCGTCGACGAGCGGGCATGGACCGTCGCAACGGAATGCTTCGTCTAGCCGTCCGAAACTCGTTTCCATTAATGACGACCTGAAATCTGCGGATTTTCCTTGCCGTTGGACGACCTTGCCCATGTTGTACCGCAAGTTCCGCGAGCTTCCCTTGACGGCGGAAGTCTGCGGTTGGGATTTCGCCGATGCGTTCTACCAGCTCCCTTTGCGATGGGACCAGCGATCGAGCATGTGCATCTTGTGGCGCGGCCTCATCTTCGTACGACGAGTCCCATGCTTCGGTGGCAGGACTACTCCCAGTGTCTTTGGGAACGTTGCGGACCTGACCCAAGACTTGGTCGAATGGAAGTTCCCCGGCATGTCAATCTTCAAGATGGTTGACGATGTTTGCGCGGTCCGAACGTCGGATGCCATATCGCAAGAAGCCATTCTTCATTTCGTACGATCCCTCGGCTGGCGCCTCGCGGAGCAGAAAGGATTCACGTGGACGTGTCAGTTTGTCCACGTCGGGATTGACTGGGATTTGGTTCTAATGACTGCGAGGGTCACCGATCAGAAGCGGATGCGCTACATCGACGCCTTGGTGAAAGGTAGCTGCGCCGATCAGAAGGAACGCTCGGAGGTCGAGTCGGTCACTGGGTCGTTGGGGTATGTCGCCTACATCCTACCTGCATTACGGACCCATCTCAACTGTCTATACAGACAGTGTATCGCGCACGGGGACCGGAAGGCGGTATCGCGGGCGCGTCGCCTGGACCGTCGCACGTACGATCAACTCGAATACTGGAGAAGGTCCCTCTCGTCGGAAGGCCCATTCTCCACGTCGTTCGAGGCCCTCCCGATCCCATCGAAGCTTGCGCTAGCGTGGGATGCCTGTATGCACGGACTAGGCATCGTCATCAACGGATACTCCGCGTACTTCGCTCTCCCCGAGGGGTGGACGGATCTGCCACCGCCTCGACACTCGGTCTCGATCACGAACGCAGAGCCGTGGGCGGTCGAGGCGCTGGCCGAGGCTGCGTTACGAATGTCTAAAGACGATAGACATTTCGTTCTACAATGCGACAACACCGGGGTTGTGCTTGGATGGAGGAAAGGGCATTCGATGAATCCCTTGTTGAACTCGTCGCTTTCAAACCTGCGCAGCCTTGAGGAAACTCGAGGTGTGAAGTGGTCGATTTAATACATCAACACGAAGGTGAACCCCGCGGACGTCGTGTCCCGGCAGCCAGACCGCCCGCGGTAGTACGAACCGTTCCCGTTCATGATCGCGCACCCACTGTCGAAGTTTCCGGCGGGGCGCGAGTTGCTGCTGGCGGCGGGAGAGCCCCTGTGGGCGATAGGCTGAGATATCTGACTCCCTTCGTGGAAGGTGGAGCCTCGTTCGTACGGAGTTGCGTATCCCTGTGTCTGCGAGGTCGTGTACCTTTGCTTGTTTGTGAGGTCGAACCCTCTTGCGTCCTGTTTTGTCAATGTCACGCTATCATGACTCAGAGCCGCGCTCTTATGCCTCGGTTGCGGCTGTGCGGTTATCCGGTCCTATCCCGTCTCCGCCGCGAGAGAATCGCGTGAGCGTAGGCGCGTGCTTGGCACGTTCGGCCTCCCCCCACACTTTGTCAGACGAGGGGGTCGCACGCCGTCTGGAAAATACAGATGTCTTTCGAGGATTCACGAGCCGCGTCGAGGCTTCGTCAACGAGCCGTTCCGTACCCGACGATGGCCGTTAGGGAGCGCGCGTTCAAGTCTGGAAGAGCGCTCACCGGTCGGGCCGACGCGTCGAGTTCGGCGCTGCGCGATGGAGCACCGGCTGCGGCGCCACCTCCGATTGTGAAACTAGATCGTAGTCCAGGGACTTGTTTGGGATTCACGTCGACGTCGAACCTAAGATTGCCGATGTTGCGCAGTTCCCATTCGGGGGACATCGTCGTTTACCTACCTGAGGCAGACGGGAACGAGATGGCCCCGATGGCTTCATCCACGAATTGCACGCCGGAGGAGCGGCTGTGCGCCGCGTTCGCCAAGGCGTATCGAGGCATCAACCGAATCCTTGTTCTCACACCGACGACTCCGGTCCAACGTCCGCTCCTTGGTCGACCGGAGGGATCGATTCCCCGCACATCCTGACGTCGTCAGGCGATTTCTCACTCGGATCGCGTTGTCGGGAAATGGCGTCGGAGCCTATAGCGTCAGCCACTTTCGCCGATTCCGTACCGCCCTAGAATTTTGGCACACGACGCATGGGCTGCGTATGAACTACGATCCGAAGATGTGGACGATGCAACTGGCTGCGGCTGCGGCCACAGCTCCAGGCCCCAAACCAGAGCGATTGGCGGCGACTTTGGACGACCTCAGGTGCTTGGCCGCGGGGATCGACAAGTGCAGTCCGTTCGATACGACCGTGTTTGCTGCAGCGTGTGCGGCGTTCTTCGCGATGGCGAGATTGGGCGAGTTTACGGCGGGTTCGGCGGACGAAGAGTTCATAGCCGAGCGGCATCTAGCGGTGGCCAATGCACGCCGGATCGATGCGACGACCGAAGCTCCTCTCCGATACGAGTTGGACCTCCCGTTCGACAAGGTGCGCCGGCGTGTCGGCCGCACGCTGGTAGTCTCGGCGCGAGACGGCGAGCCCTTCTGCCCGGTCGGTGGCATCGATAACCATTTCCGCCTAAACGAGCCTCCACCAGGGCGGCTGTTCTCATATCGGGCGCGCGAGGGAGGTCATCGACAGCTGACCTCCTCGGCGTTCTCGCGACGAATCAGAGACATTCTCGAGGCGAGCGGAAGGGCGCCCTTGAATAACCACTCCTTTAGGTCCGGTGGGGCCACGTTTTACCTTCGAGAAGGTGTACACACGGATCACATCCGAAACCTTGGCCGTTGGTCATCGAATGCCTTTGACAGGTATTGGCGGCGGCACAAGGAGATTGCGATCCAAGTGCTGAGCAAGGCTGGCAAGCTTGCATTCGATTCGGTTAGAGCTTGAATGCGTTGTAACGTAGGCATCTTTCGCTGTGTTTCTTTGGTTGTGAATGTGGGGGGCGTGACCTGTGGTACGCGTCCGGCGCCAGGGCGCCTGTCCGAACCGAGGGCTCGGGAATTGGGGTGTACGCATCATCCCAGGGTCTCGTCCAGGAAGATTAATCATCTTCCTCATCCCAACACAACCAAACAAACCGAAAGATACACAAGGAAGGTCGTAATTCCCTTCCCGCGCTCGAGAACCCCATTGGCATCCGATCGAGACATCGGAGGGGAAAAGCGCGCAGGCCTCCCGGCTCTCAGGACCCAGGCAGATCGGCAGGTCAGTTAACCCAGCCAAATGAGCTCCCCCGCGCGGGCGAGATAAGGCAGCTTTTCTGTTTTTTGGCCCGGTTGGAGGTTGGTACAGGTTGGGTGCACCAATGCCCTCCCCACCCCGTCCCACCCCGCCTCAGTGCACCCCAAATGGTCATAAGTAATAAAAGGCTACTAGTTCGTGTAAGACTCACCATCATCACCCGAAGACTCGTAAGTTCGAATGATGTCATAAATGTCATACAGCTTGTCGTACTCAGTCCATTCAATTCGTGTAGTTCCATATACCATCAACTGATATGTGTACGACAGATTCTGTGTAGACCTTTTCGTCCTGTTTTCTTGTATTTGTTAGTTTGGATACGACCGAGGGAGTACACACCGTGTCTATGATTGGGCCCGAGGGAGGGATCGGTCCTGGTCCCTGGAATCCTGGATCGGTCCTCGAGCAGACAAACGCTTATTCTGAACGGTGTGCACTGTGTATAGAAAATGGATATCTAGTGAAGCCCCTTCGGACGGACGACTTGGATCCAGCGGCAATCAGTCCTGCATCAATTCTCAGAGAGTAATTGAACGGGCAAAATTGAGGCGGGGCTGTGCCTGGCTGTGCGGCCGCACGCGGAGCTCAGATTGGCGAGCGCTCTGCGTGAACACGTTGACCTCTGCACACTCACGTCAACGCGACAACGCGCACCCTTGACCCACGCCACGCCCCGCATCTCAATACGTTGAAACCTCCCTGCGCCTGTTGAACGAACATCGATGCTATGGCCGAATGGAGGTATGTGGACGCGTTTCCCCGCCTCACATCCCCCTTCATGGGCCTAATTGTGTTGCTCCACCATGACGCGACCGTCAGACATACGCGTGGGATCTAGGGAAGGTTCTCCAGCAGAGTCCATTTCCTTTGGCGCTCATCCGAGTGAGTGCTCTTGTCTGGTGTGCCAACTAAGATCCCTTGTAGCAGGGCTGAGAGCAGAGTGCCGGTCATCGACCTCATCCTTCTATCTACTCAATCCTGCCGGACAGCTGAAGAATTCTCTGTTCTCTCACACCTCTTGCAGGTCGGAGGGACGATCAAAGCGGTCGAGCATCCTCACAAGCCAGCACAACTCTGGATGAACCGTCTCCACGCCCGACTCGGAAGAGAAAGCGGCGCATGCCCGTGCCCCAAACCCCTTCGTCCGACTCCGACTCTGACGAGCCCAATTGGGGCGATTCCAGTCACTCCTCGGCTGACGACAGCGACAGTTACAGTGACAGTAAGAGCGAGTTTGAAGATGTCGCGATCGACCATCGAAGAGCACTCATACGACCGGTCGCGTTCCGATGCGAGCCATGTATGGCCGTCCAGAGCCTGATAGCTCTTCGATGGTCGATCGCGACATCTTCAAACTCGCTCTTACTGTCACTGTAACTGTCGCTGTCGTCAGCCGAGGAGTGACTGGAATCGCCCCAATTGGGCTCGTCAGAGTCGGAGTCGGACGAAGGGGTTTGGGGCACGGGCATGCGCCGCTTTCTCTTCCGAGTCGGGCGTGGAGACGGTTCATCCAGAGTTGTGCTGGCTTGTGAGGATGCTCGACCGCTTTGATCGTCCCTCCGACCTGCAAGAGGTGTGAGAGAACAGAGAATTCTTCAGCTGTCCGGCAGGATTGAGTAGATAGAAGGATGAGGTCGATGACCGGCACTCTGCTCTCAGCCCTGCTACAAGGGATCTTAGTTGGCACACCAGACAAGAGCACTCACTCGGATGAGCGCCAAAGGAAATGGACTCTGCTGGAGAACCTTCCCTAGATCCCACGCGTATGTCTGACGGTCGCGTCATGGTGGAGCAACACAATTAGGCCCATGAAGGGGGATGTGAGGCGGGGAAACGCGTCCACATACCTCCATTCGGCCATAGCATCGATGTTCGTTCAACAGGCGCAGGGAGGTTTCAACGTATTGAGATGCGGGGCGTGGCGTGGGTCAAGGGTGCGCGTTGTCGCGTTGACGTGAGTGTGCAGAGGTCAACGTGTTCACGCAGAGCGCTCGCCAATCTGAGCTCCGCGTGCGGCCGCACAGCCAGGCACAGCCCCGCCTCAATTTTGCCCGTTCAATTACTCTCTGAGAATTGATGCAGGACTGATTGCCGCTGGATCCAAGTCGTCCGTCCGAAGGGGCTTCACTAGATATCCATTTTCTATACACAGTGCACACCGTTCAGAATAAGCGTTTGTCTGCTCGAGGACCGATCCAGGATTCCAGGGACCAGGACCGATCCCTCCCTCGGGCCCAATCATAGACACGGTGTGTACTCCCTCGGTCGTATCCAAACTAACAAATACAAGAAAACAGGACGAAAAGGTCTACACAGAATCTGTCGTACACATATCAGTTGATGGTATATGGAACTACACGAATTGAATGGACTGAGTACGACAAGCTGTATGACATTTATGACATCATTCGAACTTACGAGTCTTCGGGTGATGATGGTGAGTCTTACACGAACTAGTAGCCTTTTATTACTTATGACCATTTGGGGTGCACTGAGGCGGGGTGGGACGGGGTGGGGAGGGCATTGGTGCACCCAACCTGTACCAACCTCCAACCGGACCAAAAAACAGAAAGCTGCCTGTATTATAAAGCTGAACAGACATCCGAAGAGGCCCTTTGTGCGGCTCTAATCGAATCCGACCGTGATCACACACGTCCGGGTCAGTCCAACGTCACACAGCACGCATAATTGTTGTACCTATTACAGCTGTTGAACTCTTCAAAGGCTTGGGCTGCGAAGAAAGCACAAAATTACGAGAACACACCTCTGCTTCGAGTGGCTGAAAGTGATTACGAGACCAATCATCCTTTGTGCTCAGAAACCTTCCGAGCCGGAGGTTCCTGGACCACATATATGGCGATCGTATCCACTGCGGGTGCCGAGCTGCCGAGCCCACTGCTCGCAGAGGACTCGGCATGATCGGGGCTGCGGGGGTCCAGTGGGACAGATTTAGAATAAGGGATGGTGTACTGTAATTCAGACCCCACCTCTAGGACATCTTCCCCCCGCGCCCGCCACTCCGTTTTCCTGGCCCCGCGGGCTCTGTAGATTTCCCTCCCAGGGGCCTTCACAGCTAGGTAGGTAACACTGGAGGCGTGCTCACTTCGGACTTGTAAGCACCGTCGAGAGCCAGAAATGGCACGATACAACCTCAACTACAGAAAGAGGTTTATGACAGCATCTTCAGCGAGAGAGTAATCTAGGGCCAGACGCTCTTGTAAGATGGGGGCAAACGGGCTGAGGCTCAGCAGAAGATCCCTGTCGAGAAACTCTCCGAGAAACTCTCGCGGCGGTGATCCTTCTGAGAATTGCGCAGCATAGATTGGGTCGACGTCGGGCCCGGATCAAGTCCCTGCCACTGTCAACTAGAGAGGCGTGTATCATCAAGATTTGACTTGATCTTTGAGACCATTGCACAAGGGACGGGGAGACCATGACGGCTGGATCGGTGCACCTCCCTTTTGAACGCTCTGCACTCGGAACTCGCAAGGGGGGGGGGGGGGACTTCGCGGCAGTTTTGACTCATTTGACTCAGTGTCCTTTATACGCCTCACGTGGCGGTATCCTCACTTCTTCAACCCGCCAGCTCCTCTCCTCAAATTGATTAGTCGCCCACACAGTCATTCCGTCATTCTGCAAACTGCGCCGGTGAGTTGAGTCATCGAAGCTTGAATGGCAGCAACAGAGTCGGAGCCCCCGTGTGGTTCGCTCGTGAACCGGAAAGCCCAAGCTGAAGCTCCGATCACCGAACGAGGAGATTAGCCGGGCCAGCTCGATGTCGGACACGGCATCTTCATCCCATACGATCGGAGATACATCCTATTTTGAAGGAGCTACACCACATGTCTTCATTCGTCGGGTGACTCGCAGTCTTCATCGTCTGGAAGCGCGAGCTCCGATGAAGAACAGCAAGAAGTAGAATGTCCACCATTGAAGCTGTATTATATCGAACCGATGAGATGGTGCTGTTCCGAAGCCACTACAGCCTACAAAAGACACTTCAACCCTACACATCTTAGTGGACTGGCAACTTCGACCTACTTGGAATCGTCATGCGCTTTTGCGGGCTGGATTTTCCGCGGACTGGCTGCATGACGGAGAAAGAAGAAGCTGAAGTGAATGCTCCGTGGGAGCGAGGAGAGAATTCCCATCGAGGAGAGTATCCCCACCATCAATCCATTACAGAGCTGCAACCTTTCCTTAACAGCTGTTGAGGAGGACCTAGCCCAGAGCTCAAGTGTACATCTTCCGGCAAGCCTGAAGTCGAGCGGAGGAGTTGACTGAATCCGAGCTGATGGCTGTGCTAGTCCCTATTTAACGTCACAGCGGGGGGTCCGCTCCAACACAGCAAAGGTACAAGTGACAATACGTCACTCAGTCATTCTTATTTTACCTAAATGGCTCGCCATCCCGTCATGTAATCATATTACAGAGAATTTGTTGTCGGTGCGATAAACTACTGCCACGGCGAGCTCGGGGGTCGGTGCGATAAACTACTGCCACGGCGAGCTCGGGGTGGAGGTTGCTTGAACGAGCTCAGCCCGGACAGCTGAAGCAGCAGTTAGGCGGAGGAGGAATTACCCAAAGATGTTGATAAGCAGGGACTCGGCTTTTAAGGCCTGTCAACAAAGACTGCCAAATCAGAAATCAATCCATCGTGAGAAAGCTTACCCTGCTCCCACGGAGCATTCACTTCAGCTTCTTCTTCCTCCCTCATCAAGCGACCCCGCGGATAATCCAGCCCGCAAAAGCGCATGCCGATTCCGAGTAGGTCGAAGACGCCAATCCAATAAGATGTGTAGGGTTGAAGTGTCTTTTGTAGGCTATAGTGGCTTTGGAACAGCACCATCTTGCTTTCGGCGGGGAAGCTTCCCGGGTCCTCCCAGCCGGACCAAATGATTCTGGTGGTGGGTATCATGGCCTTTGGGCCATTGGGACCCTCGGGTCGACTGAATACAAGGAAGAGAATCACGTAGGCGAGCGACTCAATGTCGTGCCAGGGCTGATGGGGAAGAGGGGGTCCCACACCGCCAAGGGGTGGGAATCTTTGGTGAGCTAGGAAGGCAAAAGTCCCCTACGAAGACGAGAGAGCCGGGCTCGTCAGCTCATACAGCACACTCGAAACCTTTACCCCCAACTCCTAGCGAACCTGAACCTACGGCTCGGCGGTATCGCTCGGCGGGGGCGGGACCGTCATCCTTGATGTAGATGGCCAGGTCGTAATCGATGAGCACACCCTGTCCATCTGGAGCGACCATGATGTTCCCGGCCGAGACGTCACGATGCAGGATGTGCATCCGGTAGAGATTACGCAGACCTGAGGACGAGACAGGAGCTCGTGTGTTTAATGGCGCTGGCACGCCCCAATCATAGCCAAGTCCTGAAACTCACCTTTGGCTACGCCCAGGATGACTCGAGCAAGGGAGACGGTCGAATCGATGACCCAGATGGGATCAAAGCATTGCTCATGAAAGGCGACTTCCATCGCCCTCGGCGTGAATCGGAACCCACGCGGCAGGCCACCGCCGCCTCCGAGAAACTTGGGCACGACGGTGAACTCGCTCTCGCGGTACACATCGACGATGTTCGTCAACCCCTCGCGCTCTTCGGGTGAAGCTGTAGCGATGGAGAGGCGGATACGGTCGTGCTCATCGCTCCGAGGCTCCGCTACGAAAGAAACCGTCATGGCATATTCCTGGGTAGACGTGGACGCTTCCTTCTCGCCGCCGCCTCGGGTCGCCCTGACTCGATAGGCCGACGTGCACCGTCCATCCCAAAAGGTGCTCCGGCAGAGCTGTTCCACAACCTCGACGCGACTGAACGTGGCGACTGACACCAAATGCTCGCGATATCGAGGCACCCGTAGAGGCAACGCGGCAAAGGCGAACGGGTAAGCAGACAGGCTCGCAACGATGCCAAGCCCCGAGTCCGTCAGGCTGAGCAGTCGGGTAAAGAACGTCGAGAGGTAGCCATTCGCTTCGGTGCACTCAATATCGGGACTGAACAATAGACCGCCATGGGTGCAAAGAAATATGACGAGGGTCGATTCGACGAGGATAAAGCCGAAGGCGTGCGAGCGGATCGGGTTGGAGGCGAGCGCACGGATGTACCCCTCAAACCGTTCGTGGAGAGCTTCTTTGTCGCCACCTACATAACGTACCTGACCCCTGACCATGATATCACCTACTACCGCGACCCGTGACCAGTCTTGTGGAGTCTCGTGCTGCTCGCAGTGTGAGCTCCTGTTGGCGTCGGCGCCTCCGGCTTCAAAGGCTTCTCGAGTGAGGAGGGCAGCACCCGGCATCTTGTCGGAGAAGTCCAGGCGACCGAAATGCACTGGGTCACGGTAGGTAATGAAACGTCCGCGGGTTCTCTGCACAGGTCGAACGCACTCGTCAACGATCAGACGCTTTACCCTCTTGCCCCTTGCCCGAACCACGCCGGCCGGTTTGACCGACAAGAGAGTGTAGTAGATGCCACACTTTCGTTTTACCATTTTCTTTTCTTGCTTTTTTGAAATATTATTGATGTGCCCTTTAGTGCAGCGATCGTTTCAAAACCTCTCCGGTCTATCGCAGTCGCTCTAGGATCTAGGATGATCGCTGGAAAGCTCCTAAGTAGGTCGAGATGGGTGGAGGAAATTGTGAGAGCAGACATAGTATAAGCTCCCGTTTCAATCCGAGACACTCAAAAGATAGGCTGTGAATCATCGACTCGCGATCCCGTCACTTTACTGCCGGGCTTGAATAAGCATTGTCTCATATCTCACCCTCCTCGACTGGAAGGCGCACCTTCCCCTACTGATGGAAGATGATAAGCTCATCACCTTAAAACGTAGGCAATGACGGGGAATAATTCTGTGTCACGATATCAGGAACGATGTTAGGCCCATGTAGTAGGCCAAAACCGAGCGAGTAGCGAATCACGCACCTTTGGGGAACCCTTGTTGCGTCTCTTGCCGTAATACGTCGAGTCCTGCATCGGCGAAGATGTTTTTGAACACTTTGTCGGACCTGGGTGTCGTACCAGAACAACCGCGCGTTCAGCATCATCCGTCTAGTTCCTTCGTAATTCCTCCCCGAGGCCTGACACCGTCCTGCACGACTGACCTCGTGACCGAGCTGTCATCATCATCGAACAAGAATCCCGCTCCAGCCCCTTCAGTGTCCTTGCACACGTTTTCCTTGAGGATGATGTACCCCTGACAGCCCCGATCGTCCTGCCTCAACGCCTTGCGACTCCTCTTGAGGAACTCGACCAACTCGGCGTCGCTGAGGTGACCGATACACCACTGAATCATGCAGAGGTCGTACCCATCCTCGGCCCCACCACTCTCCGTGTCCATCCTGCGCTTCGGATCGGGCCAAACGAGGGCTTCGGAGCCGTAGGTCGCGACCAACTCGACCGTGCCAACGACGGCTTGAGGATCTTCGGATCGTATCGGTGGTACCGGAATCGCCGGTGCGGCCGGGTCAAAGAACTGCAAACCGGCTTGCCACATTCGTACCCCCTTTCCCGTTGAGAGGTACTTCCATCCTTCTCTCCCTCGTTCGGCATGACGCTGCGCTTCCTTGAGGAATTTGGGTACCGGTTCCACGAGATCGACCCGGTCAAAGAGAGGGAGCTGATGAGGAGAGGGGGAAAGAACGGCGGTGGATCAGCCCAAAGGTCGACGTCAACGTCTTGGAATGGTTTCAACTACTCGCCAGTACGGTGGAAGTGACCCGGCCAATGCCGGCACCACAATCGAGAGCTCGGAAGGATCTTCGCTGGGACGGGGTGGTGGTCGTCGTTTCCGGGGCGCTGATCGAAGCGCGGTGTGGGGGCGTGACGGTCGAAAGGTGGGGCATGATGGAGAGGATGAGCATGCGAGATGCAGTGGCGTCCAATCGAGGAACGGCTGTGGCTCTGATCTCGAGTGGTGGTCGGTCGTTTCGGCGAGGATGACAGGGATGAGCTAGCTGAAGAGTTGAGCACCACGCATGCGCTGTAGGAGCCATGACTCACGGTCCATATCCACCCAGTACGCCATTCACGGTGGCCTCGGTCTTGGCCCAATAGTCGACTCCGACCTGGAACTGAGGGAGCCTGGCAGCTGGAGCTGGTGCACTGGCCGTCGTGGTCATGTTCGCAGGAGGTGCTGCGAGCGGGGCAAGAGGACCAGGCGCGTTCGCAAGAGGCTTGGCCACGTACAGGTGCGTTACCGAGGTGCTTGCTAGGAGCACGAGGAAAGCCGTCAGAGAGAGGCAGAGAGAGGCAGAGAGATGAACCGGGGCCAAGTCGGGTTCGACGGGACGGCGCGCTTGCTTCTCTCCTTTTGTCACCTTCCCTCACTGTCTCTGTTAAAGTTTACTCGGCGATTTTCTAAACTCTCGGTCCCTCCTCAAGCACGCGCTCAACTGGACGTCCACCATGTCCTTCTTCACCAAGGTCGCTTCCGGAGGTTTGCTCGCAGCCGGGTTCGTCCCTCGATCCGTTTCCCCACGATCAGCTCTCCTCCACGTAGCCACTCCAAGCAACTGACACCAATTCCCCTGTTACAGCGTGACATATTACTACCACATCGACATCCGAGAAACGTCGCAACAGATCGGCAAGGACCTGCATCGTCTATCGGAGCAATTGCTCGCTTCCAACTCCACCGAGACCAACCGATCGACGTTCCCACAGCCGGTACCGAGTCGAGTCGGCCTCATCGAATCGATCAAGGCTAGAGTGCGTTGCGCCGAAACTATGTGACGACCGCCTAGTCGCACGGTGCGCTGATCCTCTTTGATCCTGATTTTTACGAGCAGTGGAACGAGAAAGTCGAAGCCGGCGTCATCGCCTTGAGGGAAACGGAATGGTCCAGCGTGATCAGCAACACATGGAACCATACAAAGTACGGTGCTGCCACTTTGAAGGACAAGATCTCACCGGTGGCGCCAGAGGTCGAGGAGGTCACCGATCGGCGGCAGGTCTGAGGTGTGCGATTTTGGAGTACGTGCGTTGCAGGACTTGGGTAAATCACAGGTGAGTCAGAACCACTGCAAAGTGACATCGAGAGTACCTGAGCTGACACGTGACGTCACAGGCTAGTTATTGCAATACAAACGCGTCTGAAGTTGTAAGGTAAAGGCGATCTCTGCCTTCGGAGAGATCGATTTCGCACCCGATTGTCTCCAAGTGACGGGAAGCCAACCGGCAAAGCGTGAAGGTGGTGTCTTCCGCAGCGGTCCGTCGTCATGGAAAGTTCACAGAATCGCCAGCGCGTTTTCGAATCCCCAAGCCGAGATGCGCACTCCGTGAACAGGCGTGGAGAAGTAATGGCGCAAACGTGCAGATCATGGATTACAAATAGATAAAAAGTGGTACAATAGGCGGTCTCACCGACTAGACAGCCTCCTCAACCGCTGATCGACTAGCACAGCATGGTGATCGTCGCAACAAAGATAGCGACGAAGCTTGCTCCACCGACGAAAGCCTTGCTCGCCATAGCCGACGAAGCTTGCGATTGTGCCGACGCCCCGACGACCGTGGTCGGGCCCGTACTAGTGGAAGAGGAAGAGGATTGGGGGGCCATGGTCGTGAGTACGACGGTGACGACGTTAGCGGCTGGTGCGGAGCTCGAGCTTTCCAGGACGGTCACGATCGGCGCGTACGAGGTAACAACCACCACCGCATCGGTCGTGCTCGTTGTGGCTGCTGTCGTCGTCGTCGTCGTTGATGTCGTGGACGGGGTCGACGCTGCTGCAGGGGGTGATGTCTCGACGGCGGCCGCGGTCGTAGTCGACAGCGCGATCGATTTCCTCGTCGTAGTCGCTACGGCTTGCGTCGTCTTGGCTGCCGTGCGAGCTCTACTTGTCGTGGACGACGCGTCTCCAGAGCTCGAGGAACCGAAGGATTTGATCGTCAGGGGAGCGGCTTGGGTGTATATTGTCGACAGGTCCGCCGAGTTGACAATGAGCAGTCTCTGCAAAGCGGCAAAAGGACCCCATCCCCAGCGCAGCAATCAGTCTCCACGTTCTACCCAGATGATTTGCTCCAGAACTTACATAGGTGTTGGTCGACGACTTGCGCGCGTTGAGGTCATTCGGGATCGTCACACTCGCGGTGTTGACGAGATCGACTTCGCTCGCGATCACGACTTGAGTGTTTTGTCGAGCCGAGGCTTGCACCGTCTCGAGGATGAAGGTTCCTTTCGGTGCTCCTCCGGGTTGGTACTTCCATGTCACCTTGAGCCCCCCGGCATTGCTAGTGGGACGACATGGTGCGAGCGGGAGGAGTGAGCACACCACCCGGAAACGTGCTTGACACAACTGCCCACAAGCTTTGTGATAATGTTCTCACCTGATGGTATCACCAGATTGAGGAGATGTGAAGTAGGTCGCCGCGACGAATGAAGCCTGCGCGAGGGCGACGCAAGCGGTGGCGAGGAGGGAGAGCTTCATCACGTTTTCAGTCGGCAGGCGCGGTCGATCACCGAGTCCGAGGGGATGTGGGGGTCTGTGCGAAGGGGTTATTAGGCCGGGGTGAGTCTACGCGTTTTTCGGAGTTGGTGTGATGGGTCGTCGTAGTTGGTGCAAGTGTTGATGTAGCAGAATGGTGGAGGGAAGGAGAGGTAGTGTGAACGAAGGAGAAGAACAAGGCGCTCACTCGATCAAAGGATGAAGGCACTAGCACCAAGGAAAACCAAGCGAAGAAGTGTGATGTGATGGCGGCGATGACGGAGTGGGGACCCCGTGGCGGGTGAGATGGCTGGGCCTTGCTCGCGGGCGGCGTGGGACGGCTGGCCGGCTAATTGTCTCGAAACGACCCAAGTCGCTGTAATCGCTGCACCGCTTTCCAAGACTTTTGCGTTTGGAGGCGATGCTTAGACTTGTGAGACATGGTGCTTACGGGGAATATTTTTGGATTCAACATGGCCCTTCCGCAAGAGGTGTAGGCTGCGTGCGGCGAAGAAACTCGGAGTCACTGAACTTTCGGGCTCGCGCTCGGCGCTTGGGAGTCGGTGGGAGGTCCGTGCGAGTTTGGCGCTGATGAGACACGCGACGTCGACGCCAGACCAGGGCCGAGCACACCGCGCGCCTCCGACCGTCACGTGGAATTCCGTCATCACCACCAACGGGCTCGGGGAAATGGCACCTCCGAGCAACTTCCCGTCAGCCATGTTCGACAACGACAACGGCGACGATGGCTTTGACCTGCGATCCTCACAACCGAACGGCACCTCGTCGTCGCCGCCGCCTCAGCCGGGCGAGGGGCTTCCATTTGGCCACTCGTCGGCATCGACTCGGCGAGGCTCCCGTTCGGGATCAACTTCAGGATCGGGATTGGCTCGATTCATCTCGACCACGAACTCGGCGGATGATGGTCTTCCTCTGCCCGTCGCAGCGTCGACTACGATCCTACCACGCACGACGAAGCGGTTCGTCGCCTCGGCCAAGGGCAAAGCGAAAGCCGTCAACGTCAACGATGACGAGGCTGTTGGCCAAGCTCTGTTGAACGGACACGACTTGGGGGAAGACGGCGAGAGGTCGTCAAGTGGTCCGACTGGTATGGCCTTTTCGATTCGTTTCACCGATGGGAGTGAGGATCTGTTGGATCTTTGCGTCGGAGAGAAGGAGAGCGTCGCGGAGGTCAAGCGCAGGGTCAGTTCCGATGCAGAGCAGGTGGCCAATTTGGTCGCCATTGGACGACCATTCTGATCAATAATCAATAATCTCCTCTCTTTCTCCTTTGAAAGATTCGCTTCCTCCGGCCCAATCTCATGCACGAAGACCGACCGCGGCGGCTGCGCCTGATCCAACTCGGTCGGCTCCTGACGGACGGCACCTACCTCGTTCCTTGGACCGTGCAACTGCTGTCGCGCCGAGCCAAACTAGTCCGACAACAGACCCAACCCAACGCGGAGGCGTTGCTGGAGGGAGCGATCGAAGGGATCGAGGCTGCGGTTGGAGTGACGGTACCGAGAGCTTCGATCGATCTCAAGGGAGGGTCGAAGCAGGATGCAGCGCATCAGAGGGATAGGAAAGGCAAAGGGAAGGAGAAGGATATGACGCTGGCTGGGACAGAGGCCGAGAATGACAAGCAGGTGTGGCTGCATTGTTCGGTCGGGGAGCCAATGGATGATGAAGAAATCGACAGCGAACGGATACAGGTAGGTCTCATTTGGCCCCCTTTCCCCTCGTGGTATGAGCTGATGAAACGAGTTCACGTTCAGACGACTCAAATCACGCCGCTGCAAGGGTTTGACCGATTGCGGGACGCTGGCTTCTCTGAAGAAGAGATCGCTACGATGCGGGCCGAGTTCCGACGCAACAACTCGGCAGGAGGAGGTCAGCAACCGACACGTTTGCGAATCGAGATCGATGTGTAATGATCTCACCCCAACCGATTGTTTTCTTTCGATCTAGATGACGATGAACACGCTCGAGCGTTGGAAGACCAATGGATGGAAGGACTGACTGGGCAGAATGAAGCCGCGGCGACCGAGTCTAGTAAGACGCGGTGATCTCGGTTGCTTTCGAATCGTCGTGGTAAATGTACTGACAGATTCTTCTTTCACATTCATCAGCCACTGAAGGCTATTGGATGAAGATGCTCGGAGGGCTTTGCGTCGGCTTCTTCTTCCCATTCTTACCCTTTTTCTTCTTCCGGACCCATCTCTTTTCACGCACGTGAGTCGAGATCTCTAAGCTTTTGACGTTCCCGTCCCTCCCAACTCACACCTCAAAATCATTTCGATCGACAGCACACAAATGGCCATCGTACTCGGCGTCATCATCAACGTCGGATTCGCCATTATGCGTTTGTTCACTTAGCGCGCGCATCGATCGGAGAGAGACGGAAGGAAGATGGGAGTGTATCATTATGCAATTGACCTGTCTATCATACAAAGTCCTTGGCCGTCCGTCATTTTGAGGTCCGACGCATGGGCCGGCGAGGGAGGGCTTATACCTTATCCTGCTCACTCCTCGCTCCGATCTTGCTTGACTTCATATCGCTTTCCTCTGTGCCGAGGGAGGATCGAAAGGAACGAGTCAGATTAGTGATCAAGTCCCACTTCGGATCAACACAGAGAGCATCTCGACTAACCGAATCCCCCAAATCCCCCAATTGGTCTTGACCGCTACCCTCGGATCGAATTCGGCGACTTCCCACTTCTCACTCCCAAATACGTTCTCCCCCGGCGTCAACAACCAATCGAATTCGCCCTTGATACCCTCCGCTTTATCAAGAGCGACGACGTCCCTCTCCACGTCGGCGGGACTGAACCCGGTGCAGAAGAGGGCGCATTTGGTTTCGAGGATCGAGAGGATCGAACTTGACCAGTTGGTCTCGAGTTGGGTCCTCGTAGGGTCTTGTTCATCCGGGAAGCCGAAACCGGGTGAGAAGGAGAAGAAGACGTCGAGGTAAGGATCGAAAGGTCCCAAGAGGTCGTGCACTTCGTCATACGGCGCTCGGAGGTTCGTCACGGAGAGGTATTCAGAATCGATGCGCGTGTAGGACGGCACGCCGTAGACTTTGGTCGGGTCCGTGTTGGGTGACTTGGCGGGGATGTGCGCTTCGGGTCCGATGAAGTAGACGTGTAGTGGGATGCGAGGGAACAGGTGCGATAGTTGACCGAGGACATGCGAAGGGAGGGAGGATTCGGCTCGGGCGCCGAGCACAAAGATTCGGATCGGGACGGGAGGGGCGCCGCCCTTTGCGTTCGCAGATGATGCGGAAGGATGTAAAGATTGCCGAAGGGCTATAAGGTGAAAAGGACAAGAGGTAGCGGACGGTCAGCACGGCTGGCTAGAGAGCGGTGAAAGTCGCTTCGCTTCGGACTGACCAAAGAGGGATCGCAGTCCTTCGGGAAGAAGACGCTGGTTGCGAAGTGTATACGGGCTGCTCTCATGCAGCACCGACCCGATCGAGAGCGGGTACGTGAGCAGTTTGGACACGTGTCTTCTCGACCTCTCGGTGTCGATGGAGGGGAATCCGCGGGTGTAGAGGAAGACGTCCCAGTTGCCCATCGAGACGGCCTCTTCGTAGGCTTGCTCGCCTATGGGGGAGGGGTCGTAGAGCTACACATGCATGAGAAGAGGGGCATGGTTCGCTCTACGATTTCTGCCGCAACTACAACTGACCTGGCAGGTTGAACTCGGTCATCTCACGCCCACTGCGCAGATCATGCTCGTCCTCGTTCGCTTCCCTGAGCCTCGGCCAGTAGCGCGCCTTCTCCGTGTCTTGATCGTACCGCTCACGACTGGCATGGGTCGGGAAGCCGCACTCGGGGCACTCGTACGCGACATGGACCTTCTCGCCGTGGAGGTCGAGGGAGGCAGGGCAGTAGGCGAGTTGCTTGATGCGCTCGCCCTTTGCGCGCATCTCGGCGAACGGCGAACGGCTGAGCGGGTGGAAGAGGTCGTCCTGCGCCAAGAGGGGACGAGGTGGGGCCGGTGGAGGTGACTTGGGTTTAGCTGAGCCAAAGCCGAACAGGGTCCGACGTCGGAGGGGCGAGGCAGCGGATCCGACGGCGAGGCGAGCTGCGCCGACCGAGGAGGCGGCCGCGGTGGTCGAGCTACAGCACAGCGTGGTCGAGCGCCAGAGGCCGGTGGCATGCGAGTGCGCCAGTCGGTTGGCCATCGTGGTCGTGTGATTCGATAACACGGGTCTTGAACAGGAGTGGGATGAACGGCCGGAAACAGAAAAGGGTGGTAACTTGTGTGGCAGTCGCGCTTCGATCGCGCAAGGGACAATTCATTGGCAGAGACAGGCAGAGACGGGCTCAAGAAGGCTCAAGACGGGCTGAGACGGGCTAAGACGGGCAGCCCCTGCGAATCTGCGAATGACCGACCGCAGACGGAGTGCCGTAGCTCGTTTCCGCTCCGCTTCTCTCCCTTTGGCGCTTCCTGGTCACCTCTTCACACCACTCTCACTCACCATGGGCAACTCGGCTTCCAAGGCGGCCAAGCAGCTGACCAAGACAGCGACAGCTCAATCGCCGTTATCCTCGACGGGTGCCGCTCCCACTCGATCCTCTCCATCGTCATCGTCAACGTTCACCCCACCGTCGTCATCCAGATCATCCAGATCATCCGGGCCGTTGGCGAGCGAGACCAAAAGCGATGGTCGGTTCTCATGCTCTGAATATGAAACAGGAAGCAATCAAGCTGACCTGCCGTTCCGTACTGCAGCGATCGTACACGATTCGCAAGACCCCAACTTTATGCGCAAGCTCGAACAGCTCGGACAAGTCAAAGTCCCGAGCGCCGGATTCGCGTTCCGAGCAGTAAGGCTTTTTCTTCGAGCACGATCAGAAGCGATTTATCAATCTTGATCGCCACATTGGATTGTCACCTCTTTACTCCCCCACAGGACAACCAGATGCTCGACATTCTCAAGCAGCGCAAGGAACAGGAACTGCAGAGCGAATCGTTGACCCCGATCCGGAATCGCATCGGCGCTCGGTCGCTGTCGAATCTGCTCGATGATTGCAAGCAAGCCGCATCAAAGCAGGAGATGCAAGAACTGTGCGAACTCTACCAAATCGACTACGGAGTGAGTGCCTTGGTGGGTTTTGTGTTCCAACCGAGCGGGACTCTGACGAGCACGAGATTCGATCGGCGCAGATTCTGACCGAGCTGAATCGGCACATTACGTCGCCGTCGACTTCGACCATACCCTTACCTGAACGCACCGTCGAAGAGGACGATGGAGAGACACTGCTGGTGCGTACTTGGCGAGGAGTTGAAGATCCAAGTCCGTGAACTGATATGGCTTTTTTGTGTGGGGCGACAGGCAATTTGGGTCGATGCTGGTGGGGACCCTCAAAAGGCGGCCGCCCCCAAAAAGTTGGCGGCTTAATCTACGACGTTAACGTTTTGCATCGAACATGCAACAACTTTTTTGTGCGATTAAAGAAATGACCCATGATCTAGTACCCATCCGAGAGCCTTTTCCAAGCCCAATTCGACTCGTGCTCGGGCGCGCCCCAAAGCATCCATCTCTTCTCTTGCTGCTGTCATCGAGCCGAGAGTCGGAACGCTCTCGTCGATCGACGACCGACCGTGCGGGACAGCGACCATGATCTTTGGGAGCACCGAGTCACCCACCCCAACGGAGCTGCCGTCACAATCGACTTCATCCTCACCGGCCGCGCCTTCCTCACCCGTCGCTTCGTCGAGCCATTCGCATTCGCATCCGCATCCGCATCCGCACTCGTACTCCAACTCGCAGACGGCGGCTCCGACGGTCGCTGCCCCGTCGTACGCCTCGAGCAATGCCCATGTGCCGATTTCGACCACACTCGACCAGCATGCGCCTCTGACCGACCATCTCTTTGTGAGTCGGTCATTCTACGACCTCGTGAACGGCTGCAGTGGGGTGTCTGGCTGGCTGCTCAGTGCTGACCTCGCAGTCTGACCGCGTCGCCTCCCACGGCATCGCAACCTCCTCCACAGATCGCAGGCTGGACGAATGCACTCTTCTCCGACACCCAGTTGACGGTCAACTATGCGGCCATGCGCCACTCCCCTTCGACTTTCCACCTGCATGCCATCATCGTCTCGCAGTCACCGCTTCTACGCTCCCAGTAAGTCCGACTTCTCTCCCTCTGCCGATTTAGCCCGTTCGAACCCGACTTTTTCCCCCCGCCCGAGTGGGTCCGGGGCCGGCAGCTACCAAACATCGCTCCCGTCATCTTCAGCAGATTGGTCCTCATCCAATCGTGTTACTGACCATAAGGTTATCGCCCGAAACCAGGCTCGAAATCAACTACCCGCATCGGCCCTTGCACCTCAACTCGCCCGACCCCGAGATTGACCCCGAGTCGGTCTCGCTCGTGCTCGCGTCGCTGTACAACCTCAGCATCCTCACCGCGCATCTCGAGGCCAAAAACGCCGTCTCGGTGCTCGCGGTCGCGTACTGGCTCGGACTCGACTCGGTGCTCAAGCGTGCCGAGGAACAGTGCCGCACCTCGATTCGGTTCGTCAAGTCCAAGCACGATTTTGCCAACTGGTACCGCGCTCTCGGCATCCTGTCGGGCTCCGAGGCGGACGATGCCCCGTCGAGCCACGGCCACCACTATCAACACCACCATCACACGTCTTCTCCTGGTGCCGGTGTAGGATCATCCTCCGATCGGTCCGAATCTAGGGCATCGCTTGCGTCAAGTAATGGAGTTCCCTTCACCGGACTCGCATCCCCGATGGATCCGAACACTTCGTTCCCCCATGGCAGCGACGGAGCCAGTCGCTTGAATGGGCATGCGAATGCGAACGGCGGGGCCGCGAACGGTTCGGGGTCTGCACAGCTCAAGTACGGTGCTGCCGGTGCCCGACTCAAGGTCGAACTCGGTCGACGCCTGTTGGATCTTCCGAACGAGTTGAATGCTTTCCCGCCTGCGGGGTCGTCCTCGACGGGAGGTTATGATGAACTGGTGGATCTGATGACCAGTTTGCCATTCGAGGTGCTCAAGGTGAGGATGCGTGCGAGATGAATGCGATGCAGGAACGTTTGGGCTGACTTGATCCTTTTCTCTGGTGGTACCAGACCGCGTTGGAGTCGACCTCGTTCAAAATCCCTGGTGGCGATCTGCAGCGCTTCTCGTTGGGTCAGAAGATTGTGGCGGCGCGTCGTTCGTTCGCGGCGTCGGCGGGGAGGCCACCGGTGTGGGAGGAGAACGTGGTGCTGCAGTTTGGTGCGAATGGGACGAGCTCGAGTGCGGTTGGCTTGCTGAGGAAACGCAAGGTGCGAGGCAGTTGGAAGGTCTCGGATTCGAGTTGAGGTCCTCCACCGTCGGAAGTGGCCCAAGGTAGTATTTTGTGCAATGCGAGTAGTGCCTCTCCCCGGAGTAGAAAACGTAGAAATGTACGGTGATGGCGATGGCTGATAGCGCGCAAAACTCGGCGGCGTACTCATAGTGATGAATGACGACAGCAGCCTCTCCGTTTCGACGGTCACGCCTGGTCACGCCGCCGGTACTACGCCGGTGTCACGCCGGTGTCGCTGGTCTGGACGTCTGGGTCCTCCCACCTCCCACCTCCCACCTCCCACCTCCCCCCTCTCCGCCTCAGGACCTGTTTGGTGGAGGTGCGATGAGCTCGCCGGCAGCATCGACTCTGCGTCACACATGTCGCCACGTGAGTCGCCTGCCCGAGTCGTGGATACCTCGCGTTGTTGACTGCTGATCGCCTGGAACGGACCCCTCGGCTGGTGATCCATCTCCGCGATGTACCAGTACCCGCATCGGGACGCGGCCATCCTGCAGGTGCTGGCGACGTTGGATCACTTCAGGGGCAGCCTCTACCACGAGTTGAACGACTTCAGTGAGTGTGCCTTGATGGTGTGGTGTGATGTGACCCCCACGAGTCGCACACGCGCTCTCGCCCTCCCTGTTCCCCCCCCCACTTGCACTCGCAGCGCGCCTCGCCACTCACCAGCGCAATCGGTCACGCATAGCCTACCCCGTGCTGACCCCAACTCTTTTCAACAGCTTACGACGATGGAAGGGTCGAACTGTTGCTGTCCATCACGGGCGTGATCCCCGTCCCGATCCAACGCGCGACGTACCAATGCCCCATCACCTTCTGGCTCCCGCTCGACTTTCCCAACAAGCCGCCGATGGTCTTTGTGCTGCCTTCGAGCACGCTCATCGTGCGCCCCGGACCCAACATCGAACCGAGTGGCAAGGTCGTCGAATCGGCCTATCTCGATAACTGGGCCAGGAAAGCAGAGGTGCGTCTGAGGCGTGCTTTGGCGATCGCAGAGGGGGTCGGTTCGAGTCTGAACGTCGGTCGTTTCTGACCTACACGACCGTCACTCCCAGGGCTGTTCATTGGTCGCGCTCGTCGTGGAGGAACTCATTCCCATGTTCTCGAGGAGATACCCCGTCATGGCTCGACCGGCGTCCAAGCCGAGCACCGAACCCAAAGCGCAAACTCGACCTTCTCCACCCCCTCCACCACCCCCACCCTCGACAATGCCGTCCCATTCCGGGGCACCACCTCGACCCCCCGCACCGCCGATCAAACCAGCTTCCCCTTTCGGGAACCACCGATCGTCACCCTCGCTGGCATCGTCGGGCTTTGTCGCGAATGGGGCCGAACAACAGGACGCCGCCTACGTCTCCGTCGGCTCCTCTTCTCCCCGAGGTCTCAGTGCACCACGGCCACCTCAACCACCGATCACGCCGCTGCATCCTACAGACCCCAGATACCAGTCTCCTACTGTGCGTGCCTTCCTTTCTTCTTCCTGGGTAGATGGCGACCAATGATCTCAACTGAGCCACCCTGCCTTGTCATCTACAGCCCAATCATCCGCCTCCTCCCGTCTACCCGCTCCCGAACCAGAACCCCCAGCACGCTCGATCATCAAGCCTGGACCAGTCCTCCCCAGTCGCCGCAGCTCCAGTTCAACACCCACCTCAACCACCGTATTCCGCACCGTTCCAACCGTTCCAACCTCCGCCGAATCAACCCGTAGCTTCGTCTTCAGGAGCCCACCCTTCTCCACCGTATTCTTCCTCCTCCCCCTCCCCCGCTATAGGACATTCGCACACAGTCATCCCTCCTCATTACTCGGGTCCCGGCCCGAACGGGGAAGGTGTCTACAACCCTTCGCTTCCAAGAGTAGCGCCGATATCTCACGGTGTGAATGGGACGAAGGTCGTCTCGACCGGTCAAAGGAGTACGGGACCTTTGAGGCCGAGCGCCAATTTTTTGGATGACGACGACGACCCTTCAAGAGGTCCGGGAACGGGGACGACGTCGTACATGAAAGGCGTGGCTTCGACCGCTGCTTCGGGTTCGGGAACAACGGCCGCCGCAGCTCCACCTCCACCTCGACCGACGAACCCGGCGCTCCTCGCCTTACGACAACAATTACTCGACAAGCTCTCACACTCGCTGCACGCGCTCCAAATTCAAACCCACGAAGAACTACAACATCAAAACGTGCTGCGCGGCGATCTCCTCAAGGGTGAACCGGCGATGGTTGATGAGATGCAGAGGTTGCAAGTCGTCAAGACGGTGTGCGAGACCGTCGAAGGGAGGTACGCCAAGGTCGTTGAAGAAGCCGAGAAGAGGTTGGGCGAGTATCAGAGCAAGGGGGAGGGGCCCGAAGTAGATGAGATTGTGTGCTCGAGTACGATCGTTTATAAACAGTACGTGTGCTCCATACCTCCGAGCATGAAAAAAGGGAACGGAGCCAAGAATCGCTGACCAACCCTGTACCTTTTTTGCATAGACTTTTGGACCTCATCACCGAAGACGCGGCGTTGGAGGATACGATCTATCACCTCGGACGCGGGCTCAACTCGGACGTGGCCAAGATCGACCTCGACCAATTCCTCAAGCGGGTCAGGTCCCTTGCGAGGGATCAGTTCATTCGCCGAGCCTTGATCAACAAGATCTTGCTTGGGCTCGCCAATTGAACGGAGTCTTTGATTAAGGGCCTGGGGTTCAGGTGGCGCTTGGCACATCAATTGGCAAAGTTGTATCAATTTCGTTTGAGCGCAATCCGTCTCTTTGGGACTTGAAAGAAATTCTCAATCACGAAGGAAAGTATAATGTGTTTGAACATTGACAGAGAGATGAAACTGGTCGAAAAGTATATACGGTGCGAGACACGAACAGTCTGATTTTCAAAAATAAAACTGAGTTCAACATGGCGGATCGTCAATCGTCAAGGGCGTCAGGGGAAGGAAGCAAGTCAAAGATAAAAGTGTCCATGGCAGAGGGTGGAACAGCACAGAAGGGGACGCGCTCAGGGGCCTGCCCTGTTAGCGCGGCGCTGACAACCGTCGAGGAGAGCTTCGTACTCGTGCGAGGGGGGACCGAAAGGAAGTATCACGCGGCCTCGTCGAAAGCCATTCGCGCATTCTCGAGATCAGCGTCCATGATGGACTCGGCCATATCCGACCCAATCATCGAAGGAGGCCTCGAGTCAAAGTTGAACTGGTCATGATCGCTCGAGTCGATCGATTGGCGCGAGTGACGCAGGTCGCCGACCATTTTCCAGAACGTCAAGTTGCGGTGATTCTTGACCGCGGGTGAGGTACGGTCTGGCAAAGAACCGGTCGGATCCGAAGAGTCGTCGTCACTGTTACTCTGCTGTCCGTCTTTGCCTACGATGGGATCGCCATGGATGTCCGCAGTGAATGTAGCGCGATCGGCACTTCGCTGCGCGTACAGATCATAGAAAGACTCGGCGTAGCCCGAGTTCCGATAGTCAACACTCGTCAGGGGTGCAGCGAGGCTCATGGGCGATCGAGGAGGTTTGTTGAGGTGTCCGCCTGCGACCGCCGCTGCTGAGGACGAGTCATCCGTATCGAGCTCCTCGGATACGGTGAAGCACGGGAGATCCTCGGCAGCCACCGTGCTGGTGCAGCTTCTCGTGGAGTGCGCACTGGCCTCGGGGGTGGCCGAGTCCCTTGATTTGATGTCAACATGGCTAGAGTTGGATGAGCGTGCCCGAGAAGAAGTAACTATCGAATCGGGATGTTCCGATGAAGCGTCACGGCGGGATGTCATCGGCGACCCGCCAGCGTCATTTTCGAGAATGCCGAGCATGTAGTCCGCATCGGCCCAGTCGCCCAGAGGAGAAGCTCCATCAGCTATGGAGGCGACCCTCTTCGACTCCCCTCTGGCTGGCGCTGGAGCTTCAGCAGCGGCACCGTAAAGAGCATCGGTGTCGTCGTGCAGATGGGTATACGAGGGTGCTTCACCCTGGTGGCTCGAAATAGAACTGTCTTCGCCGTAGGAAGAGGAGACTCCGCTCAAGGACCTGGCGTGGGACGGCTCGTCATCTGCCGGAACTGGCATTGTCGCAGACGCGTGGGGCTCAGACCGGTAGTATCGTTGAGGGCGGCGCGAGTTGATGTCGTACGAGGTTGGAGCTCGTCCGTGTGGCTCTGGCTCCGCGGCCTTGTGTCCTTGCGGTGTCCCAGGCTCAACAGGTTCGACTGCGCAGTAGGGTGATCCAGGGATCGTCGCAAGGTGTGTCGGACCTTCGAAGGATCGCACGAACCCTTCCGACCTTGATCGACTCCGAAGCTTGCCGACCAGATTGACAAGAGAACGGCTGCTTCGGGATGCCGGTTTGAGCGCGTAGAAAGATCCACGGGGTTGGGTACCGCGCTGGCTGTGCCCGTTGGCGAGAGCCTCGGCCTCAACCAGGGTCACTGTCGTGTCATCGTCGTCGTTGGTACGATAGTCCACGGCATCGTGACTATCTTGCTCATGCTCTTGGAATGGTGTGACCTCATCCCCGTTGAGCAATGCGACACAATCGCGCGATCTCTTTTTCAGAATCGACTTGAATCGCGTGCCAAGCTCCTTGATCTTGAGGGGCTGCGACGAGCTGCGCAACGGCTGGTAAGATTGTTTCGCTGATCCAGACGACTGAGTGAGAGCAGCGTCGGGGTTTCGAATCGGGACGACCGTCATACTGATTGGGTCGGGCATAAGCGTCGGGCCCGAGATGTACGTCTTGCGAACGGACTTGTATCCCTGTCGGCCCTGGCCTTGTTTGAGCGCCAACGTGGCAAGTGTTGCCCGGTCTCGGACGTCTCGGATGAGGAGGGAATCTCTCGACGATTTAACTCCAACATTCGGCCCCGATGCAATCACGCCCGTCACCTCGCCATCCGCCCCGCCAGTTGCCCTGGCACCCTGCGGGTTGACCCGGTGAGCGAGCGGTTCGTCATCGTCAGAGTTTGGATCATCGCCTTCATGGTCGATTTGGTACTTGAGGATACGCGGGGGAACAGCGACCGAAAGATTCCGATGCTTGGACTCTGGCGAACGCACGATCGCGCCACTGGGCTGCTCTTTCGGTTGGTTGGCTGCGAGCGACGGGGTTTCGACGCGGTATCAGTAAATCGAATTTCCGACGGGTAAGCCTATTCGACTCACAAGGTTTCGAGCTGATTTCATGCTCGACGAAGATGCTCCGGGACGCGGTGGGCGGTACCACAATCCCCAGTTGGGGCTGAGTTTGCAACGCTGATTCGGTTGCATTCAGTGAATGGGGTACCGCCTCAGCCACAACATCGAGCATGTCGTGGTGAGCCGGTGCGGGTCGAGAGAGCTCATCCCAGGCCGGGTTGAAAGGACCCTCGGAGCTTGCGCTGTACACGAATTCATTTGCAGCCGCGTCCAACGCTCCGCTCGCGGGGAAAAGGTCGGGGTCGACCGCTTCGGTTCGCAGTCGTAGGCTTGCTGCGCGAACGAGCGAGTTTTGAATCAGGATAATGTCGTCAATGGTTACATCAATTTGATCAAAAGCCGCGCCGGCGATAGTGCTCGCCATCGTCGAGGTTGAGTTGGTGGTGATGCTGAGCGTCTCGTCCGGATGATGCTGGCTGGTCGGGCGTAGGGAGACAGCGAGATGCTCCATCTCTTGCACACTGCTCGGAACAGGCTCGTCGAGCCCCGCACGTCGATAAGCGCTGATGTCAAGGATCGGAGCTACGGACTGCGAATCAGGACGGGACCATTTCCCGTGCTTAGATGAAGGCCGGTCCAGATCGAGGTTCCCGTGCTTAGATGAAGGGGCGTCCAGATCGAGGCCCTGTCCAGCAGCGAGCTTGCTGGCCCGCACACCGGCTTTCTCGTGGTAGCTCGACCCCACGGACACCGACTCTTCTTCGCCATTTTGTGGATCCCCGTCCTTCTCAAGTGCAATAGGAACTGCCAAGAAGGTTCCGATATCCAAGGCGCCCATGTCAAACGACCAAGAGGTGTCGGCGAAAGCGGCCTCGAAGCTGGTGTCGCCCAGGAAATTGGGAACCGTCGAGGGCGGTAAGGCGCTGGCATCCGTGGGTTCCTGCCCAAACGACCCCGAGGTGGGCTCTGCTGTATCGTGCTGAGCAATCTGGTTGATGCAGTCTCCAGTTCTGTCATGCGCGAACGTTCTAGATCTGAACGACGATGTCTGTATCGAGGCTGGGGCCGGTGTATAATTCTGGGCTGTTTCGTAACGTGCTCGATCCATCACGGTGGGAGTGCGAGCCGAAGGATTCTGTGTGCGACCCGAGTCATCCGGGGATGCCGGCCCTCGCCATGTAGAACGTGAGCCTCGTTCTTGACTTCTTCGAAAGTCTGGCGAAGTCGCCGGCGAGTCGGAGCAGGATCTCAAGTGACCATTGGGATGTCGGGTACTGCGCAATAGCGCGGGTCAAGCCAGCGGATCAGCTCGCGTCGTCGAACGCTGCCTTCCATAGCCACCCGAGCCTCCTCAAGCCATGGGAAGCACTTCTACTCTGAACATTCAGGCTACTCACCCGAGTCGATGCTGAAAGGTGCCTTTTGGGCCAATCGATGTAGTGGGACGCGCTGGTTCCGAGCCTTCGACGTCGGCATCGACCGAAACCTTGAACGGAAACGTTGAAGAAAAACCGGGCTGCTCGAATAGAAGGTAAGAATAGGGGAGAAAATGAATGGGATCAGAATTCAGAATGTGTCAGATGCGTGATAGAACAGACTGCGATTTTCAGGTTATAAAGCCTGGGATGACGGGTAGCCGACGATTGGGACCCCGGCAGGCTGTCGTCGTCTGAAGCCGAAGCGGAGCTAAGCTCAAGTCACGTGCGCTCGCCAAATCACGAGTTCGAACGAGGCAGGAGCCTTTGCCTGCCGCTCGCCTCGTCGTTGCTCACATAGAGATCGAAACGCCTGATTTATACTCAGACTTACGAAGATCTGGCTCGCTCGAAAGTCCGAAATCGACGGGAGGCAATCATCCCCGAGCGCGAACTTGGATGACGGCGCCGTGAGGGATCGCGCGCGACCACCAGCCGACACCGAGCTTGCGGTTCGGCTGTCCGGGGTGGGGAGCGAAGGTTTACGACTGTAGGGATTCATTCTGGCGATCGCGGTCGTCGGTCAAAGGCTTTGTTAGAGAACAGTGCGGCCCTTCCTGTGGCTTTGCGGGACTGCCGGGCGGGGAAACTGGCCGGACCGCGTGCCAAAGCGACCGGGACGTCGGGCGTGAACGCAAGCGCGTGTGGTCAAATGGTCCTCGTGTGGGGCGGAGGTCCAGCCTCCAGGGGCGACTATGGTTGAATCGCAAGGACGTGCAGCGAATGGTGACGGGAAGAGAGAACCGAAGGATGACAGCACCTTGAGCAAGCATCAACCCACGGTGGTGCGAACGCGTCCGTAGGCAAACGTTCCAGGCTGTTCGCAGCCGCCACAGCGAAAATCGACAGAGCAAAGGAACGGTCCGTTGTCCGTCACTCGCACAGGCGCGAGGGAGAATGGCCTGAGCGCCCAGAAGAGCTCCTCCTCGCCAAAGCTCATCTTCACAGGCCGGAACAGCTTTGATATTCCACATGGTGCAGACCAAACCACGTGTAACATTCATCTACTCTATTACCTACAAAGACCTATAATTCAGCGACAACAACCTCGTTCTTCGCTCCAATTCGTCCTCGCGCTGTGAATTTCACCGATTATCGCAGGAAAGGGGCACGGAGAGGAGAACCGCGAACCGACACGAGCGAACGAAGGGAACAAAGCGCGATCAGCGTGCGCACTCCGACGTCGGGGAGCGCTTGCAGGACTCGGAAAGCTGTGCCCACCTTCTCGTTGAAATGCAACGACACGACGATCGCCCCCAAGAGCAGTGTTGCCGCGCCCAACACGATGGTGACCCATGGGATCCAGTCGCCGGGGTGCAGAAACAGCTCTCGCGTCCACGAACTCGGATCGCTGGCCCAATCAGGCTGCCAGGGTACGATGACGATCTGCGAGTTGGGGATCAGGCCTTCGATATTGATGAAGTGTTGGTCTTGATGGCGAGTCACGCCAATAAAGAGATTCTCGACGTAGTTGTTCGTGCGTCCGAGCCCAAAATACGAATACGGCGTACCCAGTGACATATAGGTCGAACGCGGCAACTGGGCGACTGCAGCGGTCCGAAATTTGAAAGACGGGGTCAGCGCGCAACACACTCCACCCGCGAACCGTCCCGTCAGAGGGCGGCGCACGAGGCGAGAGAGACATGGCTATAATGGCCCGTGCACGCACCTTGAGTCGATCGCCGAGCGCCGGTCGGATCCATCACAGAAAACTTGTACGATGCCCCAGAGTAGCTCGCCCCATACGGCTGCAGAGAGCTATTTGATCAGAAGTATCCGTATGTGGCACATTGCATGACTACTCACCCGGTATCGTGGCTCGCCGGCAGGCTCACACCATGCTCGACATGCGCCATTCAAGGCTGCGATACAGCATTTGCGCCACCACGCACATTTTCTCGGGTCAGCTGAGTGTTGACTTGGAAAAGTGCCGAAGTACTGACTCAGTGCTTTCATGAAGAAGGCGTCATGGAAGAAGTTGTTTTTGATGAAGTCAACTTTGCGTGTGGCAACCGACGAGCTGCTCCTCTGGACCATGATGTCGAGCGATCCCTGGAAACGGACGTCCGATATGTTAGTAACCGAGCACCGCTGCATTGTCCAGTGAAATTATGGGCTCGCTAGGTTGGCTCACATCGTCGTCTATGTCAATCCAATGGGCACTTTCTGCATCCCTTATTTTTGTCAACACCTCGGCGCCAGCTGTGACCTCGGCAAAGGCCCTCCTCCGCGCCTTCACTTCTCCAGGCGTGCAGCTGGCCTTATCGCACGGCCGAGATTGCAGCAACTTGACATTCCTCCCTTCACCCGCTTGAGTCGTCAATAGCAATAGGTCGGGGTAGCCATCAATATTGTAATCCCCGATTGAGGGAGGCGTGGGATGCGAACCACGAAACGACGTTGATTGCGTGATCAAGGTAGCGCCTGGAAGCAAGGTTGAGATGGGTATTGAAGTGAAGGAGGGATTCGACGCGGTTGACAAGTCGAAGTTGAACTTTGGATCGGCAACACAAAGCGCATCAGGCTCGCGGCACGCCGCCGATCCTGTCGTTTCGGCGCCACACAGCGGCATCTGTTCGTTGTAGGCGACGGACAGGGTGCATTCGCCTCGACTCGAACACGAGGTGACGACCATATCGATGGTTCCATCACGATCCATGTCTGCGAACCCGACGCTTTTGGTTCCGTAGGGAAGATTCCCCTCCCTGGCGAGCCGATAACTTCCTTGTTTGTCGTTGAGCCAGATCTGATAGGTTAATCGGTTGGGTACGTCTTCATCGGGCTGGCAGGTCAAGAAGAGATCGGCGAGACAATCGCCGTCGAGGTCCACAAAAGCATTGAAGTGCGGTTCGGGTAGCCTGCAATCGAAATCTTGGCCTTTAAATGGTGGATCGACTCTGAGCAGAGACGTAGTTCATTATGATGAGGAGGATGGAGGTAGCAGAGCAGACCGTGGTCCCCTGCTCTTTGAGTTTCTCGACCTTGGCAATAAGCTCACAGGTCAAAGAGGTTGGTTCGATCCGTCTCTGTCCATACGTTCTTCCAGAGCTTGAGCGTCGTCTTTGAGTTTGTGGAAACGCCGAGTAGATCGGCTCTCATGCTGCCTGTCACATCGAAGATTGTGGGCTGTGGGAGGCCGGAGGTCGGAATTGGAGGTCCTTCGACTGGAGAGTGAGGATCGGCAAAGGACGGGCCGTGTGCGTTTGCACCAGGTCAGGTCCGAGGAACGAAGTCTGTTCTGTTGAACCGGTACGGGCGAACGCACCGAATGTGCCATTGCGTTGCTGCAGGAAGACCTTGATGGCCAACTCGTCGTGGCCCCACCACCCTCCAGGTTTACTGCCACCCATGAGCAAGAGGTCAAGCCGACCGTTGTAGTCGAAGTCACCGGGGACGATGTTGGTGATGATGAAGTCCGAGGCGGTACGAATCCTCGCCTGCACCTGCTCCTGCCATCTGTACTGAGCTCGGCTCCAGGTGTAGACCGAAACGGTTCGCTGGGTGGCGGAAAGGTGGAACAGGTCCAGCAGCTGGTCGCCGTTGAAATCCCCGAAAGCGGCGACAAGCCCTGGGGTGTGGAGCAGAAAGAAGTTACCGGCGGGAAGGCCGGGTGAGCGCTTGCTCGGTATACGCTGTAGACGGTGCATCTGCCCGCTGACAGGCTGTTCGTCTGCTGCTGCGATCAAGTCATCGGCCCCGATCTGGCATGGACGAGAGCCCGAGCGGACACAGCCGACATGGACGCTGCAACAGATGCAGAGAGCCAGCAACAGCAAGAGACTGACCATCATCGGGAAGGCCCAAGGAGCCCGTGTTGATGAGCTTTTCCTCGACGAAGCGTTGCTCGACGCCGGGGAAGCGGGCGTGTGCCACGGGCCACCACGATGTCGTCACCACGAGCATCCCCACCAGCAGCAGCCCCGACCGCAAGCGCAACCACAGCCGCCATCGCGCGCTCGGCGATGCAACGCTCGTTCCCTTGGTCATGCAGGGCGGCCAGGACCCCGGCTGGTCAGGATGCAGCGGGGAGTGAGGCACGCGTTCGGGCAAAGCTGATGGGATGTGGTCAAAGCAAGACGCGCATGCGCACTCCCTGCATGCCCTGCAGGCTGGCCGAGTCGAATCGAGTCGAGTCAAGTCGTGCCAGGTCGTGCAAGGTCGTGCAGCTTTCTGCCGAGCGTAGTACGGCCCGCGCATGAATATGCGCCAGACCTAATAATAGAGCGGGCTTGGCTTTGGTACGGGTCGCCGGCGTCTCATAACACGACGCCACAATCATCAGTTTCGACCGATGCACAGCAGTCGACTGGACGGAGCATGGGCCGTCCCCGTTGCGTCCACCAGCCGGGTACGTCAGCTCAGGGTCATCTCGTTCCACCCGACGCGTCGCGACACGCTCGCACTGACCATCTCCATCTCGCCTTGCCCCCGTCTCGCGCTCGGATCATGGCATTACCCGCCGAAAGAGCGTTGTCACCCTACCGTACAGGGCCCCTCAGGCTCAGCTGACCGAAGGCAACAGCCACGGTCACAACAATCGCAGCCAGAACAACGCGCTTTCCGCCGACGGCGCTGCTCGTCCACGACAGTCAGCCCGCGGGAGGGATGACATCGACACCACCTCGGCCAAGGCGCGCCTGCATCAGCAACAGCAGCAAGCGTTCGACTTTTTCGATTCGTCGCGTAAGTCTCACCGGTCGGGACAAGATCTGTCGTGAGTGTTCGCTGACGTCGGGGCACCGGGTGCAGATCAATCGTGGATTCAGCCTTACACGCGAGCATGGTCCGCTACCGCACAGCGGATCCAGGTGAGCGAGCGACCCTCCCCACCTACTGGACAACTTGCCCTAGCTGATTCGCCGTCGCGCTGGCGAACGAAAACCCACCCAGTCGACCCTCTCGACAGTTCATCATGGCTCACTCGACGAGATCACCGCCTTTGCCAACCATTGCGCCCGGCGGGGCTCACGACCTTCGCTCGCAGAATCGTTGACCGCCGGCTCACTTCTGGCCGTTGGACTTCTGATCGGTGTGTATTCCAGCGTGTAATATGCCTCCGCGCCTAGGCTGGTCGCTCACACCGCATCGTTCGATGCGCTTCATCTCATGACTGTCAGGTGCCAACCCCGGGGCAAGCGCCTTGCTCTTCTCGTCCCTCACTCGGCATCTCGTCCTGCCCCACCACCAGGACCAGACGACTGCGAACTCTGCGCCGCCTAGCTTGGTGTCAAGGATTTCGAGCCGAGACTGCGTTAGCCTCAAATCTGCTCTCCGAAGCGTAATATCGGGCTTCATGGGAAGACCAAAGTTCGATGACTCCGACGAGGAAGATGCCGAAGGCGAGGCTGTGAGTGCTTCACCTTGTCGTACCCGGCCTCGGTATGTATTGACGGCGGGATAATCCCGCTCCTCCAGGTGGTGTCCTCGGGCCTCAAATCAGCCACACTGCCCGCAGACGACGTGAGGAATTTGTGCGTCTGGTATGCGCACAAGTATCGAAATACACAACAAAGTAGGTGGATGTCCATGTCTGACTACCCCGCCTGAGCTCGGCTAGCCTCCCCGAGCTGACAACCTGCCTGTTTTCAGGAGTGCGGCCCGGCCTAGTCGTCATGATCGAAGACCTGGAAGGCATTGATGCGCCTGTGATGACGTCACTCTTTGAAGTCTTGCAGTAAGTTCATCGCTTCTTGGCAGAAGAAACTGACCGTCCTGACCGCTTTCACATTTTCGTCGGTCCGGCTTGAAAGCTCCTGCGCTTCCAAAGTTCCCCTGACTTTTCTCATCGGCGTCGCGACATCGTCTGACGCACTCTATCATGCCATTCCAAGGACCTGCGCGAACCTTCTCGACGTCACCGAGTTCTTCGTCGACCTTGGGCTGAGCGCTTTCAACGGGCTCATGGCCTCTGTATGTTGTACTCTCCGCGCTGCTCGCCTACGTGCCTGCTGAACACGATCCGCGCGTCGCGAATGCAGATATCGTTTGCGTGGGATCCACCGGTCGTTCTTGGGCCTCAGATCCAAGACACCTTGCTGCATATCTTTGACGAGTCGCACCATTCGATAGATGCGACCATTTCCGCGATGCAGGTGAGTGGAACTTGAAACCCATCCGTCGAACCGGGTGATTGGAGCTGGCTGACCGCAATCAATCTTTTCGCGAGGATTCCTAGTTGGCGTATGCGCACCAGTTCAGGACACAACCAGCGGCGGTACTGGGGGACGAGACGGGCTTTGATCAGGATGATTTTGACGACGTGGTTGAAATGCTCCTCGCGCTTCCGTCAGTCGCACAAGCTGGCCCAGCCTTCGTTGCCAAGGTTGAGGAGTCGGCAGACTCCGCGTGGGCAGCGATCGAAGGGGCTCGGATCGCAAAAAAGGGGTGGCACATGCGTCGTCGGTTGGCTTGGGAGCTCGTTGAGGCCGTGCTTGAGGTATGGACGCCGAGACGAACTCGAAGTGTTCAGGAGCGGTGGTCGTTGTTGGAACGAGGAACTCTGCTCGAGGAGGCGGCTGCCGATTGGGAAAAGCTGATCCTTCGTTCGAGCGCGGAGAAGATCGAGCGATGGATTGAAATCTCGCTGGGACGGCTGGAAGCCATCTCGGCTGACAACACTGAAACGGGGCAGCAACTGCTCAACGCCAAGTATCGATTGGACGAGCTCGTGCGACAGTTGTGTTCGTCCGGAGATGGCAGACAGAACTTTGTCAATTCAAACGTGGCTGGCATGGAAGCTGTTCACGGCCTCACGGCTTCGGCTAGCATCGACATCGAGTTCTCGAGCTTCACCAAGGCCATGGCGACACTCTTTTCGGATATGCTCAAGTTAGTGCTATAGACGGGGCTGAGCATCACCGGGAAGCTTGTGGAGGGCTAATCTCGATCTCGTGACCGTTCCAGGAACGCTTGCGAAAGCTTCAAGTCCATCCCTCTTCATGAGATATGGTATGTTGACGACCCAGGACCGCTGAAAGTGAGTCATGCTCCTCTCGCACGTCATGCCAGCCGAATTGCCTGAGAACCAAATCACCTGATCAGGCTCGACTCATCTTCGTCTTTGTGTAGCGCACACGACCTGCATATCTACCTTGCGTGCATCGCTGTCTCTCCGGACCGGAGACCCGGGCAGCGGGTCCGCCCAAAAGGGCCTCACGAAGGGATGTGGATCAAAGCGCAATCGATTTGTCCGATGATCTTGCCACGGCCTACAAACTCTACCAGGAGACAGGTCGGTCGATCAACCTTGCGGATTGGTTCACTGCTTTCGACGCAACTGCCCGAGCCGAGGAAGCGACCACGATCCGAAGGAAGCGGCGACGAGTGGGGCAAGAAGATCTGGACAGCGACTCGAGCGATCATGATGCCGAAGAAGAAGACGAGGAGGCGAGTGACCCGCGCAGACGAATACAGGCGCGGTTCCTTCGGGTCGTTGGGGATTTGGCCCACGTCGGATTCTTGAACCCCACTAGTCGCAAAAGCGAGCACGTGTTGAAGAACATCTTCTGAAATCAGTTCAGCACCAACATTGTGAAGAGCTTGCGCAGCTCGGTTCGTGGGATGTGTCGAAACAAACTGGACAAGATCAGGTAGTAGTAGAGGCAATGACTGGCTTCGCTCCCGCTTGGCTATTCTGCGCCGGTTTCCCGGACTGCGGCACATTTTCGTGTAGACGCCCTCCACGAGCTGCACCTGCACCTGCAGATTCACCTCGAACTCGACCTCGACCTCGACCCCGGCCGCCGCCTCCACCCCGGCTTGAGCTTTGTCCACTACCATTGCCTGACTGAGCTTCAACTGAGCTCGTCCCCGGCTGAGATTGACGACTTCCGAGACGGGGCGTCTGCTCGGAGAGCGGCGCGCTGGTGCCTACGGGTCGTGTCGGCCGGAGTGCGCGGCGAGCCCGCTCGAGAGGTTCCACGAACTTTTCGAGCACCTCGCGAAGATGATCCAGAGCTAACCTGGACAGACGGCGGAAGAGACCCAACAGAGGGCACGGGCGAGGGCCGAGGGGTCGAGGATGAAGCTGGTGCGACCGCGGGTGCTGAGACGGGGGAAACCGGTTTGCGCTCTGGATTCTTGAGTATTTGTGGTACGGCCCGAGTCGACTGTTCTTTGGGAGACCGCGTGTCGTTTTTCCGAGAGGGCGAAGGCTTAGCCGAGGCGCTGCTCTGGTTCTTAGCTTGATGCTCCATCTGCAGAGTCCGTCGCACGAGGTCGGCGGCATCGGCAGCCTTAGTAGGCGGTGCTTCTTGCCTCGACCGTTTCGCAATGGCTTGGCTGTCCGCTTCTGCTGTCTTCGCTTTGCCCTTTTGCGTCAGTCCGCGAGCGCTTTGGAGACTGCTCTTCGATCCACCTCGTTCGGTTGCCACCGACTTGCGCGCGGACTTCCTCTGGGCCGTCTTGTCTGATGAATGCGTTGCTGACGCATTGGCCGGCACAACAGCCGGCTTACCCCCTTTTTCTGAACCCTTCTTCGATCGCTTCGATGGCTTTGACGGCGGTGGACCCTGGGCGGGAACGGTACCCTTGCCCTTGCTGGTCGCTCGAGCGGCAGCTTTTTGCGCTCTCAAATGGTCGAGTAGAGGGGTCGATGTGGGCGCAGATTTAGCTGTGGGAGCCGTGGTTGAATCGGATAGCCACCACATGGGTCAGATTGCAACACGCGTAGGGGACTCGAAAGTCCTTCCACGTACCCGGTAGCTCGACCGGTGGCAGGTCGGGGTTTGCCAAAGAGTCCTGAAACGCGATGAAATCCGGGTCTGAGATAGGGAGAAGTAGATTGAAACGGAGTGATAAGCTTGCGATCTCAGCTGTTGGTGTTCAGGTCCCGAGGCAGACGTGGGATGTCGAACCTTGCTCGATTGTTCCCTGACGCGGGTCTCGTTTGTTGGATCGGGACGGGGTGTTCTGGTAGGGGGCGAATTCTACGACAGCACGCGTCACCTGGCCTACCCGTCGTACCGGCTACCATCGAGTCAGTCTACAGGGCACGTGGAGGATCACCCCTTGGAAGAGCCAAGGTCGACTCACCTGTTTTAGATTTGAAATTCCAACCGTCGTAGGCACGATGGAAAGCGACGAGTGCTTCAGGAGTCTTGAAGGAGAGGTATGCCCTTGAATGCGTATCTTCTTTATCGTGTCTTTGCGCGAGTATCCGAGAGTAAGCCCTCGTTTTTACTTGACTTGGAACTCGAACAACAGCTCCAGTCGTGGGACAGATGATCCTGGCTGGGACTCACCTGGCTCGCACCTTGCCCGAGCGAAACTGGATCCAGTCCACGCTGTTCACTCCCTCGCTTGATGGCTGTGTGGACACAGAGGGAGCCGTCGAGTGTGGTGGAAGTGTGACCCATGGTGCGACGCTGGACCAAAATACAGCTTCAGGCAGAGCGGGAGGCAGCCGTCGCACGACCACCTTGAGCCGGCTCGGTGTAGTCCTCGCGTTAGGAGGCTGGGCACTGCGTCGGCTCTGATCGACCGGGCCCGTCGATGACTTGGGAACGGGCTTGGGCTTGGTTGTGGCCTTGGGCTTGGTATTAGTATTGGTATTGTTGTTGGTGTTGGTCTTGGGACCCATCGTCAGTCGTCGGTTGCGTACGCGGCGAGTGACGTGAATCTTGGTGCGCTCACCCGCTCAGAGTCGCCCGTCCGGCGCGCGCCAAGGACGTGGTAAATCGAAAACACAAGTGGAAATTAGAGGGAGACTCAAAGTATGCAGGATCTGACCAGGCTGGTCAAAGGCGAGTCGCGTGTAACGTAGAGACCTTGTGGATCCAAGTCGAGCAAGATAACAGGAAAACAAGAATTTGTTGAGAGGTGGGCCCGCATGGCTGCGGGAGGCTGCCAGGTGTCTATGCGTATACTAGAATTGTGCTACCTTGTACGACAAGATTAGAGTACCTGCATCTTCACTGATGATGAGGGTACCGTGGACCTCCCGTGACCCCGCTTTTCCCGACTTCATATGCCCGGGAGGGCCGGGACTCAGTCGTCTCTCGCTCGGAGCGTCGACTGGCCCGGAGTTACGTATTCTCTTTCCCTAGTGCAGTGGTTGCTTCTGTTGCAGGGTCGACGGGTCCTACAGTGCTTGCCCACCAAGTGTACCCAAATGCATGTCCTCCGGCGACTGACCAGAAGATTTCTACGCCTTGATACAATTATGCTGTTTTTTATATTCATTAGGAAAAAGAAGGACCGGAAGTGTAACAGTTACTAGGTGACGGTCGGGCGGCGCTTGCGGCGCGCTCTGGCGTTGCGCACGTGTCGCAATTCCTCGTCGTCTTCCGTCGGCTTGCCTTCGCTCGTAGTCCCGACCGGGGCTGGCAGCGAACTCTCTTGTTGTGCGCACGCCGTTTCTGAGGTATGAAGTTTGGCAAAGCGATCGTCGAACAGGCTTTGCCAGGATGGTCAGCCTTCTACTGCGATTACAAAAGCCTCAAAAGTGAGCATCGCATTCGAGCCATGCCCTCGGTCGAGAAACCCACGCCCTGGCGCTTTGCCATCATCCGGCAGATAAAGCTTGCGTCTGCGGCTTGCTTTTGTTCCACCCGCACTGACGTATCCTTACCTGTACCTTCAGAAATTATCAACTCGCTGGCCAAAGGCCGTCCCGCTGATGCAGCGTTGCTCGCTGCAGGGGTTCGACCCCCACGACCTGCTGGACCGGAGGAACCTCTGCATCCATCCGCCGAACCTCAGTTGCTCGCTCATTCTGCGAGTGTAACAAGCGGCAACGGTGGACAAGGGAGCCTGCTGCAAGCGCACAAGGCCGCATTCTTCTACAAGCTAGAACGGGAACTGGAGAAGGTCAGCCAGTCTCTGGGGGGGTTACGCCTCGCGGAGATATCTGGAAGCCCTTGATTATTTGACTCATCCATTCGGGCGCCGACGTGTGTGGCAGATCAACAATTTCTACTATCAGAGGGAGGCGGCGCTCAAGGTCCGATTGAGGACGCTGATTGACAAACGCAAGCTGTTGACCGCTTCGTTATCCGACTCGAGCGGTAAAAGCAAGGTTCTCAGCCGCGAGAGCAGCATCTATGGTGCACTCCACGAAGGATTTCGAAATTTTGAGCGCGACTTGGGACGTCTACAGGTCAGTAGCATCGAACTAGCTCGTGCGCTCTGTCATGTATCCCCGGCGAGCCTAAAGTCTTCCCTGCTCACGCTCGCACGCACTATATACGGTAAACGTCATCTACCGGGAGCAGGCCTACATTGAGCTCAACGCCACAGCGTTCAGGAAGATTTGCAAGAAATGGGACAAAGCGTGCCGGCGGCAGGCCGATCGATTTGGTGACGCTCGACGTAAGTTTGCTGCTTGGCGCTGCGGTCGTCTGCATGCTCCTCCGCTGACGTGTTCCCTGACTCCTGTCGACGAACACCAGCACAACAAGGCGAGCACGATGGTCAGCTGTATCTGGCTCGGCAGGTGGAAGTCCAACCTGTTTTCAACCGTGAATTCATAGCGGAACTCTCGGACGGTGAGTTGCAATGGCGCATAATGCGTTGGCTTCCGTCGCTTACACAGCGTGGACACACTACAGTGGCCTCTGCGAATCTGTTGTCGCTCGAAATCCTCGCCGGAAGTGAAGGAAAACATCGTGGGAACGCCCTAGCCGATGACGCAGACATTGAGCAACTCGGCGCAGGCGCTCACACGCAAAGAATTTGGGCCATGGACGCGGAGGCTGACAGCACCGAGGCGCTCGAGGACTTGGAGCAAGCCCTTGTAACCGCGGTCAAAACGGGGGACGCTGCGGCTGCGCAAGGGATTCTGGAGTTACTTGCGCCACTTCCGCAGAAGGATGGGATCAAAGCTCCCGTTTCGAGGATCTTGTGGCGCGCAACCTTGGAAGGAGAGGCGGGAACTACCGAGTCGATCGCGTCTGAGAGCGTCGCGGGGAGTCCTCATAGCCTGATACCATTCTCTTTGCTTGACTTTGCCTTCGTGGACGATATAAGTGGTCGAACCACCCTGCATGAGGTCAGTCACGGCGATGATCCATTTTGATCGGCTTCCTATTCCGGTCTTGACGGTCCATCATTTCGTTCTGACCCTAGACCGCAAGTGCTGGCAAGCTGGAGCTGGTGAAGGCGTGTCTTCAAAACGGTGTGTCAATCTCCCAAGCCGACGTGTACGGCCGGCAAGCCCTGCACTATGCCGCTATCAACGGTCATTCAGCTGTCGGCCATTTGCTCTTATCGTCTGGAGCGGATGCCACGGTGCTCGATTTCGATGGCTACAGCCCCATTATCTATGCCATCACAAACGGCCAGACGCAAGTTGTGCAAACTTTCATCGACCAAGGTATTAGCTTCGACACCGCTTCATCGACTACCAACGAGGACCTCAATGCTCTCTCGCTTGCCAGTCAACACGGGCACGAAGACATTGCAAGAATTTTGTTGTCGAAGGGTGCTCAAATCTTGCCAAGCCCCGCAGGGTATTGGCCCCAGCATCTCGCAGCCCGTCAAGGCCATGCTGGCGTTCTCCGCCTACTCGTTGAAGCGACGCGGGGCTTCGCGGGCATCGATTTGCCTGACAAGTACTCGCAAGCGACGCCCTTACATCACGCCGCAAGCCATGGTCACGCCGCTTCGGTGCAAGTCCTCCTCCATGCTGGATCGAATGTTCATGCCAAAGACGAGTTTCAGCGCACGCCGATCCACTACGCCGCATGGCATGGCTACATCGATTGCGTGAACCTACTCTTGGCCGCCGGAGCCAATATGGTAGCCTCGTTACCCATCGAGCATCCTCTGCTTGCAAACACGAATAATACCACTGGATCCATGTCTTCTGCTGATCTCGAACCTCTCGACCTCGAATCCGACCTTATCCCCTCTTTATCGCTGCCACCTCCGATCATTCCTTTCCGGATTTATGGACACAGCTTTCTTGACAAGAAATGCCTCGTTCAGATCTGTCTCGGGCATCCCAATACCTCTCGTGCGCCTTTTCCGCCTCCGATTCGACTGGCAGACAAAGGCGGGCGGGGTCAGCAGCCGTCTCTCAAGCTCGTGATGACGCCCAAACCCGAATCCATCGCCGTGCCGCACAGCGTTATTTTGCCACTCGCAGACGAGCGCGAAGTCTTCCCCTTCCAGGTCGAATCCTTCGACAACTTCTCGCTCGAGTTCGATCTGTTCCCGACTTTTGGCTCGAAGGTCATCGGGAAAGCCGTCGCCGCACCCTCCACTTTCGACAGTCTGCAAAGCCAAGGTTCTTACGTAATCCCACTGCTCGACCCTCATCTCAAAGTTATAGGAGACATACCATTCGAGATCAACGTAGTCAAGCCCTTCGAGCGGGCAACACTGCAATTGGGTGGCCAGGTAAGCCGACTCGCAGGTTTTGTCCCGTGCAGCTGCTAATACAGGACCCTATGGCACACAGTTTGAAACATACTGGCGGTCCATGACAGCCCTCAACCCCTCGGGCGAGCCTGCGCCAACGGTCACAGGCGGAGCTTCGGTGGTGACGGCGTCATCACTATCGGGTGAACATGTTCGCGTCATTGTGCAGGTCACCTCGGATGGTGTACCCGTGGCTTATCCGCAGTGGAAATTGCCCTTGGAAGGCTTTGACGTACACGTAGGAGATGTGACGTTTGCCCAGTTCGAATCCCTGGCGCAACGCACAGCACGGAGGCTCGACCCTGCGCGAATTGCCGACCCTGCCGACCCAGCTTCTTGGTATCAGACCGTATCCGGCTCTTTGGTCTCGCTCGACGAGATATTCCAGGCACTTCCGGCGTCTTTCGGAGTAGATCTCGAGGTGCGATACCCAACCCGCTCAGATATGCGACGCCTCAACATACATCATTCGCTTGAGGTCAACCAATTCGTCGACTGCGTGCTCTCGACGGTGTATGAGGCCATCCAGAATGGCGATGAAAAACACCATCGTCGGATCGTCTTCTCGTCGTTCAACCCGCTTGTGTGCACAGCACTGAATTGGAAGCAACCAAATTTCTCGGTCTTCTTCGCCTCGTACTGTGGGATTTCGAGATCGAATTCGTCCGGCCAGCTCGTCCCAGCGAATCGCGTTGAAGACGATCGACGGTGCACCAGCATACGCGAAGCTGTCAAATTCGCCAAAACCAATAATCTGCTCGGCGTGATGCTTGATGCGACCATCCTGGTGAGCTCCATTGTCCTCTTGTCGCCTGTCAGTGCTCATCGCTAAACGACTTTTGATCTGGTGACCACTCTAGCTGAAGGTTCCCAGCGTCATACAAAGCGTGAAGGAGCAAGGTCTACTCGTCACGACTTTCGGCCCGGATGTCCCGGCTGGCTGGGCTGATGCCCATATGGCCTCTGGTGTTGTGAGTTGGATCGATATCGTTCTGCACCCAGCAGAGGACCTCGACTGAATTGCAATGTTGTCCGTCAGCTCTCGTACGCCAGCAGTGCATTTTTGCAACGGACCGAAGCATCCTAGGAATCCAGTGTGCCGCTTTCGTGACCTTCTTGGTTGATGCAATGCTACCGATGAATTGTTGTACCGCGTTGTCATGCTGCTGAGGCTGGCAGCCGCCCGTGGGAATCTGACAGGACGCCTCGACAGAGTAACGACCCGGTGGGCCTCTAATCAGCGGAACGCTGGCCGGAGTTCGAAAGAGAAATAATGGTTGACAGGAAGTGGGGAAAGTGTATCATCACCTCCAAGACAATCGCACCCTCAACTGATGCATGGCACCTGTAAGCCTTACATTAGAGTCACAGGCTCCTCGGATCTCAACTTTAGCTGCGGCGGTGCGATCGTGGTTTCACTCGGAGAGTCGGCCGGGAGTCGGCCACTGCAAGACCAAGTATTCACCGAACAGCGTTTCATTCAGCCGCTTCGTCAATTACATGCTGGGAACTGAACACAAATCAGCCGGGCAAGCTCCTCCCTGAATGTCACTTGAAGGCAGGGCTGAGGGGAGGTGCCCGCGTACACTGCACTCAGCCCACTTCTGCAGGCTACTCGTGGGAGGGTACACGTCACGCGTCATGCGCGTCATGCGTGACGCGTCACGCGCGGGAGAGTAAGCGACTTCACACTGTCTAATAAAGCGATCTGTAATAAAGCGCTTACAGTTCGACGCCGCGTCACGTGGCGTGGAGTTGCTCCCTCTAGCTCTCCGCTTACCATTAGACACTCCACTGAGCGGTCTCGTTCATTTTGACATCACCCCCGGGCCCCGGGTCCTCTAAGCAGTAATCTTTCCCCAGTCCTCCGTCTCTGCCCGTCATGTACGGCGCAGGAAGATTGTCCGCAGATGGGACGTTCAAGCGCGGGCATGCCAAGGCAGCTTCCTCTTTCGGGGGATGGTCGAACGCAGTCCCACCTCTGGGCGTATCCGATACCCTTGCCCTTCACCTGCAATTTGTGAGTCACTGCTCAGTCTCCAACCCTCGTCGGTGTGCATACTATTAAAGTGGTGAATTTCCAGGCCTTGCGAGGCTGCCGAGATGCTATGCAAGTGGGGGTCGTTCTGGAGAAGCTCTCGATGGACAAGGTCGGCAACGCGTTGACTAGGTGTTATCAGGTTCATAGCACATATACTCATTGTTTACGAGTCGCTGCACTCACATCGCAGATCGTGGCGAGCAACATCGTGAAAAGCTCGGTGATGCAAGGCGTTGTTCTTTTATCGGCGCTCGCGATCAAGCCTTTGGTCAGATCCATCTTCGGTGCCAAGAGCGGAGGATCGACGTTCGTGTACATTATGTTTCTGGTAAGTCAGTCGGAGTCGAGACCGCGGCGTGCAGCGCCGTGCGCAGATCTGACAATCGGCGTCCTGGGAATCGGGTGATCCGGCACTGCAGGGGCTCTGGCTTTATCCGATCGCTTTTGCAGCAACGTACTACTCTGGGCTGCTTCGGCCGTCTCAAGAGACTGATCGACGCGGAGCAAGTCGCTTGGGCTCGACCGAGAATCGAGGTCTCACCGCGAGGATAGCTGCCGAGGTGCGTCACATTTCCTGCACCCATTTCCAAGGTTGACCTCTGTGAAGATAAGTTGAAAGGACCAATCGACTCTTCGTTTACAGAGCCACAGAGTTTTGGTCACGATCAACTATTTCTTCGTCGTCATCGTCTTGCGCCGCGTACCTTGGGTGGGCCCCCCTGTCGCCTTTCTGTTTTCTTGCATCGTCGACAGCTGGTACTGCTGGGAGTAAGTGCCGCGCTTGCAGTGGACGTGGTGTCAACCAAGACACTTTTAAGACCAAAGTTTGTTAAAGGTCATTCTTTTCTTTCTGGCCTTTGCGCAGGCAGCAAATGGTCAAGTCTGGGTGGCCCTTCGCGGAACGTGTCAAGCAGCTGGACTCGCGCTGGGCCTATCACCTAGGTTTCGGCCTCCCGATCACTTTGCTCTCGTGGTGGAGGTAACTAATCTCCTCAGTCGTCGATGGGCTCGATCGCTTGCTGATTCAATATTGAAATCTTGTTTCGCTAGTGCTGAGCCAATAGTGAACCTTGCGATCTTTTCACTCCTCTACCCTTTCTTCCAAGTGGCCGCCACAGCGTCCATCGCACAGCCACTGGATGCTTCGATTCCGACGTCAGCTATCAACATCTCTTTCATGCCGAAGGGACAAGGATCTTTCTCTATGGCTGCCGCCGAGGGGGGTGAAGAGAACCGAGGTCGTCGTGGGCACCCTTTCGTCCCGGTCCGCCTGCGAGTGCTCGCAGCTGCAGAAGTGGCCCACGCTGCTTTGATGTTCAGCTTCGGCGGTGGTCGGAAGAAGGACGCTGCAGGTTCGGCCCCAGGGACGTCGAGTGCGTCTTCTGCTTCACGAAATCGTTATGGAAGTCATCCGTCATCGTCGTCGGGTACGTCGTCGCACTTTGATCGCAGCAGCGATTACACCTACAATCCCTATGGCGAGCCAACGTCATCGGATAATCCAGCCTGGCGTCAAGGTGGAGAGAATTATGGCGCTCCTCGTCAAGATTCCCACGCGTTCAATCATACGCAACAAGCGGCTTCAAGACGGGTTCACCTCAATTCCGAATCAAGAACGGGCAATGAGCCGAGTTACGGTACCATGGCCAATCACCAGCACGGCATCACCCAAGTTACGCCGGCGCGCTCCGGATACTCCGATCACACCCTGGATTCACTCCTTCGTTCAGCCGCTGGAAGAAAGAAGGGGGACTGAGGCCGTTTTTGTGGTCAAAGGAAGGGTTCAAGGACGGTCACGGACAGTTAGACAGTCAGGCCTCCGCTTGGCCTCGTTGCCAAATTCTTGAGTGCTTGTCGAGATTGATAAAAGACAATATTCTGCGAAACTTGGAGCTGGTTCTCGTAGTAGAGATGGTGCATCGCCATTTGAAAATATTGAACAAGGTTCACACCCTAAGCCAGGCTGAACCCAAGGACCAACTAAAGTCAGACTTCTCTCAGCAGTCTTAATCGAGCACATGGAAAGGGTGAAATGAGTTCCCCTGCAAGGATTCAATCCGAGGCGATCAGCGGAGTAAATTTTTGGAAGTAAAGTGCGCCATGGCGCAATGACTCACCTTGCAACAGATGCAAAATAAATTTCTTCGGTGAATAATGAGTTGCTAAAAGAAGCGAGAGGTGCAAGCTACCGATAGGTGAACGCGTGTAGACAGAGTGAGTCAGGGAGGGATCGGGAGTGTTTGAGTGTATGGTAATGGTAAGTTAGTTATAGGAAGCCCATTTTCAACATATGCTTCTCCTTTGAATAATCCAGGACCTACTGCTGTGACAGGACGAGAGAAGCGGGTATCGGTTGATTCTACGGTAGATGTGTTGCGCAGCTTGAGAAACTGCCCTCACATATCCCCAAGTTACCAGCGCTGCGCTCGTTACTGACCAATAGTTCCATCGTCAGAGATTGACCCAACTTCGTCTGGCCATTTGGCGGAAAAAGGTTAAATCGGATTCCACCTTCGTGGGAGTATTCAAGGAGTTGGTTTGTGATGAGTGGCGAGCCCATGCTTCATGCGCACTATATGGCCAGCAAGACTTACCCGGCAGCCGAGCGGGATCCTTGAGCAGGAGCAACAGCACGAATTGGGGGAAACCGTTCATAAAAGCCAACATGAACTCATCCAGTGCGTGAAATGCGATAATAATGACTCGAATCTGTCGAATCAGACAAGCCTTCATCAGCACAGATACTCCTCGGCAGTGGTAGGCATAGCATGCGCATTTTCTCACCGTCGCAAATGCGAGATAAAAGGCCAGAACAGTAGGAAAGAGGAATGCGGCGAGCATGAAGAGAATGGTTCCCAAAAGAAGCTGATCGGTTTCATACACCGCTGGTTCGACGCGATGCCTTAGTGTATTGTACCGTTTACCTAATTCCCAGAGAATGAAGCCAGGAGATGTACGGACAGTGAGCTGGAGAGCCCGGGATAAATTGCCTTGGTCATGGACACACCTCGGAAGATGTTAAACACGGCGCGCAAGAGCGCAATGTGCCACCGAAATAGGGACGTGGCGAAGATGTAGAAACCAAACAAGTGCAACGTGAGCAGCGAGAGGACATCCGAGATCACCGACAGGAATAGGGTTGTGCCGCCGTAGGCCGACGCCCCGACGAGGTAGACAAGCTCGGGCATAACCGTCGTCAGAGGTGCGATGATTTGTCCGTCCCATTTCGTGCTTGCCCATAAGAACGCGGTGGTGAACATTGATGCCAGCTCGTAGTTAAGCTTGATCCCTCCCGGCCAATCGTTGAGCCACATCAGCAACTTGCTAAGCCACGCCGAGTTTGACATCTGTGTGCGGTGGTGGGCGGATCATGAGCGACGACGCCCCTCAGAGATGAGTTTGAATTATTCGGACCGACCCGAAGCAACTCTCCGAGCCCGCGACCGATGACTACATGGTTTTCGCAGACGAACGAGGCGATTGCGATTCCCACGATCACGTCATTGGCAATAAGCCACAACAAGTTGAAACATCTGTGGGATGTTGAATTGGGTCAATGCCGTGTCGGGGATCGAAGATGCGACGCAGATGTATACACACGAGATATAATGCACTCTCCCGCAGACCAGCGAGTGCGCGTCCCTCTCGCGGGTATTACGCTTCGCGTGTCTGATGAGCCTGTATTGAGAAGGCAGCATGAACCCTTGGCTCATGCGCAAGCGTAATTGCTGAACTGAGAATATCGAGCGAAATGTGATTCTTAATTTTTGGCGTATTCGGCCAGCAGTGTCAATTTATGCTACTTACCAGTTGCCGAGAGCTCTTGAACTTCAGCGCTCGTGAACAGGGGAAACGAGCGCGACGACAACCAGTGGCTGTTCCGTCGCGGCACCTGAGCAGCTCTTGCCATCGACGTCTTTTCAATAACGGTCGGCTCAATTCCCCCTTCAGGCGTGTGCTCGACCGATTCCTGGTCAACTGGCGAGAAGCAATTCGAAGCGTTGATCTGGACGGATTCGGAAAATTTGGGGATTTGATAAGGCCGCGAGAATCAGCTTTACCGCAGCTGTGTCTGCTATCGCGGGCAGTCTGTCAACGCAATACGTACCTGCTCCACGGCCTCACCAAGATTAACGGACACCGGATCCGCCCTTGAAGTGAAATCAGAGGCCGCGAGCGCGAGTAACTTCCCATTTGTGCGAGAACATGCGCTTGTCTTGGGCTCGCCGGATGCTTTCTCCGAGTCAGCCGCCGAGGACTCCACTTTGGATCGAGCACACGGGGCCGCAGAAGTAGCCGCAGAAAAGCTTGAAGCTGATTGCGAGGAGTCGAGGGCAAAATACTGGTAGCGCCGCCTTGACGGGGGTGAAAACATAATGACGACGGCATGGGGGTTGGAAGCACAGGTGGTGGGAGACACCGGCTGAACTGACGTGTCAACGACCAGGCGCACCAGGTCCTGCTCTGGGAGCGAGTCACCACCTTTCTGGTTCCCGAGCGATGCATCGAAATCGGACTCCGCGGCGCTGTAAGAGATCGTTCCTAGTACCCGAGGGCCTTGAATCGATCCGCGACTCATCGTGCTTAGTACGCTGCGAGCATCCGCAAGTGTGGGTGCTTGGAATGCTCCAGCGATGACTGCGCCGCTAGTGTACGTTTGCCAGCCATACAGAAAATGACGATTGTGACTTGCGACTTGTTGGACAAGGCCAGGCATCGGCCACGGAACGAATAGGAACATTTCGGCAGTTTGACACCGTTCGGAAGCTCGAGTTTGGGCCGGCTGATGCGTGGGTGGCCGAGAAGCGACGTGCGAGTCATGAATCGGTTCTGATGCAGGTGGTTGAGCGTCGGTGAAATAAGGTGACTCGTTGGAGCAGCAGTCATCTGCCGCAAAAGGCGACGCTGTCATGGGGGCGAATCCCGACGGTTGTGATCAGCCCGCTAGAAGCTGCCTCTGCGCCGGAGATGGTCCCTTGCACCGAGCGAATACCGGTCGACACCCTATTTGGAGCGCATGAGTGGGTGGACAAGAGGCCCTATGTGGATCAGCTCCAAGCCATTGTAAAGCGGGGCAGAGGCACGAAAAGCCAGTCGAAATCAAGCCGTTGTGCCGAGACCAGCTTGGCGATGTGGGGCTGAAAAAGGAGCACTCACCCGGGAGGCCAATGTGCCGGCAAGACGGTTGAGACAGTGCAGGACGACGATGACGATGAGAGAGAGCACCACAGACGCGACCATACGAAAGGCGGGAACCTTTCGCTCTGGAGCAAACACGTGTGAAGCTTTGTCCACCTGCGACAGGCGCGACAGGCACCCGACACTACGAGGCAAGCCAATCGGGGCCAGCGCCCGATCACTCAGAGCCTCGCAGGGCTAAGCGCGCGGAAGCGGCTGGAAGCGGCCTAAGAGCCGCCAAGCGCGCCTCATTACGGCTGTGGCCTAGCTATTAGTAATCACAGATCGAAGCCACCTGCGAACTTCGCAACTAACTCCGACTTCAAGGCCTCGGCTCCCCTTCACGCCGTCTCGCCATAGCAAGCCGCTCAACCCGCCACAAAAGGCACGTTATCGTCACGCGTACCACAACACGATGCCGGAGCCTTCTCACAAGAAGATCAAGCGAGCGCCTGCGACGCGCTCTGAGCGAACCGGCTCCCCTTCTTCGAATGCTGGCCCGTTCACTTCCACCTCGGCCGATGCGCTCGACAACCAGTTTGAGCTCGAGCAGCAGTTTGAGCACACCGAAACGGGTTCCGACGATGGACTGGGCTACTTGGCATCGGACGTCGAGTCGGACACCGGAGCCCAAACCCCCTTCTCCCAGCAGGGCGAAGACGAACAGGAGCGCCAAGCGCCAGCATCTGTGACCCCAAGCACCAAGAAACGTCGACGCAAGGCAGCACAGACGCCCACAGACGACTCTGCGCAGAACGAACACAACCCAAGCCAGGCCTGGATGATCTCGTCCGCGGCCGCAGTCGAACGCCTGTTGCTGGCGCAGCGACGAGCTCAGCCGAAAGCCAGCGCACTTGAGCTCGATGAACTCGCTCTGCAAGGTCAGTCGGAGTTCAACGAGAACATCCCTCGGCCGCTTCCGCGACAATATGTCTTGGTACCGTCATCGTGCACACGTCCCTATCACTGGCGAGCCATGCAGGCGAGGTTACCATCTCGATGGGATCAAAACTGACCAACGACGAGTGCTTCTTGCCGCAGAATCTTTCCTCCTCGACGCACCGACGGTTGCCAGAACATCCTTGCTTGCCTTCATTCGAGAGGCGATCCCGACACTACCGGCAACTCTAGCCAAGCCCACCAAGAAGGAAGGCTCTCCTAGGATACTGGTCATCGCTGGAGCCGCTCTTCGCGTGGCAGATTTGTGCCGGTGGGTCACCTCTGCAACGACACGCCTGTCCCCGCGCACCCCATTCGCCGTGCCGCGAAGCTTGGTGACTTGATCTGATGCGACTCTTTAATGTCACTGCAGCGAGCTCAAGCCTTTTCAGACCAAGGACCTTCATATCGCCAAACTCTTCGCCAAGCACTTCAAGCTCACAGAACACGCGCAGTACCTGAAGGACCACAAGGTCTCAATTGCCGTTGGTACCCCTCATCGAGTCTCGGCTCTGCTCGACAATGCTTCGCTAGCGATCGACCAACTTTCGCATCTCGTCCTCGACGTCACCCACCTTGACAAGAAGCAGCGAGGACTGTTGGACACGCCCGAAGCGAGCGTTGATCTGTTCCGCTCCTTGCTTGGCAATAGGACCCTGCTGGATCGACTGAAAGCGGGCCGGATGAAGATCGTATGCTATTGAAAGGCTGTTAATCGAAATAGACATTCTTGCCATCGATATTGCCCTCTGCGATGAAGCGGGCGGCTCATTGCCGAGAAGGGATCATGGTACCCGTGGACGACACCAGTCCAGAGCAAACCGCAAGGCATGAGCAGGCAGAGGGTCGCAAGCTCGTTTCCCATCCTCTACACCGACGCGCAGGTGAAAGGGACCAAGCGAGCACACTCTTCGGGCTAGGCCATACGACGACACGGAGGCCAAACTCGCTTCCTCTCGACGGATGGTGCCTCGGGGGCGGGCGAGGTTTCTCGCGAGGTTGAGATCACGGTGAAGATGCACTGGTGTTACATGATACAATGTTGTGAGCCGCTACAGGTCCATCATCAGAAACCGAGTGGATTTGTGCGGTTGGTCAATTTGGTCCCTACGATCCGAACGGCTCCGTGTCAGCGTGCCAGATTCAGATGGAAGGCAGCACGTCGAATGCTACACATCAGACCCTATAGCGCACTTGAACGGCTTACATTTGGGGATCTTGTGCATCGACTTGCGGTATCCGCGCTCTGTGCGCGAAAAGGTGGTGTACTTGTCCCTGGCGGGCATGCTAGCTTCGGTCGGTAGCGCAAGAGCCGCTTTCTGCTTGACAGTCACCCAGCAATGAGGCAGGGGTCAGGTCGGGAGGACGAAATGTAAAGTAAGCAAGACGGGCCGCATTGATCTCAGGGGGGCCTGGCAAGCGCAAAGAAGCATGGCGAAGAGACGGACCAGGGACAGAGTCGACGGGGATGCCTGTTCGACGACGGCAATGTTGTGATCGACCGTCTTGAGTCGCAGTCGAGCCCGCATCTTGCGTGTCTGTGACATGCGCCACGGGTTCTTCCTGCACGTGAATATGCGCAGCCCCAGTGTCAGAGATGGAGTTGAGCATCGGGAGGCTGCGATTCGCAAGCGAGCCGACCCCACGACCCCTCTCCCTCTCCCTGCGCTGGACGGAACAGCGGGAAGGCGGATGCTACTTACCACAGCAACCCCACCGACAGTGGCAACGATGGTTTGAAGAGCATGTGCAGGAACTGCCCGTTCGAAGGTGGTGTGACAAAGCGCAATGCGCGAGAGTTGACTATTGGTGGCTTTAGACGAACCTAATTAAGTGATTTACTTGTTCGGTTGGCTGCGGCGCATTGGGCGCATTTCGAGACGCTCACAATTTCGCATCAACGTCACCGAATTGGTGATTTGGGGACGCAAATCTTGTCTGCGTTCGCTCTTTCCCTTCGCCATTCTCCCGACCAAAGCACCCTGTGCCACTCCTCGCACCGCGACCAATCGAAGAGCGTCCAAAAGAACAGAACCTCTGTGTGCATCGATTCCACTTCCCACCCCCCTCCCTCTCGGTCCCTTCTCCTTCGCGGCCCAGGCCCAGCCCAGTCCCAGCCCTTCCCTTGCTGCACCCCGTCTCCGCTACCTTTTTCACCTTTCCGCGTTCGGACAGGCCGCGTGGATACCGTCCGTCCCCAAGCATGGCCCCTGCGTATGCGCTTCCGCCCCAGCAAGTTCTGCAACAGTACGACATCACTGCGGCATCTGGACTATCTTCCCAGCAGGTGCTCCAAAATAGGAAACTGTTCGGCGAGAATGGTGAGTCGCACCGCTCAGATGAGGGCGACCGGCCTTCGCACGTGTCGGACCACGTCATCACGTTTCGGCCCGCTTGGCGCGCTGATGTAGTCAGATTTGTGGCTGACTGCTGAACCCAACCTACCCATCGATGTGTACGCACCTTGTAGTCTTGCCCCAGGAGGACCCAACGCCCTTGTGGGAGCTGATTCTGGAGCAGTTCAAGGACCAGCTCGTCCTGATCCTGCTCGCCTCCGCGGCTGTGTCGTTCGTCCTCGCGTATTTCGAAGAGAGCGACGACAAGGCCACCGCGTATGTGGAGCCGATCGTGATCCTCCTCATCCTCATCGCCAATGCCGTCGTCGGTGTCGTCCAGGAAACCAATGCCGAGAAGGCCATCGAGGTACAGTGGGCTCACCGATCAGCCGATCAAAGTTGCGAGCTTGCTCCCGCGATCACTCGCCAACGGTGTGCTGACCACCTCTTTTCCCCCCCGCATACCGGCAGGCCTTGATGAAGTACTCACCGGACGAGGCTAAAGTCCTTCGAGACGGTCGCTCGCTCAAGGTCATGGCATCCGAGCTTGTACCAGGCGATCTCATCTCGGTCGCCGTCGGCGACAAAATCCCCGCCGATGCGCGGGTCATTAGCATCGCGTCCGCCAGCTTCACCATGGACCAGGCTTTGCTGACAGGCGAAAGTCACAGTGTCAGCAAGAGCCTCGAAGTCGTCAAGGATTTAGATGCGGTCAAGCAAGATCAGATTAACATCCTCTTCTCTGTGAGTAGCTGCCAATAGCGGCGAAAACAGTCACTCGGAGCTTGACGTTCTTGGGTTGTCCTCGGATGTTCACAGGGCACCACCGTCGTCAGTGGAAAGGCTACCGCTGTTGTGATTGCAACAGGCTCGAATACGGCGATCGGCAACATCCACACTTCGATCACCGAGCAGATCGCTGCCAAGACTCCCCTGAAGCAAAAAGTCGACGACTTTGGCAACTTGCTTGCTAAAGTTATCTCCGTGATCTGTCTACTCGTGTGGCTAGTCAACATCAGGAACTTCAGCGACCCGAGTCATGGAGGACTTGCGAAAGGCGCAATCTACTACTTCAAGGCAAGTGTGGCCTCTGGCCTCCGCTTGCATGGTGAGTCGTCCTGCTGACCTCTTCACTTGGGGAACGCTCGCGCCACCGTAGATCGCCGTTGCACTTGCCGTTGCAGCTATTCCTGAAGGATTACCCGTGGTCATCACAACCTGCCTCGCCTTGGGAACGAAAAAAATGGCCAAGAAGAATGCGATTGTTCGCTCTTTGCCGTCTGTGGAAACGTTGGGATGCACCAATGTGATTTGCGCCGATAAAACGGGGACTCTGACGACCAATCAAATGAGCGTATGCAAGGTCAGTCGCGACTGGTTCTTTCTCAAGACAAGCAGCGTTTGCGGAGGCTGATAGGTCTATGTGGTCACTGCTTGCCTCGCGTGGGTTGTATCAGGTCCTCGTCCTTGATGCAGGTGCAGCAAAAGAGCTGTCTGTCGAAGGCTCAACGTTCGCGCCTGTAGGCAATGTCTCGTGAGTCGATCGAGTTTATATCAAGTAGGACTGGGATAATCAGCGCTCTCGGATCTCTGACCTCTCCCGCTTTGCGAGCGTATCGACAGCACCGACGACGGCGCTACTGTGACGCTCGAATCGCTCAAAACCTCGAGTCTTACTCGGCTTGCTGAGATCAGTGCCCTGTGCAGCGATGCCAAGGTCGCGTACAATGAGGTCAGTCGCTGCTCGGCGCCTCCGATGTTGGTCCTGGATTGCTCAGTCTGACTTGGAAGCCCACCGATCCTTGTCGCAGGACACGAAAGTGCACTCGGGCGTCGGAGAACCTACCGAAACTTCGCTGAAGGTCCTCGTCGAGAAGCTACAATCTCCCTCTCGCGACTTCAATGCGACGCTTGCGTCCCTTCCGCCCATCAAACGCGCCACCGCCGTCAACGAGTACTACGAGTCGCAATTCGAGCGCTTGCTCACCTTCGAGTTTTCTCGAGATCGCAAGTCGATGTCAGTGCTTGTGCGCCACCGATCGGCATCCACCGCCGCGTTGTATGTCAAAGGCGCACCAGAGTCCGTTTTCGAGCGCTGCTCTTACATCCACTCGAACACAGATGGGGCGCGCCAGCCCATGTCGAGCAGCTTGCGTGCCGAACTCAGCGCCAAGGTCGAGGCGTATGGCGCACTCGGTTTGAGAACACTCGCCCTCGCCATGATCGACGGGGTCGACACAGACACTGCCAATTACCACACCGAATCATCTGCGGACTACGTCAAGTTCGAACAAAACATGACTTTCGTGGGACTCGTCGGAATGCTCGACCCCCCTCGTCCCGAGGTTCGCGGCGCGATCGCGAAGTGTCGGTCAGCCGGGATCCGGGTGATTGTGATCACTGGGGACAACAAGAACACGGCCGAGACGATCTGTCGACAGATTGGAGTTTTCCGTTCCGACGAGAATCTGCACGGGAAGAGCTACACTGGAAAGGAGTTCGATGCCCTCGCTGAGGACGAGCAGATCCAGGCCGTTCTGAACGCGAGCCTGTTCAGTCGCACTGAGCCCGGGCACAAGCTCAAGATTGTCGAATTGCTGCAGGCCCAAGGCCTTGTTTGTGCGATGGTGAGTCGCTTCGAGGCCCCTTCATTCGTTGGCGACTTTCCAGACTGACACGCCACCGCGGATCTGTTCTTTGATCCTGTCAGACTGGTGACGGTGTCAATGATGCTCCTGCATTGAGACGAGCGGCCATTGGAATTGCCATGGGCTCGGGAACCGATGGTTTGTTCACGGTCTGGCTTGTGTTGCGTATCCTCGAATGCGTCCTGATCAGCCCTGGTTCTTGCGTGTGAATGTCTCTAGTCGCCAAACTGGCATCGGACATGGTTTTGGCCGACGACAACTTTGCATCCATCGAGTCCGCTATCGAAGAAGGTCGCGCCATCTACGAAAATACCAAGCAGTTCATTCGTTACCTCATTTCTTCCAACATCGGAGAGGTAGTCAGGTACGATAATGCGATTCAACTTCTTTTACCGTCTGTTTGGCTGACTCGTTGGTGCGTCTATCAAAATTGAACACCGCAGTATCTTTTTGACGGTGTTGCTCGGTATGCCCGAAGCTTTGATTCCAGTCCAGCTGTTATGGGTCAACCTCGTCACCGACGGCCTTCCAGCAACCGCTCTCGGGTTCAACCCGCCCGACTCGAATATCATGCGTCGCCCGCCTCGATCCTCGCGGGAGCCATTGGTTAACGGTAGCCTCTTTTTGCGTTATATGGTTGTGGGAAGCTATGTTGGAGCTGCAACCGTCTACGGATGTCAGTTAGCGCTGCGTTATGTGGTACCCGTGCGTCTTCCTCGCCACCCGCACTGACTTTTGTACTCGATTCCGGTACGCTAGATGCCTGGTGGTTCATGTATTACTCCGGCGGCCCTCAAATTACTTTCAAGCAGCTTGTAAGTCCATCAACTTGAATGGTATGTCTTGACGCTGGCACGTATTCTCATATCGTGCAATGTCCACCGCCGCACATATCCCGAACCCCACAGACCAACTTTCACTCCTGTTCCGAGCTTTTCCCCCAAATTGGATGCGACATGTTCGTCAACGAAATGTCGAAACGGGCTACTACAGTCTCTCTGTCGATCTTGGTCGTCATTGAGATGTTCAACGTAGGTCGTCCGTGCACATTCGCTTGCATGGGAGATGCTGACGCCCGATCCGATCCACGTAGGCCATCAACTCCTTGGCCGAGAATGAAAGCATTCTGTCCATGCCTCCTTGGCGCAACATGTATTTGGTCGTGGCGATCTTCATCTCGATGTCACTCCATTTCATGATCCTCTACGTGCCTTTCTTCTCGGTACGTTGTTTTGAAGCCCTTGTCCCGCACCACCTCCAGCAAGCTTTGCTGACCTTCCGCTGCTTGTGCTCCCATGAATGTAGACCCTATTCGTCATCACGCCCCTCAACTGGGATGAGTGGAAAGCCGTTCTTGCCATTTCCTTTCCCGTCATCCTCATTGATGAGGCTTTCAAAGCCGCCTCATCGTGGTCCACGCTCCCGGCCACTAAAACCAAGACGGCTTGAGATGCTCACTGCTGATCAGCCGGCCCCTTCGGTGTACGTAGCCGTGGTCTCATCAATACCATGCGTCGAACCAGTTCTTCTTTGCAATGAAATAAAACAACAGGCAATCGTCATTTGAAGGCACTTGGGACTACAGCGTGGATCATGAACACTGAGGTCGCTTGAAACTGATAATGGTCGATTGGCCCGGCCCGATTGCGCATATGGCGACTCCCGCAGAGAGCGCGCGGCCGCGGCGCGTCACTCGCGCGGGCGACACGTGACATGTGCTCACGTCATTAGCTTCGGCCACGGCGGCCACTGACTGTCTGTCAATAACTTTCCGCGGTTGAGATGTCCCGAATCACCACTGTAACGCATTATGTTAAAATTGGAAACAAAAATAAGACCTTTGGAGCCATCTGATGAATGAAGTTGTGTCGGTCCGCATCACACATTTGCCGCTCAGTGTAAGGGGATGCCTTACAGAACAGCCCCATAAGTAGCCTCTGAGTAGCTAGAACTGTCGAATTCTAGTTACGACTTGCTTTTAGCCTAGCGGTCAAGAACGACAGATTGTATTTTATGCACATCAGAGGCGCATACCTTACAGCCGGCCTTACACTCAGCCTCAGCCTGTTGACCGCCGTTTGGGGTATGTTATTTGGCGACCAACTCCAGCGTGAAATCCACTTATTAGGATCAGATGTTTTGGCGCGTGGCGCGCGCGGTCTCTGCTCCAAAGGTACAGCCTGAGGTGAACTGCTAATAACAGCTAGTCCCGCATCCCTTATACCCGACACGCTCCAGCTCACGTGCGATCCCGGTCGCGCTAGGTCGCGCTCGTCTTGTCATCTTCTTCCCGCGCCTTGTTTCGTGGTCCCGTGGACTCGTGGCGTGCCTGACGGGTTCTACGAGACCAACAACTACCGAGCGTGGAGCAACGATTTGCACCTACGTCCGTTACGTGTTCGTTACGTCGCCCACTTGCCGAGTTCGTCGACGTTACGCTGAGGAACTTAACAACTGAGCTCGCATGATGGTCGGCCCGAGCTCGGGAAGGTTGACGCCCAGCAGTGGTATATCCCACTCTCGAGCAGGGTCAGCCAGTCGAGTCATGACTCGCACAACTGACAATCCTACTTCGGTCAAAGTTGGTAAGCCGTGCAACCCGCGGCCTGTCGTGTAGTGGCTCCCGAGTCGCACGCGCGCACTGACCTCCTGACGACTCCCTTCCGGGGCTCATCATCCCGTCAAACGCACGTGCCTTCTATTCCGGAACTTAACCTGGGGGCGGTTTGTCACTTCTTGCTTTGTTTGCCTATCACCCTACGTCCTGTCGCCCAACAGTCGTGCGCATTCGACCCCCGACTACGGAGCACGTCCGCATTTCAACACGGTTTCAGCGGACCGTCGTCGCTGCCCTCAACGCGACCACCCTGCAGCTGGAGAGCGCCACGTCTGGAGGATCAGCCTCGAATGCCTTAACCAAGACGCCCAAGTCGACTTTCACGTTCGATCGAGTGATCTCGCCCGAAGAAGGCCAATCTGAAGTTTTCGCTTGTGCCGAGCCGCTCGTCGAATCCTTCCTGACGGGGCTCAACGCCACAATTCTGGCCTACGGTCAAACCTCAAGCGGAAAAAGCTATACTATGGGAACTACAGCGGCCCCAACCTCCGATGTAGAGAGCGAAGACCGCCTCGGCATCACGCCTCGCGCTGTCGCCCTCATCTTTGACCGAATGCGGGAGATCACGAACGCCTCGAAAGGGGCCACGACCTTTGACGCCAAACTGTCATACGTCGAAATCTACAACGAAGACCTCATCGATTTGCTTGCAGGCAACGCAGACGTGCGGCCCACTGTTCAAATACGTGAGGATAAGCAGGGCAACATCTTTTGGTCCGGCCTGCGTGAAGTCAAAGTGACCAGCGCGCTGGAAGTGATGACGTACGTTTCCCGCAATGAGAGTGTCGAGTCCCGTGACGCCGCTGTATTGACCCGCCTATGACTGTGGATCATTGTGAATCATAGTCACTTGACCGAGGGGTCGGCGCTGCGACAGACGGGGGCTACGGACATGAACGCACAGGTTAGTCGTGGTCACGCAGCCGAGTGACTTTCCTTGGCCTCAGAGGCTGAATCCTGGCGAAAAACACGTGTTCCCGCGTGCCTTCTTTCCCCTCCCTCTTTCTTCTTTCGTACAGTCGTCCCGATCGCACGCCATATTCTCCTTGACTCTGACGCAGCAGAAATCGACCGATGGCGGTCCTGTCGACGGCCCAAGTTCCTCTGTTTCACGCGCATCAGCACGCGCAAGCTACTCTCCAAGAGTGTCGAGCCCGGGTCCAGGTGCCACTTCTCGCTCCGCAACACCCAGTCATGACCGACCTGGGAGTCGATTCGGTCTACGCCCGCCCAGTTTTATCGGACCGGTCCGAGCCGCAGGAGACCCGCTCTCGGATTCTTCCCCGGGCCTTTCCACATCTACCATTTCGCAGTGCACCACCATCACGTCGAAGTTCCACTTTGTCGACTTGGCCGGGAGCGAACGTCTTAAGCGTACTGCTGCAGCGGGGGGTAGAGTCAAGGAAGGGATTTCGATCAATGCTGGATTGCTAGCGCTCGGAAACGTTATCTCGGCGCTCGGAGATCCTTCCAAGAAGTCGACACACGTCCCGTATCGGGACTCCAAACTCACGAGGCTGCTGCAAGACTCGTTAGGTGGTAACGCACATACGATGATGATTGCTTGCGTTTCCCCGACCGAACTGAACCTCAACGAATCGCTGTCCACGGTCAAGTATGCCAATCGGGCTCGCAACATCAAGAATCGCGCAGAGGTCCACGAAATCGAGGCTGGATGGGAGGATATTGAGTATCTCCAACGCACCTTGATTAAATTGCGCGCAGAGCTCGCCCTGCTCAAGTCTGGAACTCTGCCTTCAATCGTGGATGCAGACGGCCGAACCCCGCCGATCAGCGACGGTCGAACTTCGCCAGCTAGTCCGTCCCCCGATGTTCAGGAGCTCCACAACAAGTTCACGGATCTTTCGCACCGGTACGCGCAATTGCTGTCGGAGCAAGTGCAGTTTCCGAGGGTGAGCAGTGAGAACGGCGTGCCTCCGCAATCTATGCAAGACGAATTCTGTCGGGTCGTCGATCCGATTATTGAGGAGTACGAGCGCTCAATTTCCGCCATCGAAAGTCAGCTCGCGTTGACCCGGGCTGCGCTGAGCCATTCCGAAGACGAGCTGCGCGAATTAGAGATCCGAGTGGAAGCCGAAGTCGCCACGAATCAGTCGAACGCAAAGAATATGGAGGAACTCAAGGCAAGAATCGCCAGGTTCTGCGAGCGGGAGGCTACGACCGAGGCCTATGTTCGCGATCTGGAGTCGAAGCTGAAGGACTTTGGCGATCAGGACGCTTCTCGGGGATCGGCTGTTACGGATTTGCGCAAGGAGATTACCCGGCATCGAGAGCACGGCGTAACCCAAGAATTGTACATCAAGGACCTCGAGGTTCGTCTTGCCAAGGCCGAAGAAACGGGAGCGCTTATGAGGAACCGGATAGACGTTCTTGAGCGTGACATCGGGCGGCATGAGGAAGCTTATCGAGAGCTCGAAACTCGCCTGAGCCTGCTCAACACTGCGGATGACCAGAAAATACTGCTCGCCGAGTTGGACACCAAAAACCTGCGCTTGATTGAGCTTGAACGCTCTGTCGACGACCTGAAGCGTCAAAACTCGGCGGCGGAGACGGAGGTGGAGCGTCTGGTCAGACTCGCCGCCACCGAGACAGAGTCGCGCGCTGAGCTTCAGAGTCGAGTACGAAGCCTCGAGAGAGCCGCCACGTTATCGACTACTGCTCGGGACTCCGTAGTCCGCGATTCGCTTCCCGAAGAGACCGGTTTGGATTCAATTTACGGAAGCGCACTGGTCAACCGTGGGTCCGCCGTAAATGGGTCGGCCGACTCGACGCGGGGTGTACTAGTCCCACTCTCCCAAAATGGCGACGAGCTGGTGTCCCGTGGAACCGGTTCCGGGGTGTTGGGCGATGGCTGCGAAGAGACACCCCTGTCTCCGACATCCCCATCGCGGTCAGCTTCGAGTTCGCCGAATAAAAACCGCGGACCTCGGGCTCGTCGAAGCATGCCCCTCTCCCCCCAACACCGGCTGAGTTTTCTGGGACGAGGACAAGGACCCCATCTGCCTATAGCAACGCATTCGCGTTCGGCGTCGTTTTCTTGTCCGGAGCAGTCCTCGCCCATACCATCACAAGCCTCCTTACCCCCGAAAGCCCGCTCGCCCTCACCGTCCGATGGGCGCTCTCCCTCTGCCGCTTCGCGCGATAATCCCTTTGGCGTTCCTTTCAGTCCAACCCATGGAACTCAATCGGCTTTCACGAACGAGCGCACCTATGAGCAAATGGAGACGGAGATCAGGAGGCTACAGCAAGCCTTGACCGAGCGCGAACGGGAGACGATTGCACAAGAAGTCCCCTTGCTGCGTTCGCGTGGCGATTGTTCCGAGAGCTCGAACTCCGACGATACCCCCAGATTTGGGGTTGTTGTGTCGAACTCCAGGCACAGCGTCACAGGGTGCTCAACTTCGCCCAGTGAAGAGCCGCCAGCCAGTGACAACAAACTCGTCGGCGATGCCGACACGGCGGCCGAGCGACTGGACCATTTGATGCGGTCCATGGCCCAGAAAGAATCCCTTCATCGAGCCGTAGTCGATCAACTGCAGGATAGCCTCACAAGTCTGCAGCGCCGATTTGACGAGTTGAGTGTGCTTTCGCGCGATCAAGTCACCAACATGTCTCGGGAGATCGGTCGATTACGCGCACAAATCGTTGGGTCCAATGCCACTTTTGCGTCCGAATCGCTCGACCGGTCGGATCAAGGCGGGTTGACCGATGACCCTATCGAGGGGCGAGGAATCTGCGACGATCATGTGTTCTCAGGTGAGACCTGCAAGGACAAAGTTTTTTTCTGGTATTGTGTTGACATTTTAATCTCCTCCAAATGCACATAGGTACGCGGCATGTTTCGGACCAGTCGGAGTCGATCGAGGTTGGACCATCGCGAGATCTCGACGATTTCGGAGAGGCGCACAATTTCCGCGATGAAGAGGACGACGAAACGGATCATGTTGAGGCCGACTGCGCCTCGTCGGAGAATACACTAGCTTTCGAGCTCGCCGAAGCAACAAATCGCGAACTCTCAACACTCGCCGAGGCAGGCCAGACTCGGATTTTGAGCACAATGCACCCACACACAGTGCTCGACCAATACCCCAGCGCTCCTCCACAGAGTGAGCACCTAGTCCAGAGTGCGACCACTTCGACTGAGCCCGAAACAACAGCGTCGCAAGACGACCTTGAGGCCCTGCACGCGCTCGAGCTGAAGCAACGCGAAGCAGCGCATTCGGACGAGTTAGCACGGCTCGAAGCAACCCATCAAAGTGCGCTGGACGAAAGGGATAGGGCTCATGCCGACGTTGTCGCAAAATTGGAACTTCAGCGAGCACAAGACCTTGAAATGGCGGCGACGCTGCACTCGTCCGCTACGAGTGTCCTCGAGAAGGTGAACGAGGCACAAAGTTCACGAACGGAAGAATCGCATGCTGCAGCTGTGCGAGCTCTTGCGGAATCCCAAGAGGCAGTGCTCGACGCGTCGCGAGAGGCGGCTTCAGTACGTCTCACTCAGCTTTCTGCCCAGCACGAGGCTGCGCTATTGTCGAAGCATAACGCCCATCATGCGGCGATCAGGATGGCGGAGGCGGAGCAGACGAGGCTGATCAATGACCTCAACAAAGTGAGTGCCAGAACCGAGGTCACCTCTAAGAAACGCCAAGGCCGTTGACTTACGATCTGTTTCCGAAATCAACAGTCGCACATTCAAGAACTCCACGCACTCAGCGACACCCTGCTGAGCTCACACCAGGAAGAGTTACGCAGGATAGATGCCGCGCATCTAGAGTCCGTTGCCTTGTTGGAGAAGCAGCATCGGGACAACACCACTGCGCTGCAAACGACGCATGAGCAGGCTGTCTACTCGATGCGGATAGAGCACGAACAAGCTCTCGATCTTCTACGCACCGAGTCGGAGAAGGAGATTGCCTCTCTACGAGCTGCACACGAAAACGAGTCCGCCAGCATGCGGGACACTTTCGAGGACGAGCTGGCTTCACTACGCTCGGTCCACGAAGTGGCCGTCTCATCGATACGCGCCGACCACGCCAAACACACCGCAGTACTGCAGGCAGCCCACGATCGGGAGATGGCGTTGTCGAGGGCGATGCACGAGCAAGAGCTAGCGCAGAAATCCTCGGAAGCTGCCGCGATTTGCGAGAAGATCCGGACCACCAGCCTTGCAAAGATCGACTTGGCTACGAAAGAACGGGACGAAACGCAATCCAAATACGTCGAATTGGACAAATCATACGCGCTGCTTGAGGGCAACCTCGCGGATGCGCAGAAGTCGTTGACGAGGATGCAGACTGACCACAGTTGCTCGACATCCGCACTCAATCAAGAACTGGTGGATGCCCGACTGCTCGCCGATCGGCTTGCGGCAGAGGCAGACGCCCTTCGTCAAGAGCGGGTCCTGGAGCATTCCCAAAGTAAAGGACCGGCCACTTCCTCGGTCGACGCCCAGGGTGCTGCCGACCAGGGCAATTCGACAGGTCTGACTCAAGATCTCACCATGCCGCCCCGGTCTTTGCCGACAAGTTCACAAGCGCCTAATCGTTCGGGGAGCATTTCCAGTGCGAGCCATTCGGCGATCAGTCCTCGTGAATCGGTGGCGAGCGGGACGGCTAGCCCTCCACCGACAAAGACGATCGACTCGAGCCTCGTAGTGCAAAGAGTGGACGAGCTTGAGGCTCAGGTTTCCAAGCTTGTGAAGCAGCTCACGCACTGCGAGGGGGACCTGCAAGCCAACATCGACCTCGTGAATACACTCGAGTCGGCCCTGAGCGACAGCGAACGGAATCTCCGCAAAGCTCGCGTGCAGATGAACGACTTGGCCAAGGAGCGCGACAACTACCTAAGCCAGAACGAGGCTATCCGTCGAGAACTACAAGATTCGCATAACGAGACGGAGAACGTCCGAAATTCCATGTAAGTGGTCGTGCCAGTTGAAGTTGTCAACAGAGGCCGAGCTGGTCGATTGGAGGGCTGACGGGCAATTAGACTTTGGGTTTAATTTACCGCAGTATGGAGGTCGAATCCCAGCTCCAAGCTGAGCGGTACAATCGGGAGCGGGCAAAACAAGAATTGGAACGCCGCCTGGAAGACGTCAACCGCAAAGGCAAGAACAAGTTCGCTTGTTTCTAGGCCAAGATGCTTGCTGTCGACTCCCTCGTGCGCAACTTCGCCATTGATATCCATTGTAGGGCTCTTATTAGTAGGTATGAATAGTCTCTGTTCAGAAAGATGGCATTTCGCAACGTGATCAATTTGGTGACTTTTCCGTTGACTTAGAAGGTTCTGCGTTGCTACTTCGAGAAGCGGTATCGGCTCCGAAAGCGGCAAGCCTCTACCTGAGGCCTTGGGTATAAATTTGCATCAAGTGTCGCCGAAGACTCTGCATCCGCATTTGATAGAAGACTATCGCCTCCGCACGGCACATCTATTGGTATCTAACGGCTCGAAGTGAAACTGTCGAAGGGCGGCGTCGTGCGCAGCGATCGTCTATCGATTACATGAATGGCAAGGTCAACTGGCTCGCTGTCGACTGACTCGCTGGGAGTTGGTGAGGTAGTTATTACTTGAATAAGCTACCGCTGGCCTTCTTTCATCCACCAACGTCGCAGACACTGCCTTGTGTACTTCAGATGTCGAGCTTTCGGATCGTCCATCCACCCCCCCCCCCCCCCCCGACTCAGTTGCGGACAAATTTCGCACCCTCACGTATTCGGAGACTGTCACCATCACCTCTCCGCATTTCAGGGATTCTGTCACCGTTTTACCTGATAATCGATTCGAAACAGGCAGCCAGACAGCGAGCCCTTGTAAGCCCCCTGACGTATCTGTGCTCTCACAATGTTCAGGGGGCCCATATGCAGTGTATCCGCCAGCACGACGGCCTAGGAATGAGTCATGACTCCAGCAAGCGCCGAGCATCACGTACGATGAGGACGGATTTAGCGGAAGCAAGACCTTCTGTAACGATACGTCTGGAACTGGACCGGAAGCCTAAGACCAGTAACAGAACCAATGCGTAAACGAATCCGAGAGCCATCGATCGAATGCGGCTGCACGGCGGCGATGGCTGTATCTTACTACCGCGACAATCCCATGATCTACCGTGTCACGGTTCCGCCACACAAAGGCCATGTTCCCGACTCGTCCGAGTACCTCCTTCGCGCTCGACTCTTGGCTCCGGCTCAGCTTTGGCTTGAGTCTGAGGTTACTTCCAAGGGTGAGTCTTTCATGGAACACGCTACTAGAAAAAAAAAAAAAAAGCAACTATCAGAAGAAGAGCCGAAGACTATGAGTAGACTTTGTATCACTAACATTAACATCAGACGTCACATCAATTCACTTGACGCTGACTCATTGACTTCTTCGTTTGTGTGAGTTGTGCACAGGATTTTCTCGCGTCTCGAGGTCGAGACTTCGGCTGACACAACCTCGGCGACTTTTTACCTTCTTCTTTTTGCGAATTCTTAGATCTACTACCCCACGTCTTTCGGAGAGGACGAGCAGGAGGGGGAAGACCCCACCTCTCTCGAGACAAGCTACATCGGGACTCAATCCCACCGACTGGGGGATGGTCTCGATTTGCGATAGTCCGGACTTCATTTGCCACATGTTTCCGTGCAAGCACATGTGGCTTGCCGGCACGTGGATATTTGCACTAGCGAGCAGGCTCCTCTCGCATCTCAAGATGATCTCAAGCATCGTCTCAAGTGTCTGAGGTCTCGCCCTCGCTGGCTGCCGCTCAATTGTCGCTCCATCCACCCCTTCACTGCAAGCGATAGCCAGCGACACTGCCGAACTCGAAGACTGCATCCAACTCTACCAACGGCTCGCTGATGGATCCGGACGAGTACACGCAAGGTTACTTCGGACTTGGCAAGAGTTGGAGGCTGGTGAATGGCAATGCGATCCTCTCACGCGGCTGCCGGACGCCCGGGATGGCCGAGCAAGTTTGGGGCAGGCAAGTCAGTGACGCAAGAGTATTTTGCTTGGGGGGCTAAGCAGGTTTATGAGGATGGGACGAGCAGGAGGTCTGAGGAGAATTCTGTCAAGTAGTACATTCGGGTATCCTAGCCCACCTCTGCAAGTTGGCGAAAATGTTTTGGTCGGGCCTTGTTGAAAGTTGGGGTGAGCGTAAATCGTGCAATGAAACCGCTGCATGGCCGACGGCCGTGCGGGGCCGATCTAAAGGTGATCTCGCAATTACGCGTGTCAGAGGCTCCGAGTCGCTCGGAGGAAACTCTGCAGTGAGGGTGATAATGTGATTATAACCTGTGAAAGAGTCCGCGAGGGGGTAGAGGCTTGAACCTGGTCTCAAACTGGTGGGGGAGGACGGGGGTGGTGGTGAATGAGAACGAGAGTTGGAATCCAAGCAGCCTCGCAGGCTGGCAGTCTACAACAAGAGACGACCACCGCCTGAACACGAGGATGGAAAGCTGACCAATCGACGCCGCATATTAATTAGCCGCCCCTTGTAAGCGCGCGACTCCAGCGCGTACCCTGGCCGCTGACTGGAGCAGTACTATAGAGAGTACTAGAGCAGCCTGGAGCAGCCTGGAGCAGCCTGTGAGCAGCTACCAACGGGCCATGATCGAAAGCAGATCCTAGTCCGATCCCTCACCGCCCCTCGTGCCGAACCCGGGGCTGTCGTATGAACGATCGATCTAACCTTCACCAACAAGAATTTTTGCGCCGCTCCTGTACGCCTCAGAGTTCTGCAGGCCCTGGCCCTACGCCCTCAACGATCCGGAACGGAGGCCCGCCGACCATGCAGTCGCCCGCGCCTAATTCGACATCGTCGTCAATGTATTCGCTCGCATACCCACAATACGTGGCCCAACAATCGTTGTCAGCGACTGCTCCGTTTGATACGGCAAGAGGTAAGTCCACTCGATGGCTCATGCAACCGGACTGGGTGTCCGTTGCCTCCCGTCGCCTCCCGTCGTGCGATCGGACCGATCGCCCTCTGAGACCGCCTGGGCGCGGCCAGGTATCGGATCGGTGCCACCGCAAGACGGCCCTCAGGCCTCAGCGCTCAGCAGCACGACGACCCCCGATCAGAGCGTGGACCTCGTTGCAGTCGTCGGAGTACGATCGGAGTACGAGCTCCGATGGCTTCGGCACTGACAGACCCTCATTTCGCCATCTACAGACTCCAGTGCGGGTCCGAATCGCAGCTCGATGGTGCCGCTGCACCAGCGCCATGGCTCCATCAGCGGCGGTGGAAGCAATGCTCTGGCGGCCTCAACCTCTTCCAATCCATCCCTTCCTAGAACTACAATTGCTTCAGGCCCATACGCACGACCTGCCGAGCCGATGCCGATCCAGAGTGCAGCGCTCGAGGCGCCCACAACGCATTCAGTCAAGGCAAGCAGCACCACATCCGAGTTCACAAAGCGCAAGAACTGGTCGCAGCACATTATCGACGAAATTCAGGTATGTTTTTTTTTTTTTGGTTGGATTGTTGGATTCTTCCACCTCCGTGGATGGTTTCGATCGAGATCTGATCGCGCCGTCCGTATTCGATTGCCCTGGCGGGATCCCCTATCCCACCCTATCTTTGTTCCTCGAACCCATCACAGGACTTCATGCACGTTCTGAACCCAGCGGGGAGCTTTATGTTTGCGACGCCATCGATTCTCGATCTTTGCGGGTGGTCGCCCGACGAGCTAATGAATCGGCCTGTCGCCGACTTCCTCCATCCCGATGACGTCGAAGCATATCAACGGGACTTTCACCACGCTCTCGAAGAAGGCAAGGACTTGACCCTCTACTGCCGCTTTCGCACCAAAGACGAGCGTTATGTGCTGTTCGAGATGACTGGCCATCCTTACTATGCCGACCTCAAAGGCGCGCAGACGCCAAAGTGTTTTTTCGCCATGGGGCGACCATACCCGAGCAAGAACCAGGCAATGCTCGACTCGTTCCTGGAGCTCAAGTTTGAGAACGAGCGTTTGAGACAAGAACTACAAGTGATGTATCGGGACATCGAAGGTGGGCCAGCATCGACCGCAGGTGAGTTGTGTTCAGCACTCGCCGAACACATGTTTCGTGACCAAGCTTGTGTTGACCGTCTTACCTTCACTTGGTCTGGTCCACCAGGTGATCGGCCAGCCGGTTACAATGTTTACGGTAACAAAGCTACGACAGGACCGAAGGGTCCCAGCAGTGTGATCGATCCCACGACCGGACTGGTCCAAGCTGGCGGACTCATCCCCTCCTCCTCGAACACGTATGGGGCTCTAGGGATCGGCATCAGCGCGAACGGGACGAAGGGAGATGGGGCCCATGGCGAGAAGAAGAAAAAGGTCAGCTTGAGGCGCTGCTACCTTTTGATGCCTGCGTTCACCTGGACCGTCCTGACTCGTCAATCACCTACCTACCTTCTTTGCATCTCCTTGCGCCATGGGCCTTTTCGCGACCAGAAGCCAAGAGTCGAGGAGGGCGAATTCGTATGCCGTGACTGTGGAACAGTCGACTCTCCAGAATGGCGAAAGGTATGTCCGACAAATGTTAACCCGCAAGTGTAAAGCGCCATGCGAGGCACACGAGCTGACAAGAGCCATCCCATTGGCCGAGCAGGGACCCGACGGACCGAAATCATTGTGCAACGCATGCGGTGAGCAAACGGCTTATGTCTCCGTGTGGTCGCCCACGATCCTTGAAAGCGCAGGTTTTGTTGAGCCAGCACCATTTTACTTGGACAGGTCTCCGATATGCGAAGGCGAGCTCCAAGGCCAACAAAGAGAGCAAAGCCGAGAAGGCCAAACCGGACAAGGGCAAGTGACCGTCGAGGCAACGAGGCGTGCAGCAACATCTGCTTGTTTTACTTTCTTTTCTTCTCATTTTCCCTACTTTATTGTTGCCTCCATTTTTTTTCCCACTGCTTTCATGATGTATCCTATCGCGCGATGACATGATCTCTCGAAATCGAGCTTCGCTGTCGATCCACCCAAGGGTGAGCTTTCGCTTCCGTCTGGCGAGCGAGCACGGAGCAGATTGCGACACCCCTAAGGCTTTCGAAGACATGTACTTACTTTCCTACCCTATTTCTATGACTGATCATGGGTATCAGCTGGAAAGGCGCTGCAGACTATATCGGCCCATTTTCGGGCCAACTTGGGGGCTGGCGCTTCGATTAAATGCCATCAGTCGCTGAGTCAAGGTAATATGTACAGGAAAGCTCTCATATCACTGTCATTGGATGAGTGGTCAAAGGCGTCTGAGCCTTTCGAAAGGGTCGTCTCTGCCTGTGTGAACTGCTGTGACTTCAATTATCATCAACATTTTCGAAGTAAGCGCTTCCGAAGCGCTGCGGGGCCTTGCGGGAGAGTGCGGGAGGCAGCGGGAGCACTGCGGGAGCTTGCGGGGCGCGGTGGAACCTTATTACGAGTTACGACGCTGACGAAGCCGCGCTGTGCACACCTCCCTCGTCACTCCCCCATCGCCAGATCCTGATCGCCCGCATCGACCTGATGCTGCTAAAGACTTGTAGAGTGGGAACAGCAACTGTCCGAATGGTCTCACGCACGTCCAGTGCTTCGGCGAGCCGCGTGAGCATGATTGGTCGGCATCTCACAACCTCTCAGTCGGCGCAATCGAGCTCAACGCCGCCCGCATCGAGCGATCCTGCCGAGGTGAGTGTGAGGTCTCAGCGGTAGAGCAAGGCATGAGAGGCTTATCTGTTGAATTTGGTACGCAATCCTTCACAGCCCCTTGTCCGCTTCGAGTCGCTGCACGCGCTTCGCAAGGCCACCTTGAACCGGCCCGCCGCATTCAATGCCCTCAACAAGGAAATGGTCGATTTGCTGCAGCCACAACTCGAAGTACGTTTTGCCTTCAATTTGCTGTCCTTGGGCGATGATATCAGTTGTTGATCAGTTGCGCTGCGGTAGAAATGGGAGGCCTCGGACCTGGCCAGCGTCATCGTCCTCCGGGGTACCGGCAAACACTTCTGCGCTGGAGGGGATGTCAAAAGTCGGTCATATGGTTGTCTCGTCGTGCGGAGGGAGGCCGCGGGTTTGTGTTGCTTGGTGCTGACGAGATGGCGAACTCTCTTCCGCAGCCCTTGCCAAGCAGCTTGCGACCGTGGAGACATGGGCTGACTCGGCCAGCTTCTTCGGTGACGAATATGTCACGGATCATTTCATCGCAAACATGCGTACACCGGTGGTCGCGTTCATACATGGCAATACACGTAAGCCCTTCGCACGCTACGAACATGTAGGAGTTTCCGGCATGTAGGATTCGAACTGAAGGGTGGTCTTTATGCAGTGGGTGGTGGATGTGGCCTCTCGATGCATGCTCCTTTCCGCATTGCCACCGAGACGACCATTTTGGGCATGCCAGAGACAAACATCGGCCTCTTCCCTGACGTCGGTGCCAACTTCTTCCTACCCCGCCTCGATGGCGAGCTCGGCGTTTACCTCGGCTTGACGGGCCACACCCTACGAGGAAAAGACGCTCTCTTCGCCGGCTTCGCGTCCCATTTTGTCCCGTCTGAACGTCTCAATGCTGTCGAAGCAAGGTTGAGCGAGCTTGGTGCAAAGGCTGCGCTTGAGGACGTCAACGCCGCCATTGAGGAGTTTGTCGCCGATGCCGAGGAGCTTCAGAGTGGGCCAGCATACCCGCTCGTGGGTGCAAAGCGACGAGCGATCGATGCCATCTTCGGTCGCAAGACGGTCGAATCGATCATTTCTGGCCTCTCTGAAGTCGAGTCGGGTTCGATGCCACTCGATAAGCTCGTATTTGAAGGGGAGGAAGTTGATGTAGGTGAATTGCAGCAATGGGCGAAGACTACAAGAGAAGTCCTCGAGCATCGCAGCCCGACCAGTCTCAAGTTGACGCTCAAGGCCATCCGGGAAGGTGCGAAGCTAGACATCGACGAGGTTTTCGCTATGGATCTGAGGATTGCCACCGCATGCTGCGTAAGCACTCTGGTTGACTACCAAATGCACAGCGCTGCAACTGACAGGCAGCTAAATGTTTTTGTTCCCTGAAGAATCCCACCATCCACCCTGATTTCAAAGTTGGGGTCACTCACTTGCTTGTCGACAAACGCAAGGACCGTGCGCCGTGGTCGCCCTCTAGTCTGGCAGAAGTCGAGGACTCGACGATCCTGAATAACTTCTTCTCGAACCCTGCGCCGTTCTCCAACCCTCCGGTCAAACCACTACAAAAGCGCGCCCCTGAATCAGCCCGTCCGTACCGAGAATACCCGCATGCTCGGTTTTCCCTACCTTCGGAACGGCAGATCAAGGACGTTGTGACGGGAGAGGCGAAAGGCAGTGGGAAGTTTGCGATGACGAAGGACGAAGTCGTCGCCAGGGTCGCCCAAGAAGCTCAGAGATTGTCGGGTGGCGCTGAGAAGATTGGGCTTCGCGAGAAGGTGAACGAGGTCCTGCAGCGCAAGTGCCGGGTGGGAGAACAGGGAACTTTGAGGTGGGTAAGCAGCTCGACAGTATAAGGAACCAGCACTAGTAGGCATGGTCCAACGATCGCCTCGCTGCGGTCTTCGGAGCCGGTAGTTGCCGGATCTCGATGTGGGTGCAAGTAAATACTTTGTAGAGCAAGGTGTAATTCCCCGCTCTTCAACCAAATGGCCCGATCCTCAGCTTGGTACAAGAAAATTGAAGCGCGTCGATGCAACAGACACATTTGTTTCTTAAGGACCATACTTCCTACAGCAAACTAAGATGTGAAGCGCTACGTGCCTAGTCATGTAGGCGCAACTACGTCTCACACGTCTTCACCCGTCCTCCAACCGACGATGGGACGTCATCAAGGCCGGTCGGCGTCTTCACTCTCCGAGATTGCTCAATGCTCTAACGACCACAGGAGGGAACCTGTTCAACCCACGGCATTCAATCCATTGATCTCGGGCTTGCGACACAATGCTACACCTCGCCATCTGCAATTGCAACTACTCGCCCCTATAGACGTCCTTTTGCGATAACTCCCGGAAAGTTAGGCTCACCACTGCCCACAACTCCTGCCAAGGCTACGCTTAAGCTTAGTTAGTTAACTAACTACGCCACCGCAAATAGTTAACTAACTATCCCAACTATTGAGGCATAGTTGATAGTTAGTTAGTTCTGGCTCGGAGGATATCATAGTTAACTATTGTAACTATGGCAACTATAGGCCCCAGTCGAAGTGCTGGAAGTGCAACACCAAATTTCCTAGGCACCTAGTGTTCGATCAAACAGCTCCAGTGCAGCTCCGATACCCGAGCCTGATGAGCCAGGAAGTATCCGCCAGGTACCAAATTATAATTAGTAAAGACTGCTGCAGCGCTCATGCCACACTACTCCGCCCGCGGGCGAGGCCTGGTCCCCAGTCTTTTGCGCCAGAGAAACAATTTACCTCGATGATGATGATGAGGTGTAGGTCTGTCATGTAGAATCAGATTACTGTTGTCAACGGTTGTTTCGAGTTCATATATACTATACTATTACACTATCATAAGAGGGTAGTTTGAGAGCATGGCATCGAGCGGATCTCATAAGTCGGTGGCAGAACCAGAGGTTCAATAGGCTCAATACAACCAAACAATTGTTGTATACTGCTGAGCCGTATGGGGTAATTGCGCTGGGTAAGCCCTCAACGACGCTCGGCGTGCGCCATTATTAGGGGCCATTTTGATAGTTTTGCATAGTTAACTATCCCAACTATAGTTAGTTAACTAACTATTGGGTCATAGTTGATAGTTAGATAGTTATGGCTGGAAGATGGGATTTTACACATAGTTAACTAACTAACTATGGAGCAACTAAGCTTAAGCGTAGCCTTGTCGACTCCTCCATAGTGCGCGCTGTTTGTGGCGTTTGTTTTAGGATGGAAGAGTCGAGTTGCAGTGTCGAGTTGCAGTGATAAGAGAAAAAACCCGCACTCCGTAACAAACGGAGGGTTTTCTAAACAGGAGTTATGAACAAGTAGGGTGGGAGGGAGGAGCTCAAAAAAATGGTCGATCGGCTTTGCTCAAAGAGCGCAGGTCCGATTAGTAACTAAAACACTGCAACTGACTTGGGGGATAGGGCATACCTTTGCTCGAAAAGCGCAGGGCGATGGCAGGGGAGGAAGGCGACGCGGTAGGTAGACGCGGCCAAACGAGGTCTATATACAAGGTAGCCCCATGAGTCAACTTGCCCAACAAGGACAGTCGTGATCCGGAATGCGAACCTTAGCTAGAAACAGCGAGCCGCGATAGTGCGAGTCTCGAAAAGTTCGCCCTTGCTCTAAGCAGTGGGTGCGATACGACCTTGCAAAGCAGCGGGTACGGCGGCTGCTTACAACGTAGTGGCAGGCTAGCTCATCAGTCCAACTGTCCAACAAGGGCAGAGGGCTTACGAGGGATGTTACCCACTTTGAGTGAGTAGAGACTGGCAGGGGGGGTGCCGGAACCACAACACGAAACGCTAAGGCGTGCGGGACGACGAGGGAGAGGGAGAGGAAGGGCCCGCGCGCGCCAGCGGGTGAGCAAGGCGGGAGGCCCAAGGGGGCCGAGAAGAGTGCGTGCTGGCACACGGTCCAAAGAATGCGTGTTCGAAGAGTGGAGCGCGAGCGGGCCCCGTTAGGCCGAGACCAGCGCGCTTGAGCTGTCCGCGTCAAAATCTTGCAGCAAAGGCCGAAAAGACTAAAGTCTCCTGCCACCTGCCGCAGCCTGCCGTCGACTCCATCCTAAGAGCGCAATGCGAACCGAAATAGCTGGGATGGAGTCGGATTTGCAGCCGTAAGAGCGCAATGCGAACCGAAATAGCTGGGATGGAGTCGGATTTGCAGCCGTAAGAGCGCAATGCGAACCGAAATAGCTGGGATGGAGTCGGATTTGCAGCATAAGAACCAGGCATCCCGTATTGTGTAATTGTGGTGATGATTGGCAGATGTAAGATGTGGGTTCATGCTGAGTTGAGGAGGGCTTGCTGCAGTTGAGGGGAAACCCTGACGTACTCCTCCCAAGCGGACGAGCGCCAACGCCCGAGCCGCTTGATGATATCCGCCGAGAGACCTTGCAGAGCGTAGTGAGTCGCGCCTCCGGCTCGTAGAGAGTGTCCACTGTAAGCTGATCCGAAGGTGCGACGGAGGCGGCCGATGAACCAGGTGCGGGTGGGTGGGAGACCTCCCCTTGTCAAGAACAGCAGGTCGGAGGACTTGTTCCGACTATCCCGGGCCTGCAGGTAGCGATGCAGGATGCGTAGGAAGGCTGGATCCGTCGTGCCGGGTGTGAAGTACAGGAACGACCCTTGCCAACGGCGGTCTGCCTTGTGGTACGGAAGATGGACTGAGAAGCCATTGGAGTCCATCTTCACTGTGCTGCGTCGCGGGAGTTTGGCTGGATCCCGAAAACGGATTGTTGAGGGAACAGTGAGCTCTGCACTCCGTGCACACGACGCGAAACCTAGAGACACCATCGCAAGGAACAGGAGCGAGTCGTAGTCCAGATCCCGGAGTGCCACCGCCGTGCGAAGTACGAAGGCCACGGAGCGGAAGCCTAGCGGTTTAGCTTGCTTCCGAGCTCGACGCTTAAGCTTGATACCGCCAATGATTGTGTTTCTGACTAGTTGTGAGGAGCGCACTATTGTCCATGTACTCCCCATGATCGGTAGGAAGTGGAACGCGAGGCCAGAGAGTGTCTGGTACACCGAGGAGACCGTACGGAAGCGATGTCGGATGAACGCCGACAGCATGTCTTCGGTGGGGTGATACATGATGTCATGGCCCTGAGCGCGGTAGTAGCTGATGAAAGCGATCCATTGCCGCAAAGCTCGAGCGTAGTCTGATCGAGTTTTGGGTTCGAGCGCAAGGATGGCGGCTTCGTCGCGTAGTTGACGAAGATCATCCAGCGGGAGCATCGGCTGAGCTCGAGTAGCCGGCTCCAAGAGAGGACGGGGCGCAAAGGAGACATGCCTTCCGTCCTCTCGTCTGATGTTCGTCATAACGACACCCCCTCCAGCCCGGGGATGAAGGGGTCGAAATGGGTGAGAGGGCTGAAGCGCCGGTGAAGCTGGACCTCGTGTTGCCTCGAAAGGTCGTCAGCGAGGGTGTTGTCTTTGCCATGGACGTGTATGACCTTGAGGTCAAACTTCCGGTGTTGGGCCATGACATATGATCGAAGGGTGAGGGTGCGCAGCGGCATGAAGTCGCCGTCTTTTGCTGCACCCGAGTCGACTGCGTACACCGCCGGAGCTGAGTCCGTACGTACGAGAACTCGCGAGAGCGGTTTGAACGGACTGGAAGGGTGTGTAACGATCCCTAATGCTAGAACAACCGTCAAGGTTTCTGCGAATTGGATACGTTTGTACGTTCGTTGCGGCCGACAGTAGTAGTGGTGAACCGTGCCTTTCCACTCAAACCAGAAGCCGAGACCTGCGCCCGTCCCCGTAGCGTTTTGGAGGCACGCATCGGTGTAGATAACGACATCCGCATCTTTGAGGCTCCAGCGAGTGAGACTTGGGCTATCTAGGCGGAGCGAGGGAGATTCGACGAGCAGCGTTGCCATAGCTGCGAGTGCGGTCGCAACCGAGGTGTTGATCGGCACCCCCGCGTCGGAACGTTTCTTGCCGGCAAGCTTCTCGTAAAGCGGGGTAAGATACGGGCGAGCCTGCGGAGCCACGTTGAGGGACCAACTCAGCCAGCCAGTCATTTGTCTCCACTTGCGGAGCGTGGGGTGCCGGCTCGGTTCCAGGAGGAACGCGTCGATTTCCCTGACGAGGTCCTCAATCGCCTTTTGGGGAAGGGACACGGAGAACGAGTCCAGGTCACAGTCGATGCCTGTGATCGTGATGCGCCGCCCATGTGGTGCCTTGTCCGGGGAGAGCTTGAAGGGCATGCCTAGTCCGGTCCACAGCGCTGCCATCGCTGCTTGTTGGGCCGGAATTGTGTGCGTAGTGCCGTTGTGGTTGTAAGCGACCATCGATCCTGCCAGATCGATGCCGAAAGCGTCGTCCATGTACGCAAGGGGGTGTTCGATTCCGTAGGCGTTGTGAGCCGCCCACATCAGTAGCGACATGAACCTAGTCCACAGGAAGGGCATCGCGCGACAGCCGAACACGCCCCTCCATTCAATGTGGTACCAGGTGCGTAGTGTACCGTCCGAAAGTCTGCGTTTGATTGCTATGCCTTGACGCGCCTGCCAGCGCTTGGACATGATGAGGATTTTGAACGCCGAAGAGACATCGAGCTTCCAGAGAACTGATGTGTCTGTAAGAAGTCCCGATGCAAACCGATGCCAGCGAAGGAGACGGATAAAGTCGATGATGGTATCATAGATCGTCGGGCAATCGGTTCGTTGGATGCCGTCGTTGAGACCGGAGGAGGTGTGGTCTGCCACCACACGCATCCTATGGTTGGTCGACTCGACTACGAAAATCGAGTTGTAGGTGACTCCCGGGAGAGGAAATGCGCTGCCGGGAGAGACCCATTGTTTCTTGACTTCCTCGTCCACAGTCGTTTGGATGAACTCGCGATGATGCTCGTTCTTAGGAAATCGTACAGACGCGGGGTCGTCGCCACGCGCGTTGCTGCCATCGTGCGGTGGTTCGAATCCTTCCGAGCGAAAAGCGGAGGAAGGAGTTGACTAAGGTCGTGTTTGGGTGCTCTGCCAGAAGCTTGCCCAGGTAGTGATCGTTAATCGTCCGAGTGAAGTTGAATTGGGAAGGGTACAACCGTTGAGTGTCCCCGATAATCGCCAGACGCTCTAGAGTGAAGTGGGCTCGAGGTAGCGGTCCGGGGAGCCTGCCCACGGACGTCGTCGAGGAAAGGAGTGGGGTAGTAGGATAATCCTTCGAGGGTGGATCGAAGTGGAATGACCTTTGGTACTTGGGTGCCAGCCCTAAGCCCGACAGGTGAGATAGAGAAGGGTGGCCCGGAGGTCCAGTGTCGTCTGAGATGACGACCGCAAGCGACGATTCGTCCGGGGCTATTGAATCGTCGCCGTCCTCGAGTTATCTAGCGCCGAGCGGCAGCATCAGCTGCTGCTCCCGTGGCTGCCACTGCGAGGCGAGCTCCCGATTTGAGCTGTCGATGCGTGCAGAGAGTACTCGAAGCTGCGTGGTTTCCCTTGCAAGCTGAGCAGACATGTCGATAATCGCATGCCTCTTCATCATGGAAGTCGCCTCGGTTAAACCTCTTGCAGGGGTTATATCACGAAGGACGAAGATAGGAGAGGTGAGCCGGACGAAGGGGCTCGAGACGAGGGCAAGGGCGAGTGACGAGTTGAGAGGTGTTCTAGGGACTTCTCACAAGAGGCGAGGACGAGGGACGAGTGCAAGGATGTGACCTTTGACGAGATTCGAGTTGCAGAAGGGAAAGAGAGAAGTGAGCTACGGAACTGGGAAACTAGACCAGAGTCGTCGGGGACGAGGTGGCGAGCTTGAGGAGGCGAGGCACGAGGATCACGTAATAGTGTTGAGGCCAAGGATCACGTAATAGAGCTTGGTTGATGTTCACGTAAGAGTCGGGGGCGAGAGGGTTGTGAGCGTATAGTTGGAGGAGAAGAAGGCAGTGCAGGTGCCGAAGCGGGGAGAGGAGGTCCGAAGCGCGGGAAGGCCGAAGTCACGCGGATGACGTGGGTGCTGAGAGGCCGAACTTGGAGTGGCGAAACTCCCATTCGTGACAGGTTACGCTTTTTCTTGCCCGGTAGCGAGCGTGGGTGCGAAGCATTCGAGGAGCCGTGGTTCGCCGTGGACGACCCCTCGCTTCGAAAGAACCGGTTGCCGGCGAGCCACTTGTTGATCAAGAGCGCGTAGACGCTGTCACCGAGTTTTGCGTCGAGGAGGGAATGGACCGACTTTCCTCTATCGGCCAGATCCCGACGGTACTTGTCATCGTACAGGACTACGAAGTCGAATCCGAGATCTGGATCTTGGGCCAATTCCCTCAAGAAGCGAGTGTAGTGCTGCCAGTCGCGACCTTGATGAGAGTTGAACACGACGCCTTCGAGTTTCTCGAGCTCCATCAAGGCTTCCGTGTGACCTGCTTGCGTGAGCGTTCTCTTTTTGATGCTAGCCTTGGATTGAACCATTGCTTCAATTCCGTAGAACTTGTTGCCGGAATGCTGGAACATGTAGAACAAGTCGGAAGGCGCTGGGTTATCGGCATCGACCGCGCTGACGAATTGACCGGTAAGGACCTTCATGATCTCTATGACGTCCAGTTTCAACCCGTGGTTCTTCTTGAGTATGGCGGCTTGTCTGTCTAGGCGGTAGACGTGCGCTCGAGGGAGTAGTAAGGCTTCTTTGTACATATCCTCTTTGTCGCGGCGAAGTGTCACGTAGCCGGGGAGTTCGGAGTAAGCAGTGCTAGGGACTGCCAGAGTCTCCTCGTACATCCTCGCCGCTTTCTCTTGAGCAATGGATGTAGCGGTCGGAGTCTCCTGGTCCTCATTGTCCTCATCGAGGAGTACACGACCACCTTGCGATAGCGTAGAAGGACGGTACGACACGACAGCGCGCTGGGCTGGAGGGGGTGCCGGGTTCTTGGACTTCTTCTTAGTCGGTCGCTGAGCGAGGCGATCGGCCGAGCCCTCGAGCTGACGGAGTTGGGTCCCCGCCGGATTCTCAGTCGGTTCGTCGCTTTCTTCCTCGTCAGAAGTCGCCCACGGATCGGCGTTGCGAGCGGGGCGCTTGCCTTGCATCGAGACCGCCGGCGCCGGTGGCGCGTGAGCTGCCCGCGAGGGTGCCGGAGTAGCAACCACCGTTATGATCCAACCGAGCGGTAAGGAGCAACGCTTGTATAGCACATCGTCCCCCTCGGGCAAGGCATCGAGGGGTACTTCACCTTCGATGAAGAGGTTGAAGCGTACGATGAGACGGCCGTCCTGATCCGAATCGAGCTCGTCGACCGTAAAGACTGGCAAGTCACCTAGGCCGCGGATTGACGTAACGCGTCGTTTTAGATCACCATCTTGTCCGGACCGCTCGTCGCGTCCGGTGTCACTTCGGCCGTCTTGAGCCGCCTGGGAGGATAAGGCGCCTGTCGACGTCTGACGCCGGAGGCGGTAGGATTGAAGACCCTTCGTCCAATAGCGCGCTCCGTATGCAGCGATGTAGTCGGCAGGGCGAGCGGAACCTAGAGCGTGCGAAATGACCGGATGCATTTGCGCTTCCTCGAGTGCTTCGATACTGATCGGGGTACCTCGAGGAAGTTTCTCGACTTGCGACTCCCAGAAGTTAAGGGCGGCAGGATCGAGCGCCATGCGTTCTAGCCCGGTTTTGAGGATCAATATATCGGCGTCCGTCAGGAGCCCGCCATCCGCCTCCGCCCATGCCTCCGCGATCTTAACGAGCGCCTTCTCGGTGAAGTTTCCCGAGGTGGGGATCGGATACGAGGAGTCCCAGGCGGGAGGCTCGTAAGGATCGGCAAAGGGGTCGACCGACATGATTATGATGGGTCGAGGCGAAGCGCAGCGGAGGTACGACCTAATATAGACGAAGATAGAACGACTATGCTTGTAAAGCGTGATTCTATTAGTACTCGGAATACTGCAAAGACTCTGAGGACTATGGCATACCTATGCTTGTAAAGCGTGTCGCTTGGAGACAAGAAGACAGCAAAGGAAACAGACCTCGGACGCTGGCACGTCGAGGGTGGGTCTGTGTAGCAAGGTAGCCAAGTCAGTCAACGTGTCCAACAAGGACAGTCGAAAGCAGGAGTACCCTAAGGTAGAGCCTGAAGGGGGGTGATGTACCTCGGCTCTTTGAGCGAGACGCAGGCGAACGGGAGAGAGGCGCAGCACTGGCAGGTGCAGGCAAAGGGAAAACAGACCTCGGACGCTGGCACATCGAGGGTGGGTCTGTGTAGCAGTGTAGCCAAGTCAGTCAACGTGTCCAACAAGGACAGTCGAGAGCAGGAGTACCCTAAGGTAGAGCCTGAAGGTGGGTGATGTACCTCGGCTCTTTGAGCGAGACGCAGTCGAACACGAAAGAGGCGCAGCACTGGCAGGTGCAGGCGGACGGCTGCATACAAAGTATGGAGCGTCAGTCAACCATCCAACAAGGAGTGTTGAAAAAAAAAAAAAGAGAGGCGTAACACAGTGGCAGCTGTTCGTCGTCAACTGGTAAGGCAGAAGACTGGAAGGCGGAAGCTGTACGGTATCGCTGGGGGGGTCCTGTGAGAAGCTCTGAACCTGTCAGCCAAATGGCGGCAGGAAGAGTTCAAGGAAGGCCACTGACCTTGGCAGGAGGTGGCAGAGGTACACAGCGATACTGGTACGGCAACGGCAAGCAGTGGGAACTGAAAGGTGCGGCAGGAGCGGGCTTGGTAAACTCTTGCGCAAGTGCGGCTTACAGACCAAGGCTCGAGGCAGGCGTGCGGGGCGCGGCTTACTGCAGGAAGGGCAGGCGTGCGGGGCACGGCTTATTGCAAGAGGGGCAGGCGTGCGGGCACGGCTTACTGCAAGGAGGGTAGAGGTCGCGCGCGCTTGAGTCCTCGGCGTCAAACTCTTGCAGCAAAAGCAGAAAAGACCATCGGCTGCTTCATGGCAGGGAGACGCGCTTAGACGCGGGGGATCGGCTTTACACTTCACTCTTAGCCACGCTTCGGGCTCCTACAAAACTTTGAGACTTGCCAACGCAGGCCAGCGCAAGTCACAGCGCACCGTCCTTTGCCGAAAGCCAGGTCTTTCTCGTCGTACCCCCGCACGTGCTGTCCCACTGCAGCATATCAAGCTGGCGACCGAGGTGCCGGCTCGCAAACAGCGAGGTCGGCTATCTCCGAGGAGGCCCCAAAGCCCAGGCGTCCCTCACAGCAGCCACAGGAGCCCTCCTCAGCCTCAAGTGACCGCCCTTGCGCCTACTCCTAAAACCGCTTCCCGTATTCCTTCAAGATCGCAAGCAGTACAAAGGCAAGGGTCGACAAGCTACCAAACGCTCCGAGGCACTTTGAATAGCGACTCCTCAATCAGCCTCGACGACCGAGCGGCGCCTGCATTGGATCCTCAACGCACATTCCCATTTGTTAGTGCCGGTGTCAGTCCCCGCCACATATCTAGGCAAGCTACAAGTCTTGCTCCACTATCGAGACCAGGTTTCGATCAGGTGGGAGTTGCCAGCAACTCTCTGACGCGGACCTCGGACGAGATCGTCGACGCGTCGACGACCGCGTCTCAACGCGACCCGGGTGTCGTCAGCGACATTGATAGCTCGACCCCCACACTCGGTCACGCGAACACAGCCATGCGGCGTCAGATGAGTCCACTCGAACCGCTTCAGATTCCGAATCTCAAGAATGATGTTGTCGTTGGCGATTCGGAGGAAGAAGGAGAGAGTGAGCATTTGTCATCTTCACGTGTTGATATGGGCCCTTTCTGTTTCTGACCAAGGAGGAAGCCTGATCCTTAGGTCTCATAGACACCGTATCGGATGGAAGCAACATTGTGAAGCCTGACCAGCCGAGCTACCTTCAGGACAAGCTACACGACAGCGGTACCGTTGATTCCGAAACCAATGTCTCTACCCATGACATGTCGACTTCGTCCCCCGTGCGTCGTTCCCGGACCCGATCGACTTTCGAGGGTAGTTCGATCGGCCGCCTGACGAATCGTGGGATTGAGGAGAACGAGAATGGTTTTATTCTCGAGGTTACCGCTCAGTCGAGTAAGGTCGCTGGAAGGGCCAAACGTACCAAATCGGCCCCTGTTCGTCGGGCAAGCACCTCGAAGCGCGCCCGCACAGCTACAGAGCCGGTCGAGGACGAGCACCAAGATTCCGACTTTTCTTTGGATGAGGCCGACCTACTCCGCACTTCAAAGCCGTTGGGCTCGGCGACCACGGATCAGCATGCGATTGATACGACTGTGCCGACCGGCCTGGAGAATTTGTGTACCGCTCCGGTTCGCAGTCGCGCTCTCGGGTGAGAAATGCCAGAAGTGTACGGGGTCGGACTTGCGGGCTCAAGGTCAAAACTCACACATTTCTGGCTTGCAACTTACCAAAGTGAACTCAATTCGCAAGACATGCGCAAGCCGACGAAACGTTCAAACAAGGTGCGTTCAGATGTTCGTGGCGGCAGCACTACGAGACCCGATCTCAACAGCAGTACAATGCACATGGTGTGCCATTGAATTCAGGTATCCTCGCGTTCCTCTTCGAAAGGTGGTACCAAAAGGGCCAACGAACAAGGTCCTTCAACCCGCACGTCGAGTCCGATGGAGTTGCTTCCGATATCGTCGCCTCCCGTCGACGAGGCCTCGTCCCTCCTACCACCTCAAATCGATCCTCAAAATGCAGCTTTACGAGCACAAGCTGAACCCGTGACCAAACAAGCCGAGATTAACGCGAAACCTGTTCGAGGTGAGTTTGCCCAGCCTGTTGCTACGTGCCACTGCACTTCACTGATTCCAACTCTTAACTGCCGAACCAAAGGTCTGGCTGGCATCTTGACCCGCAAAGGCATCGCGGGCGTTCGTCACCCTGGCTTATCAAAAGCTGCGAAAGTACCCCGACTCCACGCCAATCTGAAGCCACCTCCCCCGCCCAAGGCAGCGATCCCCAAGCCCAGAGAAAAGAAGAAGAAAGGAGACGAGTCCTATTCAGATGAAGAAAAGGTCAGCTCGGTACGGCGGGTTCGCAGTTATGCGGCTGGGAGGATACTAACGTGTTTCCCCCCACGTTGCTTCCACAGCCTTGGTGGAAAACCAAACACCCGGAAGAGTGGACAGATGAGGACTTTGAGCGGTACCGTCGCGTCACCGAGCGTCGCGAGCGCGGGCTTGATTCTGACTAGGTAGTTTCTCCGATCGTCCCTGGTGCTCGCCTGGTCTTTTCGATCCTTTGAACTGTTGCATCCCCAGAGTATTAATATGGCAGTTGTGCTGTAAAGTGTAAGTAAAGTGTAAAGTACTTGCTAGGTCTTTGATCGCTTGTGTTATCCGAACCGAAGGCGAGAGGCTATGGAGCGGTCAGACTCGGCTATGCCCTTCAACATCGTCAAGCAGTGTTTGGCTGTCATGGCGTCGTCGTTTTCCAGTCGTACGTATTTCAGCATCAGGTTCTGGCACCTCTTTAGTACCTGAACGCACTCGTCCCCGACTCGGGATGCGATATGCAGCAGCGTTTGCTCTACTTTGGCTTCGTTGCGAGCCGAGACGACATCCAGTAGGCCAGAGATGACATCTTGCCAAGACTGGAGTGCGGCGGATCCGTGATCAAGCCTCTCGATATGCAACAGGCGCAACGCAACAAGCGTACGGAAAGATGGGTAAGAAGCTTCGTCTGAGTTCGGATCGACCTGGATCGTCCAGCCTCGCCAGTAACCTTCCGCTTCCAATAGGTCTCGTTTGGCGCTGCCATGCGGGTCGTCCAACACGAGTTGCTCGACGTAGCTGCTGAGGTCGAGGTTGTTATTTTCCAAGTTGTTGGGTCCCAAATTGAACCCGTACTCGGCCATCAACAACGCATTGTCATGGGCTGGAACGGCCACGTCCGTCAGTTTCAGCTTACTTACGCAAGTGGAGGCGTAGAATGGGTGTAAAGTCTCACTCACCGCCGTACGAGAAGACGAGTTCATCGCCCTGTCGATAAGTGTCCTCGGTCGTCGAAGTAGCGGGCGGAGACGAGAACGACAGCGAAGAAGAGGTTCCTTGGGGTTGCGTCGTCCTGCTCGACCGGTGATTGATCATGTCGATTATAGGGCAAAGCGTGAGGTTGTCTGTCTGAGGCAGACCAAGGTCGTAGTAGAGACAACGGGTATTGACGTTGCACCATGCGATGTGGAACGCTTGGAAGCGCAAGCGGTCCGTCTCCTCGGGATTAGTCGCCAGATGATCGTCCCACACCGCTCTGCACCTTTTCCAGTCCACCTCGAAGCGGTTGATCACGTCGTCGGTGCGCACGGAGAGGCTCGGCGCGAGACAGGATAACAAGTCAACGCTCAGACTCTGCGAGGGCCCGGACGGCGTCTTGTCGGAGGCATCGATTTCGAAGCGGTCGCGTAGCTTGAACGAACTGGCGGCCAGCTCCCAAGTCAGGGGTATAGAGTCGAATCTCGTGGGAAGTGACTGCGTGAAAGGGCGGAAGAAATCCCTCGGTGTGGTGCCGCGGGCTCGCCCGTTCGCGTCCAACTGCGATTCTTCGGTGGCGGCGGATCGCAAGGCCAAATGAAGCGAGATCAATTGTGTCGATGTGAGGGAGCGTGCCACATGCGTGGAATACAGGGGGCCAAGACTGAGTTTGTTGCAAAGCAGTCGTGACGGAATCGAGACAATCGACGTTGAAGGCGGCACTGCGTGCGCCGCGACCAACGCTCGTTCACCTATGGGCCGTTGAAGACGTGGCTCACAACACTGTATCAGAATTAATGAGGTGTAAAAATGTGCAAGCATGGGTTGGCGTGTGGGTAACCAACCCCTCGGCCTGGCCATCGCAGCCCGCAGGCAGCGACAGCAGTAGCATCTCGTCCCGATGGATGCCCCAGGGCCAAATGCCTTCTGTTCGACTTACCCGGTGAAACCTCCCTGAGCTCTGCCAGGTTGCACTGCCCGCCATTAGACTCGACCCAGCGCCACAACTGCTCGATCCAGGGTGGAGACGAGCTTGCCATTGTGGGCTCGTCGGGCTGAAAGGGGCTCGCGCCGACTCGGAGACGGTGGAGGCGAGGAAGGAATCAGAATACAATGTAGAGATCAATGCCGGTTTAGCGACGGCTTACGTGGACACCCAGCCCCCACAAGCCCCCACTGCACCAAATCTCACTACTACCTCACTACACCCGCCTAAATCAGTCTAAGCTGCGCGCGCGCCTGAGCAGATACAGAAACCAACTCGGCCCGTCGGCTTCCTGCTGATAAGTGCCTACAGACTCCCCACCTTGGCCAGTCTACGCGGAAGCTCCGAGAAGGACCTCGAGAGTGACCAGATCTACCATGACCGATCCACCGACCACAGCAAGCGAGACATCTTCAGATGCCGTCCCGTCTCCAGTGCTGGCTTCCGCTGACGTCGTCACTCCAGAGGTGGAATCCTTACGTGCCATGTTCCCGGCCATGGACGTGTCCGACTTGACCGCTGTTCTGACGTCACACAACGGCTCGCTCGAGGAGGCCGCCGACACACTACTCGCCATGAACGACCCTACCTACAGACAAGCCGATGTGAGCCACGATCCTACCCCTGTGCTGCGAGATGCCACCCGTGGAGGTCGAGATCAGGGCATCCCCACGTCGCTTCCTCCACCCCCACACGTACGCGACGGTGCCGCATCTCAGCTGACTCGTTCTGGTTCGCCGCATTTCGCTCGGTCACCAGCTCGAAAGACTGCAGGTGGATGCTGAGCTCGCTAGACAACTCGAAGCTCAGGAGGAGCGACTTCTGCATCGCCGAGCAGCGCGGCAAAGTGCGGCCAATCCCGAGGTCTCCAGCCCGGCTGCACTGCCTTACACCCCCTACGTTCCACGGCATGGCGCAAGGCAACCTCTGGACCAAGGCCAGCACGCAGAGGCTGACAACAACGCGGATGACATTGACCAGTTGACGGAGCAAATGTACGTTTTTTCGCAAGAAGTGATCTTGTGTGTGACACTCGTTGTGTTGTGTGACAAGGCCCCATCAGCCGCACTCGACTTTTTGAGCTCCTCCCCCTTGGCTTGCATCAGGCTGACCCCTCATCACCACCACCGCGGCTCCTCGAGACCTCTAGCTCCAAGCTGGCAGAACAGGGTAGGAAAACTTTCGACACGTTCCTTGGAAAAGCAAAGGGCTTTGCGGGTGTGCTCAATGAGCGTATCAAGGCCTCGGCGTAGGTCCGCCTTCTCCAAGTCCGCCCCCGAGCCACTTGAGCCCATCCTGTACCTACGAGCTGATATTTATGTGGACGGGACAGCTCGCCTTCTCTGGCTACAGAGGATGTATCGCCTCCTCCGCCTCCTAAAGAACCAATCCTGACACCCGCTACATCAACCGGCACCCCCCGGACATCAAGACCTACCGACGACAAGCATCAGCAGACCGTCACCGTCCCCGAGCGACTTCCAAGACCGAACTCGGGCCCAGAGGAGCCTTTCGACGAAAATCATTCGCCTTCCTCGACACCAACCGGCTCGGGCGAGCGCTTAGCAACTCACGCCGCTGTCAGCCCCGATCCTCTCAAACCCGATCTTTCGCAGATCGAACATTTGCTGTTGCCTCGGAAGTCTGTGAAGCTTGAGCAGGCGCACCAAAAGGAAGACGACGACGACGACGAACTGGAGTATGTGAAGTCGCCCTTTGATGACGATTGATAGCCACCGTGACGACGGATTGTCATCATTTCCGCGAGCCTGCAACATGATCGGCTCGAGGGTCGAGAGTTGAGGGTCGATGGCTCGAGGGTCGATGGGTCGAGGGTCGATGGGTCGACTGTTTCAGAAGTCGGTTCCTCTCAATAGTTGACGACAGCGAACCTCAACAATAGATGCAGACGCGCCGCGATCTGATATCAAAGTGTCACAGCATTTGTCATGGTCGCCCACTGTCCAAGCCCCTGCCTGGAGCTGCAGCTTGCCAGCCGCTCACGCGGTGCGCGGCCAGTCGCGAAAAACCCAAACGCGAAAAACCTGGTCTAGCAAGATCGCCGGACCGGACGAAATTGCTGGGCGAAGTTCATGACGTGGGGGTACTACCAAGTGATCATGCCCAGAGAACAGCGCAGTCTAAGCCTAGTACCAACTGCTTTTCAAAATATCGCCATGATGACGTATGCCATTAGTAAGTGCCACGAATTCGCCCGCGCCCGTTTGCTCGTCGCCTTCGCCTCGTCAGCTCCGACTGCTCAGCGATCATACAGGTAATGGAGCTGCCAGATACGTTGCTCGACTCTTTAAGGGAACCTAGGCCTTCTCAAACGGTGTACCGTGAAGGTGAGTCAATTCGCTCGGCCTGGAATGTGAAACACGAACCACAGGCTACCGCTGCCTGCTTGAGCAGTTGCATAAGGCGTCTGCCGCAAACGACAAAGCAACCTGACGATGGGTCGTGAGATTTCGCAGAATGTACGCTGTGTTTCGACAACCATGATGGGCCCGAAGGCATCGACGTCTGCCTGCACTGCTTCAACGGGGCGTGCCCCGCCACGTCCACGAATCGGCACGGAATCCTGCACGCTCGTAAGACTGGCCACAATCTGCATGTCAACATCAAACGCATCAAGAAACCGATTCCTGCCATCCGGCGCGTAAGTGAATCGGCCGACATTTTGAACATGTCATGCCCTGACAAAGCCGCAGTAGCTAAGTGATACGTTGTGTGTGCCGTGGCCAGGACTCATTCGAACCGCCGTTAAAGAAGCTCGCCATTCGCGAGGACGTGGCTGAGCACGACAAGTACGACTTTGTCTCCTCCTTACGATCCTACAACGGAGAAGAAGCAGTCCAAGTGCGCGCTGATCAACGAGTATGTGCTGTCCTGCCTGCGAAGCGACCGACTTTTAGCATGATCGTTGACCGGTCATACCCACGCATTCCCTCCTCATCACCACGCAGCTCGAACCCATCGTTGCGGCAGTGCTTAGCTCGATGTCGTCTGCAAGAAGATCCGAGGTCAAGTCATGGGAGGAAGAGATCATACCTTGCGCACACACGAGTCACCTTGTCCAGTCTCCCGCTAAAAAGCTGCAATCCTCCGGTTAGTCAAGGATCTAGTCGGAGACAATCGCCTGTGCCCCACGCCGTGTTTCGTGCTGATCTGATGAACTCAATGCGACGCGATGCGACGGTACGCTCTCAGGACTTGCTACATGCGAGGCGGCGGGCTGTGATCTCACTTCCAACTTGTGGCTATGCCTGACGTGCGGCTCCCTCGGCTGCGGACGGTCTCAGTTCGGTGGGGGTGGTGGGAATGGACACGGTCTAGCTCACACCAAAGACCATAAACATCCGGTAGCGGTGAAGCTGGGCACAATCGAAGCGGATGGCTCTGCAGGTATGCGATCAATCGTAAATGCTGGTGCGCTAAGCACATCAACACCGCTGACCTTCCCACGGCCCCTCCTCTTCCATGCAGATGTCTATTGTTACGCTTGCGATGATGCTCGTGTGGATACCCAACTTACGGATCATCTCGCGAATTTCGGTATCGCCGTACAAGCTCAGACCAAGACGGAAAAGTCGATGACCGAGCTTGTAAGCGCGTGGTGCGGGCATCGACCACAAGTCAATCACCGCGTGGATCTAATGACTTTGCGATCTATCTTTTCATCGTCTCCCCTCGCAGCAAGTCGAGCACAACATGACCTACGACTTCGCTATGACTGGGGCAGACGGTGCAGAGCTCAAACCCCTGTACGGACCGGGACTCACTGGAATGCGCAACCTTGGGAACAGGTACGCAGACCTCTTCGCCCGAGGCACTTGACCTCAACTAACCTACACGACCTGCAGCTGTTATTTGGCCTCTTCAATGCAGACCCTTTTCTCGTTGCCTAGCATTCAAACGCGCTACCTCACCTCGTTTCACACCCATGTCACGCACTGCGCGCACCTCGCCCCAACAGAGTGTTTGGAGTGTCAGCTGGCCAAGCTCGCAGATGGTCTCCTGTCCGGCCGATACGCAGTGCCACCTCAAGACGATCATACCGATACCCTGCTTGGAAGCAGTGACTCGCCAGTCTCATCAGACCTGCCGACGCCTGCGTTCCAAGTCGGCATCAGCCCTAGCATGTTCAAGGCACTGGTCGGGAAAGGGCACTCTGAGTTTTCGACCATGAGGCAGCAAGACGCAGGGGAATTCATCGCGTACCTGCTCGAGAGCATGCGTCGGTCTAGCCGTTCCACAGGCTCAGATGATCCGACCAGCGCGTTCGGGTTTGCAATGGAGGAGCGCTTGCAATGCCCAGAATGCAAAGGCGTGCGCTACACAACCACGAAGGAGGAAGTACTTTCGTTGCCGGTCCCGATCGTTCCTCATAAGTCGAATGGTGATCACTGTCCCGAAGACGTTTACGAGCCTGCCGAGTTCACGAAGTGCCTTCAAGAACTGGTATCGCCCACCGACGTCGAATACACCTGCCCGACGTGTGACAGAAAAGTTCTGGCAACCAAGTGAGTGCAATCGTGGAGGGCAGCTTGGTGGGACCCGAGCATCTCATAACGCTCGATGATCACCATCCAGGGAAACGCACTTCTCAAGCTTTCCCGACGTGTTGCTGGTGACTGCTGCTCGTTTCCACTTCGACCACTGGGTGCCCCGTAAAGTTAGCGTCCCGATTTCCGTTCCGTTCGAGCCCATTCTCCTCGACTCTTTCCAGGGCAGTGGCTTACAAAGCCACGAAACTGAGCTTCCCGATCAACTCGAAGGTGGTGTTTTGGCTTTTTGGTGCCACGAGCCTGCACTGTTCTGGGGCGCTGACGCAAAATTTGTTCGAGTTCCCCAGACACGGTCAGCTCTGAGCCAGCGTACAATCCGGAAGCTATGGGCCAGCTCGCGGTCATGGGCTTCCCCGAGAACCGCTGTAAACGGGCCTTGCTGGCCACAGGCAACGCCGATGCCAATTTGGCGATGGAATGGCTCTTTTCTCACATGGATGATCCAGGTGAGTCAAAGAATGGTTGGACTTGCTCTTGCTCACTTGCCGACTTGTACTGAGCAAGCCTCCCAAACTGACTCGGACCGCTCAAGACGTGGACCTGCCCATTGAGCATGCACCACCCAGCGCCGCACCAACAAATGAGGAACTTGCGCCACTAGTAGAGATGGGATTCACTGCTTCCCAGGCAGCAAGGGCACTCCGTGAGACTGTGAGTTGGATGGCGCCTAGAAAGCGAGCTCGGTAATACAAGCTCATATGGCTCTCCAACGTAACCTAGGGCCACGACGCAACGCGGGCCATAGACTGGCTCTTTTCTCATCCTGAAGAGCCTCAAACAGACTATGGAACCTCCAGTGGTGCAGCGCAGTCACTTCACCCCCCAAACATCGGATCGACTACGCTTCCAGCGAAATATCAGCTCAAAGCGTTCATTTCCCACAAGGGCCCCTCGGTTCACTCTGGGCATTACGTCGCACATGTGCGGGGTTCCTCGGATGCTCGCTGGGTTCTGTTCGATGACGAAAAGGTGGTTCGCGCAGACAAGGGTTCGCAAAGTGCAGAGCTACTTGCTCCGCTGGCCTACGTCTACATGTTCGAAAGGGTCTGATATGATTTCATGGTAGCAATTTGTGCTTGCTGTGCATTTCAAAATTCTGATTTTTGAGGACAAAACTGAACCTCCCTCAGACAAACCGACTCCGGTTACGACTTGTATTGGATCTCTGGATCCTGGAGGGTGTTATTACAATGTCACTCATGGATGAACGAAAAAAAAGGCAACAACGATGTTCAAAAAAGATGGAGAGGCAGGGAATCGAACCCGGGACCTCATGCAAGTTGTACAAGACAGTGCTAAGCAAGCGCTCTACCCCTGAGCTACATCCCCCATGATGTAGGACACGTCAAAAGTTGGCGTTAGAATATTCAACAACAGATCACGTGACCACCACCACCGCAGCCAGACGATCTCAGGAGCTTCTGGAAGGCGGTCAACTCGAAGGCACTGACAGCGAGGGAGAGGGAAGTTTGGTTCAAGCTGATTCTCCGCTTCACCCCGACGCGCAAGCTCCAGCACGAGCAAAAGCATGTCACTTCTCCCGCGTGCCTCGTGTGCGAAGCGCCGGTGGACGACACCGATCACTACTTCTTCGGCTGCGTCGACTCGCGGAACGTCTGGACCGCGGCAAGGGGCGTGCTCTGCGACGCGCTCGGATGCGACACGATCGAGGACGCCGAGTACACGACACTACAACGACTCTTTGGCCTCCCCAAGCTCAAGGCCAAGCTCAGCGAACAGGAAGGCGCAGGCAGGACGATCGAGATCTTCACGGGGATGGTCTTGGAGATGATCAGCAGTGGGAGATGGAGGATGCAGAAGCACGGGACGAGGATGGAAAGCCTGGAGCGGAGGAGGGTGGTACTGGAGGAGAGGATGAAGTTGAGGGCGGGAGGAGCAAGAGGCAGGCGAGGGCAGTAGAGGCTAGGTTCGATTTCCCCCCACCCCATCCCACACTCACACACCCCACATCACACATCCTCTTACAAAAACTGTATACTAAATATATTTTCTTCATCTTTCTTTCTTTTATTACAGGTCTGCCTCCGTTGCTCATGGACCGGCTCGCGATTTGGGATTGACTCGACGGTGGCTCGCGCTCTTTGGCTTCGGGGTTCTGAGTCAAGGGAGGGATCAGCAGACACAGGCAGAAAGTCGGCTTTGAGGGGCCAGGGACTGCTGAGGTGGAGGTTTTGAGGGGCCTCCACCGCGTCTTGTTGTGACCGAGCATAGACTTGGGGACTTCGCGGGTCAGGGTAGCTGCGCAGTCGCTCTCCTGTCTTTGTCTCGACCGAGTTGGGAAGTGGGTGCGGGGTGGGCCTCTTGTCGTTAGTACGCCAGTTCTTTTTCATTTTCTCTCTTTCTCTTCTCTCTCTCATTCGTCTCCTGGGGGGGAGCAACCGCTTGGCTGGGGCACTTGAATCCGAAGTATCGGATTGGTGGACTTGGCCCGTTTCTCGCATCTTGCGGGCGGTTTGTGTTATCATCGTCGACTTCCATCTAGTTTTTCCGTAGGCCAATCAGGGGGAACAGGAATTGGGGGCAATATGATGAACGGTTTCTACAAAAAAAAAATCACTTCACTTCACTTCACTTCACTTCACTTCACTTCACTTCACTTCACTTCACTTCACTTCACTTCACAATCGCCCTACTGCAGCCTTCGATACTCGAGTTAACAAGTGATACACCGACAAGATGTCTACCGGAGACCCTGGGTCCCCACTGCCGGCACCGCCACCACCGGTATCCGCCACCAGCGTCCAGCCCCCCCGCGACCGGATCCCGATAAGCTCGAAGAAGACGCAAGTCACGGGCCCCGCCACCGCCGCACCCAACTATGCTGCCGCTGCGAGTCAGATGGCGGCTCAAACACCTGAACAACAGCAACAACAACAACAGCGTGCCAAGGCTCTGGGCAGCCTCCTACAAGCCATGGGTGCTGTACCCGGAAACCGTATGGATCGCTGGGTCCAGGCCATCTACTTCGCCGAACTCTACCCCGTCGCCACCGCCACATCGCTGAAATTTTCGGCCTTGAACGCGAACCGGTCCGTCGAGAACATCTTCGATTACGCCCTTGAAGTGACTCTGTCTCACCAGAGCGCCTCGCGAGCGACTCATGCCGACAAGATCGATCTCGTGGCCTGCGTCACGAGGCTGCTATCGCCCATCTCTCCTATCTGCTTTGAGCCTGGAGTTCCTCTGCCGGACCATCTTGCGGCTTATCAACCACAGATCTTAGGCGTACAACATTCATCAATCCTGCGTAATGGGGCGGCTCACCATCGCGTTACGGTTGGGTTCGTCACCGGCGAGGCACGTGACGCGGCGCTCACGACGCCCCCCGCTCTCACTTGGCGATCGGCGAAGGCCCGCTTCGCGAAGTCTCACAGGTTCCACCATAACATGGTCGAGCTTCGAATCAACGTCGGTGTTCAAGGAGTGCCCTCCATGGATGCCATCATCAAATCGTTCCAATCACTTGTGCAAGACCTGTCAGCCAAGGGACATTCATGCCAACTTGTGCAGGTTCTGCGCGTTATCAGCGTGGACAACGCCTCGGCCTTCGCCCACGTTGCCGGAGACTACTCGGCTTTCCTACACTTCGATGACGACTCCCTATTCCAACGCCCCAACACGACCTTGAAGGAGATTCTACCTTCGAGGATCGACCTTCCCACTCGAGGCATCCCGGTTACCGCCCTTCGCCATGACTATGAGAAGGAGGCGGCTTGCGGTAGGTGCCACTTTGTGGGTCACGTGGGAACCTGCGGACTGGATCAGGAGAGGAAGCGGAAGGAGGCTCACAACGGCATCATCAACAGCAACAAAAACACCATCACCCACAACACCAACATCGCGGAGGCCGAGGCCCCCATTCCTGCACTGGTTGTTAACAGGATCGCATCACAGAATCACTTCGCCGGGCTCGAGGTCGAGGAGGGACAGGAGGAAGAGGTAACTGGCCAGGGCGAACAGGGACCGGAGGAATCGGGGGAGGAAGACGCTGGTGATAAGGCGGATGACGAGGACTCGGAGGACTCGGAGATGGAATCGGAGGCGGCCGCGAAAACGGAGGTCATCAAAATTGAAAGCGAGGACGAGTCGGTCTTGGAGGACTGCAGCGGATCCGATGGAGAGGTGATTGATGAGAATGAGGTGATGGCGGATGAAAGAGGTGAAACGGGAGGAGAGGTGGCTACGGAGATGGAGGAAGAGGAGGTGGCGACGGAGGTGGGCGATGTGGACGAAGCGAGGGGATCGACGAAAGCGGAGAATGCGGAAGCGACGGACTTAGGGGAAACGAACAGGCTGGACAATGACGACGACAGCGACGCCACAGCAACCGCCGCCACCGCTTCCCGCGAATCGACGCCGCACGAACCAACCCCACCTCTGTCACCCGAAACTCTCGCCAAGTCGCTACGCGAGGGGGAGGAGTGGGACAGGATCAGAGCTAACTGGGTTGAGCAGGCACGACTTGAGCGGGACCAAAGCATCGAGAGGAGGCTCAACGCTGAAACCCCTTTGGTGCGTCACAACTTTGCCACGTGGGACGAGGACGGTGAGATACGCTCCATCAACATCAGGGGGACCGCTGCGAAGTTCAAGAAGCAGGTGATGAAGAGGTCGCAGACTGCGGCGGACCTCAGTGACCCAAGTGACGAACCGACCGACGCCAAGCGAGTCATCATCAAAGGGAAGGGCCGCGTCGTGGTGAAGGATGGAATAGAGGGGCGGAGGGTGACGAGGTCGATGTCGGCGGCAGCGGCGATGCAGGTCGAGGTGACGAAGGTGGACAGAGGGAAAGGAAGAGGGGTAGCTGAGGAAAAACGATGGTCCGACCACGAGCCCGAGGACGATGTCCTGCCCGCCCTTCCCCTCTTTGAGGACGTCACCACCGCCAAGAGCGCCTCGACCTCGACTACCCATTAATGATCAAGCACACCATCATCACCTGGAACGTAAGAAGGGGCATGGGGGTCCCGGAAAAACGACGTAATATCTACACCTACCTTTCCACATTTAAAGCTTCCGCGATTCTCTTACAAGAGCATTTCATCAGACCACAATTCTGGCAGCTCATCAAGGACGAGTACGAGGGCAAGCTCTTCATCAACCAGCACTGCCTGACCCTGATCCCGGCCGACTCGCCCCTGATCGACGCCGAGCTCTTGCGCACCCACTCGGCACTCGACGGCCGGCTCCTCGTCACCTCCTTTCGTCTGCGGGGCGACATCAAAATTCTAGAAATCAATAACCTCTACGCGCCCGTTGACCCAAAACAACGAGCAAAATTCTTCGACAAACTGATCCTCCACAAAACACAGAAATCCCACCTCCGACTCCTTGGCGGCGATCTCAACGACTGCCCGCGCCCAGAAGTCGATCGGCGGAACCAAAGTCGGCGCGGCCACCACTGGCCGATTCTGATGGGCAAGCTCGACTCGGCCTACACGGACTGCATCCGCTACAAGCACCCCATCACCCCATCTTTCACTCGACCTAATCCCAATCGCAAGCGACCCAACTCCTTCTCCCGGCTTGACTACTTTCTCCTACAAAGAGCTCACCAAAAAAGGCTCGACCAGGCCTCGACGATCTACGACTATCCCAAGGATCTTTCCGATCACCGACCGGTCTTGATCGTACTAGCTCTCTCAGACGATCTTGATGCGGCTCTCCCACAGCTCAGCCTACCTACCACATCCGACCAACTACATCGAATCAATACCACAACCTTCAAGACGGTGGAATTTCAGCGGATGATGGAAGGATGGTTGGAAGGGGCAAGCGGGGAGGATCCGGTGCGAGAGCTTGAGGAGGTTCTGGAGGCGTGCAGGGACAGGGGTGGGGAGATGGCGAGGAGGCTGCATCGGGAGCGGACGGAACGGATGGAGTATTTGGTGGGGAGGGTGCAGGATCTGGAGGCGTTACCGGTATGGGGGGAGGCGGAAACGGCAGAATGGACAAGGACGTCCGAGGAACTCAAGCGGGCGGTCGAGGAGCGCGCGCGCCTACTCCGGATCCGAGCCCACGTCCCCGAGATCGCTTCCGAGGAACGACTGTCGCGGCCGGTCCACGCCAAGCTCGCGGCGCGGAACTCGGACTCCAAGATCACAGCACTGCGCTTGGGCAACGGAGAGCTAACGCATGACATTGATGTCGCTCTTGACCACACGCAGGCGCATTTCCAGCGCCTCTACCACATCGAGCCTCGTGATCCGGAACGCGTCGACCGACTTCGGGACGAACTCCTCGTGCCGATCAGGGCGGCACGGACTTGCGACGACCCGCGCTCAGATCCGCTCTTTCTGCGCCGACTCTCGGAAGCGCAGATTGATCTCCTCCAGCAACCCATCACCGAGGACGAGGTCGTGGCCGCGATCGGGACGACGCACCCGGGGAGATCGCCGGGCCCGTCGGGCGTGCCTTACGAACTCTATCAGACCGCACCGGAGGCGTGGTCCAAGGTGCTGACCAAGGCCTACAACGCGATGATCGAGCGCGGTTCACTCTCTCCCAAGCAGGGCCAGGGACTCGTGCGCCTCATCTTCAAGCGCCACAAGAAGAATGCCGATCGCGCCGAACTCTCGTCGTATCGCCCCATCACCCTGCGCGAGTGCGATTACAAGATTTTTACCAAGGTCTACGTCGCCCGATTGAACCAAATTCTGCCCGATCTCCTCCCGCCGCAGCAGCACGGCTTCGTCAAGGACCGCCGATCGGCCGACGCTGCACTACACCTTCGTCTCCTGATCGAGGAACTTGGCGCGCGCAGGACCGAGTTCCCCGCGGCCGCGCTCTTGTCTCTTGACCAATCATCCGCCTACGACCTCGTCGAGCATGACTGGATCTTTGCCATCTTCGACGCTCTGGGCGCTCCTACCACCTTTCTTCGCGTGCTGAGGATGCTCTACTCGGGTGACTCGACCTCGGCGCGCTACATCATCAATGGGTTCCTGACGGCGCCGGTGCGACTGACGTGTGGGCTCGGCCAAGGGGACCCGGCGTCATCGTCGGTCTGGGACATCGTGTTTCAGCCGTTCCTGGATGCTCTACACCGTCGAAACATCGCGCTGAATCTCTCCATACCTGCACTTCATCCGTACCCACAGAGCCGCGCCATTACATCACTTGCATTTGCCGATGACGTTGTCGTCGCCGTCGCGGGCTTGGAGTCACTCAACTTGCTCGATGACCTGGCGCTCGACTGGAGGCATGCAACGAATGGCCGGCTCAACACGGACAAGACGGTCGTCCTACCGATTGGACGTCGCTGGGACCCTGGGGAACGGCCAATCGTCGTCAAGGCCGCAGGCGAGTCGCTCGAGTGGATCGGCCTCCCCTTCGACCCCAGCGGCGACACCGAACTCGCCTACGCGAATCTCATCGAACGGCTCGAGGCGACGCTGGAAGCGGTTCAGCATCGCTGGCTCACGCACCACACCCGTGCCTTTTACGTCAATCGGTACGCCATTCCCAAGATCCTGCATTTCCTTGCAGCCGACATCCCGCCGCCCGAAGTCGTCAAGAAGCTCGATGACATGCTCGTCGATTTCGTCCGTGGGGGCAAGGGCAGGACCAGCTACGGCAGAGACATTGTGTTCACCGCCAAGAACAAGGGGGGACTCGGGGTGATAAGGATGCGGGACGTTGTGGACGCGGTTGCGGCACGGCTCTGGGACGTTCTTCTCGGCGGTTCCGGCGCGATTTGGCAAGGACTTGCGCGCGCATCACTCCAGCGAGCTCAGCCCGACCTCGACCTGGCCACCGATCTCTGGCCACATCCATCCACTCCCATCCCCAACGACCTTCATCCCCGATGGCACGCCGCACTGGGCGTTCCGAAACTTCACGACGCGCAGGTCAACCCGAGGGCCTTGACCACCGCGAACTTGCTCGCGCTGCCCACCCTGCTCGGCAGCCTCCACACCCCCATCAGAGGGAGACAGACCATCGACGCGGTTCATGTACCTGACTACCTTCGTCTCCAGGGCTACCCGAAGGTGGCGGATCTCTATCGACGCGAGTTGTATGCGGGTGGGGGGTTTCACCTCTGGACGCCGCCGGCGGATGTGCTCGGCGACAACAGCGAGTACGATCGACGCGGGCTCCCGCAGCGACTGGCAATCGCGGCCTGGTACCGGTTCACTGTCGATCGACACAAGAACACCCCCTTGGCGGCGGCGGTGGCGGCGGGACGACTCAACGTGCCTCCCCGGATCGGCACCAGCGCACCACTCGAGGCGATCATCCCCAAGCCCGTGGCCCGCTTCGCAATGGAGCAGCGCCTTCCGGACCCGGTGCTTCCACAACAGGCGAGCCAGTATACGCTGCTGAACATGGCTCGCCCCTACACAGTCCGTCGCATCCGCCGGGTCCTGAACGCGAAGGCATTTACCAACATGCTTGGGCTCAAGGGACCACCGCAGCCGGACGACCTCAGGAGCTTCTGGAAGGCAGTCAACTCGAAGGCACTGACGGCGAGGGAGAGGGAAGTTTGGTTCAAGCTGATCCTCCGCTTCACCCCGACGCGCAAACTCCAGCACGAGCAAAAGCACGACACTTCTCCCGCGTGCCTCGTGTGCGAAGCGCCGGTGGACGACACCGATCACTACTTCTTCGGCTGCGTCGACTCGCGGAACATCTGGACCGCGGCAAGGGGCGTGCTCTGCGACGCGCTCGGATGCGACACGATCGAGGACGCCGAGTACACGACACTACAACGACTCTTTGGCCTCCCCAAGCTCAAGGCCAAGCTCAGCGAACAGGAAGGCGCAGGCAGGACGATCGAGATCTTCACGGGGATGGTCTTGGAGATGATCAGCAGTGGGAGATGGAGGATGCAGAAGCACGGGACGAGGATGGAAAGCCTGGAGCGGAGGAGGGTGGTACTGGAGGAGAGGATGAAGTTGAGGGCGGGGGGAGCAAGGGGCGGGCGAGGGCAGTAGAGGCTGGGTCTGCCTCCGTTGCTCATGGACCGGCTCGCGATTTGGGATTGACTCGACGGTGGCTCGCGCTCTTTGGCTTCGGGGTTCTGAGTCAAGGGAGGGATCAGCAGACACTGGCAGAAAGTCGGCTTTGAGGGGCCAGGGACTGCTGAGGTGGAGGTTTTGAGGGGCCTCCACCGCGTCTTGTTGTGACCGAGCATAGACTTGGGGACTTCGCGGGTCAGGGTAGCTGCGCAGTCGCTCTCCTGTCTTTGTCTCGACCGAGTTGGGAAGTGGGTGCGGGGTGGGCCTCTTGTCGTTAGTACGCCAGTTCTTTTTCATTTTCTCTCTTTCTCTTCTCTCTCTCATTCGTCTCCTGGGGGGGAGCAACCGCTTGGCTGGGGCACTTGAATCCGAAGTATCGGATTGGTGGACTTGGCCCGTTTCTCGCATCTTGCGGGCGGTTTGTGTTATCATCGTCGACTTCCATCTAGTTTTTCCGTAGGCCAATCAGGGGGAACAGGACTTGGGGGCAATATGATGAACAGTTTCTACAAAAAAAAAAAAAACACACTTTCACTTTCACTTTCACTTTCACTTTCACTTTCACTTTCACTTTCACTTTCGAAATCGCGCCACCCACCACCTTCGAAGCTACAAGTGATACATCAGCCTACATTAGCATGGAGACCGGCGAGACCGGCCCACCCCCACCATCGGCGTCCGCGGCGACGAGCGTCCCGATTGGGACAAAGGAGACGCAAGTCCCTATCGCCGCCGCGACCTACGCCACCGCCGCGATTCAAAAGACCAAGCAGACTCCCGAGCAGCAGACCCAACAACAACACCGTGCCAAGGCTTTGACCCAAATGTTCGAAGTCATGGGTGCTGTACCGGGCAATCGCACCGACCGGTGGTTGCAAGCCACCTTCGCCACCGACGAGTACCCTGTCGCTACCGCTACATCGCTCAAGTATTCGGCTCTCAACGCCAATCGATCCATTCGAAACATCTTCGACTTTGCTCTCGACGTCACTTTGACCGTCCAAGGCGCCTCGAAGGCCTCTCCCGCGGACAAGGCCGATCTGCTCGGTTGCGTCACGAGACTGCTCTCCCCGCAATCGCCCCTGTGCTTCGACGCCGAGGTCACCCTTCCCGAGCACCTTGCGGCGTTTGCGCCCCAGATTAGGGGTATCCAACACTCGTCTTTCGTCAGGGCCGGTGTGGTCAACCACCGTATCTCCGTGGGATTCGTTTCGGCGAAGGCACGTGACTCGGCGCTTACGGCCCCACTGGCGCTTACTTGGCACTCTGCAAAGGCTCACTTCGCAAAGGCCCACCACTTCTACCACAACATGGTCGAGCTGCGTATCAACGTCGGTGTCGCAGCGGTCCCATCCAGGGATGCCATTGTTGACTCTTTTAAATCAATTGTCACCAAAATCACAGCCAAGGGACACCGTTGCGAGCTGGTACAAGTCTTGCGCGTGATCCACGTCGATAACGACTCGGCCTATGCGCACTTGGCCGGCGAGTTTTCGGCCTTTATCCGCTTCGACGACGACGCCCTTTTCAAAGCCCCTAACAACACGCTGAAGGAGCTCCTACCGTCGAAGGTCTCTCTAGCCACTAGAGGCAACATGCATACGGCGGTTCGTCACGACTACGAACGAGAAGCGGCCTGTGCTCGGTGCCACTTTGTGGGGCATGTGGAGACCTGCGCGCTGGAACAGGAGAGGAGGCAGAAGGAAGCGAACAACAACACCGGAAGGCACAACAAGTACCACAACAACCCAACCAACACCAACAACAACAACAACGACACCACCAACACCAACAACACCGACAACGACGCTTCCGAGGTTGTGGCCCCTAGCCGCGCCCTCGGAACCGACCAACTCGAATCGCGGAACCGATTTGCGGGGCTCGAGGTCGAAGGAGGACAGGAGGATGACGTCGAGGAGGAGGATGCAGGAAAGGAGGGCGAGGAAAAGGAGCAGGTCGAAGAAGGAGACGAGGATACGGGCGCCAAGGCGGACGACGAGGATTCGGACTCGGATGGGAACGCCGGAGCGGGCATCGACAAGGCGGGAGGCGACGACAAGGACGACGACAAGGACGACATCAAGGACGAACAGGACGACAGCTCGGAGGGAAGCGAACAAAGGGAGGACGAAGGAAACGATGGGGATGACGTGATGAAAGATGGAGCAGAGGAGGAGGACGAAGGGACGGAGACGGAGGTGGAAGAAGAGGTCGAGCAGGAACAGGGGGTACAGGACGACAGCATCATGATCATCGACGACGACCAAACGACGATCACCACGGTTTCCCGCGAGTCGACTCCTCGGAGTCCCTCGTGGCCTCCACTATCTCCTGAGACGTTGGCAAAGTCGCTGCGCGAGGGTGCGGAGTGGGACCGAGCTAACGCCGAAGCTGCTGCACGTGTCCAAGCAGAAAAGGAGGCGATCATCAACGCCCAACTCGACGCGGAGGAACCGCTCGTTCGCCACCAATTTGCAGAGTGGGGTCAGGAAGATGGACAACTGCGATTCATCAACATTCGTGGCACCGGCTCCGGGTCGAACAAGAAGATGAAGAGGTCGCAAACGGTGGCCGATCTCAGCGATCCGAGCGACGACCCGGTCGATATCAAGCGCGTTCTGAACAGGGTCAAAGGTCGAGCAGGAAAGGAGGTAGCGGGTCAGGGGAAGAGGGTGACGAGGTCGATGTCGGCGGCGGCGGCGATGCAGGTCGAGGGGGCCAAGGCGAAAGCGGAGAAGGGTAAAGGGGTGGAGGAGGAGAAGCGCTGGTCCGACCACGAGCCCGAGGATGACATTCTCCCCGAATTCCCACTCTTTGAGGACGACACTACCGCCAAGAGCACGTCTACATCGTCTATCCAATAATGATCAAGCACACCATCACCAGCTGGAACGTGAGGAGGTGCATGGGGATCCCGGAAAAGCGACGCAACATTTACACCTATTTATCAACATTCAAAGCATCCGCCATTCTACTACAAGAACACTTCATCAAACCGGAACTCTGGCAATGTATCAAGGACGAGTACGAGGGCAAGGTCTTCATCAGCAAACACTGTCTGACTCTGATCCCCGCCGACTCGCCCCTGATCGACGCCGAGATTTTGCGCACCCACTCGGCACTCGACGGACGAATCCTGGTCACCTCCTTTCGACTTCGAGGCGACATCCGGATACTCGAGATCAACAACATTTACGCACCAGTCGATACAAAACAACGACTCACATTCTTTGACAAACTACATTTCCACAGGACGCAGAGCACCCACCTTCGACTCCTCGGCGGCGATCTCAACGACTGCCCGCTGCCGGCGATCGATCGGCGGAACCAAGGTCGGCACGGCCATCACTGGCCGATCCTGATCGGCAAGCTCGACTCGCCCTACACCGACTGCATACGATTCAAACACCCGCTCACACCATCTTTCACTCGACCCAATATCGTCCGCAAGCGACCAAAGTCCTTTTCACGACTTGACTACTTCCTTCTGCAGCGCACCCACCAAAAGCGACTCGTCCAAGCCTCGACGATCTACGACCACCCCAAGGACCTTTCGGATCACCGACCGGTCTCGATCGTCCTAGTTCTCTCGGACGAGCGAGGAGACGCGGCTCAACCCAACAACAGTTTACCAACGACATCAAACCAATTACATCGTATCAACGCGGCGACCTTCAAGACGGCGGAGTTCCAGGGGATGTTGGAAGGATGGTTGGAAGGAGCGAGTGGGGAGGAACCGGTGGGGGAGCTCGAGGTGGTGCTGGGGAACTGCGCGAAGGAGGGTCGGGAGCTGGCGAGGAGGGAGCATCGGGAGCGGGTGGAGCGGATGGCGGTCTTGGTGGGAAGGGTGCAGGATCTGGAGGCGTTGCCGGTGATGGGGGACGAGGAGACGGCCGAATGGACGCGGACGACGGAGGAACTTAGGCGAGCGGTCAACGAGCGCGCGCGCCAACTTCGGATCCGAGCCCACGTACCCGAAATCGCTACCGAGGAACGACTGTCGCGGCCGGTCCACGCCAAGCTCGCGGCACGGAGTTCGGATTCCAAGATCACAGCACTGCGATTGCCCAACGGAGAGCTGACACATGACATTGACGTCGCGCTTGACCACACACAGGCGCACTTTCAGCGCCTCTACGATCTCGAGCCGCGCGATCGGGACCACGTCGAGCGACTTAGGGACGATTTCTTGGCGCCGATCAGGTCGGCGCGCACTTGCGACGACCCGAGCTCGGACCCGCTCTTTCTGCGACGACTCTCGGAAGCGCACATCGAGCTGCTGCAGCAACCCATCACCGAGGACGAGGTCGTAGCCGCAATCGCAACAACACACCCCGGTCGATCGCCGGGTCCATCTGGCGTGCCCTACGAGCTCTATCACACAGCGCCGCGGGCGTGGGCCAAGGCGCTGAGCAGGGCCTTCAACGCGATGACCGAGCGCGGCTCGCTTTCACCGAAGCAGGGGCAAGGACTCGCTCGCCTGCTCTTCAAGCACCACAAGATCGGGGCCGATCGCGCCGAGCTCTCGTCGTACCGGCCCATCACCTTGCGCGAGTGCGACTACAAGCTCTTCACCAAGGTCTACGTTGCGCGACTCAACCACGTGCTGCCGGACCTGCTCCCACCGCAACAGCACGGCTTCGTCAAGGGCCGCCGATCGGCGGACGCGTCATTCCACCTGCGACTCTTGATCGAGGAGCTGGGCGCGCGCGGCACCGAGTTCCCTGACGCGGCGCTCTTGTCTCTTGACCAATCGTCGGCTTACGACCTCGTCGAGCACGAATGGATCTTCGCCATCTTCGACGCTCTCGGCGCTCCTGCCGCCTTCCAACGCGTTCTGAGGATGCTCTACTCGGGTGACTCAACCACGGCGCGATATATCATCAACGGCTTCTTGACTCCGCCGGTGCGGCTGACGTGTGGGCTCGGCCAAGGGGACCCGGCGTCGTCGTCGGTCTGGGATGTCGTGTTCCAGCCGTTCCTGGATGCTCTGCACCGTCGAGGCATCGCGCTGAACCTCTCGCTTCCTACCATTCACCCCTACCCACAGAGCCGCGCCATTACATCCCTTGCGTTTGCCGATGACGTCGTCGTCGCCGTCGCGGGCTCGGAGTCACTCAACTTGCTCGACGACCTGGCGCTCGACTGGAGGCTCGCAACCAATGGCCGGCTCAACACCGACAAGACCGTCGTACTACCCATCGGGTGTCGCTGGGAGGCTGGCGATCGTCCGCTCGTCGTCAAGGCCGAGGGCGAGTCGCTCGAGTGGATCGGCCTATCTTTCGACCCCACCGGCAACACCGAACTCGCCAACGTGAATCTCGTCGCACGGCTCGAAGCGGTGCTCGATTCGGCACGGGACCGAGGGCTCACACACCACACCCGAGCGTTCTACGTCAACCGATACGCCATTCCCAAGATTCTGCACATCCTCTCCGCCGACATCCCACCGCTCGAGGTCGTCAAGGAGCTTGATCGCATTCTCGCCGACTTTGTCCGCGGCGGCAAGAGGAGGTCGTGCTATGGCAAGGACGTCGTCTTCACACCGAGGTTCAAGGGGGGTCTTGGGGTCATGCGGATGCAGGACGTCGTCGACTCGGTTGCGGCACGCGTCTGGGACGTGCTTCTTGGCGGTTCGGATGCGATCTGGCAGGGACTTGCGCGCGCGGCGATTGTACGAGCCCATCCCGCCCCCGACTTTGACTTGGCAACCGATGCGTGGCCTTGCGACTACACTCCGATCCGAACCGATCTACACCCAAGATGGCAGGCCGTGCTGAAGGTACCATCGACGCACAATGCGCAGGTCAAGCCGAGGACGTTGACGCTCGCGAACCTTCTCGCTCTTCCGATCAAGTTGCACACCCTTCACTACCTACCGGGAGCACCAGCTGTGTCGCGACCACCCTACGACGCCGACTATGCTGCGTTTGCCATTTACGCCAAGGTAGCGGACCTGTTTCGACGCGAGCTGTACCCGGGCGGGGGCTTTCATCTCTGGACGCCGCCGACGGATGTGGTCGTCAGCAACAGCGAATACGATCAACGGGGCCGCCCACAACGAGAGCACATCGTGGCATGGTACCGACATGCGATCAATCGATTGAGGTTCACACCAATAGCTCAACCGGTGGCGGCAGTACGAATCAACGGGCCTCCCCGAGTCAGCCCCACCACGCCGCTCGAGTCGATCCTGCCCCATCCGATCGACCCGCCGCAGCGCCTTCCGAGACCGGCTCTCCCAGACCAATCAACACAATACAACTTGCTCAGCATGGATCGGCCATACACCATCCGTCGCGTCCGCCGAGTCTTGAATGCAAAGGCCTTCACCGACACGATCGGTTTCAGGGACTCGCTGCAGCCCGACGATCTCAAGGGATTCTGGAAGGGGGTCAACTCGAAGGCATTGACGGCGAGGGAACGCGAGGTGTGGTTCAAGCTCGTCAGGAACTTCACCCCGACTCGGAGTCTGCAGTTTCATCAAAAGCACGACGACTCGCCCGCGTGCCTCGTCTGTGGAGCGCCCAAGGACGATCGGGAGCACTACTTCTTCGACTGCGTTGACTCTAGGAACGTTTGGATCGCGGCAAGGGGCGTGCTCTGCGACGCACTGGGGCTCGACACGATCGACAACACGCATTACACGGCCGTTCAACGCATGTTCGGACTTCCGAAGCTCAAGGCCAGTCTGCGCGATCAAGAAGGAGCGGGGAGGACGATCGAAATATTCACCGGGCTGGTCTTGGAGATGATCAGCAGCGGGAGGTGGGGGATGCAGAAGTGGGGGACGAGGATGGAGGGTGTTGGGAGGAGGAGGATCATCTTGGAGGAGAGGTTGAAGCTGAGGGCGGGAGGAGCTTGGGGGAGGAGAGGGCAGTAGAGGCTGGGTTCGACTTTCCCCCCACCACCACACACACACACCAAATTCTCGTGACATCATTTTCTCCTACTGTACACTAAATAGCTCGCTTTCCTCTTTATTTTGTTACAGGTTCACCGTTGCGGATCATGGACCATCTCGCGATTTGGCGTCGACTCGGTGTGGCTCGCGCTCTTCGGCTTCGGGGTTCTGAGTCAAGGGAGGGATCAGCGGACACAGGCAGAAAGTCGGCTTTGAGGGGCCAGGGACTGCCGAGGGGGAGGTTTTGAGGGACCTTCACCGCGTCTTGTTGTGACTGAGCAGAGACTTGGAGCGTCGAGGGTCGTGGTGGTTGCGCAGTCGTGCTCTTGTCTTCGTCTCGACCGAGTGGGAAATGGCTGTGGGGTGGGCCTTCTGTCGTTAGTACATTTCTTTTCTTTCTCTTTCTCTTTCTCTTTCTCTTCATCTCTCTTTCTCTCTCTCATTCGTCTCCTGGGGGGAGCAACCGCTTGGCTAGGGCATTTGAATCCGAATCTCGGATTGGTGGACTTGGCTCGTTTCTCGCACTTTTGCGGGCGGTTTGTGTTATCATCGTAGTCTTCCATCTAGTTTTTCCGTAGGCCGAAACAGGGGGAACAGGAATTGGGGGCAATATGATGAACGTTTTCTACAAAAAATAAAAGGACCTGCTTGATGGCTGTCCAATGCTCCGGGCCAGGCTGCTGGGAGAAGCGAGCGAGGTAGCTGACCACGAAGGCGAGGTCCGGACGAGTTCCAACTGCGGCGTACATCAACGAACCGATGGCCTGCAAGTAGCGCGTACGATCCTGAGGAGTGGCCGCCAAGTCCTCGAAGTCAAGGACGACACCTGGCTGCATTGGAATACTTGCCGGCTTGGCATCGGTGAATTGGAACCTGGCAAGGATGTCCCGAAGGTAGCGCTCTTGTGAGAGTGTGATAGAACCGTCTTGTCCACGTTTGACTTGGATGCCTAGAATATATTCGGCAGGTCCGAGACGTTTGATGCCGTATGCGAGTTCCAGCGCGTCCAGCACCCGCTCGATTTCGGCGGTAGAGGGACCAACCAAAAGCAAGTCGTCGACGTACAAGGCAATATAGTGTGAGTGCCCGTCGTGTTCGCGGCGGTAGATACAGATGTCAGACCTGGTGGGGACGTATCCGAGGGACCGCAGAGTCGAGTCGATCTCAGCGTTCCAGATGGTGCCGGCCTGGCGAAGGCCGTAGATGGATTTGGACAGCTTGAGGATCTTGCCTGGCAGGTTTATGCCCTGAGGGACGCGCATGTAGAGAGGCTTGTCAAGTTTGCCGTGTAAATACGCCTTGTTGACGTCGGCCTGATGGACGTGATAGCCGTTGGCCGCGGCGAGTGCGATGAGAGCTCGAATGGACGTGAATTTGACGACAGGGGCGTAGGTCTTCTCGAAGTCAAGGCCAGGGCGTTGGGCACATCCGTGAGCAACAAGTCGGGCCTTGTGATCGGTGATGTCGCCATGCTGGTTGCGTTTAGTCCGGAACACCCAGCCCGACCGCAGGAGGATCTCACCCGCTGGGAGCTCACAGGATTCGACGATTTGAAAGACCTCGTAATCGTTCAGAAGCGAATCGAATTCATCCTGTGCCGGAGCGCCCCAAACGTCCTCTTGTCCCGATCGGATGACGTCGCCCCAATTTGCCGGATCGCGAACAACCGACAAGTCATGATCTGCGAAGCCGGCCTTGGTGGATGCGAAGGCAAGGAGCAGGCTCTTGAAAGAGGCGGTGGGTCCGTCGGTGCCGTCGACTGGCTGTTCCCGCGTGATCATGGTGGGAACGGGTTGGCGGCGAGTCCGGGGGCCATCAATGATGTTTCGAGCGTCGACTTCACCGTACTTCCCTGGATCGGGACCAACCTTGGCGACGTCGCCGTACTCCCAACTCGGCTTGACTTTGGCGAGTGGAGCTGGATCCGGAGGTGGTTGCGGCAGGTTCACGGCTGACTCCGTCGTTGCGCTCGTGGTCGATGAGGCGTCGTCGTTGTCGGCCGAGCTGGTCGATGCGGGCGACGCGGGTGCCTCGACAGGCGTTGGGGCCGGTGGCCGTGGGGGAGGCTCGACGGGTGTTGGAGCTTCGACGGGTGGGGGCTGGGGGGCGTAACCCGGGATGGACGGCTGCGTCACTCGGGTGGGCGCGATAGCGAAGGGGAACTCGGTTTCTACGAACGTCACATTGCGGCCCAGACTCACACGCATGGAGGAAGGATCAAGAAGACGGTAGGCTTTCGCGTGTCGATCGTACCCGACGAAGACCAGAGGAATCCCTTTTGGGTCGAACTTGTCCCGTCGGTGAGCCGGCACGGTGGTCCAAGCGCGACAACCGAATGCCCGAAGACCCCCTACACTTGGTGTGTGGCCCGACCAACGACTGTTTGGGATGGCTCCACCAAGGGCCGCGTGAGGCGAGAGGTTCTTGGCGTGAATGTAACACATGGCAGCCTCGTCCCAGCACGATCGTGGGAGTCCCGAGTGAGACAGTAGAGCCAAGGTGCCCTCGACGATCGACCGGTTGGCTCGCTCAGCCCGACCGTTTTGCTCGGGTGTGTACGGTATGGTCAATTCGCGATGAATTCCGCGGGCCACGCAATAGCCGTTGAAAGCGGTAGAGACATACTCGCCCCCGTTGTCCGAGCGAAGTGTTTTGACCCTGCGACCCGTGGCGTTTTCGATCTCCAGAAGCCAATCCTTGAATGTCTGAAGGACCTCGCTCTTGTGCCCGATGGGGTAAACCCAAGTCTTCCTCGAGAAGTCGTCGATGAACGTGACGAGGTATCGCTTATGGCCTAAGGATTCCTCGGGGAAAGATAAGACGTCCGAGTGCACCAATGCGAGTGGTTCCGCGGCATGCGACGACGAAGAGGGGAAAGGCAAACGATGCGCTTTGGAGGCAAGGCACGCGTTGCAGGTGAAGCCATCACACTCGAAGTCACTATAGGGCCAATCTAAACCCTCCACCTGGCCAGAGGCCGCCAGTTTTTTAAGTGTCTGGACAGAGGCGTGGCCGTAGCGCCGGTGAAGGGTAAGTAAAGGTAGCCTATTGGACTTGGTGGCAACGAGCGTGTGTCGCGCATCTTTGCTGGCAGCTTGGACCGAAGCGTTGAGTTTGTAAACGCAGGACGCGATGGCTGATGCTGTGGCGATGCACCCTTGCGGCGTGCGGAGCTCGACTTGTCCGTGTTCGAAGGTGATGCGAACGCCTTTGCGGTCGAAGGCCCGGACTGAGATGAGGTTGGCAGGGCTCTCGGGGGCGTAGATCACGTCGTTGAGGGTGAACCTGGTACCATTATCGGAGACGAGCTTGACCGAGCCGATTCCCGAGGCCTTCACCGTTCCCCCTAGACCTTGCAGGACTTGCGGGGTAGGCGAAAGGGGGCCGTCAAAGAAGGACGCATCGTTGACGACGTGGCACGCCGACGCCGAGTCTAGCAGAAGGATTTCCGCCGGTGGCCCGATGTTGACAAACGTAGCAGAAGAAACGACGGACAGGTGTTGATCCTTGGATGCTGCCTCGGTGGCCACGAACGTGGACGCAGGCGATGATGAGCCTTGGAGTTCCTTCATGGCGTTCTTGAGCTCGAGGTACTTGGCTCGCTTGCGCGATTCCGGACACTTGTCGAGCCAGTGTTTGCCTTGACCACAAGCTGGGCAGTTGCTCGGGGCAGGACCAGAACGATCCCATTTTCCCTTCTTGCCTGGTGCAGAGCGTTTGGTCGGTACGACCGCCTTCGCAACGGGGACCGTCGCTCGATTCGTCCGAGCGTTGAATCCAGCCCAAGAGGGCGGGCATGGCGGCATCGTGGGGACCCAGTCAACGTAATTGTCCTCCGTAAGTTTCGAGTCGTCGGGGAAGACCGGAGGGTTGGCTGGGGGTAGGCGCTGACGCATGGAGAATGCGTCGTCGTCCCGTGCGGGGCGCTGGTTCCTGATCAGCTCGTCGAATTGCTCTTTAGTGAGCGTGACGGAGGTAGTGGAGGCGACGTCGTTGGTATGGTACGACGTTGATGACGGTGGTGGAGGCGTTGATGCCATGTCACCGTGGACGTCGAGGTCGCCCGCCGCTGATAGGCTAGGTGGGCTCATAACCTTTCAGGAACTGAGGCCGAGGCACGAAGTGCGTAAGTACGAGAGCCGATGAAGATAGTAAAGATAGTTGGAGGAAGAAGATAAGCGCTAAGGGAGCGCGCGCGAGGCAGGCTCGAGACGCGCGGGGCGACTAATATCAACAACTAGTAACTAATCATAATCGGGAATACCAGTGGGATGAAACAGCAATATATTGACATCAACTTCATCCTCTCCTCCAGTACCACCCTCCTCCGCTCCAGGCTTTCCATCCTCGTCCCGTGCTTCTGCATCCTCCATCTCCCACTGCTGATCATCTCCAAGACCATCCCCGTGAAGATCTCGATCGTCCTGCCTGCGCCTTCCTGTTCGCTGAGTTTGGCCTTGAGCTTGGGGAGGCCAAAGAGTCGTTGCAGTGTCGTGTACTCGGCGTCCTCGATCGTGTCGCATCCGAGCGCGTCGTAGAGCACGCCCCTTGCCGCGGTCCAGACGTTCCGCGAGTCGACGCAGCCGAAGAAGTAGTGATCGGTGTCGTCCACCGGCGCTTCGCAGACGAGGCACGCGGGAGAAGTGTCGTGCTTTTGCTCGTGCTGGAGCTTGCGCGTCGGGGTGAAGCGGAGAATCAGCTTGAACCAAACTTCCCTTTCCCTCGCTGTCAGTGCCTTCGAGTCGACCGCCTTCCAGAAGCTCCTGAGATCGTCTGGCTGCGGTGGTCCCTTGAGCCCGAGCGTGTTGGTAAAAGCCTTCGCGTTCAGGAACCGGCGGATGCGACGGATTGTGTAGGGTCGAGCCGTGTTCAGCAGCGTATACTGGCTCGCCTATTGTGGAAGCACCGGGTCCGGAAGGCGCTGCTCCATTGCGAAGCGGGCCACGGGCTTGGGGATGATCGCCTCGAGCGGTGCGCTGGTGCCGATCCGGGGAGGCACGTTGAGTCGTCCCGCCGCCACCGCCGCCGCCAAGGGGGTGTGATTGTGTCGATCGACAGTGAACCGGTACCAGGCCGCGATTGCCAGTCGCTGCGGGAGCCCGCGTCGATCGTACTCACTGTTGTCGCCGAGCACATCCGCCGGCGGCGTCCAGAGGTGAAACCCCCCACCCGCATACAACTCGCGCCGATAGAGATCCGCCACCTTCGGGTAGCCCTGGAGACGAAGGTAGTCAGGTACATGAACCGCGTCGATGGTCTGTCTCCCTCTGATGGGGGTGTGGAGGCTGCCGAGCAGGGTGGGCAGCGCGAGCAGGTTCGCGGTGGTCAAGGCCCTCGGGTTGACCTGCGCGTCGTGAAGTTTCGGAACGCCCAGTGCGGCGTGCCATCGGGGATGAAGGTCGTTGGGGATGGGAGTGGATGGATGTGGCCAGAGATCGGTGGCCAGGTCGAGGTCGGGCTCAGCTCGCTGGAGTGCTGCGCGCGCAAGTCCTTGCCAAATCGCGCCGGAACCGCCGAGAAGAACGTCCCAGAGCCGTGCCGCAACCGCGTCCACAACGTCCCGCATCCTTATCACCCCGAGTCCCCCCTTGTTCTTGGCGGTGAACACAATGTCTCTGCCGTAGCTGGTCCTGCCCTTGCCCCCACGGACGAAATCGGCGAGCATGCGGTCGAGCTTCTTGACGACTTCGGGCGGGTTGTCGGCTGCAAGGAAATGTAAGATCTGGGGAATGGCGTACCGATTGACGTCAAAGGCACGGTGTGGTGCGTGAGCCAGCGATGCTGAACCGCTTCTAGCGTCGCCTCGAGCCGTTCGATGAGATTCGCGTAAGCGAGTTCGGTGTCGCCGCTGGGGTCGAAGGGGAGGCCGATCCACTCGAGCGACTCGCCTGCGTCCTTGACGACGATTGACCGTTCCCCAGGGTCCCAGCGACGTCCAATCGGTAGGACGACCGTCTTGTCCGTGTTGAGCCGGCCATTCGTTGCATGCCTCCAGTCGAGCGCCAGGTCATCGAGCAAGTTGAGTGACTCAAGCCCGCGACGGCGACGACAACGTCATCGGCAAATGGAAGTGATGTAATGGCGCATCTCTGTAGGTAAGGGTGGATGGCTGGTATCGAGAGATCCGGCGCAATGTTACAACGGTGCAGGGCATCCAGGACGGCTGGAACACGACATCCCACACCGACGACGACGCCCGATCCCTTGGCCTAGCCCACGCGTCAGTCGCACCGGAGGCGTCAGGAACCCGTTGATGATGTAGCGAGCTGAGGTCGAATCACCCGAGTAGAGCATCCTCAGCATGCGAAGAAGGGCAGAAAGAGCGCCCAGAGCGTCGAAGATGGCGAAAACCCAGTCATGCTCGACGAGGTCGTAGGCCGACGATTGGCCAAGAGACAGGAGCGCGGCGTCGGGGAATTCAGTACCGCGCGCGCCGAGCTCGTCGATCAAGAGCCGAAGGTGGAACGCCGCCGATCGGCGGCCCTTGACGAAGCCGTGTTGTTGTGGTGGGAGCAGCACGGTTGGGTGTGGTTCAGTCGCGCGGCTTAGACCTTGGTGAAGAGCTTGTAGTCGCACTCGCGCAGGGTGATGGGCCGGTACGAGGAAAATTCCGCGCGATCGGCGTTCTCCTTGTGGCGCATGAAGATCAGGCGCACAAGTCCCTGGCCCTGCCTGGGATCTCGCGTTTGTGCTATCCTCATTGAAGACCTCCAAGACTGAAGGGGTAGTATCAGCTTGGGCATGACAGCGTCTTTTGATGGCAAGCGAGTGCGGAAACCTTACCATCCAAAAGCGGTGCCGAGCTTGTCATCGCGTTCTGACTGTGCTCATCTTCCTCCAGATAATCACAGCTGTGGTAGTCGTCGGATTCGAGTTTCTCGGTGACGAACCGGTCAACACGTTCCCAAATCTGATGTCATCGTGCAGGTCGTCGCCTTCGAAGAGGCAAGAAGTCATCGCACGTGACTGCCCAGCTGGCTCGTTCACGTCCACGTCTTGGTTGAAGTCGAACAACTGATCCAAATTCCACTGGGCCAAAGTTATGCAATGGTAACGACCAACTCAGCAAAATACGAGTGGAAGCGACTCCGTAGGAAGTTTACCCATCTGATCCGCTTGGTTGGCAGCCTCAGCCTCAAATCTCGAGTCCAGGAACACCTCACGCATTTCATGCATATCGTCAATTGCTTGGGAGCTGGGCGTATTACCCAGAAGTTCGCTGGCATGGATGGTGTGTGGGTCGTCCAGCACAGCACTTCGTCGCGTTCTGGCTTGCCTGGTCCGTCCGAAAGTGCCGAAGCACAAGTGCGGGTAAGCACTCACATCCTCGATGCGTCTCTGCTCGGCATAATCCGCTCTCGCCTCTGAAGTTGGAATACAGGGACCCCCAAGTGATGCGGTCAGGAACTCGCTCATCAGCTGACCCGCCCCCCCGAGGGACGTAATCATCCATCTCAAACAACGCAAGCTTGGCCTTGCATTCACGCCACAGGCAGACTGGTGTCGAGGCTAGATGTGAGTATTCTGAGTGAATAGCTAAAAGCAATCATGTCGTCTGTTCGGCGGTGAGCTGGCGGAGCAGCGATCTCCCCTTTTCCGCGTCACGTGTCGCGTCGTCGCGGCAGAGTCGGAGGCTGTCGAAGACAGAACGAGAGCCAAAGCGTCCCGCCCATGTGGAATCGCGCTGGCTAGGGAAGTGCTAGGGATCCGTAAGTAACTATCCGTCAGTTACGGAATAGTAATAGGAATCTGTCCGACATCGTCTTCCCAGATCCATTACTACCTTACTCTAACTAGTTAAAAACAAGTGTGAGTTAAGGAATGTACCTAAAATCGCTGTTTTTAACTAGGTTGCGGCCCGGAAGGCCGCCTGTGGTGGATGGACCAGCATACTGTTGTGTCTGCCGCACCTGCCTGTGGTGTCCATGTTCCGATCAGAAGTCATATACAAGCCCTGTGGTGACTTTTGTATTTTCCGCGCCGTTCCAACGAAGCTACAGCGCTACCAGTATTTTCCTTCTTTTTTTCGCTGACATAAAACAACGCTTCCACTTATATTTCATTTAATGAACCGCAAGCGCGTGGCTTTGCATGATATTGCTTCTACAGCAGAGCTCTGCCTGACGCGCGAGGCGAGGGCTGGCGTTTGTCACGTGATGCGGTGCGCCGGCGGTGTCAGTGTCATTCCGGCAGTCGACCAGCGGCATTAGGCGCTGAACAACAAATCACACCCCGTGAACAAACCCGCGCCACTCCCTCTAACCTTTTCTTTTTCTCTCCCACTCTCATCGAATTTTGTAACACTCATTCAAGGAGAAACCCTCGCCACTATGCTCCGGTCCTAAGGTCACCAAGGAGGGCCATCGCAACCTCGCCATTGAGTCGCCAAGTCTTGGCCGCGATGAGTGAAAAATAGTTTCTCTGCTGTCTTTCGTCATTATACCGTTCAATTCTCCTGCTATTTGGAATCATATTCCCGTTAATTTAACGGGATCCATCCCACTGGTAATCCCGAAACACAAAACGGGGGCCTGATACTTTGTTCTGTGGTCTTGTTTCATCTATGTCATTTGCTGACAAGTTGACGTTGTCATGTTTTGCAACCCACAAGGAATTCAGCAGGGAAATACCGAGATATATATGCAGATGGTTGCGCGTCTACTATACTGCTAGGCTTTGAAGGACCGAGCGGCCTGGGCCTGGCGCCAGGCCTGTGTGCGCACTGCGCGGCTTGTCTGACCACAACTGGCCTCAGCGGGCCACAGCGTGCCACAGAGCTGCAACTGAGCTCGAGCCTGGGGAATCTCATATGCTCTCCTTGCGCGCTCGTTTCTTAAGCTCTCGCCAACATCGACATCATGCCTTCCGTTCGCGACGTCTCGGCCGAGGCCTTCATCAGCGCCTACTCGAGTCATCTCAAGAGGTCGGGTAAGTTTCATGGCGCTGGTAGCATGGTTCGCCTGCGGTGCGAGACTGCTGGCCGCTGCGTCGCATACGCCCACGCCCGCCCGCGCCTGGATGCTGACTGCCTGTGCTGGCTGCACGACTACAGGCAAGATCGAGGTGCCGACTTGGGTTGACATCGTCAAGACCGCCACGTCCAAGGAGCTCGCACCTTACGACCCTGACTGGTTCTACATCCGAGCAGGTGAGTGATTGCGTCCGTGCTGCCGATCGTACCTCGTCGAGCTGCCCGCCGCGCGCCTGGCGACCCGCATCGTGCGAGGCCGTTTTTTTTCGCTGCCGCTGCGCGCCTACTCCACCGCATGCTTCACGTGTGGCCGGGCCCGCTGTCATTGTTTCGCGAGCACCTGTCACGCACGCTGACCCGTGGCACATTTCCTCCGCACAGCCGCCGTCGCTCGCCATATCTACCTTCGCAAGCACGTCGGTGTTGGGGCCCTGCAGAAGCTCCACGGTGGCGCTGCTAACCGTGGCAACCGTCCTTCCCACCACGCCAATGCCTCGGGTGAGTTGGCCTGGCTAGCTCTCCGTGCCCACCCATCCGGCTCACGCCATACCAGCACCAAAGTGGCGTACTCATCCCCTCCTGATTTTATTTTGTCTCTTCGATGAATAGGATCCGTGGAACGAAAAATTCTCCAAGCCTTGGAGAAGATCAGTGTGCTCGAGAAGGACCCCCGAGGTGGCCGCCGTATCTCCCAGGATGGTCAGCGTGATCTGGACCGAATCGCATCAGCTGTCATCGAGGCTGCGCGTGAGGAGGCTGACGAGGAGGATGACGAGGTCAGTCGACTTTCTCTGCTTGCTGCACTTCCGTGCGGAAACGGTTGGCGGGCTCCTGCGTCAGGGGAGTGGTCGGGTCGCTTCCCTCAGCCCCTTCCTTTGCCTACAGCCTTGGCCTTTCTTACGGGTGGCCAAGACGACCAAGCAGCTGACACCGAACTTTCTCTTGTGCCCTTTCTGCTTCTCAGTGAATGTGGACAGCTTCGTAGGGCCGCACTGTAATCTCGTTCAATCTTTCCACGTCCAGCTTGAGGCTTTCCTGGATGCAGCGAATGGGCCCGGACAGTTTGGAGGATGTCGTTGTGTGAATTTCTAAGAGAAAGAGACCGCGCCGTTGGACAGTGTGGGGAAAGAGAAAGAGTGCGCCGTTGGACAGCGTTGGACAGTGTGGGGAGTCTCTGTGAAGACACCATGCCACCGGGCCGTGTGGGGTTCAGCCACGGGGCTTGCTCATCACAGCAGCTCTTGGCAGACGCAAGTGACAGCTAGACGAGGCAGCACACTACAATGAGCGGCGGCGACGTTGGCTCCAAGTCGGATCGCGACGCAACCGGAACGCCCTCTGAGAGCATAAGCGTCTCGTGCCACTTCTGCACCTCGAATCGACGTGTAGTCGCATCTCTACAGGCTGCCTACGACAGTCTGCTGGACTGTCAGTTTTATTTACAGCATGTTTCCCCACTCCTCACGCAATTTTGCGACATCGCAAGCCGTACAGCTGCACCGGTCGCCCGTATACTGCTTCACACCCTCTGATCATCCATCTCTCCCAAACTGCCACCAGCGTCCGGTCCGCTGTGGATGTGGTGGGTTCACATTCGTATCAAGTGCTCCTGTTGAGCTCATCTCAACGTGGCTAGAAAGCACTTGCTCGATGTCGATCTTGAGCTCGTCGACACGAGCTTGAAGCTCCTTCGCGAGATATTGCCCATGGAGGTGTGAGTGCAGCAGTTCGAGACCATAGCACACGATAGAGCCGAGGGCGAGGCAATGCAGCCTAGTGAGGATCAAGTGACAGGTCAGCGGCGGAAGGGACGTTCACTCGCTCTCCAAACTCCGCCTCACATGGAAGGGGCGAGCTTTCGATAGAACACTGAGGTTGCCGAGACTCCTGCTGGTCGCGACGAGCTGGAGCGAGTAGCAAGATGCTGGAGCCGGAACGTATGCCGCGAGACGAGGCGATAATCAGCTGCTGTGGTCGAGAGCCATGGAAGCCATCGTCGTAGGCGATGGGTTGCAGGGGGCATCTCAGCCTTTCTGCAGCCTTTCACTGTCGTTCTGCCAGAGTTCCGAGGCTCGGGGTTCACTTGTCGAGAGCCTTGTACTAGCTAGAAAAGAAGCCCAAGATATCAGTAAGGCGCACTTTGAGGAACTCGCGCATCGCTATCCGCACCCACACTAGCCCACAATTCAACCAGCTTCAAAATTCCAGAACCATTCTCCAAGTCCACCCCTCTCCACCTGCTGAAACAACCTGAGGCAACGGCATTTGCGACGACCGATCGATGCGGCACTACTGTGATCTGACCAGTGACAGGAATAGTCGCGCACCCGCGCACTGCCGCGCCACGGACACGGTGCCTATCACACTAACTCCTAAATTTGCGGAAAGCATGTCATGCTTTTTGCGGAGATATTTTTCTCGGGGTAATCTACATATCCTCAGGGTCCAGCCGACTCTGACGCCCCGCCAACTTCACACAGCGATGACTCTTGATGCCCGTGGCAGCTCTTGGCAGCTGCTCGAGTCGCAGAACGGAGAAGCCCATCGCCGCTGCCGCCGCCTTTCTCCCTGCCCAAGACCCAAGCCACCCATCGCGTTTTACCGCATTGCGTTGAGAAAGGCCTGTATGTCATTCTTGCGTTCGACGACGTGCCGCTCTCTCCGAGTACCATGAGTCTTAGCTTGCAGAGTCTCCCGGCAGAGGTGAGTGTTCTTTCGACGAAGCTCTCCCACTGGCGGTCTGCTAGACCGGAGGGTATACTGATCGATACAGTCTCTGCGTCTGAACGCGCGCGAGCACAGCTTCTTTACGCAATACATCTTCACTCCACCTCCTCAGCTCTCCCTTACGTCTCGAGACATCTTCATCGCGTCTTCAGCCACTCTTCGCCGCTTCATCGTGCGACATATCTGGCGCTTCGGCATGATCGACATACACTTTCGCATGCGGTCAGGTATCCAATCTGCACCCTTGCCGTCGTACACTCGCTTGAAAGGTTGGCTCGCGCAGTTGGGACGCGGCCCCTGCGCTGTTCGGAGCTACCCCGTCGGCTGGTCAAGCATCTCAACCCACAGCAGACCGACCGCCCAGCTACTCTTGACGATGACAACTTCGGTCTGATCGCACATCTGCTCGACCATTATCGCGCTTCTCCTAACTCCAAGAATGGTTACTTCCTGGCACGTGCCGTTCTTGCTCGACATCTTCCCCTCACCAAACTTCTACTCCACTACGGCGCGGACCCAGCTCTGAAAAACGGGTGGGCCGTGATGGTAGCAATCGATATGGGCGATCTAGACACGGTCAAATTGCTACTGGATGGACCAACTCCAACAGTGGGACGCATAGAGGCGTCTGGTCGCGGCAAGTCATCGTCATCTCCTACCAGGTCTGATTCCTTGCCACCTCAGGCCGCTCTCCTAGCTCGGCACTCGATCGGAACTACGTCTTTGCCACGCCCAAGTAAAAAGCGCTGCAAGGTATCCCCTCGCTGTTGTGCGACAAGTGAGATGCTAGAAGCCGCTGTCAAAGCTCAGCACTGGCACATTGTTGATTATCTACGCACTCAAGGTGGGCCATCACGTTCTTGGTCTCAAAGGATGAGGAGCGGCACACTGACGTCTGCAAGAAGTGTTCCAGGCGCGCTGCCCAGTCTGGATGTTCTCAAGCTATTGTGAGAGCTTTGCAGTGCTTGTGGCCCCCGCAGAAATCGAGTGAGCTGTGATGGAGTTGCATATTGCGTAATGACACGACAATCTGTCAAGCAATCAACCGAGCAAAACGCTGTGCAAAGAGCCGATCATGGAAGTACTTCCACGCAATCGGCTCGAGAGTCGCGAGCTTGGAGTGATGGAGTCAATTTGACGTTTTAAAAAGCTTTCATCGACACATCATTGCCAGGACAGGTGATGCCTTGGGCCATGGTGAGTCGCAGGTTTTCTTGATGAAACCGAGTCGAGACCGATCGACTAAACCACACCCGGTTTCCTCAAGAAAACCTGCGCCTCACCACAGCACTTGAAGGCATCGGGTTGACTCACCTCGACCCGTTTTTCCCTGACCTTCGTCCTAGATGTTTAAACATTCTATGTTGGTCTGGGGGTTGCCGTACGCAACATGAACTCGAGCTCGGTCAAAGTGGATCTTTCTATGCGACTGTCTGCGCTGTCGGGTCCCAGTCGAGTTAGTAGATGGCCTCTGCCGGGTCGATGAGCCTCCTTTCGCACTCCCAGAGTCGAGCCTTGCAGAGAGTACACACAGCCCGTCTAGGTACCAAGGGGATCGCGAAAGTACCCGTGGGGCTTGAGTGTTTTGAGCGCGGTTCTAGCCCTGCGAAGTGTCTGCTGGCCTTGACCCGCAGCAGGAGGATGTGCACGTGGTGGTGGAGGGTAGGATGAGAATGAGCATTTCAATTCCAGCTAGTCTATGAAGAGAGACGACCCTTCTCTCGGGCGCTGAACCACATGAACTAGGCTATCGCCTCTGACCTGACTTAGGGCTTCCAACCGCTGCCTTTACCCCTGGTGAAAGCTGCAACCTACACCCCTCGGGCTAGTTCGGGCTATCAGTTCCTGTTACTGGCTATTAGCTCGCTGCCGGCCTTCATATGCCAAGCCCGTTTGCCTCAATGCATCTCCTCCAACTTTTCCGAATTTTTTTAGGTATTGATATTGTTACGCTGAAACTTACCAAATCAATAAGCAAATTTGCCAGCTTCTGTCTGCTTCCACCAGCGTCTGCCAGCCAAGGCTACCGCGCGCCTTGGACGCTTCCCGCTTGCCTGCCACGACTCATCAGCTTCCACACTGCGACGACGCCACGATGAAGTTTGGCCTCGAGGCCTCGTCCTCTTCATCCGCGTCTGAATCCGAGCATGACGATGCACGCGTGACCATCGGCTCCGTAAGAAGACCTGAGCCCGTCATCAAACACGGCGCTGACGATGACGATTCGGACGCCCCTGTGCCTCTGGAACGACTTGCTTCGAGGTCAGTCGAGCCTTTGATTCTGTCGGTGTATGTATGAGCTAACTTAATTTCTGCATTGTCATCAGACCCATCCGTAAAGCCCCCTTTCGACGACGACCACCAACTGCAGGTCTATCCAACCCCACATCCTCGACCTCGACCTTGACCTGCGCACAGACCGCGTCTAGTACGACCACTCCAGCCGCGTCCCCCTCGAACTTTCTTCCCCGACCTATCCGAACGGTCGCACCTCCGTCGGTCAAATCGCGCAAGGGCAAATTGGTGCAGTTCGATTCGAACTCGTCCGACGAGGACCTCGATCAATCGAGTTGGAGACGACGGGACACCCGGCCTGATCACCTTGTGGACGATGATAAGGAAGACAACGATCAGGGTGACGATCAGGACGATGACGGGTATAGTGATAGTGAAGAGGACGAATGGCCCGTTGGTCCTATCGGGTCGGTCGGGATCGGTGGGTGGAGGAGGGCGAATGGTGACATATCGAGTGCACAAGGCGCCAAGGCCAGGTCCAGTCGCATGTACGTGCACGACGGTTGCATACGCATAGCCAAGGCCTAGACTGATACTAATACCTGTCGTTCGTGCCTGCACAGAGCCATGTCCCCGGATCACCACCTCAAGGCTTATGGAGGCACCGACGCCTTCCAGATCTGGGACGATCGCTCAAAGGCCATCAGTTGGGTGCGTCAATTCATCGCAGTCGTATTCTCCAATGTCTACTCCAAACTTGATATCATACGAGCTAATTCCCCGAACCGCCGATCCCACAGGCGAGCGCAAACCGATCCTTTCACCTCAGTCTCGCTCGATCGTTCTCGACCTCACCAACAGCGAGCCGCACCGACTCCACCACCTCCATCACGAATGACATCTCTTCGATCGAATCGCGGCTCTCCTCTCTGGCTTTACAAGCATCAGCGGAGAAAGCAGCATTGGTGAAATCGTTCCAGACGCGCAATGCGGCATTGTGGAATTCGATCGAGGCTTCTATCCGTGAGGCCGAGAAGGAGGAAGGGGATAAGCAAAGGGTGTTGGAAGAGAATCGGAGGAAACGACAAGAGGCTGAACGGAAGGCCAAGGAGATGAGGGAGGCGGAGGAACGGAAGAAGAAGGAAGAGGAGGAGAGGAAGGTCAGGGAGGGGAAGGAGAGGGAAAGGAAGGAAGCGGAGGAGAGGAAGAGGAGGCAAGAGGAGGAGGAAAAGAGGGTCAAGGAACAGGAGGAGAGGGATAGGAAGCTGGCCGTTATTGCTCCGCCTAGTGGGAAGGGGATCGAAGGGTCACCGCAGGCCGAATGGGAGAGATGGACAGCAGTCATGACGGTGAGTAGAGTGGGGTAGTAAGACGATCTGTCAGGAGAAGGTCCCGCAAAGCCCTGAACAAAGGTTCTTCCCTCCGTCACAGCAAATCAAAACGGGTGTCCTGCCCGTCGTTTCCCAAAATCCGACTTATCGCAAAGAATGCTTCACGGCGAAACGAGCCATCACGCCCAAGATTGGTCAACTGACCGCCTCGGCCGAGATGACTCTACGCGTGATCAACCAACTCGACCAAGTCCTTTCCTCAATGCGACCACCGCCCGGTGGACCTCGAGAACCTTACCGTTGGACGTTGAACCATCTTGCCAAGGCGTTGGTCAAACAAGCGGAGACGGAGGTGACGGCGAGGATCTCGACGGCTTATCCACTTGCGAGGGTCGTGATTGGGTTGATTGTGCGAAGTCATGAGGAATTGGGCGAGGTGTTGATGGCTCGTTTGGTGAAGAAGTGCTTTTGGATCACGGGGTGGTGGCCTCCTAAACAACCCGTGAGCCCGTTCTTCACCAGCTCACCATTGAAGGGGCACAAACTCATCACTGTTCAATCCCTTCAAATGGAAAAACCCAGGGCCAAACCGAAGAAGCGCACCAAAAATCCCTTGGCCATGCCCCACCTTCAGCAGGTGAATCGCTCATCCAATACGCCTCCCGCATGTCAGGCCTCATCGCTCTGTACGCCGCCATCACGCAAACCTCCCCCCTCGAAGCACCTCAAGGACCCTGTCCGCGCGAACAGGTGGCTCATGTGCCGCCTCATTTCAGACTTGCGGCGGGGTGGAGATGGATCGTTTTGATTTTGAGAGTCCCGTTGGTCGGGTTGCAGCCTACACCCCAATTGTTGGGATCGTTCTTGGAGATCGCGGGGGAAAGGTTGCTGGAAGTGTATGGGAGGCAATTCGCGAAAGTTTTGGAGGTCGTGTTGAGGGAGGGGATTAGAGAGGGTAAGGCAGGATTTAGTGATAAGAGTGTTAGTTCGACGGTCAGGTTGACGCTTTGGTTGGAGGAGTGGGAGAAGAAGGGGAAAGTGGAGATGACGCAGGGGAGGAAGCCGGATCTTTGAGATGGTCTCGAGGAGTGAATTTGCTTATTGGAATAAAGTATTGCATTTTGCATTTTGCATTAAACTTGGTTCCGTATCGACAGCCTTCTCGAGACGTTCTAGCTCGGGCCACGCCCTACGTTCGAAAAAGCCTTATGCATCCCCACCGCCTGTTGCGTCGTCGCCTCCATACTCCTCATCTCCTCCCCCAATCGACTCCCCTGCCCGAAACTCTTCTCCACCTCCCTCACAGCCCTTTTAGCATAATCCCAGGTGGTGTAGAGGCCCTGTGTATCGAGCCAATACTTGTCGACGTCGCCTTCGTCCCTCGAGGCGACACGCAACTTGACGATCGCCGCTAGGACGACGGATTTGGTTGGATGAGGATGGTCGAAACCATGGATCTCGTCCAGGCTGACTAGGAGTTGATTAGCGACGCCCAAAGCTTCGATGAACATCGTTCGATCGAGGAGCGAAGTGAGTAAAGCTTGGAGGAGAGACGGGAGAGGGTAAGAGGTGGGTTTGAGGTGCTTGGTGAGGTGGGTTAGGAGCTCGAGGAGGGGGATCGAGTCGGTCGCTTGGCCGAAGGAGGGGGAGAGGAGGTAGGTCTCGACGCGGGTCAGGAGGGGCTCGATTTGGCTTGCGAGGGTGGAGGAGGGGTGGGGGTGGCACGTCGCGCAGTAGTAAGTAGGGTCGAGGTCCGTTTGGGTCGAGTCTGGTCGAAGGGAGAGGGGAAGGTCAACTTGTCGATGTAGCGCGGCGTGACGACTACAACCTGACTGACCTAAAAGCTTGATCTCCCCTTCGCACCCTTTCGCACCATTCTTGCAAAACACCCTCTCCCTCTTATCCACTCCCACCTCCTCACAAACCGCACAACAACATTCAAACCCATACCTCTCCCTCAACTCCTTCCTCCTCCTCCCCCGCGTCAACAAAGGATCAACATAACTCGTCACGACTTCTTCGCCTTCTTTAATAGGGCGGATGGCGACGACGCGCATGTATGCGGGGTTTCTGGAGGGGGAAGGTATGGAGGGGAATACTATGACGGCGTTGGCTTGGCAGGAGTGGTTGAAGAGGGCGACGAGAGGGGATATCGAGACGCCGACGGTGTCGAGATAGGGCGTTGTGAGGGCGAAGGAGTTAAGATCGTACTGCGGTTGAAAAAGGCTTTCAATAGGGCAATCAGTACCATTCCTCACTCAGTGCCCGATGACACAGTGATCTCACCTGAGCGCATATCTTTTTCCACGCTTCGACGGAAGGGATGTACTCCCTCAACTTGGCCGGGGTCACGTATTCGTTCAAACTCATAAGCCACGAGCCATTTTCTTCCGTCATCTCGTGTTTGAGGTAGTCGCCTGATAGAGAGGAGTGAGGATCAGTTTCGGGAACCTAGTCTCGAGAAAAGGGTGAACGTACCAGCGTAAAGTGAAGCGAATTCATCTTGCTGTGAACATACGCACAATCGTCTCAATCACCAATACACCTACCCCAACCCCCAGCCATCAACTCAAACTTCCACTCACAGCCACTTTGCCCTCCTTGTCAAACTTCCACAATACCCTCGCAAGCGCGCGTATCCTCGTATCAGGAAATTCGGACGATTTGCTTGCGGTCGATCGTTCAGTCCCTTGCACTTTCCAGCGTTTCATCGCGTCGCATTCGGGTTTGTGGTCTTTCCAATCTGATTTCTGGCATACCTATGGGCGTTCAGAGTCAAAGTAGATTGAGCGCGGCGTTCCCTTGAAGGAATTGAAGCCAGCTCGGGAGGACGAGACACACCTTTGAACAATACCTCACGACTCGACATCCCGAGCATTGCAGCAACGCTTGTTTGACGTTCATCTCCATCTCGTTGACGTGGCAAGTCGAACATCGCAGACGGAGGTTCGCGTTGTCCAAGAGGGAGAGGAAGGGTTTCGTATTGAGGAGGGTCGTACCTAATGGGAGAAGAAAGAGGGAGATGAGCTTTCCTGATGAGGGAAGGAAGGTGGAGGAAAGGACGTACCGACTGTGATGTCGGTCGTCGAGACCACGCCCCGACCTCGGTTAGGGAGGTCCTGGATCGAAAGCGTTGAGGGAAGGTCGGTGTAGCTCATCGTTGAGCGTTTGTTCGTCGAGGGCTCTTCCGGGTTCGTCGGCGTTGTCGTCACTGGCTTCAGCGAGGGTGAATCCGTCATTGGGGCTTGTAAGGGTGCTGATGGCTTAGCAACTAAGTTTTTCAGAGCACATATCCCTTAAATGAGCATCTTAAATGTCGATGGATCGCGAGCGACCGTTCATGGGCAACTCACGTGACTCGGCCTCTGCGGAGCTCGTCATGGCCGGAGCTGACGGTGCGGAGGAAATAGCCGGAGTACTCGAGGCAGCTTTGACACCGGCATGGGCCTTGTCCCGCCGCTCTTTGAGTTGTGCCCAGTCGCAGCTCATACTCTTCGGTTCGTGGTGATGGGTACGGCAGGTCAGAGCCCGATGAGGCTGAACGAGGTGGTGGGAGAAGAGACATGAAATGACGCGCGCCGCGACGCGAGACAAAACGAACAGACCTGAACAGACGGCACTCAGACGGTTCAGAAAAAAACAAAGCCCGACCGCTCCTGGAATAGTCTCTGCATTTTCATCCTCCTTCCACCTTCCATACCTTAGCGAGCCCCTCCCCCCTTCCCGGGACCCCATGTCCCGTCTCCGCCCCTCCTCTCTCCCCTCCCGGACCCCCTCGTCCACCCCTCCTCGTATCTCCACCGTCGCCCTAGGAACCGCGTACGAACTCGCTACCCTCCAATTCCTATCCCAACCCCCCCTCTCCCTCCAATCCCTTCTCCGTATCGGAGGGGCGAACGATAAAGGGATCGATCTACGAGGATTCTACATACCCCAAAGACCCGTCGACGACGACGCCAACGACGACATGGTTCACGAAGGCTCCGTCCAACGTCGTCGACTACGTCCCAGGAGGTACCCCATCCTCGTCCAATGTAAAGCCGTTTCCAAACCCCTGCAACCTTCCATCGTGAGGGAATTCGAAGGTGTGCTTTCAACCGAACCCGGAGGCCTTGGTATCCTCGTAGGTATGAATGGGTTCACCGAATCGGCGATCAAGAGGGCTTTGGCGTCCGAATTGCCGATGGGCTTGTTGAGATTGGGGAAAGGGGTGTTGGGCAGGGAGTTTGGGGCAGGGTCCGAAGCAGGGGTCGTTGGGGAGGAGGAGAAAAGTTGGGATTTCGGGGTGAATAAGGCAATGAGGGAGCTTGTGGGGGAGGATGTGGGGGGGTGGCTGATAGGGGGTATGAGGAGGAAGTGGAGCAAGGAAGATGAGGAAATGGACGGAATTGAGGCCGAGAAAGGAAGATGACGACGTGATAGGAGGCATCAGTTGGTGAAGGGAGGCGACACCTTGAGGTCGATTTTGACTCTCGTCGCCGACAGGGTCACCGAGCAACGTCAAGCTGAGTCGTACCGAGCTACGCTACGTTCCTTCCCTCGCATCTCCAAAGAGCTCATCGACTCGCCGCACCACGCAAGATCAAGTCGTCAAGACCACGCAAGATCAGTTCGTCAAGATTCGACCGTCTGATCCGGCTTGTCTCCGACGCCTTCGAGCAAGAGATGAAGCCGACAAGATTGCTGCAAGATACGATCGCTCGGTCGCTCGGCGAATTTCGTCGGTCAATCCACAATCTGGAAGGGAGCTGGGGAGATTGGGAACGGGCAGGAAGGAAGTGTAGCGTGTCAGGGATTGGGGGTCAGGTGTGTGTTACCAAAGAACATGTAGGATGGTCAGGAGGGGGATGCACTGCGCTGTGGTCGTCGTTCGAATCGAGTTGGCGATGAGGAGCGCCGGGAGCGGCCTCTGGAGCTCGTGCTCCGTTCTACGCTTTACCTTCTGCGCCGCTATTCACCATTCAGTTGACCTTACCACCGGCTTTCCCACCATGTTATGAAACTCAGCGGCCCGCCACGATTCCACCCCAAAGCCGATTGCTCGGGCTTCCCTCGACTACTGCTCGCCGCGCCTCGCCATCGACCCAGCTGCGTTCGTTCGTTCGTTCGAACCTCCGAGCTCTTTGAAGATTCTGATCAACCCGCCGGCTATATATAGCCTGGCTTCAGTCAGTCGATTTTATGAATAATCTGAAGCTTTCTCGAGAACGGTTATGTCTGAGAAAGAGTTGCAGCGCACTCGGGATATCTACGATCGGCGGTTGCCAAAGCTGGCCAAATTTCCAAATTTAGTTATTGAGGCGCGACGCGTCGATCGGCTCGCACCTCACTCACCCAACGTCGCCCGCCGGTCCATCCTCTACGCAAGCTTCACTACAGCATCTCCTCCTAAGCCAATGTCGTGAGCACCTCCCACCCCACACGTTCCAATTCCCAGACCGATCCACTAAGCCCCTCTTCACCCCCCCTTCGCCCGTCCCCAGCTGGACCTCAACATCACGTGGCGGTGCAGCAGCCGCAGGAGGTGGTGCATACAGTCATTTAGGTGGATCAAGCAAAACAGCCGCATCGGATGCCCAAGAGACGGATCTCGAGGCGCAGAACGATAGTCATTTGCATGAGTTGCATAGCAAGATCTCGGCGATCAGGGGGGTGAGGGCTGGGAAGGAGGAGCGACAGGACGTGGTGGGCAGTGCCTGGGGCTTGCGGAGCTGATGGCTTTCTTCGTGTGGAGCTTTTAGGTGACGAATGATATCTATCGCGATTCACAACAACAAAACACATTACTGGACAGCACCGTAAGCCACTCTTGGACTTGACACTCCCTCGCTTCTCTTCCTTTCCCCCCTTCCTCCCCAAAACTGACCACGGTCCCCTTCATCAATACCCCTGCAGAACAACTCCTTCGACCAATTCAAAGTCTCTCTCTCCAACACGACAGGCCGATTCGCCCGGTCGGTCCAATCGGGGAAAGGGAACGGGAGGATCCAACTGGGTATCATTTGTGGTTTCGTCATGCTATTCGTGCTGTGGAAGTTTTCGGGTTCGAGAGCGGATAAAGTGACGATACCACCACCTACGACGGGGACTTTGATGCGGTTTTGAGGGGGGGGGGAGGGATGGGAAGGGATGTAGGGTGGGGTGGGGTGGGGGTTTTTATGTGGCGGGTATGCCTTCAGTCGGCTTTGCCGGATGGTGGGGTTGTTGTTCTTTTTCGGGTTTTGCTGCATGTTTGTACAAACACCTTCGCTCTTTTCCCAAGTGATTCTGACTACTCCGCACGAGATCACCACATATCGTCGATTTCCCGATCTGAGCTCCGCTCCGCCACCTTGCGAAACCTCCACCTCCCTTCCGCCCTTCCCCCCTTCCCCCCTTCCTTCTCCACCCCCACACACCCCTCCGAAACCCCACCATGCCCCCACCTTCCCCTCCACACTCTCCCACCTTCCTCCCTCTCGAGCTGCTCGAATCCCAGCTCGAAGCTTTGGACCTCCTCGAATCGCTCTATCCTTTACAAGATGAATTCGAACTGATTACCCCACCTACGAGGGAAGGAGTGGAGGAACTGAGGGGATCGTTATCTTCGATCACGAGCACGACTCGTTCTTCTTCAACAAGGATGAAGAGATGGGATCGTTTGACATTTCGAATTCGGCTCGACTTCTCCGATGGGAAAGGACTTGGACAAGCGGAGGTATCGATGGGCTTGCCGTTACACTTCGACCCTTCGTCCTCCCCCAGGGCGACTCAACGTCTCGTCCAAGCGACCCTGCATCAACCTTCTTGGTTACCAAGGGGGGGACATACAGCTCTTTTGGAGAGACTGCCGATATCCCCTTTGTTAATCGAGGCTCAAGTAGGGGACGCGGCGCAGTTCTTGATCGATTGGCTTCAAGTCGTTAGGGAGGGACTGGCCGGACGGTGGAAGGAGCGCGGCGCTGAGCTCGAGTCCGTGGAGTCGACAACGGAGATTGGAGGGATAGGGAAGGACAAAGGGGTTGAGGAAATTTTCAGGGTGTGGTTCCTTTTTCAGTCCTTGTCGACGCGGGAAAAGAGGGAGGATATTGTGAGTCTTTCTCCGAGGCGGGCCGAGGAGGCGAGCGGTTTCGAGAGTCGGGACCAGCCTAACGGTGGGATTGGAGCTGACGACTATTTCATCCTGATTTGTGATTTAGGTCAATTGGGCTAAGGAATACCACCTCACCGGATTCGTATTGGCCGGTATGTATCCCGACTTTGACCCTCGTCGCCCATCTGATCGACAGGTAGACTGACCCCCCTACATCTCTCGGCACCCCCTCCCCCTACTACCTCGATAGGCAAACCCGCGCTTCTCTGCCTCGAAGGCGAATCCAACAAGATCGATCAGTACATGAGTGAGATCAAGAGTGTATCATGGAGTGATATACCCAGTTTCCAAAAGAAGGTGCGCGCACTCCAAACGGTCTTCACCTCGGACGCGCAAAAAGTTAAAAAAAAACACAAATTCCTCACCGTTACCTTCGGCCTTCTTCCTACCAGGTCTCCGAACGCCATCGCATTCCCATCACATCCCGCATATTTTCAAACATGTCCGAAATCACGTCTTTGATTGAGAAAGGGGGTTTCAGGAATAATAGGATCGAGATGGGGCAGGTGAAGGAGTATCTGGTCGGCAAGGGGTTGGGGGAGGTGTTTGGCTTGGTGGTGGCGGGGGGAAGCTTTACTTAGGGTTGACTAGATGGGTCCTGGAATTGGATGTTGGATGGGTATGAGAGAGATTTTACATATCGAGAAAGAAAGTTAGTGTGCTTCAAACTCGGAGTCGACTCCAAGGAGAATAAGCAGAAGGGTCAGATGAAACTGAAGTATTGAGCCTGGACATTCCAGAGACGAGACACAAACCTGGACGCAAACAAATGAAGGAGAAAATCCCAAACAAAAGCTAGATACAGAAGACAGAACACAAATGACGTGACATATGACGTGACATATGACGTGACATATGACGTGACATATGACAGACAAAAAGACGGATCGGTTTGTTTGAGCTCGAGTTTTGTCTGGAAGAAAAACGGTAAGACTATTCGGATATTGGAAGGAGGAAAGCAGACACGCCGATGTGAGGCGAAGAAGCCCGAGCGAGTTGATCACTGGCCGTAAGGAGTCTTGACCGTGCAGTCTTCAGGAGAAAGGAAAAGAGAGGGAAGACTCGCGTTAGCTTCTATACACGCCTTCGATCGGAAGGGGGCGGGGGTACTCACAATCGTAATGGGTGTCAGCCGGGTTCAATGCCCAGTTGGGGAACGAGTATTGCTTGCCCGCACCTCCGTTGACGGCGAAGGTCGAAATGAAGACCATCAGATCGGTTCCTCCCTACGGATTGAGGTACAGAAAGAATGCCGGTCGAACTAGGTGAGCTCTTGTAACTCAGAGGGCAGAGAGAGAGGCAAGGGTTGGGAATGAAGAACTCACGTCCAAGGCGGCGGCCATCAAGTAATTGTACTTGCGGAAGAAGGTCGGACGGTGACGACGGAGGTAGAACTGGCACACGATCGCGATGATGAAGAAGGACATCACACTCGAGTTGATACCGACCTGGAGGGTTGGAGGCAGACAATTGTCGGGGGCTGTTGGGTTCAGAGTTTTCAAAGCGATGGCCAAGGGGGGCAGTGGGCCAACTCACGGAGAGGTACCCAAGCGACCAGCACAGCATGGGAGTGACGATTCGGTCGAAGCGCATCTTGGGGAACAAGCGGTGCGCGATCCAGAAGGGGACCGGGACGAAGAAGCCAAGCACTGTGTGTGCGCGGAAGGAGGAGACAAACTGGGGTTAGACTCGCGCAACTCGCGAGAAGAAGCGGATGGGGAGCACAGCCACTCACGAACGGCGAGAGGGATCAGGAAGTACTTGTTGTCTGAGCAAGAGAGCATAATGAAAAGAATTGTTAGATCGTCGGCGTTGTTCCTCTACCCGCGGTGCCGTGGACGCCGCCAACTCACGAGGACCGTACTATTATGAGAATTCAAGAGTGCTGAACAGTCAGCTCGGTTGCTCAAGACTACCGGGAGCACACGAACAGCACTGACCATCTGCTTGCCCAAAGCTCCCCAACTACGATGCAAAAAGTGAACAGAGGTTGCGCGGTCAGTAATGGCGTGTGGATGGAATCGCGGTAAGCCTGGCCTTGGACAAAACATACGAGATGGCCTGCCAGGGGTTCAAGACAAGAGTCAAGGGATCAGCGGTGTTGTCACCCTTCCACCCCCATCCTCTTTGCGACTCGGATGGGCTTACCTGGGCGTTGTATGACTGAACAACGTTACCGGACCACAGATTGGAACCTTCGACGCTGAGCAAAATGTCGCGTTGCGCGTTGACGATCGAGTTCATCTGGATCGGTGATAATAACGAACAAGGAATGATCAGACCCGTTGAGCAAGTGGATGGCACCGGAGTTCGTGGCGAGACTTCTGTGAAGCTAGGTTCCACTCACAATGATGAGGTTGAGGATGGCGCCAAGAAGAGTACCGGCTGCTTGGACCATCTGTCATGGACACGGGCGAGGGGGGTCGCTTGTCAGTCGTCGCTCTCGTCGATGCCCATCCTCGGGGAACTAAGACTTACAAACATGGCGCGAGGGGGGACCTTCGTGTACTACGGTTCCGTAGACGGAAAGAAAGAGGATGTTCAGCTTCGTGTTACTCGAACCGCTCGGTTCTGCAGCGTCGACATTGCGAGGACTGGTGCTTACTTGACCGAACTGCTCGGAGGGAAGGACGTTTGCTTGGTGAGTAAATCAAACCTGTGGCAAAATCTAGGTCCGAGCACTTACCTTCAGATCTGAGACCATCGTCGAGCCTTGGGCGACACTGTTGCTGCTGTAAAGCTGTCACGACGAAGGGATCGAATCGCAGGGGTGAGTACCGGCGTGCCGTAGCATACACTCTTCGAGCTGCGCTCGACTCACTTGGAAGTACAGACTCGCACGAGCATTCCCCGGGACAATGGCCGAGCCAAGCCTGCGTCGAGCAAGATCGAGTGTCAAGTCAGGCGCCGCTCCGTGAAAGTGCGCAGCCAGGGCCCGAACCTAGAGCACACTGACATTTGACAGAGGTTGGAACCGCTGACGCCGAATCCGGTAATCGCCGACATGAGACAAGAAACTGTGGGTTTGAGAAAGAAAAATAAAGGCCACCAAAATCAGTCTTTGCTCGAAATCAACACAAGCGTAAACATCCTGCGACTCACTCGGCAATTCGATGAAGGCAAAGACGCAGCCGACGACTAGAGCGTACCACGGCTCGTTGGAGTGACCAGTGTAGAGCGTGGCGCAGGCCATCGCGAAAGCGGCAGCAACGGTGACACCGTATACCCACATGGGGCATTCGGGGTCTAATAGTCGCCGATGCAAGAGCGTGAGGTCAGTACACTGAATTGCTGCCGCGGGCCCAGCTGAGTCGGAGGAGCAGGGAGGAGCACTCACACTTTTGCATCTGCGCGTAGTGCGGGTCGTCGCGAACATTGGTACGCCATTTCTTCCAGGCCGAGACGATGTCTTTGCGGTACCATCTAAAAGGCCGGGGATAGTGAGTGATCTGAGCCAACTGGTCTTTGTCTGCACAACCGGTGGTCGCGTTCGAAGCTGCTTACAAGAAAACGTGGGTGAAAGAGGCACCGACACTCAGGTTGAGCCCGAAGTAGTAGACTGCAGTAGTCAAGGCAGGGTAAGCCAAATTATCAAAACATGAGAAAAGTCTGGAACTTACTAGCATTCGTCCAAGCATATGACCGGAGGCCTGCAATTCCGGAAACAAAAAAACGTGAGTGATAGCACAGCTCATCCGCCGAGAGCAGCATCGTCCCGCGACCCACCTTGCTGAGCGAGAGCAGTTTTGTTGAGGTTGTAGTTGGAATCAAGAATGGCGGTTTGGTCGTAGGTAGTTCCGTTCTAGATGTAACCGAAGAGAGGTCATCAGAAGTTCAGCTTTAGACTGAGAACATGCGGCCGCCGCTGATGATACCAGCCCACCTCATAGAACAGATCCTGACCCATGAACGGGTAGGCCTTGGCGTTCCAAACGTTGCCGTAACTTTTCATATAGTAGCGAAGCATCGAGGCAGGGGTGAAGTCAGCACACTTCTCAAGATGCGAACTCTATTTCAAACAGCACTCACTAGCCTGCGAGCGCGATCGTGATGCACAAGAGCGTACCTACGCCTTGCGAAACAGTGGTAGCCCAAGGCTGGTAAAGGCATGCTGTGAAGCGGTTCGGTCCACACGATCAGTGACCTGATCCTCAGAACGTACTGCGTTACCTTGACCAACGTACTCGAAGTGATCTGAAGCCAATCCGTGCCGATCGAGAAGAGGCCGAGCCCTTCGTTTCCGTTGGTTCCGCCGAAGATCAGGGTAAAGTTCGGGTTTTTGCGGTTGGCGAGGCTGGTAGGAAGAACCATGAAAAGGATAATTAGCTCTATATCAATACATAGCATTTCCCTCGTAAACCGAGCGGATGATGGCGACATACCAGAACACGCTGATGCCTGTCAAGGTCGGAGCTATGATCTCGGGGAACCATTCCCACACGAAGATGGCAAGGAAGACCTGCGATCGATAGGAGCAATTGAAAGATCAGCACGCACCGTCGGAACGAGGAAGGGGGTTGATTCAAACCTACAACCCAAAAGAACCTGTATCGTCGCTTTTGCGAAGCAAGGTTTTGGTCACGGCTACGCAACACCAGGGAAACAATGTTAGCCTGACTCAAGGCGTGCGATTGCTGATCACCCGATGCCGGCGTTACCGAAAGCAAAGACACCACTCACTGAAGGGTCTCCAGCAAACTGACACCGGGAATTAGACTGGGCCAAACCGCGAAGGTTGGGTACACGAGGATGGAGCGGTAGAGTCCACCTAAGCCGTAGCCAAAGAATTGCGATGCTGCACGGAATGGAAGCGTCTCGGGGCAAATCAGCCGCTGCAGGGGACGGACGGCTGGCGACACCTCGAGCACGGAAATACTTACCTATGAGGGTGAAGATCGCGTTTCCGTAGTTGACATTGAGGTTGTCTGTGATCACAGTATGGTGATGAGCAAGAGCGGGGCCAGCCAGGCCTTGGGAGGTGGCAACTCACAAAACAATTTCTCAGAGGCGAAGGTTGAGATGGCGAGGGCTCCACCACTGGCAGTTGATGCCATGACAGTCACGCAAACGTGTTCCTTGATGTTGAAAGGTCCCGGGTTCAGAATCGCCCAGAATCGACCTTTGCCGGCTTTGGGTAGGATCTTGTGCCAGCCGGTTCCCAAAACTGCGACAACGGTGCGGGATGCAAAATTGATAATCAGGTGGATGCACCGATTAATGGTTTGACGGTCGAAGACGGACTGAAAGCAATGATTTGTACTGCGTAGGGTAATTACGAACATCAGGTCAGTGGCTGTGCTGAGGGTGCGGACACAGACTATCGGCGGGCCGACATACAGAAGAGACCAGACACGGTGTATTCTTGAGGACGGAAAGTAAAAATTTGCCCCAAAACAGCACCGACTGCGTGTGGTTTGATCAGAAAGTGTCACGGCTCAGTTAGTGCCATGCGAAGTTAACGAGACTTCTGACTCACAGCACGTCAACCCGAGGCCCAAAACCCACATCCGAACCGTGTGGATCGGGAGAGTAGGATCATCTTCAAGGGAAATGAGACTACGTCATGCCAAAAGAGAGTATTTTATAAGACACTAAGTCGAGCCAAAGCAAAAAAGGTCGATGAAGTCCGTACCGCGTGGAGTAGTCGTGCGCTGTCTCAATCACCCGCTAAGGGGAGCAGATACGGACGTCAGTTCGAGATCAACCACGCATGACAGCCCAGGCCACTTTCCGGTAGAGGAATGGAGCTCCATCAAAAAAAAAGCTCAGCCATCCTCTTCGGAAGGGGTGACACTTTTTCGCGCCCGTACACAGTGAGGCGGAGCGTCCAACTCGGACTCACCTCTACGCCGTTCTCGTCGAGAAGCTCGGGATCCAGGTCGGCGACATCCAGAAAGGCGGCGTTGATCTGAACGTGTTTATCGGTGCCCTCGATGTCATAGTGTTCGAGGTCGTACTGAGCGCCGAGCTTTTCACCTTTCTCGTCTTGGCTCTCGGCACCGATGTCATCACTCGAAGAAGACTCGACGATGACGGAAGTCGGAAGCTCCGAGGCGGGTGGGGCAGTGGGCTCGTGCCCGAGGTGAGACAAAATGTTCCCGACCATGTCTGTGGGATAGTATAAAGGTATGGGAGGAGACGAGAAGAGGATGGCAGGAGGAGAAGAAGTCGTCAAGGCGTCAAGCGGTGAAGTGTGGCGAAACCTTGATCAGTGGGTGAAGCACGCCACTCCAGGGTGCGGAATTAAGCTAAAGCGAGGGTCACCGACAGGGGGCTTCCACGCGGTGGGGTACGATAAGGCGAAAGACCCCACCGCCGGGCCGGAGAGGATCGCCCGGTGGGTAAAACTCATGGTCTTTAACTTTTCTGATCCTTTGGAAAGACACAGCCCGCCTATCCCCACATCCCTGTTGCCTTTCTCTGGGTATCGCACCTATCGAGGTATCTGCGCTACGCCGGGCGATGGCTATAACAAGGTCCATGAGCCGAACAAGGTCGGTCATCACGCGGTGAAAATGAGCTTATAGCTGGCGCGAGCGCGCAAGTCGTCGTCGCCCCGCGGTTGTCGACCGTCCGCGCGTGAAAAAGCTTGCGCAAGCGGCCCACATGACGGCGGCGCATGATCATATCCGTGAAGCCATCACCCAAATCTGGACCAAGTGGCTTTCTCGATGCTCGCACGCCGATCGGCAGGCAGCGAGGGACGGTCTTTTAAATTTAAAAATTTACGTTTTGCCTACGGCACGAAGGACAACCTCGGCAAACCGCCGCCGCCGTTGCGCCATTGCATGAAATCGACTAGCGGCGGCGCGGCAACGCGCACGAGCAGTAGTGGCTTTAAATTTGTCTCGCGCATCAGGCGTCGAATGGGACACTCTGAATTCTGAAGCGGGACCGGTTGCAGCGATCAGATATCAGGCCGGGCCACTTCAACCGCCTTTTGGGGGTGGATGGGTACAGGTAATACCTGACTTATCATACCCAGGAAAAAAAAAAAAAAACCCAGAATCTGTGTGCTCGGGGAGATACACCTTGCTTCGTCAAAGCGGTCTTATTGAGATTCAAACTCAAATACAAGATCAAGTGCTGGTCGTAGCGCGTTCCCTTCTACTGCCGGAGACCGAGGTTTAAGTCTGCAGGGTCGGATAGATAATCCAGGGAAGCTCATGTCGTAGAGTAAAGCTTGTTACAGGGATATTTCTTGGCGATCCACACGCTCTGTGGCTAAGTTCCCAAACAAATCCAACCGGTCTAATCAGAATTCACGAAACTGTAATAGCCAGTGTGACTGCCACCGCTACCCACTACGTGCACTACAAATGATGCGACAACTCGGTACGATAAGATTCTACTATGGTGGGGTTGCAAACCGTGGGGGCTGCAGTGGGTAATGTGCTGCCTTATCGGCGTTTCACCGATGACCTTCACCAAGATTGGGCGCTCAACTTCTTTCGGTGTTTGAGTCTTGGAGTCAATGGTCTTTTCGTAAGCTCGACGCCCCTCCCTTTGGGAGGGGCTTGTGAGTTATCGGCGCTTTTGGCTGAGTTGCCTTCCGAAATTTTGGCCCTGAAAAGTGCCCCCTTGCTGTAGCATGGCATATATTGGTGCTATCTGAAAACTGGAGGGATACGTCTTTACTTAATCATTATTGATGAGGCTTCACCGAAGCTTGAAGTCTAGGAACGCTTGATCATCTCGCTACAGCAGCTTGACTCAACTGATTCCGAACGAGACGCAGGTCGGCGCACGGACCAGTCGTAGTCCAGTCCGCGTCGAAGGCTGCATAGAGCCAGGTCACTTAAGCCCGGCTGCGCCTCACGCATCCTCTCTCTCCTCCACTCAACATCGCACCTCCCCTCATGATGAGCCATGTCGGTGCAAATGCCGAGGCCGGTTAAGGGACCGCCCCGTCGACATCCATCAATTGAGTTCAGGGCGTCTCCCTTGCGATCAGCTTCAAGGGCCAGTCCTACGACCCCAGCACCGAATCGTTCAACCAATCCGACAGCCGTTCTCGGTCACTGGAGGCCACGTTTGACTCAACAGGACCGACGAGATTCCAGCGAATTACGCAAGAAGATCAAAGTGATTCTGGGCGAAAGTCTTGACGAGGACTCTACCCCCCGGCCTGTGCAGATCGAGGCCATTGCTGCACTTTTCGAACTCGATCAATTTGGGAGCGGGGATCGATATGACGCTGTGTTCGTCACAGCGCCAACAGGTTCAGGCAAAAGTGTTATCTTCGAAGCAATGTATCTCATTTATGGACGCCGGGCAGTCACCATTGTTGTCAGCCCACTGAATGCACTGAGCAATCATCAGGTGAGTTTTTCTGTCGACTGGGCTTGCTGGACCGACATTCGTGCTGATTTCCGCAGTCACATGCTTCTTTCAGGCTACCAATCTCAATCGAAAGGGAAAGAACGCGATTGTCGTATCTGAGGAGACCTGGAGAGACGGCGAGCTGTACAGGCAGTTGGACGACCCCAATCACAAGATCTCCTTCATTCTGATCGTATGTGCCGGTTGACCTCCAGTTCGAGTGAAGTGCACATGTCTTGATTTTCCTTTCTGTTTGCTGCGTGTCAAGTCTCCTGAAACGCATATCAAGAATGCAGATTGGGCAAAATTGATCTCTAACGAGTCCTTTCGAGAGCGCGTCAAGTTGCCCGTCTATGACGAGGACAGGGAGTGGTGTGCATCAAGGATCGCGAAGACTGAGGCCAAGATGAGGGACCAGTCGAGCAAGCGCTCGATATATCTGAGCTTTTATCCCGGTTGTAGATGACGAGTCGGATTGGGGGATTGGGAGGAGATGCTGGAGATTGACTCGCGGTAAAGACGCTTGATGTGCAGAGTAGGCTCGAAGGTTGTAAGCGCCGGCAATATCTCCGTTCTGAATGTGGGCGTAACCAAAAGTTCGATGAAGCAGCTCGGTTCGTCGATCCAATTGCTGATCGTTGACGTGATGTGTGACGTCAATGTTGTCAACGGTCACATGGAAGTACTTGTTCGAGCCAATCTCCTTCAGTTTCGTCGAATTCGCCGCTCGCAGCTGCTTGGAGAGTCGCCCACTGCAGCGAGATGTCGTCAAGCCGCAATCGTACAGAAATGTTGTCAATCGGTCGTTCGCTCCACATGCGAGAGTCATGAGACCGTTGCGATGCTGCATGGCGTTGTTCCTTCGGTTGCAAGCGAATGCGATCTGACCCATGACACTGCGGTGAAGCTGCGGCCAGCGTGTTGATTTTTGGTGTCAGTTCGCTGCGATACCCAGCCGAGCTAGGGTCAGAAACACTCACAAACTCGATACGCCTTTTTTCATGACCAGGCTCTTGCTCTTGCTCTGGATCGGAACCATTCTCCGGGGTGGCTTCTTCCATCTCGACATCAGTGGGCGCTGTTGGGTCCTTGTCGCAATTGATTGGCTAAGCCGGTGGTGGGTCTCCGCATTGTGATAGCAAGTTACGAATCCGTCCGCTGATAAAAGGGTTGTCTTCGGCGATTGCATCGAGCCGTGCGTCGATGTGATCGGATGCAAGGACTTCGGGAGCCAAATCATGGCTAGCGACGAAGGCGGACTTGGTTCGCTTCATCTCTTTAATGATGATTGAGTCGGCTTGCACGCGGATAAGGCAAGTATTCAGTAGCTTTTTCGAATCCGGAGAATCAATCCGAGAAGTACGAAGTGTTGCCCACCTGCTCGGCGATCCAGCCATTGATTCGGCTTCTTGACTCTGCGCCATCCTCGCGTGCAAGTCGTAGAATGAGATCAAGTACACGCTTAAGGCTGGACCAGTTGCAGCTGAACAGCTTTGGTCGGTGTGTTTGAATATTGACATAGCGAGAGATCGCGGCTACGAAAACCAGCGAACAGATCCGCCTCGCGGCGGTTGTTCTGGCGAGTTGACGAGGTATGGCGTCTGCTTTTTCGGGTCATTTTTGGTTTTAGATATTGTCGCGCTTGACGTGGACGACGGTGATCGTGAAAAGAGGAGAATAGCGAAGCGGACTGAAAGGGATCAAGCCGAACGGAGCAGTCTCGCCGATGATGAGAGTGCCACTTGCACGATGCGCTCGGACCATCTGAGGCCCGATCGACCGAAATCGCAGACTTCGGAGCGCTGTAGCTCCACCCACAGCTTATGAAAGCTCTCGCCACTTGGGGTATGTCATTTTTAGAGCATAAAGAAAAATAGGGTCCTTCACTTTTGCATGGATGCGCCTACTTGCCAAGTTACAGAGAACCACCCCCAAATGGCCCTGAAATTTCGGAGGGCAACTCAGCCAAAAGCGCGGATAACTCGTAAGCCCCTCCCAGAGGGAGGGCTTAGTTGAGCTTAAGTCAGTCTTTTCGGCTTTTGCTGCAAGGATTTGACGCGCCGATTCAGGCTCGCGCCGATTCTGCGCGCGGACCCTTTCTCCCCCGTGGATGCTATACATAAGTCCAACCCCCTTTTTCAAGAAACATTGATTTTGCGTAGATAACCGAATATGTGAAATCTAATCAGGCTTGATACAAAACAAAATAAAATAGCCTGCTATAGCCTGCTAAAGCCTGCTATAGCTGTGCTTCCCCCACACGCGGGCTCACGGGCGGTACTCGCAACGCACGTTCCGTTTCGGGCCTTCAATGCGTTGTCGACGTTTCCTTACCAGCTTCTGCGGCTGCGTTCACCACCTGTAGGGACAGGTGCGTTCCTCACTCCCAAGACTATCTCCCAGCTGACGAAGTCGCTGACCGAGCGTTCCGTCTTGCTGGACGTTTACAGCTGCGAGCAGCTCGTCTCAAACCCTCGACGTGGCTCGCCTTGAGTAACTCGAGGTGAGTGTCAAGATACATCTGCGCTTTTTGCGACATGTACTCTGCATTCCTATTCCTACAACTCAGTTGTACGGGCAATAGCTCTGTACGTCCTTGTTGGGCAACACAGCATGCTAATTGCACAGCTCTCAGCAGAACCTTTGCCTCCTCTCGCGCCATCTGCGTCGATCCGTCCTTATACAGTGACTTGACTTGTCGCAAAGGTATGCTGAGCCGATCGATGGACTCTCCATCATCAGTTGCAGCCGACTGACATTCAGAAGCTTTGGTTGCAAAGCTCCAAATTGTAATCCCACCCACCGTCCCTATTCACCGGGTTTGTTGTTTATTTCACTTGCTGAGATTCAGACGTTTTCATCGTAGTTCTTGTTGAACTTTTTGTACACACCAATGTTGTCCTTCGTCTTGCTGCAACTCGAACCACCATTCCGCTACGACTCGCGCGAGTGGTTAGGGTTGTCGAACTGCGTTACCGGCTGTTACCGGCCGGGGCCGTGCGGTCTCGGGCGACTTTTCAACCTCGGGACAGGGCTCAGCGCTTAGCGCTTAGCGCGCATGTGATGGATCGATCACGTGGTGCCGCCGGTAATCCCCGATCTTGATAATCACGCCGGCAGAGAAAGACAATAGGCAAAGAGATGAAACACACACATCTGAGCCATGTTGACATACGTGCACGAGATGCGCAATACTAATGATTGGAAAACCTAATGTGACCCGGATAATTACCACAAAAGTGGATCGAAGCCGAGTCCGATCAGGATCACCCCAATGAAGAAGCAAGAAGTACGCCAAGATGCGTAGAGGGCCACGTGAGAGAGCACCATTGTTCCAAAGATCAAGTATGTTTGGGAAGCGGAGCGCAGTCTGCGATTGGGACGGCACAAGTCAGCGCAGGTGACCCGAGGCCCCTATCGCATTCGCACCCGGACGTACAATCGTAATGGCCCTGTGGGTTGAGTGCCCACGTCGGGAAGGTGTATTGTTTCCCAGCTCCGCCGTTCACTGTTTGAACAGGCACCCGTCAAATCAGCACCTGGAAAGAACTTTGTACCAAGAGCGAACTTGCCTGTAAACGTTGAGATGAAGACCATGAAATCGGTTCCGCCCTAGAAAAAAGAATGGAGATCTCGAAGTCAGCGGATCGATGGGGTCTTCAAATGCAGAACTCAACCACATGGAACCACTCACATCAAGTGCAGCCGCCAACAAGTAGTTGTACTTGCGGAAGAAGGTAGGGTGGCGTTTTCGCAGATAGAACTGCGACCAAATCGCGAGCAAGAAAAGCGACATGACGCTCGAGTTGATGCCGACCTGGTTGTGGTACAAGGGCTCAAGGTCGTTCAGTAGCTCCGAATAAAGAATCCTATCTTCGGGAACTCAGGGAGACAATTCGCTTACCGAGAGGAACCCAAGAGAGAAGACCAGCTGGGGAGTGACGAGGCGATCGAGGCGAAGCTTGGGAAAGAATCGATGTCCAAGGTAGAAGGGCACAGGAACAAACAGGCCTATAAGAAGGCCGAGCGGGATGAGGAAGTATTTGTTGTCTGGGGGTGAACGGCAGTCAGGTGGACGAACTGTCAAGAAAAGACTGCATCCTTCAGAGGGTATGAGCTACTTACGAGGACCATACTATTGAAGCACGATATACAGCAAGCTCCTGAATCAGTAAGATGTGCACTTGACAGTAAAAGCACATGCCATCTTAGTGATGACGCGACGACCAACCATCTCTTTGCCCAACGCGCCCCATCTTGATGACAGGGAAGTGACACGAGCGACACGACCCACAATCAGTTCGTGGCAACTCGTCAAGAATCAAGGACGGGCCCACGAGCAGTAACTCACGAGACGGCCTAATCGGTGGAAGATCGGGGTCGAGTTTTATCCAGTCAGCTGGGGCAGTCTTTCGAGACAGGGTCTGGGACTGAAGTGTTACAGGCAAAGCTCACCTGAGTGTTGTACGACTGCACCACGTTGCCAGACCATAAATTCGATCCTTCAACGCTCAGCAGAATTTCACGTTGCGAGTTGACGATCGAGTTCATCTGGCCGAAATAGGTATCACGAGTCTCAGTATGATTCCTCGTATGAAGCACTCTGGACGCACCACGATGAGGTTCAAGATTGAGCCCAGAAGAGTTCCAACCGCTTGGACCACCTACGATCATTGGATCCGAATGGTGACGCAGTCAGGCTTGAATAGCGTTGCAGATCGGTTCTGCTGCTGTGATGACGTACAAACATCGCACGAGGGGGAACCTGAGTGCAGATATCATCAAGTCTGTTAGCAAAGTACGGCAGGGGATTCGGAAGGTAGAGCGAGTAGGGACATGTACCTTTGTGTACTAATAGAGTTCAAATCGATCGGCCGCAGCGGGTCCCCATCCTGAATCAGTACCGTGATGCTGGCTGCTAAAGACCAGTTTCCCGCTGTTTCCCGCTGATTAATGGGTGATCCGACTCACCTGGCCGAGCTGCGAGAGAGATAAAGGCGGCGACCAAACTTGAGTCCTTGGCAGCTCAGGCCGCAGTCGAGGAACGAGTGGCACTCACCTTCAAATCTTTGACCATCATCGATCCTTGTTGTATGCTATTTGTGCTGTAGAGCTAGTTCAAGAAGGTAGATCGTTCTTGAGTGAAGTTATAGCCGGGCATTGACCGCAGTTGACTCACTCCAAAGTATAGATTCGCTCGAGCGTTGCCGGGCACAAGAGCCGATCCCAACCTGCAAAGGCGATGAAGATCAGATGGCCTATCGAGCGATGAGCAATAGGCACTGACACTCACATTTGGAACACGGTCGATCCGGTGGTGCGGAAGCCAGTGATGGCCGTCATCACGCATAAGACTGCGATGGCGCAGGCATATCGTGTGGTCGGGGTCAGAAACTATCGATCGAGTTGGCAAGGGGCCTGATGAGGAGACTCACTTGGCAGTTCGATCAGGGCCACCAACACAGCGACGATCAGCGCGTACCACGGCATGCCTGTATGACCTCCGTATAACGTCGCAAGAGCGATCACAAAGGCGCCCATAGCTGTACCAAAGTACACCCACATCGAGCATTCGGGATCTAGATTGACGCAGTTGGAGAGTCAGTCAGCCGAAACGTCGCCTTAGTGCTTGGTCTTCCTCTCCTCATCTTCATGCGCTCACATGCTTGCATCTTCAGGTAGTGGGGATCGTCGTGCACGTTGGTGCGCCATTTATTCCATGCTGCGATGAGATCCTTACGATACCACCTGCTCCATGACAGTATCAGCTTTGCGATACGTAAGCGCAGTGCATAGGTACTGCTGCTGACAACGTACAAAATGACATGCATGATCGAGGCGCCGACAGAGAGATTGACACCCAAGTAGCGCACTGCAGAGGAACATCAACATTGTCAGCCTGACGCTCTTCTCGTAGCGGTGGATCAACAACATGACGCACTTGCGTTCGTCCAGGCATACGAAGGGAGGCCTGCAGATCATTGTCGATGAGACGACGGTTTAGCTTCGCAGTCGAGGTCGATGACGACTTAAGAAGACTCGCCTTGCTCGGCCAGCGCGGTCTTGTTGAGGTTAAAGTGTGCATCAAGAATAAGGTTCTGGTGATACCGCGTGCCATTCTAATAAGCAGGCACGGTTTACTTAGGAGTCAGTCAGACGATCACAGCAAGACTGTCGCTCAGTCGGTCTGAAGGGATCTTTTGGCACCTCGTAGAAGAGATTTTGACCTAGGAAAGGATAATTTTTCGCATTCCAAGCGTTGCCGAAACTGTCGGTACCAGGATCGAGGATTCAGGCACCCTGCTCGAAGAAGGGACGGGGAGCGTACTCACTAGCCAGCGATGGAGACAACGATGCACAAGACCACTCCCAATCCCTTGGAAACGGTGGTCGCCCAGGGCATGTAGAGCGGTACTGTTCAGACGGTGATGGTCGTGATCTTCGATGTGTGATTTTTCAAGAGCTAAAATTAGGTGCGGAGATCTTACATGACGTGATCTGAAGCCAATCGAGCCCGATTGAGAATAGGCCGAGCCCCTCGTTCCCGTTCGAGCCGCCGAACAACCGGGTGAAGTTGGGGCTGGTGCGATTTGCAAGGCTATTGAGCGTCGCGAGGAAAGTTCAGTTCCCGTAGGCTCCGTACAAATCCTGGGTCGGCGTGGTAGTCTCTCACTCACCAAAATACGCTGATCCCCGTCAGTGTCGGGGCGATGATCTCCGGGAACCACTCCCAAACAAAAATGGCGACGAAACCCTGTTGTTGATGCAAGTGGCCTCAGCATCAGCGAGGAGTGAGTGAGGTGACAAAAGAGTATTATGTATGACTGCTCACAATCCAAAAGAACCTGTACCGCTTCTTCTGTGACGCGAGATCTGGCTCTCGGCTATCCAGGGCAGTCACCATAGAGTTAGTTGTCCGAGTCTCGAAATGGGGCTGCCATCGGCGGGAGCAGTATACTCACTGCAGCGTTTCGATCAAGCTGACCGACGGGATCAAAGACGGCCAGACGGCGAAGGTGGGATAGACGAGGATCGATCGGAACAAGCCTCCGAGTCCATACCCGAAAAATTGTGAGGCTGCACAGTACCCGATGGGTGAGTACTGTGCTGATGATGGACCGATAGCCGCTGATAGCCACTCACCAATGAGAGTGAAGATCGCAACACCGTAGTTGAGATCAATATTGTCTAGCCAAATATGGGTGAAAGCTCTACGCCTCAGCAGCTTATATCCTCGAATTCCCGGGTGGGTGGCTCAACTTACAAAATAGTTTCTCGGCCGCAAACGTCGAAATGGCGAGCGCGCCGTTGCTGCCGGTCGAGGCCATGACGGTGATGCACACGTGCTCTTTGATGTTAAAGGGTCCAGGGTTGAGGATCTCCCAGAATCGACCCTTACTGGGCTTGGGCAAGACTTTGTACCATCCGGTGCCAAGGACTGGAGAGCGACCAGCGACTACGGGTCAGTTTCTCCGCTCCTCTCCAATGGCGAGACCCCTGGGGGTGGACCTACCATATGCGAAGATCTGCACTGAATGCGGGGAGGGTAGGGGGGAGTGTGAGTAAGGAGGTATGCGAGGGCAGAAACCAGTATCAAATAATAGGACTTACAGAATAATGCTGAAACTTCGTACTCTTGAGGCCGGAACGTGAAAATTTGACCTAGGACGGCGCCGACTGCGAAAAGAGGATGGATCGAGAGGTCAGAATCGGTTAGTCCACGTCTGGTGCTAAATTAGACTGCCTCAGACAAAGTCTCAGAACTCACAGCACGTTAACCCGAGACCGATGGTCCACATTCGAATGGTGTGAACAGGAAGGCTCGGGTCATCTTCGAGCGAGATCAAACTGTGATAAGACGAGTGGCGAGTATTCAAATCAGCAGGGACGCCGCAACCCTCGAGTGCTCGCGATCAAAATCGCACCGGGTGGAAAAATCATGAGCCGTTTCGATCACGCGCTGTTAGGATACAAATAGAAAGTTAGCGCACCATCAATTTCAAACTGGAAGAGTGTTGCTGAATGTGTGCGGGTGAAGCTGCGGGCCATGATTGAACAAGCACACGGCTACCGGACCGGCAGAACCGCAGAATCGCGGCACGCGGGTCACGGCCCCTGTCTCAGTTCGGCTTTGATGCCAGCTCGGCCGAGCCCTCACGTTATCCGTGCCAAGGCCCAAGTCGACTGGTCAACGACCGCGTCAATTATACGAAATGCTCAAGTACAAGGCAAAACGACTCGCTTCTTTTCCGTTCTTGTCTAGAAACTCGGGATCCAAATCCGCGAGGTCGACGAAGGCTGCATTGACCTGGACATGTGGATGAAGGGCTGGGCCATCATCCGCGGGTTCGTCGAGTGACCCGTCCTTGGATTTATCGGCACCTTCGGCTTTGTCTGACACGTCGCACTCGGTGGGCTTGATGGTGGCGATAGGAGCATCTGAAGGTCGCGTGCGGCCCAAGCGTGAGAAGAGCTTCGCCATGGAGAATGGCAGATTCAGTCAACAAGGGCAACGGCTCGGTGTAGGAGGAGGCAGTGGACGGGGTTGGGTAAAAAGTGCAACGCGCTTGCCGCTGACCAGAGTGCGAACAACATTGAGCTTATCGATGGTATCATCCGAGACTGACCCATGTGGAGAGGAGAGCGTTCCGGAAATCGAGCGGGAGGGACGCAAAAAGCGATGCCCTGAGGCTAAGCCTCTCAGACGTCTTTCCCACGACTTCCAATGCTCAAACTGCCGGACAGCTGGGAACCGACAACCATGTGGGACGCGGGGTCGAAGCGCGAAAAAAGCCTCAACTTGAAGCGACGCTGAGGCGCACGGACCCAGGCGTGAAAGTCGTTCGAGCCAAATGACCGTGTAATGATCTCTGCTCGAACGACTACACCTCCAAAATGAGTAGTGATTGAGTAGTGATACGAGTGGAGAAGAACACCCTAATAGCCCACTTGCTGTAGACGAGGTTCGGGCTAAGAAACTTCAGGCTGGTGGCCAAAGGAACAGGATCGATGTTGACAACGGCAGAGACGGTGAGAGCAGCTGCTCGTCTCGGGATTTCAGGACTATAGAATGAGCATAGCGACAGTGCAGCGGAAGATAGACATTTAGGGGCGAAGGGGAGTAAAAACAGCATGGAAGGGTCTATAGAGAGTCGTGCAGCGGCGGATCGTCGAGACTAAGTCAAAAACAGTCGAAGGCGAGTCCTCGTCAGACCTAAGCTTCGACGTCTTCCAGCCAGGACAAGTTGACGGGACTCGAAGTGGCTTGCATGTTCGCGTCGGCAAAGATCGCATTCAAGGTTGCCGCCAGCCTCAACCCGCCTTGGGCGAGGAGCTTCTCGATGATGTTTGACTCTGCGAGAATTCGGATGTCGGGGTCAAATCGGAGCGTAGAACCTCGGCAGACCCAACGAAGAACATACCTCGAATAGGGCCGTAGTACTCCTTGGTGTTGAGCTCCCTCGGGATCGGGTGCTGGGAATCGTAATCGGGTGGGAATGTCCTCGCGCACGTCGTTTGATGCGTTTCTTTGGCCCAACTCTGAGGGCAAACTCCGAGAGCGAGGAATTCGGGAGGCGAGGAAGAGGAAGAGGTTTCGAAGCGAATCTGGTTGCGCCGCTGATGCGTTTCAGTAGGGGACGCGGATTTCGGGCAGAGAAACCAAGAGGGAAGGGCGTCACGCCACCAGATGCGAACGCCTTCCCAGAGGATCAGACGGATGTAGGGGTCTTTGGAGCAGGCAGAAATTCACGAAATTAGATAAATCAGAGTATACTTCAAGCTTTCTGAGCTTTGCGCATGACGTATGACAACACGCACCATAAATCGTGTGCCTCAAGGACTGCTCAATTTGAGCGCTGCGGAATTTTCGACGTGGGGAGTCAAAACGTGATGCAAAGAAGTCGATACCTCAATCTAGATAAACAACGTACGCCGGGAGTGGATGCGTATAGTTGTTTTGCTCTCGGACAGCCTTGGTGATGAGTGCGCCGTCCCAAAGGGAGTGCAGATTCATTCGTCGGCCTTCGAAGATGACATTGTCGGAATTTCCACCGCGATCCCGATCCGTCAGATGCAAAGGTTGGTGGACATCACCGACGAAGTGAACGAGGAATTTTAGTGCCTCGACACTGCATTATACCAAATCGGAGAACCAGGCATGTAAGTGAGCATTGGCGGTGCGCTTGGAGTGGAGAAGGGGATCTACCGGCGGGAAAACTCACTCGAGATGATCATCCGCGAGCCGTTGGGTGTAGTTGGCGATCGCATGTAGGACATCGTGTTCGGTCTTCCAGCCCTCGTCTCCAAAGTGGCAGGTACTGGGAGGATAGTCGCCCAGAGGTGAGGTGTAGTGCAACTCGCCGCTCCATCTATATTGTGGCAAGCCTCTGTGAGTCGATGCAGGTACGGAAGCGGTCAGTCAGTGGGCTCGAACCGAAGCATGTCACGTGTGCGGGCCGAGCCACGTGTGCGGGCCGAGCCACGTGTGGAGCACCGCGGCGCGGGGTCATCCCAAGTCGCAGTTCAGGCTTCTCGAGGGGGCCAAGCCCGCCAGCTGTCAAGGCCCATGATCCAGGTAGCTACCTAAGTGGACCAACTCTACTAACCTGATTCGGTCGGGCCAAGAAGCGATGGGGCCGAGGTGGCCGAGTCCAGGCAACAACGCCTTGACCGCCTCGCGCGCCCCGTCGTGGAGGTGAATCTGCGCTATCGTCGCGATCGTTTCGTGCCCTACAGCGCCCCAAGCAAAAACAAGAGGTGTAAGAGGCGCCAGAGACGCCAAGAATAACAAGAATGATCGCATGATGTCTCCAAGATGACTCCAAGAGTGATGTGAGTTCGGAGAGGGTGTGGTGTGAGCCAGGGTCCTCGAGGGAGTCTGGAGGCAACAGTGGGGTCCCGCTCCGCCGGCCGCGCCGGACCCTCATTTCCGCGCTAGGCCAGGCTAGACCAGTGCTAGCCTTGCTACTACTTGTCCGACGGACGACTTTGAGAGATCAACGGGTAGGGGATGGCCCCATCAGGAAATCAATGATCACATCTGGTTAATACTCAAAACCGAAGATATCTCAATTTGCGTAGCTTCTTGAGCATTGAGCGTGTTACGTCATCGTCCCCGACTCCCCGTAGTCGCGCAGGTGACTTGCGAGCGTCGAGCGATGTGCGTGCGAACTCGGTACCGCTGAGAGCCTCACCTCCCTGACTTCGCCGGCGGCTTTCGAGCTCGAGCTACCACCACTAATTCAACGGCTGCAGTCAGCGATGAGGACGACGAATCAATAGACGAACTAATAGTGGCACATCTATATCGCACTTTGACAAGCCCTCCGCCGAGTCTTTATGAGGAACATCTTCAGGCGGCGCAATAATAGGCTAGGAGAGGCTCGATGAGCTGAGTCTCCTGAGGCACGCGATGGTGAGCAAACTCACTGACGTCCTGACGCCTCACCACCCGACTCTACTACTTACTCTGTGATACTGCAAACCCATGGGATTGAAATGAACCTCGTTGCCCTCCAACAAGGTTCTCAAGATTTTGGTGGGCTGCGTCCGGGAGTAACGAACGACGGCGACTGCAGTGCTTGAGGAGGGGTGGGCTCGGGAAGGGAGAGAAGAAGCTTACCCAGAGCGAGACCTTGCTGGTGTGAGTCGAAGGGGCTGCTTCTCGCTCTCGAGTGAGAAAATTTCTCACGTCTCATATCTTTCTGGCTCACGGTGTAGCCGTTCACTGCCGACCTGTACACCTCCCTCCGGCCGCCACGTAATCACGAACCTAGACGGGTCGGACTCGACGCTTCTTTCGAGGTTCGTATCTTACAACCCGTATATAATAATAACTCGGCATACCGCGAGGTCTATTGAGCTACCGGCGTCAAACCGCTGTCCCAGTCAACATCGCCACAACTTCCGCCGATTTCTACTGGCACAACATTCGCTGGCAGCTGCAAGCTAACCCAGTCCTCGCTCTGCACTACTCGCAGCTCTGTCATCCTCCGAGTCGGCCAACATGTCCCCTTCGAAAGCCTCTTCCCCGACGCAGAGCTGCAGCCAGCCGTCTCTGACCTTCGATTTCGATGCTTTGATCTTCACCGGCTTGGACGGATCCCCTCGCAGAAGTAAGTTTTCCTCTTCCCCCGTGTTGGATCGAGGGAAGAGAATCTGGTTGTTCCGTCGGGATGAATACCGTGTTCTCATTTCGGGTGCATATGCTGTTTTTGGGCGACCTCTATATCCCAAGTATGAATAAGTATCGAGTGCGCAAGAACCAGTAATCGCCGTCGGCCTAACAAGACACTGAATTCGCACCAGAACCGGGAGATAGACGTTAATTGAGAGACGATGCAGGAGCGGCCGAGGGTGGATAGGTCGTCCGAGTGTTCTAATGCAACCTTGAACATCGTTCCCTGAATATAATACTATCTCAAGTTTCGGTTCAATACGGGTCTCCCGAGCGAGCTGTTTCAAACAAGCAGAACGCGCAGCACAAATCAGATGCGCTGCCAGCAATGCACGAATGTATGCCATAGATTTGACGCAGCTCTCGTATCGATTTCATTTAAAATAAGACTGCTTTTGAACATGCAACTTGTTTGCGCGTGCTCAATCGGCCTGATCACGATTATCACTTGGATCGACTAGGACACCTGAGCTCGGACCACCTCTTCGGACTTAGGTCGGAGTTTCTTTGCGAACGGTGATTGTGGCTTGGCGTCCGACCCAACCCAGCTCAGATCCACTCCGCCCCACCGCAGCTCTCATCTTCACTCAGCATGGTCAGGCGCAATGTCAACAAGGGTCTTTGAACAGGAGTACTTAATGCTGCATTTCATCCCTCGCAGTCTTCCACACAAGCCACCACCAACGGCCTTCGCCCCGTGTACATCGTCGCGGCCGCGCGAACTCCCGTCGGCTCGTTCCTCGTTAGTCCCACTCCAGCGTGCACTTACACTGCATCTGACCTCCCTCATTGATCACCGTAACCCGTCATGCACCCAACAGGGCTCCTTGTCCAAGGTCTCGGCCGTGCAACTCGGTGTCGCGGCGGTGCAAGGCGCGCTTTCGCAGGTGTCGATCAACCCGTCCGAGATCGAGGACGTCTACTTTGGCAACGTGCTCCAGGCCGGTGTCGGACAGTCTCCCGCTCGACAGGTCGCTATTGGTGCTGGCTTGAACGAGTCGACCGAGGCTACGACCATCAACAAGGTGTGTGCTTCACCGGACCGCTCGCTTTCGTCGTGTCGTCGTCGCGCTCCCACTCGGGCGGCGCGTGTCAGAACCCGCGGTTGGGGGGCGGCTGATTCGGCAACCCTGGCTGATGCATGTGGCGCCGCATTCTTCTGTGACAGGTCTGCGCATCCGGAATGAAGGCCATCATGTTGGCAACGCAAAACATCCAGACCGCTAACCGGGAGGTCATGATCGCCGGTGGTATGGAGTCTATGAGGTAAGCAGCCCCCAGCCCGCCAGCTTAGTTCTAAGCTCGGGCCGCGCTTGGCAGCTCCTCGGCGATAGCTCCTCGGCGATATTTCATTTAACTCGGCCTAATTCATGCCCCTGCGTGTTCCGTATGCAGTCAAGCGCCTTTCTACATGCCCCGTCAACCCGCGACGTTTGGGCACGTCTCCGCCCTCGATGCTCTTGTCAAGGATGGGTCAGTCTCACGGCGGTCGTTCAATGCCGAGCGAGGCCTTAGACCAGGCACAATCTGACGCGCACTTGCGTTTTTTTTTTTTTTTTTTTTTTTTTTTTTTTTTTTTTTTTTTTTTTTTTTTTTTTTTCACAGTTTGACTGACGTGTACGGTGATTATCCTATGGGTATCTGGTCAGTCATTTCTCCATCGTCGATGAAATCGACGTAGCCGAAAGGAAAAATGCCTGACAGACCCGAGCATTCCATCAACAGCGCCGAGGAGACGGCCAAGAAGCACAACGTCAGCCGAGAGGACCAGGACAACTACTGCCTCGAGACCTACCGCAAAGGTACGTCACTTGAGGACTTCCGAAACATACAAGGAAGGACAGGAAGACTGATCTAGCCTCGTCATCGCCTTTCACAGCCGCGGCCGCATGGGATGCCGGTGCCTTCAAGGCCGAGATCGCGCCCGTGACGTTGAAGGACGCTCGCAAGGGTGACACCGTCATCTCCGAGGACGAGGAGTACAAGAAGATCCTCCCCGCCAAGGTCGCCGGCCTCAAGCCCGTCTTCAAGAAGGACGGCACCGTCACCGCCGCCAACGCGTCCAACTTGAACGATGGTGCTTCGGCCGTCATCTTGGTCTCCGAGGAGAAGCTCAAGGAGCTCAACTTGACCCCTTTGGCCAGGATTGTCTGTGAGTTGCGATTCATCGCAATAGTTCACCGATGAAATCTATATGTTCACCTTCTGACACCACCCCTTCAGCTTTCGCCGACGCTGCCTTGGCCCCGATCGACTTCCCCATCGCCCCGTCCCGTGCCCTCCCCGCCGCGCTGAAGAAGGCCAACCTGACGATCGACGACATCGCCAAGTTTGAGATCAACGAGGCCTTCTCCGCCGTCGCGTTGGCGAACCAAAAGATCCTCAACATCCCGATGGAGAAGCTCAACGTCAACGGTGGTGCCGTCGCTTTGGGTCACGCCTTGGGCTCGTCCGGCTCGAGGATCGTCGTTACGTTGACGCATCTGTTGAAGAAGGGAGAGTTCGGCGCGGCGGCCGTTTGCAACGGTGGTGGTGGAGCTAGTGCCATCGTCATTCAGAGGCTATGAGACGAAGGCTCGGTTGGGCAGCAGTTCGCAAAGCTCTGAGGCTGTTTGTGCGTTCAAGATTCCTTATTTCCTATTTTTTTTACCCGCTCTTCAGATCAACTCATTGTGTTTTCACTACTCATTGGGGATCTCCAATTAATGGATGCAAATAAAAGTTTTTCAACCACTGAGAAGGCTCTCGACCGGGAAACTTCCCGGCCTATTCGTCGGTCGGCTGGACAATACTGTGCTCGCTGTATCGCATCTTCATTTCAAAAGACCTTAAAATTCACCTTAGACGTACTTCGAGAAAAGACCAACTCAGAATCCACAGCGATCACTACTACTACGGCGAGTCTAGAAGTCCAAAGGGATGCCCTCATACTCCTGTGCCGTGTGGGGAACGTGCTTGATCGGATTAGTAAGCAATCTCCTGGGAGAGGACGACGAAAAAAAAGCACGACTCACCTCGAGGCCGAGGGCAAGGTTAAGGTTCTGAATGCACTGCGTTGCCGCACCCTTCAACAAATTGTCCAAAACGCCCTGATCGCATGCACCGAACCCCCCAAAAAAGAATCAACGATGAAGTTTCAACTTGAAGTCTCAGCGTTCGGAAAACTCACGACAACGACGACCCTCTCCCCACTCGAATGAACCTGCACACCCCCAATCTTGACCCCATGCTTCTTCTCGATATCCGCAATCTCCGGTACCCCATCCTGGAACTTGACCAACTTCTCCCCCCTATACCTCTCTTCGTACAAAGCCTTGACCTCGGCCGCCCTCATGCTCTTGTTCAAAGGTGCGGAAACGGTCGATATGATGCCTTGGAACCAAGGGGCGACGTGGGGGATGAAGTTGACTTTGAAGGAGGGAGAGGGACCGTCGAGGAAGAGGTTCGAGAGGTGGAAGCCGGCTTCGCGCTCGTGGATGTGGTCCGTCAGGGCGTAAGGTCGGATACCGCCTCGGAGGGACTCGGCGGACACTTTGGGCTCCCTCCCGGATTTCGTACCTGCGCCTGAATAACCTGAGATGGCGGAGATCGTGGGAGAACAAGTTGTCGAGAGATGAGGGATCAAGGGGGCGAGTAAGAGTTGGGTGTTGGTGGCGAAGCAGCCCGGGTTGGAGATGCGCTTCGAGCTCAAGAGCTGTTCACGGTTGTAGAGTTCTGTGAAAGGGGGCAAGAGACAGGTTAGTGTTCACTTCGCGAAGCAGGACGTTAATGGCGTCAAAGTGGCGGGCGAGGTGGCGTCGAGAGGACTTCAGACTTCTCGTGCCGTCCGAGGATGAATCGCAGCAAGATCGGGGTTTCCCGACTCGTGAACAAGATGGGAAGCTCCGGCGTTGCAAGTTTCTACGATCTGTCCTTCGGAGGCAGAGAAGAAGAAGAAGAGGAGGAGGAGTTATGTAATAAGGGATGCTTTGTTGGTGGTGGATCGAGGGACACGGAGAGACGATTTGATGGATGCTGGCACGTTACAACACAACCCCAGAGGCACAAGAGAAAGGGAACGGCGAGTCGAGGAAGAAAGAACGCTTATAGCTCACCCGGCAAGCCATACGTCCACTCTTTGTTGAACCTCATGTCGGCACCCAGGTCGATTATAGCCGACTTGCCGCCCTTGACGCCGTCGATCGCCTCGACAAAAGGTTGGCAAACGCCATTCGGCAACGCCATGATCCAAGCATCGACCGAGCCCTGCGACTCGATTCGCTCGAGGTCCTTGGTCGACAGGTTCTCGTATGTCACTTTGGACTTCGTGTAGCCGTCCAAGCCTTGGCCAGCAAGCTCGCGCGAGGACACGTGGGCGAGCTCCAGGGACGGGTGCGAGTTGATGAGATCGACGAGGTTCGAGCCGGTGTAGCCCCGGGCACCAATCAAACCGATACGCTTGGCCGATGCCGAAGAAGGGGAAGAGGAGGAGAAGGCACGGCGAGCGAGGTGAGCGGCCGGGGTCGTTACGGCCGGCCCGCGAGCCGATGTTGAGTACGATCGAAAGGCGGAGGCGATCTTGCCCGACGAAGCGACTGTGCCCTTACTCGAGGCGTAAGAGATGGGCAGGTAAGCTCGCTCGATTCGGCCATTCTTCTCAAATTCCTTGACGATCTTCTCAACCTCGCTTGCATCCTGAACACCGTAGTAGAACAGCGATCGACCGTTGCGGGTGAAGGACCCGTCGGCTCGCTCAAAGTGCCACGTCTTGTTCTCGTCATCGGCGGGAGCAGTCCAGAAGAGCTTCTTAAAGTCCTTCTTGATCGAGTCAAAGACGTTGTCGTTGACGGCGTTTTGCACGCCGTTGGCCGAGGGGAGGAACTTGGTCAACACGGGGACCTCGCCAGCGGGGTGGGAGACGATGGCGACGCATTCAAACGGCTCATCGCCGTAGATCGTGTACGGCGTCTTTTGCAGGCCACTGAGGACCTCGGCGACGGACTTTCGTCCGGAAGTCACCTCCTCGTCACGCTCCGAGAGAACCTGACGCAAGCGATCGTGGCCGACGGCCTCGATGTTGTCGTGCTTGTACAACTTGTATCCGCGGCGCAAGAGCGTACCGGCACCCGAGTCCGTAAACAGCTCCTTTTGCAGGGCGTCGGGCGAGATGATGGCGACCGAAGACGAGCGAGGGAGATGATCGAGCAACTCCTTGATCTCGCGTAGCTTGAGCTTGGTGCCGTATTTTACCCACGATTCCTTCATCAGCGCGTCGTACTCCTGATCGAGCATCAAGAAGGTAACTGGTCAGCACAGCAAAATCGCGAGCCCCAAGCCGTGGCCTGGCGCTGATCGTACCTCATCCAAGTTGATGGCCGAGATCTTCTCCTTGGTTACACCATGGAAGAGGCCACCCTTTTCACTGAGGTAGACGATTTTGAGCGGCTCCAAGACCTTGGCCAGTTCGGCCGTAGCGACATCGGCGTTGACGTTAAGGATTTGACCCTCGGGCGTCTCGGCGAGCGAGGTGAGAATGGGGAGGGCGCCAGCTCGGATCGAGGCCTCAATGGGTTCCTTATCGACCGAGGTGATGCGACCGACAAAGCCGTAGCGAGGTTGGTCCAGGTAGTCGGCGGTGAATACACCGGTGGTGATGGGTCGTGCGCGAGTGCCGAGCGATTCGAGCGCCGAGACGAGCTTCAAGTTCTCGGACAGGAAGACACGGCGGGCGTGGGACAGGGTGCGAGCGTCGGTAATTCGAATGCCTGGTCGATGAGAGAGTAATAATAAAAAAAGCGGTTTGTTTCACCAGCATCAGTCTATATGCACACAATTTGAGGGTCCCTGGGATTGCCCCTATCCTGTCGCGATAAGACCAGCCAGGACGAAGCGGAAGCGCCGAGACTGACCGTCGATGTAGTCGGGCACGATGCCATCGGCCTCGAGCCTGGCGTTGAGCTTGTCACCCATACCATGAACGACAACGGGGTAAAGCCCGACACGGTGGAGGAAGTTGAGGGACAGCGTCAAGGACTCGAGGTCGTGGGTGAGGATGGCTCCGCCGACCTTGAGTACGGCGAAATGGGTCGCGGAGGAGAAGATCTGCAGGTAGCGCGACACCTCTCGTCGGGATGCGAGCGAGTACAACAAGCGCACGATCGTTTCCTGTGGCAGCAGCAAGAACGCATCGCTCGGTGTAGTCAGCTCCTTGTTCCGCCGCGGCGACGAGCTCGCGTACGCAGCAAGTCGCTCGTTCGAGCCAAGGGCGGCCTGTCTGGCTGGGCCTGCGCCCGGGCAAGCGCATGACGGCCGGGCGGGGATAAGCAGCTCCGTTCTAGAGAGCTTTTCTTGCCCGACGCCTGATGCTCCCGCTCAACATAGGCAAACACCAGTGCGGGGATCGAGTACTGACCCTGTCGGTATCGGTTCCAGCCGCCGAGACGGCGCCTCCAAGCCATCGCTTGGCCATGATGTCGCCCATCTGATCCGACGCTCGATCGTTGGCCTGGTCGACCTTGCGCCGCGATTGCGCCAACAGCGACGCGGGAACGTGCGTCGTCAAGGAGCGTGTACCATGTCCAGCGGCACGGCTGGAGAGAGAGCGAGCTGCTCGAGCTCGCAGTGTCGGCAACATGTGGTGCGGGTGAGAAGGTCCTGTGTCGAGCGGGAGCTGAGCGTGAAGACGAGGCGGTCAAGAGTAAAGCGGAGTCGGCTTCCCAGCTCAAGGTGGGGGCGAGTCAACCCTGGTCGACGGCTTCAAGTTGGCTTTCCGATTATTCTCGGAATTGTATGCCCTCGTTCATCGCTTATTGAACTCCTCAGACATTACTTGATGTGTTATTGAGACGCGCGCCTTTTTTGTGAGGCATTCAAGTAGATACCGGGTATACCGGGTATGTACGCCGAAAATGCTGCAGAAATGGCGCATTAGCACTGCACGAGCGCTCGGCTTGCACTCCGGCTACTTTGTACTGAACCGGTTCACCTCCCCTCCGCTCATCGAAAACCCCCGGTCCCCCTCATTCTCTTTTCCCCCCTCCCTCCTCAGGGTTCTTTTATGCTCGCAGCCACTCGCTCCACGATTCCCCGACCTCTTTTGCCCCGGACCTTGTTGATCGCTTACAAGCCGCAGCGTCCCATGTCGACCTCCTCCTCGTCCTCCTCGTCCTCGTCGGCCGCTGGTCGTCCCGACGGTATCAAGTCGGCTACTTCTTCCGCCTCATCAAGTGGGGCTTCCCGAACCGGCGCAGCGTCTTCGTCGAACGGTTCGACTCGACCTCCTCGACCTCCTCAAGATGCGATCGAAGAAGGCGATCCCATCACCGTACCGTCCTTGAGTGCGAGGTCAGTCTGGCCCCTCCCCCCGCACTCATCCCCGCACTGGGCTCGATCACGTGCACCCATCCAGGGGCTATCGATTCTGTCGAGAAAGCCGTATATCCGCGGAGGAACGAGGGAAGCGACAGATAGTCTGAGGATAGCTACTGACTGAGCTGTTCCTCTCGGACCACAGTCTTGTTCTTATTGCGCCACTGCAAGAGCGCACGGCGGACGGGTACGATTACCGAGTGCTTCTGCTCAAGCGAAACGCTCGGAGCACGACCTTCTTCTCCGCGCACGTATTCCCAGGTGCGCCGCTTCGAACAACTTGGTTGCAGCGGGAAATCGATTCGCTGACTAATCGCGTCTTCGACGAGCGACTCAGGTGGCAATCTTGACCCGATTGACCGGGATCAGTTAGCATGGACCGGGCTGCTGGACAAGATCGACAACCCCGAGGAAGCCAAAGCGCGAGCTGTCAAGCTATGTGCGTTGCGTGAGACCTTTGAGGAATGCGGAGTCCTCCTCCTCGATGGAGAAGGAAATGCGAAGCAGAGGTGGAGTGCCATCTCGGATACGGAGAAGAAGGCTTGGAGGAACAAGGTTTGTCTCTGCCCACACGAGAAGAGCAGGGAGTTCTCGAAGCAAAAGCCCACTGACAACGAGACTCATTCCCTGCCCCCTGCCCCCTGCCCCCTGCCCCCTGCCCCCAGGTCTACAAAGATGGCAAATCTTTCGTGGAGCTATTCAAACTTTTGTCGGCCGATGATGCTCAACCAGCACTGCCAGCACTTTCGTCGCTGCAGTACCGAGCCAACTGGATGTGAGTTGCACCGGACCTCGGCGGGATTCCCCTATCTGGTCCTGACCTGTGCACCGCTGCAACACCTCCTCAGCACACCCGCCAACATGAAGCGTCGCTTCGACACCCACTTCTTCATCTCCATCCTTCCACCTTCCTCTCCGACCTCGCGCACTTCAACCACCAAGGACCCAATCCATTCCGAACACATCGCCTCCGCCGACGGAGGCGAAACCGTCTCAGCAGACTGGTTAACCCCCAAAGAAGCGATCGACCGAACGCTCCTTCACGCTCAACTACAACAAGGTCCACCAAAAGAGGGGCAGGATTCGGACGCGGCCTCGAGATCTTTGATTTTGTTCCCACCTCAGTTTTACCTCGTCGCCGAACTGGTGAGGACGAAATCGTGGAAAGAGCTCGTTCATGAACCTTCGTCGAACGTGGAGAAAGGCGTTCATAATTTTGCCCCTCGTCATATCCAACCTTTCGAACCTGAAGTCAAAGGTGTAGATGACAGTCAAGGCAAGTTCCGAGCAGCGACGGTCTTGATCGGTGATCCCGAACATTCAAAGACGGATCAATCGACGTGCTTGAAGACGGATCGACATCGTACTTATGTGCTCTTACCGGCCAAGAAGAGAGATCCTGAATGGAAGGCCAAACCGCCTTTGGGGCTGACAGTGATGGGGTGTCATAGGGAAGGGATGGGGAGGTTGTTTGGTGAGGGGTGGGATGTGACGATGAGGGAAGGGGATACGGGCGAGACCTCGTCCGCCAAGGGCAAGTCCAAGTTGTAGAAATCGGCGTGGAAAATCGTCCGCTCTTGTTCATATCACTCTGCACTACTATCCCAACGGTCTACGAGCTACCTGCGTCCCTAATCTCACTGCTGTGAATTGGTTCCTGTCTACCGTCCTTGCAGACTCCCTTCTATTGACCTTCCTGAGCCCCGCACGGCCAATTGCTCATTCTCATCATCATTTGCCTACGTCGCTTTCTGTCCGCTATAAACGGATACAAACCGTGTGAGCAAGATCACTTTCAAAATGTTCCCTGACCGGAACAAAAAATCTGACCTTGTTGTTCTCGCATCCCTCGTCGATGACGTTTCGAAAGAACTCGCACCTAGTCCCCCTCCTCCTCCGCTGCAATTATTTTCGAAAGGCGATGGACTCGCATTCACCTGTCGAACAAAAAAACAAAAAAAAAACAGAAGAAAAAAGAAAGAAAAAACTTCAATAATAAAATCTCCATCCATAACGACCTCACTCCAATCGCGCTCGACGAACCCATGAACACAATTCATTCTCGACCCTCTCCAACCTCTCCCTCAACTCGGACGCATCCAAAATTTCCCCAACCTCCGAGTCCCCATCATTCCCCTCCTCGCCTGAACCTTCTCCACCTCGACGCGTATTCCCCCGTCCGATTAATAAAGCTTTCAATACCTTGATCCGACTCGTCAATCTGGATCTTGGAACGGGGGGAGGAACGTCGAGAGAACTTTGCGGGCAGCACTGGCCCGGTGGGTCAGAACCTGCGGCCGCCAGTGAGAGCGATCGATCACCGCCGCCGCCGGTCGTGGTCGTGGTCGTGGTCGTGGTCGTGGGGGAGTCGCAAGAGGGCCAGTCGAGCGATACGCTGGCGTCGCGGTCTCTTGAATAGGTGGACGGATGCGGTGAACTGGAGAGGGAGAGTGGAATGAGGGAGAGCGTTAAGGCCGAGGTTGAAGGGGACGGGGAACGTTCGACGTTCACTGAGGTCGATGAGGTCGGGTTGGTGGAACTTGTTGATGGATCCGATTCGGTCGAGGACATGGTCGAATGTCAAATACAAAGGCTACGCAACCTGGGACGCGGGGTCGGACTTGAGTAGATTGGATGCCCGAATCCTGTTTTTACGTTGACGAGAGCGAAAGCGCACGGACCTCGACAACGTGGCAGAGGGCGAATTGAAGGGCGGGCGGTCCGTACTTCTACGATCCGCAGTTGAGTGGCCACCGATCCTTTGCAAGTGCACAAGACAAGATACACGAAGGACCTATGGCCGATCAAGAAGCCAAATCAGACGGCGTCTGTGATGTCAGCCTCGCCCCTCGATCTCGTTGCCAAACCCAGCCCTTCTTCAGAAAGGGGAGCCTGTTTCACTCTCCCCCTCCCCACAGGTTAGGAGGCAAAGTTCGGGGGGTCCACTCGAGGAATTCCGCCTTGGAAGCTCACCAAATGCTAGACATTATATGAGCAAAGTCTTTACCGTTGAGGTTTTGAGGTTTAATATGTTTATGTTTACGAACATTGCACGGACACTAAGACGATTCAATTATGCAGAATAAGGCAGGGCAAACGGATCGAGTTGAGGTCCGATTTCCCCGAGTGGCGAGGGACGTGATCTTGTAGACGGCCATAGTCATTCTAGTCTAGTGTTGGTGAACGGTACCGTAGCCGGCGTGCCCGCTCATAGGTTGGCCGATGGGTGCCTGAGATGGAGAAAGAGAGTGTAGTCGTCAGCACATGGCCCGAACGATTCAAGTCCCACCGGTTCAAATGCGACTAGGTCTACTCACGTATTCGCCATTCCCGGTGTAAACGTATCCGCCTCGACCGTATCGCTCCTCGGCTTGAGTCTTCTTGTAGATCAAGTACTGTTGACCCGACCGAGTAGTGGCAAAGTCAGGTCAGTAGGTTCGATCTCCGATCTCTGCTCTAGAAAGAGCTTACGAATGCATGGATGTGGCCCGGGCTGGAGGAAACAACAGAAACAAAGACAAAGTGGTTAGTTCAGATCCTCGAACCCACATCACTCATGACAAGTCCAGTGATCGGCCTCTAAGGGGCTCGGTCCCGATAACCGGCTCGAATACTCACATGTAGCCCAACACGGTCAACAAGATGTTGATGAGCAAGTCGCAACTGCAACCGGTGATGAAAGCAGCGGCGGCAGGAGGGAAGAGGATGGCAACTGTTGTGATGAGCAGGTGTTCCAAGTCAGTAAAGCACCGAGTCCGAGATCCCCGGGGCCGTCTACGGAGTGGCAACGGCATAGTACGGGATGGTATAGCATCTCGAGCCGGAGAGTCGGGTGACGTACCAAGGCACAGGACGATATCACTTGCTCGGACCATGGTGGTAGGTGGCGTGGATTGCGTGGTGGTGGGTCTGTGATACGACACGCGCGGTGGGAGCCGGTTGTGAGTAAATGAGTCGACTGGGATCGAACGGGAAACCGCCAACCGACGGCAGACGTGGCAGCGACGACGAATGACCGACAACTGCGCAGGGATAGTGGGTGGAGTGTTCTCGCTCACGAAATAGGATTTGTGTGGGTAGTTTTTGGGCTTGAGAGCAAGTCGAATTGGGTGTGGTGGGATGGAGGAAAGCAAGTGACTCGGAGGCCAACCCGGAAGCGAACGCACGCACCCGTCGTTCACGCCTTCAGGCACAGCCACACTCGAGGCCGCCCATGATGTCACTCACACGAATGGCTCGCCAAAGCTCCTCCGTTCGAATTCGCGCCGGCACCCCACATGAATCGGAGAGTTTTCGCTCACACATCGAGTAGATGTCAAGCATTCGATCGTAATACATCAGAAAGCCCCAACAACACCCATACCAGTCTACGCATTCTCAGTAGCAGCAGCTTCAGCAAGGGGCACATCATCGGCCTTCTCACTGGCCGAAGCAGCCTCATCAGCGGCCCCGGTGACCGGCGCAGTGGCTTCACCTTGGATCTTGGCCTTCCCTTCGGCTTTAGCAAGATCACGAGCCTTGGGCCCGATTTTGTGAGGGGTCAGATCTTCGCCGAAGAGGCGGAGGGAGAGCGCACTGCGGAAGTGAAGAGATGGTGGATCAGTGTTTTGATCTTGGGGAGGAGACGTGGTTTCGAGGCTCACCTCTTTTCCACTTTCTCAACCATGAGGTTGACGGTGTTCTTGGACCTCCAGAAGGGCAACGACAGCTTCTGCTCGAAACTGAGGAAAGAACCCGACATTGAATCCGTCAGTGAGAATGCCTCGGATCCAGAGATAAAGAATCCACTCACAGCAAACCTTCCCCCTTCGCATCGACTTCGAGCACACAACTCCCCGGTTCCATCTCCGCAATCCTCTCCTTGAAAACGACCTCGTCCAATTCCTCAAACCCGACCGTCAAAGAGCTCATCAACCTCCTCAACGTTCCAACCGAAGCAGTCACAATCCTCTTCGTTCCCATATAAGGACGCAAGACTTCCAAGCCTTCGGAATTGACGCGCCATTTACAGGCGTAGGTCCCGTCCCGGGTCGAGTCTTGACGAGTGAAGATTTTGACGCCGCAGGAGATGAGCCGCATGCGCGTGAAGGAGTTGGAGAGGAGGAGCGCGCGCGTCGAGGAGGAGGTGAAGTAGATCGAACGGAGGGGGGCGCCGGCGGCGTTGCGCACGAGGAGGTTCTCGCGAGGGAACGAGGGGGACAGGTCAAAGAAGTCGCTGAGAGGGGGTGTACCAACGTCGGAAATGAGCTTAGTGTTGTCGTCCATTGATCAGACAGATCCTTGAATTACTCACGAAAAGATCTTGACCTGCTCATCTTCAGGATTGAGGTAGATGAACGGTTCCTCCTTGAAATCGCGCGTCTTGGTCGAAAATGCATTCGCGCCGACAATCTCAACAGGCAGACTCGAGACATCGACCTGTTCTTCGATCGCAGTGTCTTCCACCATCGCTTCAGTCCCCGTCTCCGTCTCAACCTCAGGTTCTGATTTAGGCTTCTTCGCTTCCGGGGCCACCGCCTCGACGTCATCCGAAGTCCTCTTCGCCGTCGTCTCCTCACCCCCCTCGCCGCCACCTCGTTCGCCCCCTTCTTGACCAATACGCAAACGAAGAACGCGCCCGTATCCTGCAAATGCCCATAAATCCTCAACGCCTTCTCCAAACCCAATTCCTTTTCCTTGCCCGAAGGCCACAACGTGTTGGACCATACTTTCTCCTTCTTCTTATTCCCTTGACGAGCAGTCGCGGTAGATTCACCTTCCGTCGCCGAGGTACCTTCGAGAGCAGGCGTAGGTGAGGGAACGGGATGGTCGGGATGAGGAGGTGGGTTCCCCGCGTTGTCTAGAACGACCCAGTCGGTCATTCCTGGACGACGTTTGAGTTCAGGGAGGGAGCAGGAAACGTCGAGGATCGACATTTCGGGACAGAGCGACAGCGCAGCGGACAGGACGGCTTCGTTCTCGATGGGGTTCATGGAGCAGGTCGAGTAGACGAGCCGACCACCGGGTTTGAGGAGCGCAATGCCTCGGAGGAGGATACGGAGTTGAAGACTGGTCAGGAAGGATTGGAGGGTTAAGCATCAGAGTCGCCGACGGTGTACGGGAGTAGCGCTGGGATACTCACGAATGCAACCCCGTGCCATTGCCAGGGGTGAACTCCTTCCAGATTGCCAAGTTCTTTCTCAACGTCCCATCACCCGAACAAGGCACATCCGCCAAGATGCGATCGTACAACAAAGGCTCGTACTTCTTCTGCCTCTTCGTTCCCTCCGCGACGACCTCCTCCACTTCCTCCTTATCATCCCCAATGAACTTTCCCGCGTTCGCATTCGTCGCCGAAGTCGGTAACCTCAAGCCGGGTAATTGGGTAGCGTCATGGTTGGTGACCATCATCCCCGTGCCCGGTACGCGATGCAGAGATTGATGAACGAGGAGATGACACCTCTTGGCGTCCGAGTCATTCGCGATCAACAGTCCTGCCGAAGCTTGACCGCCGAGTTTCTCGGACCCAATCAACGCTTCCAATAACTGAACGGTTTTCGAGCCAGGTGCGGCGCACATGTCCAAGACATGATGATGAGGTTGGACGTCAAGGAGTAAGGGAGGGATCATGGAGACGGCTTCTTGGCGAGAAAGGTTGCCGCAATCGGCCTCGTGGACGAGGAAGTGTTGAAATTTCTTGAAGGCGTCTTGTTTGCGGATCGCTTGGCGGGGGATGTTGAGTTGCCATGCGAATCCACCGGGGTACCTAAAGGCTCGGGAAACAGAAACGAGGTGTTTTAGGAGGGGCTGCCTTTGGGGGTTTGGCTGGCGACTGACCAGGATAACTTTTTGGGAGCTTCCAAAGGGACACCTTCATGCTCGATGCCGGTGAGGAAAGGAACAAATGTCTCCTCGATTTGTTGGTTCAATCGAGGGGCGACGCTAAGAGATCAACTACCAAGGGTCAGCTCAACATGAACGGAGGCTCCAAATCCGAAGTGGAACCCACTCTCGGCAACTGGTCAACCTGAACGTTGTCGGTAGAGGTTGTTGCAACGCATGAAGGAACTCGCCCCACTCTTCTTCAGGAACCAAGCTTTGGGCCTAGAACAAGAGACGAGTACAAGGCGTGAGTCAACCCGGTTGATACTTCCTAAACCGGGCACTCGTTGCCCGCGACGCCGGACTGACCTTGTAGTACTTCAGGAAGATCTCTGAAGCGATGGGTTCGGTCGAGGTCCAAGCGGTCGTACGTTGGTTACTACCTCGGTTCGTCGAAGAAGGCGCGTTGCTGCCGTTGCGATTCCCACCATTTCCTCCACCACCGGATCGTCCACCTCGCCGCTGCGAAGGGGAGGGGCAGCGGCAGGGTCAGTTGGGCCGGGGGTGAACGGGGGTGCACAGGTGAAAAGAGGGCTTACTTTTCCCATGTCGATCAAGAAGGAACGAAGAAGGATCGTAAGCAGTGTCGATGGACACCCGAATGGGATGTGCCAGAAGAGGAAGCGCCGTAGAGCGCCGTAGAGCGCCGTAGAGCGCCGTTTCGCAACCTCGGGCCGAGTCGAGCTCCGCGCTAGCTCCGCAACTTTGATAGACTTTGATCGAAAGTCGATCCCCGTACTAAAGCCAACTCGCGCTTACGTGTCTGTCTCCTCGTGCCCCTCACCTCTTCCGGGTGATTCTCCCCAGTCGATCGACGATCCTTCTCCCCCAACCTCGCTCGAGTGATGTCTTGACCATGTCCAAACTGCGCCTCTCTTCGACCCTCTCGAAACGGGTCCCTCGCACACGACCCCTTTCTCTCCATCGTCACGCCTTCAAGCCATCGCTCGGAGACGAACTCGACGCCGGGAATGGTCCGAGTCGTTTGCTGGACGGCAAGGAGCGGATCAAGCCCGATCAACTCATTCTGCCCGTTCTACGGGAGGGCTTTGACAGTGGTAACAAGCGCAAGAACCAAAAAGACCGGACCTTCTTGGGCGTCCGCATCCCTACCAAACCTGAACCGCCAGGACCGGAAGGTACGCGTGATTCACGACCGCGTCCACTCTCCGAGTAGATGCCCAAGCTCACTCCACGCTTGATGACTCTTTGCAACTCCGTTGATGCTACTCGTTGGATCGGGTCACAGATTGCTGTCAATCGGGATGTGCGATCTGCGTCTATGATAGCTACCTCTCCTCGATCGAGGAATATCACGATGCCTTGTCCTCGACGCTCGAGGAGCTCAGGAACAAGATTCAGCAACAATCCCTCCGAGTTGAGGCAAAGGACTGGCCAGCTGAACTAGGACCCTTCGACGCGTTCGTCAAGCGTGGAGCATCGCAAACGGTCCAAGGGGCCAAGGAAAGAGCCGAGGACGAGTTGAAGAGGGTCAAGAGCTCGTTGGACCCTTCGTTGAGGTTCGTGCTTGGAGAAAGCAAGTTTGGGGTGGGGAATGCGGGTAGGCTGACCCATTCTTTTCGTGGTGAACAGGGCTTTTCTGGAGATGGAAGCTCGACTCAAGGCCAAGCAGAACGCCGAAGCATGAACCTCAATCCTCGAGACTTGAAAACTCGACGTACACCCTTTCATGTTATCCTTTCGCCCGACCATTCCAAGAGTACCCTGTTGTAAGAAACGCATACATCCTTTCTAAGAACGAACCAAGGCCCCCCATAGGCTTGAGCCTTTCATGGGGTTCTCCCTTCTTCCTCACTCCCATCTGCCTTGCAACCCCTTGAGCTTCTCCCTCCATTGCTCTGGCAACGGAGTTGACCTCCTCGTCTTTTCATTGACGAAAACATGCGTCATACTACCCCAAGCGGCCGCCGTGGGTAATTGACCGTCCTTGCCCGGAATGACTTGGATCGAAGAATCGAACCTCGTTGGGAAAGTCGCGTCCGAATGATCATCGAGGAGGGCTAGCTGAGTACCGTTCGATATCGATGATCGGTCGGGGTTGGCTCGAGCGGCGAATAAACCGACTTGCCAGGTGATACTACTCTTTGATACGGACGAGACGGATAAAGCTCCGAGGATCGGGGACGGGAAAGATAGAGGCGCCGCGAAGGAGAGGGATGAATTGACCATCAGACCGACCGGGGTGGGGCGACGGTTCGCATCCGTGGAGGGGAGTTGAAGGCCGAGGTGATTGACTGGAGAGGAGGGGTAGAGGGTAAGGTGAGCAAGCGGCAAGCGTATGTGGGGGGGGGGGGTTCGGAGACGGGGTCTTACTTAGGTATTCGTTGACGATCGAGTCGCCGTAAGCGTTGTCTGCCCGTTCGAAGAGTATATACCAAACACGTCAGCTCAGAGCTCGTCCCGCCCCACCAACCTGCACTCCCAGTCGGTTCCCTCATCGTTTCGGTTCCGGCCCGGCTATCACTATCCCGAATCCGAATGAAACCCGGGGGTGGCCAGTGTCTCACACGAGGTAGAGTCCCTCTGAACCACATCTACGAATTCACGCGCGATCGATAACACACCCACATATTATATTGTTCAAATGCACGTAAGCATCATTGTCCCTCCACTGCGTCTGGAAGGGGAGGAAGTATTGGTACGCTTTCAGGGAGGGAGGTGCCGCGCGAGCTGGTTTGGGTTTCGGAGCGCCTGAAGCGAGAGTCGAGCGGAGCGTGGTGGGTTTCATCGTCGGTCGAGAAGGAACGGTCGGCGGAAGGTGGGGCCTGCGGGGCGAGGGGTGGAGTGCAGAGTGTGCGCGTTCGAAGATGGACGAAGCGGAACGAGTTGAGCGAGGCCAGCGAGGGCCAGCGAGTCGAGCTCGATGACGTTCTTTCGGCGGGCTTTCGATCACCCTTGGGTCGATTCAGGTCCGATCACTCCTCGAGCGTGCATCGCATGTACATTGAGAAGGGTAGGATTGACACAGAAAACGACGGACAAGTAGCGAGCTCATCACCACACCCTTCTCACGCCTCCATCACACCTCCATCACACCTCCTCCGGGCGACTCTACTCGTTCAAGCTCTTGGCCAAACCCTGCAATTCCTCCCTACTCTTGGGCTGCTCCAACTTCATCGCGATCTCATCCTTGGGCACATGGGGACCCTTGGCCTGGGTTGGGTCCTGGGCCTTGTGCAGATGGGCGAGGTTGGGCGCTCCGCCGAGACCGGCTGTCCCTTCGGCGTCGGAACCGGGGAACGACGGCGCGATGTTGTCCTTGGCCGGGTGGGGTTGGATCTTGAATCCCTGTTCTTGGTTGGACATGGTGGAGCTGGTTCGGAGATGAGGAGGGCGTTAACGGAGAATCTGAGAGCGGAAAGCCAAAAGTGGCGAGCGAACGAGACGAGGCCAGGCGACTCGACTGACGATGATCGAGTCAGATTTCAGATTTCAAGTGGCGGTGGGGGTTGTTCGATGACGACAAAAGAAGGCGGAGTCTGGGGTACGGCCAGTAGCTCAGCTCAGCTCAAACACACTAGAGATGAGATGACTTGCTGAATTTGGAAAGGACTCACCCCTAATCCGACGATGTGGTTGAAGCGTGATGAGGTGAAGGCAGAAGAGAGAACCGAGTGACGGCAGGCTGCATGTCGTCAGCGCTCCGATGTGGGTGCTTGTGGGTGCATGCATCCACCGTCCACCGCGGTCTGGCGGGGCTGGTCTGGCTCTCACGATCTCACGTGCAGCCGCCGATTTCGTCCCGCCCGAAAATCGACCAAAAAGCCAGGGCCAAAATCGGCCAAAATCGGCTCCGCTCGAGTTGGAACCTGGCGCGCGCCTGCGAGAAGTCGGGCCGTGCTCTGGTCTGCATCTCGCTTCATCCCACTTCGTCGAAACTCAGATCAACCATGGTCAGTATACCACCCCATACATGACGAACGACCTCCGTTAGCTCGGCCATTCGATCCCAGTCATGTCACTCGACCCACTTGCGTAAAGGATGAGAGGCCGTCGAAGGGAGGCGGGCCCACCGACGCCAGGGGGAGAAAAAACGCCCGCACGCTTACGATCAACGGCTCAACGCAAAACGCAACTTCACACACTTGTCGGTTCGCACTACTTCTTTTCCGCCAGCCGGATGAGACGGGTAGATACATGGATTCGAGGAACGGGATCGGGACTGGTGTGCGCGTCACAGGGTAGGATGATGGGTCACGCGTTGCTGTTTCGCCGCTGCTGTTCGCATTCCTGTCGCTCGTGTGTGGCGGTGCCTTTGGCCTGCCTGCGCTCCGCTTTTCCTCGCGCGTGCTGTCGGTCGCCAGCGCCGCGGCTGCGAGGCAGAGTGGGGTCGCAGCGCATCCCACGGCCACGATCAGAGCGTGTGCAGCGTGCTGGCGAATTCGAACCCGTGGTCTTTCATCTCTTCCTTTTCCCCGCTTTCTGGTCACTTTCCCGTTTCCTCGTTCTCCCTCTCCCGCGGTGGTAGAACACTCTACGAGTCTTCTCGCGACAATCCATTGGCTGTGCAAAGCGACGTGTTGTCCTCGCGTGGACCTCCCGGGTAGGCTGACCTTTCTCTCCCTGGTCTTTCCCACAGCCTAAGGAAATCAAGGAAATCAAGCAGTTCCTCGAGATCGCTCGTCGACCGGACGCCAAGTCGGCGCAGATCAAGAAGTCCGTCTCGCGCAAGACGGGCGCCTCGGGCACGACCAGTGCGACCAAGTACAAGTTCAAGATCCGCTGCTCGCGCTACTTGTACACCTTCTGCCTTTCGGACGCCGACAAGGCCGAGAAGCTGCGTCAATCGCTTCCCCCTAGTAAGTCCCACATGACGCGCTTAGAGTGAGACAGCTCGATGCTGATCGTTCCCTATCGTGCCATGGACGTTTCCAGCCCTCAAGGTTTCGGACGTCGACGCCGAGAAAAAGTCCAAGAAGTAAACTCAGTCTTTGGTCATGGAGTGAACTAGGCTTTTTTGGGGGGCCACGATTGATCAGAAAAAAAGTGTCGAAAGCAAGAAGGAAAGGATCCGGGGGTTCTAGCTCGTTGGGATTCGTGGTCATTTCTTTCACTGGAGGGGGACCTTTCGGCATGGTGGAGTTTATGCATGCTTGTTATGTTTGAGCGTTTTCTCTTTTGCAACCACCCTCTCCCACCCAACTGCAGTAATTGTATTTGTTCCTCTCACACATTGAGGTGGTTCGGGCAGTGACTAGAGAGAAAGCGCATGGGAACGAACGACGGCTAGTCCCTCCGGCGCGCGGTGAGTGGTCGAGAGGAGGTTTTCAGCAAGCGAAGGGGCAAGATCGGGCATTTGAATTAATGTACAACACCCCGTCGAAAAAGTGTGTGCCATCGAAGAACAATTTCACCCTACCGTATCACTCGCTATCGCAATCGATCGTGATTGCAATCGGTTTCTGTGGAAAGTCTAGGCCCAACTACCGAGGCCGGAGAGTGGCCCGAGCTCCAGCAACGCCCAGCTGGCAATGGTCCCCGAACATGGGTCCGTTCGCCTTTCGCGCTTATCACTCGAAAGCCCACTTGCACCCATCCAACATCAAGAATAGCCCCTTTCTCAAGGACTCGATCTACAATGTCGCCTTGTACACATCATCACTAAGTTGACCCGTATCCACACGTATCCCGAGAACGCGGTCGGTGCACATCGCCGAGACCGTCCCCCCACCGGCATCGGCATCCCCACGAACGCCCTCTGCCCGCCCGTGCGTGCGATCGAAGATGGGTCGTCTCTTTGGACGCTCGATTCCCTCCTTGCCCACGGCGCGGAGGATCGATCCACGTCCACGGGATGAGAAGATGGAGGAGAAGCGATCGGGAACGCAGATGGGGAGTGCACTTTCGTCTATGGAGGGTAAGGAGGCTTCTCCTTCTTCGTTGAACGGCTCGGGCTCGGGCTCGAGCGTGGAGGACGTGCGCACGGCGCATCGAGTCCTACCGACGGCGACCATCTCGAGTCAAGGCACGAGACCGTCCTCAGCACCACCCGGACGCCCAACGAGTACAGGATCCGAGTTTGTCAGCTCGGATGTCGACGAAGATGCTTTGGACCGTACTCGTTCCATCGCCGCGACGATGGACCTCCCCAAGCCTCGACTCACGCGCGATCGCCGAGGCGCTGCCCGAAGTCGAAGCGGAAGCGGAAGCAACGATGACGAAGGAGATGATCCCGACCCGGATCCGCGGCGAAGGTGTCGAACACGCTGGCGACGCAAGTTCCATGCCATGACGCACAAATTGCATAGCAAGTTCGTCAAGGACGAGAAGATAGGTGCCATCAACACTATCGATGCCGAGGGTAACGTCGTCAAGAAGATTCAGCATCGCTATTTGCCCATCGTCTCCGGCTTGCTATGTCCGTTTTCAGTCTTGCTCGATGTCAGTAGCTCCCGGCCTCGGTTCGATACCGTCTGAACGAGCGCTGAGCCCATTCGACACCCTCCCACAGATCCCTGGTCTGACCGCACGATGGTACGTTCGCACCGCAGGCTACAACGTCGTCGAGACCCGACCCAACCCTGCCATCCTCGACGTCGGTCTGGCCATCTCCATGGCCCTCGGCGTCATCGCCAATCTTGGATTGATCAGCCGCTTCCTCGAACGGAAACCGTATCTCTGCACCTGGATCTCTATCGTGGCCCTGACCGCGCACGATGTGATCAACATCTCCATCGTCATCGCTTTTGGAGTCGTGCACCGCTTCTCCGATGGTTTTGTAAGTTTTTTCCCGCCCCCCATTTCGAACTCCGTCTCGGCGTGATCTTGAAGTGGGCTGATCTTTCCCCTGATCATCACACGTCTAGACCTATGGTGTGGCTTACTGGATGACTGTTGCCTCCACCGCCGCTTCCCTCACGTGCAACATCACCCTCGTGCTCGACCTCGTGCGCACGCGCGACTTCAAAGCCAGTGGATCAGGTTTGACCGAGAAGCAACGCGCGCTCGTCATCGCCGTCATGAGTCTACTCTGCTACCTCGGCCTCGGTTCTCTCGTCTTCTCCTTCATGGAAGATTTCTCCTACATCGACTCACTCTATTTCACCATCGTCACCATCACCTCCGTCGGCTTTGGCGATCTCGTTCCGACGACCGTAGGCGCCAAGATCTTTAGCTTCTTTTACGATCTGTGTGGTTTGGTACTCTTGGCGTTCACGATCGCGATCGCTCGAGAGACGGTGTTGGAAACGTTCGAGGCCAACTATCGAGCGAGGAGGGACATGTTGGCTAAGAAAGCGAGGGAGAGGAAAGAGGATAAGCGACGGCGGACGAGAGAAAGGAGGATAAGGTTGGAACAGCAGTTGAGGGAGAGGTTGGAAGAGAGCCCTTTGAATGTCCGCGACGGAGGAGTCGGCCTGTCGCCTGTCATGCTTACGGCTGTTGCTATGGGGGGAGGACGAGGTGGTCGAGGCCTGTCTAGGTTCGGGACGAAGGAACCTACGACCCCGACGATCCACGCCGTGCCGAGTAAAGAGGACCGAGCGACCCAACGAGCGTTGGATTTCGCCCTCGAGAGGGAGTCGGGTCTCTCATTTTGGAAGGCCTCTTCGAGATGGGTCAAGCGACGAGTCGGGATCATGGAGGCGTACACACCGCATTGCGAGGGTCCCAATCATCACCGCGATGCCGATGCCGGCAATGCGGAAACGGCCGTCGGGTCCTCCGAGCACAAGCTCGGCCATGAGCTAACTCGAACGATCACGTCCGAATCGACCGTCAGTCGCGTTCATGACGAACACCTCAAATCGCTCAAGGAAGAACTGCAACATGAGCAAGAAGTCGAATTGAGGACCAAGATGTCTTTGGCGTTGTCGCTCTTCCTCGTCTTTTGGCTCGTCGGTGCCGCCGTCTTTCATTTGACCGAAGAATGGACCTACTTCAATAGCATGTGGTTCTGCTTCATCTTTTTCACGACGATTGGGTACGGCGATTATTCGCCGCAGAGTAATGCGGGGAGGGCGTTCTTTATAGCTTGGGCTTTGTTCGGTATCGCCAACATGGTCAGTCGGATTCGAGAGAAGAAGGAAAAAGAAAAAACCCTGTCGCTGACCTGAGTGGTTTTTGCAGACCCTGACTTTATCGGTCGTTACCGAGTCATGGTCCTCACGGTACAAATCGACCATCATCGATGGCAAACGGCGTCGCGTACTCGGTCGTCTGAGGAGCATGAACACCTCCGCCGACACGAGCGCCTTGCGCCTGCTCGCTCTCGACGGTTTCCACCACGAAGACGAGATCGAAGCCAAGGACCTGCCGACCAAATTGATGGACGCGATTCGTGGATTTCAAGATCACGCGAGGTACTTCATGTTAGGTCGAATGGGCGACGTTCCCGAGAATCTACGCCAACTCTTCGATGCCGCCGGTCATTTCAATCATGAACTCGAAGCGATGATTCAGGATGGTGGGATCGAAGGAGCGCAGTCGGGAGATACGAAACATTTCTTGTTCATGGTCTCGTACGAGAGACAGTTCGACGTCCTGATGGATGCCGCGGAGCGTTTGAGTCAGGTCTTTAAGAGTCATGAGGATGAATTGGAGAAGATGAGGGATTTGAACAATAGGTTAAGGGTCGCGCTGGCTAAGGCTGAGACAGGGGAGGGGACGGATCTGGGAGAACAGACGTTGGATGAGCTAGGGGTCGTGGCTCCGGTCGAGATTGGCAAGGAAGATGGACCAAAAGAGGAGGGGTTGTTCCACAAACGCCCTCTGGGTGGATACGGTGACGAACAGACCGAATTAGAAGTCGAACAAACCCTCGATGCGGACGACGACGACGACGACGATATCGGCGATGACGACAGCCTCGCCATCGGCTACAAGAGGAAAGGTCTCGTACCCGGTCCAGTTGCAACGCCCACTCCGACCATCGCCCTGACCGACGCTGAAGAGGCGCTTCGTAGTTCCTCGGCGATGCTGGAGCATGTGTCGACTGTATCGCAGGGAAGGCCCAAGTTACGCCTCATGACCCCTTCTCCAAACGAGGCGTGGCCGGCCAACGTTGGCTCCTCCGTCGCTTCACCCTCCAATCTACGACCACCGTCCACGCTTGGCGGTGGCGCTCGTTCGTCCATTTGGTCGTCGGACGCACAACCCACACCTTGGTCTAATACCAACCTTGGACGTACGCCAGCTCTGACCTTCTACGAACCCGAACGACCCTCCACGCCCTCTCGAGCACCTGCATCGAGCCATTCCAGCTCATCGACCACCTTTCGAAGGTTCTCGACGGCGCCTCCGGGGAAGTGAAGGATTGTTTGTGAGATTAATTCGTGTGCTGTGATGTGAAATCCGTGTGTTGTGAAATTCGTGCGTTGTGATCTTTCTCTTATCGAATTTGTCTTCGCGGTAACTCTTGTTGTATCGTTCATCGTAGCTTGTTGGACTCCAGCTCCAGTGCAGTGAATCAAATCCGTCTTGTTAAAAGTAGGATCGGGCGGGGCTCGTATCATTTGACGAGAAGAAATTACAGGGTTCGAATCAATGCAAAAAAAGGAACACATAGATAAGACGGGACCTCCAAAGAATGGCAAGGGATGGGTATAGAAACAACGAAAATGGGCATCATGGGAAAGGAACCCATGTCCAGATGATCATGCTCTGGGTCCGGGTCTGAATCCACCCGTCGGCTGAGCCCGCAAGGGCGGCATAGAGTACTGCGTCTGCGGTGCCATGCCGTACTGCGCTGTCGGTTGATACCCATACTGTTCCGTTGCTGCAACAGCCGCAGGTGCTCCCCACCCACTAGGCAACTTCATCCCCGTCATCTGAGGCACCAACTTGGTCGGACCCCCCACGACCATCGGGTGCGCCGCTGCTTGCTGATAAAGCTGAGGAGCATGGTCCACGACAGCAACTGCTCTTGGTACTCCACCGGTCGCCATCGGCGTTTGCCGCTTCGCTGCAGGTCCCCCCGTTGTTGAAGTTCCTGTCGCGCTACGTCCCGTCATTTGGCGTTTCAAGGGACCGACGGAGGAGGCGCCCGTCATTTGGGATTGCAGAGGTCGAATCGTTGTTGTCGACTTGGTTCCCATTTTCTCGCGCTGCAAAGTATGGGATGTCGAAAGGGTTAGGCCGAGGTCTAAATCTGTTCGCAGCTGAAGGCGACCCACCTTCTTGTTCTCCTTCTCCGCCATCTCGGCGCCCATCTTGTTCTCCAGATCGTCCAAGAAGCGCACCCCGTTGACGAGAAACGGTCTTTGGTTCTGTTGTTCCCAAGCGGGGATGAATTGCCTTAGTTCGGCTTCGAGCCGCGGCTTTTCCTTGACGACGCGTTTGCGCGCCTTCTCTTCTCGAAGGAGTCGACCGGGGTCGCCACGGGTCGATTTGCCGAGTAATCGGGACGGGTCCGAGGCGGAGGCCTGTAGAGAATGCGTATGCTCAGTTGTTGTTGTGCAGGCAGGGAGCGCCAAGGAGATCAGGAACCTTGTCTTACCTCGAGCTGAGCCATCTCCTCCACGACGCTAAAGTACTTGCCCAACCGTTCAAGAACGGGTTGACACCTCTCGACCTCGGCCTCGACTCTTTCCCTCTCCCTTTCGTGCGCGACGAGTAACTCCTCGCTGACGTTATTGTTGATGATCTCTTCCTCGGCGCCCGTCACCTCGTTCCACACGCGCGTCGAGTCGATGCAGACTTGAAGGGGAGGGAAGGAGGCGATACGTTGAGGCATCGAGAGGTAGAGCGCGTCCCAGAGGTTCGAGAGCGCCACTCGTTCCCGTTGAATGAAGGCGGAGAGGTTCGATCGCTTGAGGGTGAGCATGCGCGCGAGCTCATCTTGGTACTGTACCCGTGGACAATCGGTGGTATTACTATCAGCTCTCCAGCTCTGAGAACCCGGGATGAGCGCATCGAGAACACTCACGGCCATAACTACGTCCTGTGTCGATCCCATGTGGGTGTTGACGAACTGCTCCATCTCGTATTCTGATACGCCAAGCATGGTCCATAGCGGGTACAATTTGTCGTAGGTGGTCTGAATCGTCATGTTGCGTTGATTCTTCTCGTCCTCGAGCTGGAGGCAAAGAATTGAAAGCAGACCGTCCGTCAGTGAACGCTGTCTTGGTCTGTTTCCGCCGAGCTGAACATTGCAACGAACCCATTTCCTCTTGGCCTCGGCCCGGGCGATGTTCTCTGACGTCGGCTCCAACTCTTTACGTTCCCGACCCTCTCCAATTCCAAGATGGGCCAAGATGGCTTCGTCAAAGTCGTCGGTGGTGGTGCCATCGCCCTGGTGAATGCCGAGCTCGGACCGGAGCGCGAAAATCTCGTTGACGTTGGCGTTGATGGCGTCGCGTCGGCGCGCCTGCACCGGACGCGATTGGATCAGATTCGCGACTTTGAACTAGGATTGGAAAGCACAGTGCACGATGAAGGAAACTCACAATCTCGGTCTCGCACCTCATGACCTCCCTCTCGAGCGCGCTCATCCTCTCGAGGCGTAGATCCAACGCCTCCCAGCCTTGTTCGACGTCATCCAAGCTAACCTGCAACCACTCCCTGCCCAAGGTCGGTACGAACGTTGCGATCCTCGAATTCAACCCGAGGATCTGTTTCCCCCTCTCTTCCATCCTCCCCCTCATGCTCTGCAACACCTCTTCGACCTCTTGCACCAACGTCTTCAACGGACCCGTTCCCCTCCCTTTACCGATCGACGCATCCTCGCCAAGCGCCGTCCTCCACAAGCCGACCTTTTCCCAACTCTTGTCCAACGAAGCTTGAATCTGATCTCGTTCATTCTCGGCGCAGAGTCGTTGTTGATCGATCGTCGCGCCGAGCAGCGCTTGTAGGGCGTCGAGTTGCGCGGTAACGAGTTCGGTGGGTTGAGGTGAGATGAGCGTGTATAATTCGGTCAACTTTTGACGATGTTGCGCGACGAGAACTTCGAGCGATGACATGCTTCGCTAGCAGGGATGTGCACACTCCGCGATGGCGTGAAGCGGTGGTGTGATTCGTTATATCCCGAGTCGGAACGGATGTTGAATGAGAACGACGGTCCTGGCTCGTGCGCGACTCGTGCCGTAGCTGCTAGAGTGTAATGCTGGTCCACGGGCGGTATATGCGTGGATACAAATCAAGAGGTAAGAGTGCTCGTCAAAAAAGTAGCACCCTTGTGTGCGAGTGAGGTCAGACCAAGCGGAGAGAGCTATCGCAGGTGGTGTGAGCCCGAGCGCAAACAACGCTGACGCACTGCTGACAGCTGCTGACGGCGACGCCACGCCAAGTCGCGTCGGGGCGCGCGCATATTTTTGAGCTAGGACCTCCTCTACTAGCCTCTACTCGTCGCCCCGCATGCTTCGATTCGAGCCATCAGACTCCTCCTCTGGCAAGACATGGCGTGATATCATTGAACTTCCAAGCCAAGGTCACCATTGCATAGCCAACCTCGACACAGGCGATGTTCTACAACCTCGAACCACAGTTGCACTCCCTTTTCACCTCTACATCTCGATGATCCCCAAAACCCGAGCGGTCACCCTTCTCGTCCAACCTTCGATAACCTTCCACCCTCAGGATGACAGCGTCATTCGATTGAATTGTGAGTAGTCGTTCAAGCTCTGGTTGCCGAAATGGACGTTTAACGGAGACCACCGGTTCGGGGGGCGGACTTTGCGCGTGTTTGCTTGGCGGCGACGGGCTTGGCTCCAGGGGTGGACTGCAACACCGAATATGAATTCGAGCGAGATCAGCCAAGCATATTTTGACCCGTTCGGCCTGCTTGTGCGAGCTCACCTTGAGAGCCTTCTTATCCTTCTTCTTGTCCTTGCCAGCTTGGAGAGCAGCCTCCCTGATCATACACATTCGCACGAACGCACAACGAACATCAGTGACTCTGCCACCCCAAATAGAGTGCATTCAAGAGAGTATCTTTGTAACGCACCTCTGAGCGGTCCTGACCTCGGGCTTTTGGTTCCTCTTGGCGAGGATCGACGAAAGGTCGGCGCCGACGATGCCTCGCTGGTGCTTGACGTTCTTGCGCGAGCGCTTCTTGGCGACCTCCTCGGTGACACCCTTCTTGTTGACGCGACGGTAGACGACGGTCCACGCGATCTTGCGCGGGTTCTTGCGTTGCAGGAACAAAGACTCCTCCTTGGACGTGACGAATCTGAACGAGTTGGAAAGCGGATTGTGTGAGTACGAGTCCAACTCAACAACGTGCACCCAACAACTCACCGGTAGACCTTGGAGTCGGATCGGATGTAGAGCTTACCCTGTGGGATTGAACGCAAAGTGGGTGGGTCAGCAGACGCTACAAAGCGAGTCATGAGACGATCGCGACTGACCTTGCCCGGGTAGATCTTGTACCCAGAGAAACTGCAAGTCTCGACCTTCATTTTGACGAGTCTACGATGCTCAAGACGAGAAAAGAGAGGTCAGCTCGATGCTTCCGAGAAAGGGGAGCAGTACGAGTGTCGAGTCGGAGGTCGAGTCGAGGTCGAGAGCTGGGAGAGCCGAGACTGGATTGCTGGCGGAGGGGGGAGGGGGGGGGGGGAGGTGCGTCCTGGGCCCCAGCCGCCCGTGCCGTGCGAACGCCTCCGGAGCCGCAGAGCCCCTACAAGCCGCATCCCCAGCCTCAAAACAGTCCGCACTCCCTTCATCACGACCACCAAGTCGGATGAGGACGATGCTGAGATGAGCAAGAGCGGCGAGGTCATGCTCTGGGCGCCGGACGCATTTTTCCCGCTGACGGTCGGCTGGCATTCCTTCGAGTGGTGTGGATCAGGACTGCTGATGAGTCTGTGGTTTTGGTCGAATGGTGTGAGCGCAGCGGATGAGACCCCCGATACCGTGCACAGAATGCAACGACGTCGAAGGAGCATCCTCGCTGTGAGCTGGGTAGCATGATCGATCCGTCATCGTCTCCAACACCACCGTCGAGTTTCCCAGCGCTTGCTCCCCTCTCGTGACCCGCTCGCTGCCAGGCGCGCGCTGGGCGCCCGGGCGCTGGGCCCTGCGAGGGCTGCCAGCCGGCGCGGGCGGGCTCGAAAAACGAAGGGGTCGTCGTCGTCGGGGTCGTCGTCGTCGCAAGCCGGGTCGTCGTCACTGCAGCGTGGCGTAGGCAATGCGTCGGGGTCGGGTCGGCTCGTCATAGCATCAATTCAGCCCGAGAATAGCACACCATGGCAGGGTGAAATGTACCTTGAGGACGATGGGGGATGGCGAACGGGACGAGAACAAGCACGCTTGGCACGGCGCACTGGGCCAAAATCGTCTGCGAGCCGCTCTCGAGAGCTCTCGAGCAGTCTCGAGCGGGAGCGAGCACTGAGCGAGCGGGCGGCGCCGGCGTGGGCAGCTGCTACGTGCTGGCCAGCTGATGGGCCAGCGGCCTCGGGCCAACTCTGGCTTCCAACTCACCGGTTGATAATTGCCAACCGGTGATTCGGTGTGGTTCGAATGATCGCTGACGGGGTAGCAGAGTTTCCTCATTTCTTTTGCACACCTTCAAGTTTTTTCCACTTTGCAATGGCTGATCGATGGTGCTGCGACTTATTCATCGTGCTCGGCAGATCCGCGACTCGGATTCTCGAAAAAGAAAGACAGGGGCGCTCGGACGAGCATCACCCTCGCACAATTTCGATCTACCTCTATGCCGTCCCGAGTAGCACGGTCATGTTCCAGTGTATCACCGCCTCACCGGGGTCTGAAACCTCACCGAAAATGGCCACAAATTTCCGAGTCTGCCCTCGGCCCAGCGGGCCCACGCGCACGGGCCCGGCCCCGGCCCCGCCCTGGCCCTCCGTAGCCCTCCGTCTTCACGGATCACTCTCTGTCTCGCCAGTCGCCGCTCTCGTCGTGATTCTCTGTGGTCGACCCGTGGTACTCGACTCGAGTTCGCTTGGATCGGATTCGGTCTTGTCTGCGATGACGAAGGTGGACGAGAAAACGTCTGCAAAGGTGGGTGCTCGCTCTCGATATCTCTCTGGGATGGGCTGCGATTCGGCGCGGGGACCGACCGCGAGGCGAGACGCCACTATGCGCCGGCGTTCAATCGCTTGTTCGTTAACAGTGAGCGGGGCCAGACATCTTCGCTGGCGTGATAAGCTCGAACAACGGCATATTCCGTCCTTGGAGAGGCACGTCGACCACAACTAGGAACGTGACCTCGCCGAATGCCATAGGGCCTGCATCTCCTCGGCGCGTTCTCGCTGCGAGCGACGAATCGCGACACGTTCAACTCGCCGCCGCGCCCGGGCATCGCTGAGCTGAGCTCGAGCACTGATGCTGCGCAACTCTTTTACCCGAAGCAGACCGAGCACGTCTTCGATGGCGTAGATGTATCCAAGGCCCGCTACTCAAAAGTGCTGCCCTGCCCCGGCACACCCTTGCCACCCCAATTCGACACGTTGCCCGTGCTCACCCGTGAGACGATAAGCGCCCGCATCGCGACCGGCCAGTTGCTTGTACTGCACCCACCACTCGTTTACAAGGTCCCAATACCATGGCTTAAGGCCCATCCGGGAGGCGACACCGCGATCCTTCACTTCGTAGGGCGCGACGCGACAAATGAGATCGAGGGCTATCACACTGGCGCGACGGTGGCCGAGCGGATGTCGAAATGGGTCATCGGCCAGGTCGAGTTGGATGACACGGAAGGGTGGAGGGATATGGTGCCTCCGATCCAGTTGGGCAAGTGGCCGCTACCGGTGCCGAGCATCATGGTGTCGAGGCCGACCGAGGCGAACGAGAAACCTTTATCGAGTTCAGAAGTACTCGAAGCCGCTGTCGCTTTACGGACCCATGTCGACACACTACGCGTCTCCGAGATCGATCCTGAGATCGAAGACTATGGCGCACTTCCCCTCACACCCTCCTACCAACACCACCTGCGCCAGTCGTTGCGCAAACTCCACGCTCGCATTCATTCGCTCGATCTTGACAGTCCACCTCCCTTCCTCTCCGGCTACGGACCTTCCCTCGTCATCTACTTGTCCCTCGCCCTGATGTTTGGCTTTCTCTACCACCGAGCAACATCGACGCTGGGCTACTGTGTCGCTTCCGTTGCGCTCGGGCTTTTCTGGCATCAGGTCACATTCGTTGCTCACGATGCGGGGCACACGGGTTTAACGGGGGACTGGTACGGTGATCGGGTGCGAGGCATCCTCATCGCCAACTTCTTGGGCGGTATGAGCCTTGGCTGGTGGTGTGACAACCACAACGTCCATCATCGTGCGTTTTCGCGGCCCTTTCGCTCTTGATGGGTCGATCGATGCTGAAGAATTCGCTTCTTGCCCTCATTGCACAGTGGTGACCAACTCGCCCGAACATGATCCTGACATTCAGCACCTTCCCTTCTTTGCCATCTCGACCAAATTCTTTGGTTCCTTACGAAGCTCGTACTACAAGCGAGCGATGGCATTTGACGCCTTTGCGCAAACTGTCCTCCCCCACCAGTACGTGTCGAACAGACATTCGAAAGGAAACTCAAAGAAGTCGCTCATTCTTTCTCCCTGTATGCCATACAGACACAAACTCTACTATATCGTCATGTGCTTTGCGCGCGCGAACCTCTTTGTGCTTTCGTACACGTTCATGCTCACCAAATGGCCTTCCCGAACTTCACCCTTGTTCAAACTACGCCTGCTCGAAATTGTCGGCATCGCCTTCTTCTGGACCTGGTTCGGCGCCTTACTTCGCCACCTCCCCAGCAACCGCGCGAGAATCCTTTTTGTGCTCGTTTCGTTCGCCGTCACGTCCCCCTTGCACGTCCAGATCGTACTTTCGCACTTCTCCCAACCGATCTCGGTCAGCTCGGACCTCATCCCCCATACCGAATTATTGGAATCGCATGCGCATCGTCAACTGAGGACCACGATGGACATCGATTGTTCGACCCGCTTCGACTTCCTTCACGGTGGATTGAACTTCCAAACCCCTCATCACCTCTTCCCTAGGATCCCGAGGTTCCGCTTTCGACGCGTCGCCAAGGAGGTGGAGAGGTGGGTCAAGGATGAACAGGACAAGGTTGGGGAGGAAGGGTGGAAGTTGAAGCGAGGGGAAGGGTTGGTTTATAAGAAGATGGGCTTCGTCGAGGGTAATAAGGACGTGTTGGGCACGTTGAAGGGCGTCGCGGAACAGGTCAAGTTGTTAGCCAAGGTGGCGGAGAAGGAGGCCAGGGGGGAGTTGCATCATCATTGAACGGGGTTTTGTGCAGAAGCGTGGCTTTGAGGTCAAGGTCGAATATTGAAGTGCTCTCTGTAAAATGTTGCAGCGTTGAAGGCTTTCAAGGCCTTTACGTTCGTCTGGATTTTTTTCTTTCTTCTTTCTTGGTTTCCGCGCAATGGCTGGGTCTCGTAGCGGACCTTTCTTTCGTTTCCTGCTCTCTTCCTGTTCGTTCTTCCTTGCAAACTCCATCAGCAGATATTCGATCCTTCATCATCGTCTTTCTTGGGCTGTCAAGGCGCTCAGTCAAGCGAAACCTGGCCAGAATCGAGAGTCGCAGAAGGGGGTCACCGAAAGAACCGTTATCCCGGAAGTTCTATTAGAGCGATCGCCGGGAAAATGAGAACCTCAGGGTATTGAGAATGCGGTACGGAACAGACTCTAGTGAGGATCCGAATGATACAGTGCAGGTACGTCTGAGGTGGCAGAGATTCGTCGGCGCCCCGCTTTGTGTTAATTTTATTTCATCAGCTCGGGCCGTCCCACATACACTACGTTACGCCTTCAAGTACTTGGCATGGTACTTGACGTGGCCTACTCGGAAGAGTGGTCGAGTCGAAGTGAAGGGCCAGACGTCAGTCACACGTCTTGTACACATAGTTCAATGCAGCGAGAACACGCCCTGTACTTACCCGGTGCAAAGGTACTGATGAAGTAGTACGAGTGGTCATAGCCTTCGTGAAGGGAGACCTTGACTTGCTCCTCGGAGAAGCCCGCTTTCTTGGCCGCCTCGATAAAGTTTTCAGGGAGGACTGCGCAACGCGTGTGTTGAGCCCCCAAGGATCATGAGCACAGGATGGAAGCATGAGCTAGGCGCAGACGCATCTGACTCACGCTGCTTCTTTTTGTAGAAATCGTCACCGGTGCCGACGTCAACGAGGATGTGCAGGTCCTGTCCTTCAGCGTCGGCGATCAAGTGGGTAGCATCGTAGGCTTGACCTTCTTCGACGCCGCCTTGGAGATAACCCGAGAAGGCCTTTTCACCTGTTCCAAACAGCCGAGTATGGTGTGAGTGACTCGAACTCGAGTTGACGAGGCGCCGGCAGTCCGGGCCTTGGTCATACGCGCGTCGGAACAATCGATTACCCGAGCCAGCACCGGTGGCGGGGACTTACCCCAGGGAGCTTTGGTCGGGTTGGTGATGGGTGCGAATGCCGAGGCGGAGCGGTACTGGCCTTTGGTCTTGAGGTAGAGGACGAGGGCGCCATGTCCCCCCATCGAATGGCCAAAGATGCTCGAGCGCTGGGTGTCGATCGGAAGCGTAGACAGGAGCGAAGGCAGTTCCGAAGTGATAAAGTCGTACCTGAGGGTGGTCAAAGCGTCGAAGTGGCAGGGGGTGAGCGGGTGAGATTCAATGTCCGTTAGAACGACATGATCGCTCTTACATGTTGTAATGCTTTGCATACTTGTCATGCGTCGCGTTGAGGTCTGCGAGGCGGTGGTAAGCTCAACCGATCGGGTCTGGACATTGTTCGCAAACGCATGGGACGTCATCGAGGCTGGCTTGCAGCGGACGTACAGAACCCGGCACCTGTACCAAAATCCCAGTCTTTGTCCTCGCCTTGAATGATGGCGCCTCGCGGTGAGGTGTCTGGGAACACGAGTGCGATGCCTTCTTGCGCGGCATCGCGGATGAAGCCTCCCTTCCATGGGCTGCGGGGGAAGCGAGCCAAGATGAGAGAATCAGTATCGTGAATGGAAGGAACCCAGTGGTGACGGAGTGCTAGTTCTGGGTGTGCTCCTTGTGCGGCAGCCCAAGGTTATGGTTGACCGATCGCCGGCTGACGGCTGAAGGTTGAGCCCCACACCCGAACTATACAGATCGGCTCAAGGTCGTCCTGATCAGATCGCGACGGGGAGGTGGCGACTCACGCCGTGTCTTCGTTGCACGTCAATCCAGCCAAGTAGTACAGGACGCTGCGGAAAGGGCCAGGCTGCCAGGGTCAGCTCGCGTGTTGGGTGTACAACCCCCGAACTGGCAGGACGCCGGATGAATGGCACTGACGGCACTTTGGACGATGCGCTGGCTTGCTTGGGCACAAAGACATTGAACTGGGTCTCGAGGCCCCCGAGGGAGGCGGACGTGGTCTTGTACTTGGTCAAAGTGCCATCAAAGGTGAGGTTTTGAGAGATTTGCTCGAGCGACATGGTCGGCGTTGGCGTGGCGTGGCGTGGCGTGGCGTGGTGGAATATGAAAATGACGTAAGTTCAAGCTGAGCCTCGACGGGTCGGCCGCGACCGACCGGCACCGACTGGCCGCGCGGCATAAGACGGGTGAGTTCGCCGCTTGCGTGCGGCAGACGGGCCCGTTGTTGAACAAGGAGGTCGAATGCCTCGACCAGCCGTGCCTTTTCAACGGCGTGCACGTGCCACCGATCGATTTCTCGGTCAATCACTTTATCGGCATCTCGGAATATTTCTACTCGACCCATGACGTGTGGGCGCTTGGAGGGGTGTACGACTACGTCGAATTTGAGAAGAACGCGATCGAGTACTGCGCGCGGGAGTGGGATGAGATCATGGCCGACCACAAATCGGGCAAGAAGTGGAAGCAAGGGGTGCAGTTGACGCGGTTGGAGACGCAGTGCTTCAAGGCCGCTTGGGTGGTCAACATCCTTCATGAAGGGATTGGGATACCGCGGATCATCGATCAAGGTGGTGAGGGGGATGGCAAGAACATGACGGACAGGGTCATCAGCAAGACCATCGACAAGGGGCTCGCATCCCAGCCTTCGTTCCAAAGTCTCAACGCCGTCGGCGACGTCGCCGTCAGCTGGACATTAGGCAAGATGGTGCTCGAAGTCGCGCGCGGATCGACTCAAGCACCGACGATCAACCCTAAACGACCTCACTCCCTCGACTGGGCCAAACCGCGGATACCGTCGTGGGCTAATGGGGACGTCAGGTCGACGCTGGTGGGGATCAAGGAGGACCCTCTTCCTCTCGTCGGGGCCTCGCTCATCTTGTTCGCGTTGTGGTTCGTGCTCTGTTCGAAGTGCGGTATTCGCAAGCGTGTGCCTCTCGTCGGAGGTTTTCCTTCGTCGAAGCGAAGAAACGACTTCAATGCCGTGCCAAGCGACGATCCTGGCTTCAACAGTGGAGACTCTGGGAGCGGCTCAAGTCGGTCACCACCGCGCGGATCTCAATCGCGACGCACGAAATCCAACTCGTTCGCCCAAAAAATGTGGTTTCCTTTCCGCTACCCGCTTTTGCGAGCTTCCTCCGCAGTACAATCGCTGTTCCGCTTATCTCGGAACGGTACAGGGTCGTTGCTCCCGACTTTGCGCAGCGGCAATGGGAATGGAAACGGCAACATTCACGAGATGCGACCTCGTCCTCCTCGGTCCAACAAGCCGGCGCCCTTCATGCGAGCCGGCCCAAACCCAGGCGGGCTGGAACGACGTCCCCGAGCGCAAAAACTCGACCCCCGTTGGCGCCTCCTCGCACGCTCTCTTGCCTCCCCTGGTTCGATCAGGATCAGGAAGCGTCCTAACCTCGCGTCAGCTGTCGGCCTCGCCACCCCCTTTGACACTCGTCATCCCCGCCTCTCCACTTGCGACCCCGGCCCCGGAAACACCGCCAAACGGGGTGTTTCCCAATTCGCGACCGACAACACCTTCTTCGCATCGTACCAGCAACGGTCTGTCCAAGCTCACGGCGCGCTCCAACACCTATACTCGCGAACGAGGCACCTCGGACGATTTCTCCACTCTCGTCGGCAATGGCGTCCTGACGCCTTCGGCCATTTCTCCATCGCGCAACCGGTACTTTGCGATCTCTGATAACCCTTACGGAGCGACTTCGACGCCTCCCTGCGGAGCAGCTCTGCTATCTTCAACGCCTTCGAACCAATCGATGGGACCGAGCAATTTGGCGAACGCGGTATGGGAATCGCTCGGCAGTGGTAGACCGTCTTCGAGTACAGCAGAAGAAGTCCCCGGCACGAACAACTACGTCGGCGCAGGAGCTAGCAGTTGGAACGCTTCTGTTGGCGGAGGTATGGCTAAGTTGAGGGCGAGCAAGAGTCAGAACGGGAGTCAGGTCAACCTGAATGCGTTGGCGAGTAGCCCCTGAGAATGGTCCCGTCGCTCTAAGTGCTGTCAGCGGATATGATGACAACGTCGGGCGGGGGGTGTAAAGGACGGGAGATGAACACTACGGATCAGGGCATCCAGCACAGGCCCTTGACAAGGGTAGGATCGGGCGGCGAAGGGAAGGAGCGGATTCCGGACGGTAAGATTAGCCAAGAGGAGGAAGAGTTCGGTCGGAAGGGTGCGTCCGGAACCCGGCTGTAGGCGAAAGCGCAGGCGGGACGGCCTATCTCTGTAACGAGTCGAATCAGCACTTGATACCGAGCCTGGAGATACTTAGCTTGTTCGAGGCAAGAGCTTCGTGTTACGCGAACATACGCGCGCGACAGGGAGACGAAGTCGGGAACCCCTGAGAATGGTCCCGTCGCTCTAAGTGCTGTCAGCGGATATGATGACAACGTCGGGCGGGGGGTGTAAAGGACGGGAGACCAAGACACTCGCTCGCCGAAGCTTCTTCGGTCGAGGGCATGGCTCAAAAAAACCCCGAGCGGCCAGCTGGCCGTTCTCCCCGTTCATTGGACTGAGTCGTGGTCATCATCAGATTCCACTTGAGAACATTTCTGCGACAGGTTATGAGCCCATCAAACCACCTAGCTGCTCTGGAGGAAGCGACGGAAACGGTCTCTTACAAGATCTATCTGTCGAACACTCTAAGCTCCTACGAAGAATGGTTGATTTGGATATCGAACAATCTTCGCCTCGATGATCTTCTGGATGTCACCACATTGGGCATTCCAGCTATCCTAGAGGACTTCCAAGCCGGCATGCTCACGCCCCCGGCTGCTTCGCAACCGTCGACATCTGGCGACGAGGAAAATACTTCACCCTCCGCGTCAGCCGCGCCTACTCCTTCGGCCGCGGACGCCGAGGCAATTCGCCTCCGTGCCCTTGTGCTCAAAGGCATCAATGCCAAGGCAAGTAGGCTGATCAGCCCACCGAGAAGAAGAATGGACATCCACCATACTTTGGACTTGAAAACGCGGAACGCATTGATGATCGTAATGAGACCGAACAGGGCGATGAACACAACCGCTGCCGCTGCAAAGGAAAAGTCAGGACTGGAGTCAGAAGGAGTGGCGATCGCTGGCTCGGCGGAAGCCATCCTGGCGCGATAAACAGTTTCCTGGCATCACCGATGGCTTACCGATTTAGCCAAAAGCGGACGGTCCGAAAGCGAGCAATCCTGCCCGCGCCTTCGAACTGAAGTTGTTGGGAAAGAGGGGAGGAGGATCCGAGGCGAGAGTTGTGGGCGATTATCAAGTTCCAACTGAGCTCCACCTCTGCAGGAAATGCTGCACTGTGACGTTCCACTTTCATTTATTAATAGCCTCGGAATCATTAGCGGATGCCGTGAGCTCCGAGTCGGCACCCGAAAATAAAAGAATGTGTTCACGACACTGTGCCGAATTTGCGAACTTTGATTGCTAACGTATTAGTACAGGAGCAAGTCTCATTAATGGTACTGCTTGAAGGGGTGGTGGTCGGAGAAGAGGCAATGGAGGCCCGCGAACCTGATATTCTTGGCTGTGACCAAATCGCGATGGACGGGGGGCTGACATCCGCGTTCGCATTGATAAACGCGGAACAGTGGCTTCGCGCTGCCCTCGACGGTTCCCTGGTCGTTGAGCCTGTAGAGGGTAGGGCGACGAAGGAGAACAACGTTGGTGATCAGACCAGCAAACATGACCTCGACTCGGCCCTGTCCGATCTCGGAGACTGACCTCGACCGGTGGCCGTGCTCGTTCCGGCAGTCTTGGTTACTGCACAACGACGACGTCAAATCTTCATCGACGTAGTAAACCAGAATATCCAAGCCGACGCGCTTCAGACGCTCGATCTCTGCAACGAGTGCCCGCAGGAAGACGTTGGTGCGGTAGGTCGCGTGAACCGTGCCACGGCTCGAGCCACCCGCGCCGATGAAGAAAATGAAGAGGCGTGGCTCCGACGACAGGATGTCGTCTCGAAGCGCCAACTCGGGCGAGCGCAGGCTGTCGAGGGCTTGCTGCTGGCGAGTTCCATTCAAGGCTCGTTCTGAGTGAGGAAGGGAAAGACCAAAATAAAAGAGAAAACCCCGCGATCCGGGCCAGATTTACGCAGTGGTCAGTCACCGGGGGTGGGGTTTAGGCATGCCACCAGAAGCCCGATCGGCGCCGGGAAGGCCCCTGTCAACTTGGTGCACTCACCGACGACGCGGACACCCGTCGCGCTCATTACTTGGTCGACGAGGCGCTGAACGGTCGCTTTCGCGTGGACCCGGGAATTGTGCACTGCTGTCTGGCGTTCTGGCTCGGACTGCAGCCACTCGGTCGAAGGTGCGTCGTCCGATATGCCAGCGTGCGACCGATGGGCGTCGGTGGCAGCTACTGCGAGCGCGTCGGTAGGGGCGATTGGGGCCGGGGCGCGAGGAGCGGGGCCAGGAGTGGCGGTAGCGGGCACGACACGAGGCATTCCGGCGGTGTCCGGCCCCGACGAAATCTGCAAGCCGAACCTAAGTTCGGCGCCGAGCTCGGCGTCGATTAAGCGTGTGCGCTCTTGCGTCGAATGGAGGGCGTGATCTACGGAGGACGCGTATAAGACCAGCTCGTCTTCCATTTGGCATCCGTTCCGATCGACAATCTGGAAGAGATGGCCACGGGGCACTTGGTACCCGGGTCGATGCCGACACTGACTACATCGCGGTTAACACCGGCTTCGAGCTCACTCGCCAACTCGTTGCAGCCCGGAATGCAGGTGGAAATTGGGGGGAGCTCGTAATCGCCCCACGACTACCCGGTCGATATGAGGTGCAAGGAGGAAAGGCACCACACGAGGTTAGCAAACTTGGGTTTACAAAGGATCAATGCCCCCCGCTCAGCTCGCGTAGGAGTGGAACGTACCTCCCCAGTCGCCTTTTGAAAGATGGCCTGCAGCGCCTCTTCCCTCCCGTTCTCAACCCTCTGGATCATTGGCATGCCCCCGGGGAGGGTGGGAAGTAGCTTGACCGCACGTTTGGGGACCCAGCGCACCGACTGCTCCTCGTGTCCCACTCCATTTGGGTTTGTGGCGGTCTTTGGGACGGAGGGGATCTTTCGAAGACTCTGAATCAGCTTGCGGAAGATGGGACCCGCGTTCTTGGACGAATGCCACGTCGGGTAGTGCTCGGTGACGAGGTCGAACGTTTCGTAGACCGTTTGGCGAGGAACAATCGCAGCTTCAGAATCAGGCGACGAGCGAGCTTCGAGAACGGCCTCTGCGACATCGAGCGTGAGGATCTGGACCGAATGGCCGTTGGTTTGCCACTGACCATGTGGCACTCGGTGGGGACCAAAGAGCTCGACGTTGAAGAGCTGCAAGATGACGAGCGGTCCCTTGCCGGTCAGGTAACGCGGAACGCCATCCGAGTTGGGCTTGAAGAGGCCTCGGTCGGACTGGGCGGCGGTCACCGTGCGCATCTTGGTGGGTGGGCCGAGGTCGGCGTCGTCACTGTCGGAGTCGCTGCCAGGAGCTTCCGACCGGGGTGGGGTTGTGACGGAAAAGATGCCATGAATCGTGGCTTCGCAAAACGTAAACCACTGGGCCTCCCATTCGGGACGAATTGCCCATTCCTCGCCTCCGCCTCCCCCTCCCAGCAGCACACCCTTCGAGTCGACTTGTCGCCTCAACATCTCGCGAACCCTTTGACCGGCGCCGGCGAATTCCTCGTTCGTTGTCTGCGCATCAGCACGCTGCGCAGCCCACGGGATCCAGACCCCATCGAGCCATTTGACAAGCACTCGGGCAACCTCCGGTCCCTTCCAGAGGATGATTGCGGTACGGCGCAAGGACATCGTTATGAATTCCGGCGCAAAGTCCTGTGAAGTATCGGGGAGCGGGTCGAGCCTCGGTCAGTACGAAGCGCTCACTTGGCTATACCAATGCAGTGGCAATTCCGCCCGAAGGTGTCAAGGGGTGCTCACCGGTCCGATGCCTAAGCTACGACCACTTTTGATCTTGAGCGCGTGCAGTGCCGGAAGCAGGACCTGGGTCGGCAAGAACTTGAACTTCCCCTTCACCAGGTCGCCGAGCGTGTGCTGGCGGCGGAGTTGATCGCGCTCAATCGGACCGACCATTTTGTCGAGGTGTTCTTCGACGACTTGGATTGCGTCGAAGATCACTTGGCGGGCGGATGCGTAAATCGGGTCGAACGTCGCGGCATCGGGGATGATCTTGTGGGCTTTCTTGTACAAGGCACGGAGAGCGGCCTCGAGCTTGGGGTCTGCAGTGGCCGGGTGGGTCGCCCTGTCGCGTAGCAGGGGAACCAAGAGCATCGCCTCGACAATGCGCTTGAGGCTCTGGTTCCGAAAATTCGCTTCGGCCACCTTGAGCTCGTAGACTTGGTGGCGACCCCCGGCGGAGGGGGTCACAAAGCCGGCCGAGGCGAACACGCGAAGGACCGCAGGTACCCGATCCTTCCACCCAAAGAGCCCGACGATCAGCATCATCACACGGTCCTCCCACCAATCCGCCGAATGAACGAGCTTTGGCACGAAGACCCTGTGCATCTTGGTCTCGATTGTTGCTCGTATGACGCTTGTCCAGGCCTGCGAAGGGAGACAGGGGGGGAGGCGTGCGCAGTGCAGGGCACGCGTCAGGTCCACACGTCCACGTTCAACGGCAACGAGACCACGTTACGCATACTCACATACGAAAAGCAAATGACGTCCTTACCACCCGAGACGCGACGAAAGAGGGCTCGCTCTTCTTCGTATGCGTCCGACCCGACTGACGCTTCATCGGGGAGCGTGAGAGGGTCGTCCAGCCGGGTGCGACCGTTCCCGCCCGTTCCGGCCCCTCCGTCCTCGCGCAGCAGGTAGACTATGGACATGAACAACGCGCGCCAGCGGTTTGGGTTCAAGCCAAGCTCCTTCCACTGCGCGCGCGTCAAGAGCCCGAGGCATCGACCGAGCGCATCGGCGACGACGCTCTCGATCTCACGGTGGGAGATCGCCAGGAGGCGGAGGAATGGTTCCAGGGCCTGTAGGGCAGGCCTAGGGCGTTCGGGTGTGTCAGAAGGGTGGGGAGGCATAGTGTCTACCTTTTTAACCCTGTCGAGAGCACTTGTGGGCGAATGTTGATGGTCAGGAACCGAGAGATGGGTGGGCGATTGGGTCCGTGTGCCCACCCCGCCCCAGCGCTGGCGCACCCTGTCCGAAATTGATTTCGGACGCACACCTATGCGAGACGACGATCGCATCCACGCGCGAGTGGAAAAGACCTAAGATCTTATTCTCGGCCCACGATCACGTCCATTCACGCAAGGTGCACTTGTGTAGTAGATCATTCCAGCGTATCGAACACAACGAGAGATCATGGCATGATCTCAATCACTACGAGGTATCATCTGACCAGATCAACTCTTGAGCCATTTTGAGGGTCAAGCCGATCAAACTCGTGAAGGACGTGAACGCCCGGAACCGCCGGCCGAAACCGGTCCGTTTCTCATTCTCTAGGCGCCCAGGAGTGATCTCGTAGAATACCTATCTCTGAGTGTAGTTTGCCCATCGTACGACCTGTCTTCATGGGGTTCATTCATGTGAAGCTAACAAGTTCTACGATTCTGATCCGGAACGACACCTGGGAAACATCATGAGGCTACCTTAAAGTGCGAGTGGCGACTCCTACCTACGAAAGAAGGCGGTCGACTCCGAGTCGACGGCGCAAGAAAACCCCGAGAGCTGCGACGACGCATCGACCTTCTTTGTCTTTATACGGCTTCACCTATCAATCTCTATTGCTGCAATGCTGTAGCTCCGCGAATCGGATTCGTTGACGACCAAAGCCGCATCCGAGTCCACGTCCATCAGCCCGAGCGAGCTTGCTCAGTTTCGAGTTGCCGCCGGTGGTGCACTTGCCTCAGCCTGACGTGCCGTCCTGGCCGGGGGTCTTCGAACCCGATGTGCGCCTTGTGTCAATTCTCCGGACACCATGCATTCTCGGACCAGATCGTCGAGCGTACCCGTCATTGTTGACATCCTGTAGATAACTCCGCCAGGAGATTTTCCGCCGCCGCCGCCGCTGCTGCCCGAGTCCGATTGCTTCGAGAACAGGGCACGTACTTCGGCCGCCGTGGTCGCCTTGTTCCTTTCGATCGACTTTGAATTATTGGACTTGCGAGTGCGCTGTTCTGCGCTGTCCCCGAATTCGGGATCGACCAAGCGGTAGTCCGACGCCCTGACGGTTCCTTGCACAGCGAGCTTGTGCGTCGAGACCATGCGGGCCGGCTGCTCGGCTTGACGTCGTCGAGCCTTGGCATGGTCACGTCGGAGTTCAGGATCTTGAACGGTCGAGAGACTCGAAAGAGAGGGCAGAGGTCCGGTGGAGGCGACCCCGGGTTGGTGGACGAGAGGGGGGTTGCGGCGAATCGGCGCATAGGCATATCGTGAGACTGCCGACGGGTCTTCATGTGGCGTTCCCTTGAACCGCACCCTGGTCCCCTTTGTGACTGTGGTGATGGACTCCGCGGTTGCTTTTGCGAACGTCTTGTCCTTGTAGTGGTGCAGCAGATTTTGGATAGGATCGATCGCGGCGCAAAGGGACTTGACCTCCTTAATCTTTTCCTCCGTCGGCGCCGGCCCCGAGTCGACGTTCCTGATCAACGCCCCCGCGGCGCCATCCCAGCCACTCTGCCACGTCGCCTCGTCCAACCACTGCCCAGGCAAGTCTCTAAGTCCTCCAGGCCCGACCCCTTTGATGCCCCTGAAATAGTCGCACCCGAGGATGAGGCTCGCGACGAATCGCTGACGAGAGTTCCACACCGCGGGGTGAGCGTCGAGTACGGCAAGGTCCACCAAGCTAATGTTTTGGTCCTTGCCCGATAGCACGGCGCGATAGCGGGCTTGGTCGGCGCCGAGAAGCATGAAAAAGTCGCTGTCGGCGCTCACGAGGACGACGCGGTTGGGTTCGAGCGCAACGTCGCAGATCTGGCCAAACTTGGTCGACGCCGAGACGAGGGGATCGGCCTCGTGGGCCGCGACGACGAGCAAGCCTTGCTCGGACCAGCGAATAAAGGTGGCGACTCGGGTTGGCTCGTCACCGTGGCGAAAAGCGACCTCCCATTCTTTGCTCGATCGTCGGTGAACGCACGCGGCGAGGGTGTCGTTCGTGATGAAGGGGACGGGGTGGGTAACAGGGGTCGATTTATCGGAAGGCTCTTGCGGTTTCTGGCGATCTAGGCGATCGAGCACGGTGTCCTGCTTGAGCTTGGGCCGAAGGATGGGATGATCAAATACCACGACCACTTGGATCCGCCTTGCCGTCGCTGCAATGACTACCTCGAGGTGTCGAATGATCACATTGAGGAACAGCCGGCCTCGCTTCGGCTCGTTGTGTTGCGCCCGGTCCGTCGCGGCATGGCGCTGACGTGCGAACGCGGTAGCGCCGTCGATGATGGCGACTGAGTGGAGCACAGTGATGGACAGCGTAGAGGGTCAGCTAGGGTTTGCTCGGAAAATCGGGGCGGAGCAGTTACGGGCTGCGAAGGGGCTCTGAGGAAGCGACTTGCCATCGATCTTGCCGACGAGGGAAGCCAGCGCGCTGCTCAGGTTGGTCTCGCGAGAGAGCAGGGCGTCTGGAACGATTTCCAAAGCGCCACCGAGGCAGTCGTGACCGTGTTTTACCGTCATCGAGGGAGATATGAGCTGTGTAAGTGCAAGGCGCAAGGCACAAAGTGCAGGGTGCAGGGTGCAGGAAGAATCAACGGTGGTTGAGAAGGCTGCGCTGCCCATCGCTGCCAGCCGAAAAGCAAACGGGGGCAGGTCCAACAAAAGGTCGTTCGAGCTCAGAGTAGTGTGAGAAGAAGCATCATAATATCTCGAATTGTACCGTAAAATAGCCTGTACCCCATATTCGTTAGTTTTGCTCTCAATCTTAGTCTGGTCAAGGCGGCAGCCTCCTTTCGGAAGATCGCAGTGGGGAGCTTGACCGTCCACGATCTAGGCAGCGAGAATTCGCCAATTTTCTGATGAACAATGGTCCGACGTACATGTAAAAAAGATAAAAAATCTTCTTTTAATATGATTTTGTATTTGGGTGCCACCCTACTTGCATGACGGCCTCGACTCGCTGCGTCGGAGCTCTCGCGTGAAGCCGACCCCGCAACTCTGCTCCGCGGCGGACTCGGAGTTCGGGGTCGTCCCAACTCGGACCAAGCTACTGGAGCGACAACCGCTGTATCGATCGCGGCGATCTCAACTCTGGGGTGATCCCTGGAGCTCAACCTACTTGCTGAGACTTGACCGAGCTTGATCGACAAGGTATTCGGTCTTTCCGAGGGATGGATCGTTGGCCTCGATGTCGGTTGCACGGTCCCCTCTCCGTTCAGATCTTCGGCGCTCTCGGCCGCCCTCGGCCGAGGTGGAGAAGATCGAAAGCTTAAATCCACAGCGTGGCGTCATATCGATGAGATGACTCATTCTACCAAGCGCACACCCTGCACCCAAGTCAGCAACCACCTCGAGCTCGTCGCCTCTCTCTCTTTTCTCCTTCCTTCTCCTCGTCGACGCGCTCTGCACTTCTCGCACCACTTAATCTTGCCGACATCGCCCCCCTTTTCAGGAGGATACGAACGGTGGCCTTTGTGGTGTGGTAGAGTCTGTCGTTCGATCATCCCCCCTTCCCACCCTCTCTACCTGTGAGTTGATGCCTGGTGCGACTCGACGAGCTTGTTTGTGCCCCGAGCGGTGATGCTGACTCGATCGTGGCGACCTCCCCCTCACCTCCCCCTCACCTCTTCACACACCCCCCCCCCCCCCCCCCCCCCCCCCTCATTTCAACCTCATTCGACACTGCTTAACCCTCCCCTCCCCTCTCGTTTCACCTGAGCCTCGTTTCACCCCACCTTGATTCCACCTTGACCTTAACCTTGACCTTGACCTTGACCTCCCCTCACCCGATCCCACCCTATCCCATCCCACCTCGCATCTCGTCTACCTCGTCTCTCGTTTACCTCGTGTCTTATCGGTGGTCGTCTCTCCTCACTCGTCTTTGACCCCTCCCAATTGGCCTTCGCCAGCCTCCCTCCCCCTCCTTCCTTCCCTCGTCGACGCGCTCCACACTCTGTGCACCACTTAATCTTACCGACATCGCCCCCCTTTTCAGGAGGATACGAAACGGTAGCCTTTGTGGTGTGGTAGAGTCTGTCGTTCGATCCCTCCCACCGTCAAAAGTGTGAGTAACCACCTAGCTGTGACCGTGTTCGTGTGGCGTAGGGTCGGACTGACTCTCGTGTTTACCCGTCTCGCGTCCGTCTTTCACCACCCCACCTCCATCATCTTACCCCACCCCACTCCTCCCCTCTCCCCTCTCACCGTGATCTCTCGCTTCCCACCTTGCCACTCGGACCTTACCGTCTGTCACTGCGTCACGGCCCCATCAGCCTATCCACTCGTCGACGAGTGTTGAATGGCGCCTACGGCATGTCACCGAGGTTGTTCCTGGTCCACAAGACCGCTTGCATTTGATCGTACCCCGTGAGTCTTTGCTTTGACCCTTGATGATTGATCGATGGATCGATCGTGCTCGCCGGCCCTTGACGACGGGCGAGGCGGGACTGACGATTCGATCCTCGCCTACACTCTCCAGACAAGCAGCCTCCACTGCGTTCCCGAATCGACCGATCTCCCCTGCTCGGATCGAAGGAGGTTCACGGTACCCCTAACATCAGTGAGTAGCAGGTACCCTAATCCTGTGGCACCAGGTAGCTTACTTTTAGTGTACGCATCAACCTCCAGCTGCACACGGGTCTTCAAGCCATCTCCACCTCGGTCGACAAGGTCCTCTTCTGTTTCTGTTGCTTTTGAATTGGTTTCACTTCGGAACTCTATGTTGGCGGTGCCAAGTGGCAGGCGACTTGTCCTTGTTTAGTCTAGCCAGATCCAACTCCTACACTGAGCCTCCCTCGTGAACCCTTTTCGTTTTTTAGTAGTTTTTGAGTGCACGTATCGAGATGCGCATGCACCACGGATTTGAAATTCGACTGGCCGCGATACTTGTCACCGTAGCTTCACTCGTGCCTCCTCTTGCACTCTTACACGCGTTACCTCCTTACCTGCGGCCGGCCGAGCTCGTTCTTCTCCCCCCGTTGCATCCGAATCGTGATTGAACTTGGATAGGGGATTGTGTCGTTGAAACCACACCCAGCTGTCCGACGGTGGCGCTCCGGGGCAGTCCGGGGCTCCATGACCAACTCGACGACAAGCGCGCGAGAACGACCACGTTGCCTTGCCCACCTCTCTCGCTGAAACACGGCGCCACCTCGGCCCTTTCTGGCCCTTTCGAGGTCCAACATGAGCACAGGTACGAGCGCGAGCCCCAGCGCGAGCCCCAGCGTGGGTCCGACACCGCCTGGCACCTGTGCAGCCTGCCATCGAGGAGGCTCGAACCGTCTGTTCTACTGCGCCCCATGTCTCGAACAACGGTCCGTCTCCCTTCTCCCTCCAGCTGGTCTCGCACCGTCTTGCGGCTGCACTGCTGCCAGGCGACTCCCCCGCTGACCCCTCTGTATGCCATCGTAACGCTCAGTCTCGAGGACCATTACTCAAGACGACAACACGCGCAACGCCTGACCCAGCTCTCCCAAGCCAGGGCCAGCGCCTTGCTCGACCCCCCACCCGCCAGTTCGGCATGGCCCGTCAGCGACGAACGACGCCAAAAGGCCGACAAGTGGGCCGTTGCCGTACAGGTGAAGCAGATCTCCCTCGCCAACGAGAGCGTTTCCGCGACCATAAACCAGGGTCCGTCATGCGCCACGCCGCTTCGCCGCTCGCCGTCCGTTTCACCCCGGTCACGTGCCGTACTGACACCCCCCACTGCGCTGTCGTCTGTCGTCTGTCATCTGTCATCTGGGACCTTAGATCGTGTCCTGTTGCAGCAACGACGATCCAATCTGACCAAGCGGCGGGAGAACCTCGTCAAAGCCAGACGACTGTTGGCTCAGACCTCGCCTTCGCACCACACCGCAACCCTGGCCCACCTCGCCTCGATCCACCAAGACCTCCTCGCTCGATTGGGCCAAGTCAGGACCATCCTGACCAATGAGGCCTTGGTCGTGTTCGCCTTTCAGCCCTCAGACATTCATACGACTCGACCATCACCTCCCACACCAAACCTCGAAGATGACCCCTTCCAATCGACCCTTGCTCCGACGACGGCGACCCCTCTTGCGGTCCCCCCACCCCCACCTCGGCCGCCCCAAGCCTACACCCTCGCGAACCTTCCCCTGCCACCGCTGTCGATGCTCCCGACACTTCCCCTACCGTACCTCAACGCGCTCCTTTCTCACCTCGCCCAACTTACTCGCTTGATGGCCATCTACTACGACCTCGAACTGCCCTTCACACCCCTCCCAGCCTTGTATGGTCCTGGACGACCAGGCGTCAAAGCCAGTCTATCCAGTGGGGTCTTTTACGCAGGCGTCGAAACCGTCAGTGCTGGCCGAACGGATGAAAAGAGTCCGAACACGGGTGGATGCTGGCCGTTGTTCTTGAGCACGACTGCGGCAGCATCAACTTCGACCGCACCCTTGATGGACAAGAATTCAGGAGGAGAAAGGTCCGAGTCCAAGCACGTTCGTCAGAACACTTCGGCGCTTCGCGCGCTCGAGACCTGGACCCATCTTCAAGATGATTCTTTCCTTTTTCGACGATCACAGAACACCATCACCTCCACCTCCACCTCCACTGCGGTCCAAGCAGCTAGTTCGGAAAGGTTGAGGAGCCTGATGGTGGGTATCGTCGCCTTGGCTTTCGACTGGGAATGGATCGCTCGTACCCGAGGCAAGCGAGTCGAAGATGGAGTGAACAAACTGGATGACTGGGTTGCCTTGATTAAGGAAGCGACGAAGGGGGTTGAAGCGGAATCGTTTAGCACAGCTAAGGATGACGCGTCGACGCAGCGTCCTCAAGCTGGTCGAATCGAGATGGGCTTCACGTTCGCTCAAGCTGTCGATCATTTCTGGGCGAAGCTGGACGCAACGATGGGCCCCGTTCCGAAAATGAAGAATGCAGGCGGGGGGAAATCGTCGACGAGGACCCGGACGAAAGAGAGGTGGAACAAGGTCGAAAGGGAGCCTGGAGGCGAGGGGGTTGAGCGAGCAGAGGAAGAGAGAGGAGCAGAGGCGGAAGGGGAAGAGGAGGGATGGGATCTGGTTTGAATCTAACTCGGTCCCGCTCTTCTTAGTATTCGTGATGGTGGTTGTTGTCGTCGTTGTTAATGTGACTATAGCAGTGTTGATCGTTCCCGCAACTCGGTCTATGTAAGCAATGCCCAATCAAGGATTCTCTGCTTGCAGCAAGAAGACGTCTATTAAAAAAAAGGCAGAAGTGAAGTTAAACGAAGTGAAGCGTCAGACGCGCAGGCCGGAAGAGAGTGTAGTAATAAAAAGGGAAACGATGCTCCTGTCTCTGCAACAGTGCCATCGGCCGTGATCCGGATAGACCTCGGCTTTACTTCTTGTTCATGCCCGTCCTCGCGGTCTCGTAGTTCTGCATGAACCATTTGACCGACTCGTCCAGGGCTTGCTCGAACGGCGTGAACTCGAACTCGGGAATGTACTTCATCAACTTCTCGTTCGACGCCGTCTTCTTGAACTGGCCATCGGCTTTCGAAGTGTCAAACTGTGAACGTATCTGAGGGTAAGCCCACGCACGAAAGAACGGAACGAAAAGTTAAAGGGCTGGACGCACAGAGTATTCGCCCTCGAACCCAACGGCCTTGACGATGGCATCCGCAACCTGCTTGATCGAGACCTCGTCCTTCTCCCCGACTGTTACGTCAAGAAGTTGAGTTGCTCATTCATGTCAGTGGTGGCGCTCGCTCGCTTGACAGTGTGGCAACCCAATGGTTGAAGGAACAGGCGTATGAACTGACCCGAGAGAATGATGGAATCGATCTCGTTGTATTCTCGCAGCTGCCAGATGAATAACTTGGCGAGATCGCGCGAGTAGATGAACTGGCGCAAAGGCTTGCCTGTACCCGAGACGACGAAAGGGGTCCCGTTCTCTGTGGAGAGGAAGTGTGATGCACACAGAGTTCAGGTTCGAGAAACACTGCCAGGAAGTCGGAGCCTCGACATCGCTGGCGCGCGGGGATGGGGACAGTCCTTACTCTTGGCCAACAAACACTTGTGCACGAGACCGGGGATCACGTGCGAGTCCTCAAGGTCGTAGTTGTCGTGGGGCCCGAAGATGTTGGTCGGGATCGCCGAGGTGAAGTTGCAGCCAAACTCTTCGTGGTAGGCACTGTCAAGTATCACAGATGGTATTCAGCCCGGATTGGGGCTTGAAGAGCCAGCGATAGCGTAAATCGACTGACTGGTTGTACACATCGACCAATCGTTTGCCATGAGCGTAGCCAAAGTTGGAATCGTGAGGAGGTCCGGCGTGAACCATGCTCTCATCGATCGGGTACGTGACCTTGTCGGGGAAAACGCAGGTCGAGAGGCACGAGATGACCTTGGCGCACTTTGAGCGATCCAGGGACGAAGAATATTGGTGAGCAAGCCATAGAGTCAGGTGGCAATTGAAGGATCAGGCTTGCGACACATACGTTGTGCTCCTTGGCGGCCCACATGACGTTGTCGTTGATCAAGCAGTTGTCACGGAGGAACGTCAACTGCAGGATACAGATATGAATCGCTCGAATGAGTCAGCGCGCGGAGCACGAGTCGCGTGGTGGAGGGTCGAACCCCGTCGAGACACACCTTGTACTTCATGTTCTTGAAAAGACCGCCGACGAGCGCGGCGAGGTGAATAACATGAGTCGGCTTGTACTTGTCGAAGATGGCCATCGTGTCCTTGAGCTCCCTGCACGGTGTCCAGGAGGGGGGGAAACCCGCCACGAGGACGGTGCACACGCCGCGAAATCACGATAGAGATAAGGGCCAACGATCGGCAGCAATGACCAGGCCAGGATGATGAGATGGTCGCGGGAAACACGGATAACAAAATGATCGTTTGGTTCAGAACAACGCATCTACGGCACAAGATCCCGATGCGCCGTGCCCCTGGAGGAGATCGCGCGGAGACTGACCTGAGATCGCCATCCTTGGAATTGAGGTAGATCCACTGCTCGTCCTCGGACTGCCTGCCAAAGCGAGAGCCGACCTTTTCGCTCTCAATGACATACTTGAGTGCCGATCCGACCAACCCTGTGCGCAGATCAGCCACGCTCAGTGTCAGCGATCCTCCAGCGAGCGGATTCGCATGGCGTAGCGACCAGTGAGCGACGCGACACGCGACGCGACGGCGACAGGGCGCGTGCGCGTTCGGCAGCAGATGATGGATCGACATTCTTTGGGGTGCGCCAAAGAGTGCCGGATCCAGCAAGCTTACCTGTACCACCAGTGACGAGAACAACGTTGGGTGCCATGTCGGTTTGCAGTAGGAATGTGGAAGACGTGGGACGGGCAGGGACTCGGATGCGGGGAGGGGGGTGCGGGTTGGAAAGCCCTCAGCAGACTCGTTCTGGCAGGAACCCTGCTGGCAGCCTCGGACAGCCTCGGACAGCCTCTGGCTAGCCATTTGTCAGCACGCACGCGCCGGGCCCACGCCACGCGCCAGCGCGCAGTAACCTGCAGTAACCTGCAGTCACGCGCCGACGGGGGCGCTCAACGCGACGCGGCCCCCTACAGTTCGGCTTGCCTTCCAACTTGACTTCCATTCCGAGTGTCGGCCACGCAAAGCCATTCTCTTCGTCGATAGCGATCTCACGGTTTCGGCATTTCATGCTGGTCATCGGCAGCAACTGACAAGCCAGCGATCGTGATGGCCGCGGCAGTCGATCCAGGCTCCTCGTCTGGCTACGACCCGATGACGAGTAGCGACGGTCCCGAGATGCTCGACTCGCCTTCCACCTCGTCCTTCTACAACACCCCGACCCACCATGATGCTCCGATGCGTTCATCGTCCCCACTTTCAGCAGCTGTTTCGTATGCCACCCAATTCCAGTCGGTAACTCGTCGGCGCACCAGGCCGGCCGCATCATCCGCATCGCAATGGGCTTCCTCTTCGTCCAGATCGACCGCGGGAGCGCACGACCACCGGGTCTACAAATCCCGAACCTCGGCTCGTCGACCAATCAGTCCCATAACCCCCAATACCTCCACATCGAACCCCACCTCGTCGTCGTCGTCATCGTTACGGCTCGTGTATGCAAATGCTCGTCGCATCGCCGCCGACGCCGCCCGCTCCAGCTCAAAGTCGAACAAGTATTCGCGCGATCTTTCGCTCGGTCGACCCGAGAACCCGTTTGCCCCCGGTGCTTATGCGTTGGGGGCGATGAGAAACGGCGAGTGGGAGGAATGGACCGACGACGAAGAGAGAGAAATGGCGATGGAACAACGACGCGATGTATGGCAGCGGAACAGGGCGTTCGAAATGCAGGCGGTCGATCAGCTGGGAGCCGTGGAAGAAGAGTTTGAAGACGTTCAAGACGACTTCAACGGGTATTTGGAACGTACGTTACTTTACCATTGTTGTTGAGATCCTCGAAGACGGTGCTGATGCGGGACCAACTCGCACTCTCTCGATGATGCCGGGACCTCTCGCACAGAGGAGCCTCCGGATGATCTTCTAGACTTGTACAGCGCCTCCGACCTCATCGACATGTCACGGTCAATACCTCGATTACCATCCCTTGCCTCCATCCCCGGACTCTCGAATGAGGAAGAAATGTCGAGTGATGACCTCGAGATGCAAGAAGCGCAGGACGACGCCACGTGGCCAGTGACCCCTGTCGTCGATCCGAGCAGGGCGTTCCAAGTGTTTTCAGAAGTCCTGTCGACGTCGAGCTGTCCGAAGTGCCAGTGTTCCGATGCGGGTACGATTCAAAACTATGATCAGCAAGGCGCACGATGCATGCGTTGCGACTGGTCAGTGTCAATCTTGGCGCTCCAAGCGTCATCGCTCGAGTTTGCCGCGCACATCCCGGCCAAAACGTGCGTCGCTCACCGCAACTAGGCCGCCATGTGATTGCAGGGTTTCTACTGACACGATGATTATGTTTCCTCTCGCGCAGTCGGCAGCAACACCTCCCCATCTTTGCTTGGGATTTGCACACTGAGACTCTCGTCTTGTGCTCCGGATGCGATGAAAGCTTCGCTGCATAACAACGCCCACTGTTATATGGTGGGGCGTAGATCGTAGCGTGGACCCGAGGCGGGAGCAGCCGGACATCCTATGTAATGCATGCAACTCGACGGCCTTCTTTCGTGAGACATCCACGGCCCACTATCTACATATGACGATCCGAGAGCGTCGGAGGGTCATCGAAGATGCTGGAGAGAATCCGAGAGCAAAACGTCGGTCGACCTCTCAGCGGTAATGCTGTGAAATAGCAGGTAGGATAAGCAGCTGATTCAATTCCCTTAAAAAGACCGGAAACGGTGGGCCGCATCTGCAAACAAGCGTGTACACAAAGATTGGGTAGAGGGTGTCTGAAAAGACGTCCAGGCGCGTTCTACTGAAGCAACAAGATGTCCTAAGCGGTCGAGCTATATGTCGACTGAGGTGCGTGGGAGCGAAGGGAAGAGAGACGAGCCAGAAATCGAATCTGAGCAAAGAAACCGAGAGACAGAGTGCTTGACACTACCTAAATTTGAGTAAGTTGAGTATACAAGGTTGGATGCGCCGACTATCGAGAACAGGCGGGGCCAGCTGATCAATGCAGCGCCGAGGACGAGGTCGAGCGCCTGAGATTGATTGGTTTAGGCGGCGTGGTGGACTTTCCCAAAATCTCACGATCGTTGTCGGCGGGTTGTTGTGGGTGCGACTCGCACTTCGTGGCCAACGCTTCCGTGCAACGCCTGAACATTTCGACGGTATTTGGCGCCGATCGGGAGTGTATCACGGACGGGCGGGTAGAGGGGAGGCGGACTTCTGCTACGCCGTCTTCGGAGCGAAGCGAGGGGCTCGGACTTGTCGTTCGAGAAGTATTGGCCGACGGCGGCGAAGGAGACGGCGAGCTCGCATCGGACACAGCATGAGCCGAGGTACAGCTTCGACCAACCTTTGACTCGAAATAGATGGAGCCCTGATCGGTGTACTCTTTGATAGGTGAGAGTGTAGAGCCGCGCCTTCCTGCTGCGGGGCCCGAAGCAGCTTCCAGCGATGCTTTGATCGCTACTGACATGTTTGGAGATCCGCAAGCGTCGTCGCCGGAGGATTGAGTAGCAAGAGGTGAACTGTCGGAAGGCATCACCTGGTTAGACTAGAGTGTTGCGGAACAATCAGGGTCGAAAGGAGGGCTGGCTTACCGAACGGTAGAACGAGTTTTTGGTTGTCGGGGCGAACCCGGTGCGACGTATGGTGTCTGGCCGAGACAGATCCGATTCTTGAGTTCCTTTTGACCCATCGAGTCTGCTGTGGCTCGGACACGCTCAGATTTCAGCTCGCGGCTAGCCTCACCTCTCTCTCAAGTGTGCAATCAATCCCAAGCGATGAAGCGCTCACCGTAGCGAACCCTAAGTGGCGCATTACTGCCGGGCAGAAATACCGCTTGCAGACGCTCAATTACTTCATCTGCCGCATCGCGATCCGCAATTCTGCCGAGCGGCAGGAAGGCGCCGCAGTGGCGGTTGTGGGCAAGCCATAGTCAGCTACTGTCGCGAGTGAGAGGGCCAAGATAATGCGACACGTGAAGCTTGACGGCGGGCTTCTCACCTCGCAAAGCCAATCCCTCTCGATGGGCCGGGCGAAAGACGTTGGGAAGCAGGAATGGCATCATTCTGTCGCAAGAGTCGAACTGAGAGCACTCGCGCAGGTCGCAGCAAATGGACAAGATCCTCCTCTCCAAACGCGGTCGGGAGCTGTGTTGAAGCGGAGAGAAGCCTAATGTCAGACCTCCTGAAATGGCACAGACGACCCGATGCTGACATTGGACAAGTAAAGGTTCGTGCTGCCCTCGTCAGCAAGCTGACGCAGTCGAAGATTGAGAGAGTCCTTTGGGTGGCATGAGATAACACAAGACGGAACTTTATCAGTCGCTGTACAAGCTTTGGAACTGTACCATGAATCAGAAAGTCTCTCACCCTCGCCAAAGATGCTTCGAATCCGATCTGCCGTAATCCCGAGATAGCAGAGAGGGCTTGATGCGAATTCTCGTAGAGAATGAAGCCAACTCCTTTGCAGGTGGTGTTGGAAGGCAGGCATTGGCGACGCGTCGGATATGGTGGCGGTGGATGAGAAAGGATCGCGCGAACAGATATCACTCGACCCCAGTAGCTGCCGAGTGCGAGCAAGTCCGAGTCACGCGTCTCCGGTGGCAAGAGTCGAACCTGATTGGACGGTAGGCGATCAACAGTGAGTTGGTCATGCAGAGAGGGGGAGGAGGAGGGAGAGGTGGGCGGGGCACGCCAATGAAGATGGCCCGGAGTGCCCTGCAACTCCGCCACACTCACGTAGATGTTCGTATGACCTTCAATGCTGCTTTTGTGGGAGTCAGTGGAAATGTAACACAGTTCTTGAGGTCAGCTGCGACTCTTGATTCGTCAAAGTGCCGGTCGGTGAGCGCGCGACTCGGACGCGCACACCAACCTTCGAAGGTCACAGCCGGCTGTCGAGCGCGAATGCGGCGGCTTGCTGCCACCTGGGAAGGAAGGGATGCACATGAGAGTTAGTCTAAGACCCTTCCCGGGCCACCTGAAAGTATCTGGCCAGTATCCTCAAGAACTCACTGCTCGTCGCGAGGCTGTCGCTGGGTGCGGTACTCGAACGGACCTCGTACGACCGAGCTGCCTTGTGGTGGCTGATGGTAGGCATCGGAGCTAGAGGCAACATCGGTATGTTCGGCGACGACGAATACCTTTGGGAAGGAGCGCGTGGTAGATACGGAAGGAGTGGAGGCACTGGCTGGGGTGCACAGGACGACAAGCGTGCCGTTTCGAGTTGGTGAGCAACCGATAGTGAACTGTGCATGGCCGTCGGTGTCGCGTGCGCCGGAGAAAAAGGAGACCCCGATGCCGAAACACCACCGGGATTGAGCCGAACCCTGCGCGGGCCTGATTGGCGTGCCGGCGAAGACATCCTTGTAAAGCCTCCAAGTTGTAGCACCGTTCTCTCCCCCCTTGATATCCGATACACAGGATGCAACGCGGGTGAGGCCGGGAGAAGAGTGGCTCGGCAGGCCGAAAGCTGCGCAACTGCGCAGTCGAAAGTGCTCCGATCGCGTTGTGCAATTCGGGTTGATCGACTGCACGGCCAGTGTGGACCCGACCGAGAAATGAACGCGTGAGGCATCCTAGTCGTCCGTGGATAACAGAGCAATTCCCAAAGAATCGCTCTTTATGGAGCCTGGAAAAGGCACCACATCAAACAGCGCGACATCATGCACTCTGGGCGAGCCAATCCTCTACGAGACGGAAATGCGGAGCAAAGCAAAACGGCTCTCGGGATCAATCTTGATACAGAGAGGGGCTATACTTACGACTGGTATGAACAAATGTCTCTGAATTTACTTCTTCATTCATCTACGATACGGTATCGTAGTCTGTCTACTGCAAGCAAGAACTCGCGTCCGCTACGGACGTTGCCGGTCTGACCCTCATTTTCCTGTGCGACCTCGACGCCGAGATCTCGACCCTCCGTATCGTGCCAGCCTAGTGGGCCGAGATCGCAATCGGCGCAAATGAGGTATTTGATAGCTGCAATAGCTATCGATTGTGTTTCTGTCAGAGTTGAAGTCGTGGACCCTGGCAACGGCCGCGGTGGCGGAGCATTTCGTGAAAAGCCAATATTTTCGAACGCGAGAGGCGAGCCGAGGGACCAAAATCCGCAAGACTTTGCGGTTGTAGCTCTGCTGGGAAGGCCATTGATCGCTAGAGGCAGGGATGGTAACTATATGCAGCGCAGAACCGGGTCAGTATTGAGCCCCTGAGTCTAGTGTGATACTTAGCCGCATCTGCCCACCTCAAGGTCGTCTGGCCTTGATTGAACAAATCTCGCCGTGCCTCGTTTAACCAGCAGACATCGACAGTCTGCTCTCGGGCAGTACAAATCGGTGCTGTTCATCTGCGTGGTGGTATCGACAAGTTGTGCGAGCGGTGTCGGTCCTAACGAAATAAACTTTGTGCCCGGGTTTCGAATCGAGGTCTCGTCTTCCGAGTGGGCCGGCTCGCTGCGCTGCTCGGCATTGGGGTGTTGACTGAAATCGATCCTCATCTCGAACCACTTCTCCCTTCCGTGCACGACCGACGATTCGCCGATGAGTTCAAATCCGGCCTGACGATAGAGGGGGATCAGGTGGTTGTGCGTGATCAATCTCGCGCCTCGGATCCCGTACGAGCGGGAAAGACGGGCGACGTAGGCCTCCAAGAGGGAACGGGCGATGCCTTGACGACGGTGCCGGGTTGAAACGCACACCGAATGGATGGCTACATAAGGCGCGTTTGCGACATGTTTGGACATGGATTCGTGTGTCAACGTGTCGAGAGGTGTAAGGGTGGCACACGCAAAGCCCACGAGCTCGCCATCGAGGGCGTAGGCACCAAAGAACAAGGGCCCAGCCACGCTCTGACGGTACCTTGATCATCAGAGGTGAAACGAGCAAGGATCAGACTACAATGGAAGGAGTTGACCTGGGCGGGTAATGGAAAGCTTCGACTTACCGCAGCGTCTCCAACGAGGCGGCTTCGTCCGCTGGGAAGCCGGCGCTTTCGAGCTCGAACGCCTTATCCACGTGCTCGGCTGGCACGGGCCGGAACTCGAGGGCGATCGCAAGCTGGGACATGGCAGCGCCAAAGGTCTGGAAGGGTGACTGTATGCAGGGGAGCGTAGCGATTGATGAACTTGGAGTGGCACGGAAAAGGAGCGGCCCATACCGGCCACTACCGCTACACAGCACAGAAGCGCTCGGACTCGCTCGGACCGCCCGAGACCGCTCATACCGCAGTCAGACCCGCGATCAGTCGTCCTCAGTCGCTGAGGCGAGTCGCGGCCAACACTGTCGTTAGTCTGTGACCCCTGGCTCTGCTTTGCCCCGACCGATTCCGCTCCGCAGTGCCACGCTTCCTCGAACCGCTCCTTTCTCTCCGCCTGGCCATCTTTGATTCTCTGAACCTGGATCGGCCCAGTGTCCTCTCCCTCCTGCTCTGAGACATCGACGCGCTGGTCGCCGCATAACGACTCCATCGTCGCGTCCAACCTCCTTTGTGGCCTCGCCTCGCCTCGCCTCGCCTCGCACCACATCCCGTCGTTTGACCATCATTCGAAGCATCCCTACCGACCTGCCCTCGTCGCGCGCCGCTGGGATTTCTACTAATCCCCGTCTACGGGAGTCTACGGGCCGATCTTGTCGCGTGCTTTGACTGCACAGGACCGTAAAGCCGAAGCGCCGCGACGAAACACACCCCTCGTCAGACCTCCGCAGACTCGTTGGCCATCGGCCCCTCATAGATCTTCCACAATGAGCGACTCCAATCTGAGACCTTCGACCTCGACACATCCAGCACCGCCGGAGGAGAAGAACAGGTCCGTTCCCCGGTTTTCGATACGCGCCGCGACGTGTCGACTCACTCGGATTGATCTGGGTTGATCCAACCCTCAATTTCGCGAACCATGTCGGTGTCGGGGCCTGCGTGGGTGCTGATCCGGCCGCTGGGATGAATCACATCAATTTTGCAGTGTCGTACTCAAAGTCGGTATGGTCGGTGACTCCCAAATAGGCAAAACCAGCTTGATGGTCAAATACGTTGAAGGTCAGCACCTAAATTGCGGTCGAAAGGGCTCTCGAGTCACTTTCGCAACTGTTCTGCCTGTCTAATGGTTGCGTCGGGCTCCCTAATCCATGCGATATTATGGCGTCATTTCCGTTTCCCCTAGGGAGCTTTGACGAGGACTATATACAGGTCAGTCCAAGGAATGGGCTGGGCTCGATCAGGTGTCCTTCGTAATCTTGATCCCATCGATGACTTTTTCTGTTTCTGGGCGACGAAATGCAGACGCTCGGTCAGTGCTCGTGGTCTCGCCCTTTGTTGTCTCTTATGTTACCTCACTGAAAGTGCTTTTGGCCTTGTCCCCGGTGTTTCTGTGTGCAGGAGTGAATTTTATGGAAAAAAGCGTTAGTCCGACGTCCGAATTCGCACGTTGCCAGTCGGCGTGCTCAGTTTGCTGGCATCCGTTCTCAGATATCGATCCGCAATACCGAAATCACCTTCTCCATTTGGGACTTGGGGGGGCAACGAGAATTCGTAAACATGCTACCGCTCGTCTGCAACGATGCTGTAGCCATCTTGTTCATGTTCGATCTGTCACGCAAGTCGACGCTCAATTCCATCAAGGAATGGTATCGGCAAGCCAGAGGGTTCAACAAGGTCCGTCCGTTTCTTGCAAGACATTCCCGGCTTTGTGTGGGCAACGGACACTGAACTTCGAGGATTGTGCGAACGTCAGACTGCAATTCCTTTCTTGGTGGGCACCAAGTATGACCATTTCAACACGTTCTCGCAAGACGAGCAAGAAGAGATCACACGACAGGTGCGCTCCCAAGTTCAGGACCCGAAGGATCGTTTTTCATTTGGTGCTGACCCATTGAGCGCGGTGCACCATCGGATTGGGCCATGCCAACGTTCAACAGGCGCGGCGGTTCTCCCGGGCCATGAAGGCGCCACTCATTTTCTGCTCTACGTCTCATTCGATCAACGTTCAAAAGATCTTCAAGATCGTCCTGAGCAAGGTGAGATCTCCGCACAAACGGAAATAACGAGCAGGTAATGGCAAGCAGACCGGGAGCTGACCAGCCTTGTGACATCGTTCCAACTAGGCTTTCGACCTGAAATGTCCGTTGTACTGTCGGAGGTTGTCTCGTTGACCTGGCGTTTGACTGACGATGTATTCACATTACCCGGACTCCAGGCACAATACCTGAAATTACGGAGGTGGGCGAACCCCTTCTGATTTATGTGGACGTTTGAACGTTCGATCGAACATCGAGTTGTCCCTCGGGGAGGAGGGGTCTCAGCTATGATTCGCCCGCATCGGCAAATGCAATCCTTCGCGGGAGGTCGGATATTTGTTGGAGATTTGTTGTTCATTTTCTTCCTAATGTTTGTAGTTTTCAACGGCTTTCCTTCATGTCTTTCGTTCGTCGTTTTAACTCGCATAGCAATACATACCACCATCCTTCGGAACCGGGCGGAGCGATCCGAACTTCATCACCGTGCATATTGATGGCCGTTCCGGGGTCACCTCGATCTTCTTTTGACACTCTACTTCTCAACGCTTGAACTTTGGTGGCAACTCAAGCCTGCCTCTTCCGATCAATCTGATAGAGGTAGGGGCGCATGAAACCGCGACTGACAGCGGATATTCCGTCCTCGGACGCCGCTGAGGAATGGGGAGCCGGGCACTGCCAGGCAGCAACCATGCCGCGGCGCGGTACTTTGCCATGTGCTGTCTCACAGACAAAAGTCGAAGTCTAGAAACCTACAACAGAGCTACCTTCCTGAGGACTCAAACTCACGGCAGAAAAGCTTGAGCTTGACAGTGCCTGAGAAGAGCCGCATCGTCCCTTTTGGCAGAGGTTTTCTACTATATTTTCGGTCCAGTTGTTCCGAGTTGGTGCGTGGTCAGTATGGCAGTGCATCACTCCCTATCATGGCCGGCAGATACCGCTCCGCACCTCCGCCCCGATAGAAGTCTTCGCTGCATGGTCTTTGGGCCTCGAGATCCCCCGCGAAGAGAGTATAGCGGTTTTCCCTATAGCGCACATCACCCACAGGGTAAGAGCTCTTCACGACTTCACACGCCAGAGTGGAAGACAATGCGCGAAGAAGGCGTGGCTGTAGTTTGACTTTCGCTGCCGTAGTACAGTCGCTCAACCCGCGACCCCACGAGGGGCCCTCATAGGAGCTGAGCGAAGTCTAGCGAAATCACTCCTGTCTCGCTTTACGCGCGCGTTTGTTGAAACACACTGGGGTAGGAGCGATCTAAGACAATTGAAGCTGGTCAAAAAGGCGTATTTCAAAGTACATAGTACACGTGTAAGTGACCATGAATTAGGGCTTGATATTATTCGCTCTTCGCACGTCCAGCCCCAGGGTGGGGGTCGCCTTCGGCGCCCTCTCTGCCCACTGGCTTTTTCCTTTCTGCCGCCAATTTCAGCTCAGCATCGATCGCCAAATTCTCGTGAGCCCAAAGATTCGAACCAAGTAAGTTGCGTGAATCCAGGCCCATGATCCTGCGCCACGGCCGAGAACCAAAAGGACGAACCCGTCGGAACGTCAGTATCTTGCTCACCCCGGTCATGGGAAATGATGTGCCTTACCGCACTTCGCGACCTTCTCGGACAAGTGTCCCACCACGCAATATGACTACGGGTGGGATCTCCGATTTCGTCGCTCTGCAGACCGCCCCTTCATCGGGTGGCGCTGCCGGATCGATCACTTCTGGCTTCCTTACGTCTGCGAGAAGAGCGGTCAGAAGAATCTGGCTCGCTTCACTTGCCGATTTGGCAAACACCCAAATGAAGGGATACGCGAGCAACCGCAACGGCCAGCCTCCACGACGAATATTGCCTATACTGGCGTGAAGGAAAGAGCGTGTAAAACCAGGACAAACCGAGATAAAGAGGAGATTTGGATTACGCGTGGCAAAACGGGTGTGCAATTCTTGAACGAGCAGGATAGCCGCGAGGGCAGATCTCCCTTGTGTGCGCCACGAGGAGCCATAAAATACGTTATCCGTGGCTGGTGCTGATGCACGCTCGTCGGGCAAAATACAGTTGAGAGAAAGTGTTGTCGAATGATCGAGAGCCGCCGAGTAGAGTGGCGAAACTTGGGAGACGATCCGCACGCCGCTTGTCGAATTTCGGGACGACTTCAACAGGACGGGTAGCAAGAATTGTATCATGGCTAGGCGAGACCGGACCTGCACTTGATGTATCTCTTGCGAGGTAGGTGCAGCCGAAAGACCGGAGCCGAGCCCGTCGGAAAAGACGACGCCGTCGATTTTCGCCTCGAGATCTTGGACCATCCCACTTTTGCCGTTCTTGCTCCACTGAGCAGCAAATCGTTGGACGGAGGCGATAGAAAGCATATCGCACTGGTCGGCGTATATTCTCTCGTTGCGTGCGGCCGAGCGTAAGAGTAGTATTAGCTGAGTGACCTCGGCGTCCATGGGATCGGGGTGCAAGGCGACGATCTGTGCGCCACGAGCTGCCAGCGCTTGCAGCAACGAAAGGCCGGGCCCAGAGAAACATCCCTGAAGGCGCGGACAGGAAGCTATGGTCAGTACAACACACCTGGCCTCGTGTCTTTTGAGCCCGTCTCCAAGACGTGAAAATAAGGGTGGGCGAAGCGTAACGTACGACCAGCAGGTACGTCTTGCCGTGCAAGTCTCGTTCCGCTTCATTGATGAACCCTCTTGCCCAATTCCGAAGACCGAAGACAACGATGCTGGCCAGGATCGCCAAGATGGCTTTGTTCGGATCCACAACCTCTCGAACGAGATGCGACACAGCTTCGAGGACCATCGCGCGCCGAGGCCAGGATCGCGACCCAGCGAATCGCAACAGTTGTTGGGGAACAAACGCGATCTCCGATACCGAGCAGCGATGAGCAGCGACGGCGACAGTCAGGCGAATGGATGAATTGATGACCCGTAGTCTTGAAGTTTGAAAGCTACGGCTCAATACTTGACAGGGAGGTCACGCTTGGGAGTGGGGCGCGGGGAGAATCTCGGGCCACCTGCTGCCACCTGTTTCGGTGCAACCTCTCCCTATTAAGTCAACATGAACCACGTCAGGAACAGGCACTAGATTGGATTGACCGACCCAAACGTCAGCGGGACGTAGCTCTCTATTTTGCAAAATGTCTGTTGAGCCATCAACATTGCGGTATCGCCGGTGTGCTGTGCAAGACTCACGGTCTACGCTGCACTGCATAATCTTGTTGCAGCATAGTAGACGCGAGGCAGCCCAGACAGCCTCAGACAGCCGCAGACTAGCAGATTCTAGCAGACAGCAGCAGACAGCGCGAGTCTGCGCGAGTGCACGCCCGTCAATTTCTCTAATATAATGCTCTTCTTCTTCCACTTGGAGCGTCTCGCAAGCACCTTTGTGCGACCGTGGTCTCAACGTGATGCCGGCACTCTGGCCACATGCTGCAGTCACTCGCGTATGTGCGATGCCACCCGACGCCTCCTCGCGTTCGTCGCCCTCTGTCGCCCTCCACACCCGCCGCGCCGTGTTTCGCCCACTGGCAGGCGCCGTGTGCTTGCGCACGCGCCTCACGACCCACCCCACGAAGAGCCCTCGGTTCGTCAATCGAGGTAGCTCTATGCCCAATCCAGATCCTCGAGGCTCGTCTTTTTCGTCGCGTCACCTCGACGTGGTTCAGAGGCCTGATCAGAGGGTGTGGACGTCTATCCAAGCTCTGTCCGCTTGTGCGATCGCTTCGGCGAGTTCCACGAAAATGGTGGATCGGGCCATGGATACGCGACAAAGACGCCTGATTGCACGGGTCTCGACCATTCTCTAACCCTAAGATATCGTTCCACCAAATCACGTATCGCTCGTCCCATCTGGTCGCACCCACGAACAGCCGTCGACAATCTGGAGGCGTGCTTGCGCCGATGCGCACGATCCGCGACGGACGGGCGGGGTACGACCCTCTTTGGCGGTGCTTTCGCAATCGTCTGTTCGCACCGAGGTTTTTCGGTCTGTCATAGCGTGCCAAGCTTTGTGCGATGGTGCGACTGGCGATCGCGCACGTCCTTCGGTCGTGCGTCCGCAGGAAGAAACCAGCACCCTGTCGTTGACGATGGACGCGACTGTGACCGCGTCGACGTGGGGTAGAACAGCAATTCCTGACGCCGAAAATAGCGAGCCGGATTTATGGGCTTGGGTCACCGACACACGAGAAACCCAGTCGCTGCGGGGGTTGATGGCCCTGGCGTTCGGACGCTTTGACGCTCCGAGCCGACTTCATTGCTGTGGCACAAACCGGTTACACGAACGCGGATATGATGATTGGCTCACATATGCTTTGACCTCCACCTGTTCTTGTTACAGGCATCACTACTCCTCCAGTCTGTTTCAGACCGACCGGAGTGGCCACATTCTGTACTCGCGTAAGCTGCTTCCCACATGCACGCTTGCCACCCTCGTCTCGGTCTCCGTTGCCTCATTGACGGCCGCAAGTCTCAAGCTCCTCAATTTGGAAGTGACTGTTTGCGCTGCTTTTTATGCAGCGTGGACCTCTTCCTCTACGTTGTGGCTTGAAACCTCTGCGGACTCGAGTATGCGCAGATGCAGGGGATCGGCGAGCTCGGTCGCACTCTTGTTCACGGGATCTTGGCACCTTCGGGGACCGGCGCGGTGCAGCGGATCTCACCCGGTGTAGTTCATTTGCCGTCTGCCCATGCGAACATAACTCAATCCGAAGAGTCGGACATAGGACTAGGATCCGAAAAGCGCTGCAAAGCTGTCTTTCGTGAGCCCTCGGTGTCTGACGCCCGTACTGTACAGGGTTGAGTTGGCGCATCGTGTGGACGCTCTGGGACTGCTCTTGAGGTCAGGGCATCGTGCGCCAAGATAGAGACACGCCATCTCGCTCAGGGGTCATGATTCCGTCGGGCGCCGTCGCTCACACCGACGAGCATGCTCGGCGTCGAGTCCTGGCCGCCCGATCCAGTTGTGCGACCGAGCAAGTCGACTCTGCGGCGGTGTTGGCACCAGCTAGGGTGTTGCACATGTGTGTGTTTCCTGCATGCTTGGGTTCTCGAGTATGGATGTGTCCTCTCCGCGTTCAAGGTGTGGAATGGTGGTTGTAGTGAGGTGAGGCGCATGACCACTCTGAGTTCAATTCCCCTGGTGCTTGTGCAGCACTCAGCATGTGATATTGCACACAACATCTCCACTGCACCACCCCAGAAAAAAACAAAAACAAAAAAACAACAAGGCAAAGAAGAAGAGAAAGCGTTGACATGCGCGAGAAGTTCTCTGATTGGATATGGCGCCGTTCGGGTCACGCGAGGGTTTTTGAGCTCTCTCTGTGGTGTGCATAGTTTCTCTTTCTTTTCTTCTGACATGGGATTCGAGGCGCTGTGTGATATCCCGATCGTATGTGAGGGGGAAGTTTACTGATAAGTCGGTCAAACTGATCCTGTCACTGGCCACTTCACACTGTAGTGCTGTGCGCACCTTGTAAGACGAGGCATCCTGACGTGATTTCGGAGGGGCCCGGTCACGTGAGTTTTCCTCAAGCACATCCACTGCTGGGAGTCTGAGCTACATTATGGGTCCGACTCTCCAATCGCATCAGTCTGATAAGATGCATATCCAACCCTGCGCCCTTTGCAGTGAGTAGAGCCGTTAAGGCCTGTGTGTGATCGAAACTTTTTAGCGCTCACTGCATGGCTTGTGGATCGGCTCACTTCCAGCGTGCGTCTGTTACAACCTCTTACCAATCTATGAGGACTTAGGCGAGCCGTTGAATAGTATGATACTATAGAGATATGACCCGTGGTCTGAAAGCCTGTGCTGTACCCACACAAGGCGGCAAGGTGGTTGCGATCTGTTACGAACCCCGGCCCCCGGGCCGTCAAAACCCCGATTCACTTCTACTGCCTTGTACACATGTCCTTGGTTCTTTGAGAAAGATAATCTGCCGGAACCTTCAAGCCACGGTTTTACCCTTTGTAGACGTTTCTTTGCTTCCTCCAAGCACTGACAACTTCGTCCTTGCAGTGGCCCCACACTCCCATGTCCCAATCCATCTCGAGGGCGACCACCTTGATCCAGTTCCGTTTCGAAAGCCGACTTCTTTGCCTGTCGGCTAAAGGTTTTAGAATGGATTCCTCACTTCAACGACTTCCAGGCACCTACAAAAGGTACCTAATGATGCTGCCTCAAGTCCTACCTAGAGGTCGGTGCCTGCTAGAGCGCCCATGGAAACTGGTCTCCGAACCCCGGCTGCACCCCGCACCCACCCCAGCAGAGGCGCCGATCCTTCGGGCAGGTCTCGGCCCGCTTCTGGGATCCGAGTTTCGAGTCTCCCCACGTTCGCGCCGGGGCTACGAGTAGGTCCCATTAGCCGAGATGCCCCCCTGATTTAGGTCAATCCGAGCCCATTATTAGGAAGATGCAGGGTCCAGAGTCAGGAACGTCAGTGGTCTGACGATTGCGGAACTTGCGATCGAGTCGGCGACCACAAAACGAAGAATGTAACCCCGCACCTGGGGGAATTCAGACTTCGTCAGCGGCACGTGACCGGCGCAGCCCGCTTGGCGGCGCGAGACGAAGAAAATCTTGGCGAAGGCGATCGATCGTGCGCGCTGACCAGCGCCCGGTGTTCCCCACAATAATTGAGCCCTGAGCGGGGGAACAGGTGGAATTCGGGGACATCTTGTGCCGCGACAGGCCAAAAAAAAGATGCGAACTCCAAGACCTGCACAGAGCCAAGAGCTCGGGAGTTAGGTGGCGCGCCCTGCAGTGGGCTGCCCTGGGCCGCCTGGGCCCTGCGCCGATCGCTGCGCCCTCTTTCTCTCTCTCTCCTCTTTGAGTACCAACGGACGACCCACTCTCAGCACGCCCACCTGTCAACTTCCACTTTCCGACACTTCTTTATCACTTGACACCCATGCCTGTCGACCACACCATGCAGCACTCGCATGACACCGAGAAGGGGTCGAGCTTCGAGCAAGAGCGGCATCAGAGTACGTGTCCACACCCTTTCCACCGGCCGCTGAGAAGGAAGGCGCTGACAGTGCGGGTTTCCGCCTCTGGTTTGGGTCTCGTCGTGCCGGATTCGACCTTTCATCCTGCCCTCATTTTTCGTTGTTCTCACCCACCATGGTACGCTCGAACAGTCGAAGAAGTCGCCCTTGCAGGCCATGCAGCGACCGACATCCATGGCCACTCGCTGGTCGTGATCGACGAGAAAGCCGAAGCGGCCCTTCGGTGGAAGATCGACCTCCGAATCCTGCCGACGATTGCATTGCTGTATCTGTTCTGGTGAGCTTGCAACCGCCGTACGAGATCGAGATTGTTCAGATGGACCGCTGATTCAGCGCATCTAGCTTCATTGATCGCGCCAACATTGGAAAGTAAGTCTAAGGACACAATAAAGGGCTCTCGAATCGTAGGTAGGCTTGCTGACATCGATCTTTTCGGCAGTGCTCGCCTCGCTGGTCTCGAGAAGGATCTCAAACTGACGGGAAAGTATGACTATAATATCCTGTTGACCGCTTTCTACGTCGCCTACGTGGTCTTTGAAATCCCATGCAACTACATCTGCAAGATCGTCGGCCCTGGCAAGTTCATCCCCGTTTTGTCATTCTGTTTCGGACTTTTCTCCTTTGCGATGGTGAGTGGCAGGTCAGGGCTTTCTGCAATGCACACACGCACACGTTGTACTAAGTCGTCCTATCGTGGGATACCTACCGGCAGGCGTTTGTAAAGACGTTCGGTGCAGGTATCGCTGTTCGCTTTCTACTGGGTGTCGCTGAAGCCGGAGTGTTTCCCGGTAAGTGTCCCGAGTCTCCAGCACTGAATGGCAAAAGTGAAGGTTCTCCGCCGGTGCTATGCTGACGTCTTTGCGCCTACGTCTCTCTGAAACTCAATCTAGGTATGGCGTTATATCTCTCTCGATGGTATCGCAAGGACGAACTTGGCTTCCGCTTGGCGCTGTACATCGTCTGCGCTCCACTCGCTGGCGCATTCGGTGGGCTGCTCGCCTCTGGGCTTTTGAAGGCACCCTCGTTCGGCATGATCCACACGTGGCGAATGATTTTCTTTGCTGTGAGTGCCGGTCATGCGAATTGAACGATCGAGAGGCCGCCATACTTACACTGCCATGGGATATCGTGTTCTAGGAGGGTATCATTACGATGGGCATCGCCGTAATCTCCTATCCCCTCCTGACTGATCGACCTGAGACTGCGAAGGTAAATAACTCTCTTCCAATCAGCCTGGGCGTCCACAGGGAGGAAGAACAAATAATCTGACTCTTCTTTTGTGTTTGATGCATCGCAGTGGCTCTCTGCCGAAGAGAAGGCACTATGCGCCGCTCGAACAAAGAGCGAGAACGTGGGATCAGTCGTCGTCGTCGACGCAGTCAAGTCCAACGTATTCATGTCCGGCATGTTCAATGTGAACTCTTTGGTGATTGCCTTAATCTTCTTGTTGGACAACATCACCGTGCAAGGCCTAGGCTTCTTCCTTCCTTCTATCGTCAAGACCATCTTCCCCCGCAAAACGACCATCGAACTACAGCTTCATACGACACCGCCCTACATTGTCGGTGCCGTTGTCTCGTTGGTGCTGCCGTATCTGTCGTGGAAGACGGGCCGTCGCGCACTCTGGATGTCCGTTTCGGCCCCTCTGATGATGATCGGATACGCCATGTTCGTGGCCTCGACCAACCCCCACGTCCGCTACGCCGCCTGTTTCTTAATCGCATCGGGCGCGTTCTCGTTCGGACCCTTTTGCAACACGTGGGCAGCTATCAACACTACTTCCGATACTGCTCGAGCTGGTGCGATCGCCATCACGGTCTTCGGGGGTAATCTCGGAGGTCTGGTCGCAACTTGGAGCTACCTGTCACAGTCAGTTTCATTTCCGCGCTTGTATCATCCCCAATCGCGTTCTGGCTGACGCGTTAGACCGACTCATACGTCGTGCAGATACGCCCCGAACCAAATACCTGGCAACAGTCTCAATTTGGCCACGTCGTCCGCGATTTTATTGCTCACACTCGGCCTCTGGGCTTGGCAGAAGCGCGAAAACAAGCGCCGCGACGAAGGTCGAATGGACCACGTCCTGGAAGGCAAGTCCGATGACGAAATCGCCATGCTCGGTCAACACCACCCAGGCTTCCGCTACCGTCACTGAGCGGAGCCCCCTTTTGGTCGCACGGCCGATTTGAGAGTGCTCGTTTCTTCATGTTTCATATTTGTCTTCACATTGGGAGCAAGGAGGGAGAGATATTGATCGCTCAGAGTGCGCAGCCGAACTTGCCATCTTTCTACGAGTGAACATATTCTTGGCTGCTGAATGTACATCCTTGGGTCATTTCCTCGCTGCGGTTCGTGCCTTTTCAAGGCCCAGATGTGAGGTCTCGGTTATGTCACAGGGTGGTATATGTCAGGGTACGTTGCACTGAGGCGCAGTGCGGCTTGTCGAAGATACTGAGACTCTCGCATAAGCAAGTTCCTCCGCCCGAGTCTCTGCTTTTTCCCAGCCCCCGCCCCTCCTTCGACGGCGAGTGAACAATCACCAAAACACTTCCCGGAATTGCCTATACTGACGCTGTTTCCGGTCATCAGACGAAGCCGCACAGCCAAAAGGCGAGCAGCTCGCAGTTGTCAAAGGTTTATCGAGTGTAGCGATTCTTGGCAAAAGGTGTTCCTCGCTATCAGCTTCAGCTTTGCCCGTGGCTAGTTCGCAATGGTCCCAAAGATGCTGTTGAGTCCGAAGGTGACGCACGACTGATGCATTCATCGCAGGCGCCGGTGCCGGGAGAGATTCGAACTGCGAAATTCTATTGTCGTGACTCTCATCCTCAGGACGTCGAGAGCTGCTTGTAAAGTTCATGCCTCCGGACGATCTCACTATACGCAAGCGGCGCCACGCTTGCTTTTTTCTGCGGACCGGCGGGTTTCATCCTCGGGACTTGCACATCAAGAAATAAGCGTAGTATAACATTCAACAAAGGGCATACGATAGAACGGAACAGTTTCTACAGTTTTTGCGTGCATTCCTCCAACGGCGGGGGTGGGGAACCTCATCGTCCTTTCTTCTTGTTAATCGAGGTACCTCGGCCGACCGTCGCTGCGCATTCGCGACAATACCATTCACCAATAGGCGGAGCATCGAGGCCCACGCACTCGAAGTGGAACTGAATGAGCAATGCGAAAGTCAAGGTGTTTGGGATCAGCGCCATTCGAGCTCTGTGCCAATGGCAAGCTGGGCAGCGAACTGCGTGAGCACCCAACTGGACGAACCCATTCTCGACTACAATCTTCGTTCTCGCAGCCCACCATCTAAAATTTGGGGCGAAGTAGAAGTCGAAGGAAAGGTGAGGTTGGCGGTACGAGCAGCTGATCAGGTTCACTCTTCTCGCGCCAACTCACCTGGCCAAAGGAAACGCGTTCGCAAAAGCAGTATGTCGGTTCGTTCGGATCAACTGGAGGGAGAGGACCGCGAGCAGAAGCGGGTGTTAGTGCAACGAACACACCTGGAGCGAGTAGAGCTGGCAGTCGAGTGCACATACTGTGTCCCATCGCGGTGTCGAGCCTTTGCTTTTCTTCCCGCATTCGCAGTTTCTCGTCTCGAAGCCGCCGTCTCTCGTCTTGCATGTATTTATCTGTGCCCACCATGGGCCGCCCATCTGCGCCACCTCTGCCCCTTCTGTACCGTTCTTCATCGTCAGTGAGGTTGATACCTTCATAAGCCTCTTTCTCTCCAAGAGCGATGGCGCCGCGGGAAGTGGTTGCGCCTGGCGCCTCTTTTTGCGAAACAGATGGGGCATCGTGCGATGGCAGGGTGCCGGGCCGCATGCCGAGCACAAAAGAGTCCTCATGTCGCGCGAGGTCATTGTCGAGGCGCTGTATGTGGCGGTCGACCTATCGATCACAAGGCAACGGGTGGCGCCGTGTGAGCGGGGCCCAGTGGCGCACGGGTCCTTCACCACGGTGTCCATTAACGCTCACCAAGTCGTAGAGAGTCTGTGTGAGATTGATCTTGTCCTCGGCTGCACGTATGGTCGCGCGTGCCGCCTTTGTCACTTGGATCAGCATCATACGTCTCGTCGTTTCCGACAGCGGCGGAGAGACGTGCGATATCGGTTGTGATTGTGGTGTGGCTGCGGGGGCTTCTTTCGAAAGCGGCTGAGCCCGAACCGCCGAGCGATAGGACACGGCAATGAGGTGCAGATAGGCCAAAAGCTGTTGCTTGAAGGCAAGCGTAGCAGCTGTTTGAGCAGAGAATGTGGGTCCGAATGTCAGCAAATTCGAGGCAAATGGCGGCAGTGCGGTGCAGGCTTACCCTGCTGTGAGTCCTCGAGTTCCCGAACGAGAGTAAACGTCCGTCGGAATTCCAGTGGGAGCTCGATCACAGCTAGCGGTGGCGAGATCACCCTTGGTGCTTCATCAGTTTCCGTCACGCCTGCCCAGAGTGTACACATTGTCTCGATCGAAAGTGGCGTGCGTGGACCTCAGCCGGCACGTGAGCGGTCGTGTTTGTACCGTCGCGTCGCGTCGACGCGCGCAAGACGGCATGGCCCACCCGCCGTTCACCGTTCAGCGTGTCTCAATAGTCACATCAAGACCATCAAACGTACCATCGTGGTACTCTTCCACAAAGTTTTCCCAGTGCTTGAGTCGTTCGTCCTCGTCTTCGGATGCTTCCTCGCCATGCCCTCCTTGCGACGTCGACCGCGTCGGACTTGAGCTCGTTGCGAACGCCCGCGTTGTGAGCACGGGCGACGTGGTCGAAAGTGGGACGTCTACCATCTTGATCGCTCCAAGATGCGTTGCCGCGGTCGCTGACTCGGGAGACGAGGATTGTGGGGGACCGAGCCCGAGCGAACGCTGGGGTCTGGGCGTCGACGTGGGGTCCGATCTCGATGGCCCAGCGGCAGGATCGGCCTCGCTGGACCTCCTGAGACGCTTTCGCGCGCTCCGAGAACTCGTAGAAGCTCTCGCCATCGTGACCAGAGGGTCGGGAGCTTGGATAGGACGACCCCAAGTGCCCAGCGGACTGCACAGGGGAGCGCAGTATCGGGGAAGGCAGAGACAGACGGAAAATATCGAGGTCCGAGCGCGCGCGCGGGGTCCCAGGCTACTTATTACTATGTATTGCCCAAATCTTGAACTATCATTAGCTTTCCCCCGCCTCCTCTTTAGAGATGCGTGAAAGGGATTCGGCATCGCTCCGGAAGGCTAAAAAGGCTGCGGGCACCTACCGGTAGCTACCGGTCAATTAGTGGCTCACTTTACTGCGCTTCGCCCCCTGTCGAGCTCACCTTCTCACCTTCCCCCGACAAGTCTCACTCGTTCCGATCTATTCAGTGCTTCGGATATAATGAACCGCCTCTGTCCGTCGAACGTCGCGACTTGGCGCGCTTTCGTCCCGCGCTCGTCGACGTTGATCCCCGTCGCCCGCTGTCAACGCCCGGCCTTGCTACTCACTTCGGTGGATCGTCGTACCAAACCTCGAGGTAGAGCAGATGTAGGATGCCAGACGTGCCGATGCTTTGGGTCCATGGCGAAAGCAAGCTCTGCCTCTGCCTCCGCCACAAGCCGTTCGTACGCAGCCGGGTGAGCTATTCCCCAGTCGTCTCTCGCTCGAGTGCGATGCAACTCCCATTACGACGCTGACTTTCGATAACGCTACTTGCAGACCTCTGACCATTCAAGCGTACCAGAAGGCGGCAGATCAAGCAATGGACAAGCTGACCGACTATTTCGAAGAGCTTGTCGAGGCGGCTCCTCCCGAGCTGAAATATGACGTGGAGTATTCGGTGAGCCAGCTACTATGGCAGCCGAGACGCCGAGACGCCGAGGTCCTGAAGGCTGATTCGGTCGAGTGTTGCGTCCACGGAACTGCCGCAAGTCTGGTGTTTTGACACTGCACGTCGGGGACAAGGGCACGTATGTCATCAACAAGCAACCGCCGAATCAGCAGATCTGGTTGTCGAGTCCATCGAGGTCGGTCTTTCGCCTAGTGCGCCACGTGCTTCGGCAAGTTCTGACACAGTCAAGCGCAATCGTGACTTTCATTCCTTTATAGTGGTCCCAAGCGATACGACTATGACCCTCATCACGGCGTGTGGTTTTACCATCGGGATGGCACTCTACTTGAGGATCTGCTGACCGAAGAATTACGGAACGCGATGGACGATCCTTCCGTACACGTCACGCTGTCGAATCCATGAACCTCGAAAAACATACTTCGGTGTGCGGTATTGTTGTACAATAGCCGGAATATTGCTTGAGCATGCGCATATCGTTCGTAATTAGGGGAGGGGCGTTCGAGACGTCGAGGGGGAGAGGATTAGTCAGCCCAGTCAGCCTTCGAAGACCGACCAGTCCCTGCACAACCCTGGGGCAATTTTTAGATTAGGAAACTTTGCGTAGCTACTTAATAAACCATGGACAGAGACACAATGCATGAGTTGACGCATGTGCCAGGCAGTTACTAGAGTGGGCCGGGTGCCTTGAGGTCGGCCCGCCGGAACTACCGGAACTGCCACCAGTTACCGCCAGCCTCTTTGTAGACTTAGTTACTAGCTGGGATTCAAATTCTCATTCTCATTCTACCAGCCTGCCTTTAGCCTGCCAGAGCGTGCCAGCCGCCAACTGCCGCTACCTTGCCCCACAAGCCCTCGCGTCAGCTCTGTTTTTGCCCTTCCGCTACCTCCGGTTGAACTTCAAGCAATGTCTATGGGCGGATTGATTGGCGGTCGAGGCATCCTCGTAAACGTTCTTGCCGTATGAGCAGTCTATATCTCTACACATACTACCACTCACTTGCGATCGCAATCGCGCTGTGCGACGGCATATCATGAGCCTCTCTCCCCCACCACACCCAACCGCCGCAGCGAGCGCCGCCACCAATGCCGAGCCCGCTCCCGACCTGGAAACAAGTCCTTACCGAGACACGTCTCGGTCAGAGTCTCACCTTGAAGGCAGCCTTCACAAATCCTCGATCCGTTCTGGGCTGCAACACGCCGGCGGCCATCCGGCACCGTTCGAGCACGACGATGATCATGACACGGTCCGTCCGCTTCCGCATAGTGATAGCACTACGCGTCAACGAGACTTATATGTAGACTAGCCAACTGAGCTCACGCGAACTTTCACTCCAACTCAACAGTTTCATCAGATGCTCAGCATACATCTCGATCAGCCAGTCGGGTCCATGTCAATCTCCCCGTCGAATCGAGATGTCGCTCTCGGCGCTCGGAAAGGTCTCTTCATCGTCGACCTTCAGAACCCGTGGGATCCACCCCGGTTCCTACCCCATCATTCTCCTTGGGAAGTCGCGGATGTTCAGGTCAGTCCTCTATTCCCTCTCCTTCGCATGCTTGGTTCAGATCACCTTCTGCGCCAAAACTCGTTGAAACTGGCCACTGAAACTCTAGGTAATCGGTGCAGTGGAATCCGTTTCCAGCCCGCAGTGAATGGGTCGTCTCAACATCTTGCCAACAAGTCATCGTCTACAATCTCAACTTCTCGCCGTCGTTGGCTAGTTCACATATCGAGCACACCCTTCATGCTCACACGCGAGCGTGTACGGACATCAACTGGTCGCCTGGGTGTGCAGAAATATTGGCCACCTGTGGTCTCGATGGCTGGGTGTTCAGTTGGGACCTACGTACCGGTTATGGCGGAGCTCGAAAACCGGTCTGGGGCGTCTGTAGCTGGGGATCAGGCGCCACGCAGGTCAAGTGGAATCGTCGAGAGCCGCATATCATCGCGTCGGCGCACGACAACAAAGTCCTCGTATGGGATGATCGTTTTGGGGCTGCACCCGTCACGGAGATTAGAGGCCATGACGCCAAGATCTACGGCATCGACTGGTCGCGAAAGGATCCGAAGAACCTCATCACTTGTAGTTTGGACAAGTCGTTCAAATCGTGGAACTTGGATAGCCCGTCGCAGTCGCTGCTAGCGGTCCAGACATCATCGCCTGTGTGGAGAGCCAGGTTCTTGCCCTTCGGCGATGGCGTGCTCACCCTTCCTCAAAGGACTGATCACGGATTGAGTATCTGGGGATTGGACAGGGTAGTGCAAGGACGCACGGCCGAACCAGTCGCTCGGTTCGAAGGTGCGCGGGAGGGAGTCAAGGAGTTCGTCTGGAGGACGCGCGGCGGGGCCGATCTCAACATTGATGATCGCCAATTCCAGCTCGTCACCTGGGCGAAAGATCGGCAGCTGAGGCTTTGGCCGATTTCTGACGAGATCATGCGAGACGTTGGCCACGAGAAGGGTTCGCCGATCACAATTCCGATGACTCGACGAGGCGGTGCAAATATTTCCTATCGCACGTACACGGACACGATCACGGCTCCTCCGCCACCTTTCTCGATTGTGCCTTCTCCAGCGCCCGCGGTTCCGCGCCACCTGATGACCGGGCCGTCACTGCTTTCGGCAACTTTACCGAATGCCACATCTCCTAGTTCCTCGCTTCTTGCATCCTCGTTGCTGGCCGCGAAGCAGCACCCCATCGCACCGCCGCTCATTCATTCGGCACCTCCTCTTTCCGCCGAACTGCGGTCCGGGGCAGCAACCATGACAACATCGAGTGTGCGCAGCCGCAAACAGAAAGCACATGCCCGACTGGCATGGATGGAAGGCGTCAGAATCATCAAGGCACCAACCGCAGCTCCGCAGTCAGACCTCGATGCCATCAACGCTGCCTCGTGCGAACGCACCAGCGAGAATGGAGATTCAAGAACGCAGACTCGGTCGAGCTCGTTGCAACGCGGGACCGACGGTGGCACGGCTCGCGAAGGCGGCGAGACGGAACGCGCGGATAGCGTTCTGTCTCCCGGTTCGACGAAAACAGGAACCGCGCATGCGAAGGACTCTCAGTTCTCGAATCTGGGAGAGGAATTTACAACGCTTACGCGGAAATTTCCCCGCGTGCGCTTCGAGAAGTGCAGTGTTGCAAGTCGATCCTGCACCGTGTCCCTCTACAGTCCATTGTTCTTGCGGGCAACCTTCACTTTTCCGCGGCAGTACCCACACTCGGCGCCTCCCTCTATCGAACTTGAACGCAACGCTGACGTAACGCTCAAATCTAGAGCGGCACTGCTTCAAGGCGTGCGGAAATTGATGGCGGGACGCGCTCAGCGAGGCGCTCACTCGCTCGAACCGGCGCTTCGTTTCTTGCTCGGCGATCGGTCGGTTCTTGACGAGACGCGCGAGTTGGTTGGAGAGGACGATGATGATGACGAAGTCGACGATGCGCTTGAAGATGGCGTCACCGGCAACGTGCCGGCCGGAGTGGTCCGTCTCAACCTACGCGTCAATGTTCCCCCTCCTAGGCGATGCGGTGCAAGCTTTGGGGCGCGCGGTCAGCTTGTCGTCTTCTTCCCACTCGACATATTGGACGGCCCAGTCGGCATCGAACATGGTCCAGCGCCCTCTGAGAATGTGGACCGATCAGATACCCACCCGCATGCGGTAACAAGGCTCTCCGAAGCGTTCGGAGCAGTAGCAACCGAGCCTCGCCAAGCGTCCTATCAGGAGACCGACGAGGCGCTACAACTCGTCACTGAACACACTATGCGCGCATCTGCAACGCTCGACGCGCTACCTTTCCCGTCGGGAGATCAGCAGAGTACCCCAGCCTTCAGCACGCTCGTCAAGATCAAGAATGTGGCACATCTCGATCTATCTCGTGGCGGGCGTGCCGTGTGCCCACTCCAGGACGATCTGGTCGCGGTGACTCGCGCGGCTGCACTCAGCTCTGCCGAGGACAACGACTTGCTCTTGGTCAAAGTGTGGAGCTCGCTCGAGTGCCTCCTGCAGGCAGGCAGCGAATCTTCCGAGGTCGGGATGGGCGAAATCAGTTCGCTACTTGCAGAAATGCTGCCCAATGTGATGGCTTTTCTGGTCCATCTCCGAGACCTCGCGACTCTTGGGGTTATCGCTTGTCTACTCGAGGCGCTCACTCGGTATGATATGGCCACCTCCGAGAACTCTATCGTAGACGCCGAACCCCCAACTGTCGACTACTTCAGTCATAGGAACGTTTCAACGTCGGGTTCGGGAGATGGGACCCCGTTCGACTCTCGCCAGACTCCGCTAGCGAGTAGGGGAGCCTTTGGTACCGCGCGACCGAGTAGCTCTTCTCCCAAGCCATCATGGGCTAACCTCTCGGGATTCTTCAACAACACGGTGCTGTCACTTCGCAGCGGTGTGTCCAATGCCTCACCAGGATCGCTAGATCGGCCCGTCCACCTCGCACGACCAGCCTCAATGTCTTCCCTCAATCTGCTAGCAACGGCCAACACACCTCGATTCTCACCATCGACCAAGGCATCAAAGCGGATGATGCCAGAGGACGCGGAGCCGATGGAGGCTTTCCCCTTGAACAGCGGCGAGACGAGGCCCTTGTTCTCAAAGCAGCCTATTCTCAGAACGAGTCGAACAGGCAAGGCGTCCCCGAGCGTGGTGACTTTTGGGGAAACAAGTGTCGCCCTCATCAGCGGCAATGGCCCTAATCCAGCTCCAAATCAAGCCGGTGTAAGACGTGCTAGGCCATGCGGTCGTGGCGAAGGGGGTGGGCGAATCATTGCCGTTGCGTACTCAACTTCGTCTCGCATCTTGTAAGCGTGTCGCCTTCCACAAATGACTTTCTCGTCCTGATCTAATTGTACACGAACCATGGCTCCCACAGACGAAAGCCTGCCTGGTGGCTTAGCGACCGCGCACGCCTTGAGCTGGAGCTCCTTCGGCTTGCCTACGCCGACCTACTACATCGCTGGGGCTTTCACAACGAGCGACTACGCGTCCTGAAGTATTGTTCTTCTGTCACCAAGCCCATCTCTTCGCGCCGGGGGTTCGCTACAGAAATCATAGCCAAGGGAAGTGGACTCGGGCCCAACTCTTCCATTTGTGAGCCTCAATTCTTGACAATCGTTTTGCGCAGCACAAATCGGAGGTTCACGTCTCGACGCCCTATTTACCTGTTCCCACAGCGATTCACCGCGCATGCTCAAGTTGTCGCTCCATTGCCAAGGCGACGAGCAAGGCATCTCGTCCTTGCAACCATCGACCCGAAACGAGGCCACCCTCGTGTTCGCTATGTCACCTCCCAGTAACTTGTCAGTCTCCGCTTTTTTCACCCCCGTACGGAATCATACGAGCGCTTTTCACTGAATTACGCATTGCGTGCATTTGACGAGGGCACAAAAAGCACTTTCGTCCACTTGCCTTCTTTGCGCGCACGTCGCCCACACGTCATGCTCTCGCGCGTGGTTCGCATCGGAGTCGGTGTGCGCCACGGGGTGTGGATGCGATTGCTTGAACTCGGGTGGAATCGCCGGTATTTTTGTGGTGAGAGACTCCCACTCGGAGAACGTGTCTCAACAATTGATTATGCGTTGCCAGTCGTAGTTGCCTTTCTCTTTCTACATGTATTACATCGTCTTGAGTGTGGATGTTGCGCACTCTGATCAAAGTCTACCAGGGGCGAGGGAAGAAAACAGGTGTCGTGCTATAGTAACAAGAATTAGAGCGGTGTGAAGCTCAATCACAGTAGTTCAGGCATGCGACTCGATCCCATAGGGAGCCCTTGACTTACCGCTTGTACTCCTTCCATCTTGGATCGTCGCCGTACTTTTTGTCCCCAGACTCCTATGGGAACATCAACGCCAGCAATAGTTAGCTCTTCCGGCGAGGACGCAGATCTAATGCAATGAATGATAACGCACCTCTAGCATGGGAACGCCGCTAATGTAGCGAATCAACGCGTATTCCAACATCGGGCTGGCGACCGCGAGGTAGCCCAACCAATGAGGGATGATGGGACCGGCCACGGCCGGTGACAACAACGCCGAGGTGGATCCAACGAATTGAGCAGCCCAAAGCAGCACCTCTCCAACATAGTTGGGGTGCCTGGATTGCGACCACAGACCGCTGGTGATGAATTTCTCGTCGTGCTCTTTCGCCTCCTTCGCGGCGCGCCACGCCGATTTTTGACGATCCGCGGTCACTTCGTAACCGAAAGCGCTCAACCACAGCGCACAGGCGATGGCGTCTCGAATGCCAAGGCGCGGTTGCAGATGGGCAGGTACCGCATTGACCTGCATCCATATAGCGCATGATCAGTACTCCGGAACTGCTTGATCTGGCGCCGTGCAGTGACGTGACTCACACAAAACACTGGAAACGCGGTGAGTGAAACCCAGACGCCTTGTAAAACCCACGCGCCGGCAAACTTGGTCGGTTGTCTGAAAATAGTGGCGAAGCCCGTGAACACGAGGCTCTTTGTTCGGGAAACGAAAACGACATGAGAATGCTCACTTTTTGATCTCATCAAATCGCGAGTCACTGCCGGATCGTTGGATTCTCTGGTCAAACGGAAAGTTTGAAGGCACAAAACCGAGTCACGTGAGTCGTCTCGGTCAAAGTCGTCGGGAACGGTGCGATGACGTACCTGGAACAAGAAGGAACCGAGTCGACCGGCCCAGATGCAGCAAAACGCAGACATCACAATCTGGCGTGGATGGAACGTGAGTGGGGAGGGTAGGGGGAGACCAGCTCGTAAAGGTCTCCAGTCTTCAAGGGTAACAACCTAACGTGAGCGAACGCCGGCACGTGCAGCGATGGCAAGAGGCAAAAGCTGGATCCCACAGATCGGACTTACACAGAGACACTAGAGTGCAACCAATGAACGTTGCCGATCCAGCCAGGTCATAATACTAAGATAAAATATGGATGTTGAATCCTGGGTAATGTCAGTTGACGTCTCTGCTGAGTTCATCAGATCAGCGACGCTTCCGTCGGCCTTGATGACGCATTTCACCTTCTCGGTCTGCAGCGGGATCGCTACGGATGCGCAGACAGCTTGACTGCAATCAAAAACTTTGGTCAGAGGGAATTTTTCATACAGTGAACAGCTACGGTCCTTCTTAGGCGCAAGTCGCCAGTACCGCTACACCGTCCGAGTCAGGACGCCAGGGTGACGTCGCTTCACCTGCCCCACGTTAATTGTCGCCCCCATCGAGACTTCATAAAGAAGAAAGAGGTACACTCACACTGCGAAAGCCGTGCCGACAGTAGCACGGAGTGTGCTCCATACTTGCCTGCTCATACTTGTGGTCGAAGTCGGTGGCTGAAGGTTCAACTAGCTTGGTTTGGGCCTAGGCAGTGCTTGAAAGTGAGCCGTGAAGTGTGGCACGCGTAAAGGTGAAGAGAGCTGTCGAGTTTCTCGCCGAGCAAGGTGCAGCGCGGCCACTGTCGGCCTCTCGACCTGGGACCCATCCCCCCACCTGCAGTGGGCAAAATTACTTGGGCTGCCACTGAACCATTGGAACACACACAAACACAGACTCTTGTCGAAATCTTAGTGTTTAAGAGAGAGAAAGCGAGAGCGAGAGAGAGAGAAGAAAGACGGTGTACACGAAATTGAGAAGTTTTTGAATTGTCACTGAATCACTGTGGCACTGGGTGGCTCATTGTCAGGGTCTCGTTGCGCTGATTGACTCGCCTCTAATGACATTCTCCAGAGGTGCAAAGTATTATGGTAGGTGGTAGAGCTTGAAGCACGAGATGAAGGGGCAAGGTCAAGTAGCTGGCACTGGGTGCCAGAACCGCAGACCCACCGAGGGTCTAACAAGTTCGCACCCACTTCTGGCTGTTTGAAGTCGTAATTTCACGCCGGTCTGGATATACGCCGGGCTGGAGGTCCGCCGGTCTGGATGTACGCCGGTCTGGATTTGTTCAAGTGATCAGCTGCACGATGCAGATCGCGGCTGTCGATTGTTTGGATACCAGCATGCAGCTCCCAAAACCCTTCTCCTGACGCCACCGGCAGAGGACCGATCGTCTTCATGACTTGAGCGTCTTCGCGGCGGCACTGGATTCGCCTGCCCATGCGACTGGCATCGAAGGCGGCTCATGATTGAAGGCAGTCGAGAACTCCACGATGCGGGCGTCTTGCGGTGATCTAAAGGAACATCAATCAAGAGGGTTAACGTGAGCCTTACAATACTGGACGCGGACGTGAGATAGCCGAGGTATGAACTCACTGTAGTTCGCGCTGAAGAATGTGCCTAACTAGGTCCTCGCATTGGGACGCCAGCTCGGCTTCACGTGTTCCAATCACCTCGACTTCGCTTGCCAAGGTCTCTTGCTCCTGAAGAGCAGCACGCCATTGTGCTTTGAGAAGAACGTAGGCTAGAAATTCTCGACTGCACTCCGAGTGCCGCTTGAAGACTTCGAGCTCGTCCGGGCTCCACTGCACGTCATGAGTGTTCATCAGGTCTTCGCCATCGTCTGGACCGAGAGGTAGTAGCTCCTCGTCCAGATTCGACTCGTGCAAGGTCGTCCCGCTTTCTGATTCCACGGAGGAGGCTCGAGCCCCGAGGGCAGTTGCGGCCTTGCGTTTTTTGAGCGGAGGTTTTCGAGAGGGCAGAATCCTGTCACCGTGTTGTATCCGCATGTGCTTTTGAAGCGCATCCGTGCGTGTGAAGGATTTGTCGCATTCTGGGACAACAGAGCAGGAAAGACAAGAGAGACCCCCCCTCGGTAAGACATTGCTGTGTCGTCTACTTTTCGAAAATCCGGGCGCACACACGCCGCGCGAAAGAGAGAGAGAGAGAGAGAGGAAGAGAGTGACGTACCCGGGCGCGGACAGATGAACGGCTTCTCACCGGTGTGGGACCGCAAATGACCGACGAGGGCGAATCGACTGTTCTGATTCTTCCCTCGACGAGGGCAACCTGTCCATTCGCACGTGAACATCGGCGGGCCTTTCCACTGCGCAGTCTGCTGTTCTTGATGTTGTCCGACTTCAGGGAAGGCATGGGCTGTGGACGTGGACGTGGACGTGGACGTGGACCAAACCGGTCGAGGCTCTCGTCAGCCGCCGAAAGGTGGGCTTTGTGTCATGACTTACTGTTGTGCAGATGTTCGATCAGAGGTTCTAGTTCATAAAACTGACGGCCGCAGTCGTTCCACTGGCATTGGGCGATGGTGAGCGTTGCGGGGTCGTAGTGGCTCGGATGGGGCGGCAGAGGTGTGCGAGACGTGTACGATCCAGCGCTCTTGTCGGCTTGCCTCCTCCGGTAGATCGCACCATGTCCCGAATGGTTCACGCCTGGAGCATTGATTTCGAGAGGCGTGGGCTCGAGGCATGCGTTCGAATTGCCGGTTCTAGGGTGCCATGTTGGCGAAGGCGGTGTGGACGAGTCCGAGTCATTCGGCGTATGGACCGATGGCGATGACGACGACGAGCTGGCGGACAACGAGGACACCATGGGATGCTAGGAAGGGCAAGTCTACAGGCTACAGTAGGTGCCGTCAGAAGGGAAGATGGGTTCGGAGATGACCGCTGTGGGCGAAAACATGCAATGTGATGTCGGGACGGAAGCTGGAAGCTGGAAGCGGGGTAGCAGGGCGCGCGAGCGGGCAAAGACGATGGATGAGTCAACCGAGCTGCAGCGAGAGCGGGGGAGAAGATGTCTCGGTAGCAGAAATAGCTAGCGAGTCTTGGCGAGGCCAGGCAAGTCGGCGAGTGGGGAGAGAGGAGGGGGAAGACAAGCCCAGAGTTCAGGCGCTCAGGCTCGTTCGACCGGTTTGGCAGTCAAAGCCACTCTCACTGCAGTCAAGCGTCATAATGCGACATTAGCGCCTGCTCAGTTCATTGCTTAATGCGCGCCAAATCTGCCTTTTCCGTCGATCGGCTGGCTGACGCAGACTTAAGTGCAGCAAGTTCACCGCAGCAAACTGCAACTTCGTCCTCCTCCCAGGTCCGCGCTCCTCCGCACATCCTCAAACTAGGCCCGCTTCCGACTCCACTGGCCGTCGGCCCCCGGTAGCGTATCCATCCCTTCCGAAGGCCTGGCACACGTCATCGTCTCGATTGTGCTCACCCCCACACGTCCCGGCGCGTCACCTCTCCAATTCGCCGGTGCTCTACAACATGTCAAGTAAGCTCTTCTTCGTTACTCGATGGGCCAGTCACTGCTGTGGTTCGTGACTGACGTTCAGATACCAAAGATGAGGACACGTTGTCGGCTTGCCTTGACTTGGCCCGACGACTGCCGCCGCATCGGATCGAGCACAATCTTGGCCTCCTGTGCGACATTCTGCCGGACTTGGCCGACGACATACTCAGCTCCGTCGATCAGCCGCTCAAGGTACATGTCGACAGAGAATCGAAGCAATACCTTGTCAGTCACTCACAAGACACTCGATTGGGGCGCATGCCCGAGGTGACGGACGGGTGTCGTCACTCGATGGTCCGACCCGACCGTGCGGCTGATGGGGCTTGACCGACATGTCCCAGGTCTGTGATTACAATCGAGATGGAGAGTCGTACAGGCGAGTCGCAATAGGCAGTCCGCAATACGCAGTAGCCATATCAGCTGCTTGTGGTTCTGACCACCTCGCCTTTCGCTCTACGCTGTAGGTCGCCCTGGACAAACGCCTACGACCCACCACTTGCGGATGGAACGACGCCTTCGCCCAAGCTGCGCCAACTTGAAATTACTATGAACGATAGCTTTGATGTGTATCGAGACTTGTAAGCTTCTGCCAATACGGGACGACCGCCAGACCGCTACCTTTTATTACTCACAATGCTGAGCGGAGCCCCCGCTCTCTCGCCATTCCTTGTTAATCAGGTATTATGAGGGGGGCGTGTCGTCAGTTTACCTATGGGATGTCGACGGTGGATTTGCCGGAGTCGTCCTGTTGCAGAAATGTCGGTTACACTCAAGCACGAGCCAGAGCAGGATCGTCGATCCCGCGCCTGCTAACATGGCGCCCCTGATTTACTTTGTATTGGCGCACTCTAGCCAATGGAATGTCGTCTTCGTCTGCGTCCGCTTCCTCTTGGGACTCGGGCAAGTCTACTTTCTGTTGGCGACGTGGATCTAGGGCTGCTGGGCTGCTATTGACTCGCGCGAGTGACCTCACCGACAGTGCACGTTTTCGAGGCCTCAGAGCGAGGTAGAACGGCGCATTACAAACTTACATCTACAGTGATGCTTTACATCTCGAGGACAGCAAGAGAAGCGCCTGAGCAGAGCGAATTCACTCTATGCGGTAGCATGACGCGCCAGGTAAGAGCTATCAACTTGCTACAGCTTGTTGGACGACTCACTACCAGTGCTGATACTACGTTTGATGGTGCGAGCAACTGCGCAGAACGAGTTGGAAGCGCCACTCGACCCCGCCTCGAACCAGCTAGGCTCCCACATAGTCAATCTGGGTCGCCTGATCGAGGACATGGAGATCAAGATGCGCAACCTTTTGCAAGAGGTATACTTCAGCAGTACGTGGGAAGGTATGCTGATCAGAGCAATCCCGCAAGCAGCGCTGACAGTTGGACTCTGACTGCTTGTAGAGACAAAAGACATCGTCTCATCATTACGCTCGACTGTTGGGTATGGCGAGCAGAACAAACGATTGGCACTGCAGGGCGAGCTAGTAGGACTACTCCGAGGCAAGAATGCGGCACAGGCGGGATCCGGTTTGTCGGTCTGAACCACACAGAGTTGATGATACTTGTTCAGTTTTATGGTGCACGATTCTTTTTCATGTTTCTGTTCTCTCGGAATTGAAGGCGTGAAGCAGAATCTCTCATTGCGACCCAATCGACTTCTAAGTCCCGTCAACTCCAGGACCAGTAGGACGAAGCTTCAGCCTCCGCCTCCTCGGCGAGGCCGATTGGCAGCCTGCTAATTCCTGCACTCCTCCCAAGAAACCCCATCGTTCTGCGCGTTCCGCCGAGCGTTTTCTTCAACGCCTCTTCATAGCGACCGCTGGGAGTACGCGCACAACCTTGACGTGAAGCCGCGTAGAGATCAACAGGGGCCCCCTGCTCGTTACTCTCGTCCGCCGAAGAGAAGAAAGCGACGTTCGTTCGCATCGCCGTTCCCGTGCCCTGGCCCATCGATTCATCCGCCCCCCAACTCGGCCCCTTTCCTCTGTTGCAGTCCTTTCTCCCAAGCGTTCCAAAGAAGCTCAAACGTTGGCATTTGCTCCGGCAGACGGTGCGCCATAGGACACTCTTGACCTGGGAATCTACAAGATTGGGCGAGAGCTCCGAGGCGCAGACGAACCTTTACTCTCGACCGCAAACTGCCAATGCAGAGCCGGCAGCGACGCAGTAGTCCAGCGGGGAGGCAACAGTGTGCGTCAAAGAAGACTGCCCGATGGTCGAGTAGGCAATTGAGTACGGACTGCTGGCCATCGACTGCAAGGACACGGAGCGTTGAGCGGGCAACGGCTCCTCGACGAGGAGGGACGGCAAACCGAGATAAACCAGACGCACCTCAAACCAAGACTCGCAAGCTCGAGCAGATCTGTGATTCTGTGGTCCCATATGCAGACTTCGACCACTGGCAGAACAGAGAGTCAGCTGTCGATCACGTCACCGAGCGAGCCTTTGAAACATTTCAGCCCACCAGCAGTGTCACTACCAGCATCTGCCCCGTCACCGCCTTCGTCAGCTTTAAGGCGACAGCAAGTAAGGTCAGCTCGATCGCACAAGTCGGGATACGCCTTGCCTGCAAGACCCGGGCCGCCCAACTTGGTGGAAGTCAGATGATCTCGCGAGCTACGACTCACGGCGACCTGGAGCGGATTCTGTGAACGGGGAGCGATGAGAGGGCTGGGAATCCTGGATCGCCGTTCGTCGGCATTGAGTAAAGATGATAGCAACTCGAGCTCGGCAAGAGGAGGAGGTCTTGGTCCAGATCCTTGGCGGCGTCGGCGCTCAGGTCTGGACATCGTCGCCGGCGCTCTGAACAGGTCGTGTGCTTCGACATGGAACGGGCAGGACATCTCATCCGACCGAGTGAGAAGGGGTGCTTCTGCATGTCTAGTGATGGTCGTGGGGCGTGCGATGACGAGCGGCGTGAGTGAACTCGGACGTGCGAGTCATGGACGGCGGCGCGGTGACGCGAGGTGCGCGCGACAGAGGGCGCGACCTGGCGCGACTATTCAGATCGGCGACTATTGTAGGCAAGCGCGACTTGTCTCAAAATCATCGAGGCCGAGTCAGCGCCGGCCCCGGCGTGCAGAAACAACTTGCTGTACCGTAGGTCCGTAGCCGTCGTCGGCACCAACTCAGTCGTCGTCTGCGGCATCGACTCAATGATGTCACCGACCGGCCAGTGCCATGGTCACCAAACTGTGAACTTTCCCAGCAGGCTGCCAACCGGCCTCACCGAGGAGGCTGAGGCTGAACTTGCACTGAAGCTTCGCACCGTACGCGTCACGCGTCACGCACGTGACACGAGCAGGCAGTGGCATCAGTACCACTGCTCAACGTTTAGTACTCCTCGGTATGCGCTGTGCGCCGCCGCGATGGCACGTTTGGTATGCGGTACTGCCGCCTGAGGTGCCCGCTCAGAATTGGTGGCCACTTCAGCCGAACCTAGACATTGCGGCACTCACTCCCAGACTCGCTCGGTGCCTTCAAGGGCGCTTCGCCCAGCCCGCCGGTACGCTCGAAACGATTTACGAATCCTTTGTCGTCGACCAAAACACCTACGATCGCGAATCGCGTCTCGCTTTACAAAATCACCAAGTCCTCGACCCGCGGACCCAGATCCTCGAAAACCTCGTCGATTGTAACTATACCTATCTCTCCACGAATGAAAAAGATGGGTTCCCAGAGGTAGGAGAGGGGTTTAAGGGGAGGGTGGGTACGTATTGGGATCATTGCGAGAGTTTCTTGAAGACCGAACGGGCGTATGGGGAGGAGTTGGAGGAGAGGAGGAGGTATATTGAGAGGAAGAGGGTGGCGAGGGAGGCTGACGACGCGAGGGAGGCCAAGGAGGCGGAGGAGGCCAAGGCGGAGGAGGATGATGAAGACGACGAAGAGGATGAGGAGGGTGAGGAAGATGAGGACGATGAAGAGGGAGAGGAATCGGACGAAGAGGAAGTGGAGTCCGAGGAGGACAAAGTGAGGGAGGAGATGATGGAAAAGGTGATCAAAGAGGTGTTGGATAACGTGGCGCGACAGACACAAGCACGCCGTGGAGGGTCCTGGAAGAATTGATTTCGATGCCGGGTACTGTTTGATAGAGGTCTGGTAGAAATGTGATATCGTGGAAGTAATGGAATTCCACGAAAGGCTCATGAAGACAAGCATCGGAAGGCCGAGGGATACAGCAGTACATTACAGCTTGCAAACATGAAAAGATGGGGCTAAAGCATATGTAACCTCCCCTTCAACCCAACTCCTTCTTTCAAAGCCCCAAGGAGCCATCGAAGAAAAAGTCGACTTTTGACGGTGGGACGAAGTACGTCCCGGGAAGAGATAAGGTGTAATTGTTGTTGCGCCCGTTGGTAAAATTCCTTCAGACATGATACCCATTGTTAAACAGACACAAGCCGTAACGAACCGGGAAGTGAGAAACCTCGAACGACCCGAACACGAAACGACTTGTTCTGAACTGCGGTAATGCTGTACACACGTGACGCGTTTAAGGGATGGAAAGGAGTGGGGAAGGGAACAGAGAGGATAAGTTACGTTGCATACGTTGCACACGTTGCGAAAGTGAAATGTGGGTGTCCGACCGCGAGCCACGAAGCAAAGGTCCGGTCGCAGCTGGTGCGAGTGGTCAAAGGAGCTGCGGTTTTAGGCCACAAGTACTCGCTCGGGGGCGAGGGTGCATCACAGAAGGATGACGTTGATTGACATCATGGTCGGCCAGGGTGCAGCGTGTCGTGGGCGGAGGGACGAGCGAGGAGAGGAAAAAGGACGAGACAGGGGGCGGGAAGCGGAGGCAAGGAGCGGAGGTGGTAAGTGGCAGGCACTGAAAACAGTAGATGACCCGTACGACCATACGTGGCGGGTGGTGGGCAATGGTAGTCGGTGACAATCAGCGGGTGTGTGTGTAAGAGCAGAGCGCGACCGGACCGAGGCCACGCGTTTTTGCGATTTGCGCCGATCTTTTGACGATCCCTATTCAATGCATTGAGCACTTACTGATCCGAGTCTCAGTCGGTTCGGGTCGGCTCACCTAGCACCACGTTTGGGTAGGGAGACGGACTTAATTGGTGCTCTTTCGATTTGGAGATACAGAGACCGAGTAATGGGCGCGCAACACATCGCACAATCACCCCCGATCAAAAGGCAGCCATTTCTATCTGTATTAAGCCATACAAGACTCCCCTTGATATTGCAGGAGCACATTGATTGCTCTTTAGAGAGGGCAAACGAAACGCAAGAGAAAAAGAAGAGAACCTCGGAATCTTCTCCATGATCGCCTTTTTTCCCCCATAGGTCCCTGCTTCCCCCCAAATAAAGAGCTCGACTAATTTTGCTCCCCCCCGCGTATACACAAAACACACACCAGTCGCCCAAGACGATCCGCTTATCGGTAACGACGGAGGGAGAGGGTGTTGTGCTTGCGCCAGGTCGCGGCTTGCGGGGTGTGGTTGTAGCGGTGGCCCTTGCCGATACCACGGTTCTTCTTGCCGGCGCCGGTGAGACCGCGGGCCTCGCGGCGCTTGTGGACGGGGTTCGAGATCCAGTTGATGCGGGCGTCGCGACGGATGGCCTTGTGCGAAGGGTCGACGAGGATGACCTCGAAGTACTTGTAGACACCGTCCTGTTTGGGGGTGGGGGGTGGCAGCGTGGGCGGAGGGCGGGAGGGCGGGGCACGGCGCTGTCAGCTCGTCGGTTCTCAAGAGCTGGAAACGAGTAGCTCGGACTGACCTGGTTGATCCAGTACGAGTTCAAGACACGGAGACCGCCGCATCGACGGGCGACACGTTCCTCGGCGGTCGATCGCAGCGAGCGCTGGAACTTGAGGTGGTTGACACCCTGGTTGGTCGGCTTGCCGAAGGTGGCACCCTTCTTGACGGGCTTTTTGCGGTTACCGCGGCGGACTCGGATGCGGTAGATGACGTAGCCTTGCTTGGCCTTGTAACCCAATCGACGGGCCTTGTCCGGTCGCGAAGGGCGGCTGGCGCGGTGGCAGACGTTCAATTGGCGGTACTCCCAGCATCGCACACGGAGGAGGAAGCGCAACACATCAGACTGCTTGCGCTTGTGCAACTCGGCAATGTATCTGGTGAGGACAGAGGCGGATATGTGGTCAGCGACATGTTGCATTGGGGGAGGTGTATTGGACGAGCCGAGCTCGAGCCGAGAAAGCTACGATGCTGGCTGCTTGGGCGTGGCGCTGGTGTGCGGCGTCGCGGCGGGCCAGCGGAGCCAACTAGCAGAGCAGCCAACGACGAGCAGGCGACGATCCGGGCAAAGGACACTCACTTGTAAGCTCCCATGGTGATCTGGTAGAGGAGGGAGAGGGAGAGGGATACGGGTGAATGTGGTCAGTCAGCGTGTGGTGCTTGGACGCGGAGGGAAGCGGCAGGCAGGGTGTGGGTCGTGTGTGTAGTCTTGTAGTCTGTCGTGCGAGCGAGTGAGCCAGCGCAGCAGCAGCACCGGCCAGGCGCGACGCCGCTTTTTTTCCCCAGCACCGCTGAGCGCTGAGCGCTGAGTGCGGAGCGTCGTCGTCTTCGTCGCCTATGCACTGCACTGGCTTGCGCCGCCCAACTCCAACGACTGTGCACCCTGGCCTCCCGGATAGTCGTCGTCGTGTTCACCCGGATCGTCCATGCAGCGGCGAATGTCGTTTCGACTCACAAGGAGGGGGTTCTTGAGTGGACCGATGCAGCAGGAACTCAAGCCAAGAGCGGTCGCGGTCCCGTCTGGTCGGCGCAACCCACGCCGCCTGCCTCCTCCTGCCTCGCCCAAACAGGCCCAAACTCGCCCAAATTTCGTGCGCGCGCGCGGGGTCGGCGAAGGCGCGCCCGGACTAATCGAGTCCCTTCGCACAGAGCATTGTAATGGGTTGTAATGGGCCATTAAGTATTAACTCCGGGCCGTCTTGCGAACTGAGCTCGAGCGGCTCGGTGGTCTCGGCCCACACTCGTGCATCCACCTCCCGAGCCAGCCCTTCACTTTGTGGCACCATGCTTTCCGAGTGATCGAACCGTCCAGATCCCACTGTGACAGACTCGGCGTTGGATTTCAATCGTGCGCTGCCACAGTATCGCTCCCCTCCCCACCTCTCACTCCTCGACTCCGAGCCGGAAGGCCATCGAGGATGAACGAGCCAACGTTGATCGTTGATAATGGAGCCCATACGATAAAAGTACTATGGGCCAATGACCCTACCCATCCCACCGCCTCGACTCCTCAGTCCGTCCTTGTCTCGCTTCGTTCACTCGAGAGCTCGGAGCTGATTGCTTACCTCTGACGTTCCCCGTCGCACAGGGTCTACCGCAACGCCATCATCCGATCCAAAACAGAGCGCAAGAATTACATCGCCGATGAACTCGATGACTGTCACGACTTTGGCGCGTTGACGATGCGGTTGGCGTTCGAGAGGGTGAGCTTCGTACTGAGCGAGTTGGGTTCTGCCATTAGCTGATCGGACACGTGTCTTTCAGGGCATCCTCAACAACTGGGACGTCGAGAAACAAGTCTGGGATCGAATATTTTCCAACAAGGGTCGCGGACTGGCCGTGCGTCGTCGATTGCTGGCCAGCAAACCCACTTCGCACAGACTTCTCACTCGCCCCCACCTCTTTCCCAGATCGACCCCAGTGCAACCCGTTTCGTCATCACCGAACCGATGCACAACCTCCCCAACGTGAGAGAACACTACGACCAGATACTCTTTGAAGAGCTCGAAGTATCCGCCTGTCTTCGAATACCCGGACCGCTCCTCGTCCCCTTCGGCCCAACAGCCACACGGCAAGATGAAGCAGCCTCCACCGAAAAAGGGACACCCGAATGTCTCATCGTCGTCGATGCCGGCTTCTCCTTCACCCATGTTGTCCCCATCTATAAAGGCCGTTTGATCGAGGATGCGATCCAACGCATCGACGCAGGGGGCAAATTGTTGACGAACCATTTGAAGGAACTGGTCTCGTTTCGGCAATGGTACATGATGGATCAGACAATGGTCATGGAACGCGCAAAGGAAGAATGTTGTTATGTCACCAATCAATGGGAGACGGATTGGACTTTGGCAAAGTGAGATGCTTGCTCTTCTAGGTGATGAGCAGTCGCTCTTTCGAGTCGTGATGACTGACCCATCCCTGGATGCTTGCCACCCACAGTTCGAACCAAGCCCACCAGATCGTTCGCACCTACGCATTGCCGGACTTTTTGCCGGGTTCAAAGAACAAGCTAGGGTACCTTAGGGATCCCAATGCTGCACCGCCATCACCTTCGGCTTTCCCCATCGTCTCCGAAATGCCTGGTTCGAATGGGCAGGGCAACCCCGTTGCTGAGGAGCAGCTGCTGCAGTTGAACAATGAACGCTTCACCGTCCCCGAAGTGTTGTTCAACCCTACGACAATAGGTTAGCCATCACAGACCTCCCCTCCCCTCCCCCAATCACACTAACTCCATTCATCACCCACCTACAGACCTGAATCAACAAGGACTCTCCGAATGCATAGCTTCTTGCATCGCCTCCCTTCCCCTCCCTTTGCAAGGCCTCTATTGGTCCAACATCATCCTCGTAGGAGGCAGCACATCATTCCCTGGATTCCAAACCCGTTTGTTCAACGAACTTCGCTCTTTGGCACCTCAAGAGTTCTTCGTGAACGTAAGGCTGTCCAAAGAGCCGGTGTTGGAGATTGTCAAAAGTGGGAAGGAGGGGGTTGAAAGCGGAGAGTTGGGGGCCTTGGTGAGTAGGAAGGAGTATCTGGAAGTCGGGAGTGCGGGGTTGAAAAAGAGGTTTGGGAAGAGGTTCGAGGGGGGGAGAGGGGTGATGCTGGAGGAGTTGGGCTTGTGAGGGGCGATAGAATCGAGTGGAATTCTGGTGTGTTGACCAATCCATTGTTGTAGTATATCGCCATCGGATATATAAAATATTGCATGGGCTGCTTTTGCGAGACGGTTTGTCTACAATCTCGTAGACCAGAAGTCCTTCCCTCTCATCTTAAATTGAACCCACCCCACTCCGCCCTGATCCCCCTCATCCCACCGAACCTCGTCTTTCCCAAACCAAGTCCACTGGTCCCTCTAGTCCCCTCCCAAAGCCCCAACTCTCTCAACTCACCACTCACCCCATCCGCCATCGCCTTGATGACCCAACCAACCAGCAAGCCCCTGACCAACCCGCCCAGCTGCCTCAACTCGACCGAATCCCCCTTCTCACTATTTTCCCTCAAAGTCTGCCAGAACCCCTTCTGCACCGGGAATCTCTTGAGTCGTACATCAAGACTCATGACCATCTCCCCCGTCTCTTCATTCCAACTCGGTCTCGCATCCGGTAAAAGTGACTTCAAAGCGTCCTTTTCGGACATGCCTGGGTTGTCGAGTTGATAAGCGGCCATACCGTTGGAGATGAAGAGTTCGCAAGCGTAGATGGCCGAATCGCGGATCCCTCCTAGACCATCAATCAGGCCGCGTCCGAAGGGACCGGGAGTGATTTCGTAGATCCCTGAAACGGCAGGGAGGGGGGAGGTTTGCCCTTCGGTCGGAGGAGGGACCGAGGTCGAGGTGGTGGGTTCGGGGGAGAGCGCTTTCAAGGCGTTCACTTCGGCTGATTTCAGAGTCGCGACCTCGTCGAAAAGGCTTTCGTTCATAACTGTTGTCGGAGGAGCGTAAGGTGAGGTCTCCTGATCCTCGGGTAAGGTAACGATCGTCGCTCGATTTGATCCATTCGTCGACTTGTCTTTCTCCCCTACAAGCCCCGTGGACGAGAGCTCCTCAAACCTCGTCGTCGGCTCCGGCGTCGTGGATTCCTCCTTTGTCCAACCCCTGATTTTGTCCACCAACTCCCTCGGCGCCGTCAATTCAAAGGCCTTCAACCCCGCAAACACCCTTCCCCCCGCAATCAAATCGATTAATTCCGGATGCACACCCCTGCCCTCGACGACGCGGTTCTTGAAATCGGTGTACATCTCATCGACGTGGGCTTGGTACCGTTTCAGTTCGGCGCCTTCGAGTTTGTGGGTGAGGTCTTGGGTGCGCGAACCGAGGAACATGGAATCGAGGGTGATGTGGAGCCGGTCGAAGAAGGTTTGGGTGAAGGTGGGACGGAGGGCGGCGACGCCGATACTGTGCAGAACGAACTTACATGAGTATCCAAACATCGACGTGAACGTGAACTTGAATGCGTTCATTGGACTCACGATCCCGTAATCGTCGAAGGACTCGCCAAGATCGCATCGGCATGCGTCGAGACGAGATAGCCTCCCGAAGCCGAAGCGTTCCCAAAACTAGCGACGACGGTCTTGCCGTACTTTTCCCTCAAATCACGCACGGCGGACCAGATCGTATCGGACTCGACGACACCTCCTCCGCCTGAATCGATGCGCAGTACGACAGCTCCGATCGTTTCGTCTTCACCGGCTTCTTTCAAGCCTCGGACGACCGCCGCAGTTCCGAATCTGGGTTAAGAGGGACAATGCCATGTGTGTCAAAATTGGAAGGATCCGAGCAATAAAGTACGTGATGCTTACTCTCCGGCATCACCAATCGTGCCCATGAGGTACACGACCCCGACATCCATCGCGTCTTTGACGGTCTTCTCGACGATCCTCTCCATGATCTTGCTGTAGTGGTAAAACCCTTTAACCCTCTTTGGATCCTCGACCAACTCCCCATTCTCATCCTTATCCATGATCGAATCCAACACGTCCTGTCGATAGGCCGTCCCGTTCAACAGACCGACTTTGGTCGCCTGTGTGGCGCTGTAAGGGCCTTCTCGGGAAAGCTTCTTGACGTGTTCGAGACCCAGCAATCCGGCAAGGGAGGTGGAGAAGCGGTTGCGCGCAATGTAGGTCATGAGGTTGTCGTTCAGGTCGCTGACGAGTTCAAGTTGGTTCTCTTTTTGAGGTTTGGTCAATTTTTCGTCAATGTACTGTGCGCGAGGGCTTGGATATCAGTGATCGATGTAAAAAGGGGTGGTCCACAGACTTGATGATCGAGCTCACGGGCTGGACAAAGCTCTTGTACTCGTTCCTCGCCTCGGCCTGGACCTCGATGCCCAACCATTTTGCCAGTCGTCCATAGAAGGGGACCGTTGTACCTATTCGATGAACACGTGAAGGTTCAGTACCTACTTGACCCTATTCTCAGAAACGCTTCACCACGGCTCACCCATCCCAACGAGAGGGACTTCCCCCGTCGGTTGGGTATAGACCTCATCGAAGCACGTCGCGAACAAGTACTGCGCCTGACTGGTAAAGGTATCGGACCAAGCGATCGTCTTCCAATTTTCCTGTCCAATTCGTTCATGTTTGGTACGACGCAGTTCGAGTAAAGCTTCTTGGATCTCCTCGAGTTGTGCGAGTCCGAGGTTGTAGGCCGGTACGGAAGGAACGGAGATGTTGGAGAAATCGGCGATGATGCCTCGCTGTGCGATGTGCGTCGAAGTTTGACTGAGCTTGAGAGCTAGGGAAGGGAGCTCCGCATCAGGCTTCAACTGACGATTCGATCATCCTGTTCGATGAGCTTGATGGTTCGAATGACGTCGAAAAGGGTCATGACTCTCGGCGGCTCCTCGGGTGATCCGGTCGACGAGTTGAGCAGGTAGTTGAGACTGTCCAGGGCAGTGGAGAGTGAGTGTCTGATGCTGGATGAGCGAAGTGTACTGTGTCTCTCACTTTGATCCATATGACTTGGCTTCGACGATGCCGCTGTTGGTCGGTCAGCCGAGGGTAGGAGAGAAGAATCAGCCGCTGCCCAGTCCCCACGTCGGACAGGAGGTGGTAAAGCGAGCCTCGTCTTCGCTCACCCATCGTAAATTTTCCAGTACAGGTAGGTCTGGAAGTCGCTAGTCGCCTACGTCAGTTCATGTTCATCGAACAAGGTGCACGCGTGCTTCACCCACCTTGTCATGTATCTGGTCCCTCTTCCTCGCCTGGATCTTTGAGCTCTGCCACCTGATCGAAGGTCACGAGTGGATCAGTCGAGCTCAGGCTCAGTTTTCCCTTCAAAGCAAATGACTCACTTGACAACCGCATAACTCGTGCCCAACCCAAACAAGATGGCCCTCCTCCAAGCCCAACCCGTCTTGGCCGCTCCAAAGAGCCGTGATTGCTGCCAGCGTTGCGAACGACTACCGATCACCCCCCGGGTAGAAGGTGGTGGTGCTGGTGCTGGTGCTGGTGCTGGTGCTGATGATGGTGCTGGAGGGAGTGGTGGTTTGGCACCTGACTCGGTCGCCATTCCTTCGTAACTGGACAGGGCGGGAGGGCGACGGAAGCAAGCTGCAAGTGGGGCGGTTGCAGCGGACTAAGCGTTTGTTAGATTCTGTCCTTGTTGAACAAAACTACTACTAGCTGGAATTCATGACTTGAACTTTTTTTTTTTTTGAGTCCTGCGACGCGCGTCGGCACGACCGGATGAATTCTGAAGTTACTAGGCCGACTTTATTTCTACATCAGTACAAGGTCGGTTACCGGTCGGTATGGGCTGATGATGCCCAAGTCAGATTTTTCTAACTACTTTGACGACCCGAAAGCGCGTCGCTGTATTTTACGAAATTCTCGAGTTGCTGAGCGTGACGTCGGTCAGTGGTTTGGCAATTGGTCGATCGCACACCCGACGAGCCTCGACGAGCCTCGACGCCGGTCGACGCCGGTCGTCGCAGTATAGGAACAGCTTGAGCTTGGCCAATCTTTTGACTCGTCGCCGTGCCCCACTCCCGACTCGGCTTGGGCGTTGATCTTCCCCTCAGCTGGTCATCTTCACAAGCGTACCGACGCTCGGCTGGACTCGTCCTCATCTGCTCAATCGATGACTCCATCAGCAGCAGCGGGCTCGACCTGCTCTTCGTCGTCCAAGAGCAACCCGTTGCCTCACCCCACGATGACGAGCAGTAGTACCGGTAGCAACGCCGGCACCTCTTCAAACATCACTGCTACATCCCTCGTCGAAGCCCTTCTCTCGTTTGGTGCTCAGGACGAGGTCGACCAAACTCGGACTCAACTTGGTTCGCAGCCTGACCACGATCAGGAGCACGACCACAACCAAGACCAAGACCGTGACGAACTCAGTGTCGTCGGTTCATCCTCGACTAGCTCCGCCAAAGAAGAACCAAAGCAAACGCCCAGCGACCTGTCCACCTCTTTACAACAACTAAAACTCGCTTCCACCTCCACCGCCGCCTCTCCCTCAACGGCAACCCCTAAATCAATTCGCAACCTCCTGCACTCCTCCTTGCACACCGTGCACACCTCGGACCCCTCCACAACGCACCACATCACCTCATGGAAGATGGCCGACTATGCTTACAAGCGTGACCCCTGTCCGTTCCCGACTCGCGCCAGGGGACTCTTTACTGAAAACGTGGACCCGAATGGTACGAGTCGAGCAGGGGAACAGTATCGTATCGTTGCGAGGGGTTACGACAAATTTTTCAACGTCGGAGAAGTCTCTTGGACAGAGGTGCGTGGCTTTGGGGTGTGGTCTCCGAGGCATTGCAAAAGGTAGGCCTAAGCGACTTGGCCGAATTCTCTTCCCCTTTCACAGTGGACCAACATCCCCAAACAATCGACCGCACCCTACGAACTGACCCTCAAATCCAACGGATGCATCATTTTCATCGCCGCCCTAACCCCTCGCCATATCCTCGTCACCTCCAAACATTCGATCGGACCTTTACCCGCCTTCAACTCGACCAATGCAGAGGGGCGAGACGAAGAAGAGGAACGGATCTCTCATTCCCAGAGGGGTGAATACTGGTTGAAGCGCCACTTGGAAAAAGTGGGAAAGACGCAGGAGATGTTGGCGCAAGAACTGTGGTCGCATAACCTCACCGCCGTAGCAGAGGTAAGAATCGAAAAAGAGACGCGTTGCTCTGCCATTAGAAGCTCACCCCTTCTTTCTAAACCCCCACCCGCCACCCGCAGCTCTGCGACGACTCGTTCGAAGAACACGTCCTCGCCTACCCAACCCATCTCACCGGACTTCACCTCCACGGCCTGAATCTGAACGAACCGATCCTACAAACGCTCCCTTCCTCCTACGTGACCCTCTTTGCCCAAAAATGGGGTTTCATCCCCACACCTTACACCCTCTTCCCCTCCGTGATGGCCGTACAAACCTATTGCCAAACCGTGCAATCCCTAGGCGGGATCGAACAACCCAACGGCAAGATCGTCCCCGTAGAAGGCTTCGTTATACGTGGCGTTCAAAGAGGGGGTGTTTCAAGAATGGTGGAATTTATGGATGAGGATGGGGTAAAGAGGTTGGAGAAGGCGAACGAAGCGTTCTTTTGGAAGGTCAAGTATGATGAACCTTATTTAATGTATAGGGAGTGGAGGGAATTGACGAGGAAGTTGTTGATGATGTATGAGAAGGAACGGGAGGCGAGATCGACTGTCGTGGGAGCTGGAGCTGGAGCTGGGAGGAAGGGGAGGGAGGATCCGATCGTGTTGGACAACGTCAACCTCAACAAGGTCAAGAATGAACAAACCAAACTTTACCTCTGGTGGATTAAGAGGGAGATTGAGAAGGATTATACAAAGTTCGAGTCGTGGAAGAAGGGAAGGGGGATCATCAAGACGAGGGAGGAGTTTTTGAAATGGAGGAATGGGGATGAGGCCAAGGTGGTGGTCAAGTCGTTGGCGAAGGGGAAAAATAGGATGGGGTTGTTGGGCAAGGAGGAGGAGGAAGTCGATGAGGAAGAGGCGAGGAGGGAGTACGATCGTTGGTTGATCGCGCCTGTTGCCGTGCAGGGGTGTGGTTAGTCCAGACCGGTGCCTACGTGTCTTGAGGTTCTGTCTGATCCAGCTTCTCGGTGAACAGGCAAAACTGCGCTCGGACTCGCACTTTCGGACCTCTTCGGCTTCGCGCATATCCAATCCGACGACTTCCACATGAAGAAATCAGGCCCCCATTTCCTCAAAGCCGTCAAGGCCGCCCTCCAAGCCGACCAAGTCGTTTACGCCGACAAGTAAGCTCACAGCGTCGCTTATCCCACCAAACAAACTGCTCAGAGCTAATGTTTCTCCTACACCCCTCAGGAACAACCACCAAATTAAACTACGCTCCGACCTCTCGTCCCTGGCCCTCTCCCTCTCCCCCTCACACAAAGTGCAAACCATCGCGCTCCTCTACTCCATAGATTCCCCCACTCTACAGCGCGACAAACTGCACGCGCTGTGTTCTTCCCGTATAGTGGAACGAGGCGATCGTCACCAAACCCTTCGAGCGGGCTTATTGCACGAAGCCGCGATTTGGCAATTCCTTGGTCAATGGGAGGCGTTTGACCCGGTTTTGAACCCTGGCGATGGCGCGTTCGATGTGGTGGTTCAGATGAAGGCTGAGTGGGGGAGGGAGGAGGCGATCAGGGAGGTCGTCAAGGCTTTGAAAAGGGTTGGGGTACCGGGGTGTAAGGAACTTGCGGGGGAAGGGGAGGTGGACGAGGGGAAGTTGAAGAAGGCCGTGGAGAGGGGGATGACTTGGGAACCCAAGATCAAGAAGGCCGTGGATGAGGTCAAGGTCAAGAAGGAGAAGATCGCGGTGCGTAAAACGAAGGAAGCAAATTTGCCTCCGAGGTATTTCGGGGTCGCGTTTAAAGTTGAGTTGGAAGGGTTGGTGGAGAAGGCCTTTGAAGGGCGGGAGGTGGAGGTGTGGACCGAGTTGAAGAGGGTCAAAAGGGTCGAGCTGAACCCTCATATCACGCTGGTGCATGAGAAGGAGGTCCAACTTGTCGAAGGAGGGAATCCGGAGATGACGGCGGAGAAGAAGAAACATTGGGAACGATTTGCGAATCATCTCAAAGGCAAGGAAGAGGACGACGAGGCCTTGAAAGTCAAGGTCGTTTTGGGACCCAAGATCGTTTGGGATTCGAGGGTGTTGTCGGTGCAGGTCTCGTCAATCGTTCCTTCGTCCACCGAGGCTAAGGATGGGTCGGTGTTGGATTTGGACGGATGTTTAGGCAAGGATCCAGTGGCGCATCTTACGGTAGGGACGATCAGGAGTGATGTGAGACCTGTGGAGGGGAAGTGGATCTTGGACGGGTGGATCGAAGGGGAGAAACAGACAAAGGAAGGTGGGGACATTAATTTTATAGAGATTGAACCTGTTGAGTGTGAAGGAACGTTGGCGGGGTTGAGGTGAAGCGAAGTGGGGTATGGCGGTTCTTCAGTAGTAGTTGAGCAGTTTGCAAAAGTTACTCGTCGTTTCTCGCATCCGATTGCTCTCTCGATCAAGCCCGGTTCGGGATTAAGTGTTTATACAATCACAGTCGGGCGGCAACGAGAGCAAATTCCAAGATACACAACAAAGCGAAGGAGCGTGAGAAGTAGTGGCAACCGAGAGAGATAGAAGGCTGGAGAAGCTAAGCCCATGCGAGCAGGACTCATGTGGCCGTGCACTTGAGCTTGGCCCCACAGAAGCTCGCGGCGATGAGATACAGGAGAAGCTGCAACGATGGTAGCAGCCGAAATCAGCATCGAGAGGAAAGAAAGCGCGGAAAACTCCGCTCAGACTGACTGTAGCGGACAAGCCAATCGCGATCAAGACCTTGATGTTCTTCCACCACATCTTCCTTCTGAGCACCGTGGCTCGCTTGCGGAACGCTCGAGCTTGGTTCGACATTTGGTCCGTCTTGTCGACCAACAACTCGATCCTGTTCGTGGAGCGGATCGCTTCGTGTCAGCTACCGAGGAAAGAGGGCTAGACTAGTTGCAAATCGGATGACTAACCTCTCGCCTCTTGATAGTACAGCGTCGATGTTTCGAACCATGATGTCCTGGGGAGTTTTCGGCACTCCTCGATCAGATAGCGTCGAATACGATCGTCAAGCGCCCACGCTCACCTTTACGCCTGCGAGCTCGGCTTGAGCCGCCTACGGAGAGAGTGAGCAAGTAGAGATTAGTGGGATCACGGTGAGGCTCATCGAAGAATTAGGCTCACCTTGATAGGATCATTCGGTGGTGTCTCCTCGTAGAATGTCTGCAGCGACAGGAACGATCCTCAGCACCGATGTGGGGGGGCACGGAGTGCGTCGACGATGCCCCACCCGTCTCTGGAGGCGGTACTGACCATCAATTTGGACATGTCGTTTTCGAACGAATTACAACCAAAAGCGGGAGCATCCCCGATCTGCTCGTAGGTGAACTTTTGGTGGAACTGCACCGATCACACGCCGAATCAGCGCCGAGTTGCCAACGTTCGAGTCATGCCCCGACGAACGCACATGTTTGAAGAGGTCGGCGAGGAAAGCAAAAGGCATCCTCCTCCCTGCCGAATCCTGAGCTACGACCATGGCGACGATGCCGTTGGCTTTGTGGTAGTGGATCAGAAGGTTTTCGGCTGTGGGGGACGGTGGAGTGGATCGTCAGTTCGAACTCGAACGAAGGGCCTGGCCGATCCGCAGTCAAGAGGATGACTAACCGGCATAGGTGAGCTTGGAGTCGTTGGGTGGAATCTTGGATAGGATCGTTTGGGTGGCTGTGGTCATGGTCCGCGTGAGGACCGGTGATGCACAGGAGAGCACGTCCGAAGGAGCCCATGTGGCGTCCCGATCGAAGAGGGGGCGCAGGGCGCGTGCATGGAGATCAGATGCGTACCGGGTCAGCGATCAAGCAAGGTCGCTTGCATCTGGTGTGACTTGCCCTGTGCGTAGTTGTTGGGGGTGTGGGGTGCATGGTCGTGTTCGACGAGGACGACCGTGTCACGCGCGATCAACGCGTGCAGCAGCGACATCTCCAGGTGTGGGTCTTGGTCTGTGTCTTGATGGACAGTTTGAGGTGTGATGTCGGGCTGTAATGGACGTGCCTGTGACGAACTGAGCCGTGTGTGGGGCGTGGGCGGTGAGGAGCCAAGAGACGACGCGCCGCCCGTCCGGCTCATTAGTGCTCATTACTAATGACGTCGTAGGACGTCGTACCCTGTCGTACCCTGTCGTACCTCGTCGTACGGGACGGCCAACGCGCACGGACCACGTCTCGAGCACGTCGCACGACCACCAACTCAGCTCGCGTCGTCTTCGTCTCGTAACTCTCATCATCGCGCGTGGCTCGATCTCTCATGAGCGCCCAGAGCCACGTCACGCCGACCTCGTCATGGCAAGATCGACTCGATCAAGCACTGTCCGGCCCCGGCCCCGGCCCCGGCCCGGCTTCGACAGCTGAGCTCGAAGCGCTCGTCAGCGAGTTGGAGCGGCATGCTCAGGCGATACAGCGACAAGACGGCCCATCTTCACTCGAGGTAGGCCCTCATCGTATGAAAACCCTAATCAACACCGCTGACTTGGCCCTACTTGAACCAGCACACCCCCTTTGATGATCCTTTCCCGCCCTTGCTCCTCCTCACCCCTTTACTCGCTCTCCCCGCCGACTCTGCAAAGGCACAACTCGCACAAGAAGCAATCGATCTGTTTGCATCTCATGCAAGTGCCAAAGAAGTGGTCGTCGCGTTGGAGGAAAGAATCGCCCAAGTTGGTCAAGCCAGTCAGGAGCAACGGCCCGACGATGAAGATTCTGAATCCGGGAACGAGAACGAGGAACATGTGCGGGACCCATCATCCCATTCACAACTCAGAGAGATCGTCGCACTTGTCGATACATATGCTCACGGTATGTCCGGGAATGTGTTCCTTTGTCTGCAGTCGCTGACTATCCCTTGTCCCGATATCAACGAGCGTAGTCTTTCCTCGAATCAACACGGCTAAACCGGCACGCTTCCTCGAGACTGCCACCGCCTCGGTAACGTCCATCCTCCGAATTCACTGCACCATCCATCCTGTAACAGCATCAGAGGCGGCCGTATTGGCCAAGATGGTCGTTGATTTCACCGAGACGATCATCACCAAAACTACGTGGTCTGATACGCAGCAGCAAGAGGTGGATTGTTTCCAACGTGGCTCAAGACCCAACGTCACATGACTCCTACTGACTCCGAACCGTATCAACAGTGCCACGTCCTCCTTCGATCCCACCTATTCGAAACCGCTTTCAATCTTGCCCTTTTCTTCCCCGCTTCCCTCGCCGAGACCTATTTCTACTCCCAATTCCCGCACCGACGAATACCTCATCGAGCAAGACCGACCCTCGACCCTCTCGTCCAACAAGCTTGGTCCACTTTGATCGACTTTGTCCGTGATAGATTCTACCTCGAACTTGCGCAACTCTTCGCGTTGGCTCCCTCGAATCGAGGAGTGTTCGAGTTGTTCATTCAGGTACTCGCTCGTGATCCTGAGGATAGAGTTTGGGTGAAGACGATGGGCGAAGATCCTGAGGAAGACCTCAACAATGGGGTATACTCAAGACTCCTTCGAAAGACGTTGGGTCTTTTGATCGGTATCGCGAGGGAAGGGTCCAGCGGCCAAGGACGGGTCGACGAGGCCTTGTTCTGGCTTTGGTGGTGCGTTCAAGGGGCTGCACAGGAAGGCGAGGTGGTGGATGAAGAGGTCGTGTTCCCTCTGGTCGAAGTACGTCCTATCACATCTGTACAAGGATTGTGAAGCAGATGTATTGATGCACACTCTCCTGCCGTTCCATCCCAATCAGATCATCAGCACCCTCACATCCCTCTCTCCCTCCCCCTCCAGGCGCTTCATCGCTTTTTCCCTCTTAACAACCCTCATACTCGACCTCGTCCCAACCGAAGCGACGCAAATACTCAGCCTCAAAGACTTGATCGAGACTTGTCCCTACCCGAGTCTTCGGTCCGCTTCGATTGGGATCTTGAGGCAAGTGATGTTGCGTAAGTTTGATGAGGTCGACAAAGTTCGGAATGAGATCGAGCAGGAAAAAGAGGGGCTCTGGCTCTCACCTCTCCTCTTGATCGAGTTTGAGGAGCTTTTCAAAATCGGACCCTTCGATTTGGACAAATCCGAAGAAGCAGACGAGGATCGAACCCAGACGATTCATGAACAACTTTTGCTATTATACCTCCTTCTTTCGCGGGACGAAACGGATCGAACGGGAATTTGGAAAGGGTTTGCGAAAGTCGAGGAGGATCTTTTAAAGCCCTTGAGGACGAGGATGGCGAGAGAAGAGGAGGGAGGTATTCTTGGATGGGGTGTGTTGGAAGTTGGGCTGGAGAGGGTTGATACAGTCGTTGAGGGACGGGGAAAGAGGATTGAACAAGGGGCTATTTCGGTGCCCGGGGGTGGGGGTACTTTTTGATATTTTGTTGTTGTATCAACTCTCGGAACTCGTTGCGTATATGGTGATGACTGTATTCACACACAAAAAGACAGAGGCGACTGACGACCGATAACTTAGGACTCTAAACACTAAACTCACAAGAGCAAGTACAAACAAGCCCACAAACCTCAACTCAGAGACAGTCTCATCTCGCTGTCCTTTCTCCACGCTCAAGTATGCCGATTCCAATCTCAATGGCAACACTCATTCCCTGCGTTCGGCGGCAAAGCCATGACAGACCTCGCATCGGACGAAGCGGGAGTGTCGAGACTAGGGTTGGCGCGGAAAAAGTTGACGGGCTTGAGTTGGAGGAGCACGTGTTCGGCGGGCACTATTGGATTGCAACATGATGTGGTCAGTCCGATGAAACCTGCGGCAGCAAAGGTCATGGGAAGAGGTGTAACTCGACTTACTAACTGGGAAATCTTCCGCCCTCGGCAAATGCGTGACGCCGAACGAAACCCAAGTAACAATGTCCTTCTGCACGATCGGCTTATCATCCTTGATCCAAAACTCCAACGAATCCTCGGGCGCCTTGAACGATTGCGTCGGGTACTTTCCAGCCGGGAAGAATTGTCCGTCGACAAAAGGGGTCACCCAGAGGTTCTTCTTCGCAAAGGTCGCGCGACGAGCGACAAGGGAATCTTCCTTTGCGAGGAGAGGGGGAAAGTCCTTGCACATCAACTTGTATCCTGCGGCGGTACCAGTCGAGTAATGCTTCTTGTCCTGGTTGACGAAGGACCACATGCGCGAGGAAGGTGCATCCGCGAGTCGAGCTCCCTCCTTGGTGGTTTGCAGAACCCGCTTCCTCGCTTCGAAGCCGTTACCAGCCCAATTCTCATCCGAACCCGTAGGTGCTTCGAGAGGATGGATCTCCGTCTCGACGACGGAGTTGTTGAGTCCATCGATCATAGGGTCGAGGCGCAAACAAAAGATGTGTTGGTGGTGATGAGCAACAATCCGGGGAGCGACTTGTGTCCCAAACGCTTCGGCATGTTCACCCTGAGCGAGCAAGTAGGTGTTGAGGATGCCCGTGAGCTTGATCTCCAACTCCATCGTGCCGTCTTGTTTGAAGCCCCAAGCAAAGAGGTATTCGTAGTTGGCGACGGTGCAAATCATTTGGATGATGAGCTTGCGCGAGCGGACAGAATGCGCTCGTCCTCCGGGTCGGAAGTCGGTGTGCTTCCAGAGAAGGCCGTCGTCCTCTTCGTGGATGCAGACGGCACGGTCGAGCTTGATCGGTTGTCCATCGTGACCACTCATGACGGCGTCGAGGTCTGTCAGGCCGAATTAAAAAGAGAAATCAGCACCTTGGTTGCGAAAGCCTCACCGAAATTCAGTAATTTCATGCGCTCACAATGAATCGAGCCAAGACAATCGCACCCAAGGGTAAGACTGTTGGCCATCATGCCAATACCGTATTCTCCAACGTCGAAAGCAAACTTGCGTGGGTGGGGCCATTCGGGTGCGGCGTAAGGGACGACCATCTCGGCAAACGAAGCGCGGTACATGATGGGGCGGTAGCGACCTTCTTCGCGGTCAAAGTGCTGGACGTGATTGAGCACGATTCCTTCTCGGTACTGGTGCGCAGCAAGGGGGTGAGCTTTTTATATCGAAGGCCGCCCGGTACCACGTCTCACATCGCCATAGACTCACGTTGAAGCCAATGTGCATATCCCAATTCTGCCACTTGATACGATTGCCCTTCATTTCGAATGACACGCCCTCTGGTTGCTGAACATGGAGCGGCTTCAAGTCCTGGCGCACGTCCCAATCGCGTCCTTCGCTCTGGGCCTTTTCGCGGATCAGATCGGGAAGGTAATCATGGCGCTCCAAAGGTGGGGGGATGCGATCTCGGCCCGAATCCTTGAACGAGTCGCCTTCAACCGTGTGCGGCGCTGTCGTGCCAGACAGAGCGTCAGGAGCCGTTGCTGAGGTACGGTGGGGTGCAAAATCTGCGATGGGCCAGAGGTCTCACGTCAGCTCGTGAATCGAGACGATGGTGGAAACACGTCCAATCAATTCACCAATTTTGAGGATCTTTTCAGCATTGGTATCGACGACGCAGTTGAAGTCGAGTGGGTGGGCGTAGAGGTGCTCATCGGCTCCAAGACGAGCATAGACGAAAGCTTGCTGCAGCCTGACCCCTTTACCGAATCGGTGTTCGTAGCCGATCGACCAGCAGTCGCACATGATTTGCTCTTTTTTGACACCTGATCCATCACCAACACCAAGAAATGACGATCGTTCAGCCACCACAGGAGTCTTGGGAAGAAAAGCTCGAGCCTCGAGGAAACTCACCGACTTCGGCGCACAGACGGATAACCTCAGGGTCATTCCTGACGACTTCCTCACTCTGGGTCATCTCCTCGTTCGTGATGGCGGGCTGAACGCCTTCGGGAAGTTTCTCCACTTTTTCGACGATGGCTTTGGTGCCTGCGACGATCTCCGCTGTCAGGACGTAGACGTCGCCCGTGAGGGTGTCGATCAAAGCGGCTTCGGCTCGTCGCTTGGGCATGACTCCTGAAGAGACGGGTGAGACATCCGTTGGCGAGGTGGAGATGCCGAGGTAGGCGATCACCTCAAGTTTAGGCGCTAGGTTGGGAAAGACGAGGGCAAAGTCAGCGGAATGGCCTTCGTGCGGAAGTGACACAGCGAGACAATCTCGTCTCGGTCCCCCGATAACCAAGGCGCGGGCTTCTGCTTGTCACCACGACATAGTTCGGACCAGGGTGACGTGCCCTCATCAAACGTCCGAGCACAAGGACGGGATTACTTACGCTCTACGAGGTCAACATGGCATGATTTGACACTTAGGACCCCTCGTTGGAACATCTCATTCTTGAACGCAGCCGAAACGAGTTGAATTTCCCCGACCGTCAGCGGGTCGAGAGGGTGGGCCTTGGCGGCGTTCCGAGCACCGCAGGCGCCGGGAGCGGAGGAGATGGCTTCGACGGAAGGCATTGGGTTGTAGAAGAGGATGGATGTTTGTTGTGATGAACGGAAAGGAAAGGGACAGGGACAGAAGTCAACCGATCGACTGGGAGGACAGCAGCGGAGGGCAGTCTAGGTCAGTCAGAAACGCGGGGAAGCGCTTCGAAATAAGCGCCAGCGATAGCGCTTCCGGGCGCTTATCACTGGCGGGTCCGCTCGTGATAGTCTGCCCCCCCCCCCCGGCCCATGGTGTCCGGCCACCATAAGCTCTCGCGAACATCCAGGCAGCAACACCCTTACTGTAAATGCTTTGATGCAAACAAAAACTGGCCGCATTTTCAACTCGCAGAGGTCGGAGGGTAGGGGAAAACATCAGAGCAAAATGCCCATTCGGCTGATTAGGTTCGGCTAACTTACCAGCGGAAAGGCGATCCTTCGAAACCTGCATGTTCCACAGCGCGCTTCGTAGGCCTGACCCTGCCTCAAATCATTGAATCGGAATTTGCCCTGCCAGTCTACCGAACCCAATTAAGCGCCCTGAGCAAAGGCGTACTATTCCACAAGCGCTGCAGCTCGGCATCGCATCGACGTGCCCCGAACCTCTCGAGCCCCTAATATGCGATCGCGGGGCGATCCTCATGACGAGGAACGAGCGCTCAGCGAAATTGGGCCGAAGCAGCGGTGGAACGTGTATCGCTTCTGCAAATTTGGATTCCGGCACCCATTACAACATCACACAAAGGGACAACGCACAGAGGGACCAAAAAAAAGGCACAGAGCAAAACACATCGTGTATAAGTGTGCACAGACTTCTTCCGTGTATAGGGAAGTACTGCTGAACAACATGCTGATTCTTGGGGATAGATATGGTAAGGGGGAGGAGGGCATCGTGTAAGCTACCAGAATGGCAGCGGCGGGAGCGACGGTAGACTGGACGCAAGCAGTACAAAGGCTGGTCGAGCGGAGCGACGGAGTGAAGTTGATGAAAGAGATAGATCGGCAGAGTTGGAGTGTAGGGGAGGTGGATGAGTGGGCGGATGGCGGATAGTGACTCTTGGCGTGTCGTTTGTTCCTTCGCACCAGTATTGAATGAGGACAGCATGCCTGTCGTGTATAGGCAGTTTTCGGCACAGGTGCTCGAACGTGAGAAATGCTTATACTCGGGCACGCTTGAGTGGTATGGCTCGCCGAGCGTCCGGGTGACTCTCGTCGGCGGCAGGAGCCCCTCGCTTGGATCGCGAGTTCGGCATGCCGGGTGTGGCGCAGTAGCAGTCGTCTTCGCTACCCCATCGAGGAACCTTGGTGTAGTCCTAAATAGTAACAATTTAAAAGCTGGTCAGTTTCCTGTTACCGAGCCATGTTGATCTCGCTGTCGTGTACTCACGAGAGACAATGTTCGGCCAGCAATCCGTTCGATCGTAGGAATACCCCCACCTGCGGCTTCGCGAGCGCAATATCCTCGAACGTGTACACAGTCGCAGTCCAGAGGATGCAGCTGCTTGAGCATCGCACGCAAGCCGTGCAGCTCGTTCGACAAGACTTGGCACATTTGCTGTAACTGGACGTTCGAAGTAGCGAGGTTGGCCGCATCTGTTGCGAAGAAGAGGGGTCGGCACGGGTCAGCTTGACAACCTCTCGGCCGATGCTTCCTTGCTTCCAGGAACTCTCTCTGAAACTCACTCTGCTCAAGTCCAGACACTCGCTCCTTCTTGCGTCGTCGTGACTTCGAAGCCGCAACCCTGTTTCGCTCCAGAGCTTCGACCTTTACCGTTTCGGCATCTTCTTCGGGCACGGCCGATTTTGGCTTGCGTCCTCGCTTGCGAGGAGCAGGACCTTCATTGGTGGCCCCAGAGGTTGAGTTGGCCAATGGGCCACGCGAACTAGTCTTGCCGTCTTCGGAGGCGAAAGAGAACTCGATGAAAGCACCAGGGTTGAGCGTGGACACCGGCGCAGAGACGTGGAGCGAGTCAAAGCGACCTAAAGCTCCTTCGCTGTCATCCAGGCCCATGAAGCTGGAGTCATAGTAATGCTGTTCTTCGGCAAGGAACGCCGTGGGAACAACCGAAATGTCGTGCTGGGTGATTAGTACGCCAATGCTAACCGTGGGCTGGCTCTGCAGCTGCGGTGGCTCTTGCTGCGATGGGGCGTCTGTTCGCCAAGTCGACGAGGGCTGCGCCGGCGCACCATACGAAATGGGCAAAGGGGCGGGTTGGTAGTGCTGAAATTTCCCCTTGTCGACCGTCGACGAGACGAGTCGAGCAAGTGCCGAAGTGCCGTAAGCTTGCTCAACGTCCGCCTCGCCGTTTTGACTGGCGGCAACGGTCGACTCCTGTCTCGGTGCGGCTGGCTTGGTCTCGGTGTCGGGAACCGGTGAAGGCGGGACCGATGATGCGGGGGAATCTTCGGCAGAGTTGGATGTCGACGAATTTGTTCGTTCACTGGCATGGCCCGACCGCGAGCTCGACGAGTTCGATGACGTGAACGAGGCAATCGGCGCGGGTGCGAAAGAGGCTCTCTTGCGGCCGCCGCTGCTCCCTGCGCCGATTGGATCGATCGCAGATGAGCTCAATTGCGAAGCCGGTGCTAGGCTCTCACTGGCCGCCTTGCGATGCATTCGACGAGCCGCCAGTCCTACACTAAGTGCAGGTCGTGTTGTTGCAGATGAATCGGTATTCTTGGTTGTCGAGGCTGCTGCTGCAAGTAGTGCTGTCCCAGTCGGTGCGGCGCTGATCGTCTCGTGGAGCTTCGATCGCGCGCGAGGGGCGGCGTCGGCTGATTTGAGGTGGGGCGCCATCGACGCTGGATCGACGCGCTTGTTGTGGCGTCGCGGCGCTGGCGACGGCGAGCCGGTCCGGAGCATCTGTCGGCCTTTAGCGGGGCCATCCGATGTGGCGAAGCTCTTCTCAAAAGGGTTGATCTCGCGCTCCTGGGTAAAACCAGGCGCAACGAGCGAGGCTCCGACCGTGACGACAGGGGCGGGTCCAGCGATGCGCGCCGCGTGCGGCGCTCGGGCGGCGGCTACGGGCGCAGCGGCGGACGGGGCCGTGACAGGAAAACCATAGGTGCTACTGGACGTGAAGAGCGACGGGGACAAGAACTTGCTCCAGGGTGAAGGTGAAGATCGAGTAATCATGTGGAAGTCGTTGGAAGGTGATCCGAGCCCGAGACCATCTGCACAAGAGGGCGACAACGACAACGACGAAGGAGCTCGAGTCAGCTCGATGGGACTTGCGATTCAAGCGGGGATGGCTGCGCTTCCCGATGGCGCGGCCTCAGCCAACGAACGCCACACACGAGACATACCTGAATCAGTAATGGAAGCACATAGTGTGGACTGCATCCTGCTCAAGGTGCAGTCGGGAGTGCAAGGTAGATGATCGGGACTTGCTGCTGGACGAGGAAAAGTACGCTCGGTAGGGTAACGAGCCGAGAAGGACGGGGAGGCACTTTGACGACCTCCCTCACACCCTTTCGGAGACCTCGTATGCGCGCTTGTGAGAGCTTGTGCGACGCGCGCTCGGCCCGTCGGCGAGACTCGAAAGGGTGCGCAATTCCATTAATCGGTCTAATACCCAACCGTGCATGCGTTGGTCTGTCGATCCTCTTTATGGACCATCCCCTGCACTTCGCCAATTATAACCTAGGAGCCACTTCCTGCGTGTGAAAGATGTTATAGGTCACTCCCAGCAGACACGATATTGATACTTGTTAGGTATCCGAAGTCGTGCATGAAGCCCTCTGCCTCATTTTTAGAATGTGGAGGCCCGACAAGCTGGCCCGATCCGAAACCGATCGAAGCGAATGCGGATTCGTACTCGTGCACTCATACCCTCGCTTCTGAAAGTCTGGACCTCGCTCGAGGAGCCTTTCCTCGGATGGTACACCCTCTCCTGTACCTTCACAGGAGTCCTACCCAAAGTGTCTGCTTTACTACGATGATTTATAACCAGAGGTGTGCATTTGAAACACGAAAGAGTGAAGCCGGCCGTCGTGAGAACTATAAATTGCATTCGAATCGCGGAGCCGGTGATCCCGTGCCTGAGGCCTGCCACTGAGGCCTGAGGCGCCAGAGCCTGAGCTTGTTTGTCGGCTCTAGATCAAAAAGCGCGCAAACCGACCAAACGCGCTGCCAGCCAGGAAGTTCGAGCTAGATATCTATTCGATCATTATCTACAGCGGCTCAACAATCCTGGCTCGTGATGTCGTAGAGGGGGATCATCCTCCTAGACATGTCTTCATTCCCTAGAACTCGAACGGATGCTCCGCGGACGACTGGCGGCAACTTAACATGGGAGCTACTTGGGTCCGACTTCCGACGTTTGTTCTCGGGTATGGGCGGTTCAGGATCATTCAGGAGCCAGAATGCCAGCGACATCTCCTGCTTTTGTTTCGAGATTCTTAACTTATGTAACTTCACTACAGTGGCCGGAGCCAACTAAAAAACATATGAAATACTGAGGGAGAGGGGTGCTCTTTCAATCCTAGGGGTACTCAGTTCTTGGCGGTCCTGAGGAGAAAGAACAGAAGCACAACATGGTCAGTATCTATGTTCAGTCGGGTTTCTTCTCATACGGCGATGACTACTCACTCCTTGTGGGCCTCAGCCTTGGCGTCGTGGGACTTTTGGTCGATCTTGTCCGAGACCGCAGAGAAACCAGCCGAAGCACGGTCACTGAGCGAGGCGTTAGAGTCCTCTGGGAAACGGTTGAGAATAGGCGAGGTTAGCTGCGTACCAAAGGCCCGCACCCAGATGATACTCTAAAGACGACGTACTGGCAACCTCCTTGTTACCCTCGTGGCTGGCACCGGAAACGGCGCCTTGGACGGACTCGGAGACTATAGGAAATGAGCAATGGAAGGGTCAGCGGCTGGGGCAACGAGGCGTCGTCATCGGGTTAGGTGGGGCGCGACGCGCGGAGCGCAAGACTCACCGTAGCTGGCAGCGTTGCTGATGGTGGAGGTGACCTGGTCAACGATGGAGGTGTTGGTGGTGGAAGACCTATGAAGTAGGAAGTGATGACAGACGGGGCAGGACAAGAGGGCAAACAGGCGGCGAGGGGCAGGTGAGACGAGGCAGCGAGGGGAGAGGGAGGCGGGACAAACGAGGGGGCATGGAGAACCGGTCAGCGCGTGACGTTCGATAACGGATGACAAGTGTAACAAGACGTCGAGGCTTACATGTCTACGGTTGAGTGGTTGGGTGTGTGAGTGGTGGAAAAAAATGGAAGAGAGTTTTGAAGCGGTGTGATGGGAAGGAAGAAAAGAGGCGCACCCGAGCTCAGAGGGGGTTTTGTGACGAGGGAGGTGGAGGCCTGGACTGGCCTGGACTGGCCAGTGGCCTGGAAGCAGAGACCGCTGAATGCGATGACGTCTTTGGTGAAGATCGTTCGCCGGCACAGGCGTGAAATGATGCCACCACGCACCCCCCAGACGTACGTGGCAGTTACTAGTTCTGAGGCTGTGCTGGATACCTACCCAAGCAGGTCGTAATAATGCAAGAATTTCCTATCGTTCCATTCGGCATCCAGAGGCACTTAGTGCGTGTTCGGCTGCACTTTTAAGCACTTTTAAGCCCACTTTTAGGGAAATCCTCAGCCATTCTGAAAGCCTTCCTAAAAGTGCTTAAAAGTTCCTAAAAGTGCCGTGTACGGTTGCGTCGCTAAAAGTACCTAAAAGTGACTTTTAGGGACCATTCCTTAAAAGTGGTCCGAGGGCACTTTTAGCACTTTTAGGGACGCACTCCGAGCTTCGACCCGCTTAAGGCTGGGGGGCGCCTGGGACGCGCTCGGACCGCTCAAGTTGGCCTCGGTTGCAGCATTGGGTCACGGGCGCGTCGGTTGGCCTTCGTCGCGTCACGTCGTGCGCTGTCGACCATGGCCAAGAAATCCGCCCTATCACACTCAGCAAGCGACGACGACAGCGAGAACCACACCGAGCACTCCGCTCATTCGAACACTCTGCGCAAAAAGAACAAGAGCAAACAGGCAAGAGCAAGAGCAAGAGCAAGTCGAGAGGGACGCGAGCGGAGAACTGGTCCGTTGCGCAGACCACATTTTTTTGGCCCACCTCTATGGCAACAACATGCTGTTCCCCGAGCTTCCTCTGAAGTTTCCGGTCTGGAACATCATTTTCGCTGCGATGGTGAAGCAACACCCCGAGCGCAAAGAGAACTGTAGCCGAGACCAAGTGAAAGCTCTCTGGTTCAAGGTGAGCCGTGTGGCGACGTGAGGAGACGCGTCGCCAGTGACCGCATCCGTCCGTTATGTACTTCAACTAACCCTGTCGTTCCTGGTTTTGTAGAAAAGACACATAAAATGACGAGACGTTTCAATAGATTGCATCTCATGGGCGGTGGTTGGGACCACGTGCTCCATCGACCGGCATACTCGGACGAACGATGGGCTGCCGTGGGTCCGAATGGCCCTGACCCTGCCCCAGCTCCCGTCAATTCGGACGCACTGATAAACGCGTGTACGAATGATGTACTTCATCAGCTCGAGGAAAGGACCCGGAGTGGAGTCAGGTGCACTCAGGCTCGTTTCCGTGGTACTGGGACGCGACAAAGATCATTGGTATCAGCTACGCTCGCGGCACCGACATCACCGACATCAACGCGCTATTCAACCCCGGGAAGAAGACCGCTTCTTCATCAAAGAAACGAGCGCACTCGCCACAATCTGAGCAGTCTGGAGCAGACCTACGCCAAGACGCGGAAAGCGAGGGCGAAGACTCACCAGGTCCTTCGCTCGCCCGACTGGGCGTGCAGGACTTGTCGCGTCCCTTCTGGTCACCCTCGCCTGCTGCTGGCGCGCAGGCTCGTGTGCACGTGAGTACCTATTGTCAGGAGCTCTCCCCACGTCGCAACCCGGGAATAAACATCAAGTATGTGTCCTGTGATGTTCTGCGCCACTGATCCGTTCGCATTATGCCCCGGTAGACAAAGACCGCCTTCGCTTCGCTGCTGAATCCGCTCGACCCGTGCCAGTCTTCGGAATCGGCTACGAGCAGCAGCAATGGTTGGAGCAAGGCAAAGCGCGAGAGCCGTGGAAACAGCGAGCGATTTACCTACTTTCAAGACGATCCAATGCTCAAAGACGCCGTAGCCAATCTCGCCGGCCTTCAGAACGCCACCACATCACAGAGGCTGACCCACTTCTCGAAACTAGTGGGCACACTCAGCCTAGAAGCAGACGATGTTCACCTGCTAGCCGATCATGCTCTTCTCACGCCGACTCCGCAAGACATCCAGACGGTGCTACTCCTGGCTGCCGCGGGAGTATTGATTGATCTCCGCGTCAGGCAAATGATCAATCGCCTCTCATTTCAACCGGTATCGTCGAGCAACGCGCTGCCGAGCCACGAGGCGCCGCAGTTCCCACTTCCCCCGATTCGCTTGAAACCCGGAATCAACCGTACATATTCTTCCTCGACGTCTATGCCCGGCGCGGCCCCTCTTTACGGCAACTGGTCCACTACCTACTCTGGCAGTCCCGCAAGCGGCGGTCAATGTTCTGAGAGATCCGACGGATGCCTGCCCTCGCCTTTTGGTCTATCGGGTTAATCATGCTGCATCAACCGTGGCAAGCTCAACATCCACTTCACTTGCTCTATCAGATGTATTTTGAATGTTCAATTCGTAGTGGTCATCGTTGCAATACACTCTGAATGTGAGGAACAAGCCGAATCAATTCCCTCTGGTCCATAGCAAGTAGAGCTCCCTGAGTTCCGCTCTCCGTGACGATCGCTCATCTGGCGCGTGTGCAGCCAGTCGGCGGGCCTCCGCTTTGTAAGTTTGGTAATCCGCTCGGTGATGTTGTTGAAGAGTCCATAACGAAGATTAGGCCGGTTCGGACCGAAATTTGCCGAGGCAAGGGCGGGTTTCGTCTTTCTTTGGCCGTTTCGTCGAGGAGACGGCGTTGCAGACGCCATTCAGTATACTTCTGCAGTGTGTACGCTGCCGATTCGACGGCAGAGTCTATCTGCTCGTCGGATAGCGACTGGAGGGGTGTATCCATGACTTTGAGATGTTCTCATGCAGGGATGCGCATTACAGAAGCAAGACACGCGTCTCCTTGTGCAGGGTGTTGCGCTTCGAATTACAACCCATGCCAGGTTCAAACACGTGACCTGAACTCGTCCGGTGAGCTCTCGCCCGTCAGATCGTTCCCGGCCTCCGCATCTTAAAAGTGCTTCCTAAAAAGTGAGGTGTTCGGCTGCTAAAAGTGGTCCTTAACCGCGGCGCGCGCCGCTTTCAGCTAAAAGTGAAAAGGTCCTAAAAGTGCTTTTCCAGCCGAACACGCCCTTAGTAACTAGTACTCGGTTGCGCTGTAGCGCGTCCCGCATGGCGCACCGCGGTTCTGCCCTCCCCTCATGCCGCCGCCCCACTTGGTGCGATCGTCGATGACGTCGTCTCTGCACAAGCACTGCGGGTACCGCTTCCGCGTGCCAAGGGTGCCTACCGAGAGTGTGATTTCGACAGAGGTTTGAAACCGCAAATCCGTCTTCACAAGCCCGAAGCACTGCCTATCCCAACTTCCCAAGTGTGCCGCTTCTCGGCCTACGAAGTCAAGGTCGAAGTGATCGGCCACCGCCGAACCCACCGAGCGAGCTTTGTATGGGAATGAATGTCGTAGCTCTACCTTGTGCTCTTTGCTAGATCGATCTCTGAAACTACCATGATGGCTCTAGGTGTATCGTCAGGTCTATTGTTCGGCTTTCGGGAAACAGTCCTCGGTCATTCTACGTCTGCCTAGCACGAACCAAGCTGCCAACTTGCTGAGATCTTCGCCCAACACCTTCAGGTTGCGGTAGATAGGTAGGTACTGGTACATGATGCTTAAGGGAGCTGGGAATGCTTCATGTCTCCCACCATCGATTGCTCTGCAGTCGAAGTTCCTGTTCTGCGAATTGAAGCTGAGTAACGTTCTGCTTCGAATGACTCGGCAGAATAACTTGCCAGTGCGATCCCCCCGGCGGACGTCTTGTGTGACCACTCATGTTGAGCACCATAAAGAAAGAGCAGCGATAGGCAAGAGCACTTTAGTCCGGTCTCCAAATTGTGCCAGCACGGAGGTCACGGCCAGCTGCCTGCACCGACGCCTGGTTCTTCTGCCTGGTCCGTGCGCGAGACCAGGGGGTGGTTTTGCTCGTTGGGCCCTCTTACAACCCGTCTTGCCAGCTGTGGACAGTGGCTGCTCGGCCGATCGCCAGCGACCATCCATCTCGTCACCCGCCGCCAATCGCCAGCACTCCGCAGATCGTCTCTGGTCGAGCTTGAGGAACTTTTGCGTCTCTCAACGAGTCCAGTCCGCGTCACGGTTGGCTCTCCGCTGCGTTGTACCGCCTTCGCCCGTCGCCCGCCGCCCATCACTGCATCACTCGTCGCGCGTCGTGTCGAGTCCAACCGAGACGTGCCAAGTGACAGAGCCAGCGCCAGCGCCCGTATCACCTGCGTCCCATCGCGTCTGCTGGTGTACACGCTCTCTACTATACTCTCAGCTTCACCGAATCGTTCAAGAAGAGCCTGAGGCTCGATCGAGATGGTGTTCTACAATCTCAAGGCGCTGATCAAGGCGATCCGCTCGACTAAGACGATCGCGGACGAGCGCGCGCTGATCGTCAAGGAATCGGCCGTCATCCGAACTAGCTTCAAAGAGGAAGGCGAGTCATTAAAGTCACATCGATGATATACGGAACTAGGCTGTTGCGGTGAAGGCGCCGGCTTGTCGTGGCTCTGTGATTACGTGCTCCGGTGGAGTCGCGTGGCATACTTGAGCCTCCGGTTCCTTGGTGGTGCCGATACGGAGCAACATCACGTCGTAATCGCTACGCCGTTGCAACAACGAAATATTCGATCACACTTGCCCGCAAAACGTTTCACTGACACGCCTCGGATGCCTCTCACTGCGCCGCCAAACAGACTCGTTCACCCGTCACCACAATGTCGCCAAGCTGCTCTACATCCACATGCTCGGGTACCCCGCCCACTTTGGCCAGATCGAATGCCTTAAACTTGTTGCATCACCTCGGTACGTCCTCCTCACGTCCGATGTGACCCGACGTGCTCTCTGTCGCGAAGCTGAACCTCTACCGACCTTCATCCGCTGCAGCTTCAGCGACAAGCGACTGGGCTACCTCGGCATCATGTTGCTTTTGGACGAGAACCAAGAAGTGCTGACGTTGGTGACCAACTCGTTGAAAAAGTGAGTGACGCTCCAAAGGTAGAAGCTCAGACTCTTAGCGAGCCTGCGGACTGAGTCGTGCCCGTAAACGCCTCCCCACCACAGTGACATGAACCACTCGAACACTTCGACCGTGTCAATCGCTCTGTGCACCTTTGCCAACATCGCCTCGGAAGAGATGTCGCGCGATCTCGTCACCGAAATCGAGCGGTGTCTCGGCTCGGGCAACGCCTACATTCGCAAGAAGGCGGCCCTCGCGGCTTTGCGGTGCATCTACAAGGTGCCGGACCTTGTTGACCATTTCGAAGGGCGATCGACGAGTTTGCTTAGCGATAGGAATCATGGTGTGCTGCTCACGGGTGTGACGTTGGTCACCGAGATGTGCCGACTAGTCGGTGGTGATCCGTTCCGACAGGTCAGTTCACACCGGGGGTCCAGAGACCTCGGACCAAGACTTACGCATTCCTCACTCTCACAGGCCGTGCCTTTGCTCGTCCGCCACTTGAAGGCGCTCGTCACGACAGGGTACAGCCCGGAGCACGATGTCTCAGGCATCACGGACCCTTTCCTGCAGGTCAAGATCCTGCGCCTCTTGCGCATGCTGGGCAAAGACGACGTCGAGGCGAGCGAGGCAATGAACGACATCCTGGCTCAAGTCGCCACCAACACCGAGTCGGCCAAGAACGTGGGCAACTCGATCCTATACGAGACCGTATTGACTATCCTCGAGATCGAGGCCGAGAGCGGGCTGCGCGTTATGGCGATCAATATCCTCGGAAAGTTCCTCAGCAACCGTGACAACAACATTCGGTGAGCAAGGGCACGGGCTTAGTCGGATCGCAAATGACCTCGGTCGACTGAGCCAGGTATGCTGGCCCTTCTTCTCAGATATGTTGCCCTCAACACACTCAACAAGGTCGTAGCGATGGACACGAACGCTGTGCAACGACATCGATCTATCATCCTCGACTGCTTGCGCGACGGAGATATCTCAATCCGACGTCGCGCACTGGAATTGTCGTACGCGCTCATCAACGAGCAGAACGTGCGCGTCCTCATCAGAGAGCTGCTTGCCTTCCTCGAGGTGGCCGACAACGAGTTCAAGCTCGGCATGACGACGCAGGTGTGCGCCGCCGCGGAGAAGTTTGCCCCCAACCGACGGTGGCACATCGACACGGTCTTACGCGTGCTCAAGCTTGCCGGCAACTTTGTCCGCGAGGAGGTCTTGTCAGGCTTTATCCGCCTCATCACCCACACCCCGGACTTGCAGTCCTACACCGTCTACAAGCTTTACACTTCATTGCGCGCCGACGTGTCACAAGAATCGTTGACTTTGGCTGGTGTATGGACGATTGGCGAGTTCGGTGACATCCTATTGCAGGGCGGCACAACACCGGCCGGTGGGGACGACGAAGAAAGCGCCGGCTCGACCACTAGTGAGGCGGTCAGCGAGAAGGACGTACTTGACCTCATGGAGAATGTGCTCATCTCGCCCTACACGAACAACACGATCCGCGCCTTTGTCCTGACGGCACTCACGAAGCTCTCGACCCGGTTCGAAGGCGCCGCTCAGCTCGCCCGCATCTCCAAGGCCTTGCATTCGTTCGACTCGAGCGTCGAGCTTGAGCTGCAGCAGCGCGCAATTGAGTTCGGGGCTTTGCTCAGCATGGATTCGATCAAAACAGGCGTTCTGGAACGCATGCCGCCTCCTGAATTGCGGCCGACAGTCATGGGCACCGTCAGCGAGAAGCGACCGGTGGGATCTCTTCGGAGGGACAAGGACGTACGTGGACTAGCCCATCAGACTCAATATGTATGCCCAAACTAAGTAATATTTCTTCTTCTATCTCCGTAGGCATTACTCGATATTGACCTCATGGGCGAGGACTCGGGTGCTTCCGCCGCGAAGGTGTCGGCACCGGCAGCGCGTACCCAAACGACGCAGGACCTCTTGGCCGATATCTTCGGCTCGAGCAACGACGAACTGGCACCGGCGGCAGCAGTGCCCGCTTCGTCCGTCAACGATGTTATGAGCCTTTTCGGTTCGACCTCGATCTCTTCCCAATCCGCCACCTCGTCTTCACAATCCGCTTTCGGCAACGACCTCTTGGGGCTTTCGGGTGGTGCTCCTGCAGGTGCAGCCGCCACTCGGCCATCACCCGTAGCAGCAGCGCCGACGCCACTGGGTGCTCTCGTGGCCTATGCGGGCAACGGTCTCCGGATCACCCTCACGCCGATGCGCGACAACTCGAATAAGCTCGTCGTCAACATCCTCGCCAAGTTCACGGCGACGCAGCCCATCTCCAACGTCAACTTCCAAGCCGCCGTACCCAAGACGCAGAAGTTGCAGATGCTCGCCATGTCCAAGACGGATGTTGGACCGGGATCGACCGAGACGCAGCAATTAAGGGTCATGGTCGCTGCACCTGGGGCGTTGGTCAGATTACGGTTGCGCGTTGGTTATGTCGTGGGTGGGGAGCAAAAGCAGGAGCAGACGGATTTCTCGTTCCCGGCCGGCTTGATGGCGTAGTTCTTTCGGGAGTGTTTGCGCTTCCTACTTTCTGTGATGACACCATAACGCTAGCTCTTTCGTATTTCTTTCTCTTCTGGAACGCCGGGCCGAATCGAAATCCTACCATCGCATGTGAGGGCGACGCAGCTGAATTTACTCGGCGGCATTGAAGATTTCGCGGATCTTGAGCACCATCATCGAATTCTACTTGACTAGTATCGGTTCACGTGACAAAGCAACAAGCATATCTCTGTCTAGAGGATCCCGGGGTTGTGGTCACGGATTTGAGAAATAAGGATCCACGCGCGCTGGTCCCAGGTCCCACTTGAACGTCTTGAACTCTTCAGGAGGTTCCCACATCAGATCGAGACGAGAACTCTCGAACCACTCGAGCGCCAGATCTTGCTCGCGCCTGACTTGCCACGTCGTGAGAGCTCGCCTGGCCGATTCGTTGATCAAGCTCGGAGCAGCGGACCTCGTCGCATTTTTGCCGGGCTTCTTCCCGCCGTGGTTCCCTGAGCCGCTGGGTGACCCGTCCATGATGGCTGACGATGAACGCGTCGTCGGACATGAGGCGAGGGAAAATATCTCGGCCTTGACGGTGGGGAACTATGAATACGGTCGCGCAGCACGAAAGGAAGGGGACTTCAGCTTCCTACATGCCGTGAAGAGCCCTCGTGAGTTATCCGCGCTCACCGTGGGTCCGTTGGGCGGAGAGTTGAGCACAAGCTGCGTCGCAAGATGAGCGACCTGCGTTCCCGAGAGCGTGACGAGAAGGTTGCGTAGATCCAAGCGTAGTTGCGACAGCTTGGGCTCTTGGACCGGCTTACTGGCAACAATGGTGAGACGGAACCGCTTGTCGAGCCAGGTGCGCAAACGAGCGGATGAACCATTGCGCAGCCGATTCGCAAAACGAGCGAGAGCAGGGAAGGTCACACCCGCCTCGCGAGCATCGAGGTACCTGAGATTTGGAGCGAGAGAGTGAAGCGTCTCGAGGTTCTTGTCGGAGAGGCCTGCGTTGATGATGAGATGCGTCAGGGCCGAGACGCCTCCGGTCGCCGAAAGAGCATCGGTCAGGAGCGAAGGGCAAGGGGCGCGAAGCACCCGGCCGAGGTCAAGAGCTTGTAACATGGGTGCTTGGCGGAATATGTTGATCAATTCTTGTTTTTCGAGGTTGCGAGTCGACAACACGTCGTCGATGTAGGTCTGATCGTAATCGATGTGGGCCCAGTGTGAAGTGTTGAAGGAAAGGGTTTTGAGCGCCGCCGTCTCCACGTTGAAGGGTAGCGCCATCGCATTGGTAGGGGACGTCCACAGTGAAGGCGTTTTTCGCTCGCATCGGTAACGCAAGTGAAGCAATCGAGGCAACTGTAAGACTGGCGTCAAGTCGGCGTCCTCGTTGTTCGTGGCTTCGGGGTCTATGAAGCGCGCGGGAGCCTTGGTGTCGACGGTTGCGAGGCGCAAATCTTGCAACGACCACGCAGCCTTTAACAACAACTCGTACAGGTTGTCACATCGCACCCCGCTGAGGTTGAAGGGGAAGAAGTCACTTAGTCTGGTACCCGGCTCACCAGCCCCAACTGGCCTCGGCCAGTGGACTCTTGACTCACAGCAAGTCGATGACGCGTAATGCGGGCATGTCGGGGAAGTGGGTGTCCATGAGCAAGCATCCATAGAGACTCATAATTTCGAGGTGCTTGCAGACGTTGGCTTTGCGCCGTCCGGAATAGGTAGCCGAGAATACGTCAGGCAGACTGATATCGCCCGGCAGTTCCAGCGCCGCAGTCGAGATGAAGAGGTGCTGAACGTTTGGCAGCATCGTGAAGAAGGGTGCACCAGAGGGAAAGCGCTCAAAAGGAGTGTCGGCATAAAAGTGCTTGAGATTGATCGCAGCAAATTGACAGAACTGCCGAGTGGGTGAAGGGAACGAGAAGAAGTGACTCTTCTTCGCCATACTTACAAGTGGATACGAGACACGATTCACACACCTGAAGAACCATTGCCAAGCATTCGAAAGCTCCATCCACATCCCCCTCTTCTTCGTATCCCCTCATGTTGACCTCGATCGCATCGAGCTTGCGAGCGCCGTCGTGACGCACGATCTCCTGCAAGCACAAGCGCAGAACTCCGATAGCGGGTAGATCGGACTCGCATTCGCACATGTTGTCAAACTCGAGCTCGAGGAACCTCAACTCCCCCTTGGACCTTTGCGCGAACCTGGACACCCTGCCAATGCTTTCGTCGTGGTTGATCGCGAGCTCCTCGAGGCGCCACCATAACCTGGGCTCGGCCAACAACGCCTTGCGCCAGTTCTTGCTGACGTGGGTCATGTTGACGAGATTCTGCTCGTCCAATTCGTACGCGATGCGACACAGTAGCTCAACAGGGAGCCTCGATCCGAAGAAGCGACCGTTGCGACCCTCGTGTGACTCGAGGTGCACGAGAGCTTGCAGTCGAGCGATACGGATGGCTTCGACGTCAGCAGGAGGAACAGCACCGACATCCTCGATTTTGACGACTTGTGGTTTGGACGACATGGAGGGCGATCTGGGAGGGGGTGAGAGCACTCCAGAAAGAAGGAGAGGGGTGGCCGTTTGAGCCGTTTGAGCCGAGCCGATGACTGGGCGTGACGCGTGTCAGCTGGACGAGCGGGTGAGCTCAGGCCCCTCGGGAAGTGTCAGATGATCCGATCACGGTGCAGTCACTCTTGTTCGCGGGGTCGAAGCTAAGTACACGCGACTCAGAGGTGTATGTGAATTCACCGAGAGCGACCAGGAGCAACGTGCGTGGTCGAGGCAGGGGTAGGGGCAGGGCCGTCAGAGAGTGATGAGCGTAGACGGAGGGAGAAGCGCGACGGGGTATGCGCGTGCGACGTGGGGACTGTGCTCCTCGACGCGCGAACTCGACATAGGAGACGCGCGTCGCGATGTCAATGCCGGTGATATCAGCATATGGGAGCGATTCACAAACAAAGTGTGGTATAAACACTTCCCGAAATAACCGTTGAATGGCGAGGGTGACTATTGATATTCTGCGCAGGTTGACTGCAACGGCTCGAGAATTCAAGCTTTTCTACTGCGACTCGGAGACGAGGCTCGAACTTGGATGCCAAGCCATTTTAAAGGTGTCCACTGGCACCGGTGCACGACACTTACAATTTTAGACCTTCGGATGTCAAGTGAGCGTTTACTCACAAAGTCCCACTCGTATCTCGTCTCGTAAGCTGACCAGGGAGTGTGTGTTGTAAGTGCATACAGTCAGGTGGCGCACGGCGGATGCAGTCCCAAGTAACGCCTAGAATCAGTCATTCTCTCGCCCTTTCCAAAGCACTGTAAAAAATATCGACACAGATTGATGACCTCTACATGGATCTGTAGGCCCATAGTCGATGCTTAGGGTCACGCAATTCAAGGGGCGGGGCAGTTGCGCTCGGACCCATTCCAGATCGGTTCTGCGGTGGCCCTTGCGAGCGACTTGCGAGCTTCGCAGCCGAGGAGGACCTTGCAGGCGCGAAGGGATGTCTCGCACGCTTGGCTTCGTTCTACCTTCTGAACGAGCTCGACTCGACCTTGGCTATACGCTTAGCTTCGACTTGCCAATAGCCACGAGCACAATAATAGGAACCATGGTCCGACCGGGTGGAGAATCGATTGTACCGCTGTTCCCTCTGCTGTCGTCGCATGATCTGCCGACTCGCATTGACGCCTCCGTCTCGCTGCTCTCGTCGCTCGCCCTAATCCAAGCGGCGACGTCTTCGACCGTCTCGACCCCACTCGACTCGCCCCGAGCTTCCACTTCGACCAAGCCGGCACAAGCGAGCCGTGGCGATAATGCCGACGCCGATGCCGATGATGTCGACACGCCGTACGCGATCAAGCGTCTCGTCGCAGGACTCGGCTCGACCAACGAAGCCTCGCGACAAGGATTCGCCGTCGCCTTGACCGAATTAATCTCTCGATTACCCTTTCCCAAAGCATCGACAATTCTGGCCCAGATTCTCGCCAGTTCTGCGCCGACGGGTTCGACCGACCCTCGTGAAGAACGGGGCATGCTTTTCGCTCGGTTGCTCGGAATCCACGCCGTTGTACGGTCCGGCGTCCTCTTCCATCCCCAACAACCCGACCCGGAGCAGTTCAGGGAATCGATTCTGGCCTTGATGCAATTGGCTATGCGAAAGATGTGGATGCGGGAGCCGGCATGGTGGGTCGTGCTCGAGGCGATTCGCGCCTTGATCGCTGCCGCGCCGAGCTGGAGCCAGGAAGCACAACAATGGCTCGTACAACGTCTCTTGATCGACTCGAGGGAAAAGGCACGAGGATTTACACCGGAGAAGATTGCAGTTGTGTTGACCCTGCAGAAGAATGGTATCGTAAGTCGGGACAATCGCATACTTTCATCGTTCGATCGGCCTACTCACCAAAGTGTGGCGCGAACCTTAACGAATTCCACAGGAGGCGGACTGGTCCGCAGTACTTGCACCGACATTTCCGACTGGGAACGTTCTCGCTCGTTCATCGCTCATCGCCCTTGCACAAGCCATTAAGGGTGGAGTTGGTGAGGCAGCAAACCCTTCCAGCAACGGGCCGACAGCAGGATCGAACGCCGTCAAAGTCGTCACCAAGAACGGTGCCCCTCTGCCTGGCACGGCACCTCACTTCATGTGGAACGAGATCTTTGACGTCTACTTTCCGGCCTCGGGCACGGCACCGAAATTGGCAGGCAACGAGCCGATCGCCAAGTGGACCGACGCTTGGAGGGTGTTGGTTGATCGTGAGTGCCTTTTCGAACGAAAGACATGACTGTAGCCTTTGCTGATATCAACCACCTACAAAATCCAGAATCCCTGTTCGCTCCCCCATCTCTCCCGCTCAAGGCAACCGGCTTTTCGCTGCTCTCTCTCGCCATGCAACGCCTTCCGCCCTCGGACGTCCCCGCGCTCTTTGGCGAGGGCGTCGTCCGCACCTTCACGAACCATTTACGAAAATCGGGCGAGACTGAAAAGACGTTGAGCCGTGTTGTAGACAGACTTGCCCTCTCGATCCCACCTTTCCTCGCCAACAATCCCTCCGTTGCTTTGCCACTGCTCAAAACGCTCGTCGCCCCTCCCCACGGTCAGCACACCTTCGACCCCAAGACGATCGAGAAGATCGTCGCCAAATTCGATCTCAAGAGTGTTCGCGGCTGGATCAATTATCTCAAGGAATTCATCCTCGGGAATGGGGAGCAGGAGGGAGACGAGTCGTCGATGGGTCTCGCGTTGGAGCCGGAACAAGTCAAGGCCTTGGCCGCCCGACGGACGTGGGCATTCGACCAGCTTCTCCATCTTGTTCGCTCAACAGCCGTCACAAAGGACGACGAGATCATTGCTGGTGTGCTCGAATTCTTCGCCGTCCTCGGTTGGTTCGACGTCCGAAAGTCCGGCAAGGGGGCACGGTCCTACGTTGCGACTCCGGTTTTGACCGAATCGCTTCGCCTCGCCGCTCGCTCGAGGTTCTTCTCCATCTTGACCGTCTTGGCTCCCTCTCCCGCTTCTCTGGCATCGACCAAGACCGCTGGAAAACCCACCCCGACGACCGCGACCTGGCTGTCTCGCGCTTTGGCCCTGCTCGAGAATCTCGCATCAGACAGCAAGCACTTCACACCCGTTGACGGAGCCGACGCCGACGTTGAAGCTCTACGAGCGAGCATTAAGAAGATGTACACCAAGCTCGATGGGAAGAAGTCGTCTGCCGAGGATGGACGCGTCCATACGGCCAAGGCCTTGATTGGGGCCGTAACGCTGCTCTCCTTTGACGAAGGCGAGGACTCAATCGATGCCTTAGAAAGCCTGTCGGAAGCTTTACCCCTGCTGTTCCCCAACGTCATCAAGGGCTCGGATGCAGCATCCCGGAAGTCGACCAAAGACAATGAGGATGACGAGATGGCCGACGAAGAGGAGGGAGAGGCCCCCGAGCCTGCCACCGTGTTGGTCGACTTGTTGCTCGAGCTTTTGCGGAGACCGTCGGCGTTCGTCAAAAGTGTTGCGCAGCAAGCGTTTGTTGGCTTCTCGCAGGATCTTGGGCCTCAGGCGATGGAGTTGTTGCTGGAGCAGATTCGCCCTGAAGTGTCGGAAGCAACCGGGGATGAGGTTGGCGCCGATGGGAACGCCAGCACGACCGCCGAGAAGGGAGCCAAAGCCAACGGCAGGGCCACCGCCGCTTCTCGAACCGCTGCTGCCGCCGAGGAAACCGATGACGAGGACGATGACGACTCGGACGATTCGGATGTCGACGTTGACGAGGACTTCAAGAACGAGCTCCTCGCGGCGTTGCAAGCCAGTGGAGTCGCCGACGAGATCGAGGCTAATGAGCAAGCCGCTGAGGACAGGAACGACGACGAGTCGAGCGATGAAGAGGAGCTGCTCGACGACGATGCTATGATGGCTTTGGATGACAAGCTCGCCGACATCTTCCGCCTTCAGTCTGGCTCGGGTGGACGAAGGAGCAAGAAACTTGATCGAACGGATGACATGCACTATCGTCTCCGTGTCCTCGACCTTGTCGATGCGCTGGCTAAACACCGCTCATCCAGCCCTCTGCTCGTCTTGGTCGTGCTTCCTCTGCTCGGCATCGTTCGGTCCACCTCGGCGCTCGAAATGGAGTTGCAAACCAAAGCGGGTAGAACACTGCGATCGATTGTCCAGAACAAGCGCGAAGTTGCCCCTTTTGCAACACCTGACGCTGCCCTCGAAGCTCTCGAGGAGCTCCACCAGATCGCCGCGGGAGTCGATTACGCCGAGCTTGCCGCCCTGTGCAGTCAGACAGCGATCTATCTCGTCAGATCCGCCCTTGCTTCGGCTAGCTCGGATGCCTCGACCGCCTCGACGATCGCAAAGTTGTACAGCGACCGCTTCTCGGACTACTTGGTCAAGAAGAACAGCAAGACGAGGGTGCAGCCGACGCTGACGATCGATTTTTGCAAACGCTCGCCCGTGTGCGCGTGGCCCTTGTTCGATGCCGTCTTGGACTTGTCTCAGGGTGAAGAGATAGTTAACGCTTATCGAAGGATGCAGGCCTTCGAGGTCCTGCACACACTCGTCACCTCCTTCGTCGCCCAGTTCTCTAAGACTCCCGAAACGGCACGACCTCTGCTCAGCAAATCCTTGCCCAGATATCAACAAACACTCCTCTCCGTCTTCACATCAGCTGCCGATCCAGAAAATCCCAGCGCATCGTTCGACGCTTCAAGGCTCAAAGACCTCGTCAAGTTCGCTCTTGCCGGTGTTAGACTGACCAAGACCCTTGACGCGACACAAGTCAATGACGTTTGGCAGGTGGAGAACTGGATCCAGGCTGGGGAAGCACTCAAGAGCAGCGATCGATTCAAGTCTGCAGCTGGGGTTCATAATTCGCTCAAGCAGTTGATTGCGATGATCGGGGTTGGGAGTAAGGCGGGGAAGAAGGATCAGGGGGATGCTGCGGGGAAGAAGCGGAAAGCGGGGACCGACCTGCCGGCACCTTCGACGAACGCCGAGGGGAAACAATTGAAGAAGACCAAAACGACGTCGACGGTAGTGCACGGGGCACCGGTCGTCAAAGAGGTAGCGGCGGAGCTTGAGGTTGAGGTCGAAGACGATGAGGAGATCGAACGTGCTGCGGCTGCTTTGTCCGGCGGCTGGGCTTCAGAAAAGGGGTCCAAGGGGAAGAAGAGCAAGAAGGACAAGAAGCGGAAAGCATCGGAGTGATTGAGTATAGCTGCAGCTGTTCATGTACTACAAATTATTATCATACATCAGATATCGACCTCGAGAGATAACAAAGGCAATACGACAACTAGTCGTCTCCCTCAGGCCGTCATCGAGTCGCTCTGCCTTTGCCTTTGCTCTTGGTTTTGGCCGAAGTAACGCTCGGTACGCCTGCATTTGATGCTATACTTGGGGTTGACAGCTTCTTGATGAGTTTGCTGGATTCCTGGTCAAAATTCTTGGACGAGACGTCGATTCCGGCTTGCGCTTGATTACCTATGAGGAGGCAAAAATTGTCCGTATGATCAGGTTTTTTGTGCAACCGCGGAGAAAATCGAGGACTTACGTGACGAGAGGCTGTTTCTTTCGTAGAATTTGTGACCCTCGATGCTTTTCCTTTGAACCTCATACAGCTGGTTGATGAGGTCTTGAGCCTGAGTCTGAAGAAGGCGAGGGAACTTTCAGCTGAATCGAGCCTTGATAGTGCCCGGGACAGTAGCCCACTACGGACGGACCACGATCGCTTCAGCCGCATTGATGACAAAGTGATCTCTCTCCTGAATCAAAGCGTCGTCTAGCTTGCTTCGGTGCTCCATAGCGCCTTCGATCTGCGTCCTGTATCATATTGTTCGATTGAGTAAGCCTGGCTGAGGGAGGAATAGGGGCGCCTCGACGAACCGGAGTTCTTGCCCAACTTCTTCCCCGAGGTCTCTTTTGAGCAGGGTCTTCATGTCATTAACAACGTGAGAGTACTGGGCAGTCGCGAGCTCGAGGTTGTCTTGGTAGGCTTTGATCATTGAACCTGTGCATCATTGTAGGCGGAGTTAGATTCGCACATACCACCCGGGTGAAAAAATCAGCACATCACCTCGTTCGAGAGCTCGGATTTTGCGCTTGACCTCTTCTTCATACACATTGTTGGTACTGAGTAAGTAAGAGAGTGCGTTAGGTGTGCATTCCCACCTCGAATCACTCTACTTGGGGTCCTGCTTACGGAGTCTCGAGCAATCCGACGCCACTGTCGTCCTGCGCTCGGCCCATCTGCACGTCATACATCTCTTCGTCTTCATCCTTTTCTTCATCCGAAGTCGTTTCGAAACCATCATCGTCCTCATCCTCTGAAGAGTCCATCTCGTTCCGATCGTCTTCCTCGTCATCAACGTCGAGCGATTCAGCGCCCCATTTTGGAAGACGACGAGAACTTTCGTTGACCAAGTTGGGTCGAACACGAAAACGAGGATCGGACAAGGTAGCATGAACTGAACGGAGTGGACCATGTTTGGGCTTGGATATGACGGGCGTCTTAAACGTACTCCCACCCGGAGGTGCGAGGCTGACTTTCGTCTTGATCGTCGAGGTCGTAAGCTGAGCGCCACCAGCGCCGGCGACGGTCGCACTGGCGGCTGAGGTCGTGGTCCCCTGGGCTGGCTTGGCACCGTACGCATGGCCAAAGAGGGGTGGCCTAGCACGGATGGGATCGGGGTCGTCGGGCACTGCCAAAATTGCACAAATGCACTTGAGTGCAGCTTTGAAAGGCTGGTGCCGACTGTGCGAACTGACCTTTGCTGGTGCTCGCCGTGGCGCTGACCGCCGCTTGAGCTGGCTGATGACGACGACTCATGGTGCCGATCTGGATCTGATGATGCGTGACCATACTCGACGATGGACCAGATGATGACTTAGTTGATGAAGTCCCTTGATGGACGATGGCAGTGGGCGACGTGAGAGGATGGGTCGCAGTGGTTCACCCCCTGACAGAGGGTTGGCGCGTTCCAAAGTCAGAAAAAAAACACGCGCGCACGTGATGGGGGCCCTGTCCGCCGAGTCAGTCGATCGGTCAATCAGGGGTCCGGGCGGAAACTGGATGAGCTGCCCAGGGATGCTCTCTACGTCTCAGCGCTAGAATTTTGACTGCAATACGGGTGAGACTACACATCCCGTCTGTCCACTTTGCGTCTTTACATCCTGCGATGCTCCGACTCGGCTGACACCGGGGCCTCTCGACTCGGCCCTCTAGACCTTTTCGAGATCTAGTACTAGCGGGAATCCAAAGCTTCAATGATACATATCCAGCACCCACCGGGCTACCCCTACAACTACCGAATTTTGCGAGAACACTTATAACAAGGATCTATATGTACATCATGCTGCATACTGACTCCTGCAAGCCATCTCCAAGCGTCGCTTCAACATCGGGAAAAGCTCCCGAAGTCCACTGCGGCGTGTGGCGCAAGCTACGAGCAGCAATGCCGGTCTAGCACTGCCACATTCAGTTTTGGTTTGAAGACGGGGTTTAATTGATCGCTCCCTATGAGGTATGGGCGCGACAGCCTGGATAGAACTGAAGCATGGCACTGAGCTTGAAATCCAGATAGTCTACAAAGAAGCCAAGCCGTCGTCGCCTCTTACGGCTGCTCAGCTAGTCGTATGATGCGCATGAGCAGATCAGATCACGTGGATGTGTCTACTGAAATTCCCGAGCGTACCGAGCTTTCATCTGTCATGGATCAGCAAAACAAAATTTCACTTGAGGGGTAACTTGTTTGAGTGGACTTTACCACACGAAAATATTCATCCGCTAGCCAGTGCGGGTAACAATTCCAATTCCGCCGACTCGGGAAAGGCACGTGACTTTGCGCACTCTCTCTTCGACGTCTCTCTCTCGGTCGGTCGTCGCGGCGGGCGTACGTCGTTCCCACGTGGTGGAGAGATGGTCAAGCCAGCGAAGGACGATCAGAGCCAGACCAGTATATCTGCCTTCTTCCGTCCACGAGCACCTCCTCCCTCGACTCCCTCAAATGCACGTGGTGTCGCTGCGAACTCGTCGTCGTCATCTGCGATTCGCGGCGCTCGGACAAGTGACGGCATCGATGGAGAACTGATCCTGCTCGACTCGAGTGACGATGACGACGACGTATCGGACGCGTCAAGGGTGCCTCCACGTCCTTTGAAACGCGTCAAGCTGGAATCAACAGTGCAGGACCCCTCGTCGTCATCGGCAGCGTTCGCGGCGACGAGTTCAGCTGCTGCTTCGTCGTCATCGGCTAACACCATGGAGCGTCGCGAGGTCGACATCTCTCAAAAGGTTTCGAAGTGGCAGTACAAGCCACCAACCCCGTCTTCAGTCTCCGAAACACCGCAGAATGATGACGCCCATAAGCCCTCGAGCTCGAGCTCGATCGCAGCAGTAGGAGCTGGGGGAGGTAGTACGAGCAATGGCAAGCAGCGCAATGGAGTGTTTAGCTCCACCAAGGCCATGAACAGATTGCAAAGCATCAACCTGCTCAAGAAGAAGAACGCCTTCCTGCAAGATCAGGACCCTCTGGCAGCGGCGGCATTCGAATCGAATGGTTACGACGCGTCGAGTCGCCACCACTCGTCAACGAGAAGTCAATCTCCGCTCTCGCCGTTCGGAGACGGCGACCATGATGACGATGGAGACGATGGCGCTGGCACGTCGAGAACCAAACAAAAGGGCAAAGTAGTGGCAAAAGCTCAAGGTGATGGTGATGATGATGAGATGGATGATGGTGATGGTGATGGTGATGGTGACGCAGTACGGCACTCGAGGTTCAGCAAATTCGCTGCCCAAGGGATGCCGAAGACCAAACCAGCGAAAGCGAGCGGTATCAAGTATACTCCACTGTGAGCCTCCGATTGTGATGGAATAAACTCACCGCCTCGTTGACTAAAGCTCTAACTTGATCACAGGGAGCAACAAGTCATTGCGCTGCGCAAAGCTCACCCGGGGGTCTTGCTCGTCATCGAAGTCAGTCACCGGAACGGAACTGAATCCGCATTGCCAACGAGGCTGACGCACCTGCTCACTCCAAAGGTTGGTTACAAGTTCCGTTTCTTCGAGGAAGATGCTGTCACGGCTTCTCGCATCCTAGGCATCGCTCACTTCCCGATCAAGGTCAGTGTCTCGGAACCGGAGTGGTCGTACCGAACCAGCAGCTAAAGGCGATGCATTTACCTCACTTCAGAACATGATGTCGGCCTCTATCCCGACACACCGACTCGACGTGCACATCAAGCGACTGATCAATGCTGGTCAGAAAGTCGGTGTCGTACGCCAGAAGGAAACCGCCGCTTTGAAGAAAGCCGACGCTTCCACCCGCCAGGGACCTTTCGTGCGCGCGCTCGATGGTCTCTACACGAGCGCGACTTACATCGATCCGTTGTCGGTCGAACCTCTGGATGCGAGCTCCGGCAACGCAGCAACGATCGTGTGCCTGGTTGAGGAGGCAAGAGGCAGGGATGAGAAAGTAGCGATTGGAATGGTCGCGGTCAAGCCTTCGACCGGGGAAGTGATTTACGATGGTGAGTACCACTCAAAATTCATTCAAGCGTATCCCAGCAATATTGGATGTTGATAGAGTATGGCTTGCAGAATTTGTTGATGGCCTGATGCGCTCGGAGCTGGAGACGAGGCTCCTGCACCTTCAACCAAGTGAAGTCGTTCTGCAACCGCAGCTGAGCAAGCAGACCCAATCGATAATCAATTACCTTGTGAGACAACAAAGGTCAGTCAGCCGGAGTGTCTTCTCCCAAGTATATGGTCGTACTGATACAAAAATTGACGTGGTGCAGCTCCGGAGCTTCGGACTCGACCTGTCGTATCGACCGCATGAACAAGAAGCTCACGACAGAGGCGGCGAGGAAGTTCATCACCAATTTTTACATCTGCTCAAAGGCAGCTGGCGCATCGAGGAAAGGAAAAGAGAAGGAACTTACGCGGGAGATTGTCATTGGCTCCGATTCGGAAGACGACGCCGAGGCTGGGCCCAACATCGGTATGAACGGCTCATGTCCGAGCCAAGTCCTCGACCTTCCCGACCTGGTCCTCGTCGCTCTCGCAGCACTCATCTCGCATCTATCTGCTTTCGACCTTTCGACGATCTTCTTCCACGAATCATCATTCGAGCATTTCTCCTCTCGCTCGACGATGAACCTTAACGGCAACACATTGCAAAACCTCGAGCTACTGCAGAACAACACGGACTTCACCCTCCACGGCTCGCTGCTCTCGATTCTCGACCATTGCCACTCGGCGTTTGGACGCCGACGCCTTCGCAACTGGATCTGCCATCCACTTATCTCGGAGGCACGAGTATTGGAGCGCCAAGATGCCGTGGCCGAGATCATTTCGTCGAGTTCGAATTTGACGATATATAAGCTACGCGGCGTATTCAAAGGTCTGCTGGATCTCGAACGCGGGCTGGTTCGGATCCATTTCGGCCGGGCGAGCACGCAAGAGCTACTGCGTATTCTGCAAGCGTTCTCAAGGGTCGCGAATGTGTTCGAGGCGATTGATGAGGAAGAAGAGAGGGACGGGGCACCGACACCGCAGTCGACGGTCAAGAGTGCACTGTTGAAGCAGATCGTGGCTAGCCTTCCCAAGATCAAGAAGGACGTTGATGGATTCCTGTACGTTTTTGGGAGGTTTTTTGATATGCTATGACGGTCCACTTTGGCTTACGTTCTTATTAACCAACACAGATCACGCATCAAGAGTGAACAGGCCAAGGCGGGGAAGAAGGCGGAATTGTTCCACGATCCGCCCGAAAACCTGCGCGAAGTCCGTGACTGCCTCGATGCGGTTGACATTGAAATGGGGGCTCTGCTTAAGGAAGCCCGCAAGGTCCTCAAAAAGCCAACGATCGAGTTTCGCCGCGTGGCCGAGGAGGAGTTCCTGTTGGAGATCGGAATCGCCGAGTCCAAAAAGATTGTACCTGGTGACTGGATCAAGGTAAATTCGACGAAGCAGTACTACCGCTACCGCAGCCCCCAGATCCAGGCCAAGATGGACGAGGTAAACCAGAACCGTGAACGGCTCGAAGCTGCCGCCGATGCGGCGTTCAAAGCTCTGCTGCAGGAGATTACCTCGACAAGCTACGATGCGTTCAGGGCCGCTCTCTCGAACCTCGCGACAGCCGATTGTCTCTTCTCGTTTGCTGTGACGGCGATCGCACCGGGGTATGTCCGCCCTACCATCGTCCGCGAACCGGGGTTTATCAAGATTGTCGATGGTCGGCACCCAGTTCATGAGGTTCTCTCGTCGCAGCCCTACGTCCCGAGTTCGATCGAGCTCGGAGGTACCGCGACGAAGCAGATGATCTTGACGGGTATCAACGCTGGTGGAAAGTCCTCGTTCTCGCGTTCCGTGGCTCTGATCGCGCTAATGGCGCAGATCGGAAGCTACGTCCCTGCCAAGGAATGCACGACCAGCTTGTTCGACGGCATCTTCACGCGCATGGGAGCGGCCGACGAGATTGGTCGTGGTCGTTCAACGTTCATGGTAGAGTTGAGCGAGACGTCCGAGATCCTCAAGCTTGCGACGTGTCGCTCTCTGGTCATTTTGGACGAACTTGGTCGAGGCACGAGTACGAACGATGGTCAAGCTATCGCTGCGGCCGTATTGGAAAACATTACCACGACCTCCCAAGCCCGAACCATCTTCATCACCCACTACCCCTCCTTGGCTCAGCTCGTAAAGAAGTACCCCGAGGTCATCTCGGTGCATCATATGAAGTGCTTGGAAAAGCAGAGGGACGACGGCTTCACGGACGTGACATTCTTGTACCAAGTTGGACCGGGATTGGCGTCGAGGTCGCACGGGCTGAATGTCGCTAGATTGGCCGAATTGCCCGATTCGGTCTTGAGCAAGGCGCTGGAGAAGAGTCAGGAATTGGAGAGGACCACACAGGAGAGGGTCGCTTCGAGGAGAGCGGAACGCTTGGCTTGGATTCTACGTACGGTTGGTGAAGGAGGGGAGATAGCCTCAGGCGAGGAGGAAAAAGGTGCTCTGCTTGAGGCTTGTGCAAATGCTTTGCTCTAGAACAACATGATTTGCATTCGCATTATAATAGGAGAATGTCAGCCCCAACGTACTACGCACACTTACAGAGCCGAAGCCAACGTTGGATCAATATCGAGCATCATGGCCGTATAATCGAGCATCAGCCCACTCCACACGATCGCCCCCAGATTGCGATTACTAGCGAACGTCTCCCAACAACTCTGCCTCGAATCCAAATCGACCTTTCTGATTTGATTGAAGAGATGCCATGCCGCTCCCCCCACACTCAACGTCCAAAAGCCAAGTCCTTGTCCATTCATCCATCCCGAGGTGGCTAAGAGTCCCACGAAAACGGTAGAAAATCCCGTCAAGATGGGTTTAGTCTGTTGACCAAACAACAGAGCCGTTGATTTGACTCCCGTATCGACATCATCGACTTTATCCTGATGGGCGTAGATGGTGTCATAGGCGATCGTCCAGGCGACTGAACCGACGTAAAGGGGGAGGGCGACGGGGAGGTCGACGTGGTTAAGGATTGCGGAGGATCCGAGAAGAGCACCCCAATTGAATGCGAGTCCGAGGACAAGCTGTGGCCAGTAGGTGATACGTTTCATGAGGGGGTAGAGGACGACGAGCGAGAGAGACGAGGCTCCGAGACTGATGCTGTGTCCAAAAGAGGGGTTTTCAGCTCGGTGAGGCTTCACTGAGGCTCGGGGGATGATGACAATTCGGGACGCACCTGTACCAGTTGAGTTGGGTCAGAATACCCAGCCCGACCGAAAGTTGTAGTCCCAAGAAGGAAAATGCTTGAAACGGACGAATTTCTCCCGAAGCTAGTGGACGAAGTTTGGTTCGTTCTGGCGTGCAGTGGCGCGGCAATTTAAGCAAAAGACCAAAAGGGTCCTTCGGCACGGGAGCGGGAAGGAAGTGTACTGACCGACTTTCGGATCTATATCACGATCCCATAGATCATTGATCGTACACCCTGCACCGCGCATAATCAAAGCTCCGGTGCCGAAGAGGGCCAAGTTCCAAGTTAAGGATAGGGGTGGTAACGCCGACGAATAGGCGGCCATGGTCAAGCTCCAAGCTGTGATAAGCAGATCAGGCCGGATGAGTACAAATTGTCTCGCATGTGATGGCTTGAGTCGGGAGTTGAGCTACCACACGGCCAGTATAACAGCCAGGTGCCAATCGGTTTGTCCATCCTCGCCAGCGAAACGTAGGGATGAGTCCATCGTAGAGCTTTTGGTAATTTGTTTGCCCAAGGAGGTAGAGGATGTTGTGGAGCTATGGTTATGGGAGCCAGCTCATTGCTCGTTGTAGTAGGTATGACTTTGGTCTGGTATGCTCGCAGGCGGATCGGGTTGAGAGACGGCAGCGATCGATGAGGACGGTAGCGAGGTATTGAGGGCAAGGTGCTGGCGTTGAGGATGTGTCGCGTGGTCATCATCTGCAGTGACCGAGGTAGTAGGGTGTGCGACATGCTGCGGAAGGGGGACGGTGGACGGTGGACGGTGAGGAGTTCAAGCCTGACTCCTCCGTTGATCCTCAGTTTTAATTTGTACCAATCCCAAGATTTCGGCCGCTCTGTGGGCCTCGACTCTAAACAGTGGATCGGGAAAGATATGAGCTCGCACTATGAGCTCACGTTTTGGGGGAATTATCGGACAATCATCCACTGCAGCGGATGCTGGTAGCCCCGGTATCCGGCGCCAGAGGCAGCTGAGATGGTCCCCAGGAGGTCCGAGCTCGCCGAGCCAGTCCGGAATGCGCGCGATTAACCCAAGTCCAATTGGCGAATTCCCATCTTGCGGTATATGCCGTCCGTCGCCACTCGCCAGGCATCGTAATTTCGTATAGCTAGTGACACGAATAATGATCGCACTCATCTTGGTTATTTACTGACACTTTACCCCCATCGAGGACTGTAAGCTTCAAGTCGTTATCGCGAATAAGGAGGATCACAGGCTGTACAGCGAGCTGTCAACGGAGCCCCGGTCCGTCCCGCGATTCTCGGACAAGTCGGGTCGTGCTCGGGATGCACTCAGCCTCACTCAGCTGGGGCAAAGCAGTGGCCAAGCCTGGCAGACCCGGCCGGCTAGCGCATGGTGGGGTCCGAGGCTCTGTCTTTCCCTCTTGCCTTCCCACACCCTTTCACCGCACTTTCATCCCTCTTCAAGCTTTGCAGCTCGAACTAGATAGCCACCACGTCGACCGCTCAGCAACGTCCCGCCAAACGTACCAGGATGGTCAGTTGCACGATTCGCAAGCAGCCCCACACCGCTACTCCGCTTGGGAGCATCGGGCTGACCTCGTCGTCTCTGCTCTTGTATTGCAGGACCAACAACCGCCTTCGACCGAGATTGTCACTCTCACCTCGGTAAGCTCGGGGACGTTGCGCGGCGGGGCTCGAACAGCATGGTCGAAGCAAGCTGCTTCCGAGTGCCGCCGCTCCACACGACCACGCTTCGAACGGCATCGGCTGACGTGCCGCTCCTCTGGCCCCGTCGTTCGTTCCCTGCCCGCAATAGCATGTGCTGCAATCGCAACAACACTCCCCCGCCGCGACCGGTGACTTGACCATCCTCCTCACCGCCGTCCAAACCACGTGCAAGTTCATCGCGACCAACGTCCGCCGTGCCGGTCTGTTGAACCTGTGAGTTTCGAACTCGAGCTCGACCAGATCGCTCGCGGTGCTTCGGACCGCGGCACTCGTGTCGTCGCAGCCCAGCTTGCACGATTTGATTTCAGACGATGGTGGTCCATTGGTTTCATAAGCTTGCTTGCCCACGTCTTTTCGCTCTTGAAACTCTATCGCATCTTGCACCATTTTTATTCGCTCGTCCAAGTCCTTTCCGGCCCGACGGTTACGGCTACTGACGCCGTTCCTCGGTTGCCCTCCCGGCCCGCGCCGGCTACCTTTCCCGCTTCGATTTCATGGCAATGCAGCATCGGTGCTGCCGGCACCGCCAACGTCCAAGGCGAGGACCAAAAGAAGCTCGACATTCTGGTGAGCAATATGGGTTTGCAAACCTTGTATGATACGCACATCGTAGCTAATGGCTGTTCGTATCCGCTCCGAACCCGGCCCTCCACGTCATAGTCGAACGACATCATGATCAACTCGCTCAGGGCATGTGGTCAGTAAATATCATGCAGTCGAATCAGAGAATGGAATTAGAGGGAATGTGCTAAATTTATTCCGGTTCTACGCGACCACAGGAAAATGCTCGGTTCTCATCTCCGAGGAGAACGATGACCCCATCTTGATCGACATCCCGTACCGTGGAAAGTACTGCGTCGTATTTGACCCTCTCGATGGATCGTGAGTCAATGCTGGTTTGAACGGCATTCTGGTCTTGGAATTGTGAATGCTGATTGCTCCGGGGTGCTCCGACTCGCCTGCGGACAGCTCCAACATCGACGCCGGTGTCAATATCGGTACCATCTTTGGTATCTACAAGGTCCAAGAGGGCTCGGATGGTCAGGTCTCGGACGTGCTTCGCCCTGGAAAGGAGATGGTCGCTGCTGGGTAAGCGCGAATCGCTTCAGAAACTGCAGTTCAGCTCGGTTACAGTGTAGCTCATGGTGGATGGCTCTCCGTGTTTCAGCTACTGCATGTACGGATCGTCCGCCAACCTTGTCATCTCGACTGGTAAGGGTGTTGACGGTTACACTCTCGATAACGTGAGTCAGACGGCCGCCCTCGAAACGCCGTGGAGCCGCAGCGGCTGAACTGCTCGGAACACCGTACTTGTGCAGGGCATTGGAGAGTTCATCCTCACACACCCCAACATCCGCATCCCTCCCCGCGGCAAGATCTACTCTTTCAACGAAGGCAACACCCTCTTCTTCCACGAGTGAGTACCGCCTCATTCGGTCTCGGCGTCGCTCTTTGTAGAAGAAGAGCTCACATGAGACTATCACCCCACCAGGCCGGTAAAGAAGTATCTCGAATCGGTCAAGAACCCGGCAAATGGCAAGCCCTATTCCGCGCGCTACATTGGCTCCATGGTCGCAGACGTTCACCGCACCTTGTTGTACGGCGGCATCTTCGGTTACCCTGAAGACAAGAAGTCCAAGTCGGGCAAGCTGCGTCTCTTGTACGAAGGGTTCCCAATGGCCTTTTTGACTGAACAGGCGGGAGGGTTGGCCACGACGGGGAGGGAGAGGATCTTGGATATTGTCCCGACGGGGATTCATCAGAGGATCCCCGTCTTCCTTGGGTCCAAGGAGGATGTCGAGGACGTGTTGAAGTTCTATGCTTGAGTGGGCACTTGTCCCTCGATTTAGGTTTGTAGTGGTCTTGAAACCACTATGGTCTAGCGATGATGTATCAATGTGCTATTTGCAAATACTGGCTGATGTGAGAGACATCGCACGATGACCAAAGACGTCCGTTGTTCGAACGTTTCTACGCTAGTTGAGTAGTGCCATTCCAATAAGTTGGTCAAGTTTTACAAAGCATGTGACGAACAACGCAGATCCCGGACTCGGGCGGTACGATGGCATTTCCCGAATGACGCACTGTGCGGCCCTTTCTTCACCTGATCCTAAAAGTCTCCGACGATCATGACCATCAGATTTTCGTAGTGTACTTCATGACTACCGTGCGAAAGGGTTTAAGAGAGAAGTCGGAAGTTTTGCTGCGATTACGCAAAAAGGACGTGATTTCGGGACTCGGGAGCCTCTCTTGAGAGTTCGAGCTCTCTCCTGTGATCATTCCTCCATTTCGCTTGCCAGCTTAGCTGAATTATGAACATGGTTATGGACATGGTTATGGACAGTCATTTCCACCACTTCCATTGCAACTCTTTCGGCCGCGCGTGACCCACCAAACGCAATCTCCCCCCGCTCCACAACACTCCTCGACCCAATTCTGACTTGACCGACGCTACTAACAGAATCGCTAATCGTTTACGCCTATTCATGGCGAAGGAGGGGCCAAGTTCGGAGCGATGTATCAGCACGCATCCTATGCAGGTATGAGTTCCTTCATTCTTGACCAATGACGCACGAGCACCTCCTTCAGTATCGCCTCACGAGCTCCCCGTCTTCAGCAAGCGTTCGCACCGCAGGAATTGTGCGCTTGACAGTATTTACAGCAATTTGTGTGTCGGAAAGGGAAAAACCGGGGTGCAGAAGGGAGGCGGGTTTAGTTTCTCTCAAAGATATGTGTCGCATTCAGCTCTGATTGGTGTTCGTTAGTTCCTAAGTAGAGTAGGGTAGTTCGTGGTGGTGGAAACGAGTAGGGGACGCGCGCCTCACCTTCCGGCAGAGTGGAAGCAAAGACTCTTGCATTGGCTAAGGGAGGGCCGATGAAGTTTCATTTTAGTGGATTGAAGAAGAGGAAGTGAATGTGAGGGGTATGACCACCAAGGCTGACGAGCAACGATTTGTTTGCTGCGAGCCCGCGTAGGGCTGAGGACTGTGCTGAGGACTGTGAAGATAGGATAGGGGACGGGAGAGACGCGCTCGCGCGATGTGATCTGTCTCGAGCTGTGTCAAGAGTCGACTTGGAAAGTTGGATGGGACATACGTTGTGTCATAAATGACTTTTCCCTTGAGGGGAGCGGAAGCTACCAGTGTGATGACGGTGCCGATGAAGGTAGCGATTGCGAAATAGGACTTCATGGCCGTCGTCGTTTGGCGTGAAGGGGAAGGGGAAGGGATCGCTTCTGAGCTGAGATGAGGGAAGGATGTGATGCGTGGAAAGGCAAGAAAGCTCTCGGCTCGCCCTTGCGTCGATAACCATTTTCTGTCCCTCGATTCTGTCACCCTGAAGCGGCTAAGCAATTCGCAGTTTGCCAACCGAGTAGAGCCGTGGTTCGTGGGTCGAGGCGCGACCGTTTGCGAGAGGCGCCCCTTTTTTATAGGGGTGAGCGGGGTGAACCTGGAGAGGGCGGGAGGGAGGGAGCTGTGTTTCTTTCATTCCCGACGTGTGTGTTCCGTGTTCACCCGATCCCCCACGGAATAGGGCAAATCAAGGCTAGTAGCCGAGCATCACCATGCGGTGAGTTATCGACGCATCGCATGGCGACGTGTTCACACTCGCAACTTGCGAGTCATGCCCTCGGCAACATCCACCTCGCAAACCGAAGCTTGCCTCGGTCACCACTTCCGAAGAGGTTTGTTCGGTGGCACTTAATCGGGTCCGTTTTTCCAGGTCGGAAATTTCCGAGCAAAGCCCGAGAGCCCCACGTCACCCGGTGCCACACGCCCCACCTCGTACACACTTCACCTCGTACACACTTCACCTCGTGCACACCCCACCTCGTCCGCACTTCACGTTCTGATCCACTTCCGACCCGAGGCAACATGTGGATGTGTGATGCGTGAGAAAGTGAGGCATGTGCCTCGAACACCTTCAAGGTTGGGATATCCACGTGCAACGCGCGGACCGGGTTTCGGGACCGAGGAGAGCTCGTTCGCGGCGATTACCTCACCTGGTCGGGAGAACCCGTCTGAGATCGTAGTCGAGCGTGGATGTGGTGTTTGTATTATCACGTAGGATGAGGGTTTGCAAGAGAGGACATGTGACAAGTACAACGGATAGATGGGGTCGAGAGGATAGCGATGTGTTCCGAGCTCTGGATTCAAACGAGTTTCGGCCCCTCCTGGACGGTCCCGGCTCGGTTGTCCCAGAGTGTGCCGATCCTATCGACGTCGGGTGCTTTGGGGATGATGGCCGACGCATGCCCTTTACCGTTCCAAATCCCTCGTTCGGCCAAGATCCCAGCGACGCTCTTCCCGACCACGCCATTCAACAACCCTCGACCTTCCTCCACTTGTTGCTCGACCTTTTGAGCGGTCTCAAGGATCGGCGCCGAAGTGGTCGAGACAGCGCTCGTTTCCCATTCTCTGGCCCTCTCCGCCTTCAGTCTCTCCCGTTCCTTCTGTTCATCCTCGAGACTCCTCAAACCCTCCCTTTGGACGGGGGCATCGAGGTCGGAAAAGTCGTCTTGAGCGACGGCGCGGATCGAGTAGAGGTAGACCGCGGTCGCGAAGCCAAAGATGAGAGCACCGGTGATGGCGTTTTGAGTGCGGAACGGTCGCCGGGCTCGGGCGAGTCCTTCGGAAATGCGGGCACCGGATTGAGGGTGGTAGGTTGCTCGAGCGGCTCGGGTTGAGGGGCCTGACATGGCGGGATTTTGTGCAAAAGGTGGTGGGTTGAAAGGTTGGGAACGGAGGGCGATGATGCAGGGAAGGCGAGAGCTGCCGATTGAGCAGCGCGCGATGGTTAGATTCTAATCCCTTGATGAGCTCCAGGCAGGCAAATAGAACTCACCTTGATGCAATTGACGTCCGTGTAAAGTGATGTGGGTTGCCGGTGTATAGGTCGATAAGCTAAGATGCGAAACCAGATCGAGCGCTCGCGCAACTGCAGGCGACTCCGGGAAGCTCCGCACCTATGCGGGTCTAAATAAGCCTAACAAATATACTACCCCGGGCGCGGCGAGTTTAGGGAGCTTTTTCGAGATTTGGCCCAGGAAAACGTTGGTACAGGGTAGGTGCACCATTCCCCTGCCAACCCCCAGCCCCCGGAGGCAAAACTGGTCACTAATTCGGGCACTTGCTACTTATCCCCGCTAACGGTCCATCTGCCTCAGCACCACGAGTTCCCCCCACTTCCCTCCACCCAAGGCCTTGCAAGCTTGCACCCATCGCTTCAAGCATGGACATCTTACCACACACACCACCACCTCTACAACCTAGCTCAGCATCAAAACGCACTGACAAGACCAAGCGCAAGAAGAGCACGACCGTGAGGAGGAGGAGGAAGAAGGTGACCTGCAGCAACAAGGACACGATCGAGAATGGGGCCACGACGTCGGTGGGAACGGAGGAGGAGGCGAAGACGAAGAAGAAGAAGAGGAGGAGATTATGGACCAAGCGAGTACGGAAAAGGGAGCCATCGTTGTCGCCCGATAGCGAGCTGTTCGACAAGACGTTCGGCTTCAATTTCGGTATTTTCCTTTCCGCTCTCCAACGAAGAGGCGTCCGAAACGGCAGCCGAGCCCTCCCCCATCACCATCGGTCCAGAGGTCAACGCGTCGTCGGAAGGAGAAGGAGCATTCGAAGAAATCCATTGCCGGCCTCCACAAATCATCGTCCGAGCCTTGGACTGACATTGCCGATGGCGCAACGGCGTGGCCTCTAGACACCGAGACCGGCGGTTTCGAGCACGACTTCGAGCCTAACAGCGCGCCCGGCTTTGAGCCCGACTTTGAGCCCGACTACGACTTCGGTCGCGATTTCGGTGGTGGATACTCATCTGGACCGGAGCATTCGCCATTCCACCCAGACGGTGCTTCTCAAGACCAAGCGCCCTCTTCACTTAAGCGATCGCGGATCGAGAGGAACGCCAAGAAGCAGCGCAATCGTCGCCGGAATGCGAGGGCCGAAGCTAAGACTAGGGCGTCAAAACGACCTGAACTTTTCCAGGCGTACCTATTGATGAAGAAAAAGGCCAAAGAAGTGCTTCGACAGAGCGGGTTTGTCCCTTCCCCGGACGACGAGGAGTGGTGCGACGCATGTCATGAACGCCGAGTCACCAGAAAGGTCCGGGTTGTCGACCTGTTCTTTGCAGGTAGGTGCTTCTGTTGCACATCTTTTGTCAACCACCCCTACGCTATCGTCTTGGACTGATTTGATATTCCCCAACCATGAGCAGGCATGCGAGAACTACGATACTGCCCATGCTATTCCGAGATCCAAACCCTGGCAGCTCACGGTTTTCTCCCGACGTCGTCATCTTCAAACCGAAAAAGAGAAGGCATCACCGCATTCACCTTTCGCACGATCGAATATCTCGACACCTACTGGGGGGTAGATCCTTTTGGTATCTATGGCATGTCCGAAGCGCTCATTCTCTTTTGGTCCTCTGAATTATCCTCGGAGGATCCTTTTAACAAGGTGGGCTCTGGACAGGGACAGGCCGGAAACATTCATTGTTTCTTACAGAATATATTGGAAGCTTCCCAGGGTCCAACCGTGCGTCAGCATCTTCAAGCCGCAATGGATGAATATCGATTTATGCAACAGCTGCAGGCAACTTTGACCGCCGAAATTCTCGGCCTCTCCCCGCGCGAGCGTCTGGCCGACGTTTGTCCAGCATGTTTTGGGCCTCGGATCGATGAAGCCGGCAAGAGCGAGAATGACCTCGATGTCATCATTGCTGTCGACGGCAATTTTCAGCATCGACGATTCGCGCGGGCAAATGCTGATCCTCTCAAGTCACGTCCAGCGTTATTCCTGCCACCAGACAAGATTCGAAACGAGCAAGCTTTGATCGATGGATCGACTGAAGCGGGCGAGAAGGTACCTTGGTGCTGCTGGTGTCGGGTCACCCGAACCCAATAATGAGTTGACCCGACTGTCTGTGATTGCTAAACGAGCTATTCTCCTATACAGGATGAATGCACAGCCAACTGGAAGGCCGCAGATGGTGGTGTGACCTCCGCTTCGTCAAATGTAGTGGCCGACACAGGCCTCGTTGCTGCAGTGTGCCGTCATGATCATTGCCTGCGACTTTGCAACCTTCATCAATCAGGTGAAAAGTATGTGTGGACTGGCCATCTGTGACTCCAGGCAAGGACACTAATAAGCTAGTTTGGTCTACCGCAGGTTAGTATATCCGGTGTCGCTGTTGAAATGGATTCTCGAAGAAGTTGAGGTCGGAGAAACGGATTGTACTACGGGGCCTGCGCGTACCAGTGACGCTACAAACGTCGGATCCAGCTCGGGATCGGACTCCCACCAAAGTTCGAGTCAGGATCGAAGTCGCGTCGGAGTCGCGTATGATATCGCCTGAAACTTATCGTCGCACTTACGCCGAGTGAGTTTGTTCGTGACACTCAGCCTGAGCATTGGCTTAGTCCGTAGCTGAGCAGCTCATCTCTCCCCGGTGTCGCAGCGCAATCTTCTGGCAGACCACTTACCGCGTCTAGAATTTGCTCTCTCGTCGATGCATGCCTATGCGCACAAGTGGTCCTGCCAGGTTGACTTTGATCCGCGCTTTCTACCCAATTTTGGTTTGACTGATGGCGAGGGAACTGAGCGCTTGTGGTCGCAGCTTCGAGGCATGATACCCATGAATCGATCATCGAGTGCCTCCCATCGGCTGGAGAACATCAATCGTCGAGCGTCTGCTTATAACAAGCAGCATCTGGCCGATCTTGGTTCGCCTAAGCTTCCAGTCTTTCATGCACTACCTTACCATGTCGCTGATATTTGGCGTATCGATCATGCCCAGTGACCAAACTTAATTCTCGACTCAAAAACGCAATCAAGCTCAAGGCCGAAGCCGACAGAGTCATTACTGAGGTCGTTAATCGCTCCGAATGGACGGTCGCTACCCTCCTTGAACAATGGCACGCGCAACGTGCAGCGTCCAAGCAGATCCCTCTGAAAGAACAGCGCAAAGAGGTAGCCGAGATGCGCAACGTCATGTTCAAGCTTGAGCTGGTTAACAGAGATATCGCAGCATGCCGGTGGGTCTGAGCTATCGTCGTCGTTTGGGAGTGAGACACGAACCGGTGACCTAACTTCGGTATTCCTTTTTCGATTGCTACAGAGAAGAACTAGCCTGCGTGAACACCATAAATACGAACAAGCTTATAGAACAGTCGACTAAACTTCAACAGCTGGTCAAACAACGGCAGGTTCTTGATGATCGACTAAACTCCTTACGCACATCGGAAATGAACATCAGTGTCCTGGACCCTGGTACGTCACTCCCTTCTTGCATTCTGACCCTCCGGTGTGATCCCCTTTGTCCTCGCTTAAATATGTCAACACCTTTGATTGGCACAGACTATGAATTTGCCTGCACATCGATGGTCGCATCTCGCTCACTGTGGGACTTGGTCGTACAATATCGACAGGGAGCTGAGAGGCTGCGGCTCCCACGCCTAGGCGGTAAAGCCCTCGGTAGGAAATTCATGGTACGAGTCTTCTGCGCCGGCAGAAGGAACGCTGATGTGTAGCAATGCCTGCTCATAGGTACGAAAGCGGCTGGTCTCCTGGTCAAGAATCTTAATTCTTTGCGTCCAAGGCTCATGAAGGCAGTGGCGATGTATAACGACGAGGTGAAAAAGTATGCTGCCATCCTCGCCAATTCTCAGAATTCCCATTCGATCTTGAGAACCCGAAGGGTACCGCCATCAGCCCCAGAGGATCTCAACGAACTGCTCAAACTCGACATCTTGACGCCGCTCTGGAACAACGGATTATATAGTCATCCCACTGAGCCGTGGGCCTACGATGATGATGTTCGTGTCGGCATTCCAGCAGTATTGTCTCGCGCAAGATGCCAGCAAGAAATCAAGCGACTTGAATGGGAAGTACGTCGCATTGGACGGTGGCTGATAAGCCGTCGCAAGAGGTTTCAGCAAGTTCGCCAGCAATTACTACAACTAGATGAGCAGGATGACTCTGCGATGATGCTGCTCGAGCGAGAAGAAGAGCGTCTTAGAACTATTGCGCGACGATGGTTCTCGAAAGGCGGCCTAGATCACCTGTGGGAATGCACCCGGCAAAGCGGCGAACCGCAAACGGAGGAGTGGGTCGAGCTCCGAATGTGGTGCACCGACAACGTTGAGGTTTTTCAACGAACCACAGCGGGTGGCTTGCCGGATCACACATGGCCAGACTGCATCATTGATGGGATGGTCGGAGAGTCGGACGACATCACCACGGATCATGACGCCCTTCTTGACATCAGTGATCATTCGAGCGATGATCTGAGTCATCATTCCGTCGACACTACCGATTACGGCGCCTTCAGTGACGAGATCAACGAGAACTTTGATGAAGACGATGGCGATGTTTTTGGGGAATTTGATATTGATCATATATAGTTGCAGTCTTTTGCCCAGTTGCTACTTGCAATAGTAAAGAGATCAATGATGCGTTCATTTTGCTAGTAGTTCTACACGTTATACGACGCTTTGCTAGGAAGTACAACAAGAGCGATCAGACATCCAAGACCCGGCATCGCTAAATCGCTCGATCTTGCGGTGGCTCGCTTGAAAAGTTTAATGTCGCTCGAGTAAAGCTGGCAACCGGAAGCCCAACACGACCGGTAAGGTTTAGAGGAAGAGCGCGCTACGCTGAGGGAGTGAACACAAGCGTCCATTGCATCTTTGCTGCGCTGACTGGGCTGAGATCTCCTACAGGTAGAACTTACCGCTCTCCCTGCCAGTCAGTCACATGCGTAGTCCGTGTCGTGCCTTGGGTGACACTTCCCGAACAGTCAGCAGGGATTGCAAAAGTACGTATCATATTCCAACACTGCCGACTACATTTTGATGTATACTTGAACGAAGTCCGGATCCGGCTCACAGTTCCAACGTCGTACAAAGGTCTTCTGTAGTGTTGTCACGGCCACTCCGAGCCTCACACTCGACCAGGTCCATTGAGTATTTGCCTCGGAACTTGGTTGATGACTTTTCAGACGCAAGATACAGAAGTTGATCACCCCTAACAGTCTTTTTCTGTATGATATAATGAATTGTACATTGGTGGCACGTTAATGAACTCCTTGCTAAGTTGCTAAGAGCCAGCGCACTGCTTTGTCGCAATTCCTTCCTGCGCAGTTCACACGCTCACTGTAATCTCGACGCGAAGTACGTCGTCACGGCGCTTGCGTTTCAACAGTCGAACTGCAGCAAGTTATAGTCACCCATGCCCAAAGTAATGCGCTGTATATGACTGAACGAAGCCACGAGTGAGTCAGATTCACCTTTATACACCCCTTGCTCTGTCGTTGCTCTACGTTTTCTCATCGCATTAGGCGGCTTGAGAGTTCTGCACGCTGTTGTGGCCTGGGCCTCCTTCTAATATCGACCGACCGACTGCCCCGCCGTGGTTTTCGGTGATGGCAGGTCATATAGTCTTTTGTGACACCAATCAGGGTTCAAACTCAAGGTGGACAACACGTCGTGTTGGAGTCAGACTGAAAGTACCCATACCGGGAGGGTGTTTTCAAAGTTCTTTTCGACGGGAGATACCGTCTTGTCATCACTGTGACGGTCGTCTTCTTGGTCTTCAGTTGGGTCTTATAGTTGCGACGATGGGTGAATTCAGGATGGGACATGAAAGGAGAGGTCGAGCTGTCGTCTGACCCCTGTATTGCAGTCCCAACGAATGACCTCACAGTTATCCACCGTCCGGTTTTGCGGCGCGCAGGCAGTTGAGAGTTATGCAGTGGCAACCGGTCCGACCAGAAGGTGAAGTCAGATTGTATCTAAGGGAACAAGACAATGGTAGGCCAAAAGGTCAAACAGACTTATGCAACGAGACACGGTCAATAGTACGGCGCCTTCGGACGAAGCATGGATATGAGGAATGATTAGGAGGGATTGGATCCCAAGTGTGTTTGAAACGGGAGGCGCAAGAAACGGCGATGAGGTCGAAGTTGGAAAAGGTGTATGGCCATTTGGTTGTATATCACAAGTTCAGAAGAAGAAGAAGAAGAAAGAGGAGATGCGTCGGCCCGAGAGCCATTCTAATTTCGTTGACCCAAGGGTAAATAGATGCGCAGAGATGTCGCCTTACCTGGATGCGAGCGCCACACCGTTGTGCTGCGGCCTATGCGGTGCGCCCCGAGTCCTTGTAGGACAAAGGTGCGGGACCATTGGTTGCGAAGGAAGACTCCAGCCTAATCTCTGGAAGGGGGGCCGTAGATGAACGGGATGCCGGCCGCTGACTTGGTCAGGTTCCGGCGCCCGGAGCACACAGGGGCCCCCGGGCCGTGACGTAAGAAACAGTCCCGGGGGGCCGTGGGGGGGGGGGGGGGGGGGGGTCGAGTATGCCCAGTGATCTTGGCAGAGCCTGACAGAATGAGCATTTTGATCATGTTAATTTACAATCCTGTTAAGATTAATCGCCACAATCAAGATGGCAGCTGAGACGCTGTATGCGTGTATGACAATCATCTGAAACTAAACTGAAGGATCTACACTGAAAGACGCGCCACAAACCACAGAGACATAACAAATATCGGTCATCTTGCAGACCGACTCAGAGCATAATATGCCCAAAGAAAGACATAAGAACAGTCTCAATCCATCGACGATGTTTTGCTTCATTCATCCTCCGGTCTCCTCCGCCACCCCCTCGGTATTTCTTTCTCTATCTTCTTCTCCGCTTTTTTCTCCGCCGCGTACCTCTCCGCCTTCGTCCCCGGCTCCACCAAATCTTGGGCTCAGGGGTCCTTCTCCGCCATTCGAGTCATCGTCGCTTGCCTCTGCCTCCGTATTGTCGTTCGGGTCCACCGAGGGTACGATAGCGAGGTGGCCGTGACGGAGGTCGTCAATGATAGCCTTGAGCTGAGCAACGGTTTGCTTGGGCGATGTCTCTGCACTATGATGCAGAGCCATTTCGTATCTACTCTTCGTTCCGGGCTTGATCCGCAATTTGACACCCAGTGCCTTCAAGCCCTGGGTAGACCATATCATCTTCTTCTGAGGTGTGAAATCGCCTGTCGATGATCCCGTGTCGGAACGGCGATGTATAGTCTCGAGAGCAGAGTCTGTAAAGGCGGAAATGATTAGCACGGAGTCGAGCCCGATCAGATGCAGACTACTTACTGAGTTGGGCGCGGAACAGAATGCCGTGCCATTTGCCAAGAACGCCGCGAGTAGCACTGTCCATCGAGCGAGTGTTTGCTGATAGATGAGACGAAAACATATGTCACATAATTGGTAACGGTAACGTGGTCTCATGCGCGCATAATCTGCGATGAAAAGCTCACCCTCTTTCAGATCTGTCGCTTCATTGGCCTTGAGTGTCTCATCCCAGCTCATCTTGGAAGCAAAATTAGACAACAAGGAATTGCCGGATGGATCCTTGAAGTCGTTGCAGTGAGCTGCAAATCTGAGCCCACCTATCGAATGCACGGTTGCCTTCGTCGCTGGCGATACGTCGTCTTGATAACGAGGGACAATGAAGGCCAGGGTTTCCACTCCGTACAGCTTGGACATGCGTTGCGCCAGGTCTTGCAATTCTGCAATGTACTTTTTGCATTGCTCCATCCGAGTTGGGGAAGGAATGTCGGATGGCGACCGTGTGATGATGGTGGGTGGTACTATCGAAGTGAAAGTCGTATTATTTCCTGCCTCTGCCGCTGCAAAAGCCGCGCGAACAAGCTCTTCATCGTCCTCGCCAAGTTGGGCAGATCCGAGGTCCCCCTGGTCTCTCAGGAAGTTCCAGAGTTGAGCGGCAAGTTTGGTGATGGATTGCGATTTCGAATGATCCGATTCTGAACACGTTTGACACACCCAGGGTATGTAAGAACAGATATTGCGGACGCAGCGGTAAGCATAAGCGAGAGCGTAGGAGAGTGGAGTGGGCATGACCGGAAGCGCCCGGAGGACCGACTCACCCTTGCTTGCTCGCTGGTGTAAAACCTTGACTACAGGGTCCGAGAGAAATCTAGACCACGCATTGCCCTTCGAAGCGAGGCTGTTGAACTTTTTGACGGCCTGAACGAGCCTTGCATGGGATATGCCGAGTTTCGCGGCCATCTTGAGCTCCGAGTAATATCTTCGAGCGGCCCAGTGCTTCAGCGAGGTCCACTTTCTTTGACTCATACGACCGGTCGCGTTCCGATGCGAGCCATGTATGGCCGTCCAGAGCCTGATAGCTCTTCGATGGTCGATCGCGACATCTTCAAACTCGCTCTTACTGTCACTGTAACTGTCGCTGTCGTCAGCCGAGGAGTGACTGGAATCGCCCCAATTGGGCTCGTCAGAGTCGGAGTCGGACGAAGGGGTTTGGGGCACGGGCATGCGCCGCTTTCTCTTCCGAGTCGGGCGTGGAGACGGTTCATCCAGAGTTGTGCTGGCTTGTGAGGATGCTCGACCGCTTTGATCGTCCCTCCGACCTGCAAGAGGTGTGAGAGAACAGAGAATTCTTCAGCTGTCCGGCAGGATTGAGTAGATAGAAGGATGAGGTCGATGACCGGCACTCTGCTCTCAGCCCTGCTACAAGGGATCTTAGTTGGCACACCAGACAAGAGCACTCACTCGGATGAGCGCCAAAGGAAATGGACTCTGCTGGAGAACCTTGCCTAGATCCCACGCGTATGTCTGACGGTCGCGTCATGGTGGAGCAACACAATTAGGCCCATGAAGGGGGATGTGAGGCGGGGAAACGCGTCCACATACCTCCATTCGGCAATAGCATCGATGTTCGTTCAACAGGCGCAGGGAGGTTTCAACGTATTGAGATGCGGGGCGTGGCGTGGGTCAAGGGTGCGCGTTGTCGCGTTGACGTGAGTGTGCAGAGGTCAACGTGTTAACGCAGAGAGACGCAGAGCGCTCGCCAATCTGAGCTCCGCGTGCGGCCGCACAGCCAGGCACAGCCCCGCCTCAATTTTGCCCGTTCAATTACTCTCTGAGAATTGATGCAGGACTGATTGCCGCTGGACCCAAGTCGACCGTCCGAAGGGGCTTCACTAGATATCCATTTTCTATACACAGTGCACACCGTTCAGAATAAGCGTTTGTCTGCTCGAGGACCGATCCAGGATTCCAGGGACCAGGACCGATCCCTCCCTCGGGCCCAATCATAGACACGGTGTGTACTCCCTCGGTCGTATCCAAACTAAGATTAAAACAGGACGAAAAGGTCTACACAGAATCTGTCGTACACATATCAGTTGATGGTATATGGAACTACACGAATTGAATGGACTGAGTACGACAAGCTGTATGACATTTATGACATAATTCGAACTTACAAGTCTTCGGAAAGTGTTATTCGTGATGATGGTGAGTCTTACACGAACTAGTAGCCCTTTATTACTTATGACCATTTGGGGTGCACTGAGCCGGGGTGGGACGGGGGTGGGGAGGACATTGGTGCACCCAACCTGTACCAACCTCCAACCGGGCCAAAAATCAGAAAAGCTGCCTTAACTCGCCCGCGCGGGGGAGCTCATTTGGCTGGGTTAACTGACCTGCCGATCTGGAAGCTCCGGGATCGGAGCCAAGTCTAGCCAAGTTGCTCTCGCGCCAGACACTTGCGAAGTCCGTTGTCGCTCCACCTGTCTCACTGTAACCCCAGCACCTCACCCGCCGATCACCTCTGAAATATGTTCCGCTCAACAGCCCGGTCTTTCGTCCGGACAATAGCCGCGACTTCACCCTCAACTGCAGCAACTCCATCGAGGATCTTTGGTCGCTCTGCCGGTTCTTTGCAGACACAGCACGTTCGAGGGCCCTTTGCTGCCGATGCCGCTGCCGCTGCCGCTGCACCGGGCAACTCTGCTGAGCCGCAGACATCAAGTGAGCCGACAAGGGTGCATGAATATCTGTAAGAAAAGATACTGATGCAATGTTTGGCAAGTGCAGGAGCGGAGAAGATGATGCGACGGTTCTGGAAGACGGTCTCGGTGTCGCCTCAACCTGAAGGTCAGCCGATTCGGAACATGCTCACGCCGCTACGCTTCCTTAACCCAAAGGCTGAGACTTGCGCCTCGATTGCACAGGTACCTACGCCGTCATGTTGGACAAGCGGACGCTCAAGACACCGGGAGGTACCAAGATCAGTCTCCCGAAGCAGCAACTCGCCGTCGCCGTACTCATCGCAGAGGAATGGGAAAACCAGCTCGCCGTTTTGAAGCCCCACACATTACCCATGGTGCGACCTTTCATGTGATTCTTGATTTTGCCTCCTAAGGGAGAAACAGCTAATGAGTCTGCCTCTCCGCGCGCAGACTTCGATCATCTCCCGAGCGATCGACGGGTTGAGCACGCCCGACGTGCGAGCAGAAGTCGTGGCCAACTTGCTCCGATATCTCGATACCGACACAGTTTGGTGCGTACCATAAGGCAGCGAGAGCGAGTACTTGAAGTCGCCGTTTCTAATGCGTCCTTGGTTTGCCGCACCAGCTTCCACGAAGAAGAACCGGACCACCTCGTCAAACTGCAGGATGCGCATTGGAACCCGCTACTCGACTGGGTGCGCAAGACGTACGACGTCGAGCTCATCAAGTACGAAGGGATTCTTAATACCAAACAGCCCGATCCGACGATCGTCAAGCTTGGGGGTGTCGTTGCCGATTATGACGAGTACAAGCTCGCGGGTCAGTCTGTACATTCATTGTGTCCTAAATGGTTCACGTTGCCGCCGCTGAATCGGATAACTCTTCACAGCCTTTGAGCGCGCTGTCTTGGCAAGCAAGAGTTATCTGATCGCGTTGGGCTTGGTTGAGGGGCAGTTGTCGGTCGATGAGGCGGCCAAGTGCGCCCACGTCGAGGTCCAGAGTCAGATCAATCGATGGGGAGAGGTAGAAGACAGTGAGTGGTCTATAGGCAGCTTAATGCTCATAGTGAGAGGAGTCACTGATGTTTTGATCTCCTTGACGTTCTGGCAGCTCACGATGTCGACCACCAGGACGTGCGGGTCAGGCTGGGCAGCGCGGCGCTGTTGTGCTCGGCTATGAAGAGACGATGATGATCAATGTAGTTGACAGTTACAAAAGGATCAAATTCTACGATGAACCATCTAGCAAGTTTTCGAGAGCAGCATCTGTATGGACATGGCTGCCCGAGTTCCGAAGACGGGCCGCCCTCCCTCGGCGTCTGGCACTCGATTGGGCCCCACTTCCCCCGCGGGCTCCCGCGGGTGCGTGCGCCACGAGCTGCGCGCCGCCGCCGACCCAGGCCGACCCCTTCGCTGGCTTGACCCCGTGCCACATCCTTCAGCGCTGCCCGTGCCCATCGCCCGCGATGCTTTCCTCGCCACCGTCGCACGCGTCTCCCCCCTTCTCTGCGACCCGATCACCAACCCTGTCCCCCTCCTCCTCAACCAGCATTTCCCGCTCGACCTCCTTGAATCGCAACCACCCCGGGGCGGTCAATCGCTCCTCCTCAATCGGGTCTCGACCCCGTCCGCCTGGTCCGAGTCCGTTCTCCTTACCGAGCGTGATCAGTCCGATGCCCGAACGGTATGCCAGTGATCCTTTGCCTGGTTGGGCAAGTAGGGACAATAGTCCGATGGTCTCGCCTAACAATGAAGGGGCTGCTACGGGGGGCGGGGGAGGAACCTGGTCAGTTTCGGCGCCGTCGTACGGGAAGGTCGGAGCGAGCTGACACAATGCATGATGCGCATGACTGGGCTGGGTGCAGGCCTTACTCGACCGCCAACTCGTCCCAATCATCGGTCGCTTCCAATGTCACGTCGGCTACTCAACGAACGATCGATCCTACGTTTGGCATGTCCGCCGGCAACACCAGTCAGTCTTGAGCACCTGCGCCGCCTCGCCCGTCCCTTCTCGCCACGCGCGAGAGCTCGGCAAGGAGACGTGGTCGATTGAACCACCGGCACGGCACGTCACTGGTATCTTATCATTGGCTTTGAACTGCAGTCGAAAAACCTGACTACTCGGAAGCCAAGATCGTTGTCGCCATGGTCGGATTACCCGCCAGGGGCAAGAGCTATCTCAGCAACAAGCTGATGCGATACCTTCTCGTGCGTTGAAGCCTTCTTCCTACCCGGACGGATGGCCCATGCTGATCGAATGCTCCTGTATTGTTCCCACTGGTAGTGGCTCGAATATGAGGTGAGTGTGTGGCCTAGGACTAGATATAGTGATGCTTGTTCTGATTATTTGCTCTTGACCGCCTTACAGGTCAAAGTGAGTTGACGACCCCCCACTTGGTCCTTTGTGTGGACTACCAGTCTCTACATAAAGCTGAACTCGTCCTGATCCCACTCAACAGGTTTTCAATGTCGGTCAACTACGAAGGAAAAAGTACCGAAAGATGGCCGAATCGACGGGCGAGAAGGCCGATCAGTCCGCCAACTTTTTCGACGCTAACAACGCCGATGCCTCCAAGGAACGTGAAGCCATGGCCGCAGAATGCTTGGAGGATTTGATCAGTTGGCTCAAGGCGGGAGGAAACGTCGGGATTCACGGTCAGTCCGCGAAGAGAACGTACTCTCGGGGAAATATGTGAGTTACTCATTCTCCCCCCACACTAGACGCGACGAACACGACCCGGAAACGGCGACAAGCACTCGTCGATCGCATCAAGCGAGAACCAGGCTTGACGCTCTTCTTTATCGAGTCGATCTGCACCGACCCAGCGACGATCGAAGCCAACATCGCCGTCAAGGTCGCTTCCGGCGATCCCGACTATGATGGACAGGACAAAACCCAAGCCGAGGCGGACTTCCGAGCTCGTATTCGGCACTACGAGGACAAGTACGAGCCACTGGACGAGACCTTGGACAAGGAGGTGACGTTCTGCAAGATGGTCAATGTGGGGCAGCATGTGCGTACGAATCGAGTCTTCAGAGTCCAATGCCCAGCCGTGCCGACGAATTCTTGCGTGTCATAGGTGACGTGCAACCGAATCGACGGGTATCTCCAATCGCGCATCGCCTTTTATCTCATGAACCTGCACCTCACGCCAAGATCAATCTTCTTCACCCGACATGGCGAATCGCAGTACAACGTTGATGGGCAAATCGGTGGCGATGCGCCGTTATCGAAACAGGGCGAACAGTACATGAGGGCCTTGCCGAGTTTGATCAAGGAAAAGATTGGCGATAGGCCATTAACGGTCAGTGGTTTAACCTTTTTTCATCTCAGCCTGGGAGGTGCGGAGACTGGAATTGTCCCCTCATGTACAGGTATGGACCTCAACGCTTCGACGTACGATTCAAACCGCTTCTCTGCTGCCGTACGAGAAATTGACCTGGAAGTCCCTGGACGAACTTGACGCCGGGGTCTGCGACGGTATGACCTACGAAGAAATTGAGGAGTACTACCCCGAGGACTACGCCGCCCGCGACGACGACAAGTTCAACTACCGTTACCGAGGGGGCGAGTCCTACCGTGACGTCGTGATCCGTCTCGAACCCGTCATCATCGAACTCGAACGACAGGAAAACATTCTCGTCGTTTGTCATCAAGCCGTTCTGAGGTGCTTGTATGCTTATTTCCATAATCTGAGTCAGGAGGAATTGCCCTACCTCAAGATCCCGTTGCATACGGTCATCAAGTTGACGCCCAAGGCTTATGGATGTTTGGAAGAGAGGTTCGAGTTGCCCATCGAAGCTGTGGATACAAACAGGGTTAGGCCTCCGACGGCGAAGGTTCTGGAAGCGGTCAAGAGGGATAGGAATGAGGGGGTCAGTCCGTCGACGACCAGACCACCTTCCGCAATCCCGCCAGAGTGGTCGACGTGAGAAGGGGTGTGAGCTTGGGTCGTTTTAGAAATGGGTCTTCTCAGTGTGTACTCTTTGATCATCGGATGTAATCAAAGACTCTCTGCACGCCATACCTTCTCGAAAAAAATCTCACGAACTCGTTCGAAAGTTCGGCGCTCAGCTCGTCTAATTGTGGCGCGCGGAAAGGAGTTCGTCACCAAAAGGAGTGTCATTACGAAAAGGCCCATGAAGGGAATGCACGGGTGTACTGAAGATAGATACAATCATAAACAGAAAGATGCAAAATGGGATCAAAGATTTAAAAAAGCGATGAGGGTCACAGACAGAACGCAGCAGTGATCTCGAGTGGCGTAGGAGGATTTACTCGAGGATCGGACAGTTCTAATAATCCAGCCAGGAATGCTTCGAAGGCTTCTTGGTCGCCGAAGGTGGATTTGTCGTCGAGCCAGGGACGTTCGAGCGAATCGTAGAGTTGGGAAGGGGGGCGAAAGGGGATCGAACGCCTGCAGCGGGGGTCGACGAAGCTCTTCTCGAGGCGCGCCAATCGACGACGACTTGTTCGAGACTGTCGGTACGCGAATGCGTGGAGGCAAGGTGGGGCCGTAAGCTTGCGCGTGAATAGTTCAAGTTGGGGAGGGGTTCTTTCTCGTCAATTGATGAGGAGGTGTTGAGTCTTGGCGCGTCGAGGGGTGTTGTTCCAGGGGTGTCTTGAGGCTCCTCTCGCGTGGCGGAGGTGGAATTGCTCTTGAAGCATGAGAAGAGGGAGGCCAAGAAAGGTGGTCGAATTTTTTGATGCTTGGGAGGGGGAACGCCTCGTACACGTTTACGAGGCTTCTCATCATCCTTCGGCACGGGCTCGCTTGCCGTGGGAACCAGTGTCTGCCGACGTCGAAGATCGCGAGCAGCCATCTCCTTCGCTTCGACGCGTTGACGTTCTTCAAGCTGTTTCTTCAGTTCTGCACCTTCGAACGACAAGGTGACTAAAGACTGAAGTCTGTGAATTGGAAAGGACCCGAATAGGTATGAGTCAGTGACCAGTGCGCAATTACTATCGTCTGATTTAAAACGGACCTCGTCAAGCTCGACCGATGCCGCTTGTCGAGTTTATCCATGTCCAATCTCGTGGGTGAAAGGAGCGGTGAGAGAGGACGCGAGACCGGAACAATCATACTCTCCGCCAGAACAGATCCTTGATCGCACGTTTTCGAATCCGGTATAACGAGCTGTTGTCCTGGATAGTGTCTGACCATCCACTGGTGAGAGTTCTGAACGCCCTGGGTGCTACCGACGAGATTCGACGACAGTTGAAGATGGGGAGAATTGAGATCGTTGAACGTGTGTCGACGATGCGACGCGGAGGTGAGCATCATTGGTGCATGTTGGGGATAATGATAGATCGAGGGATTTGATCCGAAACGGACCAAACTTGAAGACGGCCTTGATCGGTATTTTGCTGAGACCGAAACGTGCGAGCGCGATGATGGCGCCGAGTGGAGGCGAACCGACGAACGACTGGAGCCGACGGCGTGCGAGAGCGGTAGATCATCGTCATCGTCGTCCGAGCCTGAATCGGAATCATTTTTCAGGGTTTGTATCGTCGATGAGCGGTACTGCACTTGATCAGACGCTCGAGTAGTACGTAGTGGAGGTGATAGAGGAAAGTGCACTACACCGCCTGTATGAGAGTGCGCGATCGACGAGTGTCTGGATTCGAGCCTCAACTTGGACGGAACGAACGATGTCACCCCCACGGTCGAAGCACAGCGTCGAGTCCGAGACGATGCTCCATTCTGTTGAGGCGTCGACATGTGCCGTGGTCGATGTGGTCGAGCATGAGCATCCATACTCGCTCCTTATCGAATTGGTAGCCAAATGTGGAGAAGACAGAAAAGTGAGGTGGAGCTGAATGTGACTTGTAGGTCAAAAGGAAGCGTTCGCCGTTCGCTTCATTAGTCGAGTGAGCCCAAGTCCCCGTCGCCGAGTCGCGCGATCGACCGCTGGCTCGTGGCTTGGCGCCTGGCCCCGGACACCACAGCGCGCGCGCAGACCAGGCCACGGACTTAGCAGCGCGCCATGTCTCAGATGTAACACAGCTTTCTGAAGTTGAACGAGCCGGGCATAACCTAGGGTTGACCAGATGGCACGGACAGTCATGAGGTTGATATGTGCTCTGAATCTGCTTGGTGGGACAGTCCTATGAGTTGCGCGGTCGAGTAGACCCTATTGACATTGGGGACGTCGGGTGAGCAGTTTCTTTCGCAGTACATCCGATTGGTCCGCCACACCTTGAGACGCCGCGAACGAAGGGTGCTATCAGAACAATGGTCCACATTATACAATCCGCGCTTCTCTTGGATCATGGCGAACAACACGCTTTTACAAGAGGAGACGCAACGGCAGTGCCTCTGCAACGCGCCACGAACGGTCGGCGCGAAGGAGGCAAGACAGGGGCTCTGGGCCATTTGGCTTGGCGCGTTCGGTTCGGATACATGAGTGGCCACTGTCTCTGGAATCGCCCCTGTCGGCCTTGTGGAGGCTGACCCTTCGCTTTGCCTATGGGGTTTGACGGTGATAGCCTTGGTGTCGGTTATCTGCTGCCGGGCTGAGCAGGCCCAGGCCACTCCTGCCACTGCAGTGGCCCTTCACTGAGAGACGGCATCCTGGCAGGTCGCATTGCGGTGCGACAAACATCCGCGTATGACTCATTCGGCTGGACGGGACATAGAAGGTACTGAGCGTCCGAAGAGTACACTGTTCACTCAGTTGACAGACAAGAGACTACTATCTCGCGATGACACCGGCCGCACGTCGAAAAAATTGACCACAACGTCGAAGTCGAGTCGTGCGGAACTTGAAGATCCTCGCAGCTTCGACACGCCAAACGCGGGGACGATAAATAATGAGGGCGCGTCGAGAAAGTACACCGCAGGGCGCGAGCCGGTCACGGCGCCTCGCCTCGCCCGCTACAGCCACAGGGCAAGCTCTGGCATTGGGGTGGTTCGTTCGCATCGCACGCGCGGTGCTTATCCCTGCCTCCCTCTGCCTTCCGACTGGAAGCATCGCGTATCGGCCCCGACCTGTCCTTTCGTCCCGCCGTCTGCCCAGCTCCACCTTTTCCTTTCGCTTCTTCGATACCATGTCCGCCGCAAGAGGAGTCGATTACACGCGTGTGCCGAACCAGGAAGAGGTGATCGAGATGAAGCCCGGCCACCAACGCCTGCCGAGCGACGCCGCGGTGCCCCAGAAAGAGGAAGCGCCGCCATCGCAGCTCAAGGTGATGGGCGTGGTCGTGTTTTACCTCGTCGCTGCCCTAGTTGTAAGTTGGAAGGATCCTAGACGACAAAGAATCCGGACTGCTGGAGCTGCCGCTGCTCTGAAGGCGATCCTGAAACGCGCCCGAGCTGGGGCGTCCCCATGGTTTCGGCCGTCGTCGGTCGCGTCTCGACCCGTTTCGTCGCCTGTCTCCGAGAGGCGCCTCGAGGCAGGCGCGTGGCACGTTACACGCCAGCTGGACGTGCCCCCGCCCGCTCAAAGAATCGATCCTTCAGTCGCAGCAGCAGCAGCATCCCCTGCACACCTTGGCCAGATTGAAGAAGAATGATACTGACATCAACACTCTCTCACTCTCGCGCCACAGATGATCATGGTCAACAAAGTACGTCCGCCCGACTCTCAAAGTAGGCGCCCACTGCCGAACGGGCCACCCGCCGAAACTGACCTCTGATCGCGTTCGCTTGTCGTGTCGTAGTGGGTTCTCAACGCCGTCCAGGTAAGCTGCCTCATGTCGACAAACGATACTAGTAGTACGTGAGCATACACATGGTCTGACACGCATCCATCCATCGGCACAGGTCCCCTTGTTCTTCCTCTTCTGCCAGCTCCTGATCGCCGTGCTGCTCCTGCACCTGTGCGCACTCTTTGGTTCGTTGATCGGCACGCAGGCGATATTCGAATGCCCCTCGACGCGCCATGTACTAATCCTGCCTAGAGTTTTCAACGAGCAGGGGCTATGAAGTTGCCGAGAATGGAGTCGCACGTCTGCAAAGGGCTCATCCCCCTCATCGCCTGCAACGTGCTTGGCCTTGCCTTCAACACATACTGCCTTCGTGAGCTCGGATCTTCTCAAGCTCTCGAGTGGACCGATTTCCTGATCTTGAGATATCTGCCTTCATACCACAGAATTTGTGGATGCTTCGTTCTACGTGAGTGAGAACGGCGGACTGGTTCTTGTACGTAAGCGCGAAGACTGATCCAATTTGCCCCTTCCCCATCAGCAAATCGCCCGAGGTCTCATCCTGCCCTTCACCGTCTTCTTCTCGTGGTGGCTGCTCGGCACGAAATCTTCGCTGCCGACCCTCGCCGCCGTCGCTCTCGTCTGCTTCGGCTTCATGGCCGGTGTCTCGGCCGAGAACATGCACACCTCCATGATCGGTATTACTCTCGGTGTCCTCTCGTCCGTCACGACCTCGGTTCATGCCATCGTCGTCAAGCGATCGCTCGCGATCGTCTCCGACACGCTCGACCTCGCTTACTACTCGAACTTGCTCTCGGCGCTCGTCATCCTCCCCTTCGTGCTCGTCTCCGGCGAGATTTGGGTCGTGCTCGACATGGCCACCGGACAGTCGAAGGGTCTCGGAACATTCATCACCGGAGCGGCCGTCACGGTCAGATGCTGCCCAAGTCTAGAGGTACCCGGGGTGGAAGATCACTGACGCATCCACTACTCCTACGTGCAGGGCTTGTTCGGGTTTCTCATCTGCATCGCCGGCTTCCTCTCCATCAAGGTCACCTCGCCCATCTCCCACATGGTCTCTGCTGGTGAGTTGCGTATGCCCGAGCACAAGCCGAGACGATCCCACACTGAATCTCTTGTCCCGTGTCTGTCTTGTTAGCCGTGCGTGGTGTGTTACAAACCTTCCTCGGCATTTGGCTCTTCAACGATGTCGTCGGCACTGGTCGAGCCACCGGCATCATTTTCATCCTTTCTGGGTCCACCTACTACGTTTGTGAGTGCTAATCAGTCGCAGCGTTGATCTGCCGTGCCGCCGTCCCTGATGCCTTGTCCATGTTGCGCCGGATCCTGTAGATACCAAGGCGCAAGAGAACAACGCGCCGCGAGCGCCGGCCGCCGAGATGGCTCCTCGTGTCACGCCCCGAGCCGCCTCGAGCACGCCGTCGTTCGCCGCCAACGTCGAGGTCGAGAAGAGGTGATCTGTCGCCTCCGCCCCGTGTTCCGACTCCCATATCTTCCATACCGTCAGCTCCTCCTCCGCCTCGCGTGTCGATCCCTTACCATGAACTGCTGTGATATCCTCGGGGAACGTTGAAGTGCTTCTCTGGTCTCGTCAATTTATCGGGCTTTTTCGTTTTGTTCGTTCGCTCGTTCGTTCCCCTGCCGGCGAGCCCCCCCAGTTCGATGTGCATCCTGTGTTTTTTCGCGTGTCTGTGTTCGAATGACTTTATTTTCAACGTGTCCTTCATTTCCGCTCTTCATTTTTCCCTTACACCTTGTCATTATTGCAAGCAACTTTAGACTCCGCATTTACAAATCACCTTGCCGGCTTCACGCGCTACTCGGGACGTGCGCTCAGGCCGGCTTCGCGCCACGACGTGTCGCATCCCGCCGGCCGGAGCTTACGTCGTCCTTCGGCAGCTAATCGCCTCTAAAGTCGAGCGATTCGTTCCGATCCAATCCAAGTTCGTCTTCGCTTGCTTCCCCGCCTACCACTCCTTTTTTCCAAACATCCGCTCAATAAACTTGACTACCTCAAGATGAGACCGCCCACTGGTCTTGCCACCTCTGCGTGGGAGGTGAGTCCCTTTCGCAAACGGTCCTTGCCACCGGCGTCACCGCTCACCCCACGGCTGTTCGCTTCAGAGGCAACTCACGTGCTCACAAACCGCTCCGATTTCCTCGTTTGTTACAGGTCTGGGGCCGTCTCGCCTCGGCTCCACGTCGAGGAGGGGCCAATGTCCCTTCGAGATCGACCAAAGCCCACCACATATTTGAGCATCACCTCCACACCACCTCGGCAAACGGCAGAGCTCCTATCCCTTCACGACCGAGCCTGAGTTCTCAGCTCGCCCAAGGGCTCAAGTCGTTCACCCGCTCCATCTACCAAGGCACGTTTCATTCGATCAAATCAAGGTACAACCATCCGCATGGACCTTATGTGACGAGTAGGATCGATCACGTCGCTACGAAGTCGGGCCATTTTCATGGCTTCGCCACTCTCAACCATGCTTCACGACGACCCCTCAAGAATGGCCTCCGCCTACGCCCTTCGCTCGTCAAATCCAATTTTGTCGGCTCGAAAGGCTTAGGAAGTGCAAGGCAGTTCTCTTCGAGTCAGCCCTTGTTCGCCAACGTCATTCACAATGTTCCTCTTTTTTTGAGGGCTGCTGGTGATAGAAGTCTCGATGGCCTGGACGAGAGAAAGTGGATCAAGACTCGCCGTGCTCTCCGAAAGGCCGAGCTGAATAGGAACACACAGACAAATGGTCGATTGCAAGCTGCCGGGTTCATGAGCAAGAAGGTCGAGATGGACAAGTACTTCACCGCGCTTCCCCACGAGGCTCAAGTTGTCGAGGAGAAGGACGCCACCGATGCTTTGCTTGACCATTCGGTCGACCTCGACTTTGACCCCATCATCCTCATCCTTTCCGTCGACCCGACCTTCGCCTTCCCCGTCTCTTCTTCAACCAACGAGACCAACCACAGCCCTTCGATCGTCCAAACCTTCACCTCGATCGAACAAGCCTACGCCCTGCACGCCCAAAGGATCAAAGCGCTGCATGATCGTCTTTCGCGCGCCGGGGTGTTTGATGACGTCCAACACGTCAAGACCGAAGCTGTCGCGTGGATGAATCCTATCACAGGAAAGGAGCACAAGGAAGTGCACGTCACGTTCGACGCGCGCCAATGGACGAGAAAGGACGTCAGGGCCGCTATCGGGGAGTGGAATCGAGAGGGCGAGTGGTGGAGGATCATTGGTGGGGAGGAGGAAGAGTCCGTTCGTTCGAGTGAGCAGGATGAGCCGCTGTTGATGCCCTTGCCGTCGATGTTCCTCGAGGATGGGGATGACGACGAGTCGATGTATTCGTACTCGAGGGAGGGGTCGAACTCGGTTCACTCGACGTCAGCTGCTTCGGTCGACGCGTGGCATGAGGGATCTTCCGATGCGGAGGTCCTCTTTGACTTCCAAGTCGACGACGATGGGACGAGCGCGGCATGGGAGGCAGAATCGTCGGGTGTGTCCGATTACGAGGACGGCGTGCGAACCTTTTTGGACGAGTTAGATGGATTCGGTGATTCTTTCTCGTCGTGATTTCAGTGTTTGGATCCACTAAGTACTGTATTTGATTTGGACCGGTTACGCTTTGCAAGTTGAAAAAAATTGTTACGATCGTTGATGACGTTCCAAGCTATTAGACTATCACCCGCTCCAGTGCCTCAGAGAGATCATCACCTTTTGAAGAATGCACAGCTTCTCTCCGTCGTGACTTTTCGTGGCCGTTCTCGAGGCGGTCGTTGTGTATCGGCGGCGGAAGCGCCTTGTCGAAAAAGTTGTCGGGAATTTGATCCAGCCTCTCTAGGGGGATCCATTGTAACGCGAGATCGTTGAACGCTTGGAAGTGGTCTCTTGTTGGTGGGAGTGGTATGGCGGTAAAGAGGGGAGCTGTGTGAAGGGAAAGACAGCGAGTTAGATTCGTTCCCGCGGCATGCAGGTATAAGAGGAACTTCAAAGACAGGCTGACCTGCTCGAGCGATAAAGGGTGATTTCGCACTTGAAGTAGCTGAGGCATGACGTCTAGAGAGATGAGTATCTTTCAGTATCACCTTCCGGGATCTTAGAGTATGCCCACGGTCCATCACGTACGGGTCATCATACATTTCGAGTCGATTGCCGAGTATGATGAGGTTCTTCAACCCCTTACGAGACCATGACCGCTCCAGCAAGAGATCAAAAAGGAATCGAGGACAATGAGGCATGTACAGGAGTGTCGGAGTGTCGAATATGAGGTCATGCTTATGCGAGAGAGAAGAAGCATGTTCGAAGCGGTCAGAGGCGGCGATAGTGGGGGTGGGAACGAGCAAGTGCCGAAAGTACGGACCTCGGTCTGCAGAGGGAGTAATCCTCGTGCTACCAAGTACTCAATATCTTGAGGGTCGAACACGGGATCGTAAGTTTCGGTCGGTTTCGTCAACTGTCAGCGATGAGCTCACGTGTCAGCTACGCGGCGACAGTAACGTCTTCGCAGCTCGCATCAGGCCGCTCGACCGGACGTACGAGGGTGCCCAGCTCATCCTGAAGTGCCTCGAGCAGCAAGTATTGTTCTTGAGACTCGGGTGAGTCGGTCAAGGTCCCCAGTCCTAGGCACACTGCGCAAGTCGGTGTTGGGCAGGCTGTGGATTGCGATGTCGATGCGATGGGTCCGTCGTGCTCGAGGGCATTGCGGAGGAGACCTGGGAAGGAGGTGTACGTGAGTACCGGGGTGTTACTTCGCTGTCAAAGACCTCTATAGCTCACTCTTGCATTGCTCGAGATACTTTGACTCCACAAAAGTCTTTCTCCTTCCCTCGATCCGTTCGGCCAAGGTCCGTTCCCGTACGATGACGGACTTGCCCTTGCCCTTGCCTCGGGTCGACGATGAATTGGCCGTACGCGGCGGAGTCGAGTTCCTCTGCCCGGGAAGCGGAAGTCCGCCGCCATTCGGAGTTGCGTTGCGGGCCTTCCTCCTGTATTTCACGGGCGTAAATGTATCTTGATCCGTTTGAGAGTCTCCGTGCATTCGCTCGGCGATCATCGAGCACGACGATGGACTGTTTCCTGAGCCCCGAAGCAATGCCGAGCTCGAGAGTCGACAACGGTCGCGATCGACGCGGTCTGGAATCGAGCGGCACCTCTAGGCCTTCGCGGCCTCGAAGTGGGCCTCGAAGTGGGCCGGGGCGCCTGGGCATCCGCGGTCGCCGACTCGCCGAGCTTTTCGACACGTAACCGGGTGTGACCTTGTATTCATTTTCCAGGTTCCGAGTCCTCTGCCGGTGGACCTGAGTCTAATTACACACCTGTTAGTGCCCTATGAATCGTCCTGGAAACGTGAGTGCGATGCCATACCCAGTTTCTGCCGAACCCGAGTTCGAGAGCCGGTGCGGGACCCGGCGACGGCGGGCTCGTGCCGAAATCTCGACAGCCGTGGCCGCAGCCTGGCAGTTTCCCGTTTATGTCCTTTCGGCTTACCCACCTCCCTACACAGCGCCGCCCAACGTTCCGATGGGGATGTCATTTCCGCACTGTTTTTGGAGTTTCAACTAAAGAGAATTTGGCGAATGGAGTGCTCGTGGGCTTGACGAAGGGGCCGGATGAAGACCCTGCATGGACCAGACTAATAAGTGAGTCGGCGGAATCTCGCGGGGAATATTTGTGACTGATGTCTGTCCCATAACTTGTGGATTCAAGTTGAGCGCCGTAGCTCCTGAACAAGTATTCAACCCGCTACTGAGGAGGGATTTCCTCATCGTGTTGGCCGGATGTCAAGTTTCCGGCTTGACGATCCAATCGCAGGCTGCCTTTGTTCTCCCGCGCGGCGCGACCAACAAAGGCCGGCTTCGGCTACCTTTTGTTCACCAGAGTGAGGAAAGACGAATCATGACTACCTCCGTCATATCGCTTCATCAACTACTGGCCAAGTAAAACTCAAACAGTTCCACAACCTACACCAATCACCATGTCATCAACATCAACAAGACCCTCCATTCTGGGCTTCAAACTTTTCGCTCTCCTGGTCGTGTCGATGCTCATTCATCTCGGCGGCGCAATTCCGTCGTCGGACATGAGTGCGGTCGTATCGTCATCTTCGTCGGGCCCTCTGGTCGCAAGAGGATTCGAAACGCTCAAAAGTTTGTCCAAGAGGAGTGGGGAGAACCAACCCATTGTGCCAGCATGGTGAGCCCGACTTTGTTTCCAGTTCAGATTCCTCGGCAACCGCCAAGGTGTGAATTCCCTGAAACTTAAACCCTCTCTCCAACCGTCCAAATACCCTTCAGTATCACAGGTTGTATCGCTCGCAACGCCGTGGCGACTTGGTGCGCCACAGACGACGCACAATGTATTTGTACTATCCCGTCATGGGTTCAAGATGTCGGGTCATGTTTCGCCAAGGCGTGTGGGAATGATTCGGCGGGGATCGCGGTGGGAGTGGCTTATACTGAGGCGGTGAGTTTACAAAGAAAGGATGAGGGGGTTTAAAAGGGAGAGGAGGATCTGATTCGGTTTTGTCTTGCGTGGGGTGATTTTCCAGTATTGCATGACGGCCGACGTCCTCGTGACGATCTCGGTACCATCGTCGTAGGGCGGATCATGGTGGTGTCCAAATGTAAAACCGCAGGGGCAAGATACTAGATTCATTAAATTGCATTTCGATTTGTATAGACATGGTGGAGGAGAGTCGTTGATCATCCTCGGTTGTGCCTGTGAGACGAGAGGATCTCCAAAGGATCAGCATCGCCATGTCATCTTCCTCTTTGGACAAACCGTCACGACTCACATATTCCCTTCCCCCTTCCTGTGCGCATCTCTATAATCATCCCACTCCCTCGCCTTCCTCAACTCCCTCTCCTCCCGATCATAGCCAGCCTGCGTATCATCCTCTTTCTCAGCCTGTTCATCCCTCCTCGCTTGATCGACCGCATCCGAACTTGAAGGTCCACCCCCTTGAAGTATGTTGCCTCTTTCTTGTTCTTGGTCGAGGAATTCATCGATGGACATAGTGGGGAGTCGGTGCCCGGATCGGAATACTTCGGATTGGAGACGGAGACGAGTAGAGAGGAGACCGCCTGTGGAGGATTTGGTGGAGGGGAGGATCGTAAAGGGTCGTAGGACCTGAATGAGGAATGGAGTCAAGGGAATTAGATCTCGTTGTGGAGACGGTCCTCCGGTGGATGCTTTTGACTCACCTTGCCCTCCTTGTCCAACAATGGCCCCTGAGCCCCTCGATCGACTTTGTCCAACCTCCAACTGGTATCATCTTCCCCCTCCCTACTTTTTCCCTGTGCGCCATGCACACTACTACCACTCCCCGAAGGCCCACTAGGCAAATCACTCATCTTCATACCGTGACCAAGCAATTCCAGTTCTTGTTCGATCGATGTCAGTTCGGCGTGGGCGCGTACGTAGTGTTGCAAGAGGAGTTGGATGTACAAGGGTCGAGCGACTTCGGTCTCGTCGTCGTACGAGTCGTACGAGTCGTCGTCGATGGGGTTGGGCTCGTTCGTAGTGGGGGTGGTGGTGGAGGAGGAGGTCGTCGCCGTCATGGACGAAGAGGCGGGGGAGATGCGCGTGCCTCTCGCCTTGGTTCTTTGTTCATTTCTTCGTTTCCTCAATTCCTGTGAGAGAAAAAAAAAGTGAAGCGTAAGTGAGCATCGCCGAACGATGTTCTGCACGCCCTACCCAACTCACGTCCAACTTGTTCTTGATCTCCTTCTCCATCCTGTACTGCGCAATCTTGCTCTCGCGGCGGCGTGTCGGATCCTGGGTCGCATGTTGCGGTCCTGCGAAGGTCGATCTCTGGTGTTCGGCGACGACTTGATATCGATCGATCAGAGCGACGTAGGACGCAAAGAGGGCCTGTAAGATAAGGCCGAAGTGGGGTAGGGAGGATCAGTCGCCGTAGAGCGCTCGGAGCTCGAAAGCCAGAGCCGACCTTGGCCTGTTGCAACCACTGCATCCTCTCGACAGCTCCTTTGGTCTTGACAAGCACTTGTAACTGGGCCCTGAGCGCATCGACGAGCAGACATCGCAAGTCGCGCGTCTGCACTTCTTCCAACGTCTCGTTCGGCGACAGGATTGAGGGGTGGGAGATGAGCGAGGAGCATAGCTTGAGGTCCGATACGGTCGAGTGAATGCGGTTCTGGTGTGTGAGGGGAGAGGGTAGGGGTTAGGTTGCTGCATCATAGAATGGGAGGGGAGGTGCGCAGTGACGTACTTGTATGGCGAGGTCGTTGGGCGAGTCGGCGCTGAGCACAATGTTGGCGCTGGCCAGTGACCTAGTCAGCAGTTGTCCCAACGTCAGGTCCGAATCGGCCTCATTGTGTGTGCTTGACATGTTGGTGACCGATGACCTGGGAAGCAACGGGCGCGAAGAGCAACGACCGAAGAGGAGTGGGGGCCGGCGGCGAGTCGACGATTACCCCGGCGTATTAGAGAGCGCCAATTATGGATTAGAGTGTCCCCCAGATCGCTCCCCGGCGGGGGTGACCAGCCTGCGCAGGCCATTTACGGCGTCGATCTCAAGCTCTCAACAGCCTGCAGCTGCCACCGCCTGCCACCAGCCTCAGCATGAGCAGGTGCAGTTGGCGCCGACCCGGATGAGCTCTCTGCCTTCGCACTCTCCCACCCCGTCTCATCTCCTTGTCGCGCCTCGAACCATGTCGAACCTCACTGATCAAACCGCATCGACGAGTGCACCTCCCGAGACCACAACCGAAGCCACGTCCGGGGCCTCGGCCGCCGCTGCGGGCGAAGAGGGTCCGTCGTCGTCGACCGAGCCACCGTCGGCCCCCTCGACCACGGCGGCGGCCACGACGAGCGCCACCGGCCCGAGTGTGACCAAGGCGAGTGTGACTTCGACCCCACCTGCTGCGACCGCTGCTGCACCTCAGACCTCCGAGTTCGCTCATGCTGCTCTCAAGAAGTGAGTCGGCTTGGTGGCACCTGTGCTGCGGGGAAGGGGCCGCATTCCCATCCCGCCCTCGAACCGGCCATCTCACCCGTTCGAACCTCGACCTCGGGGCAGCATCGCCTGACTTACGCTTGGACCTCTGGCCCGCATTCCCCATTCCCCAGGTTCAAGCTCGTGTTTTTGGGAGAACAAAGCGTCGGCAAGACCAGTCTCATCACTCGGTTCATGCAAGTCTCATGCTACATGAGAAACCGCAGCCGCCGCTTTCACCCTGCTCAGTCCCCGGCGCCCATCCCCCCTACCAGGTATGACACGTTCGACAACACCTACCAAGCCACCATTGGTCAGTCCGAGTCGACACGTCATCACAACGAAGAACTCTGGCTCACCGGTGTCGTCATTCCCCCGCAGGCATCGACTTCCTCTCCAAGACCATGTACCTCGAGGACCGAACCGTACGATTGCAGCTCTGGGACACCGCCGGACAGGAACGCTTCCGCTCCCTGATCCCTTCCTACATCCGAGATTCCTCCGTCGCCGTCGTCGTGTATGACATCACGAGTGCGTCTTTCGACCGGTCACAGCCTTGAGCACTTGGGAGATTTGAGGCTGACCTGAGTCCCACCTAGATCGTACCTCGTTCATGAACACGAACAAATGGGTCGAGGACGTTCGTTCGGAGCGAGGTAACGACGTCATCATCGTCTTGGTCGGTAACAAGACCGACTTGAACGACAAGCGGTCAGTGCTAGCATCCATACGTCTCATTCGGGGAGGGCATTCTCCTGATCTGATCCCGATCCTCAATCGCATACTTGACGACCCACAGACAAGTGACAACAGAAGAGGCCGAGACCAAATCCAAGGAGATGAACGTCATGTTCATTGAAACCTCGGCCAAAGCGGGACACAACGTCAAGCCTTTGTTCAGGAAGATCGCGCAGGCGCTGCCGGGGATGGAGAGGGAGGGCGAGCAGGCGCATGGCGCAAATCAGAGTGAGTCGGAAGTGGTAGTGCGTTGGGAGGCGATAAGCAGGCTGTACCTGGATACTGACCGAGCTGGGGCTGCTATTCTTTCAACAGTGATTGATGTGTCGATCACACCGACGAACACGACCGAGAAGGAGGGAGGGTGCGCGTGCTAATGGGCGTAGTCAAGGAAAGGGGAGTGTGGCGTGTGGGCATGAATGCTGCGTCGGCGATTATACGACATGCTCTGCCATCGTACTATCGTGGCCGGGCTTGGCTTCCCCTCACCTCTTTTCTCTCGACATCGCTTGGGCACCGATTCTGCACAGGTTGATCATCAAAGGCTTAGTACGAGTGGGGTGCTTTTCCTTCTTCAGTTCCTTTCTCATCTGCGTTCTATATACTTCGTGGACCATCGCAATCGAGCTTTACCGCATGTACCAAATACGATCATTGCTCGGACCCTTAAGCGTCCGCGCCCGAGTGGGAGAGCCCGAATAGGGGTGGATTCCGTTGATAGCGTGACCCGATCTCGAAGGAGTGTACACTTATAATCAATGTAAGCTCATAAAGAAAAGAAAGAAGGTGTTCGTCTACTGAACCCTGCGAGATAAATCGACTCCAAGAATACCGATCGCACACGGGCACTTGCTCCAACTGGAGTGAACTCGTTCAGGCCGCCGCCGTGTCCCGGAGCGCGGGAGCGAGCGCGAGGCGCGTCGTGCGTCGTAAATTGCCCGAGCGCGCTTGACTTGTGACCCAGATTCACTCGTTGTCGCAATCACGTTCGTTGGCAGCGTCGTCGAGGTTCAGGAAAGGTCGGTGCCCTTCTTGATTCCTATCGATCGTCGATTGTGGGTTGTACCAGTCGAACGGATTACGGATCGACACGGCGAGTCGCTACCCGGCCGTACGCGACTTGGACAACTTCGACGCGTCGCTTCGCGCGTCGTCGCCACGCCCGACAGACCGGAACACACACGCGGAGATCTTCCTGGGGCATTTTTAAATGGCACCTTATAAACCCCGAGGAAGGGGAGGAAATTACCGAGGCGGCGGAGGAGGAGGAGGAGGAGGTGGTGGTGGTGGTGGAAGGGGATCTTTCCGAAGAAGAGGACGAGGAGGGAGTAGTAATCGAGGAGGGGCTTCGTCCGGTGTGGTGTTGCAGACAGAGGCGGAGGGGACTAAGGAAGGGGATAAGATTGAGGACGCAAAGGTGTGTAACTGTCGGGTCGTGAGGTTGATTCAAATGTTCTGTGGGTGGCTGACGAGTGGTGTATGGCGTTCCTTCTGAGCAGGCCTGGGACGCGTTGGATGAGTCGCTCGGATTCGCAAAGTACGAACAAGGGCCGCCCAAGGTCGGGTGGCTCGTCAACATGATTGCCGTGAGTTGCAATCGCATGGGAAGTACGTCTACCGTCACCGGTCGAGGCTGACCACAATTTGTTCATGCTGTCGCTCCGCGCAGACTTTGGTTCCCGATGATTCTGGAGCACCACCGAGAGCGGGAGTCGATTACTATTTCATCCAAGATGATGGTGATATGTTCAAGAGCACAATTTGTTATCAACCTTATTTCTACATCGCTTGTCGCGTAAGTTCCAAGGGGACGCCGAGACGGAGGGCAGAGATCTGCTTCGGATGAGAATCCTTCACTTGTGCAGCGCTGACTTGGAAACGTTCCGTTTGGCCCATTTGACAGAAAGGACACGAGGGTCAAGTCGAGGAATGGATCTTGCGCAAGTTTGAAGAGCTCGTCACCAAGGTTCAGCGAGTTCGAAAGGAGGATCTGAAACTGGTCAGTCAGGCTAACCGCCGGCAGCCTCAGGACAGAAGGCCACGCCCGCTGACCTCGTTTGTTTCCCGCTGCAGCCCAATCATCTTCTAGGTTACCGACGGGAATACGTTGCCCTTCACTTCCGCAACCAGAACGACCTCTTCGCCGTCCGACGCGAGCTCCTCCCGATCGCAACCAAAAACCGAGAAAAGCTCGACGCGGTCGACACGTACGCCGAAGTAATCTCGGCTGATCGAGCGAACGAGATGGACTACGATATGGAGGACATTGGTTCGGGCAAGGGCAAGTCCAAGTCATTTGCTCAGGTCGGTGCCGCGGCGGGCTCGGCCGGGCCGGCGACAGATCATATTCTTGACATCCGAGAGTATGATGTGCCGTACTATCTTCGAGTGGCGATTGACAAGGGTGCGTGCGGTGAGATCATGCGTAGAATTCTCCGCAAAGTGATACTAATAATTCGGCCGTGATTGCATCGCACAGACATTCGTGTGGGGTTGTGGTACGACGTCAAGGCCGACCACGGGGAGGTGTCGATCTCCCTGATCAAAGAGCGAGTCTCGCGTGCCGAGCCCGTCGTGATGGCCTTCGATATCGAAACGACGAAGGCCCCCCTCAAATTCCCGGACCAGCAAACCGATCAAGTGATGATGATCTCGTACATGATCGACGGTCAGGGCTTCCTCATCACGAACCGCGAGATCGTCAGTGCCGACATTGAAGACTTTGAATACACGCCCAAAGCCGAGTACGAAGGCCCTTTCATGATCTTCAACGAAGCCGATGAAAAGGCGACAATCGAGCGCTTCTTTGAGCACATCCGACAGGCCAAACCGACCGTCATCGCGACGTACAACGGTGACTCGTTCGATTTCCCTTTCCTGCTGGCAAGGGCGACGGCGCACGGGATTGACATGTACAAGGAGACAGGGTTCAAGCTCGATTCGGACGACGAATTTAAGAGTCGCAGTTGCGTGCACATGGACTGCTTCCGATGGGTCAAGCGTGATTCGTACCTTCCCCAGGGAAGTCAAGGTCTCAAGGCCGTCACCGTCGCCAAACTCGGCTACAACCCGATCGAACTCGACCCGGAACTCATGACGCCGTACGCGGTCGAACAACCGCAGGTCCTGGCGCAGTACTCCGTTTCCGATGCAGTGGCGACCTATTACCTCTATATGAAATACGTCCACCCTTTCGTGTTCTCGTTGTGCAACATCATCCCGCTCAACCCGGACGAAGTGCTGCGCAAAGGATCGGGCACGTTGTGCGAGACCTTGTTGATGGTTGAAGCGTACCGGGGCGAAGTCATTATGCCGAATCGACACGTCGAAGCGCACAACAACATGTATGATGGACATCTCTTGGAGTCCGAGACCTATGTCGGAGGTCACGTCGAGGCGCTCGAAGCGGGCGTCTTCCGAAGTGACATCTCGACCGATTTCAAGATCGTTTCATCGGCTGCACAGCAGCTCATCGATGATCTCGATGACGCGCTGCAATTCAGTATTACGGAGGAAGGGAAGCACTCGTTGGATGACGTCGAAAACTACGACGAGGTCAAAGCCGAAATCACGGTCATGTTAGAGGAACTGCGGGACAACCCACTGCGATCCGATACCCCGCTCATCTACCATCTCGACGTCGCGGCCATGTACCCCAACATCATGTTGTCCAATCGGCTGCAGCCTGATTCAGTTGTCGACGAAGCGACGTGCGCCGCGTGCGATTACAATCGACCGGGGAAGCAATGTCAGCGCAAGATGAAGTGGGCCTGGAGGGGCGAATACTTCCCCGCCAAACTGGACGAATTCAAGATGGTGCGCAACGCTTTGGAGCAAGAGATGTTCCCTCCGAGATGGCCGGGCAAACCTCCGAGAAGGTTCATTGATTTGTCCCCTACGGAACAGACGACGTTGTTGCACAAACGATTGGGCGATTACTCACGCAAGGTGTACAAAAAGACCAAGGAGACCAAAATCGAGACCAAGGAAGCGATCATTTGTCAACGCGAGAACCCGTTTTATATCGATACGGTGCGCACGTTCCGAGATCGACGATACACTTACAAAGGTCTGCACAAGACGTGGAAGAAGAACCTCGACACGGCCATAGCAGGGGGTTCGATTCCGGAGATATCTGACGCCAAGCAGATGATCGTCCTGTACGACTCGTTGCAGTTGGCGCACAAGTGTATCCTCAACTCATTCTATGGTTATGTCATGCGCAAGGGTGCTCGATGGCATTCGATGGAGATGGCGGGGATCACATGTTTGACGGGGGCTTCGATCATCCAGATGGCGAGGAAGTTGGTCGAACAGATTGGGAGGCCGCTCGAGTTGGACACGGATGGTATTTGGTGCATGTTGCCGAGCTCCTTCCCTGATGGTCAGTCTGAGCTTCTGAGAACTATGTTTGGACATGGACTCTGACGCCGCTTATAATCCCATTCCAGGCTTCACCCTCAAGCTCAAGAATGGCAAAGAGTACGGCATCTCGTACCCGTGCACGATGCTCAATCACCTCGTCTACAAAGACTTCACGAACGATCAATACCACGAGCTCGTCGATCCCGTTCGAGGCACATACGAGGTTCGGAAGGAAAACTCGATCTTCTTCGAGTTGGACGGTCCATACCGAGCCATGATCCTGCCGTCGTCCAAGGAAGAGGACAAGTTGCTCAAGAAGCGATACGCCGTCTTCAACGACGATGGCTCGCTCGCCGAGCTGAAGGGATTCGAAGTCAAGCGTCGGGGAGAGCTTCAACTCATCAAGACGTTCCAGTCGCAGATCTTTGAGAAGTTCTTGCTAGGCGACACGCTCGTCAGCTGTTACGCGTCCGTAGCCTCGGTCGCCGACAAGTGGCTCGACGTCCTGTTTGGCAAGGCGAGCAGTCTCCCCGATGACGAGTTGGTCGAACTCATTGCTGAGAACCGAAGCATGTCCAAGACGCTTGCCGAATACGCAGGCCAGAAATCAACTTCGATCAGTACGGCTTGTCGTCTCGCCGAGTTTTTAGGCGAGCAAATGGTCAAGGACAAGGGTCTGTCGTGCAAGTTCATCATTTCGACCAAACCCGTCGGCGCACCCGTAACGGAGCGCGCCGTCCCCGTCGCCATCTTCTCTGCCGAACTGTCGGTCAAGAAGCACTTTTTGCGCAGGTGGCTCAAGGACAACGCTCTGACCAACTTTGAGCTGCGTTCGATTCTCGATTGGGACTATTACATCGAGCGACTCGGTTCCGTCATCCAAAAACTCATCACCATCCCCGCGGCCTTACAAAAAGTAGCCAATCCCGTGCCTCGCATCCGTCACCCGGACTGGTTGTTCCGCCGCGTCGCCAATCTCGAGGACAAGTTCAAGCAGCGCAAGGTCAACGAGATGTTCGCGATGCAGAAGCCCGTCGTGCGTACAGCCGATATGGAGGATTTCGGACCCAAGGGATACATCCCCCGACCGAAGAAGGCGGCCAAGATGATCACTGCTGCGCCGATCCCCAAGGTCGCTCCGGACATGAACAAGGACTATTCGGGCTGGATCGCGTACATGAAGCCGATCTGGCGACAGAAGCGTCAAGAGATGAAGCAAGCGGCGCGTTCGGGAGGGTTCGGCGGCAGGACCGGCGCGTTGGGCTCGATGATGATGCAACAGTCAAGCGCGCTCTCGTCGGCCGTATGGGATGTCGTGCAGATTACGCCTGTGGCTGAACGACCGGGCGAGTTCAAGCTGTGGCTTCTGATCAAGGATACGCTGCAGAGCGTGCGGTTGAAGGTCAGTATTGAGGCTTTTATCCTGGCCAGCTCTCCGTTGGAGTATGCTTATGTTCATCGAGACTGTTTTCAGGTGTCTCGAGAGTTCATCATCAACTTCATCGAATTGCCAAAGTACAAGAGCGAGATCCCCGAGGCAGCGACGGTCGAAGCGCTCAGTCGCACCTTACCCCGCTCCCAACGCGCCATCAACCTCGTCAAGGTCACTACTTCTGAAGAGGACTATGTCAAAGACGAAGCGCGGTACGGCGAGCTCCTGAACGGACCCAATGTCGATGGGGTGTATGAGCAGGATGTCCCGCTGGCTGTGCGGGCGATCCTGCACCTCGGATCGTCTTGCGTACCCGATGGCTCCAGAGGCGTCACGCTCAGTCAGGGGCTCGATCGTCACTTCGAGCTGGAGGATCTTGTTCGACCGGGCGTGTCGCTCAGTCGGCGTCGATACCTCGACCAAGGCCGCCGACTGCGATATGCGTACCTCTTCCATACGACGAGCGACAGTCGCCATGTCTTTGGGCTGTTCCTACCCGATGGCACGGCCAAGGTTTACATCGTCGAACGAGGCCGGACGCGTGACGTGACGAGTTTGTCACAATACTACGCCGACAACCTGCAGAAACGCAAAGAGGCCGAGGAGAAGCGCTGGGTTGAGGAAAAAAATGCGAAGGAGGTCGGCGTGTTCGAGTACACAGATACCCTCGAGACCACCATCGCCTACCCCAGCGGCGAGGACGCTGCGCTGCGCCTCCTCTCGCGAGACCTAGCCGCGCTCGCATCGAACCGATCCTCGTCTTCATCGTTGTTGATCGTTCACTCGCCCAAGGCTCGGTCGTATTTTGAGGAGCGTATCCCCGCTACGGCTCAGTTCCCCTTCATTGTCATCGCCTCGACCAAGGCCGACAACACGTTTCCAGCTCTGGCTTGGCAACTACCCGCCTGCAAGCGCATGGTCCAGCACTACTTGCGCGCCGCCGTGTGGATCCGCGAACGGATCGAGCTTGCCGATCGCTTCGACGTACCAATCTGCAACCTCGAGCGTGACGTTCCCGTTTTCCTTGCCGACATAGACTTTGCTCGGCGCTTGACCAAAGCCGATCAGGTGCTGTGGTGGTCCTCATCGTCGCGCCCCGCTCTCGGAGGTCGCGAAGACGATGCGAACTCGCAGCAACTGGCCGACGATCTCGTGAACCCCGAAATCGGTCGACCGGGCTGCTACTCGAACGCGTGCCTCGAGATCGATTTGCGTAACCTCGCCGTCGATGCCGTGCTTCAGTCCGCTTTAGTGTACGAGCTCGAAGGTGGAGAAGGTGGTGCCTCGATTGGGTTCGAAGCGGCCTCGCACAACCTCGACGAGTATTCGAAAGGTACGGCGCACGCGGCTGTCTCGCTTGGAGATGCGGTGCTACCGACGCAAACGTTCAACCTTTTACGCTCGATGGTCAAGTCGTGGTCGAACGAGGCCTCAAAAGCCGACGGTGCTCACTGGCGATGGATGCTCGATCACTTCTGGCGGTGGATCAGCTCCCCGGCTGCCAAGCTCTACGACCCAGCCCTGTATCGGTTCGTTCATGGACTCATGCGCAAGACCTTCTCCCAACTCGTGGCTGAGTTCCGCCGTCTCGGATCTGAGATCGTGCACGCCGACTTTGGTCGGCTTTTCCTGCTTACGAGCAAGCCATCGTCGTCGAGCGCGTATGCGTATGCGAACTATGTCGTCTCGTCCGTCACGTCGCGCGAGCTGTTCCGCTATATCCAGCTCGACATCGTGCGGTTCTGGGACCAGCTCGTCTGGATGGACACGGCTAACTTTGCCGGCATCATCTGCGCCCATCCCGAACGCATCGAGGAGCCGCTCGCCGAGGAGATCGAGATCGAGATGTCGTGGAACGTTGGGACATTCCTCCCTTCCGCGTGCCAGGATGACTTCTCGCTCGTCGTGGGCCATTTTGTTCACGGCATGTACCAAGCCAAGCGCAAGTCCGGTGATTCGATCCGGACACCCTTGCGTCTGCTGCCGAATGGAAGTGGCACGGCGGCGGACCCGACCAAGACCGACGAGGTCGAGCTCGGACGCACGTTCATAACCCAGACCTTGACCCGACAGCTGCTCAAAATCGTCACGTCCCAAGTCGACATGCACCGCGAGAAAGCGAACCGAGAGGCGTTCCAATTCCCCATTTTGCCCGGTGCCCACCTCAAGCTCAAAAACCCCGTGCTTGAGTTCATCAAGACGACTTGCGCCATCCTCGCGTTGGCCAAGGAGGTGCATGCTGAGGTGCTAGTGCTCAAACGCAACTTGCTCGACTTGATCAGCGTGCGCGAGTTTGCGGCTGAGGCGATGTTCCGGAACCCCTGCTTGACGTTCAAAGTGCCCATGGTGGTGTGCAAGAACTGCAACTCCGTTCGAGGTGTGTGCATCTTGGACGTACTAGCCTCTTACATCATGTGCCAGTACTGACATCTACTTTCTCTTTCCAGATCTCGACTTGTGCCGCAACCCCGAATTACTTATCAAGAATCAACCTTGGTGCTGCGAGCGCTGCAAGGCCGCATACGACCGGTCCTCGATCGAAGCGACCATCATCGAATCGATGCAACGTCGCATCGTCGCTTTCCAACTTCAGGACCAACGCTGCGTGCGATGCAAGCAGATCAAGTCCACGAACCTGCGCTTGTACTGCGAGTGCAGTGGCGAGTACCAAATGGCTGAGACGAAGCGAGAGGTATCCAAGAGGTTGCTCGTGACGGAGAATGTTGCCGAGTGGCATGGGTTGCAGGAGCTCAAGAGTGTGACCGGGTGGTTAATCGACATGGTCGGTGGCGCGACGGAGTAGATGAGAGTATCAGTAGAGGGAGTGTACACGTTCTTTCCGTAGTTTTCTTGTTTCTTCTTGTTTGTACAGCTTAATCTCTCCAGTTGTATAATCGTCGTAGCACTGGTATCTTCTAGTCCACAAATCGACCCGTAGGACCTCTTCACTCTTCGATATCATCGTCGGGATCGTACAACTCTTCCTCCACTATGACCTCTTCGAAAGCGTGGTCCATCGGCTCGTCCCTATCATCATCGTCAGCCGGCTCTTCTTCCTCCTCATCAAGCGTCTCCTTCTCCTCCAACGCCTCCCCTCTCACGACCATCTGCGTCTCGGCCATCGAAACGGTCGGGAACGTCGCCAACTGAACCAAAAAAGCCGCATGCCTAAGGACCCCACCACCACTCCCCTTATCCCTCATCATCCTCCCGACCAAAGGAGCCCGATCGACCCTTGTCGCTTTCCCCACTTTCAAATCCTCCCCCAAATAACCCTTCGAAGCAAAGTTGTACAAGAGCTCTTCATTCTCCCTCGTCCTCTTCAACTGATCCCATACCTCAGATTTCCTCAACGTCTGCTTCTTTTTCGGTACTGGACTGGGGAGATGGAAGAGCGTTCCTCTGACCGCGACGGCGAAGGAGTACTGACCTGTCAGAGGGACCCGTCGGAGGGAGGAAGACTCGTTCTCCCCTTCGAACCGCATCAGGGAGTCCGAGATGGAGTAGGATTCGAGGATCTCGGAGGCTTGTTCAATCGAGGTGGTGTAATGGGCGTAGTTGTGGTGCAGATAGGAGAGGAAAACATCCGGATCGATAGGAGCTTCGGCGAAGAGTTGGTCCGGGTCGACTTTGGAGGGTTCGCGTGAGTATTTGGCGCGAAGATGACGAGGGGGTTTGGGGAGGGGGGTCGAGGTGGAGGGCCGTTGGAGGATCCCGGATCGGTTGAAGTCCTTCTTGTCCTCTTCGGCGGATATGTTCCATCGTTTCGAATAGAGCACCTTCCCCAAGGCGTGAAAGATGAAGAGCGAGGCTTCTCGCGAGGTGACGAATTGTAATCTGCATGAGGAAAAACAGATCTGATAAGTTCCCGCCCACTCCCCAGGGAATCCCTCACGCCACTCACAGCTTCTTAACCTGGTCTTTTCCCGAAGAAGTCTCGCCCACAGGCTGACCATCGCTCTTCCTCTTCTTGCCCTTTCTAATCTTCGCATCCTCCCCACCCCATTTCGCATCATCGCAGCTTGCCAAGAACTGTAAACTCATTAAAGCGGACCTCAAGTCCCCATTCGAGCACGCGATCACTTGCTCGACCGCAGTCACACTCGGTTTGGCCCCCCTGGGTGCCCTGTCCGCATTTTCGTAAACTTGATCGAGTATATGAAGCAAGGGCTTCTTCATGACTGTAGGAGCAATAGCGTTGAACTTGATCTCCCTCACGCCCGGTTGCAACAGTACCTCGTTTCCGAGAACTGATCTCGCATCGTACGAATCCGAATTGCGCGAATCAAACATCAAACCCCCACCGGCGTTGTTCTCGATCGAGTCGGCCCCAGGACGGGAGAGAGCCTCGGAGATGATGATCACGATAGGACAGGTGACGCGAGGGGAAGCGAGGTATTGCTGGATGGAGGATCGGAAAGCCAGTTTGGTCGGGTAGTGTGACGTGTTGGGCAGGTCCTCGAGGAGGATCAGTCGAGGAGCTTTGGAACGGGAGGAGAGATCCTCAGCTTTGTGGCTTGAAGTGGATGGCCTGGGTTGAGTGGAAGGTAGAGAGGGATCGGGTCCGAGTTGGAGAGCGGGTGCCATACCAGCTTGGGCGAGGAATGAGGTGAACTGGTGCACGATGGACTCTCGACCTAGCCAAGATTTTTGACCCCGACGTCAGGTGTTGCCGGCCTCGAGCAACTCGCTTAAGACCCCCAATTCCAGACTTACCCGAATCATTGGCGACCTCCCAATTACCCCCATTCCCCCATTCGAGGATCTCGACACCCATTTCCTCTGCCAACACCTTGACAGTCGCGGTCTTGCCCGCTCCGGCCGGACCACTGAGCACCAACACCCTTCGCCATTTCGCGAGCTTGGGTTTCCAAGCTTCGTCGAACCAGGATGCGACGTCTGACACTTTCTTCTTGTGTACGGCTAAAGAGTCCTGTCGGAGTTCGGAGAGGGAAATTGGTCAGCGCCGTAGCAGAGCAGGCGAGCTCAACAGCGACGAGGGAGGACACGACGTACCCGAACCTTCGGGGGGTATTGCTCGACCCAGAGACCTTGGTCCTGCTGTGATGTCGGAAGTTCATTTGGGAGCTTTTTTGTTCGCTTGACTGGTTCGAGAAGGTCGTCATCCTCAGCTGCTAGAAGCAGGCGCATCGCGTGAGTTGGATGACAAGCCGTGACAACGCTGAGCGAGTCGATCGAGCACGGACTCAGATCAATCGTCTCCACCCGCTTCGCCTTGCCCTTCACTTTTGCACTCGACACATTGGTGCTGCTCGAGATGGCGCCTCGTGAAGTAGCTTGCGGAAAGCCGAAGCGAGGCTACACCAAAGCAACGATAGCCAATGCCGACGACAAGGAGAAGCTTGCGAATCAGCGAGTTGAACCAGCCACAGCGAGGACAGAATACCCACCTGGGCACTGAGAGGCTTCAATGGCTTTTTGAACACCTCAGGCACGTCAGACTTGCTGGGCATCGATCATAGGGCGCTGCCGAAGCTCGGTCGTGGCCGCTCGCCCGTAGCACGAGGTTGGCGTTGCAAGAAGCGCGAGGAAGCGCGCCGCGACCGCAGCACCGTGATGTCAAACGTTTAAACGGCGACCGATCGAGACCGATCGTCGGTCTTCGTCGGTTCAATTTGCGCAGGCTGGACAATCTGTCACCTCCATTGCGACCACTTTCACAATCCAAGACAGATGCCTCAAATTTGTGATTCGGCATATACAGCTGCTAGGAGCTCCTCTCAATGTTTTTGACACGCTTGGCAGAGTCGCCCACAGAGGGTTCGACCTAGTAACCAGAGACCTAGATGATCACGCGCATTAACACACGTCGCGGGGATGCAAGTGAATTCCAACATAGGTACAGCAAGATCGAGTAAGGTCCATTCGTCCAAAGGGCGTGAGGGGTTCAAGTCTGTTGCGAAAGCGCGATCCCCAAAGCGACGAGAGAGCACGGGGTGTCAGTGCATGCCTTCCCGATGGTATGGAGCTCGTAGCATTGTCGAGTGCAGCAAAAAAAAAAAAAAGGTGATTCAACAAGGTGAGGGAGAGGTGTCAGGCTCTATTTGGGGTTTGAAGAGGGGTCGCGAGAGGAGAAAGAAAGAAAAAGGGGACATCAGCACCTGCACCACTTCAGCAACACGTTCCGAGGGCCAGGAGTACGTACAATAGGAAACAAGAGTACATGTACTCTATAAAGTCAACATCCGTCGTGAGACGTCGTGTTAGGTCACGAATAAGTGTCTTCATTCACCCTCCCCCCCTGCTTGTGTTTGTCGTACCCAGCTACGCATCTGGCCGAGTATTCCGCACCAGCGGTGGTGAAGAGACCAACAATGGTAGTCAAGAGTACTCACGATACATGGGCCACCACGAGGAGGCAGCGAGCCGGGCGGTCGAGGCCAGGGTCGACCTGCGCGAGTGGTGGTGCAGAGCCAACCCGAGACCACGCTGCCCTCACACAAGTAAATGAGCTCACGAGAGCTGAAGCGGCAAAAGTGGTGGGTGGTCCGAGGAGCGCAGTTGAGCCTGAGGGTTTGTGTAACGATCTTTCAACAATACGTGAAAGTTTTACAAAGCCGCATTTGGTTTCCCAAACTAAGCCCGAGACTCCGAGTGCAGCGGCCATGAAAAACCTCGCTCGGAGGACGGCCAAATTGAACGCGGGCGCTGTATCATTATTAGGACCCACGAGGTCGCTGCATGCCGTAGCCTCTTGCAGACACGAGCAGCCTCTGAGTTTCACGACCAGCATCGTGAGTATCCAGGATGGGCGAAACTCGCCTTGGACACACAAGGTTTTTAGAGAGAGCCCGAAAAATTTAAGCGATTTCCTTCACTTAGTAACTGAGGTCTTGACTTGTTCGGATTTTTTCTTGTAGTGGTTTGCACGATGTGCGAGCCGCGGATTGGTCAAAGCGCGTTCCTTGCAGTTTCCTTGCTGGGTCCTGCTGGGTCCTGCTGGGTCGGCGTCGCACGAGCATCGCTTTCGACTTCAAAGTCGCACTTGTCGCTCATTCGCTCGCTCTCAACTCGTTCTCTAGGCCAAGAGCTGGACGTGACGCATCTGCTGTCGAGGACGCCCCCACTTTTGTCGAACTCGAACCCCCGTGCGATCTCTCTCTAGCCCTCCCGTCGGCCGCTTGATCGATCCATCGTTCAGCGAAACTCGAAGGCTCATAAGCGGCTCGGTGATGGCGACAGCGTCGGCTGCGGCTGCCACTGCGGCTGCGGCTGCGGGTGCTTTCACCTCGAGTGCGCAGCGAATGTACACACTGCACAGTCGACCGATTGCGTCCCCTACGACGTGCAAGGCCGCATACCAACACGACTCGACGACTCAGATCCTGTCGACGCTCATCATCGTTGGCCTGATCGCGTCGTATCTGCCCCAGGTCAGTCGAGACCAGTCCCGTGATCCCGTGGTCGTCGACCTGCCCCTCTCTCTCGCGTACGCCCCAGTACGATGGCGTGCTGACACTTCTCGATCTGTCTCTGCACTATCCAGCACTTTCGAATCATTCACCACAAGACCTCGGATGGATTCAGCCCTTTCTTCTTGCTGCTGGGCTCCACAAGCAGGCACGCGCATACCCTCGGCTCCCCGTTCGGATCCGACACATCGGATGCCCTCGAGCTCGTAGCCGGCTGACCTTTGTCTCGTGACTCCCCTCGGCAGTGCGAGTAGTCTGCTCAACATCGTTACCCTGCAATGGGGTCAAGTCGCGTGCTGCCAATACCTCGTACGTCCGCTCGGCTCTGACAAAGTTCCGCTTCCAGCGTACTGACCCTTCCTGTTCGCTTTCTTGTGCAGTCCGCGGGGCAGTGCTTTGAATCGATCCTCGGCATCGGCCAGGTGTTTTTCCAATGGTTCTGCTTCCTCCTCATGCAAGTCCTCCTCCGAAAGACTGGTCCCCGCAGATCCTTCGCCAAACGCGAGCACCTAACGCTAACCCAATCAACGGATCCTCACGCAACAGCTTCATTCTCTACCTCATCTACTTCCCGAGGTCGCAAAAATACATTCGGACCGTACCCCTCGAAACCAACGCGATCCCTGCCGAACGTCCTTGGTCAGATCATTTGATCCCTTCCTTCATGCGCACCTCGACGCCCCGTGACTTGATTCGATCCAGATCACGCTCGTCGTCCATGTCGTCGCGTTCCGCCGCTTCGACCAACTCGAGCTTCGACCCTCGTTCGATGCTCCTCCCCGGACAAGTCGCCAAGAGCAGCATCATTCTCGCGCCAGAGTATCGACGAGCGGTCTCTCTCTTTGCGTTGACGATGCTCCACCTCGCTCTCACGCTCTTGACGACCGTCATCCTCCTCGTCACATTACCCAAAGCACCGCACGAAGGATCACCTCCTGCGTTCCCAGGAGGAGGGAGAGAACATCCTTCTGAACGAGCGGTCAGGGTTTGGGCTACGACGTTGGGTTTGGTGGCCGTCGTTTTGGGTTGTGGGCAGTACTTGCCGCAGTTGGTCTTGACCGCCCGAAAGCAGTTGGTGGGAAGTCTGAGCATTCCGATGATGTGGTTGCAGGTCAGTGATCTCGTTCCCTTCTTCTTTGGCGTCAGTGGGCCGAGGCTAATCCCTTTTTGTTCTCAGACCCCTGGTTCCTTTGTCTTCGTTTACACGTTGGCCGTACGACCAGGCGTCAACTGGTCCGGATGGGCCACCTACCTGTCAGTCCCATTTCAAAACACAGACTCACTCCCCTCGACCAGCCGTTCACATTCCTTCCTCTCCTGCGTTGAACAGTATAACCGGCATCCTCCAAGGCGCCCTTTTGGTCCTTTGCCTATGCTGGAAAGCAAGGCAGAACCGATTGGGCATTGATGATTGGGGAAACAAGGTTGAGGATCCGACATCGACAGAAGGTGGTGCGACCGGAGCAGGGAGGGAAGAGAGCCCGACGGAACATACGAGGTTGTTGCGGTGATTCGGAACTGCGCTAGGGGAGTGAGCATTATTCTCTGTGTTGTGGTCTCGAGACCATTGCTATGTTAGCCTTCTTCCATCGGTTCCTTTCGGATTTTTCCTCGGGCTTTGAGTGAGCAAGCCTCGGTCGTTATTCACGTTGTCGGGTTCAAGTTGTTTTGCTTGGTCTGCAGAAATAATAATCTTCGAACATTCGAATTCATTCATTGCAGAGAGGACCTTTGGGAGGGTGATACAGTGTGACTTGCATCGCTGTCCTTGCTACAGACATGTCTCGCTTCGGCATGAGCCAACTCAATCTGCGCCGAGAAAGACCCCTCTCCCAAGCCCTGACGAAGCGCAAGCCACCAAGCCATACCTTCTCCCCTTATTCTTCGTCACTTCCACTATCAAGTTGTCGAAGATACGCCTCGACTTCATCATAGACCTCACTGTTCTCCTCATAATCGTCCTCGTCATCGGCCCCTGGACCAAATCCAGAGTCCTTGCGCTTCTTGGGCTTCTTGCGTTGCGACGTCGTCGTGGTGGACACTTGACGAGGTGGTCGGTTGTTGGAGGGAGGTGGTATTTTCTCTGTCGGAGCTGTACGGGAGAAGGAGATTCGTCAGTGGGGGATGGAAGAAAGGAGTGAAGAAGATGACAGGGATCAGGACGTACGAACACATTCTAGCTCGAAGAGAAAGGAGAAGAGAGGGGGTCGATCGGGGTACAAGTAGGTCCATGCCATGGGGATAAAACTAGGATTCAGGTGTCAGAGGGGCGAGTTGATGAGTAGTCACTCCTCCACTGTTTTGAAGCGAGAAAACTTACTCGATCCCGTTGTCTCCGCCCTTGATGCTGTAGATACCGACTCTGACCGAAATCACTTCGTGTTCTTCGGTGAAAATGAAGGGCTATAATCTCGACCCATCGTACTGTAAACATTAAGGTTTTTGCTGTGGAGTCCCGGTTGGGAAGGAAGAAGGAGGTTCTGACCTTGTCTCCTGTGAAGACGAAAGCTCGGTCATCGGACCAGACGTAGCCGTTGAGTCGAGGGTGGTTGCGATTGAGGGCTTCGGAGTAGACCCTGTTTGATTTAGATGTATGAGTTGTTTGGCGTTCTGTGGGGTCGTTGACGAACTCACATGTTCCCGTTGATCCACATGGCGACGTAAATCCCCGCCTATCAGTTCAATAAGCGACGCATACATCCACGTCAATGTCACTTCTCCTCAGCTTTTTCCTTAGTACGATGATAAGTCGTCTCCACTCACCCAATGCGTACACCTGTCATCCCTCAAAATGATGCTCAACGTCGACCCCATCTCGACCTTGGCCCTGCCCTCGAGCGTCCACTCGGGATTCTTGAGTACCCGAGTCTCCTCGATCTCGATCGGCAGCGAGTCGATGCGAACGGTGGCTTGGACGTCTGAGTAACCTGCATTTCTGTTCAAGACGAGAGGAGCACTTGTTGAGGGGTTAGAGCGTGAATCTCACTCGCGCCACGTGAATTGACGGAGCGCGAGTGGGGAGGGAGTGCCAGCCTGCACTCACAGCCAGTATCGGTTGAAGCGCTGGTGGGGGAGACGATGACGAGCGACGTATCGCTCATTGACGAAAGTATCACGAACACCGTCCATACCTGTATTCGTGAAAGTGAAGTGAAGCCAATCTGAGGTCAAAGATAGTGAGCAAGCGCGCAGGGGTGGGGAAATTGACTTTCGCCCCTCCCAGCTGCGCTAGCGGATCATCATCGCACCCGATCGACGTCGACAGGAGGTGGATCGGGCTCCTTGAAATCCCAAACCGCCGATTGGTCGTCAAGACGGCACTTTAAGATGTCGATGAGCTTGGTGGCGGTCCTTCCACTGACCGTGTGGGATCTTAGCTTTAATTAACAATTGCGCTTCCACCAACGTGTAATGACTCGACTCCTGTCCCGAAATGTAGCGCATGCCGAGCAAAACGAGATTTCACGTGACACTCTAAATGCGCACACAATCGATGCCAAACATGGACTATAATCTCGTCCACTACATTCGGCACAAGTATAACTTCGTCCACGATAATCAACACAAGGTATACAAAGGTAAAGACTATAGACGAAAGACGTTGTGGTCGAAAAAGGAGCCGTCTTGAGAGCCCGTCGATCTTCAAGGTGCTTTATAATTAGTCGACGGGGGAGACTCAGTGAGCGAAGAAAGAAGGAGCCATCGCAACCACTCTGGCACGCCTGGTATATGTCTTGGTCAACTCTGGTGAACCCAAGCCACGGTAGTATTGAGAGGTATCGATCCGCGGGGTCCCCTCTCCCATGCATGTGGCCTGCCGCTTTCTACAACATTAAGCCTAACTCCGAAGCGAATGACACTAATGATATCCCGCGGCCCGGACGAGAGTCAGTAATAGCACCAAGTGGTACCGCATTAGATTACAGTGAGACATGGCTAGAAGATGAAATACTCGTCATCACTGGCAGAGCCACTTGACACTGCACTCCTCGGGAATGAAGGCGTCCCCCACAAACTTCACCATTCTCATCTCTGACAAGTCGATGGCAAGTTGTCCCGGGTCAGACACTGTGCAAAAGTTGATACGAGACATTTCACATCGAGTGTTCAATCGAACAACCCCTCTAAGAAAGGTGCGGTGCCATCAAAAGCAAGTTGACCCATTTTTCGAGCAGTGGTGCTTGAGGTGCTGAGCTCGGACCTCCGCGAGCCAAGACCCCATTTCGCACCGGCGCTCCCCACATGGTCTCCTCCCGCCTGCGCCCACTCACCTCGACGATGGCCCAGCTCAATAAGTGCGCCGCGTGTGGAAAGACTGGTCAGTCAATCTGCCGATGCTACCGGATGCGTCGACTACGCTCTACTGATACAGCTGCTCCTGTGATAGCTCCTGAGGCACCTTCGACGACTGGCTCGGATTCGTCTCGATCGCTTCAAGTCTGTTCAAAGTGCCGAGGCGTCGCTTACTGCTCTCGGGAATGCCAGGTAGGTAGTAGAGTCAACCATCAAGTCATGGCAAGGACTGGGATCTCACGCACCCCCCGTACCCTCTTCCAGATCAAGCATTGGCCATCGCACAAATCGCAATGCCCGATCCTCGCCCTCTCTAACAAGATGTCCTCTACGACCGTATCCCCCAAACCCCAAGTCAAATCCACGACCCCCGTCATAAACCCCATCGCGGACCCATGGTCAAGTTTCAAGCCATTCCTCGACTCCATCTCGACCGAGCTCTGCTGGGTCCTGTCCCTCCCATATGTCCCTCACGTCCATGATCCGATCCCTTCGACCCGTCAAGTAGCTTGGTATCATCTTCATTTCTCCCTCAACCCTTCAAGAGAAGTCCACACCGACCCTAAAGCCGGCACCCCGACATCGCAGAACAGTCGTCGACAATTCGTCCTCAAACTCGGTCAACGAACCTCGCTTCCTACCTTCCTCGACTGGATCCGATCCGAACCTTCGCACACGGACCAACCTCAAATCGTCGAACAATACCATAAACAACTTTCCTCGCTCGTCGAAGCCGATCGAACGGTATTCGAAAAAGATGGCAAGTTGGAAAACCAATCCCTCCGAAGGGTGATTTGTACAGCCGAGGATGTGAATCGACGATTCGTCGGTCTCTCGATTCAAGCTTTGGGATCGCATACCGTAACTCGATCGGCTTTGGATCCTTTGAACGAAGACCTCGATTGGGTAGGACCTTTGAGTCGGATCTTGGAAACGATTGAGCCCGGCGACGTTTCGGAAGAAAGTGCAAGTGGAAATGGAGCGACGAAATCTTCTCCTGGGGAAAAGGGATCGACCAAATTGTTGGAAAAGGTTGTCAGGGAGTTGATGAAGGATGAAGGGTGGGCGGAGAGGAGTTTGAAGAGTTGGAAAGAAGGGGACAAGAAGGAGAATCATTTTTTGCATGCTGCGCTGCTGAAGAGGGGGATTAAGGAACAGGTTTTGGTGGGAGGGAGATTGGGGAAGGGTTATTATTATGCTGTGCCGGTGTCGGGTAGGGTTCTGTGTGGGTAGGTGGGGATTGGTGGAGATGTGTTCGCTGACGAGCTGTCACACATTGACTTCACGCAGAGTTCCCAACCAAATGCTCATGCGGACGATTTCATCGACCTGAGGAACATTATTTGGACGAAGAAGAGGAAGAAGATGAGGAAGAATACGAACTGGATTCTGACGAAGACGGCTGTACACCACCCTACTACAACGCCCACTTTGGTCATTCGCACGACGACGACGCCGATGATCATTCGCATTCCCACTCGCATTCCCATTCCCATTGATCTACTGGTCCTCCAAGGCTGAAATAGGATAGCTCTACTCAAAGGATAACTGCATTACTCAAGCCTGTAGAAAGAGGCGAGACGATATCCCGACCGTCACCACCCTTGGGCTTCTTGACCGTTAAACCTGGGAACAATTGATCCCTGCCTAGGACATCCAACGTCCTTTCCCCACCTTGACCTAAAACGGCGTCCTCCCAACCCCTCTTCTCCTCAGCTACGCCCAACATGTCGAGTAATTGTTTCGACTTTTGGGGCATCACGGGTCGAACGAGAATAGCAATGATTCGTAGTGTTTCGGAGGAATAGAATAATGCGCGATGAACGGTTTCGGAGGAGGAGGTCTCTGCCCAAGGCTCGAGTTGTTGAATATGTTTGTTAGCGAGGGTGAGGGCGTCGAACAAGGCATTGAGGGCTCGATGAAGCTCAAACTTGTTCATATGGGACTCGAACGTGTCTTCCCGCATCAATCATTCGAGAGTCAGCAATTAAATCCCGCCTGGACGAACCCGAAAGATCCGAAAGAATAAACTCACCTCTCAACTCGATCAACGCCTTCCTAACCTCCTCATCGACCTCCTCCACAACCTTAGGCACATCCCACAACTTCCTCCCTCCCTCCTCCGCCCTCTGCACCATTTTTTTATTCCCGATCCGACTAATCAAGTTCCCCATCTGCCCCTTCAAGCTCTTCTTATAAAACACCTCGATCGCTTCGTCCGAATAATCCGCATCGACGGCCGAGTTGCCACCGACTTTCATGAGGTAGCATCGCATGGCGTCCAGACCCCATTTTTGGATGGCGGTAAAAGGGGAGGCGACGTTGCCGCGCGATTTGGACATTTTGAACTTGTCCATGGTCCAATGACCGTGGGCGAGGAGGTGTTTGGGTAAAGGGAGGTCGAGGGCGAGGAGTACGGCGGGGAGGTAGAGCGCGTGGAAGCTGGTGAGTGACGTGGTAGAAAGTGTCAGTAGGGGTGAGGTACCTTCAGGATGAAGTTCAGCAACGTACCGAATGATATCCTTGCCCACGACCATCCGATCCGGAGGCCATGCCAGATTCATTTTCGCTCCCGCCGGCGTCCAAGGGTACCCCGTCACAGTCATGTAATTGACCAAAGCGTCGATCCAGACGTAGATGGTATGATCCGGGTCATCAGGTACAGGGATGCCCCAAGTCAAGCGCGACGAAGGCCGGGAAATGGATAGGTCTTGCAGGTCTGGACTGTCGGGTGAGGAGATGGAGGCGAGGAGGGAGGTGGTTCGAGAGGGGGGTTGAAGCGCTGTGAAATGGGACGAGGTAGAGGTCAGAGGATGAACTTTTCAGGGAGGGGCAAGAGGTGTGTCCGATGGACGTGCGATTCGGTTCGGACGCGAGCCATTCGAGCAAAGGTTTCCTAAAGGCCGAGAGGCGGAACTTGTAGTTGTCCTCTTGCATCCATTCGACGCGCGATCCAGTCTCGATCGAGGTCTGCGAGGATACATATTCTCAGTCAGTTGGACATCATCTCAGCACCTAATGAAGAGCTGACCTTGATTTGATCGCCCGTTGTAGGGTCGACGGTATCGGTGACTTGGTTCTCCGAGTAGTAGGCTTCGTCCGAGACGGCGTACCAGCCCGCATAGGACGATTTGTAGATGTAGCCTTTATTTTTCAATTCTCTCTGGGGTGGGTAGAGGTTCGATCAGATGTCGTACGCGTGAGCTTCGCCGGATCAAACTGACCCAAAGGTGTTCCACGGCTTGCCGATGCCTCGGTTGGGTCGTGCGGATGAAGGTATGAGGTTGAATACCGGCTAGATTGGCCAAGTCCTAGTCGAGGCGAAGGTCGGTTTAGCCCTCAACGTGCAAATTCCACAGAAAAGGGAGCCCAACTGACCCTGAACGTCTGCGAAACCCGATCGCACAGTTCCAGAGGGGCGATACGCTGCGCCTCTGCGACGCGTTGTATCTTGAGCCCATGTTCATCCGTTCCGGTGCAGAGTAGGGAACTGCACGGATTGCCGTGGGTCGAGTGACGTAGGGTGTTGTAGCGCGCAAGGACGTCGGCGAGGAGGGTCGAGTGAAGGTGACCTATGTGGGGATCTGCGGCGGAGGAGGGAGGGCTACGGTGTGAGAACGGGGGCCGGGAACATAAACGATCCCCAGCTGAGGGTGCTCTCACCGGCATTGACGTAGTATATCGGGGTGGTGACGAAGAACTGCTTCTTGTGCTGGGATGCCGGCGCGGCGGAGAAGGAGCGTTGCGCACCCAGTCGCCGTGGAGGTCCAAGCGCCAGTCGAGACCGAGGTGCTGCATACCACGTCCAAGTCGCGGCACATGATCGGGTGAGAGTAATCAGTTCGATCGGGAGTAGCGCATGGCGAGTCGGTAGGCGAGACATGACTCCACGGGATGGATGGGGTGGGAAGGAAGAGGACGACCTGGGTCACCTGCGAGGATTGGCGTCGGTCATGCCGGGCATGCGCTGAGCGCCCTTGAGCGCCTCTGAGCGCTGAGCGCTGATCGTCCAGGGGCATCGTCCAGGGGCATCGGGCCCGCTCGCATGGCTCTGCCTCTGTCCGTTTCCGCGGCCGCAAAGCAATCAGATGGCCTCGAGCTCAGCCTCCACCTCGACCGCCGAGCCCAAGGTTGCCCATCCTCCCCTGAGCGCCACGTCGTACCTGTCCTCCCTACCCGAACTGTCCACCGCGCGAGGCCAGTTCCTGTACTCGTCCTTCTCATCTCGCAAGCAATCGAATCCGACCGGGTACGCCGGCGCTCTATCATGGTGGCGCACCCAACTCGTTCGCATGACCTCGCAAGCGCTGCTGGGTGACCATCGACTCGTCATCAAGATCGATGATGATCTGAGGCATCTCTTGCGCACGCACAAGTTGGGCAGACCGGCCAGTCTGGCTACCGTCATCGTCAGTCACAGGTCACAGCCCGTCATCGTCGCAGATCGCTCCACTTGCACGTGACCGCGCCAAACGATCTCACTGACGCTCGGGCTTTCATCCTCACTGCGCATCTCTCCACCCAGGCCGAAATGGTCAACGACCAATCGTGCATACCACTCTCAACCTACCTCGCGTCCCCATCGACGGACGCCACCTCGTCCTCGGGCACGTCCCTCTTGGGCCTCGTGACTCGACCCTTGGGATGGGCAGCATCACGATTGCTCGGACGAGCGTCCTCCTCCTCTTCTTCGACCACCTATGATGACACCGTGGAATGGCTCAAGAGACAGGGCGAATACGTCGTCGTACCCCTGATCGAGGTCAGTCAGCTTCTCTTCAGTAGAGTCCGAGCTCGGGCCGCTGTTGACCAGCTCCCAAGTTCTTCCCGACCCCTCCCTCTCTCATCCAGAAAGCAACGACGACCCTCCTCCCCCGCTTGGAAGCCCATCTTATCGACCCTCTTTCACGCCTCATGACCCTCCACACCTTCCGAGCCCGATTCGGATCCCAACTCTTGGACCCCGACGCCGAGTTGTCGACCCTCGATGTTCAAGTCTTGGTCAAGCACTTGTGTGATCAAGGCTATTGCGTGCAGAAAGGAGAGGTTCGTCTCTTCTCTCGGGACCCAACTCATCTTTGAACTGGGTGTGCTGACCTCGCGTGATCCCTCCAGGCCATCAAATTCCGCCCCTTCCACCAATCCGCCACCTCCACCACTCCACCCTTAACGATCACCTCCTCGGACCTCTCGATCCTATCCCTCCTCTCAACCCTCACCCAACTCGAAGCCTACATCACCTCCCTCCAAACCCGAATCAAGACCTACCAATCCCTCGCCACGACCGCTCTATCTACGCAACAACCCACGACCCTGATCAAATCCCACCTCGCGCAAAAACGATACGTTCAAAAAATCCTCGAACAGAAATTGGGCGCGAGGGACAAATTGTCCCAAGTATTATTGGGCATCGAAACGGCCACTTCGGATAACGAGATGATTAAAGCTATGGAACTCGGGGCTGATGTACTTAGGGAAGTCGTAGGTGATCCAGAGATCAGGTTGAAGAGGGTCGAAGAAGTGAATGAAAGGCTTGCGCAGGGGTTGGAGGATGCGAGGGAGATTAATGGGGAGATTTTGGGAGGCGCTGGAGTGGGCTTGGGTGAGGAAGGGGAGAGGGAGATCGAGGAGGAGTTGAGGAGGTTGAGGTTGGACGATCAGAGGGAGGGCGAAAAGGCAGTGGAGGAGAAACTGGAGGGGAGTGGGAAGGTGCCTGCTGGTGAGATTGGGGATTTCAAGGAAGAGGACGAGGTCAGGGTGGAGGAGAAGCAGGAGAGCACGAGGGAGAAGGCCCTGGCGTGATTTGTCTTGATGGGTGCCCCTACCGTCTAGAGTGTATCTTTCTCTCCCATGTTTTCGTAGGTCCAATCCGATTAGCACTCGAGCTCACTTTGTTAGGCCCTATTTGCATTGCATGACTTTCATATACGACCTACATATGCACAGTTTTGTTTGATGCGACAAACTCAACCCGAAAGCGACGATTCTCATGACTCAAACTCCCAAACTCAAGCTGCAATCTATGCAGGATCACGAACACTGAGCGCTTTCCATTCTGTGGCGATCTCATCGTGGCTGAGCATCCTGTCGAGCCACTTGGCGAGATGCGTATCGGGACGAGCGAACGTTTCTTTAACCAGCGCGTGAGAACACGCCGAGAGCATTCGGACAAAGCCCATGAGTGAAAAGTCCTAAATGATGTCGGTCGTGAAGAGGTCAGTCAGAAAGCTTTGGCGTGTATACTGAAAAATGATGCCTCACCATGTGTCCGGGGGCCGATAGATCTTGCAAGTACAATTGTCCCTTCCCCGAATTCAGGTGCTTCTCGCCGAACTCGTCCAAACCCTTTTGCAGCTCGGCCAAGCACTCGTCTGCGTACGAGATCGAATGCGGGGAAGGAATCAGCTGAAAAGACCTGTTCGAAGGGGAGCAGAACCGATTGGACTCACTTTGATCACGCGAGCTGACGCGTGCCCAGAATCCCGGACCGAGACGATCGTCCGAAGTCCAGTAGGCTTGCGTCTGGTAAGGGAAGCCGGAACGTCTCTTGTCAGCCTGAGCTGCAGGAAGGCCAGAAGGAGCGAGCTCGTACCCATTCATCAAACGTCGGAGCAAAGCGCGGAAGGAATACGGCGCGTACGAGCCACTTGTCAAAATCTGCATGGGTCCGGGCTCCAACCAAAGTCAGGAACTCGAGGGCGAAGAAAGGGATCGAAAGAATTTGATGGGAGCGTGCACTGGCTGATGTCCTTCGCAGCGGCTTGCTTGTATTCTTCCGACTGAAAGTCAACTTGGTCCGAAGCTTGAGTGGGGAGGAAGATCGAAGGTCCCGTCGGGTACGCCTGATCGGCCCAACTGTCCGGGAGATAGGAGACAGTTCCGACTTGGGGAGATCAGTCTCATAAAGCCCATGTGAGGGGTGATAGAAAGAAGATGAAATGACACCTACTGGCATATCTTGTCCGAATCGATGAGGTACGATCCATCTTCCTTTTGAATGAAGGGAACTGCAGAGTGCACAGAGGATCCATCCGAGTGTGGGATCCCACCCGCGCCGGCGGATCATAGTCACGGTCATCGTCGGCCTGCGCTCTTCTGCCTGCGACCACCCCGACCATTCCGACCACAGAGTCACGAACCCACCCGTCGGCATCTTGATCTTGAACTCTTCCTTCCAAACCGTCTGCAACTCCTTGTACGTGACGGGGACGACGTTGAATTGGATCCCTTTCGAAGCGAGTGCGAGACGAGCTTTGGTGGCGACGGGGGAGAAGAAGGGGCCGCGCTCATGGGTGGGGACGAGGTCGTACAGCTTCAACATGTTGGAAGAGGGTGGACGTTGACAAAGCTGTCGAGGCTGGTGGTCGTTCAAGATCGTGCTATGCCTGAAGGTCAAAAGGGAAGGAAGGGGAAACGAGTGCAAGGCGCGCACGACACGGATGAGGTCGGCGCGTCGGTCGGCGACGGGTGGCGCGCATGCGCTTAGAGTGAAGTAAGGCGAGAGAAATGCCTGTTCGCTTCTGCACCTTTATTCGTTTCGCTCGAACGGCAGTGCTCATTGCCTCTACACTCGCGAAACTTTTCAACCCACCCACCGTCCCGAATAAGGTGCTGTCTTATTCCAAGGGAATTTTGGCGTTTTTGCAAACCGCGGTCCCTGGGGTGTACGCATCATCCCAGGGACGAGCCAAACAAACCGAAAGATACACAAGGAAGGTCGCAATTCCCTTCCCGCGCTCGAGAACCCCATTGGCATCCGATCGAGACATCGGAGGGGAAAAGCGCGTCCACTGCACATGCGCCCCCTGTGGTTTGCAAATCATATTTCCGACGGCTAAGTCGTCCCCCAACCGGCTACGCCATCCAAAGATTGATGTAAGCACCTTTCTTCTTTTAGGTTTCGTGTTCCTCCCCTCGACGACGCAAGCATAACCGCTGTTTCCGAGTCTCGGCTCCGGCCAGCAAAGGACCGGCGCCGGTGTTTCGGCCGGTTGGGCGCCCAGCCTGGCAGGCACCACCTCATTTCCCGCGGATCCGAGTTTCAGGAGATCGAAATGGAAGGCTATGCTTATCGCTGGATAAGATAAGACCGTTTGAGCCTATAAGTAGAAGTGCATTCAAAGAGATGATTGGCCGGGTTCTGGGAAGCTAGGTCTGGTTGTTTTTGCCAAAAAGGTTTCATGGATGCCGAGGGCCTCAATTTCGATTGGAGGAGCATAGTAGTGGTGGGGCACAAATTAAAAACCGCGGGCCTTGGCACACGTTGTGACTCGCGGAACGACTCGGCGTCGGGTATTGAAACCACGTTCGAAGGGAGTGCGCATCGCCTTTCCACTCGTGGCCCACTCGAGGCCCACTCGAGGCCCACTCGAGGCCCATCCGTACTACCGACCGACGATGAATCGAATAAATCGCTACTTGCTCCTATGCACCGTCTTCTTCTGCACGTTGACGGTCTACTACATTCTACTCGTGCCTCGACTACCTCGCAATCTGATCAGTTACGCCTCGCGACCGTTGTGGGACACCGATCAACGACCTCGGCTACACCTCCACAGTCGGTTGCTGGACTTGCCCGAGGGCGCGGACCTTCGGAGCGTGTGTCACGAGTATGGATGGGAGGAGAGGCCCAAGGCTGTAGAGGTGTGGGATGCGGTCAGTTCGTCTTCCTTCTGTCGAAGACGTGATCGACATTCCGCGGTGGGAGTCAGCCCACGTTCAGCCAGTCGGGGTCGCGTCACGAGTCCTGCAGATGAAGCCTGCGAGCATGCGCGGACCACTTCAGCCGACCGGGAAGAGGTGCATATCCAGAAACGACCGGTAGGCTGACGCTCTACATTCCTCCCATCGCACTCCCGCGTCGGACAATTGCTCGCTCTTCAACCAGTCGATCCTCTCGACCGAGCTACCGATGCTCCTCATCCGACTCACCGAGCTCGACCCGATCGTAACCAAGTTCTTCATCATCGAATCAGCACACACCTTCACAGGTATACCTAAACCCCTGATCCTGCCCACCGCACTCAAGACCAATCCGGATTTCGCCCCGTTCCTCGACAAGATTCACTACCGCTCCATCGAAGGCCGGATCCTGGCCGAGGGGGAGGATCCATTCACCCAAGAGATCGAAGTACGTCGCGCGATGACGACCTTCATCAAGGAATACATGCCTCCACGAACGCAAGGCGAAAAGGACTCCGATATCGCCATGGGACCTGTGCTCCTCTTCTCGGACGTGGACGAACTCGTTTCCCGACCGACCGCAAAACTCCTCCAATCTTGTCGTTTCCCCTTCCCCCTGCACCTAGGTCTGAAGGATTATCTCTACTCGTTCGAATTCGAAGCGGGAGGGATCATGAAAGGTGTGAGCAGTTGGAGGGCCCATGCGACCCATTGGCCCGATCGAGGCGAAGGGGTGGCAGAATACTATCGTCACGGTAAAGTGAGCGAAAACATCTTGGCCGATAGTGGGTGGCATTGCAGTTGGTGCTTTGAGAAGATCGAGGAATTTGTTACCAAGGCCAAAGGTCAGTCCTCGTGTCAATCGTGTTGGGTACCTCCAGGGTTCGTAAGATGCTGATCTTGCTCGCGTGTGAAACCCTTTAACGCAGGCTATTCGCACACCGACCGTCTGGGCAGTCGGCCAACCGCCCTCCTCCGCCCCGAACGTATTCAGAAAACCATCTGCGACGGCTTGGACATGTTTGCGATGTTGCCCGAAGCTTATACATGGCGCGAGATGGCGTCGAAATGGAAATTGGTGCCGAGTCGGTCCATCGACGATGATCAGCTGCCGCGGTTGTTGAGGAAGAAACCGAACAAGTATCGATGGTTATTACCTGGTGGATGTATGAGGGAAGAGTAGACAGGCGGATATCATCTGTATCAACTGGATTTATTATGCATCGTAACGCCTAACGATATGATTCGACACGCTTTCGGCCAGCCGAGGCACCGGAATAAACTGGGAATGGAAACATCTTTTGCGTCTTTTCCGTAATACAAGATACAAGGAAGAATGTACAAGATCCCAAATGAACACTCTGAACAAGAACTTAGTCCCCACGCGTCCAAACATCTAATCATCTCCGCCCAGGAACTTGAGGATGGTCTCATTGGCCTCGAGTTGCCACACGCCGACCTCGGCGTACGTATCGAGGCAATCCTTGAACTGATCCTCGGTGAAGCCTTTGGCGATGACGCGTTCCCTGACTTCCCGCATGTTCAACTCGGGATTGAACCCATCCGCCTCTACATCTTGTTCATCATCCCCATCGACTTCCATCCTCGGTGGTCCTCGACCCAATCGACCACTCCGACCAGCACCACGTACACGAGCTTGTCCCGCAGCAGCCATCGTTTTGATGAGGGTGAAGATCTTACTCGTCGTCGTTTGGTCCACGTCGCGATCCCTGTTCTCGTGATCGTGCAAGGACGCCTTGGAGCATTCCATCAACCTCAACGCCTCGTCAACATCGGCCGTCTCGACCGCGTCGGCGAACCTCAGTCGAGCCAACGCTTGCGATAAGCGCAAGACACCCAACAGGGTACGCGCCGAGGTGTAGGTGAAGAACTGGTTGCGGTCCTCGGCCGCTTTGGTCTCTTTCCTCAACGAGACGTAGGCCTGCACGACGTAGTTCGACACATCCCGTGGTACGGTCGGACGCTTTTGTCGTACGAGAGCGATGTAGTGTCGCATCAAGACGGGCGAGATAGGGGTATGTTGCAACGGAGGGTGTTCCGAGTGCATATGGACATAAGTGACGTGCTCGGCCAGCCTCTGATCATCGTCACGCGAAGGGGTATCGAGGATGAGGAACAAGAGATCGAAACGGGACAAGAGCGCGGCGGGGAGGTTGATGTTGTCCACGGGCGAGATCCTCGGGTTGTAACGCCCGTAGAGAGGGTTTGCCGCGGCGAGGATCGACGTGCGCGCGTTGAGCGTCGTTGTGATACCGGCTTTGGAGATGGAGATGGTTTGCTGTTCCATTACTTCGTGGATCGCGGTTCGGTCCGACTCGTCCATTTTGTCGAATTCGTCGATGCATGCGATACCGTTATCGGCCAAGACAAGAGCACCACCCTCTGTGAAAGGAAAAAGTCAGTTCCCATTCAGCTCCCAGTCGCAGGTACTACCACTGAAGAACGATTTCTCGACTCACCAAGCACAAACTCGTCCGTTACCGGATCACGCATCACAGCCGCGGTCAATCCGACCCCGGACGATCCGCGACCTGTTGTGTAGACACCTCGGGGCGCGACTTTGGAGATGTACTTGAGCAACTGCGACTTGGCCACACCTGGATCGCCCATGAGGCACACGTTGAGATCACCCCTGATCCTCATTCCATCGCCCATCGACTTGGTCACACCACCGACGAGGAGCAAGAGCAACGCTTTCTTGACGTCCTCGTGACCGAAGATCTCGGGCGCAATACTCGACGCGAGCTTCGAGTAGAGCGCCGGGTCACGCTTGAGCTCAGCGATCTCGTCGTAAATCTTGGGCGTCAACTTCATCGACTCGTACTGCTTCTTGAGCTGGTGGATGTGGTGCGCCTCGAGGTACGAGTCCGTCAATAGACCGAGTTTCAACGCCTTGAACCCCTCGTACGGGATCGGCAAAAAGACACCGCCAATGTGTACCACGTCACCGGGCGAGACGAGACGGGTTTGGTTGCCGTAAAGATGGATCGTCATAGAGCGAGGAATGTGACCGACGGGGACCTGATCCGTCATCTCTTGGATCTTGCACTCTTGAAAAGGGGTGAACTTGCACGCGCGCGTCTGCATGTGTAGCTGCCCCTTGGCGTTGTTGAGCTTGCAAATTTCGGAAATGCAATCGGTCAGGGGAGTGATTTTGCGCTTGTCGACGTCCTGAAAGATCTCGGCACCGCACGAGTCGCACGTGTACGCGTTGACCTGGAGCAAGGGCTTGACTTCGGAGACACGCGTGACGATGCCTCGGACGGTGATGAGTTTGCCGAGGTGGGAGCCGCGCACCTCGCGCACGGCGAGAGGCACGTCGGAGGCCAAGGGGCGGAAGTAGAGGTTGTACCGTCGCAAGAGGTTCGCCGGGAATATGTTGACGCCATCCTGTTCGTTCTCGTCGTTCTTGGACATGCGCTGGAACTGGATCACGTCGAGGATGTCGGCCTTGTCGCGGATGTCCTCGGTCGGTGCGGGCAGCTCCTCGTCGACGGCCTGGGAGAAGAGCTTGACGTATCGCTGCGTGTTGGCTTTGATGAGGTCGACGAGAGGTTGACCATTTGTGAAGTCCTTTTGAAGGAACAGAATATGTAGGAAGCTATCAGCATGGGCCCGATGTCGTGGTGCTTGTCGCGTCTCTGCACGGGGCATCACACTAACCTGATTCAGGTCCTCGAGGTCGATGACGAGGCGTTCTTGTTCCCGGTTGGCAACACGTTGCTGTGAACGAGCGAGGAAGGCACATGGGTCAGAAGGGTGCCACTCGTGCGCGGCCGAGACCGGTATTTCAGGTCAGCGAGCAGTCACACGCCTGGCGCAGGGGCGAGCGACGCGTCGACGCGTGCACCCGCGGGGGGGAAACGAGATCACGGGTCACACAGCGAGGAAATGCGGAAAGGTGCATGTACTGACCAGTTGTTGACGGTACTTGAGCACGCCGGGTACATCATCGGGTGTGATCTCGTCATCCTCGTCCTCCATCTCGGTCTCGTCGTCCTCATCTCGCTCGGTTTGACGCGCCGGACGAGTAACCTCGAATTTGGTCAAGAAGGTGCGAATTCGTTCAAGATCTTCGTCGCTGTGGGGAGGGGGGAGAAGTGCGTCTCAGCGTCTTTTCGAGTTCCCCAAGTCAAGTAATCTAGGTCCAGAAGAGACTGACTAGTCGAGACCCAAGTCGACGACGGGTAAGGCTGTCGCCATGACTGCTGTGTGCTAGAGGGGCGAGAGGCAGCAAGCAGCCAGGCGAAGAGGTGCCTAGGCGTACGCGCCAAATGTGTGATCCCCGGCGCGTCGACACTTTTGCGATTCCATTTGCGCGTCCGCTTGCGCACGGACCTCTTTTCCTCCTTCGGCCCGGCGTCCGGCGGCGATCAATTCTCAGACGGAGCAGGGGGCGAAAAAGGCACATGTTGAAAAAAAGTGCGCGTTTTTGCATAATGTTCGACCCAAACAGGGGCTACTTGAGTGTCTTGAGACTGGCGGCCGCTCGGTCGGACACTGACGAAATTCGAGCCCGAGTGTCAAATCAAGTCAGCCGTCGCTCCTTCTCTCTCTCTCCTTTGTGTCGCCACTGAGATCGAGTCAGTCGACCGCGTAATCTTCTGGCAAGGTTCGCACTTCCCATCCGCCCAAGATGGACGATGGAGGCGCCTACTACACCTCAGCTTCAACTTCGCTTCCCCCAACCGCACCACCGACCATGGCGGCTTCCCGACCTCGTCGTCAACGACACAAGACGTCCAAAGCCTTGGCGGGCTCGGACGACGAGTTCGAATACACGCCCCGCTCGAGTGCACCCAAGATCAAATTGAAGATGAATCAGGAAGGAGCTGGAGGTGCATCAGGTTCGGCAACGGCGACGACGAAGGAGACTCGACCTGGCGCGGTCAATCACGATGCGACGGGGATAGGATGGGATCGTGAACTCGATTCGGACCCTGAAGTACCTCTAGCAGTAGAGGAACAGTTCCTACTGAGGTTGCCCAAGGATCTCGCTCCTCAGTTGAGGGAGATGGTCGAAGCTCGAACGGTGAACCCCAAAGACGTTTGGTTCAAGTTCAAGGACTCGAGACGCGCCGTCTTTCATCTCAAGGGCAAATCCTATTCGTCCAAACTCGTCGATTTACCGACTCTGTTGGAGAGTCAGAGATTGACCGGATCCGGTGGTGGTACGGTCAAGATCGCGGACGTGTGCCAGATGCTGCTTGTCGACGAGGACGAGATCCAGGATGAGGCCGACGTGACCAAAGAGGCGTTCAATATCGAGAACTTTTCGTACCCTCATGGTATCACACCGCCTCTCAAACACGTCAGGAAACGTCGGTTTCGCAAGAGGATCAACAAGAGGGTAAGTGACCGTCGTGGAGGCACCCGCTCGGGCTCGGGCTCGGGCTCGGATGGATCCTTCCCCTCGAGGTGCCGCGAGCTCAACCTATCGTCCTCCCTGCTGCACCACAACAGACGATTGAGATCGTGGAAAGCGCTGTAGAGAAACTTCTCGAAAAAGATCAAGCCGCTGAGCAGGTTCAGTATGGTAAGTCATGTCGTTCCAAGATGACGATGCGCTGAGAACCCTAGTCTGACGTGCTGGCCTCACCACGCCGCGTAGAATTACTGGATCATGACATCGTCTCCGAGGACGAATACGACAACGTCAATGACGACGATCGAGGTGGTGTTGGCTCGTCGATAGGTGCTCCAACCCCACGACGAGAAGGCAGTGCCTCGTCCATCGCGGGAGACGACGACGAAGGTATGGACGATGGCGATCGCGACGACGACGACGCCAATGAAGCCGGCGCAGGATCAGGCTACGATTCCGATCTTGCGAACGAGATCAACAAAGGCATGGAAGCGATCGATCGCTCTTCTTCCGAAGACGATGATTCCGATTCCGATGACGCGGGCGGTTTGTTCGGGGGGGGTAGTTCGGACGACGATGATGATGAGGAACAGGCGATCGATCCCGAGGTGATTGAACAAAAGAAGAGGATCAAGTTGCTGTTGGAGGAGATCAAGGATTTGGAGAGCAAGATTACGGAATCGGAGAACAAGCTTAGCACGGCCGCGAATCCTATCTTCAAGGTCAGTCAAACGCTCAATGCGGAAAATCCTTTACTGATATGCGTGGAACTGACTTCCTCGTTGTTTTTTTTCACGTATCCCAGAAACGCTTCGAGGACACGATCAAGAAGCTCACAGCAGACCGGGACGGCAAACGCGCTGCGCATTCCAAAGCGGTCGCCGAAATGGAGAAACGTCGCTCGGACGAAGAAGCCGCCGCCGTCGCCGCCACGGACGTCGCTGCCAATCCTGAACCTTTACCTACGAACCCTACTTTGGCTGAAGCGACGAGTGGGGAAGCAATACCTCCTGCTGAAGCGGCTACGAGTGGAGTCGTTGGAGAGGGCGAGGAACCTACGGCGACGCTTGCTGGGGGGGAGGATAGGATGGAGATTGGGTAGCCAGGGAGGAAGGGTTTCGAGTTCGTAGAGGATTTGCATGCCATATTGTTGTAAGACCTTGTATCTATGATTCTCGCTCACGCTGGCTCGCAAGTCAAGCGTTCATCACCACCAAAATCGAACCAGAAACATTTGCATTAAACCCCCTATTGGGGGCGTAGTCTAATACTTTACCCTATAGTCCAAAACTACAACAACCCTCTAATCTATGTACTTTCCTCGTCACTCGCCGGCAGCGTCGCATACCTCTTCCCGCCCCACCTACCACTCACCCACGACCAACCCTTCTCAACCCACTGCTGCGACTCTTCCCCCTCCCTCACCAAATCCACACTCCCATCCCTCCTCACACGATAAACCTTCCCATCGTCCCTCCACCCAACTTCATTCCCCAACATCGCGAAAGCCCAAAGTGGGAAAGCCAAGGCTTCTCGTACCCACCATGCTTTGAACCAAGCGATCCCACCCGGTCCATCATGTTCCGGTCCATTGGAAGCGACCCTCGTCGAAGCGGCGGGGGAGGATCGTGAGAGGGCGTTGTAGATGAGGATGTCGAGGGTGTACCAGAGAGTGATGTGGAGGGGTATGATGAGGAAGGCCGAAAGGGAGGGGAATAGGTAGGGGAGGGCTAGGGCGGCGAGGATGGATAATAGGAGGCATTCGGTCAAGGGTTCGATCAAGGTTGAGGCTCTGAGGGAGAGAGGAAAGGGAAGGAAATCTCAGTAGAGCTCAGAGATCGAGTCTGCCCCGAAGAAGCGATCACTCACACCACCATGTATTTTCTCACGCGAATCCACCTCACCCTTCTCCGAAGGTACGACCCCAACGTCATGGACCCGACCGCGTTCCCAGCGATATCACCCCCCATCGCATGTCTCAAGCCCAACTCTTGCCACAACGCCTCGCCGATCATGTTGTCCTCGCCGAGGTATTTGCCGAACGCAGCCAAGCCGCCTTTCCCCTCGGCGAGTACGAGCCCCTTTTTCGGATCGAGCTGTCTCTTCGCCGCGGCTTGGTCGAGATGGGATTTGCGGTAGAGGCACGACTTTCCGGTGACGCAGGAAGCGACGGAGAGGTAGTTGATCGCGAGGTACATCTTGGCGTGGGTCGAGCAAAGAAAGACTTGTTCGACGCGCGAGCCGAGGCTTTGATCGGGGTAAATCGCAAAGGGCAAGTGATGGACGAGGCCGATCTCGCGACCCTGAGCACCACGGGAGTGGAGTTGGTGCACCGAATTTTGGAGGGTGTGGATCGAGGTGAGCACGTTCGAGTCGATGACCCAGAGGATGTCGTATGCGGCTGCTCGATAGGACGAGATGAGGTTGTTGATCTTGGGGTTCACGCCGACGATCTGTTCGCCGATGATGAGCGAGGATTTGACGTGGGGGTATTTGGCTTGCAGTGCTCGTACGATCACGATGGATTGGTCGTGTTGGGAAGCGACGGAGAAGATGATCTCGAAGGGCGAGGAGGAGACCTGGAGGAAGGAAGATTCGAGGTTCGAGTAGAGGTTCGTGTCGAGACCTCGGAGCGGACGGAGGATCGACACGCCGCGGGGGTCGGGCGAGGAACGTGTTGGGTGCGAGGTTGGGTCGTTTGTGTTGATCTTGGTCGCCTCGTTGGCGGAGTGCGGGTGGGGTGCGAGCGAGGATGCATCATAGCGTGTCTTGCTGAATGAGCTCGGAGGAGGGGGCGTCAGTACTGGAGAAGGACGAGGATCAAGAGCAGATGCGCTCACGCGACGTAGAGTCCGATGAATCCGAGGATCCATAGAGCAATGTACCACACCAGAAAGACCGAGCTGTATAGGCGCGCAGTCGATCGATCGCACGGAGATGGAGGCGCAGGTGCAGGTGCGGCGAGGAGATGGGGTCAGCTTGGCGTCTACGATGACGATGTGGACCCGGTTGGGGAGTACTTGCCTCAGGAGGAAGGCGATCATCGCTTCTTTGGAAGCGACGGCAGCGCCGGGTCGAGTTGGGAAAGCCCGATCGAGTGGTGTGACACGAGGTGAGAGTCGTTCGAGCGAGCCGGGAAACCGCGGGAAAGCGTATGTCATCGAGGGTCCGTGCGGGTCGACGGTGCGCGTTGCGCTTGTGCTTGCGGTCAGGCGCACCACCAGTGGCGCACCCAGCAGCACCCAGCAGCACCCAGCAGCCAGCAGCAGCCTCAGCCAGCGACGACCCGCACGACGACTCGACACAGCTTCGCCGTCCGATCCCCACGATCCCCCGCCCCCTCCCCCCCAAAACGACGACGATGAGTCGCTCACGCTCGCCAACGGATCGTCGTAGTCCGTCTCCGCGTTCTGCCTCGCCCCAGGAGGCGGTCGATGTACCCGCCAAGCGCAAGAGGTTCGTCTGTCGTCCCATCCTCGCTCGCTCGGCAACTGACCCGTGACTTGGACACTCTGTTTGCCACCCTTCTCGTAGGACCGACGCCTCTCGATCACCTTCCCCGCCCTCTCACCGACGAAGACCACGAGATGCATCGCCCCCGGCTCTCGACGCGCTGGCCTCGACGGTCGAGATGCCCCAGATTCACGACCGCGACCCCGTACGACGACGAGAACGCGAGCGACAGATCGCCCTCGACCTCGCCAACGCCGAACTCAGAGCTGCGACAGAACACGCCGTCGTGCGCCGAGTCGACCCCGTACAAGAGATGAAGCAGATGGCCTCGACCAAGGGCGGCGGAGCCTACATCCCGCCGCACCGACTGAGGGCCATGCTCGCCCAACAAGCCGACAAGGACCCCTCTTCGGCCGAGTACCAACGACTCACCTGGGAGGCACTGCGAAAGTCCCTCAACGGTCTCATCAACAAGGTCACTGCCTCCAACATCAAGCTCATCGTACCGACGGTCAGTTGCCGCTCTCCGTCGCCCCTCTTCCGCGCGCGATGTCACGCGATCCCTTCCCCTCTTGTGGGCGAGATCCCACTCGAGCAGACCCTGATCTATGTTCCTTTGACGTTGACCAGATCTTTGGCGAGAACCTGATACGTGGTCGCGGTCTGTTCGCGCGTTCCATCATGCGCGCCCAGGCGTCGTCCTTGCCCTTCACCCCCGTCTTTGCCTCGCTCGTCTCCGTCATCAACAGCAAGCTGCCCCAGGTCGGCGAACTGCTGGTGCACCGACTGATCCATCAGTTCAAGCGCAGTCTCAAGCGTAATGACAAGGTCGGTCTCCGGAAGCAAGACTGAGGGTCCGCACCCCTTGTGACGCACCCAAGCTGACCTCCCTCCCGTGCTCTCTCTCTCTCTCTCTCTCTCTCTCTCTCCCTCCTAGGCGACCCTCGTCGCGACGACCATGTTCATCGCCCATCTTGTCAACCACTCGGTCGTATGGGAGGCATTGGCCCTCGAAATGTTCTTCACCTTGCTCACGGACCCGACCGACGACTCGGTTGAGATCGCCGTCACCTTCATGCGCGAGGTCGGCGCGACCCTCAGCGACTCGTCGGCCCGCGCGACGAACCAGATCTTTGACGAGTTTCGCAAGATCCTAAACGAGAGCAGCATCTCGAAGCGCGTGCAGTACATGGTCGAGGTCCTATTCCAGGTCCGTCGCGACAAGTTCGAGCAACATCCCAAAATTGACGAAGGGCTCGATCTGGTCGAGGAGGACGATCTCATCGTGCACAACATCGAACTCGACGACGCCGACATCAAGGTCCACGAGATGCTGAACGTGTTCAAGTTTGATCCCAACTATGAGGAGAATGAGGCCATGTATTCCGAAATGAAGCGCGATATTCTGGGTGATTCGGAGGACGAGGACGAATCGGCCGAGGACGGCGATACCGAAGACAGCGACGAGGAGGACAACGAAAGCGAGCCCGACGATGGGATCAAGGCCGATGGAACGGTCGACGTGCATGATCAGACCGGCGCCAATCTCGTCAACTTGCGCCGCACGATTTACCTCACGATCATGTCCGCGCTCGACTTTGAGGAAGCCGTGCACAAGCTGTTGAGGATCCACCTACCCGATCACCAGGCCGGCGAGATGTGCAACATGATCATCGAATGCTGCTCGCAGGAACGCACCTACAGCAAGTTTTACGGCTTGATGGGCGAGCGCTTCGCCAAGCTGAATCGCATGTGGACCGATGCGTACGAGCAATGCTTTCAGACCTACTACGAGACGATCCATCGCTACGAGACGAACCGACTGCGCAACATTGCGCGCTTCTTTGGGCATCTGCTGGCGACGGATGCGATCGCGTGGTCCGTCTTGGAACACATCAGGATGAACGAGGACGATACGACAAGTTCGTCGCGTATCTTTGTCAAGATCATGTTCCAGGAGGTGACGGAAGGGATGGGATTGAAGAAGCTGAAGGAGCGTCTAGCCGAGGAATCGATGCAACCTTACCTCACGCACATCTTTCCCATCGACAACCCCAAAAACACGCGTTTCTCGATCAACTTTTTCACTTCGATCGGCTTGGGTGCCATCACCGAAGAGATGCGCGAGCACCTCAAGCGAGCGCCGCAGATCATGCTCGAGCAGCGTCGCGCGATGGAGGCCGAAGACTCGTCCGACTCGGACACGACCTCTTCGTCCGAATCGTCCCTCTCCTCCTCTTCTCTGTCCTCGTCTTCATACGACTCGCGTCGTCGCGGTGGAGCCAGGAAAGGTCGTTCAAGATCCCGATCCTACTCTTCGAGGTCCCGTTCTCCTTCCCGTTCCCCCGTTCGTCGGGACGGCAAGAGCGCGAACGTACCTCGACGTCGATCCCCTTCCTTTTCTCGTTCCCGTTCTCGTTCCCGTACACGTTCGGTGACCCCTCTCCCTCGTCGTCGATACGATTCGAGGTCGCCCCCTCCCCATTCACGCTACCGCGATGACTCGCGATCACCGCCTCGTCGACGAGGATCGCCACCACCGCTGCGTCGAGGAAGGGACGATTCCCGATCGCCTCCCCCGACAAAGAGGCGATCCCCTTCGCCTGGCCGAAGCAAGGATGGTGGAGCAGTAGGTGGTGGTGGTGGGGGATCGTTCATACATCCTTCTCGCTTGGCATTGCAACAAGGTGGTGGAGGAGGAGGAGGACAGGGAGGACCTCGAGGTGGTGGAAACGATCGTTATGGCAATGGGCCACCTCGAACAGGCTACCAAAATCGTGAAACAGGGTTGGGCTACGATAGGGGAAATGCACGAGGGTTCAATAATGCCCCACCGAGGGATAATGGCTATGGAAATCGAGGAGGCGGCGGTGGTGGAGCTCGCTAGATCTGGCGTTGAGGTGATGCGACGGGTGGAAAATCGATGTATGTGGTTTAGGAGCCCACCACTTGTATTCTTATTACATCGTTTTGAAATGACGATCGCAAGACGAAGACACCCGGAAACCTCGGTGTGCTCCAGCTCTCCAACTGCCGAACCGTCGTGGTGCGTCATGCCGCGCAGTGGCCCGGGGGTCCGGTCTGATCTGATCGCCAAAGGGGTATAATGCAAGCGCGCATCTCGGGCATTAGGGGACCTTAACCCGGATTGCGCGGGCGCCTTGCAAGTTCCATGTCTCAGTCTCATAAATCCCATCAAAGACCAGCGTGGGAATCGCTCGTGCTGCGAACATCCCACCTCAAGAAAAGAAAAAAGTGCACTATCGAAAACCCATCGCTTCGTTTGAGAGAGGGAAGAGAAGGAGACATTTGTAGAGTCGATCGCACACTCAATCGAAGGCTCGACTTCCTAACGCCGAGCGAATGCGCGGGCTGACGCTCTCTCGTGCGCCAAGGAAGAGTCTCTAAGCAACCTTTGACGGAGCAAAATAGCTTCTTCTGCTGGTGTCAGCCTTCGATTTCCAAACCACCGAGGTGGGATATCCCTAGGCTGTTGCCTTTGTTATCACAACTAGGTGTCTCAGATGGGATCGTGGTACCTCGAGGGTAATTGCGCTAGGGCCTCTTGAAACCCCGCTTGGGTCGCGCTATCAACCGTCGACCACTGCTGCGCTTTCAGGGAGCCGATTGCTCGTCGACTGGCCGCAGCGCTCGGTCCAGCTCCACGACCGCCAGTTTGATATGTCGATCGACGATCGGAAAGAGTCGATTAGAACCCGACCACCGACTTTGGTTTACACAAGCCGAACCGGCACGGTGAAGAAGAAGTTTAAGCCGATTCTCAATGGCAAGGGAATTCTAGATCCCCCCTCGTCCAAGGCGCCGGAGCGTTCTGGCCTCATTTAGAATCTCCGTCAACGACGCTGGATCGGGAAGGTTCATCAGAGAGCCTCGACTCTTTCTCCAACCCTGGTGCGCCTCAGCAAGCTTGTAGTTCGAATTCTGTAAAGGAGATTTGCTCCGGGCTCTTACAAAGGTGGGTCAATAAGCTAATAATTCTCTCGAATTTCCGGACAGGTTACCTACTAATCAGGCAGATCCGAAGCCCGCGAGGGGGCCATGGGACGTGAGATCGGAGGCGCAATCTTTGACTTTGTGTTCGACGGAATCCCAAATGGGCCCAAGCGGCAAAGACTCTTTCTCCCAGGCGTCGCGACCCCACGCTCACGTGCATTCGAACCAACGATGAGTCTTGTCATGGTCCGTGCTAGCTGGAGCCTGGACCGACGTACAACCCTAGCCAGTCTAAAAAACTCCTCTCTTCTGGCCGAGGTCGATGACGAGGTTCCCGCGGGCGGTCGGCCAGTAAGGCAAATCCTGCTCATTATCAGCGAATTGCGCGATTTGTAGACCTCTTTCTAGCCTCTTGTAAGAATCCGGGAGTTCGTAGTTACCACTGCCTACCTATGTTGGTAAATAGTCCCAGCTCTGGGCCTTGCTTCAAAACGGTAGACACGACCGAGTTGAGAATCGAGGGTCATATTTACCCCTTGATCGAGGTGTCCGGCACGAGAAGAACATTCATTACAGCGGCGACCTTGGCATTATTACCGGGGCGTAGAATATACAAGACGACTAGGGCTCGGAGGGCGCTCCGCGCCCACCTCCCTGCGTAAATGAAGGTCGTTGCGAGCTCCGCCCGCACCTCCCGGACCGTGGGGGGGGGAAAGATCGGCGCGCGCGCGGCCGAGAACCTTATTTAAGTCGTGCATTCTTTTATGTAGATGTAGATAGGTTGCAGACGGTCCCACAACCCACTGTAATACGTCGCCCATATGAAAGCAATCACGTCGACTCGAGCTCGCTCGGGCGCACGGACGCAAGCTAATTTACGCTCTGCACGCGCGCACGCCCGGGCGGAGCAGGGAGGACCTGGACTGAAGGGCGCTCCTTCCTTTTTCGTCCTAAATCTGGAGCTCGACCACCGGCGGGTGTTCCGCTAGGTTCCGCTTAACGTTTCGCCCGTCCTGCGTATAAGCGTCTCGGTGACACTCGTCCTTTACTCTTCCACATCATCATCGGTTACCCTCGACCAACCCTCGAATATCGTCCCGTTTCACAGTGGTCAGCATTGACCCCTCGGGCCCTTCGACTCGGACTCCGGCCCCCTTCAAATCCCCCGAGCGCCCGCACCACTGCAGGCCCATCGAGCTGCTTCATTCAACTTTTTAAGCGGCGACTGCGACTCCGTAGAAGGGGCCTGAGCGTGCTCTCTCTGCCCATCTTTCAGCTCGATCCTACGTGTACCCTAATCGCTCAATCTTGAACATAGAGGTGAGTGGTAGCGTGTACCAACTAATACTCACTCTCAGTACCTCATGTGCATCGATACTGACTCGTGTCGCCTTCGTCATCGTCATCGGCGCCCGCTCGACCCGCGCAGGAGCCCGACCGATGGCCTATTACGTCGACTCCCCACGCTACGACCACCGCTCGGCTCCGGGCCACGCTCATTCAACCGGTGGTGCGACGCAATACAACAACCAGCCGCCTCGCTTCCAGCACCACCAACAACCGCATCACCCGCAGCAGCAACAGCACCACAACAGCTACCAGAGCCATGAACCGCCCTCGTACCCGACACACTACTCGCACATGTCCGGTGGGCCCAGCTCGGGCGCTTCTCCGCGGAGCTACCCCGCCTACGATCCCGATTCGCCTTTCAACTCGCCCTTCGTGCCAATCAAGTCGATGGGTCGAGACGGGCGATTGAAAACCAAATTGATGGGCATCGGCTCCGAGGGTGGATACTTGACCTCGCCTCTGATCGGTGGCAACCCGACACTCGATCCATCCACGACGATAGCGATCGACTCGCCCGTACCGAGCGGATCCTTCACCCATGACCACACTCCCTTGACGAATCTGGCACCGCGCACATCGAGTCTGGCGGCACGAAATTCGACCTACTTGGCCGTATCGACAAGTGACAACATGGGGAGTATGACCGGGATGGGCATTGAGATGCCTGGGCTCGGCAACGATCTCGAGCTCGGCGATTACGTCAACCCCGAGACGGCGGTCGTGACCGAGGGTGCTCGACCAAGATCGCGAATGGGCGCGGCATACCAGCCGACCACAATCTCTGCAGAAGAGGACGCAGCAGAGACAACGGAACCGGCTGCGGAACCATCACCAACCAAGCCCAAGTCGAAAGTGACAAGCTTCCCTGGCTCGCCACCTCCCGCTGGTAAAGCCCAACCACCAGCGACTGGCCGACGACCACGGAAGCAGCTCACACTCAAGTCGTTGAACAAGGCGAAGTCGTGCTCGGCACTTTCGCCCGCAGCCAAAGCGCAACAGTACGGTGGCGAACCCCTGACGCCCGTCTCGTCCCACTCGAGCAGCTTTGTGATCCCGAATGTTCCCTTCAACTCGCCCCTCGACGACGCACTCGCGCAGTCCGCCGATCCAGCGATCATGCCCTTGAGCTTTTCCGACCTGTACAGTTACGGCCTTGCGATCGATCCTGTCGACGAGATCGACGTGCGCAAGAGCCCATACCAGTTCGCCAACGACTTGCTCTCCGCCGACGGCAACATCGGGATGGGAATCGGCTTCCCGCAGGACGATGAACAGGACTACCAAGCCTCGTTGCCGACGCCTTCCTTTGCGCACGACTCAGGCTTCTCTTCGCCTTCCAATTCGTCTCGATCAGGTCCTTCGCCCGATATGAACAACTGGCGGAGCCCGAGCCATCTGTCCTCGTCCTCGATGATGCAAGCATCGTCGATGCTCTCGGCACCTTCGATGGAGAGCACTTACTCGTTGCCGATGGCGATGGCGCCTCAATCGGCGAGTCGACAGCGATGCGCGACCTATCATGCTGGAGGAGCTCCGACCCGCCACGAGTCGTTGGACCCCGCTCTGGTCAGCCCCGGCCCACGCTCGCCGATGCACTCGCGCCAACTTTCGACCAGACCGGCCTACGGCCAGCAAGCAAAGTACTCCTATCCTTCGCGGTACCAAAGCCAGAGCCAGGGCGTCCCGATGATGTGGGCCAACAGCGTACCACCATCGCAAGCGCAGACACCCCATCTCGCCCACCAGCACGCCCAGTACATCAACTCGGTCGACACGACCATGTTCATCCCTCCGTACCACGAGGCGAACGTTATCAACAGCAACGTCAACAATCCCGAGTCGTTGGAGGACATGTACGAACGCATCTCGGCAGCGTCGACGGGGTATTCGACACCGGGCAAGCGAGGACGCGGCAACGAGGATGAGGACGAGTTCGGCGATGAGGTGACACCTCGAGCCACCAGGATCGCCGCCGCAGCTACTTCCCCTTCACCGCACAAGAAACTGCGCACCGTCGCTTCTGCGCCGTGTTTGCCCACTCGCCGCATGCGGCCCGGCCCCAAGCCCAAGTCGCTTAAATCGCCGCAAGAGCAACATCAATCGTCGTTTCACCTGTCGTCCCCTCCGATCCCACAAATCCCTCGCTTCTCCCGCTCCGAGACACCGGCATCCGACGACGATGACGACGACGACAGCTCCAAGGGCGGCAATGGGCAAGCCGGATCTTTGCCCAAAGAGGTCATCCAAAGTCTGTACGAGAGTGTACCCGGCCACGTCAACGATAAGGATGTCAAAGTCTCCAAACGCTATCTCTGTCTGATGGACTCGTGCGAACGTACCTTCCCTCGCAAGAGTGCGATCGAGAGTCACATCCAGACCCACCTCGAGGACAAGCCGTTCGTGTGCCCCTACGAGGATTGCGAGGCATCTTTCGTTCGGCAGCATGATTTGAGGCGACACGAACGCATCCATTCTGGCAACAAGCCTTTCCCTTGCCCTTGGTACGTCGACTCGATTCCTCGGATTCTGAAAATGGTTTGAGCTGACCACTTTGTGCTTGTTCTCTGCTCACAGTGGGAAAGGTTTCGCTCGAGGAGACGCCCTTGCCCGGCATCGTGCCCGAGGTATCTGCGAAGGTTCCCTTGTCCCTCGTCGAACATGACCTCCTTCACTCTCACACGAATCCAAATGATATTCGCCCCGCTTGGGTGAACTCCGTCTCAACCTCAACTCAGCAATAAGGGTCCCCCTTCTTCTGCACACGCTTGATTATTCTTCTTTCTTTACCGTCTTCGTTCCTTTGTTGCATGTCTTATTATCACCACCTATACACACCTCGTTCTACTTCCTTCGCAGTGATTTCATGGTTGTTGCTTTCATCATCACTTCTGTGTTATTTCTCTCGTGTTACAAAGTGCGACTCTGCTGGCATGCTATTACCATAAAAGCAAACTACGAGAGAAGATCGAAAACCTACTCTTCGGCAGCCTTATTGCTCTTCTTCTTGATCGTCTTTTTGCTCTTCAAGTCCTCTAGAGCGGTGGAGGTATCGAACCCAAGGATTTTGTCGTGACCGGTCCCATCGACGAGTTGATCAACCAAGCCTACCGTGGCCCTCGTCGTCAAATACTTGGCCGAGACCCCTCTCATCATCAACGGCTTCTCCAACATCTTCTGTAACTCCCCCTTCAACATCTTGAGTTCGTATTGTTGCCCCTTTCCCTTCCTCCCCCCTCGATTCCTCTCCTGCTTCTTCCTAGACTTCGCGGGATCCCCCTCCTCGTCCGAAAAATCGAAATCGGACGGGATGTCCAATTCCATCGCCTCCGCCGCCTGTTTCAACCAATTATCCTCATGCGCACTCTTCGTTGCCTTATGCTGAGCGTTCTCGATCTTCTTGGCCAATTCGATCCTCTTCTTCAACTGATCGTAAATCGAATAATCGATCGGCAACCCGGGTAAATCTGTCCCCTTACCCAACGAAGCCATCAACAATTTCTGCACCTGTTTCTCATCCGGTGCGACGAGTTGTAACGCCAAACCTTGTTGTCCCGCTCGTGCGGTCCGACCGGAGCGATGAACGTACACGTCGGCCGTTCGAGGGAGTTGGAAGTGCACGACGTGCGCGACGGCGGGGATGTCCAATCCACGGGCCGCGACGTCGGTCGCGAGGAGAACGGCGTTCTTCGCGGACTTGAAGCGGTCCAAGGCCTTTAGTCGAGCACGTTGTTGCATTCCCGAATGAAGTTGAACGACGTTCAACCCCAGAAGAACGAGCAAAGGGTGAAGTCGACGGATTCCATCGATCGAAGCAAGGAAGACGATCGTTCGACCAGGGTACCGCAAGAGGAAGTGATAGAGGTGCACATCCTTCTCCGGTAAAAGACACTCGACTTTACATTCCTTGAGCGTCTCGACGAGACCATGTTCAGGCGTCAGGTCAATGACTTTTGGGTCGGGATCACGGAAATCGAGTTTGAGCAACAAGTCGTCCAGACTGGACATGCCATCCTCGGGTCGCCCGGGACGGAACTTGCGATGTCGTTTCTTGAGGTTCTGTTGCAAGTCCTTGGACATGGTCGCGGAGAAGACGAACGTGCGGATGTCCTCTCGAGCGGTGATCAAGTCGACGCGCGAATGGGTCGTCGAGATCGCAAAGTCGTCGATGAATTCAGCTTCGTCTGCTTCGGGGTCGTCTTCGGGACTTTGTCGCTTGCGTCGGGTCAGACGAACAATGTTTTCGAGTTCGGCAAAGTGGCCATTCTCGACCATGCGGTCAGCTTCGTCGATGACGAGGAACTTGATACCCTTGATCGCTCGAGCCAAGTTGTCGTTCTGTGTCAAGATACGTGAAGTCGGTGTGAGCATCTCATACGTGGTCATAGATGGAGCCTCGAACGCCTTGATCGACTCACCTCTCCAATCATATCCCACAACCGACCCGGCGTAGCCACCAGCACGTCCGCGCCCCTGGCCAGCTGCCTCTTTTGTTTCTCGACGCTCATCCCACCCGTCAACGCGACCACACTGATATGATGCCTCCTCTCCCTTTTCCTCGGTGCATTCAAATTCGGGTCCTGCAAGTCGTCCGGTAAAAGTCGATTGGTCCTTATGGCAACTTCATTAATCGCCGCTCGAACTTGGAGGGCCAATTCTCGCGTAGGAGTGAGGATCAAGGCCGCTAATCGGGTCGGATTCTCTTCTGTCGAGTTCGAGGTCGAGGGTGGGTTTCGCAGTATGTGGGATAGTATGGGGAGGCCGTAGGCGAGGGTTTTACCGGATCCTGTTTGGGCGACACCAACGATGTCGCGGTCGGTCGTGTTGGGGGAAGAGGCGGATGGGTCGAGCGGCTCATCGGCAAAGGGGGAGATGTAGGGCGTTGAAGTGGTCGTCTCTTCTTCCCCCTCGATCCCTTCCCCCTCGTTCTCCTCTTCTGATGCGTCGTTGTCGCCTTCCTGCTCGTCTTGGGGTTCAACGTAAGGCATCGCGCCAATCTCTACGCTGAGGGCCCGCTCCTGAATCGCGGTCGGCTCTTCGAATTTGAGTTCAGCCAGGGCTCGATAGAGGGGAGGGGCGAGGGGAAGATGGGCCCATGCGGGGAGGATGTCGTGGGCTGGCGGGGCGCAGTCAAAGGCAGAGAGAGAATCAACGATTGGTCCGGATGACCGAGGATAGGGGTTCAATCGACGAGACAGCTCGGGACTCACGATCGGCCTCTGGTTGTTCTTCTTGCAGTTCAACTTTTTGTGTGCCATTCGTGGCCTTTCGTTTGCCCTTGTTGTCATTGGGAGCGCCTGGAGTAGGTTCGACTGCTCGGTCCGGAGTGGGGAGTTGCTCGAGTGGCTCATCCGGGAATGGCGATTCATAGAGAGGTTCCTCTGCAATGGGTGCGACATGATCGTTCTTGGTCTTTTTAGTCTTGCGTTCTGGGACTGTTGGTGCATCTTTGACCTGCGATGCGGGCGATGCGGGCGATGCGGCGAACACGATGAAAGCGAGTCAGCTCCGGCCCGAGCCCAGCTTGGCAACCAGCGATCCCCAAGACAAGAGCATACCTGAAACTGAACGCCCGCTGCACCATAAACGACCTCGACCCCTTCGACCTCATCGATCTCCAACAGGCCGCCGTCCTCATCGAAGCCAAACTCGGAAGGAAGCGCGATCGACTTCCACGCGAGGTTCGCAGCTCGTTCGGTTCGTTTCGTCGACATCGCCACGGGCTTCGGCTTGGCTGCGGTGGGGGCTTGATCGGTATGGGTGGCTACCACTGCGTCGAGCTTGCGCTTCTTGGTGTGGGTGCTGTTGCGCTTGCGGGCGAACGCAAAGTGCTTGTTGCTTGACATGCTTCGCTTCCCTCGTTCGACTGGCCGAGTCGAGGGCGAGAGGCGCAGCCTGGGAGTGCGAAGCCGCAGCCAGCCCGCCGATTGGTCATCAAGAGGTCCGAGCGGCCGCCCCCGCCCCTCGTCGCATGAACCTCGCTTGTGCGCATCCCGCCGCCCGCCCGCCGCCCACCACCACCACCCGACAACATATGCGCGAGTTGCCAGATCGAAGCATCAAGATCTCGGTCGACCGAGGAGGAACTTTCACCGACGTACACGCCTCATGGCCCCAGGTCTCCACGTCGTCCCCGTCCTCGTCGGCGTCATCCTCCGGCGAACGAACGCAAGTGATCCTCAAGCTGCTCTCCTCGGACCCGACCCACTACTCGGACGCACCCCGCGAGGGCGTACGGCGCATGCTCCAACTCGCCACGGGCCACACCTACTCGAGGGAAGAGCTGCTGCCCGTGGACAAGATCGACTCGATCCGACTGAGTACGACGGTCGCGACGAACGCTTTGCTCGAACGACAGGGGGCCAAACATGCCCTCGTCGTCACCAAGGGCTTTGGCAGTCTGTTGGAGATTGGCAATCAGAGTCGTGCGTGCTTCGGATCTTACACATCCCTCCAACCGAAGAACGCACTGACTCGCACCTGATCGCACCCCAACCTCCCACCCCCACTTGTTCCCAACCCGAACGCCGTACTACTAGGACCGAGAATATTCGTCAGTGCTGCCACATCTTGGCTCCTACATCGTTCTGACACCGCACAAGCTGTGCCATCCGTCTCGAAAACAGGATCTCGACATCAAACGACCTTCCGTCCTCTACTCTTCCGTTATCGAGGTGAGCATGATGCCGCCCCAACTCGTCGGACTTAGCTGAGCCTCGTACGAACCTCACCCGCAGGTCGACGAACGAGTTACCTTGGTCGGATACACCTCGGACCCCAAACGAGCCGAGCGAGCCGTACGCTTTGACGAGCAAGGTCAAGTCGAAAAGGGCTACGACGACGAGCACCATCCACCCGGGTCGGTCGTCAAGGGTTGGAGTGGGGAGGCCGTGCAGATCCTCAAAAAGCCCGACGAGCAGGCCCTCAAGACTGAACTACAGAAACTTTACGACGAAGGCTATCGCTCCTTGGCGATCGTGTTGATGCACTCCTTCACCTATCCTGGTGCGTTCATCTCCCACAAATCATCCCTACCAGCTTCCCTGTTCCTAACCCAGGGACAGAGTGGCGCAACAGATCACGAACGACAGATCGAGTCCATCGCCCAATCGATCGGCTTTGAACACATCTCCCTCTCCTCCGCGTCCCTGCCCATGATTCGCATCGTCGCCCGAGGAACGAGTTGCACCGTCGACGCCTACCTCACCCCCGTCCTCCTCAAATACATCGACGGCTTCTTCTCCGGCTTTGAACCTTCGCTCCGGGAAACGAACCAGGCCAACGCTTTGGAACCAACCTCAACCTCCCCGGAGGAACCACCACGAACGACGAGCGTCGAATTCATGCGTTCCGATGGTGGTTTGACCGACGTACGAGGGTTTTCGGGTCTCAAATCGATCCTCTCGGGACCGGCGGGTGGGGTCGTCGGTTTCGCTTTGACGTCTTGGCAAGAAGGTGGCAAAGCCGTGATCGGTCTTGATATGGGAGGGACGTCGACTGACGTGACCCGCTTTGATGGTACTTACGAGACCGTATTCGAAACGACCACCGCCGGAGTGACGATTCAATCCCCCCAACTCAACATCAACACCGTCGCCGCGGGAGGAGGATCGAGGTTGTTCTGGCGGAACGGACTTTTCGTCACCGGTCCTGAATCGGCGGGTAGTGATCCAGGACCATCTTGCTATAGGAAGGGTGGGGAACCGGCCATTACGGATGCGAATCTCGTGCTGGGGAGGTTGTTGCCGAATCATTTTCCCAAGATCTTTGGGGAGAAGGAAGATCAGGGATTGGACGTCGAGGCTTCGACCAAAGCGTTGGAGAAGTTGAGGGAGGAGATCAACCAAGAGACGGGCAAGGACATGTCGTTGGATCAAGTCGCGTGGGGGTGAGTTGATTGACTCTTTTGGCCGAGTCACCTTCAAAGTACCTAAACTGACTGAACGAGGAGTCGTTTCACAGCTTCATCAAAGTCGCCAACGAGACCATGTGTCGACCGATCCGATCCCTAACCGAAGCGAGAGGATACGACACGTCCAAACACGTCCTCTCGTGCTTCGGAGGTGCAGGTGGACAACATGCCTGCGCGATCGCTTCGACCCTCGGCATCTCGACGATCCTAATCCACCACTTCTCGTCCATTCTTTCCGCTTACGGAATGGCACTCGCCGAACGCGTCGTCGAACGTCAAGAACCCAGTTCAGAACAATGGTTCACCAAAGGGGCGAGTGAACGACTCGAAGCACGCTTGAAGGAATTGGGCCAACAAGCGCATCGCGAACTCTCGAGCCAAGGCTTCTCGGACGAGAGGATCGAAATCCATCCTTACCTCCACATGCGTTACAACGGTACCGATTCGGCTTTGATGATTCATCGTCCTTCAGAGCACGACGACGATTACGCGAAAGCTTTCGCACAGGCTTATGAGCAGGAATTTGGCTTCAGTATGAATGCAGAGATCACGATTGATGATGTTCGAGTAAGAGGGGTCGGTAAATCGTTCGATTCGTTGGGGCCTTCGGTTTGGGACGAGTTGGGATCGATGGACTTCAGGGAGATTGGAGGGGAGACGGGACAGGGGGAGGATCGTAGCAATAGCAAGTGCGACGAGATGGCTTCGGTCTACTTTGAATCCCAAGGTAGGGTTGACGTACCCGTCTTCTTGTTGGATCGATTGGAGAAGGGGGATTTGGTCAAAGGACCGGCGATGATCATTGATGGGACGCAGACCGTCGTCGTGGACCCAGGAGCTACGGCGAGGTTGACGAGCAAGCATATCGTCATCGAGTTGGCCAAAAAGTAGTAACATCGCAGTCTGTTGTACTGCCTCTGACGAGTTGGTGGCTTGTGCTTTGTAATCCCATGTCAAATGCAATCCAAAAAGACATGCTCTCTGTTGAGGAAGGATGGTGCAAGGGGTAACTGTAACAATGCGAAATGCGAGTTTCATTTTTTCATGCTTTCAGAAAGGCGAACAGCAAATGAGCTAGATATGGTATCAAAAGTGCAGCGGCTGTTTTGTTTTTGAGAGGAAGAGGGAAAGGAGGAAGGGGGGAGGGGGAGAGAAAGCTAGATGAGACCATGTCCTGGTGTCCTGGTTGTTTTTCCGAGCGATCCAAAGAGAGAGAGAGAGAGGGGGGGGGGTGTTCGGTTTTTTGATGCTACAAGATTCGAAGAAGACTGAAGAACGACTGAGATGCGAACGAGGGTGTTGCGAGTAGAACAGAACGTTTTTATGTTCATTTTGGGTGCGTTGAATGCGGTACTGATGCTTGGTTTGAGTTGTGATGTCGTGTAATGTGGTGTCGACCTGGCGACCGTGACGGCTTGAACGGCTACGGCGACCCGTGCCCGTAAGCAGCTCCGGAAATGATGATCTCGCGAGAACGGAAGGCAGACGAACTGCGGTCCCGACCTCGGCCTCGTTCGTCCTCGTCCCCTTCGTCTACGAGCTCGAGCGCCTCGTCGTCGGTGGCGTTGCGAGAAGACCGACCCCGACCTCGCGATTCGCATCCTCGACTCTCACTCTCGCGAGCGCGACTCGAAGACGAGCGGCGGCCTCGTGAACTCGATTCACTGACTCCACGAGCGGTGGGCGACAGACTTCGTAGGACGGCGCCCGGACCACGCAGCTGCGATCGACCTCGCCCGGTTGGAAGGTCCCCGAGCACATCCGTTTCCGAATGCGAAGGACGGCGAGTTACGGATCGACCCCGGCCAGAGGTCGGAGGTGAAGAAGGCGTGGAGGGGAAGGGCGAGGGCATGACGGAAGTGCCGGGAGAGTCGGTCGTGGCCGAAATGAAGTGGCCGGGCTCGATCTTGGTTCGGATGGTCGATTGACGCGAACGGATGGTGCGCTCGTGGTCGAGTTCTTCCTCCACCGGGGTTGGGCTGGGCGTCCCTCGGCTGAAGAGGAATCGAGTCGGGCGCGCGAGGGTCTTGTTTGCGATCGCGGCGGAATCAACTGAGACGCCCCGTTCGGACGTGGCGGGGAACGAGGCCCCTGAGCGGCCACGTGGAACTCGCTCGTCGACCTCGTCGTCTCCATCGTCGGCATGGTCGTCACGCGCCAGGTTCAAAGCGCGCTTCTTGTCCTCCGAGAGGTGCGAGAAGAGGTAGCAAGCGAAAGCCGAGTGTGTGTGGGATGACTCATCGTCATCGCTCGAGGACGATCCCGAAGCCTCGTCGGCGGGGTGCGGGTGGGCTGGCGCCGGCTGACTCGCCGTCGAATCCTCCGGAGAGAGGTCGTCCAATGAAGCGAGGTGGCCCGTCTCGGCGGCTCGTAGTGCTCGGATGCGAGGCGACATGAGGATGTCGATCGAAGAGGCCGGATCGTAGGCGATGGTGGATTGCAAAGCGGCGCTCGCAGACGACCGTCGCGAGTTGTTGCTGTTGCTCGTGGTCCGACTCGACGACTTGCCGGAGGTGGATATTCTCGGGCGTCTCATCTCGCCGACGCATCCCGGTCGACCGCAGTTTTTGGTGCGCACCACGGGCGGCGGCAGCGCAGCACTCGAAGCGGCCAATGACGACAGTGGCGGCAGCGCCAGCGAGGTGATGTCACTCGTCGGTGCGAGCTGGGGCGACCAGAACGTCGGTTTCGTCGGTGATATCGGTCCAAGAGCGGGTGAAGACCGTACGTGGGCCGCTCGCTCTCGGTAAAAGAGGGGTGCTGGGATCTGAGGCTTGCTGGCTCGGCGACGAAAGTGCAGGTCCGATGCAGGTTGTTGCGGCGAGGCCTTGGGGTCGACGTCGTGCGGGCCAGCGGCCGGGTAGTCGACGTGCGATGCCTTCCAGCTTTTGGACGTCGGGTATCGCATCGCTATCGGCAGGCTTTGTCCACCGTAAAATTTTGACATCGTAACGGGGGCGCCGAGGTCGAGTCGCGGCGGGTCTTCGTGGAGCACCGCATCGGCGACCATCCCACGTGGTGAAGGCGAGTTCGTCGCTGATGATGACGGGCTTGACCATGTCGACTTGGATGCAGACGGGACGAGAGCCGGCAGGACCGAGGGCGAATCGGGCGCGGACTCATGTTCAGAGTCGTGCTGGCGACACTCCTCTGAGCAGTACGGCGAATCCGACGGGGCTTCGTTCCCGCAGCTATTTTCGGTGCAAGGACGAACAAAATAAAAGGATACCAAAATATTGGACGTGGTCAGCATGTCATTCCCACACTCAGTAAAGTCAGCGCATGTACGCCCGACGGCGAATGCGAATGCGGGGCCACGAGAGCATTCGCCGCGAGGCCCGGCCGGGTGAAACGTGCTCATTTGGCTCAGGCCCGGGCAACGGCAGGCCGAACGGCGGGGGCGACGCAGGGCAGGGGCGGTGGTCGCAAGCGCGAGAGCGCGCGCGCAGAAGAGAACCGACGCGTGGTTCGTGCGACCGACCGACAGGCCCGGAGGTGAATTGCACCTTGCGGCCGAACGAGCTTGTTTGCGGCGCGTGAAAGACAGAATACAGATACTCACTTGAGACAGAAATTGCCAAACAACAGATCGTCCGGTACGTCCTGGGCCACCTGGGTGTGGCACTTGGCGTGTCGAGCGCCGTACGTCGCGAGCTGCTGGTGCATCGGTGCAACCAACGCCGCGGCCATTGCGACTTGAACGAACGAGCGAGCGACGGAGACGAGGCGCTGGGCTGGGCTGGGTTTCGCAGCGAGCCCGGTCCCCAAGACTGAACCGAGGGCACTATAGTGCTATCGTCGTCGTCCTCGTTCCTGTCGGAGTGTGGGGCGTGATCACTCGAAGTTGGAATCGGTCGTGGTGGAGAAGCGGTGTGGGTGATGAAGGAGACGAAGCAAACGTGCTTTCGAGCTTCGACTCTCGAGTCAAAGGGGATCGGAACTCGGGCTTGAATGAAACTCGCTTGACAGGGCCGAACGGCGGCGCGCAGGCGCCTGAGCGGTCTCAGTCTCTCAGAGCTTTGTGCGTCAAAGAGATGGATCGGCACACGCGCCTCGATGACAAACCGCGATTCAGGGCCGGGACAGTTCTTAATTGCTCGTCGCATAGAGGTGATCCGGTAGGCACTCGAGTTCAGTCAATATCTCTAGTTATACAAAAGGAATTGACCGTGTTGTGGTGACTGAAAATCAGGCCACCGTCGCTACAGGTTGAAGGCGAAAAAAATGGATTATGAGCGACAAGGCCCGCTCAAAACGCTGAATATCGCACCATCTGGGGGGCGGACTGACGGTGCTTGCGCGCCCCGCGAGCCTCAAATGACTTGCATTTCGTGAACCTTGCCTTTCGCCTTTTTCATTTGCTCGGTCGAATAATCCTCGTCACCTTAATCGAGTCACCTGCTCAATTCCTTTTGTGGTTGCTCGCGTCAATATCGTACTACGGGAGTAGGTCATGCATCAGACAGACATCTGCTGTACCGCAGGCATGTAAACCCCCAATTGAATCGGTTGATTACGAGGTCTTGCGAGTATAAGCCTTGGAGGCCCTCGCACGCACGTCATGGCTGAGCGCTGATGCTGATGCATGCGCTGATGGCTCACTCTGAGCCTGCTCCTTCCTGCGAGCGCCAAGCAAGACGTCCTGCCGGACCCGGCCAAATTTGATCACCCTACAGGCGGACCCGCCAAGGCTACGCTTAAGCTTAGTTGCTCCATAGTTAGTTAGTTAACTATGTGTAAAATCCCATCTTCCAGCCATAACTATCTAACTATCAACTATGACCCAATAGTTAGTTAACTAACTATAGTTGGGATAGTTAACTATGCAAAACTATCAAAATGGCCCCTAATAATGGCGCACGCCGAGCGTCGTTGAGGGCTTACCCAGCGCAATTACCCCATACGGCTCAGCAGTATACAATAATTGTTTGGTTGTATTGAGCCTATTGAACCTCTGGTTCTGCTGCCACCGACTTATGAGATCCGCTCGATGCCATGCTCTCAAACTACCCTCTTATGATAGTGTAATAGTATAGTATATATGAACTTGAAACAACCGTTGACAACAGTAATCTGATTCTACATGACAGACCTACACCTCATCATCATCATCATCGAGGTAAATTGTTTCTCTGGCGCGAAAGACTCTGGGGACCAGGCCTCGCCCGCGGGCGGAGTAGTGTGGCATGAGCGCTGCAGCAGTTTTTACTAATTATAATGTGGTACCTGGCGGATACTTCCTGGCTCATCAGGCTCGGGTATCGGAGCAGCACTGGAGCTGTTTGATCGAACACTAGGTGCCTAGGAAATTTGGTGTTGCACTTCCAGCACTTCGACTGGGGCCTATAGTTGCCATAGTTACAATAGTTAACTATGATATCCTCCGAGCCAGAACTAACTAACTATCAACTATGCCTCAATAGTTGGGATAGTTAGTTAACTATTTGCGGTGGCGTAGTTAGTTAACTAACTAAGCTTAAGCGTAGCCTTGGGACCCGCCCCACCGCCGGCCGGGCCAGAGCCTTCTGCAAGAAAGTGTGTAAAAGCTGTCCATGGTCACAGGCACGTTCGAGCGGCTTGGGTCGCAGGAAAAAAGAACATCTCGACGTATAGGGATGTCAACGGGGTTAAACGGAGCCGAGCGTCCATGCTTTCTCGCTCCAAGTCCTTGACCCCTTGGAGGTCGGACTCATGATATCATCCTCGTGATCGCGTTCGGCGTCAACCGCGTCGATGCACACCCCCAGGCAGGCGCTCATCGTTGCGCGCGCTTTCTGCGCTTTCTGCGATCGGCGAGGGATTCCAAATCGGCCGCGGCCGCTTGGCGAGCTCGAGATCAGCAGGCGGATCTGACGGATCAGCATCGGCACGAAGGTCGCCGGTTCATCAGGACTTGATGCAAGCTAGGCGTATTATACCTAGGTGGGACACTCGATCACCCTCGCCGGAACTTGGAGGTAAAAAAATTGTCTGAAGTAGAGAGGAGAATCGACTGTTGGGTTAAAAAATCCCGAGCAGCCGAGGCCCGGCGGCGGCTCTGTCCCGCTAGGCTGTCCTCTCCAGCCCTATGCTAGCCTTGAACAAGCATCCATAGATGGGCTGTGCACGGCTGCGCGCGCTGCGAGAAAAAAATGGCGCCGAGCTCGGTCCCCTGTCCCTGCGCACTGTGACTGCGATCTGACGCCCATCGGGGGCACTTCCTGACCTTTTTAGCTCTTCGTCTTCGTCATCTAGCTTCCGGTGACATTCCACATGCGACCAAGCACGTCTACCGAATTCCTGGGAATCTGGCTCACGCACGGCGAGCTCGCGCATGATCGCCTGGAGCTGCAAGCCGAAAAGTACCCCTCTCATATGTCTGGGACTGTTCGCTGAAACGGCAACGACCGGCTCAAGCAGTTGAGCAGCTGCATCGCTGGATCGCGCGCACTCTCGCGCGCCTTCGCTAGAGGAGGCGGACGGGGCTTCGGCCAGGGGTCGTCCCGAATCGAGAGACGATCGCGGCGCTTGCAGCGCTTACACGCCATTACCGAAGAAGGAAACCTGGTAGCGTCTACGCAACAGACTGCCCTTCGGTGAAGTGGAGCATGCGATCACTTTATGTAGCCCCAAGACTGAGGAAGTGCACGTTTGACGAAACGAAACGGGAGGCAGAATTTTTCTTGCCCTCTTTAGCTTAGACGGCTAAAATCGACGGCCGCACGAGCGGCTGGGGTGAAGACCTGCTGGTTCCTCCAGAACTTCAGGTGATTGTTGTGAAAGTGATTACTCGAATCCCAGAGGAACTTAAGGTGACCTCGCTAGGAGGTAACTCGCTTGCAGTTCGAGCCTCTGGGGCTTTAGAAGGGGCGCGCGTGAAAAATTGCGCTCGCGTGTAAGCGCAGAAGAGAAAAGCTCACTGTTGTCCGGATCTTCCCAACATATTGTTAGACAAGTCTTTGCGGACGAATAGGCCGGTCGACATCTACGCTGAGCAGGTACCTATAAGTATCGAGTAGTATAGTCACTATTAGTCAGCCTCCTGCGAAGGCCCCCGAGCTAGCTCGGCATGCAGTCCGGTTTGCTGTGCGCACTGTGCGCATCATCGCAGCTTGGACTGAGCTACGGAGGACTGAGGAGAGTGCTGTTCTGTCATGCATGCGGACGACCTGACCTGACCTGACCTTACCTTACCTTACCTGACCTTACGACCACGACAACGACATGCACATTAGGCGTCTCGCGACACGTGTCCTCGCAACCAACGCGGTGATCCCGTCCACCCCAGCCCAGCCCCAGCGCCCGCGCTATTCACCACCCAACAACACGCTGACATCTCCTCAGCAGCATTCGACCGTCCTCTATAGGACCTGTTCGCCGTTCTATCGCATATGGCCTAGTGCCGTAGCACCACCTCAACCCCCTTGCCGACCTTGGCAAAGGGACGGGGAAACCCACCAATCGATTAGCGGTGCAGACAGAACCTTGCCCAGAGGTGGCGAGTGCTATCTGACTCCACCTTATTACATAACCACTAGCCAATCTATGAACCGTCTCTCTTCCATTGATCATTTGCTTTATGCACCCATGCTAGCCTTCGAAGCGCTCCTCCTAAAACGACGAGTACTGCACGGACGCTATGCGCACCTCAAACTACCCAACCCTACCCTACCCGCTTACATATACATACACACGCACGTCCTAACATACCCTCATTCCTTTCTTGTGACATTCTATGTTCACTATCGAGGACTACTGTTGCCAGCGCTGCCCCAAGGACAGGATAGGAGACCCCTTAGATGCCTCTTCGAGGCCGAGAGTACCACCCAGACATATTTTCTACGATACCTTCGCCGGACGGAACGCGCATCTGACCTGCTTCATGACCCGTACAAACACCAACTCACTGCTATCCGGCGGCTCCATACCACCTGGTTGCCTGACGATTCCCACACCCTAGATAAATCACAGAGCCCCGCACCACACCTCGACTGGAAGTCGACAACGTCCTCTTTCTGGGTTTGTAGGTCATCCAGCACGATCATAACATACTTGTATCGCGGAGCAGGCGTTCTGAGACCTGCCACACACGCCCTCGCTCCACAAGGGACCGCCTCGGGCGCTGAGCCCAAGACCTACTCCTTGAATCAGCGCGCGACTCACTTAACTAGGAGAAGCTACCCCTGTCTGACACCGAACCTGAGCACGTCATTGATCACCTCTTGTAAAGCCCGAGCGCTTAATTTCCCACCCGTTCAATGCCTGGTAACGAATAACGGCCCATTTTCTCCACCCCTGAGCACGTCATCGAGTGCCCCCTGGGAAGCCCAAGCGTTTCATACTCCATCCGTCCGGTGCAATTTGAACCCCATACTCCTTTCACCTCGCCCTTGCCCCCTCCCACACAACAACCGCTTATACGACACGATGGTCCCCAGACCCTACGTAGAAACCGACTTCAGAGCCATTCGGACTACCCAACCCCTGGCACATCGACTCGTCATCTCTAACCTTCCTGCTACTTCTGATAACATCGCAAAACTGACGGCGGAAGGGACCATTGAACACCTACTTGTCCAAGCCGGCATTAGCGTCAATGAGCAGCCAGTTTTCTTTCAGTCGCACGAAGTCCTTAACCTCACCGGGCTGTCGGACCCTCCCCAATCAAGATACAAGGCCCTAAACACGGATTATTTTGAGATCATCGGGCC